TAAGTAATATCGAAATTAAACTAGCCTAAGAAGATAGCCTAGCGTGCCTAACGAGGGTTAAGCTTTTATATAGTATTAATACTACGAAGGTTATTATAATTAGTTAATACTTTAGTAACGTACTTGGCTCCTACGAAGTAGTAGCGCTATGTCTTAAACGAGTAGACGATCGCTAAGAGCTCCTAGTTATAGGTTTGCTAGTTGCGCTTAGTAGGTTATATCTTCCTTAAGGTAAAGGCAATAGGATGCTACTTGTCGTCTTTAAACAGCTGAGATAGGATTCCGGATATACCGAACTTAGAGGTATCTGTCTTATACCGTATACGCCTCTCCGGGTCGAAGTGTCGCATAATCGGTGCTATAGTAAAGCGACTTTTCAAATCTTTAAAGGCTTTCTAAGCATCGTTAGGCTAGTAAAACGGAGTGTTCTTAGCTAATAGATTCGTTAAGGGTACTATTACTTGTGCGTACCTCTTAACGAAACGCCTATAGAAATTCGTAAAGCCTAAGAAGCTCTAGATATCTTTTATACTCTCGGGAGTAGGCTATTCGGTAATAGTAGTAACCTTTTCGGGGTCTGCTAGCACCCTATCCGTCCGGATAATAAAGCTAAGGTACTTAACCTCTTTAGCCGCGAAGGTGTACTTCTTTAGATTAGCGTATAAGGCTGCGGACCGCAAGCGGTCTAACACCTTCTTTACCGCTGCCTAGTGCTATTCGATATCCTTACTATAGGTGTAGATTAGGATGTCGTCTAGATATACTATATAGATGCTATCTAGCAGCCCGGCTAATGCGCGGTTAATGTACGACTAAAAGGTGGCCGGAGTATTCGTAAGCCTAAATAGTATTACGTTGTACTTAAAATAGCTATACCGCGTGCGGAACGTAGTCTTCTACTTATCTCCCTCGCGGATTCGGATGCGATAATACGCCTCCTTTAAATCTAGCGTCGTAAAGAAGTAGGCACTAGTGCGCCGGTTAAGCGTTTCCTCGATAAGCGGGAGAGGGCATCTGTCCTTAATCGTAGCTAAGTTTAATGCTCGGTAATCGACGTATAGCCGCAGTTCTCCGTCCTTCTTCGGAACGAAAAGGAGAGGAGCTCCTACAGGACTCGTGCTATATTAGATCCGACTACTAGCTAGCTCCTTATCTAGATATGCTCGAAGTACCTCGAGTTCTCTAGCAGAGAGAGAGTATAAGGGCCTATATAGAGGCTCCTTGCCTTCTTAAAGGTTAATCGTATAATTAGTAGCTCGATAGGTCGGTAGTATGCCTACGGAGTCGTTGTTAAATATATCCTTGAACTCCTGCAAGGCGAGGGGAATAGTAATTTCCTTAATGCCGACCGCATAAATTCGTGCGGTACCTCCGGATGCGGGTAGCACGGCGTATACCTATCCGATAAGCTAGACCGACGTTTCCGGGAAGCGAGAGATAAGGCTGCGGAGGTAGGTAGAGGAGACGATATTAATCTTGTCCTAAGTCGCACCCTAGCGCTACTTATCTCTACTATTAAAGATGTCTATCCCTAAAATACGTAGGGTATATCTACCTAGTAGGATATCCGTATCTTAGAGATCTGTTCTATACGTAAGGATAGTACGCTCCCGTTTAACCCCTCGAGCATCCTTTATCTAAAGGGAAAACTTATATACTCCGTAGTATAGGGTCCGCTATTAGCCTAACTAGCGGAGATCTAGTAGATTAGCCGTCTATTTTACTAACTTATTGCGAATAGCGACTCGCTAGTTAATAAGAGTAACTTAGGCTCTAGTATCTAAGATACCCTAGATACTCTTAGATCCGTCCGAAAGGACGATAGAACTATTAAAATAGATTACTTACGCTACTTTAATCGAGCGTAGCCCTACTTCCTTAGAAGTAGAGGTAATAAGGCCTACGCTTTTCCCTTTACTAGGATAGTATTAGGGTTCTAAGACCGTTTCGGCTTCGCTAGATTAGGGCAATTAGGCGATATATACCCCTTCTTGCCGTAATTATAGCATTCGAGATAGGAATAATCCGATCTCGTCTTATCTAACGTCCTAGCCGAACTCGAGGTTAAGGTTATCGAGTGCGGAGCGCGTACGGTATACGTCGCGCCTCCGCTAGTCCTTCCCCTTAGCTATAACTTTACTCGCTTTTCGCGTACGATAGTCTTAGTTATAGTTCGTTTACTATCTCGAGTATTCTTCTTAAGCCTAGTCGCTAGATTATATAACTCCTCCCGGTCGGTAGGAACCTAGTTGTAATTAGTTACTATAATCCTTAATTCGGGCCGTAGGCGAGAGTAGTAATAGTACAACTTCTGCTTCTCGGTATATAGATCTAGCTACTATTCTAGGGTCTCTATATACGTTAGAAAAACCCGTATAGACTAACCTTCGCGCTATTTAGCTGCCGTATATAGCTTATAGGTATCTAGCAAGCGCGCGATAGGATTATCTAGCAAATCTAGAAGGAAAGTCGTAAACTAGCCCTAAGTAACGAGAGATTACTAATCTAGATTTGATCGCTACTAGTTTACCTACCTATCTCTAGTATTACCCTCTAAGTATTATATAGCCTAGGTAACCTTCTAGAAACCCGCGTTATACTAGCGAGAGTCCTAAAGGAAAGCTAGCTCGTAGGCTAGAACGAAATCGGAATACTCTTTAATAGACTTGCCCTTATAAATAGGTAGCTCCTTAATTAGCCGCTTGCTATACTATCGATAGCTATCCGGCGAACGGTTACGCTTCTAGCCGATAACCCCCTACGGTATAGATATAGTATATCTAGCGATATTACCCCGCAGGGTCTCGGAATTAGCGCTAGCGAGGATAGTATTATAGGCTTAAGTAGCGTAGATCTTCTCTTAAATTAATCGACGCTACTCTTCCTATACTTAGGCTAGCTAAGCTTCTATCTCTTCGATAGTCTGTTCTTCCCTTAGAAGCGGCTATTCCGCTACGGGTATAGGATAGTGCGAGGTTCCGCCCTATAGCTCGTCGCTATCTCTATCCTCGACGTCGCCTAGGTCTTTAATTCCTAAACGTACGTCTTCCGCTAGCGGCTCGATTCCTTATAAAGGTACTAAGCCTTACTAAGGAACTCTCTTCGGTCCTATCCTCCGAGTCGCTACCCTAAAGACGGGTATAAAGTTTACTCTATAAGGTTTCCGGCGTAGTTACGTAGGGGATACGGCTACGACGAAGGGGTTGTAGTAAGGAAGAGGGTAGAGATAAATCGAAGAGCGTACTCGCCGTACGTACCCTAGCTACGCTAGCGGTACGCACGCGGTATCTAGTACGATAGTAACGATAGTAAACTTAAGGAGTAGAAGAGAAGGAAGTCTCTACTTCCTTTTCCTCTATCTCCTCTCCTTAGCCCCCTCGCTTAATATAGGAGCTAATATATTCTATTAGGTGTCCGGATTAGACACCCTACGGACCCCCTACGGGGGCCGGAATATATTACGTAACCTAGGTTAACTATAGATAGCCTGCGGTCCCCCTACGGTTACGTATAGGATACTGTAGATGTAGTACGACACCTTATAATAGCTTTACGCCTTACTAGTTTTAGAGAGGATTCTACTAATATTTAGTTACCTCCTAGGCCTTTTATTAGCTAGGTAGGTAAATACCTATATATAATATAATAAAAGGTACTTAGGGCTAAATAAGAGAGTATTATATAACTCTCTACTATAATAAACCTACCCTTCTCTAGCCTATAGCTTAGCTATTAAACTATACTCTACCTACTACTTCTTAGAGTAATAGTATATAACTCTAATTAATTTACTTACTATAATTATACTATAGTATTATAGTATTAGTAGTTCTATATTATAGTAGTAGGTTAAGGTACTCTAATAAAGACTACTTCGCCTTAGCGATAGCGTTTGTAGCTAGATAGAAGAGTAGCTATATCTTTAAAAGTTATTATATTATTTATATAGTATACTAAGGGTTTATAGTACTAAGCGTTCTACTATCTACTATATTAAATAGAAAGGATATAAGAAGGTTTACTCTTACTCTTTACTAGCGTACTATAGTTTTACTAAGATAGTACTCTTATAGCGTATCCTTAGGAGTTCGATATAGCTAGCTAGAGGGAGGCGGATCGTTATAGCCGCTTTATCGGACGGCAGAGGGACTTGTCCTATATCTTTAGAACCCCCTAACCCTAAGCTATTCTCTACGCGACGCGACAAGTGTTAGCAACGATCCCGCGATGAATCGTACGAAGACGATAGCGAGCGAGAGGCCAGTTTTGACTTCCGTCTAAGAGAGTGTTGCAAGCGTTCTAGCCGCCTTTCTAGCATTACGTAACAAGTAGAAACGCCTATCGAACCTAAGAAGTACAAGTAGAGCTAAGGCTATAGCAGCCGCCAGATGAGCCGATACAAGCGCCCGGATTCGCAGGTCAGGCCTTTTTATGCTTACGTTCCTCGCGATCTTGGTGGTAGGCGCCTACGAACAGTCTGTAAATCGTAAAGTCCTGCGATGACAAGGGCGCGAAGCTGCAGACAAAGAAACATTCTAGACAGCAATAGGCGGCCGTCGGTATGGTAGACTGCTATACTTAGCGCGGAGTTCGATGTTGGAGGATCGAGCTGAGACATCCTGCGCACTCGCAGCCTATCAAAAGCTAACATGCACTATGACGCAGAGTAGAACTATGGGGACGATTTAGCTTTAGAAGTTCAAGATTTGCCAGTCAGTACAGATATTCGATCATGATACCTCTACTTTGCACACCACACGGGCTTCAAACAAAGTAGTACTCAAGTGATCACCTTCAATGAGGACTCGCAAATTGAAGACTGAATACAACGACAAACGGTAGTCGACATGTAGTCAGAAAGAAATATGAGATGTTGCGGGAACATGCAGATCAAAGCCCATGATACGCCTGTCGTACTCGTCCGAGCTGGATGTTGATCCTACGCCATTCGCAAGGACTCACCGTGGCGATCCGTAGTCGAAGTACTATATAGACAGCCACTATACCTTGATCACCACTTTCCCAGGCGCAGTCAATTTACTTGCAGCCTGCAGCCCCTCGACCGCCTCCTCGAACTTGAAGGTTTTTGCAATCTCTGGCTTCAAGTCATGCTTCTCCATGAAATCCACAAGCCCTTCTGCCATGTCTCTGCTGCCGGCTCCTAGCTGACCGACCATAGTCTTCGATCCATAAAGAATGTCGGTCATGATGTCGACCTTGAAGTTCGGCTCCTGAGACAGCAATCCCACAACCACGACGACTCCCCCAAAGCTCGTGGACTTGAGCGTCTGCTCAATCGACTCGGCGCCCACCACATCAACCGTCAGATCAACGCCTTTGCCGCCCGTGAGCTCCAGCACACGCTCCGACCAATTTGGCGTATTGCGGTAGTTGACGACGTGAGTTGCGCCTAGTTTACGAGCAATGTCGAGCTTCCCGTCTGACGACGAAGTGGCGATCACTGTAGCCCCAGCAGCGGCGGCCAGCTATTCTCATCAGCACTTGACATAATGACAGCACTGACTCGAATTTACCTGGATAGCATAACAGCTCACTCCACCAGTCCCCTGCGTAAGAACCGTCATCCCCTTACCCACCAGCTTCGGACCATGAAATAGAGCACGATAAGTCGTCACACCAGCTGTGAACAGCGTAGAGGCCTCTTCCATACTCAGGTGTTCCGGGGCACGAAACAACCTCTCCTCATCACGCACCATATACTGCGTCAAGGTCCCTTGCTCGTACCCCGAGCCTGCCACATCCTCCATCTTGAATCCATGCAAGTCAGGCCCATTGTACCACTTACTGGCAAAGACGATGACATTGTCACCTTCTTTCCATCTCGAGACTTCCGAGCCAACTGCTTCGACTGTGCCGGCGCCGTCGGAACAGGGTACCAGGTCTGGCTCTGGAGTGAGAGGGTATGCTGGGTCATGGTTCACGACTAGGACGTCGCGGTAGTTGAACCCCGCAGCCTTGATACGGACGAGGACTTCTTTTGGTCCTGGTGTGGGGACTTTGTCGTGCTCCTTGAGTGTCAAGGTACCAGGTGAGGCGACATGCCAGGATTTGCAGGCCATTGTTTTGAGTCGGCAGATGAGTGGTGAAGAATCCGTGTATGAGCATCATGTCCCATTTATATACGTTCCATTCGAATCAACGGCCAAGAGCTCAGTGCATGGCATTCAGTCGCCATAGCTTACACAATCAATCATAGTCCGCCGACATGCCCAGTGAGTATCAGCGGGTCACAAATCGCAATGGCTTCCCTATACCCTGAGTCTTCATTGATCTTTTCACGGCTGAATGTTTACCTGACGTGACGATTGTTGGTCATACGAAGAGTCTGCTTGCCTTTCGTTATGGAGTGATCGTGATAGCGACGCTGCCGACATATCGTATGTGACATGGCATGGGCTGAGATCCATCGGGTGGCTAGGGCTTCGACAACCAGAGGATGAAAGTTTACGCGGTGCTTACATATCGATATCCTTCGTCGACTCAGCGCTAGACTACCAAGCTTGACTGCAGCACGTCAATGATGCTAAGTGCTGCGTAGTGAACGCTGCTGACATTCGCCAAATAAACTAGAACGAAACAGCAAAAGTCGGGAAATTCGCGTCGACTGCAAGCGTTATTACACGATCATGGTGGGGTACAACAGAGTGCAGATGCACGCCTTGCGGTAGCTCGATCTAGGCGTTGCTCATGTAGACTTCACTCGCACAAGAGGAAATATCAGTGCAGCTTAGACCGCACGATGCCTCCCTCTGTCTGTGCATTCGCTCACCGGTCAAAAGCGCCTCCAACAGTCAGTCGGTCGAACCTCTACAAACTGTCCATTCCCCGATCAAGACAAGCACGACACGGATCACCCCAACAATGGCCCAACAACGGCCACCCCAAGGCATAATCCGCACAATCCTCCAAGCCATTCCCATCCTCGCCCTCCCAGGCTGGGAGTCCCGACTCGTCCTCCTCGAATACCCACCCGGCTTCGCAGCACCTTTACACAACCACCCAGTCCCCTGCACAGGTTACATCATCTCCGGCTCCGTAATCTCTCAATGGGAAGGCGGGGAAGAAGAACACTATTCCGCCGGCGACAGCTTCGTGGATAAAGGCGAGACGATGCACCCTCGATCTGAAAATGCCAGCAAGATGGAGTGGTTGCGGATGGTGAATAGTTATGTTATTAAGATTGGGGAGCCGAATGTTGTTATGGCTTGAGGAGGTGGGTGGGGTTGGACTGGATGGGAGCTTGAGTGGTGTGTCGGTGGATGATGGAGGAAAGCGCTGGAGTCGCAACTGGAGCGATTTGCAGTATTTTCCACCTTGTTAGGTCGCTGCTAACGAAGTGACCGACTATATGGCTCGTGGGATGTGGTCCGTAGCTGTAAAGTGTATTACTGTCCACCCGCTCGCATTATGGGGGGGTTGCTTGAGCGCAGACCCAGCTGGATTTCGTCTTCGTGTAGAGTTCTTCACACGTGCACCTGCGTCTGACCGCGCCATCGTATGCATCCAAACAAGTCGACTCGATCTAGAAGAAGTGCTGATTGGTGCAGAGAGGATAGAAGCATCAAAAACCAGTTGGCACAGCTGTCCACATCCATATCCGGCATACGTGGTTGTGAGCAGTGCCCAATACCCAGCGAGATGGACTGATGCGGGCGAGTGCTTCCCAAACATACTGCCGGACCGTAAGGCATGGCGAGTGCATGTTCAGCATGCAGTCATCAGTAGATCATGACTGTATTCCTCACCACCTCCCCCTCCTGCCCCGCCCTCTACCGCCCCCACCACCGCCCATCCCGCCATTCTGCATAATCTCCATCTGCTGCTGACTAAACCCCTCCATATTCATCCCACCACCACCACCACCACCCGGACCTTGCGGCGGCTGAAACCCCTGCTGTCCACCACCTCCAGGCGCCGGGCTCTGACTCTGCCTCCCACCAAACCGACCTTGACCCTGGAACCCACCACCTTGCTGACCTCCCATGCCTTGCTGACCACCCATACTCTGCTGCATACCTTGAGGCGGCCCACCCATCATCCCCATGAACGAATTGAAATCCTGCATATTCCCCGGATTCATGCCCTGCGACATCATCTGCTGCATCATCTGTTCCATCTCCGGCGGCATCCCACCCGGTCCAGGACCACCCATCCCACTACCACCACCGGGCAGACCACCGGGCATCCCACCCGGTCCACCCGGCCCACCACCACCACCACCACCAAACATCGCCTTCATGTGCGCATCAGCATTCTTCTGATCCTGAATCCCTTGCTGCATCGTCTGTTGTTTCAGACAGTACTGGGTCCACGTATACTCGTCGAAGCCATAGTTGAAGAAATCCGTTTGATCAGTCCCGGGTAATCGCCAGGGTTTGCTGTGTTCAGCGAGGTCGGCGTCTATGTCGAGTTGGGTGATGGGTTTATTGTTGCCTGGCCAGGAGGGGAGGGTCTCGAGGTCGAGTTTGGAGGTGTGTGGGGCTGGGTAGTCCTTTCCTTCTCTCCCTGAGGAGCTTGTCAATATTTCACGGGATGATGTCGTGGTTGTGGGTAGTGCTGGGGTGGGTTTTGATCGCTCGGTTTTCACGGCGGGTGTTGATGTGGCCTTGACTTCGGGTGTTGGTCTCTGATCATGTGATGGTGTTGCTTTGACTGTGGGTCGGCTGTGATGATGGTATTAGCAGATTACAGAAGTGTTGGATCGACATCTCACCTGGTCTGCTCCGTCTTGGCGCCTTCCTTCATTTCGAGGTTGAAGTTGACATGCTGTATATCGCATATCAGTCCTGCACTTGCCACTGACTTGTCGTAGTATACACACATCATCATCATCATCATCCTCCTCGTCTTCATCCTCCTCTTCTCCATCCTGCATGTGCTCTTCTTTGATATCGCTGGCATCAGGCTTCAATTCCTGCTGCTCCGCCTCTTCTTTGACGGTAGCGTAGAGATCATCCTCTTCTTCGTCCATGATTTAATTAATAGTTTTTGTTTGGTATGAAGAAGATCGCCTTCTCTCCAGTATATATATGTAATCAAGGTGCGCACCGCGTCAAGCTCTCGGCTGTCTTCGCCGAGGGGAAAGTGGTGGGACAGAAATCCACTCACTCACGCGAAGCTCACACGAGAAAGACAACAATACCCACAACAGCAATAAGACGTCACATCCACAACAACAACAACAGTGATAATAGTAGAATATCGGATCAGTGATAATAGTAGAACATCGGATCAATGGCAATGGGTCGCTCCAACTCGCTCAGTCTGAACACGACTGGAGCTAATCTCTTGTACGCACAACATCCTCATTCACAGCAAATATATAGAACATCCCTTGCTTCGGCAGTCACTTCAAGATATGGAGCCTTCCCAACCCATTCACTGACCATCACAAACAGCGGACAGCAGCCACAGAATAATAATAATCCCCCTTCACAGGCTGGCAGCTTGTTCGGCGGGCCGGCAGCGTCACAGGGTCAGGGTCAAGCTGGTGGCAGCTTGTTTGGAGGCAGTACCGGTGGTGGTGGAGGCCTGTTCGGCAATACTACGAACACGAACGCTTCACAGCCACAGCCACAACAGGCGGGAGGACTGTTCGGGAACTCGACCGCACAACAACAACCTGCAGGAGGGAGTCTTTTTGGCAACACCACCCAACAGCCACAACAGCAACAGCAGAGTGCTGGCCTCTTCTCCAACATGCCTCCCAACCAAACCAGCAACAACACCACAGGCGGCGGCCTCTTTGGCTCCCTCAATCAGCAGCCTACACAACAACCACAGCAAAACACCACCAGCCTCTTCGGCACAAGCGGCACATCTCTCTTCGGCAACGCACCCGCCAACAACCAGCAAGTGACGGGCAACATGTTCCACCCCTCCCAAAACCCAACCAGCCAACGCCCACCCGGCAACTCCCTCTTCGGCATGAGCGCCGTCAACCCCAACCAACTCAACGCCAGTCTCCTCGGCGCCTCCCAATTCCGCGCCTCGCAAAACCCCTCCCAACTCCCGGGTCGCCTAAGCATGGGCCAAGCACCCCCCACCGCCCAGCAACAAGCCGCTACAATCGGCGCGGTCAAAGTCCACATGAACGACCTCAGGGGGATAACCCGCTTCGCCGACTGTGTGGACGAGGTACAGAACCAGTTCGAGACTATGGATACCATGATCAAGAACCAGGAGAAATTCTGCCGTGAGATCCAGGCATTGCTGGGGAAGCATGAGCAGGATGTCGAATCCATTGCTCCTAGTGTAGCTGTGGTGAGGGAGAAAGCGAGGGACGTGGAGATGGCGCTGGAGACGGATGCGCAGATTGTGGACGGGAACAGGAAGATACTTGAGAGTGACCGGAAGGATTTCGGGCGCGCGCAGAGGGTGGCGGAGAACCTACTCCTCCCTCCTTCCTACCAAGTCCCAAATGCGGTCGCTGGGTATGGCACCGGTGCGCGAAGCGGCAATACCGACGACTACGACACCGACCTCATCGGGAACTACTTCCTCCCCCTCACCACTTCCCTGCAAACCCAGCTCGAACAATACACCAACAACCTCACCGAGATCGAAAACCACATGCGCGTCATCGAGTCTTCTGCCGTGCAACAAGCACAACATCTAGCTGCCAAACGAGCCGGGATCGCGGCGGGTGGGAATGGTGGTCGTGGTGGTGGTGGGAGTGGTGAGGAGACGGTCCGGGATCTGGCGGAGACGTTGAGAGGGTTCGAGGCGAGTATACTTGGGGTGGCGGGCGTGGTGGGGGAGTGTAGGGAAGGTGTTGATGGGTTGGTGTTGGGGAGGTTGGGGGAGAGGGGGCAGGTTGGTGGGCGTGGGTGGTGAGAACGTAGTGTGGTATGGCGTGGTGATTTGCTGGATTGCTTCGGCGGGACATGCATGCCGTCGGGGTAGTCTATGACAACGGAATTCTGAACTGCATGACCTCCGTCCACCTTTTCCACCTCTTGGACAGGTCTGGCACTCGTACCTACTCCGACCCCGTACTGTCTTTATTAGCTAAGCAACATCTCCCCAAAACTTACCGGTCCCGCTCCGTCGGGAGCTCGAAGTGAGGCATGGCCATGGGTCTGAGCTTCCACGGACATGTGATATGTTCTGCTGCTTTACAGACCACACATCGGGCTGAGACAGATTGCAGACCTCTGCTGAATGGGTGTGGAGGTCAACCCGGGGTCACAACCGACTAAGGTAGTCTGCCACGCCCTAGTTACCACAATAGGACGTTTCTCATTTGAAAACGAGGAACAAAATCTGCATGGCTTACTCGGAGTGGATCGAAATTTGATAAAGTATGTCGTTCGAGTTGGTCATGGATACACGAATAGAGTATGTTACAGATTCGTCCCCTCGGTTCAGCACGGCCTTCAGAACATACTCTAACATGACCATTACCGGCGAGAACGTCGAACGGAGATCCAGCAACCACTCGCACAATTGATCTGCTCCGGGCATCAATGTCTCAGCGTCTTTCCTGTGTTGACCTCCATCCGTGACACACGGACTTGCTCCCTTGCCGCAAGACTACTGACCTCACTTTCAACGACATATCGGCGACTCGAGGGATTGGCGGCCTAGCAGCAATCTATAAAATCCACAAGGGACGAAGACCGATCGAAACGTGGCGCGCATCGGAGACTCTTCCCGTCCTCCTTAGTCTTCCCTTGCTGATGATTGACTCCCCTATTCCCACCCTACCCTACCAGGATGAGTGTGCGAGCTGTGTCCGTAAGCGGTAGAACTTTCACATCGGTCGCAAGAGCTTTTGATCCAACTTCTTTTACGACTTGCTCTTGCAATCTGTGCAATACCAGTCGCCTACTGGCGCTTCCCCAAGACCAACACAGTCAAAGTGGAACCACTGCTTCCCGCATTCCTCGCCATCGCAGCCGACCATTTGTCCAGAGCTCGAGCCGGCGCAATAGCAGTATCTCGCCTCATCAGCTGTCTGCTTGGTTCGCTGGCGCTTCGTGTCACTTTCAGCCTCGCCACCATCTAAGTCAGTTGCCTTCCTCTTCCGACTGGGACTACCTTCTACTGGCGAACTACCGTAAGAGCTCTCCTCCTTTTCTGGATCCCAAGTGTTGGCAACAGGATCATGCAGCGCGTTCGCGATCTTCAAAACTCCCATATCGTCGCCTTCTTCGGTCCCATTCAATTCAGCATCGACCCAGCCTTCTGTGTATGAACCTCCGAAGTCGATGATCCACAATTTGTCGTTCTCATCAACCATGAAATTGTCTGCTTTCGCATCACCCCACACAATGCCATGCTCATGCAGAAGCCGAATCATCCGTTCGGACTCGTCGGCCCATCTATCTCTCTGCTTCTGCGGTACCTCCGTGTCGAGCTTGTGTGTCAATGGCGTGGGGTGTGAGATATCGGTCTGCAAGAAGCCCATGATCTTCGTCCGATCGTTATCGAGTGTGACGATGCCTTCCAGCCGAGGACACTGGATCTTTTCATGCAGGCCTCTGTCTTGAATCTTCTTCAGGAGCTGAAGTTCCCGCTTCGTTGGCTGTGGCTGCTCTGGATCGACGAGCTTAAGAAAATATGTCTTCTTGCTGTCCATTACGTGAACTCGACTCGGATGGTATGGCGCCGGAGAGGCGTTACCATCCACTACAAGAAGATCCTTAGCCTGGTACCACTGGACGTCCAGCTCGCGGATATATTTTGGAATCGTGATTTCTGGTAACAACTTGCCCATGCGTTCAATCAAGTCTTCGTTCGGCTCAAGCTCGATGGCTTGGAGTTGCTTGTCCTTGGCCTGGAGATTGTAGAAGTATGTTGAAGGGCTGTACCACTGGCCCAGGGTTATTTGATCGTCGACATTTGCTTCCTTGACTTTCTCTGCTATCTCTTCTGCCAATGGCTCAAGCATCCATCGATGCAATGCTTCTTCCGCATCCTCGTCCGTCTTCGACTCTTCCTCCTTCACATCGACTCCACTATCGGTACCGATCGACTCATCTTTATGATCATCAATATTGACCTGCTTGACTGCTTGCAGGAGCTTCGCATACTGCTGTCCCACACTTCCGTGCTTAACCTCACCAGTGTCCGCGATGACGTGGAATCGGACATTGCTGACTAGTGCGGTCAGGGCACAATTACTGTCATCGTCGTAGAAGAAGTTCAAAACTTCGTGGTGAGGTATCTTTGACGACTCATTGGGCGACATGGCGCAAGTATGCAGGTATCAATGGCAGAAAAGTGGCCCACGAAAATCTGAACAGGACTAACAAGAGTAACAGTCCTACCAAAATCGACATATATTCCTATACTTACCTTTATCTCCCACAGCGATCATCATGACGCGCATTCTACGAGCGATAGGACATAGGGAGCGATGTTTGACACGCGATCTATCACATCTCTTGCGCGCGATCGGTAGTGCATGCAGTAGCGTACAATCGAGTGAGATTGGGTGTCGGCAGCATCGTCCCGGTTCCTGCGCTAGCCCACTTCTTCACTTTCCTGACGTCGCCGCAGCCGATCTCATTTCTCTCCAGCCATCGTCCTATCAAAGAACTCCAGCACCTTTGCCAACTGCCTCCCAGTGGCTTCGTGACGTCGTAGATACCTGCTTAGTATGGCAGCGTCTTAAGCATACGCAAAATCTCACGATGGCAGCAGCAGATGGTGAGGTCGACTCTGTCCCAGCTGCAAGTGTTCAAGTGGTATCGAAAGGATATAGTGTCAGCCTGGCTGCGAGTAGCCTAACTGCTGGGCTATGTTCTTATCTTCATGTTCCTGATGAAGGGAACAAACACTGTCATCTCAGCTCGCTGCGGTCCTATTCCATTTCCACCTTACCGATACGGCATATCTAAGTGCTTTCGATTTGGCAATTCGACGCCAAGCCTACGATCAGGTCATGTGAACATTAATCAAAGGTCCATAGGACACGCCACGGTCCTCGAACATCTGTCGACTTGCTCACGGATTTCACGACGGGATTCCATGATAGCGGCAATGTTACCGCGAGTTCGGAACTCCATGGTGAGGTACTGTGTAGAAAATGGCAGACACTACTTCTGATTCAGAGAACTGCCGTTCTTGACTGCATCGTCACGGGTGCTGACATTGAGCATTGAGGCACTTGTTTGCGACATAACTCAGGCAAGCGTCTTGCATTAGATCTGGTAACGGTCGACAGGAAGAACGAGAACATCATACGCTTACGGTTCTTCAGTATTCTTGCCAGGATCCTCATCAGCTCCATCCTCTGATCGCTTCCTCTACGCTCCAAGATCCTGGTCTCCTCACACCACGAACATACCTTACATCTATTCATGGACACCACCTGATGATCCTGCGAAGGCGTGGCATACGACGCGCAGTCTGGCTGCTGGTTCCTTGGTCAGCTCTCGTCATACCTGCCTCTGGACCGTTTGGTGAATCTTTCATGCACCTCCGGCAACATTTCGGGCGGCACTACATGGTCTGTGACTCGCGCGCGATCAATTGTATTGGAGCTCGATGCTCCTGATGGCGAGGTATTGACACTGCCATTGACCTTTTCGGCAGATTCGCGACCCCCTCCATGTGTTAGGCTGAAATAATCACCGTCGACTAAGACCAGGATGAATTGTACTGTCTCGATAAGCAGTGAAAACGATATTCCAGAAGCCCACATCGCTCAAGACATCCTGTCAGGTATTACTAAAGCTCTGCTACCTCATTTTGTCAGCTCTTACTACATTCGGCGCATCTCATGCCTCACGGCCACGTATCATAGCGCAAGCTGGAAACTTTTACACCTTCAGTTTGCGGTGCGCCAGCTATGGACGAGCCGAGCTCGAGTTTGGCGTTGACCTAGGCAGCAAGTGCAATCGTCCATCCTGCAGCCCGTGAACAGTGGAGAGTTGGGCTGAGCGGCATGCCTGACAAGAGACCAACGGGTGCTCGACAATGGTCGTCGACATGCATTAGTATGGAGTTTACCGAAATGGAATGTGTCTATGAAAGCAAGCTGAGCGTATGGATCGTGAACATCTACACAAAGCAAGATGAGAACGAGAAAGATTGTCTCGAATTCAATCATTCTAGGATGGTCACGGCTGTCGAAGACAGCAGGCATGCGGGATCATGCTCAAGCTTTGCCACATCAAAGAGTACGTGGTCCAAGAATTGCAATATGAACATAGTAGATCAATTGGGGTGTAAGAGTGGTCATTCTTGTAGCTGCTTACTTCGCATTATGCTCACACTTGTAGCTGGTCCTGATCACTCACCTTCAATTCGTCCCGAGGCATGATGAGAATAGTATTCAGCCTGAAACCTTGTGGCGCCATATCTAGGACATCGTGGTAAACAGATCGCGCTTCACGATCTAGATAGTAATCATAGTCCAGTCCCCTCCCGTTGCGCATGTAGAATCGCCGTCGCCGCACACCCGCAAACGGTCGCTGCGTGTGCAACCCACATCACATCCCGAAGGAGCAGTTCCTCGGTCTTGGCAGGGATCGCCCTTCCCGCCCGCACAACAACGCCACCGAGTAGGTACACGGTAATCATCATCACAACCACGAATCCAAGCCACCAACTAACTTATTCAGCCTACGGCGAAGTGTAGGTCAATCTTGCTTGCACTGCGACCAATCTGCCATCGCCATGACGATCGATCTTGTTTATCTAATTAACGACTCTCGTAGATCGTCGCGACGGCAGGATCATCTAGCTCGCGCACACACGGCCAGGAGGAATCGGCGCCAGCAAAATGCGCACAGAATATCACCTCCAGCCTCGGGAGAACCATCGGATGGCCACGTAGGATATTCCTTGGCCAGCTGCCAGTCGACAATACTTGTGGCAACATCATCAGATCAGGAACGTCAGCATGTCCCACCTGCAGCAAGTCCACGAACGGTCTCGCCCGTGTTCGGCGCTCTATCTGTGGGCACCTTCGACGTTGCCCTCGCACATGGCAAGGGCGAGACTATCGCGTACTGTATGCTCGCCTGTATTTTGACGGTCCTTAGTGACAAGTAGCGCTAACGGGCTTACAGACTGCCAGTCTGTCGTCATCAACTACATGTCCATAGCTGATACAAAGTGGTTCTTTGAGGCATACTGTCGATGTCCCGTCGCATTCCACGCCATACACTACTCCGTAGCCAACCATCGCGATAGAGTCGTAGGACGATTGCTGGAAACGAAATCCGCCAAGACTATACGACACAAGGTCAACGCACTACGTCTACTCAGTCTCGCTATCTCAGAATATCAAACGGATTCCACAGACATAGGCTGGCTGCTGCTCGCCCTGACCGCTCTGATGAGGAACGAACCTACCCAGGATGATCTGCAGCCTGACAAGCTGCTCGCGTTCAAACCGTGGACACGGGACCTCAATAACGCCGCCGTCTTCGGAAGAGGAAAGTTTGGCCAGACTTTAGCACTTCATACCAAGGCTTTTGAGCAGATTCTCCCAGCTCGGGGCGATATGCTCACCAAGCTCCCTCGTGGACTGGCGAAGTCGATTGCCGGGTTGGTATCATACGAATCCGCAGCATATCACGTGGTTAGGCTGACGAGCGCTGCATTGCAATAGACACAGCTTGACTGTCGCCTCCAGACGTCTAGTCGAGCCCCACTACCCGAACATCTGGTCAAGTGACGACCTCCGTAGTTGCGTCTTGCTTATCTATGGTGTTCACACTGGACAGGGATTTCTTGACCATGTGCCCGGAGGTCTACCACTTGAAGCGACCGCTACCTTGTCATATCTCTGTGCAGTCAATCGAGCTGTAGCCGGTGGTACTCCGTCTATCGCCGACCACACGTGGCTGGACGATGCTGTGCGTGATGCGCAGCATCGAATCATGTCGTTGTCACCTTGGAAAAATTTACCGAGGACGGGTCGTGCAGAACACTGTGAAGCTTACTACGAAATCTGTCGACTGACTACGATACTTTATGCGCATGCTGTACTCTATGCTTTGCCTTCCGGCAATGGATGGCACTTGGAGCTTTTGAAACGACTACGTGCCATACTTAATCGGGACAACATTGACCTCGCGCACCCAGATGCCGGCAGACTGATGGTATGGTGTTTATGTATTGCTTCCATTGCAGCACTCGACACTGACGAATGGCTGTTTTTTGCAAATCTTTGGCGAAGGGTGATTTTTGCACATCATATGAACTCGTGGGAAGTTGTGGAAAATATCGTCAAACAGTTCCTGTGGTCAGATAGTGCCTGCGGTCCAGGCGCTTCTACAGCCTGGCAGCATTTACGGATCGATGAATCAGATACCTGATGTGAATCACAATGGAGGAGTGGCCCTAGTCCCCTTCCAGCAAAACGCACCATACATCGCGAGCTGGCATGCCTGGGCCTCTTGTCCATCTAGTACCCGGTAGTAAGATCTACGTTTGGATTGGCTCTGTGATCGTCACGGAAAGGGACCGTATTGGGCTGTCCTGTAGGCCCGCAGTGACGTGGCCAATATAGAAGCATTCATGCATACTTGATCGAGTCCATCACGATTTCCCAAACAGGCAACTACTCGGCAGAACCTCGGGAAGTCTTGGGGAAAATGAAGTCTGGTATGCTTGCACATCCGGATCTCCGTTTGCGACAGTAATGTAAATGCTCAAACCATGCGGTGTCTTCTGCGATCTTTCAGGCCGTTCTTTTTATGCAAACTCGCCTTGCGAACCTTGTCAAGCTCTCCTGACCAGTCAACAGTATGGCCTTTTCCACGGATTTTATGTTCCAACCAGGGCTGGACGTGACGAACTCTAGCAGCAAGCGAGCACTTGTACGGCGAAAGATTGTCCGCAGACGGACTGTGCCGGGGACCGTTCGCACTTACAGTGTGTCATCGTCACCTAAGGCCCGAAACTGTGAAGATTCACTACCATGCCCAAGTTCGCGCAGCGTCAATGATGTCCGCACGACTGACCCGATGACGTGGATACGAGACGAAGAGCAGCAGTCAACCAGAAGCGCCGGGGACCTGATCTTCCCTGCCCCGCCCGGACACCACGTCGACACCTACGGACTGACCATCAACGGTCTCGGCTACCATTGTAAGTGGCTGGCGGAGATTATGGGCAAACCTAGCTGCTCAAATCTGACATGGAGTAGTTGTATCGTTGGGCGAACGTCTTTGCCATAGCAATAACCCCCACCTGACCTTCGTCCAGCAGTTCTCCTCCAATTCAGCTTTCGTAGCTAGCATGCAGGCATATGCGGCGCGAGACCTTGAACACCGGAATCAATGCTCTACCTCGGATGCTCTGGCTAGGCGAATCGACGCTATCATGCTTATAAATGCAAAGCTATGCAACCCAGAAAGTTTCGAGCAGGATGCAATTGCTGCCGCTATTCTTGTTGCCATAGCAATGGACATGTCACCGACATGTTCGTCTGGACTCGGTGTAGAAATCAGTCAAGAAGCGGCCATCCACCTTGGGGGCTTCGCAAGTCTCCTGGCCGCACGTCGGCACCCCCTCCCAACCTGCATTCGCTTCTATCAGTATTGGTACGTGATCTACAATATTAGCAATACACTATTGGAGCTGACGAGCTATAGGGTCGATATACAAACCGCAGGCTCGCTATCAGCTGTAATATACGATCATCGCGGTCATCGGACGCTCACATTTCGTTGTCTTGCTACCCAGGAGCTTGTGAAGGTGTACGGCGAAGCATACGCTCACTCAGTACGACTTACAGCCGGTGATGAGGTGCCAAAAACGTCGTGGCCAGCCCGGTCCTCGATTTGTCGACTATGCCACCAGGAAAGCGAGCACTTCATGCTCGTTGCTATTCTGTTACACTGCAACATATCCGCCAAGTCCGGAAAACTATACGAAAAGAGAGCATTGCCTCCGGTATATGTAGATCTTTCGCTGTCTGGAACTTCCGCTGGCATACCGGAAACGCTCGAAGCGATCACATATGCTCTGCTTATCACGGCGAAGGCAGAGGAAATCGGCCAAGCAGAAGGCGACGACAAAGCTCAAGTGCTGCTAAGGTGTTTGTACGCCTACCAAAGACTTGAATGCGTCGTAAAACATCGGCTGAGCTCGATGTTCCTCATTATGCTTAGCGGGACCTCAGATTTGAAAAATTCACTGTGGACACCAGAGGCTTTCGGACGGCTGGTGGGAGTTGAGCGGTAACTTTCACCAGAGCCGTACAGACTCATATCGCGAAAGATGGGGTGCATTGTTCGAGAAGGACGGAAACACGGAGGACTCGCGGCGAAGACACCATCTGGTTCTAGGGAGGATCACTGTAGTACGCCAGAGCTCCAGAGGTAGCCAACAAAAGGCAGTCCACAGGATCTGAACCTGCTTTTCCTGCGACTCGGCACGCATATCTACTATCACCATACAGCCTGAGCTTGTGCTGCGATGGTAGCCCGAGCTTTGTCAAGCCCTGACATCTTTCTCATCAAGAGATACTACGAATGGTCAGCGAGAATCATACGTCTTTCTATTCAACATGTGCACGATACTCACGAACCCACTCCCCGGAGCAAAAGTGGAAAGGAGCCATGTTACAGTCGAGTTTGTGCCGATCCACAGACGAGCACTGCGTTTCGATTGGACTAGCTTGTTAACAAGAGTAGCAGCATAACCGGCTGGTTGGACAGCATTCTCTACCTCAAGTCAGCCAGACATCGCGTAAGCTATCACCCATGACTTCAACGGACCAGCATATCCACGGGCCCGCTGGACTAGCATAGGTTCTAACGACTTGTATATCGAGCCCTCGTTCAGCCGTGGCGCTCGAACTAGATTATTCGATACCTGACCGCTCATGATCGTCAAGACACGGATGTCCAGGGGCTCGAGCTCAAGCCTGAGAGTCTCAGAGTACTGTGCCAGCGCCGCCTTAGACGCGTTGTATGCAGATGTCATCGGATATGGCATGATTGCGAGAATACCTGTTACCGTTGGTTCGCTTTTCAGAGATGGACGCGGAATGTGTGCTTACTGCTGATGTTGACAATCGAGCCTTTGGCCTTGAACAGCAAAGGAGTGCACTGTCGCACCATCTCCATGGGTCCAAAGACGTTCACTTCAAACATTGCTTTGATCATGCTCATCTCGATATCCAGCGCAGGTGTCTCGAGCCCTGGCTCGAAGATCAGATCCTACCCGGCCGCAGAAAGTTACGCTCTTAGCAATGGAATTGGTATCACTCACAGAGACCACTGTGCGATAGTCAGCATGAGTTTCACAAGCGGTCTGATGATATAATCCTTACGCATTGTTGACCAAGATATCAAGCTTCCCAAGACACGCGCGTTCCAGGAACTGGATTACTTTCGTGATTGAATCTGCATTGGCGACATCAAGCTGGAGGCATTCGATGCCGCTGCTCTCCAAGACCTTCATCTTGGACATCGATCGAGCAGTCGCGATGACTCGATACTCTGATCTGAATTTAGCAGTGGTCTAACATGGTGCTATGTCCCTGCTATGTACCTTGAGCATGGAATTCGAGCGCCATTGCATGACCAATACCACCTTCAGAACAGCTATTTGTATGTTAGTGAAAGCCTGCTGCTGGCTTCCTATCGTGTCCAGAGACGCGCACCCAGTAATGAGGACCACCTTTCGCTTATCCATTGTTCACTCAAGAAATGTATAGATGCAACAATGGCTGAAACGCACAGCGATCAAGACGGATAACGGGGCAGGTATCGAGATCATCACTGCCTTTTCGTGCTCATGATCTCGCCATCACTACGCGGTCTTTTAGTCATTGATGACTACTTGACTGATGTGCTGATGCATTCACGGCGTAGAGACAGGTTAGTCGAGCTGCGAAAAGCGAAGGTAGATCAGTAATCATCGAGGAGCCCAAGAGAGCTGCAGGATTGGTGACTGATCGGCACGCCGACTATGGTCATACGATATGTAATCCTGCTACTTCCTTCCCGGTCGTTTTGACCTGCTTTACTGTATGCTGACACGATGATAGTAGCACCAACGCATGAAGAGTCAGCACTTAGGTCATATCGTCAACGTACAGCGTTACATTGTCGACCTCGGAAGTATATATGAGGATGCGTCAATGCAAAGCACTTTTATAACGCTTGTATCCAGAGACTGCCTCTGAACAGAGCCACAGCAGCATCCGGGTGTTCACCATGAAGTCTATCCTCGTGGTTGGCGGCACTGGCGCCCAAGGTGGAGCAGTAGTCCGCTATCTCTGCTCGACGGGCCGGTACCGGATTTTGCTTTTCACTCGGGATGTGGAATCGAAACACAGCACAGATCTGATCAAGCTAGGCAATGTGGAGGGCGTCAAGAATGGGGCAGATCATGGCTACGACATTGGGGCTTACGAGCAAGCCTTGCAGCAAGTGGATGGTGTCTTCATCAACACCGATGGATTCGCCCTTGGTGAGCAAGCGGAGACCTATTGGGGCATCCGGCTGTTTGAGGCCGCTGTCAAAGCTGGCGTTCCGCACGTTGTCTACAGTGGACTCGAAAACAGCTGGCGGGAATCCGGCTATGATCCAGCACTATACGTTGGCCATTATCAGGGTAAAGCTAGGGTACAGGGTCGGTGACTCGGATCCTAACTATCACGAGCGCTTGCTTGCTGATCCATCACTAGACTTCATCAAAGCACAACCACCCTCGAAGACCAAATGGTCTGTTGTGCGCTCCGGTCCTTACATTGAAATGCTTGGCGAAGCACTGGTCCCAAGTGTTGATATCAACGGCACGTACTCATTCAACCTCCCGCTTGACGATGGTGCTATCCCCTTCATCTACTTGGAGGACTTCGGCCGCTACATTGATTGGATTTTCAGCCACCCTGAAGAAGCTGCCAATCTCGATCTGGCAGTATCAACCACCCACGCGACAGGTGAAGATATTGCGCTGGCCTTCACTGCTGTGACTGGTAAGAAGGCTATATACAGCAACATCCCAGCATCGATATGGTCGTCCATCGCATTCGAGTCGCTACCAGATGGGCAAGATACCAAGTTGGGCTATAATACCCTGAACCCAAGCGGGCTAAATCAGACGTACGCTGAGAATTTTGGCAATTGGTGGAACCTCTACAAAGCCAGTGCTGACAACACCGGGCTTATCAAGAAAGATTATGCTTTGCTGGACCAGCTATTACCTGGTCGGGTGAAGTCTGTAAAAGAGTGGATGGTCAGGGCGAACTATACCGGCGAGCGGGTCCGTCTTCTCAAGATGGCGGTAACGAATTCGACGTAATCTCTGAACGTCCTTAGGGAGAGGTCTCCATATGCCTCATTAGTGCTGACTTCTAAGTACCCTGTCTATGTAAGGATCTGCTGCGGGTAGATACCGTGCTATTGCTTACTCACAATCCAATGCTGAACACATCAGCTGTGTCCTTTCGGTCGGTCCGGTCGCCTCCACAGACAATCCGCAGTGCAGCAATGATATCTTTCGCACGTGTGAGGTGCTCTGCTAATCTGGCCCGCTGTGCCTTCAGGGCTTCAATCTCCTTCTCAAAAGCAGCTTTCTCGTCTTTCATCCCACTCAACTTATCTTCCAGTTCCTGAACGCGTTCATTTTTGCGAAGTCGAAATGCTCGTTGGCTGCGTCTTGTAAGCGTCACACTTTATACCGAGTGGGAAGCCATACGAAGCTCGGTTCTGAGCCCTACGCCTTTCCTTTGTATCCAGCAGGTCACACTGTAAAAGCGCCGATGTTTGCTCTAACGACTCCGAAGTGGTTGCTGTAGTTTCGGAGCCTGCCGTTGCCACCAAGTCGTCTGGATTGATGTTTCCCAGGTAGGCTATGCCATCATCGCTGCCTCCCACCAATGCCGCCACCAGCGCATCCAGCGAATCGGGGTCATGGAGTACTGGTTCGGTCTGGACGACGTCAGAGAGCGTCTGGAGGACGATGGCCTGATTTGTGGCTCTCTTACCTCGCCATCCAAGAAGGGTCCTGAGGTCTCCGTATATAACGGCCATTCATCACTGGACATGATAGCAGAGACGATGTTGAGGTCCATTTCATGATTCGCTGATCGGATTGCGAAGACCTGGTTCTTAGCACGAACAGTCATGAATCACTGTTGAAGATCGAGTCTTGCCTCTCTAGCCGCATCGCGTTGTCTTGTACAAAACAGTATCCATACATCTCGATGCAACGGCAGCCATGCGCGTGCAGCGGTCTTGTCTCAAAGTGGAAGCTTGTTGCCCAGGACTGGTAAGGCTGATTGATAAGTGTGGGGACGCTCGTTTAGTAATACTGCAGCGAGGCGACGGCCGCCAAATTGTGTCTGCACAAAAGTGCTACCAAAGTCGAAGCCGGCGAGGTCGAACAGGGGGAGGCCCAAAGGCCAGCAGAATATGAACTATGCATCAGGGCTTATGCTAAGGAATAGAGAGGTGTTGCGCACTATACTCCGATCACATCCCTCAACGCCATATCACTCCACTCAGTGGCTTCGCTCTTGTCTAAGTACAAAGAGTCCTACCGTGCTCGAGCGCATGAGCGTCAAGCTTGCTCGTAATGCCATCATCTGCACGATTCGTTTCTCGGGATGCACATCGTGGTCGGGGCAGATATCTTCGTCCATCAATCCTTTCATAATTCTCGCGTTATGACCAGAAACTTAGCCGCCCCTAAGTGCTCGTTTGGAAAGCACTCCATTGTCACTCAACTCATGGTGTCCCCAACATAATTTGCTCCGTCCCGCATACCACACTATTCGGGTAGAGGTCGAGTGCCTAAAAGCCCACCATGACCCTTCCCAGAAGCTTCATTATCAACTGCGAGTTCCAAACGCACAACACTTTATCGGCAATGTCGCACGTAGTTGTCAACGACTCCACGGCAGTCCGTCGTAGCTCTTGGACCAGAAAATACAAACTTCACCTTTGTTTTCGGGTCCCGAGGGGAATTCCTCAGCAACTAGTGTTGCGAGAGTGATGATAGTTCGAGGTCGGAGCTGCTCCCAGTCGCCACAGTCCTCATGCTACGGAGGGTTTGAATAGTGGTGGGAAGCGTGCCATTATACTAGGCACACATATTTCTGCACACCAGGGTTGGCGCTGTCTTGGTCGCGAACCCTGGCGAGTCGAAATCGAACGGCATGAGGGAGGCCCGCATGTTGGTGTGGCGAGGTTCTGGCGCAGAGACAAGAGTGAAGGTACCGAAGCGGTGTTGCATAAGCTTCAGCAACGGGCTTCACGGCAGAAAATAGTGAGGATTTCCCAAATGTACGGCTGTACATGGAAGTATCAAGCTCGAGACGGTCGGGAGGTCGCAAACGGCCTCGGCTCCGTGGTCGGGAAGATGATTACGTATTGTATTCACCAACACCAGGTGTTGAACAATGGCATCTTCCGTCACAGCTGGCCTCCCGTATCTGCCAGGTTTGGACAGAATTCGCTACATCAGTCACAATCCAGAGCGGCCTGACTGGACCTTGTCTCATGAACCCGGCACTGCTTCGCTCTGAACAGTGACCGTCGTCCTCCGTTGGATCCCATTATGCATCTGCAACAACTCCACGTCGTCGTCCTCGGCCTCATGCACAACCTGGCTCCGTCGGTCTCGATCAGCAGTACATATCGCGTCCGCTCCAAGACCGGCTGTATCACCTCTGAGCGCGAAATTGATGCTCTGATGTCCAGGTCTCTTGTCCCCCTGGATCACATCGCGCTCATCTTGCGATCTCATCGCTGTGACTCTTGTCTTGGCAGAGCCCTTGGTATTGCGTATCTGGCTGTCGGTGATGTTACTGAGCTGGGCGTATGGGTCGCGAGAGGGATTGGAGCTGTATGGGCCAACTACGCCTGTGCTTAGACCATATTCGTCGTGGAAGGCTTGAAGGAAGGGTTTGAGGCAGAGCGCGCATTCGGCCATGAGTGCGAAATTCATGATGCCTTGGGTGAAGATATCTGCTAGGTAGAGATTGGGGTCTTTGGTGGCTGTTTGAAGGAAGTAGAGGCGGCCGGCGACGATGGGCAGGAGGCTACTTGGTGGTCAGCACGTGTGCATGAGCTGGAATTGGCAAGTTGATTGTGCTTACAGAAGACGACCACCGAAGACGGCTACGACTTTCAATCGTCTGCCCAGCGGCATGCTTAGGCCCCAGACTAATGTAATCGAGTAAGCCCACAACACAATCTCCAGAAAGGCTCCTGAGATTTCTACACCAAGCCATCGCTGGTATTGTGTGGCAACCGCTTGGATATCATCCGTCATATACTCAAAGGCGTCTCCGAGGCTGGCGAGGGCTAGGACAGATGCAAGTGTCCAGACGGCCATGACTGCTGTGATGAGGTAGGAGACTCGTTTCTGGCGTTTGTCCCGAGTCAGACTGCCGATAAAAGCGGCTGTCGAACATTTCGATAGGCCGGTGGATGCCACATACAGGAGTTGCGAGGAGAAGTGAAGCTAGAGTCGCACTCTTAGCCACACATCCTGGAGCAGAGATGGCACTGTATTACCTTCAGAACACTGCCACTGTAGTCCGAAACATCCGAGGCAGCCTTTTTACCGTAGCCTTTCGATATGGCCAGGTATAGCAAGACGTCTTCAGCCATTGCAAAGATCTGTGCGACCTCAATCAGCCATCATTGTCACAGCTGCTTACTTCCATGCAGATTGATGTGCAAGGACTACTTACAAATGCCGCCGCGAAAATGCCATCATGCATCGCGGACCCCATGTTTCTGCTCCATCGTGCCCACACCCTCACCAGAGACATGAGGACAGCCCATAGCATGAAGATCGTGGCTGCTGTCACTATCCATCGCGAGTACTCGGGGATGGTTGTGGTAGCCATATCGTTGATGAGCAGTCCGCGCGATATTCCCAAGTCAGCGACTCCGTAAAGAGCCCTCAACGGGTGGAGTCCCCGTCATCTTGTAGACAAGCTCACGGGCGTGGGCAAAGTCGAGTATCCCACCCACCCATGCAGGTCCTGAAGAATGTTTATCTTGCTTTGCGCCATCGGTTGACGTGAGACATGATGATTGGTGATGTGGCGTTGCCCAGATTCGGATGCGAGAATGAGCAAGGCTTCGTTTATTGGCCTTCCTTATTACATATGCAGTACGGAGATTCGGGCGTCACTCTATCTGCTGTAGCTTCCAGTCTACAGAGCTGCAGAGAAGGTTTGCGCCTATTTATTCGGCCAACGTATTCGTTGAAACTGTTGCAGTTCTGCAGAGGCAGATTCGGGTACGTGCCCGGATGAGCGGCATAGTCCCAGAAGCAAGATCAACGGCCAGAGTACAGCGTTGCTGTGAGCTTGCGCCAAACCCCATAATATCAAATTGTCGCACGCGCGAACGGCGTGCTCGTCTGGTTTTCGTCTAGCCTAGAACCAAAAACCCGGCCGCGCAATTCATGTATGGAACGTCGTACCGCCGTACAGCTACTCCTAGCCGACCTTCAGGAGGTAGGGCAAAGCATGGAAGCTTCACCACCGCTGATTGGAGCACAGTATGACTGCAGCAGCTCCTGCTCGTTTATCTGTTTTTCTGTAGACGACGCCTTGCTCTTATAGCGTCGTCGCCGAGCCACTTTGCTTGGTTCCGGCAGTGCACTAGTTCCAGAACTAGCGCAACAGCCGACGGGGATACTATCCCGTGTGCGGGCTAACTTCAAGCCACTTTCGACCCTATGCACGCCTCCAACTTCGCTTTGATGCGGGCGTCCGGACGAGCTAAAATTAATCAATCGTCGCTATTCGACAACGAGCGAGCATGTGTTTGACCCGCCGAATCAGATCTGGCGCGGGAGAGCTATGCCGTTCCATGCAGAACCGCGGCGCATAGTGAGGTTAAGGTACCTGAACAGTTTCCCGTGTTACCACTTCCAACTTCCCTTCGTCGTAGCCTTTGCGCAGCAGTCGTACTCTCGTCGTTTAGAATATGCCTGGCCATATCGCGGGCTCGTCGTCGAGTAGCTCGGAGCAGCAACAACCAATGGAGCTAGTCGATCGCAAAGGTCCCGCGACGGAGGTTGGTGCAATGGGACTCGAGAATGGGGACCTGGACCACCATGAGTTCGCTGGCACAGAGGCGACTGCTGAGGACAAGGTGGATATGCATCGCCTGGGCAAGAAGCAGCAGCTTATAGTATGTCCAAACGGGAATGTCGTCGATGACAATGTCTGACTGTCTGCAGAGGCACTTCCGCCTGCTCTCCACTGTCTCCTTCGTCGCAATGGCCACCGCTGCATGGGAGATCGGCCTCTTGTAAGCATGGACAGATAACCAATCACCAATTCTACTAATATGTCCTAGCCTAACCACACAAGGTCTCACAGATGGGGGCACCGGCGGATTAATCTGGTCGGTGGTGTGGAATTTCGTCGGCTTCTGCCCTATCTACCTCAGCATGGCCGAAATGGCCTCAATGGCTCCTACAGCCGGCGGACAATACCACTGGGTCTCTGAATTCGCTCACCCAAACCATCAGAAGTGGCTCAGCTACTTGACGGGATGGACCTCAACTATGGCTTGGCAGGCCGGAAATGCGATTGGTGTATTCTTGACCGGCACTCTGATCCAGGTCATCATATTGGAGAACAACCCGGATTACCTCTTCCCGACTTGGCAGGGTAGTCTCCTTGTCATGGCCATTATCGTCCTTGTCGGAGTAATCAACATCTTTGGCGCCAAGATCATCCCGAAGTTGCAGAACGCCATCTTTGCTCTGCATATCATGGCCTACATCTGCTTCATTGTACCGATCTGGGTCAATGCGCCAAAGGCTAGCGCCTCGGCTGTGTTTGGTGGATTCTCCAACTCTGGCGGATGGTCAAGCATGGGTTTGGCAGTTCTGGCTGGTCAGCTATCTGGTATATATACTCAAGTTGGTGTGGACACCGCAGCACATATTGCCGAAGAGGTGAAAAGTGAGCAAAGCAACCTGACACTTTATTCGCTGATAAAGTACTGAAATGTGCCTAGACGCCTCCAAGGCCGTACCTCGTGCCATGATGAGCGTCTGTAAGTACAGCACAAGACTCGCACTAGATGGCGTTTTGCTCACATCACCACACAGACGTCATCAACTTCGTCCTCATCTTCTTCGCCATCATCACAACCTGCTTCGCTATGCCGGACCTGACCGCCGCCCTCAGTGACCCGAGTCTCTACGCCACCGTCTACGTCCTGAAGCAGTCCATGTCTACCGCATGGCTCACGGTCGTCCTCGTCATGATCATCTTCTTGCTCATTTGCTCAAATGTGGCATACCTGACGGCTGTAACTCGCGATTTATTCGCTTTCAGCCGTGACAATGGTCTGCCGTTCTCAGGATGGGTGTCGAAGGTATGTCACCGCCGTGGAGTTTTCCTGCAATGAAGATTTGCTGATGTATGGATAAGATCCATCCCAAGTACCATGTGCCGGTCAATGCGGTCTTGCTTACGAGTTTGATCTCGTTCATTCTCAGCTTGATCTATATCGGCTCCAGCGTTGCCTTCTATGCCATTACGTCGCTCTTGACTGTTGCTCTGCTCCAGGTATGGGTCGACGTCTAGAATTTCGCTGTCCACAACAACTGACTTTTTAATAGTGCTATCTCTTCTCCATCGGCTCAATACTCTGGCGCAGGATCTACCGACCCGAGTCGCTTCCTCCGTCACATTTCTCGCTTGGCCGATGGGGTGTGCCGATCAACATCGCTGGTAAGCCAAAATATACTCACAACGTGAACGCTCTGCATAACGGCCACTAACCATACGCAGGTGTTATCTACGCCGCTTGGGCATTCTTCTGGGTTAGTAATACCTGGTCCTTCCCGCTACTGTAGGCTGACAACTTATCTTTCAGTCTTTTTGGCCCATCGCCACACCTGTTACAGCGGCAGGCTTCAACTGGGCTTCAGTCATCTTCATCGGCGTGCTTATGATCGCGCTGATTCACTATCTTGTCAAGGCCAGACATGTCTATACAGGCCCAGTTGTGCTGATTCGACAGCATTGATGCGACGCCTGGCTGCGAGCCTTGTATACAGATTGGTGTCCGTGTAGCTAAACAGGTAGACTGTACAAACATGACACGATGTTCCATGATGGCTCTCCAGCCTCATCGTCCTATCACGACTAGCTGAGAAACGTTCTGGCTTCGCATTCGGATGCTACGCCATCCATTCGTGTCTAGCCCCAAGTCATTCGGATTCGGAAGCCTGTTCCTCATCCATGCGGCAGTCATGGGATGCTGGACGTCTTAATGCTGACCCATCACGACATGCAATACAAGTACATGTGAGAGACTGAATCTGCACAAGGACTTCCACCTTAACTCTACCACGGCATAACGCCATCGGAACTGAATATGAATCGACTGCGCGACAACAACCTTCAGCACACCTCTTGGCGGCTGGCTAGCGCTTATAATGGATAGCTTTCCGAATGCCCTCGTGCCGATCTTATGCTTCACTGCCGCGAACTGTATTGTCTTGTGGACACTCGTTCGGCCTCGCAGCAACTCCAAAGTCCTCCTTTACGCCTATTTCACAGTGGCTGTGTTGAGCACCGTCAGGAATATCAACGAGCTCTACTTCATTTCGGCATTCGACCGGTCTTCGATATTTATGATGCTCCTCCAATTGATACTACATATGGCGAACATATTGTTCCTCCAGGAGATGCAGGTCGCGCAGCAAGAAATCTCTTACGGTAAATGCTGCAGCCATAGCACCTCGCAGCGGTACTACATTGCGTACAAGAAGCTCTACAATCGCAGATGGGTTGCCACGGATGATCCGGCACCTGCTGTCGGGTATACCTCTAAAAGTACTGGAATAAGAACAAGGACGGAGACGACGGTGAGTCCTCGAGACAAGCGGCAGACTGCGACGACTCGTGGTAATGTGAAGCGAGAGTTTTTTACGGAATCTCTAGCCAACGTTTTTCTTTTCGAGGGTGCCCCTAAAGCATACAGACAACTGGCGTATCTGCCGGAGCACTTTAGTGAGCATCGACACCGTCATGAGACTCGATTTCTTGGGAGCTGTGCATGGTATGCTTCAGCTCCGCCTCTGGACTGTGGCACACTAACCTGATCACTAATTACTGCGCGCTCAGCCTCTATCATGAGGCTTTGGCGTTCATTGCCGTTGGCTTAGGATTCGACGAGCCTTGCGAATGGCCTCCGTTCTTCGGCGACTTCACTGCAGCTTTCTCAGTGAGACGGTTCTGGTCGCGCTTTTGGCATCAAATTGTTTATCGAACGTTCAGGAATCATGCTAACGTCTTCGTGCGGCATGTGTTGCGGCTACACCCACATGAGGCGGTAGCAAATACCACGGAGGGCGTGATTGTCTTCCTGATCTCGGGCATTCTACACGCGGCCGTAAATTACCAGGTGGGCCATCGAGGAGTGGCAATTGCCGAAATTGTATGGCTCATGTCGCAGCAGGTGACAATGTTGGTAGAGAACTTGGTACTGACGTTGACGAGTGCCATCATCCCAGGAGTCAAGCCTGAACCATCCTGCACGCAATGGATAAAATACATGGGTCCTCGGCTTTTTCATGTTCGCCCTGCCGCTGAGATTCTGCGCACTTGGGAAACACAACTGTAAGAGCCTGTTAAGAAAAAGCTCAGCTTGTGGTAGAGCTCTGCAAGGAGAAGCGCCAAAGACTTTCGCCCAAGTAATTGCGTTGAATACACGATATCACCACCTTCTCGGCATGCACATGGTGACAGACGCTGTCACATCACTTGCCAAAGGGTCCTGTCAGCTTCTCAAGACGGGGAGAGTCTGCTATTGAGCATCAAAAATGGTGACTTTGGGTGACTTGTATGCGACGGCCGCTGCCCATCATTCATCACTTCGAGTTATGCGGGTGAGAATCGGACCCTCAGTGCCGGTCATCTCGGTGGTTCGTCCACCTTCAATTTGCGAGTACAGCGAGATGTCTCAGAGCTTACTTGCAGGGCTATGTGCCGTCCTTAGGCTGTCGCAATCCTCTCCGTTGACCTCGACTAGAATCTTGTTGTGCATGGCCTTGTTGCGGACCAGCTCTTCGAATGCACCATCGACAGCCTGTTCCAGCGGCACAATAGCAGTGATGAACTTCTCAACCTCGGGTCCTTTTGACCTTAGCACCTCAATCACTCGATTGTAGTCTTCTGCTGTGTAAGCGTTCCCTGCGAGCAGGCGTTTCTCCGATAGCGTCAAGAGGTTGAGGTTGAGCGAGAGCGGCTTCTCATGAATCGCAACATTGAATATCGTTCCGCCAGGCTTCGTACAGGCGAACGCCGCATCCAGTGTTGTTTGCAGTCCACATGCATCGAACGCTATGTCGGCTCCAGCAGGCCCTATGAGCTCCGATACAGCTGGTTGAGCAGCGGTAGTGACTGGATCGATGACTTTGTCGGCACCACACTCCATAGCTTGTGCAGATCGGGACGGTGCAATCTCACTGACCAGAATCTTGCCGGCACCATACTGGCGCAGAAGGAACACAAGAGCGGAGCCGATAGGTCCAGCACCGAATATCACAACATCTTGACCAGGAGTGAAGCCTGATATGCGTATCATGTGAGCAGCAACTGCTAAAGGTTCGACCAATGCAGCCAGCTTAAGTGACACCGATGATGGCAGTGGGAAGCATGCAATGGCGTCTACGCAGATCTCGTCCGCAAAGCCGCCCTGTGGTGCTTGCAGGCCATAGAAGGTAGAACGAAGACAGATATTGTGGCGACCTCGAACGCAGATCTCGCACGGCGACTGTGAGTGGTGACGGTCATCCATAGCTGGATTGACGACGACACGCTGACCGAGAGGGACGCTCTTGACATCCTTGCCAACTTCGACAACAACGCCACTGAACTCATGACCAAGAATCAATGGTAGTTTCGCTCCGGTGTTCGGATTCTGCTCGCCATCCGCAGGTATGAGGATCGGTCCATCAAGGTACTCATGTATATCTGTACCACAGACGCCGCAGTAAGCGACCTTGAGGCGGACTTCATGTGGTGCGCATTTACTGAATCTCTATGTCAGTATATTCAACGGGGAGAAATCAGTGTCTGAAGCTCACGGTTGCTCAACATCATCAAGGCGAATATCACCTTTCGAGTGGAAACGAAGTGCTCTCATGCTGTATCGATAGCTGTCACATTGTTATTGTATGAGCCGCTCCAGCTATTATTATTATTGTTAGTCGTTCATAATGCACTCGGATTTGCATGGACTCAAGAGGAGCCGAGTGAGCTTTGGTTGCGAGCCATGGGTGCGGGGATGTCGGTTATATGTTTGTCGATCGCTAGAGACTCGCTCTTCACCTTGCCATCCGAAGTCCAGCGATTCATGAATGTAAGTTAGTATGTCAACCGAATGCGTGTCCAGCTCCGAGGAGCATGACTGGGGTTGTATTTAGTATCCCGGTCAACTGAGTGAATTGGAAAATGTAACGACAAGAGAACGAGTAATACGACGTGAACGAAAGTTCCACATGAGCAGACGTCTCCTTTACATGGCCGAGACCGATGTGCTCTACATGCTATCAGGCCTACGCCTTCTTGCTTAGGAGGTCATGCTCCTCTTGCACCATATTCGGCACCTCTGCCTCAATCGATGGACCAGATGGCTTCCAACCCAACAGGTGCTTGGCTCGCTCAGCCTTGCCACGCGAGTTCCATCCCCAGCTCACAGCCTCAAAACCAGCTTGATCCAAAGCAGCCTCCTTGGTTAGCGACTTCTTTTCTAGGTTCGATATGTAGCCTTGCTTCGTGCACTCCTGGCCGATGCGCACAGCAAGATCAGTCCAGACATGCTCGCCATTCTCAGCAAGGTAGTAGCCTTTACTTCCCCAAAGCTCGCTCTGTTTATCAGCCGTCGGGTTGCCGGCTTCCTCAACAAGGAGCGTGAAAAGACTTGCGAGATCGGAAACATGCACATTGTTCCAACGTGCTTTTCCAGAGCCTACGACCGGAATGTACTTTCCAGTCAGTACCAGCTTGGTGAGCTCGTATGCTTGCCGACTGCGCGTTGCCACAGGGCCTCTACCCTTGCCTGTGAATCGTTAGTACACCAGACTTGAGCATGGCAGGATATTATGATTGACCATAGATTGTAGGTGGGCACACGATGGCAGTTTTAACCACATCACCATGTTTCTCGCCGGTTTCCAGCACAATCTCATCCACATTACGATGAAACGCGCTTGCGGGCAGATGCGTCAATTCGTTAACGGCAGTCCAATCGTTATACTCCTTATCAGAGTGCTCGCCTAGTCTGCCTGCCTCGGAGTCCTCATAGGTCAGGATGCCAGTACCTCCAGTGTGAAGCCAATATCTGGGTTTACTGGAGTTTCCCGAGTGTCCTTTGACGAGGCCAGCAGCAATTGCCTTCGCAGCACCTGCGTGATCAGAGGCATCGGCGGTGTCTGTGCAGAATCAGTATTGTCTCGGGAGTGCATGAAGATGGTGGACATACGTAGGACAATGTCAGCCTTCGAAGCTTGCTCTTCCAAGAGCTCCGAGTTGTCGAGATCACCAATCACAATTTGCACGTTCGGGTACGCTTTTTCCACTATCGCAGCCTTGTCTTTGGTGCGGACCAGTGCTGTGTATTGATGGTCAGGATGCTTTGCATACAGATTGTGCAACGTGTCTCCTCCAATATAGCCAGTGGCGCCGGTGCTACGAGCGTCAGCCAAGTCCCGTAAACGATGAATTGACTTACATGAAGATTTTCAGCGCCATTCTGTCGTCTTGATATACTCTGGCGATGGTGATGAAGATATCGAGAGTTTCACTTCACAAATTGTATATTCCCTGACACTCGCGTGCTCCGAGATACTACTGTTCATATTCCACATTGACGCTGCCGAGGATTAGACCGACCATGGCTCCAATGATGATGACAGCCACCGACGTATGCCGGCTTCGCGTGGGCCATCCACAAGGATTCGAGGATGCAAAATTGCACCGGTTGAGCTGGGCAGACAAGCAGCCGAAAGCTCGTGAGGGGAAATTCGGCTCTGCCATTCATATGGATAGATCAGCAGTGGCGCGATTAGCACGCGATACGAAGTAGGCTCCCCGTAGAATATGGTCCGAGGGCTTCCGACAAGTATCATATAACAAAGCACCCCTAAAGCTACCCGATCGAGCGTCTGCGGTGGTCATAACGAGAGGTTCCAGGAAATGATGCAGATAATGATCTCGAATTTCTGATTTCATAGCTTTGTCCGCAAGCTCTGGTCTGTCTGAATGATGGAGCACTCGAGAAAGATCATCCACAAGTCGGCTATGTGCCACCACGCATCGCTTTCACACCCAGATGCCATCCACCACGTGTCATGCCATCAAATTCGGAGAGTCAAGCCTTGCGAGTCCGAGCGTCGAAAGCATGCGTAAGTGGATTCACACTATCCCGAAGCCCACGGTGAAGCCTGTAACGGTGGAGAGCGTTAGCCATCGCGTACATCTCTTTATGGTCCCCTCTTGACGGAGAAACGGAGAGGGTCTCGAACAATTTCCCACTGACGTCTCTTCCAGTCTCGTTGCAACGAGAAGCGGGTAAAATGCGATGCACTGGCAGTAGGCCTGCCATGTACTCGCTGCCAGAGAAGCGGCAATGTAGATTGTGCCCTCATCAGCTCACGCCGCGGCCAATATCCACGCAAGCGAGCGAGCACAGTATCCGAGAGCACGAATCCGCCTGCACCTCCTCAGGATGCTGTACCTCTTCTTTCCGTCTCATCAGGATCCGCGACGACCAGTCTGCCACCAGATCGTGTTTCCGGAAGTGTAGACGATATTCCTTCATCACATGACCCGCACGACAAGCCGCCGACAGCAACTCCGAATGACCAACAACCTCAACAAGAGAATGTCACCCCTTATAGGGACGTGTCTTGGGCAACAGTGTTCAACCACTTCATGGATACTCGCCAGAACCATCGCCGGGACGTGATAGATAAGTGCTCAATCACATATCTCGGGGAATCTTTTCCGCTAGCACTGGTACTTGAGGACCTTAGGGAAGGCGGTAGAACTCGTTTGCACCACTCTGGTCCTCCTGTCGGTACTACTGCCATCTCGCCAGCCGATCATGACCAAGGCACTCACCCTCCACATATCCAACTCGAAACAGTCAAGTATCTGGAGGCCAAGCACGTTTTCGAGCTCCCTTGTCGAAGTGTATACGATGAGCTGATCATCACATTCCTAAGCAACGTCTTTCCTCTCTATCCAGTAGTAGGCTACCAGGAATTCTATGACCAGTACATGTCTAATAACCTGCCTTGGATATTGATACACGCCTGTTGTTTCATGGCCACCACTTTCTGCTCGGATGAGCTCATACATAAGTGTGGCTTTGGCTCGAGGAAGGCAGCTCGGCTGGCCTATTACAGCAAGGCGAAAGCTTTGGTTGATGTCGAGTACGAAAGGAACAAGATTGTCCTTCTACAAGTCACAATTATGTTGACTTTTTGGGGCGGAGGACCGAATGACTACTGGAACACGGTGAGCTCATCCTCCGCTGGAAATCGCGGTGGTTTCCTCGTTCTGACACTTCCGAAGTGGTCATGGCTTAGTAGTGCCGTGACCATTGCAGAGACCCTAGGAATCCACCGCTCTCTGACTGGCACGAACATGGCACAAAGAGACCGGAGTTTACTGAAACGCTTGTGGTGGACATTGGTGATACGTGACGCTTCATGTGCCACCCTGGTCGGGCGTCCCTTCCGCATCAATATGGACCATGGTGATGCAGAAATGCCGGCGATCGTAGACTTCGAAGATGACATGCGCAGCCTCCAACGAATGGCACATCCACTAGCGGATATATTCGCTCATTATCAAATTGCGGTTACAAGTTTGTCACTGCTTCTCTACGACATTGATTACGCTCGCTTCATACCTGGTCCGAAGAAGATGAGCATGTTCGATGTGTATAACGCCTTACAGACCTGGCGAAGCGACGTACCCAGCTGTCTGGAATGGACCGCGCATCAGAACATCCTGTGTACATGCCTGTCAATGTTGTACGACCACCACATGATGCTCGCCTGCCTCGGGCGATCAGGCTCGGAGGTGGCAGCCTCTCGACTGAACGGATCTGACGTAGGCGAGGGAAGTTCTATCGCTGCCGCTTGGCCTTTCTCAACCGATCTGGCTGCTCAGCGCATATCGACTCACGCATCGTCCATCATCACGAAATCCCAAGCGTTACGAATCCCGCACGAGACATACCAAGCGGTCTTCCTTGCCGGCATAGTCTCATACGTATCAATGCGGAATCCGAATATAGCCGCTGCGCAGCTCGGCCGAGTCATCCTGGACAACTGCAATATGGTGTTGCACACTGTGCGGGAAGCATGGGATGCTTCTCCCTGGGTCACTGCCTTGTTCGACGGATTGACGGCTGGCTTGAGTAATGATCCAGGCCCTCAGCACTTGGGACACGGAGTCTACGTTACCGGGCAGAATCCAGCCTTCAGCTTTGACGACATTGGAGCATCGCTCTCTGGCTATGGTATGGGCGTCTCTTGGCAATCAAATCCAATGTTGAGCGCTCTATTCGACAATAGTTGAGAGAAGTTGACAGGAGCTTGAGCGATACTCTGCCTTGTGTTGGTACTAAGCTCCATGCCCCGAGATGTGGACAGTCCTCACGATCACACTGTTGCATAATGAGAGTTCCAAGAGTACTTTGTAAGCAGAGGCATGAGCAGCAGTACCTGCTGTGTATCCCCCAACGTATCTGGCCCTCTTATGCTCTTATTGCCGAGACGTCAGTAAGCTGCTTTTTGAGCTTCATAGTCAAGTCGGCTATGATACATGCGCCCTGGTGTACTTTCGTTTAGCATGGGCTACATCTGCCAGCCATGGGCATATGAGCCAAGGTTCCGGAAAATGTCTCTCACGGTGTGCCGACTGCCGTAGGATTTCTGTATCTCGACACGATGTGCCCCGCATATAGCCGATCTGCTCATGTGCTTCCCTGTCTGGCGGCGACTCGGTATGTGTAGATCGTAAGGAAGAACCAATTACAGTGTCCGACGTTAGATGAGGTCCTGGCATCAGTTTGAGAACCGGGAGAACCCAAGCGTTCCCCTCACAACCCATGCCCGTTGACTCTATGCATGACTCGCAGACCAATTACGCCAAGAAGCCGACAGCATCGACAATCAAGTCATTCATACTCCCCATGGGGCCCCAGGCTGCTGACCACAATCACAACCCTTTTCTCTTAGCAAAGGTGACAATGGGCGTCCTTCACTTGGAAGGTCGGGCTTTGCTCGTGGCAACCACGCTATCATGTGGGCTTGGGTTTTTGCTATTTGGTGCGTAGTCAATTGACAACGGAGAGACCTATGCTGATGACGTGCAGGATATGACCAAGGAGTGTTTGGCGGTCTGCTCGCCAATCCATCATTCAACCGTCAGTTCAACAACCCCAGTGTCACGATCCAAGGACAGATAGTCTCGACCTATACCGTAGGATGCATCATCGGCTCGATCATCGCCATCTTCTCAGGCGAACCATTGGGACGGAAGAAGTCAATTGTGCTGGGATGTCTGTGTCTAACCATCGGCGGCGTACTTCAGGCCACAGCCTATTCCTTGGCACACATGATCGTGGGCAGGGTAGTCAGTGGACTCGGTATTGGTTTCAACACCACGACCATACCCGTCTTCCAGTCAGAGACCTGCATCAAGCCCAGCCTTCGCGGGAGGCTAGTAGCAATACAGCTTACCTGCTTGGTCTTTGGTTTCGTACTTACTAATTGTTCGTCAGCTACGACAATGCACCACTAACCAGAATACGAACGCTGATGATCATGCAGGGATGAATTTCGGCTTCACATATTTACCAGACAACGAAGTCAGCTGGAGGTTCCCTCTAGGCTTCCAAGCCCTGCTCGCTCTAGGAACTGGCCTTTTTGTACCTTTCCTAGTGGAGTCACCGCGCTGGCTTTGCCTCAAAGATCGTCACCAGGATGCGAAGTACGCCCTCGCTCGCCTGTATAAGAAGCCCGTAGATGACCTGGAGGTGACCGAGGCATTGGAAATCATCATCGAAACGATCGCAGAAGAGCGTGCAGACGGCGAGATTGGCTTCCGAGAGGTGTTTCACAACGGCAAGCAGCAGACATTCCGTCGCATCTGTCTAGGTGCGGGGGCCAATATCTTCCAGCAAATCGGTAAGCAAGTCTTGAAGTCGTTGACTAGTCTTCGAAGTACTGACAGCCGCCGCGACAGGTGGTGTCAATGTCGTTGCCTACTACCTCCCGGTCGTGCTGGAGCGCTCTTTCGGCTTCTCTCCAAGAATGTCGCTTGTCCTGTCTGCATGTGACTCAATGCAATGGATGTTCTGGGCTGCTTGCACGACTTACGGCATTGAAAAGTTCGGCAGAAAGAAGTTGATGCTCTTCGGCGCTGTAGGTTGCAGCTTGTGCTTTGCGGTCACCGCCGCTGGCCTCGGCGTAGGAACAAAGGTGTCCAATGGGGTGGCCGTGGCATTCATCTTCCTCTTCTACTTCTTCTTTGTAAGTCATGACGGTCATGTTGCTCCATCACAGGCGTGTTGACAGCTCACAGGGACAATCTTTCATGACCATCGGGTTCTTGTACCCGTCGGAGATCAACGGAAACCAATCACGGAACCTTGGTGCAGCCATCGCCATGGTACGCTGATACCATACCCACTTAGGCTGACACTCACTGAACATGTCTTTCCAGGTTACAAACTGGCTCGGAGTCTACCTGGTCGTTTCCATTACGCCAATAGGTGAGTACTACGAGACTTCTCATACAAGCAGTGCCGCATTCTGACATTGTACAGGTATTCAAAATATCTCTTGGCGGTTCTACATCATCTTTGCAGTACTGAATGCCGCTTTTATTCCCTTCATATGGCTGTTTTACGTTGAGGTAAGTCAACCAAAGCGGAGACCGCTAGACTGGATGCGCTGACATGAGGATCTGTGGTACAGACTGCGGGCTTGTCACTCGACGAGATCGACCGTGTGTTCGTCCTAAAACATGCGCCGGGATCTGGGTTGACCTACAAACAAGCGACTGAACAGGCCAAGATCGAACTGGCGGCAGAGCGTCTGGAGATCACCACCCGGGCCAAGTACGAGGAGAAGCCTGTGTCCCAGCATGTAGAGGCTGTGGTCTAAGTCCATGGTGAGGTTCAAGATCGTCACGATGAGTGATAGTTCTGCTTCAAAGTCATCACTACTTGACGATTGGTTGTATATATACATGGAAGATGCAATCTCAGGATCAGTAAGCTGATATCTCTCCATATAGAACGGTCATATAGAACGGGGACACAAGTCCAGAGAGTTCCAAGGCCGAAGACAAAGCTACTTAAACATTGAAACAAGATATCATGCAATACGAAAACCCTCCCATCCATTCTTTGCAACTTCTCGGAGCTTTTGGCGATATGGCGCCAGTCCTCCGAAGTAGAACATGACCGAGTGCTTCTTGCCAGGCACATTCGAGCCAAAGATCCATGAGTCCGTCTTCCGGAACAAGCTATCTCGACTGACCACATCACATTCATGTGTCCATGCTTCCTCCGCCTCCTGTGTTGCAACAATGGTCGGTACGCTGACTTTGCCAGGAGGAGAGTCACTCCTCGCCAACTTCTCAGCAGCCAGTATAATGTCCGCGATGAACTCGACATGCGTCTCAATGGCTGGAGGAATGTTGGAGAAAGGTCCGTTGGGCCCAAGTATCATAAACATGTTCGGAAAGTCTGCGACAGTGACACCGAGGTATGAGGTCGGGCCCGCCTCAGCCCAATGGTCTTTCAATGATTGGCCATGGCGTCCTTTGATGGCGAGACGTGTATAGTTGCCGTCAACGGCATCGAATCCAGTTGCAAAGATAAGCATGTCGACTTTGTGAACAGTGCCATCTGATATTTTGACTCCATCTCCCGTGATCTCTGTGATAGGAGTGTCATGTAGACTTACCACTTGCACGTTCGGACGATTAAATTGCTCGTAGTATCCAGCATCACATAGCGGTCTTCGAGCATAGAGCTGTGTGGGCATGAGTTTGCGTGCTTTTTCGGGGTCTTTCACAGTCTGTCGAATCTTATCCTTTATGAACTCGCAAGCCTCCAAATTTGCAGCCTCGTTGGTCACTATATCGTTGAAAGACTCGAACATAAAGCGGAATCCACCACCTCTCTTCCACGCCGCTTCGAAAAGGCCTCGTCGGGTGTCAGAGTCTACACTAAGAGCAGGCCGGTCTTTGTTCTCCTCGAAGCCAAAGGCCGTATTACTTTCGTCCTTGGCTTGGCGCCAGATCTCGTTGTAATTCTCGTTGACCTCTTGTCGATACGAGGGGTCCACATCTCTTTGCCCACTTGGGACACTGTACTGTGGGTTGCGCTGAAAGCTCACCAGATGGTCAACATCTTTCGAGATCTCGGTGATGACCTGGACACCAGTCGAGCCATTACCAATGATGCCCACACGCTTGCCCTCCATTGATACGCCTTCTGGCCAGGCTCCCGTATGATACCTCTCACCTCGAAATGTGTCGATGCCTGGGATATCGGGAAAATTGGCGCGTGAGAGCAAGCCCAGAGCAGTGACAAGATACCTCGCTCTGAACGTGATGCCAGTGGAGGTCTGCACGTTCCATACTTTCGCCTCGCCATCCCAAGTCGCATCTGTAAGGCTAGTCTCAAATATGATATCCCGCCTCAGATCATGCTTATCGACCACGTGCTGTAAATATGCCAGGACCTCCTTCTGGTATACATAGTGCTTGTGCCACGGATAAGTCTGCAAGTCGTTGGAATCCCAAGAATACCGATAAAGATAAGACTCTGTGTCAGACATGGCCCCTGGGTAGCGATTCCAGTACCAAGTGCCACCGACATCGCTAGCGGTGTCGATTGCTTTGACAGAGAAGCCCATATCGCGGAACTTTTTGAGCTGGTAGATGCCGCCAAAGCCAGCGCCTACCACCATGGCATCGAGAGAGGTCACCTTTGTCATTGCCGAGTCTGTTGCGTTGGCCATCGTGAGTAGCAGAGCAGTATATCACATTAGAATCGTTTGCAAGCACACTAAGCAGGTGTTGCAAGCAAACTAAGCAGGTGAACGAAAAGTGAACCTTACCAAAGCTGTGGGAGGTGATGCTACCTTCCTGAGCTCATGCGTCTAGTAAAATCATCGGATCGCCGTCGCTTCGCCGACATTGGCAACTCGAAGCATGGATCGTGTGCATCGCTGTTGGACAGCGATTTTCTGTAGTTGCGGAGTCGAGATCTTCGACCTGCATGCAGCCGTGCAGCTCGACCCCACCCAAACGATGACGAGTGATGTGCAGGATACAGGTGGTTGCGGAGAAGCGTGGAGAGATCAAAGACGAAGACCCACTAACTAGGCACTTCCATACACCAGACCGTCTAGTCCTGTTAGTTCTAAGACGCCCACTGGCTATAAAAGATCTCAGACGTTGACGAACAGCCTATGGTCTCCGAGCTCAGTCATCATAGAGCACAACCTATCGTGTTCTGGATCACCTTGAAAGCGATAATTTATGTTCACGCCGTTCGAGGCAAGCCACGTTCATGATAGCGATTAATCACGGAGTGCCGAGAGGCGGCAGTGCACCTGAGAGGAAATCGTATAGATTTAGATCTGCCAATTATACACGGTGGGAGGCGAGCGAGAACTCGAGATGTGTCCACAACCTCACTCTACCCGCAAGCTCTACTTGATCTCCTTGATATCTGCAGGCGCAACTGCAGTCGAGTGGCCCCTTGCCTCAGTATCAGAAAGGTCACCATCCATCAACTTCTCATTGTCGTCGCGCAGATTCTTTCCCCTGTAGCCAGACTCCTTCAGCATGTTGAGGTGCTCTTCGTCCTTGTCCCACGGTCTCGTGAAGAAGAAGTAGAACATGATGCCGGTGACGAAGGCAATGACGGCGACGGAGCCGTACAACCATACGAGGTTCGGGTCGTCGCTGGCAGGCAGGAAGGCTTGGCCGAGTGCTGCTGAGATAGCATTGGTGCAGTTGTAGAAGCCTGCAAAGTATGTCAGCACGATGATGGTGAACGTGGGAGGACCGACGATCTTACCAAAGACCAAAGACCTCATGTTGGCCGGAGCTTTGGTGTAGGCGTATCTAGAAGACCGATCGTTAGCGTACATTGACGGCCGACGTACGGTGTTATCATTGCTTGACTTACTCGAGACCGGTAATGGAGGACAAGATCTCTGCCAGACCAACAAGAACATAAGCACCAGTCTGTGCCCAGACATTGATTGGGGCAGGGGTATCGCAAGTGTTCATGTAGTGACCGCAAGCACCAGTCTTGTAGATATATGCCTGGATGACAGCAGCCCATATCATAGCAGAGCAGGCAACAAAGAATCCAGACAACATGCGGCGTAGCGGCGTGAAGCGAATCTTGAACTTTCGCAGGAGAGGATAGACGATGAAGTCCATGATGGGGATCAGGATGATGATCCCGAGAGGATTCATGTTGTTGAGGAGGTCGTTTGGCACACCGTGAAGATCCATAGTCGCAGCTTGGGACACGAGATTGCCGTCGATCTGGTTGTAGGCCAACCACCAAAGCGGGTAGAAGGAGAAGACGGAGCAGGCCTTCACACCACGGGCGATTTCGTCAACCCAAGCATCGTCAAAGGTCATCCAGCTTGGCTTGTTCTGAATCCTGGATGGCTTCACACGTTCCCAAAAGTCTGCCTTGCCTACATGTTTGTAACCACCGTTCTTCATAGCATAGCTTGTAAGCTTGGTGAACTTGCCGAAGACGGACCCAGTGGGCTCGCGTAAGTTGTACTTCTTCTGCATTACAGCTAAGATGATCGGCGCGATGCAGAACATGACCGTGGGAAGCAGGAACGCCAGCCAGAAACCAACGTAACGCTCAGCGTAGACCATGGCGACCTGACCAATGATACTGCCGATGTTGATGAAGCCGTAGAAGTAGAGAAACATGCGTTGAGTGGTCATGGCAGGGTCAACGACAACACGCTCGCCGCCCTTGAGAGTCTCGACACGCATGGTCCGGTCTGCAAGTTGCTCAGCGTAGAGTGGCGAGATCTGTACGAACTGGTCAGAGGCGGTCAAGTGAAGTGTGTATGGATGGTGCTCACATTTGGCTTGAAACCACCAACGCCAATGCCGAAGAAGACGAGTCCGACGGAAAAGCAGCCAAGAGCTCCAGATTGGTGTTTCACGACGGATGGAATGGCACTGATAATGATCAAGATGTGGCCGAACATGGCCACACCAATCGACGCATAGATGGTCTTCAGTCGACCCCACTTGGCATCAGCAATCCAGCCTGTGTGAGATGTAAGCAATGAGCACGTCTGTAATAATAAAATGATCACATACCGCCAAACAGAGGAATGAAATAGGCCCAGAACTTGTTGAACAGGACTAGACCGGTGGAAGCCTTCTGTCCGAACCCAAGGGCTCCAGGACGACCGTTCAAGCGAGGGTCGTTCCCGGTAACACTGCCCACGGGCATAGGTCGCTGGATGTAGTTGACCATAACAGCCGTTGTGCCATAGTATGCGAAACGCTCTGCCAATTCCACGAATGCCACAGTAAATGCGATCCAGGGTAGCTTGGCTGGTACACGGCGGAGTGTGGCAAGATCCTCCTCGGTAGGGATCACAATCTCAGTCTGATCGTTGAAGTCGTTGCTAGAGGCAAATGGCTCCTTGTTCTCCATGGCAATCTGCTTCTCGAGCGTTGGGGTAGGCAGGCCAGCGCCCTTCACCTCCATGGCGGTGATGGCATTGGCCGTTTCGGAAGCGACACCGGCCATGTTGGCGATGTCAACGAATGGTAGGACGAGAAAAGGTAAGGACCAGTGCGCATCGTGGAGGTGCTCAACTGGATGTTATGTACCTCAGTGCGAGGTGGTATCTGTCGGTTCGGCAACGCCGTATCTAGCATCCTTCTGGAGTTCGGTTACACTGTCGTGTGCCCGCCAAGAGAGAGATACTGTAGCTTGGCGCATATGATCAAGGCGTGCTTCTGTAGGCGTCGTGCTTCTTGCACCCTTGCGACGGAACAACGCTAGGAACGTGAGTACAGCGGCTGGACCAATGCGGAGCACATTGAACCGACTACAAGAGCAAGATTGGAGCGCGACTGCGCCGCACAGGCCACCGTCGGTCGGTCTGGTCAATCATTTCGTGGTATGCGGCTCGGAAGCAGATTGCGACCACATCGTGCCAAGGTGCTAGAAAGATATCGCACTTGGCAGTAGGCTGGGCATAGCAAAAGCGTTCGGAGCACATCAGCATTAGGCAGGAGCTAAGAGAATGGGTTGTTTAGTTCGCTATCGGATCACCATTAGCTTCTTTCCAGACTCATGTCCTCGAGCAAGAGAGGTATCAACAACGCCAGTGGTCTCTGTGCACACGAAGAAGTCCAGCATACGACGAGATGAGCTTTCGCAAGCCTCCTCACGATACTAATCCGAAGGGACGCACCACGGGAGGCGCCAGGAAGGCATGCGGCACAGCAGCGATAAGCTTGAGGCGTCCTATAAGCTTCAGCCGGACCTGAGCACTGTACAGTACCTCGCAAACACACACCACCGACACTGCGCCGCTTACACTCGGGTCAAGATCGGGCAGGTGACCTGCAGGGCGGCCTTAGAATGGAGGCAACGTTTACAGCTGTAGTTTTGAGATATGCACTGGCATTGATTCTTGATCCACATTTCCATGGGGTTACTTTCGTGGAGTGCAGTAGCATAGAACATTGTGCAGATTGTCCGACATGCAGGCGGCACCCATGACAACGTTCGAGAGATATCAGACAGTGTTCGACCGTACTAGTACGTTATCCTCTCTGTGTCATGTCTTGCAACGGACATTCTCGCATATCGATCAAGCTGTGTCCTACATATGCAGACGTAGTGATTCATGTTAATCGCCCTCGTGGCTCGACTGTTCAGTGGCACGGTTCGTTGATGGAGTCATGTGAATGCTAGCTCTCTCATGCCCTAGACAGAAGAGTATATTGGAGCCTAGATAGAAGAGCATCTTAGACCATACTCACCGCGAACAGACTTGAGATGTAGGCGCAAAGTCGTCGCTTCTGTCGTTGGCTGCACCTCTCAGCTTCCCGGAATACGACTGGAGCAAACACATCCAAAGCCTCTATTCTGGAATGGCACCGATGCGACACGTGCGAGCCATGACCCTGATGGAGGGCGTCACGACCAGTTGATGGTGACGTTTGATGTGGCCATCTTCATGCGCATGGTCAGTCTAGCTTAGTAAGTCTTCAGGATACTGTCCTATCTTTGGCACCAGCTGTGTCAATCGCCGTAGTCCTGGGCCCTGGAACACCATAGTGCTTCAACGCGTTGGGATATTCGGATACGTGGTCTTGCGAAGCCATCTTGTTATGATGAAGCAATGTATATACCACGGCAGCCCGGTGCTCGAATCAGTCCAGCGTGATGACTCCCTGGTCATGGCCAGGGTGGAGGCCAGCGCTGCGCAAAAAACCAGTCGAAAGTCTAGAATGCTGTTGGATCGCAAGGCTCAAACAGAGATCTACGGGTCCACTCTCGGCTCCACGAGACCTGAAACAGCCGGCTAGCAAACTGGCGAGTTCCCTAAGAGCTTGAATTTCAGCCTATTCATTAGCCTCAGCGGTATATTGAAGTACCAGTCAGGTGCTACCATCTTCACTGTATTCCAGCGCCAGGTGCCGTGAGGACTGGTCGTCGATGCTGGAACATCTTTCGCGCCAGGACGAGAAGTCTGCAGGTAGCCGAGCGAAGCCGAAGCAACGCAGCATGTGAGGTCCAACCCGCATCCAAGTATGAGCGTGTAGGACAGGTTGTTTCGGATGCCGGGGCCTATGCCTGCGCAGATGCTGCCTTTTAGATTAATATATCATGCTTCGTCCAGGGTCAGGAGGAAGGCGTTAATATGCACCAGACTCCGTTTGGAGTCAAGGAGAAGGGCGAGCGTTGCATATATAATCGTTGCTGGAACAGGCACGCCATGCTCCTGATCCTCCGCAAGCATTTCTGAGATCTTCTACAGTCAACAAAAATGCCTTCCGCAGCTTCGATTACTCTGGCTTTGGCGACCGCTCTTGCAGGAGTCTCTGCGCAGTACTGCGACCTGCCGACGTCTTACAAGTGGTCCTCGACTGGAGCTCTCGCCCAGCCAAAGAATGGATGGGAGTCACTCAAGGACTTCACCCATGTGCCGTACAATGGTCAGCACTTGGTATATGGCTCGAATGTCAACGGCGGCAATTATGGCTCCATGAACTTCGGCCTTTTCACCGACTGGTCTTCTATGGGTTCCGTCGCTCAGAACGGCATGTCATCTGGGACTGTTGCGCCTACCCTGTTCTACTTCAAGCCCACTGGCGTGTGGGTTCTGGCCTACCAATGGGGCTCGTCGGCGTTCAGCTATAAGACTTCTGCTGATCCTACCAACGCCAATGGGTAAGCTGGGTATCTGCTCGCACTGCTCGACCAGCACTTTCTGACCATATATCTAGATGGAGTTCCGAAAAGCCTCTCTTCACGGGTACCGCACCTGGAGCTGCATACGGTCCAATTGACCAGACGGTCATCGGAGACAGCACGAACATGTATCTCTTCTATGCGGGTGACAATGGCAAGATCTACCGCGCAAGCATGCCGATTGGCAACTTCCCGGGAAGTTTTGGCTCCAGCGAGACGACTATCTTGTCAGATACGACGGCCAACCTGTTCGAGGCCGTCCAGGTGTATAAGCTCAAGGGACAGAATAAGTGGTTGATGATCGTTGAGGCCGAGGGTGCTAATGGACGCTACTTCCGCTCCTTCACAGCAACAAGTCTGAGCGGATCTTGGACTCTACAGGCTGGATCCGAGAGCGCTCCCTTCGCAGGGAAGGCCAATACTGGAGTCACCTGGACGAGTGGTAAGCAAGGGCATCTTGTGCATTACCCTGGCCTGTACTAAATCATCACTACAGATATCAGCCACGGCGACATCATCCGTGATACCAACGACCAGACTTTCGAGATCGATCCCTGCAACCTTCAGATGCTCTACCAAGGTCACGGTAGCTCAAGCGCAGCCTACAATGACCTGCCATACCGCCCGGGGCTCCTGACCCTTCAGAATCCAGCCGCACAACAGGGCGGAAGCACCGGCAGCACGACCCTGGTGACTTCAGCATCCACCAAGGCAACCACGGCCGCTACGAGCGCGACGAAAGTGAGCAGTACTGCCGCTGCTAGCCCGACCGGGTCGCAAGCGGCGCACTATGATCAGTGCGGAGGTCAAGGCTGGACGGGTGCCACGACTTGTGTGGTAAGCAAGAACCGTTATTGATAGCTATGAGCTTCGCCAGTGCTAACAAAAATCACAGAGCCCATACACGTGCACGGCAAGTAATCAATACTATTCGCAATGCTTGTAGATCACGAATCTGGTAACAGATAGCTTTGTCACAATGCATTCATGCCACTATCCTATGCTCTCCTGCTTCACATTATCTGCAGTACCATGGCGAGTGTACAGCAGAAGCTGGTGATGTGTCGTGTGGATTTTCGGAGTACATGCTCCGGATATGCACCGGTGTGCACAATTTCAACCGGTTGTTGTCCATACGATGTATGATGTCACAAGGACCAAATGATTACGCATGAGATGCCGATAGTCAACGATACAGATTTCAAGCATAAGAGCCTTGATGCGATTCTTGATTGGGCCCTGGTAGCTGTAGGACGTTGACAGTAGCGTGATGGCTGGCAGGAGGCAGAACGTAGCGCAACTGGTGTCCAGGACTGCTGAGCTGATCTCAGACATCCGTCTGTAAGGCCATTTCCTCCAGACAACGTACCACCCGAAGCTCCGAACGCACGTTCATTTACTCATCGCAACTCAGGTCAACCCACAATTATGAGACGGCGCTCTTGAGTCAAGCTCCAAGGACATCGAGTGCAATGCGGGATCATGGAATTCGGCCATCATGATCAGAATCCACATCGGTCCGGCGCACAGTCTCTCGATAGACGGCGGAGCTCTAGTTGATGGCAGCAAGGATTGAATCCGTTGTGGAAGAAGGCTTCCTTGCGCCTCCATGGTATGCTGTCGGACGTCGGGACTTAGCAGCACACTGGCGACCGGCAGAGTACAGCTAGTAGTTGCCCATCGCCTAGCGCATGTCAATGTATTGCGAGATGTTTACTTCGTATTGCTTTTGGCAGGAGACACTTTACTAGGGCAATTGGTTGACCGCATGCTCGCAGAGATGAGAACAATCAGGAACAGGTCCACCTGACCTTCCTGCACAGTGGACTGGTTGCGAAGAGCAAGTCGCGACCATCATTTCGAGATATACCTCACCTGCATGTCACATAGGATATATTGGGCACGTTTTCACCGCGACTAGCATTGCACGTCTGGTGGACTTCTTGAGTTGAAGTATACAGTCGTCCAAAAACAGCATGGCGCCAAATCATACCGCGAAACCCAGCTCTTGGCGGCCTCTCCCTGTTTGACTGGCTATTCCCATGCATCGACCGTGGAGACAAGGCAGCGATCTTGAAGACTTGTATGGTAGAAGCTGTTTGCACCAAGTACCTGGCCATCGTCCTCCTTGGACACTTTTCCTTTTCCCTACCACCGACATCATGATGTCGAGCGTTGCTAGATCGTCCGGAAAGAACGACTTCCTGACGCTATAATAAGATGAGGTGCGTTAATAGCACGACTCACAAGGGTTCCAAGTAGTGGGGAAAACAGGCCACCGACGATGTAAGCACAGCTGCGCCAGCTCGACGCCCAGCTGCTGGCGCGGCGCATTTCTTTCGTCTTATCACTTTCCAGTCGGCAGGATTCCTGTCGTCTGTCCTGCGTTTTCATTTTCTAGATCCTCGACAGATCGCGCTTATACGGACCGCGAATTTCATCGTCGACCTGGTGAACTTGCAAGCTCCATTCTGGAGCGGGCCATTCAGCAACCATGGGCAAAAGAATAGTATACACGAAGATCACACCTCTACCATCGAACATCCCGCGACAGTTAGCTCTAGACATGCTACACTCCCACGAAGAAGTCATCAAGCTCAATCCTCTGGTCACTGGCGTCACATCGATCGATGCGCCTCGCGATGCGCGCAGCGACGAATTCTTCTCGCAATGGTACGAAATCAGCGAGATCATTACCTGGGGTTTTGGGTTGAAGAAGAAGATCGCTTTCAAGGGCGTGTTCCATAGTCAGCCATGGGGTTTGCAGAGTCATGTCTATGCGCCTATGAATACGGATATGCGGAACAAGTACAAGATCGGTGGGAATCAACCTGGTGAGCCTAGAGAAGCGCGAGAGCTTGGTGTGAATACGCCGTTGGATGGATTGTATCTGAGAGAGGATGTGGATATCATGTGCAGTGTTCCACTCACGGCGAGCTTCGTCAAGAAAGAGGCGCAGGCTGCGACGGCTATTATGGTCGATCGTTTATCGAGGAAGGCGGAGTTGTTGGACGAGGGGAAGTTGCATGCTATGTTCGAAGCTGGTGTGTTGAAGACATCGAAGCCGAATGCAGATGCAACTTTCGCCGACAGACCATTGCCATCGCCGAACAGCGCATCGGACATGTCGCCTTCAATCGAGCCGGATTCTGCGGTAAAGCGACAATCGAGCTTCGGTGGTGGATCGGCTGCCTTGGACGACAAGGGCTACGGCAGATATCATGAAATTGCACGTTCCGGGACCCAGAGCAGCAGGAGTAGCACATACGTCCCGCAATACCAGAAGTCTGGCTATCAAGGGCCAGAGTATACTAGGACCGGTGCCGAGCTGGCTGGCGTACCTGAGGTTGCAGAAATGCCAGGTTCCTTCTATCAACCCGATCAACAGCACTCACCTGGTCTATATCCACCACCTCTGAAGTCACAGGGTCAAGTCTTTCGAGCTGAGCTGCCGGGTGACTATCAAATGCTTGCTCCGCCTACGAAATCTGCGAATAGTAGTCCTCAGCCATCGCAGGGCGGCTTCCAGCAGTATCATCAGCCGCCATCAAATCAGTCAAGTAGTCCTCAGCCAAGCTACCAAGCTTATCAGCATTCGTCCGCGCAACCCAGCCCGAACATGCCGAATCGAGCGTCCTCGACGAGTAGCAGTACATACAGCACACAGCAATATCAGATGACGAACCCGTCACCACAGCCACCACAGCAGGCATATCCGGCGTATAGAGCTCACAGCAACTCAGAGGTGCGCCAAGAAACACAGCAGCAACCATATCAACCATATTCTCAACAACAGCAGCAGCAGCAGAACCAACACCAACATCAAGGCTACAGAAGCGGCTCGCACAGCTCAGCGCAAACCGATCAAGTAGCCGCCTGGCAACGCGGTCTAAACAACGCCTCCACAGACGACCCAAATACTATGCGGAACTCGGTCGCCACGAGCTCCTTCTCCTCGGAACCAGACCATCAGCGATTCTCGGGTCTGTCGATACAAAACACCCCCGTCCAGCAGCAGAGCCAAGTGACGCAAGGAGTCCCGAATCTTTCATCTCGAGGATCGACAAGAGTGTCGAAGTGTCCTGTGTGTGGATTGTTTGAGGGAGATGAAGCGGCTATCAGCCATCATGTCAGTATGGCGCATTTTGCTTGAGATCTTTCACGAGGATAGCTTGGTGTTTGGAGGAATTAAGGACTTGATGTCGTCATTTGTTGTTGTTTTCTTTGATACCCTCCGAATGATGAATATCTAGCCATTGCCGTCAAACGAAATGTAAGGTCTATAACTCCGTACTAGCTAGGCTGTCTCCGTTCTGCTACGCAACACACGAAAGCCATTCATTCTTCACTCTTGTGTACCACATGTCCTCGGTGATCCCCACGGTTCTTGTAACCAATGATATTCTTCGTCCCGTTAATTAGCCTTCCGTCTCAGCTGAAATAACATACCTCGGTCAAAGTCGGCAGGAGCGCCCATGTCGATCCCAAGATCTCACCACGCTCTACAATCACCATACGTTCGTTCCTACAACTTTAGGTTATATCTGTCCAGTTGGGTAAAGTGTCCACATCAGCTGTAACACTTGTATACCTACTCATTCCATTCACGACGATGACTTCTGCGGCCAAGAATCGTGTTCAGGTGAGCTTTGACTACGCCGGGTGTCAACAGCTTTTGGGAGGCGAGCTGAACATAAAATATAGGCGCTGTCAGAACAACTTGTGAAGCCGAGAGAAGATCCGGGAACATTCGAAGATATACCAAGGATACCCAAAGTCGCTGCCGATTCCAACCAGCCGTAAGTTGAGAGCATATCCGACATCGTGAACTCCATCCACCCACTACGAAGGATAGCGTTGCGCCTCTGGGCCGTACTGGATTGAATCGTTCAAACTCATCTACAAAAGCCAGCTAACAAACCTCCCCAGACGAGTAAAAGACAAAGTAATTATCATAACCGGCGCCAACTCCCCCCTCGGCATCGGGCGAGCCTCAGCCCACCAATTCGCCGCCAGCGGCGCCGCAGCACTCATCCTCTGCGACTTCAACACTTCTCACCTGGAGACTCATAAGCGGGAGATCGCGTCCCTATGGCCTAACGTGAAAGTTGAATGCCGTCAGATGGATGCCGGGGAGGAAAGCGATGTTAAACGAGTCGTAGATGAGTGTCTAAGTCTATTCGGAAGACTCGACATTTTCTTCGCCAATGCCGGGATCTCGGCGCATGCGAAACGGGTGCAGGATAGTTCCGTAGAGGACTTTATGCGGGTGATGAAGGTGAATGCTCTAAGGTACCATCCTCCCCCACCCCCCCACCTTCACCACAGACCGCGTAACTAATCTGCCTCCCAGCGTCTTCCTAGCAGTCAAACACGCCTCAACAGCCATGCTCCACACCACCCCCACAAAACCCTACCCCAGCGGAAGCATAATCGCCACCGCCTCCTCCGCCGGCCTCCGCTCCAACGCCGGCGCAACAGATTACTCCGCCTCCAAAGCGGCCGTAATCAGCATAATGCAAACGTGCGCCTACCAACTCGCGGGCACCGGCATCCGCTGCAACGCCCTCTGTCCAGGGATAATCGAAACCGGGATGACGAGTCCCATGTACGAGGCCGCGCGTGCCAGGGGGACGGAGAAGAAGATCGGGCAATTGAATCCTTTGATGAGGGGAGGGGTGGCGGATGAGGTGGCGAGGGTGGCGGTTTTCTTGGGGAGTGAGGAGGCGAGTTATGTTAACGGGCAGGCTTGGGCGGTTTGTGGGGGGTTGACGGCGGGACATCCTTATGTGGTTGGGAAGATGGCTTGAATTTGTATGTCATTTCGAGTTGGTGGTATGTATATATGTATGTATGTATGTACATGTCGTTTCTATGTTGCAGATTTCTGTGTGACAATGCTTGCTTTTTGTGTGAAGGGCCACCAACGCCGCCCAAGAAGATGTCGCTGGTTACGGAAGCCATTGTTTATACACATGCGCTTTTTCAGGCCTGACCCCTTCCATTTCCTCCCGTACACCGAGCATACTCACGCGACCACTGATTTCTTCGCCATCAATCCCACCCATGAAGCGCCAGCCTGATAGGAGATCGCGGAGTTGTGCGAGAGAGTCAGGATCGTCTCGTACCAGGACAGAAATGGCATCATATCCACCTGCACCAGGCACGACGCCACCAACTACTCCAGGAATCTTCTCACAGGCATCGAGTAATTTCGTCTGTTCGGGAGGCTCGATCGGCACACCACTCTTATCCGACATCTGCCTGATGAGCGATCGGATGCTCCTGAAGTGTTCAGTAACCTTGCTATACTGATCCTCGCCACTAGGACACTCGGCCGCGATCTTAAGCTCATCCGCAAGCCCAGAATTATGCTTATGAAGCTGCCCCCAGATCACGTTAGCCTCATCCGGCTTCTCCTTTCGCCACGCCAAGACCTGCTTGACCATCCCCGGCGTCTGCGAACCATGCGAGACATCACACATCACCAGCCGCAGCCCCCTGGGAACCTTGACAGCATTCTTAAGGATCTCGTGATCCCACTGAACCTCATCAGATTCGTCGACTATAGCTTTAATCTGGGTGCCGAAGTTCGCCTGGCCCGGTTCGGCGTGGTTACTGAGGATGGCAGGGAAGAAGCGCCTGTAGAGACAGCTGCCGTAGACTGCGCTGGCGACGTCGAAGCCGGAGCCGACTTTACCCTGGGCTGCGCAGTGGGCGGCTTGGGCTAGGTTGTGGAGGTGGCGTTTGCCGAGTTCGGTGGAGAGGTCTAGTGTGTCCTTTGGTAGGTAGTAAGTGAGTAAGGCCGCTGTGAGTGCTGTGACCAGTGCAGCAGAGGAGCCTAGACCGGTCTTGTGCGCTTTTGAGATGGGTGTGCCGAAGACGTGGAAGCGGGGGGGTGTACTTGAGCCATTGGCTAGATCACTCGGGGTGGAGTAGTAGTCGTTGTCTGCCAAGATTGTGATCGATGCTGGCGTAATGGTTGGCTTGGCCATACTAGACATATAGCTCAGAGCATAGCTCAAAGTCGTTTCCACGAAAGTATTGCTGTTGAGCTTGAGGTCTGCGTCGCTATGAATCCCCAGACCACGTAAGCATAGCTAACATCGAAGTACATCAGATGGAAAGACACACTTACACCCTCAACTGCGTAACCTTCATCCCACCATCCCGTTCAGTGAGCCTATACCCATACTCCCAAACCGCATCCTGGAATTGCGGCGACTGCACCACAATCTCGTTCAACGTGACACCATTCCTCGTTGGTATGGGCTGCACAATCACATGCAACCTGGCATCAAGCCCGAAGACCAGACCAGTGAACTCGCGGTCAAGCACCAGATACCCACCAGCCAGTAATACCTTCCCGGGTGCAGAGACAGCTACTGGTGCGTGGTGGACCATTGGGAACCCGACCACCGACCGGCTCGGCCGAGGACGAGGAATGATAGGTCTCACAACACACCAGTAGTTATTAGTAGAGGTCTGGGTACTGGTATGCACAGATTGAGGTGAGATCTGCAGTGCAAGATGCGGATGATGGGCGGGGATTACGGTGTTTGGAGAGACAGAGTTCCGTGTTCCTGAAAGTCGCGCGGGCTGAGAGCGTGAGCAGATGACCTGTTGGCGTGCCTGGAAGTTTCGAAGGTGGCGAGAATTTTGCGGGTGGAGGTCGTATAGAGACGGGAGGTGGGTTTGAGGGTCAGGGAGGGTTTGTACACTCGCAGGAAGTCGTTGCAATAGTGTTACGAGGTTGTTAGGGATAGGGTACTATTTCATTACAGGCGATACTGCCAGCTGCACCGTACCGAACGATATCATGTCGCCGCCCACCATCCCGAAGCCATGATGTAGGGCTGAACTACTGAACTAGCGCGGCGGAAGCAAGAAGCCGTCCCGGTCGTCGCCGAAGAGATTCGCACTCGCGTGTCCGACTCGACGTGGATTGAAGGCATCATGACAATTGCGCCTAACCGTAGTACTACTGTAGTCCTATACTCGCCGCACCAGGCACCTCCTTTCATTAATATTTAGCTATTACCTTACCTTTCCTCCCTCCGCTTATCAGATTCGCTACTCACACACATTGGCTCTCGCATTGGCTTGCCACCGTCACGTCTACATCCCTTCTCTACCTTATACAACTAATCCCAAGCTAATACCTATACCTATACCTATACCAGGCGCGTTTGTTTGACGGCTGTTGTCGTCAGATGAACCTGCGGACCGCCTATACCCTCTCCCCTCCAGTATGTTCGTCTACATGAATACAGTATTCACCTGCTAATGATTACTACTTCAGACCCACCCTTCCCGACTGAAGGGCTTCGCCATCACCTGAATGCCTTACGTGAAAGCCGTCCCCCTCTCGCGTATCGCCGGCTCGGCACTGAAATCCTTCACCCACGGCTACGCCCAAACCGTCGTCGCCGCCTCGCAATCCTCCTACGCCGCCCAGAACTCTCCCGCAGGCTCCCTCACCGATAGTCTCGTCGGTCGATTCCGCAAAGCCGAGCGCACCAAGGTCCACAGTGTCTACCTCGGTGCAGACGGCGTCCGCCATGCCAGTACGAATAGCTCTACGGGTGCGCGACTGGAGACGAGTCAGAATGATGCTGGGCTAGAGAAGTACTTTGATGCTTGGCAGAAGCATCAGAAGCCGGGCGATAAGGAATGGCAGCAATTCCAGTTCGCCCGTACCATCGAGTGGCAGCCGCCGACTACGGTGCCAGTGCAGGCGCAAGATGGTGTCACAGCGGAGGAGCCGGTGGCTGTGCCGGAGCAGGATCAGGAGCCTAGAGCTGCTCCTAGTCTGAAGAGATCGTACACGACAAGTGCGCTGGACAACTTCAACAAGGCCTTCATCCACGATGAGGCGCTGGAAGCGGATGCATTGGAGCAGGTCAACAACAAGCTCACGGAGGAGAGCTTGAGGTCAAAGGAGGATGCAGAGGATGGGTTGATGTTGAAGACTTCTTCGGCTCCATCCGTTTCGCAGGACTTGGCTATCTCCGAACAGCAAGCCATCTCGACACCAGCGACTGCTCTTACGCCCACCGAAAGCTTCACTTCCGAAGCCGACATCTACACGAACGAGCTGCTCCAGCTTGCGGAGAACAAACAACATGATCGCATCCCCGCTGCCTTCCAGGGAATGTTGCGCGCCGGCGTGCAGCAGCCATCACCAGCCGCATACCGCGCTCTCCTTACCTCTGCTATCGAGCTTACTCCGGGAAAACATGCGAAGGTGCCGAAAGCATTAGAGGTCTACTCTGATATGCTACGCCGAAAGGTGCAGCCAGATGTCGAAACTTACAGCATGCTTGTTGGTCTTTTAGCAGACCGCGCACTTCTGGCCGTGTCTCTCCGTAAGAATCTGCAAGAACGTTTGGCAAGATATGGTGGTCTTGAACAGCCTGGCAAGTTCATGTTCCGGTCTAGCGAGTTCGAGCACAGCATGATGGTCGAGGATTCCTCGCTTTCGATTGCACTTAAGCTGTTCGATCGGGCTACTTTCGCTGGCAACACCCTCTCTGCCAATACTTGCGCAAGCTTGATCGCTGCTTGTGCAGAGCATGGACGCCTCCAGGATATGAGCCGCATTCACGAACAGACGCAGACTACTTCGACCAGCGTCTTCTCACCTATGATCACAGCTTTCGGCTCGGACGGTGACCTCAAGAATGCCGTGGCTCTCTACGACCAGTACAAGGACCTGTGCATTGCGAATAACGCTGGGGAGAACGGCATCGTCCGTGTAGACAACGAGGTCTACGCCGCACTTGTCAAGGCTTACGGATCTGCTGATCGCTTGAAAGGTGGTCTCAAGTTCCTTGCTAGCGTCCAGGCTGAGACTACAAATGAGCATGATCTCCAGGAGCTGCGCGAAATCGTGGCTTTGGATGCTCTGCTTCCTCTAGCTCTGAAGGATCCGACATTCAAGAATGCCACCGATCTTGCTTCTTCGCTTACTGGCCGTGCTTTGACAACATCTCTGGCTGCTATCGCTTGTTCTGCTGCCGATGGCAATAAGGTGGAAGTTGCTTTGGCGGCTTTCGACAAATTGGCCAAGCTTACCCAGGACCTCGCCACACCAGCTTCTGCTATGCTTGCCATGCACGTCCGCAATGCCAACCTGGAGGCTGCCGAGCCATACTGGCGCATCCTCGAGATTACGAAGGCGAATCTGTCTCTCGTCGAGCCCACGACCATGCGCTCAGTAGCTCTTATTGGTGTCGGCCAGGCTGAGCTCGGTCTGCGTCAAGCTCGCCGCATGTTCGCTCGTATTCGCGATCAGCAACCTGAGAGCAGCATGGCTGAGGCGACTGAGCAGATCGATGAGGCGCTTGAGCTGATTGGTGCTTTCATGCTCAAGAGTCAAGTCAAGATCACTCCTCAGGCTAGCGCTGAATTGCTTCGTATGATGGCTGAGAATGGTGGGTTGATCACACCAATCGCCGATCACATCGTTGCTCGTTTGAGCGTTGAGCACATCTCGCGCTTGAACGCAGCTGATCTTGAGCTTGTGCTCCATGCGCAGACCGACATGATCTTGCACGAGAGTGTGGCGGATATTGCCGGACCGGCTCGATTTGGCTGTCTGCTCGAGACTCTCGTGTCACGCTCCATCATGCCTTCGACCGAGACCGAGTCGGCTATCGAGAAGACGTTGATCAATGTCAACCGGGATGACCTGAGTCGACTCTGGAACGCTTACCGCTACCCGCAGACTCCGGCCTCTACTCCTGTGGTCCCGTTGCAGCAACTTCGAGCTCCTTCTGTCCAGCCTGCTTTCGAGGACGCCTTCGATCCGTACGCTGCACGAACTGACATCAAAGGCTCGAACGCCATCAATGACCTGCTCGAGCGTCCTCAAGGTCGGCGTATGAGTGAAGCGTTGACAAAGTTCAAGAATATGCGCCGGATCGGTCGTGTACCACGCATGTTCACATACGGCAAGATCATCGAGGCTGCAGCCAAGGAGAGCAATCTCAACCTCGCTCACGATATTCTGGAGATGGCGAAGCAGGATGTACCATTCGATGCTCGCTACCGTGTTGTCGTTTTCGGCTGGCAGCAGATCTTGGACCACATGGTCGCTGGATGTCTGACCGTCGGACGTCGTGATCTTGCTGCTAAATATCACCAGGACTTGATTGACATGGGCGCTGCCCCTTCCGCAAACACATTCGGTTTATACATCACCACCTTGAAAGAAAACACCAAAACCTTCGACGAAGCCAGCGAAGCGGTCAAGATCTTCCTCCGCGCCAAAACCGAAGGCGTCGAGCCCTCCTCCTTCCTCTACAACGCCCTCATCGGCAAACTCGGCAAAGCCCGCCGCATAGACGACTGCCTCTTCTACTTTGCCGAGATGCGCAATCTCGGCATCCGGCCCACGTCAGTCACGTACGGCACTATCGTCAACGCCCTGTGCCGTGTGAGCGACGAGAAGTTCGCCGAGGAGATTTTCGAGGAGATGGAGGGATGTGCGAACTATAAACCTCGTCCGGCTCCTTATCATAGTTTGATGCAGTATTTCCTGTCCACCAAGCGCGATCGGGCGAAGGTGTTGGGGTATTATGAGAGGATGAGGAGCAAGGGGATCGAGCCCACGGTTCATACTTATAAGCTTCTTATCGACACGCACGCGACGCTTGAGCCGGTTAATCTTGCGGCTGCTGAGGGGGTGTTGACGGATATGTTGGCTTCGGGCATCCAATCGGAGGCCGTGCATTATGCCTCACTTATCCACGCAAAGGGCTGCGTGTTGCATGATATGCCTGCCGCTCGCGCACTCTTCGACTCCGTTCTCGCAGAAGGTCGCGTGAGGCCACAACCCTGCCTCTACCAAGCCCTCTTCGAATCCCTCAACGCCAACCACGCTCTCGCTGGATCCGCAGAGGCACTACTATCGGATATGAAAGCCAGGCACGTGGAATTCACCCCTTACATCGCCAACGCACTTATCCACGGCTGGACGCTGGAGAAGAACTTGGCTAAGGCGCAGGCGGCTTTCGCCGGTGTGCCCAGGGGAAGGAGGGAGCCGAGTACGTATGAGGCTATGGTTAGGGCGTATTTGGCTGCTGAGGAGAGGGATGCAGCGAAAGGGGTTGTGAGGGAGGCGTTGGGACGCGGGTATCCCGGGGCGGTGGCGGGGAAGATTGCTGAGTTGGTGCGGTAGGGTGTGATGAGGGCATGGAGGAGAGGCTATGGGGTGGGGTGTGTGTGGAAGGTTTTCTTATGTTTGGTCTGCATGGCATGGGATGGGTCACGGCCGCATAATATTGCATTTCAAGCGAGGTGTTCTGGCGTTCCTTCTATGAGGAGTTGATACGGGATGGGGTGCTTTGGGATGGCGCCGCGGAAAGACAACGCTGGCTCGCTTTGGGGTTGGGATGGGAGGGTGGCTTTGGCCATGAAATGAAGGGCGGGGCTTTGTATGATTAGGATATCCAAGTAACTCTCCACTCTGCTGGATGACTTTGCCGAAAGGTGAAGTGTCTGGAGTTTCTTTAATGAAAAGAAATGTTTTATTAGCAGTCGCCTTTCCTCGCCTTATACCCGACATTGTCGCTCTCTTTTGATCGGCTGTACGGACTTGTATTCAGTATTAGTACTGCCAGCTGGCGTGTTCCATGTTGAGCTGGATTCGAGTGGGAGCTGGATGCAAACACCAGGATGGACCTAAAGCAGAGCTGAGCCTGTGAACAACATGGTTCTCGAGAGGAGCTCAGCAGCGCTAATACAGCGTGCCTTGGGTGCTGATCGCCCTTCCGCTCGCTCACTTCAGCAAGCAACTGTCCGATGACAGTTCTACGAGGTCGCGCTCAATCTGTGCTCCTATTTTGCTGGCATAGCTCTATCATTGACACACAGGTGCCTCTACCTCTATATTGGCCAAGTCGTGATCCGTCACCTCCACAGCCCACAGGCAATAATCCAGTCTATCTCCAGAGCTTGAGCCATCGAGTCACAGCATACACGGCGGACTGTACTCGGCACCAGCTTCTCTATGGACGCGAAAACAAGACTTATTCGCCGGAGAGAGCGGTGATGCGAGTCCCATCTTTGCCTGCCGCAACTTGATTACCTCCTTGTCCGCCGACCCAAGGAACATAACTACCCCCTGACCAGCGCCCGAAACGAAGTCGTTTTCATTTCCTTCCTGACTCTCAATATCAACGCATCGACCAATTCACCCAGGGTATCGCCACGCTCAACCTTGATGCTCCATCTGTCCGTTCGGTGACGCCGGTCGAATTTACAGGTAAAGGACTTGTCCCAGTCCGTCACAATCATCCCCTCCCACAACCCGTGCATCCGCTCACTTTGGCCAGACACAAGCATCGACACATCTGCCCTCAGCTTGTAGTCCCACGCGTCAATCAATCGGAAGGTCGAGACCTTACTGCAGACAATGAAAGTGTTGTCGTCAACGTGTGTGCTGGCTATTCGATAGGGTGACCGCGACCCAGCCGGAGACCCATGTCTGTCATGAGCGATTGCTCTAAGAGTTGGCGAGCCGTTGATGACGTTTTTGAAGGCCGAGTTGACGCGTTGAATGGCATGGAGCTGCCGCAGCTCGAGTTTTGCTAGGATTGCCTCGAGTAATTCGACTGCACCGAACACTGCTGCCGCAGCTGGGCCACCACTCTGTGCACCTTGGAATTGTCAGCACAATAACAGACCTCTCTCGGAACGAGGGTAGTTTTACCTTTTTCTTTGTCCGCCATCTTGGACAGATCTTTGTGGAATGAAATTTGAATGTGAAGGTGTTCGAGCTGCGCAAGATCTGATATGACCACCAGCACGCTCTCGCGCCGTCCCGCGTTGATCTGTTGACCATCTTCACTTTACCGGCCATTCACTTCTACTCAGCTGGTACACGTGCATTCCTAGCCCAGCATTGACGGTATATCGTCAGGACTCGATAACGTCTGCGAAACAACAATGGCTGCGATCGATTCTGGAATCGAACAAAGGGCTTTTGAACGCGTTCGGTACTATGCCCTCCTCTTGAAACCCTCGTCCACCGAAACCTTCGAGAACGAGATTGAATAGATATGCTGATCCAGGCAATCAGTTCTACACGATGAAGACTTAAGAAATACAAGCACTGAAGACGCCTCTTGGTAATCTGACACTTAGTTGAGCTCGGTCTCGTAACCAGAGAGCCATCAGCGAGTTGCTCCAACGACCAACGCTGTCCGGTCTCTGCCTACCGACTACTAGACCGCTGCTGGGCCTAGAAATCATTTCGATGAGCCGAACCTCCAGACCTCTCCACTGTGTCGAAATGACTTAGGCTCATGCTGTTGTACCCATCGTATATGCATCAAATGCTTAACCCAGCAGGCTCCCCTCATGTCCGGCGCGCTATAATACTGCATCGACTAGATCCCCAAGCGTAGCCCTCGGACCGAGCATCAACATGAAGGGACCGGCAGAATCCTGACGACCAACAAAACAGTCATAATCGAAGTCGATCGCGTGGAGCAGAATCTCCCTCCAAAAGCCGTCCACCCGCCGGCTTCCTTCGCATACAAGTGTTATCATTGCGCGAACCTTCATACCCGAGCTAGACACACCCGAGTTGCGCAATCTAGAGCCCTTGTCGCAGACAGTGAAGGTCGCGCCGACAATGATGGTGAGTAACCTGTGGTGTCTCCCAATGCGATTGTCGTCGTCACCCAGAGCGATGCGTCTTAGGACCGGAGATGTGCGGATCGTTTGGCGAAATGACGGGTCGACGCCCTGAAGGATGTGCAGTTCTAGCAACTCGAAATTGGCGAGGATGATCTCGAGGAGCTCCACGATACCAAAAACGCATGCGGCAGCGGTCGTTGGAGTACCTGGGATCCTGCAAGTTAGCGAAATTACTTGCGATGCTCGAATGAGGAGACTAGCCTTTTACCACGGCCATCGAGGTATCTTTACATGCAGTCGAAGCTTGCATATCGTCTATGTCGAAGGGTTGATGTTGGCTGTCATTAAGGAGTGGCTATGTTGTTCGTGCCTGAGAGAATGATTGGAAATTCGATCGTTGGCAGCTTATATATTAGCACGATGCACGGACTACAGACGCCAGCATTTGATTCATACTTACCCAGAGCTGCGAACAGAAACGTCACATGATGGCATGCAGCTCGAGTCGGACTGTAGTGTGAATCTCACGATATTGATGGTCTGCATAGTTCGCAGCGCTGGCTTGGGACTCATTGTGAGGGCGAGTAGCGTTGGACATTCGCTGAGCGCTCCTAGTGCTTGACTCGGAAGCGTCGAACGACTTGCATTATATTGCTGACCGTGGTAGATGAGTGCAAGCATATAATTCCACGGTTTCGTCTTGCCGTCAGTGCATGTAGACACCTTGATTTCTATCGTGTCCCATGTGGATGTCCAGCAACGTGCACCTCGGCGCCATGACCAGGCCTGTTGCTTTCCCTTGCCAGAGTTGACACTCGCATGTCGACGATACCAACTGGTGGGAACGATCAGATTCGATAACAGAACTAGCTGTCCACTTACGCTAATAGTAGGCACATTATTCTGAGAAGAGGTCGTTCAACTTAGCAAGTCGTTACGAACTCTAACCATCCAGTCTACCAAATCAGGTCTTCTTCTCGCAGAGTGATGCTGTGGTCCAATGTATGGGCAGTAGGCATAGCTTAGCATTCTCGAGACACCGTCCGCCTACGACTATCACCGCCAGCCGGAATCGAGCACGTAGACTGCACAAACCCATTGATCCCCCGTCTCCTTTCTTTGTCCTACGCTCGTGTGAATGCGATTGTGCTGTGCCTTCCGTTTACGTGCTGAGTGACTTCGATGCCACTTTTACCTCCAAACACGTCGCGCTAGGAGACACGTCTACAATGTCATTCATTCTCCGCCCCTCATATACGACCATGTCGGATCTCCTTTTACCCTGATATCCTCATACCGACCCGCACCCACACCGACCAACCAACCTCAACAACTCGTGATCGTCTGACATTCAACAGTAAGACGGCCACAGCATCGACACTTACTATTGCTGCCGACGCAGTCACCACGACAACCATCAACAGCTCCGCAGCCATGTCCAATCTTCAACTCGAGTCAAAGGCTCCTTGGGGCGAGATTGCCGACATGAGCGTGGAAGAGTGGAACGCCATGATCAATGAGGACATGTACGACCTGGGCTCCACCAGCGAGTCGAATGATGTGGTCGAACCTCAGCTCGTGCTTCCTTCTTCGACCAACGCCCAGCACTCGACCACTAATCAGCAACCGATCAGCATTCAGCAACCGATCAGCAACCAGCAGTCGAACGTCAACCATCGCTCGACCATGGCGCCACAGGCTCCTGCTCCGACTGCTGTAATGGCTTCACCGTTCCAATTCAACCCATCCGCAGCGCCACCTACACCGGCTCAGGCTACGATGGCTCCACCCTACCATGCTCACCCGTTCGCGCCACAACACCAAGCCTTCACCTTCAACGCTTCGGCACACCCTTCTCCTTCCTGGGACAAGAAACCCGTACTCCACCACAACAGCTACCCCAACAACAACATGGTTGGCGCCAACCCATTCTACCCACCACCACCACCACCACCCGCCAGCCTCCCACAACTCCAATTCCATCCTCAAGTTCATCGTGCGCCGCCCACCGTCCAGGAGAGAATGCTATCCAACCACGACTTCTGCAACACGTACACGGACTACGAGCTGGAGAACGGCATGTGGGTAGATGGATACAACGGGCAGCTGTTCCAGAGATATCCGGAGCTGAGAGGCAAGATCTTGACCGTGTATGTCCAGATCTGTGAGTCGAACTTCTCAAAGGTGGGCAGTGTCGCTCCAGCTGGTACGGTATCGAATGGTAGTATGACTGCCACATATGGTCGCCAGCAGGGCTCTCGGCCGCTATTACCTGCTGAGGCGGTGATGCAGAACCAGGCAGTGGTGCAGAAGAACGACGCTGCGCCAAAGCGGAAGAAGAAGTCCGCCGCAGCATCTGCTCGCACTCCAGTCAACAAGCCCTTGCCGAAATCCAGCAAGATCAAAGCAGCCGAGCCATCTCCGGAGCAGAATGACGAGGGCGAGGAAGAAGAGCCGCAAGTCAACGACGACGACGACGACGACGAGGCCGATGCCGCCAACCACCCTCCTATCGCCTACATCCCCGACATCGCCTCCCCAGACGACGCCCGCTACCTCCTCGCCCACCCCCCCGCCTCGGTCTTCACCAGCCTGAACATCAAAAACGACGACCTCGCCACCACCAAGAATCAAATGCACCACTACGCCTCCCTCCTCTTCATCGCTCTACAGCAGACGGGTTCGACGTACCTCCCTCGCCCAATCAAGAACGCCGACCAGGAACTCCGCACAAACGTCCAGAAGCGGTACGAAGCGCAGCAGAAAGAAGCGATGGAGACGATTCGAGGGTACCTGGCCACTGCCCACGGCCAAAAGGAGGCTCGAGCCCGCTGTCTGGTCGTCTTCGAGGAAGCGATCAAAGTCCACGACCTCGGAATCAAGACCACAATCTACGACCTCGCGACCGCGAAACCCAAGCCCAAAGGCACGCACGCTTAACACATCAATTTCGACTCCATTTGCTCCGAGCGGCTGCTGTTGATGGTGGAGACGCTGTCTAAGTACAAGCTCGTGGCGGTGGATGTGCTAGAGGGCTGGGGGATGGGGAGTCTGGCGATGGATCCGGAGTATGCGGCTGAGGTTAAAGTGAATTATTTGGAGAGTAATGTTAGGAGGCAGATGACTGCGGATACGAAGAAGAGGGCGGAGGAGGAGGCTAAGAAAGTCAAGGATGAGGCCAAGGCGTTGAAGGCGGAGGTGAAGAAGAAGGCTGGGGGTGGTGGGAAGAGGAAGAGGAAGAGGGTTGTGGATGATGAGGACAGTGACGATGGTGGAGAGTACAGTGAGGAGGAGGAGATTGTGGTGGCTAAGCCGAAGAAGAAGGTGAAGGGCCGTAGTAAGTGAAAAGAGGACGAGATGGTGGCTCTGGCATTGGATTGCGGTATGAGTGAGCGAGTAAAAGCCGCAAGTGAGTCTGAGAGTCGATGGAGGACCAATACTAGCGACATCGTTCTCTTGACCATGGCGGTGAATATCGTATAGAATGACGGATTGATATGGCGAGCTCAAGGGCAACCTTTGAAGCGTGAGCCGTGGTCCGTAGCATGGTAGTATTGGCGTTGGGATTAGCATAGCATCGTTTCATGTAAGAGAATGGCCACGATGTTCTTGTACTTTTCCTACTGTGATAGTGCGTATTCGTCGATTGGGTAGTGATCCAGCGGCTTCTTACGTTATTACGTTATATGTTGGCGAAATATATTGTGATGTGTAAGGTGTCTGAGGTGTCTGAGAAGTCTGAGAAGTCTGAGAAGTGAAGTGGAAGAGTGAAGTCGGAGGCGTCGGGAGTGTCCAAATACTGCGTCACGTGACATGCATGACTCGTGAGCGATTTGGCCGAAGCCTCAACTTCTGCATGCAGCACTTTGCGCCAGACAGTCTCACGCCTTTGGTGGAGATACTTTAAATCATGGACGACTTCGAGCAGCTGGAACTGCTATCGCTGGTGTCCAAAGTCACATCGGAGATCAACAATTATATGGGCATCGCGGACAAAACCATCGCGGAATTCGTCATTGACCAGCACGCCAAATGCACGACTTCCAAGGACTTTGAGGCTGCGTTGGAGGAATATGAGTTCCCGAAGAGCTTGGCGGAGAGTATAGATCGGCTCATCCGGACTTTGCATCCGAAGTATAAGAATGGAAATAAGAAAGCTGGGCACAATGGGGTTGAGAACAAGAAGAAGTTTACGGGTCTGAGTCTGCCGGATCAGGAAGTGGGGTTTGATGAAGAAGGCGATGGCGATGGCGATGATCTGGACGACACGTTTGCCATCTTGGAGAGCATGGCTGGACCGCCGAAAGCGAAGGCGAATGGAAATGGGAATGGGAATGGGAGGAAGAGGAGTATGAGTCCGGTGGAAGAGCACAAGCGGGATAGTAAGAGGCACCGCCATTCGAGATCACGGTCGCCGAGGCGGAGAAATGACGAGTACCTGTTCGAGGACGAGTTCGGACGCACAAGACCGCACAAGTCATCAGAGAAGCACTCGCGGGAGGAGAGAGATGGGAGGCGTGGACGGCGGAGAAGAGATTCGTATGATGAGCCGCCACGACAGAAGATCGATGATGAGCCGGTGTTATACAAGGTCTACGACGGCAGGGTGACAGGTGTCAAGGACTTTGGCGTCTTCGTCAACCTGCGAGGTGTCAAGGGCAAGGTGGATGGATTGGTTCATGTCAGTGCCATGGCCGACCATAAAGTCAACCATCCCTCCGATTTAGTGGCGAGAGATCAGGAAGTCAAGGTCAAAGTCATGAAGGTGCAAAATGGACGTATCAGCTTGAGCATGTTGGAGGTGGATCAGGTCAGCGGGCAAGATTTGAATGCTGGCAGGAGGTTGCTCACTGGTGCTACTGGTGCGAACGCTGTGGGTCTGAATGGCGGCGTGCCTGGCGATCCCATGGCTCCTGGCGTGCCTATCATCGAGGGTAATGGTGCAGGGAGAAGGCCTAAGAAGCGCATGACCAGTCCTGAGAGGTGGGAGATCAGACAGCTCATTGCTTCCGGCGTGATCAAGGCTGCTGAATATCCCGATCTGGACGAGGAGTACAACAACGCTGCAAACGGAGAAATGATCGAGGAGGAAGAGGATGTGGATATCGAAGTCCGAGAAGACGAACCACCGTTCCTGGCTGGTCAGACAAAGCAAAGTCTGGAGCTATCACCTATCCGAGTCATCAAAGCACCCGACGGTAGCATGAACAGAGCAGCTATGCAAGGCGATGTCCTCGCCAAAGAGCGCCGAGATCTCCGCCAGCAGGAAATGCAAGACAAAGCCGCCAAAGAAGCAAGCAAGACCGACCTCGGCCAAGAATGGAACGATCCGATGGCCAACGAGAAACGCTTCGCATCAGATCTACGCCAGAATGCAAGCCAAGCAGCCAAAGGCACCGAAGTCCCCGAATGGAAGAAGATCGCTTCTGGCCGCGGTGCGGAAATGGGCAAGCGCTCCAACCTCTCCATCAAAGAGCAGCGAGAAACCCTCCCAGCGTTCAAGATGCGCAGACAGTTCCTCGAGGCTGTCAGACAGTACCAACTCATGATTGTAGTCGGCGATACCGGGTCTGGCAAAACTACTCAGCTAACCCAATATCTTGCTGAAGACGGCTATGGTAACAATGGTCTCATGATTGGGTGTACGCAACCTCGTCGTGTGGCTGCCATGTCCGTTGCACAGCGCGTGAGCGATGAAGTAGGATGTAGACTCGGGGAAGAGGTGGGGTATACCATCCGTTTCGAGGACAAGACTTCCGACCGTACGAGGATAAAATACATGACCGATGGAATCCTGCAGCGAGAAATCCTACTCGACCCGGAGTTGAACAAGTACTCCGTCATCATGCTCGACGAAGCCCACGAACGCACGATCGCCACCGATGTCCTATTCGGCCTCCTCAAGAAGACGCTCAAGCGCAGACCAGACATGAAAGTCATCATCACCTCTGCCACCCTCGACGCCGAAAAATTCAGCTCCTACTTCCTCGAATGCCCCATCCTCACTATCCCCGGTCGCACTTTCCCAGTCGAAATCATGTACTCCCGCGACCCAGAAAGCGATTACCTCGACTCCGCCCTCACGACGGTGATGCAAATCCATCTCACGGAGCCGGCGGGCGATATTTTGCTCTTCTTGACTGGAAAAGAGGAGATCGATACGAGTTGTGAGATTCTGTACGAGAGGATGAAAGCCCTGGGACCGTCAGTGCCGGAACTCGTCATCTTACCCATCTACGGCGCCCTGCCGAGTGAGATCGCTAGTCGAATCTTCGAGCCCGCGGCTGAAGGGAGCAGGAAGGTGGTGATTGCCACGAACATTGCCGAGACCTCGATTACGATTGATGGGATATACTTCGTCATCGACCCTGGTTTCGTCAAACAGACAGCCTACGATGCTAAACTCGGCATGGATCGATTGCAAGTCACACCCATCTCGCAAGCGCAGGCGAAACAGCGGGCTGGTCGTGCTGGACGTACAGGGCCGGGAAAGTGTTTCAGGTTGTATACGGAGAGTGCTTTTCAGAACGAGATGTTGCCGACCACAATCCCGGAGATTCAGAGGCAGAATCTGGCGAATACGATTTTGATGCTTAAAGCTATGGGAATCAATGATTTGTTGGGGTTTGATTTCATGGATCCCCCGCCGACGAATACTATGCTCACGGCGCTGGAGGAGTTGTATGCACTCTCTGCCCTGGACGACGAAGGCCTCCTCACGAGGATGGGAAGACGAGTGGCCGATTTCCCTATGGAGCCTACACTGGCCAAATCCCTCATCATCTCCGTGGAGTTGGGTTGTAGTGAGGAAATGCTGAGTATCGTCGCCATGATCTCGGCCGTGCAAACGGTCTTCCACCGTCCGAAGGAAAAGCAACAGCAGGCTGATCAGAAGAAAGCGCGTTTCCATGACCCAGCGGGCGATCATCTGACCCTGTTGAATGTCTACCAAGGCTGGGCTGGAGCGGGCAAGGGCGACCCGTGGTGTTTTGAGAATTTCGTCCAGCCCAGATCCATGCGCAGGGTAGAAGACGTACGAAAACAACTCGTACAAATCTTCGAACGACATCGCCTCCGCATCGTCTCCTGCGGCCGCGAGAGCCTGCGAGTCCGCCAAGCCCTCTGCGCCGGCTTCTTCCGCAACTCCGCCCGCAAAGACCCCCAAGAAGGCTACAAGACCCTCGTCGAAGGAACACCAGTCTTCATGCACCCTTCCTCCGCCTTATTCGGCAAAGCCGCCGAACACGTCATCTATCACAGTCTCGTCGAGACGACGCGGGAGTATATGCATAATGTTACTGCTATTGAGCCGAAGTGGCTTGTCGAGGCTGCGCCGACTTTCTTTAAGGTGGCGGGGAGGGATGGGGGGATGAGTAGGAGGAAGAGGGAGGAGGTTATTAAACCCCTCCATAATCGGTTCGCGGGGGAGGATGATTGGAGGTTGTCGGCGCAGAGGCGGCAGGGGAGGGGGGGGGGGGGGACTTGGGGATAGGTTTGGTGGGATTGGAATGCAGTGTGGACTTGGTGGATGTATGGGTTGGTGGGTGTGGACGCTACGTCATGTATATTCGGCGGATTTACATCGATGTAATGATTATCAGAGTCAATGGATGTTCTGATTCCGAGTCACACTTCGTTGCGTTGCCTTGGCCTCTACGATAGCCTCCCGGCCGGATTCTTGATCTTTATGGCAGGATTTCGCCTTGTTCGAATACACTGTTCTCGCGGTCTCACCTTATCATGTCCGGGTTCTTCAGCACCCACCTGCTGCTGGTGCCTCCCGTCTGGTTGCAAGCCGCTCGTGCGAGCGTATGTACCACGGCTGGTAGACATGTGCAGGGTGGGACAGAAGTGAATGCAGCGCTTCCATGTGGACTCCCCCTGAGGCGTGACGCAAGATGCGAGGAATCCACCGCTTCATACAGAACCTAGAAAGTCTGCAGGGCGAAAGAGCAAAGGAATCGGAGATCGACTTACGCTGTCATGGCACGTATGCCTCCTTGCAGTAAAGCTCGATTACTGAAGATGGAGTTGGAGCGGCGTTCGTGGCGAGCTTGATACTGGTAGACTGGTCCATCAGCTTTGGACATCGAGACATAGTATTCTGACAAACGACACAGGTGTGTTCCAGCCAACGGCCACGCTCAAGATTTTCGGCATCGTCGAGCTCCTCGAAGCAATTCTCCAGAACCTCGATCTACGTACCCTACATCCCTTTCGCCGAGGCAACTCAATCTTCAAAAGCATAATCGAGTCCTCGCCTACACTTCGACCTATCGCACCCGGCCACAACGACCCCTCCGCCTGTGAGGTGCTTAGGCACAGACTCCTCCGCATCTGTCCTGAAGGCTCGACCGTATTCGTCACTCATCCCCTGGTCGGAGTGCTCTTCGGCATGACAGTCCATATCTCCACTCTTACTCTTGGACAGATCGAGCGGGTGCATGGGATGTGGGAGGACATTTTACTGCATGCCACGAGCGGACACTTGGAGTGCTGGTTCCGTCGACTGGAGAATGCTGCGACTATGAAGCTTCGGCTGGGATCTAGTATTACGCTGGGTGGGTTGATAAACATGGTTGTGGATGATATTCAAAAGGGTGGGGATCGTTTTTCGGGGTACAGGGTGGAAGTGGATCTTGAAGGGCTTGCTCTCTGATGGTCACTCAAGTGGTTTCGTTGATGTAGCGGCGGAGTGTGGAAATGTCCTCGGCCAGCATGGCTCGAGTCGGCGCCGCAGATGACATGGTGGAGATGCTTCGAGGCTTACTGTGACGAACTCGGTCGTCTCGAGTCCACTCCAGCATTGTCCGCAAGTCTCTACGCTACCGATCGGGCAGATTTTTCTCAAGATGGAGATACCGTTTGTTCAAGACAAAGAATTCTAGCGTGAAAAAGGATAACAAAGCCAACTACACAAACGCATGTACGACAAGACTTGCACCAGATCTTGAAGGACGTAGAGCAGTACACGAGATATCATGAGCAGTATGTTGTTTAGCTATGTACAATGCCGCATGCCAGGACCACTGAAGACCTGCTAGCAGATGCCTGAGCTATCAGATTGTTGTGTAAACGCATGCGATTCGGCCGTTATGTGAGATGGACCAAAGTCGCATACTCCAGTGTCATCAGAACGCTCTCAAATCGGATCAGAACGCAGCACAACGCGTCATACCAACCCACAGCAATTGCTAGTGGTCGTATCAGTTCAGGTCGGAAAAGATGCCGACTACTCGTTTTGTAGCCTCGTTGCAAAGCCACCACCTCACGATCTTGATGTTGCACAGCTGAGCCACCACATGGCACGAGCGCCTGTTCTGTCAAGTCTTGCGAGCTGCTATGAGCATTGTCTTTGCTCAAGCGTCGTCGTCGTCGATGCCACCCTTGTTGCCATACTTGAAGTTGAAGCTAGGCGCAGCAGCATCGAAGTCGAGATTGGGAGAAGCGCGGAACATCGGAGTAGAAGGCGTAGTGAAGCCGAAGTGGTAGACACTCATGCTGGGCTGAGTCGCACCCATCTTCATCTGCGGGTTGCCGAAGGAGGTAGCGGACCGAGCATGATTGCCATAGGTCGGGTACTGAGGGTACTGTGGCTGTGTCATCGGCATTTGGCTCATACCGGCAACCTGACCCGCCGTGGGGTAGCCAGGAGCGGTGAGGTTGTTGATGCCCTGGCCGTTGACGAAGGGATAGGGTGTGTCGTAGGCCTGCTGACCAGCATTGACCGGGTGCTGGGCATAGGAAGTGCGGGATTGGATGTGATACGGGTTGTTATTAGTAGTGGCATCTGCGCCCATGGAAAGAGACATCGTGCCAGCTGGAACAGTAGGAGTGGGAAGCTTGCAACGAGGAGCACCTTTGTTGCGCACAGGCATAGGTTTGGTGAACAGGTTCTTGGACTCCTCATTGTTGTCGGCCTTGCCCTCATAGTGATTATTCAAAAAGGTGCGGCCTTCTTGTTCCACGCTGGGGTTGGAGACGTGGTCGATAGCGTCATCCGGTAGAAAGAGCTGGGCTTGCTCACTCTTGTCACCGCGACGACGCTTTTTGTTGCCCTTGCCACCCTCGGTGCTGTCGGTGGCTGCAGCCCGAGCGGCAGCCCGAGCGGCAGCTGCTTTCTTAAGCTGCTCGTCGCGCTGGCAATTGGACTTGACGTGACAGATCTTGTTGTGAAGCTCGTAGTCGAGATCGCGAGCGATTTTGTGCAGGATCTTGCCGGTAGCAATGTCCAACGCGAGCAACTTATTGGCACGGACGACGTTGCACACCTTTTGACCACGGACCGAGCACTTGATCTGCTGGTAGCGAGCGTCGCGGTTGCTGGCCTTATTGTCCTTGGCGTCGAAGTCAGCGGTGAACTCGTTCGAGAGCCCATTCTTGTTGACACAGATGATGGTACGAGCCATCTTCATACTGAAGATTTGAGCGGAATATCTCCCGCCTGAAGTACCAAGCTGCTGGTTAAGCAAGCCTAGAGCAATCTCCTGGCCCTTCGTGAACTTGTTGAGTTGTGCTTCATTGAAGTCGTCGGGGATGTCGTAGGGTAGCAAAAGTGCACCGTAGATGCTGTCGGCAAGGACTTTGAAGCGTGCGATCTCGCAAATCCAATCGTCGCCTGTAATGCGGTATTTCTTGCAGTTACGGGGGACGACGTAGTCGCAAAGCAGTTCGATGGTGATATTGGTGGGGTCTGTCTGGTCGTTGAAGCGAGCGTTGTACCAGATGGCGAAGTCGATGGAGAGCTCGTCGGTCAGTTCGGCGTAGTCTTCAAGGAGAGAGCTGCGCATGTCGCTGACGACGAGGCCGTTGTTCAGGCTCTTGTGAATATGCTCGCTCCAGAAGTCCGCAGAGCCTGGCAGTGCGTCATTGTGAGTTGCCGAAGCAAGCGTGTTAAGAGCGTTGGCAAGCGTGTTCGCCATTGCGAGGATAGGTCTTGTGGCACGCAACAGAAAGTATTCTCTGTAATATGCTGGAGGTACCGTGATGCTGAGTTTGTGGAGAGCTATCACGGAGCCGATGTGATGGAGGTGGTCGATCGTCGCTGGATGATCGATGTGCCTGGAAGGGGTGTTGAATCACTTTCGAGGCTGTTGAAAGGTCAGTGGATGATCGAGTTTGTTGGAGGTGTGTTGGAACAACTTTGAGGGTGGCCATCATTAGTATATATACTCGCCTCTAGCCCTCAAGCCTGACCGGAGTCTGCTAGTCTGCGAGGCATGCGGCCACGTGACTGGAACCTGTTGCAGAGCTGAAGCAGTGCTTCAGATTGGCTGGTTTGGAGACGCTAATGCAGCGGTCATCACTAGCCTCGCAGAATCCTGTTTGAGGTATAAGTGAATGGTCACTTCTTCCTCAACCTGCACTCCAGCCATTTTATATCCATCGAAATCGTCTTTTGAGGGAAGCTTGTGCTACCGATCCTCGAGTCGAGCATCAGTAGGCCTCCATTATCAAAGTCTTGGATGGCTTGGAATGTTTTACTGTGGCTCAGCTTAAGATGGGTATGTAGACGAGACAGCAAGCAGATATGTGTATTTGTTCATGATCAGTCTTTGTACGTTACCGCGAATTGATGCAAAGCTTCGCTGTATGTGAACAGAGCAAATAGACGGATCCAGAAGAGAGTGTGAGGCGAGTCGAAGTTTAAGCATGTTATGGTGTGCTGCAAATCATACTCCAAATCTGAGTGCTGCACGCCACCATGGACTCCGACTCTGGTGGGTTCGTTCGTCGATGACCCTACATATTTGATCCTCTGCTTGGGCGCCATTGTGCAAGTCACGCTGTTATATGGTGCCTGTAGGCTCTTCCACATCGTATAAGCGTGAAATCGCGGTCACGTAGAGATTCAAAGGGACGGAGGCGAGATGAGGTGAAGCGCAGAGGTCGTCTGGACTGTTGCCAAGCTTGCGGAAGAGCCGTCCCAATCGCGCAGCACTTCCGACTTCACCTCATTGACATCCATTCCTGTGCACACAGAGTCGCGATACTGTCATATTAACATATCCGCAGCAACCTGAGATTTCGTGGACGTGGTCGCGGAGATAATGTGATGAAGACGAGCTCGATGGTCATGACATATAATGAGTGAAACGCCATGGAGTACGGCTGGATTGCAGGAAGAACGACGAGCATCAAACCAATCCAGTCTATTCATTAAAGCTGGTGTCGTGCCGGTCCAAGAGCGAGGAGACTACTCATATTGTGCGAAATGGAGCCCAAATGTCCCCGTGTCCGGGCAATACGAAACACACCCGAAGAAGACTGGTCCTCCGAGCTCGATTGGCAGTGTGCTACCTGTCCAGGGGTCCTGTCCGCTTGCTGGACTTCCTCCGGCGATGACTACTCTTCTTTAACAGTGATGCAGTCGTTCGGACGTCCGTTTATTGTGCCGTACCTCGTTATCTTCACCGCCCGCTCGGTCAGTCGAAGAGGGACCGATTTGCGCGAGATATCGAGTAGGTTTTAGTAGTGTGTATGGCTTTCATAGTAATAGAGGTTATATGTGGAAGTGAGAATGAAGCTCGAGGTACAACGGACTAGGACCGCTTACCTTGGGATTTGCTGCAACCTACCAGCATCACAAAAACATCCCCACACCAAGAAGCACACGGTTAGTAAGCATAGAACCAACCAGTACCGCAGCATCACCACAGACAGTCGGAGTGTGCTGCGACACTTTCCTCAAGAAGCTCTTGCGCGGACGCCCAGACTAATACTACCACCAAAGCCAACTTGGGCGACGAGAAGTCGACCTATTAGGCCCTCTAAGGGCAAAACACCGGCACCCTACCATCCGCTTGCCAGCGCTGCTCGAACGTGTCTTCTGTACGGGAGAACCTTGAGCTCGCGGGTGAGGTTGGCGGATCACATCAGCAAGCGGCATGCGATCCCAGGCTATGGTCTGGTATGCGAGTGTTGTACCCAAGGTCTAGACGAGGAGGTTGATCGGGCTCGTCACTTCGTTCATGATCTGTGTCTGGCGCTTTGGCAAGGCTGAGATACGTGGACGCTGTTAGACATTTAGACTCCGTAATTAAGCCAGATGCGAAGTGGAAATCGATGATCGTCTAGAGATGATCGTCGAGGCTCTGACTCCTCGAGCGGTGGAGCCGGATATCAGAAACGAGCATAGCAAGCGGATTTAAAGGAGATCATGCTAGTCACAGGTATAGGCCTTGGCCGCTGTCCGGTGAGCCTCCAGACAGCTGAGACAGTCTTTAGTTGTCTTTCCTCTTTTGTCGCTCTTTTGCAACGTAGTGGGCGGTGCTACGAAATTTTTCCATCGAAAACAAGGGGAGGCTTGCCGGCAGCAAACATCATATTACTATAGGTATGTGAAGACTCTTCCTCGTTGTTAGGCCACTCTAGTAGCCTATAGCACCATCAGAAAGGCCAGAGTCAACAAACTAAATAAAATGCATTCACACCTTATCCTTCTCCCATCAACAGCAGACCTTGTGAATGTGAGAACATTCAACAAACAGGAGCCGCCTTGGCATTCGGCGCCTTAGTCAGTCTGAGCTCCAAACACTCGTTCACTCTCATTCCTGTCACATTATAAGAGATAGAACGTCGTACATCCATCGATGTATCGTTTCCTCGACCACAAACAAGATCACCAGTCTCGGTACCATTTTAGCCTTCTACCAAGATACGGTTAGCAACGCCAAACGCAACAATACGAGCGCCGTCGATACCGGCCACGCCTGCTTTGCTCAACTCCCAGCAAGATGCCAATCTTCAAAACTGCGCCGTGCTATCTTAACGCTCCGTACCCCCCGCAAGTCGTCGATGCAGTCGCGGAGCAGGGACACAACATCGAGCGGCACGGCCCACTGTACCACATCGGCATCCACCAAGACCTCGCCGCTGGGCCTGAGCTTAGGTCGTGGTGGTTCGCCGAGGATCTGACTGCTGAGCCATCGGTCGTGCCTGATGGTTGGACAGTGCTTGAGACTGCCGCTCTGTTCGATCGCGAGGGGATGGACACTGACGACCAGACGGTGAACGTGGCACTTGAACTACTTCTACCGGGCGTTGCCACCGATGAGATTCCCCTCATTCATGACAAGATCTTCAAAGATGTCAATGGAGTGTACCGAAGCCGATGGTTTACGGATGTACGAGGCCCTAGCAATCCATTCGTGCAAGGCCTTGCGAATGTAGCCGTCCAGCATGTAGGCGTAATCGTACGTGTTGGCCAAGGTGCCGAGGACCAGGTCGCTAAGGGTGTCGACGCCCAGCCGACAGATCTTACAGGCGAGGATGATGATGATATGGAAGGAGAGATGTGCAATGATCTCGAGCGAGCGGCGGCCAACTGCGACCAGCGTGGGACAGACATACCGAATCAATATGTACCGCTTGCAGCTCCTGCGGCCTCAGAACCGGCAGCTCCACAGCCAGTCTCAGGCTCAGCAAACGATCCAAGAACCCACGCCTTCCCTTGCCCAATGCCAGCTTGCACCATCGGAGGTCGAACGATGAACCGCCGCGCCCTTGTTGTCATCCACATGCGCGAGCACGGCTGCAATCTGCCCAAGGCGCGTGGTGGCCCGGCGGACAAGACTGCATATAACAAGATGCAGAACAAGGTTGCTCGACGGTGGCTGAACGACCGAGAGATCTCGTGGCGTAACAGTGTATTTGAGCTGGGCGCTGACGATGAGGATGGGGAGGAGGAGGAGGAGGAGGAGGAGGAGAAGGAAGCGGATGACGATGAGATGCGGATCTGACCTTCGGGGAGGTTGTGTCGTCGTCTTCGCAAGCTGTTGTGGCGGAGCGAGGGCGAATGCAACTATTGTCCAGCTTGGTCATTAGCCGGCGGGAATAGAGACCAAGTTTTGAGACAAAGCCCGATGCGAGTCAGTGTTCCGGGGTCAACACTATCGTAATAGCACGAGTCGTATGGTCGCAGGCGTGTGAAAGAACGTGTCGCATTAGCAGTAGAGGAACTTGTCACTCATTCTAGCACTTCTCGAGTGATAGCTGGAGCGTACGATTGATGGTTGAATCCGGCCATAGTCGCGCCCAGTGTACCAATCTCTGACAACCCAATAGCTTGGTGGGCAATATGCAGAATCTTGCAAGCTGTCGCTATTGTCATACCATCAGTGCTACTGCGCAACTCCAGCTGCATATCTCGACTCCAGCTGTGCAAGCAGTCCGTTACTGTCAACGATCCACTGTTCAAAATCAGCCTTGGCCCTAGCTAGATCAGGCCGCAGACCCAAGATCGCCGTGTCTGCATCAGCATCGACGATCTCCAGTAGGTCGTTTCGCATCTCATTCATTAGCACTACTAGCTTGCTCAATAGTTCACGAGCGCTCGTCTCAAAATTCTTCTCCAGTGTCTCGCAAAACCTCACAATCATGACCTCGAAAGGCGTCCGTAGCCCATCGGTAGATCGGATATGGCTTTCGAGCGCATCAAAGTATCTCTCCATTATCCCTCGTCCTTTTGTGAAGTCTTGACATTTCTTGTATGCTGCAAACATTGCACATGAGAAGTAGTTTGCTGCGCTATCGGTGACAGCGCATACGACTGTTGACTTCATTGAGTCGCGCAAAGTTGAGCGGAAGAGGCGCAGCTCACGCCGTGTCCGATGCGTATAAGCTGTTGTGGTGTCCTTGAAGCGCTTTCTGTCGGCATTTTCGCAGACAGCTCTTCCATTGTACTCTTTCTTCAGTTGGTCAAGAACATCCAGTATAGATAATTCGAAGTCGTCCAAGAATGTGTCAAGCTGAGGCGCAAAGCTCGACCACTCCGTCTGCAGTGCAGCAACCGCGGCCTCTGAGAAATGCTGGTCCCAAGACTGACGAAAGGGCTCCCTTCTGGTAGAGTGGCGTCCGTTCTTCCAGATGAAAGCTTTGGCAGTCTGATGGTTCCATTTCCGGCGTTTGTTCAATTCAACAATGGCATGGTCGAGATAAGCAGGGATTGAGCGCACCATATGGCTGGTGATGCCGTCGTCGATAGTTCCTGGAAACGTTTGTAAACGCTCCGATACAATGGCGTTTAGTCGGTGCGAGGCTGATGTGAAGATGCCACTCATCTCTGTATGCCCAGTGCTGGCCGAGGGTTGCAGTAGTGAATCGAAGCTCTGTAAAAGAGCCGCCAGATCACCATTGAGATAGTACCGCAGCGCTTGGATCTTGTTACTCGCGACTGCTTCCTTCATGAAAATGTGCTTTCGTAGGCTGGGGATGCCTGTGTCTGATAATGCAAGGCGCGGCGAGACAGGGTCGAGGCCGCCTTTGCCTTCAGCATAGTGTTTGTTCGATACGCCATGAATCTCTAGGATCTCGTCAGGTGCTACATTTGCGCCATACTTGTCCCTGAGCTCTCTAATGATGTACTGAAGACGCAAATTGACGAATCTCTCAAACTTATGCTGTTGTGCCGATCTGAGCTGATCCTGGAGTTCACGCAGGCTGTTTGATGCGGTCGTAAGGGCACGTTGCTCGTTTGAAGTTGACACTCGGCGCCTCTTCGATTGGCGCTGGATCGACCTCTTCAGCTTGCTGGATCTTTCGCTTAGTCGAGTCACAAGCCTGATCTGCGCGCGAAGGTCCTCCACATCAAGACCACCGTCCTCGTATTCCTCGCATAGGCCGTCGGATACGTTGTCGTCGATAGCAGTGGCAATTACGAGCACAGGAAGGTGTTTGCCATAAGTTGCAAGCATGGAAGCCACAATACGCTCCGAAGCGATGCGACCAATTCGATCGACGATCCATAGCTCATGGCAGCCGCCGTGGATCATTCTCTCGAATGCCTCAGACCGAAGGCCGTCGTCATCACTTGAACCCGGACAATCCACAATCGTGATATACTGCAGTAACTCTCGTCCTTGTATGCCCACTCGAATCTGCTCGACTAAAGGCCACAGCTGAGCTTTATCGCTTCTACTGTTCGAGTGGCTAAAGTGCTTCACCAAGACTCTCAATTCCGTTGCTGTAGCTGCTTCGACCAAGCCAATGTCGTTGTTAGTCTTGTTGTCTCTCACAGCGGCCAAGATCTCTTCGCACCAGCTGTAGAGCAGTGAGACTGTTAGGTCGAGCATAATTGAGCGTCTGTCAGTGAGCCACTCGATCGCTGTGGCTTGATTCATGAATCCGGGCTTTCCTTTGAACATTTCGCAGCAGATATTGATGGCGGACTCTGCTGTACGTCGAATGACGTCTCGCCGATCCTCAGACCAGCCGTCCTCGCTTTCACAATGCCACAAGTAAAAGTTCGATAGCAAGACGTGCAGTAGCTTTTCGATGACTTGGGGTGATCGAAACTGTACCTGAGCAGCAAAAGCCTTGGTTTGACCGTCCAGGGGTGCCTCGTAAATCGTCGGCACATCTGTACACCGCTTACCCGTGTCGAGAGCTTTCGTCAAGGAAGGCATGTCCAGTAGATTATTTATGATCGAACTCTTGCCCGTGCCAGAGCTTCCCACGAGCAGTATACGGAACTTTGTCCACACCGGAGTCTGTTGGAGATCCCACAGTTTGTCGAGCATGGTCTGAGCGCTGCTTGCCCTCAGGCTGTACCTCTCTACGAGTTCGATCACGGATTGTAATCGGCGTCTGCTTTCATCGAACATCACATCGACTGATCCGTCGTAGGCAGGTGCTCTAGCACCGGCGTGGTGAGGACCAGTGGTATCAGCCCAGCCTTCAGATTCCTCCTCGTTCTTATCGCTCTCATCGCTCTCGTCACTCTCATCGTCACTAAGTGGCTCTTCTTTGACCTCGTCCTCGTCTGGTTCTGCAATCGTTGCGTAGTGTCGCTTCCGGCTTGTTGACGGAGATGTTCCAAGAGCAGACGCTCCAAGACTTGGATCCGACGATGATGCCATGACTGATCTGCCAGCTATCACGATCTTCTTGACCTTCGGCAGGTGGAGTAAATGTACCGCTTGATGGGATTGGTACCGTCTACAGTGAGAGGGCGAGAATATCAAAAGTGTTCTGTTCTGCAGGAACAAAGCTAGGAGTGCATAAGTAGGCAAGGCGCTGGGCGATAAGCAAGCAATGAGGCTGCTGTCGAGCCATAATATCTCAGTGGGCGCAAGCCATCTATTTCGAGATACACATGCTCTACTATGCACGCATGCGGCACAGCGAGGGCTGCCTCAAGTCTGCCGCTCTGCCTCCTCGGTTAGCAGGATCATGAAACACCAAGGGTTCAGAAGGCAGCTGTCTCTATCCTGTGGTTTTGATCGACCATGGGAACTCTGAGCTGTATGAGAATTGCACTGGAGGCATTGAGGCTGCGCGTGGTGGTGGCATACCCTGGCGGCTACCCGCGTCATCTCATGTGGTTTGGCGGTGCTCGTGCGGAGCAAGTCTCATCGAGCTGCCATGCATAGTACCTTTCTTGTTTCGAGATAAGACATTGTGACGAACTCAGGCGTATCTGGTGATGAGTATGTGAGAACTTGAGGCATTTGAAGCCAAAGCTGAAGTCATGCGATGCCAAATATGCTGACTCGGCGTCTTGTTTTGCCGATTACTGTATCAAGTATACGACGATCTCAGTGTACACTTATCGTAGATGATGTGGCACCCGCGTCTTACATAGAGACCCAGTATACGCAGCCTTTGGCAATTACCAGCTGTATTCACGGCATACCTCAGTACTGAGACGATCTGCCGGTATCGTACTAGAGCAGGCGATGTAAAAGTCGTGCTTTAGAGAACACCGAGTGATAAGTAGACGAGAATCGCCAGGTCAACGGCCATTTCTCTCCCACCCCCCAACCCCCGAATAAGTAGGGTAAAACGACTGGTGTGTCCTCCATCACAAAAGGTACATGATCCTTATCACGCGGCGACCACCATCCCTACCCCTCCTTCATCCTAGCCAACGGCTTCTTAACAGCCCGAATACCCTTCAATGTCCCGTCTCTCCCCGGCTTCCTCCCCACCTCCGCCACAATCATTCTGGTAAAATCCCTCAGCAGCCAATACGAACTATGCGCCCCAAGCATAGTAAGATACTGGATCTCCAACGGCCCACCACCATACCTCACAAAAAAGTCCACCTGCCCATTATCGTTCAACAAGAGCATCCGCTTCTCTGCCACCTCCTCGCGAGTGAAATCGTGGGTTTCCATCTCCACGTTACTCGGTAATCGAGGCAGGAGAGGAGGTTTGACGCTGTCGCTGCCGGTGCTCGTGCCGCCGAACCAGGAGGTACTGCTTTTCCCACCGAACCAGCCGGCTGTGGTGGTAGGGATCCAGGCTTGTTTGAGGGAGGAAGCGTAGGTCGAGTCGACCGCGGCGTTCATGCGGTAGGAGACTGGATCGTAGCCGTTGATTATGTTGTAGACGTTCTCAACAGGGATACATCCGTACTGTCCTTGCTCGCCGCAGATAGTCAGTTGATTGGATGTCGGATCGGCTTCTGCTGCGGCAGAGGAATGGTCGATACGGGGCAGGAGTTGTGCCTTCTTTAGTAGGAGGAAGAAACCCGCTGGTGAGCCAGCGAGGAAGAGGTTGCTGGTTGGGAAGAGGAAGTGCTCAAGTTGTGCGTTTGCTAGATCGACTTTGGTTGGATCTCGGAGGTGTTTTGGCAGTGTGGTTGGTTGACGCGAGAGAATATCGATGGACATCACGCTACCCAGCGAGTGGCCGATGATGTGCACTCGACCATTCTCCGCAAACCCAGCATTGTGTTGGCACCAGAGCTGATATACTCTATTCGCTTCTCGTATCACAGCAGCAATCATCTTAGGCTGATGATGTGAAAGGTAGTATGGAATATCCAGCATGACATCACTGACAATATTCCGCACAGAGGGCAGGGTATTAGGCGTAATATCCTTCAAGCTGAACTCGTTCGACCCTGCCAGCTCATCGGGACCATCTCGATATCCACCCTCCTCGAAAGTCAAAGTATGTCGCCAATTGACAGGCAGAACCATGATACCGCCCATACCTTCCCGGAAGTGGCGGCTCACTTGCTCCGTGCCTACTTCAACATTGACGTCTCGTCTAAAAGCGTCCATAGCATGCGTGAAGTGAAAGCTCTCCATGCGTTGACTGAGCTTCTGCCCGATACCATGGATGACCAATATCAGATCTGTAACCTGCGGCCTTTCAGCCTTGGCAAGATTTGGATCAGTCTTCCGTCGTCTGTTGGGTGGTGTGCCAGCACCAGAAGTGGCCACACCGTGCTCAGCTTTCTCGGTCTTCTGCGTATGCTTGGTAGGGTGTAGCTTTTCCCACATCGCCTCGTCGAAGCCACGCACCACCGGAATCCCTAGCTTGTGACTTTTGCGGATGTAGCTAGCTAGTGGTCGTCTGCCGTAGTAAGCAGATGGCATGAGACTGGTGGATAACAGTCTAGCTTCTCGTTCGTTGGCATATATAACGCCAAAGTCTGCATAGATACGAGGAGGTCCTTGTCGGCCATAAGCCAGCTTCCCAGCAGCTTTGTTGTCGGCACCTCCTGGACCAGTAGAGATGTCAATGATATGACCAGCAGCCTCGATCGCTTTCTGCTGCTGTTGCTCCGGAGTTTCACCTTCTGAAATGAGGTTGAGCGTAGCTGTCCTCAGAAGATCTTCTGGGTCGTGTGGGCCTCGCCGACTCGTAGGACGACTATCGTGTGCCTTCGACTTAACTTCAGGCCACAATTTATGCGCAATCTTCTCTTCACCGGCAGCACCCACCTCCACAGCACTAGCCAGCTCGTCCTTCCATGTCTCAGTCCAAACTTGGAGCTCCACGTATCCAGCTTCAAGCATGTTCGCAACATCTGCCTCAACAGGCATCATAGTATCCTGGTAGAACCACGTCCCTCGCACCATTTGTGCCGAATCGTGTATGGGCGTCCAGTATATCGGCTCCATGACCAGCTCCGGCATTTCAACCTTGTGTAACCTCGACACACCAACAGGCACGCTCATCTCAGGCCTATCCTCTTTCCGTCTCTGCTCCGGAGCAGGACTATGCTCGACCAGATGCGAGGAGTCCTCCCACACATATGTATCATGTGCGTGTATCTTCGGTCTCGTCATGGGCACAGGGTCGACATGGCGTATGTCGCTTGGTCGCTTGCCTGAGGGTGCTCGTATGAAAGGTGTTCCTGTTGTGCCAGGCAGGGCCGGCACATCCGTAGCACTCTGGGAGCCTTCTTCACCAGCCACGTCCGGTTCAACTGCCACATCTGCATGACCATCGACCTGATTGAGACTGGAGGCAGCCTGTTTCGCTAGACTCGTCCTTATAACAGCTGGCTTCGATCCAGAATCTCTCCTGCTACCCTTGCCCTCCCTCACACCTCTTGACCCAGCCCTCGCTCTACTCGCCTCCCGCACCGCTGGCTTCTCGCCATGCTCCTCATTGTACTTCAGGATCTTCCGTCTCAGCTCATGCCAAGCATTGTCCAGCGATGTATTGTCATACGCCGAGAAAGGCTTCGGTGGGAGTCCAGCAGGTATCTTGCTACTAGCGGGGGGTACAGGGGACAACGGGTCGTCGATAGGCACTTGACTCGAGTAGAAGAACCTGGCTTCGATAGGTGGTGGAGGATCCGTGTGGTGCAAGACCTCGCGGATATACTGCGAGGCACCAGACATTTCGGCAACCTCAGGATGTGATAGTGATCGGACCAGCTAGCAGTGCAGACAGACAGTTTTCAGCAATCGTTCCAGCAAAAAGCGAACGAGTTTTTGCAGGCCTGACGTGGCTTTCTAGGCAACCTGATAACACCACGCCTACCGTAGATGATCCAACCAGTGACACCCTCCCTTCCTGGATATTTTCCCAGACATTATCATATGATCCTCAACACCCAGCATATCAAGTCTGGCATGTGACAATAGATGAAAGAAGAACATGCCAAATGACCCACTTGATCGGGCATGTCCTCGGTGGGACGCGATCTCACGCGCAGCGCCCTGATCATCATCACGATGACGTGCAATGCATATATGTATGAGCAGAGCATAAGCACCATCACATATATACTCACTAGACTATGTAAGAACGAAAGACTCGTAGAACAACAACATAAGACCATTGTAAGAGCATTGGAAGTAAAGGCCGTCCATCGACCTCACAATCCATCTAACCACATCAACGACCACCGCCACCACCACAAAGACCCCCAAGAACAAGATAAACTGATCCAACATGTCCTTCAACGGCGTCCGCTCCTTCCGCTACGCTCTCCTCTTTGAAATCGGCGCAAATGCCTCGGGCTTCGTACCCGCCCTCTTCATGCCCGAGACAGCCCTATCCTTCTTGGTCAAGAACCCCAACATGATCACGCCCGCCACCACATCGTTAATGCAATGGCCAGTCCACCCAAGACCCCCATTCCACCTCTTCATCTCCAGTACTAACGACAAGTAGGTTCGGCGTCCTAGTAGCAACCGGCTTCACAATCCCGCTGATCCTCTGCTACCCAAATCCTGTGCCTAGTCAAGGCGGTAGCGAGCAGATCGTAGCCTGGCGTCGGCTAACATACATGATGTTCGGAGCTGGCGAAGTCGGTCTGGGGACGATGATGATGGTTCAGTGGCTGCAGGGCGATAGCGGATTGAGCGATAATGCTCTTCTGATGGGAATGTTAGCCATGGGAGCATTCAGTCTGATGCGGGCGTTCTTCTTGTACGTGCGACCGAGCTGGATGGAGGGACAGGTCAACGCGAGGAAAGCTCAGTAGACTTTCATGGCTGACCATGAGGATTTTTAACAAGACTGAGCTGTATGAGATGAATGTATTGATACGCACACCTACTCGACAACCCCCTGCACACCCATAACACCCCGTCCAAACCAATCACTAACCGTACCAAACTTATCCCCGCTCCTCTGCAACGCATCTTGGAACAACTCATGCCGCCCCGCACTCTCCTCCTGCGCTCGTCTGATCTGCCTCACAGTCTGAATCTGCGGTGAGCAAACAGAGCACTCCACATCATCCACGCTCTGCCCATCCGCCACACCCAGGCACCGCTGATGAAAGCTATGCTTGCACATGAAGTGGACAGTCGGCAAATCCAGCGTACCACCACAAGAAGAGCAACGTGTAGCGCTAAAAGACGTTGGCTTGTTGGCCAGTTCATCGATCTCCTGCATCTTCTGCTCCGTATCTTTGCGATAAGAAGAGATGAGTCGGTTGTTCGCGGCGATTTCCTCTCTCTCCCGCTGCACAGTAGAGGAGAGATACTTCTTCACCAGACCCATTGTAGCGACCGCGTTCGTGCTAAGAGTTTGTATGACCTGCAGCGGCGCCATCAAACCATCTTCGTCAATCTTCTTGAGTACCGCCTCGACTTCGCTGCCAGCCTCATCGAGTATCTGTGGCGAGCTGGTCAGGTAGGCTAGCGCAGCAGGATACAGCTGCGGCTCTTCTGGACCATACTTATGTAGTGCTCGAATAGCGCCTCGGGTATCTCGCGCGGCAGTGTACGAGCGGAAGACGTCAAAGCGCAGTCCTTGTCTCTCACTAACCAGGACTGTACCATCCCTGAACTTCTCGAGATCAGATAATAGTAGCACATTCGACGTGTCGATGGGTACACTCTTCGACTCGATCAATTGTCGTGCCTTGCGCTCCCACTCTGTCTTCTCCTCTGCTCGGGTGTTGCTGGCTTGATGCAAGTAGATCTCGAACAACGTCGTGTACAAATCGGTCTTGCGGTCATCTTGCAGGTCTTCGCTGTCGATCAAAGCTTCCAGGAATGTCACAAACTCATCCGGATGGTCTACGAATGAGGAGAAGGCGACTCGAGGCTTCGGCACCTCATACTCAATGTATTCGCCAGGCTGTGTCGTCTCCACGACCTGTGTTTGAGTGACATTTCCGCTCGTTCCATTGGTCTGTGCTGTAGACATACTCATGCTTGGCAGAGGGATCAAAGCTGCCAGATTTTGCACGGCAGATCGTGCGACATTAGTGAAGCCTGTACTGCTCTCTTGCTCTGGAGGCGCTTCTTGCTCAATGACCACGTCTTTCTTCGGCCGATATTGGCCAGTAAAGTAGTCAATGAACAGATGCGTCGCCTCGATCGGGCAGTGCCCCAGCAGAACAGTGCCATACTTCACAAAGTTCTGATATGCATCCTTCGGATCCAATCGGACAATGTATGCCATAGCTTCCGCATATTTTTTCAAGTCTTCGATCAAGATATCAACAACCAGGCCATGCTCATTGTGTCTTCGTGCGAGGAATGCAGCCTGGTCGTAATAGCCCCCTTGCCGACACATGATAATCGCAGTGTCGAGGTCGAACTTCAGCTCTCCGGGCTGCTTGATGAACGCTTCAAGCTTATCAACATCCTTGAGCTTTGCATAGCAGTTGAGTAGAAGCGTAGTGTGATCCGAGGTAGCTTTGCCTTCCTCGTGCAGCGCTTCCAGGTACTCAATCAGGTTCCGCAAGTGCTGATTGTCCAAGAACTTGCGAATAATCTGTGACGGCTCCGTGTTCTCGATAGCTCGTAAGTACTGTTGCATCGCAGTATCGTAGTCGCCTTTCTGATACAGGTAGTCTCCAAAACGCCTGAAGATGACATTTTGCTGGACGGCATCCACCTGAGACTTCTGCGCTAAGCTGATCGCCAGCCGATACAAATTGAGTCGGTACAGTACCTCGAGCTTCTGCTGAAACGTCTTCTCATGATACCGATACAGCTTGCCATCTATAGTGAGCAGAAAGATGTCGCCCCAAATACTGACGATGCTGTTGACCTGGTTCGATATAGACTCTGAGTGCGCGATAAACCTGAAGTCGGTATTGAGGATCGTCAGCGTGCTTGAGTTGAGTATGTCCTCAGCCTGAGCTCCGCCGAAAGTGCGCAACATTGCAGAAGCAGCAGAGTTGCTCTTCGGTGGTGAGACGACGAGAACGTAATCTTTACTCACACCAACGAGCTTCTTCGAGCCCTCGTAAGCATGCGCCACCGGCTTCCCACGGCCATCATATGTGTAGATAGCGTCATCCCTCGCCACAATGATCTCGTTCCGTTGCGGATCCATGGTCATGCAGCCAACACCACAGCCATGTTCGTCGAGTGTGCGAGCAGGAGTACCTTGCGCCTTGCCAGAAATGGGCAGTGATCGGATATGAGAAGTCGTGGCGATGTATAGAGCAGTAGAGGCAGCTTCTCGGAATTCAAGGCCAGTGATAGGCTCCTGCGACTCGAAGACAGTCCTTTGCTTCGTGCCTCGATCATGGATGAAGTCGCCTCGCACAATCGTCACCGCACCATTAGCGAAGCCTACAGCTAGCTGAGCGACATCGCCAGTAACCGCGAAGCCGGTGACAGGGAAGCTCTTCCTGCCATTCTGCACGGTAATTGAAGAGAGGCACTTCGGGTAACCAGTCTTCTTCTCAGTCTGCTCGAGGCTCCACACGCGTAGTTCGGGTTCATGTGACAGGTCTTCAGCGAGTGTGAGTAGATAGGATGTGTCGTTTATCTGCTTCACGTGCGTGACACTGCCTGCGTCGTGGGCTTTCCATGATCGGGATAACTTGAAGGACTTGTCAAGTAGGTGGACAACGCCACCTGGTGTGCCGACTAGGATATCATTCGCGCCGGCGGCTATCGCGCTTACATTACCTTGCTGTCAAGATCAGTATCCATTTTGACATATGTCCTCACTCCTGGTCTAGACTCACGTCAAGCGGTATCGAGCCATCGCCAGTCGGGAGTCGAACAGCGGAGACATCGAAGAAGCGGAAGCTCTTCCACTGGTACTGGTCAGCGTGACGTGTGTGTAGCAGGGCGAGTACAGTATACTGATGTTAAGGCCATGCTATCGTGCCATGGACGACCTAAATGCGAGCTAAGTCGATGAACGTTGCGAGGTGATGGAGGCTGCAAGCACCGAATCGGACATAGCGGAGTTTTTTGATGCCTGAGAAGTTAGGCATACACAAGTTGAAAGCAAGAGTCTCGAACGATTCTTAGTTAACAATGAAGCAACATGATCGTGATCGAGCTACTGGTCAAAGCATGGAGGACTTGGAGTAACCACATCTTTACACCTCTATATCATATCGAAGATGAAATCCTCCTTCCCTTCCGCTTCGTGCTGCTGCACAGCCTCGCCATTCATGATGCCATGCACATAGCACGGCGCAACCATACTATACTCACTACCCATTGGACGCAGAATGAAAGGCCACTGACCGCCAGAAAGCACAGCTACAATGGCGCCAACTCGTGCATGCTTCGATCCCAACCCGACGTACCCCGACTGCGTGATGAAGACCCTGCGAGAGTTCATCGTCTCATACACTTCACCAGCATAGTTATATAACCTAGCCGTATCCACAGTCAGATCTGACCTTCCGATAACCGAGAACTGTGGCCACTCATCCTTCTGTTCCAGATACGTCTTGAGGGCAAGCAACTCATGAATGCCTTCACATCCAACGTCGTTGCCGGACATGTCATAACCAGCCACCATGGCGGGACCAAGATCTTGGGCATTCCTCACTACGACATCTGGGCCAGCTCCGCCCTCCACGAGATTTATGCAACTGCCGAGAACGTGGCCGGACTTCTGAACATCCATTCTGATGTCTAGATTGCAAGTTGAGGCCAGCGTCGCAATCTTGTCGACAATAACGCCTCCAAGTCGCAGTACGTCCTGGAGCGCAATTGAACTTAGTAGTACAGCGTGCGAGGATAGGTTGCCCTGTATGCCCATCTCATGGGAACAACATCACTTCGAATGTCTCGCGATTCACCCCATGGAAGAACCCAAGATGGTGTGGCGATCTTGCCATCACAATCGTGCGTTCCATTATTGTCAGTTTCTCGGAATACATCCAGATTTTGAAGCTCTCCAATAGCTGCTCGCGTGGCATCGCGGTAAATGTCTCGGATAGGCCTTGTGTAATCAATTTCGAGTAGATCGGAGGACGCGTTCGAAGATCGGGGTTTTAACAAGCCGAGCATGCCGAATACGAAGTCTCGTGGATCCGTAGCTCGAAAGCCGGTGCTATAGGTGTAGAGTCCGAGAAGATCAATATGTAGCCCGCCGCGCCGGTTGTACATGCCGAAAACAGGGTCTGCCAATTCGTAAAGGTGAAATGCAGCAGTGAGGATGTCATGGTCCAATTCATCCTCGCCCCTGACATACCTACACAGGATCCACACTGCAACTCTCACTACAGTGGTCAGATCGACCTCGAGCCCACCCCAAAAGCACAAGCTGATTGGAGCGAGCGCGACTTATTGTAGTACCCATACTCGGCTGAACCTGTTCACTAGGTAGATTATACATTCAGCAAACGAACCACATAGCGTCTAGAGAGGGACTCTAACGATCCACTTACCAAGGCTCGGAGAATAGGGCTGCCAGTGCACGACACGAGACGCCCTCTGGGTAGGTAGTCAAAGGCTTGCCGCATCATGTGTTGCTACTCATACAGTACAGCCTTAAAATTCATGTAGTTCGTCGTCTCATACTCCATCTGCAGCCGAATCAACAGCAGCGACTCGTACGCAGCTCGAGCCAGGGCGCCACCTTCTCCAAGGTAGACCAGATTGAGCTTGGTCCGACTGTAAATGTCTTGCATCAGCCTGACCTGCTGTCCACGTTCTGTAGCGTCCTGTTGGTTGATGCACAACGAGTCGATCCATAGTACGCGGGATGCATTTTCCAAGCGAACGCGCCGTAGCGCTTTCTCGGCAGCTGCTGGCACCTTTAAGGTGCAACCGTCCACACGGACGAACCAGCAATGCTTGGGGTTTCGCCAACAACACGATATGGTCTCGTAGGTAGGATGCTTGTCGCCGGCTATGGAGACATGCTTCAGATGGCATCGTAGACTGTGGTTCGCGCCAGACCCAGGCAGAAGCTCAAGGAGTGGAATCTCCTTGCGACCGGAATCCAGAGACTGATAAAGATAATGTGGCATTTTGTTTGTAAACATGACAGGTCTTATGAGCGTCGCGTTAGCCTCATAGCGGCTGGGCGTACTGTTTGGAAGAGAGAGAGGCTACTGCATTCACCAGTAGAAGCACCGCTGCTCGTTGGGCAGTGTAGGGCGGCCTCATCTGCAGCCGCATTGCCCCAGAGCCAATCGTAGATCGTCTTCCACTCGGGAGTCTTACACTCGACTACGATCGTGTGCTAAGTCCATCCAGCACCAGCATTGCCCTTTGTTGGGGCGTAATATGGTTGTGAGTCGATAGTGTAAGACATAGGCGGTGTCGTGGTGTGGAAGTGGACAGTGGCAGGACTGCCGCCAAGGCACACGAGTCATGCATTGCGGAATGCTCGCGCGCAACTGAACTGAACTGAACTGAACTGAACGAAGAACTCCCAATTGTCGCATCGCTCATATCACTCTTAACCGCTTGTCCAGTTCTCATTCGATTGTTTAATCACAAGCATGGCGGTAGGTACCCTCTGTCATACACAACGAAGCCCACCAAAGCCAATGCTAACACCGGGTAGTTCACACCTCTCAATCCCCGACCAATGCTTCAGGCTCTTGTCGACAAGGAAGTCATCATCCGCCTGAAATGGGGACAGACCGAGTACACTGGCCGCCTAGTTAGCGTTGACAGCTACATGAACATCCAGCTAAGTGGCGCCGAGGAGTGGGTGAATGGGAAGAATGAGGGCACATTGGGTCAGGTCTTGATACGGTATGTGCATTTGTACTTTGCTTCTGCTATTATGCTGTCAATGAGGCGAGCTTCTGACCTTGAACTTAAATCACAGGTGTAATAACGTACTATGGATATCTGGACGGAAACAAGGGCATGCGAATGGCAGTGGAGGCGACACGAAAATGGAGGACTAGGCTTGGAATATTTCTCCACGAGTAAGAGTGCAGAGCCATGTAGCAATTTCTACCAAGAAAAGCGAAGCGATAAGGTCTGGTACTGAAGCACCACCCATTCGACGGGTCTGGAAGGCACGGCTGGCGGAATGGGAAGGTACGAGAGCGAGAAGATGTTTTTCATCAAGCGAGGCGTTGCGGCGTATAAAATTGCATGTCACAAGCAAGACTGGTGCTGAGCAAGATCTGGTCCAGGCGTATCTAGCCCTATAAAGCGTTCATCGAGGAGAGTCGAAGTGTCAGCTGGTCATTAGACCCTGTCTGCAGAAAGCAATGCACTTCCATATTGTGCTGTTCTAAGGCTGCATTAAAATCCTAGCACATCCTAGAACTACAAACCGGGTATCGCGCATATCCAGATCCCACATCAAGCATCCATATCATCAAGATCATAACCTCATATATCCAGTTCCTTCCGCCCGCATCCACTCACACCCTCTCATCAGCTTTCACAGGATCCCGAAACGGATCAATTCTCATCTCGCTCTCAAAGCTCGGCTTCCTGTCCCCCTCCATATGACCAGAACTCTGCTTCTGCTTCAACTCCCAGCTCCCCACCCTCTCATTTCCCATCGCACTGACAGGACTTCCACTCCGGTCTATACTAGCGCCCACGACCGTCGCTCCACCTTTTGTGATTGTAAGGTCCTTGTCCGAAGCCATTTTATGTCCTCCTTTGAAGCCGCCCATTTCGTTCTTCCTTCGATTCTCGACGCGGTGGAAGCGAAGGCCACCTATTAGCATAGCAGCGGCGAAGATGAGAGCGGCGAATGCGAGGGTGATGATGGCGCCGACTACTCCCGCTACTGCTGGTTTCATGCCGTGACGGTAATGATGATGGTATGAGGAGGAGGATGAGGAAGCAGGGTCGCTTGTCAGAGCATCGGAGCTATTCCATGCAGCGCAGAAGAGGTTCTGTGCACCGCATTGCGTACACCTGTTACGCCAGAAGTCAGCTCAAGCCATCGTCACAAGCACCAACCAATATGTGGAAGCTGCGAGCTATACTCACCAAGTCCCAATGTCACCCTCAGCAATCTCACTAATCCCCTCCTCAAACTCCTTCCACGTCATATCCGTCTCACTCGGCCCACGCCCAAAGATAGGATAACTCTGGAAATTGCCTCCAACATCCCCATTCCCACCTGTTCCGTTCCTGAACCAAAACCTCACCCACAAATCCTCCGTGCCTGGGAAAACTGGGGCAGCCATACTGGAGTTCGTATATGAGAACAATTCAAAGACAATGACGGAGCCAAAGTCGGGGATACCGTAGAAGTTGCTGTTGAGTTCAGGTAGACGAGCGAGCGCAAAGAACGAGAGCAAAGGCTCGAAGTCGCCGAAGAGGACAGAGAGCTTGTAGAAGTCTCCAGCCGTAGCGATGGCGATCTGTAATTGAGACAGCAGCTTAGCTGCCAGCATATTCCCAGCTATCGTCGAAATACTGCCCGTGGTCATCGCGGCGAAGGGCTGCGAAGTGCCGCTATAATTGTTTGTGGCTGTAAGATTACCGAGCTGGCTGTACTGCTGGCTATCAGCGTACCAGCGCAGCTGCTGAATATACGAGGCATTCGTGATTCTGGAGACGGGACTTTGCTGATCGAGGATCGTTTTGGCGGTACTGTTATGCGCGTAGAGGTAGTTGAGGTAGTCGTAGATGGCGTAGGCGTTGAAGTAGTCCCATGCATCTGAGTCTAGGACATCGGACAGCAAGAGCTGGCCGATCTCCTGGTACAGGTCGTGGCCCGCAGCTTGAGTGAGTGCGAAGTCGGGTAGATTTGTAGTCTGGAGGGCTGCTGTGTCGAACGCTGGACAGTCTAACGATCCGCCGATATATGGGAAAGCGGCGTCTAGACCGCCTGAGTTATGGATCTCTGCATACTGGTAGCCCTGCAGGGGCGACTCGACATAAGAGCTGTTCGCCAGAATGCTCGTCGGGTCCAGCAGTCGCGCGACACTCGCGTTCAGAGTGAAAGGAGGATACAGTCCCTGCACAAAGGCTTGCGCGCTCGCCATCGTGTACTGCTCGTCCAAGGCATGGAAATACAACTGCAGCGAATCTAATGTGTTGGCGCTCAAGCCTTGCAGCGGTCCGTAACTAGTGCTGTCTGGACTCCCGGCGGACGAGATGTAGCGTTCACGAAAGAAGCTCCCGACATCGTGAGCTTGATTGGCGCCATAGGACGTGAGTGTCGTGGGTATGTAGCCAAGGACTTCTGGTGTACGTTCGCCTGATCGCGCAAAGATCACACTTGACCAGACAGTATACTGACCACTGGCAACAGCTTCCGGTGTGAGGATGATTGTGGCGAGGAGAGCGATGAAGAGGGCGAGCATCGTGCTGGCTGACCGCTCGGCGCGAGGCTGTACAGATCACCACACCCGAGACTGTACAACGACGACGTCGCTTTCCTTGTAAGACAAGAAGAGGGAAGAGAGAATATACCTACGCACACGAGCACGAGCTGGGAGGGAAAGATGACAGAGCTCCCAGCGATTGCGAGCTCTTATCGCAGCCGCGGTGAGGGTGGCAGGTTAGTTCCACGAGATGAATGCATCCTTCTGCATGACGGCTGCAGGTCGTGATCACTATTGCGGTAGAGGCTTGACTGCATCTAGGTCGTTCGAGAGCGGGGTGAAGTTGGAAGAGGGTGTCTGTGCTTCAGTTGCGGATGCGGCCGACGGCGGCCGATTTAAAGTTGCATCCTCCGAAACTGCCAATGGCTGGCTTGGGCAACAATGTTATCATTCAACGTGGTATTGTGGTAATGGTATAGCGATTGCCTGGAGTGCTTTGCCTGGGAATCGTCATGTTCAGTAATCATGTGTGGGCCGTGCAATTTCGGACAGTCTTGATGGCCGGTCGGACATGCAGGACAGACAGAAAGACAGGCTGCGGCATTGACCGCCTGTCGAACGTCCACGTATCCATTGAATTCTTGAATTGAGATGCGAGCGTCGTCCATAAATAAGACAAGTTCGATATAAGAGCCAGTGACTTTCACAACATCCTGCTTGAACAGATCAGCGTTCCTCCTTCTACCACGACTTTCAGAGCCAACGCCAAAATGCCAATCAACATTCCACTCTTGACAATCCCACTCTACTATGTCCTCGCCGCCATCCCACATGGCTACGCCATGGCCAAGATAACTGGCGGCGACTTGTCCAAAGCCGACAACTGCAACCCCCACGGCATGGCAACCCAAGAGAAACTCAAGAAGCTCGTCGGCCCTCGCGAGTTCGCAGCATTCGAGCGTGCCGAATCATGTCACCGCAACGCCTTGGAGAACATGCCGCTGTTCGTTGCCGCCATCTTTGCTGGTTGCTTAGCGGAGTGGAGAGCGGGTGCGGGCGCAACGGGAGTGACGACCTTCTCGATTGTGTGGATGGCGCTGAGGACGGCGTATACGATCAACTATATCGTAGTCGAAACGAGGAAGTGGGCATTCGTCCGGAGTCTGATCTACTTCATCACCACCTTCTGGGCGTTCGCGGTGATTATTCGAGCGGCGATCGTGTTCGGGAATTAGGCAATAGGAAGGAGAAGGCGCGAGTGTTGAGAGACTCAGAGAAGTACCTGGGTGCAGTTAGCCATCTCTTCACTCTATCCGACCAGATGGGAAGACGTATAAAAAGTAAATGCGCCGCTCTCACGTCCCCTTCACAGGATGCGCAAGAGCGGCCATCTCAATGCAACCCGGATCCACTGAATACAGACCAGCTCCAAGCCAGACCACCACTTTCAGAATCGCACACTCAGGCAGACACCGGCAAATGCAAGTAGCAGACAAGCCAAAGCTTTGAGCCTCACTCTAGAGAGGTCCCGCACGTCGCGAATGTTGACCCAGTCGCCCAAAATATGCTGCTCCGTCCGTGATGGCCCGGATGAAGACGGACCATGACAGCTTCTGCAGACTGCCTCCTGTAACGCACCTATCAGTCCGCACTGTCCTTCCATCAACACAACCTCAACTTCAGCACAACCACCACGCCACTTCACCAGCTCCACTCCCCTCCCTCTCACTCTCATAGACATCCCAAACCCCACTTTCGCAGGAAAGTACAACTCGCCAACCCTCTCAGTACGTGAATAAGCACTCCTCCTAGAGACAGTCTTTAGATTCCATCTCCAGCACGCAAGCGAGCATGCAGAGAGGCATTTTAAAAACAAACGGACAAAGTACATCTTCAAAAGCCGCTTGTCTTCTCACAAGTTGTGAGGCTGCGCTAGTTGGTCCACCACTGAGTAGTAGCAGGTCCAGGCATTTTGGTTTTGTTGTTCGGCGCTCATCGATCGACTCCTATGAGATGCCATGGGAGGAGATGATTGACGTGGCTGACCGGGTACCCGTTGCCTCAGTGAGGGCAAGGCGAGTCGCATCAATGGCGTGTGCCGTGATGCGGGCTTCGGGGTTTGTGTTGTGGTTGAGGTTGGGATGGAGAGGAATTGGCATTCAGATCCCTGAGGAACAGCGTGGCGGGTGTGAGTGGTGTGCAGGACGTCTTCGCTGTGAGCGGGAAGTGGGTTTCTGTTGGCTGATGGTGATGTAAAAGTCTTGCCTCACGGCAGGCGTACTAGATTCAAGAGCAATGAGTGGGATTGTGAATCTGTGATGTCTCACGGCACCCGCTGCAGCTGTCTAACAACGACAGCAGGCTGACTTGGCAAGGACGAAAGGAGTGCAGGAACTATGACATGCCGTTGGGTGACCGCGCATCATGGCTCGTCTCTGTACGTAAGCCCGATGCACCTCGCTAATGCTTTGGCATGGTTCGGACGAGTGTGCTACGAAGCCAATGTGAAGACAAGCCAATCTGCGCAGTCTGTATGTTGGCCTGGACGCTCGTGAAAGCGTGCTGTCATGTTCTTCCGATCGTCTTTTCAAGATCAGGCCACCATCAGAGTCTTCTTGCCACAGCAGACATCACTGAAGATGCTGATGCCGTTCGTCAGCCACAGACGCAGAACCTTGCATCTCAAAATCCAGCGTAGCAGACTCAAACAACCACAAATCAGACCTCCCAAGACCAAGCGTCGCAGCATGTGAAGATCCTAAAGACCATCTCACAAGGAGAAAGCCCGACACGCACTCTTCTCCTCTCTCCCAATCTTCCTCATCCAATACAATACCACCAAAAGCTACCACAAAAAAGATCAGAGCATAAAGTCCAGCCAGCAGCCTCGACGCGCGCCTCCTGAGAGAGTCTTACCAAACCGACGCATGAGACCACCGTATTACCGCCGTACTCATGCCACTCCTCCTCAAAACATGAGAAGAAGAAGACAAAAGCAAAGCACCAGACCACTCCAGCAACCCTTTCGCTCCAAACTCACCCTCAGCCCTACCAGCCGCAAAGCCAGCACAGCATCAGGATCCGCAAGAACTAATCGGAGAAACCAGCAGCTTCATTCCCCTCAGAAGAAAAGCAGGGCAGAGGACCACGAAACTTGTAAGATAGAAACCGAGGGAAATCGCTTAGGGTTAAGCATCACCCACACCAACATCCACTTCCGCACTGCACTCCACGCGTCTTTGACATGGTAATGAGGGCGATGCTCAATGACTGTCGCAGAACGGTGTTGTGAGCAGACAAGAGCGCGGCCGTGGGGAACCGTTGTCTAAGCGTTAGACGCGAAGGACTGATGGGTGCGAGGATGTCATGGGGGGGGGTATGTGCTTTTGGTTTGTTTTCGGGTGGAGAGGATTGCTTGTTTTTGCGGGATGTCTTGAAAGTTCGAGAGAGTGGATAGAGCCGGATCCGTAGCGCTTGCGATGATGGTCGGCTGAGTCGTGTCTTGTGTTGAGGTCGAGTTCGTTCTGCTGTGGATGTGTTCTGGATCAAGAGAGGCAATGTTGAAGCTGGAGGTTGTAGACGCGGTGCGGGGGCTTTCCGCTGACGCGTCTTTCGCGCGACCCACGTGACCCTGTTTGATGTTACCACGAAGAGCAGGAAGTGTGGTGTTCTTAGGTTCATACACCAGGTATTTACAAGACAGTCGGCACGCTATGCAGGATCCCACTCCCACTGCAATACACAGAAAGTAATCCGGGCCGTGAACCTCCGCAAATGAGCTTCTAGGCAAGATAACCCAGCTCTCGTACACCATAGCGCCTTGCAGGAAGTGCGATATCATCTAGCAGTCGAACAGCACATGATTCCTCACTTGAACACTCCATCCACCGCCGCGCCATGCCAAGGATCGTTCTCATATGGTCGCTTTAGTCGACTCGGATTTGTGTCGTCTTGTCATCAGTGGAGATGCAGCGCCTTCTTGCAATTCTCATAGACGACATAAGTCTAGCACAGACAATCGTCAGCATGAAATCACCACACCCACACTGTATCCCACATCAAGTCAAAAACTCACAATTGACACAGCCGGCACAACCTTCAACAAATTCGGCGTCAACCCCTTGAACAACCCCCTCCACCCCTCGCCCCGAATCGTCTGGCGCGTAACATCAACAATACCAGTGTACGTCCTCGGATGGCTCGCCGTCCCCTGACTCTGCAACCTAGTACGCAGCAGATTGATGGGATAAACAATACTAGCCCCAATAGCCCCACTAAAACCACCCATGAGCGCCAAGGTGAAATTGCCCGGCAGAGCATCCTCCTCGTGTTTATACCCATACATCTTCATATTCCTTGCCACGAGCCGGCGTTTCAGGGTCTCGAAAGTGAAGAGGTCGATGGCGGCGTACGGGAACATACCGACCAATCCCATAGAAAGGCCGCGGTAGAAGGCGAAGATGGAGTTGGCTCGCCACATTTTGGCGGCGGTGGTGAGGAGGAGTTTGTTGCCGTGGAGGCCTCCGGGGACGGTCTCGCATTGCATGCGAAATTTCAAAGTGTCGAGGGGGTAGACGACGGCTTGGGAGATCATGCCTGCAACGCCGCCGGCGACGAATTGGGAGGGTTGGGAGATGTTGGTTGGGTCGTTGTGGCCTTCCATGTGGGCTACTGCTCTTTTGCAAGCCTGTACCAGAAATGATTAGCTGATGCCAAATATGCTTGGGGTAAGGAGTCCGTCTACCTCGTATGAACCGAATTTGACCGCTGATTCGGGCATGACTTTAACCACATTGATCCCGTTGCCTACCATCACATCAGCAAACCCTCACCTCGCTCCCTCCAGACTTTGCCACAACTCACCAGCAAACAAACTCCTAACCCCACCCGCCGCCCACAACTTCCCCACCGCCTTCCAAAGCGTCCTAGCCCCTTGCTGCGTAGCCTTGACCGCCTTCCCACTCTTCGCCGCCTCGACCGCCGCCTGCGCATTCCCCGTCTGCGCTATCAGATACACCTTCAGCCGATCGAGCGGCGCCGTCACGGTTCGACTAGTGATACCGGACAAGCCGCCGGCGACAAAGTAGCCTACATCCGGCACCAAGTCGGTTAGCGTGACGGGTTCATACGATTCTACGAGCTCCGTGTCTTCTTCGCTGCGGTTATTGATGGGTGGGCTGGAGTGGTGGAGGAGTTTCCGGCGGGCGGGTTTGAGAGGCATGTGTGGGTCTTCTGATGCAAGGTCGGTGGGTTGGTGAGGTCGTTGTTCGAAGGTCTTCATTTCGGGGTTGTAGTTTGGTGGTGTAGATAATGCTTCGTAGTCATGTTCTTGGTCTTGTGGAGGTTGTGATGATACTGGTGGCGAATGTGCAGATGCTGGAAGAGATATTGCAGATGTAGGCCGGACAAGCTTCACAATAGCACCAAACATCATATTTCGAAGGAAATCAAAAGTCATACCGGCACCATTTATTGCTTGGTCGGTCATCTGCACATCGCCTTCCGCCGTGAGTTTGTGCGCGGAGGTGTAGTAGTTGAAGACGGCATTTAAGCCTGGCGCGGATGCGGGTATGAAGAGGAGAAAATCTGGAGAGTAAGAAGTAGAGCGTGAGTCAGTCCCTGTAAGTCGTCTCCCACGTGGTGGGTGTGGGAGCTTGCTTTAAGGTTATGAGGATAACATACCTCTCCATTCGCTGAAATCGATGTTCCCGTCATGGTTCTTATCGATATAGGTAAAGAATCGATCCAGTCGCGCATTCGATACCAGCACACCTGCTCGGTCAAATGCAGAGGCTAATTCACTCTTATCCAGCTTCCCATTATGATCGCGATCCATACTATCGAACAACGTCCGTAATTGCCGTTCCGTCTCGATGCAGAAGCGATCGAACTCGTCGTAGGTTATCTCCCCGTCGTGATTGATATCGCATGCCGTGAGCATATCGCGGATGAGACTCGTGGCATCTTTAAGCGGGTGGTCGATAGCGCGAAGGCCATCTTGTAGGGCGGGGAGGTCGAGTTTGTTCTGTTTGCGGGTGTCGAGGCGACGCCAGAGGGCTCGGAGGCGGGCTTCGCGTTCTTGGCTGGACTCGCCATCCATGAGTGCTGTCACTGTTGTACTGCTCTTATCGTGGCTTCATGGCTGAGATGTGAGGTTTGTGCTGGTTAGGTCTGCTGCTGCTGCTGCCGAGGTGCGTAGATATTGTAGACTCTGCTATTCCTCCAAGGTGATATAACGAGTGGGTATATCGTGTGTCCAGTAGCGTTTGTATTGTGGGAATATTGGTAGGTCGGCTCGTTCCTGCAGCTCATCTCCTCACCATCTTTCCTGTGACGTGAAGCTTTCCACCATCTCAAGCTCGGCTCTGCGGCCCAATTCTTCAGCCCTACGGAAAGTGGAGAGCTTCAGCTTCTTGACATGTGAAGACCAAGATCAACATCTTATCATGAACGATACGATCACTTCATCATCATCAATAATAACGGAACCATCATCGTGTGGTATCAATAGCGATCTCGAAATATGACGCCGTGAGCTGAAATGACTCCGCACGAAGGCCTACCGTCCAATATGCCACGCAGCAAGTGGCGTTATCAGGCTCCAATATCACATATCTCCTCAAGCGGCCTGTCCGAGAGGGGGATATCCAGAGTGTGCCTGTATCACGACACTGGCAAATTATCGGACCTAGCACATTCGTAACCAGAGGCCCGATTGTCTAGCAGGAAGGACCTGACATAGTGCGGAGCAATACGAAAGCAGCATCCAAAGCAGGCCTCATCTTCCAGACGTAGCTGAGCCTCCATCACCATGGCATCAAACTACTGGGACTCCACCCAAGCCAAACACTGGACCTTCACCAAACCCGAACTCACCGAGATCCGCCGCAACCTCACCGCCTCCAACCCCGGCCTCGCCACCAAACACCCCCTCCCCGACCCGCGCCACATAAACATCTACCTCCAAACGCATCTCCAAAAACTCGCTCGCCGTCTTAACCTCCGCCAACAATCCGTTGCCACGGCCCAAATCTACCTCAAACGCTTCTACCTCCGGATCGAGATCCGCAAAACGAACCCCTACCTCATCATGGCCACGGCATTGTATCTAGCCTGTAAAATGGAGGAGTCACCGCAGCATATCAGGCTCGTGCTAGGAGAAGCGGCCAGGTTATGGCCGGAATTACATGCTAATGAGACGGGGAAGATAGGGGAGTGTGAGTTTGCGATGATTTCGACCCTGCAGAGTAGATTGATTGTGCATCATCCTTATCGGATCTTGACGGAGTTTGGAGGGCTGTTTGGGCTGAGCTCGGAGGAGATGGTGTTGGCGGGGAGTGTGGTCAATGATTGTTTCGTTACTGATCTGCCGCTCCTCTACCCACCGCATGTTATGGCCATCGCTGCGATCTTCCTCGCTGTCGTGCTCCGGCCCGCGGGTCAACCGGCTGGACTACAAGCGCATTCCTCTTCTGGCCCTTCGTCGCCGGCAGGAGTGGCGGCTTTGAGTGCTGGAGCGGCTCAGAGTGCTATGGCGGGGATTGCGGGACTGAAGCAGGCGGGTCCGAAACTCGGGAAGTTGGTGGATTGGCTGGCTGAGTCGAGGGTGGAGATGGAGAGTGTGGTTGATGCTGTGCAGGAGTTTGTCAGTCTTTATCAGTGTTGGGAGGAGTATCAGGAGAGGGTGGTGAAGGAGGCGGTGGGGAGGTTGACTCGGGAGGGGAAGTGATAGGTTGTGTGGTATATCCTTCTCGTGTTACCCAATCAAAAAGCTATCGCCATCGCCATCATTGAACAATGACTGGTCGCAGCTGATATGCAATGTCTTCGAAGACGACCAAGTAATATCTTACCATTCTTGAGAACTCGAAGAACGTAGTTGGACCTCTAGATCATACCTCACGGCAAAAAGGCAAAACATACAGCAGCAGGCACTCGCACGTGGTCACCCACCATACTACTACTCTACCGATCCGCGGCTTAAGTACAGAAGAGCGGACGGAACAAGTTCCCTCGACGCCGATACAGCGACTTCCAGAATGCTGGAAGTTGGGCCACCACACGGTCTATTCCCGCTCACGTTAGAGCGAGGTCACATGACTGTGTCGCCGAACCTTGGGCAGGCAGATTCCCCGGTTCCGGACTTTCTGCCTGTTGAAACCCGCAACATAGGTATGTGTTCACGATAGCATCAGACTATCGGGTACATGAGGACTTAGTAATAGCTCGGATTATAGAATTAAAGAACTAACCTAGAGTGTCTCAACGATTACATCGAGGAAATACATCGACTAGACGGAGCGACCTCTAGCTACTGATCCGACGATGGCAGCATGCGCCAAATTCTATGTACTGGATGAATTGATCCTACAATTACTCTCGCAAGCCGATACTGCAACACTCGTTACAATCTCTAGGTTGTGCCAAAAATTTCGCCGTATTATCGAGGATTCCGAAGAGCTTCAGAGATCGATGTTTCTCCTGCCCTCACATCCTGCTTCTGGCTTAAACCAGGATCCATTCGACATTTCGCTAAATCCGATTCTGTTTAGTCATTTCGGCTGCATCATATCTACGTCCAATCAGACTCTCGGGGTAGAGGATGAGCTACGAGAGACCAAGACTGCTGCCGTGAGATATCGGGACTTGCACAGACTTCCTTGCACACGCCATGGCCTCCACCAGACAGCAGCAGCTCGGCGAGCATTCGCGCGACCAGAAGCGTCTTGGCGGCGTATGTACGCTTCGCAACCCCCAATGGTGCAACTGGAATGGGCCCACAAATGGAAGAGCTCGAACACGAACTACCACGCTAGATCAGGCACTACTAATCCCAGGCGGAGAGGACACGGGACGTGTCGAAGCGGCAAGATTCAAGTTACTTTAGGTATACTTTGGGATCTCTACGAAGCGCTCCTGGTGCGAGATTGCACCGTGGAGCTCTCGTTCGTGTTAGGACAGATATCACCAGAGACCTTGATGCCTATGCACAACGTGGGTCGCTGGCCCAATGTACCGCTCCCCATAGACGAATACGAGTCTCGACGGTTGGTCTTCCGTTCCCACAACATATGGCCGGGCGACGGACCCTCGACATGGCAAAGATTCGATATGTCGTCCATGAAGTGGCAGAGCTGGGATGACGCTACAGCCCCAGTCGCTACGAACGAGCTTGGTCGGCCTAATTATGATCCGCTCGGTGTGGACGGCTTTCGTCGGTTGCGGGAAGATCTCGAGCGCGATGGAAAACCTACGAATTGGCGCTGGTCACTCAGCGAAGGGTGGCAGGACTGCTCATATTTAGGACCCAGCTCGGGCGGCAGTAGCCGTAATGGACCAGCGTAGAAGGACTCTGTTGGTACTGTAAATTGTTCATACTATCCGCCCATAGAATCCCAGTCCAGCATATTGTGGTCGGTGGGGACGGGGCCATCGCTCGATTATGTCACACCAAGGCCACATAGACGTAGTGCAGCTGCTGCTAGACAAGGACGCTGATGTCAATGCCCAGGGCGGATACTATGGCAATGCCCTCCAGGAAGCCTTGGAAAGAGGCCATACAGAGGTGGTACAACTGCTCTAGGCAGCAAGTGCTTCACAGCGAACTGCTGGCAGAGACATATGAGCCAAAATAAGCCAATGAGGCACTGGAAGAGGACAGCCGTGACAGCATTCTCGAGAAGCGACGCCAATTCTGCAGTTGTTGCAATTCAGTAGTAATGGCTCACCTCAAATAGAAGCTAATGCTGTACTGTACTGCGCACGCTGGTGGTCGTATGTCTGTGCACGCCGCCATCGCATCCATTCGACTTGCTTTGAGTCGTACATACTCCACTCTGCTACAGTGTTAGAGATCTCACGCGGTTTCCAAAATGCCGATGTGCTTTCCGGCACTGGACACTGAGGCGAAGATGACGCGCCCAAACGGTATTACAGCCCAAACAGGCTTACCACCACTCGAAACGGCGATATCGCACTCCATGCACGATACGATCCTTGCACGCAGCTGACAGCTTGGCCATACACATTTCTACAGCTCACAAACACTACTGGAGGCGGATACCACGGTACACCGAGAGTTGAGAGCTGTCTTAGACCGTCTTTGCGTCTCTGGCTCAAAAGACGACATCGAGATGCAACAAAACAGGGTCTGCATCGCTAGTGATGGGTATGTTGACGCTCTTGCTCTCTTACGAGAGAACAACATGCTGGAGAGTGTCAGACATCACTCCGAAACCGATGCAGACGGGGGCGATGCTGACACCAAATCTGGCTTGGATGTTGAGCTGTAGATTAATACTGGGTAAACTCATACGGACAAGGACAGAATCCAGACCACTTCGCCCCACGGAGAGCATTCCGCCTCGAACAGGTCTAGGCTGTGCTGGGTGGACAGCAAATCTGGGTCGAAAGGATGCTTTAATTCTGCCAGTGCAGCCGCGAAAGAATCGAGCGATTCTGGGTCTCCAGCACTTTACCATCATGGAGCTGTCTTTTCCATCATTGCATGCAGCCGATGAGTTCGCATGTCGTCCTTCCGAAAAAAATGTCACCGACTTGACATGCAAGTCTCTTTGACGCCGATATTTTTCACAGTGGAGATGATGAGATAACATTGAGTTGGTCTTTTGCACCGCCTGATGGACAGGTCGTTCAAACCCATGGTAGTATGCTATTCTAGCATCTGGCGAACATCTACTCCCCCTGAACAGTCGGCCACTCCTGTGCTACAAAATCCTCCATGTCCGTCGCAAATTGCATGGGTTTTTCCATCGCTGCGAAGTGGCCACCTCCCTCATGTTTGCGTGACCACACTAGATTTCCCGCCTGATGAATCAAGATAGTTAGCCTCCATAGATCGCTCTACTTGTCGAAGGATCTTCAGGGAGTCGAGAGAAGTAGGGTTGCCAGAACCAAGACTCCTTCAACTGGTTCCAACTCACCTTAGCAACAAGCGCCACGGGCACCGGCGCCAAATCCTTCGGGAACCACGAGTATCCCAATGGTTTCTCGATGAACCAAGTCTTCTCTGGATGGAAGAAAGTGGGCTTTGGACCGAAGGGCTGGCGGTACGGGTAGATGGCGCGTGGGAAGGACTTCGTGAACCACCTATATGTGATAGGAGAGGGAGTCAGCAAATGTCTCGAATATAGGCAGAGAGGTAGGGGAGTCTAGAAGGGGTTGAAATAGCTCGTGCTCTTGAACATCGTGTAGGAGCTAAGAGGTCCGCGGACTTCCCTATCGTCTGATGTCTTACCATAGTGTTATGGAGTCGAGGATCTCATCGTCCGGGGGCGATTCGTCGGACCATTGGAGGAACTTTTCGCCGAACCTAGACCCATAAAGATCACAAAGGTCAGTCATTCGACTTGTTCGGGTGTGGCAGTGGTAAGATAGGGAGGGTGCTGTGTTTACCAAGCGAGCAACGCCACAGGAGATGTAGACAGCACGAGTCCAATCGTACTCGGCCTTGTCCCATGAAATCGTGCGTACGCAGACCCCATGTTCGTGAAGTCCCGCGCCCTCCTCACTGCCGCCTGATCCCTACTATTCAGCGCCTGCTCCTCCTCTCCGCTCTCTGGCATCACGCCAATACATAGATTGAGGTGCACCATCTTACACGCAGCGTGCTGAACGCCTAGTACACGTGCGATGTAGCTTCCCAGATCGCCGCCTTGAGCTACGTATGCGGAAAACCCTAGACCGGTCATCAATTTATCCATGATGCGGGCAACGTCCTCGATGATGAAGTCACGATCTAGCGGCGGGCCGTTGGAGAAACAGTACCCAGGTAGGCTGGGCACGATGATGTGGTAGGGTAATTCGTCTTCGGGATATTTGGTGCGAAAGACGTTCAAAACGCCGCTGCTCTCATCAGCTCTACACCAGCATAGAATTACACTACTTCTCTTACAGGAACTCCAAGAATGACCCTGGCCACCCATGCAACAGCAGCAACGCCACCGCATCCTTTTTCTTACTAAACAGCGCCGCGAAGTGCACCTCGAACCCGAACCCATTGTCCTCAATCTCGACCTTGAAGTTGGGGAACGAGTTGATCTTCTCTTCCATTTTCCGCCACTCGTACGTCGTCGCCCAGTGGTCTTTGAGGTTCGCAAGCCATGACCGTTTGATGCCGTAGCTGGTCAGATCTTTCACGTCGGTAACCCGGTTCTCGTACGTCTCCGGGCCGATCTGGGAGAGCGCCACTAGTTGGCGGAAGGACTGTAGATCTGGCTCGGAGACATTTACGGTGAAGGGGGTGGGGTTAAAGGATGAGGTTGAGGGAATGGTATTGAAGGGTTTAGGCATGATGGCGCTGAAGGCTGGGAAGGAGACGGAGATGGAGCGATGATACTTGCATTTGCACGACCGGCTGCCCGCCTGTGATATACACGTTTGCAGCGCATCCTCGTGCACGTGCAGGATCCATGTCGTCTGCGCTATGTAGGTTCTAGGCCGTGATGTGAGGAAGTTTGGATGAGCGTGAAGCTTGAGGTGCCCCTCTCTGCCACACAACGGCAATCAGGGGCGAAGACGATGCGCTTATAGTTGCACCCAATCCTAGTCGTTGGAAACCTAAGTTTCCGCACAAACGCGAGAGCCGTTTAGAACTAGTACGTACGCCTATGTTCTTCGTCGTTGCAACTATCGTATGCAATAGTATCCGCTACGAACCTGGCGGTGCTTTAATCTCCTCGAAGTCCCGTCTTGGGCTAGTAGGTAATAGAAAGAAATATATGTTACAAAGATTACTGACAATATCACATACGGCCATAGGCCGCGGAAAACAGAGGATCCCGTCCGCTCTCCTGTACTTAAGCCGCGGACCGGTAGAGTAGTAGTCAGGTCGGTGACGACTGGCGAATGCCTGCTGCTGTATGTTTTTGTCTTTTTGACGCACAGTCTTATCATAATTCTTGTCGATATGCCTTGTCTACATGTACGCGTCTAAGGGCCGCGCCCATACCATCAAGCTGCTATGCTCTGACTATGTATAAGTCAAGACCTCCGGCAGATTGTACTAATAATATTGTGGCCGTATGTCCACTTAATAAAATGCCATTCACTTCATCCTTCGCATACTAAGACAAGCGGCATTGCATCCAAGGGTTGGTGGCTTTGAAGCCAAAGGCAAGCGACCTCCTCATCGGCAGTAGGTCCTTGCGACTCACAACAGTTTGAGCTACTGAAATGCGTCTCCAATATTCTGCCACGCTGCATACACAGGTCACATTGTAATAAGCATGTTTTTCGACACGAGTACAGCTTCGCCGCTCAGCCGTTCGGTCGTCGTCGTCGTGTGTGTCCGGACAGACCAACCACATCAACTCGGCTCACGTCCAAGTTCGGCGCCGAAACGTCGCATGCGTATCCGGAGGTACAAGACCGTAGCATTTGTTATAAAAAGACGTCTCTGTACAAATTACAGAGTGGTACATATACGCACAACAGCATTGTCTACATAACATGCTCGCGCTAGCCGCATAATACAGCAACTTACCAAGGCACAAGCACAATGGCAGTTCCAGGATTCACTCCTGAGTTTGATGCACGTCGCCGTTGGGACCATAGTGGTAGAGGCTTGTTGGCGACCTGGACGATTTGCCATTCACTTAATTTCATGCTCTACAGTATATGCCAAGTACAAGCGACATCGCAGCCGAGAGGCGAATGGCGCCATCGCTCAATGTGGAATGTAGATGGAATCGAACCAATCATAAGCGAGACAAAAAAGCGCTACAGATGGCAAAAGTCATATTGCCGAAAGCTTACTACTGTAAGGGCATTTTTATTATTGTTGCAGATCGAAGCCGGATCATAGGCTGCTCGATCCTGCCAGCAGTTCGCCCCTTCGTTGCAAACTACATATGACTATGCGATAACAATCGTAGTCACCCACTCGCTCCATTATAGACCACACACTCCACCATGGCACAGGTTCTGGGCGTAGGAGAGGCTGGTAAGAATCACCCCACCATCGTCTCATTATTGATGAGACGAATGCAGCATCACTAACCAGGCCGCTCACACAGTCGCCCGCATCGCCTACCTCTCCTCCGATGTCATCGTCTCCGTCCAGCCCTCCCTCTCTACCGACAGCGAGTTCTCCAAATTCCTCCGTCAGTACGCCGACAACAAGGCCTCGAGCTTGATTTGTAAGGACGTACCAGAAATACAGCACGTCCGCCACAATGCCGACCCTCTACTCTCCCTCTACCAGCCTGTGCGGAGTGGTAAGATCACGACCGTCACGACTGACAGTAGCATCTTGATCAAGAGCATCCCGCATCTCTACCGACTAGCACAATACCCTGTCGTCATCCACGCCAGTCTGCACCCGGCCGGCTTCCCAGACTACAGCGACATCACGAGTATCCGCAATGTGGGCTTTACGTTCTTGCAGAGCAACTCGTTGCAAGAGGCGCAGGATATGGCTCTTACAGCACATGCACTAGCGATCAGAAGTGGCAAGGGTGTGATACATTTCTTCGATGCAGCAAACTCCAAGGCCGATCAGCCAATCGCTCATGAGAGCCGGCAGCTAGTGACGGAGGTGTTGGACACGAATCTGGCAAGGCAGTACCAGTCGATGAGCAGCGATGACACATCCTTATACGTCAGCGAAGGACGACCACAAGTGCGAAATATTGGTCTTAGTGAAGGTGCCGCGGCACCTCCTTTACCAGCCGTCAATGGTGTATCTGGTGCCACCAGCCCACACGATCAGTCTAGCGCCTCGTCTTCGTCATCAGATCGCAAGAATAGCAGTTCTGGTGCATCGGAGGCCGAGTCGGCGACCACCGTGGACTCTCAGCCGAAGCCGGTGAGCTCAGACGACATCGACTTCATCTGTGAGTCAATCTGGTCTCAGATTCGCAGCCAGACGGGCAGGAAGTACAGCGCTTTCAACTACACTGGGCCAGCCAATGCGGAGAGCGCACTGTTCTTGTTCGGCTCGGATCCGGGCTTGTTCGCTGCTGAGTTCCAGTCTGCTACTCAGGCTGATTTCTTCCGGAATGTTGGACTTATCACACCTGTGCTTTACAGACCATGGCTGGCCGAGCGATTGACAGAAGCACTTCCACGGAGTGTGAAGAGGTTGGCTGTGCTCGAGCAGGTGCGAAGACGGACGACCAAATGGGGCCCGATACTGTTGGATGTGTTGATGACGCTCAAAGCATCTGATTCTCATCAGACACCTACGATTGTCGGCTACCAGTTGGGCTATCTGGAGTACACGACGATCACACAAGCGCTGTCTGGCATCTTTCAGAACCTTCTCTCGCAGTCGCCCATTCAGAATCTGGAGGTAGGTCAGCATGGGGGTCCAAGAACTGGGGGTACAAGCGTGCAGAACGAGTTCCAGCTTAGCCAGCCCAAGCTCGAGAATGCATACATGAAGATCCTAGACCAGCTCTTTAGCGAACGACTACACATCGCCAACGCTCTGACGTCAAAGAGCGCGGGCGTTGAGGACCAAGGCATCAAGTCCAGCCCAGAGTACGGCTTTGGCTCGTTATTGGCGCGAAAGCAGCACCGACAGCGATTCGTGTCCGAGGTGCAGGCTGCGGCCAAGACTCGCGGTTTCACAACCGATAATCCTCAGAAGTGGCTCTCGCAGTGGGCGCTTTCCGCAACAGATGCTGAGAAAGCGAACAAGCTTGCTCCCGAGGTGATCCAAAGACTCTCGATTGATGGCTCATCCGCCGCCTCGAAGTTGCTCAGATCAAAGGGTTTGTTCTACAAGGAGTCGCAATGGCTTGTCGGTTCCGATGCATGGGCTTATGATCTTGGAAACAGTGGTATACACCACGTCCTGGCCAGTGGCGAAAATGTGAATATGCTCATTGTCGACTCTACGCCATACAGCGAGCGCGCCGCCCAAGACGCCGCACGGAGAAAGAAGGATATTGGTCTCTACGCCATGAACTTCGGTAACGCCTACGTTGCATCCTGCGCTGTATACAGCTCATACACGCAAGTCCTACAAGCGATGATGGAGGCAGAGGCTTTCGATGGTCCGTCTGTGATCATGGCATATCTACCGTACAATCGTGAGGACGACAGCCCTCTCGCCGTCCTACAAGAGACGAAGAAGGCAGTCGATCTCGGATATTGGCCTCTATACCGATGGGATCCCAAGGCAGAAGAGAAGGGCGAGGAGGCGTTCAAGCTCGATTCCGAGCGCATCAAGAAGGAGTTGCAGGAGTTCTTGCGGAGAGACAACCATATGAGTCAGCTTATGAGACGGCATCCGCAATTCCATGCGCATCTTTCTGAGTCTTACGGTAGTGAGGTGAGGAAGGTGCAGAAGAGGAAGGCAAAGGATGCTTACGAGGCTCTGCTTGAGGGTCTGCAAGGTGCTCCGATGACTATTCTGTTCGCGTCCGACAATGGCAACGCCGAGAACTTATCTAAGCGACTGGCGCGGCGAGGTAAGGCGCGAGGTCTGAAGACGATGTGCATGGCTATGGACGACTTCCCGCTTGAGGATCTGCCAAATGAGGAGAACGTCGTTCTTATCACCGCAACAGCTGGCCAGGGTGAGTTCCCACAGAACGGACGAAACTTCTGGGAAGGTGTCAAGACGAGTACCGATTTGGATCTCGCCAACACTAAATTCACTGTGTTTGCTCTGGGTGACAGCCACTACTGGCCACGAAAAGAGGACAAGCACTACTATAATAAGCCTGGCAAGGATATCTTCGCACGTCTGCAAGCACTTGGTGGCAAGCAGATCATCGATATTGGTCTGGGAGACGACCAAGATCCGGATCAATATCAGACTGGCTATGGCGAGTGGGAACCAAAGTTGTGGGATGCTATGGGGGTAGGCAATGTCGAGGGTATTCCTGACGAGCCGCCACCAATCACCAACGAGGATATCAAGGCTGCATCGAACTTCTTGCGAGGTACGATCGAAGAGGGTCTACAGGATGCAAGCACCGGTGCTATCTCGGCAGGCGATCAGCAGCTCACTAAGTTTCATGGCACGTACATGCAGGATGATCGTGATCTGCGAGACGAGCGCAAGGCGCAAGGCCTGGAGCCAGCATACTCTTTCATGATTCGATGTCGATTACCTGGCGGTGTTGCGACACCGTTGCAGTGGCAGCAGATGGACGCTATCTCTACTGAGCTCGGCAACGAGACAATGAAGCTCACCACCCGACAGACCTTCCAATTCCACGGTGTGGTCAAGGGCAAGCTAAAGCCCGCTATGCAAGGCATCAACAAGGCGCTTATGACTACCATCGCCGCTTGTGGCGACGTGAACAGGAACGTCATGTGCTCCTCGCTACCAGAGCTAAGTGAGCTACACCGTGAGACCCACGCATCGGCGAAAAAGATCTCGGATCATCTGCTTCCGAGCACAACCGCGTACCACGAAATCTGGCTCAAGGATGATAACGACAAGAACGTCCAGGTTGCTGGTAATGCGGTCCAGGACTTCGAGCCGATGTATGGTCCCACCTACCTTCCACGAAAGTTCAAGATCACCATCGCCATCCCACCACACAACGACACCGACGTCTACGCCCACGACATCGGTCTAATCGCTATCAAGGGTGAAGATGGTCATCTGAAGGGGTTCAACCTGATGGCTGGAGGCGGCATGGGCGTCACGCACAACATGAAGAAGACGTACCCTCAAACTGGCCGCATGTTCGGATACGTGGATAGAGATGCTGTACATATCGCCTGCGAGAAGATTATGCTCGTACAGCGCGACAATGGTGATCGCACGAACAGGAAGCATGCCAGGCTAAAGTACACGATTGATGATATGGGCCTTGATGTCTTCAAGGGACAAGTCGAGGAGCTGTGGGGTGAGAAGTTCGAGGAGCCGAAGCCGTTCCATTTCGAGAGTAATATTGATACTTTTGGATGGCAGAAGGATGAGAGGGGTCTCAACCACTTCACCATGTTCATCGAGAACGGTAGAATCGAAGACACGGCCGAGTTCCCAATGAAGACCGGTCTCCGCGAAATCGCCAAGGTTACGAAGGGCGAATTCCGCTTGACTGGCAATCAACATTTGATCCTGTCGAACATTCCTTCCGAGGAGCTAGAGGAGACCAAGGCGATGCTGAAGAAGTACAAGCTGGACAACACTAACTTCTCTGCTCTGCGGTTGAGCTCGAGCGCTTGTGTCGCTTTCCCGACTTGTGGCCTCGCTATGGCGGAGTCGGAACGCTACCTCCCCGAACTCGTGACCAAGCTCGAAGGATGTCTTGAGGAGAACGGCCTCAGACAGGAGAGCATCGTCATGCGCATGACGGGTTGTCCGAACGGCTGCGCACGACCTTGGCTCGCTGAAGTCGCTTTTGTGGGTAAAGCCTATGGAGCTTATAATATGTACCTTGGTGGCGGCTATCACGGGCAGAGGTTGAATAAGCTTTTCAGATCTTCGATCAAGGAGGAGGAGATTCTGGAGATTATGAAGCCGTTGCTTAAACGGTATGCGCTAGAGAGGAATGAAGGGGAGAGATTTGGGGATTTTGTTATCAGGATTGGCATGATTAAGGCTACGAGGGAGGGGAGGGATTTTCATGATGATGTAAGTCGTGCGGTTTGTTGTGACGAGTTGTGATGATAATGCTGACTTTTTCCTAGACTGCTGAGGTTGAGGAGGATGAATAGAGGTTTATCTAGATGTCTGTGGCTTGGTATGATGTTGATATTGACATTGACATTGACGTGTGGAGCATAGCGGGCTGGTGTCTGGCGCGATATTTTTGTGGGTCGTTGATGTTCTTGTATATAGCTTGCGAGTTTGAAGAAAAATATGCCTTCCACCATCCATCGAACCCGAAACGCAAGTGTTCCGCTATTCACTAGATCTCACACGGTGCATCCTCGGACGTCCGGGCGCCCTTGCTGTTCGCTGTCCACTCGCGTCTTACTCTTGCTCCCAGCCGCTTGCGGGACGTTCTATTATATCACTTCCGGTCCGCCGTCGTGGACTGATCTCGGCTGGTCCCTATCATCCCTTGGATCACGATCATCGGACTCTGGAATTTGCGACCATAGTCGTAGCCTCCCCACGTGTCCGACTCCGCGAAATCTCGCCGCCTTCGGACACAGCTGCAGCTCGGTCCACTGCTCCCTGACGCCTCGCCCTCTTCCTACGTGCTGGTCATGGACTTCTCACCGGACGCGGGTCCACTAAGCCAGTGGCGATACAGCTGAGCAGCAAGGTACCGTGGATCAAAGACGATCGCCGCTATGGCCTGGCAACGCAAAGCAATAGATCCGATCTCTGGATACTCCTGTTTGAATTCTATCAGCGTTCGAAGAAGTGATCGGAAGGAGAAAGAAAACCCGGACTTACGAGAAGTATGCCTAACACAGCATTCAGTCTCTCCACGCAGCTCAGCGACTTGTCGACCCGGGAAAGGCTGAGATAGCCTTCATTATGCAACCTGATGATGTGGCGGAGTAGGAGTCTGGGGCCGCGCTGTACAACCTCCCGGCGGCTCTGATCACTCAAGAACCCAACATTAGCTTTTGTGGCAGTTATCCTGTCGTATCTTCCATGCCACGAGCTTGCTCATGTCGATATCCTGCGGTTCCTCTATTTGAGGATGTTCGATGGCTTAGAGGACGGTGACAAGGATGCTAGGCCAACGCTCCCCGACCCATCTGTAGTCCAGATTTGGGTCCACAGTTGGTAGTCCAGCTTTGCTGCGAGGCTGCTCGACGAGTAGGGCTTCTCAATAGCTCGTAGGGTCATGTTCTAGATGGTTCAAAAAGCTGCCATCGTAGGCTTTGGACATGGACGCAAACAGGATCCGGTGGGCTTTGTCCCACCGCTCAAGATCTCTGCTCATGTCTCTTGCGATCTGTCGAAGAGGTCCAGATCAGAAGTGGCTGTAAACATCTGATATGGAGTGCGCATCCCAAAAGGTTGCTTAGGCTGACTCAACAAGTGTGAGAATGTGATGTTGCTTGTTTACAATGAGGTTCAGTAAGTCGATCAAGGCAATGCGGAAAGTAGATCGCATCTTCACCCGCACTGACAAACCCAAGTGCCGCTGATCTTCTGATCAGCCGATGCTGCAACACAAGTCGGCCAGCTTGACTTTACAGGTAAGAAAAGGGCCTTGAGCATATTTGCCGTTTGTCGTTCGAGCCATGGGCTTGTCAATCAAGCTCTCTCCATGAGAGCTGTCCTTGTGGGACTCGAACATTTTTCCCAGGCACTAAACGCTTTGTGTGGCGCAGGCTATCTTCGCATCCCATCTTCGGTGGTACTTACGTGTTCGCTGCCACTGCTTATGTCATTACAATAAGGGGAACTTACGCTTTGCAAAACTGGCGATCAAGTCGAACGCAGGCGCGGAGTTGATGATTTCGGATTGCAACGAAACCTCCTGCTACGTATGACTGCCCCATAGCTCATACAATGCCCATCACACCTATTCGATCCTAATACAGAGTTTGCCAAAGTGCTTTTGATCCCACATGTACTATAGTTGAAGTCAGTGACTGTGCTTCCGGCCTAAGAAGGAGATAGCTCGCCTGATACGCATCTCGAGCCTCTTCCAAGTTGAAGACTTTCTCGTCTACCACGGGCTTGATATTGTTCGCCTCAACCGCTCTGTTCATCTCCTCAAATTGTAGTCGCGATCCTACGAGCACACCACGAACTGTGCAGATGCGCGTGAGACAATCAATGAAACCCGGAGGCTTCTCACCCTTGAAGCCACCCAGAAACCCTATGATGGAGATTACGCCATCGAAGGCGATAGCTGCAAGCGATTGTTTCATCGTGTTCGGACCGCCTACCTCCAGAATATGCTGTACTCCGGCGCCTCCTGTTAGCTTTTTAGCTGAAACTCCCCATTCCGCATCTTCTTTATAATTGATGACATGATCGGCTCCAAGCTTGGTCAGTCGATCAGCTTTCTCCTTGCTAGATGTGGTGGAGATGACCCTGGCTCCGGCAGCTTTGGCGAATTGCAACGCGAATATAGAAACGCCACCTGTGCCTTGAGTGAGCACTCAATCACCAGGCGTCAGCCTCTTGAGCCCGAACAGAGCGTTCCATGCTGTCAAAGCCGCACAGCTCAGACTGGCGCCCTCGAGAAAGTTGAGATTGCTTGGCATATGGACCAGACCATTCTCGTCGAAGGCACCATACTGGCGAAGTGCACCGTCTACTGTGCCACCCACGCCCGTGGTCATCGAGTAGGCATCTAGACTTCCCGCAAGATGTCCTTGATTGAATAGCGTGATGACTTTGTCGCCTTTTCGAAAGCGGTGGACGTGCTTGCCGACAGACTCAACGACGCCGGCTCCGTCGGATAATGGTACTACTCCGTCCTTCGTGGGCCATGGATACTTGCCTTGAGAGATGGCGAGGTCTCTATAGTTCAGGGAGGCTGCAGAAACTGATGACCTTTCTTAGCCGTCAAATAGAATATGTGCCATCTCGAAAACCATACACTTTACCAGAACATCCTTGTCACCAATCTCAGGAATGGCTGCTTGGTCATCAAGGACTAGGTCCTGCCAGCCGCCTTTGCCGCGAACTGTCCACTGCTTCTGTGTTCCAGATGACATGTTGACTACGCTGATGTTAAGAACGCCGCTGTAGCAGAAAATGACAGGAAGTCAATGTGTGGAACGAGTAGATGTGGGCAGCTTCAACAAGTACCCAGCGTTCTTACTAATGACGTGGCAACCTGGCTCAAAGATTTGGTCGGCCGACCCACCTGGAGAGAGTGTACGCCTTTCACTTCGATACTTTAATCGCACTACGCAGGCATATGCTGGTGTCAGTGTCGAAAAGGTTACAGGTAATTCTGTGGGTGCTTACCAATCAACTGGAACATTTGCGAGACATCGGGTGCCTTCTCCTTTAGGGAATCATCCTCAAGGAGCAAGGATGAACAAAGCAACGACAATAACGACATCCAGCATTGTTTCATCTACCATGAGTAAGCCACCGACGAGTCAAAGGTAGGCTAAACAGGCACGTCGCTTCTGAAGCTAAGGTCGTAGTCCAGGCCGGAATGCGAGTACTGGTCTTCGGCTCTTTCGTGGTCACGCATTTTGGGTACATCTCCTATCCCACTGCGACCACGCACTGCTCACTAGTGGGCTATAGTCAGAGCCGATACTGGACATATGACCTTCAGACAATCTGATCTGCAATGGGAACCCAAGCCACAGACAGGAGCCCATTTTCCACTTCGCCATCTTGCAAAAATCTTGAACGTCCTTCGAAGAGGAGGCCCACCAGTCCGTCATTCTATACTTCATTTCTCATTCCAGCAAAGCACAACTTCACTGCAGAAGAGCCAGACAACAGTTTTTTCAAGTCAAGGGCTACGTCGGACCCCTGCTTGCTTTCCACTTCGAAGCCTCCGAGCACATCGAACACCATGACTGACTTCGAATGTACAGTCCTCTGGGGCACCCGGACCATATCCATACAGACCCGGCCATTGTCGGTACAATGGTCGAGGTGGGCTTCTTTTAGCTTGTGGTCACTGTGGCAGTCTCGCCGCCTGAGCCGAACGCCGTGACTGCTGTATGATACATATGCCGGGTGATAGTGACCACCTGCTGGACAATATACACGCAAACAATATGGCCCGCCTGATTGGTACAAATATTTTGTTTTGCCACGTTGCTCCTCGTGAGTTCCATCGCACAGCATACTATCCAATCATTATTCTTTCGAGGCAACATCATTTCTATTCAATACTGCTCTTTGTACAACAAGGCGCAGGCACTATTGACGACTAGTATCTCAATGCAGAATCTGGGATTCGATAACACTACGACTGACAACGACCACTCGCTTGGGCGATCGGCATTTACGTTCTTTGATGGGTTTGAATCAGGTAGTCACAGCGGTGGCGAACACCTTTCGAATACGAGATGCTCGAGTTGCGGGAATGCGCTCGTCACATCGGATTTCGACTGTCCGTATTGTCAAGCTTCTAATCCACAATATTCTTTGCTGTCCAGCGAAGATCAGTGCAGCATCTTACGCAAGCAGCCACTGGATGACGCCCATATTAAAGAGTATACCTATGGCGCTCCTGAGACTGGTAGAAGCAATACTGGACCTGGTGACTGGCCGCAACTCAGGACTCACGTTGCTTCATCTTCTCGCCATGTGGCTCCTGGCATCAGAGTACCATCGACTCTCCGCCATGTTCCTATACGTGACCGACGCTCTGTGTCGATGCAAAGCGGTGTGTCCTTTGACACTGTCGGAACACCAGAGACGGATGCTCTCCAACCAGTCAAGAAGAAAGCCGCGAAACAAGCTGCGCCTCTACCAGGATGGGAGGGTGAGAATCCGAGATGTCAGATGTGTCCGAAGAAGAAGGCTTTCAAGGCTACTGTCTTCAACGGCGGCATGTTCTGCAACAAGCATACTCGCAAGAACATGAAGGAGGAGCAGGCTTCAAAGGGTCACATAGTACAATGGACCGACGATCACGATGCGACGACGACAGATCTCGCTATGACTCTGGTCTATCCCACTATTCCACCACTCGCATACACAGGTGATGGCGAAGATGACTGGGAGTTCTATCAGGAGCAGGCACATCAAAATGCGGTTGTCAAAGGCTTCATCGACGCAACAAATACACGCTACACCGAGGCCATGGGACCTGACGAGGCAGCCGACGAAAAAGAGCAGCACGTGCATGAGAACTTTTTGAAGCAGCAAAGAGATTACGATCACAAACCATACGAAGAAGCATCAATACGACTATATACAGATCACTGGATCATCACACGCTTGCGTCTGCTCTTTCTCGTCATATTGACTTATCACCGAGGCGGAACATCCATCTACCCTGTCGGAGGAGCGAATAACGGATACGGCGAGGACAGGACATTGACGATGACACATCGTATTCGCGAGATTACAGACATTCTTGCGCGTGATAAGCGTGTCGTCATGGATGTGATCGAGGGTAGAGGCGTGGCGGCGTTGGCGTCGAATCCTGGCAAGTTTGAAGAGCGCAAGACTTCGAACTTTAAATGTAATGCGAAGAAGAAGAGAAAGCTTGAGGCCAGTGCCGGTCAAAGCATAAGCGGCGAGCATCAGCACGCGGACGGGGAGACGACAGGAAGCGCACCATTTCTGGCTGACAACGAGGACGAAGTGATGAGCATGCCCGCGCTCGAGTCGTATGCTACGAAGCGCAGGCCTGGACCGAAGAGGCGCAAAACACAGCAAACAGGACCGGAATCTTCGATGACCGAGCAGAGCGTCCACGAAGACGGCGTCATTCTTCCAGTGTTCGACCCTCTCCCGAACATCTTGCATAGGACCTCTGCGCTGCCGGTCCCGTATCCTGACACCATAGCCCAAGTCATGTATAACATGGGCTACAGTCCGGTACTGCCGCATCTCACTCCAGATACCCAGACGTCTCCAAGCACACGTCTGCAGCAGAATCAAGACTCTGATGCTCAGTACACACCTGCTGACGTTCGTACCGGTGAGACGTCGCTCGACCACGGCAAGGAGTGGCTTGACTTTGATTCATTTCTCCAGGACCCGGCCAATCAGCAAACGTGGGGACTAATGTCTTGAGCTTAAGTGCGTTGGGACTAAAATGGGAATACATTACTGGAGCTGACGATGGAGCACTATCGTGGGAGGCTTGAGAGGCTAGTCAGGATGTATTGAGATCGCTGACAACGGTGTGGGTCGAGTTCAGCCTTCGAAAGGTTTGATCCGGGCGGATCGGGAACCATGCCGTGCAAGCTCATGTATTTATTCATCCATCAAAATCCTAATCATGGCTATCTATGATTCTTAGATGGAACATGGATTTGCTCCTGGAAAGTACTCATGTTGGGTAATACCACACACGATCATGCACCCTCTCGCTTGCTACTAACACACGCAAAGCAACATCCGTCGTGCTTCAGGGCTCAAGGTTCGCTTCTCCAAGTACGGGCTCTAGCAGGAAATTCCGATCGACTGACAGTGCCTTGCTGTGAGATTGGACAGGATATGCTTGAGCGATCCCGACAAACAAGATCGGATTGGTCAGATCACGACAAACCTCTATCTTTCATACAATATTTATATTCTATAGCCGCACGCTTATCCGAGGACTTCAAGACTCCTATTCGACTGCGCATTATCGATGGCGCAAGCATTAGACAACAATGACTCTCATCAACAAGCACAGCGGCCTCCACATCAGGTCTTCTTTCTATGCTACGGGGATGCGGTCTAGGCCGCGACGATGATGGCAGGCTCATGAGCATGAATGCGGGCTAAAAGTAGAGTCGAGAAAATGTCGCGCTTCCCCAGACACTGTGGTACTCTTCGCAGATTGCTCTTGAGCAGTGGCACGGGCTTGAGAAGCAGCTGTACTCTGTAGATAGCTGGGCTGCAGCTGAGCCTGCTGCTGCTCAACAACTCCGGGAAGCGAAGAGAATGTTGTCTGCGAGATTAGTGTAGCTGGTGAAGCATCACTCCGGCCTATAGTTGTGCTTGGTGTCGTGGTTAGATGAGGAGTGCGGAGTGCAGGAGAAGTTCCAATACGTACTGCTAAACCACGAGATGCTAGAGAAGTGGCGTCCGGGGTTGTCGGGCTATGAGGTGCTAAGGGAGTGATTGCTGGTGATGGCGAGCCACGGAGCACGGGAGATCTGCCGCTCGGCGCTGATTAACCTTGAGAGGACGTAGTACCAGTAGTCGATGTCAGGCTGCCAGTCTGAGCGCTGCAGGCTATTGGCGTGCCAGAAGTCATTGCTCGAGCTTGCGCGAAGAAAGCATTGACGCGAGAATGTGCAGGCTGAGGAGGTACAGGTTGAGAGTCAGGCATGCGGAAGGAGACACGCTGGATGGTAGCTCCACCACCCCCACCAGGAGTATCAGAGGCCGGTGAGCCGCGCAGACCTGAAGAAACACTGCCAGAGTCCCGAACAGGACGTCGTCTTCTGAGTGGAAAGGGCAAGTAAGGTCGACCAGAGAGAGCATGTAGGCCAGGTGGTATTTGTAAGTTGGAAGGCTGCCAGAGACCAGAAGAAAGCTGCGGCAGGCCAGGTGGAGGCCGCAAGCTGGGAGGAGTCTGCGAGCCTTGAGGACCTTGCACGCCAGCAGGAAGCTGTAGACCAGAAGGAGAACGTAGAGTAGGCTGGAACCGTGTTGTAGATTGAGGGCTCCATCCTTGAGGCAAGAGAGGTAGATCACCTGGGTCAGGCAGTAGAGTCGATGATCGCTACATGCGGATTAATGGAAGCTCAGGTTCAAATGCGTGCAATTTCCTTTCACCAATTGGTACCATTGGGCTCGGAGATGATGGCACAAGACCCTTTTGATGCTGATGCTGATGCTGATGCTGCTCACCACGTGTACCTTCGTCTCTGAGGCGGGGCTTGAGCGATGAGGGTTGGGCCAACGATGATGATTCCTCATGCGATCGTGATGATGGCATTGAACCAGCATTTCTGATCGACTGTGGCGAGCGCGGGCGGGACTGTGCTTGTAAGAAATCTTCTGGCGGCGAGCTCCGTCGGTCCCCATATCTAGTCGTGGACTGATCCTGCCATCGTGGGTCGTTTGCGACCGATTCACCTGGCCTCGTGCTGCCTCATTCGCAATGGCGAGGTCATGAAGCTCTTGTTGCAACCGATCTCGAGCAACACGAGCTTGGTCTCCCTCAATCTGCAGGCGATTGCGGGCCTTGCGCGCGTCGTCCTCCTCGAGCATCAGTCGAGCGACCTCGCGCTGGCATTCTCTGATGTCCAACATGGACTGCTGGACATCTTCACGAAGAGTCGCCAGTTGAGTATCGGGCTCAGTACGCATTGCAGCACTCTAAGTGGCCTTGTAAGGATTTGTCGTGGCTATGTCGAAAATTTGTTGGAAAGCTATGCCCAGTGCCCGTGCCCTGTCGCGAAGGAGAAGTGCTCGGGCTTTACGCCGGCCCGTAGGAGTCCACATAAAGCGAGTGCCAGTACTCAGCAGATAGGCGACCTTTCACGACAGGAGCCATAGCGTCGTAGAAATCGTCCGGACATGTGAAAGATCACATGCTTCACTCGACGACCTCGCTCCCTCGCCTGTGACTTTGGAAAAGTGGCACAGGTGTTGTAACTGCGCGATCGCCTTTGGATCTAGCAAGCTCTTTCGATTGCTTCCTCTCTGCCACTTGCTTCTCCTCTCTCTCCTGGCATTTGTTCGCATCCAGCAGTGTTCTTTCCGTAATGTAGCCGGCAGTCTTTAGTCTGTCAAAGGATAGTGGCCTGCAGGATCTCCCTTCGTCTTTTCTACAGTGAGTACGAACAGGTCAGACTTACCTTGGGCCCCTATCTATGCAGCATGCCCAGGCCGACGGGCATCGGAGCCGTTGGAGAGCTTGATATTCCAGCAGTCGCAGGACTACTGGCTGGTAAAGGTCATCTATAAAGTGCGCTCAGAGTTATCACCAGTCCAGGACGCACATAACGAGGTGCTCAAGGACTACACAGCTCATTATGTGAGCTTTCACCCACCCAATGAGTCCAGCAGGCACGCCAAACTTTCCAGAGCAGAATGCTCGGACAGCTCGAAGACTTGTGGAAGGCGCGTTGGGCTTAGGAAGGCATCACAGATCCACCGAGAGTACAGCGAGTCGAGGATACCGTGGTCAAGGCAGGGACGGCGGCGGCAGCGGATCTAGATGTTGAGGAGTATGACCTCGAAGAGCAGAGGCTTGGTCTGGAGCAGCTACAGCTCGGCTGGGCAAAGGTTCGCGAGGATGCCATACGCGGTGCCAGTCCTCCGTTCCAAGGACCTGGTTGGGAGATGGAGGCTGAGAGCGTGCCGTTGCCATTGTCACCTCCGCACTCGGCAGCTGGTTTTGACGGCGAGGATCGTGAAGCGATGGAAATGTAGCATGGTGGTGTCGTTATCATCAGCTGGGGCCAGTACGTGGTGTTGTCTACATACCATGGAACCATACCCATGCGAGCATACTTGGTGGAATTCGTGTATACACTCGTGATACAGATGTAATCCTTCACGTGTTCACACGTGGAAAAGACAGTGATCATAATGAGGACTCGACATGTGCTACCGCGCCGGTTGATGTAGTTATCGCACAGCGCAGGCTCGTGGTCTGCAGGTGGAGAGGCCGTAGTATCACGTGACGTTCAGGCCTTTGTCCACGAATCAGCCGCCACGCCTTGCGAGCGATAATAGCCTGGGTTGTAGGTCGCAAGTGCTCTTGTCTCGATACAGGGTGGACTATCCATATTTAGAGACGAAAGCGCTGGAACTCCCGACCGCGAATCCCTGCATCAACTATCTTGCGACCTGCAGATTTCCATCGCCACCACCATGTACCACCTCCATGCTCCAAGAGTATCTTGTATCCTACTCCTTCTCCAAGACTCAGAACAGTGATCTGGGGGCCCGATGAAAGATGTTGAACAAGTCAGAGTGCGAAGGCCGCATTTCCGTGCCAAGCGGTCGAAACCAACTCGGCATGGATGAATATCATTGCCACCTTGGTTGAGACAAGCAAGGCACCGCGGCATCAATTCAATGCAGCTTCGTTGCAACTCATCAGCCTTGTTAGAGACTGTGGCTCATTTAGAGATTACTGGTGGGGCATTAGCGTGCTGTAGTTGACAATTGAACCTTCGTCGACGAGGAATGAAACGTACCAGTTAGGATATTAACTTTAGAAAAGATTCTCTGAAGTAAACTGCATGGAGCCGTTAGCGTGATGTTGTCGAAGGTGAAGGGGCTGTTTGGGGTAGACGCGCATCGCTAAAGAAAGAAAAGCTTTGCAGACTTTCGAGAAGTTGATATACCTCTTCGCACAGCGGGCCGGATCGCTCTTGCCGCAACTTCTGCGGCGACTCGGACATTCTGCTCTCTCGCGAGCCGTAAATGCGCCGTGGCATGTGCTCAACCCTGCCGTCGCCATCGTCACTACCGAGCATTCAGTGGATCTTACAATCTCGCTTCTCCTTCATGCTCTTGTCTACCACAAAAGGTCATGGCCACGACCTCAGACGACGAGTATGAGATACCACTCCGCGATCAGAGATACTTTGGTGCCGGTATCAAACGCAAAAGAATACTCTTCGTCGCTTCCACGAGCGATGAGGCGATCCTGACTCCCACCAGGCCAGCAACAACAACAACAACAACAGCAGCCGACAGATACCTCGCTATTGTTCTGAAGACGCCCAAGGTTGACGCACTTACTGCAGATCACGCTGTCGGAGGCGAAGTAGCTGGAGATCAACTCAAGACTGACGATCCCACGTGTAACATCTGTCATCGCCCTATGACCGCCGAAGACACTACACAGTCGCACTCAACAAGTATAGCACATCAGATCTGTCTCCAGCACTCTCACCCGCCATCACATGTAGACCGCACACGTAAGGGTCTAGCGGTCCTCGAGAACCAAGGCTGGGATCCAGACAGCCGTCTAGGTCTTGGAGCAGCTGGAGAAGGTAGGCTGTATCCTGTCCGAGCCACCGAGAACCCAAACAAAGCTGGTCTTGGTGCTCGATTCGCTAAGCCGAAGCCCATTGAGAAGCCTATCAGGTTGGACGCCGGAAAGACACGACTGATGGAGCAAGAGGGAAAGAAGACGGCTGAGAGGCTACGAAATGCTTTTCAGAGAAGCGAGGAGGTTGAGAAATACTTGAGTGGCGAGCAAGCGAACCATATTCTGGATCTCGCGGCGTTCAGGAGAGCGAAGACGAGGAGGTAACATCGAGCGCTTACGACTACGAGACTGTGGACGAGGAGCTATACTATGACCATGATACGACAACTATGTGTCATGTCGATGCTCTAGGAGAAAGGTGACAAGTAATCAAGGGCATACCACATGCTCGCCAGACACAAGTATCGACAACGCATCCATCATTCCTCCGACCCCAAGCTAGCCAAAACTTCTCGCACAATCTCATTGGCACTTCTCTGCTTCACACCCAACAAGACATTTGCATTGTCCTCCCAATGGCCTTCCGCTCTCCCCGACCCTTTCTCCAGCAGCTGTGCCACGACGAAATCCAGCATTCCACCTCTCTCACCTTTCTGCATTTTCTCTCTCCCACTAGCCAGCAGGTCCACAGCTCGCACATCTTCCCTTTCCCACTTCACTCCCGTCTGCGCTTCGAAAGCCTTCAGGATCTCCATCTGCGTGGCCTCCGTGCTGCGGATCACGAGAGACTTGCTGGCTGTCTCTTCTGGATGCTTCAAGACACCGATGACAGCTACAGCAATATCCGGCACCGTGGTGGCGGAAAAAGCTTCCAGTCCATTGTCCACGATGCGAGCTTTCCGTAATGGCATGTTGAAGCCGAACGCGGGGATCCTGAGCATAGCGTAATCGAGGAAGTGGCCAGTCGCCAAACCAGTCCAGGAGAAGGAAGAGTACTCCGCAGCTTGCTCACGCGCATATCTGAGGACCTCAAGCTTCGCCACACGAGCATGCTGCAGATCCGGTAGTCCACCATAGGTCAGTGGATTGGCGAATTCGTTCAAGATAAACCGTCTCACTCCAGCGGCTATGGCGGCATTGATAAGCTGTCTTTGCTGCGGTATAGCTGCAATACTTGTCGTACAGATGATAGCATCCTGGCCAATGAAAGCTTGGACAAGGTTGTCATGAGTCTGTTCTGGTCGTAAGACTCGTACGTGCTCAGGAAAGCATGCCTTCGAATCTGGTCGTGCTAGAAGTGTGACCTCGAATGCTGTATCTGCCGTGAGAGCTCTGAGAATTTCGGTGCCGAGTGTCCCACTTGCCTGTGTCGCCTGTTGTTAGTACTGTCGTGTTAGCGATGGTAGTGGTTGTGCTGACTCCGATGAGCACGACTTTGCTGAGAACCATGTTTGACGATCTTCAGTCCTTTGCTACGATTCTTTGTGGCACTATATTGATAGCGAGAAGGACAGTGGGTTCCCGTGATAGACTATGAGCGTGGTTCCGAATCGTACGCACGTAGGTCCTGCAGTCGGTGTGCCTGTCATGCGAGGCATTAGTAATGATGCTTACCTATGCGATCCTTCTCATGCATCCGTGATCTAGCCTGGTCTATCGCACGTCCATGGCTAGACTTGTGGCGCCGGATCTTAGCTCTGTAACATGCTGGCGTTATGTAACCTAGTGATATCGTGCTCAGTCGTGTGGTGGTGGTTGGGTCAATATTACCTTTTCGACGTCGAAGATCACAATATAGAGAACTCAGCACTCGTGATTCAGATTACGACATCCAGAGCTCCATAACACTAGCGAAAGCACCGTACATTCCACCAGATGAGAGGATGGTCGTCGACAGACTCAGCCGCAAGTGTATAGAGTCGTTGTTGTCGTCGAACAGCTTTACCCAAACCCTAACCCTAACCCTAACAACATGCACACAAGCTAGCCGAATCGAGCAGCTACATATGCACAATATGCATATAAGCAGACCACATCTCAGCTCTCAAAGCCTCGCCCTTAAATGTTCGACCAACGTTTGTCAAAGTCAGCCGGAGATACAGGGAAGCCTTATCACGACGATCCACAGAAGCCTACAGCGAGCTTTACTCATCGCTCATAAGAATGGACTCCCTCCGCCCCCTCCTCCCCCAAATCTCCGCTACGGCAGCACTAGTAACCTACGCCAGCACCCGTAAAAAGCTCACTCCGGCTGGAATCGTCGCCGGAATCCTAGTAGCAGGCGTCCACATGCTACACCCCTGGCCTGCGTTCTTCTGGCTTCTGATAATTTTCTTCGTTCTTGGGACTGGAGTAACGAGAGTAGGCAAGAAAGCTAAAGCTGGACTTACGATCTCGTATTCCGGGGCTAAGGGACTTATTGGAATTGGGGAGAAAGGTGGCAGTAAGGGCGATGCTGGGCATGCCGAGGGCGAGGGAGGCGAAGGCGCGAGGACGAGCGTCCAGGTCTTCGCCAATTCGGGATTTGCTTGCGTGCTGATACTGGCATATACATACTTGCTCACTTCAACTGGACCGTTCATCTCCTCGCACATATCAGGACTCTCACCTGGACTATACATGCCCGCTCTATCAGCTGTTCTACCAATAGGAATAATCGCCCAGTACGCAGCCGTAGCATCCGACACTTTCTCCTCCGAACTCGGGATCCTGGCCAAGACGAAACCGGTTCTGATTATGGCACCTTGGAAACGTGTACCGGCTGGTACGAACGGTGGTGTGACGATCGAGGGAGTAGGCTGGGGTGTACTGGGCGGGTTTCTACTTACTCTTACTGCGGCGCTCGCATTAAGAGTCTCGCCTCCTTACGTCAGCTTGGATGTCAGCACTGTCGCCCTTTTGACAGTCGCGGGACTGGTTGGTACGGTCATGGACTCGCTTCTTGGAGCTCTTGTGCAAGCTACAGTCACAGATGGCAAGACTGGTAAGGTCGTGGAGGGACATGGTGGGATGAGAGTCCAGGTCATGCAAGGTGGTGGTAAGGTCAAAGCGGGCGGCATGGATGTGTTGACGAACAACGGCGTCAACTTTGTCATGGCTGCTGGTACGAGTTTGCTGGCCATGGGAGCTGCGCATTGGCTTGGTGTAGGGGTGGGAAGGTGAAGTCAACTGTACACGATGTGAGGCAGGATCTTCCATACCCATATTCGTACAGCCATCTGCAATACGGAATGGCTATGGTTCCTTCTGTCTCCCCAACAAGCAGTTATGCAAAAACAGGGGTATATCGAAGAAGACAACCACAACGCCACCCAATGCGTCCAGAACTCCATACACCAGCTTTTATTCGAAGCGTGCCACGTTCATGTCGTGATACGCAGGAAGGTCGGCAAACAATCCATCCGCAAAATGGGCCGCAGCAGGCAAGAAATTTAACTTAGCGCGAAGCCTCGCCATAGCCCTATCCACAATCAATAAATGCCGCACCATCGTAAGCTCGAGAGAGTAGGACTCACATAAAGCGTCCTACCCATGCGACTTAGCGCGAACACGACATCAGTCGTACAGACAGTCTTCCGGCCGCAATTCTCCACCACAGCACACGTATCGCGTAGAACCTAAGTCGCGAACACGTCAGTACAGGTTGCCTCAATGAACCGAAGCGGGAAGATATCGTGATGAGAAACCATACCTTCTCCAGGAACTGCTTGAGCGTGAATCGCACCTCCTCGTAGATGCCACTGGAGATGCGCTTGACGCCGCCACGACGAGCGAGGCGGCGGATGTCGCCTCGAGTGACACCTTGGACATTGTCGCGGAGGATTTTGCTGTTGAGATCGTTAGTCACTCATTACGCTTGCTAGCTTGTTTGGTTGATTGATTGATCGGGAGGATGGAACATGACTGACCGATGCCGCTTAGCAGTCTTGCCACGACCGATACCGATCCCCATACCCTTCTTCTCACCCGTCGACTTGCCTCCGGTACTGTTGACGCTGGCGAAGGTTGGACGACTGCTGGGTTGGGGTCGGGAGCTGGGGTAGCCGCTGACGTCTGAGCGGATGAGGTTGCGGTTGCTCATTTGTGTGCGAGCCATTGTGTTGATCGTGCAATGGTATGTCGAGGAGGAACGATATGGTATCGTCGACCGGTGCTGCGATGGGTTGTCGATGCTTGCGCTCAAGGATGATATGATTGTTCGGGTGACATGCCAAGGAGATATGAGTGTGTCGGTGCTAGAACGAGAGGATTAGGCAACAGTCGCAATCAATGCATTTATGTCCGGGTACCTTATATCTAAAGTTCCGTAGTCGGTGGTTGTATATATACATATGCGGCGTACACTGCCCCACTTCTGTGGCGCAGGAAGTTGTGTGAAGCGAAGCAGTTTCGACATTCACGATTCAAGGTCACTTCACGCCCATCACGGGCTCGTAACAGCAAAGATGCCCATCTATATTGCCCTTGGAGGCATGCTGGATGGTCTGGACAGTATCCCTTTCATCTGGCCCATACTGCGAGCACTCCCATGGCTACTCGGCTTGTACCTGGTCAAGTCGTTCTTCTCTGGCAGCAGCAATGGGAGTGAGAGGAATATGCATGGGAAGGTGGTATTGGTGACGGTACGCCATACGCATCCCCAGCTCCACCGGATCCTGCTAATATGAGTTACAGGGCGGCACAAGCGGTATAGGCGAAGCTGTCGTCCGCAACCTCTCCACTCGCGGTGCCCAGATAGTGCTTCTCACCCAGCACTCCCTCACCGACCCCTTCATTGTCGAATACATCGACGACATTCGGAAAGACACAAACAACCAAATTATCACAGCCGAACAAGTCGATCTCACTTCCTTGCATAGCATCCGTACTTTCGCAACAAAATGGATCGACAATGCTCCTCCACGACGATTAGATATGATAGTATTATGTGCGAATACCATGACACCTTCCGGTGGCAAGATCAAGAGTACAGCTGAAGGTGTGGAGGAGAACTGGCAGGTGAACTACCTCAGCAACTTCCATCTCCTGTCCATCCTCTCACCAGCCCTCCGAGCACAACCACCGGACCGAGACGTGCGAGTCGTCTTCGGCACATGCAGCAGCTACCTCGGCGGCGACCTCCTCCACATCACTTCTCCCGGCCCCAACAAGAGCAAGAAAGGCGGTGCAAGCACACCCCCCACCACCTTCTCCCCAGGCAACGCATACGCCACCTCCAAACTCGCCCTCACCACCTTCGCCCTCGCCTTCCAAAAACACCTCTCCTCCTTCAAACGACCCGACAACATGCCCATGAACACCAAAGTCCTCCTCGTCGATCCAGGCTACAGCCGCACACCAGGCACCCGCCGCTGGCTAACCTGGGGCTCCCTCCTCGGCCTCCTCCTCTACCTCCTCCTCTATCCCCTCTGGTACCTCGTGCTCAAATCCCCCGATATGGGCGCCCAAAGCTTCCTCTACTCTTGCATGGACGAAGGATTTTTGAGAGCAGAAGGCGGAGTCCTAGTGAAAGAATGTAAGATCCGGAAGTTCGGGCGCGAGGATGTGGAGGATGAGGTGGCGCAGAAGGCGTTGTGGGAGTATTCGGAGAAGATGGTTCAGGAGGCTGAGGTGAGGGGAAAGGTGGAGAGGGATAGGAGGAAGAGGGAGGAGAAGGAGGAGAGGGAGGAGAAGGAGGCGGGGGAGGAGTTGAGGGGGTACAAGGAGAAGGTAGGGAAGAAGGATGGGGTGAAGGTTGAGGGGAGTCGGAGGAGTAGGAAGGCTGGTTGAGGCGCATGATGTTGAGATGGAGGACTGGCACTATACAGGCATGTTGTCAAGACGGAAAGGAATCGGCAGCAGCATTACACCTACAGGGCCACGTACAGCGCACTTTTGCAAAAGAGACGGCAAAAGACGGTCCGTGTTAGCGATTGTGTGCCTGCCATGCCGACGTGTGGGCCGAGAACTGGAGTATCTCGCTACGCTCCTCAGAGGAGAGTTGATACAATCGCGCACCACGACCGAGAATCACGCCAATCTGACGGCATGCCGCTATCACAGACTGCTGCTGTCCGCTTGCCTCACAATTTATGAACTTGGGTGGCAGCAATGTCGAAAAGATGGAGAGACTGCCCTGATCTTTGTGGCGTTCCATGTCCATGCAAGCTACTACATACATCATCAGGCACCGTGGCCTCGCAGGCTACTACAAAGTAACCTTTATTTCTTGCCACCGATATCCTCCCGTAGCGAGTAGGAGCGAGCAGTTAGCAAGCAGTAGTAGTATCAGATCGGACTGAGCAGCCGCGCGAACATATGAAAAGGTGGCAGACTGAACAAGAGAGAAGCAGGGAAGGCAGCCAGAAGATTTCACGGGATGTGTGCCTCCAAACCGTGTCCCGCCAGCTATACATATCTGTACATTCATGTATGCAGACTCCCGATATCAAAACCATCATCGCGCCCTCGAGTTCCTTGTCACCACGAACACCAAGACAATGACGCTGGCCTTCTTCGTTCATTGTACGTCTGTGGCGTGACCGTGGGAAGATTAGAGTTCAACGGTTAGTGATGCTCGACATGGTTGAAACACGCATCTACTAGCGTTCACATTGTGGTTGCCGATGAGATCGCTGACGCACGCTTGAGTTTGGCGAAGAGAAAGGGAGATTCTGTAGGAGTCTTTAATGTAAAATGGAGGGTATCTTTCATGGTCCGCTATGCTATGCTACGCTATACTATGCTATGTGACACATGTCGCTAACGAGACTGCAAACTGCAAGACGCCTCGCTATGCTATGCTATGCTGCCGAAGCACCCTTCGTAGTATCTGCGCGCATAGAGGCAGGCAAGTCTCTCAGATCGCAAGTAGTCTTCAATGACAGAGGCCAAACAATGTCCCACGGCCTCATCAGTATATCTCTACCGCCTCCCTCCCCTCCCCCTCGTCGCAGCCGCAGCCTTCGGAGGAGGCTCAAAAGCATCATCATCACTAATCTCATCATCACTGGGCTCAGCATTCCTCTTCGGCAGCGCCTTCGACTTAGTAGGAGCAGCCGCAGACCTCGAACCATTACCATTCGCTGGACTACCACCGAAGAACGATCCGAGTTGACTCTGCGCACCAGTCGCCGCTTTCGTCGCGAGAGATTTAGCAGGCGCGGCTTTCTTCGCTGCAGCTGGAGCTTTCTTTGCTGGTGCCTTCTTGGGCTTGACGAAGAGGCCCTCGTCTTCTTCTTCTTCTTCTTCTTCCTCGTCGTCGTCGAGTTCGATGGGGTCGTGGCCGTTTGTCATCATCACATCGTCATCATCGTCGTCATCTTCATCATCCTCCTCGAAAATCTGCTGCTTCTTCTTGCCTCTCCCGGGTGCAGCCTTAGCCGCCGTCTTCTTTGCCGCCGCAGTACCTGCACGACTAGCGCCTCTGCCACCTCGGCTACCTCTTCCACCCCTCCCACCTCTCGAACCTTTACCCTTCGCCGGCCGCACCTCCTCCTCCTCTTCATCATCAATCGGCTCTCCATCATCATCCCTCACAATACTGGCGATATTATCCTCCCAAGGTCCTTCAACATCACTATCCCACTGATCTGGCTTCGGCGCCCGACCCTTCTTCTTCCCCTTCCTCTTGAGCTCTCCCTTCTCAAACGCCGTCTCCAAATTCTCCCGAAAAGCCATCATCATCTCCTCCACTCTCGCCTCATCAATCTCATCGTCTTCATCGCCTCCAACCAAGTGACTAACCTGGACTTTCAGCGCACTCTCCACGAATTCGGTCATGGCTTCTCGATCGTCTTTGTCAACGAATTGCGTCACGGCATCGGAGAAATTGTTTTGGGGGAGGATAGTGAGATTTTGCGCGCGGAGGAAGTCGTCCACTAATTCGCCGACTTTGATGGCGTCCATTTCCATTTGAGCGGCTAGGACGTCTCCTTCGGGCATGTCTGCGTTGCCCCTGCTGGTACGTGTGGCTTGGCGTTTGCGGTGGAACTGCACTACATCGTTCACGTTCGCAACTCGCTCCACAAAGCGATTGGAAAATCTCTGAGCGTTGTCGATCTCGAAGCGTCCGCCATCAGGTGCGCTGTAATCGACTCGTAGACGGATGAGTGGCTTGGGAAACCCCTCCTCGTCATCCTCTTGGCTGTGTGTCTTCGACCACTCTTCCCTAGCTTCCTCGATCATCTCGTTAACTTGTTCATCAAGATAACGTGTGATCTTTGGTCGGATATCATCAGCCCGGAAAGAAAGCTCGTTCATGTGTTTGTCATCGGCGAGGATGAGATCCCGATACACGAAAGGTCGCACAGTCCTCAGGCGTATCGTCTCGATGTCGAAGTCCTTGCCTTTTATGCTGATGATTGCGACCTTCTTTTCTTTCGACTCGCCTTGCACTAGTGATGTAGCGACAGATGAGCCGGGCTGCATGACCCGAAAACCTTTCTCTGGGTTCCTCTTGGGCTCGATAAGGCACTCGTGTTCGTGGCCCCATACTACTAGATCCATGAACGATGGCAGGAAGCTTTCGGGTAAGTAGCCCGTGTTTGTGTGTGCGTGATGGTTCTGATGGACGCTCATTAAATTAAACCAGTCATCCTTCTGCGTGTTGGGTTGGAAGAACTTGACGCCACCGTCTCGAAAAGTGCGGAAGAGGCGCTCATCTCGTACATTGCTCATGCCGTAGAGTGCGAGCTTCGTGTTGCCTTTCTGCATCAGCACGGGCTTGACCTGAATGTTGTCCGACTCAGGAGTTCGACCATAGTAATTGAGCAACCCAGACATTTGCAGCAGATCCAGCGCAGCCAGATGGCCTTCACCTTCGCCAGCAGGGTCATCGTGGTTCCCGTGTATTGAAAAGACAGGTATGGCAACATTAATGTCTGGATCCTCGTAGTTGACATGATTGAAAGCTCCAGCAAACACCTCACTCGCATCACTCAACATCTCCAGCTCGCAAGGCTTGTCGCCGTAGCAGTTCATCCGAAGACTGCGCATCACCTGATACATGGACTTCCGGCTTGGTTTGTTCTCGTGGAAGAGGTCGCCAGCGAGCAGGACCATGTCGACATCGTAGTCCTTGGCCAGACACATAACCTCATGGAAGGATTGCCAGCTATCGTTACCGCGGACGGAGTCACGCTCGTTGTAGCCTACATGATTGTCCGTCGAGATCAAGACACGGATGGTGTCCGCAGCTACTCTCGTTTGTCAGTGTGATTGTCAGGACATCGATGTCGCGAGGCTTACCTGTGTATTTTGGCATGCTGTCGATCAGAGTCGATGTCAGCGGCTCAGAAGGAAGTACAAAGAAAGGTTCGTGATTTGTATGTGCACTTCATAATATGAACAGATATTGAAGAAGAAAGATATATGTAGACGGCAGACAAACGAAAGTGAAGGTTAGTGATTGGTCGCTCGACCCGAACGCCTTGTACGCGCTCGCACGGGCCTTCTGACAGCGGTTCGTGCCGAGAAGAGCCCGCATCGATGAGATGAACATTCGACGACGAGCTCGTTGTGAAGGAATGAATAGTGCAGCATCTTCATGATGAGAGTCACATCACCGCTCCTTGCTCGCTCCGTCTGGAAAGGTGCGTAACACGCCACAATCTCCACAGCCTTCAAATGCTAATATACTGCATAGGACCGCATATCGTCCCGTAAGATACTCACCTCCTCGAAAACCATCGTTTCGACATACTGACCCTCTCCAAAGTCTCCCCATCGTGCGACCGAAACAAGGCGAACGTGTGCCTCCGATCAAGACGCAAGCCCGATCAGCGACCATCCTGCCGAACTTCGTGGGCTTGATCTTCCAGATCCACAATGGCAAGATATACAATGATGTGCGCATCACGGAGGACATGGTAGGACATAAGCTTGGAGAGTTTTCGGCGTGAGTACGGGCAAGGCTTGGGGCCTGGAGCAGGTGCTGACAGTAATATCAGAACGCGGAAGAAGTTCACTTACAAGCAGACGAAGAATAAGTGATTGATATACCAGATATTGGACTTTTGCGCCGCAGTCGTCTGGGACTCCCACTGCGGTACCGCAGCGGCCTCACAGCTCCCATCATCGACTTGACACGGGCACTGTGTCTACCGAGGACTGCCTAGCCTCAAGCCTAGGCTGGGCCGGGTCGGATAGCGTGTTGACGCGCTTGTCTGCCATACGGGTCGCGGCCAGGGGAGAAGCCTGACCTCTGGTGTCGCTGCATCTCAGTGCGGACGATTTCGAAGCATGAATGACGTCGAAGGCATTGGGAAGTCATTGCAAAGTCCAAATACGCAAATGGAATGCCATACCTGCAGCAGTCGTTGTGGATTCGTCTTTAAACGATCCGCGCTTGCGTTATGCAGCTGAAAGGAGGTGCTCGCCGAAGCAGATCAATGCATCAAGCACGATAGCGTGTATGCCGCTGCTAAACTTATGTAGAAGCTGTAATAGCGCTGCAACAGCAGCGTATCGAACCGCTCCTGCCCCAACTATCGAACGCAGCTGCTTTAGTGCCGATGACGCACCTGCGCAGGCTGCATCCTCTACTTCCAACACTTTGGCTCACTTCAGGCAGCATCAGACATTGTCCTTCCACACTGATGGCAAGCATATCGCTCTTTCGAGATGAGAGCTGAGGCTGTGCAATCAGTCCTTCATTGTTGCATCGTGGATCCGCCTCCCGATCATGCACACCACAACACTACCACTCGCTCACAGTCGCTAACCGACCATTCCAACAATCTTCATACACTCGCTCGCTTCACCCAAAGCACCAAAATCAAAAGTATGTCGCATGCAGTACCTCATACTAGCGATGCCGTGCTGACCTTCTGCAGATACATACAACCGCCTGCCGATACGTCGCATATGGCCCCGAACATCGCACGCCGCGTGTACTCCGCCGAGCAGCTCCATCGTTTCCGGAGTGCCAGCTCGCAGCCAAGGCTTCACGAAGCCATCGAAGAGCACGATGTCGAAGATGCCGAGCTGATCAAGGGTATGTCGCCATCATACCTCATACCTTAGGCAGATAAGGCAGCGCGAGAGCCTGCCCCACTACCTCTCCTCGAAGTCCCAAACACGCCCCCTACACCTCATATACTTACCTATCTCCTATACAACAATGGAGTCACCATCACGCTGGGTCTTTGACCTCGTCGATACGCCGATCTCGAAGCGTGTGTTGACAGAATCACCAGAACACGTCCTCCGTGGCTCCCGTTCTTTCGCAGCACGCTCGTGGAAGTCTCGCGCTTCTGTCCCTTCGCTACGCGTACCATCGAACAACGAGAACCGCTCAACTAATGTCTCCGACAACGGCCGTCCTGCCGCTCTGTACATCCCTCGCGCCGTACCTATTCTCGGCGAGATAGTTGGCAACAACCAGATTTTGCGACCACCGTTCTTGGGCTACAAGCCAGGTCCTTCACCAACGCCCTCACTCCGCAAGAAGAAGATTGAGTCTCTCGTCAAAGCTCATGGCTCGCCTGATCACGTCCGCGTCACTGCCGGTGGTCGTATCGTTCCTAGCGAGCAGTCACCTTTGTGCCACCCACGCTACGGCTACAGCGCCATCAAGACCAATGGCGGGCTGATCAAGTTCGCTCCCAATCTGTCATCAGGCAAGGCCACTTGGACACAAGCTACACAGAATGGCTTTGTGGCTCAAGATGTCAATGGTCGCCTCTGCCAGATCGTCGACGGTACAATCCTGCCCCTGCACGAAACCGAAGCTGGTCTGCAGCTGTACATCCCTGCCCCGAACCTCAACATTACGCAGCCTGTACCCGCCATGGTCGCGCCACATATGCCAAGCAACCGTCTTGTCTCAGCTGGCACTGCTGTACACGCAGAAGGCCTGCAAGAACCTCCAGTCATGTCGCAGATCCATGCGCTGGAGCTTGAGTATAGCAAACTTGAGCATGAGCTCAAGGATGTCGACAAGACTGAAGTCCTGCATGGCCGTGCAATGGGCAAGGGTGCTCGAGATGCACTTATCGCCAAGCGTCGCGAGCTCATTGTCAATCTAGACAAGATCCGCAAGGCGCTTAAGAGCTTGCGTGAGCAGCCCATGTCGACATCTCCACCACAAGCCTTTGGTGGGAAGTCAATCTCGCCGCCGCGCAATCGTCTGCCAGCCTTCCTCCAACAGCGCCAGAATCAACCGACAGCCATGCCTGGCTTGCAGAATGGTTTGCCAATCTATGCACCAGGCTTCGGTGGTGCTCCTACGGCTCCAGGATTCGGCGGCCCTTACAACTTCCACACGACCCCATCGCCAGACTCAGGCTTCGGTGGGCAGTCCTGGCCCATGCCGCCGCCAACAATGTTCATGCCACCTCCACCTTTTGATGGCTCAATGTCGTCCACCTCTTTGCCTTATCCCGCCGTTCCACTTGACATGGCACCAGCTGTCCTTCAGCAACCCATCGCTAATCAGTTGATCACCGGCCATCTGCCACAAAATGATGGAGCTCGCTCGTTCGCGGACTTGCAGAAGGTGTCGTCACCAATGCACTCACGCGCACTGCCAATCAAAGCACCACACAGTGCTGTCAAGTCCAGTCTCAACCCCATGAGTCCAATCTACAAGCCTGATACTGGTATGCTACCTGCGCAAGACACTCGAACCCTCGCGAAGCCTACCATCAAGCCGGTTGACAGTCCCACCAAAACCATGCATAAGATACACAGCTCAAGCGTTTCAAGTCTCGCCACTGCCGACTTCTTCCCAACCAACACGACTGAATACTCGACGCGCAAGTACACGAACGATACGACTGACCACACCGAGGACAAAGAGAATGTCGATCCTGTCACGCCAGCAAAGGCCACTTCTGGCCTCACTCATGTCCATTCCACTCCAGTCGCTCCACCAGCCACACCGATCGATGGTGTTCCGGACCGCTCCCAAAACGTCTCGCCAAAGACACGCATCTTTACCGAGCTTCGCAGCCGCGCCTCCAGCAGCCAGTCAGACGAATGGCTAGCCGGCTACCAAGCGGGACTGCAGCAAGTCGCAACGATGACTGGTTTCCAATTTCCCCAGCAACGTACAGGCTCCGATCAACGTCTGGCCGCCGCCTCCGAAACCCCCCTTGACCAGCACAACGCCAACGAGAAGCTACCAAGGGCTCAACATCCTCCCTCTCGCTGCCTCTCCGCCACTACCACAAGCATTGGCTCACGACCCGGACGTATCTTCTCCGGTCTCTTCGCTCAAGTCGACTCCTCCACCGCTACGGAATCGGTCCACGCTCCTTCACCTTCTGGCAACAACAACCACGAGAAGTCTCCAGAGAAGTCCTCAAAGGCCTCACCTGCTAGACAGAAGTTCGAGAAGATTGCGGAGAGTGTTGGCATCAAGGTTGATAATCTGTCGCCTACGAAGAAACGTTGGAGGGATGTTTGGAGATCTTCGAAGAATTAAATGGGGTGATGGAGCATGGTATGACTGGTGAGGAGGGAAGTTGGGATACGGGCCAAGAGCAGAAATAAGAGTTGGTTGCACTATGGTTTGGCAAGAGCATGGCTATTTGATTGGTAGATGGGTGCTATAGGATACACATGGCAGCTTGGATGGAGCTACGAGACTCCCACGACAGAGATAGCTATGACATGGTCGGCATCATCAGTGGCGGTATATGCTTATCTAGTTCATGAGATGTATGAGTAGATTGAAGAATGTACAGCAATTGTAGCTCTCTACATATACTGGCGAATCGATTCTGATACACTTCATCCTGCACCTGTAATATCAAGTATCACGTGCCTCAGGCATCCTTGCCTCGCAACCTCATGTCTCGAAAGGCTGCTGCTTCTTATGATACACATCTACATCTGCGTGCTCTGTGCCATATGCCTCATTACTCGACCGTGCGAGATCTGCCCGTGACTCGTCGATCTGCAATAGTAATTCGCGATCGAACGCGTCCGTAGCTCTGTGCTTCCCGGAGATGTTTACATGGCCCTCAGCACCATGATCGATCATGGACCATCTCCCTCTGAAGAACGCAGTGCCAGAGTTCCGGGTCCACTATTATGGCTCTCCAAGCTACGAGAAGGGTGACTTCTGGTCCTTTCCCAACCGACAAGGATGGCAATATGTGAAGGACATCAGTGTCTTCGAAGGTGGCACTGTTGACCAACTTGCGGCCTTGCTGCAGGCATGGCTCTTCTTCGGCCTTGTACAAGAGGTGACTGGAGAGCCACTTGACCAGGATCGCTTTTCGTCAAGGGCTCCGCTAGGCTCCGAATCGAGCCTTACAACATCTGCATTACCTAGCCTCATCACTGCGTGGACAGATCGCACAGAGGTGCTAGAAACCTCGACAAGACGCGCGGAGCGCTTAAGAGTGTACACCATGTTGCAAGAGACCACCGATGTTCTCTGGCAGATTGATGCGCAGGTGCACCACAAGCCAAAATACATCGCTGCTCAACTGCCGCCTGCGCTCCTTTTATCACTTGCTCTGGTCGTAGAAGCCTTTAAGCTCGCAAGTGCGCGCGCTTTTCAGGAGCCCTACATCCCGACCGGGAAAACTGGACAGCGTTTCTTGCGTAAGCTCCTGTCGGCGAATGGCTGGTGTCCGAGCTTGATAAGATCAGCGTTGACGCATCTTGATCTGGGCACTGTCGTCTACGTGATCTCCCTCGGCCCATGTGAGAGGGAGAAGGATCACAGCGAGTGTACCGAGATCATATGTCTTGCTTTGCAGACAGCAGGCGTGCGGACGCCCAGCCATACGCAAGACTGTTCCAACCCATGCTACAATGTTGAGCCGGATCTAATTGACATAATCAAGCTGATTGGCAAAGGATCTATTCCTTTGCTCTACTTTGTCAAGAAACCTTACCATGTGCCAATCACAGATATCGCCGGATACGATGATCAGACCAATCCTCCCACAGCAGCACTTGGTCTGGGCGTCCGAGAGTACAAACCTGGAGACCGCTACACTGCACATTCGCACGTGTTTGGAGAAGGCACTGGAAACACTGAAGGTCACTACTTACCGAAGTGTGCATTGCTCGAGATATGGCAAGTCCTGCAGGCGCAGATGCAGCGAGAAAACGGGAGCTCTCCAAGCGATTCTTGGGGAGAGGGTTCGCCACTTTTCTGGATGGATACATTATGCGTACCAGTCGCTCCCCACCACCAGCAATTGCGGAACTCGGCAATCACGCACATGAGACAGATCTATCAGAACGCAATTCGGGTGCTTGTCCTCAGCCCGGAGACCCGGAAGCTCGACAGTGGTGCGCTTATCATCGAGCTTTATGCAAAGACGTTCTTGTCGGGCTGGATGCAAAGGCTATGGACCTTGCAAGAAGGCGCGCTCAATCCATGCCTTGCCGTTGTGGATGGGAAGAGTAGTATGTTTCACGTATGGGATGCCAAATATGACTACCGCACACACCGGTGTCATAGAATCCTGCAGGATCTACGTCGGGTACTCGAGTATCAACTTTGTTCTTCTGCAGGTGCTTTATACGACCAAGCCACCTCCGCCGAACAGGTCAGAGTGCGCGAGCAACGTGTGCTCATCGCTTTCAAGGATCGTTTTGCCAGTCGGAAGGGCGATGAAACGATCTGTATAGCAACATTTCTCGGACTCGATCCGTCACCACTACTAGCGATTGATGAGCACGAGCGAATGCCTATGCTACTGCAAATGATGCCACATGTACCAGATAATGTACTCTTCGGGCGTGGTCCGAGGTTGGAGAGGATAGGATTTGGGTGGTGTCCACAGACACTGCTTGCGCCATATGGCATCGAAGTGGTGGTGTCAACTCGTCACAAGCCTACGTCAGAAGACGGGACTAGCTTAGTCGAGGTCAGACCGCCAAATGTCTTGTCACCAGAAGGTCTCCATACTACACTGCCGGCCATCATGCTGGCTGGGCCTGCACGTACCTCTGAGCCGGTGCTAATGCGAGATACCTCTGACTTCATGCTAGACGGGAAGCTCTACGCCATAACGCTCCTCGAAGACGCTCGATCGTGCTTTCATCGCCGTGCCAGCGAGTTCGCAGCAGAACAGTATCTCGCGCTACTCCTTGCACTCCCAGCTGGCCGTGAATACATGGCTGCATTAGACAAATACGCTACTGCCGTCCTCGTGGGTATGAGCGATGACACTACGGATGAAGTGGCCAAAGTGCGATACTACTGCAAGATTGGCACCACACGCATAGATTTCATTCCAGGCGTTACAGTGCTCCCTGAGGAGAGGCATGCCTATGCTACTTGGGTGCTTCCGCCGATGCAGAGATGGATTGTTGATTGACCACACTATACTGCTTGCGCACAGCACACCGTCATCACTACCAACGTATCCTCACCTGATCGGTCCGAGCGCTGCACGCAACCACTCCATGCTGTGCTGTGGTTAAGTTGACGCTTCACGTAATCGATACCTACATTTGATCACCGTCCGATCAACACCAACGTCCAGCATGAGGTACAGCGGAGCATCTTCGGGTCATAACAACGTCAGGAACAAGTGAACGGAAGTCGATATGGCGCTAGCTTTATGTGTGCTCTGTATGCTGTAGTACTACTGTGAAAGCCGTGAAAACCTTCGACGCCAACGCAAAGCAGTGTCATCAGCATTGTCATCAGCATTGTCCATGACCTGCCAAAGGCAAGAGAAGGCCATGCACTCACTGAGCATAACGATACTTCAATCGTGAGCCATGTACGACGATCCCTCGTCGAGCCATCCTCTTGCCACACCCTATCCTCTTGCCGCAACCATTCCCACACCTCCTCGTCCTGATGCAGGAAAGGCTACGCGCTCCGCCATTATGCTGATCAAAATAGTGCAGAGCGTCTGTATGAGACTCCCTATCCAGCTATCTCACGCCATCCTCTTGGTCACCTGTGCCGCCGTCCAAACCATGCTGGCTATGAGAAGGCCCAACGCTCCGTTGTACAGAGCATAGGAACGACGATTTATCGTCGCGCCATCCTCATGCCATCATGCTTTATGTTGCGACCACCGCAGCTCGTGTTTGCTTGTGGTCGCTGTCATCTTATTGTTGATTTTACGTTTTGCTGGACGCGGACTCGACGGCCTTGATCGGGTGGTCATGGGGAGATAGACAGTGAGAGGAACTCCAAAAGCATTTGCTCCTCAGAGTTCGCGCGACTCTTAGTTTCGTTCGCTAGGTCATTGACAGCGGTCGCCGAGTCCACTCTGGTGATCGTGGAACCTCCTGCAGCGATAGCCCAGTCCTCTTCGTCTTCGGACGTGTCCTCCGCACTTTCCTCCAAGTCTTCTTCATCGCCCTTGGCAGCGTCACAACCATGCAGCCAGTCCTTGAACTCGGCTCGTGTTTTCCACTTGGGTGGCTCTGGCACACCCAGTGGAGTGCCGGGAGGATCCTCAACAAGCCCAACGATAAACTCGTTGGAGAGGTAGCTGATTTTCCTGGTGGACCTGGGCGGGACTGAGGCTGGAGCGACTGGATTGATAGAGACCCAGCGTTGTTGCATCTACCTCAATTCGAAGTCCGGAGTCTACGGGAGCAAGCGCTCGGCCAGGTACCTGGAAACATCACTCGTGCATGATGAGACTCGCCAACACACTTGTACACGAGCTCGCTCATGCTGCAATGCTGCCGAGACCCGATATTAGTGCGAACGAAATCTGCGTCCTGAATGGCTGCGCAACCAGTGAGGAAGGATTCGAGCTTGAGAACGCTCTGTTTGGTGGCATCTTGACCAAGGCACCGAGTTTGGATAGTCACGATCGCATCGCTGTCGTACCGCGAATGCTCGAATGGCCGGATGCTCGGATCACAGCCGCGTACGATGGGTTGTCTGGCGGTCATCGAATCTTTTGTCGCTCGCCGCAACAAGCTCGACCGTGGCGCTCTTTGAAGCATGACTTTCTGAAGGCTCAAGTCGAAAGTTAAGTGGAAACGCCACTGAGAAGGGCGGGGCAGGAGGACTTTAAGGGTACCACTATTGGTGAGATGGGTGCCGGCCTCCTCGCGACCAGAGGCATCCTCGCACGAAGCAGACGTCCGAGGCTGGCCGCAACAACCTCTTGCACGAAAATGCGAAATCGCTCTCGGCCAAGCGCGCAAACAGCAGCCTTCGGGCATCTAGGCCAGCGTGAATACATGCCAATCCCCATTTGCGACCACACCCGGCATTCTTTGCCATCAGATCCAGACCGCTTGTAGCATCGGCTCGACAATCAGCAGCACCATCACCAATCAGCTTACCACCCATCACCGCCTCGGCGTACTCCCCTCCTCCCCACCAGCCTCGTCGCCAAAAATCTCCTGCTGCAGCACAATACTATACACACTCGCCTTCAACAACGTAAAAACCGTCGTGGTCTTGCGCTCCAAACCCCTCAGCGCATCCAGGATTTCCGCCGAAGGGTTCGCAGCAAGCTCTGCTAGGATTGTGGAGAGCTGATAAACATCTCTAATCAGTAGCTATTTCTTGGTCGGGATGCGATGCTGGATCGATTCAATCGACTGATAAGTGCGGTCATCGCGTCTCTCTTGTATCGTAGGAGAACTAGACTTACCCCATCAAGATTCCCAACCAACTTCGCATACTCGTCCAGAACTTCTTGCTCAAGGGGACTCAATTCGCCTTCGCCATTGGCAGCGGCGTGCGGTCGTGTATCAAGCGAGGCGTCCATGCTGTAAGTGTGCTGAGCAGCCGTGTCTTGATATCGCCCCGAATCACTTGCTATGCAACATGGCTCCTCTCGTTAGTAACGACAAAAGGTATATTTAGAAGTGATGGTCACTAACACAAAGTACGTTGAGGTTCAGTAACGCGTCCGGACATGGTCTTGGCGCGAGTCAACCAATCAGAGACGTCCTCTCCCAACACCCAAACAAACACCACCGACACGATTTATACACTGCCAGCGAAACTGGAACATCGTAAAACGAGGCCTTGGCACAATATCTACAATAGCCCTAGTGAGAGTCTCCCAGAATCATCAATCGGTAGGCAGACACAGCCACCCTTAACCCCCCTTCCACGCCAATACGCCCATATAACACCTGCACCCTGCATGCCTGCCCTTCCCACCCATCTTAAGCCGTACTTCGCCATGCCCGAGATGATTCATGAGGTACAAGGTTCCCCCTCCGCTGAAAAGGAAAGATTCATATCCGTCCACTCCTTGACCCACATCACGATCAAGCATCTCCGGAAGTTCTGTCGCCCCACCACCAAGCACACCGCCACCACCTCCCTAACGCCCATTCGTCTTATAATGCCCCTCATCCCCCTCATGATGCAAAGTAACACTATTAAACTCCTCAAACGGATCGGCAATCTCCCCGCCCGGCGTCGCCAGCCCCGAATCAAGCGGAACCCCCTTCATCTTGGCCGCCGGGACCGCAAACCCCTTATTCTTTCCCCCACCAGCCCCATTCACCCCACCCCCACTCCCACGCCCACCATCCCCCAGATCCACCGAATGCGACTCCTTGACATTACGGAAATTAACCGTATCGATGCCTCGGCCCTGATTGGGGATGATGGGCGGTTTCGAGTGGCGAAGTAGCGCCCAAGAAGTCGAGCGGAAAAACGGATGGGTTTTCACGTCCGAGGCCCCCGCGCGGGACCCGAGCCGGCGGAGTTCGTCCTTGATGAGGAGTTTGCGGATGAGGGATTTGCAGAGACTGGAAAACAAGACAAACAAGACGTCAGCAAATTACCACCTGCAGAGTGATTTTGAGAGCCGGAAAAAAACTCACTTCGAAATATTCGGCCCCCCACTCCCCTCAGGAAAGGGCACCTCATCCCTCAGAATATTCGCAAACGTCGCATTCCGATTCTTGCCCTTGAACGGCGTAGTCCCAAACAACATCTCATAAATCAGAATCCCCAACGTCCACCAATCCACGGCACTCGTATGCCCACACCCCTTAATCACCTCAGGGGCGATATACTCCTCCGTCCCGACGAAGGAATTGGTGCGGAAATTGGCGATGCAGGATTTGGTGTCGATGGTGGGCATATTGGCGGAAGTGGGGTTGGAGGAGATGCCCGAGGCGGAGCGGTTGGAGGCGAGGATGATGGCGGGGAGGCCGCCGGGGTCGGATTGTTTGGAGAGGTCGAAGTCGGAGAGCATGATGTGGCCGGATTGGTGGAGGAGGATGTCTGGATGTCATAATCAGTACAGGGGTTCGATGTTTGGGGGGTTGGTATGGTGGTTTTGAACTTACTTTCGGGCTTCAGATCACGGTAGATGAAACCCATCAGATGCAGATACTCCAACGCGGCCGTCACTTCTGCGGCGTAGAATCTCGCCGCATCCTCATCCACGCACTTATTCGGTCTCGTCTGCAGAGCTCGGAAGAACTCGCCTCCGGAGCAGTATTCCATGCAGAGGTAAAGATGATCCTCGGACTGGAAACTATGGTAAAGCGTGACGATAAACGGGTGATTCGACGTCGCCAGAATTTCCTGTTCCGCAAGTGCTCGCTTGATCTTGTTGCGCTTGATCATCTCCTTCTTCGACAGCACTACCACTATATCAGCACAACTCCATCATGTCCACTACATCTCTTCTGCAAGACTTACCCTTCATAGCATATAACCTCGTACTCTTCTTCTCCCGCACCAAATACACCTTCCCCACATCCCCCTTCCCAATCAACTTGATCTTGTCGAAACTCCCCGGCCCCACCTCCACGTTCCGGACTTTGATGCTATTACTGCTGTACGTCCTTCTGAAAGCGATACTATTCCGGAGCTTGCCCGGTGTAATCACACCATTAATCCCAGGGACCGGCAGGAGATCATTATCCGCAGACACAGTATCCACCATACTCAACGCACTCGCACTCGCATTCCCATGTTGTGTCACGCCGTTGAGTCTAGGTGGTGCTTCATGCTCCGCCGTCTGGGGTCTGCTGTCCCCACTCGCACTCTTCTTCTTACTGAATAGACCCTGCGCATTGGGCGCACTGGCCACCCTTCGCAACTTCCTCGCCAGCTCTTCCTTCCCTGATACTGCAGCGGCATCCTTGGCTCCGGCTTCGGCAGCGGCAGTCTTGGGTGTGTGAGGTGTATCTGGTGGTGAAGGCGGCACGCTGCCATCATTATGATGTCGTAATGCGGGAGGACCTTGATGTTGAAAGTAGGGGTTCGCATGCGCAGTCGGGCTCATCCCCTCATCTAGCTGATTGCCCTCGGAAGCTACCGTTGTGCTTCTCGTCCGGCCCAGGTGTGGTATGAAGCGGCTGTTCCGCAGACTGCTCTTATTGTGCTGGGGTTGTGGTGTGCGGGTGCCTTCGCTCTGACCGTCATGCTGCGAGCCATTCTCCGAGTTCGCGGACGATACGTCATTCTTGGAATTGATGCGGAAGAAGTTCTTGATCTTCTGGCCGGCCGAGTTGTTCACTTTGGCGTTGGGGTTGAGATTCACTCCGGAGAAGGTGCGCTTGCCCTCGGTGGTCTGGCCGGTCATGGTGGAGGTGGTGGTGGTGGAGGAGGGGGTGTTGCGTTTTGCCGCGAGGGCTGTAGTCATCTATCTCCGTCCAGCAGTGTTGATGTCCTTGGGAGGGGAAGCAAAGTTACCAGGAAAGTGCGGCAGTCACCCAACAGGGAGTGGAAGGGTGGAGAGAGTTGTTTACCGCATGCGGATTGGAAATCAATGTCTGAGACGTGTTCGGGAGGAAGGTTAACGACAGGGTGTAAATGGTACAGTAGTAATCGTAGCGGCTAACGGCTACTGTAGAACAAGAGGGACGGTTAGAGCTAGCCTTTGGTGGCGCGGCTTCTGGCTGCTCGGCTGAAAGTGCCGAAGTACAGTAGTTCGTACAGTAGGTCCCAAGATCGCACAGTGCGGCAGACAACAGGTGGTGGTCGTCGAGTAGGTTAGAACAGCCTCTACTGCTACTGTCCGAGGCTTTTCACATTCCACCTTCTGTAGGAGAGGGAGCGACTTTCACTCAGAACTCCCCAAAGACTGTGCCTCGAGACCAACCACAACCCCCAATTCTTGATTCGTCAGCACCAACTCGCCCCACTTCAAACATCGCAAGTGCAAAGCGTATGTAATGGCAAGCTGATCGGGCGACACGAGCAGCAAACACGTGCTTCGTGCTCGTGCAACATCACCTGTTCATACATAACCAAGCCACGGCCGATGGACTCCGTCAGGACTATATCTCTACTTAAATTATAGGCATATGTTTATAAATGCTTGCACGAGAGGAAAAAGAACTACAGATATTTTCTGCTAGAAGTAACACATCACTAGTTCTTAACTTGTACTATAGTGGTATATTTCTTCTACAAGATAATAGGGAATAGGTATATAGATCTCGACTCTAACAATCCACAAAAACTTTATTACATCTTCATTAGAATCTGCAGAGAATTAGCTATTACATTACCATACAGCAGTTTTTCATCTCCTGGACACAACAGGGATAGTAAGTCGAGACGACAGATAATACATTTTAGAGACATGGTGAGCTTCAGACAGAGGATATATCTAAGCCGCGACTCGTATTCTTACTCTCCACACCACAAACGTCCCAACACAAACGATAGCAGCAACTTCACCTCCCCCCCAAATCCGGCACAGCATTAGCCAACCTCGGCGCCCCAAGCGCCACAACCATCTCGCTCTACTTCGAGACAACAGCCCCATTCCTCCGACCCAGACGCTGACCCTGACGCTGACCCTGATCCTGACACTAAATCTCCACCACCCGGCCCATCCACTCCAACACAAACCCACCCTCCCAGTCCACAGCCGCCAAAATCTCCCCACCACCATTCCCATCGAGCCAAGAATCAGTGACTATGTGCTCCAAGCAGGATTCAGTCCAATGATATCGCTGACATCCAAGTTCTCAATCATTTCCATGTTGTGTGTGTGTATTTCCGCGAGAACAGTCGTGCTGCTTTGCTTTGCTTTGCTTTGCCAGGCTCGGGCTTGTTTACATCCCCAATCTACGGACCCTAGGGGCTAATCTCTGGATGTAGAAGGGTGCGCAGGTTGGGGAAGGAGCAACCCTCAAGCAGAGTAGTGGACCTGGGTGATGGAGCCATATCCTCACGGCGGCTGGATGGAGCAAGCATTTGGCGGGATCATTGGGGAGAAGAGACTTAGAGAGCAGTCTGCTCAATGGTCGTCGGTGTCTTGGCTGTTCGTTCTTATATACCCGTCCGGATGACCGGAGCAAAGAAGGGGTCCGTGCCAGCAATCTCAATCTCAATCTCAATCTTGATCTCGAAATGGCGATGCCGAGAGAAGAGGAGAGCAGAGCAAAGTAGAGTTGAGGGAAGCGCGGTTGCAGATGAGCAGCTTCACGAATCTTCACGGTTGTATTCGTAGCCAGCATTGATCGACATGACTTCGTTAAATCATGGACCTCATCCACGGCCCGGGTGCGTGTAATCCTTGATCGCCAACTGCAAGCTCTCCTCACCCTGGGCCGGCCAAACTTGGATGGAGGGTCTCCGCGCCATTCCCAAAACCCAGTAAGAATGCGATGGGCGACTTGCTCCACATCGCTGGCCGTCATTCACCTTCGAGCTCGCTTCCTCACCTCATCACCTTCCCCATCCAACCAGGCAAAAGCAAAGTCTTGCCTAATTGAGCAACATCCATCAAGCGCACCCCCACTGAAATCTCCATCCCAGCCAATAAACCACCAACCCACTCACTCACCCCCCCTCAGCAATCGGATTAGCATGCACCCTAACCCCCTGAATCCTAACCTCCTCCAAGGGCCTCCCCTTCCCATCAACCCGCACCCCCTCCAACCGATCCAAAACATCCCACCCCGCCACCACCCGCCCAAAAACCGTATTCCTCCCATCCAAATGCCCCGCAGCGGCAAACGTCACGAAAAACTGACTCCCATTCGTCCCCGGACCCTTATTAGCCATACTCAGCAGGCCCCTCCCGTGATGGCGGAGGGAGGGTTTGATTTCGTCTTCGAATTGCGCGCCGTTGTTATAGATGGAAGGGCTGGATTTAGTGGTGCCGGTGGCGGGGGAGCCGCCTTGAATCATGAATTGGGGTATGAGGCGGTGGAAGCGGGAGTGGTTGTAGGCGCCTGAGGCGGCGAGGGCGAGGAAGTTGTAGGTTGTTTTCGGGCAGGCGGCGCAGAAGAGTTCGAGTTTGAGGTCGCCGTGGGTGGTTTGGAGGGTCACTGCCATTATCTGCCGAGCGGTGTTGCTGTCCTCGCCGGTCGAGCGAAAAGGCACGGGTGAGGTGGTTAGTGGTTGTGGAATTGTCACATATGCAGGTCTATACTAGCTCGTCTCGAGGCGCATGTATGGAACTTGTCCCGCCGTTCAGTCCGTCGGGTAGTGGAGTGCTTAGCGTGGCACGAGAGTTGTGGGGCGCTCTAGACTCTAGACTAAACGAGTTAAGACAATAAGCGCCACGATTGTCATGAGCCACGATCCAATAATCCAATCCAATCAACCAGCACGGGGGTTCACTGTTGTCTTACTCCAACCGCATATATCGATACCTCGTCATTACCAGCACAGCGCATTATCGATTACGCCGACAGCTTTGCGGGACAATATAGCCTTGCGATTGTCATACAGCATCGGCATCAGCTTGCTTACTGGCTGCAGCATTCACTCGCATCTGACATAGCTTCGGCAACGGCTTCAGCTGCTCGTCGGGCTCTCATATACACACACATACAGCTCTTGGCGCAAAGACCACCACATACTCGCATAGCTTCGACACCACCACCACACACCATCATACACACACCACACCCACCCGATTCACCCACCTGTACTCCTCCACCGCATTCACCCACCTGTACTCCTCCACCACCACCACCACCCCCCCACCAACCTCTGAAGCGTCGCGACACCTCAGCTCGCGCCATGCGGTCCCGCTAAATGCACTCACCCCTCCGCCAACCCCAATGGCAGCCTTCGTCCGCATCTCCGGCCCCCCCAACTCAAACTTCCTGGTAGGCTACCCAGGAATCTCCGCCACCCTCCCACGAATAGAAGGAAAAGTCGAGATCCGACCCGGCGTGGGCATCTCCGCCCCCGTCGCCGTCTCCCTCGTCACCGTCTCCCTGCAACGCCGCGAGTCCATAAATCCGGCCGCGGAATCGATGATCCGATCTCAACTCAGCAATGCGCGGAAGGAGATCACCGAGCTTGTGGGGAAAGAGATGCTGTTGTTTCGCTGTGCGGCGGGGAGGGAGAGCGAGAGCGTACTGTGTATGGATTTGCCATTCGTGATCTTCATCCCCTACGGACGAGGCGGGGAGGAAATGGCCCGGCGAGTGCCGCCCGCGAGTCTACAGTTGGATAAGCGGACGGCGGAGACATACTACGAGCTGGTGGTCACAGTCCAACAAGGCCACCAGGATCAACGCAAATACGCCTTCCCCGTCCCCATCTCGCGCTACGACACCCTAAGCACCTTCGGCATGTACAACCGCCCGGAGAGTGCGGAGAGAGTGAGCGATCATCTGGTAACGCTGGGCATTAGTTTACCCCGCTGGAGCTACGGGCCCCTGGACCCGGTCTCAGTCTACATCAAACTCTCCCCGAATCCCGACTGGCTCCCAAAAGCCAAAAAAGTCACCATCCAATCCATCACGGTAGGAATCGACGAAGAAATCGTCTACAACCCCGAAGGCGACGAGCCGAAACGCAGCGTCAAAACCCTCGCCAAACACCAACAAGCTGTCGGGGTGCGGATGCCCGAGGCCGGGTATTTCACGAATCTGGGCCTGGTGTTTCCCGCTAGGGAGTTGAGGGATAGTGAGGGGGTTTTACCCAGGGGGAGGAAGGAGTTCCCCATGCATGCGGTGGTGGGGTTTACGACGACGGGGACGTTGTATAAGATTGAGTATTATCTTACTGTGAAGGTGCGATTCCTCCCCACCCTTATTCCCCAAAAGCATTTTTGCCCTCCACTAGTCAGACCACCCCTCGATCCCCCTCCCCACCTATACTGATATCTTGTCCAGGCCAAAATGTCCTCGGCCCGCGACATCGTCCTCCGCCAACCTATAGTAGTCTGTCCCTACGACCACGCGGGTTGCAAAGAGGAAATGGAAGCTATCGAGCAAGCGGCCAAGGACGCCCAGCATATTTCCCAGGATAATCCCATGTTACCTGCTGCTTCTGTTATTAAGGCGAATGATCCGGCTGGGTTGCGGATGTTGGGGGTTGCTATGATACAGGGGGTGCGAAAGGTGTTGATTGAGTGAACCCCCGCCTTACGAAACGAAGAACTGCTGGATCCGCTGGATGGATGGATTGTGAGATGAAGATGTGAAGATTCGTCGACGAAGAAGAAGAAGAAAGTGCTGGAACGAGCGCAAGATGTTCTGCGCGGCGCACGGACTAAACCGACATCGACGCCAGGCCGGACTGGGCGCGTACAGGGGCGGCGCATCAGTCGAGGCAGCAATAACGATCTTGGTTGTGCCCTTCCCCTGCCCTACCCTGTCCTTCTTCTTCCGGAACAAACCCATATAATGCAGGGAAGGGGCATTGTTCCAAGCACTTAACACCGCTCACCATTCGACCGGCTTCAGGACAGCTAGCAACACGGGCAACGAACATCAGGCTCGGCTCGGGACCGGCCACCAGCTCAGTAGCAGCATAGGGAAGCACGGAGTACGACGGCGGCAGACACACTCGGGGGCCGAAGCCGTGGGGAGGAGGGACTACGTCTTGCCGGGCGTTATCATTATCATGCTGGAGTGCCCGATTAGAATGGCTTGGCTTGGCTTTTGAAGGCTTTGAAAAAAAAGCTTCTTCGCGCGCGGACAGGGCAGCTTATACGGAGGTAATCGCTCCATACTTTCGCTTGGTACGACAGCAGGAAAGGGCGTTCATCTCTGGCGTTCTCGGCGCTGGAGGAACTTGACGTTAGCGTATGGGATTGGGATTTCTTGCATATGCATGGTGTTTGAGTCACCTTTTGGGCACGCTTTGGGCGTGCTTAGCTTTAGCGGTGAGTTCTGTTCGCCTGACTCGACTGACGGGGACAGGCTTTTGTGGTAGAACGGACGATTACTAGCTCTATCTTGCTTACCATTTTCGTGCCATTGAGTGGCTTTGGTAATGATAACGCCCACTTACGCACAGTCATGCTATTTCCCTACCGGCACCGCACACTCACTCGCCTCGTGTTGGGGTAAGGATATTTCGTCGCACCCCAAAAAGACTTTTCCACACTCCTCTGCTTTCCCCTTCCACATATATATCTCTCTTCCACTACCCACCCGCCCCAGATACCAAGCAGGAAATCCATTGAACAAGCTCTGATCCCACGGGACATGAACATCCTCCTCCTCTTTCCAGCCGTAGTAGATGCTTGCCTGGCGCGATTCCTGGTCACGTCACGGTGGTGCGCAGCGGGCGATGTGCGAGGGGGTTAGGATAAGGACAGGAAACGACTACAAGAGTTCCAGGCCCGGGGAGACGAGGAACACAATACAGTAAGAGTCTAGGTAAGGAATCACAGCCATGGTACCAGGAATAAGATGCCCGATCCAGGGCCACCAGAGCGGGACGGAGCGCCGCTGTGCTGAAAGGTTTCGGGAGAGTTGGAAGCCGTGGTTGGAAGAGCTGAATAAGCGGCAGCATTCTGGTGCAAGGATGCAGCCGTCGCGGTCGTTGGCAGAGCGTAGGTCGTATAGTACGTCCAGCCCTCCTGTAGATGACATGGCGGCGCCAGCGGCAAATCAGAGGACCATGGTGGATGTCACCGAGACTTCGCCGCTGTTCCCAGGCAGCCTGGCTATACCGAGTAATAGGTGGGTGGTGCGGAGCTATGGTGCCATACAGAGCCGGGACATCGTCTGCGTCGCTAGTCGCCTCGAAGCTCTCACGCCACCGCCGAGCCCAAGCTCAGAGAGCTCGAGCGGAGCACGATTACCAGGGACGGTAGAGATGGAGCGAGACACTTCTGCGCCAGCTCAGCAAGAACTCGACCTCGAGGCCGGACGCGCTCGGCAGGACGATGAGAAGAGCGAGGAGATGGACGCACAGTCTGCGGGCCGAGAAGATAGCGACACGGCTCATCCTGGCGCAGGAAGAACCTACAACCTCTGCAAGCTGGCACTGTTCGTCCTTCTCGTGGCTTTCTACACCTTCATGCTTGTGATGGCTTTGCGTGAGCGCTACGGCTTTGTGTGACCCAAGATGTGAGGACGATGATCGCAAGATTCCCGCGACTCTGATGGAAGGCACCCTGTAGAACACCCAGGATCTGGAGGACAAATCAAGCTCCGTGATGGCACCGCTGGTGGCGACTAGAGTGAGAGTAGCACCCTATTGGCGACTAGCAAGCGGCAAGTAGTCCTTGAGATCACAAACCCTTATGGTGTCTTCTTTGGCACAGCCAGAAAGTATACTCGATGCGTACTGAAGCCGTCGCAGTCACGTAGGCTTCGGACGAAATGCCAGATTTGCGAATGAGGCAGAAAGCTCGGTGGTGGCTGCGTGGGCCTCCTCGTGTGCCTTACGAGCCCCAGATATGTTCGTGCTCGAACCTGTAGCTCTCATACTTCGTATATGGTCCTCGATTGTCGTCCTGATGCTTTCGTATGGTGGCGTGCCTTCTCCAAACGTGGCTGCAGCGTTGCGTAGGTTTACCAGGAGCTGTTGTGCTATCAGCCATGATCTTGGTACTTGTTATCCGGGCTACGTACCATTGACAGTAATTCATCATCTGGTGTTACGTCAGACATGTTGTAAAGTGTTACTCGAAATGAAGAAAGAAGGAGCAGATTGTATCGTTGTCTATCGAGCAGCACTAGCTCCTGGTCTGTGCGCACATGAGCCAAAACCGAACTTTTGATATCGGAGTCAACCACCGCCATGAACTGTGAAAAGCAATGCAGACGACCCATAACCAATCCGTGACACTGGAGTGACCGAAAGGCATCTCACCTTCACGATGGCGGACGTCGATGAAGAAGACATCCCCCGGCCGGGTCCTGCAGACGACAATGAAATCGACTTATCAGAAGAAGTACAGGACTTTCGTTTCTTGCAGACTGCAAAGTAGGTATGCGTATACGGACTGATAGAATGAACTGCCCATTGACATAAATTCCAGAGGCAACGATGCAAAGATCCCAAAACGTGGTGAAAAGGACTTCGAGCCACATGCAACAGTGTTACAGTCAAACACTTTAGCCGCTTCGCGACAGGCCATGCACAAAGCTCTATCTTTCCAGCGAGTGCATCAGCCGAAGACAAACAATCCAGCTACTTACCACCCAGAGTCGAACATGGCATATGCTCAGAACCCCAGAGGCCCACTCTTCGCCCGTATGGGTCGGATCCTCCCTAAGAAAGAGGACCCTCTCGGCGACGACGAAATGCGTGGGATGCGGATGTGGTTCTTACCAGAAGAAATCATCTATCTTGTTGAACGTGGTACTATCGATCTACGTTGGCCGAAGAGTGAGGACGACGAAGATGGGGAAGGTTTGCCCATGAGTCTACAGGCTTGCTATGCTATGTTCATCGGCGAAGAGGCTGCTCGTGGTGGTGCGCTTACATTCGAAAGATATCACGTTTACTCTGGATTGAAACGTGCTGGATATACGGTCATGCGAGCAGAGGACTGGAAGAGTCCTGGTCGTCGGGTTTCAGTTGAACATTATGCGCCTCCGCCGCCACGACTTTGGCAACCAGGTCTACTCAGTCTCGCAAGGATGAAACAGTTCTTCATGGGAACCGAAGGGATTGAAGGACCGACCTATGGCTCAGAGACCCTACTAGCCCCCGGTCTCTATCGCAATTATGCTGAGATCTACCGCCGGCTTGCTGTCATACAGTGGCACGATCCTACCAGCATTACAGTCCCTGAGCAGCCATTTCATGCTGACACCGATTCCGACTTCCGACTGACCTACGACGTCTGGAAGCCCGGTAATACAACCTTCAAGAAGTCCGATCATGGCACCCCCGACTTCCGCATAGCAGTCGTCAACGCTCGCGAGACCAATGTGCCGAGTTTGCAGCAAATCAGCAGTCTCCTCGAGACTACACCATACGATCCTCCGAAGCCCGATGGCCAGCTGTATCAGAAGCTGAAGCACGGGTATAAGAATGTAATTCTAGCTGTAGTGGATCAAGGCGTGATCAGCTATCTGCGTATTTCTGATGCTGCTTTTGGTCGCGAGAAGTTGTATGAGCGCAAAGGCAAGATGCCTGGCGGGAAGCGTGGAGGTGGTGGCGGGAGGGGCGGAAGAGGAGGTAGAGGTGGCAGGAGGTGATATAGATCTGGCTCTAGAATGCTCACGATCAGGGTGGGAGCGTATCGAGTCAGCAATTCGTGACTCATGTTCGCCTCTCGGCACGCAACCTGACGAAAGTTCGGTCGCAATCTGCCTGCCGCATGAGGTACAGCTTCCAGCTCAACAGCGTCTCGATTGAAAGACATCTCATCGTCCACGACCACGACCTCGGCCTCTGCCTCTACCCCTGCCTCTGTCATGGCCACGGCCACGTCCACCACCAAACCCACCACGGCCACGACTTGCGTTGAAGCGCTCAGCATCAGGATCTGGTCTCGGACCTGCAGCTAACCTGGCAACTCGATCCTCGTCGCTTATAGCAAGGGCATTCGGTATCTGCAGCATCTCACAAAACTTGGCAGTCTGTGAATTGGGGTGCTCTTCAACTTGAGCGCACTGCGGCAGGATCCAATTGCCACCATCATAGACTGGTGCTAACACCTCGAAGTTCTCTGGAATTACCATTTGCTCCGCATCCAAATTCTTTTCAACCCACTTCATCTGCTCGTCGATGAGTACTCGATACTCAGATTGACTTTTGCTTCGAGGAATGACAGCCTCTGGATTGCCAAATTGCGGCGGCTCACTGAGTGTGATAGCTCGAGTGATTGCTAGCCATTCGCGATCGTAGCAGAGCTTTAGTGGTCGATCCAGCGGTTGGCCGTCCAATATAGGAATATCAAGCAGTTGGAGGAATTGCTTTTGTGGTAGACATTTGTCCAGAGCCAGGAAGTTCGTGGTAATATTGGTAATGTCAGGGGGGTGCTCGACAGGCTCTTTGATCGGGAGTGGCTGGCGCTTGAAGGCGTCGGGCAAAGCTGATCGTGCGGCGACGGCTTGTTCGCTAAGGGTGGGTTGCGCAAGTGCAGCGTGTTTTTCTATTGGAATCTGCAGTCCATCCACTCCTTGGCCTGGAGTAACTTCTGCAACGCCGTTCACATCGTCTTCCAGCTCGAGGTCGATCTCGGCATCGTTGCGATTGACGACGGCTTCGATATTAGCTGCTGAATCATCAAGATCGTCATCCAAATCGATTTCATTGTCGTTCTTGGGCACAGGCATATTAGCGCTTGCCGACGGAAGTGAGTTCTGTGGCTCCGAAGTGTCGTTGTGGTCGATGACGGCAGCATATTTGCAGTGAAGATGAGCACTGAACCAATGCCGCGGGCGAAGCCGCTCAAGGACCTGCTGAGCGGCCACGCTCCCCAGCTGACCACCTCTCGCATCATCTTCAAGATGCTTCTTGAACCGAAACAATTGCTTCCAATTCCCTTTCCACTCCACACCCTTGGGCCAGTCGTGGCTTATGCCGATGTCGACTTGTGATCGAATCTGCAAAAGCTTGCGTACATCGAGCTCTCGGGTGTGGTAGATAGACTTAAGTTCGCTCTCATTATACGGTAGACGTTCGTGATGTGGTTTACGGAAGTTGTAGCCTTTCCAGATACCACTCATGCCTGCAATCCGTAGTGGTCCGACACGAAGTACGTTTGCTGCGCCGAGGTAGTAGATATTCGGGGCCACCCAGCCTCCGTAGTAGAGCTCGAAGAGGTAGTTACTTGCTTCGTGATTGCCTCCAACGAAGACTGTCAGATATGGCGCCGTCCTCTGGCCAGAATAGTACTCGTGAAAGTCACACATGGTCCGATACTTTGCCGGCATGCTTACGCAATTAAGATCGAACGCATTCCGTACAGACTGAAAGTCACCGCCGATGATCAACAGATCGACTCCAGGCCATTCTTTGCTCTTGCACGCCTCCTCGATCGAGGCATATATGTCGTGAAGTGTTCCATGGCCGCAGCCCTCCACGGCGAGTCGCAACCCCTGCTTCTCGATCAGGTTAGCAGTCATTATGCCAGCGCACTCATCTCCTGTGAATGAGCTTTGCGCGTGACTGCAATGCTTTTCGTCGCTAGGAAGGTGGGCGATTTCAAGGAAAATGCATGTCAAGATCTTGAAACTGCATGCTTCCATCAGTAGCGGCGGGCAGTCCCGTGCCAATTAACGCGCCATTTCGAGAGCTTCTTCTTCATTAAACGCACCTCACGGATCGACGACTAACGACACCAATACCGCGGGAGGTGGATGGCGTCTGCCGAATCGAACGCAGCACGCCGGAGACATCTAGTGGCGGCGTCCGACCTCCTAATGGTGTCCTCCCCTGCCGTTTCTGCTCACCTACGCTCCACAGAAAGGGCCTTCCGCCGCCAGCAAAATCTGCCGTCCGCCGAGACTCCATTCGAGATATGTACCGCTTGTGGTAACATCTTACTGCTTGGTTGGTCTTGTGAGCTTCCTCGACCTTCGGGTCCGAATGCACGCCGCCTACAGCAGAGGCGGAATGTTCAGGGACGCCCAGCATCCGGCAACCCCAAGTGCCTCCGTTGCAACACTGTGACTGTCAAGCAATCCAGCAAGCCGATTATTTCAAAGCAGTCTAAGGAGTCTAGACACATGACTACCAACACTGCCACCCTTGCCGTACAGGCGAGATCCGAATTGCTCAAGACCCCTTCGTTGGATGTACCACATTCGACAGAGCAACCAGTTGTGCAAAGAACCGCAGACTCCAGGAAAGCTCGCAGCAAGAAGACGAGTCTCCAAGCTCTACTTGCGAGTCAGCAGACCAAGATGAAGACGGGGACCACCAAACCTGGATTCGATCTCAAGGACTTCATGAAAACTTGAGATACGATCATCAAGACTAGACATTCCGAACGAGCGGGAGAAGTATTATCACGCTTGAATGACTGTAGCGGACGTTGCTGTATGACACAGCAAAGAAGGTGCTCTTGGCTGGTGCTCGTGTGCAGTCGCCCAGAGGCAAGTGACATCTTCTTTCCCGGATGGCAGGAACTGACAACAACATTCAGTACAGGCGATCATGCTCGAAGAGCCACCACATCAAAGTAGCTAGCGTTCTGGCAGGAGGGCATGAGTGGCACAATCAATGAAGCTCTCTAGGGCCGCCGAGCAGCGTCGGTGTGGTGCCCCTGAAGACCTCCCTTGATCTGCGGCGTCCCGGCCTCCACATGCCTGGCAGACGCCCTTCGCGTGTTTGACGGAGGCCCTGCTCATGCTTGACAAGCGCTCTTCACAGTTTTGACTGGGCCGCTAAGTGTGAACTACAGCCCGCGAGCTCCCGAGCTTCACATCAGCCACAGCCACGATGCGTACCTCTGATCGACCTCACCGCTCCAGGGCTGTAGGGTATGTTGGTGTGGATGGTGGCAGTACCATCACAAGCGCTGATCGTCGACCCTTACGTGCTGCCGCGAAGCTCAACCAACTCTGACAAAAGGACGCTAAAGCTCGTCGCTCGCGATATGAGCAATGTGGACCTCTGTTTGATTTGGGTATCCATTCTATTACATACAAGGATGCTACACTCTTCTCAAGCCGTCTCCTCATACCCCTCAGTCTTCATATCATTCAACCCCAAATCCTCCTTCTCCGCCTCCGTCCTCTCATAATCCTCCGCCTGAATCGCCGGATCCGGCTCCGGCGCAGTAAAACTCTGCACGTAACTACTCGCCAGCGGATCCTCCAGCACAAGCGTAAAAGGCTTCGAGCCATCGATGGCTTCGGACAAGCTATTGAAGAAGTCGTCCCATGATCGCCTGGTTTCGGATTGCATGGAGTCGCTGTCTGGGACATTGGCCGCGTCGCCGTCTGATAAGCCAAAGGCCTGCGATCGGAGATCTTTGCGGATATTGGTCAGGATGCCTTCGACGGTGGTGAAGCGACCGCCCATCGTGCCGGGCTCTACTTGTAGTTGAAGCTCAGGACACGACAAGGCTGCGCTTTCGCTCTTGAGGATATCTCTCGAGAGGTCCTCCTTAGTAGTCACTCTCAAGATAATCCTTCGGCCTTTCTCTGGCACCTCGCCACCTGATTTCACCTCGTTTGATCGGTAGCCGCAGTCGTCGCAGACTGTGCTCATGATAACGACTTGCTTGAAGAAGGGAATATTGACCATTTTCATATTTGTTGCGCAGGGTCGTGTGCAGCCTGGACATGATGCTGGGAAGGAGTAGACCTGGTTCTCGACGATGTCCTCTGAGTCGACGTTATTCACTGCTCGCTCACCGTTGGTCTCTGCGCCGCCACCACCAACAAGGCCTTGAGCTTGATATTCAGGTCGTATCTCAGTCGCAGGCGCGGTTGTGCTGTGATCATGATCGTGATCGTGTTGCCCAGGCTGCGGTACATCGTCGCCGAGTCCTAGCATACCATTCTGCTGTGCCGTCCGATCGTATTCGCTCTTCGCCCACTTGCCCGCAGCATCTCCCGGCGTCCACTCTATCCACGAATTCCCCGACGGATCGTCCGCAGAAACCATGAATGGAAACTTCTTCGCTTCCGCCATATCCTTCAGTGACTGTATGATCCCCGCCACCTTCTCAGCAACCTCTGGCATCTGCTCTAATCTCGCTGCTTGATTGCTCTCAAGATCTTGCCGCACACCACTAATCACGCCCTCCAGATTCGTGAACTGTCCCTTTCCAGCCGGTATTTCCAAATCCAGATCCTCCAAGCGAAAAACACAAAGATCGCTCTTCACCACCTGCCGCTGCAAATCCGATTCCTTCTCCACTCGGAACGCATACTTGGTGCCCTTTGGTTGGATCTCGCCAGCCGACTGGATCTCGTTGTTGTGGAAGCCGCATTTGTCACAGCTGAAGGACATGATGATGATTTCGCGGAAGAAGGGGATGCGTGTTAGGAGGAGTCGTGTAATGCCATCTTCGTGACAATTCATGCAGAGCGATTCGATCTCTTCGACGACTTTTTGTTCGGGTTCGTCGGGGGTGCCGGTGGTTTGGGAGACTTTGCTGTGCATGTCTTCGAAGAGGTCTTTGGCGAGGGAGGCACCTTGGAGGCGTTCGCCGTTTTGTTGGGCCATCTTTGTGGTTTAGGAGGTGATTTGTTGCGATATGTTGCGATATGTTGTGTTGTGTGTTCGTGGGAGCGTGGGCGCATGCTTTGAACTTTTTGATGGAAACATCCCACCTGACGCAACGCAACGTTATCGATAGCATAACTTGTGCTCTTGCATAAACGCAGATGGAGTACGTGCGGGTTCAGAGAACGACGACAACTGCTCGTCTTCAGTGACCTTCCGGCATTACAGCAGAACATCACAGTCTACTTGCAATGCTCGTAAGAGCGCAAACTTGCGAAGTCTGACTTGACGTCTTGTCGTACCCGCTTCACCTGCTCCTACCTCAACTCACCTCAAAGTAACTTATATAGAAATAATCCTCCCCGACCATGGCAGAAGTGAGCCGACAGGAATGACCACTCTGGCCTACCGACTAACCACTCCAGCCTTACGAGTCTCATTGTCCATCGTGCGGTCATACAGCACCCAGGAATTCGGTCCCAAGGATTCGGTCCTGACTATACAGCGATACTCCAAGAAAGCGTCCGTCATCGTTGTCTCGAGACAGAACATATGGCTCGAACACTCTTGGCCTCATAGCGGTATCAGCGGTCATGTACCCAACAGACCGGACGCCGCAGCCATTTCTCTGAGCTTGCGCACCGTGAGTTCGCTGCTACATCAGGATCCAAGCTATCGTCACCAGCGAACCCCACGGGGATCGCGTAAATCGCATGTCTCGCTCAAACCGAGTCGTTTTCACGAAGTCTGAGATGGACCATGGATCGACATCCCTGCGTGGAGACCTTCACGACAGCCTTTATTACAGCTGCACAAGCATCTAAAATGTCGCAAGGCTCCGCCACCTCCACAATGTCTTACTGCTGCGATGACGGAGAAGGCTGCTTACGCAAAAAGCTCCCTGCTTCGAACGTGTCCGGGGCGCATCCATTGACATGCGCAAAATGCATACATCCGCGTGGTGAAAGCCACTCGAGTGGTTGCAGTCAGAAATAATATCCTGCAGGTCTGAAAACAGAACGTTTCGCTGGCGGTGAATAATGGAGAGCACATGCACTATTTAGCGCCAGTAGTAACCCAGCCGCAGCCGCAGTCCCGTCTGCATGGTGTACGTTGGCATGGGCGCCTCGAGTGAATCGAGTCGCATGTCGCCGACTGGGAATAATGAGGAAGTTATTCAACAACCTACAGGCGGCGCATGATAACGCAAATCACCTCTGCAGAATATACTCGTAAAATCACTGCTGTCGAATGTACAGTCATATTATTTTGACGATGGCCGCAAACGAAACATCAGTCGAGTCCGCCGATCGGAGCCGAATTCAACGCTAAGAAATACGGGGCCATCTCTTAGCGGCGAAGCCAGTGCGTGTGCCCTGCCCACTCTCCTTCTTGCCTCGCCACACCACGCACCACACACCATCCCCGTCCATTCACGCCATCTTTTCTCAATTCGCATTGTACGATATACCGCATCCCATCCACGATATCCACGCCCCAAACGCTCTCACTGTCTTACTCTCCAGACGACATTCACCCATTCCTCCACGTACCTGCAATTAGAATAGCCGCTGCTTTGTTATGATCTGAGCGTCTCGACGTCTACACCTACGAAAGGAACACCGACAATCCCAGCAACGAACGTCATATCAACCCACATCATGGCAAGTCACTACTATGGCGCTCAGCACTACCTACCAAACGGCTCTTCACACAACCACGGCCACCACGGTCGAAGCCGGCGAGGTCCGAGGGTGAACTCGCAGAATGCGCATCGGCAATACAAGGCTCAAAGGAGTCCGAAAGAGGCGCCCGAGACTCCAGCATATGTCGACTACCTCCAGCGCTTCGAGGCTGCGAAGAGCTTCGAGTTTGACGATGATGAGCTGTTCTGCCCATTCCATCTTTTGACTAAGGATGATGTATGTTTGGCCCACCAGCGCATGTCGCACGGAAGGCCTACCCGCAGCCATGCTTACAATACACTACAGCTCCAATCCATACACTCCTCTTCCTCATCCGATCGAGGATCGCTGTCGTCCGGCTCGCCCGAAGCAAGTCCGCTCCAGCAGCAGGCTCAGCCCACCCCATCCTTCTTCCTCTCCACCGCACCCAACACATACAGCAATACATCTTCCGGCTACCAGCACTCATCTCACCAGCAGATGAAGCTGCACCAGCCACTGGCCCAGCGCTCACGAAACGCTATCCCGATAGTGGACCCCTCCACTCGGTCCATCGCGAGTCCACCACTATCCGTCTCGCCAGGCCGACAGATGCAGCAGCAGTACATGCGCCGCTGGTAGATCTTGCCACGCTTGCGAGTGTACTGCTGAAGTAATGCTGTTCTGCGTTCCTGCGTCTTGTCATCAGGTCTTGCGAAACCTTCCATCTCACCATCAGCCTACAACGAGCGGCAAGGCTGATGATTTCGTTCTTCGATACCCTGTTGGTTGATTGAGGTTGATCCACACCCTGTACAAAAAAATCCCTACTCATGACGACTACTTCGAATACACGGCTTCACTATACACCTGGATGAATCGGCGTTTTTGACAGCAGCAGCAGCATTACGAAAGCATTACACTCGAGCAAGCAAGCAAGCAAGGCGATTACTGGACATGTTTTTGGCGCGCACATAAACCCTTTCTACTCTTGTTTTTGGCACGGGTGTTGGTCGGTCGTAGGATCACGGTAACGAAACAAAACAAAGCGGAAATGACTTTTGGGAGATACAGCAAAGGACCGTCACGAAGGATATTTTGCATGGTACAGATGGAAATAGGAGTTGTTGTTGTTGCTGCCCACACGGCGTTTTGGGGACGGTTGACTGACATCGAGCGGTGGATGTCTGTTTGTCTTTTGGTGCTATGCGGATGAAAGGGGGAGATACCATGTTCTTGCTATGTACGGGGTTGTTTTTGTTTGCTGTGCTCTTGGGTCAGTGGGATGGTGTGCACTGAGATTGTGTACTTGGGTTCTTGTATCCTCTCCCTGTGGCTTGGTATGGATCTGGCTACTGGGTGTATAGCTGAGTATGAGCAATACTTCATTATCCGCTTTGCCTCTGAACCTCAGCACTCGACATCATTGACCTGTGATTCTGTGCTTGACAATGACTTCGCATCTATACCGAGCGTGCCTAGCCGTCATCACGACAAAGGGGAGGAAGCTTGACGTATGATGTCGATCGTAGAAGCCGAGGGAGCACGAATCGAGAGCTTCCAGATCGCAGAGGTCTGTGCTTGGTGGTGTATAATAAACCTCAAGACATCCTTCGCGCCTTAGCCATAAGTATATATCGACGTATTGCACTCTGCTCGCCGTCATTTGAACAATCCTTCCGATCTTCGTAACTCTCCACTAACCATGTCCGCCCTACGAATGCCTTTCATCGCCCGCCAAGCACCCTTCCGCGCCATTGGAGGAGCTTCGAGGTCGTTCCAGAGTTGTCGGGTATTGGCTGTGGGCAAGGAGTCTGCGCTACGTATGCCCATCCATGCTTCATCCTAGTCGTCGAGACGAGCATAGGCAGTATAGCTGACTACGACAAATGCAGACAACGAGGGCCGCCCGGAAGAAGTGGAGGCGCATAAGCAGGATCAGCTGCAGAAGCAGAAGGAGGGCAAGGGCCACTGGAAAGATGAGCTGGCTAGTGATAGTGAGAGTATTGTAAGTCTTCCGGCCTTGCTGTCGTTTCGTGGAGGGTGAGCGGACCGATGAGGACGAAGTTGACATTTTCTTGGTTATCAGGTGAAAGCCGATCGGGGTGAGACGGGCACGAGTGCGAAGGATAATATTAAGGAGTTGCAGAAGGAGACGGAGAAGCTTGCGAATGAGAAGAAGATCTAGTCGTGTGGGATACACATGGTGGGAGAAAGCATGCTAGGGAGCGATGTACATATATGGAAAGTTTTCGTTCATGATCACGAGCAAAGGCGTTTCTTCATTTGTTTGCGGAGAGCGATCAGCTGACAGATGGAGCCTGGTGTCAGGACCACGGTGAGTGTTCCACTGACTTGGACGTAGACACATGCACGATTAGGTATCTTCAACCGACCGAGCACTTCTGGCACACACATCCTTGGTCTGAAGAAACAACTGGACGACAACATCAAGACTGATAGCAATCTCGCATCCGAATGTTTGCAGTACCACTGATGCACTTGCGAAGATGTCACTCGCTGTACTCATCCTCACTGCATATGCCGTTGTCGATAAAATCAAACACCGCCATGAGCGCGAAGAACGAAGGCGGCACAAGCCCGAGCATACAGACACCAAGATCCATTCCATCTTCAGGCCGGCAAATCTACAAACGTACAGAGATTGCGCCACAGCGATGAGGCCCGCTCTAAGACTCGCCTCTCGACTTCTAGCAACTGACCATTTACTCGGCTTCTGGTACACCGTTTTCTTCAGCGACACAATCGAGATTCGGACACCCGAAGACGCGAAAGCAGGAACAAGACACTTCATGTACACGGATGCACCACGAAAACTAACCCACGACCAAATCCGGCGCACAAACCACGTTTTGAAACTTCTGGCAGACTGCGTAACCTTTGATCTCGAAAGCAAGCAGCCGCGCTACGGAGGTGGAAGATGCAAACACCTACGCCAACAGCGCGCCGCATTACACTTACAAGGCCACAAGAGCGAAATCCAAATCTCCTCGTACTTCTACGACTCCCTCACGAATTCAGCGATCTCGGAAGCGGATAAGGTGTGGTTACAATTCGAGCTCGCGAAGACCTTACTACATGAACTAGCTCACGCGGCGGTCAATGCGGCGAGGGGCAGGGAGTCGAATCATTATTATTTCTTCCCGGGTTGTAATGTGGCGGAAGATGGCTTTCAGCTCGAGGCGGAGCTTTTTGGGGGTAAGATCGATCTCGATCGGGAGGAGTTCAAGGCGGGTTTGAGGAAGGGGGAGCAAGGGCGGAGTGGGAAGCCGTTGATTCGAGGGTTTCGAAGGGCGTGGCCTTGTCAGGGGGTTGTGGAGGAGTATCTGGCGAGAGGGTCTTCTATTGGGGTAAGGGGCCCTGTGGCTCGTCGGCGGCGGACGGAGGAAGTTGATTATGTTGCTGTCTCGCGGCTGCTTTGTCCTTCGGGTGGGTAGTAATATGTTGTCAGTTGTGATGGATTGATGGTACCTGGGTAGCAGAACCTAGCGAAACATGGTCTGTACGCCATTTGACTAAGAAGAGTAGCCCAAGTGTCCTATCGTTTGGTCGATGGCACTCAACATCCCCAGCATTGTGTAAGCTCGGGCTAGTTACAGCGATAGTCAGGGCCGGGAACCATGTCATTATGATGAGAATTGTCGGATGTTCTGTGCGTAACTGCCAATCAACCTGGAGGAAATCGCCTGTGCTTTGCTGTCGAGCTTCCATTCAGGACCACTTCTCAATTGCATCGATTCTTAAACATGCACTTCAGATCATGCGAAGCACGGCGAGAGCGAGCACAAGTGCCGCTATCATCGAGCACTTTACAGCTAAGGTAGGTGTGCAATTACTGATTCCGACAGGCAAACGCCGGCTAGTAGGTCGGCATTGCTCCGGATGTTGACTTCATGAATCGTAGTATCTGAGGAAGGACATGCTTGGCGCGCATCACTACGCGTGCAACCATGCCATTATTACTCATGGTAAATTTAGGTTGCCGCAAGGATCTTCGCGACCTAACCTCGAGTCGGCACCATACAATTGGGGCATTACGTGGGATTCTGGAGGATGGCCAAGGAGACCTCCTCTCTTGGCATTATTGACTGCCGCAGTATGACCGTACGGCAGAGGTGCCATGTCGACCTCTGACAGTGCATAAAGAGTGAGGCCGCCGCTATGAAGTGGCTATCTGATAATTTGACAACGCAAGATGGCTGGACTTATCGCCTCGACTGTCTGCTTCGCGCTGCTCGCGGCTCGTGCTGCTGGTCAGGGCTACACGAATGCTTCTGAGGTGCCAAACTACGGCCTCAGTCCGCCAGTCTATCCCACTCGTGAGCACGATGATGTACCTAAGCAGAGGACCTACTGACGCTCTGATCAGCTCAAGGCAAAGGTGGCAGCGATCCCGACTGGCGAGCTGCCTACAGCAGAGCCAGTTCTATCGTTCAACAGATGACATTGGAGGAAAAGGTCAGTGTCACTCGTGGGCATATTGGACTTTGTGTTGGCAATAGTGGTAAAGTCGATCGTCTTGGACTGCCAGCTCTCTGCTTTGCCGACGCACCCGACGGCATTCGAGGGCAGGAGTTCGTCTCAGCCTTTCCTGCACAGATTGTGGTCGGTGCCACATTCGATCGTGAGCTGATGTACCGCTACGGCAAAGCTCTTGGTGAGGAGTACCGTGGCAAAGGCATCAATGTAGCATTACTACCAGTCGCTGGTCCGCTTGGCAGAGTCGCGCGAGGAGGCCGCAATTGGGAGGGCTTTGGCGCTGACCCGTATCTATCGGGCGCTGGTATGAGAGCTGTGACCACGGGTCTGCAGCAGCAGGGCGTTATTGCTCAAGCAAAGCATTGCTTGCTGAACGAGCAAGAGTATCGACGCAACCCAGAGTCTATGGGTGAGTCGATGTCATCTAACGTGGACGACCGTACCATTCACGAGCTTTACGCCTTCCCTTTCATGGACGCACTGCATGCTGGTGTGGCTAGCTTGATGTGAGTACATCGCAATGGCAGTACTGTGGGTCAGGCTAATGCGACGAAGGTGTTCCTACCAACGCACCAACAACAGCTACGGCTGCCAAAACAGCAAGCTTCTAAATGGTATTCTCAAGACCGAACTTGGCGTTCAAGGGTTTGTGACGTCCGATTGGGCGGCTCAGCATGCTGGCGTTGCTTCTGCCAACGCCGGCCTCGACCTCGTAATGCCAGACGGTGGCTACTGGGACAACAACCTCACGCAAGCAGTTCAAAATGGTTCAGTTGCCGAGTCCAGGCTTGATGACATGGTTACTCGTATTGCAGCGGCATACTTCCATCTGGCTCAAGATCAAGGCTATCCTGAAGTCGGAGTCTACCCATACGATGTCAAACACGAGATCATTGACGTCCGCGATGAGCACGCCTCGCTCATACGCGAGATCGCTGCAGCTGGGACTGTGCTTGTCAAGAACGTCAATAATGCCTTGCCACTCAAAGCGCCAAGGTTTTTGAATATCTATGGCTACGATGCGAGGCTCCCAGACTCACCATGGACCACGCCTGCCAGATTTGGGGGTTGATACGATGTTAATAACGGCTGGAACGTCTTCAATGGCACTTTGGTCACTGGTGGCGGATCTGGATCTAGCACGCCACCATATGTCATTAGCCCATTTTCTGCCATCCAAGACCGAGTAATCAAGGACCGAGGTACTGTGCGGTGGGACTTCGACGTTGTCAACCCAACGGTCTACGCCAACGCTGATGCTTGTCTGGTCTTCATCAATGCCTATGCTTCGGAGTCATTCGATCGCACATCGTTAACAGACACCTTCAGTGATCAACTGGTGAAGAATGTGGCAACAAACTGCTCGAATACGATTGTCGTCATCCACTCAGCCGGTATCCGCGTCGTGGACGAGTGGATCGAGCATCCGAACATCACGGCAGTAGTGTTCGCCTTGCTGCCTGGCCAGGAGAGTGGGAACAGTATAGTGGACGTCCTGTACGGCGATATCTCTCCTTCAGGCCGTCTACCGTTTACAGTCGCCAAGAACGAAAGTGATTATGGCATACTCCTGAATTCCACTATCAGTTCCGGACCATTTCCACAGGACAATTTCACCGAAGGCTTATACATCGACTACCGATATTTTGACAAGCAGAATATTACTCCTCGATACGAATTTGGTTATGGCTTGTCGTATTCTCAATTTGACTACGCGGATCTGGAGATCTCCACAGTGACAGGCAACACGACCGAGTATCCACCAAGCTCGGACGGCACGGTTCCACAAGGAGGACCTGCTGTCCTATGGGACACAATCTTCGAAGTGACCGTCAATATCACAAACACAGGTGACCACACCGCTGCCGAAGTGCCACAGCTGTATATTGGCGTTCCTGATGCCCCAATTAGACAACTAAGAGGTTTCGAGCGTGTGCATCTGGCCACTAACGTAACTTCGACTGTCTCATTCCCGCTCACAAGGAGAGACTTGAGTATTTGGGACGTAGTAGCTCAGCAGTGGAGACTGCAGAGAGGGGAGTATACCGTAGAGGTGGGAGCCAGTAGCAGGGATATCAGACTTGACAGCAGTCTTACCATCTGAGACGATACGCCATGCATGGGCTCTATAGACAGTTCCGCTGCTCAGGTGGCATTTCAAGCGGCATCTGAACTTAATGTCTTATATATAGCCAGAACCGAGCCATCAGATCAAGAGATACTCAAGCATTCGCGAGTGTGGGGTACATCTGGGGATAGCATAGATGTCAAGTCCTTATTGGTTTACGACCAAACACTATTTCATCCTGCTTGTCCACTTCAGGCACTTGCAAGCGGGACAACATGGCATGTGAGGAGACACACTTTGTCATCTCCGCTGTCCGCAACGGCCCACGCACACGTGATGGTAGTACTTTACCACACAGGATGCGTCGTCTTCGATTTGATATAGCACGACTCGGACGCAGTCACTATGGCTGCAGCTGACCGGGAGAAAGGCATCTCAGCGCACATAGATCGACATGACCAGAGCATCGATAAGGAGGATCATGATCTGGCAGTCCTCGGCTATCAACCAGAACTCAACCGCAATCGCTCAGTATACACCATCTTGTTCCAAGTCCTTGCCATCACTGCTGTTCCTTTTGGCGAAGGCACAGCTCTGACAAGTGCCATCTACGGAGGCGGACAATTGGCGTACTTCGTTGGTTGGATTGTGGTGGTTGTCCTCGACGAGTGTGTGGCTGTCTCACTTAGCGAACTTGCCTCCAAGTTTCCTACATCATCAGGACCTTACTAGTAAGTGCAAAAGCTGTGCGTAATCGGGTCTAAACGCTGATGATTTCTAGCTGGACATATCAATTGCTACCGGAAGGTCGAACCAGGACGATCTTATCCTTCGTCACTGGATGGGTTTGGTTCATTGGCAACGTCACCATATGCCTTAGCGTCAACTTCGGTACGGCAGCACTCCTCGCCGGCACCGCAACAATCTATCATCCGGACTGGTATGCTTCGAGCTGGCAGCTGCTCTTGATCTTCTATGCTGTATGCATATGCACGTTTGGCGTCTGTGCTTTTGGCAATCGCATACTGCCATACGTGGACACCGTTGCATCAGTCTGGAACGGCATCACTATTCTTGTCGTATGTATCGCCTTGTCAGTGGTCGCTGGTGCTGGTCGACATAGCGCCTCCTGCGCTCTGAGCCATTACGATAAGACCATCTCCGGCTATGGCAACTTTTCTTTCTTCATCGGCTTACTCCCTGCTGCTTACACTTTCGCCGCAATCGGCATGATCACTTCGATGTATGTGACTCCCCACGTCTTCGTGTTCGCAATGCGCTGACCTGCTTTCCTGCGGTGTAGGTCAGAGGAAGTAGCCAATCCGTCGGTCGATGTACCGAGCGCTCTCAGTCTTGTCGTGCCGATATCTGGTCTAGCCGGCCTCTTCTTCATCGTACCGATATGCTTCACTGTAAGTGAGATAGATCTGTAGAACAGCACAAGCATTACTGATCGCCCACACAGATGCCAGCGTTGCAAGACATTCTTAGTGCACCAGCCGGCCAGGCACTGCCTTACATTTTCCACACCGTCATGAACAGCCCAGGTGGTGGGCTAGGCCTAATGTTCCTGGTCCTAGGTGTCGCAGCCTTCTGCTGCATAAGCATCACTACTGCTGCATCTCGCACAACTTGGGCCTTTGCCCGGGATCAAGCGCTTCCGTTTTCAAACCTGTGGTCGAAGCTCGCAGGCGACCAAGTACCGATAATGGCTCTAGGTCTACTTACGGTCGTCCAAATGCTGCTGGGCCTGATCAATCTTGGCAGCACGAGTGCCTTCACCGCCTTCGCATCCTGCGGCGTGATTGCACTTGCCTGCGCTTATGCTATACCGATCGGTGTAAGCCTGTTCGGCGGACGCAGACATGTCTCCACCGCAAGATGGCGTTGTCCCAGTATGATTGGATTCATTCTGAACGCCATCTCGGTCGCCTGGATTACATTCCAACTAGTGCTGTTCAGTATGCCGGCAGCGCTACCAGTGACTGTGGTCTCGATGAACTACGCTTCCGTTGTGTTTGTGGGTTTCATGGTCATCAGCATAATCTACTACGTCGCTTATGGTCATCGGGGTAAGTCGTCGACCCAGGATACTTGTCTATCATGACACTAATGAATGTGCATAGTTTACAATGGGCCACCAGAAAGTGATGGGTTGTAAGATAAGCTTGCATTGCGTCTACCTGTCAAAATACAGTATGATGTACTGTATGGAGATCGTGTATAACCTGCGGCATGGTCGATATGTAGCCTAGATCTGGGTTTCTCGTTTCAGCAACAAGCTCCAAGATGGCAGAGTATCGACCAGCACCGATCGCCTTGGCCCTTGGTCCCAGCTTGCATCTAGACCCGAGTCACTGTTGGAATGCGGTGGACTACAGTATGCCACGATACTGTAAGACCAGGAGGCGTAACGGCTGACGGCCGGAAAGCTCATAACCTGGCTGATGGAGCTTCGATGGCAGGATCTTGTCCCTCAGCTCCAGACTGGTGTCAGAGACAACGCACAGATTCAACAGATCGGATCATAGATGTAGAGCACGTTCCGAAGCAGCTGGTCTTATGTACATGGGTCAAGTTCCACCCCTGGCTCCGTGGGATCACAAGAGCTTGTCAACCCGCGCCATGCTATAATGCTGCTCCGTCCGCTTATCGCTCTCATCATCTTGGCTTCTTTAAGGCTAGGGAGAAATTCCAGTCCGTGGTCCTGAGGTCAAACGTACATCAGCACCATATCATCGCCTCCGCAATGCAGATGCATGCTTCACCTCATAAGCTTTCTTCGTGGCGTCTTCCGCCGCAACATCCATTGCAAGACCTCCTTAGCCGTCTGTCCCGCTTCCATCTCGCTAGGGAAGGCACGATCAATGATGAACCTATCCAGATCGTCGGTATCCACGATAGTATCGGCAAATTGTCGCGGTGGCTGCGCTAACAGCATGCGTTGCCAACTTCCCTTCTTCACCTTATAAGAGTGTCTGTTTCGCAAACGACCATTATGCTCTCCTCTGCCCTGTAAGACGAACAAGTCCTGTTGACTTTGGATGTAGACAAAGGCTGGGGCGGAGCTAAAGTAAATTCGTGGATGGTTGTTGGGCTCGAGTAGCGGATTGTACTTGGGTCTCTGCCCGTGATCTAATTTTGCGATGAAGTAAAGTTTCCTTTGCAGCTTGATCGAGCTGTTGATGATACCGTAGAATGTCTTGTTAATAGCTTGGCATAGCAGCAGTGTCTTCATGTCGACCTCAAGGAGAAAGGTTTCGAGCAGCTCGGGAATGGCGAAGACTGCTTCTGATGAGGCCATGTTGCAAAATGCTGCAGTATTCATGTCAGTGACATACAGCAGGGTACGTACGAACAAGCATGACACTTACTGATGATGTTATAGGCCATGAGTGTCAAAGGTCGAGAATTGTGTTGGAAGGTGATGGGAAAGTGCAAGTGAGGTGAGAACGAAGCAGGAAAGCGCAGGAACAAGGGATGGCGGAAGTGAAAATATGAACACCACTTGATGCTATCATGGGCTGAACATGGGTAATCACATCCCACCCCATTCCACGCAAAACGTTCTCACACCTTCACCATTGCTCTCGGCTTCGTCTGTGCTATCGAGACCGTCTTTCTTCTCCACACCGCCAATGAGATAACCCTTCTTCACGCCCGTGCCTAATCTGCCACCACCCACTAGATCGAGCAGATCGAACTCCTGATCCCAGTCCATACCGTTGCACAGAAAATGGCTGTGAAAGCGAAGTGGGTCACCTGGATAGGCCATGTATTGACATCCGAAACGTATACCAGGAGCTTGGAAGTAACCGCGGGAGTGCATGTGCTTGAAAAGTGGATACGAAGGCGGCACTTCTGGCAGCTCCGAAACAGATGCATCGAGAGGATCGCCGAGATCGTTGAGCTCGAGCGCGGGAGTCGAAGGTGATCCTGTTGATGATCGTGGAGGTGGCGTGGCAGCTGTCAGAGGCGGGTAGGAGGTCGTCGGTGTGACGTGGAAGGTCGGTAGCGGCGGGCCAGTGGATTGTGCTGCGGGTGGTACTCGCCTTGGTGGTGTATTGACCTGAGAAGGCTGGGCAAACAATGACTCGCTCTCATCCAGATCACCATTTGCAGCATGTTCGTTGATATTGCTACCAGCAGCGTCTAGCGGATCACCACCAATGCTCTCAGGGGGCGTAGTTGTCCCACTCCTCCCTTTCTTCTTGCCTTTCTTACCAGAAGCTCTACTTGTAGGCCTGAGCATATCTTCTGGCAAATCATTCCAGTCGCCCACATTACCACCAGCTTTGCTCAGCGCAGCTTTCTTCTTGTCCATGGCTTTCTCCTCAACCCTGCACGCGGCTGCCTGCCCTTGCCTCCTCAACGTCTCACGGAAGACCTTGCGCTCCTCCTCACTCAATCCTCTGTCCAGGAAGCCCTGCTTGTGCGCCTTGACATCATCGACAACATAGCCAACGCCTTTCTCGCACAGCAATCGTGCTTCTTCGGGCATAAGCTCGAGCGGTATGCCGGAGAAGACGTTCTGCTGTGGCGCTTGCGGTAGTTGACCAGTCAAAACGCCCATAACATTGTGCTTGGCACGCAGGCATGTGATGGTGTCCACATCGTAGAGGAGATATCGGCCAGCGAGCTTGAATATGGCTATTGGCTCCGGGATGTTGGGCACGTCGGTTGTTGAGCTGGACATAGCTAGGTCTTGTGGTCTTGTATGTGCCGATTATGTGGTACTACAGGTTCACATGGTCAGCCGATGGTCCGGTGGAGTGTTTTCAAGTCATAGAAATGTGCTCGCGTGCTGTTATGTCATAGTGTATGTTTCGTGCTCGTCACAAGTACCTCTTTTGAGGCTTCAGGGGATTGACAGATTGATTGAAAATTTGTTTAATCATGCAACAGCGGTAGGGATCTGATTCGACTTACATCTGCTGTGGCTCAGAGGCCGAATAATCAAGTGTTCACGGCATTCTTACTTGTCTAAATCAGCTCGAGGAATGTTAATAGAAAGTGATGAGAATTGGGACGCACGGATCGATTCCGTCCCTCCGCCGCAGTCGCCGCAGCGAGGCATGATGCGCCAAAATTCCTTCGCTCTGCTTTCGAAATTTCTCAATGACATCTCCCTCCTTCAACGTGGCCACGATTTCCGTGAGTGGCAAAGGCAATGTGCCGACTGCGCCCAGTTTTCGAAGCTGCTACGTGTGTCCGATACGAAACTCGAACAACGGCACAGCGCTTAGCACTGAACGTGGTGCTGCTTCGAAGACGCTGCTCCGAAGACGCTGCTCCTGTACAGCGAATAATGGCGATACTCCTGACGATCATGCTTTTGATCTCTCCAGACTTATCCCACGGGCTAGTGTATTGGTAGGAGTCCCGTGTGTTGAGCTGGTGATTAAGCTGGCGGGCGGATACTATCGAGCTACTTCTAGGGACGCGACTTCCACAGGATTTCGAGGCTAGTCGACAACCAGCGGTTCCTACCCATGCGCTGCTAGGGCCTCCCATTCTGCCCACTGGCCTCCCACACTTGATGAAGCACAGGATCCAAGATCAGGCCCAATCACTATCACCATTACCAGAGCCATCAGATCAGAAATTACTAAGCATCACTCCAAATGCAGTACATCAATTACTCATTCTTCACTGCATCATAGACATGGCTACCACAAAGTCATGGCGTCGACACGTACCGACTACGTTCGGTATCTGAAGCGACTTGTCCCTTCCCATGAACATTGCTCTAGAGCTGCTTTTCATCCTTTTGTCCTTCTGGACCACTGTTGCCTAATCGACTCTTCTCGGCAATGCCAAACTCGGTCACCCATTGCCAACGCAGTGCTACGACGACTGCGCGGGCTTCGAACTAGCCAAAACGTTCGTTGTCTTCACTGGGACCATCGCTTCCATGATCGCGGAATGTGGTATCATACTTGGACGGAAGACCGCCCACAAGTATGACCATGATCCGAAAGAACCCGGGATACTCGGAAGTCGTATGGGCCTGATCAGGTACTGGTCAATCCCGACAAATATCCTCCCCACAAGGTAAGTACTCAACCGCCTCAAACACCCCGTTCCACATTGATGAAATCTTCACATACCGTTCTGGCGATCCTCATGAGCCTTGAACAAACATGCATCACCATCTGATCCTCCCTGTTATAAGCTACCAAACCTTCATAAATGTCCGGAGGGGAATAAGCTGACTCTTGCAAAAGTCGCAGGTCCGCGAGAACAATCGCCTTCGTAATCGCCTTCTACGGCAGAGTTGACGATGTATGAATCAGAGCCCATCAAACACAAGGTAAGCCAGCGCTAGCTCTCTCAGACCCTGTTCAATGATGATTGTATTTTTTTCAGTTCTGCTTCTGAACCATAATGTTGATATTTAATACCTTACCAAATCTTGTCTGATTGGACACCTCTTCGCAAACATACTCTACCAATGATCATTGGGAGGATAATTGCTGACACTCGAGTCAAGGCAGGAACTCGGCCGACCACGCATTGCTTCTCAACGCCGGCATGTGCTAGAGAAGGCGTGCAGTGTCCCTCCAATAGTTGAATTCACTGCCATCAAATTCGCTGCCGCATGATGTAAGTTATTGCAATCACCTCTACCTCCTTCGACCCTCCCTGCACAAAGATGACACCTAGTCTATCCATTCAACGACCTGCTTGCTCCGCCGAGCCGCCCTCCCTTATACCGTACCAAGCACTTCTGAGCTTGCTCGGTTGGTGTGCGGGATGATCGGTTGTGGATGTCTGGTGGCTTCAGAGCGCCGAGTCTTGCAGTCCGTTATGGGCTGCAGGGCGAGGTGCCGGCGGGTGGCACTGAGTAAACACGGCTTTCTGAGACACTTGCACACATATCCGCACTGCACCGCTTGATATTCCAGGTGATACTGTGGCTGATAGTGTCTCTAGACTATGCTTCTTGTGCTGCTGCACGAAGAGATGTATTTCACCACCAGCGTGGCAAATGATGCTGGGCGGTGGAGAAGTATTCCGTCTGTGTCAAGTCACCATAAAGTTGAGAAGCAACACCAAGCGATCTTTCTACTCGGAAACGGAGGAGGCGTAGAAACGATCATCCACAGGAACGTCCCACAATGCGTGGCGTGCCAAGCCATTAGCACTTGATAGGCTCCCACCGCATGAACTGTACAAGCTGAAGCAACAGACTTGGAGACGAAGACACGCTGAAATTGGTGGCACATTCACATCCGCAACCAGCTTACCATCCAGTCTACTGGCGATCTCGAAGACATACACTACGGAGCCAAGCTTACTGAAGCAGACCACTGGCAGCTATGCTCATTCAAGACCGTTCAGGTATGTGGAGAACAAGTTACCAAGAACGGCTACAGGCATGATTCAACAACTGCGAATGCCCAAGTGCACACTGCCCGTAACGGCGTCGAGCCCACAAGTGATCAAAATGTTGCCTCAGATGTGGAGGGTGGTCCTGCTTGACTTGCGGTGCGGAAATGCGAGGATCCAAGAGCACCTAGGTCACTTCTTGCCTTGGTCGCAATAGTTGTATGGGTTTGGGCAAACCAGCTAGTCAACTGGCGCCGCGCTATGCTGGTAGGAAGTACCTTTGGTCACTAGTAAGCATGCTTTGGGACTACTCCAGTAGTGGCTTCATCAACTACGTTCAGAGTGAGACATTTCCAGACTTCATCTTTCAGCTTGTGAGAATTGGTAATGGTGAAGAACACCATTTCTTCGATGTTTCAGATTCAACCATACTTTCACCACCTCGTGCGCGACGCCGATCTCACAATAGCTTTTCCAAGCCCACTTGCCGAAAGTGATCTTTACTACTCGACGTGACACCCGGCAGTGTCAACCACGAACCTTACGACGAAGAGAGTTCAACTAGAGATATCAGTAGGAAGTAGCGTCGTGCCTCGACAGACGACTAGATCTCTATTACAATACAGCTTTGCCCAAGGCCGCAACTGTAGACGTGTAAAGTTTCATTCATGTTATCTTATGTAGACTGCTGACTACGGTGCTTGGCTACTTCCTAGTCGAGTCTATGTAAATCCCTCTTCTGGTATACGCATGTTTATTGGGCAAGCTCTCGTCGTCGCCGGCTTGCATGAATGCTGCACTCACGACTGATCTTCTGCACATCGGACACGCTTACACGGGCAGTCGAAGCCTATAGCAGGACTCCGATATTGCCTGGATCACATATCGGCCTGTAGCACCCACCAGGAGGTATGTTGGACTTTCCGAATACAGTCCACTATGCGCTCGCCACGTGTGGACGAATCCAGGGACTTTCGACCTCGATCATGAATGTGACTGTCACTTCAGCTCGCCACCAGCAATCAGGAAATGCTGCTTCCAGTCATGAAATGTGCAGACCGGCTACAAAGGCCCACCACACTGGGCACCTAAAGATCCGCGAGACTGGAATTTGAAGCTCATCAATTTGTGACTTCCCCAAATGGACATTTTGTGGACTCACGTTGTGATCATGACCTCGAGTCTCGACCACTGTTCGATACTCGCAGCGTGCGAATTCCGTGTGGGGGTCTCAAGAGCATCCGAGTGGAGTGGATGACCGAAGCTCAGGTTGGCAGCGTCTTCCATGCTCCACATGATATGACGTGGCGCCAACATCAGTCCTGCCTCGCATTCTGAGATTGCGATGCTTGAAGCGAAGGCTGCCCGACACTGGAAGACCAGCAAATTTGTTCCTTCCTCGCAGTGGCCATGTACTCTACAACGGCCACAAGGGCCGCAGAGCCCGCTATACAGTGATCGCTGCTCGGCTACATGCGCGTCAACGAGACGGCTCTTCATTGATCTCCGTGCTGCCGAGTCAGCTGGCTGGAGGAGAAATCTTTATATATGAATTGCATGAATTGCAGGTCATGCACTCCACGAACGCCCTTCAGAGCCTCTTGCAGCCCTAATGTGGGGAGGGCAGGGGTGTGTCAAGCAGGTTGACAACATGCTAACCTGTACCTTAGCGAGCTGGGGTCGCGATATTGTGGCTTCATATCGGTGTGGCTTTCTACGGGGCTGGTTCGTTCGGTCGACCGGAGAGTGCTGTATCGGCCCGGAGCACGATGAACAAGCCTACAGTCTGCTCCTCGACTCGGGCTGATTTCCACTCATCCCATGATCGCAAGGAGTACGCTTGGAGAATCGTCCGATTCAGTAGATGCTCTCCGTGTCTTGTACACTGCAAGAGTCATGCTGCAGGCAGACCAGAAGTCTGAAGGCGGACGTGCCAGGCTATTGGACCCTTCCATATATGCACTCTGCTCATTTGAAGTCGAAGTTGCGCAGCGTAGTACATGAAACGAAGCGTGCCGGTACTTTTGTAGATCAACGTGGTTGCAAAAATTTTGGTGTTCCTGGTCGGAAGACAAGACGTTGCTGCTCATGAAACTTCCCATGCGCTACTCTGTACTTTCTAGTGCATTCAGATCGTCGGAAATCGCGTGGCGAAGTGGCGTCAGAACGGGTTGGGCATGGCACTCTGGCGTGCATCGTAAACCGGCAGTGCTCCCGGAGTCGGCGATCTCGTGCTAGGGATGTGTGATGGACAAAACCGACAGGTACGGCCACTATTCAGCTGGCATGTTACATGATTTTAAGATTGAGGAGTCCGTCATGGGGTCTGTGTGTCACGGTTCTATGCGGCATGCATTGTGTTGGCTGGCAGACGAACACTGGCTGGCACAACCTCTTCGCTGTCAAGAACGTGGAGCCTTGCCGTCTGCAAATCTGTGGCCTCGGTATTGCATTACCATCAACCACCAATTTTTCTGCTCTAGACCTGGCTCTTTACGGGCCCGGTATTCACTAGTTCGTGCGGTCGGCACCCCGCGTGACCGTGCATGGAGGCAACATTGCAGGAGGCTTGGGCAAGCCGCTTTGTGTCCCTGCAGTCTAACCGTTCTAATGACGAACGACTCTGCGACTACGAATTTAACCGGATCGCGAGCTACAATTGCTCCTGAGTGCCGTACCTGTGAGCGACGACATCACTTGCGACAGCAGGATGATTTTAGACAGGTTGGGATGGCCTGTCGAGTCAGACCCCGGGCAGCTGTGTGGGTGTAGACTTCCGTAAAGACAGAGCTTAATCGTTGTGGTGGAAGTGAACCGATCTGGACGATGCCTGGCGCTAGGCCTGCACATCTGCTGTGGTGCAAAGCTCGTGGTGGATCGGGTACAACGCACGGCTGTCAGACCAGACCACGAGGCCCGCCCCTGCAAAGAGGTAATGAATATTACCTTTAGTGCCTTGTAACGGTAAGCGTGATGTCCCCAGGATCGCTAGAATCTTGGAAGTGTGAAGCTTTGGTGCTGGGGTTTCGTCTCCACACACTGGCGTGCATTTGATCTTCTTGCCGAGGCGGTGGTGCGTTTCTAGCGTTCGTATACCGCAATTTTGACTGTTCTCTTGCCCATTCCCTGCCCTCCATACCTCCGGATCCATCAAGACTCGAGCTCGCCGTCATCGTCGTCGTACTTACTTTTATGCTTCTACGACCATTACGATATTATGAACAGCAAATTTCCGTCCTAACGACGACGATCAACTAGGACGAAGCGCGAAGCCGAGAGCTCCAACCTCCGATCTGCCGAGCACAGCCGCAAGCAAAATGTTGTCTGCAGGCTTGCAACACTATCCGATCAACTTTGGAGCGGGAAACATGATGCCACACGGGCACATGCAGCAGCAGATGCCAACGTCGGGTCTGGATACGTTGGCAGAGGGCTCACAATACCATCTGCAGCAGTTGCAGCAGCAGCAGGCCTTGGCGGGCATGAATGGGGCGAGACCAATGCTCAAGCATCGGCACAGCTATGGGAACGGCGCACACGCTGTGGACCACATGGCATCAGCACGACGAGAGTCAATGTCCAGCATGGGCAAGCCTCCACGTGGTGCGAATGGTCAGGCAGTCAGACGAAGGATAAGCAGAGCATGTGACCAATGCAACCAACTCCGGACGAAGTGCGATGGGAAACATCCTTGTGCTCATTGCGGCGAATTCGGCCTCACCTGCGAATATATACGTGAGCGCAAAAAACGAGGCAAAGCATCTCGAAAAGATATAGCCGCGCAGCAAGCGGCTGTGGCGGGGTCGGACGGCAAAGACAGCCCAAAGTCTACTAATGACAATGATTCTGACGACACAGCCAACGACCCGAAAGATGAGCCTGAACAGGGCGTGAAGCGACGTAGATCAAGTAGTGATCTGCCACCCCCTCAGCTGCCACCACCACGCTCGAGTAGCATGTCTTCTCATCCTTTGTCCAATGGAACTCGAGCGGCCATCATGCAGGGCTACGAGCAGGTCGGTGGCCTGCCCGCAAATGCCATAGTCGATCATCACAACATCGACATGCAACCAGAGCGGTCCATGACGATGGAGCAGCAGACACCAAGTGCAGGTCTGCCGACACCACGACTGCCAAGCGTTGGTGGTATGCAGCCGGCGATGGGTGACTACCGGACTATGGACGACTACCATCGAAGCATACTGCATCCCAACGCGAACGTGCCAGGCCAGAACATCTTGCACAGCGGCGCGACTGGCATGCCGAACTCCATGATGCAGCAGCATGGTCATGTTGGCCAAATGACAGGATATCCGGAAAGCCAGTATGCTGTGCCGTCTCCTGGTAGCCAACAGAGTGTCGGTGGAGCACCTTTCCGCATTGGAGAGTCGCCAATCTCAGCTGGCTTCCTTGGACAGTCACCAGTAGCTGGCTCTCCCGGTTGGCTCTCGTTACCCTCGCCTTCTGCCGGCCTGTATCCAGGGCTACAGCAGGTCACTACGAACCAGATCTTGCGATATCCAGTCCTCCGACCACTCCTCCCACACATCTCTGCCATCATTCCGATTGGGCTGGCTTGCGATCTCCTCGAGCTTTACTTCTCGAGCTCGTCATCTGCTTTCATGCAGCCTCAATCACCATACATCCTCGGATATGTCTTCCGCAAACGCTCCTTCCTACGCTCCCACAACACTCGACAGTGCAGCCCAGCTCTTCTAGCAAGCATGCTTTGGGTTGCAGCACAGACTAGCGAGTCGGCGTTCCTCACCTCGCCCCCATCAGCGCGAGGCAAGATCTGCCAAAAGCTTCTAGAGCTCACTGTGGGCTTACTCAAGCCTTTGATACACGCACCCACTGATGGCACACCGAGCTATGCTGGTAACACTGTCATCAATGGCGTTGCACTGGGTGGCTTTGGAGTAGCTCTACCTGGTCAAGCTCATGATATGGAGGGTGGCTCACCGGGAGCGACTGGCGCTCTGGACGATGTGGTGACTTACATCAACCTCGCAACTGTTGTTTCTGCTAGCGAATACAAAGCGGCAAGCTTGAGATGGTGGAATGCTGCATGGTCACTGGCAAGGGAGCTCAAACTCGGCCGCGAGATACCACTCAACCCCGAGCCGCACAACAATGAAGTTCAGAATGAGATGGAGCCCAATGGAGAGAACGCGCACGGGCACGGCCAGCCTCCTGGCCAGCAAAATGCTCCTGGTGCATTCACTGAGGAAGAGCGAGAAGAACGAAGAAGGATATGGTGGTTGCTCTACATAGTAGATCGCCATCTTGCACTCTGCTATAACAGACCGCTGTTTCTGTTGGACATCGAGTGTGATGGTCTGCTCCAGCCAGAGAACGAGGCCATCTGGCAGAGCGCAGAATACTACCCTCCAGAGAATTATGCCGAGACAAGCTACTTCCGACGACGAGGACCTACATTTGAGTGCACAGGACACAGCATCTTTGGCTACTTCCTGCCATTGATGACCATACTTGGTGAAATTGTGGACCTCAATCATGCTCGGAACCACCCACGTTTCGGGCTACGCTTCAGACAAGGCAATGAGTGGGACGACCAGGCCGCTGAGATATCTCAACAGCTCGAGGCTTACGGTCGGAGTCTGAAAGAGTTCGAAGCCCACATGATGGCACCTCAACAGACGCCGACAGAGACACGACCTCAAGGTGAAGGAAATACCGGTCCGGGCAACAGCATGAACGGCGATGGTGGCATCCATGGCGACGGTACCAGTCCGTCTGCACACTCGGTCGGCAGCAAGAGTTCGACACAGCGCATGACAGAAGCCATTCTACAGACCAGGATAGTCGTGGCATACGGGACACATCTCATGCACACCTTGCACATTCTTTTGAATGGCAAATGGGATCCGATCTCGCTGTTGGACGACAACGATCTGTGGATATCATCGCAATCGTTCATCTCCGCAACTGGCCACGCAGTATCTGCAGCTGAAGCTATCAACGACATCCTGGACTACGACCCTGACCTGAGCTTCATGCCCTTCTTCTTCGGCATCTACCTTCTGCAGGGCAGCTTCTTGCTTCTCCTAATTGCAGACAAGCTGCAGGGCGAAGCAAGTCCGAGCGTGGTGAAAGCATGCGAGACGATTGTGCGGGCACACGAGGCCTGTGTGGTCACGCTCAACACAGAGTATCAGGTACGGAGGAATTGCTCACTCCGGCTAAATGCAAGCTGTGGACGATCGCTGACGTTTGTGTGCAGCGAAATTTCCGTAAAGTGATGCGATCGGCTTTAGCGCAGGTCCGCGGCCGATCCTTGGAAGACTTTGGCGAGCAACAACTCCGCAGACGTGAGATGCTTGCGTTGTACAGATGGACCGGTGACGGTACTGGCTTGGCATTGTAAGATCATGATTGATTGCATGCGACGAAGGATGAAGTTGTTGTTTGATGGGCACACTCGATACGAGCATGACTTATTTTCGTGACTTCACCGCAATATATACCCTGGAAGCTCGGAAAAGCTGCGCAAAAGGCTGTATGGCATGTATTCCACATCAGAACACCTATGCATCACTGTGGCTCATGCAAGTCTGTCACATCCGATCTGCTGCTTCTATTCACCGTCGCATACAACACTGATATCAATCCCGACCGGCCAACGATCAGGACATTGTCCTGACAGCCAACATCATCCCTCGTAGCCAGGTAACTTTGCAGGATGGTACCGGCACTCCACCTTGTGAGCTGTGTTTCCAAGGTGGCCGCGGATACCATCTGGGCCCTTGTACGGAGCGAAACACAGCCAACAGAACTCATGCTGACAGCTGCGACCTGCAACAAGTCAGCGACGTTCAGATCTAACGGCCTGTTATACATACAAGTGACATGATCACAGCCAGTGTATTTGTCCAGATTGCGCCCACAATTCGGACATGGCTTGGAGGTCTGTTTGACTTTTGCTTCGGACAGCTTGTTCTCTTCTGCTCGTTCTTGTCGATCTCGCTCGGTTTTCACACGCTCCTGGTACCCATTGCATGTCTCGTCTTCGTGCATGCGAGCCTCGCAAATTATGTAGTACCGGTACCTGCACAGCTGGCAGATGAATATGTTACCGTCCTCCTTCGTTGACATGAAGCATCCCCAGGTACAATCAGCGGGTGGACATGCCCGGAATGCTTCGTCCCGATCTCGACAGTGCTTTGCTGCCTTGTCTAGCCAACTAAATCCAAGTCAACACGAGGTTAATCGCGAGGCCAGGGATGGTCACCACAGTACTTACACCTGTGTGGTAGCACTTGAAGCCAGCCTTCGGATCTCCTGCTCGACCAACACGTTGTCGCACTACGGGCAGCTGACATGATCCCATGGCTTGTTCTCGACTTCGCTGTGCAAGTGCTGCTCCCAGCATTTGCAACAGACCTTACCTGCGTGCTCGATAGTATCATGATGAGCAATTTTTGGGAACTGATTAACCGCAACCATATTGCTGCAGATATCGCATTCAACACGTTTCATTCGTCTCTTCTTGCGCGGTGGTTCCCCAACCTCGCCATGTTTCGGCTCTGCCGTTGCTTGTGGTATCACCACAAAAGTAGCACTCCTTTCTTGTGTGGTATGCTGGCGTAGTACTGCTCCAATAGAGCCTCAAAGTCATCTTCAGAGCCGCGGTCTGCCATCTTGAAGAAGAGAATGAGTCCGTGGTAGATGATCTGCTATATACCGTATTGCAAAGTAGGTGGGAGCATGGATTGAGCCAGTAGGGAAGTAAACATCTCCTGCACTATCACTGTCTCGTGATTGACTGCCACATCCAGTGAGGTACGCAACGCCATGAAGTGAAGACTGTCTCAGAGAACAGTATCTCAAGGATTGCTTGATATGCATGGCAGAGACACTGTCAAAGTGATCCTCTGAAAGATCCATGGGCATTAGATTTGACCTATGGAGTCTCATTACTGTATGAAATCGTCGCTCCACAAGGCCCAGCATTCGCTTGCTAATGAAATGTAAATAGCTGCCAGACAGAGTGGGTGAGCCACTCTGATACGATACAGCGCAGCCTATATATGCTGCATCCAAGCTTTCGAAACATGCTCGAAGACCACATGTAGAGACTACACTGCGACGGCCTTTCTCCAGCCAACGATGCTTCTTACACCAGGGACAGCAGGTTTCCGCTGACATGTTGTTGAAGCTGGCATTGAGGCCTAATCGTAGATCTCTTCTTCGTCTTCATGATTCGACGGCGCGTTTGCGTTGAGGGGCCGGTAGTGCACACAACTACTTTTGTGCATGTGGTTGCCCTGATCGAAGATAGCCTGATGCTCAGCAAGACAGACCCAGCAGAAATGGTAACGGCACACTTGACCTACGAAAGCGTCAGTAAGTACAAGTGTGCTGCTGAGACGATCTCCAAGCCTACATGTCATATGATCGCAGCCACTAGCACGTCGTCAGCATGAAAGCTAATGAGATCTTAGGGAGATCTGCTCACCCGTTCTTCTGCAGCTTGCTGCCACAACCTGGGCATAGCTTCGCTACCTTTCCAACCTCCTTAGCCGACTCGACCTCGTCCATGGGCTGCTGAACCAGACGACTTTGATAAGCCTCGCACGTCTCGCTCTCGTGCCAAGCAACGTTGCACGTCACGCAAGCTTTGTGCAGACAATGAACGCAGCGAAAGATGTCACCCTTGCTGTGGATCTGACCTGACTTGCAGCCCGTGCCAATGCACCAGCGGAAGTCAGGGATCCCAGACATGGTGGTTCTGAATGAAGCACCGAGGTACCTGCCGGATGGTCAGAAAGATGCTCGCACGACTGGGACGCCATCATAATATTCACCGATCAAAGACAGCCGGTGTGGCAAGAGCTTTGATCTCATGTTGATCCAGTGCATTGTCGCACTGCGCGCACTTCACCTGGTCGAACCTCTTGCTGTTCACCTGTACCTCGACCCATTGATGCCAACAACGCCTGCAGGTCTCACGGTTGTGGGTACACTTGCTATCCTGAGGGTGCTTGGGAAACTGCACAAGCGGTAACATACGCTCGCAACTCGTACACTTCTTCCTCATCTTCACGAGGGCCGCTATCGTCACTAGAGTGACGAGTAGAGTCAGCAATAGTACATCAACGGACGTTTGAGAATGCTTACAGTCACTGGTGATTCCGAAGTTGGCCTTGTAGGCTACGCTCTCACGTCTGGACCCAGTAGTGCCGAGCTTGACAGGCGTCGCTCGAGAAGACTTATCCTTGAGCAGCGCGCTCACGGTTGGTCGAGTGTAGTTTGGTCGCGACATTGTGGTAGGAGATTAGCTGGCGCTTACAACAGGAGGTCTACTCATCGCCGAGCTGCCGCTATCGAGCTCGGTAGCGGAACAATATTCGTTTGCTAGCAGGGGGCGTGAAGTGACGTCGAAAATGAGAGCTTTCCTTAGAGATAGTATTAGCTCAAGCTTTCTCTCTGTGGACTGTGTAGTGACGTTGATGACCAAAAGGCTTCCAATCAAGCAGGTTTCATGTAGCCTCTCGGTGCAGACCGACAGGTAAGATCAGACCGGAGATTGATGTGTGAGCATCACACTGTATACATCGCTTGGGAAGGACCTAAGTGAATGCTTCAATTTCACTGTATGTACAGTCAAGCTCAGCAGCCAAGATACCTCTTCTCCACCCACCGCAACTCATGATCTCCTATAACTCGGCAGACCACGACCTTGATCTCCGGGAACACACTCATCAACCTATTCAAACCTATCCGTCCCGCCATATATGTCACAAACACTATCCTCTCCTCCTTCACACCATGATCCAAAAGCACTCTCACTGCCATCAATGCAGCACCACCAGAGCTCATCTGCGGATCCATGAGAAACACGCTTCTATGCTCATTCAAGTCAGACGCCAATTTGAAGAAATGTAGCTCCGGCTCTCCAGACCGAAAATTGGTCTGGATGAGCATTCGACCAGTGCGGCAATCTGGTATGACTCGCTTGAGCCCTGTCTCCAGGCAGGAGCCGCCTCGCAAGATCACGACGGCAGAGACTTCGCCATCCAGGCAGAGGCCGTTATACTTCTCCTCGGGAACAGGCGTCGAGACTGTGCATGACTTGAAGCAAAGACCCGCATTGCAGGCTCGCTCGACAAGCGTCACCACCAGTCGATCGAAGTAGAAGATGAAGTCCTCGCGATCTGTTTCTGGACACATGAGTAGTGTGTTGATGCCTCGTACTTGGTTGGTGTGCTCTATGATTGTGACATTGGGCGAAAGCGGGTCGTCCTTTGAGGTCTGCCCCAGACGCTTCAAGTCGAGTTGATGCATCTTCGACTTCTCCTTGAGCGTCTTGTGTATGCGATCAGAGACCATGCCTGGGTGTGTTAGAGAGTTGCATCAAAGTAGTGAGCTCGACAGTACATACTGATAGCAACCTTGTTCTCTGTACCTCTCGGCACGATGATATCTGTATCTTGTTGTTAGCAAGACTGTATAGGCGTGCTTTTTAAAGACATGATAGCGGTAGTATTTAATAGCTGCAGATCAGTTGGACTTTTGGTGATGGAAAATTGTCTTCAATAATGTTCAGGTGAACTATGCTTAAAGGTCTTGAATCATCATGACAGCGAATTGAAATAGGGGGAAAGAGCAATGCTCACGTACCTGCGACGTTCCGCTGCGGCTCCACGTATTTGTGGAAGTTGGGCTTGACGAAGCTGAACCACTGCTTTACGCAGCCTTCGATGTCTCGTCCTCGCTCACGGACATCACGGAGCACTGACTTGCGGCTTCGGTCAGCTACGGGAAGAACAACGGGACAACGTCGACTCACGTCTGCGAGATAGGCATAAGTCGGCATCTGCCTCGGCGAAGATCTTCATGTCCAGCATATCCAGGACTCGTTGGTCATGCAACGCGAAGATGCCTTCCAGAATGAGTACATGCGGAGAGTAGATTGTCGTTGAGCGTTCTAGCCGGGCATGCTTCTCGAAAGAGTAGACTGGTATGTTAGCCTTCTGCCTTGAGTACTGTCAGCGCGGAAACCTCAAAATCTCGTTAGGAGGCACCTACCCAGACTTGATATCCCGAAGTCTTTCGACTAGGACGTCAAAGTCTATAGCCTCTGGAGCATCGAAATCATACTCGTTCCGGAAAGCTGCAGCAGACTCCTTGGTTGTCAAAGGTTTATAGAAGCTATCCATAGATAGTATGACAACCCATGGCAGACTAAGCTCCTTGATGATAGCATGTGAGAGTGAAGTCTTCCCCGAGCCAGACGAGCCAGCAATCCCAATGATGGAGGTGTCTGCCCATGGCGGCGAATAATGTGCTCGCTGGACGTTACCTTCGACAGGGCCGAGAGTGTTGCTGGCTGGGATAGAATTCTTGAGTGTGGTCGGGCTCAATGGCGAGCCATCTTGCACGTCGGTCATCGCAATCGCAATGATAGTACAGCTGCAGAGACCTCCAGCACCAACATGGCTGCTGCCCACCAGCAATCACATGAACTGTGCAATTGCAGAAGTCAAGAAGACCATCCAGGAGCCTTGATGAATTGGATGCCAAGCCCTCGCTCATGAAGTCCGCAGAGCCCCACTTTGAACGGCGCCAGGCTTTCACCTCCCGCCGAGCTTGCTACACAAACTTCATCGTCTCATCCACACACATCAAGGTCTCGTGCCTGAACCTGTCTCACTTCAGCTTCCTTCCTCCCCGTCGCACCTGACTTTCCTGTCTTGTGCGAGCGGCAATGTACGCCTGCTCGCTTGGGCTCTATATCCAGAGATGGTATGTCTATCTTTCTCCCGCCGAGGAAGAAGAGAATGCAACAACCACGCTGCAGCCGTACATGGCACTGGGAGCGTGGTATTTGGCTTCTCGCGGCCGACGACGCCGTCGTTCTTGCCATGCTAATCGATATGTGCAGAGCTCTTCTCCCGTCTCGCCTCCTTCTCACAACATGCGCGGCACACATTCCTTCGACAAGAAGGTGGAAGAGATGAAGCCTAGCAAGAGGTAAGCTCCACACCTTCCTTTTCCACAACTGCGACAAGCTATCCGAGGTGCGAAGTTCTTGTCCAGATGATGCTTGCAAAATCAAGTTGGGAATCTCTCTGAATACATTTGAGGAGAACGACATAATACTTGTCTATCTGATATACGGACAAGGACTTCGCGCTTTCAGTGCTATGGGTTTCAGATTGATTGAGCTGCCTCATTGGCGACGTGCCAAGAGGCTCGTTACGAAGCTCAGATCGCGAGAAGCTCGTCGTAGCTCAGGGCACTATCATGGCAGAGTAAAGGCTGACTGGAAGATTCTGCACAAAAGTGATATCAACTGGGTGATTATGGACTATCTCGTCTCTGAAGGCTACCCCGGTGCTGCCGAGAAGTTCGCCCAGGAGACCAGTCTACCCAGCCCGGTCGACAGTGAGAGCATCCGGGAACGCGTCCAGATCCGCAATGCCATCCACGCTGGCAGGATCGAGGAAGCAATTGAGATGATCAACGAGATCGAGTACGAGGTAAGCTAAGCCACCACTCCCTTCCACGCCCTATATGATTATATTCGTAGTATCATGCACCACTCGGAGTCCTTCGGGACCATGTCGATGCAAACTCACACTTCAGTCCTCAGTATGATTTGACACACTCGCAACACACCTAGCTTATACACATCTGTTCTACTCGAGCTCGAGCTAATATGCCTGCTTGCACTAGATCCTCGACCGAGATCACCATCTCCACTTCCATCTCCTACAGCTCCAGCTCATCGAGATCATCCGCACCATCCTCAATAAACCCGGTGGCAACCCACAAGGCAACGACTTCTACCCTGCCATCAGATTTGCTACCGAGCAACTCGCACCTCGTGCTCCTACCGATCCAACATATCTGAAGGCCCTGGAACGTACAATGGCGCTCTTGATCTTTCCCATGGAGAAGATGACGCAGGAGTTCAAGGAACTGCTTGATGTCAAACTCAGACAGAAAGTTGCCAACGACGTCAATCGTGCTATCCTCGAGAACAGAGGCGAGCAGTCTGAAGCCAAGATCAGGCAGTTGATCAGAGCGAGGACGTGGGCGGAGTCTGAAGCTAGGGCTGCGAAGGTAGATCTTCCCAGCTCTATACTGCTTGGACTTGGCTCAGATGAGCGGATGACTACTACCGGCAATGAAGGCGATGCTATGGTGTCATGAATGATATTGCAACGAAATTATGTTTACTCTTAGCGTAGGCGTTGGTTGGTCATGGGCTAGGCACTTTCAATACCCTTTTGGTAGCTTCCGCATGGTACTTTGCTCATGCAAATAAGTCCTTGAACTATCTATCCTGTATTGCGTACCTTCGCTGTTGTTTTGTTAGCGCATTGAAGCGTATAAAGATGTACCGCGCTGTTTTTGATTACCTCAGCCGGCAGGTCAAGCTGTGGGGCTTTGGCAGCACGTCACTTGAAGTGTTTCTAGAGCTCCAAATATACCATTTCCACTGCTACTCCTTCATTATATAATTGACGGCGCTCTGCCGGCATTATCATCGATATTTTGTCCATCAATTGAAAGACTGATCGCCTTTTTGAGGTCACTCAAGCATCACCATGTCGTTCTTCGGCTTCGATACCACTCTTCCTCGCGACCGCCAACAGCAAAGAGGCTCGCGTGGTATGTTTGAGCAGCACGATCCTTTCGCTGGTCTGAGCAGAGACGGCGGTGGCGACGAGGATGAGGTCTTGAACTTCGATGATACTTACGATGGGCTGGGACAGCGACTGCAGGAGTCGGGTGATACCTTCAACGATGACACCTTTGGCGGAGATGAGCCAGTTACGAGGCAAAGTTTGGGCAGGGACTTTGACTTTGCTGGACAGACTGCGACGGCGAGAGGAAATGTGATGCACGAGCAGGGTGTGCCGCTGCAGCAACACCAGCAGCAGCAGCATCAGCCATCGAGTTATTCCATGCCATCGAGGCCGGCGAGGACTGGGTATGAGGCGTACAAGCAGCCAGACTATCTTCCGAAGCTCGAGGCAGATGCATCGATCTGGGGAGCGGGTATTGGCAAGAAGGCAGCTACAGCACCGCAGGAGCAGCAAGCTAGCCCGGATTCCTCCGCCGCAAGGAAGATGATGAGCCTAGAGGAGGTGGAGGCGATGATGCGTGCACAGTCGCAGCCAACGCCACCTGTGCAGGAGAATGACCGACAGGCTCAGGGACTGCGAGATATGCTTGGCGTCGGCTCACCAGCGCCACAGCAGATGCCTCCACACGAGCAGCAACAGCAGCGGCCAGTGCAGATATTGCAGCGTCCTCAACACCAAGAGCCGCCGATGCAAGATCAAAGTCTTCGCGCACCACAGATCCTGCAACGACAAAGCTCTCCGCAGCCGCCTCGGCCACAATCGCAACACTTCCACAACCAGCCTCCACGGGGGCAGTTCCAACAGCAGCAGCAAACGCCCCAGGGTGCGCCCGCCGTACAGCCACCTCGTGGCGCACCTCAGCATCAACGTGGTCCTTCGTATAACGGCCCGCCAATAACACAGGCGCAGCAAATGATGCAGATGTCTGACGATGAGAGGCAGACGTACATGGCAGAGGAGGCCAAGCGAGCCAAGCGCAACCACAAGATCTTCTTGCTAAGCAAGAACAATGGCCTCATGACACCTCAAGACAAGAACTTCATCACCCGGATCCAGCTACAGCAGCTTCTTACCGCCACTGGCGGTATCGACAATGAGCCAGGAAGTGAAGAGCAACTTGCTGAGGACTTCTACTATCAAGTCTACGCGCAGATCCGTGGTGGGCCTCGCAATGGACCAGGTCAGCCTTTGAACCAGTTCGCGCAGACTTATCTGTTCCAGACAGGTAGTCGCTACGGCTATGGGAGGAGTAGGCATCACCCACGCGGCGGCGACAACCACGTCCAACGAATGGAGCAGCAAGTCGCCCGTGCAGTCGAGGCGGCAAAAGCACGACCCAAGAACAAGCAGCTCGTAATGGAGGGCTCGCTCGGCAAGATCGCTTTCAGCAACTCCAAGACTCCGCGACCGCTGCTTAATCTGAAGCGGCCGGATTCGGAAAGCAGAATTCGACAGATTGCTAGAGCGGCTATATTCGATCGCAAGGCTGCGCTGAGGGATATTGAAAGGGTGTATAGTTGCTTGATGAGGCTGGAGGATCATGAGCGTAAGCTGCCCGCGCCGCCCAATGAGGACAGCCCGCCGGATGTTATTGAGGGACACATGAGGTGGAGGAGTGATATGCAGGAGCTCAATCAGCAGCTGTGGGAAGCGATGAAGGTCATGGAGCCGATACAGCAGAAGTAAGTACTACCTCTTCCACTTTGATCGTCATGACATGCTGACATGTAACAACAGTCCCACAACACCACACCCCTTCATCCAAATCCTCGCCCACAGCAAAGGCAAAAAGGTCATCCCCCGCGTCTTCCGCCATCTAGACGACAACCAGCGCCTAACAATGCTAACCCTCATCGCCATCCACCTCGACATCGTAGACGTGATCCGCGACGCGTACCCACCAGCACACAACGCCCCCTTACCACCCAAAGTAAAAGAAGAAGTGGAAATCTTCTCCCAAGCGGTCATGCCGCCGCTCTTCAGCTACGTCAACGAAGCACCCCTCAACATCATCATCGGCCTCCTAGGCCTAGTCCTCGACCGCGTCCACGTCCCCTTCATTCTCCGTACGAAGATCGGCGTCAGTATTCTGACCATGCTGGTTTCCCGCGCCGAACTGGTGAAGCAATCCCAGCAATCCTCCCCACAGAATACCGAAGACTGGAACCAGTGGTCTACGCTCTACACCCGTCTCTTCGACAATATCGAGCCTATCCTCCCTTTCATTTTCCCCACGGACACGAATGTCAGTGCGTCCGACGATGTGCACGTGTGGCAGTTCTTGGCCGCTATGGGTGTGGGCGCTAGTCCGGATCAGCAGCAGAGATTGGTCTTGGGGGTCAAGGAGCGGGTTATGGAGACTGTGGCTGTGGGAAGGGGATTACCGGAGGAGATGAGGGAGAGGAGGCTAGGCGAGGTGAATTTGTTTATGAGGGCTATTGGGTTGGATGTTGAGTTGCTTGGTTGATGGTCAGAAGAAAGGCACGATGGTAGATTGACGTTGAGCGTCGCGTTGCGCTTTTGCGTTCGCGTGTCAAGTAGTGGCATTGTACCAGTCGTTTGTACAAGTCTTGAGTTATTTATGAAAATGCTCTCGGATCGACGGATATTCCGCGAATGATCATGGTGAATGACTACGCAAATGCACCCATTTCGCCCAGCTGAAAGATTCATACTAACTTCGTTTCATCGTAAAACATTAGTAGTTCACAATCGTCTCATCCCTCACTCCTCCCTAACCACCACCGAAATGTCCTTGACATCCTTGCCACTCACATCGATCCCCTCAAGCACAGCCTTCGTCTTTCCCCAAGGCACATTGAATAATCCACTGTTGATCTGGCAGATGCGTACCTCTCGCAAACTCTCGGCGTCATTGACGGAATGGTTCCATTCCTGGATCTGAGTAAGGAGATCTTCCATTGCCGGGCCCGTGGCTTCGAGGATCTTGGCTGGTGGATCCTTGGACCTGCCGAAGCGGGAGGAGGTGAAGAGGCAGCCGATGAAATGACGAGCTTCAACTTTTGCTGTCCTTGTACCATTCGCGCCGGGCTTGGTGGACGTTGATGTTTTTGCTGTTGGGGGTGGGGGTGGGATGAGTAAAGCTGTTCCGACCAGACTTGATTTCTGCTTCATGGTATTGCAGTGTGTGGCGTATTTTTTGTACGCAGATGGGTAGCGATCGTGGAAGGCTTTGGCTATCCCGGCGCCCCAGGAACCCTGGCAGTTGCAGGCGTGGATTATGAGAGTATTGGGTGGCGCGTCGAAGATGTCGCCTGTAACTTCTGTGATCTTCAGACTTATACGAGGACGATCTTCAGGAGCTAGCTGGCTAGGTTGGGCATTCGTTGCTGTAGTGGTGATATCCTCGTCTTGATGGTCGGGTGTATGTTTCTCGTGCTCGGATGTGATTGGCCGTTTGGCTGGTCGCTCTTGCGGTTCAGCGATATCATCTGTCGAGGTGGATTTACGTTTCTTGCTGGTGCTGCTGGCGCGCATCCAGGAGTCCAGTGTGCCGGCCGCCATACTGTTGTGTTGTATATTCTACGAAGACGTTATGCTGTAGTCAGTGATGTTGATTGCCTTGGAGGCAGTCATGTCGGATGCTTACCTAAGGTACAAGAATGGAAGCGGGAGTGGAGCGGAAGGACGGACCCTTGCAGACAGCCGCCACGAAACGAGAGTGGCCCCTGCTCCTTGCATTATTACGAGACAACGCGGCCTTTGCGTGAGACAGTTGGGACGTTCCTTTGGAAGTGTGCCAACTTGGTGTCTGCCACCCAGCATTGTCCATTGTCACTGTCTTCGGTAAATGCTTAGGTACTGTTTGATGGTTGTATCTGGAGGGCAGCAATCAACCAATTCCTCGTCACTCATTTGATTAAAGTTCGGGAAGCCACGATTGCCTCCGGGGTAGAAAGAAGCGAGGGGTGAATACGAAGGGGACAGGAAGGATATACACATCCACCCACCAGGAGACGAGGTCATTGCGCATGCATCTCTGAGCAACATCAAGCCAAAAGCGATACCACCCAGCGCATTGGCGCCAAAGAGCAGGAAACAGAAGAAGCAGCCAAGATGGCTGGCTCGCAAAGATATCTGCGATACATCCTCATCGCCGTCATCACCATAGTCGTCATCCTCTTCATATCCGCATCATCTGGAGTAGGCCCAGGCGGCCAATACACACAAAAAGCCACGGATCTGCTCAAAGATCCCGGAAGCATATACAAAGGCTCTCAAGACCACACAGTGCTCGTGAAAGGCAGCGACTCGGAGCCTGTTGTAAGCGAAGATGCCAAATTACCCCAACATACCGAGGGTTCGCACCTGCCCACGCAATCCAGCTCGCCTAATCCACAATCCTCGAGTCTCGGCTCAGGCCAGAATGTGCTCCCTTCCAAAGCACCCGGAGCCCGCATGAACGCAACTTTTGTCACCCTAGCCCGCAACAGCGACGTCTGGGAAATCTCCCGCTCGATCAGGCAGGTGGAGGACCGCTTCAACCACGCCTACAATTACGATTGGGTCTTCCTCAACGATGCCGAATTCGACGATACCTTCAAGAAAGTCACCACCTCTCTCACCTCCGGCCGCGCCCGCTACGGCAAGATCGCCAGCGAACACTGGGGTTTCCCCGATTTTATCGACCAGGAGAAAGCGAAGAAAGTGCGGGAAGACATGCATGAGCGCAAGATCATCTACGGTGATAGCGTCTCATACAGACACATGTGCCGCTACGAATCCGGCTTCTTCTTCCGCCACGAATTGATGCAAGAATACGAATGGTACTGGCGCGTAGAGCCCTCCATCGAACTCTTCTGTGACATCGCCTACGACCCCTTCGTCTTCATGGCGGATAAGAAGAAGAAGTACTCCTTCGTGCTATCCCTCTACGAGTACGTCGAAACCATCCCCACCCTCTGGGACAGCGTCAAGGGCTTCATGGCCAAACACCCGGAACACATCGTCTCAGACAACAGCATGGGTTTCCTATCCGACGACGGCGGGATCTCCTACAACCACTGCCATTTCTGGTCCAACTTTGAAATCGGCAACCTGAATTGGTTGCGCAGTCAGGCGTATATCGATTACTTCGACCATTTGGACCGGGACGGCGGGTTCTTTTACGAACGGTGGGGCGATGCTCCCGTGCATTCGATCGCGGCGGGCTTGATGCTAAAGAAGGAGGAGATTCATTTCTTTAATGATATTGCTTATTATCATGTTCCGTTTACGCATTGTCCGACGGGCGAGCAGACAAGGTTGGATTTGAAGTGTCATTGTAACCCAAAGGATAATTTTGATTGGAATGGGTATTCTTGTGAGTCTAACATTTATCGTCGATAGGCGCGATGGGAACGATACTGACTTTATGTGATTGTTGTAGGCACGAAACGTTACTTCGAAGTCAACAAGATGTCTCTGCCCGAGGGATATGAGAAGGAGCAGTGACTAGCCGGGCGCTATGGCGCGATGATCGTTTGGCGTTGGCCTGTTGTTTTCCTGTTTGCGTTTCTGGGGACTTTGCTGCTTGCGGGGTTGTCGTTTGCGATCCAGCCTTGTCTGAAGTTTTGGAGACCGGTTGTGAGGCGGTATAGGCAGCGGAGGATGAGTAGATATGGGGAGGGGAGGTGGAGGGCGGATAAGAGGTTGCCGTAAGAGGGAAGTTCGTCTGCTGGAATGAGGTCTGGGGAAGTATAGACATTGTGGAAGTGCATGAACGGCGTACATGGTGTTCTTGTTGTTGCTGTCGTGGTGGTGGCGGCTTGTAGAACAAGTGTCTTCCTGTTGGGCGTGTAGTGCTAGGAGAAAAGCAAGCAGTATCAACCATCCCCGACCGACTCATCATTTCATGTGAAAATGACAGTAGTATCTTGCGGGATGACATTTGATCTCGCCTTGCCATTAATATCAATATTTGTGTTTTGTGTTCATGCTCTTCGAAGGAGAAAATGTTCATGCCTCAGGCCCTAAAATCCGCTTAGTTTGGCCTTCTCAGCCATTGGCCAGCCCGGAATGACCCGCAAGAATCTTTGGCGTCACCTCTGTCTTCTCCTTGAGCTACACCCACTGCCTGCACTGCGCACCTCACACACTTCGCTCCGCCCCACCGCCATCAATGTCTCTCACATCCCGCGCCGCGGCCACACTGGCCCGGCAGTCCATCCGCCCAACCACTGCCCTCCGACCAGCAGCCGCCATCGTGCCACAGCAACAACAGCGTGGCCGAGCAGACGTCGGCTCCAGCATCGAATCCCACGCCCACTTCAACTCGCCCTTCACCCGCGGCTCCTCCGGCAAGCAGGATACCACGTCAATTCCGAGTTTCAAGAAGTACAGAAATGGCAGCGAGACGGGGAATAAGGTGTTTCAGTATTTCATGGTGGGTGCTTTTGGCGGGTTGACGGCGTTGGGGGCGAAGGATACGGTGCAGAGTGAGTTCTACCATCCGTACCGACAAACGATTTATGTGAGGGAAATATGTACTGATCAGGTGATGTCGATGTACAGACTTTCTCGTCAACATGTCCGCCTCAGCCGACGTCCTGGCCCAAGCCAAGGTCGAAGTCGACCTCGCCACCATCCCCGAAGGCAAGAACGTCATCATTAAATGGCGAGGCAAGCCGGTCTTCATCCGCCACCGCACCGCCGACGAGATCAAAGACGCCGAGGCCACGGACTGGCAGAAACTCCGCGATCCGCAACCCGATAGCGACCGCGTGCAGAAGCCCGAATGGTTGATTATGTTGGGTGTGTGCACGCATTTGGGCTGTGTGCCTATTGGTGAGGCCGGGGATTTCGGCGGTTGGTTCTGTCCTTGTCATGGAAGTCATTATGATATTTCGGGACGGGCGAGGAAAGGGCCTGCGCCGCTGAATTTGGAGATTCCGGCTTATGATTTCGCGGAGGATAATCAGGTTGTTATTGGGACATAAGCTGCAAGAGGGGAAGAGGTTTATGAAGCAAGGAGATACATGCGCTGTGGTGGCGTAGGAGAGCGGATGGATTTGCTTGAGCGAGTAGAGGATGAGGAAGAAGGCTTTTTGTACAGTTAGAGGGCTTTCAGCGTGCTAACAATAACTTGTATCTCTTACTACTGCAGTCCCTACTGGCCATTCGCTTTCTGGTATCTTCTGTCAACGCCCCTGTGCATTAGTCCTGAGGCAGGCCGCACACGATCCATGATTGTCCCGATGGCAATACTTGCTCATGACAGCCAAGGGACTCATTATCGCCGGAACGCTTACTGATCTCGATCTATGTCTTAGGGACTTGCTCTGCCTGCAATACGAAGCTCGTGTAACCGTAGTTCCACCAGCGAGAGCGTCACGGCGCTCCAAGAGCTTGGTTCGCTCCAGGGGGAGTTGTACAGACTGTCATGCTCTCGACCGGAGACGCTGAAGCTGAGAGGCGATGGTGAGAAGGACGTAAAATAAGGAGTTCACTGGCTTTGCCCCCCGGTTTTGATTATGAAGAAAGAAGAGGCATCTGCGGAGATAAATGCTGGAGCCCTGATCGGAACGACGGTATCGGCTCTCGATTCCAAGCTGGTCGACATTGTGCAGATCGGTGCCTCTTTCCGCGAGCGAGAATCGCAGACTCCGGCCAGCAGGCCCTCGGGTGTAATTATCGGTGACACTGTCGAACTTCCTTCGCGAACTCATAATATACCCTGGATTCAACGGCGACCTGGTGATATCCTCGCATCGTAGGACTGTCTCCTTAGTTGAATTTCTCCATTGTCCTGTGCGTCCTTGCTAGCTAAGACAGCCCATCTGGTGAATGAAAGGTCTCGCGAGCAACCGGAACCATGCACAAACAGGATTCCATTCATTCGTCCAACCCAGCAAACGGCTACTCAAGGCTGTACAAAGCCTGAAGACTTTCACCAACACAGTCTAACCGCAACAGGCGAAGTTTGCTCACGTGCGGGCAAAGCGTGCCTTCCTAAACAATGAATTTCACCTGAACTACGCTAGTGGGCTGCAGGCAGCACGCCGTTCGCCAAGGCTTGAAGAAGTATAAGAGTCTGCTGGATCTTGAGCAAGGAGCTGAACACATACATCCACACGGTATACCAATACATTCGCTTGTACAACATCATCACGGCTTGTCAGCATCACGATACACACGATACAAACGATATATACACACGAGTACAACGTACATATATACCACAACCATCCTTCCTCCCAAGCCTTGACAAATCGACAGCATGGTAAGCTCAACCCCGAAATCGACGTCAATTCACACAGCATTGCTAACATATTCACCAGCCATCCAACGGTAATGCCGGATCTCCTCACGCTGGTCGCACCCCAGCACCTTCCCCGATCATCTCGGACCCAAACGCAAACCACCCATTCGATGGGCGTCCCCGTCCCGGCGACACACGTCCTGTAGCTGTCCAACAAGTCCTGTACGATGCTGCGAGGCTTGTTGCGCTCGCCTGGCAGAGGATGGAGGAGATTGGAGAGGAGGGGAAGGCCGACGAGTTGAAGGCCATCGGCAGCCGGATGTTTGGAGATGAGTTGTGGGACGTCGTTGTGCAGGTGGTTGTTAACCAGGCGTAAAGAAGAGGGGTATCCTGAGTTCGTGGTGTGGTCAGGAAGGGTAGGGTTGGAGATGGAGTGGTAGAAACTCTCTGAACTCTTAGTCCATGCATACATGAAACATAGTTTTCTCCTTGTCGAGGTGTTGTCAGATTGTACTGCCGGCCAATATGGTAGCTAAAATTCTGTCGGATCTCGCCGGGATGGCCAGAGTCTCCGTTCAGCTCTTGAATGTGATATCCACGTATCCCGATTACAATATGGCTTGATATACCATGGCCGGCGGATAGACTTGCTCAAGATTGTCCAAGTCGTGTGGGATAAGGTTCAGGCCGAGCCCTTCTGTAGAGGATCCCAATATATTCCCAGGAAATATGTGCCCTTTTGGCCTACTGCCGGCCGATATAGCAGCCTCGTTTGAACGAAGTTACTCTGAGATGGTACCAGGCCTCCTTTCGTCTTCTCCCTGTGCCGTCTACATTATCACGCATATTCTCACACCATCGCATGCCGCCGGCCCATAGCATGGCTCGAAATTGGGGCTCTGTGTGAGAAAGATGCCGTATGCTCCTCCACGTAGTAGCGTGTCAAGGATATGTCCACGAGATCTATCCATCGTTGACCTCCTTTGGGTCGATATGGGAGCTTTGACAACGGCATGATCCGTGAAATAACACATGTTCGTGTTGGTCTATATGATACCTCAGGCATGTAGTGTTGGTCGAAGGGATGTCTACACAGTATTTCAATGAGACTGGTAAGAACTTCGGAACGCATTCGTCTTCTTCAGCTCTTTGGTGCTCATAAGTGGTCACAGTATTCTTGATCGTGAATCATAGCTTCGTCCTCCCCTCAGCACTATTCTCTCTTCTCATGGGACCATGCGAGCCACTCGAGCTTTGGCCCTGTCCGACACTAACCATCCTTGCCGCACCCCGCAATGCAGTAGCAGCAGTGCTGACAGCATTAACCGCGGCCTCCACACTTGTCCCGGCCATCTCGCTGCTCGAACCAGCAACAGCAGAAGGTGTCGCACTTCTACTCTGGCGTTGTAGTTGTGTGCTGGTCAACCAGTGCACTTGGCGACTCAATCCAGCTAGTTGTGCACCGAGGTATGAGATCTCTTCTCTGGTCCGGAGATTCTCGTTGAGAGTCTGCATACTGTGCCGGCCGTCCAGCTCCTGCAACGCTGAATTGACTCGAGACATCTCGTCACGTAGACTCTCATGCATAGAGAGGAGGTGGTGCAGCGGGCTGACATAAGGTCCCCCACTCGTCGATGGCGGTGGGAGGCCGGGGGAAGCGAGATCATAATTAGTGTTGTATGCCTCGATGGGATCATGCTGACGTAGTGCAGCAGCAGACTCGGATGGCGGAAGTCCTATTGGCGAAGCTCGCCTGGCTACTCCCGGTGCTGCGGAGCTTGGTCGTGAGGTGGGTGGTACAGGAAAGTCGAAAGGAGACAGAGCATTACCAGAAGAGTCTCCGCTGAACATGCGCGGGTGGTGGGGTGGCAAGGTTCGCTCAGAGGCAGAATTGTCAAGAAACGGTATCCTGCTTTCGTCCGCCGCAAGGTCATCGGCCTCCACGGATACCTTCGGGTATAGTATGCCCTGCATGACGCCAAAGCCAGTTTCCAGCACTTCCAGCTTTCTACTCAGAAGCTTCTGCGCTGCTTCTTGTTCGTCCATACGGCTCTTCTGTGAAGATATGACAGGCGCGAGCTTTGCGAACGTGCAGCTCTTGGCGTGCGTTTGAGCTTGAGAGCGCTTGCTACGACTTGTACAGCCGATGCTGGCACCTGGGCATGGTATGCTCACAGCCTCGCACGTCTCGCTATTGTGGCTGTCAAGGTCTTTTGACAGAACATGCATATTGCATCGAGGACAAGTCACTCGCCGTACAGCACACTCGGATCGCCAGTGGTTCTCCAGAGTTGACTTCTGCATCGTCTCGTGGCAGTCGAAGCAGCTGACACCAAAGTGCAGGCAGCCTTGATCTGCGTCTTTTCGTCGGACGGGCAGCTCACAACGTTCACCAGCACATTCCTGGTATGCATAGCCACAGTAGATGTTCATGTGATCTTCTACCTCGCCACGCTTGACCGAGACCGGACATCCCTCCTCGTGCTTGGGACACTTGACAAGGAGATCATCCAGTATGTTGACCAGTATCTTGCTCGTGGCCGACCTTGTGCCCAGCCTAGCTGGTGTTCGGCATTGCGGACAGTCACCTCGAGGTCCTGACGGGCTGTATGTAGAGCCCCAGCTTTGCCGTATGCAGTCCCTGCAGAAGTAGTGATCACACTCAGCAAGCACGACCGGGTCCACGAACGGGCACCGGCAGATGGCGCACATGAGATTGTCGTCATAAGCTGTCACATAGTCGAGTAGCCGAAAGTCTACAGGAGGATTAAGATTCTGCGACCGTGCTTTGGACAGCAGGAAGTTGCTCTCCTCCATCTGTCGGCGTGCCTCCAGTCTTCTCATGCCACGTAACGTCATCTGGTTAGACGTGCCGGTGGATAGGCTGCGTTGAACTCGTGCAGGCGGTGACTCCGCATCAAGATAGGTTTGGGACGGTGTCCTAGAGTGAGGTGGCTGAGTGAATTCTTGTTGAACGGAAGAGGGAGAAAGGCGATCTAGGTAGATTTGTGAGGCTGAGCTTGCATGTGCTGGCATCATCGGTTCCTGGCGTGGTTGCGAGGAGGCGAATCGTCCGAGAGCAATCATCGCGCTATGCCGCCGTGAGCGTGATGCTGATCTTGAGCGTGTCGGCATGGTCGATAAGATCTGATTGAGCTCCTCCGGTAAGGTTCAGTTGCACCTGCCCAGTCACTGTGGCCAAATCACGGACAAGAATCTGAAGCTCGCAGCATACACCGTGACAATGCTGGTTGTGAAGATCGACCGCTTTCGATGTATTGATGTCGTCTGCTCCAGCCACTCTACAGGAATGGTCAATGGTAGATCGTGTTGACGAGAAACGAGAGCAGATCAGTAGTCGCCTGAGCAAAAGGCCCTGCCGGATTGCACGCCAAGTAGCAGTAGTAAATACTGGCAACCGTCAGGGGCGGTGCATAAAAAGCCACAAGCGCTCAACTCGAACCGTTCGCCCCGATGTCCAGATATAGCAAGGCTGACACTGGGGGCCTTGCAGCTTACAACGAGATGTTTCGGGGTGGTCTCGTCACCTTCGGCCTTGTGAGACCTGACGATTCCGGCTCCGGCTTCGATGGCGACAAGGGTGAGGTGGACTTTGATGTATCGGATGCACATGGGACAGATCTCGAGGGGTTTCCATGGCCGCACGTGCCCGCAGTACTAGCGCTGTCGATCCCGCCACGCTGGTTCTAGAATACGTCAGCCTGGGTTGTTCACATGAAGATGAGATGGACACAATCTTGTATACGAACACATTCAAGTGGATTGTAGCGTAATTCACCTGAGAACTTGCAGCTCATTGGAGAATTGTGTGGAATCTTGTGACCACGTATCAGCAGGAGACAGCAGGAGTACCGCCGGCGCATACCACATCTCTCAGTTTCTACTATGGCCTCACTACATCAGCTCTTCCTCCTGGCCGACCACCTCAAGCTTTCCTTGCTAGAACGACAACGAGCGGTAGCACTGAAGCTCGAGCCTACGAAACAAGATACATACATCCAAACATCATTGAACAGCTTGAAAGGTGGCTTAAATCAGCTGGAGGCACAAGACCATGATTCGACAACAGACGACTCGAAAGACCTCGCCAGGTTACGACAACAGTACAACGATCTTCTAGCACAGTTTGAGGGCCACACATCAAGAAATGCGGCCGGACAACTCAAAGAGCCCAACGATGAAAGCTTACGAGAAGACTTCCAAGCGGCACGGCAACGACCCTCACCCAACCAAAAACGACGAGGAAGCAAAAACGTCCGCTTCCACGACAATACTTCCGAGGACGACGCAGAAGACATAGCGAACCGCTCCGCACTCTTCGCAGCTGGCGAACAAGATCGCTACCGCGACGATCCAGAAGCACCACCGGACCAATCTCAGCTCGATAACCAACAGATACACGCCTATCATTCACAAGTCATAACCGAGCAAGACGAGCAGTTGGATGTCCTAGGGCAGAGTGTGCGGCGGCAGCGGATGCTAGGTATAGAAATGGGCAACGAGCTTGAAGGCCAGAACGAGATGCTTGATGATGTCGAGAGGGGTGTGGACAGACATACGAGTACTCTCGAGCGGGCGCGGAGACGGTTGGGGAACGTGGCGAGGAAGAGTAAGGATAATTGGAGTTGGGTGACCATTGGGATACTTATCTGTATTCTGGTGCTGCTCATTGTTGTCTTGAAGTAGTATTCGGGGAATGTATAATGTGTACATGATCGAGCTCGAGAGCTCAACACCAAGCATATTTCTCGTTGCAGATCCAGTCGATATCTTGCCAGGATCCTTCGCCGTACCATTGTAGACTCGTGATGCTCTCCTTCTCTCGCGTCACTACCGCGGCATTTGTACAGAGCAATTTGACTGCTGCGAGAGTGATCGATGTTGGGTTCCAGATCTGTACTTCGTCCATACCAGCAGCATGCGCAGCATTTTGTGCTGCGGCGAACAAGACCGATACAGCGTTTACGAGCGGCTGGTTCTTCATCTTCGCCACGCCCTCGTCCGTGGCAGGACCGAAGTCATACTCGTCTCCACCTTCACCCTCGATGATGAGGCGGAGGATTTGGAGGGTATTAGGCGCTTCTTCTTGGGGGTTGGTCCATACTCTGGTCCAATAGCAAGATGCTTGGTGGCCATCCTCCAGGGTGACAGTCGCACCTCGGCCGCCTTCCATGACCCGGACGTTGTTGCTGTAGAGTTCTCTGGCTACGAAGTCCTCTCGAGCATTGTGCCATTGTAGAGTTCGGAAGTCGGGTAGTAATGCTACTGCTGTCCGACCAGAGAGTTTGTGACTTTGCAGACGCTTCCTGAGCAGCTGCTCATCCTTTCGACAAAGCTCCGTGAGATCTGTGGTCTCAAGCTTACGTATTGAGCTCGACGGTGCCGTTGCTTTGGCCGGAAGTGTGACATGAAGAGAAGGAAACGGCTGCCACCCACGAGCAGCATAAATGTCCTTTCCGATGTCCGAATACAAGATACTGAATCCCGAGATCTGGCCTTCGTCTACCTGCCACGTCTTGAGCCTCTTCGCCACATCATGCATCATGCGCCCGGCATAACCTCGACCTCGGTATTTAGGGGGACAGAAGACGCTAGCAACACCGTGGACGATCGTCTCCTCGACTTGGCCATTGCGAGCGATTAAAGCTTTCTTCTTGATGCTTTCACAGCCACAGAGTACTTGTCTTGGTCCCTTTTGTGGTTGGTAGACCAGCATCCAGGGCGTGAGGCCACCATCCTTGGTCAATTGTTGCTGGAGTAGGAATTTCTCTCGGCGAAGGTATGCCTCCAGACTCAAAGCACCTTTCCATTCTCCACTGTTGTCATGCTGTTGCTGTAAAAGCTCTTCAGGTGTGGCCACCACGAGGTGAAGTTCTGAGGAGTCCTTGTGTGGTAGATCCATGGCAGAAATATTGGAGCTAAATCCCGAATTTTGTGTCCTGTTGATTTTCACGTCTACCTTTATTCAATGCCTACGGGAGCATACTCGCTCTACGCAGTAATTATTCGTCGTCCACATTTCAACGAATGAGCAACAGTGTGGAGTTCCATGACTTTCCGCGTCCGGTGTTGGAGTGGAGTTGGATTTGGCGTGTCTGCCTGAGGTGTGGCGCGCGCTTGTGAGCTGTTACTTCACTCCTTTGTGGAAGTGAACGTAGAGCAAGGCAATGGCTGCCCGCCCGAAGCTCCTCTCGAGGGCGCCATCTGCTTTGTTCGCGAACCTTTTGATCTGACAAAGTACTGCTCGCCAGGACCACTATGAGCTTCAACATTCAACACCCTCTCAGAGCTTGTCAGCAGTTTCCAACCCAAGGCTACTGGCTGGTACGAACACCTGCTGCACAGTGAGAGACATTGATCTCAGTCGCGACAACGAAATTGACCACATTCTGTGTGCAAGATCTGAACACTCTTGAGGAAAGCTTGAAGCTCCTTCCGCCATTCACTTGTGAAGATATCACAAACCTCCACCGAGACCGAGGCCGCCCATTCACTACTTCTGAGACAGCCTTTCCGTGCTTTGTCAAGCAAATCAGTCACTTCATGTACTTTCTCCTCGAGCAGGTCTCGTTCGTTTTTTCACTAAAACGTCCACCACATCGCATTTGCGCCAGATCCATCGTATCACATGATGATTGCGAGAGCTGCAATACGTGAAGAGCCAGAAGTCATCGACCTTCTAAGTGACGATAGCGTGCCCAGCAGCGCCACTCCACAGACAAGAACTCCACTCGATCTCGATGAGGATGGCAATCTTTCGCCACTTCATGACTTGCCCTATGGTGTCTTTCATGATTTCGACGACTTGGAGGATGATCTTCCTGTACCAGTGGCCGCAGAACCTCTACATCGAGGCCAGTACATCAACATCGACGGTGAAGACATCTTTATCCCGGACGAGGAAGAAGTGCCGCCTGTTCAAGGTGACGCCACCGAGCTTGATGCGGAGCTGGCGGCTGCTTTGAGCAATGAGCAAGCAGATGGTGGTGCACAAGCTGGTGCCGCAGACTTTGCACTCGTGGACGAAGAAATCACCGCCGATTCTTGCTTGCAGCGAGTGCTTGAAATCTTCCCGGATGTTGACCACGAGCACATTCGTAAACTCTGGGCTGACTTTGATTCGAATGAGGACTATGAAAGTCTATCTGGCTCAGGTCGACTAGACAACATCATCAACCAACTAGTCTCTGCTACCAGCTACCCAAAAGCAGAGAAGGGCAAGCAGGCTACCCACAAACGCAAGCGCGAAGACAGTATCGACGAGAACGACTTCAAGCAGTGGGAAGACGTTGATAGACACGAGACACCAGCATATCTCAAAGGCAATATACGGCACATCTTGAAATCCGAGTTTCCCGAATTTCCCGTACAGTACATCAATGACATACTCTCGCAGCACAAGCATGTCTACCAGTCATACATGGCTCTTGCAGCGGCAAAGGATCGCAAAGACCCAGCAGCTGGGCGTGGCAGACCATCGACCAGGAACCTAGCGGATGCTAACAACACCGCAGTCAATACTGGATGGCCTGTATTACCCTTGGAGCTTGATGCAGCTCGCAAGAAGGTGGTTGAGATTCGTGCTGGATATGCGAGGGAAGGCCGGAGAAAGAGACTGGAGGAGGAGAACCTGCAGAAGGCAAAGGATGCTGGGGAGATAACAGAGTGTTCAGCATGCTGCGATGACCTACCAATGAACCGCCAAATCCATTGCGATGGGACGATCGCGCACTTCATCTGCTTCGAGTGTATTGAGACGTACATCAGCAGCGAGGTCGGAGAAGCAAGGTGTCGTGTACTTTGTACTGCAGGGTGTAGTGCACCATACCCACCGAATCAGCTCAATCTGCTGTCGAACAAACAGCTGTTGGCTAAGCTCGCTGAGCTGGAACAGGAGAAGGCGATACGGGATGCTGAGCTGGAAGACCTTGAGGAATGCCCCTGCTGCGACTACAAGGCTATCCTTCCTCCTATCGAGGAGGACTTCGAGTTCCGTTGCGCCAACCCTGAATGCGAGATGGTCACCTGCCGGCGATGTAAGGCGAAGTCACACATTCCACTTTCTTGTGAGGAACATGCCAAGGACAATAAGCTAAAAAGCCAGCACACGGTCGAAGAAGCCATGACAGCCGCATTGGTTCGATCTTGCAACAAGTGCAAGAAACAATTCATCAAGCAGGACGGGTGCAACAAGATGACATGCCCTTCGTGCAGTAATCTTCAGTGCTACGTGTGCTCACAAAGCATTACCAGCTACGATCATTTCGACCAAACCCCACATCGAGCCAATGTCACTGGTGGCAACGGGAAGAAGAAGTGCCCGCTTTACGACGCAAATGGCGTCGAGGAGCGCCATGAACGTGAGGTGAAGGAAGCTGAAGAAGCGGCTCGCAGAAAGGTGCTGGAGGAGAATCCGGACGTGCAGCAAGAAGATCTGGAAATCAAGGTTTCCGATGCTGTCAAGAAAGTCACGTCAGGGCGAGCCGATGGAGTGGCTGGTCTCGGAGGAGGCTGGATGGCTGGACTGTATGCGGGAGCAGGTGTATTGGGTGGCTTTGACGGTATGAACGACGCACTCGACGAGCAGTTCCAACGCGTGAACCAGATGCATGCGCGCCAGATTCGCGACGCAGATGCTGAAGCTAGAGGCCGAGCATATCGTCGAAATGCTGAGGACCGTGCAGCTAGGCGCGCGCGGCTCGCGCGGGCTGCAGAGGCTGCAGTAGCTGCGGAGGATGCACTCGCCCTCGCGCCTGCACCTGTGCCTGCTGTTCAAGGCTTCATTCCCGTGGTTGCTGCTGCTCCTGGTGGGATTGGTGGTGGCGGCTGGCCTGGATATCCAAATCCGTATCTTGATCAAACGGCAGGCCTTCAAGCTGGGGCGAATCAGCATGTTGCAGCACTACCTGCAGGAGGAGGCTACAACGCATGGGGAGACAACATGCTCGATGCGCTGCATCTTGCACGCCTTCCGGACCCGAATGCATATCCAGGGTTTGATCCCATCGTTCCGGTCAACAACCACCTAGCTGCTGCACCCGGGGACATGAATCGGGACAGAGAACGACAAGATCGACTAGGTCAGTTGTATGGGGTGTATGCGGATCGATTAGACTTGGTGAGGAGGCCTGCGCCAGCCCAACCACCTCAGGCAGGCATGAACCCGCAACAACCTAACCAACAGCAAGCACGCGACGCGGCTTTACAAGATCTTCGTGCGGATCGCGACCAGCGCATGCAGCGGATTAGGGATCAGTTACAGCAAGAGCGCTTGCTCGTGAATTTGCAAGGCCAGCAGCGCTTTCACCAGCAGCATGGTCTCAATGATCGCCTGCAAAGGCAACAGCTCTTGCATCAGCAATTGGCTCTGCAGCGGCAACAGCAAGCAGAGGATATACTAAGTCTGGCGGCGTATCGGAATAATGCTGCGAGGGGTCGTCCGGGGGATGCTCAGCAATAGATCATACATCTCGTTCAATGTTGACAGAAGGAGCTGGCAGTGTGAGAAGAGAGTGTGTGGGTTCGTGGATTTCAGGCGGGTAATGATGATCGGGGCTTGGTATGAGTATTCTTAGCGAGGAGTTCTGGAGGTTTAAGCTGCGAATGACCAAAGCGGCTACAACAGAGGAACTACTGATGTGTATGATCGATATATCATTGTTACGAGCTTGAGTACTATCACTACTTCATGCCACTGTCCCTCGGCAACTAGCCACGTGCCTTCCTCCCTTATTCGGTCTATGGTCGCGTGACTCCACTGAGCAACACTGAGGATCACTGTATCCACACCTAAGCTGTCAAGACTTGCATCATCATCCTACAGTCGTAGTCGAAAGATTAGATATCTCAATCGGAGTTCGTGCACGGCCATCCTCGTCATCCTCGCAGCGTTAGAGCTAGCGTGCTTTCCTGTCCTGCAATCAGCCGCTTTTCACGTGCTTCAAAATGACCTTACCAATACCTCGAGCACGAATCAAGGCCATTCAGATCAGCCGCACGACCACTCGTACGACCATTCCGGCACATCCGCCACAATGTTCAACTGGGCGAAGAATGCCGTGGGCATCACAGAACCCATCTATGGCCCGTCCGCCATCCAAAGCGTCGCCAACCAAATTCCCCCTTACACCGAGGTGCAGAAACAAGATCTAGCATGGGAAGTCATGGACACCACGAACGTCGAAACGAAGACCTTCTACATGACCTCCGACTCAGGGCACCTCGGCCTCGCCCAAATAATCTACAGTAACGTCCTCGGTGTAAGAACAACGGCACAATTCAACAGCAAGATCTACTATCCCAAGGAAGCCGGGAAGGAGCATCTCTGGGCGAGCGACAATCTGGCGAATTTTGAGTTCTCGAAGGATAAGCAGAATTTCAAGACCAAGAATGGGGATGTGGTTATGAATCTTAGCGAGGATGGAACGAGCTATACGATCAAGAGCACGATCAATCGAGGTAGTGTCGTGGATTTGAAATTCACGCAGGCGGCGCCGGGTTTCATGGCAGGGAAGAATGGTACCACGAACTATGGAACCGATGCTCAGAAGCCTTGGGGTAGAATGGTGCATAAATTCTGGCCGAGATGTAAGGTCGAGGGCAGCATAATGACACAATCTGGGCCTGTGGATTTCACTGGTAGAGGAGTGTTTATTCATGCGTTGCAAGGAATGAAACCGCATTTCGCGGCCGCGAGGTGGAATTTCGCAAACTTTCAATCACCCTCTTACTCGGCGATTTTAATGGAATTCACCACGCCTAAATCCTACGGCGAGACGGTGGTAGCGGTGGGTGGGATCGCGACAGATGGGAAGATCTTGATGGCTGGTGGGAGTCCGAATATCAAAGCGACACATACGGATGTCAAGGGTGATCCAGACAATGATTGGCCGGAACCGGGTAAGGCGAAGTTCGAATGGAAGGGCGAGGGGACAGAGGCGGTGCTTGAAGGGAGCATCTTGCCGAGAGTGGATCGGGTGGATGTTATGGGGGAGTTGCCGAAGTTTGTGAAGCAGATTGCTACGCAGGCTAGTGGGACGAAGCCTTATATTTATCAGGTGAGATAAGTTTCCGGCTGTTGTTAATTAATCATACTGACTCGATCTTTCAGTACACGCCCAAGCTCACCCTCGAGATTAATGGGCAGAAGGAGGAAGGACAATTGTTCATGGAGGCTACCTTCATCTCCTAGTCTGCTGGAGCTGCATGATGAAGAGTACATAGCTTTGGCGGACACTGACGAGACCCGTGAGGACATACATGCGAAGTTTTAATGTATATGACTAATGACCTGAGACGACCTGGATGGCGCATAATATAGAGATCTTACTTCCCTGCTCATACCTATCTGCATACTCAGCTCTGGGCACATGCAATCCCTGCAAGTGCGACTTCTTCGTCACTATCTCACGTCGCTCAAACTTGGTCGTGGGCGCTTGGTCATCGAACCCTCGCAAACCATGGGCATTGAGAGTTCATACCATGGTGCTATCCATGCTGTAGATAGCACATTTAGAAAGCATACCTATCTACCTTACTACTCAAGAAGCTGCATATCATCCAAACCCAGTTATCCGATGGATCACCAAGGTTTTGATAAAAATACCCCACCCCACGCGCCAAAACGAGCCCACTATTGCACGCGAGATAGATACATGTAGCTCAGATACATGCAAACAGCAATAGTATAGCTCTACCCTTCCATCATTGGTGGGTGTTTTACCGACTTCGATAGTCTCTTGTTGATACTAGTGCTACCTCATACTTCTCTCTTCTATATCCCGTCCCTATACGAGGCCGATCTCCTGGCCTATTTGTCCCCCCCACAGCCATATTCGCCACGCTACGGGTGGCTGTGCATGAAAGCCTGAGGACATAGCGCGATATCTGACGCAATTTGGCTCTTGCTAGCAGCACGAGAAAGACATCCCGACTGTGAAGTACGCGCGGATTTCTCACCCTGAGTTGTGCGTGGGTTTCGAGGTACTTGCTTGACAAGTATTTACCTTACCTACCTTACCCCTTCGACTCTTGGCTCAGGCTTGTTATTAGGCATTTGGGTTGTTGGGGAAGCTGCTACTGACCACAGCGACTTGTGCTCAACCCACTTCTCCCTCACCCCGCTGTCCAACTACAGAAGTGGAAGACGTTGTGTTTTGTTTAGTGCCAGCATTCAACCTTTCCGGGTCGTCGTGCAGCAGCGGCACACAGCCAGAATATTGCTAATTGCCCGACCTCCTGCTATCTCACCCTCGGCTCCGCAATTCCATTTGCTTGTGACTGCAGTCAATCAGTCGAGTTGAGTTGAGGCCGCGCGCGTGAAGGAAGTGGCTTAAACGTCTCTCCGGCCTGCCGACTCAACGACAATAGGCACCACCACCACCACCACCACCACCAACATCACTCTTGCCACCTTCTTGATTCCATGCTCGCCGACACCTACGACACAGCACGACACGTGAGGAACCCGCCACGCGGCATATAACGACGCTTCCGAAGATCCGCGGAAAGGCTTGTGCCGCCGGCCAAGAGATAGAAGCTGAGACTTATCTATCCACCACCACCGCTGCCGCCCCATCTACAGACACCTGGGTCTTCTGACCCCGCTATTTACCACAACACCAGCCCGGCGAGGCTGACATCACCGCTGCCATGAACGAGGACTCCGCGGTGACGGAGATCCACCGCAAGATCGAGCGGGAAAAGGCTATTATCAATGCCGCCAATATGCTACGGCAGGCTACAAACAATGCCTCCGTGATATCAAGAGGCGACTCCCAGATCCGTGATGCTCAGCGCAATATTCAGTACTTCGAGCAGAGGTTACAAGAGTTGCAAACGCGGAAAGCCACGAGTAGTATGAATAATATGTCCATGTCTGGGAATGGTGGACCACCTCCTCCACAACATGGTGTGCCTGGTGGTGGAAGAACTGGAGGAGGCATGAACAATGAGAGAGGCTATACTGGTGGAGGGCAGGGCGATTATGGCAACCCTGGACCTGGTGGATATAGTATGGGTGGAGCACCCGGTCTTATGCCCCCAAGCCGACCGTATGCCCCCCCTGGCCCTGGTGATCGCTCCCCACGTATACGACCAAATTACAGTAAGCTGGATTTGATCAAGTACGATACAGCACATCTCGGACCACGGATCCAACTCATGCTTTCGCAATTGGAATTCAAGCTGAGCGTGGAGAAGCAATACAAAGATGGTATCGAGAAGATGGTTCGGCTGTATCAGATAGAGAAAGATCGCAAGAGTCAAGCTGATGCTGAAGGAAGGCGGATCGAGTCAAACCAGAAGATCCAGCTTCTTACTAGGGCGTTGAGACGGTATGAAGACTTACATGTGGATGTTGAGAACTCGGCAGATGCGGCGGACGATGAGAGTATGGACTCGCCGAGTCAGAGGAAGCCACTTACTGGTCGCCTGCATGTGAGGATCAATGCTGTCGCTGATGTGGAGCATGCTTCTACTGGCCGCTTCACCCGCGGACCGGAGACATTCGTCATCATGAAGGTGGAGGATGCTTTCAAAGGCCGAACACGAGCTACGAGGACGGATCGATGGACAGACGAGGTCCACGAGTTCGATTGTGACAAGGCGAACGAGGTCGAGTTCACGGTATACGACAAGTCAGGCGAACATCCTGTCCCGATAGGTTTGCTTTGGATTCGACTGTCGGACTTGGTTGACGAGATTCGACGTAAGAGGGTGGAAGCTGAGTTCAACCAAGCTGGTTGGATTACTGCGGACAAGATGGATGGGACGCAGACGAGGCCAGACCTGCAATTTTCGGCGCCACCGACTGCGTCGAACGCACAAGGCGGTGCTGGAGGTACTGCGGCGGCGGCTGGTGGGCCACCTGGTTCTGGACTTGCACCGCAGACTGGACCAATCTATGTCGATGCTTGGTTCTCCCTGGAGCCAGTAGGCCGGATCCAACTCTCCCTCGGCTTCGTCAAACAGACCAAAGAACGTCGCGGCTTCGATGTAGGTCTCAACCGGAAAGGTGCCGTCAGGCAAAAGAAGGACGATATTGTGGAGCAGTATGGCCACAAATTCGCGATACAAACCTTTTACAACATCATGCGCTGCGCCCTCTGCGGCGACTTCCTCAAGTACACGGCTGGTATGCAGTGTGGAGACTGCAAGTATACGTGTCATAAGAGCTGCTATCCCAAAGTCGTGACAAAGTGTATCAGCAAATCTACGGATCCGGACGAGGAGAGGATCAACCATCGCATCCCACACAGGTTCGAGGCGTTCTCGAACATGGGCGCCAATTGGTGTTGCCATTGTGGATATATGCTTCCTCTTGGTCGGAAGCAATCGAGGAAGTGCTCGGAGTGCAAGTTGACGTGCCATTCCAATTGTGTGCACTTCATGCCTGATTTCTGTGGTATGAGTATGGAGGCGGCGAATCAGATCTTAGCGGAGATGAAGCTGGCGAAGAACAAGCCGCTCCCTGCATCTTCGCGCATGATGGGTAATAGCAGTAAGCTGAGGCCTCCTTCATCGACCACGCCACGACCTGCTCCACAGGCCAACCAGAGCTTTGCAGTTGCGCCGAATCATCAGGATCAAACTGCGCAGAACAATGCTAGACAAGAGAGCGATAGGTTCTCTTACGGTGACAAGAGGATTTCAGATCAGTATAATGAGCCGCCTCCTCGGACAAGCTCGTTTGGTCCTGGCGCGGAGCAGTCAGTAGATGCTGCCAAAGCTTCCATGGTTAACACTCCATCTACCCTTCAAGGCTCGAATAGGCCGCCGACACATCGGTCACAATCTTCGCAGAACCAAGCCACGTCAGAAGCGGCAAAAGCAGCGAATGCAGCAATGGCTAAGGGCCCATCTAGTCCACAGGACTCACATCGACCGGGCTATAATCGAGGGTCGACAGAATCTGGACAATCAAGTTTGCGTCCTAGTAGTGGTTATGCCGATGGATATGAAGGTGGCAGCAGCTACGGACAGAAACGGAAATCGCAAGCTCCTCCTCCTGGCCAGCCGGCTTACGATCCTTCTGTATACCCACCATTGAGCGGCTACCCGCCTCAGCCAAATTCGCCTATGCAGCAACAGCCTCCTGTTTCTGCACCGCCGGCACGATCTCCATACCAGCCGATCGCGGCGGTACCGGTACCACAGATTAAGCCTCCATCCCAAACACCACTACCTCAGCAGCAAGTAGCACCATCGCAGCCACCGCCCACCATCACACAACCTGTGGCGGAAGCGCGGCCCTCTGCACCACCTGCTAGTACGCCAGGTACTGGTCGCAGAATAGGTCTGGATCATTTCAACTTCCTCGCTGTCCTCGGTAAAGGCAACTTCGGCAAAGTCATGCTCGCCGAAACGAAATCCAGCAAACAACTCTACGCCATCAAAGTGCTCAAAAAGGAATTCATCATCGAAAATGACGAAGTCGAGAGCGTACGATCTGAGAAACGTGTCCTGCTCATCGCAAACAAGGAGCGTCATCCCTTTCTTCTCAGTCTCCACGCTTGCTTCCAGACTGAGACTCGTGTCTATTTCGTCATGGAGTACATAGCGGGAGGCGATTTGATGCTGCATATTCAACGCGGGCAATTCGGCACCAAGAGAGCTCAATTCTACGCTGCTGAGGTATGCCTGGCACTGAAGTATTTCCACGAGAACGGTGTGATCTACCGCGATCTGAAACTCGACAATATCATGCTCGGACTGGACGGCCATGTCAAGATTGCCGATTATGGTCTCTGTAAAGAAGACATGTGGTACGGTTCCACCACCTCGACCTTCTGCGGCACACCCGAATTCATGGCCCCGGAGATCCTACTAGATAAGAAGTACGGCCGCGCAGTAGACTGGTGGGCCTTCGGCGTCCTCATCTACCAAATGCTCCTCCAACAATCCCCCTTCCGCGGCGACGACGAAGACGAAATCTACGACGCGATCTTGGCCGACGAGCCGCTGTACCCGATACACATGCCGCGTGACAGCGTCTCGATCCTGCAGAAGCTGTTGACACGAGAGCCCGAGATGAGGTTGGGAAGTGGGCCCACGGATGCGCAGGAGATCATGTCGCATGCTTTCTTCCGCAATATTAATTGGGAGGATATTTATGCCAAGAAGATCCCGGCGCCGTTCATTCCGACGGTCAAGGGGAGGGCGGATACGAGTAATTTCGATTCGGAATTTACTGATGTTACTCCCGTGCTTACGCCGGTGCAGAGTGGTATGTCTTTCTTCCCCAATCTGCCTGTAAGATTATTGGGCTATTTTGTGCTGACTTCTATGCTTTGTAGTGCTCACGCAAGCTATGCAAGAAGAGTTCCGAGGCTTCTCGTACTCGGCGGACTTTGCTTGAAGCGGCGGCTTTGGACAGCATGATAGATTGTGTTTCTCCCACGATTCGTAATATGTAGGGAACGAGGTCGGGCTTGGGATGGCTATGGGTCAACGGACGGTCATTTGTGATACCCATGAAGCAATATATTAGGGAGCTAGAGGACGAGGCGGAGGAGGGCAGAGTCGTGGAAGCTGTGCCGTGCCGGTGGGAGTGCTCGGGTCGATCGTGCATGGTGTAATCGCTCGCTTAGGGTCCCGTATGGTCAGATGAAAGAACGAGGTAACATGAGAACAAGGTAGAAATGCGGGACGAAACGATCGTGATGAGAATGGAATGAGGGAAGGACCATAGCTTTGCATGAAAGGATAGAATTTACACGTCTAATGATTCACGCCTGCTTATACTCAATGTGATCTCTTCCAAAGTTAAGTCATTGATCAAGCATACGTCACAAACAATTTCACGCTCCTTCCGACTCGCTCATAGACCGGACTCGTCTTCCCCTGCAACCCACGCCAGCTATTCTGTCCTGCACCACGCTGGAACAGGCGGAACGCTGACGCACTGCTTCCAGTGCTGTTGGTGGTCTCGTACTCGAGATGACAATATGGCGCGAAATCCGAGCCAGCGATTGAAAGACCGAGAAGGTCACCAGCAGAGACAGTAGCGTTCGAAGTGATGGGTATCGAGGTCGTGTTGAAGACAAAGGATAAGGATGTAGCGTTGTAGGCGGCGGTGCCGAGGGTGGTGTACTTGTATCTGTCTATATATCAGCGCCGTCTGTGAGTTGCAGTCGTATGTGTGTCTTACTCTGGGCTTATGAGGTCGGCGTAGCTGTTGAACTTGAAGACTGTCAACAGTAGAGGGACGGTCTGTACGCTCTTGGCGACGTTCAAGGAGATGCTGTGGATGGTTCCGCTCTTGTTTGCTTGCCATGTCTGGAAAATGTCGAATTGATCGCTATCGCACACTGCTTCGTACTATGGCGGGTGTCAATTTGTCTCCTATCTCGAAATCTCGAATTCGTGATCTTACTGCTGCATCTAAAGGTGTGCTTTGCTCTGCTGTCGTGGCAGCACCACTGGCGACAGGTCCAGAGCCGCGCGTGAATTCGACATGGAAGGCAGCATTAGTCGAGCAGTCCAGATCTTGAACAGAGCCGTCGCGATTGAATTGCAGAGGCTGGAAGATATGGCCGCCAAAGCCAACACGAGGACCGCCCGGTACAGAAGTCGAGTGCCACACATAAGTTACTTGTTTTGTATATGGGTTTGTGAGGGGCAGGACGCCTTCAACCTGGCCTTCACAGGAGTACCCAGAGATGATCTGCCGCGTCCAGGGGCCTTGAGTGCTACTGGCGCGATACAGGAGTCCAATGGAGCCGTTGCAGTACCCGCAGGTATTGCTGGCCACCACATAGTACAAGCCGTTGCGCATGAAGATGTCTGGCGATTCGGTTTCTTGGTCGATCAAATCGGTGGCGTTCGATGTCACAGGGTAACTGACCCGAGTAGTGTTTGTATAGCCATCGATCAGCCTGCTGATATGGAGCGTCTGGTAGATCGGAGGCCAGGTGCTGCCCGCGCGAGGATCACGGAAGTTCAGAGCTGAGAAGACGATATAGCCATTGTCGCCAAATGTTTCGACTGCGAAGTCTGCGGGCTGCAGGCCATCGAATTGTGGATCGATTGAAGCAGTGCTGGTTAGGAACGTGAAGGGTCCAGATGGTGAGGAGGACGTTGCGACAGGATAACCCGAAGAGCCGGCGTTGGCCCAGAGAACGTAGGTACTTGCCTTGCGATTGTATACAATGTGTGGTCTGCCACACCCGCCTGCTTGCGCGCACGGGTTGGCTCCGTATGGATCGAAAAGGAAGCCATCGTAGTGCCTGGCGAGACGTCAACAGTGGGGAGGACAACATGTCTTCGTGATCTTAGACACACCAGCTGTCAAGATCGATTGACGAGTATGATTTGATGCCAAAGCCAGAGCCTGTCGTGGAGAAGCTATTGCCGCAGAGATAGTAACGTCCATTGAAGACTAATTATCATGAGCTATGGTCGCAGAGACCTCAATCCACTGACTTACAGTTGATCTTACTACCATATGCATCAATCTGGTTGCCGTCGACGTCGAAAAGGAAACGCTGGGTATTGGTAAAGGTTATGGATGAAGCAGCGGCAGCAACCGCGAACGAGAGAAGTGTTGACAGCATGATATGCCGGCCTGGTGAAGATCGTGAACGTGCACCTTACCCCGGAAGCTGTATATACCTGGGTCCATCTCTCATCCGTACATAGAAGCCGAGATGTACCTGTAGAGGAGTTCGCATGCTATACACGCCTGGCCAACGCCCCATTGTGGGCCAGCTGCGGAGATCGGCACAAGCCCTAAGTCTGAGATCCGTCTGACCGAGCAGCCCTAAATCTACAGTACTCAGTGGCCCTCAACTCATGTGCAGCACCTGGAGGTGTGATTGAGGAAGGTCGGAGTGTGGAAAATAACAGTCTATTCCTCAGGAAACTCGGATAGCAGTCGATTAGTCAGATCGTACTCGATGGTCGCGCCGCCGACAGGGGATCTGTCACATTTTGTGGGCCCGCTGCTGAGTCCTTCACTGGGATGAAATCATGTCCTACTTCTGGCATGTCGGTCGTGCCTTTCAAGATCAGTATTATGGCCACAACCGTCTGCAGGATGCTGCTGGTGGCTAGCAAGTAGCTTGCTGGGATGCTGCTGTCATCGCTCCCGTTACTTTTTCCGCTTGGACGACGCAACAAGGCTCAGCACAATCTCTACTTGGCCAGGCATGATGACAGATCGTCTGTCACAATAGGCCTTGTGTATAGCAGCAGAGGGGATAGATTTGCCCTGTCGGTCATTGTGTTCCACGAAGTCTCGTTCGCTCGTGAACTGTCGACCTCCACGCCAAGTCTTCGGTGCCGAAGACATTGAGTGTTTTCGGCTCCATGCCTCTTTTCTCCTCTTCTTCATCAACCAGATCTGGCCAGGAGCGTCACCCTCCGACCAAATGCTCAGCGGTGTGTCTGATGGACGAAGTGTTGACAGTTGCGGGCTCCTCTGCCAGCAGTGATCATGGCGTCTGTCTGTTGATTGGAGGCAACCTTCGTTCGCAATGCTCTGGGACGAAGATCGCCGCTCCGGCAGTAGACCAAACAACCCAAAGGTAGGCGGAGGAGCCTTGACAGTACCTAAGGCCTCTTTCGTCCGGAGACGACTAATTGTAGCCTTCGTGCAAGAGCGTGAGTAGTTCATGCTGAGCCTCTGCTCGTCAACATCCATCCCTCCATACCTTTTCTTTCAAGGGTCGGCACACAGCAGCGTGTTGATCCAATATGAGGTTTCTCTCCTTCGCCACTGCAAGTTGCATCAGTGCAGTGACTGCTACCATCTTGCAGAATGGACAGATCAGACCAAACAACTATCCCGACACTACTGTCTCCACCATCTCCTCGTACAACAGCAGCTGGCAAACCTATGCACCAAGTGCTCCTGAGATCTCATACAAGGGTCGCTGGGATGACAAGTACATCTCCTGGTGGTCTGCTCCAGGATTGAAGTTCGGCTTCCAGGCTCAACAGATTGCTATCAGTTTCGGCAACTACACTTCTGACGGTGTACTGATCGCCTATCGAATCGATGGCCAAGACTGGATGCTCACCAACGTAACTGCTAACTCGACACACCTGCTTGTTACGCCGAGTACAGCTGGCTTCAACTTGACGACTCCGCAGGGTGCTTTACAGAGCCTTGAGCTTCGAGTAACCAACTGGGCGTATGGTGTAAGTCTCGTAATGCCCACAGGCTTTCCACTTCTCTGCTCAACACCTGCAAGACGTCACTACACTTCCGTACCGTAGCTGATCGCCAATTTAGGTGCAAATCAACTGTATCCATGTCTCAGGTGGGCCTGCTAGGCTCGTCAAGGTCCCGGAATACACCAGAACAATGGAACTGATAGGTGACTCGCTTTCCGCTGGCCAATACGCGACACTCGAAGGCATCAGCAGCTACAGCTGGGGTCTTATGTACGGCCTCGGTGATGTCGAATTCTCGATCACGGCGTACCCAGGCATCTGCTTGCATGACAGCCGTTGCTACGGCAATCTTCATGGTCAGACGCTCCAGTGGCTAAAGATACCCGATACCTCCGGCCGCGCCCTTGATATCTATGGCTCTGATCCAGCCGGCATACCTGACTGGAACTTCACTGCTCACGCCGCTGCAGATATTACAGTGATCAACATCGGCACGAACGACAATAACACAGCCAACAACATCACGAGCGCTGAGTACTATACCAGCTATATCCAGCTCATCGACGAAATCCACGCCCGCTGGCCCAAGAGTCAGATCGTCGTCCTCTCACTCTGGTCGGGCTTCAGCCAAGTCGGCAACACCTGGGCTCAGGGCGCAGGCTTTCTCGATGAGATCCAGAACGTGGTCAAGCACTTCAACAATGGTAGCTTGAACCAGCGAGGAGAGTGTACAAGCTGCTTCGTTTACTACTTCAATACGACCGGAATTTTGGAGCACAATGATATTGGTCCCCAGTACCACCCGACCGATGTTGGCCATGTAAAATTGGCGAGCCATCTGATGATGTATGTTAAGTTGGTGTTTGGCTGGGATCTGAGGCAGACAGGTCCAGAGGTGCAGCATGACACACTCTACTGGAACGATCAAAGCTCATACTAGTATGTGTTGTCGCAACCCTGGTAGCTCATAGTCCACGATCATAGCTGTCCAAAGAAGACACACTCGTTTAGTCCTGCACTGTACGGTGTCTCAGTAGCTGACTATATCCTCTTTGGGTAGCAGTGTTTCGCTGTCAACCTTGCCAGTACTATAGTGTTGGGTGACCGTGCCTGATTGGCCGATACTGGGTCGATACACAGGCCAACCATGACGTCCTGACAAAGAATGACTGTGCCTGACTGTCGAGCCACGCTGGACGAAGCAATGGCTGGGCTGTATGCACGTCAGACAACGTGAATACCATTGCGCCTTTCCGTTGACGTCTGTGCACTTCCGCAGTCATGGTGCAGTCAGCAATACCAATTGTCAGCAATGCAGGCAATTATTGCCAAAAGAAGCATGCCAGGTACAATCATGGGAGACCATCGTGCATGTGGCTGACGCAACGCATGCACAGCGCCACCGGCGGCTGCGAGAACAACAGTAGGGCTGAAGAACATTTGCCTTTCGTGCATGAAGGTGTGGTGGGCGCCGGAGGGGTGGGTACTACAATATGTGATGAGATTACTGACGGCGGAAATGGTATGCCTGGTGACTGCCATGGGCGCTTATTAGAAAGTACGTCCAAGAGCCTGCATGATAGCTGTGCTGTCGGAAGTAGACGGCCAGGAAGAACACCACCTATGACAGACCTGTTTGCTACCGGCGATAGCTTGACGCCGCACCCATGTGTGAACCACGCGGAACCACAGCAGTACCGTCAGAGAAGGTAGCCAATGAACTGCTTGTCGGGCCGCACACCACTACAGCTCCCATGTGTTGTGCTCTGAGCTGTACTGTGCTGTCATTATGCCGGCTAGATGCCGAACATGCGACGCGGGTGATTACCGCGCTGATCGCGGTTCATGGCTGGGATGGGGCATGCAACGTGCTTGCAGGAGATCGTCAGTGTGGCCGAAGGAAGAGACGTCAACTCAGGTATGTGTATCCTGCTTGATGATTAGTAGTCACTGTGATGAGTAGAGATGATGTTGAAGTTAATAGAAAAAAAGGTGACAGTGGAAGTGACCATGAAGTTGATACCAAGCTAGCTAAGATCTAGTGTATTGTTAAAAACTGTCCAGCTGATCGAAAGAATGCTCCATCCTTACTAAGGCAGCTGCAAAGCAAGCGCCCGCGCCCTGTAGATGCCCACGCTCGCAGAAGGGGTATAATATGACTTTTGACCGACCAGTAGCAATGCAGGGTAACAAGAAGGCAAGAACGCTGGAACGATGACTCAACTCAGGAAGACGAGTACGCCGATCCAGTAAAGTGTCCAGCAAACATGCGACCGTGCCGTGCCCATGTAACCCATCACGCGAGTGCGACGCCCATCTATACTCGTACAGTCTTTTCACCCATGAGCCCAGAAGAAGTGTAAACCCGATCGTCGATCCTCCAAATCATTTCCATAACGCCGTGTCGCAAAGTAATCTCCATGTCGCAAACTTGTCTGGGGTATTCGAAGCAGGTTACTGTGCAAATAACAAGCCAGAAGCAACGCGTCGTGTATGTGGCGAACGTTGATCGCCACCGCCGTCTCCATCGGACATGACCGCTAGGCAGCAGGATTGCGCAGGATGTCCTCGCAATTCGCATCGAAGCGCATCGACCACAACCGCAGCCCCGTCATGAGTCTCTCCGTACGCTCCAGTTCGCGGTCGCGACCGAACATAGAGTCAACAAACTCACATCCACTATTCTTCCCCATCGTGACCTTCTTCGCAATGCCACACTCCCTCTTTGCAGCCTTCCACATGTAGTTTTCGCAGATCTTGAGGAGCTTATTGAAGCGCTGCCATAGGCGCTCACCTGACTCGAGGAAGTCGTCGACCATGTCTCGTGATGCGGTCTGACGAATCCGCGTCAAGGTGTCCTCGGCTCGCTTGATCTTGCCAGCGAGCTGTATGAGTAATAACCATAGTTCACCAGCCATCTCCGTGATTGGTGTTGCTGGGCCATAGTAGAAGACGGTCCAGTCATATATCCACTTGCCGAGTGAGTTGGCGTCGAAGACACTGCCCAATAACAGTATCGGCTCCTCGGTCGGGTCCCAATTCTTGTATGAATAGCCCGCTGGTATACCAGCGCGACGCGCATCTTCCGCGGTTGCCTGTGGTGGTGGCTTGTTTGATGTACTAGTTCGCGGTCGTGGTGGTGGCTCGTGCTGCGGCTTGGTCGTGGTCGTATACGAGGAGCGACGTTGACGTGGTCGCTCGGTCGACTCTGCTGCTGTGTAGATGGGCACCTGATCGTAGTAGCGATGATCAGCGCGTGCCTCGTGGTAACTCTGCTGGCGCTTGTACGGCGGCGGCCGCGACTCATACTGTTCGTAGCGCGGCAGATACTCATACTCGAATGCGCCAGACTCGTCGTAGACGTATCGTGACCTTTGAGAAGAATATTGCTTGCTGTTCGAGTACTTCCGCTGCGCTCCGCCGACCGTAGGCTCATGGTAGTGATACCGAGTGCCATCACGCTTGCGGTGAGAGCCACTTACATAGTCGGACCTACGCTGAGGTGTAGATTGCGCAGATGTGGTGTATTCCGGCTTCACAGTGTAGTGTGTTGTTGTAGTTGGTCGGGGCGTGGAGTAAGTGGTGTACTTGATGTTTTCACCAGTAGCGCGGCGAGTATGGCTCTTTGGCGTGGGCGTCGAGCTGTACACGTACGTCCGCGGGGAGTAGTATGTGCGGTCTGTAGGTCCTTGTGGTGTCCTTGGGGGGGTTTGGTAATCATTGTAGCCAAAGTATGGTGCATGCACCGGGTATCCTGCTGTCTGGAACATCGGGAATCGATGTAAGCGTCCAGGCACGCCTAGTCTTCGTCGTCGTCAACTCTCCGGTAGTCCCTTCGTTCTCTGTCATGCGTTATGTCGTGTATCGCGGTCTGTGAGCTCGACACTGTTGTAGCGGAGGTCGCGAGGAGGAGAATTGCCTGGTCCTGCTGTGCCGTCCGTACATTTGGATTGTTTGGATATGGACTACGTGTAAGTAGTTCGAAGTCAAGATCCAGAGAGACCTCGTGACCAGTGATCGAAGTGCTTGGAAACGCTGATGTAATGGTACTGCCTGTTCGTGCGCAAGAAAGCGACTGGAAAAGGGCCTGGCTGGTGATGGCAGGCTAGGCAAGGTATTTGATCAGAGTGCCGAAGCAGCGAGAGGGCACTAGAACGGACAGGCTCACGCTTCCGTTGACACTAAGCGTTGTTGCAGGGGGTCCCTGTGGCTTGACAGGCAGGTAAACTTTGCGGTGTGTGCACTTCTTCGGACGAATAGCGTTGTATGAATTATATTTTGCCAGAGAGATGAAGGTGTATGAGTCGACTGCCAAAGTGAAGGGGAATAGGGGTGCCCAACGTGGAATCCACAAGGGCGGGGATCCTGGTCCGGCTGGTGATGCTGCACGCCGCGGCGCGATGCGTCAGTTCGCTCGCATCAAGCGAATCAACCTGCTGAGGTGTCCAAACGGCACGTCTATATGATAGATTTGGCAGAGACTCTAGTGCAATCAAAGCAGACACCGGCACTGCCTTTGTGCACCCGTTGTCCCACGAGGGATGTGCACTGGATTGGGCCACCCCTCGCGAATAGTCAGCTGTCGTGCGATATCGACCTGACTGGTGCGACCGGGCCAGAATTTGGTTGTTGCTAAAATCGGCCGTGCTGCGTGCACAGCCTGCTACAAACGACTCGTTCAAGGTTGTCTACAACTGCGGGAGTCCAGCTCATCATACGAGGCGGCAGGATGCATGAAGTATGAGCTATACTCGTAAAGCATACTGCTAAGCTGCGGCTTCCCACAGCATCTCGCGCTCATGGATCGTAGCGTTCATGCTAGCTGCCACATCACCAGCACAGAGTCAAGTCGCACACTGCACAGTCGGCTAGTCGCCCAATAAATACGCTCGCAGCCGTGCCTGCATGAGCCTTGTCGCCCCGGTGGTACAGCACAACGGCGAAATCATGCAGAAAAGACAAGCTTCCAAATGCCATGCGGTCGGGACATGAGCCGCATCCCACTCAGACCGGACCGTCCTTGGATCATAACATGGGGCCATTCTGGAACTTCCTCATCTCGCTAGAACGACTCTGAACGCACAAGCCAGCTGTTGAATATCGATCAACAGCGGCCCTAGGATTGGCTTGCTCATCACACGGCCTGGGTAATACGAGCTCGCTCTCGCCTCTCTCTCAACAGACAGCTCAGAATGCAGAGCTCTCTAGTATGCGTACAACACCTACGCCAAATATCGAGACGGCGATACTACTGGCTCACATTGCATGAAGATGAGTTGGAGCTCTCTCTTCTGAACAACGCATTACCGGCAACGTGCATAATCACTTGACGCCACGCGTTTGATTGGGCCGGCAGGATCGGCAAAGTGGCGCTAGAGTATTGTCTGCGCGCTAATTCGTTCTTCTACACTGCATCTCTGCCCATCCAAAGCTCACTTCACTTCGACCTACGAAGGCGGTGACGAGGGTAAAACAAGACTATCGTGTGCTCACGACCAGGAGTTCAAGCTCATGAAAAACTTGCACTTGCAGGATTGATGGTGAGGATGCGCATCGCACTTACCGACATTTCTGGTGAGTTTGCAGACGGGATTCAGACTTCTGGTCGCCTCGCATGTGCGACGACACGGCTTCAGACAGGTCGTCGCGTCGACAGGTCAAAGAAAATGCTCTTGGCGCCGACCAGTATTCCAGTTCACGGGTGATATCCGTCAAGAGTGACCTGCGAGGTCACGAACGACCAAAGACCTGTAGACCTGTCACTTTCATACTCTTCGCCGTACAAGACGCAGGAGTGCACGGATCGAGGCTCGGATAGCTACCGTATGCAAGACACACTTGCGTTCAGACAAAGAAATATGGCGTCGTGCGTAACGCTCGACCCAGCCTCGCACGAAAATGCTTGGACGAACTTTATCTCGTTCACGTCAATGCTCATGGGCCACATGATTTAGGGCGCTCGTTGCGGTGGTCTGCCGTCGGCAAGATGCTTCAAGTTGAAGCGAACTGATATGCCTTAGCCTGGGGAGGGGCATGAACTAATGGTTTGCCACAAGCTCTGGGCAGCGGCATAAACGAATACTTTGCCACAAAGCTCTCGGGTCTGGTCACGTCCTTGTGGCTGACGATGTCATACTGCTCACTTCTTCGTATCTACGACGATATATAGGCACTTACTGGCATTTTGATCTGACATTGACAAGAAACAGAGGGTAGTATTGTTAATACATTGCTTGAACAGTATTCTATCTTACCTTTAATCACGACTTCATACCCATCATGTGACGCTTCCAGAGCGTAGCTTAATCCCAGCGGAACCGGTGAACAGGTGATGGTATTTCCCACCTACGGCGTGGGAATACATCATGGTAACTATACTGAGCTTCAAGATCGATTGGCTCTGGCTCAGTGTGCTCAACGAACCGACTCGTACGCTGCCTCTTCGCGGCTCGCTCAGTCGAGCTTCTAGATCTCGGAGGCCGGATTGGTGTCGTCCTGTATCCACCAATAGTAGTGACAAGAGCAGTAGGCCTCATCGACCGTCGACCTCTTGTCGTCTCCCTGCTCCTCGATCTCTGCGATCTCGGGGGATGGATAGCCGTCATTTGGAAAGACCAAACTTGAGCGGGAATGGTGCTAGGACTTACCAGCGGAGTGATCGGAAGATTAGTGCCAGCACTGTAATCGATCTTCCGCCAAATAACGGGCTTGGATTTGTGCATAGCGACATAGGACTTATGCCCTCTCCTCGCCATATCATTCCTATACCAATCTCCCAGATCCTGAGCGTAACTGTCGAACTCATCCACGAGCGTCGCCCACTCAGCTGCATGCTGCACATGGAGAGCATCCATATCGAGGCTCATGAAGCGCCGAATACGGCGTTGTATGAGAGCATTCTCCTCAAATGGGATGAACCTGGTGGGTGTGCCTGTTCGAGGGAAAGGCTTGGAAAGGTCCAAGTAGTAGAAGATGTTCTGAGCTATCCAGTCAACGCGGGCCATCATGACATGATGGTCGTACATGTCAAAGGCGTAGCCGAAGCTGTCGTAGTTCTGAGGGAGGGCAGGCATGGTTGCGTATTGCTGTTCGTTTCTGCTCTGCCAGACGATGGACTCGGACCTCGATTTCGAACATATAAATCTACTGTGCTGAACAAATGCATTGTCTTTCATGCTGATGCAATGGACTCGAGGACAAAGAGCTGTTGTATGGTGCATGGTGAACAATAGTACAAAGCGTTCCATGGGCGAGAAGACAGACTCGAGACGATCCTTGATACACTCATATACTTCTCAGCGCTCGCACACAATGGGTATTACCATATTCCAAGCAAACACAATGCCGCTTCCGAACTAGCTCTGCTAAGGGAAACACAATCTTATTGTATTATGCTGTAGCCGCACCAGGGGCAACAGCCGGCTTAGGCGCAATAGGTATCGCAGACGCCAGAGGGATATGCTTGATTTCTTTCTTCCCGTTCGCTTTGTAGTAGAGTAGGATGTCGCCGCCTCCGCGCCAGAGGTGCGAGCGTATAGTGGCCAGAGTCATGGTCACGGGCACAATCTGCGTTGCGCACTGTCAGCTTGTCTCCTCACAATATCATCGTGGTTGTATTGGAAGACTCACCTGATTCTGACACCAAAGCTCAAGATACTCCTCCGGCTTCAACGCATCAGGATCCGCTTCCTGATCTGCTGGTGGTCCAGGCTCAATACGCTCAGCGACATACGCCAAGATCTTCTTCGCACGCAGCATGCGGTTCGCATTCAGTCGATTGTTGCCATCGCTTGCTATACTTGGGAGGGAATTCTCCCATGGCTCTAGCACGAAGCTAATCTTGACAATGTCCTTGATCGGGACCTGGTTGCGGAGGAGTACATCACCTAGCCACATCGGCGCTGCTCGCTCAAGGCTGTCGAGATGTTCGGCCAGGGTGCCAACAGTACCTTCGAACAAATCAGCGACGCCACCCGCTTCAGGTCGATCCTCTTGGATGAGAATAGTCGTGTTGAGCGGTGGCTTGAGGACCGGAGTCTCTGCCGGTAGTGCTGGTGTGATAGAAGATGGCAAATCGATCGGTCCAGGCTCAGGTACAGGTAACCCGTTCTCATGCGCTTGCTGGTTCTGCAATTGTGCTTGCAACGAGTCCTCGTAAGCAAAGCGGATCTTCTGCACCGTACCAAGAAGATTATCGTCGACCACTCGGCTGTTACTTGTCTTGCTAGATCTCGAGTCGCTCTCCGTCTCGGACTTCTCCTCAACAACAACAGGCTTCTCTTTCTCCATGGTGGAATTCCTACCGATCTTCTTCATGCCGCTGAATGACATACCAGTCCGGAACTTCTTACCAAAGAGACCTTTGGAGGGCGTGTCCTTGTTAGCGGGAGCTTCTGCTGATGGCGTGGTGGCTTCGTCTGCGCCCTCGCTTGGGGTCACGGGCGGGAGCTTGTTCACGCCACCTGGAGTCAGGAGCTCCGCAGTTGGTAGACGCGAAGTAGAGAAGTAATCGCTATTTCTATCAGTAGAGTGTCGTGGTTGACCTACTGACTGGTGTGAAGTCACTTTCTCAAGCGAGGCACCCTCGTGAGCTGCAGATGAGAGCAGAGGACCACTTGTAGTCCTCACCGGTGAGTCGAAGGCGCCGGGCGAAGCTAGCCCGATATTGAAGCCCGGCGTGTTCAGCGCCCTACCAGCACCGTTCATTGCTCTTGGTGTGGTGGCCGAATCTGTCACAGCCGACCCTGATTGCCAGCCATTAAGATCAGCCGATGGCATCTGAATGCTCGTTGGTGCGTTCTCCCGCTGCAGTCGTTGCTGTTCCTCCTTTGTGTTCAACAGTTGCTTCCGGAACGTCGTATCGCGTCGTATCTCCTCCGTAATAAGGTTGCTGAACAAGTATCGCAGCACCCACTTACCAAGATTGATGCGCTGATCTTCTCGGAAGTCGATGTCCTCGTCCAGCTCCAGCTCATCCGCGTACATCTCGGCATCGAAGCACGTATTCTCTTCCAGTATGACTGCGACACTACCAGTCCGTGTATCAACAGAACACCAGTTTGCCACTGTTGCATCAGTCGTAACTTCATCTCTGACGTCCTCCAAATGGCGCTTTCCGTAAGATCGTATTGGTACACACTTGAGCAGATCCCACATCAGAACTTCGCCTGCAGTATCCACTGTCAAGACACGTTTGCGGTCATTGAGCATAACATGCTTGATCAGCCCATTCTGGCCTTCTACAGAATGCTCTGGCTGTATTCGTACGGGCTGACCCGGAATTATCTCAATGGGTGCAGATTGCTCCTTGTCGTCATCATCATCGCCAAGTAAAGGTGCGTGCTCCTCCTCCACTGGCGCTGGGGTAGGAAAGTAGGTGGTATTGCTGAGTTTCAACATATGCTTTAGTGGAAGGCTTCGCTTGCCGCTGCCGTTCGTCACAGGCGTATTCGGTTGCTGGTTCGGTGGGCTGGGGTATCTGATCTGAGGAGTTGAAGTGCTTCCTCTGTGTCTGCTGTAGCCTCGTGGCACTTCAATCTCAGCATGCTCAGTGTTGATATCTCGCCATCTGTTTATGCTGGGACGACTGGTAGCGGTCCAGATCGAGTCTCCAGCAGCAACTATCTTGTGTACGCCTTCATGCTCCTGCGCAAGAGCTACTGACACTCCTTCATCAAGTTCAATGACGTCGCGCGTGTCGGTCTTGGCAATCAGTCCGCTCTTGTCGCTGGAGTAAAAGACAGAAAGATCCGGGTCCGATGAGAACAATGACCAGACGCTAGCATCGTGCATCGTGAGAGTGTACATGCACCGTCCAGCACCTGTACTCCACACCTTCACGGTCTGATCGCTGCTCGCCGTCATGATAGTACTACCATCTTGACTGACCAAGACGTCTCGGATGTTGTCCGTGTGTCCCGCTAGCTTTGTGATCCGCTTGCCTGATCTCGCATCCCATACACGTACTGTACTCTCTGGTCCACCGCTTGCCAGGACATTGTTCGTCGCCGCCAGAGCATATACGCTGCCTTTCTCTTTGCTTGACAGACTACCGGCCTCATCGTTGCCAACATCTATACTCAGCTTCTGCCCAGCACCGCTCAGATCCCATACACAGATCTTCCGGTCAAGCCCACCACTCGCAATCCAGTCGGCGTGCACTGACGGCACTGCAAGAGTCTTGACATAGTCGCTGTGTAGGCCAATCGATTGTGGTGGCATGCGGTCCGTGGCCGCGGGTCGCCATACCTTGACAGTGATGTCGGAGGATGCAGACACGAGTGCTTGGTTCGAATGTGCGAGCGCTATATCGTTGATCCAATGGGTATGCGCCTGTACTTGCTGTCGCCAGGTGGTATCTGCTGGCTTCTCGAGTTTCGCATCGTGCTCGGGAAGTACTGCACGCTTGAGATCTAGGTGAAGGTCCCAAGCACATATCACACCATCTCGGCCACCGGAATATCTGCGCCAGTCTCAGTACAGCTCAAAGTATCTCGTATCCCTTGCATATCCTACAATATCGAATTATCACTGTCCACCGCGAGTCCGTTAACGCCGAGTCTGTGACCACCGGCTGAGTTCGCAAGAGGCAGGACTATGTAACATCAGTGGTGAACATCCACAAGCGCACATGTGGAGCGCATGTCCAGCGTGGTAGCGTGTGACAACTCACCATAGCTAATCCTCTGCCGTGCCTTGCGTGCCATCCAGGCTACCTCCTCCCAGCCCTCGTACCAATCATTCAAGCTCCAGCAAGACTTCCTACCCTACCCACAATAATCTGACACCTGTCAAGCGATCGATGCAGGTACCGCCGGCCAAAGGTCGATGTGTTATAGCTGGAAATATGACGAGGCGAGATCGAAAAGTCTATTACTTACGTTGATGGCGAACAGAAGTCCAGATCGAGTGGCATGGACTGCGGCGCGAAACCACGCCGCAAGCGAGGCCGCGAAGGATGCAATTCAGCCATTGACGCAACCGTTGGAGATTCGAGCCTGTGCTTCACAGTTGGGGGCGGGGTGAATGTGGAGATGAGTTTTGGTCATGTCAACAACTCTGCAGCGATGAAGCATTCACATATATCTGCAGTAGTGTAGGCGGACAATGCCTGCCGCTCATCAGATGCGGCAGGCACGACGCAGTGAGTGAGTGTGACAACGCTGCATGTTCTCCACAGTGACCGAGCATTGGCAGGATGCATAAACTTCCATCTGCCCTGCATGCTGCCCATAGCTGGTGACTCGAGCTGACGAGACTGCTTCAAGAAAAACATTTGCGCGGTTGATTATTTTATGATTGACACATCTGAGAAGGGAGAAGCTCATAGACCTCAAAATTTCTATGTACGGTATCAAGTTCGACGAGCACTTTCCCCCAGCAAGCTCATCTACAATGGCTACCGACCGTATCCTCTACTCAAACAATGACTACGAGATCCGCCCAGCCCGCAGCGTAAACGAGTACCGAAACCTGTGGTGGCGCTACATGGTAGAACTAGGCTGGAACCGTGGCTACTTCGACATAGACACCTACATGAACCCCTCTCATGGCTCAGGAATGCTGCTCCTAATCCACAAAGGCCAAGACAAACGTCGGATATGCGGTCATGTCGCTGCCGTCATCAACGCCAACAACACTGGCTGGCTTTCACTTTTCGTTGTTGGGGAGGAACACCGTGGGAAGGGGATGGGAGGGAAGTTGTTTGAGGCTGCTATGGAGGACTTTCGTGAGCATGGAACTGAGATTATGGGGCTTGATGGAGTGGCGGAGCAGAAGGCGACGTATGAGAGGCGTGGGTTTGTTGATTCGCCACTTGGCACTGTCAGGATCATGACTAGGCCGTTGGTGGAAAAAGTACCGCTGCCGACTCGAGATGGGGAGGTATGCTCTCAATTCTCCCGATATGCTATGCATTCTTAAGTTCAACAATATCACGGCTCAAAAATGCTGATGACGGACACAGGTACCAGGGCACTTCATACAAATCTATGACGTCCCTCTACATCTGCTGGCTCAGCACGAGCAAAAGTACACAGGCTTCCAGCGACCAGCGTTATGGTCTAACGAGCATCTTTTCGAACGCGACGACATAGATGGCGTGGCTCTAGCCAGCACCGACAATCCGCAGACTGTCAACGATCTGCAAGGCTGGACCATCATCCGTCGCTCCTTACACGGTCCACGAATTGGTCCACTATATGCCGAGAACGCAGAAGTAGCTCAGGCAGTGCTGGAGCGTGCTATAGAGCTAGCGAACGTCAAGTTCGTCGATGCCGTCCATCCCGATGATCCTTATGAAGACATGTCTGAAGCCGAGATTGCTGAGAAGGCGTATATAACGGCTGAGGTATGGGGTGGAAATCCTGAAGCTGTAAAAGTGTTTGAGCAGGCTGGTTGGACATATGCAGGTGTGTCTTATCATCGTATGTGGGTGGGTGGAAAGGCGACGCCGGAGTTTAGTGAGGGTGGAGCTGCTCAGCAAGGCGTGTTCGCTATGATGGATGCTGCTACTGGCTAGGCTCAAGCAATTGAGGTCGACAAGCCGTGGGAGTTTGTTGTATTGTATAAGAACACCAGTGACTTTTCAATCAGCCTCTCGCGCCTCCTCAATCCAGCTCTCAAAGATCAGATCACCCGCCGCTACCGCACGAATAGGATGGGCCCGCTTCTGTGACATGTTGGCCGTGTCTTTGTCCAATATTGGCTCTACAGGCATCCACGGCTGAGGATGACTAATCGGTGCCTGCCCATCACCTTTGAGCTCGATGGCAACGGTAAAAGTCCCGCCCACCGGTGCCGGCTTCAGTACAGTACCACAGTTGGCGAGTTTGCTCATCGTGGCTCGAAATTGTTCCTCTATGTCTATGAGGGGTAGAATGGGTACGATCTTGCCACCAGAGTCCTTCCGTTCCAATGGTGTGTCGACGTCTGTAAAACTGACAGGCGGAAATCGAGAGACGTCGAACAAGAACCGTTCCGTAGGCTTGAGGCCTTTATTGTATACCACGACCGCCACACGTTCGACGTTGCCTTTGAGCAGCTCGGTTTCAACCGCGGCAACAGCATCATTGATCCATTCGCAGACCTTCGGGTGCCTGCTCTGTCGTACGGCAAAGTTGTACTTTCGAGCCGAGAGGAACGAGGTTTGTGGGTATATGTTTCGTTCGTACAGAACTGTGTGTATCGCCACTGTCAGGAAGTCCGTGAATTGTGATATGAGCATGCGGAAGGTGGCAGCATCATCTGGCATGGTGCTTCCCTCGTAGTTTCTTTACCGCCAGGTGTGACGATCATATCGCATCTCGTCGTTCGTCTCTGCTTCCCACAGGCATAGACTCGATTCTTTCGTGTTCAAGGAAGGTGGTGCTTTGACACGTGAAGCATCGCTTCGTTTGCAATTAATGTGGGTCTACTAGGGCTCGGATCGGACTCCGGCCTCTTCGTGCTCACTTCGTGATTATTGTGATTTGCACAGCTCATAGACACTTACTCATGTCTTAGAACCTTCGGGACTGCAACATCCAGTAGCAGTACAGAAGGCCCTGTCAGTGAGGTAGTCCTTCGCGTCGCAAAGCCGACGCTGTCATTCAGTAATTCGAGCAACGGAAATCGAGGCTCCACGACCGAAAGTTGAACAGGTCTCGCAGGACCGCCACTGAAGCACTTTCGCGAAGCCAAGACCAGATCCAAGGTTGGATGGTACACCTGGAACGATTCGTCTCCACGCTAGCAAGGAATTCTAAGTCCCGCCATGGAGGCGCAACTCGTACGACTCCTCGATGAGACGCAGTTATCACAAGAAGGTCCACGCAAGAACGCAGAATGGCAGCTGAAGCAGCAATACAGCAACACGGACTTCCCACTAGCCTTGACAAACATTGCTGCTCACAACGACATCCCGATCAACACTCGTCAATCAGCACTTCTCGTACTAAAGACTTTCGTACAAGCGTGCTGGTCGCCACAATTCGATGAGTTCAACGGCCAGTTGTTCGCGGATGAAGCAAGGAGAGCACAGGTCCGGCAAGCTCTGCTAGATCTTGCATTGAGTGGACGTGACGATGAGCGTAAGGTCAAAAGTGCAGCCAGTCTTGTCGTCAGCAAGATCGCCACGGCAGATTTCCCTGATGATTGGCAAGACCTGCTGCCAACCGTGCTGAACGTTATCGGAACAGGTGCCGACGCACAGCTGCGAGGCGCTTTGAAGGTACTTGGAGAGTTGGTAGAGGACTGCTTCAATGAGGAACAGTTCTTTAAGGTTGCGAGAAATCTGGTGGGCGTTGTGCATGAAGTGGCGGTAAACGACAAAAGGAGGCCGATTCTACGGGCGCTTGCGGTTTCGGTGTTTAGATCATGCTTTGACTCGCTCGAAATGGTCTTGGAAGACCACAAAGCCGCTGTGAAGAGTTTCGCGGAGGAAATCCTGGCCAACTGGATTCCTTTCTTCATCAGCACGATCAGATCGGCATTGCCGCCAGCTGCTTCGGACGAGGACGAACAGGACGACAATGAGGCATTCGAACTCCATCGTGGAGCAATTGCACTGAAGCTACAGGCTGTCAAAGTCTTGATGCGGATCCGCTCAGTCTTCCCCTCAACTCTTACAGCCCACAGCCAAACACTGTTCTCAAGCATTTGGGAAGAATTGTCCAGATTACTGCCACAGTACTACGCACTGTATATCGAGGACGATCGACAAGGACGTCTCGAAGATGCTGATGGTCTGCCATACACACTCGACTTCTTGGTTTTGGAAGAACTTGACTTCTTGCAAGCCTGTTTGCGAGCGCCTCCAGTACGAAAAAGCCTCGAGCAGCAGCTGCAAGCGCGAGGCGCTACTGTTGAGGGCAGCTGGGTCACCGAGCTCATCAAACTTGCTTGCGGCTACTCGCAGATCACTACAGAAGAGGAAGGCTTGTGGGACATCGATGTCAACATCTTCCTCTCCGAAGAGGCAAACGTGACTGCGAACTACACACCACGGACTGCATGCGGCGATCTCATGGTCAAACTTGGAGAGTGGCTCAACGCAGCATCAGTAGAAGGTCTGCTAGCGTACACGCGCTCGCTGTACACAACAAACGCGAGCTGGAAGCTCAAAGAAGCTGCATTGTATCTGCTTAGCCAAATACTTTCCGACTATCAGGACGTCGAGAAGAAGATAGGCGCAGAGGCTGCCAAGGGCTATGTTGACTTCATCCAACATGCTGTACAGGAGGAGTCCGTCTTCCTACGGGCCCGTGGTTATCTAGTTGCTGGCAGTCTGACAAGGACATCTGGCGATGCATTGCAGTCGGTCGCCGCGAACTTCATGCAGGCCTCATTACAAGCCATCGACCACGACTCTTCGGATATAGTCAAAGTGTCTTGCATCCGCGCGCTCCAATACTACCTAGCAGCACTCCCACCATCAGTCACAGTGCCCAAGCAGGCGCATATTATCTCAGCCCTTTCAGGCTACCTCGACACGCAAGACATCAATGACCTGACTGACAGCGACGATCTACTGATCGCTATCATCGAAACATTGAGGGACACGATACTGAAGGACACAAGCCGCTGCTTGACCAATGGCGGGCTCGATCTTCTCTTCACTATCGCCAGCAAAGGCGCCACGAACTTTCAGATCGCCTTAATGGTTGCCGAGACTTTTGAGGAGGTCGCCAGCACTATTTCAGCTATAGGTGCTGAGCAGTATGCTCAACTGACGGCCAGGGTTGTGCCTTCTCTGAATGGTGCTTTCGACGTAGCCACACTGACCGAGGAGAATGCGCTCGCCAACCTATCCGCCGAGCTGTTGTCGGTCATGGCGGAGAATGGCACCACACCAATGCCACCAGGCTTCGTCAACAGCGTCATGCCACGTCTCAACCGACTGCTACTTGGGTCGCAAGATGACGAGCTCCTGCGATCCGCCACAGCCGCCATCAAACACATGCTCAACCACGACCCAGACCAAGTCTTCGCCTTCCACGACCAAGCCGGCAAAGGCGGCCTAGAAGTCGTCCTCATAATCATCGACCGTCTGCTCAACCCTTCAGTGGTCGACAACGCCGCCTCAGAAGTCGGCGGCCTAGCGGCCGAGGTCGTCGAGAAAGCCGGCAGTGAACGACTGGGACCATACCTCGTGCAGCTACTACGAGCCGTCGCTGTGCGTCTCGCCTCCGCAGAACAGGCCGCTTTCATCCAAAGCCTGATTCTCGTCTTCGCTCGACTTTCGATGACAGCCGCACAAGACGTCGTCACCTTTCTCGCAGACACCCAGATCAATGGCCAGAGCGGCCTCAACGTCGTCATAAGCAAATGGTTGGAGAATTCCATCAACTTTGCTGGTTACGACGATATACGACAGAAGTAAGTACCACGAACGCTGACCCGCCCCCGTGCAAGCACTATTCGCTAACAAATCTTCACTCATTAGCATCATAGCTTTGACTAAACTCTACACCCTCCACGATCCCCGCCTCACCCAAATCATGGTGAAAGGCGACCTCCTCGCCCCCAAAACCGACCGCATCATGACCCGTTCACGCGCCCGTGCCCAACCAGATACTTACTCTTCCATTCCTGCCCAACTGAAGATCATCAAAGTGCTTGTCGAAGAACTCCTGTCTCCCTCCGCCAATGGTACGAGCGCCAGGGAATTGGCAGCTGCGGAGCTGGATCCAGATGAAGACGATGATGATGGCGATGAGTGGGAGGACGACGGGGACGGGTTTGTGGATTTAGGGACAGGGATGAGTAAGAGTCAATTGATGGCTTTTGGGGAGGTTGAAGGGAGTTTTGGTGATGACAGTGCGGGTGGACGAGGTGGCAGGGATGACGAAACGCAGAAGTATCTCGAGGAGTTCTTCCGTGCGCAGGCGAATGAGCCGGGGTTTGCGGACGTGTTTGCGAATTTGAGGGAGGAGGAGAGGGAGAAGTTGAGGGCTATGGGGGATGCTTGAGGGATGATGGATGTGCCTATGGGTGTCTCTTTTGGGGGCATCAAGTCACTGGCCGATGGGAGAGGACAATGGTGAATTATGGAAGCGTTTGAAGCGTAGATATTCTGCATGAGAGGCTTGCATATACAGCGGAGCTTCAACAGATCACAAAATGTGAAGCGTAGTAGTTGCTCGCCCAGAAGCGAACTGCGGGGTTATTGCGCAGGAGGGACAGCACAATGAGGTCAAAAATACTTCCGTAGACATTGACGATGCTCACATTTCTATCAAACACAAATTCCTGCCCCTTCTAAGCACCAGCCATTTACAAATCCTCACATCCCCTCCAACTCCGCCTTCCTTCCCCTAAAAACTTCTTGCGCCTCCCTCTCCCTCCTCCCCACAAACGCCACCTCCCCCCTCAACCCCTCCAACCTCTCCCTAACCGCCACCTCCTCCCCCACCAACGCCGTCCTACCCACCTCAGCCTGGATCCTCAACCCCTCCATCTTCTCCGCCACACTCCCGATCTTGCTCCTGAGAACCTTAGCCCGAGCAGCATACCCGCCCTGCATCTTCGCCAGTTTTTTCTCCAGAGCTGCGCCCTTTTCCGCGGAAGTTTCGAGGGATTGTTGGATAGAGTCGAAGGCTTCGGCGAGGAGTTGTTGCTCGTCGAGGTCGTCTTCTGCGTAGCCTGCTAGACCTGGTAGGATAGATGTACTGGTATGCGCGCGTTCCCATTCCAGCTCGAAAGCTCGACCGAACGATGCGCGATCTTGTTCCGTAGATTCAGAGCCCATTTCCAGGATCACTTCCATCCTCGCCTTTTGCATCTTTTCCTCGTCTAGCATCAGGACTTCTTTTCCCTTATCCTTTCCTTTGAGTGAAGAGGAGCCGAATTTGAGCGCATCGTGGGCCATCAACACAGCCATCTCTTCTTCGACTTGCCGCTGGATGGGATCTTCAACCGTCTTAGCTTTGGCGAGTAGAGCATCCACGTCCACAACACTAGGCCGCGGCAAACCACGCTGCACAACTTGAGTCTGCCTTCTCAACTCTGCCAAAGCGGCCGCGTAAGCAATATCCGCATTCCGTTTGTCCCGAGCAGCGGCATCCTCCTGTTGTTGCTCAGCAGTCAGAGCGACTTCCTCCCTGTCCTCGGGCAACTCGAGCTCAAAGTCCATTTCTTTCGGTTTAGGCAGGCTGGCGAGTTTACCGCGGAGGCTGGAGCGAGTGGCTTGTTCTCGAAGACGGATATCGCGTGGTGTATGGCCTACGAGCTGCGTGGAGCCGTCATCTTCGTTTAGTCGGAAGGAGTCGCGGGGTGTTCGCATGGGTGTTGCGCCAGGGCCCGGAGTTGCGGCTACGCCGTTGCGCATTGGTGTCGCCATGGGGTTGGGTGTGTGGAGGGTCTGTTGGGAGGGTGCCATTCCTTGAAGACCAGTTGTGACGCTTTCGTCTGCTAGGTCGTTGTTGTCACCGCCCAGCAGTGCTGACTGGGTTTCTGTCCGAGCTCGTGCATTGCGGAGCTCGTTCGGTATCCGGTCCTCTTCTTGAGGTGCTCGTGGGGTACGTAGAGGTGTTGCGCCGACAGTGTTTGCGTAGCTGCCTGTAAGCCCACGAGCGGTGTCGCTTTCGCTACCCTCCGCCATTGCACGATCGCCAGACATGCCCATCTTAACAATGTCCTCCAGCTCTGCCTCACTAACCTGAGGAGCCGGTAACACCAGACCTCGTCGTTTGCTGCTTTGCTCCGCTTCACGAATACGTTGTAGCTGTCCCGCCTTGGCTGCCGCAGCAAAAGAAGAAGCACCACCGTCCTTGTCGTTCTTCCTCCGCTTATGATCTTGTTCTTCACCATCCTGCTGATCGCCTTTTCGCTTGTTGGCCAGCTGCTGCTTTCGAGGATCGAACATTTCTCGCTGATGCTCATTCGTCGCCATCTCGTCTTGCGTATCGTAGAAGCCGGGCGCAGGTGCTTTCTCGAACGGAATATCGGCATTATAGTCCATCTGACCCTTCTTCTTCGTCGTGACCTTGACGTTTATACCGGCATTCTTCAGCTCCCTCCGCTTCTGCAGCACACCCACCCTCCGACTCTCCTCGAGCTGCCTCTCTCGCGCCTTCCGCTTCGCCTTCTTACCCTGAGTGTTGGCAAGACGAGCACGAGCCTCCGACAACATCTCCTTCTCATCTTCGTCCAGATCGATCGTGTCAGGCCTCGCTGGCTTACTCTCCGGATCCGGATCCAGCTCCCCAGGCCTCAACCTCCTCACATCATCCGCACTCGGCGCCGCAGCCTCACCGCCCTCAGGCCCACCCAAGCCCAATTCTGCAGCCGTCTCCCTCGCCTCCGCCTCGTCCAGTAGCTTCTGATACCTTTCCAGACATTGCGTCGCTGTCCGTCCCACAATCGGCGCAATCGTCCGCCATTGCGTGGGCATCAACTTGGCCAAATGCAGCAGCTTCTCGTCCTCCTCACGACTCCATTCGATCTTGCGGATGCCGGGGTCCAGCCACTCCGTCCATCGTGCTTTGCATTGCTTGGCTGTTTTCCGCGCGAGAAGAGAAGATACACGCGCCCATTGGTTGAGGCCATATTTGGAGACGGCGGCTTTGAGGATCTCGTCTTCGATGTTCGTCCACACTCCTCCCTTGACCACCGGCATGTTGGCGGTGGTAGATGATTGGTCGAAAGAGAGGATTGGAGGTTGTTCAATGTCGAGGTAAAGATTGATTGAATGCTGAGTCAGGCACTTTAGTTTCAGCCTCATGACTCGTGTTCCTGAACCTCAAGCACGCGAGCACTTCGTCATTGTGATGAAGCCCGTCGAAGCAAGTGCGGCCCATAATTGTAGTCACGGCAGGTTGGTCTCATTTACATACCATGGACATGTAGGTTTCCATCATCTCAATACCCAATCACAGCCAATCGCACCTTGCAATAAGATTCATACCCTTCCAAAGGCCCTGAATCATGCTTCCCGTCCTCCGCACTGCTCGTCCAGCGACAGTCGACAGTACAGCAAAAGCATGGCTAGCAGGCTTCCACACCACTCCTCTCACCAAAGCCAAGGACACCACGGTGTCTCCCCCAGAGCAGCAGGATAGTTTGAAAGCCGGAGCAGCCAAAGCAGTACAGGACAAGCAAGAACCGCACAAAACGCAAGCCCAACTCGACGAAGAGCTCAAGCAGAAGCTCGCTGGTATCTCGGGCGATGGAGGAGATGCTGGGGTCGAGTACGAGGACGGGCAGCCCGTGTCCATGAAACGGAGCGTGAAGAATAACATGTTTCGGTATATCTGAACACCAGACACCTCATCACGCAAGAAATTATAGGTCTAGATCGAACAGACGGCCATACTAGAAGCCCGAACTACGCCGATGTATCACTCACAAAAACGATGGAGGAGATGCATTAATGATACAGGTTCTGCAAGAGACTAGCCTTCATGAAGCATCTTGAGAGCAAGGATCAAACGTACCCATCTCGGGTCGAGGCTGGAGGACCGCGGAGTGGAGAAGATCATCTGGAAGTAGTCCCCGATGATAATACTAATTCGCATGCTGTGCGCCATCTAGTATACCAAAGCGAGGCTGGAGGGCTGTGAACCTTTACAGAAGTCGATGCTTAGATGTTGATTGTCAGATATGTAGTGGAAGCGAGTGTAGTGCGCCGGCCCGGGTCCATCTGAAAGCCTCGTAATGGGAGAAGACCATAGTACAGCTAGCCATTGGATCGCAACGAGGAATTCATATGTATATCGATAGTCAAAGAATACAAACCGAGCATGCTCCATCATAGCTGCACACCAGTACACAAAGACCCATCCACGACAGTATTCGTGCCCGAAACGAAACTCGCCCGCTGACTAGCAAGGAACACCACCGCATCTGCAATCTCCTCCGCCTTGCCCATCCGTCCCATGGGATTAAGCGCCATCTGGCTCTTGAATAGATCAGGTAAATTCCGCTCGATATCGCCCCTATTTGGGCATACAGCATCAGTACAATGATCAAAACCATCCGCAGGCGGCTTCGCATCCACGATTCAGAAACGGGAAAAAGAGAGGGCATGAAACTCACCACACCCCGTCTTCTATGTAGATGTTCCCGGGACTGACACAATTCGCCCTCACCCCCTTTCCAGCCATCGTATGCGCTAGCTGCGCCGTATAATGCACCACCGCCGCTTTCATCGCCCCATACGGACTTGGAGCCGTGAAATCTACATCTCGGCCCGTAACAGAAGAAATGGTGACCACATTTCCCTTCGTCTTCTCCAAGTACGGAAGCGAAGTCTGGATGATAGACCACAAGGCAAGCATATCCGTATGGAAGCACGCTTGCCAGTCTTCCCGCGTATTCTTCATTGCGAAGCAGGAAACATTGGGTACGACAACGTCGATCTGACCACTTTCTTTGGCACAGGATTCTACCCATGCGTTAAGATCATCTAGTTTGGAGACATCGACGACGGATCCGTGGGCTTTGGCGGAGGGGAAGTCGGAGGCGAGTTTGGTGTTGGCAGCTGTGATGTCCTTTTCCGTTCGGGAGCAGAAGTGGACCGTTGCGCCTTCTAGTAAGAAGCCGGCGACTATTGCGCGGCCGATGCCTTTTGTGCCGCCTGTTGAGGAGGTCAGTAGAGTTGTTGAAGTAGTTCAGTTGGGTTGATAGACAAACCAGTCACGAGGACAACTTTCTTTTCGAGACCTAGATGCATTGTTGATAATGCCGTAGTAATTTTGGACTTCTTTGGTTTGATGAGCACGTATAAATTGCGTAAATTGAAAGGTAGAGGATTATGCACGACTTTTCGACACACTATATCGCTGTTATACCCTCGGTCTTACCATGATTTGCATACCTTCCTCTTTGGGAAAAGTGGACCATTACGTCACGCCAGGAGATTGACAATAGAGCCCGCAAAACTACTGGTGTAGTTCGAAAGCATTGTGACACTACTTGTCGCAGGTGTAAAGATGTCATATAGTATAGGTAAACCTGTGATATATACGACAACCGGATATGCGATTGAAATAAGGAGCGGACGGAGCGTGAACGGGCGGAAGACTTGTCACTCCCGCCTCCTTTTCTTTGGACATACATCAAGGAGATAGTAACACAATCCGCCCTTTAAGCATTCGTCACAGAGTCGACACATGATAGGATTGGTATGTGAAATGGTTGCATATCATAGCTACCCGATAGGCAGCAGATCAGCCGCATCGAACGCCGCCATCCGAGAGACACCCGACCCGGTGCGAGCACCTATCCTAAATGTGCCCAAGCCTTGCTCATAGGCGGCAGAAACGTAGGGCTAGCGGAAGGAACGATACGACGCTGTAGAGCAGAGCGTTACAATCAGCCGCCTTCAAGCCCATCCATCCTCGTCAACCTCAACCTCAGCCTTGACTGCTCCATCTTCACTGGCACCGCCCTCCTTCTTGCCCTTCTTGCCATTGGTCTTGGAGTTTGCAGACTTGGGAGCTGGAGTGCTCTCCTCATCATCGTCAGCGTCAGCATCGCCCGAGCCCTTGCCCTTGGTCGGCGTCTTCTTGGTGCTCCTAGCCTTCTTCGCAGACGATGGTGGCGGAGTGCTCACCTCCCCAGCTCCAACGTCATCTTCAGATATCATCAGCATCATCATGAAGGTCCTACTGCGGGGATATCATACCATTGGCGCGCTTCTTCGAACCAAGTTTCGCCACTCCCCCACCAGCCACGACGAGCTTGTCGCGGATCGGGTACCACTTGTTACGGGCCTTCTTCTTGTCGGTGTAGCCGGCCTTCTGGGCGACGATATCCCAATTGATCTTATGCGTCGTCAATGCTGGCTACATAGAGCCTAAATTAAGCCTCCCACTTACCTCGCTCATCTCCTCGATGATAACACCAGCGAGTCTGGCTTCCGCTTGCGTGAGATGGATGTCTGCCATTGTCTTGAGGAGGTCGTGGTAGCAGGTAGATGTAGTATTCGAAGCTTGGATGCAGGATGGATTGGATGTTTGCTTGCTAGAAAGTCAAGATGTGTTTGCAAGGAGGTCGAGGTGGATGCAGGAGACTTGCGAGGTATAAGGAGTCGACTCTAGGCAGCAAAGCCAACAGTGGGGCTGGGGGAAGGTGAAGTGACGTCGAATCGAAGCAGTGAGCAGACTTTGGGCGTGCCTGCCATACAAATCTTGCTCACTTGTTCAGTATGCGGTCTTTGCGGACTTCTGCAACCCTCATCAATCGTGATCGGCGCTGGAGTAGTACAAGCCAGTCGCACACACAGCGCCTAGGAACAAAGCAACGAAGAGATTTGTTTAGCTGACGTTGTCTAGGACGGAGAGGTCCGCAGGGGGTATATCGCATTATGTGACTGCTCTAAATCATGTACCTGGTCATCCGACTACAGCAAGCTCCGCAATACAACTATAGAACCATAAACTGACCTGTCTGCTACCTCGCTCAGTAAGTCCACCCTGTACTCCTACAAGTTCAGCTTTTTCGTCGTCTCAGACTTGCGGTGCTCCTGGTTGTACGCCGTGACGCTTGCAGACCTGACAGCATCGGACTGCACATTGTCAAACCGGTAGAGCGGCTCAAGAGTGGCGTTCTTGTTCATGGCGATGTATCGCTTGAAGAAGAAAGGAGCTGACTTGGTCATGTGGTACTTCATGTGCTTCCCAGTCGGCACCGCAAAGACGTAGTCGAGCTCCTCCAGGGTGCGTTGTTTGGTCTCGGGGACCCACTGCATGGTATGTCAGTGAAACTGTTGATCTTGAGGGAGTGTTCAGACTCACGAAGAAAATCATCGTGAAGGCGATCAAGTTCAGAGCACAATAGAAGCCAAAAGCCCCAGTCGGCGTCATGGCAGCAACCATGCGTGGCCAAGTGATGGACAGCACAGAGGCCCAGAATAGGCAGGTGGCCACAGCCCAAGCCATGCCAACCTCACGATGGGAGAGAGGGAACACCTCGGCGCTGTAAGTAAAGGGGACTGGGCCTTCTCCGGGCGAGTAGAAAGCAGCGAACATGTAGATGAACAGCGCCACACAGGCCAGATGTGCACTACTGTCCTTGGGAATCAAGAAGCACAGACCGGCGGCGAGCAACGTCCAGGCCATGTTTGGGAAGGTGAAGAGTAGCAGGGCTCGTCGACCAAAGGTATCGATGGTCCATACGGCTGGGAAGGCAAATACGAAGTTGACCAGACCAAATCCGAAGGAAGCTAGCAGTGAGTGCAGGACAGTGGCGCCGGCTTGCTGGAAGACAGAAGAAGAGTAGAAGGCGATGATGTTAATACTGTGGGTCCAGTCAGCTTGAACAATACTTTGCCACTGATCAATGCCATGTTCCACACGTACCCACACATCTGCTGCGCGATCATGACCGTGAAAGAAGCTAGGGTGGCACGTCGAACACGAGGGATTGTGAAGAGTTCGAGGATGCGCTGGGCGTAATTCGTCTGACCAATGATCTTGTGCTCGATCAACAGCTGAGCGTGGACATAGTAGAGGTCCCGAGCAGCTTGGATCGGATGGTTGCGTAGTCTCAACAGCGACTTGTAGGCTTGTGAGTAGCGGCCTTTCTTCATAAGCCAACCTGGATAGCAGCGTCAGTCTCATTGCATGCTGAAACTATCAGTATGACCTACGAGGAGATTCAGGGCAGAAGTAGATGCCGATCACCAGTGGGACTGCAGGAATGAATGCAGATCCGAGCTGCAAACGCCACGATATAGCTCCGGTGTTGTAGACAGCCAAATTCGCACAAGTCCTGCAAAGAGTGTTAGACTGCGCCAGACATGTCGCACACATGCCTTCACACTACCGCAGCTTACCCGAGGAAGATACCGAAAGCAGTCCACATCTGCCAAGACATGACGAGACCACCTCTAATGAGAGCAGGTACGTTCTCGGCGGCATAGATCGGGACCGTGGAGGCTTTGGAGCCCATACCAATACCGAGCAGTAATCGACAGATGAATAGCTCCCACCAGTTCTGAGTACAAGCGGAACCAATGACAGATAAAAGGCAGAAAATCGCCGAGAAGAAAATCGTTCCACGGCGGCCAAAGTAGTTATTCAGAGGATCAGAAAGCCAGCAGCCGATAAAGGCAGAGGCGATGTAGGGCGCCGCGTTGATCAGACCAACGAGCCAGAGGTCACGGGTGTAGTTTGGACTGGTCTGTGAACATATCAGCATTCGGCTAAGCAAGGCCAAAGTCACAAGTGCCCATCTCACCGGATCCGTGTCGCCAATGCCAAATGCCACAGGGAAAGATAGATTGGCGCCGTTGGAACCAGTCTGGTCCCACCCCTGAACTGCAGCTCCCACAGAGCACAAGATGACTGTCGTGTAGAGAGCTCGTGGTTGTCGCCACTTGTGTACTACTTCATCGCGGAGGACATCGCGCTCCGTGTCGTCCAGACCCTCCACGTTCTCAAAATCCGCCGGGTTCTGCGCAACCAAGGCGCCTTTCTTGAGCAGAGGTGTGATATCTGATAGGTCGTACATGGCAGCGAACTCCTCGACATCGCGAAGGAGGACATCCTGGCGGATACCAGCAAGGGGATTCTTGATTCTGGTTGCATATGACGGTTAGCCTATGTTGTGGTGGCTCCTTGCCATTGGATCTGGTATACCTCGCCGAAATATTATTGCTGAAATCTACGGTATCATTGTCGTTTGCTTCGTCAGCCATGTGCTCATGCTTGAAATCACCCTTCTCCGCCATGATTGCAAGTTTGTGGAGTCAATTGGTCGGGAAGCTCTGCAAGAATATAGGTTGGGCAGTTGTCAACAGCAACGAGGAATGTAGAAAGCACCCTCTATCTATACTTGTACCATTCCCCGCAGAGAGGTAAGACTCTTCTCAAACAACGCCTTGCGTGCGACCATGCAACGACACCTAATGCAAGTGCCCCGACTTCACGTCAGAGATTCTGCGCGCTAGGCCCACTGAGCTGCAAAATATGCATGCGGTATGCATGTACCCACGGGGGCTCCACACTCTATCTTCTTAGATCCACTACCGCGGGGAGATTTTGTGTGCGGCAACGAATCGAGGCTTGGTCTGAAGAAACTCTACAAAGCGCTTGATAGTAGCCTGGGCGTATGCTTCGATCTTGCCAACCCGTGGAGCGGCATCCCCGAGAAGTCTGCTGCAGCCTATGCTTGCCGTGGACATTGTCAGTAGTCTGGTGAACATGAGTATGCCATCGATGCTCTGCTTATCCTGTCCGCGAGCATCGTATGGATTGATGTGACAGGAAGACTTCACCTTGCATCGACCCGGATCGTTGTTGACGTTATCTTGAACGGCGATGCCGTCGGGTCACCTTGTCACGCGGCATGGGGTGCAGGGCTGTCTGACGCGAATGCAGATGATCCAGTAGCGTCGGCTGATGCCATGATGTGGCTGGACTCGAAAGACTGTGCTCCAGCTCCTTCCTGTTTCCGTCGATCGGCTGTCGATAGAATCACTTTGGGGAGAGGTGACATTCTCTTTCATCTGCCCAAGCCGCTTTGAATTACGCCTGGTAGATCGCTATATACTGTCGCACGGAAGCTGACGACTTCAGCATGGAAGCCTGCAGCGGGAGTGGTCTTGTTAAGCTTTACGACTCACGCCATCTCTGTCCTTGTGAGAATCCTCATCAATACCAAGGACCACTATGGACTTCGTCTACACATTATCCCACCAAGCATTGATCACGCAGTCACTCCAGATGGGTAGAGAAATGGGTATGGTGAGGTTGCTGGCGCACTTGACAAGTAAATGCTACAGTGCTATCTAGTTTGAGAATGAATGCGATCTCTCTCTCATCCACAGTCTTAATCTCAACCTGCCGATAACGACTCGAGGCAGTCGACGACTTCCTCCAATCCAATCAATGCAACCTCCTTGTCGAAGCCTTTTCTGACTCGCTCTACCACCGATATTGTCATCCACCGTCTTATACGATCTGCCCCGTCGCTATTTGCCACGACTCTATCTTCTCCGATACGCTGTTCTTGTTCGTACTGCTGACATCCACCAGGAGTTTCGCCGCCTGCTTCAAATCTTCGAGATACTGCGGATCCGTCTCGCCTGGTCTGAGTTTCTGCTCTTGCCACCGCCTAGCACATCGGACTACAGACTCTGGCCATTCGATAGGCTCCATACCACTGATGCATTCCGAATTGAAGTTGACCCATTCCAAAAAGCGTTCGTGGTGAGTCTCCCATCGCTCAGGCTGCATGGTGCTAGCCAACGCATCTCTCATCTCAATCTCGGCAAGTGCAGTCTTCACAGCCTCCTGTAGATGATCTCTCATCCGGCGCAGCTGGCTAGCAGCCTGCTCATCTGGGAAGATGACGGCGATACGCTGGGCCTTCGCAAGTAGCCTCTCTAGCTCGGAAGGCGTCTGAAAATCCCGATGACAGTCTGAGTTTCGCAGATCTGTGCCCAAGAGCATGGTGTGCCTGAGCTCGGGGCAGGGATCGATGCAGGTCCGATATGGACCGGTCTGCTGGTTCGGAAGCTGGATGTCCATGATCTCGTCGTAGCCAAGCCGAAGCTCACCATGCCACTCCGGGAAGTTGATGAGTGCCACCTCTGGACAATGAGCTTGAACATGCTTGTCGCAAACTTGCTTCACCAGATCGTGTGCGCTTGTCTCGATCTCCATCAGCTGCTTCTGAGGGATGTAAAGCTTGGAGTGTACTGTGGTGTAGAAATCGGCATCGAAGAGTCGAGTCCTCTCGGCAAAGGAACCAGGTCTGACGATCTTCTGCTCTAGCTCAGCATAAGCGGCAGCGATCCCGTCACAACGTGTGCAGACGACCTTGCGCTGGGGCCCAAGATTGCAGCGAGCTCCGGAAGTCGATTCGCTGGCGTATAGCGCTTCAGCACATTCATATTGGCATTCTGTTGCCGAGATCGACCCTGCAGACGAACAACATGTGTCGTCTGTTGGAGCCACGGACGAGTCGTCTTGCCAGTCTCCAACGACAGATGATCCATCGACGGACCAATCGTCGTCTAACTCCGTTGTCGAGGCCGTCGACAATGCAACGACATCAGCGCTGGTGCTTCCGGAGTCACAGGGACGAATTCTTTCGTTTAATTCGGCTTCAGTCAAGGCCAGACGGTACTTCAACTCCGCGATCTCTTCGTGGAGGATCCCCTTCTCTTGCTCCCGAGTCGTCCTCTCGCGCACAAGATTTCTGTTCTTGCGTCTTGTCGCACCACCATTGCGACGGACCTTGTGGAAAGACGTCACCATGACGGCTGTTGGCTGCTAGTCTGAATGTGGATGGAGTAGTATTGTTATCAGGTGATGAGGTTCAGTCTCCAATTTGAGCGTATACAGGACTGAAAAGCAGACGGCAGACATTGTACTCATAAACCCACCATGGTGTTCCAAGCTAGGAAACTTAGGGGAACCTGAGGACAACAGGGACGAAATTTTCAACAGCTTCATAATCGCATCCGGATATGTTGAGTCTGACTTGAGGACGACATAATCCTATCAGGCACGGTAGGAAGCAGACGAACCACTTGAGCCCCAGCATAGGTCAGCGACAAGCTTACCAGCTTCAGTAGCGCGTCCCACCAATACGAGGACGACACCCGGCCAACAGGGAAGCACGCCATGGCAAGCCGAGAAAGTTCAAAGGTGCCATCTGGGAGCCGTCTCTCGGACGCCAGCAGCACGTAGATGGAAGAGCCGGCATCCCGACACGAGAGCAGTTGTCCACGTACTTTTCGACCAACACGCCAGCTCCCTTCCGGTCCCCATGAGCACGACGAGATGCCCATCATTCTCAAACCCCACCATCCGTCGCGCCTCGCGACCGCCAACGAGAGCCGGGATGCACTACCCGCTGACATGCCAGCTGCAACCTCAAACGAAGGGGACAGAAACATGGGTGCACTCGAGAGCGAGCGACTTCCGGGCACCCAACACGCCATACTGCTAGAAGCTGTTTCAGCAAGCCGTTGTCCAGTCGGCCGGACACCTTTTGTATCATCACGTTTTGCACGGTAGGCGTGGCAGAAGAATGCAGAAGTGCAGGACGATAGCCGAATCGAACTCCAGTAATGGTAAGAGACCCAAGAAGTGCTAATCCGTACCCGAAGAGGTCACAGGCTAGTTCGGATCCCACCCTAGCCCTATCCTGCCATGGACAATGCGTGCAAAGTTGCCCAGAATAAAGAGTAGACTGGAGGAGAAAAAGTAGGAAGGAAAAGAAGCAGCATGAAATCATCCTGCTCTCTTCTACCCTGCCTGGAGCGATCAGAATGCCATATCTTCCGCACCATTACAAAAAGCAAACCCTAAACCCCCCCCCCCCAAAAAAACGCCTTCGCTAGCGAAATCCCCCCCATGCCCTTCCCGGCCCTCACATGAATGCCATGTTCTGTATATCCCTCTACACCCTTCCCCGAAATCCCGCGAGTGTCCTGCTCATGAACGCCTTTATACGCCACCGGAAAATGCATTTCGAAAGGGGTGGAGCCCGAAAGGAAGGGCTTGGCCCATCGTGATCTCGTCTTGAGAAGAACGAAATTCACGACTTCGCTTCTCTGACCCCATGTCTTAAGCTGATGAGCGAAGGTTGCCATGCTATGCCGCATAGTGGTTTGGTGTCCATTATGTGTTTGGCGGGATTGGGAGTCCAGTCCCGTAGGTTGATGTTTGTTATGCTAGTAATTGGTGCTCTCTTCATCTTTGTACTTTAGAGTACGTGATGATATGTGCTCACTGCTTCCGCAAGCCGAACCTTGCGTGGTAGCAATTCTCCGTGCGCTGCGATGCGATGCGGTGCAGACGATGCTAGCGATATCGTCCGAGGGCGCTATCTCCGCAACCTCTTATTGGCCAGAGCGTCCAGTGAATGTTTTCTGCCCTCCTCCTGTCCGAACGATGACCTACACATTCGCTCCGGAGCCTGTGCCTACCCACAACACTCCCGACCAGTTCGTCACCAGCGTTTGCTGGTCTCTGAGCAGGATCTGCAGCATCAACGGTACTAGCTCAATGCAGACCGCTCCCTCAAGCTCACCATCGCCCACCTGGCAAGAGAAAAGCATGCTCACAAGATAACACACCGACAACCCGCACCCCCCTCCCCACCATCCCTCATCCTGATCGACGAACCCTTCCCCGCATGCTTCCCGCCCGCCTCATCATCCTGATCGAACTCCGCGGGTTTGATAGTCATATGCACGACATTTGATCGATCGAGCGCGAAAGAATAATCTAAAACACCAATCGTATTAGCCACTCCAATGTCCAACCCACCTCATCAATCAGCTGGCTCAAGCAGCTGGCTCAATCAAACTTACCAGCAAGAACCTTCTTATCCTCCACCATCTTTCCCATCGTAATCAAGCGAATAGAACTCGGACTCGCCGGCCTAGCCTCCCACTCCCTCCGCCAATCCTGCCATATCAACTCCTTCAATTTGTATCCAGTCAACTGCTTGGGGTCAAAATCCCCGGCTGTATTCTTCGCCACGGCATTGCGGGAGGTCAAGTACTTCTCGGAGATGTTGTAGGGGTGTTTGGCGCCGGTGGTGAGCATGAGGTTGATTTGGAGGGTGTGGTTGGCGGCGGGGGTGTCGGGGAGGGGTGGGGGTGCGGCGATGTCGTCGTCTAGAGCTGGGCCGAGGGCCTCGGTTTGGGCGCGGGTGAGGGGTGGGTGGTCGGGAAGTGTTGTTAGGGCGGCCATGGGGTCTGCCGGTGACGTTGATGTCGTGGCGGTGGGTTGGAACGGTTGTGTGGTCTGATTGGATTCCGCTCCTTCCGGATCTGATGGGTGCGCTCCTGCTGTCGCTTGGTCGGTGACGTCCATCTCTATTGGTGGTGTGGGATGTGTATGTGAGGTGGCGACGTCTTCTCTTACACTACTCGCCGCATTGGAAGGCATTGTGGAAGCCATTGCAAGTGTCGTTGCTTTATCGCGCACCACGTGCTCCTCCTCCCGTCTTGTCGTCCTTCACTCGGGCTGCTTTTCTGCACACTTCGTGTATCGTGATGGCAATGTCCCTGCTTGTACCACAGTCTATCGTCCACCTGATCAATGATAGACCACTAAGTCCCACTCTCGTCCAACACTGCTGCTTCTTCTGTGCAATCGTAGCGCGAGATTAGACTGTTTCAGCCCAGCCGCGTGGCACTCGTGAACACTACTATTCCCTTTCGTCCTACCAGTATAAGTCGTAAACAGTATGAAGGATAGAAAGTCGAGTATGAAGTAAGAATGATATGTCAGTCAGTCAGCTTGGCGAACATGTGCTTGGGACGTGGGAAATGGGCACATGGGCTGTGCAGTGGAGAGCACGGTACTGTCGGAAGCGACGATCTGGGACAGGTCTCTGAAGGTGTGGCTTGGCCGCTTGGGAATCATGGCTGCTGCTGCGAGCCCCCCGAGCTTCCGAGTCCGCCGAGGAGTGGCGGTCTCATCCCGTCTCATCCCGTCTCGAACTCGATGGACGGCGATGGACGGCGAGGCGGCTTGTTCTTTTTGTGAACAACGCCGAATGGAGTAGCGTTTTATGCAGCACGATAATCATTGCGCTTGATGGTCGTCATCGTGTTTAGCATCCTCAGCTTCTTCTTCGATAGAGAGTCTAAGAGAGATGGTAAGGCGACGCATGGCTTCTCGACGAGCAACGGGCTACATAGAAGCTGCATGTCTCAGCAATCCCGCAGGTCCATGTAACCATGTCCAACTTCATGGTGCAACCACTGCCACAATATTTATGCGATTCCAGCAGCACCGCCCCGACAATAATAATAATACCACCGATGAGTACTAGTAGTATGCCTGACGATTCGTCACTCGAGCTGCACAACTGCCTCATTTGGTGGAGTAGTGCAATGCTCTTTCCGCCCCCACGCTCCGTCGCGTTCCACCCCGCGCCATCCTCCACATTCACACTATCGATAAGCTTTCGCGTCACAACTTTTTTGCGACGGAGGACATTGAAGTGAATAGTGAATGCCATCTCACACAAACAAAGCATAGCATACCATACATGTGACCATGGCCGCCCCTAGCAATGACCAGCCCAATGGCATCACCATCGCTGACCCTCTCCCCCCTCACTCCCTCTTCGACACCATCCTCGTCCTCGACTTCGGCAGCCAATACACCCACCTCATCACCCGTCGATTGCGCGAACTAAACATCTACTCGGAAATGCTCCCCTGCACACAAAAGCTTACCGATCTCGACTTCAAACCAAAAGGTATCATCCTCTCCGGCGGCCCATACTCGGTCTACGCCTCCGACGCACCACACGTCGACCCCAATGTCTTCGAGCTTGGAGTGCCCGTGTTAGGAATATGTTATGGCCTACAAGAAATCGCCTGGCATCACGGAAAAGACGTCGTGGCGGGGGAGAAGCGCGAATACGGACACGCCGAACTCAACATCCATGCCAATGGTTCAGAAGTCAGCAGATTGTTCCAGGGTCTACCCAACAACACCGACGTCTGGATGTCGCATGGAGATAAACTGGGTCGCATGCCGGAGGATTTCCAAACCATAGCTACGAGTCCCAATTCCCCCCACGCCGGGATCGCGCATGAAAAAAAGCAGATTTACGGGATACAATTCCATCCCGAAGTCACACATACACCGCGTGGCGTCGAAGTGATTAAGAACTTTGCGGCGGGGATCTGTGGTGCGAAACAAGATTGGACGATGGAAGCGTTTAAAGATAAAGAGGTAGCGCGAATACGAAAACTGGTCGGAGAGAAGGCACAAGTGATTGGAGCTGTAAGTGGTGGTGTGGACTCGACAGTAGCGGCGAAATTAATGCAAGAGGCTGTTGGTGCGAGGTTCCACGCTGTCATGGTCGACAATGGAGTCTTACGAAAGAACGAAGCAAAGCAAGTCAAGGAGACTCTAACACGAGGTCTGGGCGTGAACCTTACAGTCGTGGACGCAAGTGACCGGTTCTTGGACCGACTACAAGGCGTCGCGGACCCAGAGAAGAAGCGCATAATCATCGGAAACACCTTCATCGAGATTTTCGAGGAGGAAGCGAAGCGCATCGCAAAAGAAGCCGAATCTACACCGCATGCTGGACCCGTCGAGTGGTTCTTACAAGGGACATTATACCCCGATGTCATCGAATCAATCTCCTTCCGCGGCCCCTCCCAGACGATAAAAACCCACCACAACGTCGGCGGCCTCCCGGAGAAAATGAAACTCAAACTCATCGAACCCCTGCGCGAACTCTTCAAGGATGAAGTGCGAGCCATGGGAAGGGAAATGGGTATCCCCCCCGACCTCGTCGGCCGCCACCCTTTCCCCGGCCCTGGTCTCGCCATCCGTATCCTGGGCGACGTGACCAGGGAGAAAGTGCGTGTAGTGCAGGAAGCGGATCTGATCTTCATCGAGGAGATCCGGAAGGCGGGGGTGTATGATGAGATTTCGCAGGCTTTCGCGGCGTTGAGTGGGGATCGGGCGGTCGGGGTTGTGGGGGATCAGAGGTTACATGGGTATTTGGTCTTTTTGCGGGCGGTCAGGACGACGGATTTCATGACTGCGACGGCTTATGAGTTCCCGGCTGGGGTGCTGGCGAGGATTGTTAATCGGATTGGGAATGAGGTTGAGGGGGTGGCGAGGGTGTTGTATGAAGGTCAGTCTTTTATCGTTCTTCTCCTGCTCATCGTGGGCTGTGTATGGCGAGTTCGGATGGAGTCGTGCTAATATCTCGTTCTCATAGTGACCAGCAAGCCGCCTTCGACCATCGAGTTCGAGTAAAGAGGATCCGAGACCCACTACGGCACTCACGCTGTAGAGCTACTGCGCGATGTTACCTGGGGTACTCCACTGCAGTGACATATAGACTCTTGCTTCTTCTTCTACGATACCCATGCACAGCACGTCCACAACACGTATACCCCTACCGCAGACCCACAAGGCACACTCGCCAACACTTCATCTCGACTCCCAACTCATGACCTCAGCACACCATGACGTCTTCCCCTACCCAGATGCTGGACGAACAAAGGATGTCTGACAAGCATGACCTTTGTCCATTGCGCGGCTCTCATACAAGTGAGCATTGACGAAGATGGGGTAGGTGGTCTTCTCTGCTCTTTGTGCTCGGGTGGCACAATGGAAGAAAGAAAGGAATTGGGGCTCGTGCTGGGGAAGAGAGGTAGGATGGCTAGGATTATGCCCTCGAGGATCGAATCTGGGTAGAAACTGTATAGATCGGTATCCGATCGACATCATCCACCAGTACTACTCCTTTCATTGAACTCGGCCCCGGCCTGAGATGTACTCGGTTTCTATGTAGGGGCTGGACTCCCCTTATTGTGACGACCGTACTACGTCTCCGCAAAGGTGAGTGGAATCGAGTGGGATGGCGGGTCAGAAGCGCGGCTGGACCGCTGACGGACGTGAGGATAGGGAGGTTGTTGACCTCATTACTAGCTGCAAAGACAAGGGAAGTTGCGGTGGAGTGATTGAGAATGTTTCCCAGGAGCCGAAGAGGAAGGAGGTAAGGGTTGCGAGACTGTCCACTGCGGGGGAGTGCGCTGGTATTACTGTAGAGGGACTGCTGGCCTCTGTGTCTACGGAGAAGGGGGCTACGAAAGGTAAGGGTGAGGCCGGGGTGGGGAATTGTGACTTGGACGACCCCGGCGCTATTATCCCTCTCACCCTCCCCACTAAGAGGAAAGCTGTCCCCGATATCTGGAAGTCCCGTTTCATGGCTCCAGAGACTCTTCCGGCATCGTGCTATGAGCCTGCTGACTTGACGGGGCCCGTACATCCGCTCTTCGCTTATAAGATGTTCTCGAGTCTGATGACGAGGAAGGAGTACGAGGATATTATGCTGATGCCTGCGAGATTAGCAACGAGGTTGGTGAGATGGAAAGGACTGCAGCACATGTTTTGGACGATGATGTGTCACGGGCCATTAGTTAGGTTGAGGGAGGAGGATGTCCTGCCCAAGTCCACAAACATCAGCGAAGATGAAGATAAGAAAGAGTGCGTGGGTTGAGACGATCAAGGTTCCTGGATGTACGCCGATGCTGACTGCGATCGGGAAAGAGTATTAACAGAAGCAGAAGAAGCCGAAATAGCTTTCCATCTCATGAAGCTGGCGCCCATGATCCGGTGGAAGGTAGGAGGTGGGCGCTATCCCCTTCGCACAAGGCGCCATGACCCTCTTCGCCAACGAAGATGGCTGTGACGATGTCTTCGCTCACACATCCAGGGCTCGAGACGAGAGCAAGATCTTGGCAAGAGGGGAGAAGAGCACCATCACCATCGCCTCCGCCACCTTCGGACGACTGAAGAGGGCTACGCAAGCGCGACCAGTGGATGTACCGGAGTCATTGCAAGTGAGGTTCGACTTCGCGGTCCTACTCGTCCACGAAATCTGCCACGCCTTCCTCAACGCCCTAGAAGGGAAATCGGGCTATGAGCCTTTCTTCGGCTCGAAAGCGGCGATTGCAGAGATTGGGTTCGAGGCGGAGGTGAGGTTATTTGGGGGACATGTTGCGCTGCTGTTTACTGATCCTGAGGTTAAATTGTTTAGGCAGAGGTCCGAAGCGGGTGAGCATGGAGGTGGATGTGAAGGAGGGGAGGAGGTGAGTAAGCTCGAGGGTATCCCCGTGTGCTGGCACTGGCCGTACGAGAAGATCGTTCTCGATTATCGAGCTCAGGGCGATTTCATGAGTGTGAGAGCTAAGTCGTTACCGCAGCTGGATTTGGCGTGGAGGGTGCCGTTGGGGTGGTTTGGGAAGACGTTTAGGCAGGGATTCTGGGATGAGCTTGAGGGACGTGGTGAGAATGTTGATAAGCAAGGTCTGTTTCCAAGGAAGGAGGTGGGGCATTTCTTGAAGGAAGGTAAGAATGGCGATATGGGTGGGCGGAAGCCTAAGATCGCGATGGTTTCGAAGGGGTATAAGATTGCTGGGGATAGGAGTATTGTCAGAAAAGGTGGAAAGTCGTAGATTTTTTATTTATCTAGGCGTGATCGCATCACAACAGACAGAGTCTCTCGGTTGAAGACCTGGTAGTATGAGTTCTGCAAGTGATTGCGTTTGTTATCCTCGTATATGCTATACAAAACTCGAAGCGAAGCGGCGACCATGGTTACACTACCTGCGCTCAAGCTTGCCTCCCCTTCGCCAAAACCCACCCAAGAAGTGATCCAGTCATAAGCCATCATAATCCATCGTGTTTCCACCGCATCGAGTGCCGAACATTTTCGCGTGTGTTATCCACCTAACCTATCCTAGTGTACATTGCGTCTCCGCCTTGACCCATCCAGTCAACCTGTTAGCGATATCGCTAGAATAGCAGTGAGTTGCAATTCCATCATCCAGATTCCCAGACGTGGCAACCGAGCCCGAGTTGTAGATGCGAGCAGCCTTGTAGTACTTGCTCACATCGCTCGCGCCACAGTTAGCAATCCCCTGCTTCAACCCATCACCGCTTGAAGTGCCCGTGCTACCGTCCGTAATCATCTGCGTAATCTCGTTGGCTGGGCACGGGTTCTGCACAGTACCGGCATTATTGCACGTTCCTGCTCCGTCATGAGATTGCATGAGGCCAGGGTTCGTGACGCCGTAGTTCGTCGTGGGCGCACGAACGCAGCCCTTGGATTCTTGCATGACGATGGCAAGGATGAATCGCTCGTCGATTCCTGAAGAGGAGGCAACGGCTTGGATGGCGGATTTGAGGTCGTCGCTTTCGGTTTGGTCGTTGTTGGTTTGGCTAAATTGGGTGCAGGAGATGCTGATCAAGGCCATGTTGGCGGACCACATGCTCTCGAAGTCGACCCAGGAGTCTTGGGATGGCCAGCCGGCGCCTGTGGTGCCATCGCCGGAGTAGAGTTTGTAGGAGTCGCTGCCTGAAGAGCTACCGCCTGAGCTGGCAGAGGAGGTTGCGGCTGGGGCAAAGGAGGTGGAAGATGGGGGTGCGCTGTAGGATGTTGGTGCTGGAGCAACGGATGTTGATGGCGCGCTGTACGAGGATGGTGCAGCTGCGCTGGAAGACGATGGTACCGGGGCGCTGTATGAGGAAGGTGCAGCGGCAACTGACACGGATGAGGAAGCTGGAACACTATTCGACGACGGCGCTGGTGCGTATGAGGTCTGAAGTGTTGTGAGAGACGCAGCCGAAGAGCTCAAGATTGCTGTGGAGGTCTCAGCAGGGACACTAGTAAATATGGTTAGCCAACGATCTACCAGCATTATTGCGAGATGTGCTTTTCCAGATTGTGAGGGGAGCGTGTGCGAATTGTTTTCTTGTTCAGTGTGTATAATGTGTTGCGATCGCCTTGGGTATCGGAAGAGCAGACAGCGCTGGGCGGGAGTGATGGTAGCAGTGACACCATATCAACCAAGCCAACCGTACACCGCCATTGGAGTCCGTTGTTGCCCGTCCACATCGCCATAACAAGCCGCCGTTGCAGGTCACAGGGTAACGGCAACGTCTGCAAAGTGCAATCTCGGTACTGCGAGACATCTGTCTCAGAATGTGAAGAACTTACCTAGTAGTAGAGACCGCAGCCACAGACGACGAAGTCTCAGAAGGGTAGGCAGAGATCGACCGATGCGGCGGCCCAGTCCAAGCCGGATGGCTGTAAGCTTTGGTAGCTGCTGCGCCAAAAGAGACAGTGGATTGAATAGTGACAGTCGTGTCGACGATAACACTTGGCCCACCAGCAGAAATCGTCGTCTCGTTCCCGACACCAGATCCCGTGACAGTAGATACAGCTGTAGCGACCGAAGGTGCAGAAGTAGTGGAAGCGTTGCTGTTACACGTCCCGAAGGCGGATTGACAGCCAGCGTCGCAGTACTCCTTGCTTGCACCGCAGTAGCCCCACTGGGAGCAGCAGTAGCCTGGTCCGCAAGTGAAGCCTAGATCGCCGCCGCATTCGCCGTCATTGCTCTGGGCTGGGGTGCGGGCGTGGAGGTGGCGGAGCATGTGGGCGTGGTTGTGGGAGCCGGCGTGTGGGATTGCGGCAGTCAAGGTAGCGGCGAGGGCCAGGGCCAGGATGGTGGTGGAGGAATGCATCTTGGATTGATTTGGTGCTTGCTTTGAAATTGAGCGTTGTGGTGTAGAGTGTGGTAGACAGGTCCTGCTGTCTCGTCGTTGGTAGTAAAGACTGACTGTGCGTATCGACTAGCGATAGTTTTACGAAAGAATGGACGTTCGAAAACGGAGGACAACAACGAGCTCAACTGCGTTTGATGGTAGGGAAGAAAGGGAGAGTCAGGAGCGCAATGGTGGAAGACCTCACCTTTTAGACCAGATCTGTGACCCGCGAACGCCGCTCCCACGGAGCGAGGTTCACGACGCACCCATGTCCTGTTCCTGCATCACGCAGCCAGTCAGGGATAGCTGTTGCATCGCTCCTCCTGCACCCACCCGCATCGCACCAAAACCATCGGCGGTCTAGCTGAGCAGGCCTATAACGCAGATCTACCTTCACATCCATAGCCGGCCGCAATGCCCGGGCGCCTGTTGCCAAGAGAGTCGACCGAGAGCCCATGTATGGCATAGCAGAGACGGGCCTAGTGGAGGCCATCTCGACCTCGTCCTCGCCTCCTGATTCGCACGACGAGACCTGCGACAAGCTAAGATGGACGTTCCGTGCATGGGGATCCAGATTCGTGCATCTACGCCGCCCTGGCTGAATTCCTGGTGAAGTCTGCTCGGCCAATGAGAATTCGCGTACACAGATGCGGAGGCGATTGTTCCTGCAGCTGGATGTCGCGCGAAAAAAAGCTTAGCGCTTTTATTCGCACTTGCGCTGGTGGCGTTGCGGGTTCCACGTTTCACAATTGTGAGCAGGGGATGAGAGGCGCACAGTGCGATGTTCGTTGTTCGTTAAGCCGGACTTCTACCTATACAGAGGAAAGTGCTTGTCTATGGTATGTTTCTGAAGGCGAATGGACTACTGGCATCACGTGTGATAGGACAATCGTTCCTCTCCCAGAGAACGGCACGGATCCCACAATAATAGGGGACTAGATACAAACTCAATGCATGTCAAAGCGTCATATCCACTCCTGCACCAGGACGGGAAGGAAGATAGTGACAGCTCTGGTTGCATCCCAAAGGCAAAACTGCCAGACTTCACCAATGCTACGCCTGGCACGTGTCTCGGTCAACGGGCCTCCAGCTAATGTCAATGAGGCGCTCCACTAACATGCATAATCGAACAAGCATAACGCACTACCTCTCCTGCACTCACACCAACCACATCAATACCAGATACTCCTAGTCCGGTGATGCCGCATCCCTAAGCCACCAATCCCACTTCCAACACCATCACCCTCTCTTTCCCTCTCCTTAGCCAGATCATACAGGAAGAAATCAATCATGACAGCATTGACCTCCGTCTCGGAATGCATCCTCACAATCTCCCGCCGTATGAGCTCAACAGCCCAGATACTGCAGCCCCGGAGTTGCACCTCCCAACTATGACCCGAGGGTATCTCGACCCGGTCGCGGATCCGATAATGTAGGGAGGGACTGTAGGTCAGAACGCCGAGGGAATTGAGCATTTGGGGAATGCGGTAGTCTGGGAAGTATCAGCCATGCCACCTTTATATTTTCATCGCGTATCTGCTTCTCATTCGTCATGTTTCATACCCCTCCCGAGCAAAATCGCAACAGGGAATTTTCTTTTGCTCTGAACAGTGGTCCAACGTACCAGCAAACATGGTTAAATGTCCAATGTCTCGGAACTCTCCATATCCCGTCCCTTGGAAAGCAGCCCAGAGGTCTGCAACGAAAATTTGTGCGCGTTTGAGGAAACGTATCCGACGGCCGTCGAAGCGCGCTTCGTCCCGGAAACAAGGGAAGTGTTTTGCCAAAAGGTTCACGAGCTTGCCGGCGGAATGATCTGCTTTTTGGATGAGCCAGAGGACTGAGTGATCGGGTGGAAGAGGATGATGTTTTGGTGTATCCGCTGCAGGTATTGCTTTGACCTCGGACTCGAGCTTCGTAGGAGCTGTGGTTTCGTGCTCTTCAGCTTCGATTACTAAGCCATTGGCAGTTGCATTGATTGCGGCAGTGCTGTTCCCCAAAGGACTCGGCTCAGTCCGCTCTGATACATTGTTCCCCATTTCGACGGGCACACCTGTCGCTACGGACTCTAAGGCAGCCTCAGGGCTTGTCAGATCTGGTTCTGCCTGTGTTGCGTTCTCCTCGCCAGTGGTATGTGCGACACCGCGCTCGATCGTTGATCGAGTATCTTCCATCGTCTGATCGGCATGCGCAGCCTCATCAGGGTCCCGGAAACTCTAACAAGTCAGCTTAACGCCTTCACACGTCCAGTAAATAATACTCACCTCATGCAATAACTCGGCGGCTTCCTTCAGCACTGCAATCCGCTGCTGAAGCATAGGCATCCGCTCGTTGGTGGCACTCCTGAAGACTCCCTCGAACACCTGCTCTGTCATCTCCTCACTCCGCCAAAAAGCAGGCGTGGTGATAGGCACGCCGTCCTCCAATGCTCGCCTCAGCGCAGCAACAAGACTCTTGTACCCCGTACACCTCTGACCCTGATACTCAACCTGAAATCTTTCACTCTCATCCTTCTCAGACCAGAAGGAGAAATTCAACAAATCCATGGTAAAGATGAAGTTGACCATATCTACATCCGAGAAGCCCTGGGCTGCACTAGGATGGAAATCATGCTCGCTCCAGACGGCGGTCGAGTAAGAACGTTCCTGCATTAATTTGTGGATTTGGAGAGCGGCGGATTTGGTTCCTAGCATGTCCGGTATCACGTCGATGGAGTTTTTGTAGATGTATTCGGCGTCCTTCAGGACACCTGGAGGGCCATCAGCCCGCCGTACAGCCGATAATGGCAAATATGATGAGAGTAGAGGAGAGATGTGACAGTGACCTACCTGTATCTTCCGAGACTTCATCACTACGAGTCACGCCAATGCCAAGCGACTGGCGAAGAAGAGCTAGAAGCTCTGGATCTGCTTCGTCGTCGCTCATCTTGATCAGCGTACAAAACAGAATGTGTTGAAAAGGCGGAACGTCACTGTTGTTGCCGTCGATACATATATGCATACGATGGTGAGTGGCGGAGCACGCCCGGGGGTGCCGGCAGACCTTCCAGTTTAGCTCGCGCATCGCTCACGCGTCAAGCTGCCTACAGCTTCGTCACTACTCAGCCTGACCAGCACATCACCTTACAATTTCATCACCACCAGCATCAGAACTTGCAGGCGAGTGTCCAGATCAAGCAACAAGCAAAGTTATCAGCAGAGGAACCCACAGAGATGGTAAGAAGATCTCCAACCGCAACAAGACACCACTCTAACCACAACCACAGTCTCTCCGAATCGTGCCCTCAGCACCCCACCCAACCCAAACACAATCCGCACCCGGCGCCCCCTCCGCCCCAGGCGTCCACGACACCCTCCGCTCTAACCTCTCCCTCATACCCGCCACAGCACCGAAAGATACCTCATCACAAACAACAACCCAATCCTTCCACCCGCTCGAATCGCGCCTCTCCGCCTGGCGCACCCAACAAAACGAACTGAAATACAACCTCCTTCGCCGAACCTACGGCATTGCCGAGCCCGTGAAAAGGCAGATGGAACTCGGGATCGTGTCGGCGGGGGAATGGGTACCAGGCTGTTTTGGGGTGGGGAGGGGAGCGAGTGTGCATGCGGATATTTTGATGGGGAGGGATTGCGAACTGGATTGGGAGGATGTGTTTGAGGGGTCTGTGATGCGGAATGAGGTTGATTTCCATGCGGAGATGGAGGGGATTATGGGGATGGGGTGGTAGGGTTGGTCAGAGGGGTTTGATGGACGCAAAACGGCATACAGGGTTGGAGTGGGATTGCGCTATCATGGAGTTGGGTCTGTGGGTCTGACTAATGAGTACGTGGCGGTGACGTCCTCAATCAGCATCGGGGACGTACCAAAGTCATGGTATAAGATGTTGTTGGTGCGGCTCGGGAGGAATGAGCAGTAGCAGTGTATCGATATGAGGAATGCATACATGCATGCGTGGCTTGCAAGGCCTGCCGTTCATGGCTGTATTATAGATGTATCGATCACGGTACGAGAAGGGGTCATCCCGCAGACGTTCACCCACACAGCAAAAAATGACAGCGTGAAGCCATTCAGTCCACGATGTATTCGGCGGTCTTGCATACTTCGCTCTATCCCACTTACCTGAACCAAACCAGCAGCAGGATCACCCACAGGACCGCCACCAATCCGCATCAGTGCACAGTGAATTCACCAATCCTATCTGCCTAGCATTCGAAAACATGTCTGTGAAGCTTGATTCCACGGATGATGCATGGACAATATTGCCAAGTCGTCAGTGCTTTTCACAATATGCTGGTAACGTCTGTGAACACTTCGGCGAGCTCCTAGTGTAGTCTATGATCAGGCTTATCTTGTCATTGGCGACATTATCAGGCTTGTCACCGGAGCGACGAGTGATGGAGTCCGGCAGGCCCAGAAGTGCGTAGATGTAATCCCGCGGGTCACTGGCATCTGTGATATTGCCACGCGCCAAGACTTTCAGAAGATCCCTTCTGGAGTCATAGCCGGTATTCGAACCGGTTCTGATCTTCGCCACCTGAAGATGCACATTGTCCAGTAGGCTTTCGAGCGGCTCACACAGTGGTATGCCACCGAGCTGCTGACGTGTCCACCGACGCTCAGCGAGCTGGGCCACATCACTTGCACTATTTGGGTTTATGAGTGCCAGGACTGAGAACGAGGCTCTGACTTGAGACAGAATCGGTCGACCTCCCACGTTCAATGCTTTGCCTAGCGCTATAGCAAAGTCGCGGTATTTAGTGAATGAGCAGGCGTTCTGACCACAGAAGACCACGATATCGTTTGCAATGAAAGCCTCCTGTTGGACCCATACTCAACGTAACCAGATCCGAGTATAGAGATATTCCAGCGCGAGAGACAGGCCTTTTGAGGTTGACTTCTGCAGGTAAAGACTTACTTCTGGCGAGATAGACCGGTTGGGTAAAGCACAGATATGGCCCATAGCGATAGCAGTATTAGCATCGCCCCTACCTAGCCAGACAAGAACGGTCGTCGCTTTGCGGGAAATGTCGAACATGTCAGACAACTGAACACTCTTCTCATCGCTGTTGCCTTGATCGATGCAAAGGGCATCGGCCTAAAGATATCTTGCGCGGTCGCCATAACGAAAGCGTTGCAGAGCGTCTGCTAGAGAAGGGGCGATTTGGACTTCTACGCCATCGCAGACCATCGGTACCAGCTCGTTCTCTCCCCAGGTGCCCCAAGCGTAGGAAATTGCCTCGAAAGTGATGAGCTCAGAGTCCATGCTGAGCGCGAGATGCTGACCATGGGCGAGTCTGGCTGTCAGAACGTCGCCGTGAATTGCTTTGTCGAGACTAGCGGCAGGGTGCAGTCGAAGGGTGCGCGTCTGCCATGTCTGCAAAAGCATGTAGATGCTTGATCTATCTGGTGCGACCGCCATGTTGCCCATGTGGCTGGATATTGCGAGCAGAACAGGCGTCTCGTAGTCCCCGTTCCGGCCATACGCGTCAGGGTACCAGCGGCCTTGAGGGCTGCGTTAATGATCACGGCCTTGACCTTCGCACTCGAGTATGATCTGGAGAAGCAAGACAAGAGTGTCAGACACACCTACTCACCATCATTGCGGCCTCGCCATGCATGCACAGCTGATCACTAATACATGACATTACATGACCTTATACGCTTGCTTCATCTTGATAACTGCACAGCAGCTCATGCTCGGCTTCGCGACATATGACCACGTTTCAAAACGAAAAGGTCATTCACTGCGAGCAGAGAAGAGAAGGGAAAAGGCGTCCGACAGCATCAGCTTTAGGGCTGTTGCCGAACGCCCGAGGCCCCGAAGATTGTCCGACGCTGTCACTTTAGAAGTACGGTGGTACGGCGCGGCGGCACGCGCTCTGAGTCGAGCGCTGGAGCTTTGCATCACGATTGAAGATCGCAATCCTTTTGGGTCTGATCAGATCTATCGTACATTCATTACTTAGGGGGCGCATTACGGCTCCCATCATATTTCCAGTACGCCAATACCGTAGAATCACAGTGTGGACTTGTGCTATGGTCTTGACTGCACATCGACTGAACCTCACGCCTGGCCGTCGGCCTCGACTCGTGTGTCCTTGAGCATCACTTCACTCATCTGACCCCTCAACATATCTACCGACACGCGCTTGCTGCCTAGACTCACTTCACCTTGTGTGCACTTCACACTATTTTTCGTCGACTGAGGGAGGGGATTGCTTGCGCATGCGATAAATCCACAGTGTCCGGCGAGACTCAGGCGCAAGACGCATTGAAGCGGCAAGAAAGCCAGGGCAATGCAGAGACGTGATCGCGGCATCGCCCAGTCACTGGGTCTGCCTCTCACTAAGCGTGTGAAGGAGAGCCGGGTGTTGCTGGTTGGTGCGGGAGGCATAGGATGTGAGGTGTTGAAGAACCTGGTCTGCTGCGGCTTTGGCAGTCTACCGTCGAACTACGGCACGAACGGCACTGAGGAGTCGGCGGCCAATGCGCGCAAACCTGGCATTGTAGTCATCGACTTGGACACCATCGACCTAAGCAACCTCAACCGGCAATTCCTCTTTCGAAAACAGCACATCAAGAAACCCAAAGCCTACGTCGCTAAAGAGACAGCATCCCACTTCAACCCTTCGGTCAATATCGACGCTCAGCATGCGAGCATCTTCGACACCAAGTACGATGTCGAATTCTTCGAGGGCTTCGACCTGGTCTTCAATGCGCTCGACAATCTCGCAGCAAGAAGACACGTGAACAAGATGTGTCTGGCCGCAGATGTACCCTTGATCGAAAGCGGTACGACTGGCTTCAATGGCCAGGTGCAAGCAATCAAGAAGGGTGCGACGGAATGCTACGACTGCAATCCCAAGCCAGTGCAAAAGAGCTTTCCAATCTGCACAATCCGTTCGACACCTTCACAGCCTATCCATTGCATTGTGTGGGCGAAATCATATCTATTCCCGGAGCTCTTCGGCACGAGTGAAGAGGACTCGGCAGATGTGGCTGTAACAGAAGGCGATAATGCAGAAGAAGTCGCGAAGCTGAAGGAGGAAGCAGACGCGCTAAAGACAATCCGCGGCATAATGGGCAAGAGCGAGTTCGCGCAAGAAGTCTTCAACAAAGTCTTTCACGACGACATCGAGCGATTGCGCGGCATGACAGAGATGTGGCAATCACGGCGACCACCGCAATCGCTGAAGTTTGAGGAGCTCGTCGCCGAGATTGAAGGCGGAGACACGACCGAGCGCGGCCAGTCGCTCGTGATGCAAGACCAGGCTACCTGGAGCTTACACGACAATCTGACAGTCTTCTCCTACTCCCTTGGCATACTAAGCAACCGAAATCAAGCCGGCGAAACCGTCCTGGAATTCGACAAAGACGACAAAGATACCCTCGACTTCGTCACCTCGGCTGCTAATTTACGATCATATATTTTCGGGATACCCTTACATAGTGAATGGGAGATCAAGCAAATGGCTGGCAACATTATCCCGGCGATCGCGACCTCGAACGCGCTTACGGCTAGTCTGTGTGTGCTGGAAGCCTTCAAAATTATGCGAGGGGTAGGCTTCGAGCAGAAAGGTGTGAGTGGGCTGGCGATCAACAATGGCACAACGGCGACTTCACATACGACCGTCAACGGCAAGGAAGAAGGTGTTCTTGGTGGCGCGAAGATGGTATTTCTTACCTCAAAAAGCACGGAACGCCTTATCTCAACTCAAAACCTCTCCGGTCCGCGCGCGTTTTGTCCCGTTTGTTCATCTGTCTACGCTAAGCTTCGCATTTCCTCCGAAAGCACGGCTACATTACAGAACCTGGTGGATCTGCTGAGGGAGAAATTCGGGTATGAGGAACTCTCGATACAGGCAGACATTGGTATCATCTACGATCCAGACCTGGAAGATAATCTAGAGAAATCGCTTACCGAGTATGTGAAAGCCGGTAACAGCTTCCTCACGATCGTGGATGATGGGGATGAGGCGAAGGTGGATCTGGTACTAAGCGCGTCTATTCAGAGCGAAGCGATCATTGAAACTGGTGTTCTGGAGTTGGTGCCGGAGCGGATATCTTTGCCTTCCAAACCCAAGGCTGTTCCAGAGACCAACGGGCACGCATCAACGGCTGCGGAGTCATCGCAGACAGCGACGAATGCTAATGCGAAGAGGAAACGCGAGGCAGAGGAGGAGGTGGGAAGTGCAAAGAAGCGCGCGCGGGCTACGGACGAGGAGGTCCATGTGATTGAGGACGATGGCGCAATCTTACTTGATGATTAGGGTCGTCATGAACGGCATGCCGGGGTCGTAGTAAGGATCTGGCGTGTGGGACCCAGGGTACGATGAGATGAACACTAGATACGGTGGGAACCATGGGCTGGGCTGGGCTGGTTGGTGGCAGAACGGGCATACTTGCAAATATGTGAGTAGCTGCATGTTCCTGCGAGGCTTGACGCCAGCGGGTGCGAAGGTGTTGTATATCCTATCACTCTTGCTCCTCCCGACCCGGAAGGATGGGAAGGATGCAATCGAGACATACATTTGTATAGTAAGCTTTGCACAAAGGGCACAATAAGCTGCAAAGACTCCGTCTAACGCCGACCCCTTCCACCTATACGTTGCTCGTGCTGATCAAAGTCCTGCTTTGCTGATCATCATAGCACCCCGACCCGCCTGTAGCACATCATATACCGATCATCTCCTCGTTTTCGACCCAGGACATAACTCATCTCAGCACCGGTCTTGAGCGGCTGCATACCCTACCGGCAAGACACATCACATGAGACGCATCTCCTCCTTCTCAAGCCACGACACAACTCTACTCCTCCTCGGTCTCGAGCGATCGATTTCCCGCCACGCGACCCTCATCACATCCTCCAACGCTACAACTTCCCGCCTCAAATCAGCAAGAAGTCATAGCAACGGGGCCGACTCATCCTCCTCGCAAGAGTCTCTGTAGTCCCCACTGACTCGGGGCATGTCGGAGCTTTCGGGCTTCGGTTCGCGGATCTCGAGCATATCAGGCTTCGACGGTCCTGGTGTTGCCGTTAATGGGGTAGCGACATCAGTCTCCTGCGGGACCTGGGCTTCCTCGTCCGAGTCGTTGCCATGGACGGAGTGGTATGATGGATGAGCGGAGGAACGGGAGAGATCGCCGTGGCAGTGAGGACAAGTTGGCGTCGTGCTAGGTTGGCGAAGGTAGCGTATGAGATCTCGAGGAGCGATGTAGGCGTGGATCAAACTGGAGTGGATCGATCAGCAAGCCACCACCACCGCCTCATGCCATCTTGCGTCATGATTGGCGGCAAGGTGAGTACTCACAACGCAACCATCATAGGCACGGTCGCATAAGTTCCCAACATAGTAACATTACTCTCTACATTACCATACCACCTCCTGGCCTGTCCCTTAGCCAAGACAACCCATCCCGGGATCAGGACCCCAAGGAGGAAGAGAGCGCAGAGCAAATCCACCAGGATCCGGAGAGAAGAGACTCGAGGTCCACTGGCTATGCCGCAAAGAAGCAGGAGGCTGAGGAAGGCGGAGATTGAGAGGGGGATGAGACCGAGTGCGGGACAGAGTTGTTGGGCCAGGGCCGCGTAGGGTATGGCGAAGGGGATGGCGAGCGGGAAGGCGATGAGGGTTATCAGGCGGAGGGTCCAGTCTGGTGTGGGCGTTGTAGGCATGTCCGTCGACGAGGACTCAGTGGTTGGGAAGCGCATAGTGGAAGGGATATAGTTTCTTATCTTACTGGACTGAAGGTAACGGCAAAACAGGTCAATAACAGAAAGAGACCTTCATAACTTGTTCGCGAGTTGCATGATATGTCTGCTAAAGTGCAGCCTAGAATACGGCACAGTGTTTACCACCCCACTTGTACCAGGACAGTAACATGCGTTAAGGTGGCTATGTTGCTATAGGAGATGCAGTGAAGTCCACTGGCTTCTAGGCACCAGTATAAGGAGCTTTGTCATTGGAATGCACGGCCCAGTCCATGAATCCTTCGTCTTTATAGGCGCGCTTGGCGTTTCAATGTTCTTTCTGCCTGAGGCCTTTTTTCTACTACTCCGTCCTTCGACGAGATCATGATACAGACGTCGTCTTGGAGTTGATCTTTGGCAAGTCGGCTCTGTGGCGTGGCTTCGGTGAGATCGTTTTCCAGACGCTCGATTGCGATCCTGGACACACTCTCCAACCGTGAGGACTGAATCAAATCTGCTGCAGGCCGCCATGTCTGTCCAGAAGAGTGCCTGCTTCAACCGCCCACGCTTCGAGCTCGGGAACTTTTAACCGCCTCGTGTTATATGCTGATGCCTATGTCAATTCCAGTAACACTCTTCAAGCATGCCTGGAATGTCTCGATCGGCATCCAAGCACCAAATCCGGAACAATTGACAGCTTTCGACAGTGTAATCTTCATGGCATCCAGCACCGGTCTTAGTGCAGTCTTCTCTGGTAGGTGGCGTTTGATCTCCGCATAGGCTTTCGCAGGAGTAACTTGCTCGTCGTCCAGCGGAAGCTGGGCGCTGAGGAAGACGAGTCTGTAGTACGAAAGTATCAGCGGATGCTCACGCAAAGATCTGAAGTAGGGTACGCACTTGTCTATCTCCGAATGAGGCAATTGCCAGCAATTGTTCGATGCTGAGACTTGTTGAACATCCGCTTCTTCTAGCGAGGTCGGGTTTTGTCTATGCAGCTGAGTGGATGGTGGCATGGAGCTTTGGAAGACAGCCTGTGTGGTGGTAAAGGCGTGTCCGTGAAACTTGCCAACATCACAAGCTAACGGAGCACTAACATCTGGGTTAATGGCATGATGGTGTACATGACTTTTGCAAGGCCACTCGAGTGCCATGATGAAGTCAAGCGCTGCCCACGAATCTCCTCGATGATCCACAGGGATCGCAAGGTTGTGATGCGAGGTCCCGTTGGTCTCGGTACGATTCGTCTCGGTGCGGTCGGAGTCATCTGTAGACGTCCAGGACGAGTCTGTCAGATCATCAATGTCCATAAACCAGCGTTCGTGGCCGATGAACTCGTCATAATGGCTGTTCACAGTTGCGCCGCCGAGCATGCTAATGTCCAGATCCTGCTGGTCAAGCTTGAGAGAATCGAGCTGTGCTTCCGCAGGGCCAGCCGCTAGTAAAGCTCTTAGCTTCTCGTTCTCGATTGCAATCGTGTTCCTCTCGCTGTTGACCGTGGCATCCAGATGCTGTAGACGCTGTTACGAAGTTAGCATATCGTGGTCGAGGGAGTATGATATGCACCTACTGCGACCTCGGCTTCAAGGGACTGCACATATTCGACCTTACGATTACGATGGCGCCTCGTAACCGTCAGCGGTCACCCCACTCGTCGATACAAACACTGCACTTACTTCTGTGCCTGATAGACTTGTTGGCGCCGCTTCCCTATATCACCACTATTTTCTGAACTGCCGGGACTCGCGGGACCTGACGTAGAGCTGCTGAAGAGTCTGCCGATACCTCGACTCTCTAGATCTCTCTTCGTTAGAAAGCTTCGAGCCATATGAATATCTCGAACAATACCGTACTTCGTTTCGTGCTTGGATCTTGTTGCACAAACTGTACATCCTGGCTTGGAGTATGTCGCTCCGATTTCCTCCAGAAAGACTTGAAACCGCCGGAGGATTCGGAGACAGTGGATGGCGACTGTTCATTCCTGGAATCTGTAGCTGGAGTCGACATGTCGAGTGTTGGCTTGAGTATCTTGGACTAGAGAGCATGCATACGTTGCTCGACGTAAGCACCGAAGTCAATCTGGTGCCGGGCAAATGTTATTTACGTGGAATCATTCTTCGAGGTAGATCTCAACTAAACTCTCAGCTTGTCGGCAAAGCTACACTAGTATGATGAGTGATTGCTTACCCATTTGGCCATGAGTCGTGTAAACCAACGTGTCGAAAGAGGTACCTAACGTGAAGTGAGGCTGAGGCTTACCAAGACATGTTAAAGGTCTGTGCGGACCTCAGCCTGTTGTGTCTGCTCTCCACTTGCTCTCACATATACGTTTTATCTTGTCAGCACATCGCGACACATCGCGACACATCGAGACACATCGACTCCTTGTGGGGCTGTGAGGCCTTCGAGGCGACGATGTCCCATGGACAATTTTGTTCTTTATCATATACCGGCAAAGAGTAGCGGCGTTGAGACTATACCCGTCTAAGTCAGTGTGGCGACTTTATTTAATCCCAGGCAGGCCATCGGCTTTTCCTCAAACCAAGACAGCGCAGTCGCGAACGATGGGGTTACCCTTTATCTTCAGACTGTTTTCTACGAGAATGGTTACTTTGTGACAAGGAGAGCCATAGAACTCGCATCGAGCCAGGCAGAAGACTGTCAGCTATCGGACTGAAAAGCCCAACAGCTCAGTTGAGCCCGCTATGGGCCAATGCAGATCTATGACGAGACTACTACCCTCGCTGACCCATCTCGAATTTCTGAGGAGAGATGGGTTGATTACTTCCCAAACAGACGATCAAATGGCTTGGCTACCTGGCGATGTCCTCTGCTTATGAACACATCTCGCAGCATAATTCGTTACTAGCCCGTAGCCCGAAAAACTGCGGTTTAGTCCTGCTCTCCAAAAGCCGTGCATGCATCGCGAGCTCGAAGCGCAGTCGGAGCGTGCTAGAGAAGAGGTTCATGTTCGGGAGCGTATACTGTGCGGTATGTTTGCGCCGAAAGTGATAGCTTCGGGTGAACCTAATTTAGTTGAGTTCGATGCTGCTTTGAATCGTGTTGGGCGGCCAGTGTGTCCAGAGATTCGGTTTGAGCGCGTGGCTTCCCAGCGACCACTCGTACGGCTGCACCTCCAGTCGTTACGGCTTATCGGTAGAGACCGCTCGAGGAGTGGAGACGACAAGGTATTGCGTAGAAGCATCAGACATCGAGATAGTCTGCCGCCATGAGGAGTTCGAGACACAGTTCAGTTGGGAAGCTGACGCTTATCAGCTTGCGAACCATTATCAGCAAGGTAGATGCATACTCAGGATCTGCCACGTCCTTGGCATCTTTGTTCTTCTCATTGTAGTAGAAGTACTCGCAGACCTTCTCAAGTACTATGCCGCTGCTCTCATGTCAGTCGTGATCATTCAGTACGTGGTGTCAACACTAACTTAATATTGTCGAAGTGGACGGTGTTGGTACTGGCTTCCATAAAGCCATCTGTATATCGGTCAGTCGGAGGACTTGAGAGTATCTATGTTTTCTAGCCCACTTGATGGATCGAGCATGCGTCTGATGATGGGCGAGATACAAGCTGTACTTCTGAGCACGACGTAGCTGAAGTCGTCTGAGGAGATCAGGGTCACGTATTCTGTGAGGTCATTCATGACGGGAGGTCGTGTGTAGTGCAAGATATGTAAGTAACCATGCGAAGATGAAAGGATATATCTGGTTAATGGAGATGCCTCAAATGACCGCGCAAAAACGCGCTAAAGTGCTGACTAATTTAGAGCAGCTTTAAATCGCGTCCTCTACAATTCACGCCTTGAAAGACGTTGTCTTGAGCTCCTTCTCAAGGCTCTCACCAAAATCGGTAGTATACCCATGCTCGGCCAGATATTCCCGGAATCGTACGTCCTCGCCTTCGAGATCTCGCTCACGATTCGGGATCAAGGTCCATGCGATGATACCTCCAACAGCCGCAAACGCCGCACCAATGAGAAACACAGCCTGGACGCCTTTCTGGTCGCTGTCAAAGCTGTCTTGAATTGGTGTGAATACTTCCGTACCGATAGCTGCGCCAGCCTTACCGACCGCGGCAGCAAGCCCTGAAAGACACGTGTCAGTATCGAGCCGTTCGTACCATACCACTATGACGATAAATACCAAGGAAGTGGCCCCGTAGCGGCGTAGGAAAGCTCTCCGCACCACAGAGGAAAGTCGCGACCCCGGGACCCCTAGCAGAATCGATCAGTATACAATATGGCTCGGGGATGGAAGCAGCTCACATCTCGCCAAAGGCATTGAATATGCCATAAAGTACAACCTAGCAAGAGTGTTAGTGTAAACCCGTGAATGTTTCAAAGATGAATTCAGCACTTCGCACTTACGAACAGTGGGAAGATGCTCTGGATCGGGCCTAGAGCACCTCCGAGGATGAATCCAAGTACAGCCCAGCAGGCGAACCCAAGGGTCATGGTCTGTTTGCGGCCAATAAGGTCCATCAGCAGCCCACCAACGATACAGCCTGGGAGATAGAAGCAGTTTACGACTGTTCCATATCCGATGTTCTGAACCAGACTGTCGTTCGGGTTGAGCTGACTGATGATCGTAGAAGAGAAAATACTGATAACATCCGGTTAGCCATCAAGATGGTCACACGTGATCACACGCTCGACCCACCCGAATGGATATGTCACGAAGTCATAAAAGAACCAGGCCAAAGAGGTGCCCAGCATTGGCTTCCAATAGCGCTTAAGGACAAGCATATATGGGATCTGCTTCTTGATGGCGTGCTTGCGGTACTGGGTAGACTCAATCATGCGAACCCGGAAGAGGAACAAAATGAGCGGCAAGACGAAACCAAGACCAAAGCAGATTCGCCAGATACCGCTCGAGATGTGGTTATTATAAGCCGCGATCACGATCAAGGCCACGATACCAGCCCCAACGAAACCCAAGTCAATGGAGAAGTCCGTCGAGAGAGCTACTAGGATGCCACGTCTTTTGCGAACGTACTGGCTCTCGTCTGCTGCCTCGGTGCTACCAGCTGCACAAGTTGGATATTCACCCCCAGCGCCAAATCCAGCAATTCCTCGAGCAACGATCATCATCCAGAACATGCCGAGTTGAGTTTTGCCATGGGCAGCTGTTGCAAGAACGACACCTAGCACGAGGAATAGGGTAGCGAAGACGATCCCGGTTCTACGGCCAATCTTGTCGATGACGAAGCCGAAAGTCAGCATGCCGAAGATCTCTCCAATCAGGTAGGAGTTGGACAGTCTCGTTTTGATGGTCTTCGACATGCCCTGCGCGTAGAGTACCGAGAACAGTGGATTCATGTAGCCGATGATCTGGGCGTTGTAGCCATCTGAGAACAGGGCCAGACCTGCGACGATAACAGTAATCCAGGATGACGTTTTGCTGATTTTCTTGAGTTCGCCTCTTGGTTGATTAGATCGAATGCACTTCTTCATCATATCGAAGGACGAAGCTGACCTTCTTGCACACTGTCGAATCCATCTGGAACACCCATCTCGTCCGAAGGGCTGGTCTTGTCGACCACAGCATCATCGGGTGTGAATTTGGCTTGTGTGGCCATTATGTCTTGTGCTCCGGACTGTTGCTAATTTCGTGATGCTGCGTTGTCCTGATCGGACGCTCTGAGAGCATTTCCAGACCTTCGTCCTAGCCAGTCCTGATATACCTTATTGCAGAACAGCCATTCGAATGATAAGGCTCGGTATTGTGAGCGAGGCTTTGGTTTCGGGTTATGACATCGATACCAGTCAAGTCGCAACGTGCTCGAGCTAGCAAGCCATTGTCTCCGACTATCCGAAGATCATATTGTCACCTTGTGGTGAGTAGCTCGACCACCTCGTCAAATGTTTGTGTAGCTTCCGCACGTACGCAGGGTTTGCAGATTAATTGCAACACCCATGCAGGCTCTTCCAGCACGTGGGCCGAGCTGCATCGTCTATTCAACGCTTGTTGCTGGAGCGCGATTCCATGCACGTATGCGTTGCCCGGAAAGATGATAGCTTCGTGATTGACTGTCCATTGACTATCTTCGTGCTGTGAACTCACGGTGAACTGTGGAGTGCGGTACGACGATATTGCGGAGCGAAGGCCGTAGCTTGGTCGTCTCGGTCACGGTACCGATATCTGCTTGATGATGTACAATTGCAGTGTAGCAGAGATGATCTAACCAACCTCACCAGTGGCGTTCAAATTTCATGGACACGAAGTGAAGAGAAGCTTTACAGACATGCTTGTCCATGTCAAAAACCATATACACACAAAACTCCGCGCTCGTACCAAAAGTCTCTCGTCGACTCATATCGCAGTATCCTGCTTCTGCTTGACCTTATCGGTATGCCAGCCTTGGTAATCATTGTCCAGCGAGCCGTGGAGCGCAGCAACGTAGTCAACCATACCACCAGCCCAGTTCAATGGCTCGACACGCTTACCAGGGATGTTAGCACCCGAGTACCATGACTTGGCCTTAGGGAACAGAGTGGCATCCCACTTCTCGTTCATGCGCTTGCACCATTCGTCCTCCTGCTCCTTGGTGGCCTCGAAGCGAGTGATACCATCACCCTTAATGCGCTTGAAGACCTCCTCAACGAATTCGGCTTGGAATTGTGTGCATGATGGGCCGTTGGAGAAGGCGGTAGGGGCTTGTGGACCGTACAAGAAGAACATGTTACTACAGGTTTGTCAGTATGGTATTGTGCATTGAGACGATATGAGCAAGACTTACGGGTAACCTGGGATAGCAATGCCCATAGAGGTTTGCAGCCTGTCCTTCCAGTGGTCGGCAATGGTGCCACCGTCAGTGCCACGAATGTTCAATTGGCCGAGCGAGCCAGTTACGCTGTCGAAACCAGTAGCAAGGATGAGCACATCGACCTCAGCCAGACCCTTCTTAGTTCGCAGACCATTGCCCTCCACAATCTCGATTGGGTTCTCGTTGACGTCGATGATCTCGACGTTGTCCTGGTCGAGGACTTCGTAGATGCGCTGTTCGAGCGACGGCCTTTTTGTGCCCCAGGGGTGAGGTGCCTTCTCAGGAGCGAGTAGACGCTGCTTCTCGGGGTTCTTGATACGCTTCAGCACAGTCTTACGCCAGAACTTGTAGACTTCCTCGTTGGCGGCATCGTCGAAAAGGTAATCCTTGTAGTTCTGCAGCCAGAAGCGGAAACCACCCTGCTCATTTAGGAGGTTGTTGAAGAACTTCTCACGCTCTTCGGGTGTATCGTCAAAAACGTTCTTGTCAACGAAGTCGTAGGTGAATCCCGAGAAAGTCTTGCGAGTATCTTCCATGGCCTTTTCGTAGTCTCCGTTGGCCTTCTTCTTCTCCTCCTCCTTCGGATCGAGTGGACACTGGTTCATTGGCAAGCAGAAGTTTGGTGTGCGCATGTAGAGTGTCAACGACTTGACGATAGGACCGATCTCCTGTGCGACCTGAATACCAGAAGCACCAGTGCCGATTTGAGCGACCCGCTTGCCTTTGAGGTTTACGCCGTGCTGTGGCCAGACGGCAGTGTGGTAGACATCTCCCTTGAACTCGCTGAGTCCGGCGATTGGTGGCTGATACCGGCGGGCGGCAAAGCCAATGCATGGAATGAACCAGCGGCAGTTGTAGTTTGAACCATCAGCACACTCGACGGTCCATTGGTGTGTCTTCTCATCGAAGAAAGCGCCATCGACGTGCTTGTTGTACTCAGTGTGGTCCTCAATGTTCCACTTCTTCTCCACGTGCTTGAAATACCGACGGAGCTCAGGCCAGCCTGCGTATCGCTCCTTGAAGGTGAAGTCCTCCCACAGCTCCTTGTCGAAGAGCTGATAGATGGGAGTGTCAGAGTCGACACGGGCACCGGGATAGCAGTTCCAGTGCTAAAGCATCATTAGCATGTTTCGCGAGCCTTCCTGATCTCCTTGCTGCTCACCCAAATACCACCCGAAGCAGACCCCTTCTCAAGGATCTTCACGTCTAGCCCAAGCTTGCGTAATCTGTTCAACAAAGTGAACGATGCGAAACCAGCCCCAACGAGGAGCACATCGCAATATGCAGCATCAGGCTCGCCCATAGACCCCATGATGGCGTTGTTCGTGTACGTAGATTAGATGAGTATATGTCAACCGCAGTAGCTTGAGAGGCGTCTTATACGTTGCTGAAGGTCGAGTATGAAATGGAAGGATGCGAGACGTGTTTTACTACATAGCCCTGGACAGACTGTACCCATATATCATTACCACATCAATGGGTCTTCACACTTCAGCATCGCACCCATCGTGACGAAGGAGGGGTACGTGGCGGCCGAATGGAGAGGCACGAGACCGCTCGAGGCCAACCTGGTTGCTGATCTCAGGTAGCTGCAGTCAAGATTATGTCCGGCGCCCCACGGGGATGGTCTGTAGTTACCCTGATGGCATCGACGTAACTTCCGGAGAGCAGACGGACATTGCGATCATTGGCTAGAAGGAGCGCGATCCGGAGACGCTCGTGATACAGTCTGCGAGCGGGGAAGAAAGGCGGGAGCTTGGGGCGCATGGAAGTAACTGATCTCAACTTCGTGGTCAGACCATAGTCTCCAGTGTGTAGCCAAAGTGCTTGATCCGCACGCGGGTAGGCCACGGATGGGTACAAGAGTTGTGTGTGCGTACAATCATTGCTTGAAAGAGACGTCGATAGTCCATCCAGCAGGTTTTGCGAGATCAGGAAACGCCTTCTTGCACAGGACAGGAAGCTCAAAGCGCCAGAGGGGCCCACAGCTTACCGTAGACGAAGGAGCTTCCAGGGCATCTCCAAGCATCCAAGCTGTAGTATATGGTTGTGGGTGGTGCGGAGACTCCCGAGGTCCGCAAGGCCTGTCTCATGGGGGAAGGTCTTCCGAGGTGATTGACGGATGCCTCCTTTCTCCTTCCTTTGAGACGAACCAATAGTTGCTACATGTACGACTTCTCGCAACAGGATATGGCTCGCACACCGAGGTCGAGTCGCACGTCGTGGTGCGCAAAGACATGATGTTGCCTCAATTCCGGGGCCTTGCATTTTGAACGCGACAGGTCATCGGTGCGAACAGCGACAGGCGATCTAAAGTCGTGTCATTTATGTAGGTATAGATATTGATTATACCTAGGACCATGAAACCTGCATCTTTCCATATCAGTCTCTGAAATCTCTTCTGCGCATCGATCTCACAATCACGACAAGATGGCAAGCCATGCGCGGCAGACAGCTGCTGCACTAATCGATATGCTTGACACCAAAGGCCAGGGCGATTACATTGGCGAGCAAATATCACAGCTAGCTCACAGTCTCCAAGCGGCTCACCTCGCGACAACCAACAACGCCGACGACGAAACTGTTCTTGCAGCTCTGCTTCACGACATTGGCCAATTTCTTCCTGCGCTTGAGATCCAGTCCATCGCGCGTGAAGTGCGTAGTATGAGCAGTGAGGACGATACTACAGCTGGTGGGGTTGGTAGGATCGGACATGAGCGGATAGGCGAAGAGTACCTCCTTAAGCTGGGTTTCTCGCAAAAGATTGGATCTTTGGTGGGATCGCACGTTGCTGCGAAGCGTTATCTATGTGCGGTTGACCCGGCATACCATAGCACACTGTCGGAGGCAAGCAAGAAGTCCCTCATTTTCCAAGGCGGACCAATGCATGGCGAAGAGCTGGAGCAATGGGCGGCGAATCCCTGGTGTCCAGACATGGTTAGGCTCCGCAAATGGGATGATGGCGCGAAAGTGGTAGGCTTGGAAGTCGCGCCTGCTGAGGCATACTTGGAAATGATGGAGACACATCTTTCTCGATAGATCAGGATACTTCGAAAGCCATAGCCATACCAGTGGCTAGGTGCCACATGACGTGACAGTGTAACATCCATATCCCAGGGTTATCTGCTCGGAATCGCAGCACTGCGTATCCCCTTCTCGGTACTAGCACTGTGTCTTTTTTCAAGGGACTTTCGAAGTCGTATGAGCCACCAGGAGGTTGGTCTTGTTCATAAGGGTTGTATGAACCCCAGTTCCACGACGAGCTGTATTTCGACAAGACATAAAAGTCGTTTCCATGTAGATGGAAAGGGTGAGACTCTTCGTCCAAATTGTTTAGTACTAAGTCAACCCACTTCGGTGAGGACTCGTTATATGGTATATGTGGCACAAATTGGTGCTTGTCCCACAGAGCACGATCCATAGTAATCAGTGGTGATAATTGTGGCCGCCAAGAGGTATTATTGATGAAGCCATGGGGCACGTTGTCCAGCCGAGCCAGCTTTTGCGTGATGGAGTACAGCACGAACGTCATGTCTGCTTGGCTGGGAAGGATGTTGGAGCTTGCAGGCGATGAGGTGAGCGCCTGTAGATTCATCTCCTCTTTCTGTATGCCGGCTCTTCGTTGCTTAGGTTTACCGTATGCAAGGACTGGGAAATGGTGGACTGGCGTCAATGCAGGGTTCGGATAATTGAAGGTAGACGAGTCGAGGGTCACTTCCAAATGGCTGTCACCAATGATTGTTGGCTCGACAAGGACGTTGACGCGCTCGCCAGGGTGTAAGAACTTGACACGGCTCGCCGCAGTGCCAACAACAGCATGACCGCCGTCAACAGCCAAAGGCTTGAGCACCACGTTCTCGATCGACAGCCCGATACCTGCATATGCACCAGCATTGATAACTCGTAACACGTTCTCGCGATTTCTGTCGAGCTCAATGGTAGCATCTCGATCGTCGATTGGTTCACAGTCCAGTGGCCGCGCGGGAACGGCATCCGAACAGTTGTAAGCGCCCCGACCATTGACAAGGATACTGTCCGGGACAGGCTCGTTACCGAACCCTCCTAGGTGGGTGTAGAACTCGAGTGCTTCGCCAGCGGTTCTATGATACCAATCCTGAACAATGACAAGGTGCTCTGCAGGCAACGATCGTGAGCTACCCCGAGATCGAGGCTTGTGAACGACCAAGCCACCGAACAGGCCATCTGCTCGTTGGACCGCCGAGTGTGCATGATACCAGAATGTGCCATGCTGCGTATCTTCGATTCTGAAGTCGTACGTGAAGCTGTCTCCTGCAGTGATTGGGCTAGAAGTGATACCAACAGCTCCATCTTGATCATTCCATCCACGCATAGAGAGACCATGCCAGTGGAGAGACAGTTCTTCATCCACGAGCTCATTCTTCACCTTGACAACCACTCGGTCGCCAGATCGTGCTTCGATGGTCGGTCCTGGAAACACGCCATTGATGAGGTAGACATGCTTCAGCACACCATCCGGTCGACGTAGACCAGAAGTGACAGTCCAGCCAAGCGTTATGGTAGTCGCCTGCCGGTCAACGTGAGCCTCAGGATGAAGCAGATATCTCCCGCCGCGAGCGCCATCCTCAGCTGTGTACGGCTCTGTCCAAGAGACATGGAATGCACCATGGCCCTGAGTGTGAGCCAGAAGGATCGAGCCAATGGTCAGAAAGGATATGATGGCAAAGATGAGGATGTTGCGTTTGGTTCGTGGTCTGGGTGTAGTGCTGTTTGGTGTGGCCTCAGGCAGTAGAATTTCCGATGCGTTGCCACTTCGTTTTCTTGACATCGCGACGACCTCTATCATCAAAGAATAATTCCAATCTTCCTACGGATGCAAAGTACGGCAAATATCATGGCTTGGGGGTGGGGCGCTCTCTCTGAGTCTCTGTTGTGGCCACAGTACTTGAATGTCGGAGACAGTTCTGGCACGTCTTGTTTGCGCGATATTCAACATGCCGAAGGTTGCGTCCTTCACACCCTGGTCGTCTTCGAGCTGCGACATGATTAGGGAGGCCGTGAGCACTTGTTACCTGCAGAAGCCATTCTGTTGCTGTGAAGAGCATGCTCGTGAACGCGTGCTTATTGCGCTTGGCGTGATTCGCTCCTTCACTGCCAGACGAAGACTTCAACAACGCTTGTTATGCAAGCAATGTAACCTCGCCAGCCAAGCTTTGCAGAAAGATCATCCTCACCACGCATTAGCGACACCTTTTGAATATAGCGGTCTTCTCGCCGTGGCGGTAATCGTGCTCGAAGTGGCAAAGGCAGCCTGCTCACGCACGAAGATCGGTGGAGCAACGGTCAACACGTGTGCTATTCTACAAAGCTAGACGACGGACAGCTAGGCAAGTTTACTACGAGGTAGGAATTTGAGAGTTAGTATAATAAGAGCAATGCCAAGTCAAGATGGTCTTTGCTATCACGGTGGGCATAGCATTGACAGCAACCACCGTCTTCATCTTCGCAACCTTCACGTTCATAAACATGTCTCCATTGTCGCAGGCCCTACTGGGCGTCTTCACGACTGCCAGCACAGTCGCAGCAGGCAGCATCGCTGATATTGAGCATGTCGTCCTTTTCATGCAAGAGAATCGAGCATTCGACCACTACTTCGGCACCATGGCTGGCGTTCGTGGTTTCAAGGACCCGAACGTGCAAGTGAACAATGGCAAGCCGGTCTGGTATCAGACGGTCAACCACACCGTCAGCAACGGGTCCGACTACCTCCTACCTTGGTATCTGAACTACCTGGGAGGCAGCTGGAATCAAGCGACGCAATGTATGAGTGCTGGTAAGCGAATGGATCGCACCTGAACATATGCAATGACAACAGAAGCTGACACAAATGGTTGCAGGTAGCAATGGTATGGACTTGACCACTCAGAGTCTCGTAGCGGTGTTCCGATATTTACTAATTCGTTTGCAGGATGGGATGCTAATCACGCGGCCTTGAACGGAGGTCTGAACAATAATTGGCCAATTGGTAACACTCCTTGGTCATGGGGCTACTTTACTCGCAAGGAGTGAACAAAATATTCGTATCCAAGAGAGATGATGGCGCTGATCTTGTGTGAACAGGCTACCCAATCATTTTGCCATCGCAGAGGGTTGGACCGTCGGCGACATGTACCAGGAGAGTGTCATTGCGTCAACGAATCCCAATCGTGTGACATGGGTTTCAGGCTCCATCAATGCCCCTGGCTCTCCACAAACACCAGCTGAAGGCGGCTTTTATATTGGTGGGTGAGAGATTGAGCTACTATACTCTGGGAAGGCACTGACGTTTGCAGATAATAATGAGACACCTGGCTGTGAGTCTGCTGGCCTCAACTGCTACCCTCTAAAGTGGACGACCACGCCGGAGAAGTACGAAAATGCTGGTGTGTCCTGGCAGCTGTACCAAGATACAGACAATTTCGACGACAATCCGCTTGCTTGGTTCGCTCAATACCAGAATGCCGCAAATGGATCGGCTCTGCAGAAGAAAGGCATGGCATACATTGGCCTTGAGCAGTTCTACAAAGACGCTGCTTCTGGCAAGCTGCCCCAGGTCTCATTCATCGTGGGCCCTGCTGAGCTGTCGGAGCATCCTGACTATACGCCAGAAGATGGAGCGTGGTTGCAGCAGAAAATTGTCGATGTCGTCACTCAGTCACCAGTCTATAAGAAGACTGCTTTAATCATCTCTTACGACGAGACTGGAGGCTGGGGTGACCATGTGACTCCTTTCCACTCCCCAAGCGGCACTGCTGGTGAATGGGTCCAGGATCCCTACGGTGAGGCTGGCTACACATACACTGGCCCTGGATTCCGTCTTCCCTTTTATATCATCTCCCCTTGGACACGCGGGGGCAATGTGTATGTGGAGAACGCCGATCACAACTCCCAGATCATGTTCGTTGAGAAGTGGCTTGCTGCCAAGGGTCACGACGTTAAGACTCAGGAGATGACAGCCTGGCGCCGTGCAAACATGGCTGATCTTACCAAGGCCTTCGACTTTGACCATCCCGACTACAGTATCCCCAACATGCCAAACGCGTCTTTCCCCTCAACTGATAGTAAAGGCGAATGGAATGGCTACGCTCTTTGCGAAGCTGCGCATGCGACCACTCGTCCTCCGGTTCCATACGGCAAGCAGAACGTCAATACTTCGCTTGCAACCGAGGAAGGCTTCAAGGCTGTTCGAGGTCAACTCACAGAGGGTCGCTATCTCACTTTCGAGAGCAACGGGTACACCCTGGCAAATGTCAACGGCAAGCTCGTAGCAACGAAGACAACATCAAAGCACGATAGTAAAGCTCAACGCTTCGTCGTTCACCAGAGTGGTGGCAAGTTCGCCATCACAAGTGCCCTAGACAACACTTCAGTCTCTGGTCCTGGACCAGTAAGACCTGGCGGCTATAGCGGCGCCGCAACATTCGACATTAGCTATCTTGGAAGCCAAGGCTATGCTGTTCAGGCAAGCGACGGGCAATACTTGAGTATCGGACAGAACGGCCAGGTCTCGTACAGCCACGACAAGGTTGGCTTTGTGCTGTTTTCCGTCACATACAACAACTAGATTTTCCTTAGCAGAATTATGATAAACGACCTGTCTTGTTGCGTCCTGGGCTTCATCTGCTCATTCCCCCGAGCATCGGGCTTTGATATCATCTGAACGCTTGAAGACATACCGATTTCGCAAGGTCGGTATCCCATCCTCAAAGGAATGATGGTGCGTGTCATGTGAACACGAAGAAGCGACGGATGTATAATACTTGCACAACTTTCGTATGTCGAATTAGAGGCTGAACGAGAGTTTTCCTTCGATGTGGCGCGTCACCGGCTGCGCATCTCGGTACTCGGCACATTAAATCCGTCTTTTCGAATGCGAAACCTTCTCTGCAACAACGATTCTTTCCCAGGCAGGTCCGATGCCGCCTATGGCGCTCCCTGACTGTGCTAAATCCCGAGGTCTGTATGTATATACATTTGCTGTAGTATCTCTTGGCTTTTGTTATCTACAATACACAAAGTCTGCAATAAAAACAGCTCGAGCCCTTCAAGGATGGCAAACATAGAGCCTCACAACAACGATGACAGCATAAGCGAGCGAGTATCAATTGAACATAGACCACGGCCGCGTTCATCGAGATCATGGCGTAGCAGGCCAAGCTTCACAAGATCACGATCAAGGCCACGGGATCCTGACGCAGATTTACATCGCATACTGGACCACCATGACACTCACGAGCACGACCACGATCACAATGCACGATCAGCGGAGAAGGCAGCACTGGCGAGCGAGCCTGACCCTGGCGCCGTGACTTTGCCACTAGAGGAGCTGGCCGATGGTGAAGCCAGAGAGGAAGTCGAGAGCCAGCTCTCTGATGAGGAGACGCCCGACAAGGATGAAGCGCTATCCCAGCCAAGTGGCAACACTGACCCAGAGAAAGGACACAAGTCCAAGCTCGAGCGCCAGCAAACGAGTGCATCAGAACGAGCACGTCTGATGGTATCCTGGGACGGCGACTCAGATCCCGAGAACCCCAAGAACTGGTCCAACAAACGCAAATGGGCTGCCGTCCTGGTCGTCTCTTCCTTCACATTCATCTCGCCCGTATCCTCGAGCATGGTTGCACCCGCTCTGGAAGCCATGAACCGAGATCTCGGCATCACCAATCAAGTGCTATCACAGATGATGCTATCTATCTTTATCCTTGCCTATGCTGTCGGGCCTTTGGTTCTCGGACCTCTCTCGGAGGTATATGGACGGGTACCAGTTTTGCAACTAGCGAACCTGTTCTTCCTGATCTTCAACCTGGTCTGCGGCTTTGCGAAAACACCAGCACAAATGCTCGTCTTTCGCTTCCTAGCTGGCCTTGGCGGGTCAGCTCCTCTGGCGATAGGCGGCGGTATCCTCGCCGACTGTTTTCGTCCGGAGGAAAGAGGCAAAGCTATCGGCATCTACAGTCTAGCCCCTCTCATCGGTCCCGCCGTCGGTCCCATAGCTGGTGGATTCATCAGCGAGAACACAACATGGCGATGGGTCTTCTGGGCCGTTTCGATAGCAGACGCCGTCATCCAGATCGCCGGCATATTCCTCCTGCAGGAAACCTGGGCTCCGAAATTACTGGACAAGAAGACGGCCAGACTGCGGAAAGAGACCGGTAACCAGGCTCTTTACTCGGAGGGATCGAGACGGGAGACGGTATCGCAGAAATTGAAGACATCCTTGGGCCGGCCATTCAAGCTCTTGTTTACTCAGGTCACCATCATAGTCTTCGCGATCTACATGGCCTATCTCTACGGTCTGGTCTACCTCGTCATCTCGAGTTTTCCAGGACTCTATACCTCACCAGAATACTACAACGAGAGCGTTGGCATCGGCGGATTGTACTATATCGCCTTGGCTATCGGCTACGCCATAGGTGCGCAAGCGACGTCTCGAATCAACGACTACCTGTATGTTCGGATGAAGAAAAGCAACAATGGGGTAGGAAAGCCGGAGTTCCGCATACCAATGATGGTCCCGTGTAGTGTTCTCCTGCCGATCGGCTTCTTCTGGTATGGGTGGAGCGCACAGGCACGTCTATTCTGGATCATGCCTGATATCGGTGCGGGTATCCTCGCTGCTGCGACCATCTGCGGGTACTATTCGATCCAGACTTATATCATCGACAGCTATACCAAGTATGCCGCCTCTGCCGTGGCTGCCATCACTACTCTGCGATCCCTAGCTGGCTTCGGATTCCCGCTATTCGCACCATACCTTTACAATAGTCTTGGCTACGGTTGGGGCAATAGCGTCTTAGCATTCGTTGCTCTGGCTATAGGGATCCCTGCGCCTTGGTTCTTCTGGCGGTATGGCGAGCGGTTGAGGATGAAGTCGCAGTTTGCGGCGGGAAGCTGAAGGAGAGCTGAGCTTCCACAGTATGTACAATTAATGTAGAGTATAACGTTCATCGTCCTGCAGTCTTCGTCTCAGTCCGCACTTCGCTGGTTGTGCACGTGGAGCACTCTTCTTGAACGCTTGCATCCCACTGAAGCACGGCTGCCAATGCTTACACAAGAGTGCCGTAGGCCACAAGGGGGTAGTGTCGTTCGACCAGCCAGCACACAATGACATCGAGCCAGAGATATACTATCCCGTTGCCATGTCCTCCGTGGTGACGGCGGCGGCGATATTCGTTGTTTGTCGGTCACTCACGAGTTACAGCGTCGCAGCACTCTTTGTGTGTATGTTAAATACCAGCATCTGCCGTCGGGAGGACTCCTTTTTGGCCGCCGACGGCCTTTGCAACGAGGCAGGTGAGAAGGGCGACTATCCACCATATGGCGCCGCACTACCTTCCTACCTACGTAAGCACAAACCCCACAAACCCGTCCATACCACATCACACCATGACATCCCCATAATCAGCCAGCCCTCTTCTCCCATCTATTGCGTAGGATAATCCTTGAAATGCAAACTCTTCAAGCGGGAAAATTGCTCAAACCCAAACGCACTCAACGTCTGCCCCTTCCCACTCTCCTTCCACCCCACCCACGCCAAATCCGGTGCGGGATAGTCCGCTCGATTGACAAACACCGTTCCCGCCTCAACCTCTTGCGCGAGTTCCTGGCCTTTGGCGTTGTCTCTCGTCCAGATGGAGGCTGTAAGACCGAAATTCGAATCGTTCATGAGGGCGATGGCTTCGGAGTCTGAGGCGACGGATTGGATGGGGATGATGGGGCCGAAGGTTTCGTCGCGCATGATTTGCATGGAGTGCGTGACTTGGGTGAGGAGGGCGGGAGGGATGTAGTTGCCTTCCTTGGGAGGGGAGGCAAAGGATTTGTTCTCTGGCGTTGCGTTCTTCGCTCCTTTGTTCACCGCATCGTCGATCTGGTCCTGAATCCGCGCTTTAGCGGCTTTACTGATCACGGGCCCGACGTTTGTATCTTTTTCGTTGGGATCGCCTAGTTTGTAGCCCGCCAAGACTTTTTGGACTTCCTTGACAAAGTCGTCATGGATGCTGGCGTGGACGTAGACGCGCTCGATACTGCAGCAGGATTGGCCACTGTTGAAGACGGCGCCATCGACGATCTCATCCGCTGCCCAGGCGAGATCTACGTCTGAACGGACGTAGGCTGGGTCCTTTCCGCCGAGCTCGAGCCCGACGCGGCAATCTACTCTTCCCGCCGCCGCTTTCTGTACAGCGAGACCGCCTTGCACGGAGCCGGTGAAGCAGACGAGGGAGATTTCAGGCGCTTGGACCATTTTCTCGATCTTGGTAAAGTCGCCGCAGTGGAAGTATTGAATTACATCCTCGTCCAGTCCGGCTTCGACAAAAATCTTGTGGACCTGCTCGGCAATCGTAGGTGTCTGAGGTGAGGGCTTAAGAATAACACTATTTCCCGACAATAATGCCGGGACGAGGGAATTGACGAGAGTCAGGTAAGGATAGTTCCATGGAAATAGCACCAAGACCGGACCCAGAGGTACCTTTCGAATGTACCTCTCGAAACCCTCTTGTGGTTCTCCAGGCGTATCCTCAAGTGCTTTCTCCGCAATCTTGACCAGGTATTCGCCTCGTGCTACGGCGGTCGTGACTTCCTTGGCTGTGTAGGCGATGGGACGACCCATTTGTTCTGTGATTTCTTTCGCCAGGTCATCTTGGCGGTCATTGATGAGTTCGAGGGCTTTGCTGACTATCTTCTTCCTGTCGGCCAGAGGTGTTTTGCGGTATTTCAGAAAGGCTTTGTGTGCTCGCTGCGGGATGGAGGTGAGGTCTGAGTCTGAGGGGCCCTGGCGGGTGAGGATTGGTTTGTTGGTTGTGGGCGAGATTGTTGTAATTGTTTCGGTGGACATGGTTGCGGCAGTATTCCGTTGTATCAATTGGTTGGTTGGTTGTAAGGTAGCTGTCGTCTGGTAATGGTCAAGCACGTGATAGATACACTTTTCATTGAGCCGCATACGTCACGATGCGATTGTGAAGAAGCATTGGGCAAGGCAGCTCTAACTCTGTGCCGTTATCCTTAGCAAGAAAGTCGCGTCCTACCCGCCACTATCCGAAGTATGTATACTAGATAGTTCCGCCTGTTGAACTACTCTTCCTGGGTCGCAGCAAGCATGTTGCCTGTGAGTCGCCTTCCGCTGGCTCGGACGACGCTCCTACGATCACACCTCCGCCAAGCCCGACCCAATGGCTTCAGCAGGATCGCGGCCATATCACAACCTCGCATTGCGCGTCTGAGCAGCATAAGCAGAAGGCCGCTACCATCGCAGCTACAATGCCATCTACGACAATCACGGGTGCAGTCGCGCTTCGCCTCGACAAGCCCTACCGACACGATCCAACCTAAACCGCGATCACGATTCTTCCACTACATCCAGCGATCCCTCGTCTTCTTCTCTCTCACCATCATAGTCGGTGGCACTCTGGTCGCCGCCTTTTTCGTCTACGATGCCTACACCTACCGTGAGGACCCGGACTCCTTCGACATCCCCGTCTCCGAGTACGCGTTGACGCCTCGACGCGGTGGGCCCAAGAATCTACCCATTGCAGAGTACTTTGTCTCGGACGACGAGCCAGAGTTTAGGGATCAAAAGCACAAGCCAAAGCTGGTGATATTGGGAACGGGATGGGCGAGTGTGGGGTTGCTGAAGCAATTGACGCCGGGCGAGTACCATGTCACGATGGTCAGCCCGAGCAATCACTTCTTGTTCACGCCTATGTTGCCAAGCGCCACCGTTGGCACGCTGGAGTTCAGGAGTTTGGTTGAGCCCATCCGACGGATCGTAAGGAAGGCCAAAGGACATTTCTTGAAGGCTCAAGCTGTGGATGTGGAGTTTAGCGAGAAATTGGTTGAGGTTCAGAGCTATGGTCCCACAGGCGAGAAGGAGAACTTCTACATCCCATACGACAAGCTCATTGTGGGCGTTGGTTCGACCACCAACCCACATGGCGTGAAGGGACTGGAACACTGCCATTTCCTAAAGGACATCTCAGACGCCCGCAAGATCCGTAATCAAGTCATCCGCAACCTCGAAACCGCCTGTCTCCCAACCACATCCGACGGCGAACGCCGCCGCCTCTTATCCTTCGTCGTCTCGGGTGGAGGACCAACAGGCGTCGAATTCGCCGCTGAACTTTATGACATGCTCAACGAGGATCTCTGCCGCTTTTACCCTCGCATCCTACGCAATGAAATCTCTGTTCACGTTATTCAGTCTAGAGGCCACATCCTAAATACCTACGACGAAGCCCTATCAAAATACGCCGAAGAACGCCTGGCCCATGACCAAGTGGACGTGCAAACCAACAGCCGCGTCAAGGAAGTCCAAGCCGACCGCATTCTCTACACCCAAAAGGATTCCGAAGGCAAAACCGTAACCAAAGAACTACCAATGGGTTTCTGCCTCTGGAGCACCGGCGTCTCCCAAACCGATTTCAGCCAGAAACTGGCCGCGAAACTAGGAGACCACCAAACCAACCGCCACGCACTGGAGACTGACACCCATCTTCGCCTCAACGGCGCCCCACTAGGAGACGTCTACGCCATCGGCGACTGCAGCACCGTCCAAAACAACGTCTCCGACCACATCACCTCCTTCCTCCGCACCCTCGCCTGGGAAAAGGGCAAGGACCCCAATGACCTCCACATCTCCTACACCGACTGGCGACAAGTAGCCAAACGCGTACGATCGCGCTTCCCACAAGCGGCGGATCATTTGCGCCGACTCGACAAGTTATTCGAAGCCTACGATAGCGATAAATCCGGGACCCTAGATTTCGCCGAACTATCAGAACTTCTGAAGCAGATCGACTCCAAACTCACCTCCCTCCCCGCCACCGCCCAGCGCGCAAATCAACAGGGCATGTACCTCGGCCGCAAATTCAACAAATTGGCTCACGCCGAGCCCGGACTGCGCGCGAATGAGATCTACGACGGCGATATCGACGACAGTGTGTACAAGGCCTTCGAGTACAAGCACATGGGGAGTCTCGCGTACATTGGCAACGCGGCGATTTTCGATTTTGGCGGGTTTAATTTTGGAGGAGGGTTGTTGGCGGTGTATCTGTGGAGGAGTATTTACTTTACGCAGAGTGTTAGTTTGAGGACGCGGATGTTGTTGGCGATGGATTGGAGTAAGAGGGCGCTTTTTGGGAGGGGTGAGCACCAACATTTTCTTCCGTCCTCCATTCCCCCATATTGACTCTTCTTATTCTGTGTCCTTGCCGCCCTGGTGGTGGAGCTGTGACACACTTGCTAACTCTTTTATGATGTGCAGACATGATGAATTACTAGGGCGTGGAATGTGCGCTGTCTGTATGCTCGAGGTGATGGGGAGTTAACGGCATGAACAGCATGAAACGATAGATATATGTACTGTACAGAAGTGGACGCGGCGTTCTGGAGCGCTGCAACAACAGTAGACTTGCTACGCCCATTCTTCGTTCAACGTGCATACTCGCGTTTCGGCTGGCTGAACTGTGCGTGATAGTAGATTGTGGCTATGATGTTTGTGCGGGAGGACGGCAGTAAGCAGGCAACATCTGGTGAGTGCTGGATTCACTGATGCGCTGGACTGTATAGGAACGCCGCCCCGGTTGCGATATGCCTTGATGAAAGCGCATACAGGCCGTAGGGTATCGCATTATTGACCCCATGGGGCATGACACATGTGATGGAGATTGCATAGCGTCATGCATGCATGCATTGTAGATGATATGCAAGGGCGATGTCACATTGTTATACAAGGGGTCACGAGCTCGGAGCACAACAGGCGGTCAATCTTTGATAACCAACGTTATCATGGATACACATCCAACGACACAATCCCACCTACACCCCAAGACTGGCAGAGGTTCACGATCGAAGACACCGGGACCACGACAAAGATGTCAATGGCGTATCTCTGGCTTGACAGCATGACACCCTACCTACAAAATACCTTCGTGGTCACGGCAATCTTCGCCCCGTGGCAGCTCCTCTTCCTCATTGCAGGAATTTCCGCTGAATACCTCCGATTCTGCCCGGACGACTAGGAGGTTACGAAAGGCACCCGGGCAAGAAAGGCAGCCATCGCTGTCAAAATCTGCGAACTCAAAAGTCTGGTAAGAGACTACAAGGTCAACTTCGTGGGAAAACGTGATGAGCTCCTCGACGAAGTCATGAGCTTATGGCTACACTCTATCCCGCCATCAAGAGAGAGGGATTTGGTGCTCAGCCTGGAGGGCTTGGAAGATATTCTTGTGCCTGGCAAGACAACACGGAAGTCGGTGCCGCTTGTTCAGACGTGCCATCGAGCCTCTATCTTCACGGCGGTACATTACTCATGCTTCCTGCATTGGCGCTCGGTTTCGGGGAAATCGATTCGGGAAAGTGCTTTGGACACGATGATAGGGGTAGGATATCTGCTGGTGGGAGGATTTGTGCTTAGGTGGCTAGGTGATCTCTGCGTATTGCTTTGGCGGCAGGTTTTGGACGAGGTAGAGCAGGCGCGTGAGAAAGAGGAAGGGGGGTATGAGTTTGTTGGTGGGCCGGGATGGGGAGAAGGGGGAGTAGTAGACTCCAAATGATGCTCGTTGACCAGTATGATATGCGAGCTAGATGCAGGGCTTCGTCATGGTGTTACCATCGTCAATGACCAAGAAGTAGTTGAGCCCGATCTTTCGTTCAAGCACGGCTTGTGGAACAATGGTCCTGGTCAGGTACATGGAGCAGGTTTTGACCTCACGTTGGGGTCATGGGTTGCTCTAGAAGCACACACACAACGAAGCAGGTGTGTCTGTGTGACTGTGTACTACCAGCAGGAGCGGAACTAGTGTCAGGCGTTGACACTCAACCTAATCTTTCTGCATTCATGTACTGTCATTCATTCTTCTTGCGTATGTAGACCCTTCATACCTTCGCTCCACTCCCAAATCTTCTCGTGTTACAAAATAAAACACTTATTGAGCCACGAAACAGACAAAGCACGAAGCTCCACACGACAACTTCAATCATGAAGCCCGAGATTAGCTCAATGCTGGCCCTGCTGCTTACCATTCTCATCGCCTCCGCCACTGGACTACCTACCAAGAGGCAAACCAGTCTCGATGAATGCGCGGTCGCTTCTGCCATCAATGTCCTCGAGGGCGGACCAGGTGAGTGGTGGGTTCCAAACCGTCTCTCGAATGCAAAATTGACCACGGGTAGGGTGGATCTGTCCTCAATAATCTAGGAGCCAACTCCCGAAGCGAGGGATGGAGATGTATGACCACGTGCGGACTCCGGGCAGTCGTTGAAAGTCTTCGCTAAGCATCCTCCACGATAATGATCCAGAGCATAGCTTGTTTATGATGGCCATTGAGAGACACTCATAGTGATGCGAAGGAGGAGGGCATCAACAGAACGCTCATTTGCAATGTGAACGCAGGTCTATTGATGTCCATGTCTCGCATGTTGTAGAATCTCACATTCTTGCTCGCTGCCGGCTTATTCCTGCACAATCCATCTTTGCTCATCGTACAAAATCTCGCACCAATAGATCAGCACCGCTCAGCGAAGGAATGACTTGACTACCTTATGTCAGGCCAATCTCAAAACTTCAGCCCAGCCTTACCACTATCCCTCTCCTCCTCACTCCCCATAACAGAATCCGACCTCCACACTCATCTTCCCGGGACTAACCACTTGCGTCCGACTCGGATCCATAAGCGCCCGCATCTCGTACGGACTCCCGCTCTCCTTGGAGTCTTTCGAAGCCACGGACTGATAGCCGCCCAAAGGTTTGGTAAGGGTATTGCTGACCTTACGAGCATGAGCCCGAACACGTTCCAGCGCGTTCGAGGAGACGGATGTGCGGCGAGATTGTGTGTGAGTCGGGGATGTGGCGGTGGGTGAGGGTGCTGAGCGAGGGGTGGTGAACTCTTCGTAGGTGGGTAGGGTGGCGGTGTTCTTTGGATCGGCGAATTGGCCTGATGGTGACGAGCGGAGGGGCTGAAGATGGTCCCACATTCGACCAGCGTCTGTTATGGCTTTTTCCCGGATCCAGCGTTGTCTGTGAGCAGAACGTGAGTATGGTGTCTGGCCTCGCCCGAGTGCTTGGGTTATGGCTCACTGTTCAGGATCGAGACCGGGTACTAAGGCAGAGTATTAGCATAACACCCGACCAGCACTTTCTACGTATGGTAGGCGACTTACTGCTTATATCTTCTCGCCTGAAGTCTATCGGTCCACTCTACTCATAGTCAACAAGTGGAGATAAGACTCCCTCAGGGGTAAGCACGACTCACGATCTGAAGTGCCGGCCTCTCCTCTTCCTCCTCCTCCTGCTTGTCACAGCACGACAAGATGTTGCGAAACCAGTCGCCCATTGTGTTGCCAGTTTTCTTGCCAGACATTTTGCCTAAGTCGGAGGAGCTTTTGCGTTTTATGTCTTCCTTTCAAGAGGGGATATAGTGTGTTGCTCGCCTCCCGAGACAGGAGTGTATGTCTCACGACCTAGATGTTGCAGATGCCAGAGTCGAATGTGTAAGACAACGCACGCTCACAAGACAACAGCAACGCTGAAACGGATCAAAGGAATGGTGAGCAGGAGCCAGATTTCGTGCAAAGGCACACACTTGAACGAGTGACGAGGGTGAGCCGTAAGCAACGCAATGCTGATAGAACGTGCAAAGCAGCTGATTGACAGTTGTATAAGACAACGAATCTGAAGCGAGTCGATGGCAGGGTACGAGGTCTCGAAGATTGGCAGTACTCGATCCAGTCACCAGCAGAAGCACTCCCTGCCTAAGTTGAGATTGGAGCAATCATAGACCAACTATCGCGTGGCCGAAACCACTTTCTTCATTGTCCTTGCGTAGGCGGAGTGACTGATAAGGTTCTGACGTGCATTCTTCGCTGACCTGGTTCCATTTTGCTGGAATGCGTTGGTGTATGAGATGCAGTGTGCGGAGTGAACGCCGTCAGACATTCTCCAGCGGTGTGCCGTGTACATATGAGTTTCCAGCCTCGTGCAGGATACTTATGCTAGGAGTATGGTGGTACATCAAGTCGATGTTGTACTGTGTGTAGCCAGTATATCACATGTATCGCACACCCAACCGCGCATGACGTTGCATGTACACTGGACTTTTTGTACAACATACCTTGCATAACGACGTCCCACGCCGCGTCTCGCCTAGCTGCATGAGAACAAAGGGCACTGCCGAAGCTCAGATGAAACTTCGACATCTACCTTACCGTTCGTCTAGCCAGGAGCCCAGCAGATGGCGATTACCGACAGGAGGGCTCGCCAGTCACAAGGAGAGTATCTGATGCATATATCAGTTGGTGTCTTCATTAGCAAGGATACATATCGGCTACCTTTCGTGCGATCCTTTCGAGCTTGAATCGAGGACGTTACACTTCGACAGTGGCGGTGTGCGTGGGTGCATATACCATGTGCATGCGCAACTCCCTGGTGGCTTATATTAATGCCTCTGTACAACAACGCTGTTGAGCAACGATTCTGGGCCATCCTTCACGTGCAATGGCTTCACGTCTCATCCATAACGTCGTCGTCCTCACCCACACCGGCCGGTAGCCTTCCCTCACTAAACGCCTTCTCCAGCTTCTGCACCTCAGCCAGTGTCTTCGCTTTCCGCACCAGCGCCTCGAACTTCTTCTTCTCCTTTTCGGTGATCGTGACCCGCTGTGCCTTAGCGCCATTCGCCATTGGTGCATTATAGCTCAATGGCTTATTCGACCGTACAGCGATAATGCTTTGCGCCAGATCCGTGGGTGCTTCCACTGTGCCGAACAACTCCTTTGCCTTCTCCCGCTCTGCTTCCTTGACCTTTTGGAAGTCGAGATATCGTATCTGCGGTGCTCGCCATAGTATCCAGTATCGATAGTTCTGCTGGTCATTAGCCTAGTCCCCTTTACCGTGTCCACAGTATCCTTCAATACGCACCTCTTTGCTCGCCACCGGACACTCCAGCAGACTCACATGCGTAAGCTTCGCAAAAGCCTGCAATGGATCCAAATCCGCCAATTCGCTAACATTATTCTGCGTCAAGACCAACGTCTTCAGATTCGGCGCACTCTTGGCAAGGCTCGGCTGTATACTGCTGATTCGATTCCGTGCACACAACAACGCCTCTAATCGTGGCGAGAGTGGGAAATTGCCGAGTGTCGTGAGATCGTTATCGGTAAAGTCGATACAGGCATGGTCGCCAGCAACACCCAAGTTCTCGATGGCGGGGATTTTGTGGCCTTGAGGTTTGGACTATGTATCAACTAGCTCTTTTTGTGTAGTATCTGTTCTTAGGGTCATCGTACCTCGTAGGTCGAGCTCGCGCTCTTTGAGTGGGTTGAGGTAACCTTTGTGCGAGTTGTTGATGAGTTCTGCTGTGAGCCTCATGGTGGCCGACGATTGATGGTGTGGTCGCTGAATATGTCTTGCGTGGCGGTAGAATTAGACTCTTGCTGGGGTGGTTTGGTAGACTCTCGATGAATATTATGAGCAAGGCACGTGCTCTAGATGGAGGAAGTTCGTTTTTGATGCGACAATTTTGGCGCGAGTCATGTGTGGCGCTAGCCTTGCGCCACGATGTTGATTCACATGCTGCCTCTCTTCCTTCACGATCCGACGATCCTTTTAATACACGCAGGCGGGATTAAGCCAAAGGTAAAAGCTGCCTCTGACCCTCCACACCAACACACAGCATAAGACTTCAGGACCACAGCTGTACATTGCTCTACACAACCACAACCATGGGCTCCGTTGTGATTCCCCATCTAGTAACAGGCTGGCACGTCGATCAAGCCATCATGTCCGAAGAAGACCGCCTAGTCGTAATCCGCTTCGGCCGCGACTGGGATCCAGACTGTATGCGCCAGGACGAAGTCCTCTACAAAATCGCCGACCGCGTGAAAAACTTCGCCGTCATCTACGTCTGCGACCTGGACCAAGTGCCCGACTTCAAACAGATGTACGAACTCTACGATACCGTCACCCTGATGTTCTTCTTCCGCAACAAGCACATGATGTGTGATTTCGGAACGGGAAATAATAACAAGTTGAATTGGGTGTTGGAGGATAAGCAGGAGTTGATTGATATTATTGAGACGATTTATAAGGGTGCGAAGAAGGGACGGGGTTTGGTGGTTAGTCCGAAGGATTATTCGACGAGGTATCGGTATTAGCTGGGCGTGGTATGGTATGCACGACGGTACAGCCCTGACATGGACGATCACTGGGCAACTGCTCTGGCTGTGACGGGCACCCCTTCACGCAAGAGTACACCGCGTCAACCAAGCCGAAGCTATCACCGAGGGAGCGATAGCGTTTTTGGTCGTGAGAGGGTCTTGGAGTGCTTCACCGGGAAGGCCAACGAAGCAATGACGGCGTTTTGGGCGCGAAGCCAGTATTGGTTGCGAATTTCAAACTTGGACTGGTTGGTCTCCCCAAGAATCTACGTTCTACAAACAGTACAATCTTGCTAATGCGATCATGTGTGAAGACCCGCTGCCTTCACATCGTCAGGGTGATCCTGAGCTGACCAGTGCGTGACGTTTTCTTCCGTGTACCTCGCACTGTCTGCACCTGGTGATAGTGCTTGACCACATGAGATTTGTTGCCGGTACGACAAGCAACAACAACCTCGAGCGGCTCTGACTAAAGCTGTGTACTGGAACATGACATATGGCAGGTAAGTACTCGTAATGAACGTTGGCTGTTGAAACCAGCTGTCCAGCCAAGCCTTTCTCACGAGGTGAGACAGTTGGGCCAGCAAAGTTTCTGCCTCCCAACCGCATGTCGCAGCCTCCAGTCCAGACGATGTTGAGCGAAGTGTGGTGAACGCTGTGTTCGATCAACCATGCTTGTATCGCGTCAACCATGCTCAAAGCTCGGTATGTTGGTGGCAGACTTTGATATGTGTATAGCTTGCCTCGGGAGTATGGCACATCTTGAACTTAGATCTCTTCACCGTACCGTGTATCGTGTAGCTACTGCAATTGCCTCATCCGGTTCTCCGGCAGCAACATCAGTATGGGAAGCACTCAGTACTAGTCTACGTTGCGTTGCACTATGCAATATACCTAATGATCGTCATGTCCGCAAACACTTCCGCCCCGATACCGCTGCTGTGTTCCCCATCCCACGTTTCCCATCTACAGTACCTCACATGCATAAGAAGGCGGGCGTTTCTCGGCAGCCCTGTGGCAGATCATCCGAAGCGAAAGCAGCCCCACCAAACGTCAGTCTTCTTGCCAGCTCTTTCGTGCGGTACCTTTTGCTACCGTACTGTATATACTCGAGCTCTTTTTCCTCCCGTATTACTCACCGTCGCGTCAGGCTTACATCTCACATCGCATCACTGTCCGCTGCTGCCCTGCTGATCCTTGCTGCTGGCCGAGAAAGGAAATAGAAGCTGGGATTCGTTATTCTGACATATTCTGGTAGCAAAATCCTCAGAGCTTTATTGCGTCAGAGCCTGTGTATACTTTGACACGCCGAAGAGTAACATCACCATCTATTTTCCTTACGATCTGCCTGCAACGGACCACTCGGCGTAAACCTCGAAGCCTTCTGCGGAGCTGAGCGGTTCAGCGCGGGATCCCAAAACGGCGGGTCAGACAATTCAGTCATCAGCGTGTGCAATACGCCCTGTAAGAAGCTTGACTGACCATCCATCTCAAGCCGTACAGGCGTCCGGGACTGCCGAGTCTGCAGTACGTCTCTGCTGCAGACACAGCTGAGGTGCAATCACCTGTTCACCTGGAAAGAGCAAGATAGAGATTGGTGGAATCGACACAATGGCTACTCCTGTACAAGAAGTATCTGAGGCGCAGGGCGTCCGCTTCGCACCACATGACCAGCACATATCTCCCGAGCAGAGCCTCCATGCTGTCGAAGATCTGACACAACATGGCAGTCAGAGGCGTGATGATCTGAATCCTGAGGCTGAGCAGGAACTTCAGCAATTGAAGACCACATTGCAGAACAACATCCAATCTTCGCGGATGCAACATCATGCTTTTGAACCAGTCTCATTACCTGGCTCTCAGCCAGCTTCGCGCATGCCTTCCGGGACTACCACACCAAGTCGACGGCTACCAGCTGGATCGGGTCATGGCACGCCGAAACAGTCTCCGCCTACATCTGCGGTACACTCACCTCCCCTCACGCCAGCTGCGACGTACTCTCGAGACGCCAAAGGTTCCATCTCCGGAGCCCCGGCATTGCGAAGTGTCATACCAGATGTGATGACACCACAGCGGTCGACCTCCCCTCAGCACGACGACAAACCATCACAAGCAACAGCGGCATCGGTAGAAAACGCCGCAGGCATAGCCGCGCATCCAAAGCCAACCCCAAGATTCTCGGTTGGACCGACAGATTCTAGTGAGGTCAGTCCGGCCGGCACGCCTACAGGCACAGCACCTGGCACACCAAGACTCTCTACATCCACTGCGCCTACCAGTGATCCACTGTCCTCCATCCCAGCTAAGCGACACTCGCAAAGCTCTAGGCCTACCAGCTACAGGTTTGGCGACCGGGACCCGACAGTAGGATATACGAACTCTGGGCTGGCTACCACAGCAGTACCACCTGTACCTGGAGCCATGACCAACAATGCTCCAACTCTACCACGGTCGAATAGCAGCGGAACAAGCTTGCAAACCTTCAGTGATAAGCGCTCTAGCATATTTGGAGGAAAGAAGCACGATGACAACTCGCAAGACAAGGAATCGCATAGCTCAAAGTCAAATCTGAAGCGATTCTTCAAGTTTGGAAGCTCTCACAAGCATGAAGACAAGCATAACTCGAATGGTGGCCACAAAGACGGGACATCGACACCACCAAATGGCGCAGCAGTGCAGTCCAGTGTGCCGTTCGCGGACGATCACGGCCTGCAATCGAAGTATGGCAAATTCGGCAAAATGCTGGGGTCAGGGGCAGGAGGCTCTGTTCGACTTATGAAGCGAACGGGCGACGGCACCGTCTTTGCTGTGAAACAATTCCGAGATCGCCACGCATACGAAAGCGAGAAAGAATACAACAAGAAAGTCACGGCGGAGTTCTGTATAGGAAGCACGCTCCATCACGGCAATGTCATCGAGACGATCGATATTGTGCACGAGAAGGGCAAGTGGTATGAGGTCATGGAGTATGCTCCGTTCGACCTCTTCGCGACCGTCATGACGGGCAAGATGGGAAGGGAAGAGATCTACTGCTCGACGTTGCAGATCCTGGGTGGTGTCTGCTACTTGCACAGTATGGGCCTGGCACATCGAGATTTGAAGCTAGACAATGTGGTGATCAATGAGCATGGTATTATGAAGCTCATTGATTTTGGAAGTGCGGTGGTGTTCCGGTATCCGTTTGAGAATGATGTCGTGCTAGCTACTGGTGAGCAAATCGCCTTTTGCATGGATGATCCTTGGCTAACGATTCCCAGGTGTCGTTGGTTCCGACCCTTATCTCGCCCCAGAAGTCTACGATCAATCGAGATACGACCCACGCCCGACAGATGTCTGGTCAATTGCGATAATATTCTGCTGTATGACACTTAGAAGGTTCCCATGGAAAGCACCAAGGCTATCAGACAACTCATACCGACTATTCGTCTCGCCTCCGGATCCCGATCAGGAGAAGCTGTTAGATCAGCACAGACGATCAGTCGTAGCGGAAGACCAACGCAAGCGATCGATCCAGTCCGCACCGCCATCACGCAATACAAGCGTAGACGAGTCGAACGACCAGGGACATCACCATCACCATCACCACACCGAGGGCGGTACCAACAGTGCACCCGGCAGCGAATCCGTAAGCCGCCAAAGCACCCAGAGCGACCCGAACAACCAACCCGTCATCAAGGGCCCACTGCGCCTGCTCAGACTGCTCCCGAGAGAGACCCGCCACATCATCGGCAGAATGCTCGAACTGGACCCGAGAAAACGAGCAACGACGGATGAGATTCTGGCGGATCCGTGGGTGCAGAATAGTCTCGTCTGTAGGCAAGAGGAGAATGGGGTTATTATCAAGGCGCCAAATCATGTGCATGCGTTGCAGCCGAGTAGTCCGCAGCCGGCGAAGTAGGGTTGTGTCGAATGGCGGGAGGACGAGGAGCGGGATTCTAGTCAGCGGAAGTGGTGGAGGGCTTGGGCGGGGAGTTCGTCGTGAGGGGAGTCTTATGTATACAGGATGGGGGAAGGTGGTGCTACTGCTTATGGCGTTCACTGGCAGGAGGCCGGCAGGATCCGTTATATGGCGACGTACAATACAGGGTCGTCTGCTGGAAAAGAAGGACGATGGATCTGTGGGGTATTTATGCATGGCGTTACCGTGATGACTGCTGGTGACTTATTTGCCTTTCTGGACACAGATTGCGTATATTGTATTGTTGACAGAACACTGACGACTACAATGCTGTGGTCATGACTTATGCAATGCCGAAACAGCATGGTCCAACGACAGGTTGTATAGCTCTTCGCGTACACATAGCCTACGAACAGAAAATATCTGAACTTAATGGCAAGCCGTTAACAAATCAACTGTGTAATCGCACGCCTTTAGCCGAGACTGTCCAAGTCTGATAACTATAGTCTATTCGAAGTGTAAAGTGGAGAGACGTCTGGGACATCATCGACTAGACATCAAGCCGACTATCGATATGACAGCGTCGTTTCGTGCGTACGCTGCATGAAACTTTCTTATCGGCATATAGTGGAAGTGAGCGAGACAAAGGAGGTGTCATCCCCTGCTGCTGTATGATGTAGACCAACACCGCTCATGACCGATCTTTGCTCGGCAGCTTTTGCTGCATTGATCGAAACACGACGCTTCATGTGAATTTTCGACTCCACCGACCAATCATATGGTGAAGCAGCTAGTTCTGACATAGCTTTTTCGTTCGCTTCTCACCGTAGTTCGTCCTTGGGATGCATGAGCGGAGCTTGTATGTGTGTACTGCTGGAGCTCAGCGTTTCATGTGTCGTGCTTTTGTTGCGTCTTTTCATGCGGTTTCCGATCCTTCGGTGACGTGGATGGCGATCACGCGAGATAGACGGATTGTGAGATGGACGCCACTGGGTCTTCGTGCTGCTGTTGGTTAATGATCGAATAGGCGATCTTCTGCGACTGTGCCGCAAGTCTAGCCTGTTGGTTCATATCGAAGCCAAGGCATGGTGAGCTTCAGTCAACCCAAAGAGGTCATGACATGCCCAGACGTCGAGACTGGTCGTGCCACACGATACTAGAACTAATCATCCCTGCACGTCTCATGCAGCCACTATCGCCCCAGAAGACCCTTCAGTTCGTACAGAGCTGACGCAACGCCGCACACAAACATGAGCTCTCCAACAGAATGTAGCTCGAGCTTTATCTTGCTCACGAAAATGCCCTGATAAGCGTGCGATACTAGCCAACTAAAACGTCCGTTCGCCAATGCAAGTCCAGAATCTTGCCTGCTTGCGCCGCTGCTACGCCGTTGGAATCTGAGCCGAAGAACCAGTCCGCATCGCTCGTTGGTTGGCGAAGGCTTTTTTCCACACCGGCCAGCAGCCGAGCCTCGCCCTCAGGTCATGGTGGTAGTTGCCCTTCCCTTCTCATGCCAAGCAGACCCTCACTGCCAGTCATATAGCAACGTGCGCGCCCGCTGCCTCTCAGCTAGCTCTTTGACGATGTGAAGAGTTCGGTCATTCTCTGCTTTTCTGCGCGGCTATGGGGCGAACCCACTTGCACCCGATTCACATTCACCTCGCTAATAATTCGGCTGCGGCTAATGGAAATGGGACGTTCTTGTCGACTGCGCAGCAACAACAGCAATATGTCAACGGCAATGCTATTTCACCTTTGAGATTAACGCCGAGGGAGGATTCTACGAGGGTGCAGTTGCAGAGACAGCGATTGAAGGATCAACCGGCCAGTGCGATTGTGAGCAAGAATATTCCTGGGTTCAGAACTTCGGCTGGTACGACCAAAATTTATATTGCAGTCACGAGACCGGTATATTGACTTGATATAGCCTTCTTTGCTTCTCTTCGGACGAATTTACGACTTCACGCTTCACCTCCTTCAAGCCCCATCTCGACCCCACCGTCGATGCGAGGATCGACCACATCGCTACCACCACCCTCTCCACTTTCGCAGCCCGTCGACTCGCCAATGGCGGACACTCATCCTGCCGAGGATCCTTTGGCGGACGTGCCTGAGTTGAAGACATATCTCGCGACTGAGCACGACGAAAAGGTCGACGCCCTGAAACTCACGGCAGACAGTATTGCTCAGATGAGGCAGACTGCCAATAACATCTTGATCACCAACCCCGTGAATATGGCAGTCGTCGTTGCAGTTTTGGCGCTCGTGGCTCGATATATGGTTGAGAGCAGAGGAGACGCATGGGTAGCAGGAACCACATGTGCGGGTATCATATTCACGGTCCTCGCGGCATGTCGTTACCTCACGCAAGAGTACATTTATACGGCTGAGACGATCAACTTCGAATGGTTGGGCGAGGCGGATGTGATAATCACGAAGTTTGGTGACGAGATTATTGGCACGGTCATTGTGGACTGGATATCTGGAGAAGGACGGCAGAAAAGGAAGAAGGCTTGGGTCGGCGAGATCAAGGCTTGGACTGTCAGGTTGAAGTATCGAAAGAAGGGCGTCGGAAGTGCATTGCTTGAGGAGGTGGTGAAGGAGGCGAAGAAGAAGGGCGCAGAGACTGTTGAGTTTGCGGACGATCATGCTAGTATGTTCAAAACTGGGTTAGTTTTTCACACTATGCTGATGTTTCAACAGATGCGAAGAGAATTCTGCCAAGCTTCTACAATAAGTCGTTTGAGACTCGAGATCGGAAGGCACGCGAGCTGCTCGCTGATCTGCTCGAAGCTACCCCAACCAAGGGCAAGAGGAGATAGATGTTGTATCTCAGACACGTTGCTATATTTCTGCCATCACGCCTGCCACGCTACGCAAGTGAGTGCGCCTGATGGAGTAAGTCGACGGCTCTTAGTACCATGAATAAGAAGCAAATTCTATGTAATGCCGCATTGCCGCGTCTGCTCTTGCAGAGCCATCAATCATCGATTGAAGGCTGCGGGACCTGATCTAGTTCTGTGGACATGAAGTCATCCCAATCTATGGGCTTCCAGTCCTCCCTTGCAACACCACACTCTGGACATTCCCAGTCCAGGAGATCTGCCTCGCCAAACTCGCAACGGAAAACAACACTGCAGTTACTGCTCGGGCACCTATAGAGAGGAGTGATTGGCGCACGGCAAAGGGCCGAGGCCACGTCCGCAGCGAAACCTAGTGTCCTGACGGCCATGGCCTGGAAGTAGGAGAACTCTGGCTTCTTATTGTCGAACAAGTCCGACTTGTGCCTCAGGACGACCTCGAGCAGTGTGTCGCGTAGTTGACGTCCTTGATCTGCAGTAGTCGTGTAAGCCTCCTCGATTGCATCTGCGAACCCCACTGTTGTCCATCCGTTGTCCCGCTCGGTGTAGTAATCGAGCTTGCTGGTGGCGATTCCAGGTAAGTGATCGACGAAGTACTTCTCGGCAGCCGCAACCATGCGCACGTTGACAAGCATAGGAGTTGTGGCTATCTCGGCATCATCGTACTCACCGTGATAGATGTAGTAGAACATCTTACCCATGACATCAGGGTCGTCGTCGTGCAGCTCGATGCTGCTGCTTTGCGCCTCCTACCACGACAAGTCAACTCGTGAGAACTGCGCTGGTCGGACGTCATGCTCACCCTGAAGTCATCTTCGAGTGCTTTCGCGAAGAACTGGGATCTTGCACGGAGTATCACCTTGTGTAGAGACCAGCTGGGGTCACCAAGAGTGACCACGAGGTCGGCGAAATTCTGCGACTTGAGGAGACTGTGTAGCATTTCACGTCAGAGGCATGCAGAAGCAAATGATGTAGGCAGGCTTACTTGGACACTCCCTGCAGCAGCGCATCGTCGCCTGCCCTTTTGCAGAAAGCGTAGTTCAGAGCCATGGTGACTTCGCAAGGATGTCGTGAGGGAGTCAATTGATGTCGAACATCGAAGTAATGCAGCAGTCGATTGGCTAGGCTCGAGTATCATGCCGCTAATGACACAGCTCGAAAGTGGAAGGAACGATCGACGGCCGAGCATTCACATGTCAGATGAGGTGAGGTGGGTGATACCATCTTCATTGATCCCTTCGCTCGTGCTACTCCTTCTTCTTCCCAATCCTCGGCAGTCCCATCCACAGCATCCAGATCACCGCAAGCAGCGCCACGATGATAGGCTGCAAGACCTGCACGCCCTTCGCTTGCGCGATTGCTCCAACCGCGAAAGGGAAAATGGCACCTCCGCTGCCACCAAATGCGGCTGCGAAGCCAATGCCCGAGACATGTAGATGCTTCGGCAGCAGTTTGGTGCATGCTACCATCGCGGCCGGGAACATCGGACCAAGGAAGAACCCTTGGAGTGAGACTGCCACGGCTGAGACATAGAATTGTGGTACTAGCCAGAAAAGTAGTTGGAGGCCGAGCGCGATTGGGAGGTAGATCTGTTAGTCGTCAGTCAAAATAACACTTATCACACATTCAATGAGCTTACAGCAATAGCCAGCTTCTCACCGATCCTAGGCGTTACAAAGCCCAATATCACTCGTCCAACAGTAATGCCTAGCCAGAAACCAGTGGCAGTCATACCGCTCGCAAAAGGAGCTCCGTGTCGGACACGAATCATGAAAGTGACGATCCAACCGCCGAGTGCGACTTCGATACCAACGTACCCGAGCAGGAATAGTGCGCATAGCCAAACGACACGAGCAGCAGGTCGCTTGAGAACTGCCTCCCTGAGTCTTGAACCACCTGCATCACTCGTGCGAGGATGTGCATCACGGAAGACCTGTCCAGTTGCGCCCCAGAACGCCCACAATGAAGTCCCTATCTCGATCGCAGTAGCACCGATCTACCATATGTTAGCATCTAGGCACTTTAATAATTCTACACTTCACCATACCATAATATAATACCAGTAGTACCACGGTAGTCCAGCTTTCGTAATCATAGTCGTAGCTATGAGGGGCGCAATCGTGGCGCCAAGACCGTAGAAAGCATGCAAGAATCCCAAGATCTCATTCGCGTTGGCCATATTGCCGATCCAGGCATTCCATGCCGAGTCCTCGAGACCATTGCCCAAGCCCGCGATGATGAACACAATCACCAAGACCGGATATGGCGGATGGACTGCAATGACGATATAAGCAATCATGTGGCATACTGGTCCAAGGAACGCAATGCCACGTTGCCCAAATTTGAGATGGATGGAGTTGTTGAGCAGAGCAGCCGCGTTGTAGCCAACGAATGGTGACAAGAAGATGAGCGAGACTACTACGTAGCTCAGGTCGTAGTATGTCTCCAGATATGGGATGATCGGACCATAAGTGGCGTCGTTGGCGCCCATGATCAGGAAGGACCAGAAGGTGGCGAAGACACGCCACATATTCTTGCGTGGGTAGTTCCATCTTTCGAGATGCTCGGCTGCGATCGTTGGTGATGGTAAGGTCTCGTTCCTGTCGTCGTTTCCGTGACTTTGATTTGATCGGATGGACTTCAGACTACGGCCGCCAATGGTCGCTCGTTTATTCGAGAGGCTGAATGCGTCTTCCTTTTGATGGATTGCTTCCAGCTCCATGATGGCTGTTGAGCCTCCTGCATTCTGTCTCTCCATACCCAGCTTGCTCCAAACGAGCCAAACGATATCCGTTCAGGGAAGTGAATGCAGAATCTTGATGGGACAAGTAGCTTGAGGATCTGAAAGTTGCGATTGATGTCTTCCTTACCATCAGCGGCAAGTGCGTCTTATACTTAAGTGCTGAGAAGTCAGACAACTGGCACTTCTACGTACGGCGGAAAACCGAATGCCGCATCGTCTTGGCATGCACTTGGAAGTGAAGTCGATCGATCTCGTTGCAGCATGACCGCCTGCGGCAAGTCTTAGAAGGGCAACTCAACCCGACCGCTTATCCTTCGGCCCAGCTCATGTTTAGTCATCGCGCGTGACTCTTACCCTCATAAACTCACAACCTCGCGATCATTATTGCTACAGTGGTTAGCAAGCAGTGTCGGAGTCGGTGAGATGCTGTCAACGCCGTAACGTCAAGGAGAGTGAGCTGGCAATAAGTCGCGCCACCGTGAGCATTCTGGCAGCGTCTGTGCTTGGGTACGGATAACCTCATCTATCATATCAAGCACGACGACAACGGGCATACTCGTCCAGGATGAACGTAGTCGATGCGACTGACCGCGCAGAGGCTCACGAAGACCTCGAGCCGCCATCGCTACTTACCATCATCCTCGACACTAATCCACATGCCTGGGCACTGCTAGGTGACAGTCTGCCACTATCCAAGGCAGTAGCCAATCTCCTCGTCTTCATCAACGCTCACTTGGCTATCAACTATGCCAATCGAGTTGCCGTTATAGCCAGCCACGCCGAGAGAGCGGCATGGCTATACCCTACTCCTGCTCATGCCAGGAAGCAAGAGACGCAGATGAACGGGAGTGTGAGCAATAGCCATGCTCAGAACGGCGAAGGAAGAGGAGGTGCTGTGCAGCCACCTGACGATGCCAACAAGTACCGGCCATTCGCACAGATGGAGTATGCTTTCATGGACAATCTGCGCAAGCTCATGGACTCAACGACCACAGAAGCAATACAGTCTTCTCCTTCTACAATGCTGGCTGGAGCGCTGACACGTGCTTTGGCCTACATATCTAAGCAGACCTCAACCGTTCCGACCACGACTACGAATGCCCAGTTCAACTACTCGGACCCTTCTTCTGTAGCTGGTGGCAATGATCTGAACAACGATCCTACCTCTAATCAGACGACACAAGGTCTGACCAGCCGAGTCCTGATCGTCTCCGTGTCTGGCGACCTGGCGGACAAGTACATTGAGATCATGAACTCCATCTTTGCCTGCCAGCGCTTGAGCATCCCCATCGACATTCTCAAGCTTGCCGGCGATCCTGTCTTTCTACAGCAAGCTGCTGACACTACTGGTGGAATCTACATGTCACTGTCAACACCACAAGCACGAGCTGGTCTGCTACAGTACCTCATGTTCGCCTACCTACCCGATCAGACAGCGCGCGATCACCTGATCATGCCTGGTGAAGGTGAGGGTGTAGACTTCCGAGCTGCTTGCTTCTGTCACAAAAGGGTGGTAGACATTGGCTTCGTATGCAGCATTTGTCTTAGCATCTTCTGCGAACCTTTGGCAGATGGGACATGTCTGCTTTGTGGTAGTCATTTGAGCATGGCGAACTATGGCCAGAAGCCGGCTGTTGTTCCAAGGAAGAAGAAAGGGAAGAAGAAGAGGATTGCAGATAGTGGTGTTGACACACCAGGAAGTGGTAGTGGGACGCCTATTCCTGTTTAGTGAGATGGTGGCTCTTGTCAGGTTGAGGCCGTAATGGTCCAAAACGTGAGCTGTACATCGCTCATAGCCTTCACGCTGCAAGGTAGCTGGCCTGCACGCTTACTTGAGGGATATGATGACTCAGACGTGACCCCGAGCTGTTCATTTGACCCTACGCAGAACACTGGAGCAGTTGAAGACGGTATGCACCGTAGCATGTTCCTCGACCAAGCTTCCTGGAGACGCTGCCTGGTATGTTGCCTCTGTCACACTGTAACAGATGATCCAGGACCGCTGCTCTGAGCTCGCTGTCAGAGCATCTTCTCGAGCATGCAACACGACCCTCATGACGGAACGTGCACCAGACCTCTCATGTCAATCCGCCATACCGCAGCACAGCCGCACACGCTACACTTGCCACAAGATTTGACTGTCCGGGCCACTGCGCACAACGTGTCCGTTATGCTCGGCACGAAAGACACAGCTTCGGGTCCTCGTCCTTGGAACTCGAGAGTCCTCGGATCAGATCACGATGAGCAGGACCCGAGATGCACTACGTGTCACGAGAAGGTGGCCGCAGCATGCGACCTCCGTACAACCATGACTTTTGTCCCGCACATCATTGCACGGCACGCGAAGCTGCAGGTACGAGGTTGGTGTGGTACAAGCCTATATTGCTTGCATATGCATATGCGACCACTTGAGCGACCTCGGCTTAGATGCTCCAAGATGTGGCACAGTGTGCACTGTCGTCGCGCAGACACGAAGTTCATGCATGGTATACGCGGAAGACGAGTTGTAAGGGCAGCCACAATCACAAGACACAACACAGCTCGACCACAATGATGTGCGAAAGACATGGAGACTAAGTGGACACGAAGAAATGCTTCAGGACGACGATAAGATACAGTCAGTATATATAACTCAGCCGTGAGGCCCATTCGTCTCAAACGCCCATGCTCAGTTCGTCTCATGTTGAGTTCTGTGCATGACCAGACCGTTCCGTTTCCATGGCCCTTGCCAACGAGCGTGGTTCGCGCCGAAGCACACTCTATGTATATTGCTCGAAACAAATGCTGAAAATCAAATCCGCAGTCAAAACCATAAGATATGCGCCTGCGCTGATGAGAATGCCTATGCCATAAATCATGGGCCGAAGCCGCTAAATGCTGTCGTGAATTTCGGAAAGTGTAGAAGGGTATCATACAATCAGATGGATATAAAGCACGCTCGCTAAAGTCGAAAGTCTTGTTATGATGTCTTTTTCTGTGCATAGTATGATCGGTATGAATGTTCATATATATGGGTCGGTGGCCTCACAAGAACCCTCCGTTCTGAACACCCTGCTGCAAAGTCTCCGGCGGCATGTTGGCGCGAATGTCTTTGGGATTACGGTAGCCGTTCGTGCTGCCCGAACGGCTCGACGGCAGCGTGCTTGGAGGAATCGAGGTCTCGCTGAGCTTGCTTTCCATGTCTGGCATTGGAGGCGGTGGTGGTGGTGGCAGCTGTTGATCCTGCCCTCCAGCCGTCATTGCTAGTTCGTAGGGTGACTTTGCTCTGGCTACGCTTCCGCTCCGAGAGTGGTGACCAGCTGGCATAGGAGGCGGAATGCTCTCATATGGCGCATGTGGCTGAGGCGTACCGGAGCCCGTCGGAGGTGACTTTGCGCGTGAGCGGGACTGGCTACGCATGCGGTCGGTATAGCCTCTGAACCGAGAGCCGAAAGTCTCGCTGACGCTGCCTCTGCCTTGTCGGTGACTGGTTGGCGAGCTTGTCGTCGACCTCTCCATAGGCTGTGGGTAGTGAGGAGGAGTGGAAGTAGGGTAGTGCGTCGAAGGCAATGTAGAGGACAGTTCTGAAGCCGAGCTACCGCCGATAGCAATGCTAATAATGTCCGAGCTTACTGTACTAGCATTGTGAAACATCATCGGCGGTGGTGGCGGAGGTGGTGGTCCGGCAAGATGCTGAAGCTCTGGCAATATCGGAGGCTCGTTGTCGTCATGCGTTGGCTCGTCGTTGAGCACCAGGATCTGCTGCTCGTTGTTTGCAATCGTCTCGTCGATGCTCACTGGTGTGATTGGCGGCACATGGTTGTCTGGCGGTGAGATCTTGCGTACATTGCCCCGCATAGCAGACAAACGACGGGTGCTTGGCAGAGTGGATTTGTAAGCAGGATGTACGCCAGTCACATTGTTGTCGATGGGGGCCGAAGCTGAACGAGGAAGACCTTGTCCTTTTTGACCAAAAACTGTGGATGGTAGCAACGCGGCAAGCCCGTCACCTTCGACTGGCGATCTGGGTGGATTCGAAATCCCAGAGACTTGACTTGGCTGCGTTAGATAGGAAGCCTGGTTTGGAATAGACGAGGTCTGACTGAGGTTTGATCCAGTGATCTGACTCAGCGCTGAGCCAGTGATACTTCCACCAGAGGATATCTCGCTGTAGGCAAATGGCATGTCGGGCACCGGTGGCGCGGCTCCTTGCTCGCTGGACTCCGTGCTGCCCATTGGGCGTGGATTGCGCATGGCTCGTGGAGTCGCGGGCAGACCCATTGGTGGAAGCATCGGCTTGATCGTGATCGGTGACTTGTTCGTGGGTTCTGGTTCCACCGTGTGGCTCCGAGACAATGGAGGGTGTGCAGAACGCGGACTGTCACCTAGCTCCGTATTTGACCGAGGCGCCATGCTTGGCCGGATCACTGGTGGCTGGAAGTCCAGCGGCATCGGTATCTGGGGGGCTGATGGCCGGCGAGCCAGCGAGAGACGGCGGTCCTCGAGCTCCTTAGCAGCCAGTTCTCTCCTGCTAAGACCACCGAACCTCTTCCTCCCGCTCGACGCATTTGACATAGATGACACCGAGCTCTGGTCCTCCGTAATGATGTCGTGCGATAGATCCGTGCCAGGGACACCCACCCGCTGGCCGGTACCGTCTTGACGACGACTGCTTGATCTATCGCGATCCTCTCGGCTTGCAGCTCTTCGGGACTGGAGGTTGTCAAGTCCTCTATTGGAGCTTACCGCTCGGATACGGAAACGTCTACCGTCGCTCTCGGTGTCGTCGTTCTCGGCAGCAGCCTTCTTCTCTGGCGAAATCGGTAAAGGCATGGATGGTGACCTTTCCAATGCGCCTGGGCCCTTCGCTGCATTCCGACCGCGCTCCCTATCTGCAGGAAGTGGTATTCGTTGACGACTGGTTTCGCGTCTCAGAGTACGAGCTTGTCTAGACTCTGGTCTTGTAATGGTGACTCCGCGGTGTCTCTCCGCCGGAGAGATAGGGGACACAATGGGCGAGGCCACTTTGTAGAACTCTTCGTCATCAGTCGTTGCTGGTTCGACTGCTGCTGGCTTTTGCCCGGCGCGGGCCACCTCATCTGGCGACATTGGAACTGGCGATGCTGGTGATCGCTTTGGTGCCTTGATATAATGCATGTTGTCCCGCGGTCGTGGTGCAGAGGTATCCCTTGATCTGCTGGTCGTACGTGCTGGACGACTATCCTCCCTTCGCCGACTATCTCCACGTTTACGGCTTGGCGCTCTGGACCGCTCACGTCTAGCTGAGCTGCGCGCCTCGTCGACACTGTTGATGTAGTTGTCGATGGCTCTCGTCTTGTTGCTCTTGTCGGTGAGAGACGGGCTCAACGCCTCGCCGTGCGCCTTGTCGGTACTCGGACTATACATAGCATCCAATTTGGCCTTGGTCAATTCTATAGCAGGTGAGCGAGCCTCAAGATATCGTGTTTGTACGACATCAACGGCCAGGCCTGTGCGTTTGTCGTTGCCAGTATTGGACCGCACTCGGCGATGTGTATGCGGATCGACAATCGGAGATAGCAGTCGGGACTCATCGTACGCAATGGGAGCCAGTCTCTCGACATCATAAGCACGTGATCGAAGCGCAGTGGCAGGCTCCGGCAGACTGGTGTTGGACGTACGGCTGTCTGGCCTCATCGTCGGTGGTGGCGGGGCTGTGAACTCACGCGACGCCGTCATCGGTGTCACCAACTCTGCAGCCTCTTTCTGAGCGCGTTCTATTTGATCGCGCGATGGGAGACGTCTGCGCTTAACGAATCCGCCAGGTGTGGCCGTTCGTGCCGAGGACGGATCACGGCTGCCCTTCGGTCTTGCCTGACGCCAACCTCCCCCCGGACTTAGGGCAGATTCTGCAATGGGCGTGGTTCCAATGTTATTGTTCGGTGCTTGGGTAGTGATCTTCTCGCCGAAAGAGGTTATAAGCTTGAGCGATGCATTCTTGGCAGTAAGACGTCCAGATGCTGATCGTGATGGAGGTGAATTTGGTGGGCTAGTGAAGTAGCCAATGCTTCCAGGATCTTTCGTCTTCTGCTCTTGCGCTGCAAATGCTGCTTCTTGTTGAGCACGAGGGGAGACCCATGGCACAGAAGTCTCAGCGGCTGCACACGAGAAGCAGCGGACTGCGAGTTCTGCCTGACCTTGCTGAACAGCAATCTCCCCCCATTTGCGGACCAGGAAAGCTTGTCGGCCCCAGTCAGATGGGTTTTGGAGGCAGGAGAGTAGCAGAGCCTCCATCCAATAGCCCATCGAAACGTAAACTTCGATAGCATCATCATACTCGCCCAGTCCTAGTAGAATGGCAACAGCCGGATGTATGTCACCTTTCTCGAGTAGTCGCTGTACAAAAGCTTCACCGACTTTCTTCTGGGAGTCTTTGCCAATCGAGCTCAGGGCGAGAAGCATCCAGTCGGAGGATGTCATAGACTCAGATCCAACCATGGAGGCCATACTGTCAGCGCCCACATCACCGAGCCATTTTGCGAGTAATACGGCACTGGCTGATCCAGACCTATGCCGCGACAACTCATCTTCAATCAGGCTGCGAATGTCCTCGTGCCAGCCAAAGACGGTACTCAGCATCTCACGCTGTAGTAAGTCGGCGGTACGCAAGCCATCGCCATAGTGGGGAGTCCGGAAGTCGACTTCCCGTAGACGTGCCTTCGTGAATGGGAACAGATCCATGGCGGCATACTGCGTCAATTCATCCGGGCTGCGCATGACTTCCCTCCGCAGACTAGACGTTCGCACATGTTGAGGTCGAGATGCGAGTGAAGAGACGGAGCGTATAGACATGCTCTCATGGCCGGAGCGCTTGAGTATTTCGCCTTGAGAAAACTCGGTGCCGTTGTATCCAGTCGTGGTGGAAGCTCGGGATGAGTCTGGAAGATCATAGAGGTATCTTCGTGCTCTCCGACTCTCACGAGACGATTTCGAACTGACAGAAGAAGCCTTGCTCGATGGGCTCAGAGGCGTAATTTTGTCTCTGAGCTCAGACTCCAAAGCGTCCAGAGTGTCCATCTCTTTCGCAATCTTCTGTAGCGGCGACAATGCTCCACCCTCGTCTGCACTGCTTTCAGTGCCGCCTAAAGACTCTGTGGTCGGTAGTCTGCTCGACGACCTCGTGATAGAGTTCTTCCTGCGACTGTGGCTTTCGAAATCTGTGGGTGGTGTAGGCGGAGTGTTTGACGGTGGGTGGGCAACACTGCATACTTGCATAGGCTCCTTCCCAGGCGTAACGTCGTACTGCTGTACTGTGTGATTTCGTCCAAGGGTAAAAAGAGTAGCCGTTGCACCAAAATTGGCCATTGCTACAATTCCATCTGCAGTTGGTATAACTTCAAACGTCACACGCTTGGTCCGCACGTCCCAAGCTCGAGTTTCCCTAGCGAATTGTTAGCAAGCATTCGCACAGCCTTACAATTGCATGTTGGCTACAATATATCACGCAAGCTATACGTACCCTTCTGCGTATTGGACGATGCGCCCATTCTTTGACCACGCAAACCAACAAGGTCCCGGAGCTTGCAACTCAGCCCTCTGCAGGACGCGAATGATTGTTGGAACAAGGTCTTGGTGTGGTACTTTCGGCACGCTCCATACTCGTAAGTCACCATCTGAAGTCTGGGTGGCAAGCATATCAGTCTTCTGCTTTGACGACGAGCCATGCCAGGAGAGGCCAGTGATGCGCGACGGCGCTCTGTTGGTAGTCAAAGTATGCAAGATTGTAAAGGACGGTTGTAGAGTTGCAACTAGGATTGAGCCGTTGAGGTAGCCTATAGCGAAGGTTCGACAGTCGAAAGATGGCGCGAGTGCAGTGACAGGATCGAAAATGGTCCGTGCGGCGATATGCTCCGATGTAGACGGCTCGAAGAGGATGATGTTACCCTGATCGTTGCCAAATGCAATGTTACCATTACGAAGGAAGCTTGCGACGCGCATATGCTCGTAAGCTGAGAAGCGAGCGATCTCTCCTCCAGTAAATATGTCCCATACTATTGCAGTGCTACCTGCATCGTAGCTGACCGCAAGCCGACCACATCCTCGCTCGCTAGCATTGTCGACTTGTATCCACACAATATCCTCGCGATGCAGATCAAATCGTCGCTCGATCGCAAGTGTGTCGTGGTGTACCACCAGTATTCGACTCCGCTGAGCATAGAGTAGGAAACTCGCCGTTGCTGCGCAAGGCTCGAAGCCTTGGTCGCCATTCTCTGGTGTCAAGGCTGGCTGAGGTGGCTGTATTGCTGCACGGGTCTTCGATGGTCGGGAGGAGTGTGAGCGTTTCGATGCTGAGGATGAGGATCTCTCATGTATAGTTTGTCCTGTAGACATTGTGCGGCACGCTGCGTGCACAGTGTCAGTACAGGTCGGACGATCTAAGCATGGCCGGGAGGTCGATCAAAGTGGTCGCAGAGTAGGCCGCCAGCCGGAAGTGGCGAGTGTCAGGTATATGAAACGCTTGTGTGGTTCTCGAGGGGCCAACGTAACGTACCAGAGCATGCGCGCTACACGAGGAGTGAAGTCACTTGGACCGGCCTGAGCAACCAGAGCTTCCTAGTCGAGCTCTCGTGCGCTTAATAGGCCCCACTCTGCCGAATAATGGACTGTGGGCTCTGTGCAGCGGTCGAGATGCAGGCAACCGCGCTTAGAGAGCGAATTCGAAGGAGCGCAGAAGCCAAGCTGCAGGTCGAGTGTAGACAGGAGTAAGTATGCAATGTGCGTGCAAGTAGAGCTCCCAGCAGAGCGCCTCCCGACGTAATCTGATGCCCAGTCAAATCGGATTTGGGCGGCTAGATATTGAGTGAAGCGAAGGCCTAAGTATACACCTGCGCAGATCGCCACAATATCCGTTGCAATTCTGGCATCCCGGTCGGCAAGCAATGAGAGCAAGAAGCGGCCAGGCGAGTGTATGAAAGGCTGGGGACGGGCACCTATGAGTGATGAAATGGGACAAAGTACCTGGCCATTCGCTACGGTTTAGGTACGCCAGAGGGTCGACCCGGGACCGTCGACGGAGTTCTGAACCCTTGAGGGCCATCGAACGGTCCGTCGAGAGTGGATACCTATTTCTGAAGGCCATGCGCTCGAGTTGGCACAAGTGGCATGCGGTTTGCGTGTGCGAGGTGCTGCAGTTGGCGCTGGTAGACGACAAGCTCGAAGTCCAGCTAGCCAATCACGAGCCAAAAGTAACCAGGACCTCCGCTTCGGCAAGCCATCCCTGCTCGCTAGCGTGTGACTCGGCCTGGTCGACGAGATGGTCACAGTTTTGTATATCTGATCTCGTCCCGTCTTGCTTGTTCATGACTAGAAGGCTCTCCATTTTTGTTACAGCGCTGACACAGTAGTGATTTTGCGTCAACTTCATCTTCACCACCACGGACGTCTCGTTCCTGCATTAATACTGCAGGCCATGAAGATGACACGGCCTGAGAGCGCGAGGAACAGGAAATCAAGCGGTCAGCCAGGTCACGAGCTCTGCTTTCGGGTGCCATCCCAGGCCAATGGCCATTCGTGGACCTTGCATTGGGCCGTTTGTCGAATGTAACGCAGTATGTTCGTTCCGCTGTCGTACAACAGCTTGACGCTGCAGAGGAAATAAGAGGCTGTCGTTCGTCCTCTGCTTTCTCCATTTCTCCTGCAAGCACTTTCTCAGAAACAAATGCAGGAGAATTCGTTGGACAGCATGGACTGCTGCACCTCCGAGTAACAAGTGACTACATGAGGACAGACGTGCCAGGGTGCTCGGCATAGATCACATCGTTCCGAGAGTTCACGTGTTGAAATTGTTGGATCTCGCCCATGGGCAAGATTGCGATACACAGCCACCATAATCAACACGCCTCACTTCTGTGAATGTTGAGAACGGCCAAGCTCGTCACAATGTCAATTGGGAAAGATAGATAGTGTGTGGAGATGTAGTTGCAATATTCAACCATTGAGAGAAACTACATAACCGCCGACACTAAACCCTGCTCGGACTTTCCTCCCACGGCCCACGCCTCGATATCCGTGCAGATCTCCCATCCAGATTTCCTTTCTCCACGCTTTCCATCACAGCAGTTTCTCGGTTGCAACCCGCGTGCAGGTCCACTGTCACGCAGCAGAACCATTGTTCGTGCTTCCAAGGTCTGTCCCTTTGGGCCCTTTGGACAGCAAAAGCTGCTGGTCGCCGCCACCAAGCCATGATACTGCAGCTGTGCGGCCGGCGCACGACGTATTTCTCTGTCAACGATGCACGCAGTCCAGACCTGTGGGATCATGATAACCTGTGCCGTTGTCATACATCTGGATCTGGAGTGCGAAGCATGGTTTGGCCCCGGCTTGGCTATGGAGTGTTGTTCGCACCATGACACCGTCGAATTGTCGTCAACTCATTGCCGGACCTCGAGGATTCAGAGGTAGGCCTGCGTTGTCGAGCATTTGGTGACATCTGAAGGACCGAATTCGAACGACAGTCGTGCCAGCGACGATCATTCGTTCGTCGATAGTCAGTTCGATCTTCCATTCGATATCATGATTGATCGGTTTCGTCTTTCTTTGTCCATATTGAAGGACGGTTTGGTTCATGTATGAATCTTTCCTTCATGTCTTGAAGGTGACTTTGTGTGCTCTACTAGCTTTGCTTTTGCTGTGAGAAGAGCTTGTTCGACGGGTCTTCGTTACTGGTGGCAACAAGGGCTGTGCCAAATATGCCTCGGCGGGTCGTGGTGGCTCTGGTGCCTCTGATAGATAGCCATCGCCGAAGAGATCCTCGTCAGATATGTAAGAGTTTGTCTTCGCATAGCTACGCTTGTTAAGCGTGCTGCTTGCAAAGTCGTGCTGATACATTGCGTTGATGCTGCTGCTGCGTTGAAAAGTGTCGGCAGACGTTGATCGTATGAGCATGGGCATGCTTCGGGGAGAAGAAGATGGCGAGGAGGCCGTACTTGATGTGAACGACATCTTTTCGTCCGTCTGGTAGGCTGTTGCTTCTTGGAGAGACACGTCGTAAACTTTCAGACTCAGAGCGCGCGACGTGGCAATATATGCTGACGAGTTCACCGCGGTGTGATAAGTCGTGGGTGGCGACGTCCGAAGTACTGTCAACAAAATACGTATCGCTGACGCGCGCACGAGAGCTGACAGCGCGGATGACTCGGACGTAACAAAGAGTAGAGCTTGATGGTGAGGGATGGCAAACCAAACATACGGGCACGCGATACGGCCGACTCACTCATCATATACTCACGATCAACTAATAATGACAGCCGCCAAAGGCCGGAAGAAATTCGTGCTCTGCTCGCAACCATGAACCGGAGTCCCGTCGGGTGATTTCCTGCGACAGCAAAGTAGGTTCGGTGTAGAGTAGAGTTTGCTTCTGCGGCTTCTGCCCACCACTTCCGCGACATCAACCCGATGTACCGGGACCTCAACTGTCCTGTCACTCTGACCTGCCTCGACGCGGGTGGTACATCCCACGCGAACTTTCTTGTTCGGTGGCCGTGTCGGTGAGCACACCGCCTGACTATTTGTCTGGCACTCGTAGTGCGACTGTGTGCCTCCAGACCCTACGCCGACACACGCCCGAGCAATCTACCGCATGCACCGTCGCGCTGTAGACGCGGTCACCGAGGCTTGGACATCGATCTCTTGATTGACTTTCCATCGACGCAAACACGACGACGAAGCTCCAAGCCCGATCACTTCTCCGCATCCAATTTGGAGCAGTGGAAAACGGGTTCTAACATGAGGCCACGAGGTGTGTGAGATGGGAAGTGCTCCGGCGGGTTCTTGACAGCTGCAAAATACCCCACGGTTCCACAGGCCCGTCGCCCGGCTCGTGAAATTTACTTCTGCTTCTCCCGATTTTCTCCGGATCAAAAATGCTTGCTTCTTGATTTTATGATGCAATCGATCCTACAATTGATCCTGGACACCGAGGATATTCTTGATCTATTAGAGGTTGGAACACTTCGTCATGACAGTACCTTGGAACACGTTCGACTGTCGCAGCCTAAACCTTTCACCGGGCAAGACAGTCCGCCGTCCAGATGGAAGTGGAGCAAGTATCTAGCCGGCTCTTTTTACCGTGGGTTCTGGGGAAGCTCGGCAACCTGCGGAGAGAAGCTGCAGGCTGAACAACTCCGACTCCACAGCCCTGGAGCGGTCAGCCTTAGAACTGCGGCTCCAGACCTCCATATGCAAGATGCAATAACTCTCCACGTCCCGGCTGACACACATTTGACCACTTTTCTATTACAGCACTCACGCAACGGATTCGAACGTATGGTAATCTTCGCTGATCAATGAAAGAGCTTTGAAGTGTGGTTCATGCTCGTACCCGTTTGTGCTCGCACCTACCCAGCTCGTTCTTCCAAGCCGAGGTCAGACACAACCACAGATGCTGTATGCATGGCTTGATTCTCGTGAGATCTGGACGGGACACAGATTGATCTACTACACCATCGAGGAGCTGCTGCAGGTAGAGATTGCATGCATTCTGCTTAAATGCTATCCAAGCATCTGACTGAATTCTTATACACGTCTAGAGCGTCCTGCCATGCAGGTCAAAGCCATGAGATCTGATCAGCATCTCAAGAAAACGCAGGTCATATATGAGTACGCGATACACTAGACTGCTCGGACACAGCTCTAGACCGTCGCGACAATACTGCACTTGCTCGCCAAGCCATGCCTCCAAGACGGCTTGTGAGCAGCTTGACATGACTGCAGAATCAATCTACTTTCACTGCAGGACTATCAAGTAATTCAAACATCGTGTTTTTCAGATCCATTCCGCCGTGGTATGTACGATGCGGCTTCCGATCATGGGCGTTCGCGGCCACCACGCAGATATTGTCTGTACCATGTGGTCTAGCCGACCACGCACTACTCCGAAAGCCCCCCTTTCTCTTCTCTGCCTCTTCTGGCTCCTTCATCACTGCTGATCTTTCCTGCAAGCTAGCTCCCAGCTTCTTAATCCAGTCGACTTCCCGGAATTTTGGTATATCTGCATTGCAAAGTCGTTTCCAACAACACGATGCCGCTGTTCAAAATCATATCCTGTTTTGGGCACAGCTCTGTTCGATCATCGCTGACGTGAACAGAATCGTTACCTGCCGGCAGTATCATTAGCATATCTTCCCCGCTACCACGTAGACTTCCCACGTCTCTCGTATCGTACTCACGCATCCCGTCACTATCTGGCATCCGGAACAATGTCTGCTGCAACTCATGGCCGCCTGGGTCGTTACAGAGAAGGGCCTCAAGCTCCGCCACAATGAAGGTGACGGAAGGTGCGCGTGACGCCTTGATAGTGAACGCAGAGATCCAATTTAGTCACCAAAACGCTGCATGGCACTTCACGGGGCCTATGGTGTCAAAGGCAGGCGCAAGGGTAGGTGTTGTCTTGGATGAGTGTTTCGAGAAGTATACCCAGAGAAGAAAGAGATAGTTACAACCAGCTGCACCCCCAGACTCCGGAGCCATGCGATACGATGAGGCTTTTCCGGCAACCGAGCGGCAGTAATGTTACATGGTCGGACTTTGTCGTCGTTTGTCAAGACCTCACGGAACTGTCTGGCAAAGAAAGTATAGCACTATCAAGGCGAATGTCTCCTGTCTCTATTGGTCGTAATGAAACAGTCCTAATAGAGGTGGGTCTTTCGCTCGATCACGTTCTTGTGTTGACGGCCTCTGATACATTGCCCAAACATGTCTGTATACTATCAAATGCCTTAAGGGCCTGAGCACATCGGCTCGTCGGCAAGGTGGCCAACAACTGACAGTGCGATTTACCTCGCTCGCTGGCAAGACCGCAGGAAGACTTATATCAGCACTACAGCTTGCTTGTGCGTCGTGGATCGGGTTGCTTCAATCACCGGGTCCTGTCTCCGAGTCATTATTTCTCGCGCTCCAGAGTAGTACCGTGGCCCTCTAGACGCGTCGTGGCTGCCTTACAACGGCTTCGACGACGTCGAACTAGGCTCTGCACAGAAAAGGCCACGAATTGCAGCATTCGTCTTAAGACTCGGCCAGCTCGAACCGTGGTCGGAATCTCCAATTGTGAGCCATGATCATAGCCAATGGACTTTTGCTGTATCGTCTCGAAAGTGTCCGAACTAGGAAGTTGTGATTTGTGGTGCATCAATATTCCATGTAAAGTCTTAGGTCGAAGCGCCCCGGATTAGTGATTTGAAAGCACGTCATACCCACCTTCATCACGCCGCGGCCAGAGCTATTGCTAAGCAACCAAAGTGTAAAGCAGAAGCTATAGAAGCTCACACGAGCTGCTACAACTAACAAACAATACACATGCTCACCTCCATCCGAACACGCCTCATCCACACCACCCGTCTGATCTCAACAATGTCCACCACACCCATCGCGATCGTAGCTGGCGTTGGTCCAGGAACAGGTGCATCAGTAGCGAGGAAATTCGCAGCAACGTATCCTGTTGTTCTCCTGGCTCGCAGCCCCGAGAACTTCGAGTCCCTGGCGGAAGAGATCAACAAGAATGGCGGAAAGGCTATTGGTATCAGCACAGATATCTCAGATGAAAAGAGCGTGAAAGCCGCATTCGACAAGATCAAGCAGGAGTTCAAGGATGCTCCGATCGCAGCAGCTATCTTTAATGCCAGCGGGAGGTTCGTCAGGAAGCCGTTGTTGGAGATAAGCGTGGATGATTTCGGTGCTGGTTGGCATGTGGGCGTGTACGTACTGGGCGCTCCTATGCAGTGCTTTCAAACCAGTAAGCTGACCCATCCCACAGGAAAGGAGCCTTCATATTCTCACAAGCCGTCCTTCCTGGGTTGTTGAAGCATGCCGAAGACTCCAATGCTAAGCACCAGCCAACTCTGATCTTTACTGGCGCAACGGCATCGATCAAAGCAAATGCACAGATGTCGTCCTTTGCATCGGCTAAATTTGCTCTCCGCGCACTTTCTACCAGTATTGCCAAAGAGTTCGCGCCGAAGGGCATACACGTAGCACATGCCATCATCGATGGCGTGATTGATATCCCAAGGACGAAGGACTGGCTCAAGGACATGCCGCCGGAAGCCAAGGTGAGAACTTTGCTCACCATCAATGAAGACTATCAGACATGCTGACCTATCCGTTCCCCGTTGCACAGATCGGCGCAGATGATATTGCGCAGTCGTACTGGGATCTGCATCTTCAGAGCAAGCGTTGCTTTACCAACGAGATTGATATCCGACCAATGCTTGAGAAGTGGTAGATGTCATAATAGGAATGTGGGCACATCGATCGAGCTTGTGCTCTTCTGCTTCTCTTCCTTCTTTGCATTCTTCTGTCGAACTGCTTCTCTTGCTCTACGTTTGGCCAGGAAGTCTGCAGTCGCTTGACTTCTAACATTGAAAGGAGATACTGGCTCAGAGAGTTTGGACGGACCAGCAAGCAGTTGTTCTGTCGCTTGCGATGATCGCACGCGCCTCTCGTCTGGATGATGAGCCGTCGTGCCATCCGGCCGCGAGCCTGATTCGCGGTCGTCGCTGTCACTTGCGAAGCGCTTGAAGAAACCATTAGCGTTCGTCTTGGGCTGTGGATTAGCGACCTTCTTTCGATCCGCAGTGGTGACACCTGCTGTGTGCGCTCGTGAAGGTTGCTGACGTTTGGCTGGCAGACCGCTGTCAAGGTCAGATCCCGAGTCAGCGTCGTTTGAAGCATTCTCGTCCAAAATCTTACGCTGCCTCCGAGCCTTCTGTGGGCTCTGCAGGAAGCCCGCAGCTGCTCTCGTATTCGCTCTTGGCTTGGTGGTGCCTGTCAAATCCGGTGCTACCTTCTGAGAGCCCGTCATCAGCCCAGCAAGCTGTGGATCATGCATGTACGCATCTCTATCTTCCTCTTCTTCATCACTTCCCGCAAGCAGCCCTTTCAAACCAGCCTGGGCCTTCCTCTCCTGAGCCTCGGCCTCCAGTCGTATTTTCGTACTCATCGACTGCTCGGTCCTCCCATCCGTAGGTCGAGCGATAGCTTGCAGAGTATTCGCACCACGAGCTTTTGCCAGCTTCTTAAGCCGCACATACTCCGCGTGGTGGATATGCTGTGTGAAGGTTTGTGCCGTAGTGTAGAACTCGTCCTCGACCATGATCCAGATGTCGTCTGCATCGTACCCTTCTTGCATGTACTCTACACTTGGTAGAGCAGCAGGAGGCGAAGTAGACGGTGATCCTCCCGTACGTCGCTTTGCTCGTTGCTTGGGTGTGCCTACGCCTGTGGTGTTGAGGGCTGAATCGACCAGATCATCGCTTGGTGTTGCCGCTCGCTTTTGTCGAGGTGCAGGTGAGGGAGCAGAAGTAGTTTTTGCTCCTGTGGTCTTGGCTGCCTGTGCGAGCCACGGTAAGGTACGAGGCATCGTCGAGACCTACCTGTCTAATTCTCTGCGTGGTTCTAGGTCTGATCAGCCTGCACTTGTCCACTGCCGTCTACGCTTCCGTCGCGTCACTCCATCGCTTGCGAACGCCTTCAGCTGTTGCATGACTTATCCGTGTCTGCCGCCGCTTCACATGACGCGTCTCGGAAGTGCAGATGTCGACGTTTCACCCAGCTAAACAACCGCAAATCAATCCAGGCAGGTGGTACATATGTGTTGGCCCGTGCAGCCAGGTGCCTGCCTTGAACTTTTAACCAAATCGACGAGAATATAGAACTTACAATCCTACTCCATAATCGACAGAGCATCATGTTAGCTCTCGCTATCACAGCCGACCTGAACGGGTACCATTCCGAGATATCATAAAGTCTGGTGGTATAAAGCTGATGTGCTCAGCATCACCAACCTACAGCCCGAAGACACTGAGGAGACCCCATTCTACTACACATTCAAGGTTCAATGCACATCATGTCGTGAGATACACCCGAATTGGGTGTCGGTGAGCCGTTTCGTATGTCTCATCGCAGACCTGAAATGCTAGTCATGATCTGACCTTGCCACCCAGGAGACGAACGAGCAGTCCGGCAGCAGAGGCGACGCCAACTTCGTCTGGAAATGCAAGAACTGCAAGGTCTATACTCAACAACTGCGTCAAACCATAAGCTCGTACTGACATGTACCAGCGAGAACACACAGCCAACATCACCACCAGCCCGAAGTCATACCCTCAGCAAAGTCCGGCCAAGCCGCAAAACATCATCACGTTCGATTGCAGGGGCCTAGAGTTCGTGGAGTTCAAGGCTGACGGTGCTTGGAAGGCTACTGGAACGGAGTCTGGAACCAAGTTCTCTGACATCGATCTCACAGAAGGCGAGTGGTTTGACTACGATGAGAAGGCCAGTGAGGAGGTCAGTATCACTGGGCTGAAGTTCGAGATCAGGCGGGCATGATTTGGCGGAATCGCTAGGAGACACAGCATCTCCTGGCTATCACTGATAGTTGACGAAGATCGACGACAGCAAGCTATTATCCCCTGAGGACGATACGATAGATATGAATGACCATGACCAATCGTAGACTGCATATCGCGCGATTTTCACCTCGATGTAGTGAAGTCACTACAGGAGAGCTGAGGTGTACCACTCAATGAGTCCTCTGACCAGCAGTAGCGAAAGCAGCAGCGAAAGCATCATCTCTGAGCCTTCGCAATTGTCATGGACTGAATGGCCCTCTGCAGGTGAATGTCTCTGTCAGAAGAGCTGAGAACGTGCGCTGAGCGAATAGATACCTGCAACTTCCTCCCGACGTGGACTCGCGAGAACCTCAGAACTCTTGACGCGGATTCCAAAGCCTTATAGGTTGGGCCAACATACTTGTGGTGTCCATTCAGCTCGCCACCCAAGGGTATGGCTTATTGGCCCCAGTCAGCCTCGCATACTCTTCTGATCAGCTGATATAGGTATTTGCTGGACATCTTGACTTCTGCGCGCGATCTTATATACGCGTATGTAGTTCATAGTACAACCAATGTACCTCCTTGGGAAGAAGAGGTGAAGTCGGGACATTAGTGCATCAGATATGTTCCACGACTCGTGGCGCTCACCACTTCCTCTAGCGCGTGTGCGTGCCTATGCAGTGGTCACCGAAGCGCTGTGCTCAGCGACCGTTGGTACATGAAGTGCTGATGACAATCAGTGCCAATCAGTGATAGATAGCTGCCCAGCGTGGAGCACGAGAGATTGCTTGATTTGTGTCGACTTTGCCAGATGAAGTGACGGCAATTCTTGACGACATGTTCACGACAGATCACCTGCAGGAAACGATTGTTCTGCCGGCTCACAGTACCGGACATGTTCACTCCACGCGTGCAGTGTCGATCAACGCATGCACATCTCCTGCGCCCGCGATCAATCGGTTTCTGTCGCGTGGCGGAATCCATGCCTGACTTTTGCGCGGGCAGCGCATCGCACAGTAGTGGTAGTATAAAGAGTACTCTCTTTCCCTACGGCTCCTGCGGCATAGTACTCGTGGTCATGTTGGTCAGCTATCATCAACGCTTTTCGCAAGTAGACAAGAACGTGATGAGAAGATCTGTCAAGTGAAATTGAGATGCTCCTGTGCAGCCTCGCAGACCAATAGGAGGAATGATTTCTAGCCTGAGAGGACAAGGGGTCTTGAAAGCACGAGTCGCTAGAACGGATGTCGAAGCGCTAGAAGGAGGGAGGGTCTTCGCGCCGACTTGTCTTGTCTGTGCGTTGGATGGTTAGCTTTTGTGTTAGAGGGAGGAAGAGCGCCTCAAGGTTCCGCTTCTCGTCGAGCAAGGGTGGAACTCTGAATCTGAACCCCAAGCTTTTCCGAGAAGCGCACTCCAAAGTCCTGTCTCTCTGTTCGTCGTGGAGCGACCTGTCACACTGTATCACCGTTCGAGAGATATACGATTCTAGGAAATATCCCCGACGGGAGCAGACGAGAAGCGCAAAATCGAAGCAGATCGACTTCACCCACCACCACATACCCGCCTCCTCGCGCGCCGAGACCGTCCCAGGGCTTGCTTTCCTGCACACTCCGCAACGGCACGACTTCACTGCACAAACCTCCTTGCCTCATCGTCGCCGACCAACCCTTTTCGCGAGCGTTCAACGCGGTCGCCTCGTCCGTCTTGATACAGCCATCGCATCTCACCGACTCTCTGCGACTTGCTCACTGCGCGGCTCAATCGCTCCTCCACAATGGCTTCCAAGGTGAGCGCTTCTTGTGCGACTGTGGGCGGACGTTTGCACGGGCTGTCGTACTAACGCTGTCTCAGTTCCTGCGGGAATACAAGCTGGTGGTCGTCGGCGGTGGTGGTGTGGGAAAGAGTTGTTTGACAATACAGCTCATCCAGAGCCATTTCGTGGACGAATACGATCCAACAATTGAGGGTGCGCGGAAGCTACTCTAGACGTCTCTCTGGCTAGACTAACGCATCCCAGACTCCTACCGCAAGCAATGCGTCATTGACGATGAGGTCGCCCTGCTCGACGTCCTCGACACTGCCGGTCAAGAGGAATACTCAGCAATGCGAGAGCAATACATGCGGACGGGCGAGGGTTTCCTGCTCGTATACAGCATCACGTCGCGACAAAGCTTCGAAGAGATGGCCACATTCCAACAGCAAATACTGCGCGTCAAGGACAAGGACTACTTTCCCATCATTGTCGTAGGCAACAAATGCGATCTGGAGAGTGAGCGACAAGTGAGCACAGAAGGTAGGTCATACATGATCGCAGCAACGAGGCACGAAACGTTGGACTTGTTTGCGTCGCAGCCTCCTGCCACGTGCTTGCCACGCGCCACGTTCGCGATGCCTTACGCGGATGTCACATTTCAGTCTCAGGCTATTGAACACATGCTAACACATGGTCTGTAACGCAGAGGGAAGGGACCTCGCGAAATCATTCGGCTGCAAATTCATCGAGACGTCCGCCAAATCTCGCATCAACGTCGACAACGCCTTCTATGACATCGTGCGAGAGATCAGGAAATACAACAAGGATATGTCTGGATACCCTGGCAATAGCGGCTCAGCATCGAAAGGTCCTCATGACAAGATGGAGATGGACGGTCACGAATCCGAGGCAGGCTGTTGTGGTAAGTGCTCCGTGATGTAAAAAGGCATCATGCAGTGCGAGAGCGGTAGAGCAAGATCATGGTGGCATTGAGGTACTTGTTACTTTGGGTATGTGTGAGGGCAAAGGCAAGGCGTGTTCTGGGTCGGACAGTATACACAAGCCGAGCAATAAAAGGGTAGGAGTGGAGGAGGAAGTGGCGGGACAAACCTGGCCAGGCCGAAAGTCCGATATGACTCTGTGCCGGACGTTGACATTGCATATTCGATATCCCCTTTCTTTACAACTACCAAGCATAGGGTTCATGGGGAGAGGCTATAACTTTGATGTTACAGTAGCCTTCTCAGCGGGCGCAACGAGGCGAACTGCGGCGTATGGCATGCAAGAGCGAGTCTTTACTTCTTCAGGAGAAGAGGGTGGAATATACCTTCTTTCTCAGGCGTGGGATACTGAAGCTGTCCGTTCATAGTGGCAGCATGTGGCTCGTATTAATGGGCCGATGGCAACTGCAATTCTTCGGCTTCTGACTGGTCTCATCTTGGTCATTTGTGAGGTCCGCTGCGGATATCAGTCTTCGCCCTTGAGCTTCTCCTCGATCTCGTCCAGATCTTCTGCTGAGTCTATCTCTATGATTCTGCCGACTTCTGACTGGTTGCGAAGGAGCTCCTTGGCACTAGCGTACAACATCCGCATCTCGCTCGAGCACGTCGGTGGTAAGTAGTTGATCATCACGTATGGTACTGATAGTCGTCCCGATGCCTGTACCACTACCACATCAGCACAGCGGCCGTCACGTCCCACCTGGCCGCAAGAGTATGTCGTAACATACCAAGGTCAAAGGATAGCTTAGTAGGATATATCGCGGTGAATTGTCCGGCAGCTCATCAGCCAAGTCTGGGATTTTCTTGTAGACTTCGTCGCCGTCTTGTTTGATCTCCATGTTACTCTTGTCGATCAGGTCTTCTTCGGCATGGTCAGTCGGGATGCTTTACACCGCTCATTTTGCTCGCTAATGTCGGACATATTACTGCCTGTGGGTCCTTCGCTCGTGAGGTTCCTAGACGGAACTTCCGCAGCTGGTCTTTCGTCTCTTGCGAGAAGGTGTAGAGGCGTGACTCGGAGGACTAGAAGGATATATTAGCATGATCGCAAGGACAGAAGGAAGTCACTGACCATTATTGCGACTTTCGTTGCTCGGTATGGAAGAAGTGTGTGGTTGGATGTCGTTGTCGCGATTCAAGTTCACTTCAACGCAACCCCACATTGGTGCCCACTTTCGCCCTCACATCATCTCTTCCCATGCCACCGTCCGAATTACAATCAATCCTCCGAGGTCCTGACCATGGATCTGACGGTCTGTATCCAGCTGTGGCACGTCGCGTACGTCCCGATCATTGCGGTCTGACAACAGCATACGCTATCGCCATTATGCCGTCAGCTCCAAGCCAACGACCCTCCAACGCGGATGCTGAGTTCTGGCATGAGCCTTATAACCCCGTCTACAACCCATGGAGGTCGAGGCCAGTAATGGTACACCAGTAGGTAAAATACTATCTGTCCATCTTCTCGATGCTATGCTGACGGTTTCCCAGACACAACACATATGATCATCATGTCTTCACAGAGCGTCCCTTTCTCGGCCCACTGCTCTTCGATAACAACGATTCTGATGCAAGAGATCACTGTGCTGCTGAGAGGAGTATGTAAAGCTCGTAAGCCCGAGACTGTGAAACCGTATTCTGACCGTCATGGTATAGCATTCCTCTCCTGGCTGCGCCTTGCCACTTATATGGCTGTGGTCGCAGTGGCAATTTTGATATCTTTCCACCTCAAGCATCAGCCGACACCCTTGGAGAAGCGGCTAGCCTTGCCCTTCGGTATCATCTTCTGGTGTCTTGCGATCGCATGCCTCGTATCTGGTCTGAGCAACTATATCAAGACTGTGACCCGCTACTCAAGAAGACAGGCCCTTGTACAAACCGGGACTGGCACACAGATCGTGAGGACAAGGCATCGATAAAACAATATTCCACGCAGCTAATTAAATGGTTCGCAGGTCTTTACTGTCGTGGCGACTGCCATTGTTGCTGCTTGCGTGCTTTTCCTCAGCACAAACGCAACCACGCGCTGACCACATATAGCACTGCTTGAATGTCGGCGACCTCAAGGACCACCACGCTGTGCTGTCAGTAGCTATGCGAAGCTTCTTGAGCAGCAACACGGTCATGAAAGTCGTTGATGGGACTAATGTTCTGCTTCCAAATACGTCACCTCTCCTGTATACACGGAGCGCACCTTCCGCTAGAGACGGATTAGGCCGGCGATCTCCCGCTTTCGAGTATTTACACAAGTAGGACTGGAAGTCTGACGACCACGGCCTACCAAAGGGGAAAGTCTGCAAAATGGCAGAGTCTACACCGTCGCGACTTCTTGGCCTTCCTCCCGAACTCCGCAATCGCATTTACAACTTTATCTTTGCCGGTCAAGAGGTACCGATCGGGCAGCAGCGGCACAGCCTCATACACCGAAAGTGGGAGCCCGCAGTGCCTGCAGTTATGCTCGTGTGTCGCCAAACAAACCAGGAAGCATCCGGCATCTATTACAGCACAATCCAGTTCATCGTATTCAGTAGCAGTATCCTCTGCCACTGGCTTGAGTCGTTGCCGAAACATGCCCAGCTGGCCCTTGCGCATGTGGCCTATGATTGTTACACGTTCCGGGGAATGGTCTTTGGTCCAGCGGCGTCGCGGTCTTTGGCAGAGTATGCTGAGGAGGTGCTGCAGCGTGTCATCAATAAGCAGCTTCAGGTGCCAAGTCTGGAGCATGTGCGTGGGAAGATCCAGGCAAGCATTCTATTTGCAACAGGGGAGCTTGTGTGGACCTCGACGCCTCTCGCGACATACCAGAGAAGCGTGAAGGATCTCGACTAAGACGTGATCACCACATTGAGCGCGGCATGAGTCATCGCCTCGTCTTGTTCTGTGGTGACAACGGCGAGACGCTTCACAGCCACCAACCAATTATTTCGACCTTAGGCGCTCCTTTCGCTCCGGACTTATGCGGACGTACTATCAAGACATCAACCAAATGAAGACGAAGGCGAGAAGCTCGCGGTCGCCTTGCTCGATGCTCAGGAAAGTACTTGGCGGTTTATGAAGGCAACATCAGAGGCTGGCAAGTCTTCCTGAGCGCTTGAGGGCGCTAAGAGCAATCAAAGGGGGTCACGAGAAACAGATGTACGTGCTTTTCGTGTGGAGGACAGTCGGCGCAATCCGGTTCCTCGTTCGGCAGAGATCTTCATATCGTAGCAAAAAGCACCCTGGAATGGACTCTCCAGGGACATGACAGAGGAAACTTTGCTTGACGATACAGTAATGGCAGACTACGCACAGAGGCCTACGAACGGAAGTTGTGTTGGACTTGGTCGCGCTGAGGTCAAAATTGGCGATTTCCCAGTCCGAGGAAAGTGTAATCGTGGTGCGGACCGAGACGACAAGTGCTTTTACCAGCAAAGAGCCGCTGCTTCGTCACTAGCAATATCAAAGTTTCCACAACGGAAGGCTCATCCTAATATCTTCAGACTTAGTGGTAGATACACAGTGCAAATCTGGCCGCCCGAACGCACCATCGCGACACCACAGACGTACCTGATTTATCTGCAAATATGTCTAAGCTAAGCAGCAGACGCATGCGCGAGCACGTTGGCGAGTGGAAAGAGGCCATGGCATGCAATAAGAGGACCTTTACTATACCCTACATTACCAATGAGCGCGAGAACCCTCAAGAAAGCGCCGTACAGGGCCACCTGCACACAAAGCCCACCGAGTCCACAGACCTTAGCTGCACGTCATCTGATCTCGACATCATCCCCGGAGACACTCGTCGACGGATCTTCGAACTGGCAATCGGCACACCATCTGCTTACGTTCGCTCTTACCATAAACCGGACCCGAAAAACACCACTGGACGAACAGAGTACTAGACCTCCTTCCCGCGTCACGGAATCCTGTTTACTTGTATGCGATTCTATCAAGAGGCGATCAAAACCTACTATGTCCAAACTACCTTCGTCGTCTTCTGCACCAACGAAAGCTTCATAGCTAGGACCTTGAAGACGTCCCCAACACTTGTGCATTGGCTTCGGAATTTAAAACTGCATGAGCGCGGTCTGAAGATAGGGAGTATACGCTTCGATCATGTCTCTTGGCAGTTTCGACCTGGTGGGATCCCAGATCAACTTCTCGGAAGCTTTGAGACAGCTGAGAACGGCTGTGAGGGCTATGGGGGCGCTGAGGGGCCAAGGGATGAGGTTGAAGCAGGGAGTATTGAAGGTGCCGGTTTGGACGGGTGGTATGGAGAAAGTGTGGATGGGTAAGAGTGAGCTCGAGGCAGCGTTGGAAAGAGAAGAAGCTCGCCTGCGGGAAATGGACGTCGATGACATGGAGGGCGCTCTGGCTTGTTTGACGTCGAGCGGATCATGAGGGGCAAGTATTGAAACTCATTCTGTTGTGCTCTATCCTCTAGATGGTAGCTCGTAACTCCTCGCTTCATATCGTGTCTTCTCATTGCTGCTAGAAAGTTTGGTCTCTACGGTTCCAGATATATACTCCACAAAAACCAGAATGGAACAGCAAACTGAATCATGCTCATCGTCGAATATATCAAGAGTAATCACAAGAGATCATGTCTCTCACCATCAAAGCACTGCTATCAGCAAGTCAAGTAGCGCTCTGCAGGCGAGAAGGGATACATTGAGCATCCCGAGTATCAATATTGGCTAGTCGTATAACTGCTTGTAGCCATGGGTTTGGGCTGCCGAGTAGATAATCCTAGCCGTAGCTATGAGAAGTGGAGATGAAAGAATGTGGGATGAGATAGTGATGTCGAAGGCGATGATGCGCGCCGAGTTGATGTAGGTAGGAGTACTCAACAGGAACGCTACCAGTCCTCCTCCTCACGCCGCAAGCCAGCCGCTTAATCATGAAGCGTACTTGGCTGCTCACTCTCCCAATCCTCATATGCAGGTCAGCCACCCTTTAGTCGCTGGTGATACCCTTCTCCCTAACCTTCTTCTGCGCATCGCGACCCCTCGCAATCCTCTCCAAGATGTTCTCCCTGTCCTTATCAAGCTTCAGCTTGGTGATCTCGACCTTGCTGGGTGCGACGCCAAGCGGCACGCTCTGGCCGTTGCTCTTCTCCCGCGACACACGCTCGATGTGGATGACGTATTTGAGGCGGTAGACGGCGACGACTTTGCCCTCGCGGCCTTTGTTGGTGCCGCGCTTGATGATGACTTCGTCGTCTTTGCGGATGGGGATCGCGCGGACCTGCAGTAGATGTGTGAGTTGGGGTGGGGGAACATCATGTGCATGCGATCATACGTTGTGCTTTTCGCGGAGTTCTGCGATGATGGTGTTAGCAGGTGAGTAGGTGAGTGGCTAGTGGATGTATGTCTTTTGCTATGTTACCCTTTGACAGAGGCGCGCTCATGATCACACGGCGCACGCTGGAGGGGGCGGAGAAGTGAGCCTTGCGGCTCTTTCTCCGCGAGGAGTGTGTCTGGCTGTTGATTTTCGTCATGTCGGCGGTGTTTGAGTGCACGAAGAGGGTGATTGTCGTACTCGATATTGCCGTCTTCGTTCTCCAACTTCTCAAAGTCGCAAGTGCCAAATTCTCGAATGTGGTGGAGGCCCGAGCGCCCGACAGCTCCATGTCTTGGCGGAAAGTGCGGACGCTTCCGCCGCCATCGTATACGACCTCGATTCGCGAGTGAGGCGCGTTTGAAGATAAAGTGACGCCGTTCATGGACGCGTTCGCCCAGGCCTCTCGACACACGAACCCAAATCCTTCTCGACGACGCGATTACGATCATCTCATCCATGAACCTCTCATGACATCGGGCCAGGGACGGCGTTTGGCGCCGCGGAAGGAACGTATCTCGGACGGGCCATGATGTCGCGGTACAACAATTACAACAGCAGCAGCAACAACAACAATAACTCTTACTACGATCCAGTAGGGAGTCAGCAGAACCAGCCGACGGGGTATACGTACGGCTCGAACACGAGTGCTGCGCCATCGTACGCAACTCCTGCTTCCACCACCTATGCGACTGGCCCTAGTAGTGCCGCATATCAAGGCTATGGGAGCAGTAGTTACAACGATCAGCAGCAGTATGCGTCGGCGAATGCGGGTGCGGGTAGTAGAGCGGCAGCAACCAGCATGACTGGACAAGACTTCAACCAACAGCCAACTACGGGGAGGGCAGGCCAGAACTATGATGGCTCGGCATGGACTGCTGCAAATTATGGTTATGCCGACAATGTACAGATGCCAAACAGAACCCAAACCAATACCTTTGGCCGTGTGAGCGCACCGGAACCGACGCAGACTGCAGCGACGTCCCACGCCGGCCAGACCTACCAGAACACGTCGAGGCAGACAAACAATGCCACACCGAGCACTGCAAGCTACAGTGCGGGCTATAACGCAACGCCACAATCTCAGCAACCTCAACGGTACAACAGCCCACTTCATGCGGTCCAAGCTCAAGGGCATCACAAGCAGAGCTCTAGAACTTCCAATCATCACGAGCCGTCCCCTCGTATATCTGCAAATTTAGCAGCGCAAGCGAACAGGCAAGATAGCGCATCAGTGGAGCCGCAGCAAGCCACGACAATGACTGTGAATCCCGCTCAAGTTTACGACGACACTGCCGAGTGGAGAAGAAAGGCGCAAGTTGAGGCAGAGCGAAGGCGAAAGCGCGAGGAAGAACTAGCAGCAAGGAAGGCGGAAGAAGATCGCATAGCCGCTGAGAAGCGAGATGTCGAGGAGGAACAGCAGAAGGCGGCTGAAGCTGAGGCAACTGCAAAGAAAGCCGAGGTCGACAACAGGAAGGCGGAACAGCGCAAGAAGGCTCGTGAAGAGAAGAAGCAGAGCAAAAGTGCGGCCAACGCTCTCCAGAGGATGGCTTCGGGCTCCACTTTTGATGCAATGGACGAGGAGGCGCCACCAGCTAATGCTGAAGAAGCTGAGATGCGTGCGATGTTCAAGAAGATGCGCGAATTCAATTCGAAGAATCCCGCCATGCTCGCGAAGCTATGGGAAGAAGAGCGGAAGACGCATGCCTCACAGTCGCCATCTCAATCATCGAAGACGCCTGCTGGTCCTAGTTCAGCTCTACCAGCAGCGATTAGTGCAACACCTGCAAATGGTGCTGGTAGTGCTCGTCCATTCCAAAACCCGCCAAAGCCTACGCCAGCGAAGGCGACCCCATCCTCGTCCAAGGGCAAATCTGCAACTCCACGAAGTCCTGCTACACCCAGCGTCGCGAACGCAAATACATCGCTTTGGCCACCCCATAAGAAGGGAGCCCTTGCCGAATCTGCTGCGAAATGGATGACTGGCCTGCCCGAGAATGCAGGCAAGATTGTGGCAGGCGCAGCAATCCTTGCCATCCTGGACAAGAATCCATCGTATGTGCAGCTTTGCGAAGCTCTCGAATTGCTAGGATTACGATTCGAGCGATCTTCGCTTGCTCGTGAGTTGCTCAAGGCAGTGCCGGAGGGCATGAAGGCACAAACAGTGCCGGCGGCGCCGTTGGCAAATGTGAGTGGTACTGCGGCGCCGGTCAATGGTCAGCCTGCGAAAAAGAAGCAGGGTAGGCCGAAGAAGGATGCATTAGCAGCAGCGCCAACGACAGTCATTTACGAGGCTCCCACATTCACCTCATTGTCGGATGCTGCACGTGAGGTCAACAGCATGGATCGCAATGCGGGTCAGGCTCCTACGGCTACGATGGGTGGACCTGTCCAGTCTCCTGCGCGTACGAACGCGCATCCTGCAGCTATAAACGCAGCGCCGCCAACATTCTTCCCACCTGGTGCATCGGCCCACTACACAAGGCCTCAATCTGACCCCATACCACCTGCAGAGATCAAGCCCGAGATCAAGCCCGAGGAGCCTCCAAGACCGCCTGCGAACAAGGAAGAGGCTGCTCGTAAGCGTACTTTCAGCGATCTGGTTGACCTGACCGCTGAAATGTCCGACGACGATGACGTGGCGCCCCCGAAGAAGATGATATTCCAGATGCCACCTGCTCAACCAGCAGCTCAGCCGCAACCCGTGCCGTCCAACGGCCCACCAAGTCTGTCACAGCCGATCAATGCCAACGATTTCTACAAGCGACCAGCCCCGCTACTCAACTCAATGTCGGCAGGTGTACCACAGCCTGCCGTACCGTGGGGTGCCATGCCTCGAGCTCATATTCCACCAAATGTGATTCCAACCCCAGAAATGCAATCATTACTGCCACCACTAGCACCAATGACGAAATCGAAAGGGCCTTCTCTTGAACACAAGCAACATGAACGCATCAAGGGATGTATGCTTGTCGAGCCCATCATGCGTGATCGTGTAGCGCGCAAGAACAGGTACGATGTACGCTCTATTGCTCGCGACGTGCTTCTTGCTACTGGCCGCCATCCGGACATGCGTGGCCTCAACTCCCATCTCAACCCTATGCTCAATCTCCTAGGTCATCATGGTGGGTCATTCGAGCTCGATGGACAGCGTGGTAACAGGAGTGATCTGTCGACTATACGCTGGGACATTATCGACCCTGAAGTGGCAGCGCCCACAGCCGCAGCAACAGAAGTCAAGAGGAACAACACTGTTGCCCTTTTCACTGATGATGCCGCTGATGCCGATGATGAGGAAGATGTTGCACCTACGCGTGTGGTACAGCAGTCGGTCGAGAACGGCGATGGTACTGTCAGCTACCACTTTGTCAACCAGCAGGCCGGTCAACGGCCCAAGAAGAAGATTGGCCGACCACGGAAAGTGAGGCAGAGCATGCCAGGATTTACCACTGCAGCAACTGTTCCAGGGCGCGGCAACGTCGGTACGCCTGTCCGCCAGGTTGCTCCAGGCCAGCAGACGACACCCGCGTCAGCGCCAACCGGCCAAGCTGTAGGCTACGCAGCCTTCCGACAGGTCGACGAGAACGGCAATGTGGTCAAGAAGAAAGGCCGACCAGTAGGTTGGCGGAAAGCCGTCCACTCCCGCGAAGCGCAAGGTCTTACTCCGCCGAAACCTGGCGCACAGCGGGCACCTCACAAGAAAGACACGGCCGCTGGAAAGCCTTTGGTCGAAGCACAACCGCAGATCTGGTACTGTCTCTGGAAGGACTGCAACGCTCAGCTCCACAACCACGATACGTTGAAGAAGCACGTCGTGAAAGTCCATGGCCGTGCGAACGACCATAGGCAATTCGAATGTTGGTGGCAGGCTTGCGAAAGCGTTGGTGCTGGGAAGGGGAAAGGGAGGAGTACAGATGATGGTGTGGCGAGTTTCGTGGACTTGACGGGTTGGTTGGCACATATTAATGAGAAGCACTTTAAGCCGCTGGCTTGGGAGCAGGGCGATGGTCCTAGGGCTGGTACATCAGGTGAGCTTATAGTGTAGTCTTGGCATGTGTACAGTATGCTGATATTGACATCCCTGCTGACCTAGACGCCTCGCCTAGACTATAACGCCGCTGACTCGGACGCCTATTTATCCGACGCACAAGGGAGATCCGTGACACCTATCATCAAGCCTTTTGAAGAGATGTCTACTCTTCCCGAAGCTGGCTCACGTGTTGTCCCTGCGCCACTGAATAGGGCGGGGCCGAGTTTGACCATGGATGATAAGAAGGCTAAGGCGGAGTTGGATGGGCTTGTCAGGCATAAGAGGGTTGTTGGGGTTCTGCTGGAGAAGGGTGGGAGCACGTTTGCTAATGCTAAGAGGAGAGCTGGGTTCTTGGATGATGAGGATTTTGAGGATGAGGTTGAGAGTGAGGGTGTGCAGGATGAAGGCGATGGAGAAGATGTAGGTGTTTGATGGCTAGGCTCCGAGGCCATGGCTCGATCGAGAGAGAGAGAGAGAGAGTCGGATGACTATGTAGATAGTCCTGTGCATGCCTAGTCCCTCCCTCCAGTGTTGCATCGATCCTTGAGCAGCTCGATTGCTCGCTAGCTTCTTCGCTGCCTGTCTCGCACATGTACTCGGGACTCGCTGGTTGCGTTTCAGCCATCTTCCATCCCTCGTATCCTCATCTTGAACAAAATCCATCTCCCAAGTGCCGGACGCCATGCCTCGAATCCCTTGTCGAAAATCTCACAAACACTCGTTTGTGCCTTTCGGGTTTGAACAAGACTGGGCCCTTTCATCATCTCGACTTCTGCGGCAGAGCATCAGCTTTCCGGTCGTTGCTGAGGGGTGTTGTTTCTTTGCTGTCCTTGGCGTTGATCTCGAGAAAGTGGTAGAGGACTATGAGGAGCATGGCTGCGCTACCGAGGAAGACGGCCAGACTGTAGAGGGAGTTGTCGGAGATCATCGTTGCGGTTGTGTATGTTGGTGTGGACTGGCTTGTCGCTTGTTCTGCGGTCGAATGGTCTGGTGATCGCTGCCGAGGGTTTTGATGGTATCGTGAGATGGTTCGCAGGTATATTCTTTCACATGCTCAATTGTCGCATTGAATGAGAGCTGTCCTTCGGATGGCTTTGCCGAAGCATGTTAGGGCTTCCTTTCACACTCGCCCTGCCAAGCCGCCGCCACCAAACCCCACGCTCTGCCGACTGCGTCACAAAGTCCTCGAGAACTTTCACTCGGAGCACACATCCTTCGATAATCTTGAGACACAGCACGACGCTCAGATACGTCTAAGCCTAGGAGCCGATGGAGAGCTTTCCCTCGCCTGCGATCGTTTGAGCCCGAAAAGAACCTCCATACCCTCAACGACACTCACAGGCGACGAAGCCAGCCTTTCTACCACCCGAAGCACACGAGCAAATATCTTCGCCCACCATGCCGCCCAAAAAGGTCCAAAATGAGCCGAAGAAGACCAAAGCGTCCGCCGCCGACAAGACGTTTGGCATGAAGAACAAGAAAGGCGGTGCCGCGCAAAAACAAATCAAACAGATCCAACAAGCCAGCTCCGCCGCCAAAAACCCCGACGAAAAGCGTAAGGAAGCTGAAAAGCTCGCGCGAGAGAAAGAGAAAGAGGCGGCGGAGCAGGCGAAGCGCGAAGCTGCTGAACTATTCAAGCCAGTCAATAATCAGAAGGTGGCCTTTGGAGTGGATCCCAAGACCGTGTTGTGCCAGTTTCATAAGAAGGGGATATGTGATAAAGGGCGGAAGTGCAAGTTCAGTCACGACTTGGATATTGAGCGGAAGACGGAGAAGAGATCTTTATACACGGATACGAGGGAAGGCGAGGAAGACGAGGACGGGGAGGATGGGAAGAAGAAGGATGATATGGCTGATTGGGACGAGGAGAAGTTGAGGCAGGTGGTTATGAGTAAGCATGGGAATCCGAAGACGACGACGGATAAAGTGTGCAAGTTTTTCATCGAAGCGGTGGAGAATCAGAAGTACGGCTGGTTCTGGACTTGTCCAAATGGGGGTGACAAGTGCATGTACAAACACTCTCTACCTCCTGGTTTCGTGCTCAAGACGAAGGAGCAGAGGGCGCTGGAGAAGGCGGCAGAGAAGGATCAGCAGGTTTTGACGCTGGAGGATTTCTTGGAAAGTGAGAGGCATAAGTTGAGCGGGACTTTGACGCCGGTGACGCCCGAGAGCTTTGCGAAGTGGAAGCAGGAGAGGATGGATAAGAAGGCCGCGGAGGAGCAGGCGCAGAAGATGAAGGAGGCTACCGGAAGGGCGTTGTTCGAGAAGGGCGATTGGGAGGGGAGTGATGTTGATAGTGATGACGAGGGGGACGGTGGTGGGTTTAATCTCGAGGCTTTGCGAAGAGAGACAGAGATTGCGAGGCAGAAGAGGGAGGAAGAGAGGTTGGCGGGGTTGGGTATGGGGCCGGATGGCGAGTCGCTTCAGAACGGAACCGAGGCGAATGGGTATTAGAGGGTGTTGCATTCTGTTTTGCAATTTGCGTGGCGTTGTTCTCTGCGACCTGGTCTGGTCTGCATGTGAGGCTGGCGGACACTCATATGACGTGGTATGTATTTTCATGCTGAAATGTTCATGATCATTTCCTTCAGAAATTCATCTTCTCCGTTCCACCAACGACTTCCTGTCAGTTCCATCTTTCGTGAGATTCAGGACATGAGCCACGCTCAGCGACTTTGATCGCCGTTCCGCCCGGCGATTATCTCCCTCCGAGATGCAAAACGCTCGGTCACGTGCCCGAGAGGCTTGCCGATGGCGTTGTGGCAAACGCGAATTCAGGTCAAGCACAGGTCCTTGGCCGCCTATGTGTCTTAGCCAACCCTGTGGATCACAGGATCTTAGGCATCATGTCGATAACCTGGACTGGGTTGAGGTGAATTGTCGAGTCACGAGACGTGGGGGGAAGCAACCGCCAGAGGCACGAAAGCTGAATAGTGCCATGCAGTGGTGATAAGAGGCAGGAGTTAGAGAGCATGGCGCAGGATGGATGGCTGGAGAGCTGAAGGTGGTATGAGTGAGCCATCAGTATGTAGCTGCGGTGCCCTGATGCACTTAGACTGGAGCTGCAAGGGATTCGGAAGGTAGCTCGCGCGTCGAGGTCGTGAAGACGGCGTGCGAACTTGAGATAGTACACATATCATAAGCTTTGCGGGTTCGAGTGAACTATCTAGCCAAGCGACCCTCGCCTCCGATCATCCTATCCTAGCAATCCACCCTGTCAATGTGCTCAGGCAAAAACTTCATGCCGTCGGAGTCCCTGAGCACTCCACGCCACGCTCCAATGCACTTCGTCCTCAAGCCTGCGCGAACTTCTCGTAAGCCTTCTCGATCTTCGAGCGCTCCTTCGTCATCATCTCGCGATCCTTCCCATGCGCCTCAAAGTGTTTGATGCAGTCGGCACATTCAATGTACCAAGCTTGATCCACCTCGCCAAAACCAATCATCTCATACTCCTGCAACGTCCCACCCACGAGGCGGGCCGTGTCCTGCCGAAAGTGTTAGTCTGGTCCAAGTCTGTCTCGCATATGGATTTCCACTATTACAACTTACCCACTCGACACAGTCCTCGCAATAGCCATGCTCGCACCAACGACATCTGAAGATCATACCACCAGCTTCTGCAGTCTTGCTGCCGCAGTCCACGCACTGATGTTGTGGGCAAAAGAAAGTGCCCATCTTGCTCTTAGATTTCGCCTTGAATTCTTTGTCGAGGCAGGTGTAGTGGTAGGAGCGAGGACAGCCCGAGCACAATAGAAGCGAGCCACCGTCCCAGCAGTGTTGACAGTGAGCTTGATTCTCGTGCATGACTTTCTTCTCGCGCCTTGGTTCGGCAAGACGAGGATCTTTGCCTGCCATGGTCGGTACGGCCTCCCAATCAGCACAGTTGAGCGATTCTTTGTTGATGGCAAAGCCGTCGATCATGACAGTGGTGTTCTTGCCTACACGTCGATCCGCGCGGGAGAGCTCCTCTTGCTCCTTGGCTTTCTTGTCGACCTCGCGCTGGAAATTCTTGCCCTCGAAGACCGCGGTCTCGACACGTTCCATGGACTGGAGCCACGCTTGTTCCCCGGCTTCGTCTACCTCAGCCACAACATCATCGACTTTGTCTTTGCATTCTTCAACCATCTTCTCGAAGCTCCAGCTAAGCATCGCTGACAGATCGACTTCTGGACGTGCCAAAGTTCGCGCGCCCAACCTTAGCAATGACTTCAGCTGTCCAGCACCAAGAGCTGGCTCATCCTCGTTCTCCGCTCCTCTTTTGCGCTTCTTGCTAACTACCGCGGTCGAATGAATGTTCCGCATGCTCTCGGTAATCTTTGCGGAGAGGTATAGCTTCTTACGGATGCGTCCCATCATCTGTTCCTCAACTGTACCCTGCGTGATAATCTTGTAAATAGTAACTGGCTCTGTTTGCCCTATACGATGAGCACGAGCTTCTGCCTGTAATGTGATCTGCGGATTCCAATCCTCGTCAAGAAATATGACGCTCGTCGCAGCGGCCAGGTTCAGTCCAAGACCGCCGGCTTTCCTGGAGATCAACATGACACGAAAGTCGGACTTCTTGTCGTTGAACATACGAATGCCTAGATTGCGCTTCGCTCGTCCAGTCGAGCCATCTAGACGCAGATAGCGAAATTTGGCATCATGAGTGTTGGCCCCCATGAAGGCCATGAGATCCTCGCAAACATCAAGTGCTTTAGTCCAGCCAGAGAAGATAAGAATCTTCTTGCGACGCTGCACAACCAGCTCCTCGAGCAGCTTCTGCAATACGATGAACTTACCAGAAGCAGCGATAATATGCTCACCGAGATAATATGGCTCGGGTAGGCACGACTTCAAAAGATAAGGGTGGCAGCAGATGCGTTGAAGCTGCAGGACGATGTTCATTAGTTTCTTCCAGTCGCTCGTCTTCTCCGACTGCTCCGTACCGAGCTGCTGTTGCGCGAGCTGCAGAGACTCGGACCATGGATCATCATTCTCTGTCTTGGCCGTCATGACTGAGATATCTTGATCTTGGTCTTGATCGATTTCCAGCGGGACTGCCTCTTTTTTGGTCACGTCCTTGAATAGGTCGTCGAGCAAGGCGGTATCGGACTTTGTAAGCAGCCGCGTATACCAGAAGCGCTGCACTGGTGTGAGAGGGACGTAAAGCAATACCTCCTCTTTTGGAGGCAGGCCAAGCTCGATCTCTGGGCTGTCTTTCATGCGCCGAAGCATCAGCAACTCCAAGAGATCCCGAGCAGAGTCCAGAAACGTTGTAGAGACCTTACCATTGCCGATATCGAAGGCATCCTTGAACATCACGGAGGTGTCCGTTGGAAAGACCTCGGGGAGGAGCCAGTGTAAAAGAGCCCACATTTCTTTTAGGTTGTTTTGCAATGGTGTTCCCGTCAGCAACAAGCGGTACTCAGCCTGCAAGCTGAAGAGCGCAGTAGCCATTTGCGAGCCTTCATTTTTGATCTTGTGGCCCTCGTCAAGCACGACGTATTTCCAGGCAAAAGCGCGCTTGAACCAATTAGCTTCGGATTTGAAGGTCTCGTAGGTCGTGACGATGATGTCAGGCATCGGTATCGTATCGGATTTGATCAGATTGGACGAGCCGTTGCTTTGCAGAAGCAATTGCTTTTTCAACTTCTCGCGTTCGCCTACAGGGCCGTGAAAGCGTATAGCTTTTAGGTCGGGGACCCACCTGCGAGCCTCCGTCATCCAAGAAGACAAGACACTCAGCGGACACACTACTAGGTGTGGTCGTGGCTCAGCATCACGCGCTTCGTTCTCCACCAGGTACTGGAAGAGAGCCAAGGTCTGCAACGTCTTGCCCAGACCCATTTCATCCCCAAGAATGCATGACATGCCATTGTCGTGCATCTTCAACAAGAATGAAAGGCCTTCCAGCTGATAGGGTTTCATGGTCGCTAGGACACCCATAGGCTGCTCGATGGTGCGACCATTGATGACCTCCACGCCAGAGTCCTCGGGGCGGGATTGCCGAAGCTTTGTGATATAATTCGTAGCGGGCAGCACGGGTAAGAAGAGGTCTTGCTTCGCCAATAAGAACGCTTCGCGCTTCGGGCGAGTGTGGTCGAGGATGTCTTGACGAATCCTGCCACGAGCAGTTTGAGGTTGGGTCTGTGCAGATGCGACAGTGTCTAACTTCAACAAGCTGGTGCTTCGGCGCTTTTTCGCTGCTGCTGCCTGCTTTTTGGAGATCTTCTTCTTCGGTGTGCCGTAGCTTATCAGGCTTCTTGTCGACCGAGCCGGCAGTTCTCGTGTCCCGGTTCGTTGTGGAGCCACTTGTACGACATCTGCTGACTGCAATTCATCATCGCTTTCTTCGCTGTCGTCATGGCTGTTAGGTAGCAAAGAAGTCCGGGAGGAAAGCGGATCCTCGAAGCTCGAAATTGACCGAGGAGAGCTATCTGGTGTGGAGTCACCATTGGACTCCGCATAATTGACAGCAGCACGTGGCCTAGCGTCGCGACCAGTCGAGAGGCGCTGCATCCTGCGAGCAGAGTCCGGGGCTTTCTGTGCACCAAAGGCCTTCAAGAGATCCGAAAGTCTTGGTGGCGAAGGGGCAACAGCAAGGAGTTTCCGGCGCTTTGGAGGTGTAGCATGGTCGAGAGCAAGAGGGTCGAGGTCCATTATTCGTGGAGACGTAGGTCTAACACTCCTGTTTGGGTAAGATCGGTGGGCGCCTGATTGCTGCTGTTGATGCTGGGTTCACTTGCAAACAATTGTTCCACGGAATGCTTCTAAAAATCCGCCTCTGTGAGGATGCGATGCGATATCAGTACGGCGATGCTGGTGGTGCTTCTCAATAGTCCTGCTCAGTAAGAACACCGATTGGTAGATATCACACAGCTCGCGGCCCTTCCAACAACATTTATGCTCCTGATGTCAAAGTGTTCGCGCAACGAAAATGTAAGATGATGCTGGAGAACGCGCTCGCAGGCAACGCGACCACGCTACTGCAGGGCTGAACCTTATGACTCGGGCGCTATACCACTTCGGGCCGAAATGCATGCATTAGCGCTGTTCGCAAGACCTCTGCTTGTGAAAGGAAGGAACTGCTTAAGACTACATGTATCAGTACCGTGCAAGTGTGGCAGTCAGCCGTCATCAAAGGCAAGGTGAGACTGTGTAGATCAATGTGTACACGTCTGACTTTCGTGTAGGGTGCCGCGGACTCGATATGGCGCGGTTCAAGCCCATCTACATTCGGCGAAGCGATGGCAGACTCGAAATGATAGGCAAAGGCAAGCATCGTGAACGCAATGAGCCGACGCCTGAACAACTTGATACTACGGCCGACAAGCACGGCGTCAGCGACTTTTACCGCGAGGTCGGACCCGAGGATGCTAAATCTATGGATTGGAGGCGAAAGCTTGGCGGCATGTTGGCCAGAGAACTCGGTGTCGATGAGAGAGGCAGCGACCACAGCTATGTTCTTGTTGCCTTTCCCGAGCACTACCGTCTATTTGAGCACGTGAAGAAGACTGTGCGAGATGGCAAGACTGAGGTCAAGGCCAAGACCCATGCTGGTGGTGGCAACGACAGGCAAGACGCATATTTGTATGGCCACCCAGCTGGTCGGCGGAAGAGATTTCGGAGTCCAGCAGACTTCTTCCCACATCTCCTGTGGCTTGCCACTGATGAGTCTGGCGATGTCGACAACTGTGGCTGCAAGATCTGTTCACCCGAAGACCTCGAGGCAGCTATTCCAGGAGCCAAAGCCAAGGTTGATCGGCCGAGTAAGCAGGCGAGTGACTCCATCAGATCTATTCCAGCCGTATCCCGACAAAGCAGTGCGCAAAGTATGAAATCTGAGCCAGCCACGATCGCCACACGACCAACGAGCACTACACTCCCGCCTACTCCCACGGCTCTACCGAAGCCAAGGAATGCCGACCAGCAGCTCGATCGAAGATACTATAATTTCATGTACAGAGCAGGCGAGTTAGTATGGTTTAAGCGTGGACAGGCATGGGGCTTGGGCACTGTGTTACGAAGATGGCTCCAGAATCAGGGTCACCCTAATCAGTACCACTACCTGGTGCAGCCCCTATCATATCCTGGCCACAACACATCGGCCTCGATAAAATCTTCAGACGCCGAGTTCCGGCCTTGGCTTGCTTGGAGCGTCCCCAAATTCACACATGACGGTCTAAATCACTTGCCGTCGCCAGCGCATTACAACTCAGCAGATTGGCAGGGTATTGCGCAGAAGCGGTATGGCCATGGCGAGCTCGAGGTTGATGCTTCGATATTGGCCGCGAAGGCTGTCGATGCTACATACACCCCCTTCCAAGCCATCAAAAGTTCTGAGCCCGAGCCCGGTACCACTGAAGCGAGCTACAATGGCATCTACCTTGGAGCAGAGCAGGTGTGGGTTGGAGATCCTGTACGTTTACAAGTTGGATCAGGCACTGACATCATGATCATTCATACCATTATCGAACGCGCTCGTGGGACTCCCGCGGCAAGCTCTTCGTCTCTAACTCTCATCGGCGACATCTATAGGCTCACATCAGTCACCCACCGACCAGGTGATAACAACCCTCATGTTTACAGCTCTACCTCTGGTCAGAACGATAACCCTTATCTACTACCGCGACTCATCGAAGATCTCCGTGATCGAAATAATCACTCAATTGCCGCTCGGGGTACAGCAAGCTACTGGAAGCTCACCACAGCGAAAGCGAAGGTCGGTCTGAACGATGTCAAAGGTCGCTGGTACGAAGCCAGTCTGCTTCTGCCGATCCTACAACAAGGGCAGTATGAGGCGCTCTCGCGTAAAGGAGACGTGCAAGAAGCTACGCTCTGGATGAATGCGCGAGGCGATTGTCAGAACAGCAACAAGCCCGCCGATCAGCCGACCCGTCCCGTGGTCAATACTCGCAAAGCCACTCGCCAAGAAGCCTTTGGCAGAGCAATTCCCTCTGGTGCAGAGATCAAGTTCGGTGTTCAGCCGCCACTACCCGATAATGTTGATCCAGCTTTGCAAGCTGCGGGCGCTGGCAACGACGATATCATGCAAATTGATCCGAGATTTGACACAGCAGACGATGACGGCAGAGCTCAAGGTACGGATCCAGCAGCGAGTGGCCTGGACGAGTTCATGAACCTGGACGCGGCTGATATGCCTGGCTTCGGACAGGATTATGCGAGCCAGGCATCGCAAGGCGGGTATTTCTAGATATAGACCATTCCTGGCAAGCATAACTCCATCGGCGGGCCAGTTGATATATTGACGGGCGAGGTCGAGAACAAACGGCCGTCTGCGTGACCAAAGCTCACACCATGACTCTCCTCAGCCCATTAGTCCCTCCTAATACCCTTCGTCCAGTGACAGGATCTCTGCCTTTGCCGCTCTCCCACTTCCCGACCCTGCTACCACCACCTTCTTCAAACCATCCTTTGGCGTCTTCTTCGTCCTCGGCACTACTAGTGCCTTCCATGAATGCTTCCTGGCGCGGATGTGTACCATCCACCCATTTGTATATGCATGTGTAGCAGTACACATAGCCAGTCTGCGCAGCAGTTGATGTCTGTATCTCAGAAGCGCAGATAGGGCATAGTGAAGTGGTGTTGGTGCTCTCTGCACTGTTGGGGTCGGTATGCGCCGGAGCAGGTACTGTGAGGATCGGAAGACCAGTCGTGCTAGATATTGGTGGGCCGTCAACACCGGAGTCGTGACGAGAAAGACTCGGCTTCTCGTTCCCCGTTCCAGATTTGGTGTTTCGTGCTGTTGTAGGCAGGCCTGATATGATGGGCGGTGGCAGCTCGAGGCCTTCATTTGCTTTCCTGCTAAGTTGACGTGCAAAGTCCGAAGCATGCCACCATTCTAAAAACTTGAGCGCAAAGATACTAGTGGGCAACAGTATCTTGAGACTCGACATGAGACGAGGGCCCACGGTCCCGGTCATCGTCCTTGGGCTGAATATCGATGGCGTCTGACCAGGCCTTGCGCCAGCGCTAGGGCTTGCAGATTTGGGCTGAGTAGCCATGGCAATCGCTCTGCTGTCTGCGGCATTGAGACGACGGATCCTTGTCCCGATCAGCCATAAGAATGGTGAGTGGTACTTTGAACCATCGAAAAGATAGGCCAGATTGTAAGCCAGTAATGAGAAGAAGTAAGCAGCATTTATGCTGGGATAGACTTTCCGCAAGAACCACTTGTACAGCCACATAGCTCTCTGCTTGACCGTTCCTTCTGCTGGGAAAGACTCTCGATCTTGATATGCTTGACCAAGCATATTGATGGATGCCGCATGGATATCGTAGCTCTCGTCCAACTTTCTCTTGAGATATGGTAGCAGAACCATGACCCCAAGATTCTTCCATACATCTCCATTTCTCAGCTTCAAGGTCTCTCTCACCTCAGCCGGCGCACCTAGTTGAGCCCTTCGCACCTCTCCACCCTTGACTCTCAGCACCCTTGCCCGCTTCAAGCCATAGAAGTTCTCCGTAAAGCCTCCTCCATAGACTTTGAGATAGTGTCGTTCTATGAGCAGCGACAGCAGCGCATTCAATTCGTCGAAATAATTCAGTACACGGAGCAGATATCGAGGATGTCGATGTGTCGCTACTGCCAGCAAGTAGCGCAGAGATGGTGGTATGAGAGAGCCTAGTTGTTGTTCGGAGAGGAGCTCGAAGAGGGATGGCTTCTGTTCGTCCAGGCCAGACTGGAGAGCGGTCATAAACTCCATGTTGGCAGTACTGTGGGCAAGCCTTACAACACGACCGCTGGTATTATGCTATTGTCGCATCAGCTCATAGTTGTCGGCAGGCAGCTGTGTGCTTGCGAATCGATGAAGATGACGATCCACAAAATGAGCCTCGGCTTCAAAAACGCGCCCAAACGCGTCTCCCTCTCTTCGAACATATTTCAACGACAAGATCACATAATGGCCCCGTCTTCTCGAGCAGCCGTGACAGAGAGCTCATCATACTTCGAGCAGCAGCGAGCTCTCTTGATAAACGATGTTGCTGCTGTGCGATCCTCACACAGTCTTTACGATGTACGAGTCGTACGCTGATGCATGAACAGAGCCTGGAAAACGTACTACAGAACATGAACAAGCTGAACAGGAGCCTGGAGGGTGTCATCGCCGTACGTTATCAATATCCTCATACCAAAGGGAATTGCCAATTGACAATGCATCAGGTGGGCAATGAGTTCAGCCAAGTCGAAGGCTTATGGTCGCAGTTCGAAAATGTCATGGCCAAGGAGCCCGCAAAGGAAGAGTCCAAGGATGTCAGAGAAGGCGCTGCGGATGAGCAAGCGCGATGAGTCTTGCAGTAGGAAATGCCTTTGTGATGTTGACGGCAATGTTCTCACGATCAAGATACCCAAAGATGCGGCTTTATGATTGCCTGCGAGTACAGCGCTTATTTTTTTGATATCGGGAAGGATCTCCTTTTTAAATCGTTGCGTTTGCCTTCCTGATGGTATCGGAGCAAAGCAATTATCGAGTAGTGGCTTCTTCATCGCGTTCTCGTTGCTCGAAACACATGTCTCTGGCAAGACCGTGTGGCCCAAGCGCCATAAAAGCCTCGTCAAGTTCTCGTGCTTGCCATCTCTTCTGCCTGCAGCGTCATCAAGCTGGAACCATGTTGTGATCGTATGTACACTGCAAACCTGTCTCGCGCATCTCGACTAGCATGCGAGTTCTCATCTGCCCTCCTAGCAATATGGAGGGAATCAGGGAGCAGGTCACGAATTGGTATGTTTTTCTCAGGCAACCGCTGTGAGGAGATACTGATGAGATATCTTTAGGGCTCGCCATCAGCGGTGGCGTGGACTCCATGGCTATGGCTAGTCTGTGTAGTATGGTCGCACAACGCAACGAGCCCTCTCCATCATTGACGGCCTTCATCGTGGACCACAAACTAAGACCTGGAAGCACCGAGGAAGCCAAATTTGTAGCACATGAGCTTCGATGCATGAACGTGCAGCCAAGAATACTGACACTGGACTGGGTCGCCAATGGTATCGATCCCGCCTCTACTGTACATTTAGAGCACGCAGCGCGCAGGCTTCGGTATCAGGCCATGGGCAAAGCATGTCGAGAGCATGATATCAATACCTTGCTGGTGGCGCATCATGCTGATGATCAAGCTGAGACTGTGTTGATGCGACTCGTCAGTAACTATCATGGGTCCGGACTCCAAGGTATCAAGGCTGTGAAGCCTTTACCTGAGTGCCACGGCATGTATGGAATTCATGCATCTGGCACTCCTCGAGACACAAATGAGGCCGACCCAACTTTTGATCGCATACTCTTAGAGGGCGGTGGAGTTTCCATCTATCGCCCTCTACTGGCATACTCTAAGGCTGATCTCGTGTCCCATTGCCATGATGCGGGCGTGCGCTGGTTTGGGGATGAGACAAATGACGACAAGCGATTTGCCCTGCGCAATACAGTGCGTTACATGTTGCACCGGGATGTGCTACCTATGGCGCTACGCAAGTCTAGGCTGCTCGAGATTGCCACGAAGCTCAGACAGGAAGAGGAAGGCAATGAGCTTTGTGCACAGCAGGGACTCGTAGGTATGCCTCTTGAGCTCGACATGAGGTGTGGAAGACTTCTTGTGCGAGACTTCAACATCTCACGCTTCACGGCACTATTGACCATTAGCAAGGATATAAAGATCAGAGCCATAGCACTGAGACGGCTTCTGGCTCTGGTAGCACCAACGGACACGATTCAGCTACAGGACGTGTACACTGTCTTAGTAAAGATTGCTACTCAGGCACAGTCGTCTTTCCAAATCGCAGGTGTCGACCTTGTCTATGATAATGGACGGAGAGGACTTACGATACAGCGGCAGATGCCGAATGCGCGAGAGCTGAAGGCAGGTGTCATCGCACTCACGCCAGAAAACAGTGCTCAGCAAACCTGTGCACTGGGACCGTCTGCGTGGCATCTCTGGGACTGCCGTTATTGGCTTCGGGTATCACATGCAACTAGTATTGAAGAACACATCATCGCGCGGTTCTTGACACCAAATGACCTCGCATCTCTAAGGCAGCGCCTATCGGATTCCGAAAAGGTCGTACTCGGAGAGGCGTTAAGTCCGGTACCAGGCAGTCTGCGCTACACTGTTCCTATCTTGGTATTACAGAGCCCTGCGGTCGAACAGGGAGATCCTGAAGTTGAGAAAATAGTTGCGCTACCCACCTTGGGCTGGTCTATAGACGGCTGGTATCAATGGCCTATGGACGATGCACTCGGAACCGGGAGGGTTCAAGGCGGGTATTGGGACGTGCGATACAGAAAGGTCGATCTGGAGGCGACAGATCACCACGACAGTTATTTCCAGACAACCTGCGGAAGGTCATCAAGCTCGTAGATGAGCTGATGGAATTTCTGTAGACATGGCCTCATGCTCGCTGGAGCATGTGAAACAGTAAAGTATGTGGTCAATCACCATGACGGCTCGAGCCCTTCTCTCAGGCATCATCTACCATAGTAACTTGAAGTCGACGAACACAATTCTGTCGTACTTAGAGAGTATTGCTATGTCAGCCCCAGAAGTCAATCATGTCTTGCGTGCTATAGCAGCCAAGCGGTGAGCCACGCTAGTGGTGGACCGTGTGCTGTCGCCATCTCTGATCTCTACCGCACCAGCTCCCTCAACTTTCTTATCTCAACATCACCTATTCACGATGTGCACGATGGCTGCTACACTACGTTTATGCCTTGAGGAGTCCAGCTTTGGCTGCTCGTGTGTACGATGAGTTCCTGGCTTCAACAAGCCGCATGCACTTCTTTACCACGACGATCATCCTACGCCTCGGATGGTTTTGACAGCCCGAACTGCGACAACAAAAGCCGGATGATCTCTAATACATAACATCAGCCATTAGCTGATACTTTACCGAGATCGAATCATGCTTTGAGGCTCCGTGATCTACAGATACGCTAGACGTCATGGACCACTGCAGCTTATCCCTTCCTCGCACAAAAGCGTCAAACATCGACAAATACTCCACACGCGGATGTGCAATGCTATCACGCTTATGGCGCAGGAAGATGCCGGGTTCTTTGCACTACTACACGAATCCGAACATGCCGCATCAGCTTGACGGCTTTACACGGACTCTCGTTCCGCTTCCTTACAAATTATCCTCCGAAACAGGTAGTAGTGATCTGTCACTTACGTTCTTTGACGTAGGACCAGAGAACCTAAAATTTGGCCCTGAAAGAGACTTAGTAAGATATCAATACTCATACAATTGTACACTCGATCGTGCTTCTCTATTCGTTACCCCATTACAGCGCGTTTCTGACTTTGCAGACCTGATCCACATCAGACTTCCTTCTTGGAATCATGAAGTCGACCGAAAAGAACAAGGGCTCAACGGCGCGAAGAATTCTCAATATACAGACGGATACTGCCAACAATGAGCTCAAACATGAGATCACTGCAGGTCTCAATCCTGGCGAAGGCAAGGAGAAGACCCTGCCTACCCTGCTATTATATGATGTTGAGGGTTTAAAACTCTTCGAACGCATCACGTATCTCGACGAGTACTATTTGACAGGCGAAGAGATTAAGACGTTGGAGCGTCATGCCAGGACCATGTCCGAGCACATCGAAGACAATTCGATGGTGATAGAGCTCGGAAGCGGGTGTGCCTTTGCCAGTCCCGCCGCAAGTGATCGAGGCTGACGATAGCGACAGCAATCTTCGGAAGATCAAGATCCTTCTGGACGCTCTGGAGAAGGCCCAGAAAAATGTCGACTACTATGCTCTTGATCTGATGGAGTCAGAACTGGAGAGGACGCTGGCAGAAGCACCTCAATATCGGTATGTAACCTGTCAAGGATTGCACGGCACCTACGATGACGGCCTGGCCTGGGTTCAACAGCCGCAGAACGCCAACAAGCCTAAGACGATCTTGTCCTTGGGCTCCAGCATCGGGAACTTTGATCGTGGCTCTGCATCCAGCTTCATAAGATCTATTTTTGCTGCCTTGGGACCGAACGATAGCGTCTTAATTGGCCTCGACGCATGCCAAGAGCCAGACAAGGTTTACCACGCCTACAATGACTCCAAAGGGTATGTCGAGATCGAAATGATATGAGTTTGCCAGCGCACTAATGAGACACAGCATCACGCACAAATTCATAGCGAATGGCCTCAAGCACGCTAACACACTGCTTGGAAGCGAGATTTTCCGTCTACCCGACTGGGAGATTCTTGGTCGCTATGATGAGGCAGGCGGGAAGCACCAGGCGTTTGTTGCACCCAAGCGTGATCTTGCCGTGCTTGGGGTCTCCATCAAAGCCCACGAGCAGATTCGCATCGAAGAGAGCTACAAGTACAACTCTGCTCAGGCCAATGAGCTCTGGAACCAGAGTGGGGCCCTGCAGAAAATCAAGCTTTCGAATGACGCAGGTGATTATGGTATGTTAATTACAAAATGGTCTGGGCTTTGTCCCGGTGGTAGGGCTGAATGCACAGACAGTGTTTGCTGACAGCAACATTATTTTAACAGCATTGCATTTATTGAAGAAGCAACCAAGAATCATGTTTCCCACCAAGCCCGATGATTATGCAGCCCAGCCTGTGCCGAGCCTTGATGACTGGAGCCAGCTTTGGAAGGTGTGGGACCGGGTCACGCGACAGATGATACCAGACCAAGAGCTCTTGGACAAGCCTATCAAGCTGCGCAATGCTTGTATCTTCTACCTTGGACACATTCCAACATTCCTTGACATGAAAATTACTGAAGCCACCAACACACCTGCAACGGAGCCGAAGTACTTTTACGACATATTCGAACGTGGCATCGATCCTGACGTCGACAATCCCGAGCATTGCCACGCTCATAGTGGGATTCCGGACTCATGGCCTGAGCTTGATGTTATTTTGACTTTCCAAGACCGCGTGCGCCAACGTGTCGGAGATCTGTACAAGACGGGTAGAGTCTTCGAGGATGCCTGGACTGGCCGTACAGTGTGGCTTGGGTTTGAGCACGAGGTGATGCATCTTGAGACGCTCCTGTACATGATGTTGCAGAGCCGTTGGTGCAACCCGCCTGCGACTGCTCCTCAGCCGGACTTCGTCAAGCTTAATGAGCAAGCACATGCTGCCGCTGTTGAGAACAAGTGGTTCGACATTCCCGAACAAACTATTGACCTTGGTCTGGACGATCCCGATGATGCTGAGGGGGCTGTTCGACACTTCGGCTGGGATGTAGAGAAACCGATCCGGTCAGTGACAGTGCCCTCATTCAAAGCCAAGGCTCGCCCTATCACAAACGGCGAGTACGCACGATATATGATCACCACCGGCAAGACTTCTGTGCCTGCTTCGTGGGGTACTGTGGAAAGTGCTAGTGCTACTGAAGGCATGGGTGGAGATATGAACGGTAACTCCGACCTGCATTATTTCACTCGTGGTAAGGCAGTTCGCACAATGTACGGTCCGGTGCCACTTCACCTAGCATTGGACTGGCCCGTATCAGCCTCATATGACGAGGTCTCTGCATGTGCACAGTACATGGGTGGCCGCGTGCCGACACTTGAGGAAGCTCGAAGCATTTACTACTATGCCGACTATACAAAGAAGAAAGAAGCATCCAAAGCTCTTGGCAGGACAATTCCAGCAGTCAACGGGTAAGTCATACCACGCATGATCATCTGTGTTGTTTTTGCTGACTTATAGCAGGCATCTTGTTAACGATGGCGTCGAGGAGACACCACCATCCCAGCCTTCAGTCAACGGCTTCAGGGCTGGAAACAGTCCTGATCCCAACGAGCTCTACGTCAACCTCGACGAGGCGAATGTCGGCTTCAAGCATTGGCACCCAGTCTCAGTCACTCAGAATGGTGACAGACTCGCCGGACAAGGCGAAATGGGTGGCCTCTGGGAATGGACTAGCTCAGCTTTGGAGAGGCAGGAAGGCTTCATGCCAATGAAACTCTACCCTGCATATAGTGGTAAGTCTGGCAAAAGGGTAGTCTGTGGTCTTGTTACTGATATCAGGCAGATGACTTTTATGATGGAAAGCACAATGTGGTGCTCGGAGGCTCATGGGCAACGCATCCGAGGGTTGCTGGGCGGAAGTCCTTGTGAGTATGATCGATTTACCAGAACGGCCGCGTTTACTAAGTTCCTTGCAGTGTCAACTGGTACCAACGCAACTACCCGTACGCTTGGGCAGGTGCCCGCCTCGTGAAGGATGCTTGATTGACTAGCAATTGACAAGACGAACTTGTTACCTCTGCAGTCTTTACCAACCAATTCAAAAGCATCACCGACCTGCATTGACTTCACGACGCCCATCTAAGCCACGATTTATTCACATGCCAGCTGGGGTTCTGCATGTGCGATGATCCGTGCATATTGTGTAACTGTCGAGCCGCAACGTCACGTACACTCCCGTCACCAAATGCAAGAATTTTCCCCTGTCCGTCCCTAGCCGCATGCATTGTTACGCGGTCCAAACAGAACACGTACACGGAAGTGTTAACAGTGCATACAATTCAACGTCACTACTAATTTCAATCTGCGCAAACTGTGTTGGCATATAAACGCACAACAACAACACACCAACAGCTCGAAAGTCACGGACTAACGCATCGAATACCATATCAATACCGAACCACCCTCTCCTCGCTCGTCTTGACCACAAGACGGATACTTCGCACGTCTCATCCAGACATAGAGAATGCAGATATCTATCATCCTCGCCTGTCAAAGTTTTACTCTCTTTGCCGAAGGCACCACGTACGAAAGTTCCATCAATCTCGAAAGCATTATCCGGAGGCATCCCAAAAAGCCCCGTAGACCGGATAAGACACGGTCTACAGCATGCCGAAGGACGTTTATCGATGGGAAGATGGTAAGATACCAAAAGCTAGAAGCCTGACAACATTACTTAAGATACGTACTAACCGTATATCTGTCGATTTGCAGGTGGAGGCCTAGGTAAGCATGCATATCGATCCTACTTTCGAGTAATGCCGAGCAATGCTTACTTTACCGCAGTACATCATTGTCCGATATGTGCCACGCCACTTTCCCACGAGATATGTAAGAGCCGCTGTCTCGGCACACATGTCGAGTGGTGTCAAAGATATCATACCAACCTTTTTCGCAAGGGTATGTATTGTTCGAGCGAAATATCGAGCAGACACGCTAACTGGCTGTAGACCATTCGAGTTGCTGCGCACCATGCGGCCATGCAGAACAGGAGCACAGCAAGCGTCACAGAAAAGTTGCAGAACTGTTGCAGAAGCTGAAGGAGGTCGAGTCCGAGGACGTCCCACGTACGCCTGTAAAAGTATTGTGCGTCGATACTGAAAGCCCGAACCCAAGTCCAATGTCGAAGAAAGATCGCAAAGCCGCAAGAAAAACTGCAAAGTTGGCTAGCATGCCCAAGGTGGTCACAACGGCCGACATCGAGTTTGTGGCGGAAGTGCTACACCCGCACGACTCTCACAAGGATGAGGCGGAAGAAGAAAGGCGCTTGCTGGAAGATCCAGATATCAAACTGAATCTCTACTTCTTCAAAGGCACGACCAATACCCGCGAAGCCCGTCGTCGTCATCTCAAGCCGAAGGTCAAGGGCGAGCAGGAGTTCATCATCGAGGAGGATGAGCTGGCTGCTTTGCTATTCAGCTTGAGTGTCCCAGCATCCGATCAAGTCAAAACCACGCGCGCACGCCAACTGGTGGAGCAGATTCGTTTAGCAGTCCGTGACGATCTCGTCCACGTGGCTAAGGAGCACGAGCAGACTATGATGAGGAAAGCTGGCTTTTGGCGTTGGGCAAGTCGTAAAGCGTACGATAGGCTCGTTCATAATGGCAGGCTATGGGACGATACTTCGGACTCGGGTGACGTTGCTTCAAGGAAGGACTCGGTCGCGAATGCTATGGAGGACTTGGGGATGAAGGAGAACGACTCGAGCGGTCAGAAGGCTTCGCAAACACTTCAGATCAGTGCGCCAAAGACACCGGCGTTCGCTGAACGGAAGAAAAGTGGCAAGGATGCCCTGTTAGCGAGCCCTGCGATTGACGATGGCTGGACCCAGGTCGGCAGGACGACGACGAAGCGCAAGACTGAGACGCCTGCCACCTCCATCAAGTTGTCCGGGAACCAGGGGCTGGCGAAGCTGCAGGTGAAGCCGAAAGGCATGTTTGGTGCGTTCAGTCTGGCAGATGATGGTCTTGTGGATTAGCGGGATCGATGGGTATGGTCACTGTTCACGATTGAGTTGTGTTGGTTGCGTTTGTGAATTCCGCTTCTGCGGGCTACAAGGGTGTAATTGGTATGGTGAGGAGCCCTGTTGCTCGCATTGATACTGTTGTGGTGCTCAATGACACTGTACTTTCAGCCTGGCAAAAGTACTCCATCTTCACTCTACTCTCTCCAGTCAACGTCGTTGATGCACGAACCGTTCCAAGATCCCGGGTCATGATACTAGTGTCGGCAAATACTTGATCAATCACACGTGCTTGTGGAAGCTTTCCGCTATCTGACCCCTGCAAGTGGGAAGCCGCGTGAACAAGCTCAGGGACGCGTTGTGTGCGCAGAAGCGATCCAACTATCGAAACATCTCCATCCATTACGGCCGCCTACAACACTCTCGTTTCGCAACAGAGTCATCAGGACTGTTGATAGCATCACGAAAGTGGCCCTTGCCTGCTCCATCGCAAATCATCAGCATACACGATTGCAACGAGGGGGACGCCGCGTTGCGGGCAGTCGCATTATTGGCGATGTCGAGTTCCATAATCGGCCGGATACAGTAGAGCAAGATATGGAGGAGTCGATGCTCAACAGAGCCAATGGCATTTTGGCAAATGGAGCCGCAACAACACCCACCTCGTCGGTAGTGACACCACAGACAATCATCAAATACCTTACGAGGGTACTCGAGGTCACGCTTGGGGCGGATCAGGAGGAGCTGGCTGCGCAAGGAAGCTTGTTGCATGAGGAGCGATTGCAGGAAACCATCTCGAGATGTCAGCGATTTGCATCTGAGGCACAGACTGCCTTGTATGTGCTACAAGAATCACCTCTGACCCTGCAAAACGGCCATGTCAATGGTGATGGTGGGCTTGATCGCGATATATATAGCCTCAGCGCTGAGGTGCTGTACAGCACGAGAACGACAGGCTGTGTTGCATTTCTGAAACGACCATATCCGATAGCATCCGATGTACCGATCAGCAGACAGGTCTCCGTGGTCAACTTGCCCCTGCCCAGTACGACACTCGTCTCGGAGACTGGCTCTGTAGCGTCGCCGTACGAAAGCCTGCATGGTCTGGTGAGAGGTGCACTTACACCACTCTTCGAAGCTGCTGCTCGGAATGCGGAGCCCACGAAAGAGAAGATCAGGACGGACGGTGATGCACGAACAGGTGTCTCAGGGGCAAGGAGGAGGCTTGCAGATCTGGAAGTCAGTCTACAGAATCTACAGCAGAACATCGAAGTGGAGGCTCCGCGACTGCAGATACACGAAGCTGTGCAGGCGCAGCTGAATGATGTGAATGGCAACTGGCAAGCTGCGGCGATGAACATACCAGAGGCTGCCATATCTGACAGCATGCTGCTCAATAAGCTCCAGAACATGGCCAACGACTGGATCAAGCAGATAAGAGACTTCACACGCATTGCAGACGAGCGGCCGGTCGGCACAACAACACAAGAGAAGAATTTCTGGCTGGCGATGGAGAATGCGATCGATGGCATTGAAGCGCAATTGTCAAGCGGCGGTGTTCAGCTGACGATGAAGGTTCTGGAGAAGGCCAAGCGGCATGGTATAACGGCCAGCTTCTCGTCCGACACAAAGCTCAAGGAGACCAAGGAGAGGGTGCAGAAGTACAATACGCTCTTCCATGGATTTCCGATAGAGGAGATGTTGTCCGCTACGACTGTCGAGAAGCTGCGAGATGCGCTTGATGATGTGTTTTCGCATCTCAACAAGAAGTTGCGCGTCTGCCCATACCCTGTCCGTCGAGCGCTGCCGCTTGTAGAGGCCATCTCAGCAGATCTCGATAATCGACTACATGACCTCTTACACGGGCGCACACTCATGCACCTTGCGATCGACGACTTTCACAAGATTGTCCTTCAAGTTGAGTCAGTCTGGTCGTTCTGGGACGATGATGTCAAGGAGTTCACAAACGTCGCGCGTGAAGTCACGCGAAGAAGGAACGACAAGTTCATCCCCATCAAGATTACAAAGCGCCACGACAAGACCCAGGATCGTCTGAGCTACATTGCGACGTTCCGCGATAATCATGATCAGCTGCAGAAGACCATTGTCAATGTTCTTGGCCCCGAGGAAGAGGCGATCGATGCGCCGGATGCTGCTGCGGCGCCTGTCGTTGTGGAGGAGATGGGCGACATGGATGCTGTAGAGGAGATCGCGCAAGCCTACGTTGCTGTCAAGGATGTAGACGTACTCGACATCACACCGGAAGGCGAACGTCTGTGGACACAAGCAGAGGCAGCATACAACGAGCGAACAGCGAGGGTTGAGAACTCTATCATCGCTCGGCTTCGAGATCGACTTGCCGTGGCCAAGACTGCCAACGAAATGTTCCGCGTCTTCTCCAAGTTCAATGCATTATTTGTCCGGCCTAAGATCCGTGGCGCGATAGCAGAATATCAAGCGCAGCTCATTAGCAACGTGCGAGACGACATCGATGCCCTGCAGAATCGCTTCACACATCAGTATGGTCAGTCGGAAGCCCACGCCATGGCACAACTACACGATCTACCGCCAATCTCTGGAGCAATCATACGTGCTAGGCAGATCGAGCGTCAGCTGAACAACTACATGAGCAAGGTCGGCGACATCCTTGGACCCAAGTGGGACCAACACACAGATGGTCAGAAGCTGCATACTTTCGGCGAGAGCTTTCGAAGACGCCTCGATACTAAGCCGATCTTTGACGACTGGTTGCGCGATATCAGCAGACGACATCTATCTATCTCCGGACGACTATTTGCAATCAGCCAAAACCGAGCTCGTGGCAATGTGCTTGACATACATGTGAATTTCGACTCACAAGTCATCACACTGTTCAAAGAAGTCCGCAATCTGCTGTGGCTGAATTTCCCGGTACCACATGCCATCAGCAACGTGTCGAAGGAAGCACGACGAGTGTATCCTTTCGCCGTCAGTCTCATGGAGAACCTCAATACGCTCGCCCAGACGAACATCAGCATTGATAGCATGTCAGAGGTCACCATGCTGCTCTGTGGCTTCCGCAACGACGTGCAGGCTTTCATCGCCAAGGGCACCTCTGTCAAGTGGGAGACATTCGTACTCGCCTACGACGTTCATGTCCGACATGCTGGCGAGGAAGTGTCAGGACGAGTGACTGGGGACGACAAGCTGCACGTGCAGTTTGTACGCAATCTGGGCAACTCAATCACCACATTGCAGACGAAGGTCACGACTCTATCTACAATACAAGTCTCCGTGGAGGCATCATTACGAGAATTGCAGAGTTGTGCGTTCACGCTCGAGGCTTTCCGCCTTAACCTCGAGGCTTTGCAGAGATCTATCGACCAGCTCAACCTTGAGACATACTCAAACATCCCGCACTGGGTAGCGAAGACCGACGAGAGAGTCATTGAGACCCTTCGCTTGCGCCTCCAACAGGCATTGAAAGACTGGAGCGACGAGTTCGAGCATGGTGACGAGACGGCGGATCGCGAGGCTGGCTCGCCAAATGTGGACACATACGCCCATGATATTGTCATGCAGAGCCAGCTCATTCAGCTGGAGCCGCCGCTCGAAGATGCAAAGGCCGGGTGGCTGGAGAATTTGCACGCTTGGCTAGATATAGTGTGCAATCTGCCAAGGATACAGGCGTCACGATTCGACAACGCTTTGACGATTGGGGCCGCGGGTCAGACGCTGACATACTCGCAATTGCCTCTGATGTGTATGGACGTCCTTGCGGGCCTCTACGAGCGCATCGACGCCAAAGTGAGCTTGGCTCAGGCATATATCGACGAGTGGCTGCAATTCCAATCGCTCTGGGACCTGCAAATAGGTCAAATTCAAGATGATCTTGGGCATGAACTTGACCTTTGGCTGCAATTGATCCTCGAGATACGGCAGAAGCGTGATACTTTCGACACATCTAGCAACAAGAGATCCTTCGGCCATCTGGTCGTCAACTACGAGCAAGTACAGTCTAAGGTCAACGCCAAGTACGATCAATGGCAACATGAACTCCTCGCGCACTTCTCTGGTCTCTTCGCCATCCGCATGGTTGATGTCTACGCCGAGTTTCAGCGCGCTCGGAAAGATCTGGAAGGATCTTCGATGCAAACTTCATCTACTGCGCAAGCTGTCTCTTTTATAACAGTAGTACAGACATGCAAGCGACAGATCAAAGTGTGGGAGCCTGAGATGGACACGTTCCGACAGGGCCAGCAGACCTTGTCGAGATTACGCTTTCAGTACCCCAAAGACTGGCTCTACGTTGAACAGGTTGACCATGAGTGGACAGCACTGGTCGAGGTCCTTGAGCGGAAGAGCAAGCTCATTGCTGATCAGACCGACGCTCTACGTGCAAAGATCGTGGCTGAAGACGGTGTGGTGTCAAGACGCATCGGCGAGGCAACAGAGCGATGGAATGATCAACGGCCTGTCTCTGGATCGATACCGCCCACCGAAGCAGTAGCAACACTCGATGGCTTCGGCACGGAATTGACGCAGCTACGTGAGCAGTCAGACATGGTTAGCAAAGCGAAGGAGGCCTTGGAGCTGCCTGCTGGACCCGACAATATGCTCATCACTCTGCTGGAGGAGGTGCAGGATTTCAAATCTGTCTGGGGTCATCTCACCATCGTCTGGGATCAGCTCAATGATCTACGCGACCAGCCATGGAACAGCATACAGCCCCGTAAGCTGCGACAGTCACTTGACAACTTGATCAAGACAACCAAGGAAATGCCAAGTCGAATGCGGCAATATGCTGCTTTTGAGCATGTCCAGTCAGTGCTACGACAACTGCTCAAGGTCAATGTTCTGCTGACAGAGATGCGCTCGGATGCCGTACGTGAGAGGCACTGGGTCAAAATCTTCAAGAGCCTGCAGCCCAACAAGCGATACTCTGCCATCTCTATGACTCTGGGCGATGTGTGGGACTTGCAACTTGGCCCGAGTGAGTCTGTGATTCGTGATGTGATCACGCAGGCTCAAGGCGAGATGGCACTAGAGGAGTTCGTGCGCTCTGTCCGGGAGCATTGGCAGAACTACTCGCTCGACTTGATCAACTACCAGCAGAAGTGTCGACTTATTCGTGGCTGGGATGATCTGTTCGCGAAGTGCAGCGACCATCTCAACTCTTTACAGGCTATGCGACATTCGCCCTACTACAAGGAGTTTGAGGAGGAGGCATCAGCGTGGGAAGACAGGCTCAATCGCATACATGTCCTGTTCGATGTCTGGATCGATGTCCAGCGCCAGTGGGTCTACCTCGAAGGCGTGTTCACAGGCAACGCCGATATCAAGCACTTGCTGCCTGTCGAGTCATCGCGCTTCGCAAACATCAACAGCGAATTTATGAATGTGCTTAAGAAGGTCTACCGGTCGCCACAGGTCCTAGAGGTGCTTAATATACCCGATGTGCAGCGATCACTCGAACGCCTCGCAGACCTACTCAACAAGATCCAGAAAGCTCTTGGCGAGTATTTGGAGAAAGAGCGTGTGGCCTTCCCACGCTTCTACTTCGTTGGTGATGAAGACCTGCTGGAGATCATTGGCAACAGCAACGATACTGTCCGCATTGCAAAGCATTTGCGCAAGATGTTTGCCGGCATATCTGGTCTGGATATGGACGGGGAGCAGAACATTCTCGGTCTGACGTCGAAAGAAGGCGAGCACGTGGGTCTGAGAAAGCCGATCTCCTTGGTTGCTACACCCAAGGTCAATGAGTGGCTCAAAGCTCTTGAGAACGGGATGCGTGATTCGCTGTCAGAGTCGCTCGTGGGGGCTGTGAGCGCGTTCGAGGCTATCGAGGAGGGCGACACTGACGCTTTCGAGGCTTACATCTCAGAGTATCCTGCGCAGATTGTGGTGCTGGCAGCCCAGGCATGCTGGACTTCTCAGGTCAATGTGGCCTTGAGCAAGGGCAGCAATGCACTTCGGGGCGTCTACAATGCTTTGGTTAACCGGCTTGACTTCATGGCTGCCACCGTACTGCGCGAGCTCGAGCCACTATATCGGAAGAAGTCCGAACATCTCATTACCGAGTTCGTGCACCAGCGCGATGTGATTGAGCGCCTGATGCAAGGCGGCGCAGACTCTCCAGGCCACTATCTCTGGCTACTCCACATGCGTTACGATTTTGACGCAAGCGCTGCACCTCTCGACCGAATGCAGGTCCGCACTGCGAATGCTACGCTTGCTTATGGCTTTGAATACTTGGGCGTGCCGGAACGTCTGGTGCGCACTCCGCTCACAGACCGCTGCTTCCTCACGCTTACTCAAGCACTTTGCCAACGCCTTGGAGGCTCACCTTACGGTCCTGCTGGTACGGGCAAAACCGAGTCTGTGAAGGCGCTCGGCGTGCAACTCGGTCGCTTCACGCTTGTCTTCAATTGTGACGACACCTTTGACTTCCAGGCCATGGGGCGCATCTTCCTTGGTATCTCACAAGTCGGTGCTTGGGGTTGCTTCGACGAGTTCAACAGACTGGAAGAGAGGATCTTGTCCGCTGTATCCCAGCAGATCCAGAACATCCAGCTTGGTCTCCGTAAGCGCGCAGCAGACCCCGATGCTGAGATCGAGCTCGTAGGGAGACAGCTCAAGGTCCACCGGCTGACTGGCATGTTCATCACCATGAACCCCGGATATGCTGGACGCTCGAACTTGCCAGATAATTTGAAAAAGCTCTTCCGCAGTGTCGCCATGTCCAAGCCAGATAAAGAGATCATCGCCGAGGTCATGCTGTTCTCACAAGGCTTCGCTGATGCCAAGACACTGTCACGCCAGACTGTACCATTTTTCGACAGATGTGGTGACAAGCTATCGAAGCAGCCACATTACGACTTTGGTCTGCGTGCGCTTAAAAGTGTACTTGTCAGCTCTGGTGGGCTGAAGAGGATGCGTCTCGCTGTAGGAAACGAGAAAGCTGCCGACTTCGAGCCTCAAATTATCGTTCAGAGCATTCGGGAAACCATTGCGCCCAAACTTGTGCGAGCAGACGCCACGACTATGGAGCGGATCGAGGCCGAGAGCTTCCCTGGAGTCAAATATATCCCAGCAACACTCCAGAGTCTGCGGAAAGCCTTGCGCGAGGTCATCGAGGAGCGAAAACTCGTCGGCACCGATGCTTGGCTTACGAAAGTACTGCAGCTATACCAGATCCAGAACCTACATCATGGTGTTATGATGGTCGGTAATTCGGGTACTGGCAAATCGACCGCTTGGCAAGTGCTGTTGGCTGCTTTGCAGAAAGTTGATGGTGTGGAAGGTGTCTGCCATGTCATCGACCCGAAGGTCATGAGCAAGGAGAGCTTATATGGCAGCCTCGACAGCACGACAAGAGAGTGGACGGATGGTCTGTTTACCAGCATTCTGCGAAAGGTGGTTGACAATTTGCGTGGTGAGGAAGGCAAGCGTCATTGGATTGTGTTCGATGGTGATGTTGATCCTGAGTGGGTGGAGAACCTGAACAGTGTTCTCGACGATAACAAGCTGCTGACTCTGCCAAACGGTGAGCGCATCGGCCTACCGCCTAACGTTCGAATCATGTTCGAAGTGGAGACTCTAAAATATGCTACCTTGGCCACCGTGAGTCGATGCGGTATGGTGTGGTTCAGCGACGACACTGTCGAGCTCGATGTGATGCTCACACGATACCTGGCACAGCTGCAGGCGGCTTCCTTCGATGATCTGGAAGAAGATGCTGCTCTTCCAACAGCAGCAGAATTGAGAGCAGCGACTATGGCTCACATGACAAGCATACTACAGCAGCGCTTGACCACGAACGATTACATCAGGAAGGCGCTGTCTCGCTGTGAGCCATGTCACCACATCATGGAGTTCACGAATATCCGCGCCATAGGCACTCTCTTTTCGTTATTGCGCAAGGCTTGCCACTCTGTGCTTGAGTACAATCTCCAGCACTCTGACTTCCCGCTAAGTGACGAGCAAGTGGATGTCTATCTCTCGAAGAAGCTCCTAGTCGCCACTGTATGGGCACTCACTGGCGATTGCCCGCTTGCAGAGCGCAAGACTTTCGGCGACTTTCTGGCTGGCCTCGCCACCTTGGACATGCCTCTGCTCTCGGATCAGTCTTCATTGATTGACTACGATGTTTCTCTGCCTAATGCTGACTGGGCGCCATGGCAGAACCAGGTCCCAGCAATTGAAGTAAATACGCACTCTGTCACGCAGACAGACATGGTCATCCCAACGATCGATACCGTACGGCACGAAGAAGTACTATATTCTTTCTTGGCAGAGCACAAGCCACTTCTGCTGTGTGGACCACCTGGCTCCGGCAAGACGATGACACTGTTCAGCGCACTCAGAAAGCTTCCAAATATGGAAGTCGTAGGACTCAATTTCTCCAGTGCCACAACCCCGGACTTACTTGTCAAGACTCTCGAGCAGTACTGTGACTACAGAAAGACGCTCAGTGGTGTGACAATGGCCCCCAAGCAGATCGGTCGATGGCTGGTGCTCTTCTGCGATGAGATCAACTTACCAGCACCGGACAAGTATGGTACGCAACGGGTGATCTCGTTCATGCGCCAGCTCGTCGAACATGGCGGCTTCTGGCGGACGACTTCCAAGACCTGGGTCAGCCTCGAGCGTATTCAGTTCGTGGGTGCTTGTAATCCTCCCACCGACGCTGGCCGCACGCCACTCGGCCTTCGCTTCCTGCGCCATGCGCCGCTGGTCATGGTCGACTACCCTGGCGAACTGTCTCTGACACAAATCTATGGCACATTCAACCTTGCTGTGCTCAAGCTTATTCCAACGCTTCGCGGGTACGCAGATGCTCTCACTCAGGCGATGATTCGAGTGTACGTGCAGTCTCAGCAACGCTTTACCGCTGACATACAACCGCACTATGTATATTCTCCGCGTGAGTTGACACGTTGGGTACGAGCCATCTATGAGGCAATTCGTCCACTCGAGACACTTTCACTGGAAGGCTTGGTCCGGATTTGGGCGCACGAAGCACTGCGATTATTTGCCGACCGTCTCATAACTGACGAAGAACGTGAATGGACAGACGACACTGTCAACCGAGTGGCTACTGAGCATTTCCCAAACATCGACGAGACAGCGGCCTTGAAGCGACCAATTCTCTACTCTAATTGGCTCTCGAAGAACTACGTGTCTGTCGCACGAGATCAGCTCCGTGACTTCGTCAAAGCTCGACTGCGAACCTTCTGCGAAGAAGAATTGGATGTGCCTTTGGTCCTGTTCAACGATGTACTTGAGCATGTGTTGCGCATCGATCGCGTGTTCCGACAGCCTCAAGGACATTTGATTCTGATCGGCGTGAGTGGCAGTGGCAAGACTACTCTTTCACGCTTCGTTGCCTGGATGAATGGCCTGTCTGTTTTCCAGATCAAGGTCCACGGAAGATACTCGTCCGAAGACTTTGACGACGATCTTCGCAACGTTCTACGCCGATGTGGCTGCAAAGGTGAGAAGATTTGCTTTATCATGGACGAATCGAATGTGCTGGATTCTGGCTTCCTAGAACGCATGAACACGCTGCTGGCCAACGGCGAGGTCCCTGGCTTGTTCGAAGGCGACGAATACGCCACCCTCATGACAGCCTGTAAAGAAGGCGCGCAGAGACAAGGCTTACTGCTGGACTCGCAAGAGGAGCTGTATAAGTGGTTCACCCAGCAGATTGTGCGCAATCTGCATGTCGTGTTCACCATGAACCCACCCACCGAAGGCTTATCCTCCAAGGCCGCCACGAGCCCCGCCCTGTTCAATCGTTGCGTACTCAACTGGTTCGGAGACTGGTCTGATCAAGCTCTTTACCAGGTCGCCTACGAATTGACTCAGTCGGTCGATATCGAGAAGGCTACCTACAACGCACCTGACAGCCTTCCGATCGAATACGACGAGCTTGAGATGCCCTTGTCACACCGCGATGCCATTGTCAACAGCATGGTCCATGTCCATCACTCGTTGCGTGGCTTCAACAATCGCATGCTAAAGCAGCAAGGCAAGACAACCTACCTGACACCGAGGCAATTCCTGGACTTCGTGTCCCAATTTGTCAAGCTGTACAACGAGAAGCGCGATGATCTCGAGGAGCAGCAGCGTCATCTGAACGTCGGTTTGGACAAGCTACGAGAGACTGTCGATAAAGTCTCGGAGCTGAAGAGAAGTCTAGCAGGAAAGAAGTCAGAGCTGGAAACAAAAGATATCGAGGCTGGAGAGAAGCTGCAACGCATGATCGCCGACCAACGTGAGGCGGAGCAGCGCCGTGCTGCGTCTTTAGAGATCCAGGCCGCGCTTGAGAAGCAAGAGAGAGAAGTTGCAGAACGCAAAGAGGTCGTACTCAGCGATTTGGCAAAGGCTGAGCCAGCGGTTCTAGAGGCACAACGCAGCGTCAGCAACATCAAGAAGCAGCAGTTGACAGAAGTCCGGTCCATGCAGAACCCACCTGCTGGTGTGAAGCTCGCTTTAGAGTCTGTATGCACGCTGCTAGGCCATCGCGCGACTGATTGGAAGAGCATTGTAGGTATCGTCAGACGAGAGGACTTCATTGCCAGTATTGTGAACTACGACAACGAGCGGCAGATGACCCCTCAGCATCGTGTCAGGATGAGGAACGATTACTTGTCCAAGGAGGAGTTCACGTTCGAGCGTGCCAACAGAGCCAGCAAGGCATGTGGTCCGCTTGTCCAGTGGGTGGAGGCACAGGTCAACTACTCAGAAATCTTGGATCGCATCGGACCTCTTCGAGAGGAAGTCGGCCAGCTGGAGGAGGAAGCTCTGCAGACCAAAGCAGAGGCGAAGGTGATCGAGAACACACTGTCGGATCTCGAGAAAAGCATTGCCACTTATAAGACCGAGTACGCAGCCCTTATCAGCCAGACCGAGGCTATCAAGGCAGAGATGACAAGGGTGCAATCGAAGGTGGACAGAAGCATGCGACTACTTAATAGCCTGTCCTCGGAACGTGGGAGATGGGAAGGCAGCAGCAAGACCTTCGCTACGCAAATGGAGACACTGATTGGTGATACCTTCCTGGCTGCTGCGTTTCTGGCGTACAGCGGCTTGTACGATCAGCAATATCGACGTGCAATGCTCGAGGACTGGTCCCTGCATCTCTCCAACTCTGGCGTTTCCTACAAGGTACAAAACGCGCTTTCCGAATACCTGTCCACAGCGGATGATCGTCAGCAATGGCACGCTAATGCTCTGCCGGTGGATGAGCTTTGTACGGAGAACGCCATCATGCTGAGGAGGTATAACAGGTATCCCTTGATCATCGATCCATCCGGACGTGTCACGCAATTTCTGCAGAACGAGAGCAAGGAACGCCGTCTGACTGTGACCTCTTTCCTCGACAGCTCCTTCGTCAAGCAACTCGAAAGTGCCTTGAGATTCGGCAATCCCATTTTGATCCAGGACGCGGAGCATATGGACCCGATACTGAACCATGTCCTCAACAAAGAATACCAACGGACGGGTGGTCGCGTGCTCATTCAGCTTGGCAAGCAAGAGATTGATTTCTCGCCTGCTTTCAGGCTCTACTTATCAACGAGGGATCCGTCCGCGCACTTCGCGCCAGACATCTGCAGCAGGACCACGTTCGTCAACTTCACAGTCACGCAGAGCAGTCTCAAGACTCAGACTCTCAATGATGTACTGAAGTCCGAGCGACCAGACGTCGATGAGCGGCGCTCCAATTTGGTGAAGATGCAAGGAGAGTTCACCCAGCGCCTGCGCCGCTTGGAGCGTATGCTTCTTCAGGCTCTAAATGAGTCTCGCGGCAACATTCTCGATGACGAGAATGTCATTCAAACGCTTGAGACACTGAAGAATGAAGCTGCAGAGATCACGTCTAAGGCCGCTGAAACTGAAGGCGTCATGGACGAGGTGAACAGCACTATGCGCACATACGATATCATCGCCCAGTCATGCTCAGCCATCTTCGCGGTCTTAGAGCAGCTATACCACGTCCATCACTTCTACCAAGTCTCGTTGCAGTACTTCATCAACATCTTTGAGACCGTGTTGGAGATTGCTCGCGCATCTCCTGAGCGTGAGCCGAAGGCACGAGTGGATGCTATGGTCCGCGATCTGTTCAGAAAAGCTTACCACGAGACTTCGGCGTCTCTACTGCAGAAGGATCGATTGACGTTGGCTGTATTGCTTGCTCAGGCTTCGCCGTTTCCCATCGACAAGGGCTTGCTCGATATCCTGCTGGACAGTGCTTTGACGAGTGTGGACGCGAGCGCCGGTCCGTCTTTACAAGCGAGTGCACTCAAGAACGCTTCCAGATACACTGCGGTCAAAAACATCGTGACTGAAATTGGCGAAGCTGATATGAGAGCGTTCCTCGCTGTCGAACAGGCTGAGCTGCATGTCCCAGGCGCGAGTCAGGAAGGGTTGGCAGTAAACGACAAGGCACTGCGCGACCTGCTTCTCGTCAAGATCATGCGCGTCGATCGCCTCATCCCAGCGACCGAGCGCTTCGTCAACACTGTCTTCGGCCAGGACTTCCTTGACGTTGCAGAGGACTTAGGCAGGATCGCCAGCAGCACTGATGCTAGCTCTCCCATCGCTCTCTGCTCCACACCAGGCTTCGATGCCAGCTACAAAGTTGATCAACTTGTCGAACGTACCAAAGCAAGCTGCATAAGCGTCGCCATGGGTTCCAACGAAAGTGTTGCCAGTGCTGACGTTGCCTTGGCATCTGCTGCTGCTAACGGATCCTGGGTTTTGGTCAAGAACGTGCACTTGGCTGCAGACTGGCTACAGAATCTCGTCAAGCGCATCGACTCGCTCAAGCCAAACAAGGACTTCCGTCTATTCTTGTCGATGGAGACAAGTCCCAAGATACCTTCCAGCTTACTCCGAGCTTCACGAGTGTTGATGTACGAGCAGCCTGCTGGAGTGCGAGCCAATATGCGAGATTCGTTGTCTTCGCTTCCAGACCAGGCACTACAGCAGCCGGTTGAGAAGGCTCGCGTGCATTTCTTGCTGTCATATCTGCATGCTGTGATACAAGAACGTCTACGCTACGCGCCCCGCCTCGGATGGAAGAGCTTCTGGGAGTTCAACGATGCGGACTATGATTGCTCGGCTTTCATTATTCAGTGGTGGACTGACAGCGTTGCACGAGGTCGATCCAATATCGCGCCCAAGAGTCTTCCGTGGGAGATGCTTCGTGTGCTCATCTCGGTTATGTATGGTGGGAAGGTGGACGATGCGGAGGATATGCGTGAATTGGAGTCGCTGGTGAATAAAACCTTGACGCCAGAAGCGTTCGAGGAAGGCTTCAACCTCATCGGCGAGGTCGCTGGCGATGCTTCGATCTGTGTGCCCTTGCCTGGTGGTACCACCAAGATGGACTTTGTGCAGTGGGTTAAGGAGTTGCCGGAGCGCGAGCCACCTACTTACTTGGGTCTGCCGGCGAATGCTGAGAAGTTGCTGCTCATTGCGCATGCAGAGGAGATGTTGAAGAACCTGAAGACCGTTATGGATGTGCTGGATGAAGGGGAGCATGTCATGGCTGAGGTTACGGAGGAGGAGTAGAAGGAGGTTTCTTTTGTCCAAACATAGTACTGGCGTTCAGGGGGTGAGTGCTTATGGAGCGGCACACTGGCGTTCAGTGATCGGATTTGGGCACGGTCTGGGCATTTGCATGTGGTCGAGTTGCATTTTAGCGCTTATACCCCATTTGCGTAGACTGAGCTATATCGGTGGTATATTCTAGGTTAGGAGGGAGGCGTAGGAGTAGTGCATCGGTCGTATATGAAGTCTACCTTCCGTATTTGAACATAGGTCTAAGCCATCTCCCGAGTATTGTAATGTACTTGTTCATTCAGCCGTTATGTGAAGATATTGAAACGAGCATCCAGTACCCATGTCAGCCCAAGTGGGAACGCCAGCTAATATGCATGCTCCTCGGCCACTGGACACCCTACTGCGATTAAAATGTCGCGCAAAAGAAGCCCTCTTCAATCCTGTCGTCTTGCCACGCGATCACAAAATCTTGCATCCAGCCCTCTTCTTCTTCTTGAGCGGCAGCTGCCCGCTTTCTCCCTTTGAACCACCCGACCTTGCTCCACTGCCACCATGAGCCTCCTCATCTTGCCCTCGTACAGCGATATCGATTGCAGTATCGAAGATCTCGTGCACACCACTCATCTCCTTCGACGAGCACTCCATGTACAGAGCGCCCATTTTCTGCGCGACGGTTTTGCCTTGTGCTTGTGTGACTGGGGTCAAACCTTGTGTTTTGAGAAGCTCGATGCATTGGCGTTTGTGTCGGAGGTCGGATTTGAGGCCGCAAAGGATTATGGGTGTCGTTGGGCAGAAGTGTAGGACTTCGGGATACCACTGGAATATGTTAGTTCTTGTTCAGCCTGCATAATGTCCGGTAATATCTGACCTTATCAAGCACGTTTTCGAGCGAGTTCGGACAGTCGATTGCGAAGCAGACGAAGAGTAGATCGGTTTCGGGGTAAGACAGTGGTCGTAGTCGATCGTATTCTTCCTGGCCGGCGGTATCCCATAATGCCAGCTCCACACCTTTGCCGGAGGGCTTGTGCTCGACTTGTGTGATGTAGTTTTCGAAGACCGTCGGTACGTATTTCTGAGCTTTGTCAGCACAATTATATGCGCTCGGGAGCATTGTTCATCATACTTCTGGAAAGTAGCCTTGCGAGTATGAGATCAACAAGCAAGTCTTGCCACATCCTCCATCGCCCACCACAACGAACTTCTTGCTGTACTCTGGTGGCGCCGTGATATTCGTCTTAGCGCTACTCGTCGTGTTCACTGTGCCATCGCTGCCTCGCGTTGATCTTCGGTAGCTGTCGCCGCGTGTGAGGAAGGATTTGGAGCTATTCTTGCGCTTGAGGTGGTCGAGGTTCTGCACCGCCGAGATCGACATGGTGAAGTATGTATGCTCTGTGTGTATATGTGCTGCTCTGGAATGATACAGTATCTGGTTGTTGGGTCGAGGTATGGAATGTCTTGATCTAGTGATTGTGCGTGGTGTCTTGCAAGATAATTCGTGCGCGAAAGATCCCCTGTGTTTACCCACTGTTGCCAATGGCAACCACGACTTGAAACATGTGACGACTTGGCCAATGACGAAGAAGACATGGCATGGCAGTTGGCAGCTTCATAGTCATGATCTACTGGCGATGCAACCTGGTATTCCGAGCAGTAGATCTCGTTCCAACATCGTATTTACTCTGGTACACGAGCACGATATATGCCCACGATCTTTGACATGTGAACTGCCAAGCCCCGCGCCGCTATGAAGCGAGACCTGATCAAGCCCGAAACTCCACCTTCTTACACACAATGTCGATTGCCACAGGATCACTCTATATTCAGTGAATGCGTCTTGCTTCACGCGGTCATGGGTCTGACTTCTTGATCACCGTTCAATATGATCTTTTGGCCTTCTCCCAAACTCCGCCGGCCACCCTAACACACCTGGAATATATCTTATCTCTCATGCTCGGATCTGGATTCGATGCCAGAAGCTCGACCTCATGAGCGCTTTGCAGCTCGACTGAGCCGTACACCTTCGCCAAATGGAGACCCAGATGCTGGAATGCGAGGCGTGAGCCACTACGAGCGAAGACTAAGGGGTTGGAGATTCCGCCTGCGGAACAAGCTGATCCCTATCGTGCGATGGGAAACTCCATATCTGGCATATATGCAAAAGACTTTGCGATCACCATGGCTTGATACTTATTTCGCGCTCACAGCGAATTTAGGCACCCATACTTTCTTCATGACTGCCATACCGATCTGCTTCTGGTGCAGCTACCCCGATGTCGGTCTCGCTATGGTACATATGCTGGCGCTGGGCGTGTATCTCAGTGGATTCGTGAAAGACATGGTGTGTCTACCGAGGCCATTGTCGCCACCACTACAGCGGATCACCATGTCTGGCTCGGCTGCGATGGAATATGGTTTCCCTTCCACCCACACCACGAACGCGGTTTCGGTGGCGCTGTTCTGTCTATACCGGCTCTATATCCACCAGGAGCACTACACATCCACAAGTTATAGTATGCTCCAGGTGGCACTATATGGCTATGCCATCTCGATCGCATTCGGCAGGATGTACTGTGGCATGCATGGCTTCTTCGATGTCATCATTGGAGCTGCACTGGGCGCTGCCATTGCCTCCGTCCAAATCTTGTACGGCGCGGCATACGACAACTGGCTTATCGCAGGTGGTTGGCAGCAGGTCGCAATTCTGGTGGCTATACTTGCTGTAGCTGTGCGCATCCACCCAGAACCAGCAGACAATTGTCCCTGTTTCGACGACAGCGTAGCATTCGCTGGTGTCGTCATGGGTGCGGCTATTGCTACGTGGCATTATGGCGTGATGAATGCGCATATTACGACTGAGCACGCAGCCATGTACGCCTTTGACAGTTCGCCGATCAAAATCGCAGCCAGGATCGTTGGTGGCATCGTAATCGTCTTCCTCTGGCGTGCAGCTACGAAGCCAATATTACTACGTGGTCTGCCACCTGTATTCCGCTTTGTCGACAGATGGGGCTTGGCATTACCACGGCGTTACTTCCTACAAGCTAGGTATGTATACAGCAAGATCTCTTGACATACGGTGCTGAAAGTGTCTCGCAGACAATACCAGCGCGTTCCGCCACTGCGCGAGGATGATAACGTTCTACCATCTCCCTCGAGTCTGCCCGCACTCTTCTCCAATCTGCGTCAGAGGAAACGCGCAGTCTCAATCGGGCCACAGTCAGAAGCGGATGCAAGAGAGTTTATCGCGAACAGAGCGCAAAAGCGGCGCGACAGTCGTGCTGGACTAAAGTCGGAGCAGAACGCGCAAAGAAGAGTGCAGCGAAAAACGGCTGCGCTGCCGTCACCAGCTGTCGAAGACATTGAAAATGGCACGATCGCTGACAACAGTTCGCCAGAGACAACTTCGTACCTGAGCGCTGGAACACAAGCTCGTGTAGGGCAGCAGCATCTACAAGTCAATGGCGTTGATGCAGCTCTGCTGACACCTCCTTTGAGCGATGCGGGTGCATCTAGCGATAGTGGTAAAGAAGACGAGAAGAACGACAAGGACATGTTCTCCGGGCTCGAGAAGCCGCGGATCAGGTATGATGTTGAGGTCATCACGAAAATCGTTGTATATGCCGGGATTGGATGGTGGGCGATTGAAGGCAATCCATTATGGTTTCGAGCAGTGGGTATAGCGTAGGCGGTACTGAAATTCACGCATATATGTCTATAATGAGTGGTGGACATATGTCATATTTCACTCAGCTTCTTCATGCTCAGTGTCTTGGAGTTGTCTTCCTCATTTTTAGATCCCGAGCTGTTTTGATGAGTCGTCCGGCTCCGCTCGCCACCTGAACCTCGAATTTCACCATCTCGACTCTTCTGTTATCATATGTACCACACCATCCCACCTCATCACCATGACTAGCAACACAGCTGCTCTCCAGCCAACAGTAGATGCTCCTCATCCCGGGCGCGAGACATCTTCCCTAGCAAAAGCACAAAATACGATCAAATATCTCGTCGACCCCAAAACTGGCCCACAACCAAAACAGCTCCGGACCAGAGCACTCCTGCGCAGCCTGCGCTACTTTACCATCTTCGCCTTCTGGCGGCTTGTTCGTTACGCCAAGTATGCCCTTGTTGGCGCGGCCGTGGCCGCTATAAGCGGAACCGCCATCGGTTCTGTCATGAGTGGTGCGGCTTTGTTCATTGCGCCTACAGGTATTCTCGGAGGCGCTGGAGTTGGAGTGCTATGGGCAGTAGGTCGGTTTGGGTGGAAGAGGGCTAGTGCTAGGATGAAGCGCCGTAGTGATGGGCATGACGGGCATGGGGATGCGAGGGCGGACGAGAAGGCTGATGCGGAGCAGGGTAAGGAGGAGAGTGCTAATCATATTAAGGCGCCGAGGGCAGACCCGTGGTAAATACCTCCTGCGCCTTGTCGTGATTACGTTGGCGATTCCTGCGTGGAGAAATCAGGGACGCGCAGGGTTACTAGGCGAGGATTGGCAATTCACTGTCAACGTTCACTGTGAATCAGGAGCATATAATTCGAGGCACCGATAACCGACAATTGAGACTTCTTGTCTCAGGTATGAGGTGCTTTCGCTTCACAAGTTCAACATCACTCGAAGCAGACTCGACAAGTTATCTGCCTACCTTGCACTTGGAAACCAGGAACACAACAAACTCGAACTTTACATCATTTCGCGACGCAGTCACCGCTGCACATCGAGAAAATTCTTCGACCACCAGGAATCAATTACAGTCATGGCGCAGGCCTATGAGACCCAAGGGCTGCGCGACGAGACCGAGAGCACACCTCTGCTTGGAGGCAACCGTACGCAGTCCACTTCAACACCATTTGCTAAGCCAGCGGCGGCACCTGGAACCACACTCCCAAAGTCGTCAATCCCCCTCATGCCCAAAGACTCCAATCATAGAGAGCGTCTGCAGCACTGCTGTTCACAAAAGCCGAACCTCGTCCGCGCAGTCACCACGGCAGCTGTATTGCGTGCCTCAGCACCCTGCAGCGGTACCGCCACTCCCATACTTTCCCGGCCACTGCTCAATCGTGCCTCCTCCGCCACATCCATTCCCCAAGACACCTATAAAACAGGAGAGCCACCAACTACAGCTCGTCCAGGCCGACCGTCCCTCATTCGCGGCGCAACAGATATCCTCGGCCTAAACGCCAATACCTCCCTCACCTATCGCAGCGCCCCAACTCAGCCAAGTCACTGGACCGACCACGCCCACCGCAAGCCGTTACTACAGGCCTGGGAACTCATCCACAATGCCGCTGCCACCCGTCAATCGAAGTACGTCACGTCAATCACAGCTCAGCTTGTAACGACTGAGAAGCAGATGTTACAGGAGTTCGCTGAGCTCAACGAGGGCGATGTGTTGCTGACTAGAGAGTGGATCGAATTCGTGTTAGGAGTCTGCCTACATCAGCCATTTCGTACTGCTGAGAACATGGGTCGATTCGAGGTACTAGCCGCAAGTGCTGGCTCGCGGGCGAATTGGGGGCCTTGGTGAGATTGTTGAAGGCGGAGGAAGCTATGCAAATGGATGTCACCATATGGAACCGACGAAAGCTGTAACATATGCATTGCCTTTCTTACAGATGCTCCCAGAAAATCCGAGTAATATCTTCGCCACAGCGGCGGAGAGGTATTGACCCTACCGCAAGGCCACATCAGTGGTCGCTCACGGAGAAGAAGAGAATGTGCAGGGTACGAGGATTTGCAGGGCATGTTCCAGACTCTGTGGATGATATAGAATGAGTCGGCACAAAAGCTGTGGGTTACAGTAATGCTACTGCATATCTTTTACACGTCCCGCTTGGCGCGCTGCCGCGCGAAGAGTCCAAGCACATCAATGCTTCGTCGTCAACGTGCCGTATGAAGCACTGCGTTGCTGTCGGCACAAACGTCTCGAGCTTGCTGATGCCAGTCCTGGATCACAGCATCTGTGGAGTCTACAGCCGTGCCATCCACATCGAAAATACAGCGCAGAGAAGTGGCGCTGAGCTGCTGGAGTGGTAAAAGTGACCATGTCTCCAACGTGTTGTGGCATTGTGCTCTTGCCCTAAGCCCTGGCGCGTAGTAGTGAGTCCGACAATGCTGCAGTCTTACGTGTATGATTCCGCTGGCTCAGTAAGTATGTGTACGAATAGAGCACTCACTCACAATAATGTGCGTCAAGGTTTGGATGAGAGAAAGTGAGATCTCGTACACAGGTTCCGTCGTAATTCCTTCATAATTCCACTTCATCCATTCTCATCAGAAGTCACGGGTACCTCATTCTAAAGCCGAAGGTAATGCCCTCACATCCACAGATGACCAGCATCCTAAGCATTGATCTTCTCCCAATTCAACCTCGACTGCTCCCGAACATCGCGGACGAGATCCACAGCCTCACTTCCACCCGCACAATCCGTCCACTCGCCCCCATCTCTCACACACCTCGTCTTGCCGTTCAACCTAATGGTACAGCTCTTGGTCACGCCAGCCGTGGCACTGCGATTGAAGCTCGACCGAAGCATGTCCAAACCCACAGCACCGTCCTCACTCATGGCGCAGTTGTTGAGGCGTTGCATCGAGATGCTATGCTCGAGTGCGCAGTCCTCGATCAGAGAGCGCTCGGGGATGTCTTCGTATTCGCGGGTCATGCACATTACGAAGCCCAAGTAGGTTTTGGGGTCGGGGTAAAGCTGGGCGGCGCAGAGCTCGACGATGTTGCCGAGACACTCACCCTCGCCATGCTTGCAGGAGACGCCGTCGTCGTGTTCGGTGGCACTGTCGTGGATTAGCATCTTACCAGGTGCCTAATGTATGCCGAGTCGATGGCCACTTACTTCCCGATATAAGAAAGCTTAAAATCAACCTTGTGAGAGATGTTCTGCATAGCCGGCAAAATCATATCATGAAGGCAGTCGCGAGCATCCGGGCACTTGCTCATGATATGTGCCTCCAGTGGCACTCGGCCATCGAAGGTCTGATAGTCATCGTCGAGGCCGTCCATGACCACAAGAGCAAGGCAGAAAAGCATGAACGTCATAAGCAGTCCCGTGATGCCGAAAATGAGGCGCTTATGCCATTTTCCCGAAGTTGTTCGTGACCAGGCTTTCATATATTCTCGTTGTGCTTTGAAGACATTCTGCTGGAGCTGAGAGAGGGATGCTTCTTCGCCGGTCGGCGTGACGGCTTCGTTGCTGTCTAGAAGCGGCTGCTTCTCCATGTCGATTGTGGAGGCCATGATGATGTTTGAGGTATTGATGTTGTTTGGGGATGGGAGGCGAAGAACAGCTTGGTGGTGGTGTGGCGTCGTTGTTTGGAGCATGACGATGAGCAGTGGCGAATCTCAGGGTCCAGCCTTCCCCAGAATGCACTACTGCTCTTTCGTTACTAGCGTAGCGTAATGTGTATATGGCTCGCCTTCACGACGTCGATCTCAACACCACAACAGTAACATGGAAGCATTTGGACGTGCACTGGATACGAAGCTCTGGCAACGGTCTTACCATTGGCTGAGTAGATTGTCGTACTCCACAATGAGTGTCGTGAAATCGAAAAGCTAAAGATACAACCACACCCCATGGGCCCTCTATGAACCAACAGTATGCAAGTCCTTGAAGCCACGGAAAGCAACCTCGCAAGTCAATCCCAGCTTCTTCCTCTCCGGCCTCGTTTTGCAAATCTCTCACCATCATCTACGGCTCGGCATGAACTCCTCGAAATCTGCATGCACAGCCTTAGACCGGCTCATACACTTCAACAACTCATCGCACCTCCCAGCCCTCTCCTCCACCCGCTCCTCAATTCTCGCCTTATCCGCCGGATCCACTGCTATCTTCAAGAAAGGGACGGCCTCCTTGTACTGCTTATCCGAGATATTTCACGCCGTATTCGGAAGCTTCGGCCATTCTTTTGCCGACTGTTTGCGGAACTCGGGCTCTGAGATAGTTTTGATTGCTCGGGCGTAGACGCGCAGTTCGTCCCGGTGCTTCGACTCTGGCGTATTGGGTTCGAGGCGTACTTGAAGGATATTGGCGGCCTGCCAGTAGATTTTTGCGTAGGCTTTGCGCAAAGTTGGCCAGATCTCGTCATCATCGACGTCGGCGTTCAGGGAGGGAAGGTAGCTTGTTGTTAGATCGTGTGGGGTCTGGGATTGCTGACTGGCTGCTCGCTGGGGGATGGGCTCGTCCTGCTGCTCGATTGTGGCTCTTGGCGTTTCGCCCGCCGCTGGTCTCTGGTTGCGTCCCTCGACCGCGGGAGATTCGTTCTCGTTCACGAATAGACTCGGAGTTGGTCTGAACTGACCAGGATCCATGATGATTGATGGTCGCTCGCTACGAGGAAGCTGAAAGACTGTAAGTGTTATGATCAGCACATGTCTGGGGAAAGTATTTTCGTGCATGCGTACCTCAAGATTGTGGTGACGCTGTCAGGCTTGTACTACTGTTCGCGTTTCAACCACAACTTGTTACCACCGAGCTTGCTGATGTTGCTGGGCCTTGACCTCGATGGACGGCTCGATGTGGTAAGTGTCCGTGATGTTGTGGTGTGGGGAAAGAGGTGTGTGGCGAAGGAGGAGAAGGCGACATCGAGGCAAGTTATATACTCTGCCCACGAAGCTCATCATCACATAGTGGGTCCAAGTGAGCGAATGTGATCAGCTCGTGGCGCCAAGTGAAGCCGGACCACTGGCCCACAGACTTCCGATTCGAGGTTGACCAGCGACGAAATGATGGTCAGGCGGTTCGATGTCATCTCACTTGCACGAAGTGAGCCTACACCAACGAGATCTACTTGCCACACCATCAATACCTAACTCTGCAGCCGCCATGTCTCTTAGATCCCCTCTTCCCACACATATCAAGAGCTCGACAAAGCAATTCCGACTTCCAGAGTCACCCAATGATCAGGACCCACCACACCGACAACACAACCTCCACCATGGCGCCCACTACGAAACGAAAGCGCCCCGAACCCGGCGCCGCCCCTGTCTCCAAACCAAACTACACCCTCCTCCCCACCCCAACTAAACCCCTCTTCACCCCAGGCCACCAATGCCCCATCTGCCTCACCATCCTCCCCAAACCCTGCGCACTCCCCCGCAACCCCACAACCTGCACCACCTCACACAACACCCTCGCCCACCGCGCCTGCGGCCAATGCTGGGAAGCCTACCTCAGTCTGGCAATCGAAGAACAACCTCTTGAAGAAATCAAATGCATGTTCTGCCCTTCCCGCCTCCCTGAGAAGGAATTGAAGACGCTCTGCCCGGATAAAACCGGTCGAGCGGCTCGAGGGGTTGAGGGACAGGCAGGGGAGGCAGACGTGCATGGCTAGGTGTCCAGGGAGTGTCGTCCACGGTCCAGGCGGGGAGGAAATGATGACCGGGGCCGGAGGCTTCGTGCATTTCGAGTTCGAGCAGCAGGCGCACGATCTAGAGACCGATGGGAGGGTCTTCGCGTGCAAGTTCTGCGGGATCGAGAGTTGTGTTGTTTGTGATCGGCCGGAGCATACGGGGCGGGGAGACATGTTCGACCTACCAGCAGCGTACGGGACTCCTAACTCCTCTACCGCCAGCGCAAACCCCTGGATCCAAAGAAGAAAGTCACGACGAACACGGTCATCAAGAACTGCCCCGGCTGCGACATCTACTGGTCGCTGGAGGAAGAAGGCGGGTGCGGTAAATTTCGTGCAATGTTATGCTTGTCGGCATCGCTTCTGTCAGCGCTGTTTGATCCCTTGGGTTGGAACGGGGAGCGAGTGTTTGGTTGGTCCGAGCGGGGCATGGGTGGGAAAGTGTGAGGGGGGGGAGGTGTAAGTATGCTACGAGGTTGTATCCTAGTGAGCATGGGTTGATGGACCGGTTTATGCTTGAGCCGGGGGTGGAGCAGAATTCGTCGGTAAGGGCGAAGAAGATGAAGGGGTAGGAGGTGGGAGGGGGTACGACGGGCGGAGTCGGGTAGGGATGCTGCTGAAGGGGACACGGCAGCGGCGACTTGGCTGGCATGGAAGGTCCCCTGGCCTGCACGCTTTGAATGTGATGGTAGCGGTTCAGACGAGGAGGGATGGCGGCTGCGTGAGTTCGAGCAGGGCAGTGCGTTGGCACTGAACCTGATGCTGTGGCGGAGTAGCAAGGATGCTCTTGCAGAATAGATGATATCATTTTCACATACAAATATTCATGCAAGCCGTCCCGGTATGCCGAAATTCCCACAACCATGAGTCCACGGAAACGCCATGCAGTATTGACAAAGAACCCTTGCCCATGCAAAACAGCTCATCGTAGCATCCCCACCTCTCCACTTTGCATAAACATGCACGGCTCCACGGCATTCCTCTCAATTCACATCCAACAACGCCCAAGTCTGCTCATCAACCGTAGTATAAATCGCGCCCAACCCGACCAATTCCTCCCCCGCCCTCAACACCTCCCCAATCTCCATCCCGCCCGTCTGCGCAATCTGCTGTACATGCAGCCCTTCATGCGATTGGGGGGTATTCGCAATCGTATGATAGACCTTCCTCGCCGCGGCGGAAGTGCCCGCTGGGAGTTTCTGCACCCCGCCCATATCGCCTGCGTCGTATGCACCGCCGTTGCCATTCATGTTCTGCGCACCACCTTTCGAATTGTCGTTAAGCTCGCCCGGTGGTCCCCGCGTGAAGTGAAGATGCACGACCGTCGCCTCCAGCAAATGATACTGAATCTCATTGAAATCCTTGATCGGCCGAATGATGTTCGCGCCCACATGCCGCTTATTATTAAACGCCTTCAACCGGCCCCAAACCCGCACATAGCCCTGCTCCACCACCTTCTCCTTCTCCTTCCTCTCCTGCCCCCCACCATCCCCTCCGTCATCCCCAGACTGCTGTTCCGCATCAATCCACTGCTTCACCTCCATAATCCCCGTCCCGTCGTCCAGCTTATACGTCACGTTCGTCGTCTGCATACTGATCGCCCGCACCTGTCCGACGAAAGTGATTTGGGTTGTTTCGCTGCCGTCGATGAGGAAGTATTCGGCGTCCGGGTTCGGGTGGATGGCGTCGTGCAGTTGTTTGATGGTGCAGGGGCGGAGGGTGTCTTTGCCGTAGGAGCGTTTGCCGCCGGAGGGGGAGTCGGAGGCGTTTTGGGAGCCTGGCATGAAACCGCCTCCGCCGCCGCCACCACCAGCGCTGTAGGAGGTGGTGGAGTAGTTGTTGTTGGTGTTGTAGTCCATTGTTCGTAGTGGGGTGTTTGTGGTTGTGGTTGTGGTTGTGAGAGGGTGAAGTTGTCTGTCAGGTAGACGCGTCGGAGTCGCGACTGTGGGGCAAAAACCACTTTCACGACGAATCTAATCTTATCTGATCTCGAGCTTGCACTAGCGTTGATGAGCAAAAAGTTCATTGTCAAGACGAGGATGAAATTGTGATTGTGATTGTGATTGTGATCGTGATTGTGCTTGTAGGGAGGAAGGATAGAGAAGCAGGCAACATGGTGCGCGCAGCCTCTCCCGCTTTGTCAGAGACCGAGGTGGACATCTCTAAATCCCTCTTTGACAACGATGGCGACCTCGACAGTGACAACGAAATACCCACCCAACAACCCTCCACCACCCTCCCTCCTTCAGACTCCGAAGACGAAGACGAAGATGAAGCCTTCATAGCAGCCACGACCGCCGCCGCCAACCGCAAAGGAATCGATGGCAAGAAGAAAAAAGCGGGCGCGGCCTTCCAATCCATGGGTCTGAACACGCACCTCCTCAAAGCCATTGCAAGAAAAGGCTTCACAGTCCCTACACCCATCCAACGGAAAACCGTCCCCCTGATCCTCGACGGACAAGATGTCGTGGGCATGGCACGGACGGGATCTGGAAAAACAGCCGCCTTCGTGATCCCGATGATTGAGAAACTGAAGTCGCATTCGGCGAAAGTCGGTGCGAGAGCAATCGTGCTCTCACCTTCGCGTGAGTTGGCTTTGCAGACTCTGAAAGTAGTGAAGGAATTGGGTAAGGGGACGGATCTACGGACGACGCTTCTAGTGGGGGGAGATAGTCTGGAGGAGCAATTCGGAAGCATGGCGAGTAACCCGGACATCATCATCGCCACACCTGGCCGTTTCGAGCATCTGAAGGTGGAGATGGGCCTTCAACTCAGTAGTGTGAAATACGTCGTTTTCGACGAGGCGGATAGATTATTCGAGATGGGGTTCGCGGCGCAGTTGTTTGAGATTATGCATTCGTTGCCTCCGGATCGACAGACTTTGCTGTTCTCCGCCACTCTACCGAAGAGTCTGGTGGAGTTTGCGAGAGCAGGGTTACAAGACCCGAAGTTGGTGAGGTTGGATGCGGAGAGTAAGATCGCACCCGGACTGGAAAGCGCCTTCTTCACCGTCAAAAGATCGGAGAAGGAAGGCGCGTTGCTCCATATCCTGCAAGACATCATCGCCATGCCCACAGGTGCTACGGAAGCCATCTCAAAAACAAATAACCAAGTCCCTAGCAGCAAGAAACGCAAACGTGGCCCCGATACGCCTCACCCTGCCGTCGGAGAAACGCCCACCCAACACTCCACCGTCATCTTCGCCGCAACAAAACACCACGTCGAATACCTCTCCACCTTCCTCAAAGCCCACAACTACACCACCTCCTACGTCTACGGCTCCCTGGACCAAACGGCGCGAAAACTGCAAGTCGAAGATTTCCGACATGGTAAAACAAACATCCTCGTCGTCACGGATGTCGCGGCTCGAGGTCTAGATATCCCCGTGTTGGCCAACGTGATTAATTATGATTTCCCCGCCCAACCGAAGATTTTCGTTCATCGTGTGGGAAGGACGGCGAGGGCGGGGAAGGGGGGGTGGGCGTTTAGTTTGGTGACGGGGACGGATATGGCGTATTTGCTTGATTTGCAGTTGTTTTTGGGGAGGAGACTTGTGCTTGGTCGGGAGCAGGGCCGGGGGCAGGGAAAGGAAGCGGGGTTGTTCAAGGAGGCTATTGTGGTGGGATCGACGGTCAGAGAGAAATTGGATCGGTGTTGTGAGGAGGCGGGGAAGTTGCTCGAGGATGATGGGGATCTGGCTATGTTGAGGGATGTGGCGGGCAAGGGCGAGAAGCAGTATCTTCGTACTCGCAATGCGGCTTCGGCGGAGAGTGTGAAGAGGGCCAAGGTGATTTCTGCCCAAGGGATTATGGGGACGAATCTGCTTTTTGAGGAGGGTGAGGATGGGGATGACGGAGCGGAGCAGAAGAGGTTGGAGATGTTGAGGGTGGTTAGTGGGTTTCGGCCGGTGGAGACGGTATTTGAGGTTGGTAAAAGGGGTGGCAAGGATACGGAGATGGCGGAGGTGGTTAGGAAGCAGAGGGGTCGGATCGAGGCGAAAGGGGCTAGGATTAGGGAGCGGGAGGTGTTGCAGTCTCACGGCAAGGACGAGGTGCCGGCGGGTTCGGCGATGGGTTCCTATACTGCGCCTGGCGAGCAAGAAGAGGACGATAGTGAGGATGATGATGATGGCTTGGTGCTCACCCAACCGGATATGGCGGAAGCCTCGGATGACGAGCTGGAACTCACCTTCACCATCCCCTCGGACTCCGCCCCAGCTAGTAAGAAACGCCGTCAAAAAGGCGACCCTTCCTCCTCATCCTGGCAAGACTCCGAACACTTCATGTCCTACACCCCCACCGCCCACAACGCCGCCGAAGACCGCGGCTACGGCGTCCACTCCGGCGGCACAAATTCACACCACCCGCAAAACATGACCTCGGGCGTGGGATCCTCCTCCCATTTCGTCAATGCCGCGCAAGAGGCGACGATGGACCTGACGCAAGACGATGATGCCGGGATGAAGGCCGCGTCCAAGCCGGGAATGCGGTGGGATAAGAAAGGGAAAAAGTATGTGAGGAGGGAGAATGACGAGGATGGGAGTAAAGGGAAAAGATTTATTACGGGGGAGTCCGGGCAGAAGATCGCGGCGAGTTTGAGGAGTGGGAGATTCGACGCGTGGAAGAAAGCTAATCGGGTTGGTCGGCTCCCCCGCGTGGGTGAGGTCGAAAAGGCTGGGAGCCACTATGCTTCCGCTGGTCCGTCTGGTAGCAGTAGTAGTGGGCCTGGTGGTCCAGGTGGTGGGAAGAGATTCAAGCACAGACAAGAACGTGCTCCCAAAGAAGCGGATAAGTTCCGGGACGATTATTATAAGAAGAGGAAGATGGTCGTTGCTGCTAAGGAGGCGAGGAGGGGGAGGTTCGCGGCGGGGGGCGGGAAGAGTGAGGTTAGGGATGTGGAGGGGGTGAGGAAGGCGAGGGTGGGGAAGGAGAGGAGGAGGGAGAAGACGGGACGGCCTAGTCGTGGTGGTGGTGGTGGTGGTGGTGGGGTAAGGGGTAGGGGTGGCGGGAGGGGTTGAGGGAGGGGTTGAGGGGGTTGATAGGGTGAGGTGAGGGAAGGAGTGAGATGGTGTGCAGATTCCTTTTATCTAGATCTGTCTTGATTGATTGGGACAGTTGTTCCTGCTACTCAAGTCCCTCTTGTCTGCTTCTTTTAAGCCAAAAGGGTCCATCATCTGCTTGTTATGTCTTCCCTCGCCCTCAAGGCCCATGCATGTATAGATCAAGAAGCACACAGCGGCGAAGTTTCTTCCTCGATACCAGTATTGTCATCCCCAGACGACGGCCAGGTCTTGTTGTATGCTGCAAATGATAGCTGGCCTTGGCGCCAGGGCGGTGAGAACGATTACGTGAAGTGGCATATAATGTGTGGGTCTGCCAGTGCTGAAGCAGTCGGCAAGGCGGGTGTCCATCGAATATAAAGATGACACAGAGGAAAGCGCAGAAACACGGATGCGGTTCACGAGCACGGAGGCGGCTCAGATCCATGTAGCCGGAAGATAACCTCGTATAGCAGGGAATCAACCGTCCGATCTGACCTGGCCCGAATCAGCGCAGGGCCTCTAGGACACGAAGGCGGCGGCGTAGGAGGAGGGATATGGTTCTCGAGAACGCAGGGCGCTTAGGGCCAGTATAGGTGGAAGATGGCAGCGCGGAGTCGACCATGGACAGTTCTACTCCACTTCCGCGTTGCGAGCTTTGGGTTTGCATTCTATGTACGCCGACCTCGGTCTCGAAGAGCGAGTCGCAGCATCCATCCTGGACGACCTACGCGAAATGCCTTTGTCGGCCTTCGCGAAATCGGAGACTGAATTTGGTCGGCGAGGATTCCTGGCTGTGTTTTTACGCAGATGTTCTAGGTGTCCCCGGAACGATTTCGACGCAACCTTGCCGTGAGGAGCGAGTCCTGCGTACCTTACTACCCCATCCTTGGGATGTCGACGGTCGAAAAGGGTTTGAAAGCACATGCTTGCCTTTCCTTCGTATGTCATGGTAATGACTCCGCTTGTCTTTCGTGATCACTACCGTTGGCTCCGCTAGTCTTATGGAGAGCTCGATATAGCGATGCAATGTATGTCTTACTCCGCTGTAATGCCAAGTCGATTGCGGTACGCTATCCTCCAGGAAGGCGAGTAGGACGGGTGCCACATCTCTAGGTTCCGGATCTAGGTTACCATCATTCTTACTTGCGTCGACGTATGTGTGCACAATTGTGGTCTTCCATACGCTCCGACGACTTGCTACTAGCTGCCGTCACGATTATCTTCCTATACGAGCGAACAAGCTCAGATTCATAGCCTTTCTGTTCTCTGCAGCGGACACCATGTCCAGGGACAGAGGAGAACCTGCAGTTCAGTGCCGATGATTGCCGTGAAACAGATGACCTACTGATCTGGTTGTTTCGCCGCAATCTGCCTGACATAATCTACATATAGCCTTCACCTTCATTCAGGTACCCGAGGGTCGTTCTTTGACATTAGCTGAAGCGTAGGCTCAGGGTGTTGCCGGCATATGCTTGCTTGAAGTACAGCTCAACTCCCGGCGCGTTGGTCATGCTTCCAAAACCCCCCGCAAGGCAGGGAACGTGATCTCGGTATGGATAGCCTTGGTTGGTTCAGAGTGAGGTGGTACTGCAACAACGGAGTTGCTCGCTTCCTACTACGCTGGCCGGATGAAAGCCGTGGCGGATAATCCATCCTCACCAAGGGATCATGTGGATTTGGACAAGCTCCGAAGACAACGCGCGTACATGCATGATCAGCTGCTCTGCGAAATCCAACTTCCATGAACTTGGACCAAGGTCGCGTGCGGTGCTACGACCCATCACACCGGTGCATCGGGTGGTTGGCACGTGGTCGTTGTTGTGCTGTACAATGCTGTTGTACTGCTCGTGGTGTCCGTCCATGCCGCAGCCTCTGAAACTCCATCGTTATAGTGCTGAGAGCTGGCTGGACGGTACCTGCATGCCAGGGAAGAGCATGTGTCGGCCATGACCATGAATAGCTAACGTGTCGACAGACTTTACGACTCTCATCCTGAAGTGGGGTGACACACCGTACCGCTTGCACAGCCACAGGCGACGGAAATTTGACACTCCATAAAATCAAGATAGAGGATCGTTGCCGGAGATGCTGAATGGGGCAAGTGCTTTCGTACCCCTCGCCGTTGAGACACTTCTCGGTAATCCATGCAAGCGGATCTTTGTGTTTGAGATGAGACCGAAGGATTGGTTCTCATCATCAGCCGGGACCGAGATTGGCATATTTGGAGGCGCTAAGTTGGGAGGCTTCAGCGGCGCCTCGCCAACAATGACGACAGAAATGTCCCGAAATCCTGCTGGACTTGATGGTGTGATTCTTCTATGATGCCGACAGGCGCTCAGATAAGATGATTGCATTGCATATATGCTATGGAGTGGAAGGGTGTGTAACCCTGCCATTTGACAAGAGACGCTGGAAAATATGATGCTCGAGATGCGGTTGTGAAGAGTCGCCGGCCTTGGCATTGGAAGCTGCGCTAGCTTCGGCCGCTTCCGTTGCACATCCAACGTCGAATCATCCGCTCTGGATGACAAGAACAACTAATCTACGACAGCTGGAAAACATGCAAAGCTGTCTAGCATGATAAGACCTTGACGTACTTGATGCAGCTCTTTCGGTACAATAGTCCGAACAAGGTCGTCGCCAGCAACGCCCAAAAAGTCTATTGCTGCACTCCGGCTCCTCTCTGGCTAAGAAGTCCGTAGCGGAGCGGAGAGCATGTCTGCCGTCACCCGCGCATGCAGATGGAAGAGACCTGCACAAGCGCGTCAGACAAGCAGGCTGGCCACTTGTAGAATCTGATCTATGCCAAAGCGATATGAACGTTGAAGATCGCGGGAGTATTTAGTCGCTTAAAGCGTTCGCGCGGACAAAACCATGGCTATCATCCTTGCACGAGCACGAGCCTTGTTGCGGGCCAGCATAGCAGGAAACGGTCACGATCGGTTTTCCTGTGGCTGTGTCGTTGTATCCTGTGGTCGCCAGTGGCTTCCAGCAATCCATGGTCAACCTGCGCAGGTGAAGATTCTGTTCAAGACTTGACCACGTTGCCATCTGCGGGAATTATGTGCTCTGTCGAAGGCTAGGTGTGTGCGCCTGTTCATGATGCTCGCCTTTTTGCTGGCTCAGGGCGCTCCAAAATGGGTGACTGCCAAGCGAAAGGCTTGTGTATCACTGCAATACGGAGTTCACTTTGGGATGTGCGCCCCGTAAGCGATGCCACACTTCTAAAATACACGAAGGCAGCCCCGAAGTAGCAGCAATAATATCCTGTGCAACCGTCTCCGATTATTTACATAGTCTGAAGATCGATACCTCGCTCAAACCGGAAACCGCTTTTTTGAAAACTGGAGGCAGGGCCAGCTCGCTAGTTCGTATCTAATATGGAAAGCTTCTACACCTCAAAAGTGTCATGGTCGTGATAGGCCATGACCGCCAGACAGGCTTTGTTATAGCTCACAATTGATCCAACCTATGACAGCTCACACTCGATGTATTCCCACGGGGGTATGCTCAACTGCGACGAACAGTAACGGTCGCCTTCTGCTACCTCCTAGCAACGTAATGGCCACCCGAGATGTGCGCCACAACGCGTTGGTTTAGCAAGACCAGGACGACCAGGGTCAAACCTTGGACGATCGGAGCACAGACCTCACCATAAGTGTCCGACTCACCAGAGCTGAACCTCATATTTCGCCCGATACCCCAGCAAGAGCCTTGCCGCTGTCCGCAGCGTGGCGTCCAGGATCCAGATCCTATTCCTGTTGTGTTGATTGACACAGGCATCTTTGATGCAGCACAGATTGCATGTCGCGGCCGGCTGATGCTAATAATGTGGTCCAGAGTGTTGTGCACCAGAGTGATCGGGCATTAGAACGGCCGACCTCAAGGATAACCTTAAGGTGTCTGCAGGCTGCACTGCCATTGTCCCGCAGACTACTACTACTGTGGGGATGAATATGAACAGGTGAGAATCCCGAGCCGTGATGTTTCGGACGTTCAATGCGGCCCATCCCTCTACACTTCTAGTCGACCTCAGGTGATGTTGCTCGCTCTTCTCGGGTGCCTTGCTGTTCATTCTACCGACCGATTTTGCTCTCTGCTTATGGCATGAGAGCTAACCATAAGACCGGACACAACGCAATACAGGAAAGAAGCTAGCTTGCACTCGACGTCCTCGATTGGAGCTTGACCACACTCGCGAGACCTTCAGGTACCGGACAATCGACCTGAGGGTATCCCAGCAGGCTGAACAAAAAACTTGTACAACGTTGATGGTCTCGGATGTCCTAATGCCTTGCTACCGTTATACAGATATCAGCGCTTGATATCAGACAGTCTTTACATTCATCACCGGTTCCACGACATTGGCGACCTTGAGCTACGCAGAGAGCTTACGGCACAGCAATGAATGAGCCAAGGACCAATCAACGTCCCATTTCCGATCTATCCACTTCCGGAGGTCACTTGGGAGAAGCACGCTCTTTGAAGCGAAAGCTCGTATTCCATCCGGCTGCTGGACGTACTTCGGGAGGTATACTATCGCGTGCTTATCCATCCCCGCCGATGTCCAATCCTTCATCGCCGCGGAGGACTTCATCCATCTCGACTTCTGCTACCACACAGACATATGCACCTACGGCAATCCCGACGACATCAGTAATAACATCGAACCCAACCCTGACATTTCCATCCGCTTTCGCGACATCGCTGCCCCCGACGCAGCCTTCGATACCGTCAACCTACGGCTCCAACCCGTTTGCTTCCACAGGCTATACAAGCGTTGCCGCCTCAACCTTTCCTGGGCCCACCGCGTCCGGACCACGCTTCACGGGACTCTCTGGACCGAGCTCAGAGGTAGCGAGTGCTGCCGTTGCTGCTGGACCACTGGGAAGAGGCGGCCGCAAGGCCAAGACACATGTAGCTTCTGCCTGCGTCAATTGCAAACGGGCGCACCTTAGCTGCGATGTGCAACGACCATGCACGAGATGTGTTGCTTCAGGCAAGCAGGTATGATGATGTCCGTATACAACATGGACGCACACACCCACTGACAATACTTGGCAGGAATCATGCATCGACGTACAGCATAAGAAGCGTGGCCGACCTCGTCTCCGCGATGAAGGAGAGTTCTCGTCAATGGGCACAGGGAGAAGCTCGCCAGGTAGCTCCGTCGTAGCAGGACCGTCTCAGATGACGCCGCGACCAATTGCACAAACGAGACACCGTCGAGCAGAGTCCTTTCGGTCCTTGAGGTCCCAGACAAGTGATGACTCGTCCAGCATGATCGGCTCTACACCCATCCGAGGCCCACTATCCTTCCAATCACCATACACTGTTCGACAGCCTGGCATACCTGGCTCGGCTCCTCCAAGATTCGAGGTCGCTACAGCATTGCTAAACACGAACTTTGTCATCATACGAGCAAACCAGCCTTTCGAACAGATCATGAACAATGGCGGTAGCACACGAGGTCGTCACATCAGCGAGCTTGCAGCACCCGCAGACGGCGAGAGCATCCATAATATCCGGACCAGATTGAGAGCCGAGCGCGAGGCTCGCGATCCTGCGTACATGCCTCCGATCATGCAGCCCGGGCAGGATCCAGTGCTCAACATATCCGAAGCCGATGCCGAGCAGTATACGCGGAGCTTCAACGATCAGACTTATGCATGGAGACAAGCACAGCCTGTGCCGAACATAGAGAACTTCCCTGCCAGAGTACGATTGGCGAAAGCCTACAGTTACTTCGTCGTCGTCACACTTCCTAGCTTTCGGCCGGTCGATCAACCACCTGTGCAGTCCCGACCACCACCACCAGCATACGGAGCTCCTTTTGGATTCGGCCCACCATTACCATCTCCCGAGCCATATGGTATAGCAAGACAGCAGACACTACATTCGGCTCCGCCCCTCTCAGCCTACGAATCGAGAGCACCCATGACCTCAACACCCATAGGACGCGCCTCTGGTCCATTCGGCTCTTCGAGTACATACCCACCTCCACACCCACCAATGCCATTCCAACACCCCCAACCCATTCACGCCCGACCTGCACCGATCCTCTCCCGACCACTATCGCCACGACTATTGATTCGAGAACCACCCACAGACACAACCGCCTTCACACCTCGATCGATGCCATCAGAGTCAGGAAGGGAAGTGGGCAGAGAAGCGCTACAACTGCCTCCGATCTCCAGTTCACAGGCCGGTGCAGGACCGTCGGGCGCGAGAGCCTCGGGTGAAGGGTCCTCGGAGGATGATGATGGAGATGGGAATACGACGTCACCGCGCAAGAGACGGAGGATGGGGATAGATGAGGTTCTGCAGCGATGATCAAATCATGAGCCTTTAAGAGGGATTGCAGGAGTGATGGAGCAGTATCTGTCAGATTCATGTCGGGAGTATGGTTATAGAGAATAGACACGGACGACAGCACGGCGGGATGACTTTGACACGATTAGGGACATCGACAGACGATGTTGATGCAGGTATGGACAGGACCGCATGTGTTGATCACGCACAGAGACGTGCAAACTTGCAAGGGACAGACTGATCTTCTAACGTTCTGCAGCGAGGCGTTGGGATCGATTTGCAGGCTAGCACATGGACGATGTAGCATGACCCAGATAGCTTGCATCGTGTTTATGATTCCATCCTTCAGCCGCATCTGTACATGTAGAGTTAGGGCTGACAGTCCAGGCATAAATTTACAAGTTACCTGATCTCGGATAGTCTAGGCCCGGTCGCGTCCTTTGACCATAGCGATTGCGACCTGTCAGCGAGCACAACAAGCATGAACACTTGCATCCGTCAGACTCCTCGTTTGCGTCGCATAAACACCTGTATTTATATTAGTCCACAAGATTGCTGATTGATGCCATATATTTCATTGATTCATCATACTTTCGGATACGAGACGTCGGATGTTCGTCCGGTGCTTCGTGAGTTAGGGCAAGGGCGCCAAAAGGATCGCGATGCAGGTAGGTCACCTCTGCACCGGGCAATCCATTACGCAGAAGGCGACACGTTGAGGAGCGCCTCCACGGGCTCTGCAACGAGCCGGCCTGTAAAAAAACTGGCTACGTGCGCCGCTGACTATCATGTCTGGTAGACATCTTGCGATTATGTGTCCGAAGGCAATAGGGCCTTCGGTCAGGAATATGAGACCGCTAATATGACGAACCACAAGCGGCGGCGCACAGATGACTACGACCAAACGACATGGCAGGACTCGGCATTATTATCACAGACTATAGGGCAACCGACCTTCTCCGCCTTGCAGATTAGGGCAGACTCGAACAGTGGCCCCGAAAAATCAAGGACGGATTTTGGCGAGACGACCACCTGCATTTCCGGTGATGCGTCCGCGAGCTCTGCCCTGAATAATAATGCACAGTGGACCTCTGGAGCTTCGTCGTACCCGGATGTGGCGTCCTATTCGCAACCCTACTTTTACCAGCAGACGGATCCGAGTATCTATACCTCGCCATGGCCGCCTGTCCAAAGCAATATCTATTCTCATAGCAACAATACTGGTCTGAACACCGACGTGGCTACTAACATGCCTCTATTCCCAACTAGTAGTGGGATCGAGTCGATGCCCAATGATCCGACCACAACGGATATGCAGGATGTGCTGCAGAACGACTCGCTTGTACAGTACTCCTATGGCGACGCTCAGTCTGGCGACACATCCGCTGCCAATGGTCCTTTCTATCTCGAAGACGCAAGTATGCATCTAAAGCTCCAGAGCGTCTCCATTTTAGACGACTTGGTACGCACCATCCCAATTGCTACCTAAGAATCGACTAACATATCCTCCCAGGCCACCCAACTCATCCAAACAATCGCCAAAGCAAACTATGCCCACATCCAAGACCTCATGACGGGAACCGACACAGAAGAAGGCCAAGCCTACACCACCCTCAAATCCTTCTTCGACCAAACCCGCAAAGTCTACAGCCGCGAAACAGCGTTCATCGACGCCCTCGCCATCCAAATGTTCCAGCCGAGCCAGCAAGAAAGCATCCGCAAAGCCAACATCGCCACCTTCATCTCCAGCATCCTCGGCGCCCACGACGTGAGTTTCTTCCACCTGAACGAGTACTTCATGGAGACGTTCGTGCCGTCGGGTCATCGACTGCTGAAGTGGCAAGGGGCGATATATCTGGAGATGAAAACCCAGACGTATATCTCCGCGCTGATGAACAGTGATGGGAAACCGGACGCTATGCTGGATGAGCTGTTTCCGAACGATCTGGATGCGCTGATCTTGACCCGTCATCCGGATGCGCCGAGCCTATCGCCCAGTGAGCAGGATTTTATTGATAGGTGTCGAGCGCGGAAGAATTATTTGCTGGCTGAGCCGATTGAGGAGGCGGTGCGGGAGCTGCCGAGGAAGTATCAGTGGAGTGATTTTGTCCGGGAGTTCGCTTCGTGTATCTGTAAGAATGTGGATGGGATTATGAATCTTCCGGCTCGGTCACAGGGTGGTGTCTCGAAGGCGAATGGACACGGACACGGACACGGTCACGATACCCTCGTCGGCGCACAAGGGTTGAAGGGAAGTAGTCATCGCGCCGTCGGAGCATCCGCTGCCCCGCCTTCCCTTCCACACCAAACAAGCTCGAACAATGAGAAACGAACAACAACCACCACCACCTCTTCAACAACAACAACCACATCATCATCAACAACCCGCCAACCCTGGACCAAACCCGAAGAATCCGCCCTCCTCACCGGCCTGACCCAAGTCTCCGGTCCCCACTGGTCCCAGATCCTCGCCCTCTACGGCCGCGGCGGATCCGTGAGTGAAGTGCTCAAAGATCGGAATCAAGTGCAGTTGAAGGACAAGGCGAGGAATTTGAAATTGTGGTATTTGAAGATGGGGAGGGAGGTTCCGGTGGCGCTTAGGGGGGTTACGGGGGAGTTGTGGAAGAGGGGGGGGGCGAGGATCAGGGCGGCGATGGGGGAGGGGGGTGAGGATGAGGTTCAGGGGGATGAGAGGGAGGGGGAGGGGATGGCGGAGGGGGAGAATGTGGATCCGAGTCTTGGGTTGGCTGGGGCGGTGGGGAAGGGGAGGAGGAAGAAGGGAAGAAAGTGATGTTTCTTTGGCTAGGTATGAGACTGGTAGTAGTAGTGGGAACGCTCTTTCCCGATCAGAGTCTTTCCACTGCCACATCCTGCTTGGCTCTCGGACTGGAGGAGATGGTGTCCGAGTGCATGGAACTCACGCAAAGCGTGTAGTATATATAGCAAGCGTCATACCACCGACAGATATAATCTACACACGATGATCTTTACATGAACACGCCATCGCTCCTAAGCCAGACTTAACTCCCAAACAACCGTCCGATCAAAATCATCGGCCACCCAACCCCATCACCCCGTTATTTTCCCCCCGGCCTCCACTTTTCCCGCCCCTCAAGCAACGCCCTCGCCTGCTCCCTCATCCCCCTCCGCCTCCCCTCCTCCACCGCAAACGCATCACTCGCCCCGCCCATCCGTTCCTGCATCCCCTGCTGCTCCACCCCCGCCATCTTATTCTCCACTGGTTTCCACTCCCCCAGATCCTCCGGCATTTTCGGCCACACAAATGGCCGTTCCAACTCCACCGTTATCCGCTTGGTAGCGCGCGGTCGATGCCAACGTTTATATTGCGGACGGGCGGGGTCTTTGACCTGGCCTTGGCGGATGGCGGATTGTTGGACGTAGGAGCGAATGCTCGGGCCGATGCGGATGTCGTAGGCGTGGTAGAGGTAGTCGCGGAGGTCGAGCTTGCTGAACCAGAGGGGGGTGAGGAAGGTGGCGGAGGTGGGGGGTTGGGAGGGGGTGCGGGTGAGGACGATGTTGAAGTTGGGGCTGGTATATGGGAGTTAGTGAGTTGGGTAATGTGAGGTGGTAGGGTATGGGTACTTACAGATATATCTCTTTCATGCCTACGCGGAAGGGTGCTGTGGCCGCCATGTTGGCGAGGGTTTTGGTAGGGACTCCCTTGTCTTTCAGCTACTGTCCAGTCACTTAATCAATTTCCGGTAATGTATTGTCTAATTGCGTTGTAGGTCGGAATCCTGTTTTCTGTCGACGATAAGATATGGTGTTGTCTCACTGCTCGTGTGCCATTGCGGAGTTTCCATACACCTCCGGCACTTTTGATCGACAGCATTGATGAAGAAAGTGCTGGGAATTGATTGACTCTCGGCTATTTGTATAACATGCCTGTGCCTGACAGCTGTCCGAGCGTCGATGCTACCCTGAGCCTATGATAGTAATTGAAGGTCGACTCTCAAGGCTACACCCAGTCACTACGCATACTACCAGACACCTGTCTTCTTCATAAGACACAGGCAGCAGTCCACGGCGGAATCAATATGATGACCTCCAACCTCCCATAGACGCAGGACCGCAATCACTGGACCTCGATCACTACATAATAAACCATGGCCGACTCCCTCCTGAACGGCCACACCCTCCGACCCTCCACCATCACCGTCGCAATCGACCCCGTCGCACTAGTAGTAACAGAATGCATCACCGTCACCTCCGCTATGCGCAAGCACGCCCGCTGGGCCCACTCCTCCATCTCCTCCATCCTAGGCTCTTCCGCTAGCACCAGCACCACCACCACCACGTCCCGGCCCTCCACCCCCGACAGCCGCGGCCCGAGCAGTGAACGAAGTCGAGCGAGCAGTAAAATCGATCTAATCGAGGATGACGGGAGTTTGACATCAAGATGGGGTCTACGAGGCAAGAAAGGGCAGAGCATGCAGGATAACCCTCTCATGTCAGCCTTCGCCCGACTGCGAGCGGATCTCAAAGCTTGTAGGGATATTCAGGAGTTCGATACGCCGAGTCTGCTGCAGCCGTTTTTGCAGGTTATCCGGAGTTCGAGTACGACGGCGCCGATTACTAGTTTGGCTTTGATTGCGATCACGAAGATGTTGGCTTATAACATTATCAATCTGCGATCGCCGGGTTTCGGGCACGGGATGCAACTACTGGCCTCTACGGTCACGAATTGCCGCTTCGAAGGGGATAATAGTCCGAGCGACGAAGTGGTTTTCCTGCGCATATTGAAACTAATGGAGGATATGATCTGTGGACCCTCCGGCGACGTTCTGGGCGACGCGAGCGTGTGTGAGATGATGACCTGCGCACTCTCCATCTGCTGTCATTTGCGCATGAGCGAGGTCTTGCGACGAAGTGCCGAGATCAGTATGGTGACCATGTGTCAAGTCATCTTCACCCGGCTTAAAGCTTTGGAGAATGAGGTAGAAGCTAATGGGCAGCTGGAGGATGACGTGAAGCAGGAGGATATGGATGCGGCGAAGATTGATAGTAATCCGGACGGCGAACATGGTCCTACTGCTATGCAAGCCCTGGCGAAGACGAGCTTGGAGGTTCCGGGCATCTCGACGGAGAGAGCGAGTGTGGATGGGAATGCTAGTCAGTTGGATCTGAGCAAGCAAACAGATGGGGATGAGGTGAAGGAGGTTAGGCCTTATGGACTTCCTTCTATACGAGAGTTATTCCGCGTCCTGGCTGATCTTCTGGACCCGCACGATCGAGCTCGAACGGATACACTACGGGTCATGGCATTACGGATCGTCAATGTGGCTCTCGAGGTCGCGGGGCCGAGTATAGCGAACCACCCCAGCCTGGCTTCTTTGGCCAAGGACACTTTATGTCGCAACCTATTCCAGCTGGTGCGCTCCGAGAACATCGCTATCCTACACGAGTCGCTACGAGTCGCCGGCACCTTACTAGCAACATGTCGGAGCGTGCTGAAACTCCAACAGGAACTCTTCCTCTCCTACGTAATCGCATGTCTACACCCGCGCGTCCCGATCCCAGACGAGCCAAATATCGACCCGAGCATCTACGCCGGAATCCCACAGGCTCCAGCCTTGGTGAAGCAGACACCACCCGCTGGCGCAGCACCAGGCAGCGGCCGCAACACCCCCGTGCCCGTGAGAGATAGACAAAAGTTAGGCCTCGAAGGCGGGAGCCGCAAACCCGATGCCCGCGAAGCCATGGTCGAGAGTATCGGTGCCCTCGTCCGGATCCCATCCCTCATGGTCGAGCTCTTCGTCAACTATGATTGCGAGATCGATAGGAGCGATCTCTGTTCTGACATGGTTGGGCTATTAGCAAGAAATGCTTTCCCAGATAGTGCGACGTGGAGTACTACCAACGTCCCGCCGTTGTGTTTGGATAGTTTGCTAGGATATGTACAGCAGATCGCCGAACGGCTAGAAGACGAGGAGCGGCAGCCGACAGGGTCAGAAGGTCTCCTTCCGGCGGCGGAGACGTTGAGGAAGCAGCGGGATCTGAAGAAGGTGATTATTCGCGGTGCGACGAAGTTTAATGAGAGTCCGAAGGCCGGGATTGCGTTCTTGGCGAGTCAAGGCGTGATTCGCGATCCGAATGATCCGCAGAGTGTTACTGGTTTTCTTAAGGGCACGACGCGGATAGATAAGAGGGTTCTGGGCGATTTCATCGCAAAGAAGGGGAATGAGGCTATCCTGGAAGCCTTCATGGGTCAGTTTAACTTCAGTGGGCAGAGGGTCGACGAAGCATTGCGGCAGGTCCTCAATACCTTCCGTCTCCCCGGCGAAAGCGCCCTGATCGAGAGGATCGTGACGGTATTTAGCGAAAAGTACATGGACGCCGTCAAGACGACGGAAGTGGCAGACACGGACGCCTTATTCGTCCTCACCTACGCCATCATCATGCTCAACACGGACCAATACAACGCCAACGTCAAACCCGGCGCCCGCATGAAAGTCGAGGACTTTGCCAAGAATCTGCGCGGTGTGAACGCGGGCAAGGATTTCGGGAAGGAGTATCTACAGGCGATTTACGATGCGATCAAGACACGGGAGATTGTGTTGCCGGAGGAACACGATAATCGGCATGCCTTTGAGCACGCGTGGAAGGAGTTGTTGGTCAAGACCCAGACGGCGGAGGATCAGGTGATTTGTGAGGGTAGTAAGGCGTACGACGCCGATATGTTCGCTGCGACCTGGCGGCCCATCGTGGCGACGTTGAATTACGTCTTCGTGTCCGCGACGGAGGACGCGGTGTTTCATCGGGTCATTGCGGGATATAATCAAGTCGCGCAGATTGCGGCCACGTATGGGATCTCGGAGTGTTTGGACCGGGTGATTGAGTCGCTGGCGAGGATGTCGACGTTGGCGTCACGGGTGCCGCCAGATATTGGCCTCAATACGGAGGTGCAGGCGGGGGGGAAGAGTATTATGGTTAGTAAATTCGCCGTGGACTTTGGGAGGGATAATAAGGCCGAGTTGGCTACTGTGGTGTTGTTTAAAATTATTAATGGGCATGAGGGGGCGGTGAGGGAGGGGTGGACGGATGTGAGTCTTTTCTGGTGGTGCCGGGAGTCTGGCTGTGGATGTACTGACTTGTGTCCAGATTATCCGCATCATTGTCAACCTGTTTATTAACAGCCTCGTGCCGACATCTTTCACTTCGATCTCGCGAGATCTGGATTTACCGCCTATACCGCTGCAATCACCTGCACAAGTCATCGAGCGTAACGACAAGGCGGCAGAGGTCGGTTTATTCAGTGCTTTCACCTCGTATGTGAGCAGTGTAATGAACGATGAGCCACCTGAACCCAACGACCAGGAGATCGAAGCCACATTAACGACAGTCGACTGCATCAACGCCTGCCGCTTCGAGGAAATACTCGGAAACGTCTCGGAACTATCAGTCGAGAGTCTCAAATCCCTAACCACCGCCCTCCTCTCCCAGCTCCCGGAGCAAGACTCCCCCCCATACCTCACAGTCAAATCCGAGATGCCGGCCCCAACACCCATCCGCGCCAACGGCACAACAACAAAACCCCTCCCCACGGTCCAGGACACCCAACACCCCATCTACAACCCCGCCGCCGTCTACGTCCTCGAACTCAGCACCATCCTCGCCCTCCGCGACGAAGAAACCATCACCGCGCTAGGCGCCTCCGTAGCCGAAGCCCTGCAAGCCGTCGTCCGCGACGCCGATAGATTACATCCCGTCGCCCTCAGCCGCACGGTCTTCTATCTCCTCGCGTTACTCCGCGCCAGCAACGACCATAAATATATCCGCACCCCCGTCGTGCTCCACGCTATTTCGGCTTTCCGGCCAGACGTGCTGAGGGCGTGTGCGCAGCCGATTTTGAAGGGGATGTTGGGGTGTATTTCGGGCCCGGCGGAGTTGAAGAGTGAGATGGCTTGTTCGCCGGATTTTTGGGCGGTGTTGCATGCGCTGGTTGCGGTGGAGGAGGGTGCTGGGTTGGTGTTCCAGATTGTGGAGGAGGTTGTTAGGGATGGGAGTGGAGGGAGTGGAGGGAGTGTGGTTAGTGGGGATAATTATGAGGCTTGTGTCGGGTTGTTGAATCAGTTCGCTACGGCAGGGAGTGTGGGGGCTCGACAGGAGCAATCGAGGGATTCGAAAGGGAGGCCGCAGCAGCGTGGGCAGGCTAAGGAGGAGGGTCAGCAGGGGGAGAAGGGGAAGCCGAAGAAGCTAGAGGCTGTGGTGCGCGGGACAAGAGCTTTGACATTGGTCTCGCAGCTCGCTAGTCGCGTGCCGGCTTTGATCGAGCAGTCGCATTTGGAAATGAATGAGGCGTGGCGGGCTTATTGGTCCCCGGTCTTCAGGTGTCTGGCTACGCAGTGCGTGAACCCCTGTCGGGGGATCCGTCAGCAGGCTTTCACGTCCCTACAGCGCTGTCTACTCTCCTCCGAACTCGCCTCGCCGGATCATACCGAGTGGACGAATATCTTCAGCGAAGTGCTTTCCCCACTCATCAACCAGCTTCTCAAGCCCGAAGTCTACCAGACCGACCCCCTAGGTATGACCGAGACGCGAGTCCAGGCCGCCCAGCTCTTGTGTAAGATTTTCCTGCATTATCTCGTGCTCCTGAGCGAATGGGAGGGGATGTTGGACCTCTGGATCCGGATCATGGGGATCATGGATCGGTTGATGAATAGTGGGCAGAACGATATGCTGGTCGAAGCGATTCCGGAATCACTCAAGAATATTCTGCTCGTTATGTCGAGTGATGAACATCTTATGCCGCCGCCTACGAGCGAGGAGGACGAGGATGAACGCTCGGAACAGCAGGTAGAGTTGTGGACGGAGACGTGGACGAGGTTGGAGAGGTTCTTGCCGGGCCTTTTGCCGGAGTTGTTTCCAAAGGCTGGAAAGGAGGCGAGGGTGAATCAACTGCCTTCTGCAACTGCAGAGAAGTCTTTGGTCCCGGATTCGAAAGACGACGATGCTTCGTCGACTGTATCATCACAACCGGCGTCATCTGTGGCTGCGGAGCCACAGGCTGCATAGATGGATAGGGCATTGCGGGAAAAGTCGATTTGCGTGCTGTATATTAGCGAGTACTGTAGCATAATTATGTTTTGGCGTGTCAAGGGTACGCCGCTAGAGGATCGGTCTATGGCTCCGTTCCCTGCTTTTCCCAAAGCAAACTTCACCTCCAAACGCGGCTCCCTTGGCAGATCCCTCTCAGCGAGCGGGACAGGCGTCACGAGCAACAGTCATACGAGCGATTCGGCTTCAGAGTGACGGCCAGTAATGTGTGAGATGAACGGCGTTGGCTAGAGCTCCTCGAATGCGCCACTGCTGTCAGTCTTTTTGCCAATTGTACGGACAGTGGAGGTGCTGTCGATGGCCTTCGGAACGTTCATCAGCTGCCGCTACGGCTACCTCTTCGTCTGATGCTGTGGCTATGGTTTGTGTGTACAGAGAATTTTATGCTGCTGCGTGGTTTGTGCAGCTGTGATGGGATACTAGAAGGGACCTAATGAGAACTCTGGTGTGCCTTGTACCTCTTGGGCTTGGTACGAAATGGAGAGGGAGTAGCCTTGGGTAGCCTTGTATCCGGCCGGCCGGATGCTATGGACCATGTGAAGACATGATGGATGACGACTAGAGTGCAGTACATTGCACAAGAAAACAAGATCTTAATCACCAAGAGGGCAAGTGACGATATGAATGACTCGACTTTAGATAGATTGTTTGAAAATTAAGCATAGGAACGCTAAATAGCTACACTGCTTCGTAGGATATCATGACGCTCGTCATTTCAATCGGTGCCGTCTTTTCGCCAATTACTGTAAATCATCTTGCTGAAGCTTCGGCATGCCGTGATGGGAGTGCTGAAACACATGGGTACGCGCCTCAAGTGCATTCGGATCGCCAACATCGGCAGCCTCCAAAGTACCTTGCCGGGCAAGGTGAGCACTGAAGGGTGTCATCTTGACGTGCATCGTGCTACCGGGCTCCTAGTCCATGATGCCCTTCTTGCCGTCCCTATCGGCGTCGGTCTTGGGGTTGAGCTTGTCCATCATGCTGGGCTTGCCTTGGCTGGTGGAGGAGCCGTGGGAGGTGGAGGAGCCGAGACCGGCACCGCCAGCAAGGCCGGACTGGTCGTTGTGGTGGCCGTGGGTGCCGTGGGTGTTGGAACCACCAAGTCCGGTTGCGCCACCCTGGAGACCGGCAGAGCCCATCTGGGACGTCTCGCCACCGATGGAACGGGGCTCGCCCTGGAAGCCGTCGTAGCGCTCCTCGCGGCCGGCGAGGACTCCACCTTGCTTCTTGAAGTCGGCCATGCTGACTGCTGGGAGAGCGGAAGAGCTGTGGTGCTGAGCAGCGTTGTGGTGGACCTCGTGGATTGGCACAGTGGTGTGCGTGACGTGGGGCTCAATGGTCTCTGCAAGAATATTAGTGATTAAAGCCGTGAGGACGTGAGATAGTAGAGCGTACGCTTGTTGACAACAGGCTGGATGGTCTCATGCACGTGGTGGTGGATGTGCTCGCCGGCAACAACAGGCGCGACAGAGCTGGTGTGCTGACCCTCAACACGATCCTGCACATCGCGGTACTTGCCCTGCTCAACTGCTAGGCGCTGCTTGACGGCATCGGCGTTATCGTGCTCGAATGAGCGGTGCTCCACAGGGATGATGTTGTGGTGGTGCTGCTCAGGGAGGACAGCACGGTCCTCTACTGGCTGCACGGAGGTGTGGTAATGGTCCTGGTGAACCTCTTTGTCAATGGCGGTCTGAACATCTTCGTGCTGGGTCCTGTTGATCGTCTCGTGAGTGACGGCGGGAGCGACCTTCTCATGGACAGTGGTGTCATGGTGACCTGACTTGGTCATGAAGTCCTTAACTGCTGCCTTTGCTGAGTCCATGGTGTCTGTTTGTTGTTGGGGATGATTTTATGTTTGGTGTAGGGAAGTGAAAATGTAGTGGATGGAAGGGATGTGTTACTTCTCAGATGGCGGGAGGGTAGAAGTGGTTATGTACGCCGAGGGGTAGTAAACATGAGGCGCAACGTCATATCATGCGCCTTCTGCCCCGCCGAAGGTGGCAGTCTCGGTCCAATACAAGACAAAGAAGTGGCTAATGGTAGCTCGCCGAGCAGGTGCGCCGCAACTCGGTCATTGTGGGGCCTCAAGCCTTCTGAGGTGAAATCATCGTGCATTCGTGCTTGAAGCAAACCAGGTGTTCCACGCTTCCGACCTTGGCAGCTCTTTCGAGGACCGAGAGCGAATGAGATGAGACGATCATACCTGCTTTCCGCGCAGGCTCGGTGGTACCGGGAGGGTAGCACCAATCAAGGACTTTCTAGCGGTGTTCTGGGCCCAATTGTTGGTGTCTCGATTCGTTGCTAGGTGCTCCACGGGAGACAGCTCTCGGGATGATGTCTTGACAAACTCAGCGTCTATGTGGACGCCGACGGGGCAGCCATTACGAGGATGGTCGTCATCTTCACAAGATCCTACACTTTCCGGTTTGGCGGCCTGCAGATTTCTTTGGCTTGATGCCACAGACTAAACCCCCACTATCATGGTCGTTGGTGGAGGTTGCACGAGAGCACAGGACCCTTGTATCCAAACTGTGGCACAGACAAGCCCCTGCTCAGATGAAATTCACGGAGGATCTGCCACCGGATCGAGATCCGCGCATGGTTAAACAGCATAGATTGTTGGAGAGACCCGACGATCTGGGTACAGGCCAGGAGTATTGCAAACCATCGTACAGTTTAGCATTTGCAACTCTATCACATCATGAGTTGCATGTCACTCGTGTTAGCCCATTCCCATGGTAGCTTCAGTGAAGAACAAAGGCCTGTTCAAGACATGACGCTCTGCCACCGCACGCGTCCTTGCTCCGGTCTGTGACAGGGATAATCCCTCCTCATTATAATGCTTATAGTAGCTGCCGATCAGCATCAAAATTGATTGCTGTACACGGGCTGCTGCTTTTCTGGCCCTTCGCCTACTGTACGAGTAGCACATCGGCCGCGTCATTCGACAGAGCCGTGTGGCTTTGGATCTGCAATGGTGCGCCGTTGTGGCTAATCATACCGCATAATGCACGGCAATAACAGCGGGGCCGCCGCGAGTCTGGCCCTCGGAATCCACGTGGATGAGGCGAATGACGGCATGAGCTATGCAAAATGATTTGGAGTAAGCTTTCTGTACGCCGAGGGAAAGCGTTGTGTGACGACAACACCGGGGAGAGCTCCTCCTTTTTGAGAGGATTGTTGCTAGGGAAGCAGTTGCAGATCATAGGTCGCCGTTGTACCGCCTGTAAACCAGTTCTCCAGCAGTCTGGTTTGCCTGACCATTACCGGACGGAGGGCTATTGGCGATTTATTGTGGCTTGTTCGTTAGCATGTCTGGTCGTAGCCCGAGAGATCGATTGTCCAAATTATTCCACAAACGCCAGGCTTCGGAGGCGAAGACTGACGACAATGGCGCCTCAGCGTCACCGCCCGCCTCTCCCAGTGCGGCAGCTGGACGATCATCTGGTGTCCGTCGCGTAAGCTCGCGTAGATCAATACGTGACCTAGTACATAGCAAGGGTATGTGAGCCACCATCGCCCGTGCTTCTGACAGCAGCTTACCGCGAGGATGAAGAAACTGACAAGTCGGCTCTTAGGTCATGGACAATCTAAGCGAAATTCTGTCGTGGTCGACGACGGCACAACGACAAGCACACAGGTGGGTGCTCAAGCAGCCGCGACCAAAGCTATGTATCCGGACGAGGACATAGTTCGCCTTCCCAGCGTGACGCACCAGAGCGACTTATCTGCCGACCTTCAACAATTCACCAACGCTGACGCTCAGAGGGCGATGGGTGAGGAGGCGTATAGCGAGGACGTTGCGGATCGCAACATGAAGCGCAAGCCTGTGAGCATTCCTGTGAGGCAGAGGGCGGGACCAGAGCAGCTTAATGGAGCGGATGGCACTGGTATTCCACCAACAGCCTCAAGAGACCAACGATATTCTGAGGACATGGCCACTTCCACTGGTGCTCGCAATCAGCCAATCTCTGGTTCCGCACGTGACCTACCTCAGCCATTGAAAGTGAATAAAAGAGCACCTGCTGCAAACGCCGTAGACAGCTTTGGAGCTCCAGTTTCACCTGTCACTTCAAATGAAAGTCGGTCTCTCTCGCACAAGCCGGATGTCACAGACCTACGACAGTCCTCTGACGCAGTTCGCCCGAGTGGAGGGATTGTGAGCTCGTACAATCCGAAAACGAGCGTGGATTCCGAGCGCCGAAGAATCAAGCGCACGAGCCTTGACAAGCCTCTGCCGTCGAGGCCATCAGATGAGTATGCGGACGAGTTTCAGAACGATCGAGTAATCAGGCAGGAGAGAGGAACGGTGGGGGCTCTTCCAAGCCAAGTCCAACGTGGATCACAGTTAGCCGACAAGGGAGTCGATCTCAAGGGTGTGGTTGATCTGTCCAACACGCAAGACACGACTTTGCACGAGAAGTGGGCGACAGCCGTGACGCACGAGACCATCATTCGAGACGTCCACGAGATCTTCCACGAAGAGACTACACGCGAGATTCACGAACACCACATCTTCCATCGTGTGCTGCCAATCATCGATATCGAGGTCCTGCCAGCGAGACACTTCATCCCTGTCTCTGGAGGTTACGCCGAGATTGCCGAAGATGAGGTACCAGGCCAGACAGGCAGGAATGCTCAATGGCTGATTGCGGAGACTGTCTCCAAGATGCTGCCAAAGGGCACTCACAAGATCGTGCCGGAGCATTTCACCGCAAGGAAGTTCCAAGGGGCAGATGGCGAGTCGAAGGAGTACATCACGCCCGAAGGCTTCAAGCGAACGGAGCAGTGGTGGGTGCATCCGCCTACTTTCTACGAGCCAGGAGCCGTCACAAGCGGTCAAACCTATCCGTTCTACATCGGCTCGCCGGATCCGAGAGACGATGGCATACGAGCGAAATTGCCTGGAGGCAACGTGGTGGGTCTCTCGCCAACACTGGCTGAGCAGAGACGCAAGCAGATGGCTATGGGAAGTTCTGCGGGAGAATTTACGGACGTACCCCCGCCAGTGCCAACGCACAAGATCTTTCCTGCCGACCTTGTCGATTCTGCAAGAGCTGGTCCGGCCAAGGGACGGCGTTGATGAGGTTGGAAGATGGTTGCTCAGGAGGCGGAAAAGTTGGGTTGGATGTATAATACATATTGCTCAGACGTGCAGCGTCTTGCTCTTGTTCTAGCGCGGCGTAGGCTGCTGGTTTTTGTGGACGACCGGGATGGGTCATTTGTAATCTAGGCGTTATGGACTGTGCACGTAATTTTGAAGTCTTATACTGGGACTCAAAGCTGGACCAGAAGATCTGATGACATGCCCTCATCGCCTTTCTCTCCATCATCGGGGGTAATTCGGACTGATTGACAACAGAGAATATAACTGTAAAGCACGCCCAGTCATGTGATCTCAAGCACATCTGGAGTTGTGAGAAATCTGACGACTTTCCGGGACCGGCAAGGTGTCCGTACGTGCTACCCTACGCCTCCAAGACTGTGAATGCTTGACTGATCGTCCTTAAAAGGAGTGGTTATGGAGCTGCGTTTAGGTATTAAACACATATTCCGCAGTACGAAAGTTCGTGGTAAGCGATCATCACCATAGTTCGCCAGTGCTTTACATCTTCTAACAACACCGTAGGGTTCGAATCCCACCCTTGGTGAGTCAAAGTTTACGTGATATTCTGCACAAGTGTCTAACATCCTGCCAGTCAACACATTTGGAAAATGATTCTTTTTTGACATCTTACCCTTAGATAATATCAATCTCCTCTTTTCATGTTTACTGTCAACATACCTCTGTGAGAGGCTGCTTCGGCTTGCAAGCAAAGCATACCGTCCTCAATGTACTGTACGGAGCATTCCAGAGCTATAGCAGCTGATACTCGCAGCTTGTGGAGAGAGGGTTTATTTTGCGGCCTACTATAGCCCAGTCTGTGTATGTGTTGGTGAAACTCCTACGGGTTTTAGATCTAGCTTACGGGCCTATCCACACATGAAGAGCTCAGGGGTAGAGGAATCTTCGATACCAAGGCGAGGCTTAGTGGACTATGGTTCTCACGACGAAAGATGACAAGCCCGGATGATCGAGTCTGTTCGCCAGGCTCGTCGGCTCCGAGCTCTCTTCGTCTCGAGTTGTTGGCTGTGAGCTTGATTTTACTCCTCCATTGGATGCAACAACAAGGGTAGTCGAAAAATTGTGTACCAGGTCGCAAAGTCACTCCTGATATCATTGAAACATGCATTTGGTTCTTGACTTGCTATTAGCTAGCGTCTCTACTTGCGTAGAATTAATTATCTGCCCTACATACTTCCTCCCTACTTTTTTGGTCACGTCTAATCGAGGTTATGGTGCCAATGAGGCTGCTTTGAAGCGGAGGCACAATCCGCTTGACAGCTGACCCAACTCCTTTTGTATCAGGTATTCGATGACAACTCGCTCGGACCCTGGTAGTGTCGGGTTGCTCTCTGGTTAATGTATCCGCGAGGTAGTCTTGCAGTATTTGCAAGCAGCATTCGGGCAGTGTATCCCATGGGGTAGTAAGTGCCACGATGCATTGCCTCAGGATCTGGCGGAAGTGAGACCCTCGCCATAGCTCTCAGGTGAAGTTGGACGCGGCGAGGAAGCCTGGACTCCGACGCATGTCCGACTCGACTTCGCAAGCACACCTTCCAACAAGAAATGGTGGTGAAGTGGAAGGCTTCGGACATGACATCGTATGGATGCTGTTACAACCGCCGATCGCCGAGTCCAGTGTGATAAAGTCGGCAGCACAGGTCCTGTGTATATAAGGGTGTCATTGGATGTCTAGCCTTAACTCCGTCGGCTCGCTTTGGGCGGCTCGCTTGGGGTGGTGGTTGCTTGGCCGATGGCTTGCGAATTGTCGTCTTCTGCCCGATCATTCTTGTAGTGAGCTTTCAACGCTTGGCCTTGCGCAGAGAGAACCTTCGGAGGCGGGTCTTCGTTGGTTGCATCACGGCGCCGGACGTGTTTGAGCTTGTCGCCATCTCGCTTGAACCTGAGCTGCTATCGCTGCTATCGCTGCTCGACGATGTAGATCGTTGCCTGGTCTCCGCGAGTACGTCTTCGAGGCTTACACCATCTTGCAGACAAGTCGCGTTCCCGTCCAGCATCTCGATGAATTTGGAGCCGGGCATGGTAATGATATTGAGAGTGGCAAATACGAGGAAGAAACCGCTGCTTGATGCTGATTGTTGTGTCTGTGGAAAACCCAGATGCGTCTTGAGGAAAGGAGCTATACTCACCTTACTACCTAGAGCGACATCGCAAGACATAATAAACAGACGGCAACGTTGCCGCTTCGCGCAATTGAAACTCGTCACGCGTACGTTTGAGACTTTCGGTCATTCGCGTCGTAAGTAGCGGTGGCTTGACCGAACCAAGGGTCCATGCCAGCGCGATCCTGGGTCGATATTCGGTTCATCTTTCCTGAAATAACCTGCCGAATGTCATTGCCTTGGGTCTCGACCATGTGGTTGCGGAAGAGTGTTGTTGTAGACACGCGGCATCTTCGTCTTCAGTCTCGTTTGGCAGTGCGATGCTATTTCGTATGTGGCGTCCGTGGCTTAGCTTTCTAGGATCTCACCAACGCGCTGGATGAATGCGGAACCTATCCGTTGTTGATGTTGATGATGACTGTCAATTCCACATCACTTCTGCTACACTTCCTTCTATCTGTCCGCAATATCTCGAGCCTGGTCTCACACCTCACGCGCGCACTTGCTGCCATCAGCTCTGCACAGATTCAGACGGTGTCCACGATGTCAATCGGCCGGCAAAGAGTAGCGGTAACACGCAAAGTTGACCACTCCACAAAGGAAGGTCTCCGTATAACTTGTTCGAGCTTCGCAACGCCTAGACGACGTCTGTTATCACGCAAGCGTCAGGATCTTCTCCAAACCTCAGCGACTGCCAAGACACTGATGACAAAGTATATCGTAGCTGCTACTGTATTCCAAGAGCGAGTCCATGGAGCAGCTGGTGAGCCACAAATCGTGTAGACCCCAAGCATAACTCGGAGGCAGGATTTGTATCGAGCAAGAGTCTGGACTTACGACCTATAGCCGCCAGCCCGTGGTTACACTGTACCCCTGTCCATTGATACTGCCGGAAAGAATCAGAGGTGAGCCTCTGATGCAGCAGGCGAGCCGCACGCGAAAGGAGTCCGTCCAGGGTTCTTGGCAAGATGAATCAAGACGCAAAGGACGACGCAGTGATCAGAACAGACTCTGACCTTACCGAAGATTGCAAGCGTGCTCGTGCTCTTTAGGAAGCTGTACGTGCAACCCTATGTACCATGAGTGCAAGGCTACTATGGCATAGTATGTCTAGATCGCCGTTGAAGGGCAGGGTCTTTGGCGTGAGCATAGCAGTGTGACCAAACGCATCGACGGAATAGGTACGGCTCTTAGATCGGTGTATAAATACTTTCCTTGAGTTGCCGGGATGAACTATGGTGGCCTCAGCATAGATAGAATCGTGCGTTGAGACCTATAGGCGACATGGGACTGCAGAGCGGAGCGGTGGATGCCTGACGGATGGATAGCAAGAGGCTCTATAGCAGTCAATACCTGTGAAACGGCAGTGAATCTGACGAAAGAATCGTGGGAACGTTGCCAGTGATTTATACGACGCCACCTTTGAAGTCCTCAACCATGATCGCCCATTCCTCGGAAGTCAAGATGGTCTCTCTACTGTCAAACGCTCGTTGACTATTTGAGAAAGCAACCCTAGATCCACGACTAATTTGTCAGACATGCCAAGTACGCTTCCCAATCCTCGATTGTCCCTGTCTCGCCATCAGGTGTTGTGACAAAACTCTCGGCATCTCGTGCCATTCCAATCGCCTGGTAAAGCTGCCTCAGCTCAATGTCTGTCATCCTTTGTTTGGAAACCGTCGATGGTCCCAACAGCAAGCGGTGCAGATGCAGACGCCGTGCTGGCAGCGTGCGCTCCAACAGGAAAGGCATAAGGAATTCGGCTTTGCCTACTGTATCCATCGCTAGTAGCGTCAGCACCATTACCCGATCATCGTTCAATGGCATTTCGAGCGACACACTCGAGGCGATGGTAACATCGACCATGAGCAGCATCTCTTCCTGCCCCTGAGGCTCTGTACACAGCTCTTGCAAGCAAATGACCAGTACTTGGAGATAGAGCGTTGACAGCGGCAAGATGTAGTCAATCACAGTCCGATGGCTGCATATACCAAGGAGGCCAAAGGTCTTGTCCCGTGGCGCCAAGCACTGCTGCTCTACGAAAGCAATAATTGCGCGACTCATGGGTATCTTTTGGTATTGTGAGATGGTACCTGGAGGGGCATCGGTGTCTCGTTTCATCCGCTCGTACACAAATTGCCAGCATCTCTCGACATTCGATATGAATTCGTTGCCTTCAGAGAAAAGAGCCTTCACAGGCACAGCCACATTCAGAAAGGACAGATCCTGATCTTCTTGGGAGAGCTCCCCGAGGACAGCTTTGGTGAAGGACAAGCCAGAAATCTGCATGGTGCCGAAACGCATTTGCAGTCTACTCGGTAGCAAGAACTCCTGTACTGTCCAAACTCGTGTCCAATACTCGTGCTCACTCAGCTCCTGGGTCATGTACTCTCGGATCTCGCGCATCTCGTTTTCGTCAAGAAGACCATTTTCGACACCATCGAAGCACGAGCGTAATACTTCTGCATCCTCGATGACGGGATACACGTATGTGACCCGGTCAGTCCAAGGGTCCTTACTGCCGAACCACACCACTACTTCACGAGCACGACTGTAGATATCTCCCATCAACGCGATCTGACTGCTGCGCTCTGCAGCATCGTCCTGATTGATACAGAGGGCATCGATAAAGATACCCAGGTATTCTTTCGGCTTAGGCTCCTTGGCGATGTATGACAGATAATCAAACAATGACAACCGCACCAGAAATGGCTGGTTGTCGACTCGAATCATGTCTGAAGCAACAGCGGTGCCCCATACGTATGACAGAGCCTGATACTGGAGGTCCGTGTCAGCTAGTGAGGCAACGAATAATTGGCACTCGAGTATGCCGTCGTCACCTAGGCAGGCTTGTAGCAGGCGGAATTGCCGGCGACCGATGTCGAGAGGTGAGTAGATCCTAGTCCCGGTCATCTCATGTGCATGAAAAGGCGTAAGTCAATTTTGAGGTCTCTCGAAACGACGAGATGTCTGCCCGATGTGAAGAACGGCCACAGACCTCTAGGCCTCACAAGCATATAAAGAGTTCTTGATGGTTTTGTCGCTACAAGAGCATATTTTGTCAAATTTCTCAAAAGGACAGCCACTGTGGACTTGCGCGGTACGCGGGCGACTTGAGGGCCGTCCTTGACGCCGTAGGAGCAGGCGTGCGTTGTAGAAGGTGAACTGCGTAGGTCGAGCTTCAAAGTGGATGCTGAATGCAATCTTCCAGTTTCCATACTTGCTTAGCAAGCGGAATGCGAACACATGCCATCAACCCACATCTTCACACTGGGCTGCGTTTTGTTACAACGTAAGACTGTCGTTTCGCGTTCCTCGTATATATCGTCTGTGTGTGAGACAGGAGATCCACTTGCCGTCAAACTGTTGCACCAAGCACGTGATGACTGCTTCGCTAGGCCAACGGTCGGTCAATTTTCGCACGCGTCTGTCCAGCTCTATCCCTGTTACTGCAGCTCGCTTGGCAGTAATACCCAATCGAGTGACAATCCGTCAGCCGTGGAATCGGCAAGGAGGAGGACAAATGTGCGCAAAGGACCGTGCGAGCCAGTTTCCCAGTAGCTCGGAAATCCCAATCCTTTGCGGCCCAATGTGGCTTTTGTCAAGCCGTCGGAATCTGCATTCTCCGCAATCTCGCTGCGAATGCCGGGACTGTGGTCTGCGTGGGCGTTCGACCTGCTGCTTGCGGCGTTCGAGCGCTTGCAAGTTGGTCTCGTTGGAGGCGGCCGATGGCGTTGCTGAAGGTGAAGTACATACGGGTCAGAGCTGCAGGTGCTCGCTTCCGATCAGATGAAAGAGTGGTTCGAGAGGGTGTGGTCCAAAACTCTGGTTCTCCATACATCTAACGGACGCGGGCCGTACAGGTATTTTGGCTTCGGCTAAGCATGAGCTGGAACGCCTGATTGGCTTTTGGTCGATCGTCGTTCCGGCAAACCTCACCGTGAGCCGTCTGCTCGGTTCGAGCGAGGTAGCTGGGACTCTTGTTCCTTGCTGCTTCCTTCCTTCGACCGGGTCCTGGGAATTCGCCTCCGCCAACAATGATCAGACGGGTGTCGAAGATGGAAGACTCGAGCTGTGTGAAGGCAGGAAGTAGTGTTGGTGCTATGGAGCAGAAGAGAGATGTGTTGACTGATAGTGCGGACAATTTATCGCACGGTCTGGCATCCACAGCGGCGGTACCGAGTGAATCTGGAGGGATTGCGAAGACGACGAGTAGCACAGCGCATACTGCAGCTCTCCAAAAAGACGTTGAGATAGCTCCAGCTACACACTCGGGACTAAGTCTTCCACGCGACGACGACGACATTACGCCAGACGACGATGCGAACGGAGAGAACGAAGAGCCAATTCTGCCGACTGTTGTAGAGCATCTCGGCAGTGGCGGAGACAGGAAGAGAGCTCTGTTCTCGCGATATGGTCTTGCATACAAGCCTCGACGCAGTTCATTTGAGGAGCCCGCGGCTAAGATCAGACGTGTCGAGAAGCCTGTGCGCCTACGGACACATTGGACATGCCATGAATGTAATGGCCACTTCAGCAAGGAACGAAAGTGCAACGACTGTGGACATCGTCGCTGTGTCGACTGCACGAAGCAGCCTCCACAACGGGTGAAGGAGCTACTGGACCAGGCTAGGGTGTCGCGACACGAAGAACAGCTACGAGAGGATGGTCCTTCCTCGGCTGGAGGTGCGACCACGACCATCGAGGCGTCTGCCGCACTTCATGCATCTGGTGTCTCGGTTCTGCAACTACTAGAGACAGACGACAATAGCGACGATGGTGACCCGAAGGCCAACGACACCTACAACTGGATCATGCAAGCTCGACCTCGCCAAGGACATGACATCGTCCAGAAGAAGAAGACGCCATCCCGCCAGGAATGCGAAAAGCCAATTGCCTCAATCACTCCAAGGGAACGCGACTCATCCAATCATCAACGCTGCGGCGAGTGTTCTCAAGTATCATCAAAGCCTGGCAAGCAGATGGAAGCTGAGGACGATGAGGCGCTGAACCTCGACTTACCCGAAAATGAGGAGCCACGCATGGTGAAGACCGTACAACGTGTCTATCGCAAAGTACGACAACGCGTACGATACACATGCGAGCGATGTGAGGCCACGTTCCTCGAACGATCCCATTGCTCAACATGTGGACATCAGCGTTGTAAGGGCTGCGTTCGGATACCGTACGTCTTATTTCACCTCATTCCAGCGACTTGTGCATATGTGCTGACAGCCCTCGCAGTGCGAAGAAACCGCCCATAACACGAGATCCTGCACTGCTGCAAGCTTTGGCTGATCGACTGGCAAGCTATGAGTCCTTTGACCCTCGACAGCGACTTGCCACTGTCGCTGCGGTTTGAGTGGACTCTTGACCGACCTTCGCCTTTGCGGTTATTATTTAATCTTTTTCTTACGGATGTTGATGATACCCCATTGGGCATGTTTCTGGCGAGCCACCTGACAGCGCTGCATTTGGCGACGAGGGCGTGTTGTGCGATGTTATTCACTGGCGGTCGCTTCACTTACATCGCTGCAAAAGTGCTTAGATTCAGCAAACGACGAATACACGAATATCTCTACTTCTACTTTGTCTACATACTCTACCTGTAGCCCGACGATCGGAATTCGCCACATGATATACATCATTACCACCGTCATAACCCAACTCCCGTACCATGTTCTCGGGCCACAAGCCCAGCTGAACAACCACACACCATGCACACATCCCAAAAAGGTCACCGGTCGTGTGTCTCTGACAGCTCATCGCAAGGCGCTGCCCTACGCTTCACAAACACGACACGCCAAGCTGCTCATCGCAGCAGGGCGCGCCACCCAGTCGTAGAATTTTCAGCCTGCTGTCTCAGGTTTCCCACTGTTAAGGTGTCGCACTGCATGAGTACTGGGGGACTTGGTACAGCCCAGGTCGACGGCTCGGCTCCCTGCACTTTCTTTCCCTTCTCTGTGTTCTACCGGCCACGTGCTGTATCACTTTGAGGGCTTGACAACCGCCGCCGCTTTGCATCAAGCTGCAACTCGGCTGGCGGCACTGTATGCGAGGGCGAGACTTACCACACAGGTCTGTCGAGATTGCTTTATCATGTTCGCGCAGACTTTTCGCACAAAGCGTCTAGTAGTTTGTACAGAATGCTCCCTAGAAATCCGCCAATAATGTCTCACTAGCAGTAGAAGTACCCACCAAACTCGTGGCTTTAAGCTTCGGCACCAAGAAATTCGCTTCTAATACTATAGCGCAGAAGCTCGTATACCGCTCATGTACTAGACGCCCCTTCGGGATCATCAGCCTATGGTGCGGCCCGGCTGACAAGCCCGTTGCGCCGGATTCATGCGTGCTCGAGCCATGGAGTCCTTTGCTTCGGTTATTGCTGGGTGAGTTCGGATATGGCTTGCTTGCTTACGAAGAGTTTAAGAGACGATTACCGTTTGTAAAGCGTAGACGAGAGTCACTTATTGATGGTATTGGCTAGGAAGGAGAGCAAGGCCGGAGGTTTCCGGCCACCTGGACATCCCCTCGGACGAGAAGTCCAGCTGCGTTTCATCATCATTCAAAATTATTCGCTCTCTCGCGCCTCTTCGCTCTGCCAAGGAACTCATACATCACGGGATGTCGAAGACGAAAGTCAAGCTGCCCTCCTCTTCTGTCGTTGAGGCCGCTTGTCGGTGCTCAGTGAACACACCGTCTTGATACTCCCATCTGACCTTTCCGGCACGAGCCCCTGGCATGGAACGAAGTGCCGCTACAATACTATCAAAAACCTCCTCTGAATCACGACTCCCCACTCAAATATTCCTCCACCTCTCTCACCACCCCCTTGAACCTCCCCGCCTCAAGCAAAATCATCAGTCCCTGCGGCTTAACACCCATCTCCTGAAAAGCTCTCTTCGCATCGCTCGCGCCCTCGCCACCTTGTTTCGTATACTCGAAGTTGGCGAAGCCCATCGCAGCTTTCTGCAGAACCTCGTCTTCGGGATGGAAGTAGAAGACTTCTGCATCAGTAGATCCCTTGCCACCCTTCTTGGGTTTCTTCTTCTGCGGTCGATCATCCTTAACATCCATGTCTAGTTGTGAAGCAACCTCGATATATGTTCTGCTGAAGACGAGATAATGTGTGAAGGCGAATGGTTCACCCGACTTCGCGGCCGCGGCTATTTCGGAGTCGAGTTGTGTGTACAATGGCGGCACGATCTGATGTGGCATATTGATGAATCTCTCACCAAGAATCAATCCGACTTGTGCTTTCGAATCCGGGGCCAGGAGCTGTTGTAATTGCTTCAGCGTGTCGTGCGCCGCCGCAATCGAGATGAGGTATCGGATGAGTTGAGCCATGGCAGGCTTCTCGCGATAATGGCTCAAGTTCAGGACGGTCATGAAAGCGTAGGGATCGCTCATCTCGCCTTCCTCGTCGCCTTCGCATTTGACCGTCGAGCCGACGTGCGATTGTGAAAGAATCAAGTTTGTGAGTTCCGAGAGGTCAAGCAGGTCGTTGTCCACGTCGAAGAGTTGCCGGAGGAGGAGCTTGAGGCCGTGAAAGTCGACTTCTCCAGGGGTGCACCACTCGAAGTCTATGTCTAGGATTTCTGTTGACTGCGATAGATGTCAGTCTATTGCTTTGCGTAAGGGTACAATATCTGCAAGGATTCTTCCTTACATCGCCATCGCTATCCTCGTCGTCGTCGATATTCGTCCTGTCTTCTTTACGAGGCGGCTTTTCGCCACTAGCTTTTCTTTTGCTCATGTCGGTGGTATGTTGCTGGTGCTACCGTTTTGATCTCAATATGGCCAGTAGAGTTGCAATGCTGTACTTGTTACAGAACAACGCTTTTTGTCATATGCACGGTCCGGTCACTATTTCTCGAACTTTTTGGAACTGCTTCTAGTGGCCGGGACGGTCTGTTCTGTGGCGCGGGAAATATTCGGGCTGCGGGCATGACATTTGCTCGCGTGCATCAATCGCGACCAGGGACTTTTCAAGGAGGTCTTCATTCCTTCGAGCACGATCGTTACACACCTTCTATTTCTCATTGCGCTGTGTGTATGGTCGTACTGGAGCGTGGTATATGGACCGGATGACTTCCATATAATCAGCGACCTGTTGTAAGATCGATCACAGCAATGCTCGTTCGCTCTGCCGGCCGGAGACAAGGGCAGACGAATCGCATCCTCGCCTCTTCCTTTGCACAGCTCCAATTGCCATGGCTGGCGCCCGCGCAGCTCCGATGGAGTGCTTCCCAAGCACCAGCACTAGAACGCCCTTCCTCTCGACGCCGACAGATCGACGCACCCCGGTTGCAGCAAGTCAAGGCGCAGACTCGAGAACTTGCCACTGCGGCCGGTCAGATTGCTGTGACCGATGGTGCTGCATATCCACCACCAGCCTATCGGCTGACGCACAGCGCTCCCGGATTCAGAAACAGTGGCGATATCAATATACCTTGGGACCACTCACAAACGTTATCGGCGATACGGCCATACAAGAATCCGATAATCATCAATAGCACAACCCAGGATCCTGCCAAGATGATTAAGATCCAGCATGGTATTCAGGGCACTACCGCCGAGCTGCTACAGCACTTGTACACTAGTCTGCGAATAGGACGCTTCACCCGAGCAGAGCTAATTATCCAGCGCTTGTCGGAGCAGAGCACTCCTACTGCGCCCGAGCTCATACACGCACACACTGCGTACCTGGAAGAGATGCTAGGCGCGCTGGCATCACAGGCGGAGGGGTCGGAGGAGGCGAAGACAACACTGAAGGCTATGCAGGACTGGTTTCAGGTGGCGATTCGCGCAAAGGGTGTCGTCCCGGATGCTAAGATGCTGGTGGTCATGATCAGAGCAGCGATACGAGGTACGGATGGCACCGAGCGCGATCTTGCCATTCGCGAATACGTGGATGCTGCTGAGGCGATGGGCGAGGAGACGCTGGATAATGTGCTCTATTCGGAAGACTACGACGATAACGAGTTCTTCATCATGGGCGTGGCTTCCTCTGACCTCTACCAGGAGGAGGCGCAACCGGCTGAGCACGAGCAGCAAGTCACCGCAGAGCAGACCCAAGCACAGAGTATCATCAAAGAGCCGCCGCAGTACCACGCCCGAGACGACCTCGTCGGGCCAGATTACCTGCCACTAGTCATGTCGACAGAACAGAAAGGCACAGGGCTAGCAAACGTCAAGCGTGCTCTCGAGGACTTCATCAACATGCCACCACCTACCGCGGATCTCCCTTTGGAAACACAGCGAGAGCAGGCATATGAAAGACAGCGCACAATGGAAGAGACGTCTGTCGAGATCGCCATAGACAGATGGAAAGAAGCAGACGAGGATCTGCGACGAATGGGTATCAGCACAGCTATGCAGAGTAAGCCCATGGCAGCACTTATGTGGCAATGGTACTCAAGTCTCCTACCAGCCTTACAGACCGAGCTAAAAGAGGCGAAAAAGATGCCCGACACACAACAGCCCAACAGACTCCGCGACGACGACCGATATCACTATGGCCCTCTGCTGGAGCTTCTGCCGGCGGAGAAAGTCGCAGCGAGCACTATCCTGTTTGTCATCTCGAAAATCGCTCAAGGCAAGGATCGTGTAAGTGGGAGGTACGAGCCCGAGATGAAACTTAATTCTCTCACCACGGGCCTGGGCAGAGCAATGGAAGCCGAAGCCATAGCCGAAGCCTCCAAGCGCCGACTCAAGGAAGAGCAGAAGCAAGCCAAATCCTCAGCGGGCTCCAAAGGCCTCAGCCGTCGTATTCGCCAAAAGCTAGCAAGCAATCGACATACTCTCAACCGCTACGAGCGATCAAAACTGCTGGGCGCTTCGGAAGCTGGCCGCTTGACCTGGCCACTTGCGCCCAAAGTCAAGCTTGGCGCGATGCTGACCCAGAAACTTGTCGAGAAAGCACAGCTACCTGTGACCCGCGAACACCCACGGACCAAGGAGAAGATAACACAAATGCAACCCGCTTTCCTTCATCGGATCAAATATGTTGCGGGTAAGAAAATCGGCGTGGTGGTTCCTAATCCCGCTCTTCTCGATAAATTGCAGAGTGAGCCTCTGGGAGCTGTGCTTGCAAAACGTATGCCCATGGTCGTAGAACCCAAACCCTGGACAGGCTGGTCCCAAGGCGGCTACCTGCACTACCCAGCCCCGATCCTTCGACTAGGGGTGGGCGACAGGAGCGGAAAAGACTACTTCAACGCCGCAGATCGCAAACACGACCTTGAACAAGTCTACGCCGGGCTCACAGCCCTAGGTAAAGTCCCTTGGAAAGTGCACCCTGGTGTTCTAAAAGTCCAGATCGAGGCCTGGAATTCTGGCGAAGCGGTCGCGAATCTGGCGCCGCTAAATCCGGTCATACCACGGCCAGAAGAGCCCGCGGCGGATGCGGATCACGAAGAAAGGAGGAGATGGATGCAGGACGTCAAGGACACGAAGCATAGAAGGGATGGGTATCACAGTAAACGTTGTTTTCAGAATTTCCAGCTGGAGATCGCTCGGTCGGTCGTCAACGAGACCTTGTACTTCCCTCATAATCTCGACTTCCGCGGACGAGCATACCCGATACCACCTTATTTGAACCACATGGGCGCGGATAATGTACGGGGATTGTTAGTATTTGCAGAGGGCAAGCCGCTTGGTGAGGGTGGACTGAGGTGGTTGAAGATCCATCTTGCGACTGTAGCGGGACATGACAAGGCTAGTATGTCCGAGCGTGTGGCTTTCACGGAGAAGCATATGGAAGAGATCTATGATTCGGTGAGGAATCCGCTTGGGGGCGGGAGGTGGTGGTTGAAGTCGGAGGATGCGTGGCAGACGCTTGCGGCTTGTTTCGAACTGACTGCTGCATTGGACTCGGAGGACCCGACACAGTTTCTCTCTACCATTCCTGTTCAGCAAGATGGAACTTGTAATGGTCTTCAGCATTATGCTGCGCTAGGGGGTGATATGGTGGGTGCAAGGCAAGTGAACCTGGAACCTGGCGATCGGCCGGCGGACGTGTATACGGCTGTGATGCAAGCGGTCGCTGAGGAAGTGGCCAAGGATGCCGCGGCGGGGAATCTGATAGCGAAGAAGCTAGATGGGAGGTTGACGCGGAAGTGTGTCAAGCAGCCTGTCATGACTAATGTCTACGGTGTGACTTTCTACGGAGCCAAGGAGCAGGTCGCTAAGCAACTGGAGGTACTCTTTCCAGAGGTGAACAGGTACGATGAGGTCAACCTCGGCAGAATGTCCTTGTATGTGGCTACCAAGATCTTCAAAAGTCTGGGTGAGATGTTTTCGGGTGCGCAGGCTATCCAGCATTGGTTAGGGACTTGTGCGGACAGGATCGCGACGTGTCTGACCCCAGAACAAATCGACCAGCTCATCAAACCGCCACCGGAGCCCACCAACTTGGACCCGCCGAAACCACGGCGGATCACTCGAGCTGAAGAAGTCTCACTGAAGAAACAGGCCGAGGACATAGCCGCAGGCAGAAAACCCACCCCGTATCGTCCGCGACATGCACCCAAGCCCGATTCAGAATCCGCGCCTCGCCGCGAAGCCGGTAGTACATTATCTGATCGTGCGATGCGGGATGAATTGAAACCGCTCTTCAAATCCACCGTCGTCTGGACCACGCCGTTGAGGTTGCCGGTCGTGCAGCCGTATCGGAAAAGTAAGACGAATACCGTCCGCACGAGTTTCCAGAGTATTGCTCTCCAGGAGCCCCAAGTCTGGGATCCGGTGAGTAAGAGGAAGCAGTTGCAGGCTTTCCCGCCAAACTTCATTCATTCGCTAGATGCTACGCATATGCTTCTTTCAGCGCTGAAGTGTGATGAGGAGGGGATGACGTTCGCATCTATCCATGATAGTTTCTGGACCCACGCCTGCGACGTCGACCGGTTGTCTATTTTGCTCCGGGATGCGTTTGTGGAGATGCACAGTGAAGACATCATTGGTCGACTGAAGGAGGAGTTTGAGCTTCGGTATAAGGGATCCATGTACCTGGCCAACATCGCCGCCAAGTCTCCCGTTGGAGCCAAGATCACAGAGTGGAGACGGCAGAACGCGGCGTTAGGAGCGGGGAAGGCAGGGGAGCTGAAGCTGGAGAAGGAGAGGATGAGGTTGTTGCTGAGTGAGAGTGAGGAGGAACAGGCTTTGGGTAAGGCTATGCTGACGCCTGGAGCTATTGTTGATGCGGAGGCGGATAAGGCGAATCTGCTTGCGTCGAGCTCACTCAGGGGACAGAGTCTTGGGAATATGCCGGAAAATGTTGAGAGTGTAGAGTTCGAGGCTACGAACTCTGACGCAGATGCCCTGGGCGATCCTACTGAGGCTACGGACGATTCTGCTGCGCTCACCGAAGGCGTGGTCAGTGGGTCTGTCCTCGACACAGACGTTGAGGCTATGGCAGACCATGGCTCCGAGCTAGGCAAGAATGAAGACGTTGAGACCGGGGCTGAAACTGCGGAGACTGCGGCTCCAGATGTCAGTAATACCACGGCTGCTTCACCCATGCCGATGAAGAAGAAGAGTAGACAGACGCCAAGGAAAACGCATGTTTGGCTGCCCATGACGTTTCCTGAGGTGCCGGAGAAGGGAGAGTTCGATGTTAGGCGGTTGAAGGCTAGTCAGTATTTCTTCCACTGAGGTGCCGTGGAAGAAAGCGCGGTGATAAGAATCCGTGGTTGCTGGTGGGATGTTTGAGGGAGGATTTGTGATTCTGCGATCCTTGTCTGCGATTAGCGATGGTGTCTGGGGCTTGTGCGTTTTGTCCGTGGTGAGAGCAGATGTGCTGTTGTACGAATACCAATACTGCTGAGGAGCCACGTGAAGCAATCGGGGTCGTCGTACTCTCGACTTTCTGTAAAGATATGTGTGAGATATGCTATACTATACATGAACCACGTTATTATGGCCTCTTCTATGTTCATCGGAGTTGTCAGGCCATGGCCCAGGGCGTGATCATCCTCGGCTTGCAGAGGGCCCCGTACTTACACCGACTCCTGGAAAGTGTATAGACCTATGGCCTGTCCAAATCGACAAGACGCCCTCAGGGATAGACGCTAGTAAACTTTGGAAATGACATAGATGTGAGCAACAGTCGCGAGTCAACCTCACTTCTTATGGGCGAGTGAGAGAAGAAACAGCATCCCACAGAGTCACTTTTTACTACGGACCACTTCGCCGCTGCACCGCTGCCTTGGCATCATGGAAACATTATACATGTCCATGTCCATAACATTGGGATGCACCACTATCTTGGGCCAAAAATCCAGGATTTATCACCTGGCGTCACAACAGGTGAAGTCTTTGTAGAGGGAACATGGAGCATCTTAGCAAAACGATAATGTTCGTGATGACTTCTTAGTGGGCTAGTGAGACCACACAGTATCACTTTGCACGAAGCAATGGATCTTCAGCACACTCATCCATCGTCCAAGCTGTCTTACCATCAATTCGGACCTTCTTCCTGAATTCATAGAGCTTGTCCAGGCTCTCGGCGTGGACTGTAGCCGAAGCCTTGGGGCTATCGAGCTCGCCCAGTATGTCCAGGAACCTGCTGCCACACACGTAGCTCATCGCCACACCTAGAGTGTCTGGATGACGTGGAAGTTCAATCTCGGACCGGCGGTAGACGACCAACACGAGTACTACAATCAGCATAAGAGCCAAAATTGCCAGACTCATGCCGACTGAAATAATCAGTTGCTGCCAGACCTCCGCAGGCGCGAACGGTACCCCACTTATTACGACACTCAGACCTTCTGCCAGTAGTGTCATAAGGGTCAGACTGGCGACCACGTAGTAGCCGTGGCGTACTGTATAGATCGTGGAAAAGACCGGAGTTAGGTGCGACTGGAAGTACAGTGTGCTTCGAGCAGGAGCTGGGCCGTTCGCAAGCCGCTGATACGGAGCCATAGTCATCATTTCTGTAACGGTACATGTCAGCTTCAGTATATGCTGTCAATGGATGTCCCCACTTACTCTGTTCTTCCGATCGCCACCTTGTGGCGAGGACTGTCGCCGATGTGGTCAGGATCAGACGTGGGCCGAACGTGTTGCTGCTGAAGAAGCGATTGAAGCCATCGTCCTGACCGTCGAGACAGTAGGCAAGCACGACGGCGAACGTCCCAATTGTGAAGATGGCGACTATCCATTCTCCACCGTACTTATGCCAGTGCGACTTAGCATTCACAGGCTTGTCTGACGGTCCCATTAAAGGCTCGTCGGCTTTTGACAGGCTGCTTTCGCCATACGTTTGCATCGGAAGGACACCGTAATGGCGATCGCGAAAAGAGTCCTGCCAGGAGCTCAATGAATACCGATGGCCCTCCAAAGCAGACATCATCTTTTTCTTGCTGGCATCGGCCGGCAAATTCTGTAGCTCTGCGAGTAAAGACGGGTGACGCATCAACGACGCCACGGCAGCGATGGAGCTAGGATCTCTAGCAACTCCAGTCTGCTTCCGATATGTGACCAAAACGGCGACGATGAGCACTAGCGCTGCCAGACTAACGATGCCCTGCAAGACGCGGATTACGGGTATATTCATGGTTATTCGCGGAGGGCAAGGATTGTTCTTATCGTTACTCGGCTGTGAGCAACCCCAGTTGGTGTCAGGGTGGATACTTTCGGCGGCCAGTCCAGGTAAAAGAGTTGTAAGAGTCTGTGTAAGTGCCACAGCAGCCAGAATCCATCTCTTCCGCCTGAGAGCAATCAGTGGAGTGAATACAGTGCGAGCTTGATACAGCTCAAAGAAGGCTGAATTGGCCAGTGAACCTCGACTGCCGTATAATTGTTGGAAAGGCTCAATCAAGCAGAACCCATGGTAGATTGCCGTCCACAACATGCGGTAGATCATGGCGATCAAGACCGGCAGATATGTCCCCACAAATATCTGAGTCCCGTTCCAGTGCCACTGTCCAGTGGCGTCATCGTTCTTAGGATTGGGCCCATCAGTATGTAGGTACGACCCAGCCGGAGGTGCACCTACTGTCTCCGACGCTGTGACGCTTGTGGAAGACTTTGTAGCAATCTGGCTGCCTGCCGAGCCCAAGTATGCGGTACCGACAGTAGTCGACGGTTCCGGCTCCGAATGTAACGAGTAAGCTGAACTTGGCCTACTCGTCGTGGTCGTATTGGATGCTGCGAACGCTGTTCTTGCCCGATAACCGACTCGGACTTCTGTGAGTGACGTGGCTTGCTTCTGTGCAATCGACGGCGAAGCATGTGTTGATACTGACGTGGTTGAGCTCGTTGTTGTAAGACTGTGGGCGGTAGTGATTATCCCTGGCAGTGTGTGTGAAATATATTCCAGGACAGCTATGAGGCCTAAGGTAATAATCAACAAGCAGATCAGTGTCCACGACCGAATTATATGTGGCCTCCAGCTAAGCTGTGAGCGTTGTTTGTAACTCGGTATCTTGTCGTCGCGAACACTGGCCACTGCCTCCAGCTTGCGTGGGATTTGCTGAGCTGGAGACAATGAAGGCGATGCGTCATTTCGCCGCCATGACGTGAACGACATCCGGGCACAAGAAGTTTTGCGGACACGTAGTCCTGTAATGTCGAGGAGAGTGCGGTCTCTTTGCGTGTTGTAGGTTCGTGGTCGGTCCCGCGTTCTTGGCGATATCCCGTCTTCATAGACTGTTGGTTGCGATATCACTTGACTTGAGTTGCCATTCGTGTCAAGCAGTCATGGATCTCGCGTTACTGCTGCAAGTCTTATCTCCAGGTCACCATATAAATGCAAAGCAACGGACCTCAGAATGACCCTTAGATCAATGAAACGTGAAGGGAAATATAAGCGATCAATGGACTTATGAAACACCTAGCTCAGGGCCGCCAAGCAGAGGAAGGCACCGCATCCAGATCTGGTAGATGTACTGCAGCCACAAAAAGTATGCATTCTGGTCGACGAAGACACTCAACCACGGCTATTTAGAGCAACTGGTACAGTGGCCGAGGCATATCAGAGCTGAGGCGCAGTGGAAAGGCTGGTGTCGATGTGGCCGCAGCAAGGCTGGCCAACCAGGACCTGTAATCTCTGCCGTGTGGCTGCATGAAAAAGCTGAGTCCAAGCAGTATCATAGGTCCAGGTTGTCAACCCGTCGGGAGGCCATTATTGGAAGACGTGCTTGATGGGTCCGAGCGATACATGCGCCGGAGGATGACATGGTAGATATTGCCAAGCGTTAAGTCATTGCAACGTGGAGAAAGACGAGTAGTGGAGGAAGAAAGTCGGAAGGAGATCGAGGCTTGTGTTGACTCTGCCAAGAAAGCTAGTTTACCATGTCACCTAATGAAACACACCATGAAAGAGAGGTTTGTGTAGGCAGGCTTTTAAATGTTGTTATGCACCGGCAGGCTATGCTACGGCGCCTTGCTGAGCACTATAGCACCAAACCGTAGTGGTCTAATAGATCGGGCGAGGAGAAGAAAATCATTGTGGGCAAGCTTATTCTTATTTACTTCTACGCCTACACACATGTATATCCAACACTGTTCGCCTATGCTACAAAGACGAAGACGCATGGGCTGGTCGTCGAGCTTGACTTTCTGATCTTTCAGCGTTGACATTAAGCCCGAGATGCTTGGGCAGCGTTCTTGTGCTGAATGCTGACGCCGGCTCGGACGTAGACTGTTCCTGCCGGTTCATTGGACCTTCCCCAGGCTGTGGCGAGGTACCTTGACTCTTGGTCACAGCCGGTGTCTCTTCCTCGCTGTCGTTCATCTTAGTCTCGGGCGTGAACTGAGCCTCGGCCTCTTTGCCACCTTCGAGCTCAGTGACTGCCTTTTCCTGGACAAGCACATCTTCCGAAGAGGGCCTTTCCACGCTCGAGGTTTCAGTTTCACCCTCACGAGCAGCTTGAGTGGCAGTGTCCTCTCCTTCAGCATGAGCGGCTGCCATCGGGTTATCAGTGGACTCGTTCACACTCTGGTCCATCCTTTTGGTCTGCTGTGCTCGCCACTGCGCAAAGCTAGAAGCAGCAGCCGGATCCACGACCATGATGTCCTGCTCAGCCGGATCACCGAGCTCAAGGTCTTCGGCGCCGGTGAAGTGATCACCACCCGCCAACATCGAACCCCGCTCAGGGTTACCCACCTCCGCAGTATCAACAGCCAAAGAAGCTTCGTCCTTAGCCCCAGATTCAGAACCCCGGACAGCAGCGCCCTCATCCTCCACAGCCATCCGCGCACCTTCCTCCATCCGACCAACTTCCTCAGCCGCCCTCTCCATCTCCCTCAAAACCATCTTCTCCCTCTTCGCCGCATTCTTCCTCCTCTGCTGCTCCGAAAAGGAGAACTGCGCCAAAACTTGCTCAATCTTCTCCTCCACCAACCCCTTAACATGCATAGCCAGAGCTCTCGTCGAGAAGATGCCCGCAAAACGATAACTTAACCAAAGATAAGTCACGATTCCCTTATGCAGCCGCTCCAATTCGCGAAGGTACTCTCTGCTAGCGCTCGGCTCCAGCTCCAAAATCTCGAGGGGAAGTTCTTCGATATCGACGATCGAACCACCGGACTGTTCAGCGATACAGCGCGCAAAGGCCGGCATGAGATTCTTCCACATTTCGTCTCCCCTGCTGCACGGGGAGGAGCATATGACGTTTCGGTCACCGACGGTCAAGCCCTGGATCGGCTCGATGAGGTCGGCGATCCAAAGCTGTTCTTTCAAGCCACAGAGGTGGAAGCGGGAGTGCATTTGACTCAGCTCATGGAGTCGGATGAGGATGTATGAGAAGGGTGTTCCGGGCGGGAAGTAGGAGGCGAAACGCACGAGGACGGAGCTGGGAGGGAAGATACCTGCGGTGCGGATGGGTTCTGGTTCGGAGGCCATGGCGGCGGCGACGATGGGGTAGTCGAAGGGCTCGATTGTTGTTACTAGGCCGATGTTTTCGTTCTTGTCTTCTTTCTGGTGCTCTGAGGCGGGAGGAGGAAGGGCTTCAACGGGTGAATCGCCTTTGGCGGCCGCGAGATCCTGGTTTGCTGTAGGTGTGGCGGCGTTGAAAGCAGCTGTTCTATATCGACCTGCTCGACCGGCAATCTGCTTGATGTCTGCTACACCGAGTGTTCGTCTTGCAGTCCCGTCAAACTTGGACGAGCTCTCGAAGATGATGCGTTTGATTGCTAGATTCAGACCCATGCCCACAGCATCAGAGGCGACCAGGTAATCATAGTCGTTGTCTGGGTCGTTGAAGAGACGAGCTTGTTGCGCACGGGTCTCAGGTGGGAGCGAGCCATAGACTATGGCTACTTTCTTGCCGGTCTGTTGTTCGATTTGTTTCCGCAAAGCGTGGATGCCTATTACAGAGAAGGAGACGATGCAGTCACCTTTGCGGAGGCGGCGGAGGTCGCCTTCTAGACTTGTGTCTGCGACTTTCAGAGGTGAGAGGCGCTCGTAGCGGTGGATCTCCAGTTTATCGCCCACACTGGCGCAGAGCTCGGTGATGAGTTGTACAGTACGCTCTTCGCCACAGAGATGAACCTCTTTTGCCTTGACACCCATGAGCGCCTGTGTCCATGCCCAACCACGTTCGTTGTTGCCGATCATCTGAATCTCGTCGATGACTGCCACGTCTAGACTCTTATTCAGAGGCATCATCTCGACTGTACAAGCAGCTAGCTCCGATTCACTCAGGTTCACCCCAACGGCTGCAGAACGACGTTCTTCGCCCGTGATGAGCGAGCAGGATCGACCTTTCGCGTTCATACGGGAGTAGACCTCGTGGGCCAGTAGACGGAGCGGACCAGCGTAGACACCTTTCTCTGCCTTCTCCAGCCGCTGTAGGGCATGGTATGTCTTGCCCGAATTCGTGGGTCCAACATGCAGATGCACAGTCCGATGAAGAGCTCGCGTTGCAGGAAACCACTCAGCCGGATATCGCAGATCTGCCAACGCCATCTGGTTCTTGATGTCGCTTGGCGTGAATCGCGAGCCCGTAACGTGGGCATAGAAGGCATATTTGATCTTGTCATCTAACCCATTGTTTCCTCGTGTGCGAAAGGCTTCCCTCAAATCTTGCCGTAGAGTATTCGCCCCTTCATTCTTGGCTGCCCCGATCCACGGCACATTGCCATCGCTTTCACTCAAGATATCTCGTCGAAACTTGGCCCAGATCTTCTTGAAGGTTTCCGCTTTGCCTCCCTCGCTCTCGTCTTCCTCCCGCAGGTGTTCGAGCAAGGGTGCATCTTCCAATGTACCCTTCAGCTCATCCATACGCTTATGCAACGCGTCCATGAAGTTCGGATCTCCCTGGCCTCTGCCAGACGTCTTGGACATGAATTTGCCATTTTCGAAATGGAAGCCAACATCAGTTAATCTTTTGACCTTGCCGTCACCCCTGTATCCATTCGAAGCATGGTCATCGTTCCTACCAGGCCGTCGGGTCTGCACATCTCGTTTTGCATCGATTCGTCGGAACGCTGGCTTCGACCTTTCGGGTTCGTTGAATCGAAAGGTCTTGTTCGCGGTGGAAGATTTGAGGCGGCGAGCTTGGAGAGCAAGTTGTTGGGTGCGGAAGGCGCAGTAGATGCAGCGTCCGGTATGGCGTTGGGTGGGCAGCATAACAATGTCTACGAAGAGAATGACCGAGTAGCGAGTGGCACTTAAACGATGCATATGCCATCTTTAGACAATGATTATTTGCGGCGACAGTGCGGCACCTCCGATCATGATCAATCAATGGCTACGTCAAATCTCAGCCACGGAATTGATTGACGGACCCCGAGACGATTGATAGGGTTCGTGCCATCGGATCCCACCTCGTGCCAGGCGGAGTGAAGGTGGGTTGTGGGACAATCGATGTCATGCTCATGCCTCATGCATCATACCATCTTTATGTTCACGTGCTCCAAACATCTGCTTGATCTTGCGATATCCGTCCTTCTGACAGTACCTTGTGCAATGGCAGCTCGTGCATAGCCACGTCATGTAACACCCCATTGTGTTGCCTCGACCACCATCGCCGAGCGGTCCTCGAAGCGAATCCGGGCTGCGCGACAATGGTATCCATGATAGATGCCCAGCGCGATGGTGAGTCTTGCCATGCTACTGAAGGCATAACAACATACTAACAATGGCCAGTCATCCTCAATACCCTACGACACATCACCCGCGACGACGTAAGAGCGACACATCTCCATACAATGTCTAATATCTCACACACTGACCGCCGATCCAGTGGAAAGTCCTCGTGGTCGATCCCGATTCGAAACGTCTGGTCGACAATGTCATAGATCAGGATGAGATCTTGAATCTCAATATCACAAGTACGTTCGTACCCTCAATCTAGTCAGATCCGTGCAACGCGCCCTGACTTACTGTAGACATTGAGCAGATCACGGATCGAAGACCTGCGAATAAAGACGTCGATGCCATATACCTTCTCACACCACACCCATGGATCGTCGACTGTCTCATGGCCGACTTTGACAAGCGAAAATACAGGCGGGCGCACCTAGTATGGACATCATGTAAGAGATGTAGTATGCACGCACGCATTTGATCCTGGCACTAATGTGTTACGGCAGTACTGCACCCAACCCTCCGAGACCGGATAGACAAGTCGCAGGTCGCACGTGAGCAGATAGCACTGTTCAAAGTGCTCAATGTCGAGTTCTACCCGCGAGAGTCACATCTGGTCACCTTCCGGGACCCATGGAGTTTCCCCATCCTCTTCCACCCTGGCTGTAATCATCTGGTCCGACAACACATGGAAGACATCGCACAGAAGATCGTTGGCGTGTGCGTGGCGTTGGGCGAGTATCCGACAATCCGCTACTATCGACCACGGGAGAAGCGGCATGAGGCAAGCATACTCTGCTCTCACCTCGCACGTTTTGTGCAAGACGAGCTCGACCTCTACGCCAAATTCCACGAGGACTTTCCACCATCAACGACACGGCCGCGAGGCGCGCTCTTCATCACTGACCGCTCTATGGACTTGTTCGCCCCCTTTGTCCACGAATTCACCTACCAAGCCATGGCCCATGACCTTCTACCCATAAAAGAAGGCGACAAGATCTCCTACCGTACAGTCCTGAACGAAGGTCTACGAGATCAACAAGAAAAAGATCTCGAGATCACAGAAAAGGACAAGATCTGGACAGACAACCGCCACCGCCACATGTCTGACACCATCGAGAAGTTCACGGCGGACTTCGATCGCTTCATCAAGGCCAACCCGAACTTTACACGAGAAAGTGAAGGTGGTGCGAATAGTTTGAATGCCATCAAGGACATGTTGGCTGGACTGCCGCAATTCCAGAGTCAGAAGGAGGCTTACGCACTGCATCTTGGCATGGCGCAGGAGAGTATGAATATGTTTCAGAAGCGGAAGTTGGGCGATCTTGCCGCGATAGAACAGGTTTGTGCAATTATAGTGTGACGCGAAAGGATCTTGCTGACCCCGGCGTAGGTCCTGGCCACGGGCATTGACCAAGACGGCCAGAAACCTAAAGCTCTTGCAGATCAAGTCATTCGCATGCTGGACGAGGCTGATGTTGAGATGCTCGATCGACTACGCCTCCTGATCCTCTACATCCTTCATCGCGATGGTATCCTCGGTGGTGACATGCAGAAACTTCATGCTTTTGCTAACCTGCCACCGCACGATCAACAAATCATCCAAAATCTTGCGTTACTCGGAGCAAGAATAGACCGCCAGCTGAGCGAGAAGAAACGACCACCTGCCGACCCTCTCTTCCTTACGAAACCTCCGCCCATGAATCCACCGGAGACGTATGCGCTGTCCCGTTTCGAGCCAGCACTACAAAGTATGCTCGAAGCACACGCAAACAACACCCTCGACCAACAAATCTTTGCTTACACCAAGCCGCCTCTCGATCAAGGCAACGACGCTCAGCTCATGTCCACAGCCTCTCTGCGCAGCGCAAAACCCACCTGGGCCAAGACCCGCGGCACCAATGTCGGAAGCGAGAACCGTCAACGCGTCATCGTCTTCATGGCTGGTGGTGCAACGTTCAGCGAGAGCAGAGTCTGCTACGAAGTCGCTCGCATAACGGGAAGGGAGGCGGTGCTCGTGACATCACACATGCTGACCCCCGAACTCTTCGTCCGACAAGTCTCTGACCTCTCAACCGACCGAAGACGTCTGGCAATCCCGGCCGATATGCCTAAATCCCAGGCCCCAGCTCATCTCTTCGAGCCCGAACCACAACCTAAACCGGTCGCGCCGCCGCCACAGCAGCCGCAGGGCGCGAGGCCGCAACCAACATCGCAAGCTGCACCGTCAAGAGCTCCAGCGGCTGCGCCGGCTCCGCCTACAGCGCAGATGGGCAGGATTAATCTGAGTGGCGGGAGCAATGGCGCGCCTGTGCAGGCGAATAGTTCGGCCAAGTTGACCAAGGATCCGCCGAAGGAGAAGGAGAAGAAGAGGCATTTCGGGTTTGGAAAGAAGAAGGATTAGATGTTCAGAGGGCGGACGACGTGTAGGAACGTAGCGACTTGAGTGATCAAGATGAGTTGCCTTATGTTGTAGTACGAATGAAGTGAAACAGATTCTTCAGCATTCACTTACTCCACTACTGTCCGCTGATGAGTCAGCTGGACTCGACGATTCGGGTTTGTGCTGACCATACTAGGCAGCTACGAACGCTTTATAAAACACCTCATCTCTCACTCAGATATATTGTAGGACATATCCGTTGTTGCTACTCATTGGACTCACTCAGACACTTACGGTACCACTCATCACAGCATGGCAACCGCTGCGACCACTGTGTTCGTCATGCCAGAACTGCTGGAAATTATCCTCCTTTTGCTGTTCCTAGCACAACGTCGCCCACACATTCCGATCAGTCCAGACTCGGCTCCTGGCCGTACAGCCCACAAGCACGCTCTACTGCGTTGCCAACTCGTCAACCGTACCTTCAAAGCGACAACCGACGCATCCCCGAAATTGCAGGAGGTGCTTTTCTTTCGTGGGAAACGCTCGCCCGCTCCTCCTCCCACAAATTTCGGGGCCCGTCACTCAGAGAACGTCAACCAGCTGTTCTTCGACCGATCCCGTCCGCTCAGGATCAACTCCTCGGGCGGCACTATCGACCTGCGCTTGAAGTCGACAGCGAGGCCCGAAGCTATCGTCGAGATCCGCCACAAGCGTAAGAAGGTGAATCGGAGTGACAAGCCCACCCCTATCGACGGTAGTTGGAGGTTTATGCTGCTCGTTCATCCGCTGAAGATCCCTGTGGCTATCGTGTGGATCAGTGATGGATGGTCTTTGAGGTGCAAGTATCTGTCCGGGAGGCTGGAGTACGAGCACGGGGTCAAATTGGGAGAGGTCGTCGATCATTGCTTGGAGTGGGAGCGGCAGGACACGACCAGAGGGCAAATCAGGTTGAGTGAGTTGAGGAAAATTCCGGCAATGTGAGTCGTCGACTGCAGTCATCATCATCAAGACCCACCCAGTGATGCATGCGGACCCTGCGAATTGGACCTTCCAGGCAAGTGATACCTCTGTGGCTCGTGCGTGTCAAGGGTCGTTTGACGAGAAGCGCTGTTACCCCTTTTTGATAAACAAACGATTTTCGCGTGTCAAATCATCACAAGATACCTTACCTCACTCTCCTCACATCGATTTCACACCTGCCAAATCATCGCACAAGCAACAACATGGCAGGAGTAGCGGCGGCCGTTTTCGCTACGCCGGAACTGCTGGAGAACATCCTGCTGCAGATGGCGTCGACTGGCACGGTGACTTCTGCTACCCTAGCACAGGATATGAGCACGCTGATCCACTACCAGCGTGTCAACAAAACGTTCAAAGCTACAATCGATAGGTCGTGGCCATTGCAGACGCTCCTGTTTCGCCGCCAGAAACGCCTCGCAAACGACCAGCTGCCACTCTTCTTATCTCTCTGCCGCAGAATCGAGCTCGAAGACAACGAGAACATCAATCAGCTTCTGCTGGATCGCGCAGTGATGATCGACCTGTGGGGAAGCACGATCACACTACTTTCGTCATTCGACTCACCCTACGAGCCTACCATCCTGCTATGCTCCAATCGAGCACAGCCCATCGGCAAGGCGAAGGCGATCCCCGTCACGGGTAGCTGGAGAGGGATGATGCTCGCGCAGCCGCCATTCCCCCTTTTCATCAGGTGGGAGAACATCGGTTGCACGTCTCGATGTAAGTTCATTCTCGGTAATCTCGAGTACAAGGCAGGTGTGACGCTGGGTGAGGTCGTGGATCATTGTTTGAAGTCCGAGCGGCAGGATGACAATGGTCGCAATGAGCCAGACGAACGTGGAGATATTCCAAACATGTGAACGAGCCATATCAGGTCGAGACTGCTTCAAGGTACGTACGCGTTTACGTCTTCTGACTTGCTCTTTTGCATGACGCTGACGGGCACTGTCCCAGCATGAACGAAGCGCTGGGCATGGCGGACGAGTGTTGCGGGGTCTTGTCACAAATCATGAGGTTGCATTAAATGTGACAGCTCAAAGGCGGTTGCCTGCTCAAGGGGTGGCTGATCACATGGATGCTGGGTGGCATTAATGATGCATATCACGTCTACGGCTGGTAACACTTCGGCCAGGATATGAGAACATGAGAAGGGACGGGGTTCATAGTCTGCTTTGATATGATTGTGTATCAGAGCCGTGGTGTGAGTGAACGTTCTCCCGTGGAAACATCAAAGATATCGCCCCGAGACGAGCCACTTCATGCGTCAAAGCCCCACGAGTCAGGAACTTTTGACAGCTCCATTATGTTTCGATGTGTTCGCTGATCTGGTACACGTGATTCCTCAAACCACAATGACAAGTGTAGACGACCTCTTCAAGAAACCTGGCCTACCATCAGGCAATCTCAAACGCAAGCTCGAAGTGACAGATGCCGAAGCAGCCTACAAGGCGACCAAAATCTCCAATGGTTCTTCACCTAACGGCACTCACGCCAACATAGACGATGCACCAGAGGATGATGACGACCTTGAGGCCGGACCGGAACTTCCACCCGACGATGACGAAGGAGGAGAAGATGGCGACCGCTTCTTTGGCGGCGGCGTGACAAAGGCCACAGCTTCAGCACTGGACTACATAGACGAGCAAGACGCAGAGGACTTGCCAGAAGAGAAGATAGATTCGTCATGGCTTCGACGACTAGCTGTAAGCTTCGAGAAGAAGGTGAAGAAGAATTCCGAACAGCGCGCACGATATGAGAGTGAGCCACAGAAGTTCATGGCTTCGGAAGCGGATCTGGATGCTGAGATTCAGAACTGGAGTCTACTGTCTGAGCACCCGGAGCTGTATTCTGAGTTCGCGCACGGCGAGGCTTGTGGGTTATTAGTCGGGTTGCTAGCGCACGAGAACACGGATATTGCCATCAGAGCTATTGAGATCATCTCGGAGCTGCTGGACGAAGACGTGGAAGCTGAACAGGAACAGTGGGATGGGCTAGCCAACGCGTTACTGGATGCAGATCTTTTGGATCTGCTCATGAGTAATCTGGGGAGATTACAGGAGGATGAGGAGAGTGATCAGAGTGGTATCTACCACAGTCTTTCGGTCATGGAGAGCTTGGCGGGCCAGCAACTCATGGCAGAGAGTATCGGCAAGGAGAAAGTGTTGATGTGGTTATGCAATCGCATCAAGGTACCTGAGAAGATCTGCAGCCAGAACAAGCAGTATGCAGCTGAAGTACTGCAAGTGCTGCTTCAGTCCTCGAGCCTACTACGAAAACGCTTCGCGGTTGACGTCGATGGCGTTGATTTGTTCTTGCAGCTTCTTGCCCCGTATCGGAAACGGGATCCGCCAAAGGATAGTACTGAGGAGGAATATGCCGAGAACATCTTTGACGCTTTGATCTGCGTCGCGAATGAACCGAATGGCAAGCGCAAACTCATTGAGGCAGAAGGTGTTGAGTTGGCACTGATCATGGTGAAAGAGGGCTCGTTCAGCAAGATCCGGGCCTTACGCCTTCTCGACCACGCGTGCGATGGCCAGGACGCAGCAGCTATGGAGGTCTGTGAGAGATTTGTTGAAGCTGGTGGCTTGAAGACGACTTTCGGTGCTTTCATGAAGAAGAGTGAAGCCGCTCCTACAGAGCACCTACTCGGCATGTTCGCTTCCCTACTGCGTCTGCTACCTGCTGAATCTGCTGCACGAATACGAACGCTGGCCAAATTTGCAGAGAAGGATTACGAGAAAGTCGACAGGCTTTTCGCAGTGCGGCAGGACTACGTACGCAGCTTAGGTGTCGTGGAGAAGGAGATTCGATCCGAGCAATCAACTCTCGAAGCCGAAGAAGCCGAGGAGCGAGCCGACGAGTTCTTCTCACGGCGGATGGAGGGAGGATTGTATGGTCTGCAGACTACCGATACTATACTGGCTTGGCTTGTGGCAGAGGATACAGATGCGAAGAAGCTCATCGCTACTCGACTGGGAGGGCTTGGGGCAGTGAAAATGACGCTGCAAGAGGAAGTGTCGAGGTTAGATGCACTAGATGCAGCAGATCAAGCCGAGAGGCAGGAGATGCTAAAAGCTTTGTTCGAATACGTTGTATAGTATGCTGTGTACGACACTGTAAGATGTACAATCAGTCCATTCCACATCGGCACTTATTATTGTGCTAGTCTTCGTAGAAGGCATTCGTCGAGCAGCAAAGTGGTCCGTGAGGAGTGACATCCGAGATCGTGGGATGCTTTTGCTTTTTCGTTTCCTCCCACGCTTACCCTCGCCCAAAGCAAAGCTGTCACTCATCGCGTGATCCAGCCAAGTCCCCGAAATTTGCTCGACTTTGTCGATATGAACAAGCTGTGTAGCTGTTCTACTCCTACTCATCGTGAGTCGGTGAGTGTGGGCCCAACGAGCCAATGATGACCACGCCTCGGGCCACGGGGACGGCGCGACGTCAGATCTTGCGAGTTCAATGATATTAATGAAAGCATATTCCGTGATTGCCAGCTTCGAGCTTGATATCTGCAGTAACTGCAACACGATTCTTAGGACGATTCCCATCCGACACTTGTCTAAGCAGCCCGAATTTCACACCCCAATGGCTGTCATTTCCTGCGTCGATAGCTGGTACACTGGCCAACCACTGCGATAACGTTGTCGCGGTCGACGCAAGCCGGACACCCTTTACGAGAGACTGGAGACCCATCTTTCGCTGGTGTCGCGTGCTCCCTCTCAGAATCGTCTGGTCACCTCGTGACCACTGTTTGCACCATGAAGTTCGGCCAGAACTTACCGAGGAATCAAGTCCCGGAATGGGCATCAGCGTATATTGATTATAAGCGCTTGAAGAAATTGATCAAGGCTGCTGAGCAGGCGGTGGAAGAGGGCAATGATCCAGATCTAGCAGGCATGGTTAGGTGGGAGCATAGACTGAAGACATGACACTGACACACCACAGGCTTCTCGTTCACTCTTGACCGCCAACTGGAAAATGTGGATACCTTCTACAACAGGAAGTTTGGAGAGTTCTCACGACGTCTGCGGCTGCTATACGAGCGCTATGGCATGGCTTCCAAGCTCCACGATGGCATGGAGAAGGACGAGATGGAAGACTTGATTGGCGCATTGCTGGAGCTGAGAGGATGGTACCGGAAGCTGCAATGGTACGGCGAGGTGAATCGACGAGGATTCGTCAAGATCACAAAGAAGTTGGACAAGAAGATTCCGAGCTCGTCTGCACAGAGACAGTATCTCGTGACCAAGGTCGATCCGAAGCCTTTTGCGACGAACAACATGTTGACGCAGGATATGCGTGCTGTCAACGACTGGCTAAGTAGTCTCGGGCCAGTCAAGACACCGGACGACGCAAGTTCGCAGAGGTCTGGAAGTTCTGGATCCATGAGGAGGATAGCTTCAAAGGCTAGCTTGAAGATGCCGACCGCCACGTTGGACGCGCTGGACGAGGCAGCAAGCGCCGACGATGTGGAACATATACTCAGGTTACTTGGCTCTGGTGTACCGAGCACAGCTAGTGAGATGCAGCGGAAGTCTTTGTTGCTCGACCTGCTCCAGCGCTGCGTATCAGCACGTTCCGAGAAGTGTATCGACGCTATATTGCAACGGGTACCAGATCTAGAGCAAGACGATGACATGAACAAGCGCAATATCCTTCACCGACTAGTCATCGCAATTGGTCGAGCACGAGCGCTAGCCATGTCCAGCAAAGCGGAAGGCTCGACAGATGATCCACGAGCCATGATATATATCAATGCTGCGCAGCCACCAGTCCGCGCACCTGGTGCTCTCAAGATCGAGGAGCGCGATCCGGACAGCGACTTTGGGAAGGACGATCATGCCGAGAAACTGCTCGTGTCTATACTCGACCGCCTGACCAACGAACAGAGGTCTGCGATCATAGCCAAGGATGGCTATGGTCGTCTGCCCCTCCACTACGCTGCACAGTATGGTCTCGTGGAAGTGAGCAAGTACTTGATGAATTACATGCAGGCTTGGCAGATGTTCGACCTATCCGACGGCATTGATTCTACGTGGTGGCAAGACTCAGAAGGCTATGCGCCACTGCATCTAGCAGTGATCGGTGGTCACTACCGAACCACAAAAGCACTACTGTTCGTGGATGAAGACCATCATCCTCATGGTACAAGACTAACGCACATGGACGTCGAGAAGAATGGTACATCGCTTGCTCTGGCCACGAAGTCTGACTTCGTGAAGATTGTACGTCTGTTGGTTGAGGCAGGTGTGGACGTCAACTACCAAGACGAGCAAGGTGAGACTGCCTTGCACGTAGCGGCGCGGTTCGGCCATGAAGAATGCGCACAGATACTGCTATCCACTTCTGGACCATTCGGCATCAACGTTCAGCTCGCAGAGAAGACATACGGCTGGACGCCACTCTTTATTGCTGCTGTGGACGGCCAGCTGCCCGTGCTAAGATTGGTGGTAGCCAAAGGAGCTGTCGTATCCAACAAGGACTACTCTGGCTGGACACCGCAGGAGCATGCCGCGTTGCGTGGACATCTGGAGATAGCGCAATACCTCAGAGCTTTCACACCCGCACCAAGTCTGAATACAAGTCCCGAGATCGCGGCTCAGCCGTCTACCGCTCTGCTCAACGGATCTTTCGAGGACCGGCGCTCTAACGGTACTTCGAAAGATGCGGCCATTGGGAACGGCAAGGCCGTCGAACCCGTCAAGTCGTTCGGTCATCGTTACCTGACTGATGAAGCCATGGTGCTGGTCAGCTTGGGCTCAATGGATGCGAGGAAGAATCTTGAGTCCGTGATACTCGAGAATATCCCAATCAACGATGCCCATGCTACACAGCTTGATACGGCCCTATCGCTTGTTGTCTCAGCCCAAGGTGCTGTTGGTGAGTCTACCATCATCGACCTGCCAGTGCAGGAAAACATTAGCACCTCGCCGATCAGATTCTCCACAAGAGACCCGACGAAGGTTAAGCTGCTGTTCGATCTCGTGCCAACTTATGCTGGAAGTACAGACAAAGTCATTGGGCGGGCCGTCGCACTTCTATCCAGCATCAAACCCACTATTGGCACGAAGCGTATGAACCTGCAAGGCGACCTGAGCGTACCGCTTATGTCGAGAGACACTTTAGATGTCATCGGCTCGATCAACTTCAACTTCCTCATCATTACGCCCTTCACGCATCCAGAGATGTCTGTGTCTGGTGATCGAACATACTGGAAAGCAGCAGCTACACAAATCATTGGACATCGCGGCTTGGGCAAAAACATGCTAGGCAATGCCGACAAGAAGCGATCACTGCAGCTGGGCGAGAACACGATGGACTCTTTTATTGCCGCTGCATCTCTGGGTGCATCTTACGTCGAGTTTGACGTGCAGATGACGAAAGATCATGTCCCAGTCATCTACCACGACTTTCTCGTCAGCGAGACCGGTGCCGATGTGCCCGTACACCAACTTACACTTGAACAATTCCTTGCTCTTAGTGATGGTACTCCACGGCCAAAGAACAAGGGACAAGCGGGCAACACTCCTGCAGACACTGATGGCCTACCCCAAGGCCGCTTGACTCGCTCCTTTTCTCTCGATGCTGGCTCTTCGTCCCAGACTGATCTCCGTGACCGCATGAAGCACACCCGCGACTACAAGAAGAAAGGGTTCAAGGGTAATCTTCGAGGCGACACGATCCAATCGCGCTTCACGACGCTGGAAGAAATGTTCCGGCAGTTACCCGAGAATATCAGCTTCAATATCGAGATGAAGTATCCTATGCTCTTTGAGAGCGTGGACGAGGACATGGACACCTATGCAGTGGAGCTCAACACTTTCGTCGACACGGTGCTGAAAATGGTATACGATCTAAGCGATAAGAGGAATCTAATCTTCTCGTCCTTCCACCCAGATATTTGTTTGCTTCTGTCCTTCAAGCAGCCCAACTTCCCTATCCTTTTCCTCACAGACGCCGGCGCCTCTCCAGTCGGAGATATACGAGCTAGCTCGCTGCAGGAAGCCATCAGATTTGCCTCTCGCTGGAATCTTCTAGGCATTGTATCAGCTGCTCAGCCGTTCGTGCTGTGTCCGAGACTCATACAAGTGGTGAAGAACTCGGGACTGGTGTGCGTAAGCTACGGGACCGACAACAACGATCCGTTCAACGCGAGGTTGCAGGCTCAAGAAGGCATAGATGCAGTTATTGTTGATAATGTTGCGAGGGTCAGGAAAGGACTGACAGAGCATGAGGAGTTGACTTCAGGGATGACGAAACTAAATCTTGGAAATGCTGCTTGAAGGATTACAGGGTGATGAATGTGCATCTTTTGTTGATTTGGCGTTTATGGTGGTGGTGGGGAATGGGGTTTTACACGGGAGGTGCTCGCATACACAACATGTGCTTGAGCTTGCTTTTCATACTCGGTACTCTTTTGCATTCAGCTACATCTAGGTCTACATTGAGACGCTACAAGATCTGCGGTATAACATTACATCGTAATAGTGTCTCGTGCCAACATTATGCTCGTGCGCTACTCATTCGTGACCCGGCCAAATTGACTTTTTCATCAGCGCTGGGTTGGAGGTCTCATAACGCGAAGGAGCGAAGGAATGCGCTGACGCTTGCTCAGGCCCACACGCAGTGGTACTATGGAAGAGCTCTTGATTGGTGAGTGTGACGTCGGGCTCGACTTTTGAGGTGGTGTCGATATATTACCGGGCACTGGTCTCTTTTCTGGAGACGGGGTTGGCTCTTGTGTACCGCTGGTGGCACCATTAGGGATCTGTGAGGATACCTCCGCTGGCGTCCAGGGCTCGGCGCCACTCTTTGGAGGCTTCTCGGCTTGCTTGATGGTGTCCTCTTCTGATATCGGATTCACCAACTCGATCGACTTCTTCGGCGGACGACTACGCCCACACTTTCTGGGCTCAGCTTCTGCTGAAGGGGGAGCAACATTCTCGTCTTCGCCCGATGGTTCTTCATCAATGAGCTCAGCAGACTTCGCAGATGCCTTCTTTGTTGGAGGTCGGCCACGGCGCTTCTTCGTAGGCTGCTCCTCCAGCTCGACACTTCTGGCTTCGCTTGGATGGGCCTTGGCAGAAGTCGGTTCAAGAGCAAGCTCGTCTTCGTCACGATGCTGCTCGTCTTCGTCATCATCGTTATCAATCACTCTGCGACGTCTTTGTGTGGCCTTTGACGTACTGGTCGAATCATCGATACTCGCCAGCGCACTCTTTCGAGCTGTCTGCTGTTGACTGAGGCTTGGTCTGCGCTGGGACGCCGTGAGGTCGACATGGTCTTCAAAGATAGTGGTATGACTGCGCTTTGCTTTCTTGCTCGTCGTTGGCATAGCTGGCTTGACGAAAATCTTATCCTCGGTAGCTTCTGCTTTCGGCGACTTGCGAGCTTGTGCTTGTGGCGTGCTGGAAGCTGACATGTTCGTCTTTGCATCTACAGGCGTGTTCTGCATCTTTGTGTCCACTTGGATGGCACTCATATTTGTAGCAGCTTTGTTCGGACTGATAGTGTTCTGCTTGACCTTCTTGTCAGCCAGTCCAGCATCGGTGTCTTGTCGACGAGTGTCGTCTGGAGCTGCCTCTTCTCCACCTGTCGGTTTAGATCCTGTTGTGGTCTTCGTACGCCTTGCCTTGGCAGCCTTCTCTGGCTTCATTGAGTAGTCGATGACTTCTTCGACAACGTGAGTAGCTCGTCGTTTACTCGGTCGTGGCACATACATCTCCTTTGGTAAGCCCACAGCTTGGCTTTCAGAGCTCAGCTTCTCGCTCTCATCAGCCTTCGTCTTACGGTTCCGGCCTTTGCCAGCTCGCTCCGTCTGCTCAGTAGCGTCTTGAATCTCAATGTCCAAACGTGCTGCTGGTAACGTGATCTCGACTCGTGGACTAGACTTTGGTGCAATGATCAGATCACGCTGAGGTAGCTGAGCTGACGATTCCGGCTGTTCGGCTTCGACAACCTCAGATTCTGGTTCTTCTCGTGCGTCCACCGGAGCTACCTGCTTGATATCACCCTCCTCGGCCGTTTGGAGCTCATCATATGGAATCCCATTAGTGGCGGACGGACCATTTGCGGGCGGGTCGTCGTCAGCTCCATCATCGTGGACATCTCCCGGTCCAGCAACCCTATCCTCTTCTGCAGCCGCCTTCTTCGTTGACTGCGTGTGCACAGAAGCCGACCAAGGGAACGATGAGCTCTTCGGCTCATCCGACTCAATGACCTTTGAGACAGAAGTGCTTACTTCCTTCATACCATTCCTCGCCTGCTCAATCATACGCTGCTGCGACGACTCATTATCCACAGCCGTGCTTCCAGTCTCCCTGAACAGAACCTGCGGCTGATGATCAAGGAAGTCCGCATGAAGAGATCCAGCCGGAAGTCCATTAGATGAAGCAGCAGCGCCGGAGTGCTCAGTGAAGCGAGCTGAGCGAGAACTGCGTACTGGCTCATCCCCGTCGTCAGTGCGGAACTTTGAGAAGGCACCTTCGCCGTCAGCTCGAGGTCCTGAGGAGCGCTGTTTGGAGTATGTCTTTTGAGAAGTCTTGGTCCGCTTGACTCGCTTCTCCGGGCTGATAGATGGTTCTGCAACGAAGACCGCAGTATGTCTACGCTTAGAAGTAGAGCTCGGAGGCATCGAAGACTGTCTAGACATTCTGCTCGCGCTTGCGGTCGGTGCGATCAGATCGGCTTCTGCACGGCGAATCCTCTCCTGTAGTTCCTCGCTTGAGGTTGTGCTCGCGTTGTTGCCCGTGGCGCTTCCAGTTCGTGCCACTGCTCCAGGATGCTCATTATCGACGATTTGCTCGGGATCCAGAAGTTCTTCGGCTTCGTCGTCCGAGTCCGCCAGCACAACGGGCGCCATCGCGCATGATTGTGGAATTCAAGGATGGTCGTTGACCATATGAAGTCAAGAAGGTACGCGCGCCTGATTCGAGACGCGTTGAGCTTGACGCGACAGCACGTGATGCGCCCATAAGCTACACCACAACGACGATTGTGGTTACACGAGTATGCGAAGTAACAACCTACGAGATCAATCCGTGCCAGCAGCAATGTCCGGCCAACTGTCAAACATGGTCGATATCTTAGAATCTTGGTAGACATCCCGGACCCACACCACGGTCGAAAGGACCACACAGACCACGAACACTCATTAGCCGCGGATCAGCTACACTTTGAATGTAAAGAAACCAGATCTTGCAATTTTCTAGCACTTGTATCACGCATTTCGTTTCTGTCTACCTCAAAATGCCCATGTTTCTACAGTCAACTCCGCCCAACGCGCCGGACAGCCCTGGCAGCGTCTCGCCAACTTCGAACGTCCATTCGTCTGAAATGGGCGATGCTCTAGCAGCAAGTACGCCCCTCTATATACCCCCCATAACACCATACATTGCCGTCTCCTGACCCGCATACATCTATCTTCATTGCATCTCATCTTTCCTCATACGCTCCCATCTTCTAACCCTCAAACTCCTTGATTGAGCTGTTCATCTTCCCCGGGATCAAGGCCAAAGGCACGATACCAGAGACGTGCATCTCCGGGCCGAAAACATGCATGTTGAGATTCAACTCCTTGCCGACGGCCTTGATGTTCTTGAGACCCTCCTGGTAGTTGGGCCCGGCACGACGGACCCAGATCTGGACCTTGTGCTCGATGAGGAGAGGGGCGACTTCGCGGAGGGCGCGAATGACACCCTTGAATGTGCTTGCAACCTGATCAAAATGTTAGCGTCGATGCGATAATCCGAATCTACAGGATGGCTTGACTTACATTGGTGAAGTTGGCAATACCGCCACCAATGAACAGGACCTTGCCATCGGCTGTGTTGGGTGACCTGAACATCAAATCCAACACAGTCCTGGCGTAGTGGAAAGTCTGAGTCTCGGTGGGAGCACCAGAGTACTCGCCATAGTTGGCCAATTCGCTAGCAAAGCCAGCAGCGGCAATGGCATCAGCATACACGACAGAAGCACCACCACCAGCGACCAATGTCCACACGCGGCCCTTGCCGTTCAGGATGGTCAGCTTGAGCGAAGCACCAGTCTTAGCGTCCATCTCAGCAATGTATGCCTCCTCCTTGCTCATCTCGCGGCCAAACGGAGCCGGGAACTCCATTGGCGGGCCGACGTCGATGGAGACCTTGCCGGTCTTCTCAGCGATGGCTGGCATGCCGAGGGCGGCGGGTGAGCGGGCAATGGCCCATTTGCTACCGCACTCGAACTCAGCGGTCTGGTCGATCTTGGCCGCCAAATCAAGGAAGTGGACTTCTGCGCCGGTGACATCTTTGTTGGGAATGACAACAAGAGGGTTGATCTCAAGGTAGGTAAACTGCGAGTCGACGTAGACAGCGTAGAGGCGGGAGATGAAGTCGATGAGGACGTTGTGCACACCTTTTGGCACCTTGGAAAGAAGGCCCTTGGCGATCTCCTCGTTGCTTGGGTATTGGCTCAGGTCGACTGGGATCAGGAGCTTCTCGGCCTTTGCGTCAACATCACCAACCTCGACACCACCCTCGTGGTAGAACAGGATCCAGTCGCCCTGTGGTCAATTGTCAGCTCAACGATTCATCACACGCTGAAAGCCATGATCTACTAACCTCACGGACGGAGTTGATGTTGATGTAGTACTCAGTCTCCTGAGGATGGGGCACAAAGGGCTCAACAAGGAAATGCCTGAGGGCACCCTCCACATGCTCAACCTTCTGGACCTTGTTCGCCCTCGCCGCAATCCACTCGCGAGCGTCTTGCCATGTCGCATTCAGCTTGAGCAGGCCAGACTTGCCTCTTCGCTTGATGAGCTGATCTGGCTTCGCAACGAATTTCGAACCCGGCACGAGCAGGAAAGGGAATGTGGCCTCTGCGCGGTCGAGGACACCCTCGACATTGTCACCCTCCTCGAATTGGATGGCGGCAAGCTTGGCGGGTGGGTTGTGTGTTGCTTGTGCGGGTAGAGGTGTGGGCTTGATGACGGGTGCGCGGGTGAGATGGTAGTTGAGGATGGCCTTGCCGTCGGCCTCGTAGATGGACTTTGCGGACATGGTGGGTGGTTGTTGTGGTCAAGAGCTGCGAGGGAGGAGTTGTGTAAGCAGATGTATGATGGAGTAGAAGCTCGATGCGCAGAAGGAACAATCGCAGTGAAGTGGCTCTGCAACGCAATGGCACGATACAACAAAAATGTAAGCGGTGTAAAGCAGACTAGCTCCGGGGCTGATCTTGCTCGTTCTCTCCTCTGCTCTGCGCCGAAATAATGCTCCCTGTATGATGGGTTGGGCAAGCACACCTCCTTTTTGGATGATCGTACTATATTTCCCTCCCCTCTTCTCGCCGAGCCGTTTGTTCGGCCTGGTTGTGGAAATTGATCGTGTGGATATCGTCGTTTCGTGCACCTTCTGCTTCGGACTTTCTTGGTCCCTGGCCTGCGCGTGGAGGGGCAGGAGTCTAAAATTATACTACCAACTGCTTGCTTATGTACTCACCTAGTGTTTGGCGATATCTCAAATGGGCGAAGGATCAATGTGACGGGGCTGAGGAAGGAGTGGATGTGTAGAGGAGACAACAAGACGACCGTTGCAAGCTGAGCTATGTTCGTGAGAATGGTACGGGGTGATCATTCGCGTGCTTCTCAATGCTACGGCAATTCTGCGAGTCAACAAAACTAAGATGTTTGGCGGGCGCCAGTTGGGACTCGGAAGGCGGATGGCGGCGATCAACTCTAAATTCCTGTAGGAAGACCCCTGTAACATCATGACGCCGCCATGGGAATTTTGTCGCTGCGATGACCGGACGAGAAGCAGCAAGACGAGACAATGGAAGTCCGGCGTACAGGGGAAAACATTCGTGTGGGTGATCAACACGTTTCTCCATGCAATACCAACCACGGCGTCTGCAATGATCGTGAATGAAAGGGATTCCGTCCGTGCCTTGACATGCGGGGCAATCATTATTTTGTCGCGTGAGGTCCTCGAGAGAAATAGCAACGAAGTCAGGCCGCGGTATAGGATACAAGTGTAGAATGCGCAAAGGCCGGGATGGGGACGGGAGGAGTATCAGCATTCAGCACGGGTCGTGACGGCTCCAACATGTCTCGCGCGTCGTGAGTGGTATCCCGAAGATAGAAACATCGGATGCATCGTACGTTAGACGAGTTGCGCTGAGGTGCTGAGGGGACTGATGGGGACTAGCGCTACGCCGCCTGCAGCTTCACCGTGTTGTCCAAGGGTCAGCGTCCAAGGGCCGAATATTGTTTGGCCCTCCTCGGTTGTAAGGTGGGAGTGTTTCTTGACATCTCACAATCCATCCTCCCTCTCCTGTAACATACTATTTACTCTACGTTCCATTGTAAGTCACATCATCTGATCGCCGTACGCAACAAGCAACTGGAAATATTTCGAGCTCTTGGCTGCCCTCATAAGTTCTACCGAAGCGGAAGGTACGGTGTATGAGGAGTTGACAAGACTCGGACTTTGCTATTGCTTGGGACCATCGGCAGATTAAGCAAGCAAATCACACAGCGACAACAACTACTAACAGAGTCCGACTACAGAGACCACTCCACATACATTCCTGAGGAGCAACATCGACACACAATGGCTCCTTCAGCCATCCCCAATGGCACTGCCAACGGCGCACCATCAAATGGCACATCCACATCCACCAGCTCACTGAGAGCCGACGACAACATCCAGCGGTTCGCTGCGCCTAGCAGGCCAATGAGCCCACAACCACAACACACACTCTTCCACCCAAAGACAAGATGTTTTGTCTAGTAAGGATAGCCCGAGATGAGCAGTGCAATACTTTAGAGAGATGGGACTGACAGTGCTGCAGCGGTCTTCAAGCGAGAGCCGTGCAGGGTATGCTCGACTTCGACTTCATCTGCAAGCGCAAGACACCTTCCGTGGCCGGCATCATCTACACATTCGGTGGTCAATTCGTCCAGAAGATGTATGTGCAGCTCCTACATTGAGACAGCCAAACCCGCAACTAACAATGCCACAGGTACTGGGGCACAAGCGAGACTCTCCTCCCTGTCTACCAAAACAGCGAGAAGGCCATGGCCAAGCACCCCGACGTCGACTGCGTTGTCAACTTCGCCTCCTCCCGATCCGTCTACCAGTCCACGATGGAGCTCATGGAGTACCCACAGATCAAGTCCATCGCCATCATTGCCGAGGGTGTGCCAGAGAGGCGTGCTCGTGAGATCGCTCACGTCGCAAGGAAGAAGGGTGTCACCATTATTGGCCCAGCCACCGTCGGTGGCATCAAGCCCGGTGCGTTCAAGATCGGCAACACTGGTGGTATGATGGACAACATTGTGGCTTCCAAGCTTTATCGCAAGGGCTCCGTCGGCTATGTCTCCAAGTCTGGTGGTATGTCCAACGAGCTGAACAACATCATTGCCAACACGACCGACGGCGTGTACGAGGGCATTGCCATTGGCGGCGATCGTTACCCTGGCACCACGTTCATCGACCACATGCTCCGATATCAGCAAGACCCTGATTGCAAGATTTTGGTCCTGCTCGGTGAGGTGGGTGGTGTTGAGGAGTACCGCGTGATCGAGGCCGTCAAGAAGGGCGTAATCACCAAGCCAGTAGTCGCCTGGGCCATTGGTACCGTCGCCGGTTTGCTCAAGACTGAGGTTCAGTTCGGCCACGCTGGTTCATTCGCCAACTCCCAGCTCGAGACTGCCAACATGAAGAACTCCAGCATGAAGGAGGCTGGCTTTTACGTCCCAGACACGTTCGAAGATCTGCCAGCAGTTCTCAAGAAAGTCTACGATGCCGAGGTCAACAAAGGCTCCATTAGGCCTGCTGCTGAGCCAGCCGTTCCCAAGATTCCCATGGACTACAATTGGGCTCAGGAGCTTGGCCTTATCCGTAAACCAGCTGCTTTCATCTCCACCATCTCCGATGATCGTGGCCAGGAGCTTCTTTACGCCGGTATTCCGATCACTGATGTCTTCAAAGAGGAGATCGGTATCGGCGGTGTCATGTCCCTGCTTTGGTTCCGTCGCCGTCTCCCCAGCTACGCTGGCAAGTTCTTGGAGATGGTGCTCATGCTTACCGCTGATCACGGTCCCGCCGTGTCTGGTGCGATGAACACCATCATCACCACTCGTGCTGGCAAGGACTTGATCTCCTCGCTCGTTGCTGGTCTCCTCACCATCGGTTCCCGCTTCGGTGGTGCCCTGGATGGCGCCGCTGAGGAGTTCACTCGTGCTTATGACAAGGGTCTCAGCCCACGTGACTTCGTCGACACCATGAGGAAGGAGAATAAGCTCAGTAAGTGCCATCTGATTGTTTTCGCCTACACACCAGCTAACACAACATCCAGTCCCTGGTATCGGCCACCGCGTCAAGTCCCGCAACAACCCCGATATGCGTGTCACCCTCGTCACCGAATACGTCCAGAACAACTTCCCCTCGCACAAGCTCCTCGACTACGCCTTGGCCGTCGAGACCGTCACAACATCGAAGAAAGACAATCTGATCCTTAACGTCGACGGCTGTATCGCCGTCTGCTTCGTCGACCTGCTCCGCAACAGCGGTGCTTTCTCTGCCGAGGAGGCGGAGCAGTACCTTGCTAACGGTGTCCTGAACGGTCTGTTCGTGCTTGGACGTTCGATTGGTCTGATTGCGCATCATCTGGATCAGAAGAGGTTGAGGACGTCATTGTACAGGCATCCTTGGGATGATATCACGTATATGCTTCCTGAGTTGGCTGGCAAGGGCGCACCGGGTAACGAGGGCCGCGTTGAGGTTGATGTGAAATAGACGGGAATGTCTAGAGTAGCTGGCGATGACTGGATTGGTGTTGTTGTCACGGTCACGGCTGTTTTGGTGTGGAGTCAATGGTGCATGATAGTAAGATAGACATACGTTTGATGGATTGTTTGTAGCGATATGGACTCAAGGTGTAGTAGCCAAGTGTCAAAGCGAACACAAGATTTACAGTTTTCAGCATCATTACTATACCACTCTCTCGGCGACCCAGAGGTGAGGGATCAAACCGCTGTCGTCGGCCAACGCCACATCTTGCTGGAGGACGCTACCGTCATTGCGCACCCAGATACTGCCAGGGGCATCCTCGCGCAACGCACCCGTTAAGACTTGACCACCTGCAGCACATTCTCGCCGTCCTTGATGCCGACCTCAGCCAATCTCCTCAGCAACCTCATCCTTAACAACACGGTCCCCCCGCCTTGAAAGTCAAGCGTCCTGTGATATGATCCTCGTCCCGCAGTGAATGTGATATGCCGCAGCAGAGCCCAGTGCGCAGTCGAACGACTACCAAGCCACTTGATCAGGAGATCTTCGTCCATATTCCGGAAGTCGAGCACGGCGCCGCCGCCGTAATACCGCGCTGCGAACATTTCCCTCGAGTGCCGATCCACCTGCAGCCTAGCGGGGAGACGACTTTCGGGCCAGACGATTCGGATGCGTTGGTCAGGGGTAAAGACGTTGTAGTAAACGGCGTTGATAAGTTCTTGTGGTAGGGCTTGCATTTGAGTGGCCAGACGGGCAAGGTCGATTGGGGGGGAGGTCATGTCCGGGCAGGAGCGTGGCGCGAACTTTATGGCGTGTGAAGACTTCTTGTTAGAGCTTGGGCTCGTGCTGGCGGAGGATGTGAAGCCGTATTGGCGGAGCGTCATGGTGCCTGGAGTTGCGAGAAATGCGGCTGTCTGCGATGTTTGTTGGGTCGAGCTTGCAAAAGCAAGAATTCGTGCAAGCTTTATTTGTTCTAAGGCAGTCACGTAAATACCTCGAACAGTTCAGAACTGCATATTGGTGTTTGGCACGCGCGACTTACTAAGCACAGGGTGAAGGTGAAGGTGAAGAGGAAGAGGTACGCGTGAATGGGAACGCTCGCAACGTGCAGACCACGCGATAGATTGACGAGAAGTGAGTTCGCTTACACATTGGAGGACATCGTTTACTTTGGCCTTTCCGGCACAGGCTAACACTGGGCAATGCATCTGGTCGCCGCCATCTTGCTGCCGGATCGTGACCACATTTGCCCCCTTCAGTCCTTGTAAGACACTCGATATCTGCAGAGTCCTGTTCGTGTGCTCTCGCGGTCAGCTCCTAGCCATACATACACACGTCAAGGCCGTGTGACCACAGTCAGCACTTTCTTTCCCTCCCTCACACCAAGATATTCAAGTACGTCCAGCAGATACATGGTCGCAGTATCTCGACCAATATAGTCTCGATAGTAGCCAAGACAGTTCGGCCACGATCGAAAGCGGTTGACTTGCGTAGTGTCCATTCTAAACGTGATATGTTTCAGCAGAGCCAGATGTTGCGGGTGACGGCTGCGAAGCCAGCGTGCCATCTGGGCGGCACTTAGACCGTCGAATACGAATTTCGCGCCGTGACCGTAGTAGTGTGCTGCGAATTGTTTTCGTGACCGGGAGTCGATCTGCGTTCTAGCTGGGGTGCGACTTTCAGGCCAGATCGCCCATTGTCGTGGTTCGGCAGTGAAGACGAGGTCGTAGACAAGAGTCCACAATTCTTGCGGTAGAGTCTGCATCCCCCTCCCCAAGCGGTCTATATCGGCGGTGATCGTGACCATGTTGAACGAGTGATAGGTCATTCTCACAGACGTGGAGGGTCTGGCTACGGGTCGTAGAGGTACTGTGGCGGTAGTTGTGTTCCCCATCATGCTCGGGGAGCGGCCTGGTCGATTTCAAAATGTGTCCGCATGTCGAATCTCAAGATCAAGGTTTGTGCGAGCTGTGCGTAGCTGATAAGCATCTAATTATCTTAAAGTTAGGATTGGATGCGCCGACCCGAGAGCATGACCCGAATACTTCGACTACTTTGATAAGCACGCAGCGAATGATCTTTATTGGTTTCAGTCGAATGGACCTGTCGCACACTGAGCTGTCGTCAATGCTATGATCGTTGATATGCCAAGAATGTGCCAATGCCCTAAGAAGAGGTCGCGACCTCGTTCCATCTGCCTGATCCTGGAATATCGCTGTTACGTCGAGACGCCCAAGCCCACAGGCCCATCATCACGAAGCGTAACACCCTTCCTCCCGGTCCCACCACCCGCACTCTGAGCTCCACTACTCAAACTTCCCTCCTCCCACACCCCCTTGCCGACGAAAGCCATAAAGTCAACTCCCACCTCCCCAAGCACAGCGGCCTGCTCTCTCACAGTACCCACACACTCAATCCATATCTGGCTATTCTTCTGCACCGTCTCCATCTGTCGAGCAAGAGCACCATTGAACTCATCCACCCTCTCCTTCGCCCACTTCACCACCGCACTCCCAGCCGAGGGCGGAAAGGCCGCGGAGAAAGTTCGGAAGGTGTGGAGGAGTAGGGTAAAGGTAGTGTAAGAGAGGGCATGCAAGTACGGCTGCAGCTCACCTGTGAAGGGCAACTGCCTTGTCCGCGCCCGCATGGTTTCCGTGCGAGAGTCAAGGTATTTCGTCCGCGCCATCTCCTCATACCCTAGTCGTCCAAGCCAACCAGCCATACCTCTCACGCCTTCAAGACCAGAACTACCTTGACTCAATTGCCTCGCCACGAGCCCTGCAAGCTTTCCCGCTCGCGAATCGACCTTGCTCTGGATGATTTCTTGAGCAGTCACATTCCCCTTGATCCCCCTAGCCATCTGCCGAAGCTTCTCCACCCTGCCAACAGCTTCTTCAAACCGCTGGAGCGCAATATCGATATCCAAGCCGTCAAGTTGACTCTCCACCCACCGAATATTCTGCTGCCTCCCCTCCACATCAATTAACACAGAATTACTTCTCGAAATCCCACTCACCTTCTCCGCCTCCGCCTGCTCAGCGGCAGCTTTCTTGAGCAATCTCAAATCACGCCCAGTAAGCAAGGTCATCTCATCCAATTTCTTCTCCCGCTGTCCATGCTCCGCCGCCATCAATTTCCTCTGATCCTCTTGTGTCTTGCGGAATGCTACAAGGATACCAGCTTTCTCCGCGCCGTCTGTAGTGGCGTAGGTGAAGCTTTCGGTCCCGGCACGGATGTTGATGGCGTTTTGGAGGGTTTTGTGTTCGCGGGAGTTGGTGTGGCCGGCATTTGATGGGGAGGAGATGTCGGCTAGACTTACGTCTTGAAGCGGCCAGCAGCGTTCGGCTATGAGCATTGTCTGAGTCTGTCCTGTTGCGGGAGCGGAGCCGTAGACGCTGGTTCTGTTGCCGCCTGCTTGAGCTTCTATTTGCTTTTTCTTCTCGCTGGCAACGAGCAGGTGGTCGTTCAGCACGACTAGTGCAACGCGTCTTCGAGGTTTCCACGTTGCGCTGTTCAGCTCGATCCAGCGCTGACTCTCCATTATTATGTGTCTGCCTGGGAGAGCAGGAAGGTACTTCTGACTGCCTTCCACCCTCTTCCAGAGCGTTTGCAAGTGTGTGCTCCACATCGCCTCGAGGTTCGCTACGCTGCTTCTATTGGCGCGCTTCCTATCGGCGACGGAGCCGAGCATGCTCAGTCTGCTGCCTGGTGCTCCTAGCTCGTCTATGCCACCCGCACTTGTCGCATGACCCAGTGCTCCGGTCAACTCGCCCATTAGTGTGCGCAAGGAACGCATCTCGGACTTGAGCTTGTCGGCTTCCTTGGATATCTTGATGAACTGTGTGCGATTTTGGTAGACATTATGTTTGAGATCGGTGCTTGTGGAAAGCTTGACATTCTGGAGGTCGTTCTTGTAGTTGTGAATGTCTGACTCTGTGGCTTCCGCCAATATACTCTGCACATACTTCTCGGCTTGGAGATTTGGATCCTTCAGAGCTCTTGCGTCGACTCTTAGTGGCCCACGTCCACGTTCTGGACTGCGGCCATCCCGGGACGGGGATCTGCTGTCTTGACTTGGTCTGCCCTGTCCTTGCTGCTTATATTGCGACGGGATGTTCGGCACACTGGGTACAAATGGCACGAGTCCTCCGTCCCCACCATTCGCGCCGTACTGAGGCTGTCCTCCAGCGAATCGCGTACTATATCTCCTCTTGACCAGGTCGCTCGTCTTGTCTCCACTGATGCTTGGTCGACCTGGAGTAGGTACTGACAGACCCGTCTGGGCTGAATGCGTGCTTTGCGTGTCCCATGTCGAAGGGTTACGACTATCAGCACTCGCGTCACGTCGTTGCTGCTGCTGCGGTACACCGATCTGGCGCGGAGCGGAGATGGTTGGGCGGGCGGTGGTCTTCTTGCGGCGGAGGGAGATGCCCTTGCTGCCCTTTTCGTCCGACATGGCCGTGATATCTCGTCTCTTCTCTTCTTTTCTCTTCTCACCACTTGTCCATGCAAGAAGGGGGTGTCAGTAGGGACATCGATATAGCATAGTACTACTGATCAATCTAATGGAGCCACGTGCAATGCTGTCACCGCGGCCCAAGCTTCGTCGCTACATCAGATTCACCTCCGAAGTTGTTGAAGCTCGCCAATAAATGTTCCGCATAGAACCCTCCCATTAACTAGACACTTCACCACAACCCTCCAGCATCAAACGGACATTCACATCACAGTCGCCAATACTCCACCAACCCATCAATCCTACTGAGACACATCCCACCATGGCCTCCACAATCCCCTCCAACCAAATCTCCTACACCACCCTCGCCCTCGCCTCCGCCGGCCTCCTCACAACCGGCTGCCTAGCCTACGCCCTCTACTTCGACTACCGCCGACGCAACGACCTCGAATTCCGCAAACACCTCCGCAAACAACACAAGAGAGTATCTAAAACCATTGAACAGGAAGCCAAGGCCAACGAACAAGGGCAGAAGGACAAGATCCGTCGCGTAGTCGAAGATGCGAACGAGGAAGGGTTCCCTAAAGATCCAGAGGAGACGGAGGGATATTTCATGCAGGAGGTTGCGAGAGGAGAGGGCATGTGCACCGATGGATCTGACCCCGTGGATGCGGCCTTGTGTTTCTACAAGGCATTGAAGGTTTATCCACAACCGAGGGAGTTGATCAGCATTTATGACAAGACGGTTCCTAAGGTTAGCGATGGCATCTTGTCCGACATGTTCAGGGGCGATGAATGTCTTGCTAACATGTTTTCCAGCCCATTCTTGATATTCTGGCTGAGATGATCGCCGTTGACCCAAATATCAGTGTCTCTGGCTCAAGCTCCGATGCTGGACATCCTACTGTGGAGTAAAGGCTGCCCCCACGAGGACCTCAGGAGAGTCGAGGGAAGAACGTACGAGAGGCTTTCATTACTAGGCTATTTTTGAAGGCAGCGGGTACATGGATGGAACGGACGGATGCATAGGAGAGGCGCATAATGCTAGCGGGCGCTGGATCGTTATGCTGGGACAGATATCTTATCTTATCTCATCTCACCAGCTGTGTGTATAAAATTGTATATTGATACTCTGAAGGCTTCCTCGACTGTGCAGGAACTACTGTACGAGATATCTTACAAACGTAGAACAGTCCTGACTCGCTCCGTTGGTAACAGGACACGCATGCATACTGAACATGCATGATCCTGGCAAAACGCAGCAGACGGCATACTCTGGTTCAGGCATTGCTGACTACACTTAAGCACACAGACGATCCAAACTATCATAGCTACGGTTTTTTTCTGGCAGATGGACTTATATCGATCAAGGGTACCATCGACGAGTGCTTCCAGTGACGAGTCGCCGTACGGGACTATTGTCTGTGAATGAGTACATGCTTTCCATTCACCAGCAACAAGCCGCGAGACAACCTCCAAAGCACTTCGGAACAAGCAGCCCACCCTCTCACATAGCTCAGCCATCAACATGCACACATCATCTCAAACACAACAGTCAGCAAACATGACCTTCGCCCGGGGAGTCCACGCCCTACCTCGCGAGCTCTTCGACATATTCTACGACCACGTCTTCGCCGTGCCAGAGAAGGATGCACGCATCATCACAGCAGCACACAGGCCACCACCAACGCTACAAGTCGACCGACGCTCCCGAGAATCTTGCGCAAAAGCCTATTACGGCTGTGCAATCGTCTTCTAGGTAGATGTACCAGTCTCACGTGCCATCGAATGGATCGTCTGCTTACCGAAGCACCACTGCGCCATGATCAGGCAGCTACATATCAGCGACGGTACCGGTGCGCGCTTCACGCTGCTGTCGAAGTGGCGATCGTCCTATTCTATGGTCGCAAACGATTCGGCGCGTTCGGGGGTCCTGAGGACGCTTAACCAGCGAGGCGTCCATTTTGCTGGGACGATGCTGGAAGTCATTTCGACGGACGCTTTGGAGTGGGAAGGTGTGAATGCTGTGGACATGTTGTTCTGACCGTATGACTGGCTTTGCTTCGTAGGACACGCTTCGCTACCCTACTGTAGGTGCGAGTGCTGGTAATAAATGTTGAAGGGCAAGTCTTGACGGCAAGTTGATATTGCTGGACAAAACGATCTCCTACACATACGACGCAGCGGATGGTGTAGCTGCAATCGGAAGTTGGCCTGGCGATCATGTTGGTTCCTTCTATCATTGTAGCATCCTTTATGGGAACAGTACAGGCATAATATATTCGTCCGGGGAGTCTGGCAAGAGCAGGGCAGTCTTCGTTCTCATTTCGTTGTGACATTCGCCACTTCTAAAGCCTTCCAATGTGGTCACGAGACACAAGCTCTGTGGACTCGACAAGCCGACTGTGAGTCCTCGATGTCACTCCAAGCCAGCTTCGAGGTCCTGCCGTTCGACTGTGATGAACGTGGCAATACACGACCGCCATCTCAAGTCAATCGAATTCATTCCCATTTGGTTCCCTTCAGCCTCTGCATAAGGTACTCGACCTCCACGATCTTCGTCAAGGGGATAACATGATCCTTGTACATTGCCACCACAGCATCAACATTAATCTTCCGTGGCGCCTCAGCGTCCATATTCGAGTCCACACCATACATCTCTGCCTTCAACCTCAGCCTCTCCAGGACTTTCTTCTCGACCTTCAAATCAGTGATACCCTCGTCAATGCCTTTTCGATCCTCTGCCTTGATCAGCCGCACGAAACGTTCTTCTTCCTTGACGAATTTGCTCTCCGCCACGAATTTGCCAAAGTGGATTCGACGAGAAAGTGATTGTAGACATGATACATCCGCGGTAGCAGCCGAGCCATAATTCTCTTGCGCTTCTGGCCGCTCTTCTCTCCCCACATCGGCACAGACACCAGGTAGAACATCATCAACATAACGTCGTTTCAGCTCATCGGTGACGCAAACGTCGTTCTCCCATAATACCTTCGGGTACTTCAATGGCGGCAGCACAAGCTCTGACATAGCGTCCGGGAAGAAAGGATACTCATCCGGCGATTGGTAGCGTCGGATCTTGGATTGCACTTCTTCTTGGCTGCGGAGCACCCAGTCCATGAAAGATAAGTCGGAAGAAGAGCCAGCTATTGGGATGGCGCCGGGTTTGTAGATTGTGCTGTTGAGAGGGAATTGAGCTCGTTCTATCATGTGGAAGAGGACCGTGTCTTCTAGTCGTATCAACTGGTAGCGAATATGTGGTAGTGACAGAGCGCGGCCAGGGTCGGAGAGGTCGATTGCTGCGTCCATAGTCGTGGAGTTGGTTGTATGGCCTGTCCGTGGAGCTTTTAAGTTGAAAATCCTATGCTGGTCTGGTCTGATGTGTACCTGGGTCTGAAGTTGTCCAGACGTCGATCAATATCACTGCATGCAGATTCGTGGTTGTTGATGGGTAGGGCTGGAGGTAAGTGGAGCCAATGCACGTCACTCGATCGGCTGCCTCTCTCCGAACCACCTCCGCGGTCTGCACGCGACAGTAAACAGACATATCGTTTCAGTACTGGAGAATCGAGCTTCACTGCTATGGAAAAGTGACGTTCCTGGAGGTCTTGACTAGCTGCATTGTAACGAAGATACGAGTGCATGATCACAAGGGTATAGTGCCCGACTGTTGGTCTGACAGGGACGACACCGATACCATGTCCCATCGTGGTCGAAGCACATCGCCCCGTCGTACGACACAACCCGGCCACAGCAGACAAGGATCGAACGACGAGAATATCTTCGACACTCGACAGATCGAGGCGTTTGGCCGGACAGTGCAAGCTACGGCGAGCCAATTAATCTCTGCCAACTTCCCGAACGGTGAACAGAATGGTCCGGACTCTTACCGAAGTGCTCTGACATCTGTGCAAAGACAACTGCGGCGGCCGCTCATACAGAGAAGTGTATTCAGCTTCACGCAACAGTCACCGCGGGAGCTATTACGGGCCAAGTTCAGCACCACGGAGGTCGAGCACCGAGCATTGAGTTATATACCCCAGGAGCTGATCAGGGCCGCTCCAGCCGGTCAGTCGCCTTTCAGCTTGTTTGAAGGCTTCAAGGCGAGTTTACCGGAGTCGGACGATAACAGCAGAGGCGGCAGACGGAAAGCCTACGGCAGACATGGCAGCAAACTGCTCGAAGGGCCAGAGGACCACAAAGGTCCACCTCAGCTGGTAAAGATGAAGAAAGCGCGAGATAAGCTTGATCATCAACTCGAGATGATGGGTATAAGGAAGACGATGTGTGCTGGCGAAATACGAGAAATTGATGCTAAGATCGCAAACATGAATACTATGCGAAAAGTGGTGCTGGAAAGACTCGCCGGTCTCGAGCAGGAGGAGAATGACATGGAGCAGGAGATTGGTGAGCTTTCTGAGCGATTGGCTGAGATGCAAGAACAGTTAGAGGATGAAGCGGTGTTGGCTACGCAAAGTCCATCCTTAGCAGCAGAGGGCGAGGCAGCGAGGCATGAAGTTGAGAGGAAGTTGGAGGAGGATGAGGATGATGCGGAGCCGGATGCTGGTTTCATGTCAGAGAGTATATATGGCAAGCTGCCAAAGACACAAGAATCGCCTAAGTCGAAGAAGAGGAGAGGCATGCCGAAGCGCACTATCTCGATGCCCGTGCTTCACGAGCATATGGAGCCTGGATCGCGTATACGAGAGGTGCAAGCCCATAACGATACAATCACAGCCATGGACTTCGATGCACCTTTCGGCACCCTGGTCACAGCAGCGCTAGACGATACTGTCCGGGTCTGGGATCTCAACGCTGGCAGATGCATGGGTATGCTTGAAGGCCATTTGAGCAGTGTACGATGTCTGCAGGTCGAAGACAATCTTGTCGCTACGGGTAGCATGGACGCCAGTATTCGACTCTGGGACCTCAGCCAGGCAGACTATACTCCTCAGCAAGCAGCAGCTGGAAACAATATCAATGATAAGCCTGCAAGCGCTGAAGACGTGGAGGGTGACGATGGCAGCGATGGTGCTCTGTTCACACCTGCGGCTTCAGTAGCAGATCTATCAGCCCAGCCGCCTCCTCCAGAACCACATGGCAATGCCATGGCAGACTGCCATATGTTCACACTTTCCGCTCACGTCGCTGAGATTACAGCTCTCAACTTCCGCGGCAACACACTAGTCTCTGGCTCCGCAGACAAGACACTACGACAATGGGATCTGGAAAAGGGTCGTTGCGTCCAGACACTAGACGTATTGTGGGCAGCCGCTCAAGCATCGGCTATAAATCCCACAGCAGCCACTCCTACCAACACAACTGCAGACAATGGCGCCGGCTGGTGGAAGTCAGGCGCTGGTCGCTTACGTTCCGGCGAAGCACAAGCCGAAGCAGATTTTGTGGGTGCCGTGCAGGTCTTTGATGCTGCTCTAGCTTGCGGTACCGCGGACGGCATGGTGAGATTGTGGGATCTGAGGAGTGGTATGGTACATAGAAGCTTAGTCGGCCATACCGGGCCTGTGACTGCGCTGCAGTTTGATGACGTGTATCTTGTTACTGGTAGTCGGGATAGGAGTATACGAGTAAGTGAGAGGAGCGTCGAGTGGCATACGGACTCTGCTGATCATATCAACCACAGATATGGGACCTACGAACAGGAACCATCCACGATGCTTTCGCCTACGACAACCCGATTTCATCTATGCAATTCGATGCTCGTCGGATTATCGCCGCGGCTGGCGAGGATGTGGTCAAAGTGTACGATAAAGCTGATGGAAGGCAATGGGACTGTGGCGCTGGTGCCACTGCTGCGGAAACCGAGTCCAAGCCTTCGATAGTGGAGCGGGTGAGGATCAAGGATGGGTACACGGTTGAAGGTAGACGGGATGGTGTTGTCGGTGTATGGAGCTGTTGAGGTGGCCTGCAAGTGTATACGTACCTGATTGAGCGTTTCGCGAGGCGCTTGGTGCTGTGGCGATGTGTATGTTCGACTGCTGTACATCAGAAATGTTCAAGTGACATGGTCCACTCCTAGATATGAGCGTTTCATATGATTGTGCTTGACAAGCGTTGGCGCAGTCCACATTGTGCTAGGGCCGGCTGAAGGATACGTTCACTGGTCGAAGCACATATATGGCAACCACGGTCTCGTCAATGCTTCTTTACTTTCTCGGCCATGTCTTCCCACGCGTGTGCATGGTCTCTTGCTTGATACTGCGGTCTTAGACTATGCGCTTAGCTGTGCTAAAGGATACTCCCACTGGTGAGGCGAGTCACCAAGCCAGTGACGATATTATTCTGGGATGAGGTCCGGCGCCGACTTCTAGCGTTGACCTTGCACAGATCAGTCGTGGTGCCGAAGGAATGGTTTAGAATGTGATAGCATGACACTGATGCAGTGTAGCCTCGCGCTTGTGTTGGACTAAGGGGTACAACCATTAGCTCTACGAAGCCTGGCAGCCTTGTTGGCATGGTCGACCTCCTAGCCTGGCGACTGTGGCGGAGGGAGGCGCGGACTTCAGCTGTGCCGCAACCAGGCATTGTTCGGGCAATGGCAAGTGGCCATCTTGTCACTCTTACTGACGTGGGCACTCTTTATTATGCTTGATGATGCCCATGCTCCGAAACCGAGTAACCTCTAGTTGAACGGAGTGCATCGTAAGGCAATGGACCATGTTTATCGTCGACTGATCACGTTCAGCGAGTGTGAAGAAGCTACTAAAACCTCGCTAGCAAGTACAGCCGCAAGTACAGCCACTACATCATCCAATGCCAGACCACCCTAAGCAGCTTTGACAAAGTCCAAAAGCTCAGGCGAGTGGGAAACAGGTGGCAAGTCTCACTAGCAAAGTCGCTAGACAAGGCGCCAAAACATGCCCTAGGTGAGTCTGACGAAGCAGCCAAGCTCATAAGCTAAAACCAAGCTGCTAAGGAGGAAAATGGTTCCAACTATCGTCATCCGAATCCATGTTAAACTAGAAAACGCTACCTAATGTATCGATCGCGCGGCGCTTGTCTTGTCATGTTCTGGTGTGCTTGCAAGCCCGACACCAGTGAAGTGAGCTCCGGTCGGACACCGGCGATGAGTCCGCGGGCAGGGTCATGTGACGCTCACATAACAGCTCAGCCCGCTCATTCGAAGCCACAGAACGAGTGAAGACATCCTGTCTAAAGACCATCGTCATCGACCAACAGGGACTCATCACCCCATTCTGCGTAGTGAGGACATTCTCTGATTTGAAGGTAGAGTCGGAGAATTGTATGCACTGTGAGCAAAGTCTACGAGGCCCTCCCAGCGTCGCAACAACAAAAACAGACACTTTACCTCTTGAAATGTCATACATACACTCTTGAGAGTGCAGATGCTGCCAAATTTGCCCACTGCTACCCAGCAATGCTGTCGTCTGGTTCATAGTACGGATAATTCATGAATTTGCTAGGATGATTCACGACTCTCACGAGTCGAGCGTTGTCGATGAACGTTGCAGACCGCTGTCCGATCACATATGGCTGATGCAGGAGACAAGGTTTCATGTACTGGTAACTGCCTTTACATGCGTAGAGTCGAGGCTGCGGTGCACCGGGCTCCAAACTTACGAGGGCGCTGCTGCAGGTTGGCACCCAGACTACAGCAATTGTCTCAGGGATTACCTTGTACCTCTTGATGGACTGAACAATTCTCCGACGTGTTCTCGTGCTGCAGATTGCGGTTTTGGTCTCAACATCCCAAATCTGCATGCCTCGCGATGGTGACTTCTGGCCGGATCGTAGGTCAAAAGACTAGCTGGAGAAGCACTGATAATGATCGCTCGGTCCGATCACGTGGTCGTTCGGCCGTTTGAAGCTTGTGCGTTAGCTTTCCCTCACTGCAGATTCTTGGCAACAATAGGAGTCATGGCTGAAGTCAAAAGCGAGGGTAGATGCCGAAGGAGATCTGCTTTGGGCAAGTACGTCGGAATCTGCAGACAGTCCCAAGCCGTGGGATCTTCCATATGGTTATGTTGTGGGTATCCTCATCAGATGCAGGACTGGGACCACCGAAGAATTGAATTCGCCTCGTTTCTATGGCTCTACAAACTCATAACGATCGTCAGGCGATTTGGTTCCAGGTCAGCCTTGCTCAGAGCACGCTGAAGAGTTAATCCTACCTCTGATGCATTTGCTAGTGGAGATGGCGGCCTGACATAGGCTCAAAGGCGAGAAGCAAGACCAATTGGCTGCATTGGCAACGCCGATTTTGGTGTTGTCATCGTGTTCGATCGTGGATATGTATCGTGTCGCGGCCCAGTCCACGCATGCCGAGCGTGGGACTGTCGACATATAAATGTTCGTCAGCCCTGGGCCATGGCTGTGAAGCACGAGAAAATGAAATGCAGATCCATGTCGGTGGGCCTAAATTAAGCTCATGCGTACCGACGGAAGTCTCCTATTACTCCTAGCGCGCTGTTGTAATTTGATACACGGGTTCGCGCATAGGAGGGTGATCCTGTACTGCCAATGCGCTGTACGCCATCCCACGACGCATTCGAAGGTCGCCAGCTCGTCCCCGAGTCACGTCTGTGAGTGTTCGTTACAGCAGACCGAGATCCTGCGGCCAAGACAGAGCGCCGACCCTCCCCGTGACTAACTCACGAACAGGGCACCCATGCGACTTGCGAATCCATAATTCACTAAGCGACACGCGAAGAGCGATCTCCCGCATACAGTAATTACTGGACAACCAGGCACGCGTCAGCTGTAATATCAAATGCAAAGTGCCGGGAGCAGTACTATCACTCAGCTCGGCGTAAAAGCATCTGTGTAGACTTTTGTGTGCTGTTCTACCCCACCGACACCTTCACTTCGGCACATATCGCGAGCAAAGCCGGAAACAAGCAGGTACCGAGTCGTGCGTGGTGGTCTCGGCTGCGCTGCGCTAGATGCAGGGGAACGAGGGAGCACATGAAACCGCCGACGCGATGGAGACACAAACGCCTTCCTCGCCCACTCCAGCACCACCTCCGCCTCCGCCTGCCACGGCAGCTGCGATAACACCACGACCGACGTCCATGGCCGCGATGCATCGCTCGAAGCGGAGTTCGAGCCGCATCACTGATGCGACCTCGCGGTACAGCGACGACGAGGCCAAGACTGCCGTCAAAGTTGGTAGGTGGAGACGCTGATATTCTCGCGGCAGCAACTGAAACACTATACTGACTGGTGACACGAACAGCCGTCCGAGTGCGTCCGCCATTGTCGCCGAGCGACCCAGGATACAACCTCATACCACAGCGATTTCGAGAGTCCACTTGCGAAGTCCCGACACCCAACAACCTCTCGGTGCAGTCCCCACAAGGCAAGAAGCTGTTCGTTTTTGACCGCGTTTTCGACGAGAATACTTCGCAGGATGGCATATGGGATTACCTCAGCGAAAGCGTGTCCTCGTTCGTGCGAGGCTACAATGTCTCCATCATGGCATACGGCCAGTCAGGCGCTGGCAAATCGTACACCATGGGCACGTCAGGGCCCGAGGATCAAGGCGACACGGATGTTAAGGGTGTCGTGCCACGAGCAGCTGAAGCACTTTTTGAGAAGTTGAATGCTGGGTCGGCGAAGCACACAGGCTTACAGGCACCGAAGCGGTATTCAACGCAGGCTCTGCCTACGCTTGCAAGCATAGCGAAGGCAAATGGCGCAGCGAAGAATTGGGAGCTCAAGGCGACGTACGTGGAGATCTACAACGAACAACTGCGCGATCTACTGGTTCCCGAAGATGTAGCCTTGGCCGACCGCTCGCAGGTCACTATAAGAGAGGACACGAAGGGCCGGATACTGTTGACCGGGCTTAATCAGGTGCCGATTAACTCGGTGGATGACCTACTTCGCGCGCTGAACTTCGGCTCGGCCATCCGACAGACTGATGCTACTGCCATCAATGCACGATCCTCCAGATCACACGCTGTCTTTAGTCTGAATCTGGTACAGCGCAGACAGGCCGACGGGCAAAGCATGCAAACGCCACGACTTGATAAGCGCATGTCGATGCCGATTGACAGTGCCAGCGACGAGAATATGGTTACTATCGACAGTAAGCTACACTTTGTGGATCTGGCTGGCAGTGAGCGTCTGAAGAACACAGGAGCGACGGGCGAACGAGCAAAGGAGGGTATTAACATCAACCAAGGCTTAGCAAGCCTTGGCAAGGTCATCTCACAGCTGTCAAAGCAAGGCCATACCCACATCTCTTACCGCGACTCGAAGTTGACGCGCTTACTACAAGACTCTCTTGGCGGGAATGCTATCACCTTTGTGGTCGCGTGTGTGACACCTGCTGTCTTTCATCTCAACGAGACTTTGAACACTGTCACATATGCACAGCGCGCTCGAGCTATTCAAAGCCGCCCAGAAATCCAGCAGACTCATGAGGATGGCGATAAGCAGCTTGCCATCGAGAGGCTTCGGACTGAAGTATCCTTCTTACGCGATCAGCTCAAGCACGTGGATAGGTCAGAGACGCGCGAGCTCGTCAATGGTCGATCACGAGGACGAGAAGCAGAGTTGCAGACGGCACTCATGGACATGCAAGAGAGTTACACTGCCCTCAGCCAACGGCATGCCAAGCTCGTGTCTGATCTATCGAAGGCTCGCGATAACGAAGAGTCCGATACACACTGGTCAAATGAGACTCTTGGCGATCACGCGACGGAACGAATCAAGCGGTCGAGCTCTTTCGCAGAAGCCGTGGAGCAGATGGTGCTCGAGTACGAGAAGACCATCCGCAGCCTGGAGTCGTCGCTCACGAAGACAAGGTCAAACCTATCGAACAATGAAAGTAACCTAGTCGACAAGGATACACGAATCGCCTACATGGAGACGATCCAGCAGCAGTTGCAGACAAGGATTCAGAAAGCTATGGATCGCGAGCAGAACAATGAAGGCTACCTACGAGACCTCGAATCACGCATGGAGGGTTCCACTTCAGGTGAAGAGCGCAATGCAGCAATGATTATCGAGCTACGCCGTGAGCTTGCACGACTACATGAGAGCGAGGGCGGAGCTGAAGAGTATATTACGACACTGGAAGAACGCTTGGCCGAGGCGGAGCAAGATCAGGAAGCCATGCAGCACGAGCTCGACCGTCTCGAGCATGTAGTCGAAAGGCAGAGGAGTATCGGAAAGCTGGACAATCTGCTCGGCGAATTAGATGGTGTGAATCATAAGACCGGCGTCCCAGTCCCACCTGCCAAGAATCCGCAACGACAACATGTCAACGGCAATCGCGAGTCGTACGACCCATTCAGACCTCGCGCAGTGACTATGGACAGCGTCGCAACCACTACCGAGGACGATTTCACTGATGCTGAGACCGAGCAGATGGATGACAATCACGTCGAGCCAGATCATCACCAGTACCAAGCGCCTCATATCGTCGAGCGAGCGGATAACGTCGAGCATGAAGTGCGCGACCCTGCCCAGACAGAATTCATGGCAGATAAGGTGGAGAACCTCACCCAAGAGCTTTTCGACCTACGCTCCGATCATGAGACGAATCTGGTGGAATACGACAATCTGCAGCAGAAGTACCAAACTGCGCTCGAGACACTCGCCAAATTAGAGTACGGCAAAGAAACACCCAAATCCCTAGTTGCGCCAACACAGACTATGCCGCCATCTTTTTTAGCCGACGCGGGGATGAAGACAGAGGAGAAGGCAGGACAGCCTTCATCCTCGCGGTCGTTGTCGGCGGAATTGTCCTCGCATACGCGATCCTTGAGCACTACCGACGAGCCTTTGGAGAGGCGGCCATCAGGTATCAGCGATGAACTTTCTGTGCAGCACGATGTCACGGATGCGGATATTGACGCTACGGAAAGCAGTCCAAATGTCAATCGTGAGATGGAGCTGCTCAAGAGGCTGCACACCGAGAAGGAACTGTCTATGACTGAGCTTACCAACAACTATAAAAGCTTGGCTGCACGACATCAGGCGACATTGCAGCAGGTTGAGGACATGAAGCATGAGATCCATCGGTCGCATTACAGCTTCCGACCTGCTTCTCCGAGTCTTACCAAGCCTGTTCTTAGGAGGAAGTCGGACGACATACTTGGCTCAGACCGTGCTTCTCGGTCATTAGCCTCGCTCAAGAACATTGCTTTGGAGAATTTTGAGGAAGTCCCTGACACGAGGCAGAGCTTTGAGCTACATCTCAACAGTGTGATGACTGAGCTTCACGGCCGTACCGAGAAGTCGATGGCTCTCGAAGCTGAACTTGGCACGATGCGCAAGGAGCTCGAGGCGAAGCAGACGCTAGTAGCCGGACTGACGAGAGAACGTGCAAGCTTGACCGCATCCTCTGGCGTCGATTTCTCGGTGGTTGGCAGGATGCGAGAGCAGCTAGAGGAAAGCGAGCACCAAATTCGGTCACTTCACCAGCAGCATGCAAGCAGAGAGCAGGAGTTCCAGAGCCAGCTGGGTAGTCTGAAGGCAAGCCTCGCCGGACACCAAAAGGTCGTGACCGATCGAAGTGGTCAATTGCCGACTCCACTGGAAGAACGATTCGATCACGTACCTGGTGACTTCCCGGAAACGCCTTCCTTCGACACACCGACGATGGAGACTACCCGTGATCAAGCCATGGCCGGTGCTACGATCTCGAACATAGCTGGCCAGCGTGCCGACGAGATCTCCCGACTGCAAGGTGATCTTGCTGCCTGGGAGACACGGCACAACGACGCTGTGGGCTCGATGAAGCAGTCTGAAGCGAAACTTCTCGATACTATCGCGGAGCTTGAGGACTCGTTGCGTAGAGCTGAGCAAACAGCCCGCTCTGGTAAAAAGGAGCTTCCTCAGCTTCCCGGTGCCGCTGCTGTTAGTGCCAGTGTTGAAGAGGAGCGCTCCAAGCATAGAAAGATCGTGGACACCATGCAGAGGGAGCTCGACCAGCACAAGACCGCCGCAGGAGTCCACTCTACTAAACTCCAGCACCTGGAACAGTCATACTCCAGCATCATCCGTCAGGTTGATGACGATGCTAAGACTCGCGACCTGAGCGAGAAGGAGCTCGAGACTCATAAGAGTCTTGTGAACAATCTTGAGGGCCAGTTGAACGTACATAAGACGGCGGTCGCTATGCATCAGGATACACTCGAGAAGCTCCAGATCGGCCACAGCAAGGAACTTGAGGAGCTCAATAGTTCCGCAGCAGCTGCTGAGACACAGTCCAAGGAGCGTCAGGCACAGTTGGAGGAGCACCACTCGCTTGTCATCCAGAATATGGAGGCAGATCTATTGCACAGCCAGAAGACTATCTCTGACTTGCTACGCAATGCGTCCTCCGCGCTAGGCTACGAGACGGATCCGAAGCAGCTTCATGTTCAGATCAAGGGCTTGGTAGATGAAGGCAAGGAGCTTCACGGTAGGCACTTGAAGACGACCAACGACCTCAAAGCCGTGCAAGAGGAGCTGCAGAATGCAATGACTCATTCTGTGAGCCTTGAGAACAAGATCGGCGAGCTCAAGATGATTAACGAAGAAGCTCTGCTCAACCTGCAGAAGATCTCGGAAAAGGAAAAGAAGAGTGCTCGACTAGTAGAGGAGCTTGAGGAGCAGCTCAACAATAATTTCGACTCGCACCAGCAGACAAACCACAGGCTCTCCACCTTCCAGACAGAGACGTCGCATGCGCGTATGGAGCTGGAGAGGGAGTTGGAGGAGGCCAAGCTCCGAAACAATATGCTCGAGGTAAGTTTGATAAAGAGAATCAATAGTTATGGGCAAAACTGATAACTTGCAGCAACAGATGTCGACGCTTAAGCGCCACTCAATTACTTCGAACGCATCTGGTCCGACGTACAACCGCGAGTCGCTCTCGCCTGAAGCTGCCGCGATTGCACTCGCTCGCTCAGGCTCGCAGACTTCGATACGCAAGTCGGCAAATTCTTCAGCCATGCCTGCTCCACCGCCCTCGATACCGCTTCCGCCACTCCCTGGCACTTCGCCGTCTTTGACGGCCACACCACAGCTGCCCGGTATCGAGCGTGCGACCTCGCCCATCCAACGTATGACTTCGCCATCGCACGACTCTCGCCCTGATTCTCGCGACCATGCGAGGGATGCTTCGATGGTCCAGCTGCTTGAAGAACAAGAGGCACGTATTCGCACCATCGAAAAGCATCTGTTTGCCGAGAAGCAGCTCACTGCTACCCTCGAGGAGGCTTTGGTAGACCTGGAGACTTCAGCCAACCGCACAAAGTCAGATATGGACAGCTGGCGTAAGAAGTGCACTACACTAGAGGACGAGCTTGTGACACTGCACAAGGCCACCACAAATTCCCGTGCCAGCCTGCAAGCTGTCGAAGAGGAACGAGAGATGAGGATGCGAGCCGAACGAGCTCGTCAAGCGCTAGAGCAGCGCATGATGGAGCTCAACTCTAGCAAGAAGAAGAAGAAGAATGCGCTCAATTGCTTCTAGTATCTGCGTTTGAGCTTGCATTGCTTGTGTAAAATATTTTGCGTATTAGCGAGGATTGTGGGGGGGATTTCACTGGATTTTAAACAAGTCTAAGGAAATTATGAAATACGGGGAGGCACGGGTTGGGATAAACGGCCTCCTGCCGTGGTCGCTGCCGTGGTTTTACTTTGTTTGATCACTATACCCATTCGCGTCGGATATATGCTTAGTTGAGAATAATTGTACAGCACATGATCTATGAGCTCGCTACATTGATCATCGTGTGAGGTCTCGCCGCAGCATAGCTAGAATGCTTTCGGAGTTAATAGATCCCTCTGTGTTTGAAGCTGGTAATTGTTCGGCACTTGGCGCTGCTACATGGTCTTGTGCTTGGTAGTCCTTGGCGAGCATGAGACTTGCAGGGAGCTCATTCGTGTCCTCGTGCAGAACATATACTGTAGGGTACTCTTGCACAACGTGGCCATCAAGACACTTGGTCAATCTGCCCTTTCTGTTCAGTGGTATCACTACTCTTGCACTGCCAATGGTTGCAGGTTTCAGCAGATAGAAATGAAGAGTCTTCTCCGATCCAGACTTCTGCTGGTCGTCGTTGGGTGGGGGATCCAGAGCTGTTAGTGATGTCGGTTCATCCTCCTCAGTGTTACCATGAGATTCGGCTACCGGTCCATGCGATGGATCTGCGGTATCTGCAGGCTCTTGAGCCATCGAAGTTGCCGTGGAACCAGACGTGATCGAAGGCGGATCAATCTTCCGTTTCTTCTCTGCTCGCGGTATGTCTTGATGGCTCTCGGCCTTCCTTCGCTTGCCTAACTTTGATACAGAGAACAAGTCAGAGATCGAGTTGGCCTCGGGACAGTCGTGGTGCACTTCATGTTCGCCATCCGGGCCAATCCACTCCACGGTCCATAGGGCACGATGACTTTTTGTAGATCGAGTCGTGTTGTCTCGTTGTCTTTGTATGCCTTTCGGAGCTCGTTGGATCGTGATACGGTGCTCGGACAGATAGTTCTGCAGCTTGCTATCGCTCCGCCATCCACTTGCCACACCACGAAGGCTTGCATGTCCATCAGTGATACCACGGTCCTCGAGATCCTTGCTGGCATCCTCCACATGGCGCTCGATGCCCTTGAAGTAGTTGAAATCGCGGTCGAGACCTGTAGGCGTAGCCCACTGGGTCTTCTTCACATATGCGGCAGGATCACGCTTGCCACTGCAGGATGCTCGCTGTTGATGCTTCTTGTAGCATGGCAAGGAGCATGTCTGGGTCTCACATCTGGGACACTTGTACTTCGGTACTTCTACATAGCTGGGAACATGTTAGATCGCTACACATGACACGATTGGAAGAAAAATGCCGTGGGTCAGGACTCGGAGGAAAAATTTGATGTTTCTGGACCTACCAGATACTGCAGAGCTCCGAGAGCGATGTCTCTGCCATATGGCTATATGGTGCAATCAGCTCGTTCGTACTGCGCACGGTGAGTCTGCTAGTTCGCGAATGTAACTCCGCAGTCAGTAGGCATCGGTATGAGGAGCGATTCCTAGTTTGATTCTGATAGACACGAGTCGAATAACGTTCGGTCTTGCCAAGACTTGCCATGTTTCAAGTTCGGAGCGGGGATCCAGCCCGCATATGTACATGCACCTTCTCATGCATGTCGACTTGTGCCTGCGTACTCACGACATCAGCTCGTCATCATGAGTGGTGTACTATGAACACATCGTGTGGATTTTGTGGTTTCCGACAACCACGTTCTGTTTATATCAGTGCCGGTAAATTATCAACGGCTTATTATCCGACCGTTGGGTGACTGGAGAAACCCGCTTGTATTGCTACAGTGATGTAGTGAGCACACATGTGTCACCCTCCGACGCATCGTGGCTACCATCAGCAAACGCCTTGCGAGACATGACCAGTCTGATGCAGGGCTGCTATCACTATACCTTACTGGTGTATTATCGCAGCTGGTCTGCCGTTTCCTCCCCACTACACAAAGTGAACTAATGTCCACGATCATGCCAACGAAAACTCGGCACTGGGTATGTCTGAACATATCGTGGTCACATGTATTTCAATTCGAGACGCCGTTGTACACAATTCATGTGCAAGGAGCGATCTCATCCAGTTCGAAGCGAAATAATCGCCCCTTTTCACTGGATCATATTCGGGACATAGGGACATGATTTCCCGAGGCGGAGTTTGGCTGCCGCCTTGCGGCCGATCGTCCCAAAACCTCACAAGCCCTCGAAAGCAACTGCGGAGCCGTCTCATCGCTGTACGCATGCTCCTAGTAAGCTGGTGCGCAATCGCTCATCATTGCATGTTCGGATATACATTTGTATGATCCTTTCATAAAGCGATAGTTTGACTTCCACCTCTGGCAAGCCGGGCGAGCAATCTATCTCAAGTCCTGTCGAGATCCAGTCGGCATCGAGCCTTCGGATAGCGACAGGCGCTAATGCACAACCCGCAGAGGACACTAGCCAGACGAACAGGGACCATTCGAACAAGGTTACCGTACTATCTCTTCTGGGAGCGCACAAGGACCCGCGCTCAACTCTCACAGCATTGACACTATTCTTCCTCCTCTTCGCCCTCCATCTCTCTGGTGTCTCGTCCAGCCGAAGCGTCCCTCCTCCCACGACAGCTTCCATCGCTGCGTCGCGAATCAAGTGTGCGACTTGGTGTTGGCGCTGCTTGACAGACGACACCACGCATTGAAGTTCCGCTGAGCCCGCAGGAGAAGCGAGCCATTGGGCTTCAACAAAACTACGCAACACCACGAAGAGATTCCTGGATCACACCAAAGTTAGCTCAAGATGGCACCGTCTTTCACTTCTCGTCCTCGCTCTGGCGACTCTCGTCCCGTCAGTCGCGACGAAGAAAACCTCATCATCCCTAACCGCACGTCTTCGTTGCACTCCCGCATCGCGCAGCCCATGCCCGGAGCGATGAATCAACCGAAGCCAGGACAGCGTGCGCCGAAGACCTTGACTCATGCCTATATGGTATGCGGTGTTGGTCGCGAACCATCGCAATGGGTCAAGGCCCCTGTGCCGCCGCAAGGCAAGATTGGGCATATGAAGGGTGCTGTTGGACAGTTCTGGTTGCCGGAGATTCTCGGCAGCAGCCCAAGACTTGAACAAGACAACGAGATCGCGAGATCGTTGCATTCTGCCATGAGGGTGAGTGATAGTGTCCTGCCTTTGAATTGCTCGCAGCGTGCTAATACGATCAAAGGCGTGTTTCCCTCACGACGTCGAAATCTGCACCGGCAGCAGCCAACCACATTGCGTCCACCATGCATTCGTCCTCCAGCAAGACTCCTCGCATACACTTTATGGCATTGCTCTCCGCGTCTGGTCTCGCGCCGATGAGAAGCGAGCTGATACGATCCGTGATCTGCGCAAACGCACCGAGCCAGACTACTACGATACGCCTGGCGAGACATACTGGATCCCGTACTGCCTGAGCTTCCTGTCGCGTTATCCTCTATACAACCTGCTCGGCGATTATCTGCGTGGTATGTGGATCCACTGGAACAAGGCTACGAACCTATTCCACGCGGAAGAAGTGTCGCGCATTCTGAGCTTCCCGGCTCCAAGACTGAATGACTTGGTGCGCATCGATATGAAGGACTACGCGCTATGCTACCAGTTCCCATCGTCCCCAACTGGCTTCCAGAACTTCGCCATGTGGCCTCTGTTCTGCTGCTTGTCGATCCCCAACATCGTAGGTGTGCTAGAGGCCGCCGTGTCTCCAACACGCCGGCTGATTTTAATATCACACTACCCGGCCATGCTCACAGTCGCCGCCGAGACCGTGCGCTACATGGTTCGTGTGTACGAATGGAGTGGGCTGTACGTCCCAGTTGTGCACGCACGCCATGTCAAGGAGCTTGTCCAGGAGCCTGGCCCCTACATTATTGGCGTGACTGCGGAGTGTAGAACACTTTTCACGGCGCCGTCTGATGCACTCGTTGTCGATCTGGACCGCAACTTCGTGCTTACATCCAGCCCACCCACGGCATGGTCTGCCAAGCAACGTCAGAAGCTCATCAGCCGTATGACCGACTCGCTCAACGGCGATGTTTCCCCATCTGGCGTTCCACAACATCTCCGCTCTGCTTACGGGGGCGGCAAGCTCATTCCAGCTGGCCAAATCATCGTCATGCGTGGTGAGGTTGAGAGTGTCCAAGATCCTGGTTGGTGGAATCAGGAAGCCATGATGAAGGTCATGGACCACGCCTGCGAGAAGTTGGTATGACGAATATCCACAAGAATGAATCTGATATAAGCTAACACATCTCTAGGGTAAAAATACAGGCGTCAAAGCCGTTTTTGGCGGGGCTCAGAAGAAGCCTCTCATGACCAAGGTATCGATGCGTCACCTCAATGAGATTGTGCGCGAGCGAAACCAGTACTCTCGCGATGCTATGGAGGCGTGGCAGGATTTCATCAACCTCAAGGGCCGTATGGACACCGAGCTCACCAAGGTTTCGAAGCGCAACAACTTCTTGGTCGAAGAGCTTGAAAGCTGGAAGCAGCAATTCTTGAAGTTCCAGGCATTTGCTGAGCAGCTGACCAAGGAGACCAACGAGCTGAAAATCAAGATCGAAGGCCACAAGCGCGAGAACCGTAGACTCACGAGCCTGATCGACCAACAGAAGGACGATTCTGCCAGGCTTACTGTCCGTCTTGGTGGTACCGAGAAGCAAAGAGATGATGCTCTTGAGGCGCTTGTACTGCAGCAGGATATTGCAGAAGAGCTGGAGAGGGAGCGTAAGAGGAACAAAAAGGATCTGGGTGCTCTGCAGCACACGAACACTACGCTCTTGCGACAACGCGATGAGGCACAACGCGTGGTGCTGCATCTCCGCGCGCTTATCGATGGCCAGGCACACCACATGGAGCACATTGTGAAGACGCTCAACGACTCTCCCAATGGCGCAGTGTTCGCAGAAGGTGAAGAGGATGCGCCAGTCGAGTCAACGGCCGTCCCCGAGAAGGCTGAGAAGGACAAATCAGAGGTTGGGACAATCCGTGGCGTCGGTGGCATTGAGTCTGCTGCCTCCTCCCGTTCAAGCACAAGGCAGTCAAGCCGTCTCGACGAACGCGCATCCACTGCCATGGAGACCAGACTTCTCAGCAGTGCTGCTCGCAAGCGCTTCTCCGAGATGAGCATGACCGATGTCGCTGATCGTCACCTCCGTGACAAGACTGATGCCATTGCGTACATCATCCGCAACATCTCCGAGCAGTGCGCCGCTGCCGTGGAAGGCCTTGACCTGGCTCGTCGTGCTGACAGCGTCAGCACAGAGGGTGCTGAGGACGAGCGATCAGAGTCTGGCCGCAAGAGGCGTGGCAAGCGTGCCATGCGGAGCTCATTGGCCCCACAGTCCGAGGACGGTGAAGCCGAGCAGCAGTCGAACGGATCTGAGTCCGAGTACGGTGATGCGCAAAGTGAGAGCACTGGCTACCTTCACCCCAGCAAGCGCGGCTCGCATGTCCCTCCTACACCAGATCTCGTGCATGATAGAAGCTCTACCAGCATGAGTGTTGGCAGTGAGAGCACAGCGGCGACCCCTCAGCGCCATAGCCTGCAAACGCATTACAAAAGCCAGGAAGACATCCCAGAGATGCCCACTCGCATTGCCGAAGACGATGCCAGCCAGCCAGACGAGCTTCAGGAACCAGTCACCAAGTTCAGCCCACACGGCCTCGAGCACCGCCGCAGCAACCAGCCGCTTCGTAATGTCTAGGCTTAGACGACAGGTTTTCTACCATTGAGTATTGTTTTCGTTGACGGTCTTGCGAGGCGTTTCGAGGCGTCACCTGGGAAAGCACACCGGACGCATTGATCCATGATATATACCCCTTTTCAACTTGCTGCATACACTCCTTGAACGGCCTCTTGATGTAGACTTCTGGAAGAGGAATTTTGGTACGATGTTTGGTACAATCTTGGTCGAACTATGCTTGGTGAAAGTTTCATATGTATTGGGTGGGCCGGACAGAACGAGTTGTTGGTAGGCAACAGATATATGTTTGTATCATTAGTCAATATGTTACCCAAGGCGGAAGGCGCGAATCATCAGACTCATATCGCTCTTGCCTTGTTCGACTGCAAAGCCTTCACTCGCCTGACCGCTAATCAGACTTCATGCTTCGTCCAGGATCTCCACCTCGTCACCCTTTACACCGACATCACCGACACAACCTTCGAGGACCATCACCATGGACTACTCGCTGCGCTGCAACTCCCTCAAGTGTCGCACGCAACTAGAGGGTCGTGCGGTGGTTACGACTTGCAGCCACGTCTTCTGTCTTCCCTGCTCCGAGTCACTCGCTCTCGCCAACGTCAACACCAACACCAGAGTCTGTCCCGCATGTGAGACACAGTTGAGCAATCCCGATGACGCGGTTGTGACCACACTGAACCCTTCCGAGGACTACAAGACCAGTGTACTCAGTGGGCTGTCTCCTACGGTGATTATGGAGTGTGCTGGTCGCGCACTGTCGTTCTATAGCTACCAGACTGCGCAAGAGATGTATGCAGACATGATTGAACCTGATTGCTATATGCTAACAGGGTGTAGTATCTACCAAGAGTTTCTGGCCCGCAGTCTTACGGACAAATATGCGAATCTCAGTACGCAGATGGACAAGATCATCCACGATGCGAATTCAGAGATTGTCAGCCTACGAGACAAGCTGTCTGGTCTGTCAATGACTGCTACACACGTTGCATAGCTGCTGACACAAAGCCAGCGATGCATATCGAGCAGAAGAATTTGGAGCAGAAGAACTATGAGCTGAACAACGATATCAAGCTAAAGTCCAAGAACCACGAGCAGCTCAGCAAGCTTTACCAGTCCCTCAAGCGACAGCAGATGGCGCCTAGCCTTGAGCTGGCTGCTGAACACGACGCCGAACATGTCCTGCACACTGCGAATGCCGCGGGCCAGCGGAACGGCCAGGCGATGCATAGCAGAGGCAGCGCCGGCAGTGGTGGCAGTGGAGGATATAGTCGCACCATCCAAGCATGGGAGCAGCAGGGTAGAGGTGCTCGTCCTGCGTTGCAAACGTCTCGTAAGTCCTTCCAGCTCTTTCTTACTGATGCTCAAGCTGATGCTCGGTACAGATAGCGTTCCTGCAGGAGCCGTCCCGTCCACGCCATCTGGAATGCGCCATCGTATGCCGTCTATCTACACCAACAACGGAAATGCTATGAAAAACGTCATCGAGCGCGAGACGTACCACCCCGCGACTCCTCGCCACCATGCAATCAACGCCAACGACACAAACGGTCTCCGCAGCGTCAGTGGCTACGGCATGAGCGCTGGGATGCGAATGGGCCGCGGGCAGCAAGGACCTATCAGTCGGTCAGATCTGATGCGCTGAGCGTAACCATCACCCTACGCTCCAATATCGCATAGGGAGAACATACTTATGTGGCCGGCAATGTTGACAGGTCGCCCCACGATAGCAGATGCTTTAGCCATAATGTGTGGTGTGTTTCGCCAGGGCCACGGATTCGCAGGTCGTCGCACCGATGCTACTTTAAAGAACAAAGCCACTGCTTGGTGGAAGAGCTCTTCTTTGTGCCAAGCATTCCAGGAGACTTTGCTCATGCCGATATTACACAACAGCACTCTGATGCCGTAGCGTCTGGAAAAGCGTTGCCTGCTGCCACTGTTCATTGCTAATTCATCACAGTAAGCTAAAAACTGCTTTACATCCCGCGTCAGGACTCAAGATGTACGAGTTCTGTCTATAACTATAGCCAGGAGCGTACTGCAGTATACACTTGGCAACCCTTTCGCGTGCCAGCTTCGAAAATGCCCAGATCAACCAGATACCACGAAGAGGTCAGCCTAATCTGGACATACAGAGCCATTGTAGTGGTATAGCATTTCCCCATTGTTTCCTTCTTGTGGGTCAACTGAATTTCGCCTCTGTCTATCCGGATGCGGAAAATGGGAGATCTTAAGCACAAAGGCAGCAAAATCACACCTTGTGAGCATAGTCAGCGGTGATTCCTTCAGCTGCAAGCCCGTATTGCTGTACGTTGTAGATATCACTGTACATGCCCAGCGGCCTCCAGCCCTTTCTAGGAGACCTCAAAGCCTCATTATGACTCCTCCCACAGAACCGGCGCCGGTACACAACCCAGAGCGTCCTAATTCGTTGGCGACCAGACGAAACCAAAGCCCGGGACGACTCAAGGGGCCTACTGTCACCGCACAACCATCAGACGCCCGACCGCCACCTGCAGCTATCGACCATACCGAACAGCTCGACACTCTAACCAGCGACTCCGAAGTCGAGTCCGAGTCTGGTGGAGCAATGCACATGACCAGCAACGTCGAGGAACTCTTCAATAACCTGCCCAGCGCTTATATGCTTGAGGAGCAAGACGTCTTGGATCTGACAAGCCATCGGAAAGTGGATTCGCCATTGAAGACGTTGGAGTTCGAGGCGCTGTTGCAAGCCAAAGCTCCTGAGCTCCTGGAGCAGTGGAAGCAGGAACGGCAACTGATGTATGATGTTCAGGATATGTTGCAGAAGGAGTTGGAGAATAGTCGGCAGCTGAGAGAGCTGAACTTCATGCCTTTGCCCGACTCTAAGAAATTGTCTGAAAGTATGGGGCTAAGAAAAATTGCAGAGACCACAGGCCTAAAGTCACCATCATCCAGCAGCAAATCTTTTTCTTCTTCGCAGCGATATGTGCGGCACGAAGTCGACAGGATCGATCGCAGCGTAGGCTCCCCGACATCTCCGGGTCCATCACCCTTACGCACATCTTCCAGTCTGGTGGAGAGTGGTGCATACTTGCCCCGCCTCTTCGACGAGCAGAACTCCAAGACAGGAAGCCCGAAGACGCCTAAGTCGCCTATGGAGCTACGGCATGATGCCGACCTGAAGGCTCTGGAAGTGCAAGTCAAGCTCCGCCTTCTTCCAGCCATTGTGCTCCTTTCCAGTCCCAGCCTGGATAGCAAAGCTCTCCACGTAGCCTATGAGTCCGCGCGCTCGGCATGGTATCGTGCTCGCACGCGCGGCAAGGACAGGGAAAGTGCCGCGCTGATGGGGATGTGTGAGTACTACATCGGTCTGTGTAAACTCGCTCAAGCCGATCTGCAGGGCCTGAGGGATGGCGGGAGGGGGGCTGAGCAATGGTTTGCCAAGGCCTCTGTGAACGCGGAGGGTGTGTATCGGGAAGCTATATTGGCAGAGAAGGTGCTGGCGACGATCAGGAGAGCACAGAGGCCGGACTCGGCGTTGTCTGCTGCTATGAGCAGCAGACCTGGTACTGCGGATAGCGATTCCAGCAGACCAGGGACAGCGGACGGTAATTCCCGACCAGGCACCTCAGGCACCATTCAAAGTCTGCCAGACGATGAAGCCAAGCACACAACCTGGTGGGGCTGGAGAACAAGAATCAGGAATCTGCCTCGCGACCTCGCAGCAATCGGAATCCATGAAGTCGAAGAAGAAGGATCGGAGGCGGCGTCTCCTCCATTTAGTACACTCAACGCTAACGCCACTAATGCCATTGAAATGGACCACTCGCGACCTGATAGTGGCGGCCTAATAAAAAGTCCAAGCAAGCAGATCCAGGCCTCTGACATACGACGATTACAGCGCGGGACCCGGATCCCGACTTTCTCGTCCGAAGGCAGTGAGGTCTCAAAGGTGATCCAGAGGGTCGAGACGCCAGATTCGGGGTATGGCAAGGGCGGGCTCGGTGGGCTGAGGTTGGCGAACGCGAGTGCTGGTTCGGTTTCTAGCTCAAGTCACTCACCAGTGAAGCGCACAGCTACGACGACAATTCCGGCGGTAGACTCGTCCACGAAACAGACATCACCAGGCCTCATCCGCCTGCCGAGTTCGCCAGCGCAATCACCAGGTGGAACGCCAAAAGAGACACCAACAGAGATACCTTCTCCTGTGACTTCCCCGACTACATCGCATGCCAAGCGGAAGTCTGTGGCGTTTTCGCTGGCGGCGTTGGGGAGTCTTTCAACTTCTTCGCATAGTGCTCGGTCTTCTCCTCAGGCCTCGCCGAGGAGTATCGAGAGTGCTACAATCTTGGCTAGGAGGATGGGAAGAAGGATCTCTTCAATCACGACTGGGGCGCTAGTGGGAGATAGTTATCGGGATGCGGAGGAGGGAAGGAGTCCTTACCGGGCTACTTTCTCGGACGTCTCGGAGGAGGGAGCGAGGGAGAGGAGTAGGAAGAAGAGTGCGGAGGATATGGTATAGTCTGGTTTGTAGGTTGTGTAGTCAGCACATAGAAGTAATGTCCATGAAATCGTACATCGCTTTTATAACTTTAAGTCGTGTCGACAACCCTAGCTGCGATCGCTGTCCTGATCCGGAGGCGTAGCAGCGTATAGAAGTGAAAGCTGCCGCTGACTAGCGTTACTCCTCGAACTCCTCTGCGTGCTCGCGATCGGTCTTCCTTTGGTCGGACCAGATCCATTTCCCAGTAACGCGGTCCGCTCGTTCGAATCTTCTGCTCCAGCGATAGCACCGTCCACATCATCTACGCCGCCGTATACATCATCGCTGTCGCTCTCTTTATCTCCCAGCCGTCGCGTCCGGTAGTAATGGATCGCCAGTCCTAGAAGACAGGCTTGCAGGATACCAGTGACAATGTAGACGAGCCATGTACTCCAGCCCTCCCACCCCACCCTCTGCCATAGACTGAAAGCAAACAAGAAAGCTCCAGGGACTTGTATGAGCATCGTAATGACAGACAGGCTCTTCACGTCTTCCAAGCGGTAGGTGTACCAGATCTGAGGCACGTACTGCACCATGGCCAGCACACCAGCCACACCTCCTAGCAGATTCGCCCAGCCTTGTGTGTGGTGCGGCCAGGCTGCTACCAGAGCGACGGAGGTGATGCCGACGACGAGAAGCATGAGCAGAGTGAGTGAGCCGACGATGACGGCATCGCGGCGTTTCGGTGGAGGTGATGATGTGAGAGAGGCGGTGGAGGAGGACATGTCGAATTCAGGTGCAACGGGGAAGAAGATGAGGAAGAGCATGACACTGAATAGAATGTCAGCGTAATCTATGCATCGTTCTGAGGAGGGAGAACGCACATGAACATGAAACAAGACCACTGCAACCCAATCTGTCCCACGCCCAACAAGGCAGCTGCACAGGCCCCTCCATTGACTTCACGACAGCACTTGATATCTGCTCTACTGGCAGGTAGGGTCAAGATATTGCCGAGAGCGGCTATACTGCTCAGTCCGCCCAGCAACACCCACCATGGCGACAAGCCCTCGGAGGTATGGTTGAGTATGATCTTCGCATGCTGGGGGATGTAGGAGACGAGGATGCCAGCTAGGATGACAGCGGCGAGGGTGACTGTCGCGGCATCTGGGTGCTCGAGCGGGCGGCAGTGCTCGGAGATGGCGGATGTGATTTCCATTGTTTGGAGGAGTGTGGTAGATTTATTACATTGTCAAGTCAGCGTTCAATAGAAGATGATGTGGATGTTGATGGAATTGTTTGTCGCGTGCTCGTGATACATGTATGTACATATGATCATCGCTGCCGTGTCCTCGTTGCCAGGCACCAGCTCGTTCCTTCCCAGCTCTCCCCACACTTTCCCTGCAGAGCCGCTGGCGTCACTTGAGGAGCTGTTTCAGATCAACACTAGGATGTGGAAGGCACGCGATGAGATGGATTCGCGATCACTCAAGGCGTGAATATGGCTCAATATGTCCTCCCGAACGAAAGATGAGCGGCTAGAAAGTCTCCTGGCTCAAGCAGATGAAGCCTCGGCCGGCAATGAATTGGCCAAGGCCGCCACCATCTTGCGAGAGGCTGTGCAGCTCGATGCCGAGAATCCAGAGGTAAAGAAGCGATGGCTGAGACTTGCTCAACAGCAAGACAGTAATACCGGAGACCTCGATGCGTTGCGGAAGTATCTCGCTTCTGGACGGGACGAAGATGCCAAGACTGCTTTCCAGAATCTGCGATCGAAGCTGCTGACTGGGCATGATGCACATGATGCCTTCCAGCTACTCACGAGCAGCTCGGAATGTACGAAAGGAGATGGGAGTAACGCCACAGAATGGCAAACCCGTATCGACGACTTGACCTCGATCCTACTAGACCGCAATGTCGAAGTAAGGAAAATCGTGGTAGCAAAATTTATCGCCACGCCCACGGACATCTTCAGCCAACTCTACGGCATCGGCGACGGAGCCTTCAAGGCCGTCCTTCCAATAGTCCTCGACAAATCACTATGGCCGGACTCTTCGAAGCAGATTGCTGCTCAGCAAGATATCTTCCGCCTCTGCTCCGCTACCCTGATCGAAGCCGGCATCGAACGACCGGAACGTGCAATGCGAGCTATTACACGCCTACTCGCCGTCGCACCAGAGAACGTAGCATCCCTCCTTGACCAAGACGAGATAGACATCTTGCTTACTGATCTCGATATCAGGCTCGATCAAGCTTTGCGCCGTCAAGCTATGCTCGCTACGTCGAAGATGCTGGAAGTCACAAAGGAAAAGGGAGAGGAGTTCTTTGCTACTTTCGTTACGCGGAAAGTGGCGGGACAGACCAATGTTGATCTTATCCTGGCCTTCTCTGCCGCAGCAGCGGTGTTCCCGATCCTCCCTGCTGTTGCCGCGAAGCTGTTCTTAACAGACGGGTTTGTGCAGCAACTCGTGCCGAACCTCGAGAAGAATAGTGAAGAGGCAGCGCATGGTCGGCGTAAGAGTCAGACACTTGAGCAAGCTGCTCTTGAGCTCTTGAGCGCCGCATGCGTTGACAAGGCATGCCGGGAAGCTATCAAGCGGTACTGTTCGCACTGGCTGCAAGGACTGTCGGACGAGCGTCAGGGCCATCACAAAGCTCTTGCTTCCTTGATCTTAGCTAAGACCAGCGACGACTCGATCGAGGATGTCACGACCAAGCTCACTGGGCTGGTGATACACGGCGATGAGGAACGAGATCAAGCTGTCGAGGGTCTGGCATATACCTCCATGCAACCAAAAATCAAACAGCGCATTGCGGCAGACACGGCATTGCTGAAGTCGCTCGTCACTGCACTGAAGGAGCGCAAGACAGCCATGTTCGGATGTCTGACTGTCTTCAGCAACATCACCTCCTACAAAGCCGCCTTATCCGAAGAGCAGAAGAAAATGACACATCTACACGCCTATGCCAACTCCTCCAAACTCGCCCCCGATGATCCCTTGGACGATGAGAAGTACGTTACGGCCCGGTGCAAGAAACTGCTTGAAGCGAATGCTGTCTCAGCACTTGTGGCATCGTGCCAGCAGACCACCTCACCAAGCAATATAGCGCTGGTCGTCATGATACTGCTTCCTTTAGCTAAGGATCAGAAACACCGTCCCAAAATGGCTCAGCAAGGCGCTGTGAAACTGCTCTTGCAAATCCGAGACCGTACGAACAAGACAGATAAATCCACCTCCGAAGCCGCAACCATCGAGAAAACTGCTTCGCACGCCCTGGCTCGTCTCCTGATCTCAGTAAATCCACAGCACGTTTTCTCGTCTGGCTTGCCTGCCTCATCGGCCGTGGCTGCGCTCACACCGCTCCTCACTCTGGATCCCGAAAATGAGACCCGCGATCTCCTACCCACCTTCGAGGCCCTTCTGGCTCTCACAAATCTAGCCTCCATGTCCGACTCGACGGCTCGTGATCAAGTCATTCGCACAGCCTTCGCAGCAATCGAGGACCTACTCTTCTCGAGAAATACTCTCGTCCAACGCGGTTCGGTGGAGTTAGTATGTAATCTGATGGCTTCACCACACTGTATTGCTCTCTTTGCCGACGGCTCGCCGGACTCGAAACGCCGGCTTCTGATCCTGCTCGCTCTGGCGGATGTAGAGGATCTGGCTACGAGAAAAGCGGCTGGAGGCGCCTTTGCAGCGCTGACGGAGTGGGATGTTGCTGTTACGGCTGTGCTGGATGTTAAGGAGGGAAAGGGTATCAAGGCTTTGTTGGGAATGTGTGAGGATGAGAATTTGGAGGTGGTGCATAGGGGATTGGTATGTCTTGGGAACTTGGTCTCGGCGCCTGGTGAGGTTGGAGTGAGGGGGAAGAATGTTGTGAAGGAGGTGGATGGGGTGGGGAGAGTGAGAGAGGTGTTGAGGGGGGTGAAGGATATGCAGGTTCTTGGTGTTGGGGTCGAGGTCTTGAAAGCTTTGGGTTGATGGGCTGTAGCGTTGCTGCTTGGTGTTGACGTCTATTTGTTTCCCGTAACGTCACATTCTGCGACAAGTTTTGGGAAGAATGAGGTCTGATCATCTTGAGATTGGATGTTGATTTTTCCTCAGTGCGGACAAAGGTCATCTGGCCTTGCTAGCTTGGACTAAAGCATCGTGCTTCTTGGGGCTGGGATCTGGACCTTGCTGACAGAGCGTTCATGCAAGAATCTCACGATAGGAGATATGGTCCAGGACCGGGAGACGTGGAGTAAAGCATGGGGTTTTCATCGAGAGTTCTAAATAAGCGCACGCTGCTGGGTAGGGCTGCGAAGTGTATAATCTCCGATGCTTATGTGCAGCGGACTCCTGAATGCCGAATCTACCTGTCAGGCACCGCTGCCGGTGGTCTGACATATATCGGGCTTTGTTGGTAGATGGCGGGAGAAGATGACACGAAGTGTGGAGATGGCTGCAGCTGAATGGCTCACTGGACGTCCAATGCGGAGACTCCTGGCAAGCACGACGTCTGTCGCATTCGCTGCGGGACTTGTCCTGGAGAGCTGACGAGAAGTGCCACAGGAACAAGCGGAGGTAGGCGAGCTGCCCAGTTCGAGCCCTGGCTGCGGCGTGAGGTCAGTAGGTGGAAGTCGTAGGGTCGGCAAAGCATGAAGACGTCAGGTCCAATACTCATCACGGCACAGTATGACAACTGACATGGCTCGCTAACAACTCACAACAGCTGTAATATTGAGATCGTCAAGCAGCATATTAGAGGATGTAGATGTCCGATGCTTCCCATTGCCATTGCCACGTGCCTGTTCTCGTGCTCTGAGTCGTGGCCGCAGTGATGTCGCTTGCACCGAAAAGCTATGCCAGATACCATGGTACGGCTGTCTCGATCCGTACAAAGCCTGGAATATGGCGTGCTGGCTGGAGGGGCTGACAGCTGACGAAGAAGCCCTTTCATCTCCTTCGACGCATGCATGCGGCCTCGTTCCCTGCATTATTTTCGGGACAAAGATGAACACGCCTTCCTGATCTGGGTGAGGATGTTGGTACTTGAAAAAGAACATCCAAAGTACCATTTCCGTACCACTGCATCAACGCGAAACGCGATGCCGTCACCTGACGACTGGACAAAGCACGACCTGGCTGCCATGCTACTATTCCCATTCACTGAGTCCTTGGCCAACATGATTCTTGAAACGAGCAGCCACAATCTCACTCTCGACAGGCGTCGGTTGTGCAGTCAGCCCCGTTCCTGCGCCTGGCGGATGTCAGATTTGAGCTCAGCCTCCAAGCATTCGGCGCACCCATGTTAAGTACACATAAGCACCAGCCCAAACCCTTTTGTGTGCAACGCCATGCCGGATCTGTCAAATTCCTGTACACTCTGCATATTCTTGGAGATCGAAAACCTCCTATAGGTTCGCTTCTGTGAGAAGACTGCATTGGGAGGCATCCAGGCGGGCTGATCGAAGGTTGGACTCGCAGGGGTTTTGTGGTTTGTTACTCGATTTGGAACCTGATGGAGTTCGTATGCACTGTGATGTGGGACATGCGTGTGAGACGGCTTGTCGGTGGGCGACAATTTCGGCGTGGAATGCGCGGTCAGGTCGTACCTCCCACGACCACGTTCACTACCATTTGTTCACTGCCGGAGCTGAGGAGAAGCATATAAGGTCACGGTAGGTCTCATGTCACTGCTCTTGCATCATTCATAGCCACTTCGACTTCAACAGCAGCAAAAGCTCTTTGATCTTCCAGTATTTCTAATACCTTTCGAACGAAACACACCCTCCTTTTCACGGTCAACAAAGTAATAACATCAGCAAAATGCTGGGCTCATACATCGCCGCCGGTCTCGCTGGCGCCGCCGCCGTTTCTGCCACACCAGTGGCTCAATGGGGACCTCCTCATGGCTACAGCCCCTCGGGATCTCAAGGCTGGGGCGCTCCTAGCAACACTGCATCAGCTTCCAGCGCTGGCCAGACTCCCTTCACCTTCCCTCTGCCTAATGGCTTCCCTACCGTGAACAATGCCCTCCTTCACGACATTGCTGAGGCTGCTCATGGCAGTCTGCCAAACGCTCCTCTTGCCACTCACCTATCGGCTGGGTCTGTCACTATTTTCGAGGTGAGCTAAGATTATAGTCAGAAATATTGAATTGCAGTCACTGATTTCACAACCAGCTCATCGCCTTCAACGAGATCTTCGAGGTTGCCTTCTTCAGCTCACTCATCAACAACATCACTAATAACGTCCATGGCTTCGAGATCCCTAGCCAGGTCCTCCGCACCTACGTCCTCGATACCCTCACCGCCGTCCTTGCTCAGGAGGAGACTCATTTCTTGGGGGCAAACGGCATCTTGAACGCCTCTGGCAACGCTGGCATCGAGCCATGCAAGTACGTCTTCCCGACCGCCGACTTCGACTCCGCCATCGGCCTCGCCCGCACCTTCACCGATGTCGTCCTCGGTACGCTCCAGGACGCCCAGGCTGGTCTTGCCGCCAATGGCGACGCGGAGTACATCCCCCTCATCGGCTCCGTCGAGGGCCAAGAGGGCGAACAGAATGGCTACTACCGCTCGCTCCTCAGCCTCATCCCTTCCGCCGCTCCCTTCCTCACTCGCTCTGCTGCGCCCTTCGCCTTTTCAGCCTTGAACCAGAACTTCGTGGTCCCAGGCAGTTGCCCCGGCTCAGCCAACAACCTACTGTTCAAGTCTATCCCGGTCTTCGCTCCCCTCACGGTCGAGACCCAGAACATCCAGCTCAAGGACCAAGCCATCACCTTCTCTGTCAAGACCAACAGCAGCGACAGCGATATCGCCAGCTACAGCGTTGTCTTCATCAACCAGCAGAACGTGCCTGTCGTTGCACCGATCACCAACATCCACACCAATGGTGATGTGGTCACCTTTGATGCTTTTTACCCGGCTGCTACGCTCATCGCGGATGCTTTGACCATTGCTGCTGTTACTAAGAGCAAGGGCCCTTTTGCTTCTGTTCCTGATGTCGCCGCTGCGACCCTCTTCGGCCCTGGTCTGATTGAGATCAATTAGGATTGTGCATTTGATGCTACGGAAGATGCTACGTTAGGGAAAAAAATGGGATGGAGGCAGGGCGAGTGTAAATATCATATCTTATATAATCTACCGAAAGGCGCATGATTTTGCTCCGTGAGAATGTCATTACTGTCTGCTTGACTTGTCTGTCTCACTCGTCTTCATTACAAGCGTTTAGCAGTGCTCACTGTCAGCAATTTAGTTATCATCGTGTCGGTGAAAGGACGCGTCTTCATCTAAGCTCTTTTTAGCGCACCTCGGTTCCACTACCGAAAACTAGCGCGGTCCAAGCGCCGCAAGACCTGAACAAAAAGTTTACAGCCAATGCTCCACTCGATGGTTTTTCTTATGCAGCAACTTCGCTCTTGTCGTTGTACAGAAGAAGTGGCAAAGATGGCAGAACAGGAGACGGAGAGCATGATGGCTCTCGAGGTGAAGGACGGCAATGAGGCTGTTCGTTTCTGCGAAGGGCAGAGCTTTGGTGCTCATCGAAGTGTTGCCGGAGAACTGGTCTTCCAGACTGGTATGGTCGGTTACCCGGAGTCCATCACTGACCCTTCCTACCGCGGACAGATTCTCGTTGTCACCTTCCCGCTGGTAGGCAATTACGGTGTGCCCTCGCGAGAGGAGCGGGATCCCATCCTCAAGGACCTGCCAGCACATTTCGAGGCGGCCGAGATACATATTGCCGGTTTGATTGTCAGTACATATGCTGGCGAGTCTTACTCACATCACTTGGCTGAGTCCTCACTGGGCAAGTGGCTGAAGGAGCAGAATGTACCCGCCATCTGCGGTGTCGACACAAGAGCGTTGACGAAGCGGATACGCGAGCAAGGCAGCATGCTGGGACGACTCCTTATGCAGAACGGTACTGAGCATGTGCCTGAGAGTATGCCGACTGGTGCCATGACACCCATCGGTACCATGACACCAGCTCGAACGCCAATGCCTCAGCCCAATCTTCATGCTGTTAGTGGTCGGCTGGCGGTCAATGGGTCGAACGGAACGAACGGAAACGGAGCGAATGGGGGATACTTCGCCTCGAAGAAGCTAAAGGAGGTACCAACCTTCGAGGAGGTCGAGTGGTATAACCCTAACATCAGGAACCTGGTCATGGATGGTAAGCTTAACTTGCCTCACCATAGCCTTAGAGTGTCGAGTCTGACTCGCTTTGATAGTCTCTACATCCAAACCCAAAGTTTACAGCCCAAGTGCGTCCAGTGCGTTACATCATCCGTCTGGTAGACCTGTGCGTGTTGTATGTGTCGACGTTGGCCTGAAGTACAACCAGTTGCGATGTCTGGTGACTCGTGGTGTCGAGGTCGAGGTCGTGCCATGGGACTATGACTTCCCGAAGCTTGCTGGCAAGGAGTACGACGGTCTTTTCATCTCCAACGGACCTGGTGACCCTGCCATGATGGCCGACACGGTCAAACACATTCGCTCAGCTATGGACGAGGCACGAACACCCATCTTTGGTATATGTCTTGGTCACCAGCTGCTTGCTCGCGCTGCTGGTGCAGACACGCTGAAGATGAAGTTCGGCAATCGCGGTCACAACATCCCATGCACCAGCCTATTATCTGGCAAGTGCTATATCACCTCACAGAACCATGGTTTCGCAGTGGACGCCAACACACTGCCCAATGGCTGGAGCGAACTCTTTGTCAACGCAAACGATCAAAGCAACGAGGGTATTAGACATGTCAGCCGACCGTACTTCAGCGTGCAATTCCACCCTGAGAGTGCACCTGGACCTCGAGATACTGAGTTCCTGTTCGATGTCTTCATCAAGACTATCATGAACGCGGTTGAGGATCCTAAGATCATGCAACGCCCGGTCAGCTTCCCTGGTGGCGACGCCGCTGAGAATGCTGCTCTGCGGCCTAAGCTGTCGCCGAAGAAGGTTTTGGTGCTCGGTAGTGGTGGACTCAGTATCGGTCAGGCTGGCGAGTTCGACTACTCCGGCAGTCAAGCTATTAAAGCGCTCAAGGAAGAAGGCATCTATACCATCCTCATCAACCCCAACATTGCCACTATCCAAACCTCGAAGGGCCTGGCGGACAAGGTCTACTTCTTACCAGTTAATGCTGAATTCGTTCGTAAGGTCATCAAGCACGAGCGTCCGGATAGCATCTATGTCACTTTCGGTGGCCAGACCGCGCTGCAGGTTGGTATCCAGCTCAAGGATGAATTTGAAGATCTCGGTGTGGAGGTCCTTGGTACTTCGATCGATACTATCATCACCACGGAAGATCGCGAGCTCTTTGCACGCAGCATGGAGTCTATAGGTGCACCTTGTGCCAAGTCCAAATCTGCCAGCAACGTCCAAGAAGCACTTGAGGCTGTAGAAGGCATTGGCTATCCAGTCATCATTCGCGCTGCTTACGCTCTTGGTGGCCTGGGCAGTGGTTTCGCGGAGAACAAGGAGCAATTGCTCGACTTGTGCGGTAAAGCTTTCGCTGCGAGTCCACAGATCTTGATCGAGCGCAGTATGAAAGGCTGGAAGGAGATCGAGTACGAAGTCGTGCGTGATGCACACGACAATTGCATCACGGTGTGTAATATGGAGAACTTCGACCCGCTCGGCATTCACACTGGCGACTCGGTGGTTGTGGCTCCTTCGCAGACGCTGTCGGATGAGGACTACAACATGCTGAGGACGACTGCTGTGCGAGTCATTAGGCACTTGGGCGTTGTTGGCGAGTGCAACATCCAATATGCGCTGAACCCAGACAGCAGGGAGTACTGCATCATCGAGGTTAATGCACGTCTTTCGCGTTCTTCGGCACTGGCTTCAAAGGCTACTGGATATCCTTTGGCTTTCATCGCCGCTAAGCTGGGTCTCAACATCCCTCTCAACGAGATCAAGAACACCGTGACAAAGAAGACGGTGGCCTGCTTCGAGCCGTCTCTTGACTACGTGGTTGTCAAGATCCCGCGATGGGACCTGAAGAAGTTCACGCGTGTCTCAACACTTCTAGGCTCATCAATGAAGAGTGTTGGCGAAGTTATGGCTATTGGACGGACGTTCGAAGACGCCATCCAAAAGGCTATCCGCTCTGTCGACCCAAGCAACCTAGGCTTCAACGAGACTCCGGCGCTCATGTCTATTGATATCGACACAGAATTGCAGACGCCTTCCGACCAGCGCATGTTCGCTCTAGCGAACGCCATGTTCAACGGCTACTCCGTCGACAAGATCTGGGAGATGACCAAGATCGACAAGTGGTTCTTGTACCGTCTCAAGGGCCTCAGCGACTTCCGCAAATCCATGACTGATCTGGTGTCCAAGTACCACGTCGACGACATCCCACATGCTCTGTTCAAGCGTGCGAAGGAGCTTGGCTTCTCGGACAAGCAGCTGGCTACTTTCTTGGACAGTAACGAACAGCATGTTCGTCGTGCCAGGCTTGAGCATGGTATCATGCCGTTTGTCAAGCAGATCGATACTGTGGCCGCCGAGTTCCCTGCGTATACCAATTATCTGTATACGACGTTCAATGGCTCGGAGCACGATGTTACGTTCGAGGATCAAGGCGTCATGGTGCTTGGTTCTGGCGTCTACCGTATTGGATCTTCGGTCGAGTTCGACTGGTGCTCCGTCAGGGCTGTACGCACTCTCCGCGATGCTGGGATGAAGACAGTGATGGTGAATTTTAATCCGGAAACCGTCTCCACAGATTACGACGAAGCCGATCGACTGTATTTCGAGAAGTGAGTTGCATTTCATCCCCTCAGCGGCCTACCTACTAATATATTGAAACAGTATTACGCTCGAGACTATACTTGACATCTATCAGCTCGAGCGCTCCAGTGGCGTCATCTTGTCCATGGGAGGGCAGATTCCGAACAACATATCGCTACCATTGTACCGATCGAACGTCAAGATTTACGGCACATCTCCAGAGATGATCGACACGGCCGAGAATCGATACAAGTTTTCTCGCATGCTCGACCGCTTGGGTGTGGATCAACCAGCGTGGAAGGAATTGACGAGTGTGGAAGAAGCCAGGGCCTTCTGCAATAGAGTCGGCTACCCTGTGTTGGTCCGTCCATCCTATGTCCTCTCTGGAGCAGCTATGAATACAACGTATTCGGAACACGACCTTGGTGCATATTTGGCTCAAGCTGCCGAGGTGTCCAAGGATCACCCCGTTGTTATTACCAAATACATCGAGAACGCCAAGGAGATCGAGATGGACGCGGTCGCCCGTAATGGTACTATGATTGGCCACTTCGTGTCTGAGCACGTTGAGAACGCTGGTGTGCATTCTGGAGACGCCACATTGATCCTGCCACCTCAGGATCTGGATCCGGAGACAGTACGCAAGATCGAGGATGCGACACGAAAGATTGGAGACGCCCTTAACGTTACTGGTCCCTACAACATCCAATTCATTGCCAAGGACAACGAGATCAAGGTCATTGAGTGTAATGTTCGCGCTTCAAGATCTTTCCCTTTCGTCTCGAAAGTAATGGGTCTGGACCTGATTGCAATGGCCACGAAGGCGATGACTGGAATCCCAGTGCGAGAGTATCCGCCTCTCAACGTGCCTTCCGATTACGTTGCTGTCAAGGTCCCTCAATTCTCCTTCTCTCGTCTGTCTGGTGCTGACCCAGTCATGGGCGTGGAAATGGCTTCTACTGGTGAAGTGGCTTGCTTTGGTCGTACCAAGTACGAAGCCTACATTAAAGGCTTAATATCGACTGGCTTCAAGCTGCCCAAGAAGAACGTTCTTCTGTCCATCGGGTCATACAAAGATAAGGTCGAGATGCTTCCTTCAGTCGAGAAGCTGCACAAGATGGGCTACAAGTTGTACGCCACTGCTGGTACCGCTGACTTTTTGGAGGAGCACGGCATTTCTGTGCAATTCTTGGAGGCATTGCAGGATGAAGATCAGAGGCAAGAGTACTCGCTCACCCACGCTCTTGCCAACAACCTCATCGATCTGTACATTAATTTGCCATCGAGCAATAAGTTCAGGAGACCCGCCAACTACATGAGCAAAGGCTACCGCACTCGTCGTATGGCGGTGGACTACCAAACTCCTCTGGTCACCAACGTCAAGATTGCGAAGATCCTGATCGAGGGTATCTCGCGCAACTACGACTTCAATATCAGCAAGGTTGATTACATGACATTTGCGGACGTTCCGACCACAGAGACCGCCGCGATCGTACCACAGCCGCTACCATCGCAGACTCTAGACGATCTACTCAAGCAGTCGCCTCTCAAGGGCCAAGATATCGTCTCGGTCAAACAATTCTCCAAAGATGATCTACATCTGATCTTCACTGTGGCTGCAGAGATGCGCCTCGGTGTACAGCGTGATGGCTGCCTGGACGTACTGAAAGGTTGCGTCCTTTGCTTGATGTTCTTTGAGCCATCCACTCGGACTTCGTCTTCCTTCGATGCCGCCATGAAGCGTCTTGGCGGGCAATGCGTAATGATTAATGAGTCACACTCTAGCACACGCAAGGGGGAGTCACTCGAAGACACTATCCGAACCCTCGATCAGTACGGCGACGCTATCGTGTTGCGCCACCCAGACAATGACAGTGCAGAGGTCGCCGCCAAAGCTGCTGGCCATCCTATCATCAATGCTGGAAACGGTTCACGTGAGCATCCTACACAAGCCCTGCTCGACTTGTTCACGATTCGAGAGGAGTTGGGGACAGTCAACGGCCTGACGATTACCTTTACTGGTGATCTCAGATATGGTCGAACTGTGCACTCCTTGTGCGAGATTCTCAAGCACTACGATGTCACGATTCAGCTTGCTGCCGCGCCCTCGTTAGCACTGCCAACCAAAGTTCGATCGGCACTAGAGTCGCGCGGTCAACTAGGTGCAGAGTCAGATCGCTTGACACCAGAGATGGTTGCTAAGACTGATGTCCTCTATTGTACTCGTGTGCAGAAGGAGAGATTCGAAGATCCTGAACTCTACGAGACCGTCAAGGATCAAATGGTTGTCAATGCAAAGACGCTGAGGGATGCGAAGAAGAACATGATCGTTATGCACCCGCTGCCGAGGAATATGGAGTTGTCCAAGGAGGTAGATGACGATCCTCGAGCTGCATATTTCAGACAGGTAAGTCTTCTTTCCAAGCACCTTTGCGCGAATCGATACGCTGACTTGGACCTAGATGCGTTACGGTATGTTTGTGCGTATGGCTCTGCTTGCACTTGTTATGGAGACTACGTCGGTATAGAAGGGGATATAGGGGAAGTTTATGGCGAATGGTGTTCTCGAAAGTCGAATGTCACTATGTGTTTCAATAATGGTCCGTGGCCAACGAGTGATGCATCTGTTCCCGAGGCGTTTTGTATAGATTGCGCAGTGTGTGTGAAGATAGTGTATATTACATATAAGACTAGGTCGTCAAGACTAGGTCGTGTATCCGCATGGATAATCTGTCTTTCGTTCGATCTCGTTGTTTCGCTTGTGGCGCAGTCTGGGTCGAAGAGTTGCGCCGGGGATGCCAAGGAGCAAAAGGATCTAGGCGAGTACGGCGACTAGTGAACCTTGTAGACGATTAAGAGATCGCGGCGCGTATGTATCCACGGATGCCTTTGCATTATCAGAAGTTGCCTCCAGAGGTTGTGTTGGACGAGGAGGGTTGTCTGGACCGCAGAAGCTGTGCAACCAATGCTGCTCGGGAGGCCCCGGTTTCGATCGATTCGTGTACTGGTGGCGACGGTGCTGTGCACAATCCTTCTATGCCTCGCTGTACTACCAATATATCGGCATAAGACTAGACTTCACGTTCTCCAGCCGGACCTGTACCGATGGAGCACTGTAGGGCCTTCGCAGCATCTGCTGTTGCCTGACAAGATCTCAAGTTTCTGCCGGGCACAAGGTTTCCAGGCTTTCGACACTGGCCCTCCGGAGCGTAGGGTGTACGACTTGTTCCTGCTCTCTACTGAACTTGACTGGCTAGAGATCCGTCTACATACACTATCGCCATTTGTGGACTTCTTCGTCATAGTTGAAGCGAGAACGACATTTACCGGTCTTCCAAAACCAGCTTTCCTTGAAGAGAACTGGGAGAGGTTCGCGCCCTTCCACAACAAGATCATACACCGGGTGGTCGAGGATCCTGGTACGAGCATTGGCCTGCAGACCTGGAACCATGAAGACTATCTGAGAACGTCACTCTTCATGAAGACTTTTCCCGACCTGGTTGATACATGGCAGTCACCGCGCTGGGGTGATGTGCTTATCGTGAGCGACATGGACGAGATTCCGAAGCCTGAGACGCTGGTCGTGCTCCGAAAGTGCGATTTCCCAGATCGTCTTACATTGCGCAGCCACTTCTATTACTACAGCTTTCAATGGCTACATCGCGGCGAGCAGTGGCCACACCCGCAAGTGACAATTTACAAAGGTCTTCACGAGACCATACTCCCATCTGAGTTACGAAATGGCCTCACTCGGACTCATGGCTGGCTTTACCGAAACTACTTCCGGTCTTGGTGGCAAAAGGCAGACTTCTGGAATGCCGCATGGCACTGTTCGTCGTGCTTCAGCACTGTCAAAGAGATGCAGGCTAAGATGAGCAGTTTCAGCCACACTCCTTTGAATACTGCGGAAAATCGCGATGTCAAGACAATGATCGAACGAGTCAGGACTGGTCAGGACCTGTTTGGAAGGCAGCACGAGATCTATGATAAGGTCAAGGATAATCGGGACCTCCCAGCATATATCCAGCAGAACCGTGAGAGGTTCGGCTACCTGGTCGATAGGGATGGAAGCAATGCAGCTTTCATCGACGCTGACCCCAAGGAGTACCCACTGCTAGTGACGAAAAGCGAATCATGATTTGCTGAGAGGCATAGCTTGAAATTCGGCTATACGCGGCCTGCCACAGATTGCATCCTGGACTCCAACCCACCAGAGTGCGTATACACACCTTTCAAATCACCCAGCGATCGTCGCTGTATCCACTCCTGGCTCGTCATCTCGGGCTCGGGCTCATTGCTGTATGGCTGCTGATCGATCAAGCCGCCCTTCAACCTTCGCAGTATCACGGTATCTTCAGGCCGAGAGAAGTACACCAGACTGTTACGAGTAAGCCCATCTTGCGGTGATGGTGGCGGGACCACGCGATGCACATTCGATCGTAGTAGACCAGCTGTAAACTTGACCAGAGCATCACCTACGAAGAACGAATCAGCACGGTAACGATACGTTGCACGCATTTCGCCGCGGTGACCTACCAAGATTCACGACCAAGAGACCAGGCACAGGCTTAACGTACGTCCACTGGCCCGTACCGGGCAAGCGGATCTGTAAGCCGCCAAGCCAATTGGCCAAGATAGTCAGCGTGCCAAAGTCGGTATGCTCTCCTTGCCTCGCCGCTCCTTCGGTGAAAGGCTGCACAGCAGACTGATTGAAGCGTACATGGTCGCCTGATCTCTCACCGATCCGATGCAGGTTTGCAAGTGTTCCTATGGGAAGCTGAAGATGAACTTCGTAGTGCGTGAGCATGAGATCAATGGCTTCACGACAGTGGCCGGTGTACGATTGCAGCAGCGGCCAGTTGTCCTTGATTAGCTGAGGATGTGGCAAGGCTTTACAATTGCCAACGAAGTCGTCCTTGCGCATCTTTGGACTCTGTTAGCTTCGTCATTGTCAGGGCGATACCATAGTCAGTAGGGTAAAAGTACATTGTAGGATTCATTTCTCCTCTTGGTACCGTTATCGTCCTTAAGGTCGATATCACCATGACGATAGCCAAAGAAAGGATCGAGTTTCTCTCTCGCGACCTCTTCTTTCTCACCATTGCTGAGCTTGAAGAATTGCTTCTCGAGTTCATGGAGTTGCTCTGCTTCAGAGACCAGAGCATCTCCAAGCTTCGAACCCTCTGTGTTAAGGTAGAAGAACCCTAGATTTCTTGAGGCATCGAAGAAGGCTTGCGATTCTGGTCCATTGCTGTCTTCCAGCTTTCGTAGAGAGACTGATACTAGTGGTGCAGTCTCCACATCGGCGTCAGGGAAGGGAGGATAGCGCTGATGGGACGTTGTGGGAGCCATGGCTGTGTTCCACGTAGAGAGGTTGACAGCGCTCGAGGTTACAGTGCCTGTACGATTGCGAGTGAGATGTGTGGTGGCGTCAGCTGTAGGTAAGTAGAGCTCCCGACATCGGTTAGAACGGCATGTAGCTCCTCACTATGATCGAAGATCAATTGAGCCACTTACTTGCATGTTCGTAGCACTATTGCAGGATACATTGTAGGTGCGTAGAGCCGTAAAGGAACGTGCAACATAGTTGGAAGTGGATTGTACTCTGTACACAGACAATAGATTGTACAGAAGCTACAGCGCAAGCTTTCTGCATGGTATCAGGCCTCCATAGACATGCATGGTCTGCATCCTAGACCCCTTGGCCAGCCACCTCATCTTCTGCTTCCGCTACCTCCACCCTTTACCGCGGCTCGTCTGCTCTCCCGATCCCTCACTCTTTGCAGACTGGTCTTCACATCTCCCTTCTTGAAAGAGTCGACATCATAATAATTCGGCGAGATTTCAAGTAACCACTCCGGCTTCACAGCCGTGACAGTCCGGATATAGTTCTTGGACGTCAACACAAATTCGTTGTACACGACCCATTCCGAGTCCTGTCCCAATACCGTACTGGGATGCAGAAGAACGGACTGATCATCCTTGACGGTGACATAAGTCTTGCCGCTGCTTTCGCGCTTCGCGACTTGCATGAAGAATCCTGCGACGAGTGCTCGACGGATGTTCTCGTAGTACTTCTTGTCTTCGAATGGCGTGCTGACGAGCTCGACTTCCTCGCGCTCCATTATGCGCTTGAGCTGTAAACGAACATTGTCCGCCTGCTGTAGTGCTCGGAACGACAGGAAGTGGTCGTGACACCACTGCTTAGAGTTCTCTTGAGCAGATGGGGACTTGAAAGCGTGGTAGACATTCAGCATGGTTAGATGGTCGCCATCGGTGTGCGTAAAGAGCTCCTTCATCTCGTCGGCCCTCTTACGAGCCGCGGCTGGTCGGACGAAGACTTGTGGCACACTGAGTAGTGCAGTAAGTGAAAGAATCTCGTTGCTGCAGTAGAATTCGGGTGATGAGATGAGCATGACAGCCAGCGCAGGATCGAGTGGAAAGTCGGAGGCCAGCTTCCCAAGCGCGGTCAACTCGCCCTCGTCGTCTAGACATGCCAGGTAATTGAGCTCTTCTAACGCACGCATGAGCGTCTCGGGAGCCGGCGGATCCATCAAGTCGAAATGGACCAGATCGTCTATGCCAAGTTTCTTCAGCTCAAGCACGGTGCTAGCAAGATTCGAGCGAAGAATCTCTGGGTACGACTGGTCAATGAGCTCCTTCTTGAAAGCACCTTCGGTATACAACCGGAAGCATTTTCCAGGTCGTGTACGACCAGCACGACCAGCACGCTGCTGAGCGGAAGCCTTGCTGATCGGCGAAACGAGAAGAGACTCGACACGGATACGCGGATTGTACACCTTCTGTTTGCTGAAGCCGGGATCCACCACGTAGACGATACCATCGATGGTCAGGGATGTTTCTGCGATGTTTGTGGAGACGATAACTTTGCGGCCAGGTCGGCCACCGGGCTTGAAAGACGCTGGTGCGGCATCGAAAATACGTTGTTGTTGTGCCGGTGGCAGTGAACCATATAGCGGGTAGACTTTTAGAGGGCCAGCATCTGCTTCGCGTATCATGTCGTCGGCTTCAAGATTAATCTTACGGCAAGCGTCCTCGATTTCTTCTTCGCCAGTCAAGAATAGGAGAACGTCGCCTTCTGGCTCCGTAGCGTGGATTTGCAAGACGGTGCGTAGCGCTGCCTCAACATAATCACGTTCCGGCTCCGGTGTGTAGAAGATCTCGACGGGATGTGTTCGACCAGGTACAGCAAGTAGTGGTGCGTTGAGGAAATATTTCTGGAATTTCTGCGCATCAAGTGTTGCAGACATGATGATCAGCTTCAGATCAGGCCGTCTTGTGACCACCTCCTTCAGTAGTCCCATAAGGATATCGGTAGCCAGTGTACGTTCGTGAGCCTCGTCCAGGATGATCGTGCTGTATCGTGTGAGGTTATGATCGTTCATGGCCTCCCGCAACAGCATACCATCCGTCATGTACTTAAGGATAGTCTTCGGTCCGGTCATGTCCTCGAAACGGATGCTGTAACCGACCTCCTCGCCCAACGTCACATCCATCTCTTGTGCGACACGCTGAGCAACGGACATGGCAGCGACTCGACGAGGCTGAGTACAAGCAACCATCTTCGCTTGTGATTGTGGCAGATCATCGAATAGCACAAATTGGGGGATTTGTGTAGTCTTTCCGGAACCAGTCTCGCCGACGAAGACCAGAATCTGCGTCTTCTGGTACATGTCCAAGAATTCCTGCCTCTGCGCATGGACGGGCAGACCCCGTCGAGTCTTCAATATGCCAAAGTACCGGTCGGACAGTTGTGACTGGGGCTTGAAGTAGTTGTGTGGTCCATCCTCCGCCACCTTCGCATCCTTCGCAGTCGTCGCATGTCTCTTCAACTTCAGCCCATTACTGCTGCCACCATTCGAAAATCCGTTCAGACTTGCGCCATCGCTTATGGACACGCCAGAATCGTGTTGCGAATCGGTGTCGCCTCCGTACATATGCGCCAGATACGGGTTCTTGCGATCATTGTTCTCGTCGGTGGGCGCCATCTTGCGGCGCTTGAAGCGAGAGGTTTGCTGCTCTTCAGCCATTGTCTCTGCGCCGACGATTTGGTGAGGCGAAGGCAAAGGCTGCGAACTTCCGGGCGCACCAATTTTTGTAGAGCCGACCCTGCAGCGGCAGAAGTGTAACGAGTCATGCGTCAAAACATGCATGTGTGACTGAGGCACACGTGCATGCCAGCATTTTCCGTGCATCTTTGTCGCCCAGAGCTACTGTATTGTCAAGTGGTCTATAAAGTTGCGTATACGATCGCTTGGTGTTTGTTGAAGGTCGTAGACCACCGAAAAGACGTCATAGGCATGGCTGGCCCCGAGGATCCTCCCACCATACTGTTTGTTGGCCAACATGAAACGCAAAGGACAGAAGCCGTCACTCCAGAACTGTTGTATCGTGCCCAAAATTCTGGCTACGACCTTCTAACGGCTCCCATAACGACGTCTGCTTTCCAATCGCGGGTACTGGAGACACTGCAGGAATATGTCAAGATGCTCAATGCCTCCTCTGAACAGAAAGACGTCCCGTTGCCACTTCTCAACCCTCTCTCACCAGAAGATACCAACTTAGTTCCACTCGATAGTAACTCCTCGCTCATTGCAGTGACAAGCCCATGGATCGATCTGGCATCACATGACCCACTGATTGCTCATGTCAGCCGACAAGTATTCAATCTCGAGGTCGCATACGCAGCGTTCGTCGGCATCAACAACATCCTTATCCATGGTCCCATCAGCAGCTCAGGTACAATGCAATATGCTCGGACATTACTTGAAGGACTTGGCATGGGCCCCTACATCTCAATTAACGTGCTGCTACCCATGAGTGGCGAGCTAGAACAGGACATCAGCGCTGATGGAATACATCTCTCTGAATTGACCCGCCCAGAGTATGCTGAAGAAGTCGAGGACGTTGAAGAGGGTGAAGGCGAGACTGAAGTGTATGATGCTTGGGAGACATGGAACACGATCAGGACTGTGTGTAATTACAGCACAAAGCTTTCCATAGGTATGCAATACAATCTGCCACTGCAATTCATCTCCCGCTCTTTCCTGTCGCACGCTGCACTGATTCAATTCGAGGCGTGGTTAGCAAAGGTATCCGATTCTTTGCTGAATGGACCTATGCGCGACATACCCTTGACTAACTGCATCGTAGCCCTTGAGCTTCCTCGCCAGTTACCAGCTGTCAACCTCCAGTCTCGATGGTACTCTGAGCCCATACGGCTCCTTCCACTACCACGAACCAGCTTCTGGCGAAACGGCAAAGGCTTTCCTGTGCTTTCAAAACAGCACCAACAGTATCTGACTCAATTCTTGCGTCTTCGCTTTCCCCCTTGGGTCCTGCTGAGTGATGTCGGCGCGGTTCCATCATTATCCAACGAGGCAGCTGCACGCGCCAGCTCAGAACCTACGCCTGCGGAAGCAGCAGCGGACTCGAATGAACAGCCATTAGATCTAATACAGCACTTGAAGTACATGCGCCATTTGCAACAGTCACAGCCAACACGACCACCGATTGAACGTTTTGGGCAAGGCTACCAGGACTACATGCAATCGCCGCTGCAACCACTGACCGACAACCTCGAGTCCATCACGTATGAAGTCTTCGAGAAGGACCCGGTGAAGTACGAATGGTACGAGCGCGCTATCGCTCTTGCACTTAAGGACTTGCGTGAGAAGCTAGGCGAGCAGAGAAAGGTTGTTGTAGCCGTTGTAGGCGCTGGGAGAGGACCACTCGTCACGCGTGCCCTCCAAGCTAGTCGCAGTACCGGCATCGGAATACAATGCTACGCCGTTGAGAAGAACCCAAACGCACACGTCCTCCTCCAACATCGGAATGCCACAGACCCGCTCTGGAATAAGCAGGTCACAGTAGTCAAGTCAGATATGCGTACCTGGTCCGGCCCACCGACGATGGGAGGCAAGTCTGGCAAAGTCGACATCCTTGTCTCCGAACTCCTTGGCTCCTTCGCCGACAACGAACTCTCACCCGAGTGTCTGGACGGCGTACAGCACGTCCTCGACCCAAACCACGGTATTAACATACCGCAAAGCTACAGCGCGCACCTGACACCCATCGCCTCACCAAAATTGCACGGCGATCTACTCGGTCGTGCTTCGACAGATTTGAACATGACCATGGCCGAGAAGTGGGAGTTGCCGTATGTGGTGATGCTACACCAATTCGATTATCTCTCCACCGTCCAACCTTCAGCAGAAGATCCGCGGACACCTGTAGTACAAGAAGCATGGTCGTTCTGGCACCCGATCTCTACAAATATCCTCGATCTGGCAAAGTCGCGAGCAGATGGCCACATCGACGCCGGAGGCCATCTAGGTGGCGATGGCACGAACGAGCACAACTCGCGATCCTGCAAAGTGACATTCAGATGCGCGCACCGTGGGGTCTGTCACGGTATAGGAGGATACTTCGAGACAGTACTGTACAGCAGTCCCACGAGTGGACAGAAGATCGAGCTTTCCACGAATCCCGTCACGATGGCGGACAAGAGTAAGGATATGATCAGTTGGTTCCCGATCTTCTTTCCGTTGAAGACGCCAATCTATGTACCTGATGACGCGGAGATGGAGGTCAGTATGTGGAGGCAGACAGACGACAGGAAGGCGTGGTATGAGTGGATCGTTGACGTGTACATTCGTATGGGAAGCAGAAGGATGAAATTGGGTGGCTCGGACTTGCATTCGTGTCGGCGAAATGGATGTCTCATGTAGGACAGCAAAAAGTTCCACAAGTAGAAGTCTTGAAGATATCAGATCTGAGGTCACAAAAAGTCGCTCCCGCAATAGGCCCAGACGCCTTCGCTAATCGGTGTATCGTGACACGACCGACCTCAGGGTATCACCATAGTTGAGCAAAACAGAAGCGTACATATTCAGATCATGTCTTCCTGCGTCTGAACCTTATCGCACGTCCTCCCTGGGCAATCGACCCATTGCCCTTGTTCCTGCTCATCGTGCAAACAGGGCGAGACTCGTCCGAATGCATAGAAGCCAGCGCGAAGGAGTCAGTGTTGTGGCCGAAGTACAGCCAGATGCCATCTTGCGACATCTTGGCAGACAAAATGCCGATCGCACCATTCGAATGACTGTTCTTGACGCTTGGATGACCCATGAAATCCTTCTCGATAAAGCCTTTGAGCGCTTCGTCATCTGTCACGGTCTGGAATCCTCCGTTGGTAGCCTTGCGCGGTGGGCGGAGCAATCTTTCCGAACATTTGCTGGCAGCTTGCGTTGTCCCCATGTGCTCACCAGTCCCGCTCGTAACAGTAGCTATGCACTCGCGTCCTGAATCTTCGGCGTCATAAGGTATGACGGCCGCACCGATGCCAACCAGAGCGGCGGGACCAATCCGACCACGGTGCTTCATGCCGATACCGCCAGAAGACGCTGCGCACGCGATATTGCCGTACATGTCAATCGCAACTGCACCAACAGTGTCCGTAATGAGATCTTCGCCCATTTGCGCTCCGTCCTGTAATGGAATAGGTCGGGGCGGAGGAGGCCTGCCAGTAGACACGTCATGAAGGGGCATCGTAGTTTGTTGCGACTCCGGCATAGTTTGGTACAGACGCGTCGATCCTTGTAGACCAGAAAACGGACCGAAGCCTTGCTGTTGCGGCGCCTCCGTTGGCTGGCGTTCTCCACTTGCGTCACTCAAGCTAGACTCTCCGCCCGAAGATCCGTCTTGCCATCTTCCTGATGTTTGTACGATACGTTGTGTGTGCATCAGAGGGTGTGAGTAATTCCCGCCACTCAAGTCCATACTGGATGATGTCCGATGGTGCTGCCAGAACCCGTCCGCGAGTGATTCATATGCGTTGTCACCGCAGATAGCAGTGTTGCTGACCGTTCGCATTGTGCTATGTGGCGCCGAAGGCAAGTCGAAGTCGCTCATCCCTGGTGGACCATAAGGATCACTGCCTTCTATCGGTGTGTACAATGAGGCGCCTGTCGTGTCTTGGGCATCTGCCATCATCAGTGACGAGCTGGAGCGCGCTGGAGGCGAAGATGAGATTGGCAGTGGCAGATGAACATCTGAAGGTGGAGGAGATATTGGCTGCGCTTCGTTCCACACACTGGCTAGCATGGCGCGCGAATGTGCTGTCCGCATGCTTTCCTGATCGTCTTGGTTGTGCGCATAGGCTAGCAGGTCATTTTGTGATGGCGGTGGCGATAACCCATACCACTGACCCTCCTCAGCACGACTCTGAGCTTCAGCTTTTAGCAGATCGTTCTTCCACTTCCTCCACCGATCCCGAGCTGCTGGCGAGATGAGGTAGTCGATAGGCATGACTGGCATGTCATGTTCGTACGCGAAGTCGGTGGCACCTTGGCCCACTAAGAGGTTGGGTGGCACCCGTCGCAGAGATAAAGTCTGGGTTGTGTGGTCGAGGAGTAGCCGAGCGAGCGAAACAGGGTTCTTGATCTCTTTCATGATATCAGTAAGGATGAAGTGAGAATTGTAAGGTCGTGAAGATGCAACATACGTGCAACGGCACCAGCGCCGCCACTGCGGCCGAAATGATCAACAACAATAGCATCGCACTCCACCACACCGTCCATCGCGAGATTGCTGCCATAGCCTGCATTCGTGATCTCGCGGTCTTCGAGCACTTTGACCGCCATCTCAACGGCGTCCACAGCTGAGCCTCCCCCTCTCATCAATGCCATCGCGGCTTTTGCTGAACTGTGTACACATTAGCGGCAGCAACCCATCAAGGAAAAAGCACGATAATACTCATTGCATGCCGCCAGGTGGTATTGCTCGTTCTGTATACTGTGAAAGCCTGCTCCCGCATGGACAAAGATGCAAGCAATGTCGTTGCTCTTGCGAGCCCGCTTACTGCTGAACATCGTGCGATGTGCTTGTGGATGGAGCAGTACCTGATGAGACTCGTTTCTCAGGTATTTTTCAGGAGTGGCGTCTTGTTAGGATCGTGAAGTGGAGGATCTGAGGCTCGCCGTCTTGATGTGTCAGTATCACGGGTTGTATCAGAAGCACGTGCAGTGCGTCTTAGGCCTCACACGGCATGCTCTGGCTGAATGGCAGCGGCGGCGGCACTCCTGGTCACTGGATGAGGGAATGGTCAATGAGAGTGATGCTTTGGGTGCGTTGCTGTCAATGCAGCGGAGTAATGTGGTGGAGATGATGGAGGGGGAGAGGTGAGCGGTGGTAGTGAAGTTACGAAGTCGGAAAATTTCCAAGGTGAGGTCTGCGGTCGCCTAGGTCGCGTCTCGCGTGTTTCTTGCTTCTTCTTCTGAAGATGGCAAGAACGACTCGACAAGGTCGACACCCGGTGGTCGTTCCAACGAAAGTGTACCTACCTGGGCGAGTGATCACTTGTCAGGTAAACCTGCTGTAGAGACAGCGCCGCAGAAGCCATAATCATAGCATCATGATCCGTCTCTCGCAATGCAAACCGAGGGGGCGCAGGAGAACTCGTGTGTGTTATATAGGGATACTGTAGAGTTCGTGACGAAGCTTGGCATGGCATGCCCAGTGGGGCAACTTCCCGAAACGTGCCCGCCGTGCTCACGACGTTACGTAGGTCCAATGTCAGGTTAGGCAACACGGGCAATTGCGACTCAAACGTATACAGCACAGATTCCACGGAGAGTGTTGGGGACGTCTGGAGAACTACGACTCTTGCACCTTCTTCGCCATCGCTTACTCCCTCCTACTTAGCCCAGCATGGCGCCTCAAACGCCCGCCGTTGTCATGGACAAGTAAGCATACATTCGACCCGGGACGAACAACGCAAATACTAACTACCGCGCAGCGGCACGGGATACACCAAGCTAGGTTTCGCTGGCAACGACTCACCCTCCTTCGTCTTCCCGACCGCCATTGCGACGAAAGGCCCAGCAGCAGGAGCCGGAGGTTCAGGCTCTGGACGACCAGCAGTAGGCCAAAAGCCGTCATTCCTGACTGGTGGCGCAGGCCCAGGTGGACATCTGTCGGCAAAGAGAGGCACGGAGGACTTGGACTTCTTCATTGGCGACGAGGCGCTTGGTGCAGCAGCAGGGCCGGGGTACGGTCTACACTACCCTATACGACATGGACAAATCGAGAACTGGGACCAAATGGAGAGGTTTTGGTCGAACAGCATCTTCAAATACTTGAGAGTCGAGCCCGAAGACCACTACTTCCTTCTCACCGAACCACCGCTCAACCCACCTGAGAACAGAGAGAACACAGCCGAGATCATGTTCGAAAGCTTCAATTGTGCTGGACTCTACATTGCCGTGCAGGCTGTACTCGCATTGGCAGCATCGTGGACATCTTCGAAGGTGCAAGACCGAAGTTTGACAGGTACAGTGATTGACAGTGGTGAGGGTGTAACCCACGTTATCCCTGTTGCGGAAGGATACGTCATTGGAAGCAGTATTAAGAGCATACCAATTGCTGGGCGAGACATCACGTACTTCGTACAGTCTCTGCTGCGTGATCGAGGAGAGCCGGACAGCTCACTGAAGACAGCCGAGAGGATCAAGGAGGAGTTCTGCTACGTGTGCCCAGATATCGTTAAAGAGTTTGCAAGATTCGATCGAGAAGCAGACGATCGATTCAAGCACTACGAAGTGCAGCAGCCTGGTGGTCGAAGTGTGACAGTCGATGTTGGCTACGAGCGTTTCTTGGCACCCGAGATCTTCTTCAACCCCGAAATCTACAGCTCAGACTTCCTTACACCACTACCTACCATCGTCGACACCGTCATCCAAACATCACCAATTGATGTTCGAAGAGGTCTATACAAGAACATCGTCCTATCTGGAGGCTCAACACTATACAAAGACTTCGGCCGCCGCCTACAACGCGACATCCGGCACCTAGTAGATGCCCGCATTAAAGCCTCCGAAGCACGCGCAGGCAACCAAGCCAAGTCTGGCGGCCTTGACGTCCAAGTCATCACACACAGAAGACAACGACACGGCCCTTGGTTCGGAGGCTCGTTGCTCGGCCAGACACCAGAATTCAGGAGTTACTGCCACACGAAAGCCGAGTACGACGAGATAGGTCCCAGTATTGTCCGAAGATTCGCATTGCTCGGTGGTCCGGGGAGCACGTGAGGTATCCTCGGGTTTGTTATATGGCAAAAGCCGCTACGCATACCTGCGCTTAGTTCATGCAAGGTATATACCGAGAATCTGGTTAAGATCCTGGTCAGCCACCACTTGTACTCCCACAGGTCGTATAATTAGCCGCTGGTCACGACTTCGCGGTCTTCACACTGTATGCGACCAAGATGGGTATACGATGCTTGTGAGGATTTTGCGCAGAAAGTACAAGAGAAGGTTCTATCGCGTTCCAGCGGACCGCCGTCGCGGAGTTTGACCTCTTCTATATAGCAAGGAAAGGATTGTCATTGCTCTGGCATTCGTCCATACCCGGCCTGCTGTGCTCTTACTACTTTGTGCTCTAAATACCAGAGCTTTGCCTGATGACAAGCACATGTGAACTTCAATCCCGACTGACCAGGTAAACTGTGTTACTTCCCGCAGAAGAAACATCATGCCCGCGGGTAGTGATGAGGCGACAGGCTTGCTGACAGATTGTCGCTTGTGCGACCTCTGCCGCAATACCGACCATATGGCTCCCTAGGTCTATGGTGCGGCTCGGCAGAATGCTCTTCAACCCAAAATGAGGCCAGCACACTGGCTGTTCATCGGCAAGCCGACCCCGTGCCGGGCCCGGCAAAGTGTATCGCGGCTAACCAAGTGCCGCGAGGAATGTCGAAGTGAGAGGCTTGCTGAACGTCACTTGCTCATTGGGAAGCATGTAGCAGGCCGGCCTGAGAAGACGTCGACGAGTATACTGGTCGAGATGAAGTCTAATGAGTAGTCGAAGACGCCGAAAAGATCTGCTCAGCGCGATTGGAGGGCTGCCCCACAAAGCGAGCGTTTGCGGAGATCCAATGGGAAAGCTTTGAGGAGGCGCCGGACTCGTTACGGGAGCTCTGTTGCCGAACAAGACCGACTTAGTTCTAGAGAGGACTGAGAGACCCGAGCAATCGGGACTGTCTCGCTTGCTCGACGTCCTGGTATGCAACGGTGGAATATCAACAGTACTCTCCGGCATCGTCAGTGGCATATCATTTGTGTAAAGACCGTCTGGTTCCCCCACGGCGTCTCTTGCCGAAACGATCTCCTAGCCACATCTTATCGCGATCTAAATTGCATCGGGCCGTTGGCATCCGCGGCGTCGGCCTCGAGAGCGCTGGTTTCGACATCTTGGTTCAGCATCAAATACTGGGACAGTGGCTGCATCGCCGGTCCTGCGGGCTGCGCCTGCTCCATGAGCAGCGTGGCACCTTCCGTATGAGCAGTATCGTGACGATCTCGACTCCCTCTACTCTCACCCTCGTGTGCGCCTTCCCGACTCCTGCCGTAGCCTTGCGACCCTTCCCATCTTGTGCGACATCACGTGCAACCAGCGGACCGCGAATAATACCAATACTACCTCACGTATATCACCTACCGTGGAGTCTCACGATCCCGTTCGGCTTGCCGACGAGCTTCTCCAATCGCCGCATACCCAGCATCCGAGCTCCACCTCCACCTCCACGATAGCTTCAACCAGTGGTCCTCACTCCGCTACCGGGCCCTCGCTGCCCGGGCACGCGCAGAATCGAATGCGCTCTAGTATCGCCTGCATTCGATGCCGGCGCTCGAAGGTGAAGTGCGTCAACAATGGGGTCGGAACGACATGTCGGTCATGCGAGAACGCAAGCCGGGAGTGCACATACCCCTCACCAGTGGCCTCGACAGGTCGGCGGAGGGATAGTCTCCCGGGTAGACAACAGGATGCTGGACTAGATGGGGAAAGGAGGCCGAGACCGAGAAAGAGTGTACATCCTCCTGCTGGTACTGGACGAGAAAGCAATGCAGTCCGAGACTCGTTACGGCCCCTGCTCGATGCATTGGATCCAAAATTACTCACACCACTTGTATGGCAAGAGCTCTTCGACATCTTCCAGGTCCACTACTCTGCAGACTTGCCTTTCCTGCATCCTCCAACATTTCTTAGGCCTCTTCGACAGGCCCCAATGCAACCTCCGTCCACCAGTATGGCAGACCTGGACTCTAGTGCTGCTTCTAGTAGACCCCCGGCATCGCCTGAATTCCTGTTGGCGTTTCTGGCTTTGACCGCACGGTTCCATAGTAAACTGGTAGCGCACCACCACCCTCCGTCGTCTTCCAGGCCAAGCAACCCTCTGATAGCATGCCAGTATTATGCAGTAGCTGCAAATGAGCGATTGGCCACTAGCTGGACTGATAATCGCGTGCACGATATCGAGCGCATCCAGGCCGCGCTTATGATTGGCTTACACGAGTGGAGCATGTGCAGAGGTGCAAAAGCGTGGCTTACTATCGGTATAGCCATTCGTGCTGCACAAGCAATGGGTCTACAGTACGAGCGCGAGCTGGACGATGAGCCCATGTCTCGCGCCTTGGCTCTTGGCTCCGAGGCTGAAAGGATGGGTCTGGACTCGAGAAAGGGCTCTCTGGCGGGCTCTAAAGGGGAGGAAGATGCTTTTGTTCAGCAAGAGATTCGGCGGCGGACTTTCTGGAGTTGTTACATCATGGATCGCTACCTTAGCAGTGGCAAATACCGGCCACAAATGTTACATGCGCACGAGCTGCGCATCCAGCTGCCGGCGAGTGAGCGATCGTTTCTGTTCGGTGAAAAAGTCAGAACTTTAATGCTGGGAGAAGAGGAGCGTGTCGTTGAAGGCAGGGCAGAATTGCAGAATCATCGACAGGCCTTCGTTGCGCCTGGCAAGTCTCTTGATGGTGGACGTAAAATGTCGATATCCACAGACCTGACTAGCGCGAATGATGATGAAAGGGGACGTCTAGAGACTGGCGTTGACGAGGGCTTAGTTAGTCGCTATGTGAAGATACTCAAGCTCTATGGCCGTGTGGTGCAATGGTCTTGCGCAGGTGGTCGCAGGTGAGTACCACGCAGCCTTTTGAGGAGGTACAAAAGACGCTGACATTGCTTTCTAGGATTGAGGAACACCCACCTTGGGATAGGCGCTGCCAATGGAATCGACTACGACAACAGTGCTGGGACTTCCGAGCAAGCCTCCCTCGACAACACACACTCACCCCACAGAATACACAGGCCCATATCAGCATGAAGACCTCAACGCCATATGCTCTTGTGCACATTGTCTATCTTCTATGTAACATCATGCTTCACCGAGAGTATGTGCCGTTTCTTCCCATTCGGTGTAACAGACCTGTGGGTCCGCTCGACGCACCGATGTTCCCACCAGACCGATACGATGTGCCGTCTGGCTTCTGGGAGGAAAGTGCCACCGAATTGTTCAGGTGCGCGCGAGAGATTATGGACCTAGTGCGCAGTTGCCAGGAGTGGTCTGCGCTTGTAGAAACGCCGATTGTTGGGTTCGCGATATATACTGTGGCATTCGTCGGGGTGTACAGTATCAATTTCACGCACATGGACCGAGAAGGATATATGTGTACTCCACCAGCAGTGTCGTCGACGATGAAAATGGATGGTGACCGATCGGGTGGAAGTAAAGGTTTTGAAGCTGCCAAGAAAGCGTTAGAGATGGTTGGACACATGCGACCTCGACTGCGCATGGCTGACGGCTGGTTTACAACCATTACACGCATGCACAAATATTTCCGGCGTATGAGGAGCGACTATAGGAAGAATGTTGTGTCTACCGAGACAAGCTCATCGGAAGACGACAGTGGTTCCACCGTTGCCAGAAGTTTGCGAGAGGGTGGTCCTGGTGGTGGACTGGATGAGTGGAAGCTGCTTGAACGTACCATCAAGGACTTCGGCAATCTCGACGATTATGATATCGAGATGGACGATGCGGATCCTGCGCAAGAATCACGCCCTGGCGACGCACTGAATGATGATAGCGGGTCTGCCGGGACGACTGTTAAGAGCGAAGACCGTGATACAAGGAAGCCAATGGACCAGAAAGCAGAAAGTGGTGGTCCATGGAATGCAATCAATGCCACTTCTGGCGCGACGTTGAGTCGGCAGCAGAGCATGTCGACACCCAACAGTGCCCAATTCCGGACCTACGACTCTTACCCTTCGCAGTATCATACTTCGCATCCGCCCACGCAACAGCAGCCAACGCCGCAAGGCTCACTACCACCTCCGAGCTACAGCACTCAAAACAATGGCTTCCGTCCAGCCTACTCTGGAGAACTCTCTATATCGTCCGGACCGCCACCAACTCTAGTCTCGCCAGCTTCACACTCGTCGACTACTCCGTCTCAGGCTTCGCCTCTTTTCGATCGCCAGCTGCCTAGCTATGCAGGATGGACGCCACAACACGCACCTTACCCACCAATGCAACATGCGCAGAGCGCTTATCCACCGGGTACCCATCATTATCAGCATGCGCCAATGCCCATGCAGCAGCCTTTCGCCTCACCACATCAACCTTCGCAGCACCAGCACCAGCACATCATGCCCATCCAGCAGCATTATACGGAGCAGCCACCAGTGCAGCAACAAGTCTGGGACGAATACCAGAAGGAAGCGTGGCTTAATGGTTTGCAGACTCGTATGAGTGCCGACGATCTTGCTGCTTTTGTTAATGGAGGAGACATCGCTGAATGGGCTTCTCGAGAGCAATTTGGGTCGACCCCTGGCTGGCTGAACACTCTCTACGGTATGTCAAGCATTTGATCTGCTTTGTATCAATTCCGTAATGCACCTGACATGACTTGTCCTGCATTTGGCTGAAGCCTTATGAGACCGCGGCGTGTCAAGAACATGACAGGGAGGTCCGTTATAATGTTTGTATGATGTTATGAAGGAGAAAGTTACGCTTATGATCCAAAGCATAGCAAGATGATGTAGAAATGTATTGAAGCTACTTCGCTTGTCAGGCCGCGGTGTGGGCAGCAATCTCTCTTAGCTTCCTCAGCCGAGTCTCGACCACCAACTGGCTGATTTGATAGCCTGCACTGCTGGGACTGGCAGCGACAATCCTGCATAATCTCACAGGGACATGCAACGGTCATACAACTTAGGTTTGCTGCCGCTGTCAGTGCGTGTGGCCCGCAATACGAAGGTGCTTCCGACACGTCACCCATTTTCGGGCCTATGGTTGCAGTACCATATCCATCCATCTGCTATTCCTTCAGGCTGCGCTCGGAAGCTGTAATAACATTGCAGCTCCATCGACCCTCACAGACTCGACTATTAGGCGACATTATACAGACCCAATACGGAGAAAAACACATCCAAGTTATGCACGACGGTCTCTTTGACCATATTCTTTGACCTTGGTAGTGCAAGCACGAAGAGGCTGAGAATTCGTCGATGCTCTTCCAATACATTGTCCTGCTGCCTGGCTGCTCGTATTCCACCGCACCATGACGTTACCTCATACCACCCCTGAAGCATCGGTAGGATGGCGTCGCACGTAAGACTGCTTAGACCTCACCAGCACGTGCGTACTTCAAAGCGCCATGGAGGCTAATCCTACTTCCATTGCTGCCATCCTCTATGTTACCGCCTGAGCGATGGATGGGACGGACAGATGGAGTCTAGATCATGTCCGCGGAGTGGGTGGTATTACACGAGTGTGCGTACGCAACGTTGCGCTTCACCGTTACTTGATGGCCAAAAGAGATGGCCAGCGGCTGCCAGTCAGCTAAGTTCAACCAGCTGCGTATTGGTGTCTCTTCCACCGACCCAGTCTTAATAAATGCAGAATATCTACACGACATACTGCATCATGGGGCAGGTCAAAACACTCTCAGCGAGTCCTATCACCATCCTGTAGGACTGCTATGGCACAACGATGGACGAGTGCCTCGTACTTTCGCCCCGGGTCCTTTGGTTTTTCTGACCACCGTATGCTTCCTCTTGCTGTACCTTGGACCAAGCCCCAAGCTACTATATACACAGCTGAACCAACGGTCGAGCGGAACAGAAGATCGTGTGCAGCGATGGGACTGGAAAGACACCAAGGAGGAAATGTACTGCCGCGCGCGGCACACCAATCACTCGCAGAGCAAGACCTCGATCCCGAATGTCATCCACTTCATATCCTTAACGAACCCAGGCGGAATTTTGGACCTTGACTACGCACGCTTTCTTGCGCTCAAGGCTGCTGTCGTCCGTGCTGATGCCATGGAAATCAAGCTCCATACAACCGGACTGAATCAAAAGAATTACTGGTGGAAGCAGCTTCGAAGGCACATTACGCTCGTAAACGTTGACTGGCAAGACTACTTTCCCGATGGCGGGTCTCCCGCGGCAAGAGGCATTTCCTTGCCTCATCAGGCAGACTTCTTGAGACTCGCGATCTTGAGGCGTGAGGGAGGCATCTACTTCGACACGGATGTATATGCTCTCAAGCCGCTTAACGAACTTCTCGACAGGCCCCGCGACATACTGATGGGCCACGAGGGCGGCAACCGCTACGGTCTTTGTAATGCAGTGATCATCGCACGACCCGAGAGCGAGTTCTTATCACGATGGCGAGAGGCATATACCAGCTTTGACTCGCACGTCTGGAATTACCGTTCAGTTCGATTGCCAAAGCAGATGCAGGTGATGCATCCCGATCTGATATGTCCGCTGTCACCCACAATCTTCTTCTGGCCAACATGGGCGAAACCACATGTGCATTATATGCATGATGAGGTGTTAGATCCTGTCGAGCGCTCAAGCTTCGAGGCAGATCTGGAGGATTTCGGTGGAGCGATGTATGAGAACCAGCTGGCATTTCATGCTGTCGCTGCGAAGGACTACTTGAATGTTCTGACTGCGGATGATGTGGAAACGGTAGATACGAGGTTTAATCTGTTGCTGCGCGAGGTTGCTAGAGCGGAGTTGTAGACTTGTGATGGCATACTTCCCCGTATGCTAAGGCCTTGTCCATTCGCATCGTATCGTGACATCCCTTTCACAGGCTTTGAAGCCCCTTCTGATTCCAGTCCCAAAATTGGTTTATCATGTCCTTGTTGGGGAGCGCTCCATTGAATTTGGATCTTGTTCTCCTAACGCCAAGTACTGATTGACGCCAGTGACAAGCAGCTGTGAAGTTCTCGATGCCGAAGTTCTCGATGCCGGCATTCCTGGGGTCTTGTTCTACGTCTCATCTGGCTTCCAGGAATAATTTATTCATGACCCTCGCAATCCGATCATGACTTGCTGCATTCAATGCCGCCTAAGGAAGTACAGCTGGCGTCCGTCCTGGGTAGCAGGTCTGTCATGGAAGCTCATCAGAGCGATCCCAGAATCTTGCCGTAGTCTGCGGTGGCATGAAGTTTGTCAGGGATAAATGCAACGTGCCTGCCTATGGCGCACCCTGTACTATCCACGGCATACCGACTCGTGAGGTAATCCTCCCTCCACATCCCGAGTCAAATACGATGTTGTGCTCAAGTCAAACCTTGATGTAAGCGTAGTGCAGAGAGATTTTCGTGCCGCCACCCACCGGCCTCCGCCATCGTCAGCGGGGAAATGCGTGCCTCTCCACAACAAGCAGGTGGAGAGTTCTTCCGGAGCGTCATCAGCACGATTGGACTTCACGTTGTACCTGATCTACTGGTAGATTTGCCTTATTGATCGAGGGACATGCTTTGCACGATGCTCCACGAGGCATCGGGACAGCAGGGTGCGAGAGGGGCAGCCTGCCTAGCCGATGGCATGAATGCTACGTGATGATGGTAGAAAAGGCGAGAGGTTGCCCGATCTCATCATTGCGGCCTTCTGTGTACCCATTGCTTGTAATTACTCGTGCAAGCTTGCAAGATGTTGTTTGGGAAACTATGCCAGGCGGCGCTGCTGTCTCTGGCAGCAGTACGGTCTGACGCTCTAGCCATTGGTGGCAAGCCGGAAATGGTTGTGCATCCGTACAAACGGGAAGCACTCCAGGATATTGTCACTTGGGATGAAGTCAGAGATTACAACGCAGCCTTCGAGAACATACTGATAGGTTCTGCAGCATTCTATCTTCGTTCGTGGCGAGCGTGTCCTGTTTTATTCAGGCGAGTTCCATCCATTTCGACTGCCAGTCCCTGCACTCTGGCTCGACGTCTTTCAGAAGATCAAGGCACTAGGCTACAATGGTGTATCATTCTACACCGATTGGGCACTGCTGGAAGGTAAACAGGGAGAGTTCAATGCTTCAGGTGTCTTCGCCTTCGAGCCTTTTTTCGAGGCGGCAGCTACTGCAGGCATCTACCTGCTCGCTCGACCCGGACCATATGTAAGGACACATAGGTCTCTCCAGTACGCGAATACCCGCCTGACAGATATACGTAGATCAATGCCGAAGTCTCTGGAGGAGGCTTTCCAGGATGGCTTCAGCGTAACCCAGCCTTGGTGAGTACAATCATACACGACTCTCTTGTGCAAGAGCATGGCTTAGTACTGACGTTCCCCTTTAGATGCGGACACGGGATCCCAGATATCTCAACGCCACAGACCTTTATGTGTCGAGCATTGGAGGTATCATCGCAAAGGCCCAAATCACTAACGGTGGCCCCGTCATCTTCGTCCAGCCCGAGAACGAATACACTGGAGCCAACTCTAGAGTTCCCGAGTTCCCAGATGCCGTCTACTTTGCCCGCGTTGAGCAGCAGTTGCGGGATGCAGGAATTGTGGTGCCTTTCATCTCCAACGACGCCTCGCCGAAGGGCTACTTTGCTCCAGGTCCTCCGCGCAAAGAGGCAGCTGTCGACATCTACGGCTACGATGGGTATCCCCTCGGTTTCGATTGTGCCAATCCTAACGTCTGGCCTGACAATGCCCTGCCGACATACTACCTGGCAGATCACCTAAATCAGAGCTCCAGCACGCCGAATTCCATCATCGAATTTCAGGGAGGATCATTTGACCCATGGTAAGCAGCGATAATGTGAATTTATGGCTTTGTATTCCTGGGTTCAAACTAACGCTTTTGGCAGGGGTGGACCCGGCTTCGCTAATTGTCTTGAGCTGCTGAATCCACAGTTTGAGAGAGTGTTCTACAAGAATGACTTTTCGGCTGGCGTAACGATCTTCAACATCTACATGACCTACGGCGGCACGAACTGGGGTAACCTTGGGCATCCTGGTGGTTATACTAGCTACGACTATGCTGCCGTCATTGACGAGGAGCGTGGTGTAGCACGAGAGAAGTACAGTGAAGCTAAACTTGAGGCAAACTTCCTCAGAGCTTCTCCAGCATACCTGACAGCTGTGGCGCAAAACAACAGCCATGCGAATGGCAGCTACACTGGCAACAGTGCACTTGCAGTCTCTGCTCTCCTAGGCAATGTCACCGACTTCTTCGTAATCAGACACGCTGCATATAACTCGAACGACACCACAGAGTACTCCATCACACTACCCACCAGCAAGGGCAACGTCACTATCCCCCAGCTCGGTGGCAGCCTCTCGCTCCACGGGCGCGACTCCAAGTTCCATGTCACCGATTATGATGTTGGTGGGATAAATCTTCTCTACTCGTCTGCGGAGATCTTCACATGGAAAAAGTACGGCGACAAGCGTGTCCTTATCGTCTATGGAGGACCTGGTGAGACCCACGAGCTTGCCATATCTGGTGGTGGCCATGCATGGACAACTCAAGGCTCAGGTGTGAACATTGCCAACCGCAATGGCGCGACCGTTCTTGGCTACGAAGCTGATGCCACGACAAAAGTCGTCCAACTTGAATGCGACCTGACTATTTACCTGCTTGACCGCAACTCTGCATACGACTATTGGGTTGTAAGCTTGCCCAACGATTCAGTCTCTGGTAATCACACCAATGCCACGTATGAGGTTTCTGCTCCGATCGTCAAGACTGGCTACCTCCTGCGCACTGCAGAGGTGAAGAACAATTGTGTCTATCTGACTGGCGACCTCAACGCAACTTCCGATATCCAAGTTATCGGCGCGCCAGCCCACACTAGCGAGCTCACCTGGAACGGGCAAAGCCTTTCATTCAAGCAAGGCTGGGATGGTGTTGTGACTGCTACAGCAACCTACAAGCAGCCCTCAATCACCGTACCTAATCTTAGCACGGTCGGCTGGAAGGTCATTGACAGCTTGCCAGAGGTCCAACCCGGCTATGATGACAGTCTGTGGACTACTGCCGACCTGACGTACTCCAACAACACTATTCGTAACCTGACCACGCCACGAAGTCTATACGCTAGCGACTATGGTTATAATACCGGTGTTCTGCTGTACCGTGCTCATTTCTGTGCCAATGGCAACGAGAAGACCTTCTACGTACAGACCCAGGGCGGCTCAGCATTTGGGCACAGCCTGTGGCTTGGTGACAGCTTCCTTGGATCCTTCGATGGAGCGGATGTCTACACGTATTGGAACACCACGGTAGATCTGCCCGCTCTCACCTCCGGTAAGGACTATGTGATCACGGCTGTCATAGACAACAACGGCTTAGATGAGGACTGGACTGTCGGCAGCGAGGGCTCCAAGAACCCTCGTGGTGTGCTCAACTACACTTTGTCGGGTCATGCCCAGAGTGATGTGACCTGGAAGCTGACAGGCAACCTGCACGGAGAGGACTTCGAGGATGTCACGAGAGGTCCCCTCAACGAGGGCGGCCTGTATGCTGAGCGGCAAGGCTGGCATCTTCCCGGGGCGCCTACATCGAGCTGGGCCAGCTCGGCCTTGGGTCCAATGGAGGGACTGTCAAAGGCAGGTGTCAACTTCTACTCGACTACGTTCGATCTTGATATGCCCACCGGCTACGATATTCCCTTGTCGTTCAGCTTCACGAATGCTACAACGACAGCTAATGGCACTGTCCCAAGCTACAGAGTCATACTGTTTGTCAACGGGTATCAGTTTGGCAAATATGTCCACAACGTCGGACCTCAGGATGTAAGTTGACTGTACCCTCATGTGACAAAGTGCGATCATTGTGCTGACTGCCACAGGTTTTCCCTGTCCCGGAGGGCATCTGGGACTATCACGGCAGCAATTATGTCGGCATTGTGCTGTGGTCTCTTGAAGCCGAAGGCGCCAAGGTCGGAAACCTCAGCCTCGTCGCTGGCACCCCGATCCAGAGCGGTTATGGTCCAATTGAGCTCAGTCCATTGACTGGCTGGACGAAGCGTGAAGGTGCATACTAAGCCGATGCATATTGCTGCGAGGCATGATGCTGGGCCATGATGTATGCGGAGCCTGAGGGTGGAAGTATGTTTAGTAGTAGTGTAGTAGAATGGTCAGAGAGGCGACGATCGACTGCCTCACAACTGTTTTGCCGCTGCTTCTTTTCATTTGGAGGTTCCCGTTCAGTACTCCATGTCGGTCAAAGCCATAGCCCGCTGTACAAACGTAACGATGTTCGCTCGTCCAGTTGTAATAATTAACTTGCAATTGCGCTGGCCGGTCTGCTCGAATGGAGTTGGTGCGACGTCGCATATTGTAGACTGGCATTTTCCACAACAAAGAGATCGTTTGTCTTGACCATACACCGAACGAGCAATAAAGCCGATGTCCGAGGACCTCGCGACTCGAGCAATAACGTCGCAGCGACGATCAAGACCATACTGCACATAATCTATAGGAAACAAGCAGAATTTTGCGTGTATCAATGCCACCGAGGTATATCAAAACCATGTAGCTAGGTAATCTTGAGTAGTGCCAGCCAATCGGAGTCGGCCCCTTGCAACGGATGCTGCTAGGACTAGACGCTGCGTTTCTTGTTGTGATTGCACATGTACACTCGTTGTCTGTTGACGGCCGTCTTAGCTCTGGCGACACGTACCATCTTCCGGAGACTCGGGTAGCCAAACAGAGCGGGCAATGTTGGGCAGCGCCACGACGGCGGCGGCGGCAGCGGCAACCCCCACAGAAGAGGACGCAATGATCATATACACAAGCATTGTACAACATTACAGACTGTCCAGTGACTTCAATGAATAGTACATCCATTACAACCGACTATCAACCCCACTCCACCCCCTCTGCTGACTCGGCCACTGCGCATCGGGCCATATCAGCGGTAATGCCTCCCAAATATGTCCCACAAGCACAATTTCCAAGCCCTCCGTAACCTCCATAGGCAAGTCCTTGACATCTTTGCGATTCTGCTGCGGGAGCAAAACCTTCTTCACACCCGCCCGCAGGGCCCCAATCAGTTTCTCCTTGATCCCGCCTACCGGCATGACCTTTCCACGTAGAGCTACTTCGCCAGTCATAGCGATGTTAGGTGGAACAGATTTGCCTAAGAAGAGCGAGATGAGTGCGACGGTGTGTGCGAGGCCGGCGGAGGGACCGTCTTTGGGAATCGCGCCAGATGGGCAGTGCACATGGATGGAGCGGGATTTCATGATGTCTTCGTTCGGATCATGGGTCAATGCTAGCTCGTAAGCATGACTTTTGACCCACGTCAAAGCCACTTCCACAGATTCCTTCAGCACATCGCCAAGCTTGCCTGTGAGTTGGACGCGCCCGGAACCAGGCATATCGGCGATCTCGATGAAGAGGATGCTGCCTTGCATGCCTGAGCTGTATGCTACCAATCCAGTAACGACGCCAGGCTGGGCAGTGCGAGCTGCGAGTTCCTCTTCGAACCGCTCGATGCCTAGCATGTCTTCCAAATCGTCTGCTGTGACGACGGGGGTGTAGGCGGGTAGAGTATTGGTATCTCGCGCTTCGGCGTACTGGACTGCTTTTGAACGACAGACGCTGCCTATCTCGCGCTCCAGATTACGGACGCCGGATTCGCGGGTGTAGCCTGTGATAACCCTCTCGATCACATCATCCGTCATGTCGACATTCTCTGGACGGAGGCCATTGGTTGTGATTTGCTTGGGTATGAGATGGCGCGTCGCGATCTGTCGTTTCTCGATGGTGGTGTAGCCTGATAGTTGGATGGTTTCCATTCTGTCTAAAAGCGGTGCAGGTATTGTGTCGAGAGTATTGGCTGTAGCGATGAAGAGGACTTTGCTGAGATCGATGGGGATGTTGACGTAGTGGTCGACGAATGTGTGATTCTGCTCTGGATCCAAGACCTCCAGCATAGCAGCCGAAGGGTCGCCATGATGAGATGATGTGCCAACCTTGTCAATCTCATCGAGTAGGAAGACAGGATTGGCGACACCGACCTTTTTCAGACCGTTGACAATCAAGCCAGGCATAGCAGCAACGTATGTTCTTCGGTGACCACGGATCTCAGCTTCATCTCGTACACCACCTAGCGATATCCTGTGAAACTCTCGTCCCAGAGCTGTCGCAACAGATTTGGCCAGAGAAGTCTTGCCAGTACCAGGCGGGCCAACAAGCAACAGGATCGGCGACTTGTCCACCATCTTCTTATGCTTCAGTATCTTCACCTCTTCGGGCGTCTGTTCTCGTGGTTTGAGTTCCGTCTTTGTCGTAGGAGCCACACCCTCCTCTGCCGATGTGTCTGCCTCCTCATGCAACTCCTCCTTCGGCCGTGCAGCTTCAGTAATAGCATGGATCTGCCTCTCGAGATCTAAATTGACTGCCTGCTTGAGCTTCAGAACAGCTAGATACTCCAGCAACCTCTTCTTGATCTTATCAAGCCCGTAGTGATCATCGTCCAATTGTTGTCGTGCTTTGCTCAACGTAGCCGCATCAAGATTGTCCTCTGTCATCTTCGTCCAAGGTATCTCGGACAGGTTTTCCAGATAATTCCTTATGACTTGATGCTCGGCCTGAGCAGGATTCATCTTCGCCAAACGCTTCAGCTCCCGATCTGCCACTTTCTGCGCTTCCGGTGTGAGCTTGGCATCGTCAAGTCTCTTCTTGAGCTCTTCTACTTCATTGGCTTCTTCCTCGCCTTGCCCGCCGGCACCAGCTGCGCCGCCCATACCGGGCGGCATCTGCCCATTACCCAGGCCTCGCATTTGTGGATCCTGTCGTAATCTGTTAAGGATCTCCTGGTCGACGACACTGTTTTGAGGTACAGTCGTAGTGATCGACATGATCCGGCTACTACCTTGTATGCTACCAATCGAGCGCTGCAGTACATCGACGATGCGCTCAAGACGGTCCTTGATCGGCAGAGCAGATAGGATTCGCAGCTTGTCTTCTTGTGTACAATCAACGATGTTGGTCATAAAATCGGCCAGAACGCCAGCTTCCTGCATATCTTTCCGAACGATATAGAGTTCCAGACGCCGAGCAAGGATGGGCGATAGTGACATATTAGGCCCACGAGGCAAAAGCGCAGATAGTCGGATAAGGGCAATGAGCTCACGACTAAGTTGCTTGAGCTGGCCGAACAGTTCTGCAATTTCTGCATCGTCTGTACGGATAGCAGCTTCCTGATGCAACATGACCTTCGCCTCAAAGTAAGGTCGGTCACGGGTGATCTTGTCGATCTTGAACCTGCTGACGCCTTCGACGACAAGCATCAATTCACCCTGTCGTCGACCTTGAACTCCGGTCACTCTCGCGAGAGTACCATACTGGAACAGATCCGGTTTGCGCGCCATTCCGGGGTCCGTCTGAATGGTGGCGGACTTCTTCTTGTCTTTGTCGCCATTTTCGATGAGCTGCTTACCATCAGATGACAGGTATGAGCTGTTGAGCGGAACACAGCCGACTGTGATGGTTGATGGATCTGGGCGTGGTGTAGATGCTTTGCTATATATATTGGCTAGCAACGCGGCCACGTCAGACCTATTCTGTAGTGGTATCCGGGTGGTGACGCCAGGAAGGAGCACAAGCGATGACGGTAGCGGTATCAGTGGGAGGGTGCGACTCATATTGACTCTATCCCAGTATTGGTTTAGATAACTATTAGGTATCGTGGCGAAAGCGCTGTGGTAGAGGAGGTCATAGATAAGTTGACGCGGTAGTGGCTATGTGACACGTGCTTGTCATCGACCGAGGTTGATCTACCGTACCCGGAGGTTTCCAGAAGCACCATCTTCCCCGGATTATTCACTCTGTCGGGTCTGGTTCGGCATATCTGCGGGGACATGGTTGCGGCTTTGCCAAATATCAAACGGAGCTCAAAGCTGCTACAGTCTTCATTGATCTGCCCATGGACACGCGGCAACCGGCGTTGGTCGATTCGCCTTACCTTCGCTCCCTAATCGTACGTTCCCTTGTCTCGCCACCAATCATGCTCCTTCCTCGTTGACACTTCCTCTCTTCCAGGCCGGCGGCATCGCAGGCACCACTGTAGACACATCGCTCTTCCCGCTCGACACCCTCAAAACCCGGCTCCAATCCTCTGCCGGCTTCTGGGCCTCCGGAGGCTTCAGCGGCGTCTACAATGGTATCGGATCTGCTGTAGTCGGCTCAGCGCCAGGAGCCGCACTCTTCTTCGTCACCTACGAGAGCGTGAAAGCGCAGTTCACGGCAGGCCGAGATCTAGGTAGTTATGGCACGGCAGGAGCACATATGCTGGCTGCGAGTCTAGGAGAGATAGCAGCTTGTGCTGTCCGAGTCCCAACGGAAGTAGTGAAGCAGCGGGCGCAGGCAGGACAGTATCCCACGTCCATGACAGCCCTCACCTCGATCCTCGCTCAACGGAGTTCCCATGGAACACTGCATGTCTGGCGAGAACTCTACCGCGGCTGGGGCATAACAGTCATGCGCGAAGTACCTTTCACAGTCATTCAGTTCCCTCTCTGGGAAGGGATGAAACGGTGGTCACTTCAACAACGCACAGGTCCGAAGCCCAAGGACGTCACGGGGGCGGAGAGCGCGATTTACGGGTCGATCTCGGGAGCAGTCGCCGCAGGCCTCACGACTCCACTGGATGTATTGAAAACGAGACTGATGCTTGCCAAGGAGCGGGAAAGCGCTGCTGCAATCACCGCCAGGATATGGCGGGAGGAAGGTGGGAAAGCGTTCTTCAGTGGGATTGGGCCGAGGACGATGTGGATTAGTATTGGGGGGGCTGTGTTCCTGGGCAGCTATCAATGGGCGAGCAATCTGCTTGGAGGCATGTAACATGATGCATGTGTAATGAAATCTGTACATTGATTGATATACACTAGACTGTACAGTGCGGCAGCGATGCAGACACGCTTGCCAGCATACAAAGATACTAGCGAGGTTTCGTCAGTGACTTAGTCGATGCATATAACGCAACGAAAGGACTCGCGCGTTGTCTACGCAGCTGGTGCAGGCGTCCCACTGGCACTACTCGCCGGCGACCCAGCGGCCGCAGCACCACCTCTGCCTCCCCCTTTACCACCCCTGAAGCCACCTCTCCCTCGCACACTGCTGCTCGGACCCCGCGAACTCCCCTCCCTGAACTCCAGTACCTCCACAGCCCCACTAGCCACAGAAACCTTTCTTTCAGCCATCGCCTTCTTCAAACCCTCATTGTCCTTGAAGTTCGCTATTGCGGTACCTTTCCTCGGATCGATGGTCACGTTTGTAACCTCGCCGAATTCGGAGAGGGAGCGTAGGATCAGGATTTCTGTCATTCCTTGGGAAGGATTGGCGTGTTTGAGGTAGGCTTTTGTTGTTGAGGCTAACGGTATGGGAGCTGGTTTGCTGATAGCCGGGGCTTTGGTTGTAGCTGGCGCCGGGGTGGTGGCCAAGGGTATAGGTGAGGATGTAGCTGTCTCCGCGACCGCACGCGCAACTGCGGATGGTTTCGACGATGATGTAGATGAATCGGTCGTCGTAGCCTTCGATCGTATCCCCAGATCCTTTTGCAGCATCTTCTTGATTCCGTCAGCGTTCCCGCGCTGTCTCTGCCCTGGCGGTCTACGATCAGGCGCCGGACTAGCAGGTCCAGGGCTCGCCACCGAATGAGCACTTGTAGCTGCCGTTGTTTGCACAGGCGTAGCATTCTGCTGTCGAGGCGAAGGCGCAGCTTTCTTGGCTTTGGCAGGCGATGCGACGCCCTTAGCACTCGTCGCTTGTCCCGCAATAGTAGCCTGCTGCTGCTTCGTCGCCGCCTGTTTATTCAGCACCTTCGCTGCCTCTTTGGCCGCTTGCTCAACTTTCTGCTGCGTATTCTTCGTCTCGCCCTTTTCAGCAATAGCATCCTTACTACCGCTCCTAGCATGCCCAGCAGCCTTCTTATCCTCCGTCTTCTTCTTCTCGGCTTTCTCAGCGGCCGCCTTGGCTCTCTGTGCTTTCCTCTCCCTGAGATCCTCGATCAATGGTGTGGTCTTCACAGGGTCATGATCTTTGCCTGCATTCTGCTCTGGTGCTGAGGGTCTACCTAATGGCTGTGTTTCCGCCTCCAAGAACTCAATAAACTCCGGGTCCTGATCGATCGTGCCCTGTCGATTGTCTGCCCTCTGCTTCACCTGCAAGGGCGTCCTCTGACTCGGCGCAAAACCAAGCGTGGGTGGGAGATGCTTGAGCTCGGCATGTTTGTGTGTACCCGCCTTGTCATGAAATACGATGCTCAGGAATCGCTGCTCGAACTCCTTGATTACTGTCTCGTTGGCGAGGTGGACATAGCAGCGACTCTGTTCCGGTATCTTGCCCGGTGCCTTCAGCTTGCCCTGTCTGTACTCTCGCCAGTCCACTTTCCCTTTCCCAAGCTTCCACTCTTCCCCCAGAACCTCCTCGAACTCACTTAGTGTCAGGCCGGGAGGGAGTCGGCGAATCTCGAGTTTCAGTCTACTCGCCGGCTTATTGCTGGCAGCTGCTCGTGTGGCAGCATTGACGGGCAGGACACCACCTGCGCGGTCGCTGCCCTTAGATATGACCTTTGGTGCCATGTCAATCTATAAGAGTCGCTGTTATGTGTATGCATGTGAGAAGGATATTGTTCATGTGTAGATTTTGTTCATGCAGGAACAGGAAGGGAGATGCCGTGAAGTGGGGCAACATGTGCCTGTGCCTGCCCCTTCTATTGACGCGACTAGAATCTGGGCGGAGATTCATACAGTTGAAGATTCACTAGAATAAACAGCCGTGGACCACTGAAAAGGTCAACGCCGAAATGGCACTGGGAAAAGTATGCTTGCATCTATGCAACTATCACCCGTATCTACTCCCCTCTCAAGACCACTTTGGCTCCCACGCACATGCCGTCCGCTACAGCATGGCCGACCAATACCTGCGACTTGGGACGAATCATAGTACCTCGATACCACAATGCTTCTGCCTCAGAAGCCACCCGCGATACATTTGCATCTGGCTGTGGGCAGTCCACGTGCTGATTAGCACAGCATCTTCATCATTCCTCATTTGATTCAATTACGTGCGTCATCCTGATCATCACCAACTCAGACCTCCTCCCCATCTTCTAGATCGTCTTCATCCTCCATCCCCATATCCTCCATATCATCAATAAGTTGCTCCATTGGAATCTCCAACCCTTCATCCTCCTCACCCTCCACACTCATCTCCCCATCTGCCAAAGCCGGCGGCTGTACAGCCCCCTTATTCCTATACAACTTCAATCCCTCCCTTAGTTCCGGATCCGCCTCGAGATCCTGTAAGAACTGCTCGTAATCCACCTCATCCCGATCCTGATCCTGTTTCCGAGGCTTCATCTCACTCTCCTCCCTCGCCATGCGTTTCAGATTCCAGTTCCTGTTCTTGTTCCTCTTGCGAGAGGCGTAGTGTTTCTTCACAAGGATGACGTCTGGAATAGTACCAGAGTACTGTTTGCTTTCCTGTATCTTGTCGAACTCGTCGCTGTTGAACTGGGTTCCAGTCAAGTGGTATCCCATTACGCTGTCGCCAGCATGAAGGACACTGCCCAAGTGTGTACGGACGAGATACGTGATATCGTTCACTCCAAGATCTGACGCTCGTGCTACTGTTGCTTCGGCGAGCAGGAAACGGCCTTTGGGTGGACCTACTGGTTCGATGTCCATGACAATGAACTCGGTCAATTCGCGCACGTCAGCTAGAGGTGCGAATGGTGCTCGCCAGTATATTGGCGCGCTGAGATCCGCGGTCTGTAGGGTATTCGGGTCTAGAAAGTTGACAGCAGTGCCGATGCGATAGCAGAGCACTAAAGGAGAGATGTTGCCGATTTGTCGCGCGATCTTGATCGGCAGAGCCACGAGATCGTCCTTACAGATCGGCACCAGCTCAGTCGAGAATGTGAATTTGTAGGAGGATGTGGAGGTGTGGATATCCGTCGAGATGAGTTCCTGACTCTTCTTCGACCGGACAGGCGCAACAGAAGATAAGAAGTCGAGGAACTTCTCTGCCGAATTCCGGGCTGAGAAGAAGAAGTCGATGCCGTTGTGCACTTCCTTGATGTTGATCGCCTCCTTATGTGCGCCTTGTTTCAGGATGAGTTGCTCCAGGTACAGGAAGGTCCTTTTATGTGGCACTTTCTGTCGGACTTGTACGCACGATCGCCATGTGTTGTGGGTGTATGATTTCGCACAGTCTGGGCACTGCTTATACTGCTGCACAAACTCGACGTCAAAGGTTTGCTGTAATATTGTGCCCTGGAAAGCTTCCTGCTGCACGCTGATCTTCATCTTGATTCGCCTCGAATGTGGTTCGGTCCAGATAAATGAGGCGTCGACTATTCTGCTCTTGTTCAAGCCGCGAAGCTTCCGTAGACATAATGCGAGCAGTTCTCGTGACTCGAGTGTGGCTTGGATCCATTGTGCGGGTGGTGACAGCCATCTGTCGCAATCCCTGCACATGAGCAGTATACCTTCTCGTTCGATGCCTTGTGTGATGTCGACCGTGAGTTTCAAACAGTCACTACATAACGCGCCAGCTGCCTGTGTGCCATCGATCGCTGCACCGCAGTTGTAGCAGAGGATTGTTGCTTGCGTCGAGGGTCGCGCTGCGAGAGGCACCGGAGCGTCTACTTCCATGGACATGATGGCTGGCTGTTGGTCTTTGTAAGTGCTCAAGGAGTTGTTGCCGGTCTTCGCAAATTAGAAGGCCACTTGAGTCACAAGAATGTTCTGATCGTCGTTGCCGAGCTGCTTATGTCATTGCAAAGAAGTTCGCGGTGGCGCGAGATGTTATCGATAAGCGCTCGGAAGGATGTGCCGGTCAAAGTGTCTACATGTACCTATACCTAAGGTAGGTAAGGTACGTGGACATGCGTTCGAAGATGCAGCGTCTTTTCGCTCGGCAAGATCATTGATGTAACGGAAGCACTTCTACGCCGAGTCCGTCAACACCATGGAATTGAGTCCCATGCTGGGGCACTCTGCTTCCTGCTTAGCCTTGCAGGCCACGGTCCTATCATGCCAGCATCGACTAATGCAGGATAATTGCTATGTCCCTTGGCATGGAAGCTCAATCGAAGAATTGGTCGTTGCTTCACGAGATCGCTGCTGTAGAGACGAGCTTTACGCCAATTTGTGGTCATATGTGCGCGCGGTGGAAGTGGAAGGCGCGCGTGCATAGGTCCGTCCCCAACCTCACCTCACTTCACTTCACTTCACCCCTTGAGGTATTGTTCTTCCCTTAAGAAGAGCTTCCAGGCTCGTTGGTCATCATGAAACGCTCTTTCACTCCCAATCGCAGGGTATGCCGCTACTATAACGATCTATATGGCTCTAGCTCCACCAACATCTTCTTGAGATTTACTCTGATGCTCATCGCTGCAACATGGCCTGGCCGCAGAAGAATCACGAGCTTGATAGTATGGACGACACCGGTTATAGCGATCTCGACGATGCCACACCGAGTGAGATAGCGGAGTACTGGGACAATGGCCAAAACAGCACACAGCCGCATGTCACCAACCAGACAGACGACCAGACTAGTGACTCTTTGAATGATCAGGCGTTCCTCGACGAGGTGCGCGACTCATACTATGCGGAAGATCAAATGCTTGTGGCAAGAGCATTCATGGCGTCAGAGGACTGGGGGGATGAACTTGACGACCCACCCAAACCTGGCGCTAATACACACGAGGCCATTGAGCATGTAGTTGACGATGAGCGATGGGATGTGGACAAGGATGCTATCAATTTTCTTGCAGAAGTCATGTCTTTCGATGGAGAAGATTATCTCATCGAGCACCTGGGGAAATACTCTACAATTCGTGACCTTAAGATGGAATTGCCAGTTCTCCACCGCGATCCAGAACTCGAGCTCCTGATGCTCAAACAGCGGCATGAAATCTCCATCAATACTCGAGACGTAGAATTGTGGACACACCAAGAAGGAGATGGCAAAGACCTTGATAGAGAGATGGATGATCCTACTCTACCGGCTCGAATCGAGGCCGAGATCGCGAACGAAACGCTCGATGTGTCTGAGGAAGCGGCGAGGTTTCTTCGCAACATTCATAAAGAATTCAATTCAAGCAACGCAGACCTGCTCGATCTGCTTATCTGCTTGAAATCGGTAAGTCTTCACTGTGCAGACTCTCGAGGACTCTATTTGACACATCTCAGCCAGACACTTACAAGGTCGAGACGCCGATACTACTGCCACAATCGCGTTCACAGACTCCGGCTGCCATGGACGCCTCCCTGCTGGAGGTCAATCTCACTTCAACGCCCGAGGACTTGATAGCGGCCGAGGCTATTAAGGTTGAGCAGCAATTGCTGGAACAGGATGAGCGGGGATTCTCTTCCATGGAAACCTTCGATCATTCTGGATTGCCGAGCAATCTCGCTTCATCAGAGACTTCGTCGGACATCCGCTTGTCACCTCTTATCGCGAGAACTCTAGAGAAAGTGGAAGTGCCTCTGACGCCCCTCGGCTGGACGACCACTTCTTCATGCAGAACAGTCGAGGCCAAGGATACGACGATGGTCTCACACAGTCTCGTACCTTCACCCGAATCAGATGAATCACGACCAGATCGAGAGTCTGCGAAGCAATATCTTCAGAACTGCCTCGACGCAATTGCTGGGCCCGCCGTAGAGATTATGAAGCATCGCCTTGAGAATGAAAAGTTGTCCGCACTTGACACCATCTTGCGCGTTCCCGTACCTGAATTGGATCACAGCCTCCCCAGACCACCTTGGGAATTCCCGGCGGCCACGGCCAATCTGATCAAGCGTGCCATGGAAGACTTTGACGAAGGCGATCTCCTCTTTCCTGGCTTGTCCGAGCTGGAGCAAAAGCTATCCTGGACTGCATTTCCTGTTCGGCTCGGTAGAGCAATGGAGGAAGAAATATACAACGAGGAACTCGAGATAGACGAGTCCGTCGCGAGGTATGACTCGAGTATTGAGATGGACGATGAGCTAGACATTGCGGAGCTTTTCACCGAAACTGGTCATCATTCGATACTTCACTATCACGACGAAGATGATGAGGAACTCAAGACTCTGCTTACCGACCATTGGTCGAGGGAGGAGCCCAGCTTGAATCAACATGAGCTCACAGCCGAGCTGCAAACCGGTCCGCTTCCAACCACGACAGTCGACGAATCCAGCAACGTAGACATGAACACGGGTACCGAATTGCCGTATCAAACGGACATCCAGAATCTGCTGCGCAGACGCAAGCTTGAGCTGGCGAGATCGAGTAATAAGTCATGCGTTACGGCGAAGACGCAGCAGCATCATCCTACGTGCCCAATCGCGAGTATCCATGGGCCAAAGCAGACCCAACACAACCTGGCTCCTTCTCTCGGCGACTCACTGGGTGCTGGTAGAATAGGGCAGTTCTTGCGTCTACAGGGTAGTGCAAAACTACCGACTGCTCCAGAGTGTGCAAGCCGGCTTATTCCTCACACCAGTGGCCCAACCGCAGTCGTGGTAACGCCTCAAGAAGAGCGTCACATTCCTACGCTCTTCTTGCCTGCTCCTCAACTACCAAAGCCGCAAGATCCAGTACAAGTCATCTTTGGAAGCTCAGTGCTTGCTGATCGTACATTGGTTCGCGCCCTACAAACACAACTGCCAATGCTCGAGATCATCGAACGACACAATATCACAGTAACTGGAGGCGCTACGAACAAGGCAATGGTAGAGACGCACAACGACGAATGCGACGTTACTCTCTCTTCTGACACTGGTCTCATTTTCACGACTCTTCAGAAGCTCAAGCAGAAGGCATTGCCTGGGCAAAACAAGCATACTGGCGTACGTGAGCGCATTGCTGCAGTATCTGCACACTACGGTCGTATTGTCGTGCTGGTCGCTGGAGGTGAAGGGATTATTGCAGACGCCATAGCGTTCGACCAGCGAGACTGTGATGCCATAGCAGACCTAACCGCCTTTGCAGCAGCACTCCAGACAGCCCTGGAAGTGTATGTAGTGCCAGGCGGCTCAAAGGAGATCGTCAAGTGGCTTGCTCCATTAATCATGCAGCATGCAGGCACCTTGACAGCATCAAAGCTTATGCAAGAAGACACTCAATGGGAGCATTTTCTCCGCCTTGCAGGGCTGAACGCATATGCTGCGCAAACTGTACTTGGCAAGGTTAATCAGATCGGGCTCTCTGGTGGTAGAAAAGGGCTTGCGCAGCTCCTACAGATGACAGACGAGCAACATTTGGTCCAATTCAGCACATTACTGGGTGAAGATGTTGTGCGACGTTTGAACGAGATGGTTAACGCAAAGTGGTGGTCGAAGGGTACCGCAATGCATTAAGAGCGAGTTCTTAGCTATCGTCCTCCACGATAACATCAGTAGCCCACCATTTAGTTGGTCCCTCAAGTATCCCATTGAATCCATATACGCTGCTACAGTTTGCAATGGACCCCATGCCCTTCAACAACAGACCGCTCTACAGGTCTACAAGATCCTGCCCCAGCCTGCTCATGTAGACTGTCATGTGAAACCCCCACAGCACAATATAAGAGCGGCCACACCGGCGGCCACTCCGTGAGGCAAACATGCAATGCTGTCGGCCCTACACGATACGATGTCCTGAAGTCAAGCTCTCGAAATTCCACGACGATCCAGGCCACGATCGATCGTCGTCAGCCTCCCCCACTTCACCTGCAAGCAATTTCGCATCCATGTCACCCTCCCGCCGCACGGCTCTGATCTGTGCAACCGAGAACCAGGTTTCGGCACGAAAGGCCAGGATCGATGCTGGTTTTGTCACCCGCCACGAGTGTCAGCCACACTTGCTCAGCGCCTGTCGTGCTGCAATGTTTGTGTCGCGTGGACTGTCTTCTTCGAGCGCGAGGCATTGGATGTCAAGCAGGCGCAGCACTATCAACATCAAAAGTCACGTAGCATATAGCTGCCCAACTCTCTCTCGGTTTACTATTGAGTTGGGTTTCCATTCATCCTTCTTGAGCTACAGAACGGGAACATTGCGTGTTGCTGTACGTCATTCGAGCTTTCCATTTCTGTGGCAGTGGCAGGCGCGCTAATTAAACTCTGTGTACCGTAGCTCTCTACCTCCTAAACAGTGTCACTTCGCAATCTCCCTGCTTCACCTCCTTCGCAGACCGATCAATCAACAATCTTCTCACGCGACATCAAGTACCATTTGCAGCTCTACTGCGACTTTCACCAACAGCATCTCCACGACCCTCTGGCGGTCACAAGGTCGACATTCGTCGCGTTGCTGCAGCGCACAACAAACAGCAACAATAACAACATGGCAAACCTAATTCCTCGCGCAGTGGCAGCCATGACTTCGCCTCTGCAGGCTCGTGCCAGCGATGCCAACGTAGGATCCGCTCAGGGCGGTCAGGACCAGTCCGCCACACAAGTCCTCACTCCTCTGGTCACCGTCGGCCTCTACGCTCTTGTATGGGGTGTGCTGTTCTTGCTGCTCAGGCGACCATTCAAGAGATACTATCAGCCAAGAACCTTCTTGGGAAGTCTTCGCCCAGAGGCGCGCTCACCCAAGCTCCCCGACACGATGTTCGGATGGATCCCGGCCTTCTACAAGATCCCGGACACGTACGTGCTCAACCATCACTCCTTGGACGGCTACCTTTTCCTGCGCTTCCTCAAGATCAGCGTTGTCTGCTGTGTTGTGGGCTGCCTGATCACCTGGCCTGTTCTCTTCCCGGTCTTCGCTACTGGAGGCGCCGGTAAGACGCAGCTCAACATCATCACGTTCTCCAACCAGGCCAACTACTGGCGCTACTTTGCACCATGCGGCTGTGCGATGATCTTCTTCAGCTTTCTAATCTACATGATCACGCGCGAGAGCATCTTCTACATCAATCTTCGCCAAGCTTACCTTATGTCGCCACTCTACGCATCCCGCATCTCCTCGAGGACAGTCCTGTTCTGCTCTGTCCCGGAAGAGTACATGAACCAGGCTAAGCTCACTGCTGTTCTCGGACACGGTGTGCGCCGCATGTGGTTCGCTAGCGACTGCAAGGAGCTTCAGGACAAGATTGATGATCGTGACAAGGCCGCGTACAAATTGGAAGGCGCCGAGACCAAACTCATCGTCACTGCGAACAAGGCACGCGTGAAGGCAGAGAAGGGTGGACACCGTCAAGACTCTGAAGAGGCGGCTATCGGCCAAGGCTCTGGAGCTGTGGCTGCTCGATACCTCAAGCCCAAGGACCGACCTACGCACCGCACTAAGTTCTTGATCGGCAAGAAGGTCGACACCATCGATTGGTGTCGCGCTGAGCTAAAGAGGCTCATCCCAGAAGTCGACGGGCTGCAGGCCACGCACATGGCAAGGGAGAGTAAGATGCTCAACTCTGTCTTCGTCGAGTTCGAGACCGTCTCCTTGGCACAAGCCGCCTACCAGAGCCTTACCCACCATCAAGCTCTGCACATGTCTCCACGATTTGCTGGCATCACTCCTGGCGAGGTCATCTGGACCAACCTCAGGATCAAGTGGTGGGAACGTGTCATCCGTAAGCTCGCCACTATCGCCTTCGTCGTCGCGCTCATCGTCTTCTGGTCGCTCCCCGTTGCTGGTGTGGCAGCGATCTCCAACGTGCCGGCCCTTGAGTCTTCGTCAGCGTTTAGCTGGCTGCATTACATCTTCGACCCAATCCCCAGCGTCATCCGCGGTGTTGTGACTGGTCTCCTGCCAACGATTGCTCTTGCGGTTTTGATGGCACTTCTGCCGATCATTCTGCGACTTATGGCCAAGCTTGGTGGTGATCCAACTAGGAGCGCTGTTGAGCTGACCGTCCAGAACACGTACTTCGCCTTCCAGGTCATTCAGGTCTTCCTTGTCGCTACACTGGGTTCTGCTGCTGCAGCCGTAGGTGGAAAGATCGCCCAGAACCCTGCCTCTGCCATCAGTATCCTGGCAAACAACTTGCCGCAAGCCAGCAACTTCTTCTTGAGTTACTTCATCTTACAGGGTCTCGGAGTGGTCTCGGGCATATTAGTCGGTCTCGTCGGTCTGGTTATCTTTATTGTGCTTGGCAAGCTTCTCGACAAGACACCGCGTAAGATGTACAAGCGGTGGATCAACCTCTCGGGACTCGGCTGGGGAACTATCTTCCCGATCTACACGAACTTGTTCGTCATCGCCATCTGCTACGCCGCCATTGCCCCCCTGGTACTGGGCTTTGCCGCGGTCGGTTTGGCTTTCTTCTACGTCGCCTACCGGTATAATCTTCTGTTCGTGTCTAATGTCAACATCGACACCAAGGGTCGTGTCTACCCGAGGGCTTTGCAGCACGTCTTCGTTGGCATCTACCTGGCTGAGGCTTGCTTGATTGGTCTTTTCGCCATCGGCACTGGCAGCTCCAAAGGTGCCATCGGTCCATTGATTCTCATGATCTTCATGTTGATCTTCACTGTGTTGTATCAATCTAGCTTGAACGCGGCGCTTGAGCCACTCATCAACTACCTGCCTCGTAATTTGGTAAGTCTGATCCCTAACATTGGACGCCGTCCAAACGCTAACACTCTACTAGGATGCCGAGGAACGCCGACTGCTCAGCCTCGAGAATGGCGCGAACGGCAACGGCTACGATGGCGAGATGCCCGACAAGGAGGGCGGCCACGTAGCTGCCCAGGGCATGAACGGCCGCGGCGCACCAAAGAAGAAGCCCAACTTCTTTGCCAAATGGCTTCGTCCCGACATCCACTGCGACTACCAGACGATGCGCCTACTGGTGCCACGCGACATTCCAATCGTTTACTCAAGGGAGCAAGAAGACCAGGCATACTTCGACCCCGCCATCACCAGCGTCACGCCGCTTCTTTGGATCCCTCGCGATTCTGCTGGTGTTTCTAGGCAGGACGTCCACGACACTCGCAACGTTATCCCAATCACCGATGAGGGGGCTTACCTGGATGAGAAGAACAAGATCGTTTGGGACAGTGCGGACGGTCGTCCTCCGATCTACGAGGAGGTGCCGTATTATTAGACGAAGAAGAGAGTGCGGGAAGGGAGGATTTTCCTTGAGTTTTGTCTGTCATGAGTAGCGGGTGTGTTTTGGCGCACAAGATACCACATTCATCGCGGAAATTCTAATCAGTCGCCTTTGTGCGGCGAGCGGTAGTGATAGAGCAGGTAGATATGATAATGAAGGCGGTCATTCAATTTTCCTTTTCATGTGCTTTGGTGGTCTGAAATAATGCAATAATACACCGATTCGATTGTTATTCGGGTGTATGGACGAGAGTCTCGAGCCCGACGTCATCATCGAGCTTCCATGTTGTCCATCGTCACCATTGAAGCTCACTTTGATATCCTCAAGATCTCGCGTTTTGTCTAGTAATTCAATATATTAATGTTCGCGCGTATCAACCAACTGAGCCGGCATCTTGCTCGCACCACACCATATTACCTGCACTCCTCTGCAGGCGGGTTGTCATCACCCTCTCGATTCGCAGCCATGGCACAAGAACGGAGCAAACGAATGATCAACACGGCGGGATGCATAATCATAGGCGATGAGGTACTCGGCGGCAAGGTAGGCCATTCTTCGCCATATCTACGCGATCACACCCTTGCTGAGATGCTGAGACAGACATTTTATCTGTAGACCGTCGATACCAACTCCGCCTGGTTCGCCAAATACTGCTTCTCCCTCGGCATCAACCTCAAACGGATCGAAGTCATTTCCGACGATGAAGACGAGATCATTGAGGCCACGCGACGCATGAGCAAGAACTATGATTTCGTCATTACATCAGGCGGTATTGGCCCAACTCACGACGATATCACGTACCAATCCATCGCCAAGGCTTTCGATCTGCCATTGATATTGCATGAAGAGACATTGGAGAAGATGAAGAAGCTGTCGAAGCCTCGACCTGGCCAGGAGAACTTCTCGTGGGACGAGGACACGCCTGCGAGGAAGGCAAAGATGAGGATGGTGGAGCTGCCGTATGATAAGAACTTACCGGACGAGATCCAGGTGATCTTTGCTGCTGAGGACTTGTGGGTGCCGATCAATGTGGTCAATGGCAACATCCATATCTTCCCAGGCATACCTCGACTATTCGAGAAGATGCTAACGGGATTGAAACCACGTCTGGTTCCTCGTCTTACAGATCCCGAGGGCAAGGGCGTGTATCGGGTGTTGTTCAGTACACCTTTGCCGGAGAGTGAGGTGGCTGGATACTTGACGGAGTTGGCTGGCAAGGTCAAGGAGAAGGGCATCAACGTGGGCAGCTATCCTCGATGGGGCAAGTCGAGGAACACGGTCACGCTTGTGGGACGGGACAAAGAGTTCATGGACTCTCTCATTCCTGAGGTCGAGAAGAATGTCAAGGGTCGGAGAGTCGAGGTGGAGGGCGAGGACGACGATGATGGGAGTGACAAAGATGCATGATAGAGTGGCAGAAGCTTGTAAATACGGCTGCCGTACCGACTGTCTATGCTGTTGTCAATGCAGACGCTTGGCCTCTTACTCGCTTTGCTAATATCTCTACGCTCACAAACTGGTCTCGGCGAGTCATGATCGGATCAGCTTCACACGACAGACTTTGCAAGTTCGTTACCACCGTCCATCTGGGAACCCAGCCAGCAACTGGATCATGGTAAGCATGCAATAATTCGCGCTTAAAAAGGCAAGGGGGACTTCTACACTGATACGTCCTGCTGTCTAGTCGAACAGCAACCACCGCACTATCGCCGCCATCAGAAAGGATCAATGAGCCCATTCATGCGGGCTGTCGTGGCTTGCATGATTCTCTTCGCCGCCGGCATACAAGCCAAGCTCAAGGACTGCTCACACATATTCGAACAAAGGAGCAGTAATTCGACGTCCGAAGTCAGACCATCCAGCGTGAGTATTCGCGAACGCAAAAGATCCGAGAAAACACCCCTAATGACTATCTTGTAGTGTAAACCCGGGCTATACTTCTCTGCCTTTGAATTGACGTTGCTGTTCATGATGCTTCATCCTAACCTCACGGAGATGATATTACATCGACTTCGCCAAGCGCTGTATAGGCCAGGTGTTCTAGTGGACGACTAAGGACACGAACGAAATAGCAAGAGAGATGTGCATGTTGCTCCTGGCGCCTAATGGCATCAGCGTTGCTCTGGGAAAGCTCGTGAAGGATGAAACAGATGCGACATTGTATAATCGTGGCAGGGTCGTACAATCAATGGAAGTTTTTGTACAAGTGTTTCGCTGAGCCTTCCCAAAACAGTATGATGCGCCGGCGTCGCTTAGATGCTACTGAAATCGCTCGAACATTCTCAAGTAAAACCCACTCTTCACCAACAATGCAGACGCAAGTCTCTCTAAAGACTCTCGAAGTCGCCAGCTGAACCACTCAGGAGCAGGCCGATGATCAAGCCAAACAACCCAAGCACAGAGGAGAAGATTTCAATGACCAAGATCTTGACGAACCTAGCACAGTGTCAGCTTTACAATGCCATACGAGTGGATCCAAACGTGAAGGCAACTCACAGGCCTGGATCCGCAGCATCTGCCAAAGCAGCACTGCTTCCGTTGATGCCCACACTGACGCCGCAAACCAAGTTGCACATGCCTACGAGCACTCCAGACCAGAACAGAGCATATCCCACAAAGTAGTTGTTGCCGCTATGCAGAGCATCTCCACTCAGTGCCGAGACCTTTGATGAGAAAACGATGCTCATGATGACACCGTAGATAGCCACGACTTCGCAGAAGATGATGGAGATCAAATTCTTGGTTCGGATTCGTGGTGCTTTTACACCTCCTCCGAGGATGGATGTGCCTGTGATTAAGATGCCCCTGCATATGATGTGAGCCTTGTACAGGTCATACCGTCCCGCTAGCTTTTGACTGACCATGCTGCTCCCACGACCGACAGACTGATACAGAGACCTATGCCTGTGCTCGCCCATGCGTACGGTGATATCGATTCGAGGAAAGCTCCGACCTGTTGAGTGCTTAGTAGAGCATATCCTGCATCGCTCTTCTATTCGTCCTCACGTACGTTGAATGCTTCGCCTTCTCCCTGAAACAGCATATCTGTAGGCTTGTTAGCCCGCCATCTCGCCTCTCAGCAACCTCTGCGATCGCATACACAAGCCGATGACTGTCAGGGCGGCGACGGCCCCGTATGTGCCATATGTGAGTCCTCCCATGGCGAACAAAGAGACAGTGAATGCCGGATCGAGTAGTGAAGACAGCTGCCTCCCACTGCAACCCCACGATGATGCTGCTCCAACCTCCGATGCTTTTGCGGCGACAGCGGATAGAGCCGCCACGCTGAGTCAGCCGGATTGATGATATGAGTGTTCACCACCAACGCACAATTTTTTGCTACTACACCACTGTCGCCGGCAGTCGAAGTCGTGGTACCGGCTCCATAAAATACCGCGCACAGCCAAAGAGCATCTACAAGAACTGCGACAGCCGCCAAGATGGCGAACGCAACCCAGAACTTCTACGAGCTCTACCGTAACACTTCGTACGCTTGCTGCCTACTACACGGCATGCTTGGAGTTCATACTGACTTCACACAGCATCGGTCAAAGCCTCGCTGAAACTCTCGACAATCTTATTAGCAGTCGCCAGATTGAGCCCCAGCTTGCTATGCGTGTTATGGCCACCTTCGATCAGAATGTTGCGGCGGTGCTAGGCGATAAGGTGAAGGCAAGGTGTACCTTCAAAGTGAGCGATCTCTTATTCATCAGCGTGAAAGGTTTTTCTAATTGGGTGGTCCTGTAGGGGCATCTGGATACCTACCGCTTCTGCGACGAGGTCTGGACGTTCATTATCAAGGACGTCAACTTCAAGATGGAGCAGAACCACCTCGAGAAGGCGGAGAGGGTCAAGATCGTGGCTTGCCAGTCCAAGGAGAAGGTGGGTGCTTGATAGACGTGCTTTGGGGCAGGCACACGGCGTTCGAGATACCAGGGAGGCTTTGCGATGAGATTATGATACCCAGGATTACATGAATTACGAGAATTCGAGATGCTTTGCCATAGACCGCATATGTGCCGGTGATATCGTCTTCTGGAGTGCCGAAGGTGTGCCGCGCACCCGTTGAGGACCTCCAAGGGCTGTTGCATGCTCATGACCTAGGTATAGTGACGTTGACGCTACATCGATTGCCCAAACGCTCACTGATCGGCTGCTCCCGTAGCTCCTCGCACATTGCTTTGGTCGCGAATTTCGCCGCTGTGCTGGATGCCGTTCTTCGAGCATTGCATTGGAATCTACGACTGCGACGTACGCAAATCAAAGCATGGCGCACAAGAAGAAGATCGATGACAGTATCAACACGCAAAGCTGGCAACACGCCGAGACAGAAACTCGTAGGCTTTCTATGGGTAATACAAGTCTTCCAGTCGCACCTGCAAAGGGTCTCACTACAAGCGCCACAGGCGGAGAGCAATCACGCGAAGAAGACCATATGTCTTCGGCGTCGGAACGCTAAGGTCAACCTCAGCGGTCCTCTATCAAGACGTCAGCAGAGGATGCTCAAGAAGCAGAATGATGTAAGCATAGCCACGACACACAGTGTTGCCAGCAAAGAAACAGCAGAAGAGCACACATAGAGTTCTGCGGATCATGGCCTGCCTCAAGAAGTCTTGACAGAGCCGCAGCTGTTAGATCAGGAGATAAATTCTCCGATCTTGAAAGTAACAAGTCTGCCAGCAGATAGCGGGAAAGCTCGACAGCAGGCTTCTCACAGCGTGACGCAATCATCAAATGACAATACTCGCCTCGATAGCCCGACGCAGCCGAACGCTAATAGAGACGTAGCTCCTGCTGCCGGGCTGGCTCACTTGCTCGAGTACATCACTGACCCACAACTTCTCATCACAGCCCTGCCCCGGATGTAGACCATCCTTGGCCGAGCCGAGCAGTGTGACGCTTAAGCGGCTGGACGATACCAGGAGCTTGAGAGGGCACTTCGTTCGACACTTGTGTATTTGGAGTTGCGCAATAAGCAGGCCGTCCAGAGGTGGATCAATGAGCTTTCCCAACTGCAGGAAGTGCTGCGACACTTGAAGTCGGAGTATGGGCAGCTTATTCAGGGGCAAGCCAAAGCGCTCACGCAGCATTATGAATCGACAGTCACGCAAGACAACGTTTCCATGTCGCAGTTCCGCGCTTTGCAGCAGAAGCACGCTGCTTTGCTGAACACCGTAAACCAGCAGATCCAGGCACGACGTGTGACGTAGGGACAGCATTCAGCAGAGATTCATGAGCTGTACGATAACACAGACGCTGACAGTGCAAGCATCGATGAGCTCTTCACGAGAGTCAATCAGGTAGACGCGAAGGCACAGAAGGCGCAGTGTCAATCCCAACAACGATCAAGTAAACACGAGACGGCTATTGATGCCCTCCAACGAAGCCATGCTGATCTTTGCCACCACTCCAGCCAGGACGATCAGAGAATCGCCAGTCTTTGTGCAAAGGTAGCTGAGCTTCGTGCGAGACTCGACACACTTGAGACGCAGCCTGCTCAAGCACGGGTGTACGTTAGGCCAGCTCCCGACCGTAATGCGCCCATACAGTATACTTCACAGCCGACTGATCAGCAGTATGCCACTGCTTCCTTGACCCCATCGCCTACGATCGCAGCTATGGTGATCAACTCGCAGTCGTCACAACGCCTGGACTGTACAATACATCGAGTGAATCATTAAGGGCGCTGGGTCTACCGACAGCCAGGCACGCGAGCATTATGGACGATGGACCATCAGCGATGGTGCCAGAGCTGCCATGTATACTACCTAGGCCATCACAGAGTTCGCATAGCCCAAGAGTCGCTGACCCTCACCTCATGCAGGATCCGTGGTAGGAAAATGTATGTCTCTACGCATTAGCCCAAAGTGATGTATCTGGCTGGTCGACGAAGAGCTTGTCTGCAAGCAGGTAGTGCCCGATCATGCGCGACGAACCACTATGCCCGGCCCAAGGGCCGAGAATAGTTGTCGCTGGGATGTGCCAATGCCATGCACTGTGTTGGTAATTTTTGGCGGCAACGTGCACTAGATAGATATGTACCGTCCAAAGACACAGAACCAAAACATGAAACGCATCGTCTCTATTTCACATACCATGTAAACGAGCCGATCATCTTTCTCACAACATCATGGATCTCGAGGCTTGGTTGAGCTGTTCCTGTGCCAAGCCTTCATTCTTCTCTCCTCCCTTTACTTCCCAACTTGACGTTCATCGGTCCAATTGTTGGACAAAATTCCATCATATCTCAGCATGACATCCACGAACAGCCAATGGCTCTTCTACGCCATGGCGTCGGGTGGGTGTGCAGCATTGAACGGCGTCTTCGCAAAGCTCACGACTACACAACTAACCACGACTTGGGCGACGGGCATCTCGCATCTCTTTGGCTTCAATGAGCCCAGCAGGATTGTTGAATTCCTTGTGCGCGGTGTACGTAGATCTAGGACGATACTGCTAGTGCTGATGAATCGGGCTGACGACGGATATAGTTCTTCTTCCTTATGAATTTGGCCTTCAATGCCGTTATGTGAGCATCGCCACCACCATACAGATTTGAAGATGGAGGACAAGGACTGATACAAGATCGATAGGTGGGGTCTCTTCACACGAGCCTTGACACTGGCAACGAGCACGGTTCGTGTGAGCGTGATCAACACATCGGCCAATTTTATGATCACGGCAGTATTGGGTGCTCTTATCTTTCGAGAATCACTACCTGGTCAGTTCTTCTCATCAACTGACTACTAGCAGTCCGGAGTCCACTAACGCAACACAGGACTCTGGTGGCTGGGCGCAAGCTTTCTCGTGGCAGGCTCAGTCATCATCGGACGGCGTGAAGAAGGCAAGGATGTGGGCTCGGCAGGAACAGCAGGAAACGAATCTGCTGTTGTAGTGTCAGGAGGTTTCCAGGACGAGCCCGATGCTCCTCTTGCCGCCGCCGGCTCTGTAGGAGGAGCGGAGCAGGAAAGCTACAAGGATAGTATTGAGCTTAAGCGTAAGCCTGCGAAGAAAGTTGCCGTGGAAAGTGAAGATGATGAGTTAGGTATTTGAAATGCAGGTGATGGTTCGTAGACCCTTCCCGCATAGAGCTCAGGCTTCAAAATCGCTACAATCATGATGATACTACGAAACATGCAGTCGTGCCTCCTCTCAAACCTGAACGCCACCCATAGGGACTAGAATTTGGATCACGGTCTCTGCACCTTGTTGTCACCCTGCACAGCTTGTTGATACGTCGGTGGCGCTGCCGATCCATCACTCGGGCCAGCCTTCTGCGGTGGCTGCACGAAACCCTGCTGTCCTTCTTGTGGGAACTGACTGCTCGGCGCTGCATTCACAGTACCATAAGACCTCCCCTGGCCATCCTGTCTCGCATACTGTGGTCCAGACCCTTGTTGCACGTAATAATATGTGACCGCGTTGCCTCGCTCGGGGTCTTGAAGTTCTTCGTATGTCGGTTCAGGCGAGGAGGCGATCACGTACCAGGCGTGTAGGAGACCTGGGAGGAAGCCGAGACCTGGGGGAGAGTGTTAGTAGGGGTTGAATAGAGTGAGGCATGGGTTGTTGTACGCACAGCATAATGCGATATTGATTAAGCCATCGGCGCTGCAGAGTCCTCGCTTAACCCAGACTGCGAGTGGTGGGAAGAGGATGGCGATCAAGGCCAGGAATACGTCGCTGCCGCACATTCTGGTGGTGTACTCCTCGATTCTTACGCTGAGATGGCGTATAGAACTATAATAGGTTGATGGCAAGGACAAAGTCTTTACATAAGTTGCAGCCGGGTCGTTATGCGATCGTAGGCGCAGGATCGTCGTCATCGCGCCGAGCCGAGGTGTGGCGCAGCTGAAACATCTGTGGCGAGACCTTGCATAATCGATAGCAGGAGCTCGAAAAGTGAACATCGATCAGATCACAACTACAGCCATTGACTACGCGATGTCCACATTCTGCCAACGATAGCAACAATGCAAGCAGATCGCCGTCGCCTCAATGGACCTACAAGCGGTACTGCGCCTCCAGTCTTTGCCACACCACCCAATTGGAAAGTGCAAAGGCCAACACGGTCACGAAAGCCAGACGAGCACCGCAAGATCTTCCTTCGGACGGGCATTGTGCCTTCGGCGAGCGGAAGTGCATACTACGAGATTCCACCACAGACCCCCTCACAACAGGACGAGCTGCTCATCCCACAAAGCAGTAGCCTGAAGGTTACATGCACAGTTCATGGACCAAGACCACTTCCACGAAATGCGGCTTTTAGTCCAAATTTACTGCTGACTACACACGTCAAATTCGCGCCTTTTGCCACGAGGAATCGAAGGGGCTATGTAAGGGATGCGTCTGAAAGGGATCTGGGTGTGCATCTGGAGACGGCTTTGAGGGGTGTGATTATCGGCGAGCGGTGGCCGAAGAGTGGGTGTGAGGTTGTGATTACGGTGTTGGAAGGAGAGGAGGATGCGTGGTGGGGTGATGCTGGGAACGAGCAAGACGGAGGGAAGGCAGGTGGATGGGGTATGATGGGTGTGCTGGCTGGGTGTATCACTGTTGCTAGTGCAGCTTTGGTGGATGCGGGGATTGATTGTGTGGACATGGTCAGTGGCGGTGTGGCTGCTGTGGTGCAGCAGGGCTCAGCAGACGAGAAGATGGACCGAGATGTCGTACTGATTGATCCTACGCCTTCGGAGCATTACGGCATCAAGGCTGCTTGTGTTGTGGGCTATCTGCAAAGTAGAGATGAGGTCACCGAGATGTGGATGAAGGGTGACGCTGGAACAGATACAGAGGCATTGGTGGAAGGGGCTGTGAGGGCAGCGAGTCTTGCGAGGACTGTGCTTGCGGAGGCGATCAAAGAGGCGGTCGAGCTGAGGAGCGACGAGTCACACGATAATGCTCATGCCAATGGCTCCGCCAAAGCCGAGAAGACAAAGCAGAAAGATGTCGTGATGACTGGCTGAACGAGAGATGTTTTCGAATTGCCTTGAGCTCTTTCTCATGCACCTTGAGCACATTTCACACAATCGTGGCATGAACCTAGCTACTTATATCTGGGACTCCACGCGATCTTCCTACAGGAGCAGACCAGCTGTGTATGTTTGCACACAAAGGCGGATAAGAAGCCGGCCGTTACCCACTCGCGTCTTCAAGTGGGCGATAGCGACATGGACGACCCACTTAACTGCATGGGCTCCAAGTATGCATAAGCATGCGAGGCTCATACCTTGCCCAAGCGTACCTACGCCCTGTCTGTAGAACAACGCAAGCCGGACAAGACCAAGCCAAAGCTGACGGCAGCCCGATGATGTGTCGCAATCGTTGTGGTGTCGATCGGGCGCTCCAGTACCGTCTTAGCCTAGCACTCTACACTTCACGGTTTGCCAGTCCGCCCGGAAGAAAGCTGTTCGTATCCCACCTGTTCCAGCTGTCCATCGCAAAACGCACGATCATCCGCTGTACCTGCTCACTCCCTGCTCATTGGGCTAATGTGCTGGCCTCATATGCTAGTCGCTGTCGACGCATGGCCGCCTTGTGCATTACTCGCGGCCATTGTGAACACGATGGAGCGGGGCTGGCATTGTCGTGAACAACAAAGCAACGCACGATTGACAAAGACACATTGTTTGGTGACAAAGCCATTCATTACATCCGAGCTACAGACTTAAACTCCGACCAAGCCCTTACTCGATCCCCTGCAGTAATCATACCAAAACGAATCACAACATAACCAACCAAGAAAATCATCCCAAATCAACCACGCAAAATGTACGCCCTCACCCCCTTCCTCTTCGCGGCCCTCGCCATGAGCGCCGCCCTTCCCCAGCCCGCCGCCGTCGAGGTCCAGGCTCGCCACAACCCCCAGTACGTGGTCAAGTTCTGCTCCGGCAACAACTGTTCTTCCACCAAAGCAGGCAACGCCGGCGGGTGCCACAAGCTCCCCAAGGCCTACACTTCCATCACCTTCGACTCCCACCTCTCCCGTTGCATCGCCTTCCAGACCGGAAACTGCGCGCCCAGCGATTCCAACGACGCCAACTCCGAGAATGTGGGCGAGCTGAAGAATTCCTTTGATGTGACGACGAGTGCGGCTGCGAAGGCTAGCAAGATGACTAGTATTGGGAGCTTCTACTGTGAGGGCTTCTGGCATTGATGGAAGGGCTAGTGAGATAAGGTATTTGATCTTAGGGGTACGGAGACATTGTGTGGACAGATAGCTGGTTTTGTTAGTCTGTAGCATCATGAAAATTAATGTTCAGTATTGCCTGACTTCAAACACTGGCCCGGTTCATAAGTTTGGTCGTGAACACCACTCCATTGCTATGATTTCATCGTGCGGGCGTCGAATTGTTCGAGTCTTTGGGGTTCACGGAAGCTGCATCTTCGTCCTTCTGACTGCCGTGCCCGACCTACCATGGATCAGTGCCTCCGGGTGCGCCCGCCAGCCCCACGAGCGTTTGTCGAGCGGCGGCAATATCAGCCACATCACCTCGAGACCAGAAGACACCAGAAGAAAACCGTTCACTGCGCATGCCAGGACCAGTGTTTGTGCTGAAAGAATCCTCCACCTGCAAACACAATGTCTTCGGCCCGAGCAGCAGCCCTCTCTCTTCGAGCTGTCTCGCAAATCCAGCGATCCTCAGATGCAAAGAGTCGTCGGTATCGCACGTCGGGTGAATGCGACTGTGTTACCGTTCACCACCTTGCAGCGTTCGCAGCCATGTCCTTGTCGACTCGGGTAGGCAGCGCAACCAGTCCCACAGCCAATAGGCAGAGGGGCATCCTGCGTGTTGCGGAGCGTAGATATAGAAAGTGTTGTCCGCGTAATATGTTGGTGTTGCCTCGTGCCGGATCTCTCGACATGTCTGTAGTAGAGCAGGAGGTCTCCAGTAGCGGCGGATCGCCAATCTGACCACGATCTCGTCGGACTGCACCAAGCTGTATTCGTAAATCTGTTGGCGGAGCTCGGCTGGTAGTGCGAGCAACCGTGACTTGGCGAATACGGGTGTGGTTGCCATGGTCGGATCGTTGGTGGAGACGAGAGGGCGTTGCTTGAGCTCCTGATGTTGATTGATTTGCGGGTTGTCGGAATCGAATGAATGAACCCGGCCGGCTTTGCAGAACAAGTGAAGATCACTTCCAGCATGTAAGGATGCAACGAACTTCCCAGTGTGAATGATCCGTGAACAGTGCCTTCACCTCACTTCTTGTCTTGTGACCCTTCGGAACCATTTCGAGACGGTGGCAGAATTGGTAGATTGCTCAAAACCAGATCTTGATCAACTCCTCGCTCACAGCACTCGGCAGCAGCACGCCGCCCTCTGTAATGATCCCGCTGATTTTAGCAGGCGGTGTGTAGTCTACCTTGCTCTCACTGCCTTTGACCACAGCACCACTGCTCACCTGCCCCGCCGTCGTCTCTCCAGCGTCTCCGTGCTTGTTTTCGTCCTTCACCACACCCCTCTTCGTCTTGAATTGCACAACATCCTGCTCGATGCCAAGATCGTCTTGGCCCAGCGGATACAGCCTGACGAACTTATGACTTTCGCTGACAACATAGAAAGGCTTTCCGGCGGCCTTTGCCAGGACAGCCATCTGGTATGTTCCCAAACGGCTAACAATACCGCCATTCTCCACCACGCCTTCCGCTCCCACGAAGCAAGATGTGACGGTGTCCATGCAGTATGCAATTGCGGTAGGTAGGATCTCGGCGACGGGGATGTCACGATCCCGTAGTGCAGCAATATTCGCAGCAGCCTCTGTATCCGTCTTGTTGCTGTTTGGCGAGGTGACGTAGATGACGCGGAAGCGTATACTGCCTCTCCCACTCCCATTGCTGGACTCGGCAGCATTTCTCAAAAGTGCTCCTACCACCCTCGACCCGCCGTTGGTGAGCACCGTGTTGCCGTCTCTAATGAAGTGCTTGCCGAAGCTCGCAATCGTCTCCCTCGCCGCCTTTGCCCGCTCCACAAACAGTCGTCCATTTTGCACGAGGTGAGTGCGTATTTGGTCAAAGTCTCCTCGTGCACTCGGGCGTTGGAGGTTGCTAATGAGATATTGTTGGAAGAGATCCGTTCCTGCCGAAAGTGAGATGGGATTGGCGATGCCGGCTTTCAGCTGGGCGGTGAGTTTCGAGACTCGATCGAGAGTTTCAGAGACGGTAGTGGAAGGCGTGTTCGCCAGACCGAAAATGAGTGACTCGATGGCAGCAACTGGCATGGTTAGGTCGGGGTCCTCGGCCAGGAGGCGATGATATGTTGCGACGACATCGAAGGCGTCGGGAGTGGTTTGACCGGGCATTGTGCCAGGCTGCCCTCGTCTGGCGAGAGATGGAATAATATCACATGTTGTGATGGCAATACCAGCAGCAGTTATGATATACTGTTTCGAGTCATTCAGATTTGTGCCCCGCGACGTGGAGTATACGTGGGATCATATCTACGCGTATGAGCGACGCATATTCTGATAATTACGCACAACTTTGAACGTCGCGTGCGTTTTCACCCAGACCAGCTTGACGCGACCCGAAAAGTTTCCAGGTCAGTTTAAACACACGATCAAACACCTCCAAGACTCCAACAGGACTATCCGATTGCACCGGATTCCTGTACGACCAGACACTTGTTGTTAGCGATACAAGTGTATCGATCGCCGCTTCTTCGGCGTCCACAACACCCCCCATCATGGCAGGCATCTTCGAGCAATCCCGGAATGCTGGCACACTCTTCCTCGGCGGCCAAAAGATCTCGGGCGCAGACATCAGAGACCAAAACGTGCTGGCAACGCAAGCCATCGCCAACATCGTCAAATCGTCTTTCGGCCCTGCCGGACTGGACAAGATGATGGTGGACGATATTGGTGATGTGACGGTGACCAACGATGGTGCGACCATCCTGAGCTTGCTGAGCGTGGAGCACCCGGCGGGCAAGATCTTGGTGGATCTGGCCCAGCAGCAGGACAAGGAGGTGGGCGATGGCACGACTAGTGTTGTTCTCATTGCGGCAGAGCTGTTAAGGAGGGCAAACGAGCTGGTCAAGATGCGCATCCACCCCACCACCATCATCACAGGCTACAGGCTGGCTCTGCGCGAGGCGGTGCGGTATATGAACGAGAACGTGAGCACAAAGGTCGAGACGCTCGGACGGGAGAGCTTGATCAACATTGCCAAGACGAGCATGTCCAGCAAGATTATTGGTGCTGATTCCGACTTCTTCGCAAACATGGTCGTGGACGCGATCACAAGCGTGAAGACAACCAACGTCCGTAATGAGGTCAAGTATCCCGTGAAGGCAGTGAACGTCCTCAAGGCACACGGCAAGAGTGCTACCGAGTCAGTCCTGGTCAAGGGTTACGCTCTCAATTGCACAGTCGCCTCGCAAGCCATGCGAACACGAGTCACCGACGCCAAGATCGCCGTGCTCGACATGAACCTGCAGAAGGAGCGCATGAAGATGGGCATTAATGTCGTCATCGACGATCCAGCACAACTTGAGAAGATCCGCGAGCGAGAATCAAGTATGGTCATTGAGCGGATCGAAATGATCCTAAAGACCGGTGCGAACGTCGTCTTCACCACAAAGGGCATCGATGATCTGTGCTTGAAGCACTTTATCGAGAAGAATGCCATGGCTGTACGCAGATGCAAGAAGGAGGATCTGAGGCGGATAGCCAAAGCTACGGGGGCGACTATGGTCTCCACGCTTGCCGACATGAACGGTGACGAGACCTTTGACCCGAAGAACTTGGGCCAGGCTGAAGAAGTGGTGCAGGAGCGAATCAGTGATGATGAGTGCATTCTTGTCAAGGGCCCTAAGGTGCACACAGCTGCTTCGATCATTTTGCGTGGCGCGAACGAGTACAGCCTGGATGAGATGGAGCGGTCTGTGCACGATTCCCTTTCGGCTGTCAAGCGCACGCTCGAATCGGGCAGGATAGTACCTGGTGGTGGTGCTGTCGAGACAGCACTTCACATCTACCTCGAAGAGTGGGCGACCAGTGTTGTAAGTATACTCCAATTCCCGAAAGCAGATTAGAAAGCAGAACTGACAACCACCCCAGGGCTCAAGAGAACAACTAGCCATTGGCGCGTTCGCCGCCTCCCTGCTCGTCATCCCCAACACTCTCGCCGTGAACGCCGCAAAAGACAGCTCCGAACTCGTCGCTCAACTGCGCTCCCGCCACGCACTCTCCCAGCGCACCGCCGAGCCTGCACCCCAAAAACACGCCAACCCAAACCAGCCCCCAAACCAACAACAAGCCCAGCAACAAACACCCAACGGCACGTCTCGTCCAGCCTCTTCGGCCCCAGGCGCACAACCCCAGCGAGTGCCCCACCAGCCCATGGCCGCAGACTCCCCCGATGCGAAAGCTCTGGCCAAGGCGAAGGGGTACAAGAACTACGGGCTCGATTTATCAAAGGGCAAAGTCCACGATTGTTTGAAAGCGGGCGTGCTTGAGCCAAGCATGAGTAAAGTGAAGCAGTTGAAGAGTGCGGTCGAGGCGTGTGTGGCTATCATGAGGATTGATACGCTCATTAAGCTGGATCCGGAGCAGAGAGGCGGTGGCGAGGATGATGGACATGGGCACTAGGAGTCTTCGCCGATCGTCGTCCGAGTGGAATGTCGGAGAGTTGGCCAACGTGCCAATATCGATGTCTGCTCGCTGGCTGATAGTTGCTGCATCTGTAGACTCATATCGAAGGTGTGTATAACATACAGATTATGCTATGCTGTGCTGTGCTATGCGTACAAGAGTGCTATGATACACGTAATACGATGCCATAACTTTTGATCGCTCCATCTTCAATGCACGATCTGATATCCCAGCCGCAAAAAGGGTCGCGGTATACAAATAGAATCCATCTCATCTTATCATTAGCCGTTTTCGTCAATCGAAGAACAAGGACTATACAGCACGCCATCCGATCATCCCAACACCCGGACACCGCAGCCATCGACTGTTCACTTCATCTGCGCTCTCAACCCCGCGTTCTCCCTCCTCAGCCGTCCCACTTCCTTCTTCAACCTTGCCGTCTCCTCCTGACCAATTTGAAGTTGTCGTTTCAGCTCCTCAACACCCTCTCCGGCCTTCACGACCTTGAGAATCCTACCTAGCTCATCGTTGAAGCGGGCATAGAGTGCCTCGTTCTCGCCATTCGCTTCTCTGTATAGCTCGTCCAATCGCTTGCACTTGTTCTCCGAGACCGTGAGAGAAGATGATAAGTCGGACTGGATACCAGCGAGACGAGAGGTCAAGGTGTCGATTTGAGACGTGAGCGTGCCTTCCATTTTCAGGACACGCTGTGCGAGATCTATGTTCGTGGAACCAGCTCCACTTGTCCGAGGATACGTAGTAATCGGACGGGGAGCTCGAATCGAGCCAATACGACTAGGCGTCGCTGTGAGTTCGTCGCCAATCTTACTCAGCTCGTCCTGCAGCGAGGTCTGCGCCGTGGTCAAGGAGGTTTGTTCGTTTTGCAGACGCTCACGGAGCTTCTGTGGCGACTGCATGCGCAGCTTACGAGGAGTGCCACTCTCGGATGATGCAGCGGCAGATGGAAGGATCCCTGCTATCGACACTTTTTCCGGTTGCGGCGAGGGACGTTTGACGATATTGCCAGCACCTGCTCGCTCTGAGAGGCCCACACGAGGAGATGGCGACGGCGCTTTATGAACCGTGCTATTCCTTGGAGCAAGCGTCGGTATGCTTGAGGTCGGTCTAGCAGTAATCACTACATCCTCTGGCTGCTTACTACTGCTGCGTGGCCGAAGCGGTGCCACGACACCAAAGGACTTGTCTGCACCAGGAGAGTTCTCCCTCCTGAACGATGGTGGCAGCCTCGAGCGGGGGGTCTCGCGTATCGGCGAGCCAAATCTGCCACTGCCACCTCTTGAAGACGGCGTAGAAGGCATGGGCGAGGCTGGTAGCGATTTGTCGTCCGTGTGCCTCTGCGCAAGTGGAGGTCGGCGTGGGGACGGTGACATCCACGGCTGTGCCTTCTGCGTCGACTCCAGAGCCTTCAGGTCCGAGAGCGAGCTACGCCTCTTCTTCCTTGGCGGTCCAGTCGGTATGAAGCTGGGATGCTCACCGATGGTCGACAAGCCCAGATTCTGCGTTGAAGACAGTCCAGTCAAGCTGGCAGCGTCTTCCAACGCTGATGGTTTGAGACTTGGCCCGTCCTGCGAAGCCGGCCTTGGGAACAAGCCGCGAGCATTGATGTCCGTGCTATGAGAGCGCTGTAGAGTAGCCTTGGAGATGCTACCAGCAGGGCTTGCATCGCCTCGCGTACTCTTGCTCAGACTACGCCATACAGCGGCAACCTTCGATTCCTCTTCAGACTTGCTGTTGGCTCTCGTAAGCGTTCCTAAGCCGAATTTCTTGCGAAGGGACGAAGTGTTGGAGCTGATCGAAGCTGAGTTGACAGATCTAGCTCGCTTGTGTATACTGCCTGGTCCCTCGTTGAGCCTCTGCGTGTCCTCGACCGGCTCACCAAAGTAAGTCTCGGTGTCGTCGACGAAGCGGTCGATTAAAGGTATAAAGTCGTGAGGGTTGCCGTCGGGCACAAGCACTTCCGCAAAGGCCGCTGTGAGTATGCCACGATCGCCATCGTTGCCAGTACCGTCCAACAAATCGGCCAGCAGCTTCATAATCGTCTTGAAGGCACGCTGATTTTGTGGCGCCAACCCGCTGACCGCAGAACGGAAAAAGTTATCGAAGTCGGATGGGAACAGTGTCTCCGCCTTTGACTGGATTTCTTGGATGACAGCATACGGCACAATCTGCCCAATCTGCTCTTTCCAGGCCATGTTCACGAACTTCTCAAATGCAGCGAACAGTACATCGACCGTAGCTTGAGCGGCCAAGACCATGAGATTCGGATCTTCCAGTAGACCGTTATAGAGCTCGTTTACAGTAAGCTCATCAGCCGTAGCACGCATTTTGAGGCTGCGCCCAACGATGTTGCCTTTGCGAGCTTGCAGTGCCAGCACATAGGCTGATAGTGTCTCTTCAAGCCTACTATGCTTTTGACTGCTGAGCTGGTCGATAGAGCGCATACTATTCAGCGATCGTGGCGTCGGCTGATCTCGTGAAGGCGGTCGGCTTTCTCTGCTCGGTGGCTCGGATGAAATGCTTTCGCTGCCGTAGCGAAGACGCTGTTGTGATGGAGGTGGTGGGAGTGGCGGTAGGTCCTTCTTCATAAATGTCGGCGCCTGGCTACCTGGGCCGGTGCTGGACAAGAAACTCGACAACAGCTTGCGTGGTGACTTGGGTCGCTTCAAGCGCTCCTGACTTAGATCGGCGCGCTCATGGGCTTCGTCCTCAGGATGTGCTTCGAGCTCAATCGAGGTGAGGATGCCGGCGTTACGTGTGAGAGCATAAGCCGTAACCGATTGGTCCTCTATGCTGTAACGAGTTAAAGAAAGCAAGGCCAAGCGCTTGCTGAGCGTTGAAATCAAGTCAATAGCTGCAACATGCTCACGACTGGCGCTGCCGTCGATAGAGTCAATGGTCAGCCTCCACAAGCCATCTTTGAGTGGAGAGGTCGCTATGACGGTGCGGATGCCGGCGTGACCAGCTCGTGGCCGCTGAGAGTGCTTATCGATATCCACCAATATGCGCACTGGAGCAGCTTGACGACGGGCGGCAATATGCTCGGAACACGAGTCGTCGAAGGTTGCACTCAACAGGCTGGCATGGTCTGCAGCTGGATCTGAAGCACGCACATCCCATTGCGACGACTCACGCTCCGACTCGCTGAAACGTGCCTCCACTCGTGCCTTGGTGACTTCCTCAGTCAAGCGCGCAGCTTTGCCATCGTAGGATCCCGCGAGTCGCAAGATCTGACACGAATCGACGGTGTGCTGAGGCAGAGGATGAGCTGCAGCAACCAGAGAGAAACGCGTCGTCAGCTGCACAGCGCGCCCGCCAATGCTTTCAGTAAAGTCGCACGCGTCTAAACGGACCTTGCGCAGGAAGCGGAGCTCCAGTATAGCATCCGGTCGTGGGGACAAAGGCTGGACAGCCGCGATCACATTCTCGAGCTCACTTTGCAAGGCTCGGGCAGCAATCGCGCGTTCAGTCGTGCGCTCCAAGAGTATGACGCTGTCAGTAAACACCAGAAGAATGCCAGAAGCGCCATCGCATCCATGTAGAGCATATGGCGCCTCAAGCTCGATGACATCGACCACCGTCACAAGGCGGCCAGCAATTGCACAGTCTGAGGGCCACGAGGCGACTTTGGCCTGTAGTGTGTTGCATATCGACGTAGCATTCCCTGCGAAGTCGTCCTGTATGCAGATGTCGGTAATAATGTCACGAGCCTTCAGCAATGGCTTGATCGCGGGATGCCGCACTGGTAACTGCTTCGTGATGCTGTCGATATATAGAGTATAGCGTGGCAAGCGCTGTACAGGCTCGATCAGTAGCGAATTCAAGCGTTGCTCGCCAATCTCCTGCAACGCAGCAATGAGGGCAGTATCTGGCGAACGAAATAAAGCACGTAGCGATTGACTGGCTTGCGGTTGATCCTTCAAGTACTGAGCGTAAGTGTCAGAGAGTCGCGGTAGCCACTCGCATAATATCTTCGCACAACCGACCACGCCTTGCGCATCGCCTGCCAAATCAAGACTTGTTTGTTTAGATGTGATAGGAGTGTCCGAAGTTGCTTCGATATCCTGGTTTGCGCTGGTCTGCGTAGACACGAAGAGTATTCGTAAGGCCTGCGCGAATTGAGTGTTGAGATCGAGTATGCTTGTAAGTGCCTCCGGAAAGCACGACTGGAGCTGCTGCTGACTGCTTGATCGTAGATCACCGTGAATCATCTTGGAGATTCTGTGCAATTCTCGGAGACGACCGACATAGCTGTCCTCTGTCTCGAGCAGCTCACATATCTCCTTGCGAACAACTTCCTTCTGATGTCGCAAGAATGATGTGCTTCGGCCAATATTTGTCTGCTTGGATGGAGCACGTTTCAACTTGGACGTCGGCAGAAAGGCTGTCTCGCCAAGACCACCGATGAGCTCTGCATATCGTCCATACTTCTGCTGAAGCAAATCACTTTCCAATAGATCCTCGTCACCAAGAGAATCGCCTCGCTTGGCAGTGTCTTTGATCGTGCCCGCCGGTAGTACCACATCCACATCTAGCCAAGATTGCCGCTGCTCACAGAACGCTTCACTGAGAGCCTGGACAACCTCGTCTACGTTCTCAATGCGCGTCATTCGGCTGGCAAGGACCGCGACATGATCGTCGCCGAATAGCATAGCAGGCGAGGGCGTCTTTACTTGGGTGCACCATGTCTTCTTGACTGTTTCTGGGAGCTCTACGAAGTACTTCTTCAAGCCAAACGCCAACCCACGCACCACCTCATCGCCCTGCTCTTCTCGTGGTAAGTTGCTGACCGCAGAGTAAAATGGTGAATTCGGGGAGATGGCGAGTCGCGTATACGAACCGGTCCCCGCTGGTGTGAAGACATGGACTTGTATTCGCGAGCTCGTCGCGCCGATTGTGGCTGCTGGGCCGTGGAAAACGAGTACTGGCGAGTTCGAGAGCAGAGGATCGGTGGTGTGAAAAAGTGCCAGGTCGCCAGTCAAGGCCGGCGGCGCGGCCACAACCACTGCCATTGCGAAGTGGCAGGTCGTGTGCTTGTTTTTCAGCTTATTCTATCGCATCTCGAAGGTCGCGTCGCACTCGTCTCGGGCTGGTTGCCACTGGTTCGCCCCAGAAAGACTTTTGTATCAATACGATATTCTATGTCAACATCAACAACGCGTAATGCGGTACAACCAAAGTAACGAGTGTATTTGAGCTGTCGCGACCCGCACGATGTTTCCCAAAGAAGGATCGCAGGACCGGAAACGGTTCATGCTGCAAGGATAAGGTTGCGCAGATGTGGGGATCGCAAACGCGCTAGCACGCGTGTTGCACGTGAGCAACAACGTCTATACAGTCTTTTCGATCCCGAGGGATGGTTATATACGATAATGACAATCATGTCAAGTCAAGGTCACGAGGCAGGGAAGTTCTCCATCCTCCCAGAAGAAAGCAGAGAACAATTCCGTCTGCTTGAGCTCCCCCCTGATCTGCTTGCCATCCTCACATCAAGCGAACCTCAACCGTAGGTGACTTTGCATGAGAAGCAAGACGTAGCTGATTGACATGCCAGCTTGATCTTCAAGTCTCCAAGAAATTTATTGGGCTCTCTGAGCGAAGCAGAAGCAGTCATCTGTACAACCAATGCAACCTACAGCATTCGACAAGTGAACACTTCCAACTCGCTCTACATCTGCCAGCCAACGAAGGCGGATGTTGAAGGCGATAACGATGACACAGCAGCACTGGGCTTGCAAGCTATAGCCCAGAACGACTTCACGTTGCAACCAAACCAGGTCAAAGCGACATCCGCCGTACCGTACATTAGAGCAGTCCTGCCAACGTACTCATCCACAGGATCATATCAGTCCAAGGACTTACTCTCAAGGCAACAAGTCTTTGACAGTATTCCCCTCAGTCAAGCAGAATGTGAGGTATCATGGCGAGATCTCGCTTGCTTCGAGACTCAAGAACCATCTGGCTGCTTTCAGCCAAGCTCGACCGCAAAGGCGATTGCCTGGAAGTCAGTGATTGGGCAAGCCGCTGCATCTGGGGTCGACCTGATGGCGCCCTTGTCTCGAGATCAGATCAGCATATTAGTCGATCCCAACGAGGAATGGCCACCAGAGTTGACGCGCGCCCTGCTCACCAGCATCTCGACAATCGAGGGCGATACTCTGGTGATTGACGCAGAGAGATGTGCTGTTTCCACTGGCCTCGACTTGCTTGCCGCAGCGCAGCAGTCCAGGCGCACATTACGGAAGGCTGAGTTTCTGGCCGAGTGGAAAGACCTGTTGCCGGAGAAGTGGCGTGGTCTGGCGGAGCTAGAGAAATTGCCGAGAGATCAATACAGTATCAGCGATGGCGACCACGTCTTGTTGGTTGGCGCGTCAACAGCTGATGGCCCTGTCGCTGCTGCAGAGACCAAGAAACGGAAGTGGCACGACAAATTCCGGGCTTCGAAGAAAGCGTCGTAATGGCGTCTACAGATATATACCCAGACTAGCCGCTGTAAAGCCTTCGAGAACCGCACTGAATCCTTCAATCCGCTAGATAGGTATCCTCCTCATCTCCTCCGGCGTCCAGTACTTCCTCATATTCTCGGCCCTCAGCTCATGCACCTCCTCGTCCAAATGCTGCCACAGCACGGTACCAAAAGAGTCCATGACCGTTTTCATCTCATCCAGTCTCAACTCCTTCTCACCACTCCTGCACTTCCCGAGATACTCCTCGAGCTTATCCAGCCCTATGTGAATCTCCTTGTGCTGTGTCAGTAGCTGCAATTCCTTCTTGAACGCAGGCATCTTGCGGGCGAGTATCGGGAAGATATGCTGCTCTTCGATATTGTGGTGGAACGTCAATTGTTGACAAAACTGTTCGCCTTCGGATAGAAAGGTGCGGATGGACATTCCCGCTGGTCGTTTACCAGATGTGCAGGCACCGTAGAGGGTGTTCCAGGTATGCCTGAAGTGCTCATGCTGTGGAACCATCAGTCTCGAGGTCGCACTATAATGCTACGTGGTCGTGAGTACATACAAACATATCCATATGCTCCGACATCCTGTTATACATCCTAAACTCTTGTGGACTGAGCTTGGGCAAAGCCTGTTCTTCCTGCTTCGGCGCAGCAGCCTCTGTGGGCGCATCAGCCTTCGGCACCCCCTTCGCCATCTCATCGAAAGGTTGCTTCATTGCGAAGACGGTATGTGGGTTGCGACAAGTATCTGCTAACGAGCGGCTAAGGAGGCCAGCGGTGTGCGCGAGAACGACAGGTTTTCTGATCCTAGGGAACGAAGACAGCAGCAGACTGCCGACCAGGAGTCGAAGCATAGATGTACTTCATTTTCTCTTCAGAAGTTAGCAGACCTTGAAGTGATGTAGGGCGGGTCATTGCCGCGATGAAGGCGACGGAGCAACCTTTTAAGGGCAATTGATTACCTCATGCGCGTCTCGGCTCCTGGCAGCAGACACATCCGACGGTGTATTGTCCCGCTTACACAAGATCGAATTTCGGCGCCGACGTGGTAGGAATGGCAAGGTTGATGGAAAGGCTGAGGGACGAATAAGATAGTGGGAAGGGATTGCTTCAGAAGATCCGTCATACACATTAAATGCTATCTACAAATCTTGGGTATCTAACACAGCCAAAGTGCACGCAAAGCCGTGGATATAAGCTACGTAAAAGCATCTGTAAAATCAATCAGAGCATCCAAAGCCAGGAGACTGATAGTACGAATGGTAGAACACTGAGCTCAAGTTCGAACGATGCAGGCATGACAAAGAAGGCCGTAATATGTGCTAGTTTGCTGAGGTCCAGGGCGCCGGTCGCTATGCAAGAAAGCTGAAGTTGTAATCATTGGAGGTCGAATGGACGACTCGATCCTTCTGTGGAGTCGCCTTCGATGGTCTTCCGCCAGTGTCGAGGAAGACAAACACAGACCAGAGGGAATGCCTTTACTTCGCCTTCGCCATTGGATGAGCCCGGAGTGCGAGAGCTGCCACTGCTCATGCCGCTGTCGCGTTGTGCCTTATCCTCTGCTCGCCAGTTCTCGGCTTTTTGTCGGACGCGCACACCAGTAGCCCAGCCGTCATCCCAGATCCCCATGACCTTGACCATGTCGCCACGCTCAAGGTCAAACTCGTCGGCAGCTCGTGGTTCGTAGGCCCACAACGTGGAGACGAGATCACCAGCACGAATCTCGTCTTGCGAGTAGTAGTCCTTGAAGAAGCCGAGTCGTTCGCTCTGACCTTGCGACTCCGGTGAAGTGAAGTCGTTCTGGGAGTTTGGAGAGCTGTCCTCCGCACCCACTATGGCAAGTTGCGATCCGCTCGACAACGAGCCACTACGCTTTGGCAGTGGAGCGGCGCTCAGCATGCCTCGCGAGTCGGGTGTCTCTTCCTCGTCAGATGTGGACTTCCTATAGCCACCATATCCAAGAGGCGCATATCTCCCGGTATCATTCTCTGAGCTGCTCGTGCCTTCCAGTGCAGACATTCGCGCAACTCTGCCGCCGGGAAGGACAGCAAGGCCAGCACGTTCTTGGTCTCTTGCACCATCCCTTGCGCCGTCGTTGAACGCCATAGCAGGTTGTGAACGAGTCGTGGCGGGCTGATTGAAGATGCTGGTAGCAGGGCTACTGTCTCTCCGCCTCCTAAGCAGTAGACAGCCTGCAATCAGCAGGCCAAGCAAGAGCAGCGCACCGAGAACCGAGCCGACCACGATGCCGGCGATCTGACCGCCAGTAAGGCCACGATTTGTCGCTGCAATACCGCTTCCGGCGCTGGAGGTCGATGATGCTGTTGCGCGGCCAGATGAACTGGCGGTCACAGTCACTGGTGCCAGGGAGGAAGACGCGACTATCGGCAGTGTCACACCATTGCATCGCGTGGTCGTATTGGAGAATACGCAGCACGAGTCCGTTGCATTAGGGGAGCTTGAGGAGCAATATGAGCAGAGGCCACCCAGGTTTGAAGAGTAACCACAGTCATTCGGCTGGTTCGTAGAGCCTTCTATACAAGATCCTGTGAGTGAGTCCGCCGGCAGAGCACAATTGGTGAAGTCAGCACGTATTTGTGTCAAGGCATAATCGCCCGTAGTGCCACAGACGTTGCTGCTAGCAATTTCTTCCTCGCTTTGTGCAAAGGACGCGCATGTGTCTGCACAGAGCGGCCTTGCAGCAGTACCGGACAGACCACATGGCGTGACCGAGTTCTGTATTATAGCGTTGCATAGTACGCTGGCTGTGTATCGCGCGTAGAACGCAGTCGTGTTGTCGAGATTGACGTTAGAACATCCTATGAGAGTCCGGTATCTAGGCACCGGTTAGTCAACGTCACGATCGGCACTGTGATATATGACACACCTCTCGTCTGTGTAGCCGTCGGCGATGTACTGATCGAGGCTCGAGTCAAACGAGCCAACGTCGCTGACTGAAGACAAGAAGGGAAAGAGGCCGACGAGCGTGCTATCTGTCGATATCGAGGATCTGTTGAATGCCGGACATGCGGTGGAGCTCGCCAGTGATACGCAGTTTTGAGCAAGTGTTGCTGGCAGAGCGCTGGCCAATATTGCAACCGCTGCCGTCGATGTCGATATACATGCTGTTCTTTGTCTCTTCGAGCGATGCCGCCGTACCTCGGTCATGTCGTAATGTGTTCCTTGTGCGAAAGTCGACGTCGCTCCACCTAGTCCCCGAAGCGGAGCATCGCGTCCGTTGTCGACTCCCTCCATATGTCCATGCACATCTCTCTGGATCATCCTAAGCTTGTGCACGTGGCTATGGCTTTCCGAAAGGTCCCTTGCTCGAAATGGCGCTCGTTTATCACGCCAGGGCCGCCTGGTTGCTCAGTTGTGTGGAGCTCAAGGACGCAGGTGGCACGTCGTGTGCATGCTGCAGGTGCGCGGACAGTCGTCGTATTAGCGAGTGTAGACGAGACTGGTGTCGGCGTCGATGTGAACGAATGTGTATGACTTCAGCCCTTGCACCTGCCTATCCACCGGCTCCAAAGGTCACCTGCACACCTGAGGTCGTGGTTGTTGTTTGGTAACTTCCCGCAGCAGGCGGAGAGAAGAGCAACAACTCCCGTCGGCTGCTGCGCAAGAGCCATAGTGCTTAGAGTCGTGGAGTCGGCCCCTGCGTTTGCCAGCTCGGAGCCTCAGATGCACCTTCCCGGCGCTATCGACCATGCGATTGTCCTGCGATTGGCTATTTCATGCTGACGCTATGGCCTCGGCATGAACGACGAGTCAGTGCGCACATGGAGTAATTTCCACGAGCAACGAAGGTTTCCGCTTATGCAGCGGCGAAAGTACACCGATGGATAGCAGTAACGGAATGCTTTTGTTGTTCATCTTGTTGTGCATATGCTCGATTGGCATGTAGCGGGCTCAGTAGCAGGACAGATATCGCTTTCTTGCAGCCTCTCGGCCATGGATCACTTGATCTGGATCTGAAGAAGTCGCAGAGGACACATCCCCGTAACCATGCGAATCGCTTCGCAGTGGCCGTTGGCGAGAGTGTCAAATATAGAGCATCAGGCTGAATGATATGAAGCCAATCGCAATGGCACGAGCCATGGTCCGAGTCGCGATCTCCACGGCCCGTCGACGAGGCTTCCCACATCTACATCACCAGTACCAAGATACGAATCCCCAATCGGTATGAGCAGCGAGCATGACCACTTAGTACGGCAGAACATAAAAGGCGAAGGGGAGCTTTTTGGAGTGCAAGCAGTCACAGTATTCGATCTATGCTACAGATATCACCATCATAAGCAGATTTGTCCTCCGCAATCGCCTACGGGGCCGTGCTGTAGCATATGTTGTCCATGTTCTTGACGCCACCGCTATGCATAGTAACAATAAAACGCCATACAAGCCTTCACACGTCATATTCTAATTGTACATGGCCATAGGTCGTTCTCCCAGTTCATAGTCGTTGAGCTCATGACCAGCTGGCAACCAGCCATCGAGCTGCTCTCGAAGCATAACAGGTGCCGTGTGATTATGCTTCGATCTCAAAATGGGAGGCTTAATCTGGCCCTTTGCCTCTTCCTCACCACGGATGTGCACAAGAGGCTCGGGCTCGAGCGCTGCAGACTCACGAGCTGGTCCTCTCAAGGCATCTAGCAGGTTCACCAGACTCGGAAGTTCCTCCTTGGGCTCTAATCCTGCCTGTTTCGCAGCAGACTCTCTCGCAATGCCGGCTTGCTGGGCCAGATCATTCTGATCCTTGACCAAGCTCGAAAGCATGGCCATAGACTTCGCATTCGTCCTCCGGACCTGCGCCCAAACGTCCTCGAAGACAGTCTTTTGCGCACTACCAGATGCGAGTCTCAGCATCGCAGCGAAAGCAGCCAAAGGAATCTTCTCTGGCATGGCATTCTCTTCCCTCGCTCTCGAAGTACTCCGCCATCTGAGCTTCTGTATTTGCTGCCATACAGCCAGCCCCGCCTGCCAGTCACCACGATCTGCACAATCCAATAGTAGTGGCGTCAAGCCTCCCATACACAAACCCCAACCCTCTTGACCCATGCCTTGGCATATACTGAGAGCAGTATCGAAGCCGCTGAACTTGAGCACACCTCGCATAAGCGCACCAAACACGTTCGGTGTGGGGTACGGTAGTTGGATGATCTTGTCTTCTCGACCTTCCACCTTCGTCACCCGCACGAGCCGACGCGACCCTGTTTCGGTGATCTTGACATCCGGTCGTGCAAGTGCTAGACCTTGGTGACGGCCTCGCATCAGCCCGACCCATCTGACGAATCCTTGCGCGTCGTCTGTGGCTGTCAAGTGGTCCAGAATCGCCATATTAGAAACCTCGTTGGGTCGAAGGTGCGTTTCGCGCATCGAGCAGATGATACGATTGACGATACGAGGCTGCTCGATCTTTGACATGCCTAGCAGTAAAGTGTTGTATGTGTGTATGTTCGGTGGTGCGGTCGATAAAGAGAGATTGTAGGCCGCTTTTGCAAGCAGTACCGACGTGCTCATGGCATTGCTGTCGTGCTGTCGGAAAAGGTCTCGTAGACTGAGATTGAGCTGCTCGGCTGTTTCGTGGAACAATCCATGCTCATCCTGCTCGTAGTGCGATAATGCAATATCACCGTCTGTGCGATTCCAGCCAGACAATTTGGAGTCCATCTGAGTTATGCGTCGTAGGTCGTCGAACTTGCCATGCATCAGCGCATGCAGGTCAGTGTCGGGTATGAATATCCTGTCGCGGTAAGTGACAGGCACAGCTCCCGATGCTGTAGAGAGCCATTCATCGTTGGGCTTCTGCTTGATTTGGAGGAAGAGCTGTAGTTGTAGCAAATCTATCGATAGCATCACAGTCTCCAGCTTCTTCGGCGACCACCTCCGAGTACTCGCGCGAGCTTTGCGATCCTGGGTAGCATAGATCGACTCTGGTGGAAGAGAGTGTATCTGCAAATCTGGTCCAGTATTGGCAGGCCATTGAGATGGTTGCGTCTGAGGCTCAACATCTGTGAAGACACCTGGTACACACGCGACCGTGGCCTCCGCCTCCACTAAATTCGTATGGTCCTGATCCAATTCAGTTTGTTGGGCCTGGTGCAAATGTGTCTCGCCCGCCTCGACTCGCTGACCCAATTCTTGCTTCACGCCCGCTATGGCCTTGTCCCATTGCTCTCTCCGCTGCTTCTTCGCGCCAGCATCCCAAGTCGCAGCCGCCGCAAATATGCCAGAGTAGAATAGTGTCGAGGAAGTGCTGTATTTGGCTATATGCCTTGTTGCTGAAGCTGTAGCCCGCTTGCTAACACCTTGGACTGTCTGTATGCATTGTGGACAGTGGCATGTCGCTCGAGTCTGTGCAGCTCTCATCCATAATGTTTGCATCGTTACCGTAGTCTGTGCATCATGGTACTCTCTTCGTAATCACAGTCTTCGCGAGATGTGCACCGTGAGATTAACGGTGCTGAGGTGATGATCCATCGACACTGGAGGCAGTGGATTGGGGATGGATCAGAAAGTCAGCCACAAGCATGCGCCACAACACCTTCTCAGAATCTCAACGGACATGCGTTCATTTACTTGTAATGATCGGCAGATAAGACCCAGTTGGCTTCTACCCGGCTCAAAACGGCTTGTTGAGATGCTCCCATGCTCTTTCAACGCCGCTCACATGTGGTGGTTCACCAGGCTGCACGAATGGGAGTGAGTCCAAGTGACCGCCATGATTCGGATCAGAAGATATACATCGAACGAATCGCGGCGACGTGATCACAGCCCGCACTCATTAACCGAGACCAACGAATGTTGGGGGACGTTCTTGAGTTACTCATCTACAAATCAGATAGCTAACAGTGAGTGACATCTACTGTATTAGTGGCCTGCGATGTATGAATGCCCACCGTACTACGTCGCCGCGGGTACCACATGCTGGGATCGCTACAGCCTGTGACCTGTCTCCGACAGCATATCTTACAATATCCCGGTACTAGCCTTCGACCGATATGCATCCTGCAGAGTCAGGAGATCCTGCTTCAGCTTCGAGAGCGTCATACCGCCTGCCAGAAGCTGCGAGATGCATCTGCGGATACGTCCATCCCCAATACTCTCCTTGCCATCTGCTGGGAATGTGCCATTGCGTTTCAGACCATCCAGAGCTTCATGCCGTTCCATCTTCGTGGTGAATGGCCATAGGAGCTCGAATGCGATAATGCCGAGTGCGAAGATGTCCAAGTATTTATTATCGTGGATTGTCTCTGTCAGAGGTCTATACATTGTCGTACCACCTGGTGTATTACGTGCAGCGTCTGGTGCCTCATCAAGAGCTGTCGCCAGGCCAAAGTCTCCTATACGGACGTTCAGTGAGATGGGATGTGCGTGGCCGGCCGCGCGACACTCGTCGCACAACATTAGGTCTACTGATCCCCGTCTGTCTCGTGGGTTATCATTCAATGCCATGAGGATGTTGGCGGGTTTAAGGTCGCCATGGACTGTGCCTTTGTGGTGGAGATATAGTAGACCGTTGACAATCGCAAGCAGGATGCTCAAGGTCGGCTGGAGATGAAAGCAGTGCCGTATGACCGGTGCTTTCACTGACCTCGACACGTATGCATCTGGTGATAGGAAGTCTGCAAGACTCATAGGGTAGAGACCCATCTGCAGATGCAGAAAGTAGCATGGCCCAGCTGATGGTACGGTCAGCCCTTTGTCTTCGATCCCTCTCGACTCGAGTATGTCCGAAGTTTGACCGGCCGCCATACTCCGACTTTGCGTTTCGCGCGATGGGAGATTTGCCATATCTCCAGAATCAGGAGCCCGTTCTTGCGAAGTGCTGTGCTCGAACAAGACATTGATGGAAGTGTTTGCGTCATCGCTGACTGTCGTAATTCGTTGCAGTGAACGGTCGTCTGCGGCACCAATTATGGCGTCGTCATCATCAGAGAAGGTAGCGACGCTCTCGTTCTCGCTAAAAGAGGTTGGTGAGCCACTGGGCTTGGTTGATGCTGGAAGGCCTGTACTAGAGTACTCCACCCATGAGTTATAGTAGCGTACAACGTTTGGATGATCGAGACCAGCCATTGTTCGCGGTTCCACCAGCAGCCTTGCCAATTCGTCCTCACCGCCATTACGGATTCGCTGAGCTCGAGCCGCACTAATAGGCACCTTCTTGATGGCGTACTCCTGCCGGTCCAGCTTGTGACGAACTTGATAGACCACACCGTAGCCACCCTTGCCAATAATACCGATTTCCTCAAAGTTCGCGAGATAATGGGATGGTCCAGCTCGGTGAATGGGATCCACATCGGTGTCCTGGAACTTGACCAGCTGCAGCTGTCGATCATTTTCGTCCAGCAGCTCCCGAGACGGTAGTATACCCGGTCGTGAGATTAGAATATCCAGACCATTGCGCATCTGTTGTCTAGTTGATGAGAATGCATCTCCTTCCAAACCAGGAACAACGAGCTGATTTCGGGCTAGTTGCTGAACCAACCCATGGTATTTTTCTTCGGCAATCTGCTGTATAGCGCCGTGGTCGATCTCTCGGTCACCGTGAAGAGCGGTCCATCTCCGAGTCGCTTCTAGCATACACTTTTCTTCCAATAGGGAGTGCAACATCATCTGACTTTGATGCTCATGAACGAGTGGATCAACCTGAAGGCTTGCGAGAGCGGTGCCATTCTCGATCGTTGACTCCGGTGGGCCTGTCAGATCGGATGTGCTTGTATCAGTAGCGGATGAATGAAAGAACTTGGACATATTAATGCAGGCGTGGAAGCATTTTCCTTTGATCTCAATGAGCGCCTCGTTCACCTGCAGTCGAAATCTGGACGGGTTACGACGATTGTCCAGCAGAGTATTCTGCTACTTCTCCATTGCACCGTCAACATCGGCCTGACTTGCCGCGCCCTACATTTATGAGACAATCGATAAGGTTCCAAGCAATTCCGTAAGGAAGGAGAAAGACAGCTGGTTGCTCGAATCCATGTTTCGAGTCAGATTTCAGCAAGAGCTTCTTGTTGTGGCGCACCGCTGTGGCTCGTGGCCTTTTGCCTTTGGCATATATTCATTCCTGTTGATGACAAGACAATTACGTCCATGCGATAGCGACATGCTCATGCAGATGCTTGCAATTCGATCGAGAGTTGGAATAACTCCTGGCCAAACATCGACATTTCCTGCTTTGCCCGCATGTCGGCATACGGCATAGTAGGCGTTCATGCACAGGTTGTGAGACGAGATGATACAGGATTCATGGTTGCCGATCGCAGCAATCTTGCAGAGCCGGCGCTTCGCAAGCATCGCACTAAATCTATATCCACGTCAGCCACCGTTATTCCGGTGCGAGCTCCACATGTCAACAGAGGATAAGTCCAGTAGAGGATATAGAGTGCTGCTTCCCGCGGAGCGCGAATGGTAGGTGGATCTCATTCTCTGTTGCCATACCAAAGCTTCGAACCTCAACGGATTACGATCTGGCTCGTGTAGGCCGCTGAGGGTATTGATTGCAGCAGTCTTACGTTGATCTACTCGCACGAGACACATCCATAGTGGACAGGATATTACAAGCACCATGGCATCCGTAACAAGCATTCTACGCGCATGCGCCGCGCTCGTGAGCGTTGTATTGGCAGTCAATCCGGTTGTGGTCAAAGAGCAGGAGTTCATCGACAGTGTCACAAACCAGCGGTTCATGATAATAGGGGTCGACTACCAGCCAGGTGGGGAGGGCGCATATGGTACAGGCAACGGTGATCCGCTCAGCAACGGGACGTTGTGTCTGCGAGATGCAGCGTTAATGCAGGATCTGGGCATCAACACCATCCGAAGCTACAACGTCGACCCTACGCTCAATCACGACGAATGTGTATCGATCTTCAATGAGGTCGGGATATATATGATTATCGACGTCAACTCACCTCTATCCGGGCAGTCGATAGATCGCTCGAATCCGTCTGGATCATACTCGACTAGCTATCTTCAGCACATCTTCACAGTCGTGGAAGCCTTCAAGTCCTACCCAAATGTTCTTGGCTTCTTCGCCGGCAACGAGGTGATCAATGATGTCCCGACAGGCGGAGCCAATCCTCCATATATCCGCGCCGTGCAGCGCGATCTCAAGAACTACATCGCTGCGCACTCGAAGCGACAAATCCCAGTTGGCTACAGTGCAGCTGACGTTCGCGATGTGCTGGAAGATACCTGGGCATATCTGCAATGCGACAACAGCAACGGTAGCGGCACCGATATCTCGCGCTCCGATTTCTTCGGACTCAACAGCTACAGCTGGTGTGGCGATCAATCCAGCTTCACAGTGTCCGGTTATGATCAGCTCGTGGCGATCTTCAGCAATACCACTGTTCCTGTGTTCTTCTCTGAATATGGCTGCAACAAGCCTACGCCTCGGGCTTTCGACGAAGTGCTTTCGATATACGGACCACAGATGACCACTTTGTCTGGTGGCCTCGTATACGAATGGACGCAAGGAACAGACGATTTCGGCTTGGTTCAGACCTATGGCAACGGATCCCTGCAATTACTCGGAGATTATGATACACTTATGAGCCAGTATACTAAGCTCAACATCACCCTGCTGGAGTCGAGAAATAGTACTGCTACATCTCTCACCCCACCAAAGTGCAATGCCAACCTCATATCTGGCGATGGCTTCAGCACAGATTTCAATATTCCACAGCCACCTTCTGGTGCGCAGCAGCTTATTTCAGCTGGTGTTTCGAGTGCTCCGACTGGTTCTATCGTCTCGGTAACACAGACGAGTGTGCAGCTCCCTGTGTATGCGACCAATGGTGGCGAAATATCCGGTCTGAAGATCCAGGCTGTCAGCACGGCGAACCATCCTGGTCAAGCTAGTGGGCTGTCGACAGGTAACGTACCAAGTGCTACTGCCTCCGGCTCTGGCGCATCTTCGAGACCGAGTGGCACCGGTTCATCGACAGGAAGTGCAGCCAGTGCGACCACGAGTAGTGGGGCGTACAGAGGAGATGCTCAAATGGGTGGAGGCGCTTTTGCGGCGGCCGCCATGGGTGTTGTTGCTTTTGCTTTGTGAGTGTTGGGCAACTCATGTACATATGTTCCAGGCATATCTGAAGCGTTTGGGAGGGCAGCTTGTTGACTTCTCGGCATTGGCAGGCGTAGTTTCGTGCGGCACATATTGTACGTAATGAATAATGTGGTGCGACGCTCCTGGACTCATTCCGGCGCTGTGCCTCGTTGGCGCATTGAAGCATCAAACTCGATGTAGCCTGGAATGGGTTCTTCCATGTTATGCGCTACTCGTGCTTCGCTGACAGCCCGTGCAATCGTCGCGGTATGGAACCACTGGTCATACTGCTTGACTATCATCGACTGCAGAGTATCGATGCGGCATTTGCCACCTTTCTTTTTCAGCACTTCGACGATGAACTCGCGGATCTCAGGACTGATCAGTCGCGGTCGACCCCCTTTGCTGATTGGGAAGACCGTGCCATTCGTCTCGAACCGCTTCGTACGGACATAGATTGCTGTTCGCGAGCCACGGCCGAGGAGCTCAAATGCCTCGATAATTCTCAAGGGTTTGTGGCCGTTGCGCATGAGATGTTCGATAAATGCTTCGTCTTCATGCGTAAGCGCCGGCATGTTCGCAATGTCCGACTGGACGTGCTGTTCCCAAGAGTCTGCAGTAAGATTGGCAGCGTGATCTACGTCTTCTAGATGAGGCGAGTGTAGAGCAAGAAACAGCGATCCTGGCCGTTAAGAAGACGCAAAAATTCCCGGCCCTTTTGCGCTTGATCCCAACCCTTCTGCACGTTATCCCCGTGCTGTTGCTCCAGGTCCTGACCCTTTTGAATTACATTCCCGACCCTTTCGTACCAAAATCCAGGCCCTTTTGATCTCGATCCTGGCCCTTCTGTTACAACCTTTCGTTACAGTCCGAGGGTCCATGTACCTGCATGGTAAACTTATCTGTTACGCGGCCTGTGCCACCACCGAACAATCATCCTCTTCTCATTATTGCCTTTACTTCTTGGGCGCATGTGATGACTGATGTATTGGGACGGTGACAGTGCGGTCTGACAGCGAGATGGGCAAGCACCGTTATGGAGTAATCTTGGACGCTGGCTCGTCTGGAAGTCGAGTCTACATATACCGATGGCTCAACGCGCAGGCCGCACGGGCGAAGGACGGCGTAGAGGACGTTGCACAGCTGCCAGAGATCAAGACGAAGAAGAAATGGAGGAAGAAGGTGCATCCAGGCATATCTACGTTTGGCCCGAAGCCTGAGAGAGTCGGACCAGACCATCTGAAAGAGCTAGTCGCCTTTGCGCTTGAGCAGGTGCCTGCGGACGAGGTTCCCAACACGCCCATCTTCTTGCTCGCGACGGCGGGCATGCGGTTACTGCCCGATGATCAGAGCGCGGCAGTACTGGAGAACACTTGCGCGTACTTTCAGAAGGAGACGAACTTCCAACTGCCGGATTGTGGTCTACACGTACAGGTGATACCAGGCGAGACAGAAGGACTATACGGCTGGATAGCAGCCAACTACTTGTTGGGCGGTTTCGACGCTCCAGAGAAACATGATCATGGCAAGGGACATCACACTTACGGCTTTCTGGACATGGGAGGTGCTTCTGCTCAGATTGCTTTTGCACCTAATTCTACCGAAGCGGGGAAGCATGCGAATGATCTAAAGCTATTGAGATTGCGGAAGATCAACGGCGATGCATTAGAGTACAAGGTCTTCGTCACGACATGGCTAGGCTTCGGCGCAAATGAGGCAAGACGGCGATATGTGCAAGGACTGCTGGACTCATATCCCCATGCGCAAGAGCTACCAGATCCGTGCTTGCCTACAGGCTTGACGGTCAACCAGACTGGCAGTGAGCTTCTACCAGGATCCTCAGATTTGCTTAAACCAAAACCTCACTTGCTGGGAACAGGTACTTTTGCAGAATGTCTGAAACGAACATTCCCCCTGCTGGAGAAGGAGAGACATTGCGATGATGCACCTTGCTTACTAAATGGACAACATACACCTGCTATCGATTTTGATGTGAATCACTTCGTTGGCGTGTCCGAGTATTGGCACACCACACATGAGATGTTCGCAATGGCACACAAAGATAAGGCGTACGACTTCCATACGTACCAGAAACAGGTCACCGAGTTCTGCTCTCGTGACTGGAGAGATATCGTCAGCGACGTGGGTGCTCAGAAATGGGGCAGCAAGGTTGATGAGAAGACTGTGGAGGAGGTATGCTTCAAAGCCAGTTGGCTTATCAACATGCTACATGATGGTATTGGTGTGCCACGGATTGGCCTTGAGCCGGTCAATGAGCCTGGCCACGGTCACGCAAACAAGACAAAAGCTGTACTCGATAGCGCCAAAGAAAGAGGTTTCCTGGATCCTTTCCAAGCAGTTGACAAGATTGACGGCACTGAAGTGAGCTGGACGCTCGGCAAGATGGTGCTGTATGCTTCTTCCCGGATGCCGGCTGCTGACGATGCGCTAGCTGTCGGCTTTGGCAGCAATACTGCTGGAAAGAATCTACCAGCCGACTTCCAGTATGCTGGCGGCAAGTATGAAGCTCTACCTACGGATCTGGATGATGGTGCTGGAGAGGATGATTGGCACGACCGCATCTTCAATGGTAGCTACTCGCGTCGTGGCCCGGGCATTGCCATTTTCATGATCATTGTTGTCTTCGCTGTCTATCTCCTATGCGGCCGCGAAAGGAGACTGAGCTTATACCACAAGGCCTTGTCCCTCATCGGACGAAGATCTGGAACACGAAGACGAAAGCCGCCTGGCTTCCTGAACAGTAAGCTCTTTGGAGGCACGTCACCCACATACGAGCGCGTACTTGAGTCTGGGAACCCAGACGACTTCGAGCTCAGCGACATCGACGATGAGCCGGCCTCAGGCTCTAGCAATGGTTTGGAAGCGCCTCGAACAGGCCGTTCATCAGGCTGGGCCACACCTGCTGCCTCTCGATCATTTTCGCCCGACGTGTCTCGGCAGTCGCCAAAGAACAAGGGCTATTTTGACTCATCTGGAAGCCATGGCCTGGGCATCACGCCTTTTGATCGTGGTGGGTTGGTTGTGCGAACGGAGAGCAAAGAGAGGTTGGCACCTCGTGATGCCGGCAGAAGTCGAACTTCTAGTCCGACGAGGAAGAGTCCGCTTATGGCACCTTTCAAGGAGAGCGTGGATTGATTGTATAACATTGTGCTTAGGCTTAGCGTAGGTGTTGCGGTGTTTTGTCTATGTGAGATCTGTAGTCGCTGGGTTGGCTTGACTATGCCATTTTCCCCTTACCCTGTTCAGCCCATTCTATCGTGTATCATCATCGCATCACCGCTATTGCTCTGTAACCTCAGATAAGCTCACTCTTCTAACAAGAACCGTAGGAATGCCGCACCAACGGGCACGCCATCATGATGCTCCCTTACCCTCTTCATACCATCTTCATACACGCCGTCCGGGAAGATGCCCTTCTCGTGCCTGCTCACCAGTAGCTCCTCCACAATGTCACCGTCGAATTCTGGATGTCCTTGCACGGTGATGAGTCTACCCTTCTCGTACATTCCTTGCACTTCACATCTGTCTGAATGTCCCAGCTTTTCGACGGAGGCTGGGTACGTATAGACAATATCTCGGTGCATCTGGTGGATCGCCTACATAGACCGTGTCAGTGCTTCTCCAAGAACGCCATTGTGACCAGTCCCCTATCCTGCTTACCAGTCGTTCCACGCCAAACAGCTCCTTGCCCTTCTTCGTGAGTTCTACAGGTACCACACTGACCTCCCAGCCCTCGGTGCTTCGGTCGACCTTGACATCCATAGCCCGTCCAATGATTTGATGGCCGAAGCATACGCCTATCAAACGGACACGCTTTTGCTGTAGCACCTTCTTGGTAAAGTCCACAAGCTTAAGGATCCATGTGTCATTATCGAATGAGTTGAATCCTGCTCAGCCAAAACCCTCATCAGCCGCATTCTACAGCACTCAGATATCTTGTGGCAGTGTTGACGTACTGCTTCCAGTCAAGAGGACGGTATCGATGTTGTCTAGTGTTGGGTATAGCTCGGCATTGACGACGTCGTACTTTGTGATATCGAGCTCGGGTCTCTTTACACCATCTTTCCTCGCGATCTCGTCCGCACCGTTGTTCAGCAGCTCCTTGAACAGGTTGCCATAGCCGCCATACTTTTCCTTGGTATGACCTATAGGAGTGTCGCATTCGAGGATGGCGATACGCAGAGGTGGCTGCATTGTATCCAAAATTCCAACACGGCAGGGGTTTCAAAGCAATCTTTAGGCAACAATTCTTAGGATCCGGATGTCAGGTAGTATCATGTCAGGGCTTCAACAATAAAACAAACGACGTGTGAGTAGCTGTGAATATGCTGAGGAAGTACACAGCGTGAGTGAGGCACGACGTTGGTGTTGGTGTACGTGGATAGATACCCGATAAGCTCTCCGGCACTTACAACAATTTCCCGAACATCTTCCTGAAATATCAACGACTAGTAATGCAAACAAGAAGTCATTGCATCCTTTCCCAGCCAAGGAGATCCATCAACAGAGTCATCAATATTTTCGTCCTCGAGCCTCTGAACTTAGTGTCCGCCTCAAGACACCCTCTTTTCATAAACCATAACATTCCGACACGACGTAACCTTCATACATTCATCACATCAACATAGATCGGGATCGCCATCATTGCCGCGAGTACGGCTTATTCATCGCTGCGATCTCTCTTGCAATGGTGGCCCATTCGAGCTCGCGCCGTAACGGCCTGCCCCGTTTCTGGCACTGAAGCTCCTCCCACTTTAGGAGTTCGTAGCTGGTACTGGTCAGTATGGAGGCAGACTACTTGGGCGCAGAGAGCGACTTACGAGAAGCGCAAGTGTGGTTGTATGATGACGTTGAGTCGTCTTGCTCGCACAAAACAGTATGCTCTTGGGAACGTCAGATCAAGCTCTTTCATCACTTCAGCAATGCAGATGGTGGCAGATCTTGACACACCCACTCGGCAGTGGACCAATGTCTTGGTACCGTTCCTATGGCCTCTCTCTGCGTGGCTATCAGTATAAATTGTATCTTTTGCTACCACCTGCGCTTACCAATGAACTCTAGGCACCGTGGGAATTCCTCCGTTAATGGATCAACGCCGTTGTCCTGGACCTTGTCCACGAATAGCAGGTGCTCCTTCGGCCAAGTGCCTGACTCTTTAGCCCAGCTGACTGGTTCGCCAACACTCAAGATCTGGCCGATGCCGAGCTCCTGTAGCAGAGCAGGATTGTTCGCATGGCCGAGATTGCCAAGATACATATAGTCCAGAACTCTGCTCGGCAGGCTTCCGTCCATCTTCTCTAGCCAGTCCGGGAATGCTGGGCACAACTGCATGATGTTGCCACAGTACTTTGGTGATGCTTGCAGGATCCGAGGCTGTATCGACCGCAGTAGTGCCACATCAGTACCATAAGCGAAGAAATTTCGACCTTTGTCTTTGTGTAGCTGGAGCCAGGCATCGTGGACTGGTACATACTCAGCGTACATGTAGTATGCCAAAGCAAGGAGAGAAGTCTCGGTGTAGCCATCGGTGCAGTGGATCAAGATCCGGTTTCCTTTTGGTCGCTCAGCTTCTGCATCGAGCATATCACTGTCGCCATCGGCATCGGTCTCGGTGCTTAGGGATAATTTGCTGTCCCTCCGCTGGTGCGTCACCAGGCGTTTGTGAGCCTGCTTGTACATCCACTCGCAGGTCGCAAGTAGTCCGTCGACCTCGGCTTGTGACCACGTTGGTGGCATGATCGCTCCGGAGCCAGGAAACTCGAGTTGAGGTATCGCATTCTCGGCAAGCTGAGCATTAGCCTTGTGCTCAAGTAGCTCCTCCAGGACAGAGAATGCCTTGGTATCTGGGACTTGGGCAAGGTCGCTGGCTTCTATCATTAAGTCATAATCCCGAAGTGCTTTCAGAGGATCGACCTTATCGTCGTCGAGAATCAGTGTCGGATCTGGTGTAGGTCCTAGCCAAACATTGTGCGAGATCTGTGAGGGTGCGGACATCGAACACATTTCGACTCGTTCGCGGTGGAAGAAGTCCATAGCATTGTGAGCAACGCAACCCTCCGAGTCGAGCGAAATCAAATTCGGGTGGTCAGTCTCGATAAAGTCATACTTATCTGTGCGCAATTAGCAAAGTCGTTTAGTATCGATATCCGAGTCGATGACCTACTGGACACAACAAAGGTGTTGAACTGGCGAGGTCCAAATGGCAGGGTATCAGTCTTCTTTTGCCACGCAGCTTGTGCTCGAGATACCCTCCTCGCCAACCGCAGTGCTTCCTCCTTCGACGTCCTGCTATCGCCATACACCACGATATCGCTCAGCGTTGACAACTTCGCAGCTTGTATCTGAAAGTTTCGCACACCAAACCCATCCTTAGGATCAGCATCCAAGAACTCTGCGCCATCCTCGCTCTTCTTGTCCTTTGCGACTTGAAGTGGTGCTAGTATCTCTTCCGGTGCGATAGCTCCTTTGAGTTTACTATGCGACAGGTCCCCTCCCGCTTTCACTACCGTCAGCCCTCGCAAACATTTCGGCGTCCGCCGTAGAGCCTTCTTCCTTGCGACGAAGAATTGTAGTTGCAACTGATTCTCGGCATGAAGACCGTGTAGCCATGGAAAGACTTGCTGAGTGGGTGGTAATGGTTGAGTTGCCAGATGTTCTACTGCATGCGACAGCTTTGCTGCAGTTATAGAGTACACCGGAGGGTCATTGCTGATTTTTTCGAAGCCATTGGGAGGGTATATCAACGACGATGTTTCCTGATATTGGCTAGCAGACGGAGGTGAGCCAGGGGATATATCTAGTCCTCTAGATGCCGGTCTTGGTCCAGGTGAACAGTATGGTATATGTTTATGAGGTATGGCACGGGGTGTCCCAGCCTGCGAAGTATTGATCGATAATGCCGAAGGCGCTCGTTGATCAGTCGTTAGAGCTGGTCGAGTCGCGGTTGCACACACAGTTGCCATTACATTGGATGGCGACTGGGTTACGATGGTTTTCAAGTTCAAGAGGCAAGCAGAGAGCGGTTCCAGTGTTTCTATAGCAATGCACCTGTGATGTTACTCTTTCCAGGTCCTGATACTGCTGGAATGCAGCCAATCAATTGTCGAGTCCTGACGCGTTCCAATGTTGATCACGTCTTACGCTGTGAAAGTCAGCAATACACTTTGAACATCTCTACAAGAAGATTGCGAAGTTCACTAGATGTCAGACACAACGGAAAGTATTCGACGGGTGGCATGCGCATCCATCTCATCTTCAAGGGATTGGCCTCGTGTGCCCCGCGCTATCTCTTACATGAAGCTAAGCTCGAAGGATGATGAGGGACGGCGATTGATACGCTTGGCTCTTTGCGGCTGCGATGTGATCGACAGTATTGCGACAGTGAAACATTGTTGACGGACGAACGCACGCTATGGTTTCTGCATGCTATACTACATGGACTTTTATATTCATCTTCGTATATAGGCAAGCAATAAAGTCGCAGTGTCGTGGCAAGATTTCTCCGAGCTATCATCCCGCTATGCAACACAGCGGCAAGCACTTCCGAAACGGCGCGCGAACACAGTGACGGGTCTGACAGCTGCGATAACCCTATCGGCGATGCAGACTTCAAGGTGAGACGCAAGCAAGCTCCCTTGCTCCTCTGCCCTACGTATGTCTCTCTGCAAACGGCTACGCGGCTCTCTTTGCCCTCGATCTTTGCGCCACCCACAAACTGCGGTTGTGATAAGTGCCGGCGGCAGAACGAAGCGTTGAGCGTGGTGTGCTGCAGTCTGATGTCGCTTTCACCGTTCGAGGCCAAACGACCCACACCCACCACCATGCACGACAAGCTGAAGTCTGAACTCTGCGGAGCCGCAACGGGAGCGATGCTTGAAAGTGTCAGGCTAATCCTAGGTGCTTGTTCCTTGCCAAATTGCCAGACCTGGGTGTTTTTGCGATGCGCAATGTACAGAGTACAAGCTATTCCTATGTTATGCAGCTCTCGACCTCACTACGAAAGCTCCGCATACATCGTATGTAGCTGTGAGGAGTTCGAGACAGCCTTCGCCTTCTCCATCAGCTCGTTCGCCAGCCGCTCCAAGTAGAAACCGCTCACGTCTGCAGGCAGATTCTCGAAAGACTTGACTATCCTGTCGATGTCTTTGCGACCACGCTCGTAAGCTGCCAGATCGCGATTGCCATAGACATCCCTGCCAGCTGCGTAGGTGTTCTGTTGCAGACTGCGGAAGAAGATGTTGACAGCTATGCTCATGCCGTCCGTCGGAGCCGCCGTATGCACCCACATAGGTGGAATGAAGAGGATATCGCCGGGGTTGAGAATTGCTTCGTACGGATGTGTGTTGATCAGTGCTCTCCGCGCCGACGGTTGGACATTAAACACGTCCATCGATGAGCTAGATGCACCAGGATCGAAGCCCAGGGAGCTGACATCCGTGGGAGGGTATAGCAACAGCCTCTTGCGTCCACGAACCTGGCAAAGCACGTTTGCCATAACGTCGTAATGCAGCCACATTGTGACCGGCCCTGATATCCGCAGAGGCGAGCTATGCAGGTTCTCGACCACATATATCAATTCACCGGGCAGCTCGAAATCAGCAGCGATCTCTGGATAGTCGTCCGCAAGGTTTGTTGGCTGGTCGCTCGGGGCATCCTTCGACAGACTTCGCAAATAAAGCTTCTCGCCACCAGCACAACTGTCCAAGAACGACCCGAAGCTCTGTGTGACGTACTGGAAGTTCTTGTTTTTAAAGTCCATGGTGTCATTTTGTGTGGAGTGGACCACCACCTTTCGATCATGTCCAATCGACTCCTTGAGGTAGCTGTTGTCCCACATAGTTGTGCAAGGTCCAATGTCTCCTTCGAAGAAAATCATGGGCTGGCCCGATTCTACACATCGCTCGAACTCGACTCCTTGGGCAAGACTTTGCCTTTGGATTTTCGTCGGCTCAGGTAGTCGAAGTTCAGGCTGCATCATGCTGATATGGCCATTGGTCTGCAGTGGCGCTTCCTGTAGCGATGTTGTGGATTGCATGGGTTGCACAGATCGCTCGGCCATATCCCATTGCTGGCCAAGCGAGCTGTCAGGTCGTTGGGTGGACAGCAGATGCCAACCAATGCGCAATGATGCCTCAGGGCTATCCGTTAGAATTGCAGGCTTGTTCCAGTATGTGCCGAAGGAGAAACAGTTGGCACCGCCGCCCAACACAATCAGACCACCATCGACATCTGTGATTGATGAGCCAATGAACAATGGTCGCTTGCCTTGTACCGGGTGTGTTCGCAGCGTCTTCATGTTCAAGATTTCGTCCTGGTGGTTGAGCATTCGGCCTCCACATATTCCACCAACCATAAGGATACCTCGATTCGTGCGTACAAGCTGTGCGCCGAATCGACCGAGGATTGCAGCATTAGTCCTCAGTACCGCTGATGCTCGAGCAGTGACGTTCCGGCAATACAGAGTCATATCGCTCTCGAGACTCCAATGCCAGAAATCCGTGAGTACGCGACCTGCACTCGTCATACCACCAACAAGCACGCCGCCTGTGCCTTCTCTTGAGTCCGTGATCATGGCAGCTCCGAATCGAGCTGGAGGAGCATCTCCAGCTACATGCACTGTACGCCAGCCACCCTCTCCCATCCACAGAAGCCACTCGTCCAATACGTGGCCATCACTTGTCTTGCCACCGAAGATCAGTGCGGTATGTGCTGGTCGAGGGTTCGTCGGCAATTTCAGTGGTATAGCACAATGCCTGTATCGTCCCTCGGGAAGACTCTGTGCTCTTCGCCACATGCCGTCTTGTCTCAGCCAGCATTCAGCAGTAGCTTTGTCGGGCGAAGTCCTGCCACCTGCCATGAGACAATTGGACGTGGCACCGAGCCTTGTCACGGTGTGACACATGATACCCGTTCTGAGAGGTGGACCCTGTATAGGCAGTAGGTCTTCGGTGCGTGAGTAAGTGTCGCAGTCGGCCTGCCGTTCTTGTGTGCCGAGGCCACCAAGCAAGCCCACCGCTTCACCTTCAGATATCTCAGAAGTTGCAGGCACCACAGCAGCATATCTCCTCGAAACAAATTTTCCAGGTAGGTCTGGACACTGTAGTGGTTGTTCCTGCGGCACGTCTGGCACTGGCGACTCGTTACCGGAGCCAGCAAGTGACACGCGAGAGGTGCTACCAGCGAGTGAAGCGCGGTATGGTCTGTGTGACCAGTCCTGATCAGCTTTGCGCTCTGCTACAGCCAGGAAATAATGCGAAGCGAAGAGGGCAAATTCCTCCCACTCATCGAAAGGCTCGATCTTGTCCAGTCCACGTCTTTGTTCGGCATTCAGGAATGTCGGATCAGACCAGAGCTCCCACAGTGACCGTATATCCGTGCCAGCTTCTGGCCATCCAGCATCTGCGAAGCGCTGCTTCATCTCTGGTATCGTGCCAATGCCACCCAGCGGTGTCTTCAGCTTCTGAAAGTGTGCCAGCATGGTCTGCGCGAACGGGTGCTCCTCGCCATCGGGCAGATGTTGCTCAAGTAGGCAGAAACGAACATCTGATAAGGTTGCACCCCACTCCAGGACGTGCTGCGCGGCCTCTCGCTCCATATAAGCGATAGACACTTCTGCAACGCAGAGGACAGCTACTGACGAGTCCTTGATCCGTAAGTGGTCGTGTAAAATCTGGTCCATAGTCGAGGTGTTGTACAAATCGCATCCAATGGCCACATACGGATCGCTAGATGCCAGTAGTCCGCTTTCGTTGTTCGTCCTCGTCATCTTGGGTAGGAGCATCTTCAGCTGTTCAGTCTTGCTAATAATGCCAAGCTTGTTATGCATGAGAGCTGGGTAGTCAACATCCACGAAAGTCGTATTCTGACATAGCTCTGGATGCTTGCCTAGGAAGAGCCATGGTAGAGGATCGCTAGCACGAGTTAGCATTTTGCAGTCGCACAGTCGTCCTTCCCATGCGTAACATACTAGCCACATCCCAAGTTGATCACGACCTTCCTCTTCGCAGTGCCCTCGGCCAGGAATCGAGTCACGCAATGCTCAATAGCCTTCATGCGTAGCCAGTAACCGCGATTGATGAGTGGTGACCTTCGCTTGAACTTGCTCACAAAGTATCGAAAGTACTCGGGCTCGCCAGAATAGTACAGCTTCTCGACAGATCGCTTGGACACGATACTGCTATTGTTCGTGTCCATGATATACTCATCGCGCTTGACTTTAGCAGGATCCGCGAGTGCTGCCTTGGGAGCAGGTGTGCTCTGCAATGCTCCCAAGGCATCCTGATTAGTTCTGATGCTCTTTGGTTCGACGGCCATGACCAAGTCCTCATCGCCACCTTCCTCAGCGCTGACCACGACGGCCTTTTCTTCGTCGTTCATCTCTGGATCAGGGGCCGTGTACTTTCAACGGGAGACATTAGAAGGCTCAGGAAAAGCGGGCCGGGATATGTATATTCGTGCGGTGGCCCACGTTCCTGGCAAATCCGCGCTCAAACCTGGACTGGACTGGAGGAAGATGCCGTCTCTGTGGATTACGATAACTGCGACCCAATGTTGCTCAGAAGCGGAAGAAGCGCACAACTCGTTTTTAATGATCATCAGCCCAATTCAATGGCCTGACCGCAGCGCGCACACGCTATCTAAAATTGGAGGTGTTTCTCGGCAGAACCAAATCCGACCTCCTTCACTGACATTCGACTCAATTTGATCAGCGTGCCGGGCCGTCCCTTTACGAGCCCTGCAGATAGTCACATTCGAGCATCGAGCTCTGTCATGAGCTGGTGAAGCATTCTGGCTTCAGACAGATATAAACAGCTTTCACTGCTGTAAGTCCGGTCGTAAGACTTCGAGCAGCTGTAACATGATGCTCTCACGGCTATCTGCAGGACGATAAAGGATCCAAGCCGAGGATCATGGCCGGTCTCAACTATGTAACATTCAACCAGGATCACAGCCTGCTAGCTGTCGCAACGACTCGAGGCCTGCGAACCTACACCACCGATCCCTTCGAGCTGTCGAACAATTGTACCGACGATGACATCTCCCTCGTCGAGCCACTCTTCTCCACATCTCTGGTGGCAGTCATCACAACACCAAGATTACTGCGGATAGTCAACACGAAGAGGAACTCGACAATATGCGAGCTCACATTCCATGGCATGGTCATTGCGGTGAAAATGAATCGCAAGCGGCTGGTGGTGGTGCTGGAAGAAGTCATGTTCATATATGATATCAGCAATATGATATTGCTGCACCAGCAGGTGACACCATTAAATGCTGCCGGAATATGCGCTCTGTCGCCCAACTCGGAGTACAACTACCTCGCGTTGCCCCACCACCAGAACGTCCAGTCCGGGTCGCAGGCACAATTACAACCGGCTCATGTGCCAAAGTCCGGCGTAAGCGAGGCGATGAGTGGTGATGTGCTGCTATACGACCTGAACAAGATGGAGGAGGTCACGGTGATACAGGCACATCAGACACCACTGTCGTGTATAGCGATGAGCAACGATGGAACTCTCATGGCTACGGCGTCGGAGAAGGGTACGGTGATAAGAGTGTTCTCAATACCCAGTGGGAAGAAACTATACCAATTTCGGCGAGGCAGCATGCCGGCAAGGATATACTGCATGACTTTCAACGCAACATCAACATTGCTATGCGTGTCCTCTGCGACAGAGACCATCCATATCTTCAAGCTCGCCCCTCCGAGCAATAGTGTCTCAGGACAAAGCAGTACGACTCACCCAGCCTCACCACCCGACTCACCGCAACAGCCTACCTGGTCGTCCCGAGAACGTCGGCCTAGCAGTCCTACCACCTCAGAGGATACCACAGAAGGCTCCAAGTTCGATCCTGACGCCTCATCCACATCACCCATTCCCCGCCAACCACGCAACCCAGGTTTCATGTCCTTCATGCGCCGAACGTCGCAAAACGTCTCTACCGGTCTCGTAACCCGCGCAGCCGGCTACCTCCCAGCCTCCGTGACTGAAATGTGGGAACCACAACGGGACTTTGCCTGGATGAAGATTCCGCGAGGGACAAATGGGCTGCCTGTGAGGAGCGTGGTGGCTATGGCGAATAACGTTCCGCATGTCATGATTGCGACGAACGAGGGGTGGTACTATGTTTATACCATTGATTTAGAGAGAGGTGGGGAGGGGACGCTCGTCAAGAAGTTTGAGTACGTTAAGGAGGCGTCATAGCTGGGCCCGATTTGATCTCGTTCGGTTGGGTCGCAACGAGGCTTATTGGGAGACTTGAGCCTTTGTGCGAGAGTGCTTTGCTACAGGGGAGTGAGCTTTTGAGAGCGTTCGAGCGAGTCTTGATGCATGTGGTCGTTTTCGCGGATTGTTTTTATAACCCAACTCTGATCCTTGTGCTTCATGCAATCTACAGCTTCATGCTAATGCTCAAAGCAATGATTTTGAGCACTGCCTGCAGTGCTGCATTCTACCTCGCTCCATGCACTACTTCATTTCCATTGGAATGAATGAAACTGCTCACTTCCAGTCCTTCTTGATGTCAAAGGACCACTTGAATTGCAAGTGGGTCTGGGTATCATCGTCCACAAACTTGGAGACAGCCTCATAGTGGCCACGGCCGATCATGCCTGATGGTGCTGTCTCGGACTCGACTGGGCTTTGTCAGTACTTGGTTTGCCTTGCTATTCTAGACATGCCAAGACTTACACTTCTTCTCGTACTCAGGCTTGTCGGTTGTGTTTGGCGAGTAAGAACCCTACCAGAGCATCAGCATACACATGACAAGATCGAGCTTGACACGACGACTTACGATCATCTCCTGCATCTTGTTCTTGACTCCCATGCGGCTAACAACCTGGACATATTTCATGCCGCTCAGGATCTGGTGCTGGACCTTGAAGCGAGCCTTCATACGGAAGCTCGCACCCTCCTTGATGGTGAATGGATGCTTGTTCAGGTCCTCAAGAGAGCCAGGCCTGCTGAGATCAATAATGATGTCGGACCTGCCTTCAACTTCCAGACCTAGGGAGAGGATGATACATTTCCTGGGATCGTTTGGGTCGCCGATGGTGTTGCCCGAGCCAATGCCGAGTGACTCTTTCCACTTCCTCAAAGACTCGTCGTTCTGGTCTGTTGGTATTGTCAGTATTTGTTTGGTCGAGTTCTGAGGTGGCGGTGAAGCGGTATGGCTGTTGATTCATGCTGCTCCCTGCTGCGTCGTGGTGGTCCTAAGTAGGTGGGCTCGGTGGTGAAGATCCTGAGCATTCGTTGCCTGCTTACCTAGTTGCTGATACTCTTCCAACGTCTTCTTCTCGCCCACCTTGAAGCCTTCGGTGTGCTCAGGCTCGAGCTCGTCAGGATGAGGTACGTTCGACATCGTGATCACGAGAGATTTGTCCCGTCGTGTTTGAGGGCTCGATCGGTATATGAGCAGTCTTTGCTCTCTATGGAAGTCGGAAGCTTAATGTATATTTTGAGGCACGCGAATCGCCTTGTTTCAGAATGTGGCATGTGGCATGGTGGGGCGCGGCGAAGCGGCTGCAGGTCGCTTCTAATAACACAACCTACTTTTGGATGGCCGTTATACACATGCTGTGCAAGTAAGTCCACGCAATACAGACTCGCTACAGGCACGCGAAGTGCTCTCAGATACATCGGTGTACGATCGTCCTAGCGATGCTCATCAAGCTCACATCAAGTCGATGTTCAGTCGAGGTATCAGCGAGCGCCTTCATGGTTGTGATCATCACGTCTTCGCGAAGTAATTGAAGTGTAACAATATCATTCCGCCATCATTGCTGTCAAGTATACTGTATGCCGTATTCAGGCTCAATCTTCCAATCCGTTAACTGTCCTGATGGCGACCATGACGTTGCCTTCTGTGCACGGAGATGCAGATCAGACCAGCCCCGGCCATTCCACATCCCTGTCCAGCCTCCTCCGCACGATCTGAAAGCTTGCCCTGCCCATCGTGTCTTCTCCCGTCGACCTGTCTTCAATTGCGACTCTATAGCTCTCATACCAAGCATACATCAGACGACATCCACATCACGCGTCAGTAGTCACTGCGACTCCAACGAGCAGTCCGGAGCAATCGGCGACACGACCTAGGCTGCGATCACGGCGCGCGACACCTTCGCGTCAGAGCATCATCAAAGCTTCATCCAGACGAGCACGGCATAATTTATCCCAGCACATCAGTGAAGCTTAGAGAGTGAAGCAGCAATGGCATCCGAACGTATTCTACCCGAGAAGAGGAATCCCATGCTCGCAGAACCTCATGCGCCTCAGTGTATGTAGCCAGCGCATCACGCCCACAAGCATTAACGTGCATTCACTGACATTAGCTTGCGCACAGACGAGATCCTGGTCGAGCGACGATGCTTGGGTCAGACGGAGCTGAAGGTGAAGCCTGGTCAGGTCGGCACCTCGAATGCGACGAAGCCCGATAATCTTGGTACGCTGGAGTATGCGCACCTGCGCGTTCCTCTTCCCAAGGACCTGAGCGGTAGCGGCATCTTCCACAAAGGCTCCAGTCGCAAATGGCCGGAGGCTTACTTCTTGATGGTAAGAGTGTAATGATGCCCAGCGATGGCGTTGTGCTGACAGATATAGCGACGGTCCAGCGATGGCTTCATCAGCGCGACTGGCATGTTCAAGGCTGCCTTTCCATATGCGCAAGTCGAGGAAGAGCAAGCAGAGAAGGACTACATCAAAGGCATGGAGCAGACGTCGAGTGAAGAAGTGGCAGGGAACGTGTGGATCCACCCAGATGAAGGTAAGCAGCATTCCAACATTCAAGCACGTGATGATGTACTCTGCAAGCGGGAGCTCACATGACAACTTTAGCTATCGAGCTCGCCGAAGAATACGGCATCAAGCTTTGGATCGAAGCTCTTCTCGATCCCGAGCCCATCACGCACGGTACCAGCCCTGGTAAGGCCATCGCGTCGCCACCTCCTTACAGATTCTCCGACATGGCCAACGGCAGCGTGCGATCACCAGAAAAGAAGATCACCGAAGGCCGCTCTTCCACGCGCAGCCGACGTAGCGCTAGCGTGTTATCACAAGAACCCGAACCCGCCGCCTCGAAAACTCCCAGCCGAGCAAAGGCGACCCCACGCAAGGCGCGCAAGGGTCGCGGCGCACTATCGAAGGTCGACGAGAATGAGGGTGCTGCTCTACCTGATCTCATCAATGGTGCGGTACCCAAATTCGAGGCTGGCGGCCGCGGCACGGTGAAAGTCGAGGTCGAGACGACTACGCGACCTTCACTCACGGGTGGCGAGGAAACCGAGCAAACCAAGGTCAATATCGAAATGCCCGCCGGTCACCCTGAACTTCCTCTCCCCGAAGACGCGGAGGGTATGCTGGAGAAGGCGCGTCAGATGGTCGCGGAAGCACAGAAAGTTGGCGGGCCATCGACAGGCAAAGGCAAGCGAAAGGCAGAGGAGATGCTTGATGATGACGAGGACGAGTTGTCGCTCGCTGCGCCTCTCCCCGCGAAGCGCGCCAGGAAGCTGGAGGTTGAGTTGAGGAAGGAGAGAATTCTGCGCCGTAGTTTCGTGGGCATTGCTGCAACTCTAGGCATCGGGTGAGTGTCGTAAACAACATCATATCCGACATGAGCTAACATGATATCTAGCGCTCTGATACCGAGCATAATGGCTGCTTTTGGCGCGTGAGAGGAATTTTCTCGCACATTTCCCATGTTCTTAATCAGGGCTGTAGAGTGAGATATTTGTTTCATTCAACAAGATACCACTTACTAGCAGGCTGCTCTACGGCGTTTATGGGAAGAATGCGAATCTAGTCAATGCAAACAGGCAGGGTCGCAGGCGCCGCTGCGTAGGCGATCGAGGGTCGTGTTTATTCTGTCCTTGTAGTTCTCCAAATCCAGATCAGACCATTTCATTCTGTAAGCTACCGACCGTGTGTATGTGACAGATTTGCACTCCAGAGTACTGGCAACCACGCCCGTGAAGACTGAGATGGGCGGAATGGTACGCTGAAATGGTAGTTAATGCCTAATTTACTGCTATCGTAATTCCCGCCTGCCGTCTACCTTTCGTACTGCATCGGCTTATGTCAGACTCTTAAGCCAGTCGTCCTCTGCCTCCTGACTCATTTGCCATTTCATCGTCTTCGCACTTGCGCCCTCATCATCATCACCATATAGCAATCTAGACATTCTGCTTGATAGCGGCCTCAAGCGCGGTAGGGTTGGCACCAACGACCTCGCCAACCTTCTCGCCATTCTTGAAGAGAAGGAAAGTAGGCATGGCGCGAACAGCAAGCTCCTGGGCGACGTCTGGGACCTCGTCAACGTCTAGCTTGAAGAAGCGCGCGTCGGTGTATTTGTCGGAGAATCTGAATTAGGACATGTCAGTGTGTACACGGTGTGAGAGACGTGTTTGCGGTAGGGATGATGACTTACTTGACGACTTGCGGCGCAATGACCTTGCAAGGCCCGCACCAGGTAGCGAAGCAGTCGAGGACGAGAAGGGTGTCCTTGTTCGCGAGCGCCTCGTCGAACTCGGCCTTGTTCTTTAGGTTGTGGACGCCTTCCTTTGCTGCCATTGTTGCGGAGAAGTGGCGCTGGATGGGTTTATTGACTGCTGATGCAATTGGGGTTGGTCGGTAAAGTGATGTTCGGGCTGTAAATGTTCTGCTGAAGGTGGATGCGATAGTTGTGGTGGGTCTGAGTAGTCGTGGGGTTGCGGCGGTTAGTTTGCGTTTTATCGTTGAAGCTGCAAGAGACATTCACGGAGAAGTGCTAAGGTAGAGGGGTATATGTAGGTAGTGAAGGTGGCTGTGAGGGGGTGGGTGTATATGTAATGCAATGGTTGTAGGCTGTTCGATATGTTGCGAGAGGATGACGCTTCCACTAGATTTCTCAGCAACGCGCAGCACGAGCCTTTCGTTCCTCGGCTGTTCCTGATGGGTGGCGGTACAATGACAGATCTTTCGGGTAGTGCTCGCGATTCGATAAGCAGCAAGAAGATTACTCACCTAGATCCATCCACTGATGTTGGTAGAGTTTGGTATGTGGGTTGTTGCGTGTCAGGGTAGCTCGAGTAGTATATCTCATATCTCGGCAATAAGGAACAGACCCGCCGGCATGGCAGATGACGCGATTGAGCCACTCTGGTGGGATGCCCTCCTTCACTGAGCAACGTCTCGGTCATCTGAACGGATAATGAAAGGGCCATGGATGGCACCGTGAAAGAGAGGAACTATGGTTCGGGTCCCAACGAAGTATACAGGCCGTCGACAGAAGCGACGGACGCGAACATACCGTCTTGATGACTTGGAGACGGATTGCTTGTGTAATACAGGACTTCGCAATGTGTCAGCATCTTGTTTGTCAAGCAGACGAGCATCGTGAGGGACATGAGGTCTTTCATGCATACGGTGCATATGTCGTGCAACGGGACACGATCGCTCTCGTACCAAAGATGTAACCTGCAAGTGTCGCGGGTCTTGGCGTGCATGTGAAGTGTCTCTTGTGAAGCTTTTTAGCCGTCTTCTTCAAATCAGATACATGAGTTGGACTTGAATTTTGTAAGCTGTACAAGAGGCCTGTAGAGAACATGAGCCAGCTATTAGAGTTCCTCCGAACACATGATACGGCGTTCAGTAGGTAGAGCCGCCTTCCTCCCATCTCTCCGTGTCGTCGTTGCAGAACTGACCAACCCTCAGCCGGGCACGCCTCGCTTCGCTGTACTCAGACTTCCGTCTGCAACGACACAGTAATCCCGATGGATACGAAGCAAATTCGGCAGCATGGCTGAGCGCCTTAACCGCTGCTGCGAAAGAAGGCCTGATCCCAATACAAACCGGAGCACAGCATGATCGTTTCAGCCTACATACCGGAGAAGAGCTGCTCCGAGCATTACAGACGCAAGAATATGGCAGACCATTGGCACTAGGATCAGCAATCGAAGATGCTGTACGGAAGAAAGAGCTAGTGCCGTTGCAAGAGTTTCTGGACGCGAAGCAGAGTGTGTACACCAAGAGCTGGCTGCCAACACCATGGCAAGTCATGAGTTGGAGTTTACGGCAGCTTGGCGTGACTGGTAGAGAAGGCGCAGAGGACAAGCTAGTGACGGGCAACTTTGTGATGATGGCGAACGTTGAGGTATGCTCGTGCCTCTTTTGGTGGAGGGTAAGGACAAGCTGACAGGTAACAGGCTGCTGCAAAGGCGGTGATAAACGAGGCAACAACGAATGCGACATCCAATACTTCACGAATCTTTTCACGGGACTTGTTTTCGTCGAGCTTTGCACCAACGATTGGTGCACGTATATTGAGCCAAAGAGATGTCTCGGTACTGCTAACACATCTCGCTCGGGATCATGCCGCAGTAGCTTACGATACTGCCACTGGTACTGTCAAGTTCAGAGCTGCATCCGAGACGAGTGTACCGACCATCGGCCAGGAGGATGTTACGATTGCTTCACTACGAACACTAATATCCTCCTTGGAACCGCAAGTCCAGCAGCTGATACAGCATATATCGGAGCTCGATGCTAAGGTCCGCAATGCAGTATCAAGTAAACAAATGTCTCCCGCCAAGACTGCATTACGCCAGAAGAAGCTAGCAGAGAGCAAGCTACAGCAGCGATCCGCCACCCTGGCTCAACTAGAAGAGGTCTACGCCAAAATCGAGCAAGCTGCAGACCAAGTCGAGATGGTTCGTGTGATGGAGGCCTCGAGCCAAGCTCTACGCTCGCTAAACCAGAAGACTGGTGGGGTTGAAAATGTACAAGATGTCATGGAAGGTTTGCAGGAGGAGATGATGAACGTAGATGAGATTCAGCAGGCAATCAATGAGCCGGCTGCTGGTACTATTGATGAGGGTGAGGTGGATGATGAGCTTGAGGCGCTTGAGAGAGCGGAGAGGGAGAAGGCTGAGGCTGTAGAGTGTGCTGAGAGGGAGAAGAGGGAGGCTGAGGAAGCAGAGCTGACGCAGAAGAGGCTGGCAGAAGTGGTGGACTTTCCAGATGCCGCGGGGGTGTCTCCCGGTCAAACGAACGAGACAGCCTCTGCGCAGACCGAGCAGCCAGCTGTCCAAGCTGAGTGACGTGATCAGGCACGAGGCACTTCTCCTACATCAGAACGGTTCTTATGATATCGACTCATCCCAAAGGTCTGCGTTTTAATCACGATTCGATACTCCTCGGCCTGCGACCACCCACTCCAAAATCTCGGGATCCGACCTCCGTAGCCCACATTATAACAGCCTACTTCACCCTCTCCAACAATTTCACCAATATGGTGCGCTGCTGCCGAAACATTGCGAGTCCTCCGCAAGTATCGCGGCGTCCCACTCGATCCCCTCGTCCCAGGTCGTACGACTCTCACAGCATTTTCCCCCAGGAGCATCCGAGCCGCACTCACCAGCCGCCCTCGAATATCAGCTTCAACCTTGCTCATCTCTCCTTTGTTCAGTCCCTCCGTACATGCTATGAATAAGCCCCGTACTTGCAATTGTTGGACGCTCGGAATCTGATGGTCTATCAAAGTGGGCAGCCACATTGCTGCTGCTTTGACGCCCTCGGCCTCGAAGATGACTTGGTTGTAGAAGAACGGCAATGCTTCTGAGCGGATCTGGCGGTCCGTTGATAGCAGGGCGGAGTAGCGGCGAGAGAGGATAGTGCTGGTTTTGTAGTGGCTTGGTATTGGTAGCACGTGGGTCTTGTCGTCTGTATGCTCGAAGACCATTGTGTAGATCTCGTTGCGCAGCTCGGGTGGTAGATCAAGGAAATGCATCTTGACTGTAGTTGCAGCAGTGCTTGTGCTGAGCCGAGTGCGAGGATTTGAGTACTACTCGACAATGGATGATGTGAATTGGGATGGTCGAGGTATCTCTACGAACGCTGCAATAATTGTGGGTCGCCATCCTTAGTGCCTGCTCCTTCCGCGTTTGGCAGGCGAATAGCGGACTTTCCTCGAGTCCGCTCTCCATTCACCAACTATAAAGTTCCAAGTTACGTCGCCCCAACAAGTGTCTAGTCAACGTTTACATTCGTTCACTACTGCAGTGCTCATACGTCTGAATTATAACGTGACGTTCTGTGAGGCACATCGACAACCAAGTGCCGTACCTCTGACGTCTGAATACAACTCCCAGCTGTCCGCAATGAGCAGTATCACGATAGCCGTCAGAAAGTATGCGTCCAGGCTGTTCTACATTGCAGTGCAGGGAGGCTTCACTGTTTTCAACTACGTCACAGCGTCACGATACTGGTCTCCGAAGACATACCCAGACAGCTTCAAAGCGCTCCCGTCGAAACCATATCTATATGCGAGCCGCATCTATCTACCAGCCAAAAATGATTGCAGTGCTATCAGACTTCCGCTCGTCATCCAAGTTCATGGCGGAGGTTTCATGATCAACAATCCTAGCGCCGATGATCCATTGGCTCGCTTTCTGGCCGACAACGTTGGTTGCGTTGTAGCCAACATCGACTATCGCAAAGCGCCTCAACATGTGTTTCCGGCTGGATACGAAGATGTAGTAGCGGTCTCCCGAGCTTTGATCGATAGCCAGGACCACGATATCGATAGGACCCGAGTTATTCTAACTGGAAGGTCAGCAGGTGGCAACCTCGTCTTGGCAGCCTGCCAGGACAAGCGTCTGAGGTCGGATCTCCTGGGAGTGCATGCTCTCTACCCATGTTGTGATTTTCGAAGTCTGGCGAAAGACAAGATGGCCTCACGACCTGACCCTACAGTACCGGATGGCCTGGGTAAAGCATTGGACGAAGTATCGAGACTTTACCTTGGATCTATGGAAAGAGTGGAGCAATTTGAGAACGATGTACGACTGAGTCCTACATGCTTCAGTGCGCGAGCGGATCTACCGGAGCATGTGTACTTGGTTGGTGCTGACCATGACCTGCTGTGTGCGGAGGCGGAGAGTATGGCTCAGCAGCTGGCACTTGGTGCTGAAAGACGAGTGACGAGCAATGGATGGGAGGCTGACGGTGTGAAATGGGATCGAGTTAAGGATGAGACTCACGGCTTCGATATATTTGGGTCACGTGGTAAGGAGTTTGAAGAAGCTCGATTGATGCATAAAGAAGAGACGTATCGGGCTATGGCGGACTGGATGATCAAAGTGTTCGATGTGAAGCGATAGTTGTCTATTCTGGTTGGTTTCATAGATATCAAAGACTTCATCTCTTTCTGCTAAGTATTCTTGGTTTTCCACCAATGTAGACGAAGCAGAGTATAGCAGTGACAGCACAAATGCCAGCAAGCACCAAGTTCATGTTACCATATCCGATGAATTGTTTCAGCTCACCAGCCAGTTCCGGTCCCAACGTCAGACCAGCGCTAAACACCATAGAATTAAGTCCATACAGCTGAGCATATGGTCCATTGTCGCCAAAGAAGTCCGGGTTGACTTCGTAGTACTTTTGTACGATCGCTCCAGCCTCTACGATACTCGGTGCACCAATACCAGCCAGGCCCACACCACACAGAGCAAGTAGACCGCCATAGAGGAGCATCTGCTGCTGACCACCAGGATGTGGTATGCGCAGCACGATCAAGGCTGGGACGAGGTAAGTGTAGGCAAATACGCCCACCGGCTTGGTACCAAAGCGATCCACGCACCATCCGAAAACTGGTCCGAGGATGAAATCCGCCACACCAAGCGGCATGAAAAGTAGTCCGGCTTTGAGTGAGTCGACATGGAAGTATTCTTCGGCTACTGTTGGTATGGTAGCATCGAAGTTACCAAGTAGCATGGCTTGGACGAAAGCAACGAGGAAGGCTGTTAGAAGTCGAGGATTTGCTAGGCAAGGCAGTATCGGGATGTACTGAGCGAGCTTTGGCTGGTTGTTGGAGAGTTTGAAGGATGCTTCATCCTCCTCTTTACCGCCGAGGAGAGGTTGCTCTTCGTTGTCTTCGTCACCGTTCTCTTCATCATGAGTCGCGTCTTGCTGGTCGTCGGCTGAGGTCTCACGATCGCCGGCATCGGGATCGTTCGTCTCGTAGCGTTTGGCGACTCTCTTCTCGATGACGAGCAGACGCATGGCAAAGTCGATAGCAATGATGCCGAAGCCGATGCTGAATACGCCGACATAGCCAGCCTGAATGAGAATTACTATGATTGTGAGAGATGTTGACAGCGATGCGATCTACCTTCTCATACAGTACGCCACCAAGCAGAGGTGCGAAGAGGTTGCCGACGCTAATGAAGGAGAAGATCTAGTAGGCTGTGAGTGTCGTGTCGCACGGAGGCTCTGGGCAACAATGCATACCGATCCTATCGTCTTTCCTAGATTTTCTGGTCCAACAGTCTCTAAAGCCAATGCCAATCCAATGGTCCAGACGAACGCAGCGCTAATGCCCTGGAGGACTCTCGCCACTGCCAGCACTGCTACAGAATTCCCGAAGAAAAGCAGAATCGTGGCCCCAAGTAGTGCAGTCAGCCCCCATAGGAAGGGTGCTTGACGAGTAGATATACGGTCCGCCAGTAGTCCAGCAAGTGGTGAACATATCACCGATGCTCCAGCATAGGCAGCGAGTAGGCCAGAGACATTGCTTTGGACTTGTTCTGCCGGCAGACCGACCCGGTCACGGAGCATGAATGGTAGTATCGGAACAACCAGGCCATAAAGAAACAAATCGGTAAAAAGGCCAATGGCCACCGTAGCCACGATGAAAATGGTGTTGCTGCGCCATCTGAGACCTGCTGGTTTTATGGTGTAGTCGTTACTGAGCTGTAGTGTATTGAGTATCTTGCTCCTCGTGGAGCCTGCCATGGTGAGTTGACAGCGGTCACGCAAGCACGATAGAGAAAACTAGAGTGTGTGACATGGAGGAGGGAATGTACTTGCCGTTTGCACCAGCATTCACCTACCCCTTTGGGCGGCAACATATGCAGACGTCACTGATGCAGGTACGATGTAAACTCGGCTAGCGCGAGATTCAGTAGAAAGCAGATAGTGCTTGGCAATTGTATCAGTCCGCAGCTTCCAGCGCCCACAAATGGTCGACTGGGCACAAGCAATGTGCGGGTCCGTTTCGTAGAAGTTGAGGTCGATAAGGCAAGAGAGAAGTGAATGCTCGGAGTCGTTGCTCATGAAGGGCCCACTTTATTAGGTTGCGCGGCTTATCTCGCTTCTCATATGATCTCGAGAATTCAGCGTCGATCATTAACCATATCAACGAGATAGGGACAGACAAAGCTACAGTCATTTCACGGAGGAAGAAGGCACAAGTATTGGACTTCCATCATGTCGGACGCAGGAGATGACGAGACTCCGCCCAGCGCAACGTTCGTACATTGCACATCGTACGAACAAGCGTAGTGGCTCGTCCCGGATACTGACTGTGTGTATAGTGTCTATGTGCGCAACATCGACGAGCGCATCAAGGTCAGCACGGTCATCGACTCGCTGAAAGGCATATTCGCCGACTTCGGCAACGTCGTAGATGTCGTTGCGAAGAAGAGCCTGAAAAGGAAGGGTCAGGCATTCGTCATCTACGATTCGGTCGACTCGGCGCAAGAGGCTATCGACGATCTTCAGGGCTTTGAGGTCTTCGGCCAACAGCTGCGCCTCGAGTTTGCCAGGACGAGATCGGATGCAACTGTGCTGCGGGAGGATGGGGAGCAAGGACTGGAGACACACAAGAAGCACCGCCTAGCCGAGAAAGAACGCAAACAAGCCGCCGAAGCGGCCGAAGCAAAAGCGGCGGCCAAGCGTCCAGCGCCCGAAGGTCTCGCAGAACGCCCTGCCAAGACCACGAAACCAGCCCAGGACAATGTCGTCCCCGACGAGTATTTACCCGTCAATAAGATCCTGTTCTTGCGCGATCTGCCAGAAGACTACGGTAGCGAAGCACTATCTGCAATCTTTGGTCGCTATCCAGGGTTTAAGGAACTCCGTATGGTACCGGGAAGAGCAGGAATTGCCTTTGTGGAGTACGAGAGTGAGGATGGGGCGATCAACGCGAAGGAGGCGACGAACGGCATTACTTTGGGAGAACAGGTTATCAGGGTCACGTACCAGAGGCAGTAGGGAAGCACGGGTATCTAGCGGAGTCCTATTTTGCTAGCATGGTGGCACCAACAAGTTCTTGCTCGTTCTCCAAGCGTATATCGTTGCCCGACACGACTCAAGTCTTGATCGCACACATTGAAACGTTATGTTGATACAGAGCTCTAGAACTTGGTTCGACGTTAAGCCCATGCGCCCATCCTAGTCGCCTCTCCTTCTGTCACTTGGCACTGGACCTACACTGGCACCTCTGTGGTGATCCTTCGCAGTCGCCATCCGACTTTCAATGAACTGTATAGCGTTCTCCGAAAACCTCCGCCTATGTCCTCTCAGCTCATCCACATCACAAGCCGCACCCGCTCTCGCATAAGAGATCGGTGGCGACTTGACGAGCTCCGGAACATCGTCCTTCTCGGACGACAAACTCGACTTCTTGCTGCGTGAATCAGGCGTAAAGGCTGCTCCCTCGACTGGACTGTAAACAGAAGCTGACATGATCTCGTGGGCGAAGATGTGATTCGTATCTATGGCGATGTCTGCATGATCTCCAAAAACGGGTCGACCGTACATGGCTGGCTCGTAAAAGCCAGAGTCTGTGGAGGAGACATTCGGCGAGGAGCGCCGACGCTCACGAATCACCGATAGATCCCAGTATTGTGGTCGTGGCGGCATTGCAGGAGCATGCCAAGGACTAGGCCCGGCTGGGCTGTACGGCGAGAATGGCGTGAACGGTGATTGTGGCAGGTGCGCAGTCCAGGGCTTGGTTGGGAGGTGATACACACTTGGCTCGTGCCAGGCGATGAGATTGTTACACCGCCGTAGGTCGTCTTCTACAATCCTTCGCTGCCACTCAAGCTTCTGAACGATGTTTCTCGTCACTGACCTGGCCCACTGCAATTTCTTCTTCTCCTTCCTGCTCAGCCCTTTTTCCTCTCGTTGGTCCAGTGCCCTCTCCGCCCGAGCGAGCTTTTTGTATTGCTTACCAAGAGTTTTATGGACGTCTGCAAGCTCGCTGTTGTAGTAGTTGTGTTGGGTGTGCAGATGTGGCAGCATGTCTATGTGCTGCACCAGTGGGAACATCATTTTCGTGTCGGCGGCGAAACGTTCCGGACGAGCGCAAGAGGCCGGCCTGAGTGGGAAGGATACCTGCGTGAGTGGCGATGCGGTCTCAAAGCTTGACGGGAGTGCTGGATGCTGCGTTAATCCTTCGTATCAGTCTGCGATACAGCTCCTTCAAGGCCGCCTCTTGCGCTTGTAGGGTCATCTGACAAGAAGGAGATGAGGGCTGCTATTATTACTACAACTGACTGCATGGCTTGTTTGATGTCAATGGAGCTTTCTTTCATGGTACTGCTGGGTCGGTAATTTGCTTGCCGGCTGGGTGATGGCTTGCTGAATGCGGACAAAGAGGACGGCCACGGTAATGCAAGATTACAGCCGGTGCTGCAGATGGTAGTGTTGGTGGGATATGCTAACATCGGATGTGGTCTGAGATGGCAGCAAACCATCTTGGAAGACATGCTTTACTATGATCAGCCCACGTATCTGGATTCCATGCGAGGATGTGCGATGCTTAGTGTTTGACACATTAGAAGCTTGACGATGGACAAAGGAAATGCTGCAAGCAAGGAGTACTACCGTCACATTCCAGAGTCTCCCGCGACGCTTGTTACACTTGATAGTCTTCATCCGCTATGTCTCTTCCGCAACTGCGTCTTCTCTCATTGACTTCCAGGTTGTGTGGTCGCGCCGACGTCACGGACCGCTGACGCTGCAAGTATCTCTTCCCGTGCCCTGCGTGCCTGTTCCCACGGAGAGTCGCTTGGACTTAGGTCCCCCGATGTGCTTGTACTGGCGTCATCAGTATCTGGGTTTCTGATCTTGATGTAGTTGACATAAGTGTGACACTTCTTTCCGAAAGCATCCAAATCTGGCTCGAGCCGTTTCCAGGACTGTGTAAGGTCTGCCATCAGAATCTCGAGCACGTCGTGATCGCCTTGCACTTTGTTCATGAAATCCTGGAAGTTAGTCCTTGCTTGTACTGTCGCGACAACTACGTCCGTCTTCTTGGCAGACATTCTGGGACGAAATACGTCGAACGAATTCTACAATCCCAGTCTTTTAGTAGCGTACGCTGCTTGTCAGTCGAGACTGGGGACGAATAGGTCGTTTAGCAAACATATTCGTCACCTTGCCTGACTCAAATATTGAATCCACCATGTTCTGCGGCATCCAGTATACGCCACAAACCAGCTTGTTGTGTAGCCTTTTCCACATTACCCACTTCGTCATGACCAACTGGACGATTGATCCGCATATCGAACTTGATCTGTACTTCTCGACGAGTAAGAATGCCTCCTGACACAATCATATCGTTGACTACATCTTTGGCTCTGCCGATTTTGGTGCGCTTTCTCTGGCCGACATGAGGCCTCGGATGGTACTACTCCATGATATGAAGATACAGATCTGTGCTCACATTCGCAGCAAGCCATTGGACTATGTATTTGCCTTCTTCTTCGTGGCCAGGCATGACGAGATGACGCAGCAAGACGCCTATTGTGCTGACCCATCTGGTGTGAAGCAAAGATCGCCCACCTGACCATGCATCGCTTTGATGGACTCCGTGGCTACGTTGGCATAGTTCTACACTTTGAGTAGATGCTTCGAAGTGCTGTGCTCCCATACTTTGAAGTCGGGTAGGTAGATATCGACCAGACCATCCAGACGCTCTAGAGAAGCCAGTGAGTCGAAGCTAGCGGTGTTGTATACAATTGGTGGCTTTAGGCCCAGCTCCTTTGCGTGGAGGATTGACAGCACGACCTAAGGCACGACATGCTCAGGTGTGACCAGATTGATGTTGGTCACGTTGCCCACTTCCCGTAGTTTCATGTACCACTCGGCCAGCTCCTCGAGGCTCAGATGGAAGCCATTCTTCTGATGTGCAATATCGTGGTTTTGGCAGAAGACGCAACTTGAATTGCATCCGCTGAAGGAAGACGCAGCCTGATCTATGATGGCCTTGTAGACAAGGTTCCTCGCCGAAGTGAGGTGCCACAGTGTTGACCACAATCAGACAAGTTCCACGCCTTTCGTAACGATTGACGCCGCATAGTCTCGGACAAAGATTGCAATTCCGCAGATGAGCATATGGCTCAGACGACTTCCTCGCTTCTTGCAGTGGCGATAACAGCTGGTAGCGCGGTATGTAGTCGTCTAGGAGATATGGTGGCGACAAGAACGATTTACTGCGTCGAGCAGCTCTCGTGACGCGCTCAGTCCAGACTACACGGACGATAGGCCTCGATAGGCTGCGCGACCAATTACAGAGCATCTTGGTTGATTCCTGCAGGGCCGAGACTTGACCAAGGAGCGAGATGTCGATGATGTCGGAAGTGGTGATGGTTTGGGCACGAGTCATTGGCTACAAGCCCCACTATGACGTCTACCTCATTACAAAGCAACAATCTATATCCTCTCTATAGTATCAGCATAAACGCCACCTGATGTCAACCCACCAGTGACTGAACAATCATGGCGCCATACATGGACGAGGCGATCGAGCCTGTGGACGATGCGCTGGAGTCTCGCCTCAAGAAGGCGCCTGCTCTCGTCGCACCCGAGCCAGAACACTGTCCAGGCCCCGAAGGCGACCTCGCAGGCAAGGCAGACGCATGTGCCGGCTGCCCAAACCAAGCCATATGTGCTTCTGCGCCGAAAGGACCCGATCCGGACATTCCTGTCATTACACAACGACTCGCAGGAGTCAAGCACAAGATACTGGTTCTGTCTGGCAAAGGTGGCGTAGGCAAGAGCACATTCACCACCATGCTTGCTCACGCCTTCGCCAGTAATGAGAAGAATATGGTTGGTATCATGGACACAGACATCTGCGGTCCGAGCATACCCAAGATGTTGGGTGTGGAGACCGAGACGATACATGTGACCAATACGGGATGGGAGCCGGTCTGGGTGAGTGATAACTTGGGTGTGATGAGTGTGCAGTTCATGCTGCCGAATAGAGATGATGCTGTAATCTGGCGAGGACCGAAGAAGAATGGCTTGATCAAGCAATTCTTGAAGGATGTGGAGTGGGGTGAGATGGACTATCTGGTTGTAGACACGCCTCCAGGCACGTCGGACGAGCATTTGAGTGTGAACAGCTATCTAAAGGAGTCAGGTGTAGATGGAGCAGTACTAGTCACCACACCACAAGAGGTAGCACTGCTGGATGTGAGGAAGGAGATTGACTTCTGTCACAAGGCTGGCATACGAATCCTTGGACTAGTGGAGAACATGTCTGGCTTTGTCTGTCCAAAGTGCACGCACACTTCCGAGATCTTCAGAGCGACTACTGGTGGCGGCAGGAAATTGGCAATTGACACTGGGATACCGTTCTTGGGTGCTGTGCCTCTCGACAGTCGGATCGGGATGGCGTGCGATTATGGCGAAAGCTTCTTCGACAACTTTCCGGACTCTCCGACTTGTAAGTCTCTCAAGGAAGTGGTCAGAAATGTCGGCAAGGAATTGGGTGTGAAAGCTGAAGACGTACTTGGAGAAGGTTGAGTCATTATTCGCGCTTATCCTATGTGACGAAATCGGCAATGATCAAAGTTGATCGCAAGTATTTAGACGTGATGTCTAGCTGAGCTACTGGGGTCATTCAAAGGAGCAACAAACACGCTCGTAACCATAAGCCTTCGTGCCTTAGCTTGTCTTCGATCTCTACACCGTGGACTCAACCAGAGGAGGTATCAGCCCCCCCTTGGGATGGCCACGGCACCTGTTCGAAGCGATTCCTCGAATCAAGAGCTGAAGCGTGACGCGCCGGGACTTGATTCACATCTTATAGGTGTTGTGAGCTTCAGAGACCGCGATTTAGCTGTACTTGGCCAATAACAAGCGTACGGCGAAGGCTGTCGACGATTACTGTCAAGCCAGGGACGACCTCCAGCACCTTTCCGATCAGCGTCAAGGCACATGGAAGGCATGACCGACAGTGGTGGAAAGGGAGAGCATGATCCTTCAGTGCAAGGCGGAGATGATAACAGAAAGGGAATTGAACAAGCTGTGTGCCTTTGCTATTACCTTCGTGGAAATCAGCTGAGACTAGTCTCATGCAACATGGGATGCTGGAGAACATATGCTCTGCCTCTGGGCCTGGATGATTGTTGGATCGTACATTACTGTTGCGAATGAGAGTGAGGTTATCGACGACCTGGAGCGGGATGTGGCTTCAACACGAGCTCAGCGGCAACAGACTCGACCGTCATTCGCTGTCATTGAGCTCGAATTCACTGCCTCTAGCAGTCAACTCGAGACAGATAGCCAGAACGGGTACATCGAGGAGCTTCACTGTTACATCAAGGGTCACCAAGAAGATCTTCGTCGATCTGTCGGTCGGTTTCCATCGCTCTTGCGGATTGCGGTTGGCGTCCCAATGCAACGCATGGAGAACTCGGGATAGATCCGTACAATTCAGAGAGGATATTGTCGTGGTACATACAGGCTGCGAGATTGACATTCCATGCCGCACGAAGGCTAGAGCGGATAGCAGCGGGTGCGGAAATTGCAACATTGCAAGGAACAACATCATAGACATCTGCTTTTGCGCATGTCGTTCCTTCCACATTTGTCAACGGCTTGACCGCCACACTTATGCTTGGTATCAGCATCATGGGGTCAGACTATACCCGACGCAAAGGAATGGAAAGTAGCTCAGCTGATCTGGCAAGCCTTGCTTCGAGCGTTCTGTACGTTGTCCCACTTCTCTTCCGTTCCCGTCTCACCTCATTATTTCCACAGCATGTAATCAGTGACAATGCCTCTGTCCTTATCCACGGGAGGTATCAAGTTGGGATAAACTTGTGCAGAAACTCTCGCTAAGCTTTGACGGTCTTTGTGATCGAGGGCGAACATTCGAATTCGTCGACGGACAATGAATGAGCATCGAGGTTTATTCACTCGACAAACGACAAAGCCGGCTTTGTATTCCTGGTCAAAAATTTGAGTGGAGTCCAGAATTCAGCCACTGGACAAGTGGGTTCAAGGACAATGGTATAAGTCTTCTCGTTCCACGCGACTGGCGCACATATCACAAGATCGCTCCAACCACTGTCAGTGTGACTTGTTGTCTGTTACACCAGCTTCAACAGCCCGGTTGCTGTTAAGCTCTACCCTCTTCTCACTCGACCACATCGCAACAAGTGTACTACGTTAGGGCCAGGCACACAGGTGCGCCACCCTGTCCGCCATGTACAGCTTCCTACTTTCTCCTATTGCGCTCATTGGCATTACTATTGCTCTGCCGCAACCGTATACTTCCAACACCACCAACAATGCTATTCGCCACAGAAGGGCCACAACAGCACATCCTATCATGGGTGGGCAGAATTTTCCAGACCCTGGCATCATTCGTGTAGCAGACGGCTGGCACGCCTTCTCAACAAACGCACTGTACAACGGCACACCGATACACGTACAGATTGCTCATACTCCCGACTTCATGACTTGGACGTTGCGCGCCAGCGTCGACGCTATGCCGAAGCTGGCCCCGTGGGTGGACACTCTAAACCCTCGAGTCTGGGCTCCAGATGTTGTACAGCTCGCTGATGGCTCATTCATGATGTACTACACCGCTGCATACGTAAGAAACACGAAACTCCACTGCGTGAGCTTTGCGACCTCAAAGAACGTCGACGGCCCGTATGTTGATGCCAAGGTCGAGCCATGGACTTGTCCAGTAGCGCAAGGCGGTGCGATCGATCCCTCTGGCTACCTCAATGCGGACGGCACTCGCTGGGTTGTCTACAAGATTGACGGCAATGCGATTGGACACGGCGGATCTTGTGGAAACACTGTCAGGCCGATCGTGCAAACCCCAATCATGCTGCAGCAAGTTGCAGCAGATGGCCACAGCAAGATCGGCAACCCTATACAGCTCATAAGCAACGATTTGGACGACGGCCCTGTTGTCGAAGCGCCAGCGCTTGCGTACCTCGACGGCAAGTACGTCCTCTTTTTCTCCTCCAACTGCTTCGCCACAAGTCTATACGACGTGAGCTACGCCATCGCTTCAGACATTCGTGGACCGTACCGCAAAGGAGGGCCACTGTACGTCACCGGGAATATGGGAATGTATGCCCCGGGCGGGCTGGACGTGGCTCTCAACGGCAATCGTGCGATCTGGCATGGGTACGTCAATCATACTGCCTCTGCTGATTGCATCTCGAGACACCATGGTCATGGTACTGACAATGACTGTAACAGGAATGTTGCTGGCGGCCGGGCCGCATTTACGGGCATCGCTTCGTTAGATGGTAATGTCATCTCAATGACTAGCGTGTCTTGATATGAAATGCATGCACAGAGGCCCGATTTCTTCTGTCTTTGTAGTGATAAGCGTTCTTTTCATGCGTTCTAGCGATGAAGCCGAGCGTAGGACCGCTGCATACCGGAAGTACAGGTTCGCATTGTGTTCATAAATTTCTCTTCGTTACCCGTACGTTGACTCCACCCTGCATTACGAACCAATAACACTGCATACTCCATTCCTTTTCAGGCTCACTTAACTCAAGTTCATAGTGCATGAACAGCGTCGGTACCAATTTCGACCTGCAAGTTCAAATCAGCTTGGACGTTCCGACAACAGTGATGATTTGCATTACATCTCCAGCCAACTTATGTTTCTGCCGATACAAGTGCGAGCTCCGGATCCAAACGCGAAGAAGTAACGATGCATGTCGCCCTTCTTGTCTTCGTCTAGCCATCGCTCTGGACGAAATGCTTCCACATCATCACCAAACACTTCTCGGTTACGATGGACGACCCATGGATTAGCGCCAACGACGCTCCCTGCGGGGAGATAGTGTTCTGCAATATTGGCGCCACCTTGTGGGACAGTTCGAGGCAAGCTCATGCCGACTGCAGGATGCTGTTCACGACTGTCAGTAAAGATCACTGTGGCTCGCGTACTGAGTGACCTACCAGTCTCAGCGCCTCATACATCACAGCTTGCAAATATGGCATATTGTCCGCCTCGGAAAGCTTCACAGGGTCGCTAAGTCTGCCCTGACTTCGCGAAGTATCAATCTCGTTGATCAATCTTTGCTTGTAACTGACGTTCTTCAGCAGATAGTATATGATGGCGCGGAGGGATATGGCAGTCGTATCAGACCCAGCAAAAACATTACTTGTAGCCATGCTCGCCACGCCATTCCCATCCATCTCGTGTGGTTTGGCTTTCTGGATAGCCTTCAGCTTCGACAGGATGTCATGCTGGTCGCCTCCTCGATCTTGACGTGCTGTGATCTCTTGGACTGCAAAATTACGGAGACTCCCGTGACGAGCCGCAATGCCGAGATGATTCCCTATGTAAGGCGACAATGCGTCATGAATCCAGTATAGTATCGGTATCTGGCCCACCCACGCGGCTGACTTGAGGGCAGCCTCGATCCTGCCAAAGGAACCATCGTCTGCAGCGGCATCCATGAAGCCAAACCTCTTGGAGAATGTGACTCCGCCGATCACGTCTGCCAATCGTTAGCGATCTGGACCGAGACAGACTCTCATAGATAATACCAAAGGCGAACAACTGGACCCAATTGCCCAAATCAAGGACTTGGCCACTACGCTCGGCCATATTATCCAGGAATACCTTGACAGCATCGTCCACATATGGCTCAAGGTCCCTTAGACTTTCCATAGTATATGCACGACTTACTAGTCGGCGTTGGGTTGCATGAATTGTTCATTACGCTCTCCGAACAGGTCAAACTTCCGATGACCTTGCCATACTGAGTACCATTCTGATTTCCTGAATTTTGTGCCTGCACCATAGATCTGCTTGATCGCTGACAAGTCGGACACACTGACTTCGCTTGGTCCAGTACGAACAAGACTGCCATGCTTCCGATGCAGCTCGATCATGACGACATTCATGTCACCGTCCCAGGAGTGCTTCGTCATCCATAGTCGGGTAAGACTGGCCCAGAGAGGCCCAGGGATACCGGCCAGGGGATGGAAGCGTCGTTGGTAGATGGAATATGCTAATGGTAGGATTATGAGGGTTGCGAACAGCACAAGCGGTGGTGTTGGACCAAGCGCATTTAAGAAATAGACTGCCATTGTGTCAAGATGCGTTGGAGGATTCTCGACACCTTGACCTTAAGTCTGGCATCTATACTGCCTCACAGTTACACATACTTTTGGCGTGATTCCGGATGAGTGAGGTCGTAAGTGGGGTTCGGATCCGAACGGAGACGACCCGGGGTACATAATCGTGGGGCATTATTGTACATACGAGATGCGCTGGTCGTCAAGACCTCTCGCGTTACGACCGAACAGAGGGTGGCACCGAACGTATGCTGATCACGGTCATCAGAAGACCATCTATTCAGCAAACGACAGAGCGCGGGAACTTCACCGTGTCGTCGACCCGTCCATATGTGTACGTAAGCGAGTTGATCGGATGCCCACTCTAGACCATGCTAGTTCTAGCCGATGCACGATCGAACTCTAAGCGTCAAAGCCATGAAAGCCGTATCGCGTTGCCGTTCATTCGGACAACCGGTTCTCTTTGCGGCAACTACTCTCACTCCACCAACACCGCACCGAGTGCTCAGCCGTGCTCAAGCGTGATGATGCGCCTGAGCTAGGCAGGCTATCTGTACAGCATAAAGGTAGGCCGTGGGGAGGCTGGACAACTGGTCCAAACCATCCTCTGTCGTCATTCATCTACACAGATCTGCCACTGACGATCCCCATCGCCCTTCTGTTATATTGTCCAGCATCTGTGATATCCTGACATCGCTCTCTTTGGATTTTCCTACGCACATACAACACCTCACAGCATTGGGAAACCTCGCCATAATGTCGATCGAGCGATACGATATTGTCATCGTTGGAGCAGGACCAGTTGGGTTGCTGCTCTCGACATGTCTGGCGCGATGGGGATACAAGATTAAGCACATCGATATGCGACCTGTCCCAACCGTCACTGGACGCGCCGATGGCATCCAGCCTAGATCACTGGACTTGCTGCGGAATATGGGTCTTAAGCGTGCCATCATGGCCAACGAGCCTGCGAAGGTGTTCGAAGTTGCTTTCTGGGACCCGAAGGAAGACGCGAAGGGTATCCACAGGACTGGTACTTGGCCCTCATGTCCCAAATTCATCGACGCCAGATATCCTTTCACGACACTACTCCACCAAGGCCTGATCGAGAGGGTGTTCATCGACGATTTGCAAAAGAACGGCGTCAAGATTCAGCGACCCTGGAGGATAACGGGCTTCAATACCGATGCGGTCGACAAGCAATATCCCGTCGAGGTCAGCATTTCGCACGTCGATGGTGACGAGCAAGAGACAATTCGCGCCAAGTATTTGTTCAGCGGAGAAGGCGCACGATCTTTCGTACGAGAGCAGCTGAAAGTTGGAATCACACACAAGGACCCAATTGCGCATGTATGGGGTGTGATGGATGGTGTCGTCCGAACCGACTTTCCTGATATTAAGATGAAGTGCACGATACACTCAGATGCAGGGTCAATTATGGTCATTCCGCGAGAGGCGAACATGGTACGGCTGTACATTCAGATTGCATCGTCCACCGACCCAGACTGGGACCCTCGCAAGACAGCCACGACTGAGCAAGTCCAAGAGACGGCGAAAAAGATCATGGCGCCATACTACATTGAATGGGATCGCGTAGAGTGGTACTCTGTTTACCCGATTGGCCAAGGCATTGCGGATAGGTATACTCTGGACGAGCGCGTCTTCATGGGCGGCGACTGCTGCCATACTCACTCGCCAAAGGCTGGCCAAGGCATGAATACCGCATTCTTGGATGCCCAGAATTTGGCGTGGAAGATCCACCATGTTGAGTCTGGCTTCGCAGATCGCTCTATCCTCAAGTCGTATGAGAGCGAACGAAAGCTTATCGCCGAGAATTTGCTCAACTTCGATGCACAATATGCCAAGCTGTTCTCGCAGCGGCAGCCGTCTGCTGGTGAGATCGGCCATGTGAGCAAGTCTGCCCAGGATCAAGGGCAAGCCGAGCAGCACGAAGACAACGATTTTATAAAGACATTCAAGGCTTCCTGCGAGTTCACCTCTGGCTACGGTGTGGCGTATAACGAGAACATCTTCAACTGGTCTGAGAACCATCCGGCGAAGAGCCCGCTGTTCTTGTCAGAGAAGGCTGGCACAACAACCCAAAGACCAGGCCGCATCTTGACCCCAGCTACCGTGACACGGGTGGCGGATGCGAACGTTGTGCATCTCGAGCAAGAGATTCCTCTCAATGGCTCGTATCGGCTATATCTCTTCGGTGGCAAGCCGAGCGTCACAAAGAGAGCCATCGTGGACTTCGCGTCAGGGCTCAAGAAGAAGGGCTCATTCTACCAGACATACACGAGGTCAGATAGCGACAAAGTCAACTACCATGAGCGACACAACCCGGACAGCCTTTTCTTCACCTTCAACACCATCTTCAACGCACAGAGACCTGACATTGAGGTTCGAGCATTATTACCTGACATCCTGGCTCGCTACTTCGACCATGTCTACGCTGACGACATCTGGGACCAGCGCGTACCTGATGCGAAAGCCGCTGCTCATGCCAAGATGGGTCTGACGGAGGATGAGGGTGGCGTCGTAGTTGTCCGACCTGACGGGTATGTCGGCTGTGTTGTCAAGCTTGTGGAAGGCAGTGGCACAGTTGATGCGCTCAACCAGTACTTCTCGTCCTTTTGTACGAAGAGCCTTGGTGGTGTTGAGAAGGCTCAGCTGTAATGATTGATGCCGAATTGATTGTATGGTTGTCATATAGCGATGGCGTTCAGGAGGTATCTTATATACATCTATATCTTGCAGATAGTGCAAATAAGAATTTTCCTACGATCACTGCACATATGCTCAGAAGTCTGTTATATCGTCGATGTAAAGTCTTTGAAAATGCTTAGAGTAAGACAGAGGTGATGTCGTTAGAAGAACCATGACGGAAACAGACGCTAGAGGGGGGACGCCGAGCAATCAGCTAAGAAGCACTCTCCACAGCGCCACACATCCTGAAACAGAGAACTCACAACAGCCCAGATTTCTCTCTGCGCCACAATGTGAGCACTAGAGCAGGGTCATGGGAGACCTCAGTAGACAGCAGAGCCATCAGCACCTGCTCGCATCAGACGACACGAACTCACTCACCAGCTTTCCCGACCCGGAAGCCGAACAGAAGGGCGAACAGGATGGCGAGCATGGAGCGAAGGCATCTCTTCATGACTTGCTGGCTGGCATTGGTCCTTCCATATTCGACGACCCCGCCAGAGAGGCTCCTACTGACCCACAGACCCTGTCTAAGGTGCCGTCACCTGTACTTCAGACGATCATTGACCACAACGGTGCAGTAGCGCTCGTAAGAAGACTTTCGAGACTTCTTGCAGAGCGTGATGCTCACATCACAGCCTTGACACGCCTTGCTGAAGAGTACAAGATCCCCAAGGCGCGTGTCGAAGACACTGCTTCGCGTATCAAGCAGGCAGAGCAGAGACGCCATGCGTTGCAGCAGGCAGCCGAGGAGGAGCTTGCAATGCCTGCGAAAACTGACAGCATAGTACGTGGATGCCGCTTGTGTCGCCGATTACATATACTGACCAACGGACGCACAGCGGTCTGTCCCCACGCCCTCTGCTGAAGTCCCGACAGCAGGACAAAAGCTCGCTAGACTCTTTGGTGGCGGGACCGTCAGGCGCCGATCGCCCGCCTCACCACGCTCGACGTCTATGTATGTCCGCGTGGTCCCGCTTAGGCCATCAACAATGCTGATATATGCAGTGTACCAACCGCCGATCGCAAGCGTACCGAGTCTGATGCTCGGAGCGTACAGAGCGCAGATAGTGGTTGGGCTGCCAGCCTGTTCGGCGGCTCAACTCTGAAGCGCCAAGACACAAACACGACTAGAGAGCCGGTTGAGCTTACAACACAACATGACCGAGACGATCTACCGCCGACTCTTCAGGAGGCTAGACAGGATCCTCAGGAAGCTGCCTGGAACAAGTTCCTGCTCAGCATCACCAAAGCTCGATCCAAAAGTGGCCATGCAGCGCAAACCAACGGTGGCGGTCTTGTCGGTCCTCTGGTGGGCCAGCAAAAGATGAAAGCCTTAACACTGCTTGTCGTGGCTGGCGTGCCTCTGCATATGCGGCAGTATCTTTGGCTTGAGCTTTCGAATACAGAGAGCATCGTAGACCCTGGCGAATACGATTCTTACCGATCGAACGCGGATGTCCTCGATCAGAGCGAAATTGATGCCATAGTCAATGACGTGCCACGAACCTTGACACAGTCTCGCAATTTCTACACGAACAAAGGCTTTCAACGTCTCAAGGAGGTACTGCTGGCTTTTGTTGCCAAGTATGACGATCTCGGCTATACTCAGGGTCTGAACAGCATAGCTGGGTATCTACTTCTTGCAATGCCGCAAAGCGAGGACGCATTCTGGCTGCTATGCAACATGGTCGAGCAATACTTTCCGAAGGATTACTTCGCTCGCGATGCTGCACTTTCTGGTCCACTCGCAGATGTCATAGTACTACGATCATATATCAAAGAGCTGATGCCGCAGCTTGACAAACATCTCGAAGACATCGGCATAGACTCGCAGCGGACGGTGCCAATGCGTTGGTTCTTCACAGCCTTCTCCAATGTGCTTGGTGAGGATGCACTGATGCGGGTCTGGGATATCTGGCTATGTCTCCCAGGCCAGAAGACGTTCTTGTTCAATGTAGCCTTGGCGCTTTTAATGCAGAATTTGAATGGTCTTTTGGCTTGTGAGACTGAAGGCGATTTCTGGATGTACATGGACGACAAGGAGAGTTTCAAGGTAGATGGCGATATCGAGTGGGTGAACAGGCTGATCAAGTCTGCGGTGGATCTGCGGAAAGAACTCATGAAGGTCGAGGAGAGGCGTGCATGGGAGACTAAGCTTTTGAGGAAGAAGGCTGGGAGTTGTGAGGCCCTGTATAGTCCTGACGATCCCACCGACATGCCGAAGAGTGTGAAGACGTAGACCTGAGGCGTGATATTGCAAGCAGCCACATGTCGAGCTCCCAAACACGATCGAGCCCGATGATAGGAGCGTGGGGTCATACGGCACGACACGACTGAACATGGTAAGCAATCTTACTGGAAATCGAATACCGTCAACTTCATATACTAGCATACATTAACAGCTTAACCACGCGCCCAAAACATGAATTCATTTCTCAACTCCTGATCCCAACACAAGTGCCCCTGGGTATCGTCGTTCGCTGTGACATAAGCGCCGGACTCCCTAAGGAAGCATTTTATATCACCATCGCCTCTCCCATGAGGGCTGGGTTTTTGTTTTATGATCTTCGTTCTAGTTCCTTGCTATCGTGTTATCTAAATCAGGAAGATAACGGCGCCGGCAGCAAGGCATAGAGCAAAGAAGCTGCTGCTGCTGACAGGCGAGGCCGAAGCAGCGGACATGTAGCTAGGCTTTGCTGGTGGTACCGTACTCGAAGCTGATGGCTCGCTTACTGTGCTGCTAGACGCCTTTGAAGGACCGGTCATCTCCGGTGGTACACCACTGACAGCTGTTATCTGGACAGCAGGGTTCGAAGGAGCAGCAGGAGTGACTTCCGTGGACCAAGATGGCACAGGTGCCGATGCTGGTGGCTTAGGAGCGGATGTTGGATGAGACGGCGTTGGCACAGAAGCTGGAGGAGCCGGTGGCGTCAACGGCGCAGGCACGGATTGCGCGGAGCTTGGCTGGAAGCCTAGGGCGGTAGCAGGACCTGAAGGAGCTGGAGCATTCCATGGCATCGAAGGAGCATGCACTGATTCATGAGTCGACGTCAGTGCAGAAGGCACGGGACCAGACTCGGGTCCGGATGGGGCTGGTCCGCTTGCTGGCACCGTAGGAGCTGGGCCAGACTCTGGCGTTGATGGGCCAGGCACTGTAACAGGCTTCGTAGACCGCCCAGTAGTAGGCACAGAGACGACGGGAAAGGATGGTTTGCCGATCTCACTCGTGCTTGGCATATAGCTGAAGCTGGGCGCAGCGCCGGTATTCCACGTCGTTTGGGTCTCACTCGTGCTTGGCATGTAGCTGAAGCTGGGCGATGAGTCACCGCTCCAGGTGGCGTAGACATGAGTCGTGCTTGTCGTGGTCTCCGTAGCGACAGTGATGCGAGTTGTGCTGGTGGAAGCGCTGACCACCGACGAGGGGATTCTTGACGCTGATGTGCCAGTCGAAAGGGAGGTATACGGTACAGAGGCAGGCGGAGGAGATCCAGTAGACGATGTTGTGGCAGAAGACGAAGCAGGCGAACTTGTTGCCTGAGTGCTTGCTGAAATCGCGCTCATGGTTTGGGACTTCTCCGTAGTGGCTGAGCTTGTCTGCGGCACGGTGATGATGGTACTGACTGTCGCCGTGATTGGCCTCGAGCAGCTTGACTTGGAGCTCGGGCAGACAGTAGTTGTTGACCAAGAAGTAGCTGTGACCGGGGGTGTGACTGTGGAGGGAACGGTCGGAACCGTAGAGCTCATTACTGGCCAGACTGGGATCGTAGAAGACACGATGGTGAACTAAATTCATGTTAGTAGGCGTTCGAAATAATACAGATTCTTGATTTGGCCTACGGTCTGACAGGTAGTCGTAGTGTAGACTGAAGCGGTCTTTGCGCATGTCTTGGACGAGCTGCTTCCCTTGCAACCAATACTAGTGCTAGTATGGGTAACTGTGGTGGTAACGTAGCTTGGCGGCGCGGTCGTCCATGTGATCGGTGTTACTGGGATGGTAGTGGTCACGACAGTGCTCTTGGTCTGTGCAGGGCAAGAACTGCTCTTCTTCGGACAGGAAGTGACAGAGACCACGGTCGTTGTCGGGATAGTGATGGTGTAGTGCGACGTTGGAATTGTCTTCCATAGGCAGAAAGAGCCTGAGGTACACACTGGGACCGACCCTGTCGTTGTAGGAGGCGACGTGACGGTGTGATTGCCCTTTGACTTCCATGGGCAGAAGTGTCCTGATGGGCATGGCGTTGGGTAGGGAGGGAACGAAGTTGGGATGGTTTGATGGGTAGTGAGGTTGGTGAACGGGTTGGTGGAATGCGCCGTGCCCATTCGAACCACGCTAGATGTAGTGTTGCCATACGGAGCACCTTGCGTCGTTGTTGGGTAGGCGTAAGTGCCTGGATCGATATTGCCTGTCCCGATGGCCGACTGTGAAGTCGCTGGCATAGTGAAAGTAGTGCCGTTGGTTGTGACAACCGTGGAAGATGATACCCCCGTGCCAGTCGAGAGCGGAATGGACGTACCAGAGCTGGTGCGAGTGCTTGTCCTGCGTGTAGTCGTCTTGTTTGTGAGAATTGTGTATGGCGGGCAAGGTCTGGAGGTGGTGGACGAAATAGTACCGACTGTACCAGTCTGCAAGTTGATACCAGTCGAGAAGACCGAGGTTAAAGCAGATCCTGACGTACTGTTCTGGAAAGGAGCTGTCGGGCCAGTAGAAGTGGCTCCGTTTCCTGTCCCAGCTTTGAGTGTTGTGACAAAGCCTCCACTGGCAGTAGGGAAGCCTGTAGACGTAGCAATGGACGGCCCGGTAGAATTGGTGAATGGCGGGTCCGCGGAAGATACTCCAGTCGAGAGTATATCGCCGGTGCCGACCGCAGTTGGGCCGTTGGATCCAGGATCAACGATGGTGGAAGTGGCAAATGGGGGAGCCGAAGATGACACACCAGTCGAAAGCGGAACGGTGACAGCAGTACCAATAGACCCTGTCCGGACAGCAGTAGGACCAGCGGTTCCAAAATCCAAGCTGGTTGAGTTGGCGAAAGGTGCCCTTGTTGTCGAGACGCCGGTTGACAAGGGGACCTCAACGCCAGTTCCAATCGAACCTGTGCCGACTGGTGTAAGGCCGGCATTCACTGCTTCCGAGCTAGTCGAATTGGCAAATGATGGGACAATAGTTGAGACGCCAGTTGAAAGAGGAACGTTCACAGCAGTACCCGGGAAGCCCGTACCGGCTGCTGTAAGTCCGGCGGTGGATTGCTCGCCTGGATCTGTGGAATTGGCGAAAGGTGCTCTGCTTGTTGATACGCCCGTGGAAAGAGGGACTTCAACGGCAGTGCCAGTTGATGTGGTGACTACAGGAGCTGTAGGGGGGGAGAACATGGTCTCGACAGTAGTAGAATTAGCGAAAGGTGGTCTGCTTGTAGACACGCCCGTTGACAGCGGGACCTCGACGGCTGTCCCGATTGAGCCAGTACCTCCTGCAGTTGGTCCAGCAGTCGCACTTGGATCACTCGCTGTCGAATTAGCAAATGGTGGCACAACGGATGACGTGCTTGAGATTGAGCTCTCGACCGCGGTAACCAATGGAGCAGTTCCAGCTGCGGTAGGTCCTGCCAGCGTTGTAGTTTCGGCGACGGTAGAATTCGCGAATGGAGCGATGACCACGGAAGAGGAAGTCGTCCCTGGCATGCGGTACCAGCAGCAGTACCCATCGGGGTGGCTTCGATGGTCGGCACAGAGCTTGATGTTGTGTTGGGAAAGAATGGTTGAGCTGAGGACGTGGTTCCGATCTCAGTCACGGGATCGGTGTTCAGAGTTGCAGTGGTCAAGATTACGGTGACGGACTCTGCAGACGTGGTATTGGCAACAACAGGCGCTGTCTCCTCGGAGGGAGAACTCTGTGGAACACCAGTACCACTTGGCGCCGCATTGCCGGTCTCTTGGCCACCAGTGGTTGTAGAATTCTGGAAAGGAGGCACGGCAACGGTCATAGTTGTAGTCGAGGCTTCGGTCGTGTCAGCCGTCTTCATAATCACAGGCTGAACAGCGACAGTCGTCGTGGCAGTCTCAGCCTCTGATGAAGGTGACTCGGTCGATTGTACTGCCACTGGCTGAACGGCAACAGTTGTGGTTGCCATCTGGGAGCTCTCTTCGCTAGCTGTGGTCATAACAACCGGCTGGACGGGTTGAACGATTGTGGTCATGCTTGTAGATGCCTCAGAAGCAGTCGTCGTTACTATTGGCTGCACAAACTGGACGACGGCAGTTTGCTGTTTGGTTTCAGCCGATCCGCTAGCACTCGTCGTCACGATTGGCTGGACAGCCTCCACGACAGTTGTCGTCCGAGTAGCGCTGGATGACTCTGTTTGCGTCGTAGCCACCACAGGCTGCACGACAATGGTTTGAGAGGCCATGCTGCTCGTCTCGCTGCTCTCCAAAGTAGTTTCGACAGTCACGGTGGCGGCATCGGTGGAGCTCGTGATGCTCTCTGTTGCGAGCATCGATGACGTGGAAGTAGAATTGACTGGGGCATATTCTGTCAATGTGCGGGTTGTCGCGGCAGCTATAGTATGTCAATTCTGCTTTCCGGAACTCGTCGAATACACTTACAGAAGTCGCCGGTCTGAGCGAGTGTAGTGGTCGCTGCAAGAAGCACCAAAGCCGTCGTGAAAGGCATCTTGCCCATCATTGCGGCGAGCGAGGATAACGACAGACGATGCTGCAGAAAGACAGCGATGGAGAGTGTATGATGCAGGAGGTTAGGAAAAATTGTGTGTGCGATGAGAAGTGCGCGGAGCTATATGCCAGCTTACTTTTGTTGAGAGAGAAGATACCTGCTAAGTTTGATAGAGCCATCGTACTGCTCATGTTTGTCCACCCACTAGTGAGGTGTGGAGCGAATTGAAAAAGTATAAGAATGTGTAAAGGTTAACCTTACCATACGCGACCTGCCTGTCGCCTTGGATTTCGAGCCTGATACGATGACTTCAATCAATGAGCCTTCTGCCCAGCCCCCTGCGAGACGGTCCTGATTTTCGGAAGGGAGTTGTTCCCCTATACGCACTTGTGTCCATCGTAACAGAATCTCGCAATAAGCAAGGGGAATGACAGGAGCCTCGAGGACCACCAGCATCATGACATTGACCTCTTGCGGATGAGAGTCCACATATGCGGTCCATAGGTAAGCAGAGCAGCTTCAGTCTGGTTGGCTCCGCTTGGTCGTCCGTATGTTCAGAATCTTCCATTTATGCTGACCAGCCTCAACGCCTTGTAACTGCCCGTGTCCACGGTGTCCGGATGCGGAATATGACTTGTCAACAGATGTGTCAATGAGAGAGTGGTGTTTCGAGAGGATGAGGTTGAAGTCAAGAAGTTAGCGCGGCTCTTATGGTCTGTGCAACATGCCGCCCCGCCAACGGCTATTTGGTAAACATTTCAAGCGCGTGCGCCAAAGCCAGTCCAATAAAAACATCCACATCCGCAGGATACAGTATCGACACCCACGGCATTGTATTACGACCACGACGATGCCCAGCATGGACTTCAATCCTCGAATGAGTATGGCGCGCAGCTCACAACAGTCAAGCCAGCAGAAACAGCGCAAGGAGGAGGATGGCGATGCTTTCATGCAGTTGGTATGGCAGAACGGCGTCGTATACCCAGCGCAACTAATACTGACCTTCCACAGAGCGACAGAGAGATCGCTGGATGTATAAGCGACATCGGCATCAATTTCAGCGTGGAGGACCTAGCGAAACCCAATCCTCAGCAGATCCAACGCATTTTCGAATGGTTCGCCGAATTGCTCACAAACACGACACGCGAGATCGTTGCGCCAGCCATGAAAGCCGCTTCTGGTGAAATGTACGGCGACGACGCAGATCGAATCTTCACTCCGGACACGCGCGAACTCATGGGCTTCTTCATTACAATGCGCAAGCTCTTGTTCGAATGTGGTATTAAAGACTTCACCTTTTCGGACCTCTACCAACCTAAGCGACCACGACTTGTCAAGATCTTCAGCTACATCATCAATTTCATTCGCTTCCGCGAATCCCAGACCAGTGTTATCGATGAGCACTACAACTCTTCCGAGCATACCAAGAACAAGATCGAACAGCTGTATTTATCGAACCAGGAGCAAGATGAGAAGCTTCAAGAAATGCAGCAGAATAGGCAGAACGTGGAGCAGGCGATCAAGGACAAAGAGAAGCGATCACAAGAGCTGAAGACGCGACTACTGGAACTCAAGACTGCGCAAGAGAGAGTGACACAAAAGCTGGAGCGAGTCAAAGAGCAGCAGAATAGAATGAAGATGATGCTGGAGGACAAGACGACGACGGTCATGACCACGAGGCAAGAGGCGAACAAACTGCGACCATACACTGAGCAGTCGCCTGCCGTGCTGGAGCAGTCTTTGCGCGACCTCAACTCCAATCTCACAGCCGACCGAGCAGAGATCGACCACCTCGACCGCCGAGCACGAGCCCTCCAGACCAGCTGCGAGACCTTTACAGTGCTGCATAACGACATCTCATCTCTCACGCGCCTCCTCGCTGACCTACAGACCGAGCTTCAACGAGAGGAGGAAGAAGGGCAAGCAGCGCAGAAGAATCGCGATGCCTTATCCGAGAAGTCGAATGCTGTGCGAGATGTAGAGCGGCAAGAGAAACTTCTTCGGAAACAGCTTGAGAGCTGGCAGGCGAGGACCGAGAAGCTGCGGCGCGATGCTGATACCAAAGCCACGAATGCGAATCAGAAGATGGAGGATTTGAGAAGTGTGCATCGTGAGCTCACTGCTGATCGCAAGGAGAGGCACGAAGAGATCGAGAAGCGGAAGATTCGTATTGAGCAGACGGAGAAGAAGGTGAGCCTTAGCCAATATTTGGTCCGATGTGTAATGATAATGTTACTAACTCCTCTTGTAGATGGCCGATTTGAAGGAGAATATCGAGCACGAAGTCCAGAGCGCCAGAGCCGAATACGTGAAGATGGAGAGCCACATTCGCCTGTATATCACAGAGATGGAGCGGAGTATATGAGCACAAATTGGCATGATCTGACGTTTAGGCTTTTTCTTCTGTCCATATACCCTCGTGCAGGCCTGGGAACTGATCAGCTGAATGTATGACTTTACCATGAGCTCAATATACTTACAACATCGTTCTTTCTCATAAGCACGACTTTTGCTTTCACCCATTTCTGGGGAGCGTGAAGATGGTCTCCATGCACTAGGACATCCTTGGTCTGAATCCCGAGTGCAGCGCTGCCACATCATCCAACTGGCTTACTCAGGTCATCAAACGTACACCACCTCGAGACAATCGCTCGTAGCTTGACTGTCCTACCAACCCAACCTCGTTCTCCAACACCAAAGCTCTTGGTCGTGACGTTGAGGATCGAGACTTCTTCCTCCCACGGGCCGCCGGTTAATGCTGGCTCATTGCGGTCGGCAAAGTCACCCTCATCATGTGGTCTTTCCGTGCCCACATCTGCGTCTGGTATTGGTGGAAGAGGCTGTGTGCATTCCGCGATCACCAGCCTTGAACCCGCACGATGTGCAGCCTCCACTGCTGCCGAGAGAGTCCGATTGAGACCTTGTGCAGAGAAAGCTGAGGTCTGGCGATGAAGGTTGACGGGGTTCAAGATAGCTAAACTACCATTGCTAGTGCTGCCCAATGGATGGTGCACAGGGTCTAGGCGATATGTAGCCAGATAAGCACGTAGATGCGTAATGTCCGGACAGAAGACGACTTTTTTGTAGCGCGAGTTGGCCAGAAGTTGCAGGGTCGGCACTGCCCACCATTGTTGCGTCTGCGCTGGTTCGGTAGTGGATAGTGGTACGTCGGCCTCATGATCGTTTGTTGCCTTATTGGCAGGTCGGTTTTCCGTAGTCCTCGGCGTGAGCTGCTCGATCAAGTCGCCTTTCGTCCCACAGAAGATCACTGCCGAAGGGCCGCTATCTTGTTTGAGCACGTACTGTACAGCACCGTCGAGAGAGACACGCTCGAGTACCAGTGGCGTCAAATGGCTCATCTCTACAGTGCTGAGATCATGAGTCAGATCGTAGATGTGACGCAATAGAGCTTCTGATTGATCTCATGATGGCCAAAGGTAGCAGCCGAGCGAACAGCACTGACAGGACGGATCTTGAGGATGGTACAGCACAGGAAGGGCGAATTCCTTGGGTTATGATGTGTAGTGATGTTGCATGGTTTGAGACAAAGTTTATAAACATTGTTGGAAGTCTACAGCGCCTCTCATCGAAGCTTGGCAGTCCAGACGTCACTTAATCGCGCCATAGTACTGTCACGAAGAGCAATTCACTTGGGGTACATTGCATACGTTGGGACTACCTCGTACTTTCCCTTCCCCATTTCCGCAGCTCATACACGGACGCTTGGTCACGGGTCTGCGATCTCTGATGCTCGCAGCTCTCAGTTGGAGAACAGATCAAGCGAACTTCAATCACTGCTGAAAACGACCTCTCTGAAAAGGCATCGCTTAAATTCTTCACCGCAACAGCTTTGCAGCCTCAGCTTCAAGCTCATCAAACGTCTCGATCTCCCTCCCCACCTCCTCCTCTTCCACCGGCAGATCCCTCTGAAACCACTTCCTAGCCTTCTTTCTCGGCTGCTCCTCCCCACCCTCATCATCCTCATCCTCACTTCCGACCCCAGCATCAGCAATAAAGTTCGCCATTGCATCTTTATCCCCACCCACCGCTACACGACCCTCCTCATCCGCTCCCTCAGCCTCACGTTCCCGCTGCTTCCGCTTCTCCCGCTTCGCCTTCTTCTTCTCCTTCGCCGCCACCTTATCAAGCTGATCCGCCTCTCGTACGCGCTCAGCCTCCGCATCAACAAATTGCCTCCTCTGTTCGTCGATAGCACCGCGAGCACGGAAAGCTTCCTCGTCCTCGAGCTCGTAGATCTGGTGAGCTGTCCCATCGTCGTCGAAAACGATCTTGCTACCCTTGTCTTTGAGCTTGAGGAGCTTCTTCTTCGACTTGAGAAGCTTCTCTCGTCGTTTCGAGTCTAAGACCAGAGGCTGCGAGGCGCCTGAGATGTTGATTGTGCGGGCTGTGGGGTCGCCATTGGTCGCTGGCCCTTCAATCTCTTCGCCTTCGTCGTCTTCATCAAGCGACTGCACATCCTCGTCGATAGGTATCCTCCTCTTAACATCAAATAGATCCTCATCCTCTGCCCCATCCTCCACATCATCCTCATTCCCAACTATCTTAGCATAATGCTCCGCCAGCACATCCTGATTTCTCCTCTCAAACATGCGATCATACTTCGTTCGGACAGCATTCTTCTCCTTCACAGCTCCGTCCTCGTCGTCACTGTCATCAGCCAGTGCCTCAGACCTACTAGCATTCTTCCTCCTTTTCGCCTCCTCCGCATCAGCCTTGTGGAATTGAATGCGTGGCGCACCCGAAAGCCCCAGACTCGCTGCATATCCTTCAAGATCGTACTTCTGCAAGTCATAGACTTCCCGATCTTTCTGAACATGCAACCCTTTCGTATACGTGATGAATGCTTTCTGGCCAAGGTACTTCAGCTGTGGGTCCTGGAAACACATTCCCTGTAGCTGGTTCTTGATACTCGTCTGTTTCTTCGCGCGAACATTGATCCTCTCAATCGGCACCCTCTTGGCCTCGAGTCGCTTCAGCATACCTTCCTCCTCGCTCGGGTCCAGAAACATGACTGCGCGGCCCTCTCGTTCATATCGTGCTGTGCGGCCGACACGATGGATGTAAGTATCGGCGTCCTCAGGGCCATCCACCTGCACGACCCAGTCTACAGCAGGGAAGTCCACACCACGGGCCACAACATCTGTAGCGAATAGGCAGCTGAACTTAGCTCGTCGAAAGCGATCGACGGTGTCCAGGCGTACTGATTGCTTCTGACGTCCGTGGAGGTGTAGTAAAGGTATACCGGGCTGCATATGCCGGAAAGCTTCATACACGAATCGGACCTGTTTCGTGCTTGAGAGGAAGACCAGAATTTTGCTGTGCTTCGAACTCTTCTCCGTGATGAAGGACCATAGCGTATCAAGCTTTTGCGATAGTGGGACAACGATGTAGTTCTGCTTAAGGTTCTGCGGAGTGGACGCTGTGGCTTTCTCGTGCACGGAGACATACTCCGGGTCCTTCAAGCTTAGACGAGCAAGATCGCCAACCTTTTTCGTCTGGGTGGCGCTGAAGAGGAGAGTTTGTCGGTCCGGTGGCAGATACTCTATGATAGCATCCACGTCCTTCGAAAAGCCCATGTCCAGAATCCTGTCTGCCTCGTCTAGTACCAACATTCGCAGGTTGTCCACGCTGAACGCTGCCGTCTGCGAAAGATGCTGCAGTATCCTCCCAGGCGTACATACTACGATGTTCATCCTCGCAAGTGCATCAGCCTCCTCCTTGAAGCTCTTGCCTCCAGCAACCACACCTGCGGCGATATTGTGGTATCTGCCGATCTTGCACAGGACGTCGAAGATCTGGAAGGCCAGCTCGCGGGTAGGAGCGATGACCATGGCACCTAATCCAGCATCGGCACCAACACATTGTGAGCGGTACAAATTCTCAATCACCGGTACTAAAAAGGCCAAAGTCTTCCCACTGCCCGTCTTGGCCGCTCCCAGGATATCGTTGCCTTTTAGTGCGAGCGATATTGCCTTCGATTGGATGTCTGTCAAGGTGGTGAATGAGGCACTCTTCAACCCTTCCATCGTTGGTCCTGACAAAGGCAAGTCAGAGAAGTTCGTCTGTGTCGCCTTGGGATCCAGTTCCTCGACTTGCGCCTCGAGGGTTTCGATGTCGACATCGTCCCGTTTGCGCTTGTTGTTCGTCCGCTGCTGCTGCTTCTTCAGCTTCGTTGGCCTTGTTCTACCGGTGATCTCTGCTGCCATCTTCACTATACATTACTCCATCGCCCGCACCTGATCTTTCATCAAACTCGGCGAGGGAAAAGTTCGGAGCACGTGAAAGATGAATGCGCCGCAAGAACGTTTTTCCGAGCGTTTATGGACTCTACCTCAACCCCCCCTCTGCAACATCCAAGCACTTATCGATCATGGCGGAACCCGAGAAGGACTTGAAGAGGCTCGAGGCTGAGCAGGCGATGGAAGACGCCGACCTCCTCGACGCTCTCGACAAGGAGTCCAAAGAATTCGACAAGGTACATTTACTTGAAATTGAATAATATCCCTCCACTAACATACTTCTCAAGGACAGCGAAATCGCCCGCATCCTCGCCGCCTTCCGCGCCAACGCCTACGATGTCCTCGACCTCCAGCCTGGCGTTCCCGACGAAGACATCAAAAGACACTACCGCAAGAAATCCCTCCTAATCCATCCCGACAAATCCTCCAACCCGCAAGCCCCCGATGCCTTCGACCGCCTAGCCGCCGCCTACCAAGCCCTCCTCGACACCAAGAAACGTGCCATCCTCGACGAAGCAATAAGCGATGCCCGCCATCTCCTCATCCGGGACCTAAAGCTCACAATCGATAGCGAGGAGGTGAAGGATCCGGACGTGGTGTTCATGAAGAAATGGAAGGAGAAGGTCAAGTTCGTGTTGGCGGATAATGAGGCGCGACGACAGCGGCAGATGAAGGCGCAGATGCAGGAGGAAGGGCGGGAGCAGAGACGGGTGGATGAGGAGGTCGCGGAGAGGAAGAGGAAGCGGGAGCATGAGCAGGATTGGGAGAAGACGAGGGATCAGCGGATTGGGAGTTGGAGGGATTTTGCGGCCGGGAAGAAGAAGGAGGGGGACAAGGGGAAGAAGAAAAAGTTGAAGACGTTGGGATGAAGGTGACCGGTGGAACGAGGTGATGCTTATGAACATGATGTGGATGATTGCGGATTTAGCGAGGCGTTTTGGTGTTTGAAAGGCTCTGAAATATGAGCTGAAACTAGCTTTCATGTAAGTGTCCCGAATGCATGCTATGTACGATTTACAAGGGGATTTATCACCACAACATCAACAGTGAGACTTGACCTAGTTCAGCCATTCCTCTCGTGACTGATATTTGAATGCCGGGATGACTGGAGCAGGAAAAGGGGCTTGCGAGAGAGGAGGTGTTCATTTTTAACTTGAGGACGGAAAAGGAGGAGTGACATCGGAGAACGCTGCTAAGTTAAGCTGCAGATGTGTGGGCGCCTCCCTCGCCTCGATCTATCGTCTCTCTCTCGGACTGTAGTGCTGCCCAGCCAACCACTTCTCGCCTTACTGGTGGCAACTGTGAAGATGACGCACGAGTCATGAGCTTGGCGTTTCTCCTTTTTGCGTTTGAGCGAGGAGAGCGCAGCCCCGTGCATGTGGCCTACAACAATCATGTCCTTTGTCGGTACTTAGTATAGACTTTTGCTGAGATTGTACCAGTGTTTTCTTCTCCCCATACAAGTTTGTAGTGAACTCCCGCGTAAAGTTCGTCGTGTGAATTTCTAGATGGATTGCTGAAACTCTAGATGGGTTGCTGAAACTCTAGATGGGTTGCTGAAACAAATAGAGTGATGCGCTGTGAGCAAATCCTTTCGGGAGTGTATGAGAAGAACGAGGTGAAGTTGACCACCGACAGAATTTCGGGCCACGTGACGCAGCTAAGACAAAGACCCCATATCCGTCCATCTCCGGCCTTGGCATTCGACTCGCCGACGTCAACTCCATCGAACACGGAACAGGAAGCTCTATCTGCGCCTTGCGTTGTGCTTCGGATCGAGTAAGCGATTGTACATGTACTGTGACAAGGTCATTAAGCACCTGCAACTATTAGGACTGCTGGCTGAATCTACACTACGAAGTCCTATCGCCGGTGCCCGGACTTAGTCTTGTATGGCGCCGAGCATCGAGACAACAGTTATAATTCAATGAGGGAGCCATCAAACCCGTGGTTATATTGCTCGCAAACAATCAACTAGTCATCCCATCTGACAACATTTCGATATCAACGCCTATCACCAAAATGGCCGCCAAGCAAATCCTTCTAATCACTGGCGGCAATACAGGCCTGGGGTATGAGGCAGTCAAAGCTCTGATGCAATCTTCCACGCCCTACGAGATCTTGATGGGTAGCCGAAGCGTCGACAAGGGCGAACAAGCTGTCGCGAAACTCAAGCAAGAAGTCCCACAATCACCTAGCACGACCACTGTTGTGCAGGCCGACATATCCTCCGACTCGTCTATCGAGAAGCTGGTCGACACCATCAAATCCAAATTCGCCAAGCTAGATATCCTCATCAACAACGCGGGTGCCAGTTTCGATGGCGAGATTCAGTCCGGCCGTATGAGCATTCGCGAAGCTTGGAACAGTAGCTGGGATACCAACGTCGCCGGGACACAAGTCTTGACCACGTCCGTCATGCCATTGCTCTTCGCTTCTTCGAATCCGCGACTCATGTTCATGACGTCTGGCACGTCTTCGCTAATTGAAACTGAAGAGCTCGAGAAGATGCCCATTGCTCGCCTCAACGCGGCACCTGGGGCTGGGTGGCCAAAGGCTGATCTTGTCAACCCGGTGACCTGCTATCGGAGCACGAAGACGGGGCTGAACATGCTTTTTCGCGAGTGGGTAAAGATCTTACGGAACGATCATGTGAAAGTTTGGGCAATTTCGCCTGGATTCCTCGCTACGAACTTAGCTGGTGTTGGCGCCGAACAGCTAAGAAAGGTACGCCAGTCTTTTACTTTACCGGAACCCATTCTGTCCACATGACGCTAACGTTTCTCTGCAGATGGGTGCCCAGGATCCTTCTATCGGTGGCAACTTCATCAAGGATGTGGTTGAAGGAAAGCATGATCGTGATGTTGGCAAGATCATACGGTCTACCATGGTCCAACCCTATTAATCTGCTGATGTGCAGTCGTCGTGGCTCCAGGTCGCTGCTTGTCATCTAGCTCACATATATGACCTTCCCTGATGCCACGAAACCCTAGTGAAGCCATCGACCAAGCGCGACTTAGACCAAAATCAAATTTAGCAGCCGTGCGTCATTCCTGTCTGCTTCTGTTCATCTCCAGCTCCGTGTGCAGTTCCACTGATCAGAAGTACGGGTTCAAGCTTGTCAAATAACCACTTGCCCACATCATATAGGTCATCACGTCGAACCTGCCAAGGTCAAGAATGCTGTGCGTCAGGGCTTGCGGCACCTCGGTTTTGCCAAGTGTAGTCCGCACCATCGTATGGAGTTGGTGCAGGTCGCACAGGTTCGGAAGATGGCTGGTGTAGAGTTTACTGGAAGTAGCGGCCTGGATCTCCTCTGTCTCTTGATCACTCGTCCCTTGGCGACGCTGAGGCAGAAGCCGATTCAAAGTCGACAGTGTCGTCAGCAGACGCACAGAACGTACGTTACCCAGTACTGGCTTGGTGTTAGTGCCGTTGAGCCTGTTCTGGAATTCCGCTATCCTCTGTTCATTGTGATATAGGACCAGCCTGAAGCCTGATATCGATCAGCAGCTGTTGTAGAGCGAAAGCTTGAGCAGAGGAGCTGTGGCCATCCTCCTTGCGCATAGCAGATTCGATGGCCTGGCACTGCTGTGATGCCAGTCGCGCAGTCCCGCCCGGCTTGAAGCTCGATATGCATGCCACCCGCGGGGTCTCAATACCATGCATGCCGCCAAGGGGGCCGAGAAGCATAGCAACATCGTTATACGTGGGCTTCCACGCGCCCGCTGACTCGCCGTCCAACCGCGCACTGACACTTGAGATGTGGGCCTTCTGCGCTACCAGCCAGCGGACCAGGATCGCGGCGTTCTGGCGTACGTGAAATAGAGCGAGAGCCGACCTTCGGGCAGGAATATGCACGGTGATCTCGATCCCGCGGCATGGTGGCAATGCCATTGAAACGCCTAGGACCTTGTCTTGCCATGGCATGCTCACTGTCAGGGCGTCAATGTCGAGATCAATACGACATATCTGGCTTTTCGACATTGCAGGCATGGCTTCTACTCGGATGATCTTATTTGTGTAAAGCAATCCAATAGGCCGGGCATGTTGGTCAACCCCTTCGTTGATCCACTCTCTCTCACGGTCGATTCGGAACTGTTGGTGGTAGGTTGAAGGAAGCACTAGGCTGTAGATATGAACACGGAGCTCAGCGGGCAGCCTGCGAAGACAATTCAGAGCTGATGGCGCGAGTCGGTGGGCTGGCGTGGCGTGGCTCATGGTGTATCGATTGGCTCTCCGAGATGTAGAAGGAGATCTGCTGCTTTTCGCCCTGTTATTCTTCCATTGTGTTTCGCAAGCTGCAAATGCTGTTATGCCGTATTTGAGCAGTGTCTGGCTAATGTAGTAAGGAACTCGAACAACAGAAATGCGCGCAGTCTTGAAGCTTGACTACTGAGTGATGTGTGCTCACTATATGTGTCTGAGGCCTGTAAGTGTGAGCTCTGGAGTGATCGCGAGACTCAAGTGAAGTTGTGGAGGTATATTCACATGCGTCAGGCATTCACCTGGAGTGTATGCACAACTAAGGTAGATAGTGTCTCTTACTGAAATTGCTATCGCCAAGATGAAGGAAGGAACGCAGCTGAAGAAGGAAAGTGCGATTAGCGATGCACCGTGTCTGACGGGACATGGCACTATGGCGCTGGCGGCAACTTTCTTTGGTATCAAAACACGTCACGGAACAGTGTCTCATCGGCGCCTAGGTCAGTCATGATGGTCTCCCAATTGAGCCAGCTATCGTCAGGAAGTGGCAGCTCCACGCCGTTGCTCGGCGCCCCTGACGAGTCAGCAACATAGCCCGTATTCTGTATGGCATCGAGTTGTGTAAAGCTGTTGATGTCACCGAAGTCATGCTGATACCCTATACCCGCGATGCTGCCATCGAAGGCCTGAACACTTGGAAAATGCTCAGTCACTTGTATATTGCCAGCTTTGCGATATGCAACTGCTTTCGCGTGAACTTTCTTGATGGGACGCCAAAGCATTCCGTCCTTGGTGTCTGCAACGTCGGCTTCGCAAGCTGTCATCGCCTTCTCAACGACAGGCCAAGCCTGATTGGCCAGATCCGTATCTCTGATCGTACAGAGGCCAGCAAGGACGACTACGACGGCGTGCCAAGGAATCCAGGGCATCCTCCGCCAGCCTTTCTCGACGAAAGGTAGCAGTTGTAGAGCAGATTGGAGCAGATCGACGCCAATCCGCAAGACCCATGGATCGCTCACAGAAGGTGGTGACTCTTCGCCGTCCAAGTGGAGTGGTCGCACGGCACGAAGCACCATGCTGTTGCACACAATAGTCGCGGGTTCCATGATGTATTGATGTCGTGGCAAGCTGCGTTCACAAATAGGGCGTACTTCCCGGTCAAGCTTGGCGCGATACTGTTCGGCGAGATCGAGGCGCTGCTTCCACGTTTGACCGGGCTGCTCCATCGCAGTGGATACCACGACTCCCCGAAGGAGATGAAAGCTATCGTCATATCCGAGATCTGGTTCGTACACGGTTCAATGTAAGTCGAGTTCTCGTCGAAGTCCTGGTCGTTACAATCTATTGGCATGGTTGGTGACGGGCACCACCCGCGCATGGTTGACTCCGTTCCTCGATCTCGAGAAGAGTAGTGGTCCATGAACACAACACAGTGCCATAGACGCAGTCGTACCTGACTCATGTAGGGGCTCTCGTTCGGTGTCGCCCGATGCAAGTACATTGAGCGAGCGGTATGAGCTACAAAGCCGACGATTGACCATGAGCGGCGACTGGGATCTGTGATTCTAATGGTTATGGCATAGAGCAAGAGGGCCTGAAGTGTGGCCATGTCCGTGCTAACGAGAGGGTCGGCACGATGTAACGCCAGATCAACCACGCTTCTGAACTCTTGTACAGCCTGTTCCTTCGGCATGCCGTACCAAGCCCAGCATTCGTCATCGGTGAGAGCGTTCAGTCCTGCGAAACAGACTGATGCTTTGAGAAATTGGTTGCTAGGCGCATCAGCTGGCTTGTGGAGGTAAGGCGCGGCAGAGATCACCAAAGCTCGGAGGGACGGAACGTGGAAGAGCTTATGTGGAGGCTCGACGTTTTGTGAATAAGCATTCAGCAGTCGAGCGACATCCCATCTATCGATATCTTCATTTGCACCTGATCTGACCTGGGACTTGGCAGGTTGGAAAGAACAGCGGCTCCTGGTGCAGAAAGTCATACGAGCTAACAGATGGGGCACTGATGGTATATTGCAGTACATTGGTCTGCTGTGCGTCGCCCTGAAATGTCGTTGTCGTTCAACAGATCGTCATTATCAAGTACGTCGGCAAGTGCGTTGACCTCATCAGTCAGCGAGGACCAAAACGAGCCGCCGATATACTTTTTCGCCAGGTCAGGCATTAGCCGGTCTGAAGGATTCACACTCGAAGAGGGCGTTGAAGCCTCGTTCTTGACCGACGCATTCGCTGACCTTGGCGGAGTCGAATCTGACTCGTGCGGCTGCAAGGTGTCTCCAGGCGATGAATCACCCGCATCATGAGCACCCTGCTCGCCGGACATGGTTTGAACCAGCTGTTCGAGCTTCGCCACTCGTTGTCGAAGCTCGACTGCGTTCTTGACTCGGGCTGTGGTCTTCGCCCGAGGTTTCCGTGTCGAGGCTACACATTGTAATCGCAAGCGGGCACATTCACCACATGGCGACTGTCTATCACACTTCACCTTGCGTCGCTGACAATGGGTGCCTGCAAGTCAATGGACAGAAGTATTAGCAGAGGTATCGGAGTAGCTTTGGCCTTGCAGCTATCGTTCTCTTACAGGAAAGACCAAGAGGCTCCTGGTGATCTTGAAACTGGTCCATTGCGATTTCGCAGCGATCCAAAATGAAGTGTGAAGCAGAAAAAACTCTGGTAGGATATGGAATATGGTCGACCACGGACGGTCCTGATGCTTGTTCGTTCACACCGAATAGCACTCCTCTCGACAAGGATTCACGATGCTCGGCTTTGAATGGAGAAGGAGAGAAACGTTCGCCAGCATGTAGCATGCAGCATGCACTGTTGTGAAACTTGGGGAAGTATTGAGCACGACCTACTTCACGACTTCTGACCCCCAATCGCATGTGTCAAATATCTGAGCATTCGTCCTTCATCGTGGCCACATCGCACTTTCTTCGACACCCTCTATCAGCACCACCATGGATATTGTCCAGCGAGGCTTCAACGTTGCGCGAGACCCTAGACATACAGCATGGATCTGCTTCACTTTACTACTGGCCGATAGCATCCTCTGCGGTCTTATAGTCCGGACGATACCGTGTAGACCACCCTAAGCTGCAAGCACCTGGTAGTGTGTTGGCTGATGAACATGCAGATACCGAGATTGACTGGAAGGCCTACATGCAGCAAGTGTCACAATATCTTGCTGGAGAAAGCAATTACGTCAAATTATACGGTGACACTGGACCACTAGTCTACCCAGCATCACATGTCTACATCTATCGTGCTCTACACTACCTCACGAACCAAGGCCAGGACATTCAATCAGCCCAGTACATCTTCATCGGTATTTACTTGGCAACACTGGCTCTGGTCATGCAATGCTATCGCCAAGCCGGCACACCTCCGTGGGTGTTCCCACTTCTCATATCAAGCAAACGGCTGCACTCGATTTTCATGCTACGGCTCTTCAACGATGGCTTTGCGGTGTTCTTCCTCTTTCTTGCCATATTCTGCTACCAGCAGCGGTCACGATATTGGTCAGCAGGCTCGTTAGTATTCAGCTTTGGTCTTGGTGTGAAGATGAGCCTACTACTTGCCCTTCCTGCAGTTGGGATCATACTGTGGCAAGGCATAGGTAGAGATCGAGCACTCAAGCAGGCCGTGCTGATGGCACAACTACAGGTAGGTGATTGCGTCTTGATAGTCAGCGTGTAATGAAGTTGACCAGAGAGGTAGGTCTTGCTCGGGTATCCATTCCTTGCTGCAAATCCTCAAGGCTATCTATCTCGCGCATTTGAGTTCTCGCGCCAATTTCTCTTCAAGTGGACCGTCAACTGGCGCTTCGTAGGCGAGGAAACATTCTTGTCTCGGCCATTTTCGATTGCTCTGCTTGCTGCTCATGCTACGCTACTATCTATCTTCTTAATCACACGATGGCTGAGACCCACTGGCGTATCCACACTTGACGCTGTCAAACAGCTTCTCGACCCACCATCCGCCGTAACCCAGGCGGAGATCGCACGCCGTGTAACGCCCGACTTTGTTCTTACGACGATCCTCAGCGCTATCATCATCGGCTGCCTTTGTGCTCGAAGCCTGCACTACCAGTTTTATGCATACATTGCATGGTCAACACCATTTCTGCTGTGGCGGAAAGGTGTGCACCCGATCCTTGTCTACACGATCTGGGGAGCACAAGAGTGGGCGTGGAACGTGTACCCAAGCACAAATATGAGCTCGGCTATCGTGGTCGCCTCACTGGCGGTTGCTGTCCTCGGCTCATGGCTTGGAACACGGTGTGATCTGACCCAAACAGCTGCTCAGGTTGGGGCTGAGCATAAAGATAAATGAGATGCTCAACCCTCGTCTTCATCGTCCGATGGCGGCATCTGCGGCCCTTCGTCCTCGGACTCATCACCATAGGCAGATCGCCTCGGGACGAAGTTCGTGGGCCAGTATAGCATCTTTCGCCAAGCCTTCTCATCGCCCACAACATTTACAATCTCGCCACCGAGCTTGTTTTCTCGATTCGCCAGAGCTGCCGTATCAACCACGACGTAGCAGCCTCGCTTCAGCCAAATCGTGGATCGGAACTTCTGGTTTAGCTCAGCGAGAAATGTCTGTTTGTCCGAGACCTCGACATGGTAAAGATTCTTGCCAGCAGCATGTTTCAGTTGAGCTATTTGATGCTGCTCGGGAAGTGTAGCTGGCGGTGTCAAAGTTTCCTCTGCGACAGCATTAATGCTTCGTTTAGGCTTGGGCATCTTGTGTGCTGCAAGTCGAGTGATCAAGTGACACCTTCTCAAGCTGGTTGATTTAAGCTTGGCCTCGCCGCAAAAGAGCTCAAGTAGACCAATGCGATCTGATAGGTCTGAGAGCGGTGTGCAGAGCGTACCTTCTTTGACAGATGATCCAGTCGGCTTTTTCAGACCAGGAAGCAGGTAGTTGGTGGTAAATGCACTTGGCTGGATTATGTTCGACTCCATTCACAGCAGTCATAAATCCCAATCACATAAAGTATTTTGCAACAGAGTTGTGACTAGTGTAAATCAGAGACCCACACCTACACATTCGCAATCCAACGCTAGCGCTGCACGCGCTTAATGACCCTGTCATGATGAAGTCGAAGGTATGCCCAAACACAAGATCCAAAGCACACCAGATCTCCGTTGCAGACGATCTAGCCCACCATCTCGGCCTGACTTGATTCATATCAGATGATCTCTTCTTTGGCTACGGCAGAAGGATGGTTGAGAGGTGAATAACTGCGACACGGTGCTGCAACGGGCCGAGCTAATTGGCCGCTTGATGGCTTGACGCGAGCAAGGGTGAGTGCTACGGTAAGTGGCCGACATCTCTTCACGTGGTAGCTCTCTTGTACCTCATCATACAGCAGCAAGATAAGCGGTGTCGGACCAGAGCGGTAGTAGAAGGGAGGGGTGGCTAAGAGGTTGGAGTTATGCAGGTCGTGGTATAACCTGAGGTTCATCATTGCATCTGTGTGTTCGGAGGTGATTGTGTCTGCTGTATATGTTTGGCGGGCGTCGATCGACCTCACAAGCGCGACGAGCTACGTGTAGCCAGGGCCTGGTTGACCCGATCGGGCAAGGTGCAGGCCGATGTTCTCGTTCATGAGACGTACACAGAGTGGGAAGGAAGAAGACGGTACAAGAGAACGAGAAGACTCGCCTTTAATAAAGACACCGGAAGTGGTGAAGAACAGATTACCTGGGCAGAGCGTGGATGACGATGATGACTTGGACGAGGACGACCTGTCACCGCGATATGGAGCGAATGGAGCAACATCGTACTTCGTGCAGCAGCATGAGAACTTCGAGGATGACGAGGTGGATGGTGAAGATGGAGGGAACGAGGACGAAGATGCGGTAGACACGCCACTATTACCTATCTTTTCGGCGGCACATCTGGACAAGCTGCCACTGTACAACATCACACATGCTATCAGGCTACTCATCGTACAAAGAGCGGAGACCACATTATCTTGGGACCAGCTACGCAGTCCGCAGATCAGTCAGTTCCTGATCAAGCCCATACAGAACCAGGTCAGGTCCAATCACTTCAACCGTGCTACGCTATGTGCTCTCATTGCGAATTGTCTGCAGTTCCAGAAGGAGGTTCAGCTAAATCCAGGCAATGCTGGCATATCGAAAACCAGGGCGTTGATCAGCGAGCTTCTGGCCATGAGGTTGGTGAAAGAGTTCACCACACGCGAGCTGATAGATGCACTCTCCTACGACTTCGACCCTTTACAGGGCATGACTGCCCCCAACACAGGCAGGAGTACACCAGGCCCGGGCATACACCACGACCTCCAGGCACGTCATGTTCAAGCAAGAGCGGCTCGCGTGAGCACCATTGAGGTCGCCATTCGAGCTCAAGCTAAACGCTTCCTTGCACATCCTCTCGTCGTTCAGCACCTCGAGGCGATCTGGGCAGGCACGGTAGTCTTCCATTTCGAAGCAGATACGCTGCACCGAAGACCCGAGCGACGCGAACGCGATAGACGAGAGCGAGCTGCAGCAGGCTATGGTACCATGAACCAGCACGGACCAAGCTCGTTGCCGGCTGACAATGTTCTCTCGCGGAAGGCCACGAACACTACTGCTGGCTATCGTCTTCTTGAAGCTGGCCCGGGTCGAAGATCAGTCACCCTGTACGACCCAAGAGACGCGTCGTTGTTCAAATTGAGTCGTCTTCGAGTACCACGCTATCGACAAGTCTTCAGCACTATGAGTTTTGCGATAATGCTCGGTCTGTTCATCGCCGTACTTGTCGACCGCAGTCTCTACATCACACCGCTCGAGATTGTCTTCTGGATCTGGTCAGCTGGCTATATGTTGGACGAAGTCGTTGGCTTCACCGAGCAAGGCTTTGGTCTATATATCATGAGCTTCTGGAACGCTTTCGACCTTGGCATCCTGGGTCTATTCGTGTGCTACTACTGCTTGCGAGTGTACGGCATCATTCTAGCCGATCAAGGCAAGCACCGTATCGCCAACATGGCCTACGATGTTTTAGCATCAACTGCGGTCCTACTGTTTCCACGATTGTTCAGTGTGCTTGATCACTACCGGTACTTCTCGCAGCTGCTGATCGCCTTCCGTATGATGGCGCAGGATCTTGTGGCCATACTCATCCTGATCCTGATCTCCTGCTCTGGCTTCTTCGTGGCTTTCACTCTCTCCTTCTCGGACGATACTACGGATGGTCAAGCTGTGGCATATGCACTGTTTCAAATACTCATGGGCTTCACACCAGCCGCATGGGAGAAGTGGCATGGTTATAATGTGCTGGGCAAGGCTATCATGACCATGTTCTTGGTCATTTGCCACTTTTTGATTGTGACCATCCTCATTACCGTCCTCACGAACAGCTTTATGGCAATCGTGCAAAATGCGAACGAGGAGCATCAGTTCTTGTTCGCAGTCAACACGATCTCTATGGTCAAGTCTGATGCATTATTCAGCTACATCGCTCCCACGAATGTGCTGAGCTGGCTTATGAGCCCGCTGCGGTACATCGTACCATTTCGGCAGTATGTCAAGCTCAACAGAACAGTCATCAAAGTCACGCACTTTCCGGTTTTGGTCGTCGTCTTCGCATACGAGCGTGTCATCCTCTCTGGCCTTGCGTACAATCCTACCGATCTCATCGAGAAGCCCGCACGGTCGCAGACCAAGCCACTTGCATTCAGCTTCAACAAAGCGCCCGAGGTCCTTAGTCCAGGCCGAAGACTCCGTGAGCCGTCTGTCATCAGCTTTCACAAGGATCGCGCATTGGACGAGGTCTTCCGACGACCGTTCCGCGGCAGTACAGTACGTACAACGACTCGCGAGATGGACCCAGAACGCCGAAATTCTACCAATGTCGTCGATAGCTGGATGCAAGTCGCTGAGAATGAAGGAGGTGCTAGTCCACCAATAGAGCAACCTAGAAGTGTCCTCGACCGGTTAGAAACTCGCCGACCTGGTGCGCGGCGAGCCAACACCACTGAACAGTATCGGCAGAAGCATCTTCGCAACTTCTCACCGGCCGCGAAGAGCGCAGTCAGCGACCCAGATCTGATGTCGCTAGCAGCATCGAGAAGGCCGCAGCGGATCGACGAGGAAGAAGAACCCGTGGATATCAGTACAGATACACTGCCGCTGGAAACAGGAGATGAAGGAGATGATGAGCACAACGTCGAATCTGATCGACGTACCACGCCAGCTATCGGGAAGAGTGCTATCTCGATTGCAGAGAAGGAGAATAGGAAGCCAGGCCCGGATGACAGTGATGGGGAGTACTTCCAGACACCCACAGCAGGCAGATCAACATACTTGCACATTTCATCCGCAGCTCGAGCTCGCATGCAGGACTCACTGGATATACCCCCATCAAGCAACGCGCCACCTCGCAATCCGCTCCTTCGACAGGCCCACCCCCGCAACGCCTCCACAGGCACGACGTTGTTCGCACCTACAGGAGAAGACCCTTCCGCCACTTCACCACTCCGCACATCACGACCTGGCACTGCTCGCCAGACGGATAGCGGCGGTACCACGACGCCTGTGCCAACCAAGGCTCTGGCCTCAGGTGCTCGCACGCCCAAACCCAAACCTACACGTGCCCGTCCCATCATGCCACCTCGGCAACAGACTGCACCGAATGCGATTGGAGGATTGTCGTTCTTCGACATCGGACGCCAGAACAGGAGACAGCCTTCTTTCAATGCCCGAGCTCTGGATCTCGCAAGTGAAATTGGTGATAATAAATGGGGTCCTGCTGGCATCGACGCCGGTGGAATATCCGGTATGCCTGCTTCGTTTTCGGAACAGCTGCTTCGCGAACGTGATCTCGAGCGTATGCGGGAGGAGGAGAGGAAAAGAAGTGAGGCCGAGGAGAAGGGCATGGTGAATCGCATTATGCTGGCTCGTATGCATACACTCGAGGAAGGCTTCAAAGAGATGCTGAGGGAGATTAAGGATATGTCCTCTCATCAAGCAGGCACGGGAAGTTCGAGAAGGGATAGCGAGGCTGATATGAGAAAGCCTATTCGACCTAAAATCGAGACTGCGAGGACGAGTGGCAGTATAGAAGGACTTGTGCCGCTGACACCTTTGGGTAGGAATGTAGCGGAGGGCAAGAGTAGGAAGAGCCCGAGGAAGTTGCAGAGGAGAGGGACTAAAGGCAAAGAGATCGAGAGACCTAGAAGCTCGATGCGGATTCGAGAGCACGACCCGGATAGTCCGCAGAGTATCAGGTCGGTGATCGAGCCGCCGAGGGATGGTGAGCAGGCAGTCGAGGCTGCATCGAGGCCGGGCACTGCGATGTGGTCGCCGGATCGCAAGGAAGAGGAGTAATTGGTTCTGTTGGCGAGCATGGACATTGGCGTTCAAGTGGTTTTGCGAGCACAGTACATCTGAAGCGTTTTGCGGTGCAATCTATCCCAAGCGTTTAGGGCATGTTTAGCTGCTTTTGCATTGCAGGGTGCGACGGGGATGTTTTGAGCATAGTACATTATTCTCAGCATACGTAGAGACGATGCAATACCGTCTGAGCCGCCTCCTCAAGTTCTCCCTGTTCCCTCTGGATCATGTTTAAAGTACCACTTTCAGACGATTCTGGTGGCGTGCACATTGTCTCCTCCTCAACAGACATTCAGACACCACCACCTGTCAAAGGTCAGTCTCGAACAGACCAGTTGCATCGATATGGCTACCACATACCAGACCTATCAGACGTTACATGGAACGTTTGCGCGTTTCTCTTCTCCTGCTCGGCTTGTCTGTAGCGTACCGTCAGATATGACCCAACTAGAGCGGCTGTGCTGAAGAAGACAGTATTGCGGCGACTAGAATAGACATTAGTATCGGTTCCTATTGGAGTGCGGTGTCGCTTGGGTCTGATGTGATACTTGATATACTGTTCCCACCCCATCTTGTCGGTTTGTCGGTGCTCGGTGACGTGCTGAAATTGCAGTGGTCGTGATGTTCTAGTCGTAAATGTGTGGCCTGGCTGATGATCCGAATGCTGATGCTCGCAGAGACGCTGTAACTACCTATGTACTCTACATTGGAAACGAATCAAAGATCAGAGGCGAATGAGCAGCCACTACCGGTGCCACGCTCACGCTCACGCCTGTAGCCGCTTTGGACGCACCTGACTCTCTGTCCTTCTCACCGAGGAGCTGCAAGCCGAAAGCATGAAGTGTGCCTTCCCCGCCATCATGCACTCCACAAAACTCACACGGCAGCGGCCGCCCTGATGATGATTGTGGCGCAGGATCGCCAAGCACAAGCATGATCGTTGCTCACCAAGGCTGCAACTACTGCGCAACCTGAACTGGAATGACAAGAAAGGCCTAATTACTGACCACGACGGCGCACTAGACCACTACATACCAACCACACTCATCACACCATGGCCTCATCCTCGACACCAGCGACGCCCCTCCTCTACTCCTGCATAGCCTACGAAAACACTGTCCTGGCCGAACACACCACTTCCGCCATCTCTGGCACGTCTGGCTTGGCCTCTGTGATTCTACCCAAGATCTCTCACGACAGCCCGCAGAAGCTCACCTACACCCACAACGAGAACTTCATCCATTACATAGCCGATGCCGCACCCTCATCCAACAAGCCGGACAGTCTAAATGGCGCCGGCCTCACATATATGGTGGTTGCGCGAGCGGAATTAGGCAAGCGCATACCATTCGGATTCCTCGTCGAGATCAAGAAGCGTTTTTTGAGGGAATATGACCCGGAGCGCACGCAATTCGGGAGCCTACCAGCATACGGCGCGGCAGCCTTCAACGGAAACCTGAAGCACTTGATGGTGGAATATGGGACCACAAAGGCAGGAAAGGACGATGCATTCGCGAATGTGCAGAATGAGATTGAGAATGTGCGAGGCATAATGACGGAGAACATCGAGAGGGTGCTGGAGAGAGGAGAGAGGATCGATCTGCTGGTGGATAAGACGGATAAGCTTGGTGGCAGTGCAAGAGACTTCCGCGTGCGAAGCAAAGGGCTTCGAAGGAAGATGTGGTGGAAGAATGTGAGATTGATGGTTCTTATGGTTGTGGTGATCGTGTTTTTGATATACCTTCTCGTGGGCTTCGGGTGTGGGCTTCCTGGTGAGTACAGTAACACTTACAGTGGTCACCTAAATCAGACCTATATACTGACATTTCTACAGCATGGGGCCGATGTATTCACCACTAAGCTCAACGTTGCGGACTCGTGCATTTGGTGTTCAAGCGTGTCACACAAGACTGGATTATGTACAGCATGCAACCAATTATTTCACTTCCATACTTCACATCAGGCCGACTCGCCCCATCCCAGTGCTTCCTCCAACTTCTGCTGCGCCGTCATGCCATTCGTCTCGCCCACCAGCCCTCGCTCCTTACATTCCTTCAACATATCTCTCATCTCCTCATCACCATTATCTGCCCGCTTACTGAACTCCTCCCAATTGTCCTCCAACCATTGCGCATCACCTCCCGCTTCCGGGAAAGCCACACCAAGCTCAGTGCCAAAGAGCAGATCGCCCAGTAATATGCAGCTCCGAAGACTGGTATCCTGGTCCGCGTCACCCCGTCTGACCTTGGGCAAGCCGCTCCCGATGATTCTGTCCCATTCTTGGGTCACTCGGCCGCAGAGTTGCTGCCAGTCTGACCTTTTGCGACCAGGTCCGTTGCGGACATGGCCTCTGATATGATTTCCGGGCTTCTTCTTCCCGGCTACGAAGAGGTCCTGGCTCGAAGCATCCGTGTATGACACATTGACGAAGAGCCTGGGTGTGGTGAAGAGTGTCGAGTGGATCTCAGTGATTGCCCCTGCTAGCTCTTCCTTCTGTGAGGCTGTGAGCTGGCATATGTGGTGGATCTCATAGAAGGGCATGGTTGCAACTGTCGACGGTGGTAGGGAAGAGGAGGAGTCTGGAAGAGTGAGGATGATGTAGACTTCGACAATACAATTCGAGATGATGTTGCCTCGGCTGATTACGAGATCACAGGCCGTAGTCGATCAGGTCAAGTACTCATCTCCTGTCACTGAGTTTGGCCAACGCGGAATGCGATGAATTGCAGTAATATGAAGATCACATGACATAGGCGGGATAGCAGAGCGAAGTGAATGCTGAATATATGCCCCGCATATCCTTCCACCCTTTGCTCTACCTTGTCGACCTGGACTTAGACGTCGAAGCAAATGCAGCCAGCAATAGGAGTTCCTCGGTCCCGGTCTTGACAACTCGGCTCAGATAATTAGCAGCGAGGCTTTGGAGTATGGCATCATGGTCAAGGTATTATCACATCATCACTCCGTTGAAACGAGAAGGAATGAGTGTGCTGAAACGAAATCAAAATGCCACAAAACAAGTCAATCACTGTTATTGATGCTGCCATAGTTCCTGACTCAAATCAAACTCTTCCCCAAAATCAGTACTCAAGATATCATCCCACTCAGATGGCGGCGTGGCTACCTGAGGATCGAGAAGTATTGGCATCTCCTGGTCGACGTCCGTCGATAGCACATCAAGTTTCTCCGCCGTCCCATTCTCTGGTTGCTGTACCAGGCTATCGTGCATCATCTCTGGCACAGCAGTGTCCGATCGTAGTGGCATCGCACTCCCCAATGGTCTTCTCCGATTCAACCCAGCCTTGCAATAGGAACAAGGTAGCTGAATCACCACACCATTATCGCCCCAAACAGCCGTCCAGCAGTAGCCAAGCTTATTCGCACTCAAGCATCTCTCGATTGGTAGGAACTCTCCGTGTCCGCAGGAACACCAGATCAGCTGTTGTGTGCACATCAAACAAGTTTTGTGCAACCGTAGGCCAGCACGAAAGGTGGGTGATGGCAGACAGTGGTACGGGAGCAAGCGGCCTACATATATTTGTGCGATGACAAATTGACGGCAAGCAGACGGCGTTGGGACGAAACTATGAGGTACATGCAATGCAAATGACAAGAACGAGCTTGCACTAATGGACGAGCAAAAGTCATCCAATGTGAGTCAGGCAGCGCAGCATACATGCTCCAGATAGCAAGCATAGCTGATTCCATATCTTCTGATCTATTACATAGCGCCGTTACATATCTCTTCCAAATCCTGATTTCGTAAATATGTTGTCTGCTTGTCAGACTAAGCATCAAGCATACACCGTTTGCGTCTCAACGACAGTCACGAAGGTCGTCATCGGATCAATTGGAACCAAAGCATCGTTGAAAAATGACTGTGCTGATGAGGACGTGGGAGGCGAAGGAGACGGTGTCGTGGCTGGCGTCGAGCTGGTTGCGGCTTGATCACGGGCGTTTGCTGCCCGTATGACATCTGCAGCCTGCGATCGTACATTAGGCCAATTGAGTCACAAATTTGGTGCTCGCCGACATACCTTCTCCGCGATTCCATAAACGACAGCCTGCAGATGTGCGGCTGGTAGCATGGGTATGATGCTGGCGTCCACGACTCGAAGATTTGAAGTACCGTACACAAGCAGATCTGGCGAGACCACACCACCAAGCGCAAATGGCAGCATAGAACAAGTGCCTGCAGGATGGTACTCGGTTTCCAAGGTCGTCGCGATCCACTGCAGAAGCTCATCATCCGTGGCGTCCGCCGCTGGATACATTTGCAATGGTTGCAACTGAGACATACTCTCCGTGACGATCAGACGCTGATTGAAGCGTAGAGCAGCTAGCAGCACCTGCTTATCGACTGGATTGCTACCATAGCGCGGGTCGATGACTGGTGGCTCAAAGGGTTGCGGTGAGTTAAGCGTTACAGTCCCACGACTCAAAGGTCGCATACTCGCCACTGTCAGTGCTCCATCATTCCCATTGATGATCTCGTAGCTTGCTCTGGTTGGATCGGATAAAGCTTGGGTGAGTAGACGAAGCTGTTGCGTGAAGCCGAGAACAACACTGCCGTCTGTGCCGGAAGGTAAGTATTGTGCTGCGGCCTGGGCTGTGGCAGCGTCCACAATGGCTGTCGAGCCGTTGACAATGAAAGGTAGAGCTGGGAACGCCACACCGTCGTATGCTGCGGAAGTCAATGGACCAGTTCTATTGGCATTATATTCCTCCCAAGCATTCTCTGCAAATGTGCTGTTGCGTATCAGACTCAGCGGCGTTGCGATAGCTGAGTTATTGTACGGGTACCAGGCCCATACTTGTCCATGATCGTGGAGGTTACTACCAACGCCTGGCAGATCTATGTTCACCGGAATCGCAAGCTGCCGTAGAGTTGCTGCACGTCCAACACCAGAAAGGAGTAGAAGCTGTGGACTATGTAGTGATCCAGCAGCGAGGATGACTTCGCGAGTGGCTGATACAACCTAGTGCAGCAGATCAGTTATGGTAGGCGACTACGGAGCGCAGATTTGAATCACATACCTCGCGCGGACTCTGAGCATCCGCCGCGAAAACCACACCATTTGCCCGCACTACCTGTGTCCCGGTAGCGGTATTCTGGCGCCTCAAAACTCTTGGAAGGCTGTGCCAGAGGTTTTGGAGAAGGGAAAGACCTCTTCTCCTCGTCGAAGGTGAACCAGATGGAGACACATCTGTCTGGCCGAATATGCCACCTGGTACGCCTGGTGATGAGCCTTGACCGCCGATAGGTACATCGTTGGACGTGCTTATGAGCGCATTGAGGTCCGCACTTGTCCCTGCGAAGAGAATTTGTGTCACGTATTGTGAGGTCGCCACCCACAAGTTCGGCCTGGAAGCAACGGAGTCGTAGTATGCTCTTCTCGCAGTCGATCGAGTTCCCGTGACTGGGTCCAGACTGATTGGAAGGAAACTGGCTCCGGCAATCTGGCCAGCGTTCGGATCGAAAGCTGTGGGTATGCCCAGCTCATTCAGACCAGCGAACAGTGCACGGGAGCTAGGCCAATACCACGAAGGAAAGCTAACGTTCACAGGCCCAGATATGCCGTGTACACTCGCATTGGCCTCGATAGAGTACGCGACAGCGAGCTCCTCGGATGATAGACCCCAGTATCGCTCACTGCGCTGGAAGTATGGTAACATATCATTCCAAGTCCAGCCGGGATTGCCTAGAGCTGCAATATTCGCCCAGTCGTCAACCTCGCCACGATTCCATAACATGCCATTGATCAAGCTTCCGCCACCAAGACCATGACCCTGAGGTATGCTACGCGGCTTCCCATCCAACGAAATTTGCGCGGTAGACGATAGATTCCAGTCGTAGATTGTACTCATGCCATCTCCGATCATGCCGGGTACGTTGATGATGCCTTCTCCATGATCTGCTGGACCAGCTTCGAGGACGAGGACGTTCACGGTTGGGTCTTCGGACAATCGGTTCGCGACTGTGAGTCCTGCTACGCCGCCACCAACCACTACGACTGTCAGTGATACTTCAGTCTTCGTGATCGCATCGGCGCACCTATGTAATCATATGACTGCAGAAGTGGTGAGTTTAGTGGTAGTGCAAAAGAGATGACCGCGAATAGGATGCAGAGCAGCAGACTGAACATCGCGAAAGGCGTTGACCGTGAAAGTCAGCGTCGATAGCGAGCAGAAGGGCACCAGTGGTGTAACGGAGATACTGCCAGTTCTGACTTTCTGTTCCAGGCTACATGTTTATTTGCTACCAAGAGAAGAGTGTCTGGTCATGTTGGACAGTGCCATCCGCTTGGTAACTTTAGCAAGTGCGAGATGCTTATCTGAAGGTGAAGTGCAAAGGATCGATCACGTCCCATTCTACCACCAGGGATATATGTGGCTGCCAATAGTGGGAGATTGTCGATCGTTTGTTGAATGGAGAGGAGGGTTTCGACAAGCAATATATCTCGTACGAGCTGTGAACCTCTGTCAGGCTAAACACTCCACTTCTCGTCTTGGAAGAAGGCGTGAAGTTACACATGCGGCACGAAGGGCAAGGACGGGTACGTACCTGCTTGTATGGAAGCGCCACCGAGTTTGCGGATGTCGCGTTGAATCAGAGTATAGTTGGCCCACAAAACGCAAATCCTAAACAAGATCGAGTCACTGGATCTTTGCGATATGCCTTTGACTTCCTATGGCACAAGCAAGCCAGATCGAAAGAGCCAAGAAGCCGCCGTTCCAAGCCCGAATGAATATCGCCTGCTTCCCGGTCTTGTTCTATTGCAATTGAAGGTAATGTACTGTGCTGCCAAACCCATAAAGAAATAGGTGATCACGATATATGAGAATATCGACCGCGGATGAGGACACCTCCTAACGCCTCGCTAATAGTACAGAATGAACCCTTAAAACTTCGGGCAATGGTTGGCTGTATCACCTTCATCCATTACCGCGATACACGGCCTTCTCCCAGCTCATGGCGTATCATGTCCCGAATTGCACTCGAATCCAATTCATGCCTCTGCTTCTCTTGTGCCTCCTTCTCATGCGTGTGGCCCACTTTCTGCATGCTCTCATATCTCTCTGCAAACCCTGGTACTCGAGATGTGTTCTGACTACTGCCGACCGTTCTGAAACTGCCTCTATCGCTTGGAGGGCCAAAATCTGCTGTGGTGGTCGTGTATGCTGACTTGCGGCTCGCAGCCGTAGCAGTGGGCGGCCGGAAAGTAAACTCATCCACTTTGTGATCGTCTGGCAATTTGTACATGAGCTTTGGCGGTGCGTGCTTTTGTTTCTCTCGGCGGTACAAGATCAACAAGGCAATAAGAGCGAACAGCAACGGCAGGCCGACACCACATGCGACACCAGCAAGTTCTTCAGAAGTATGTAATCCAGCTGTGGCCACGGTTGCTGAAGAGGTCGCCGTCACTGTCGGTTGTCCTATAGCACTGGTCGCAGAGGGTGAAGCAGCCAGCACGGAGCTCAATATCGTCGCGACCTGGTCAGTTCTGAGCTGTATCCCACTGCCGCCTGACATCTCGAAACTGTTACTCTCGCATGCTGATGCGTTCAGCCCGCAAGCAAAGGTAGTCGTCTCGTCATTAGTCGGGCAGGGCATGATCGCTATAGGTCCGTCTGTTGTCACTATACGATGGCTCAGTTCCAGTCATAGACAAGCCACAAGTTTCACGAAGAAGCCTACCTGTCTTACAGTATCCTGAGCATGCTGGAGACCCCCAAGTTGCGTCTGTACATGACGATCTTGTCACTACGCCGTTGCCGAAACAAAGTCCATTGCCCATGCAGAACGCATTCGATGGGCAGCAGGAAGAGGCGCCTCCATTGCCGCTTGAAGTGCATGGCTCATCGTTCGATTCTGTTGTCCCATCCGGGTAGTAGCATTTCTGCGCAGATGCCGTCGCTGCCAAAAGAATGATCGCCGGTATAGCTCGACGAACGCTGGGAACGAACGACATCGTCAATAATGGGACGAGAATATGTGGTTAAGTACACAATGACCGTTTTAGCGTCACGTACGACTAAGGCATTTCGGATTGTTTGTGGAGGAGACAAGTGAGCATGTCTTACCTCAACAACACCTACCATACACCCTGCTGCAGAACCTGCCCCTACTTTTCCTCGTCGTCCAGATCCGTGTACGCTCGTACTCCGAGATGAGATGTGGCTGCGCGCTTTCCCTAAAAAGGGTGCGGTATAGTGCCCAGGAACGACTAGCTCGACCGTTGCCGAAGTGACCAACAAGTGGCTTGCTGATTCACATGGCACATAGGTGGATGTATATAAAGGAGAGGAGGGTCCTACGCGGAGGAGAACACAGTGATGGATTGATGCTGCAAGGCAAAGTCGACTGGAAAGGCGGATCATTGTCTCGCTGCAGACTTCTCTCGTTTTGGTAGAGGATTATATGTTGCTAGTTGGTTACCGAGAAAGGTAGACACTGTTTATGAAACGCTTTTAGGGTACCCTCGAATTCCTGACCACCCACCCGACGCCGGTGATATGTGTATTTCATCACGAAGCAGTGCCGCTGAGCCTTTTCGCGGGTTTGTACGAGATATCTACCTTTCCCGATGATTATTGTGGTGTTGTAGCTCCCTTCGAATGTGACATCGAGAATGGCGCGAGTACTTTCTTCGCAGACGCTAACCTCCAGGCCAGATTCTTGACATTCCCATCTGCCTGGACCACTTCCGGCGCAAACTCGATACCGAACATTTGTTGGACGGCATACACGACTCTCCTGGCATATTTGCCTTCTCGCTCTAAAGTAGGGCCGAAGGTCTCATCTGCTGTGCGCGGTGCGACGTCTGGGGCACGATCGAAGCAATTCTGGACGACCGGCAGGAGTGCACCTTCCATCGTGGATCTAATCGTTGCGTCTGCATTGTAATCCACGCGCTCGTCGTCAAAGCGGTCGATGCGGATCTCGAATGGCAGTGAAACAGCCATGACATTGTGCTTGCCGTCATGGTGGTAGCGGAATTCGAAGATACCTTGCGTCCACCAGAGCTTGTCACCAGAGAACTCTAGCACACCAGACATGAAGTCCTTCGACTCGCCGTCACTTCTGGTTTTGCCAGACACTTTCTGTTCGGCGACTAGGATACCATCGCTGGCATTGGTGTAGTCCCAGGCGCCCTTATTTGTCGCCACCCATCTTGCTTGCGAAGATACTCTAGTCACATCCCGTGACGCGTTGTCACCGACTATAAACAGACCAACCCAGTCCTTGTTACTGTGGTTAAGAGGGGCGGTCCATTTCACTCTAATGGGTGCGCCATACTCGACGATTATTCTTCGGAAGTTGTCTTGGTGCTTCTGTGCTTTTTGTCCATCCTCGCCTTCTCGTCCACTTTGCGCTGCGTTGGCTTGCTTTACACCAGAGGTAGATTTGTCGATCTCCAACGAGTAGTCCTTGGGATCGTAGCCTGCAAGATCAGGTGCGATGCGTGATATGCTTACGCGGGCTGGGAACTGCTTGAACAAAGACTTGGAGTCTGTGACGAAGTGACTGAAGCCTTCTGCTAGCTTGGGCGTGGCTGCATCAATGATGTCCTCCAGGAAGTCGAAGCTATCGTCCAGAGCTTTGTCGACTGTACCGGTCCACTTCTGCAAAGGTGATGGTAGTGATCGCTTGATACTGCGCGACACACCAGATGTCTCGCGAATGCTCATCCTGTACAGCTTCTGCATGTGGGGACGCTCGACGAATTGGATGAAGCATAGAGTGAGAGCATGACTGAGCAAAGCAAGCAGAAACACAGCTTTGCTCCAAGTGATGATGGCAGCTCCCCAGACTCCAGCAAGACCGATGGTTCGCTCAGGATTGTTCAGGAAGCGGTAGATACCACTGTAATTCAGCTTGGGAGCTTGTTCGACGAAGAAGAAGTCGCCGAAGAACCAGCCGAACTCACCAAGTGACTCATAGATGCTTGAGATGGTCCAGAGCTGGAGAGAGATCAACGCGACACCAAGAACGTGTCGCAGTGTAGACATGCCAATGGTCCAGTCGTCCGGCAAACCATACATTTTGTAGGCAGCACACACAAAGCTGGTGTAGCACATGACCATGCTAAAATGGTAGATGCCTTTCCACTGCCGCCAAGCCTCTTCAGTGCTTTCTCCGTATTTCAAAAAGTGGCGAGTCCACCTCTTCTTGTTCGATTGGCGATCAAGGATGAAGCCGATGCCAAGAGAGTACCATAGACGCCAGAGGGTAGCACTGACTACAAAGAAAGTCTGCCAGAGCTTTGTAGAGGGTGTCAGGAAAGCGAAGATATACATGTAGATCTGGATAATAATGACTGAGACATCTGTTATCCTGTGTAAGTCAATATGCTGTAAGCCAATCAAGGAGTGTATCGGTGATGGCTGGGCGATGGGCTCTTGAGCAGGGTATGCGTCCGCATTGGCTGCGCTGAGGAGTCGAGATTGATAGCTAGGTCTCTGGATTGCACTTGTGTCGTCCTCGATCTCGGTCCTTTTCGGAGGCGGAGAGCTATTGTATGTCCGCTCAATATGTGGTGACTCAACAAAGGCGAGGAAGATCAATTGTGCGGCGTGAGCAATGATTGAGATGAAGAGGACCTTGTAGCTTGCTGCCATCATCGAGATTCCGTAGAAGCCAGCGTAGCCGACGGAGTACATTGGGTGTGGCGCAAGCTCGAAGACGCCATCGAAGGTGAGCTCCTGGTCGATCAGAAAGAAGAAGTCACCCCAGTACCTTTGAACCGATGGATGCAGCGATTAGCATGTGACTCAGAGAACCATAAGGCTTACAATCATCGAATTCTTACCATGCGAAGTCCTTTACCACCCTGTGAGCATCAAGCTTAACCCACAAATTGAAAAAGACAAGGAGCCAGCCACCTACCCAGCGTGCAACGGTCATGAGTAGTTTCTCGTTTGCCGGACGGCCACCACACGCAGCAGCGAAAAGGATGTAGCAGGTGAAATCACTCATCAGGATGAGATCTACCACTCGTCGAAAGACAAGCCAAGTATTGAACTCAATTGGCGCGTCTTCAAACTTGTAGTCTTTAGGAATCTTGGCTTCCATTTCTTGCTTCAAGAACTTGTACAAGAACGGATGCGGATTGGTCCCGGTCTGGGGGTTTTCGAAGATATGGCTCTTATTGGCCCAGGCTATCAGCCGCTTATGGTGTGACTGATTGTGTAGCAGCCACCCTATGCCAGCATTGTAGCAAAGCCGCCAGAACAGGAACATGATAGCGAAGATGGGTATGCGCCATGTTTGAGGTAAGAAGTACCACAGGAGAGCGTAGTAGGCCAGCACGGTCACGATGGCTACATCGGAAGCGTTCTTTGGTTGCGTTGGGTCGAACAGCTGCGAAACCATGTCCTCGGTGTGAGGCACGGTGAAGACTACATTTCCGGAGGCATTAGCTTTGTCGCTTGTGGGCTCAACGATGTTGGCTGAATTGGGACTGATAGCATGATTACTGCGGATAGTTCTGCGTTGTATCTAGAAGTGAAGCACAGTGCATCATCAGAAAGCGGTTGCCTTAGGGAGAACACACCTGTGCCATCTGGCGTCCGTCCAAATGTACGTTTGTCCTTCTCATCCTTTCCACCTTGTGCTTCTTGATCGTTCAGCTGTCGTACTGCTTGCTGGGCAGTCTCGGTAGACGCAGCTTTTTGTGGTATGTCGGGGTTTTGCGGTAGCCTCTCGCGCAGGCCGCTGGTGTCGATGCCTGGGACATCATTACTGCCACTCATGTTGATGCTTGTTGAAATAGCATCAGTGAGCTTGAGGGAATTGTGATGTAGCAGCGAGAGATGTCTTCGAACGAAAGTCGTGCATATGTGACAGCGTAATGCTCGTGTAAGAAGAGCGGGGCCCTTGATGTACCTTTGGCCAGTGTGCGCTATTGCACTTCTCCGTCAACGTTGTCTCTGCTGAGCGCGGCAATTGGGTGGAGTGGACACCACTTAGCCTGCACTGGCTACGTCAGGTTAACAATAAGACGAGGATGATCACGAAGGATATGCAAGCAAGTAAATGCACGGTCCAAGCCTCAGCCTCGGCCATGTGCTCCGCCACCATTCACTTCACCAGCGTTGGTCGGTGACTACCGGCATCTTAGACCATGTATGTGCTCACGACATGGTGCGAGCAGAGAGGAAGGCGACCATTGAGGCGGTCGGATACTGGCCTGCAACGTCGTCCTGCTGGACTTGAACATGACCAATCTGGTCGACTCCTTGTCTCCGAAGACCCAATTTACCAGCTTCACACCCCCACCTGCGGTGGTGCGGATCTCTCTGTGACTTTTAGTAGTCGGAATGCTCGGCCAAGGAGTGATTCGCCTATGCACCCATGCTTCACCAAACTGCCGGGTATCGATTCACGGCAATCGCCTAGCCATCGTCTAAGAGCTCGAGGCCGCTATGGCTGCCATATACTGGCAAGGACACATCAGGAAACATATATAACCTCGCTGTGAAGCGTTTCTTCTCTAAATCATAGACCATGCTAAGTCTAGTACTTGCCTAACGTACAAGGCCGGTGACCTTCAGCCGGCGCCTTTGCTTTGGTTCCGCCAATCTCCGGTAACTTTTGGGAATCATACCAGCCCTGTCAATATACCACCTCAACGAGTGTTGAAACCTCAGAAGAAGTCTCACGGGGCCGTTCCTCATCTGCTGGCTTCTCAGATTCCTGCTGACGTGGGAAGTGAACGAATAGTGCGCAGATGATCAAGCCACAGCATGCAGAAGCAGCGGCGTAGAAAAACATGGCCCTGTAGCTCCAGTTGATCGATCTGTCGATGCATGGCTTGTATACTGACGTCTCGTCCCGCGCATTGCAGGCAATGGTCGAAGCAGCTTTTGCCTCGATGATCTCAGATAGCGGGAGTGCGAAGGAGATGGCGAGGTTGACTAGTATCGAGCAGATGGCACCACATAAGCCCTGATAACGCTTTGGCTGAGTCGAGGAGAAGTACACCAGTGACATAGTGAAGGTGAGATCTATGCCTAGCGTGGCACAGAGCATCGACGGCATCACGAAAGCCCAGTAGTTGACCGGTAGCGGACACAGTGCCAGCAGTAGTGGAGCTCCTATCCACGCCAGCCCAGATATCAGCAGCAGGATCTTCATGTGTACGATGTGCATGAGCGAGGCGCCGACAACACAGAGTATCAGACCACCAATCGCCGTTGGCGTGTACCACGTAGCCAGTCCGATGCCACTCAAGCGGTGATGGATCGTCCCAGATGGACTTTGGAAGAATTCGGCAGACTCGTACAGCCAGACGCCATAGCTGGCATAGAAGCATAGCCCGGCGAGACACATCGCCATCGAACCCTTGGGCCGAAAGAAGTCAAAGGGAAGAAGTGGGCACTCAGCGTACCAACCTTCGACCCAGACGGCAGCGCCCAGGCACAGCATGCCAGCGACACAAGGGCCATACACACTTGGAAAGCTGAAGCCATTCCTAGCTCTATCGTATGTGTTGGCATCTGGCTCATACGCCAATGCGTAACTCAGGAGCATGAGGCCCGCGGTGATCAGGAAGCCTCCCAGCCAGTCCATCTTCAAGCCAAGCTGTTTCCGGTCTGTCCAGTCGTGCGGCACTGTCAGGTATCCAGTAATGGTTGCTATGAAAGCCAGTATCGCAGCTATCCAGAGATACCATCGCGACTCATCTTGTGGCAGCGCGCCTGCGACGAGGATACCCGCGAAGAATCCGACAGGCGCGCAGCCGGCGTACAGCCCCAGCACAAAGTTCTTTCGAGGACCGTGTTCGTAGAACGTTGACACCAGCACGAACGTCGAGGGCATGAAAGCTGCCAGTGCGAGACCTTGCATTGCTCGTGAGACGTCAAGGACAACGACGGAGGTGAAGAAGCCTGGGATGAGAGACCAGATGCCGAGCCATATCAAGCCTAGCATGAAGAGCCTATAACCGCCGTGGATGTCTGCGAGTCGAGCGCAGATCAGGATGGTGGCGCTGAGTGTGAGGGTGAGCAACGATGCTGGCCAGAAAAGGCCGAGAGTGCCCGATCCTACCTCGATGACTCCTGTTCTTGCGACTAGCTCAGGCAGTGCCAGTGCAAATCCGGAGATCAAATATTCAGACAAGAACATCTGAGTGGCGATAGTGAAGCAGAATCCGACTTCAGCCGCAAAGCTCCGAAATCTATTCTTGCCACCATGCAACGGCGACATTGTTTCCTCTTGATTGCTGGCCGCAGATGACCTCTCGTCCAAGACCTCGATCGTTGGCACGTTAGCAGCTTGTACAAGAGGATACTCTGACCCGGCTGTGGTGGGCGGCTGGATATCGAGCGAGCCGGCTTCGAGGTGAAGGAGAGATGAAGCTCGTTTCCATCGTGCGACCTCCTCCCGATATCTGATGACATTGTCGAGGCTCGAGAGCCGATGGAAGCTGGCTCGTGGCTGAGGAGCCGGAGGTCTCAAAGCTGGGCTTGGGGGTGCCAGCGACGATGGTTTCCAAGGATCTCCGAGCCCATCTGACATCTCCTCTCGGGATCGAAAGATAGCTGTGGATGGAGGATGGCTACGGGGTCGCGGTTGCTCGGAACGGAGAAGAGGGGTTGAGCGACTTGGGCTGAGCAAAGCAGGATGTACTGTCAAGTGCACGGGGTCGTCTTCCGATGGGGTTCGACCGACTTGTAACGATGGGTGTCGCTGCACTGATGGGTGTCGACGTAAAGGCAGCTTCCTCCTGCCTGTCGATTCTCTGCGTGCGCTAGCAGCAGAAGCTGGACGCGAATGAATTGGAGATTGCTGTGGTGAGACTATTGAGCCGGCATGAGCATGGGTGTCGGCCTCCAAGTCGGGTATGCTGGGCAGCGAGCTGGGTCGACTACCGATAAGGCTACCACGGGGAGAGCCAAGTTGGTCGTAGGGTGAACTGGTCAGCGGCATGTCTCTCGACTGTCTCGATCGACCTCGAGCAGGTTTTCGAGGCGGCAGGAATGGAGGTGGAGTTTCGTACGTCTTGTGTTGGCGTGTGAACAACTCCGGCATCGACTTTCTTCGTTGCCCGTTCATGTTTGCGGTTACGAACGGGCTCTTCGGCCGATGAAGGGTGTGTGATTCTCGGTTAACTGAAGCTCCAGATCCTTCGGCAACGCGAACATCCGAAGATGTAGCGTTCGGATCCAGCAAGCACGATCTCTGGTCAGCAATATATGCACCTTTTGCGCTCCAGGTGAACGACCACCGACGTCAATCAACGATAAGGATCTCGACAATTTGCAATCTCTTGTGTTCCAAGGTGCGACCAGCTTATCTTATGTACTCTGTTTGCTCTTCTGTGTTGACCGTCTGGCGAGTTGCAGCCCCTATCTGCAAGGTATCCGTGGAACAAACGGCCAGGTCGTACAAAAGTTGTGGAGTGTGTTCAAACGGTTGTCACAAACCGGCGCCTGGGATGTCAGTGACTGAGACGCTGATCAGTTCTTGATAGTGAATTTGGATGGGCTCCACTGTGGCTTCATTGTTGAAGACGAGGACAGGAAGTGTTACATATCACATATCACACATACGCAGCTACACAATCGCGGACGTGTTTTGGCAGGTTGCGCTAGGTGTTACCGTGGTGGCCCATTCTAGGCCGGTTCGGCTATGTACTAGTCTTCACGTGCGTCCACCTACGGCTGGCTACTGTGTGCATGAGAGTCCGACGCATGCTTCACCGTCGCTTGCTGTGAATTGTGAGTGTATATGTGGTGGCTTGCGTGAAGAAGTCGCTCCAGCCAATGAGTAGGCCCGTGTGGCGTCGAAAGCCTGAGCTGAGATTCTTCTGAGCTGGCACCTCTCACTGGACACAGCCTCAGTCACCGCCGCCGACCGAATGCTCCCATACACCGTCACCTTGATGCATTACCGAAGCTATAAGCGATGCACAGTATTTCTTGTTGAGTCGGCGATGTTTCGAACTTAGTCGGAAAGGCGCAAGGCTGCAGCTGCTTGCTGGGGTCGACATCGACTCCTTCGGTCCGCCAGGGATTACTGCACGACGTATCGATATGCATCGCAATGACATGGCCATGACCTGGTAGCTGGAACGATCTACCGCAGATGTCAACTATCTATTCACATCAGTTTCATGTCACTCATTCCGCCGGACACTGTGTCTCTGAGCTTCACCTGGATGTTGCAAGACGACATGAAGCAAAAATAATCTATCACGCGTTGGGAACATTACAAGTGGCGTCCGGCAGATGCAATGCATGACAGTTGGGCTGCTGCAGCTGCATCAGAATGACAGGTGGGCCGTTGAAGACGTGGTTGTCGCTTTCCACTGCATTCCCCACGAACCCATGTTGTGTAACAGAACTTCTCTGGCGCGCCACGGCGACTAATGCGTTCTTATTTTCCTTCAGCAGAAGAGCCTGGTTACTGGAGCAGCAGCGTACGAGGAATGATAGGCCGTGGCGATGTATCGCAGATCATGAGGTACCGACGACCGGGTTGAAACTGTGGAAGATCTGGCTTGTTCGCCGAACCAGATTTCTCTTTGCAAGTTATGCGAATCTTGTCGACCGCACTTCACCGGTATGCAGGTGCTCTTCATATCTTTCCTGCGCACACGCAACGACGTCGCTGCTCCTAGTCCGAGACCCTGAGCCCCATGAAGGAGCCATCGTGGACGATGTCTGCCATTGCGTGCCGGATGGTGGAGATACCAGAACTCGCTCAACGCAGAAAGTCCATGTCATCTCTACCTGGGGTTTCTTACCTCCTGTATGTCCAACGCTTGGCTGGGCCACCGGCATGGCGGACCATATGGCCTTGCCATCTTGCGTGAGCTGTATTCGGTCTGGCCGAGGAGCTGTTCAAATCTCTTTGACCTTGGCTTGTAAAGGTGGGTGTACTCTTGCTACGTATCTTGTGGTGCTGCGAAGCCAGGCGCCGATGCAAGAAAGGAAGCGGAATTAATGATGCCGGCTAGCTTGTCAAGCTCGACATATGCCATGCCGTCGTCTGAGAGCAGCATGACCTTCTCTTCGACCATAACTATCTGATGCTTACCACCAGGAACGATCACATCCAAAGCTGGTTTGACCTCGTCACTTCCGACAGTATGATTAACAAGGCCCGTGGAGTCTCTCTAGCATGATGACGTCCTGAACGGCGTACATCTCCCGAGCGCCTACCGACGGACGTCTAGATAGGAAATTGGTCTCTTGTCTGACTCTGCTACGCTGCGAACATTCAATCAACACAATCGCTCAAATTACGCACTCACACAGATGGTCAACATATTCCCACTAAAAGATCACATCCTCATCACCCTCATCGCCCAGCACATTCGTAGTAGGCGCATCCTCAGCATTACTCCGTTTTTGCTGATTCTCCTTGTCGCTATCGTTCTGCGCAGTCTTGTTCCTCTCTGCCTCTTGCTCAGCCTGTGCCCGCTCCTTGACACCCTTGACCTTCTTGAGTCGGAAGAACTCCTCACGATCTAGCTCGTCGAGCTCAGAGTTGATGTATTTGATCGTGTTTTCTGTTCGTGGGATGATGACGTGCTCACTAAGCTCCAAGTCAGTTATATTCTCACAAGCAGAAGGATGTAGAGCATACATAGCGTTGACTCTTCGATTCACCACCTTGATGACCTCGTCCAAGATTACAAACGCAGTCTGTAGTGAAGCAAGCTCCACCAGAGTTTCCACAGCCCGTGTATAGGTCTCCCTACACTTCTGTACCTGCTGTCCACCCTTCCCCAAACCCGTCATCTGGAAATCACTCCCCACATCATCCCTCTGCACACTTTCAAACTGCGGCAGAAACACACCAGAAACATTCTCCTGCCTTGTCCGCACCCGGAACTTGGCTTGCTTCACACTCTCGGTAATCTGGTAGGAAATACTGCTGTTGCCCACGGCATATGTGACTTCGGCGAGGGAGAAAGCGGCGATCTGCATGACACGACCCATCTTGCGTTTGGCTTCATCTATACGGCGGGTGATTTCTCGGAAACGCTTGGTGAGGGCTTCGGATTTGCGCTTGAGGAGGTCATGGCCGATTTGAGCGCCTTTCAGTTTGGACTTCATAGCTCCAAGGGATTGGCGGGTGGGGAAGACTGCTTCTCTGTCCTGCATACAGTTAGAATGACTTATGCTATAGCTGCATCTGTGGAAGTAACAAGGCGTACATTTGCGCCTGACATGCCGGGCGGAGTATGGCGAGCTCAGCGGTCGCTCGCTATAGTATTCCTATTCGATATGACTGCCAGTGGCCTCTGAGCGTGTATCTTGGGAGCGGAGTGGTGAGTTGCTGGGTGGAGATGGTCGTCCCGTCGCGGAGTAAAGCAAGCACTGGATGAAGGTTGGAGCTCTGCCGCTGGTGACAGAGGTGATAGCTCTCATGCGTATACTTCATACCGCACATACTCACATCTACACCACCAAAGCAATCGCATCTCATGACTCGCTCGACTGAGCTTCTTGTCTTGGCGATCGCGAAAGAAGTCCTCCTGCACGCGCCGGCACCACTCTCTTTCACAGCATCCTCTGCACCGTGCGCATGCCTTGCGTTACTTGCGGTGTGATCACTGGAGCTGGAGTATGCCAGGCGAGCTGCTGCGCACACTGACGCCACCATTTGCACTCACCTTTGGACTATCTCGACCGGGCTCGAGGAAAGCCTCCGCGGAGCAGAGTACTGCAGGCGCAGAGAGGATGGCGGAGGTACAGAGGGCACAGCAGCCACAGCAGAGGTTTCTGTATCTGGTATCGCAGAACGACGAGGTGTATGAGAACGATGTCCTGCGCAATTCGGGCAATGTACGACCTTGGCTGGACTATGCGAACTTCAAGAGGCAGTATGGAACGAAGCTGGAGCAGGCGTTCGTGCTCGAGAGAGCGGTGACAGCTTTGCCGAGGAGCTACAAGCTGTGGAAGATGTATCTGGAGCTGCGGACGAAGCATCTCAAAGGCAGGAACGCGGCGAGACACAAGGCCGAGTACCAGAAGGTGAACGCTCTGTTCGAGCGAGCACTGGTGCTGCTCAACAAGATGCCAAGGATATGGCAGATGTATCTGGCATTCCTATGCGAGCAGCCCTTGGTCACTCCCACGAGACGAACATTCGACCGTGCTCTACGAGCTCTGCCTCTAACACAACATAATCGAATCTGGGCTTTGTACAGGCCATTCGCAAACTCTGCTGGTGGAGATACGGCTGTCAGAATATGGCGACGGTATATGCAGGTACACCCTGAGAACATGGAGGATTTCATCGACCTGCTGGTCAGGGAGCGAAGGTATACGGAGGCTGTTCAGCGCTACATCGAAATACTCAACAACCCACGATTCAAGTCAAAAGAGGCCAAGGGACCCTTTCAGCATTGGACCGAAATGCTCGAAGTCCTCATCGATCACGCACGAGCTATACCGAACCCGCTTCCAATGCTCGATGGCACCACGATGGCCGTGGAGAAGATCATTCGATCGGGTCTGCAACGATTTCCTGACCAGCGAGGTATACTTTGGGTTGGTCTGGCGCGATACTACATCAACCAAGGGGCATACGAGCGAGCCAGAGACATCTTTGAAGAGGGCATCACCACAGTAATGACCATCCGCGACTTCAGTGTGGTGTTCGATACTTACGCAGAAGCTGAAGAAGCTCTGATCAGTATCAAGCTCGAGGACTCTGCAAAGCGACAGCAGAAGGGCAAGGTAGACGAGAATGCAGATTTGGACCTCGATATCAGAATGATGCGATTTGAGCAACTCATGGACCGACGCCCGTTCCTGATCAACGATGTCCTGCTACGGCAGAACCCATACAACGTCAATGAATGGTCGAAGCGTGTTGCTCTATGGGGTGACAACGCACAAATGGTTGTGCAAACATACACTGATGCGATTGCTGCGATCAACCCCAAACGAGCCATTGGCCGCTTCCACGAGCTCTGGACCAATTACGCAAAATTCTACGAAGCTGGAGGCGATTTGAGGAACGCGCGAATCATCCTGGAGAAGGCGGTCAAGGTACCTTACAAGTCAGTATCAGAGCTTGCAGAAATGTGGACAGAGTGGGCAGAGATGGAGCTTCGCAACGAAAACTTTGACCAGGCTGTCAATATCATGGCTTCTGCGACAAAAGCACCGAAGCGAAGTAATGTTGACTATTTTGACGAGACGCTGAGCCCGCAACAACGAGTCCACAAGAGTTGGAAACTCTGGTCTTTCTATGTTGATCTAGTAGAGTCAGTCTCAAGCCTGGATGAGACGAAGAAAGTCTACGAGCGCATATTCGAGCTCAAGATCGCCACACCGCAGACTGTGGTCAACTATGCCAACCTGCTTGAGGAGAATGGCTATTTCGAAGATTCCTTCAAGGTCTACGAGCGAGGTCTGGATCTGTTCTCTTATCCTGTCGCCTTTGAGCTGTGGAATCTGTACCTTACGAAAGCCGTCGACCGTAAAATCAGCATCGAGCGATTACGAGATTTATTTGAACAAGCAGTAGAGGACTGCCCACCAAAATTCGCGCGAACACTATACCTGATGTACGGCGCGTTAGAAGAGGAGCGAGGTCTTGCACGGCACGCTATGCGTATCTATGAGCGCGCTACTCGTGCCGTAGCAGACCAAGACAGAGCAGAGATGTTTGAGTTCTACGTCACGAAATCTGCTTCCAACTTTGGCCTGACCTCCACACGACCTATCTACGAACGTGCGATTGCTGCTTTGCCTGATAAGGAAGCAGCAAGTATGTGCATCAAATTCGCTGAGATGGAACGAAGATTAGGCGAAATTGACCGCGCGAGAGCAATCTTCGGTCACGCAAGTCAGTTCTGCGACCCGAGAGTCGAGGCAGCGTTTTGGAAGAAATGGGAGGGCTTCGAGGTACAGCATGGCAACGAAGACACGTTCAAAGAAATGCTGCGCATCAAGCGAAGTGTTCAAGCACAGTTCAATACTGACGTCAACTTCATTGCTAGTCAAGCTGTGGCGAGACAGCAGGCTATGCAGAGCAATGGAGGTGCTGCGGATGCACAGGAAGAAGCCATGGATTTGGAAGGAGAAATTGATCGGAAAAAGCTAGATGCTATGGCTGCACTTGAGCGACAAGCGAGAGCACCTATGGGTTTCGTGGCTGCTACTTCGGGTCATGAGGGTGGGAACAGGCCAAAGTTTCAGGAGAGCAAGGAAGAGGTCCCGGTCAGGAACGAGGCGGAGATTGATATTGATGACGACCTGTGATATATTTGAACATATGCCGTGGAAGGCTTGTATTATACTGGTCAGGTGGATCTAGAAGACCCATTGGTTCGTTGTATCACCAAGATAGCGAACCCTGTTACATCACAGCATGGCGCTACAACCATTGTCAACATGATCTCGCTTCTCATTCAGCCCGCGAAGAAACAGACCTTCTGTGCGTTGCTGATTGCAAGGTTCGCACAGTCGTAGCCTGATTTGCCGTTGCGGTGTCTCGTGTAGGCTTGGCGCTTGTGGCGGAATCTGCATGTAGTTATCAACTTTCACAATCTTGGGCGATGTCCCCATGGTAAGATAATGCGCGCTTATAAGTACCTCATCACGACAAGAATTCACAAACTCAATCCAAATAAACAATCAACACAAAGGTTAGACATCAACCACCAATCGACCGGATACTCGAAGGAACTCTCAACAGACAATGGCGACCGACACCCCAATGACAGCGACTTGCCACTGCAAAACCGTCGCTGTCACCGTCCCTAAGAAGCCCGAGCTGATCAACGAATGCCAATGCACTGTCTGCCGCTCCTACCGCGCAGGATGGGCCTACTACACTGTTGAAGGCGTCTCGATTCCCAAACTCAAGGACCTCAAGAAGTATTCGAGGAAGGATGTGGGGAAGCCTAACAACGTCTTCTGTTTCTGTCCGGAGTGTTACTGTCTGGTATGCTGGTGGCCGGCTGATGCGTCAGATCCAAAGGGCGAGGTGGGCATCAATACGACGTTCTGGGACCCTAAGGACTTGGAGTATGTGGAGAGGAGGATTAGTTGGGAGGATCTGCAGGATACTAGTAGGACTGGGTAGGATGTTTGAGAGGATGTCATAGTCAAGCAGATGGGGTAAATGAATGGGTATTGCCAGATACGAGCTTGTATATTCGGTGGTTATCAACTTCGCCTACTACTGCAATGTCACCAGAAGCAGCGAGCAGAGGTCAACGAGAGATCAATCGTGTTCATCGTGCATCTTGAAGTGCACTGGTAGTCTTGCTCAACTCGTTAGCTCGCCGTCATCTTATCGCGTAGCATAGCTCAGCTATGGACTGCTATTTGGTGGAGGTGTGCCGTCACCTTGCAATGTACTCTTCACTTCGCGTTCACCATATGCAAAGCTCGGACCCTAGATCTTGAACTCTATTAACGCCACGATCGTGCCCCGCATTTGTGTTCTCGAACAATTTCTCGAAAGCACATGTGAGAAGGTCATCATATGATACACAGCAATCATGTCGACCGCTACGATATCTACCAATCTTGGAACCGTTAGCACTCTTGCTGACCCAACGGTGGCGGGTCTCCGCGACACTCTGACTTCCGAAGATGCAGCACTCGCCAAAAGATTTCGAGCACTATTTTCGCTGAAGCATCTCGCCGCACAAAAGCCAGCAACTCCACAAACGATACCTGCGATAGAGGCAATAGCAGCGGCTTTCACATCACCCTCTGCCCTTCTCAAACATGAGCTGGCATACTGTTTGGGCCAGTCGGGTCAAGATGAAGCAGTACCATATCTGCGAGCAGTGATAGAGGATAGGGCGGAGGACTCGATGTGTCGGCATGAGGCAGCTGAGGCTCTAGGTGCGTTGGGTGACAGGTGCAGTCTTGATCTGCTGCGACAACGGAGAGACGACAGGAGCGAGGAGGAAGTCGTACGGGAGACTTGCGATATTGCGATCGAGCGGATAGAATGGGAGCACTCAGAAGCCGGGAAGGCCGAAAGGCTGAAGCAGAGTGACTTTGCCTCGATCGATCCTGCTCCTCCACTCGCACACACTAACACCGCTCCTTCGATACCTGAATACGAGCACACACTTCTCGATACTTCGCTACCACTTTTCAAGCGCTACCGGGCGATGTTTGCGCTTCGAGATCTGGCATCCCCACCCGACCTCCCTACAGCTATACCCGCAGTACAATCACTAGCCCGAGGTTTCAGCGACCCTTCGGCACTTTTCAGACACGAGATAGCATTCGTCTTTGGCCAGCTATCGCACCCTGCTTCGATACCCAGTCTGGTAGAAACACTCAGCAAAACCTCCGAATCGAGTATGGTGCGACATGAGGCTGCTGAAGCGCTTGGCAGTCTGGGCGATGAGGCTGGCGTTGAAGATGTGCTGCGGATGTTTCTGAATGATCCGGAGCAGGTTGTGCGGGACAGCATTGTCGTGGCACTAGATATGGCTGAGTTCGAGCGCAAAGGCGAGATGGAGTATGCAACGATACCAGTCGAGATAGCCGCATAGGCCCTTTTGATGGTTGATAGATCTGTAATCATAATTTGCCAATCTCCAGATCAATTGTTGGTGTTCCATTTGTGACCACACTGCGGGCATGTGTAGAAGACGGTACTGCCCTCATCGGCTGACCTGAGTTGTTGGGTATAGTACCGCACTTCTTCGCAACCACATTTCGCACAGGTTTCTTGGATGGTGGCGTCGTTCTGCCTCTCTGCCTCCGTCACCTCTTGCACATCTGACCGGAGTTTTGTACGAAGTGTCGACGGAAAGGCAGATGGCTTCGACGTCGTTACTACCACCTTGGAAGATGTATCTGGGTGGCATAAGCAAACAGGCAACCGAGCCGTACCATAAGTGGCAACGTACCTTTATTTTGCACGCCACATACATCGCATAAAATATACGCTTTACGCCCAGTATTGGGTTCGAGGAGACTGCCACAGTCTGTGCAAAATACCAGGGAGCCAATTGTCGCCATCTCGCCGACCTTCTTCTGCGATCTCTCTGCTCCCATCTAAAGTCGCTGACGGTAGATGGGGCAAGTGAAGGACTCGTGCCAGAAGTGAAAGCTCAAATGGGCAAAATCTGGGGCGGCAGCGGGACTTCAGCCGGCGCGTCCTGTGCGCGTAAAGTGAAGTGATCGGCGGCAAGGATTAGTTGCCTAGCGCGGACTGCACGTGAAGTCCAAACTTGAACATGTTCGTGATGCGACTCTGGACATCACTCCATCTCCTTCGACAATCGCGCCTAATGGACGATCAGAACCATCGTAGCACCAAACTCACTACAGTCAACCACACGTCTCCTATCAGAACGTCCGATCGAACGTACTCGCATACACCGCAGGTCGTCTGATATGGGCTGAGCAAACCACCTGAAGAAGAGACAGTCCCAAGATGTTGCTATGTTAAAGAGCAGAAGAGACGAGTGTGAGAGGTCATCATGAATGGCCAGGGATATACCAATGGCTGGCATCACCAAGACGAGGATGGTGGCCAGGCATCGGCAAGACCCAGAGCCAGCCTACGTGTGCCTACAGTCCATGAGGCTTTGCCCTACACGCCTTTCAGTTCCATAATCCCTTTCAATGCTGGTATGTCCGTTCACTTGCAACACCGAAGGCACGACGTCATACTATCACGTGGCGTGCACAGGTAGAGACCGTGTTGGTCATGATATATTTTGGCTAATGCTGCTTAGCCGACACAATACCTCCGCCGGTGGCTTTACCTACGACCTCACCGACTTATTTCCAAGATCTACCAGAGGTCATGAGTACAGCCAAAGTCTTACAGCAGCTTAGCCAAGGTGCAAACAGCGCAGAACAAGCTGGGAAGCGTTGCCAACAAACTGTGCGAGATATGCAGAAGCTTCTGGCGCCGGAAAGTCTAAGCCAGTTCAAATTCAAGTATCCCGACCAACCGAGCACCGACATCAGCAAAGGAGCAAATCAGCAGCGTGTTCGCGCACCCGAGCTAAGCCCATTTGCAAGGATGATTCTCGACAAGACCAGAGTTTCGTTCCACTACTTGACTCCTGAGTCACCAGATCTCCCTGTGAAAGCCGACACCAGTGGGGCCAAAGCCTCGGCCAAAGTGGCACTCCCAACACCGCAGTCGCAGCTGAAGTCAACACTTAGCACAGCGCCTCCTTTGTCAACCCCTCAAAGTCAACCACCGACTGGCTCTCAGGAATCCCGCGTGGTCATTGTGCCCAAGACCTTAACACCAGCACAGAGAGCAGAATATCAATGGGTACCCGAAGATAGCAACGTCTCGGTACTGCACAATAAGACGCCATCAAAAATTCGCGAGAACCGAGTGGCTGGTGACCATCGGCCTATGAGCGTTGATCAGCAGCAGAAAGGCGAGCTTGCTGTACAGAAGCTCCAATCACTCCTCTCTGACATCTTCGATGCTGAGGATCACCTTCAACCTGATACTTTTGGGATGGTTTCGGCCAGTGCGCATGCGCTGCTGGCACTACAAGAGACTGATGAAGGCTCTCGAGCTGTTCTTCAGCCAGAAACTCAGGTCCGGCTTGAATCAGCTGTTCTGAAAGTAGTGGCGAGTGGAGGGCTAGAAAGCATTGAACTTGAAGAGCTGATTCATGTTGAGAAGCTTTGTGAGGTGGCTGTGGCGGAGGTCCAGACAACGTCCCTGCACATTGGTGAAGAGTGGTCAGAACATGACGCAGAAGAATGGAATCAGCGCTTGGTGGTTGCGGAAAGGAGCATGATCGCAGCTCGTACTTTGATGCGCATCATGGGAGCCGGAGCTCATATCAAGGAGCTTCAGTCCGAAGACTGCTTACGGTCTATCCTTACAGCTATCAAGACCGTGCTGGAGAACCTGCTGGTGCCGATAGCGGAGTTGCGATACTCGGCACACGAGAAGATACGCGGCACAAAAGAGGAACCGCCAGCCGACTCACGCTTCCTTATCGCACAAGCTCAGCGATCCGTCCTACAGACGACTTTGCATGCTATCATGAGAACTCTCCGTGTACTCGGGGACTTTCTCATCAAGACAGACGTTGACGAGAGCAGTCTGTCCGTGGTCGAGGCTTTCTGTATTCTGTTGATATTTGCAGACAACGCCAGCAATGATCGAGACTCCGTATCCGGCGTGCAGAATGTGGAGACTGCACGCCGTTCCACTATGGACATCCTGGCGAAGGTCTTCGCCAAATATACGTCACAGCGTCAATGGATCGTGGACTCTTTACTCACCTCACTCGACAAACTTCCGGCAACCAAGCAGAATGCAAGGCAATATCGTCTCCCTGATGCGAAGCCGATACAGCTAGTGTCCGCGCTACTTATGCGACTCGTACAGACTTGTGCAACACACGCTGGAGAAGCGACTCGTGGCAAAAGCAAATCTCTAGAAGACGACGCCGAGGACGACGCCGACGAGGAAGATGCTGAAGGCGAGGATGAAGTGGAAGAGGACGATGATCATGGCAAGCTTTCGCCCACTAAACGTTGCATTCAGTCCAAAGACCTCGTTGCCCTCGTGAAGCCTCTCCACGACGATGCACAGACATATGCATCGTACATTGTGCGATCACTCCTGAATCGCGCTCTAGCCTCCTCTAAGTCTAGTGACGAGCCATACCGAAAGTTACTGGATATCTTCACAGAGGACTTCTTAAACGTGCTCGGATCTAGCGACTGGCCTGCAGCTGAGATGATTCTTCGAGCACTCGTCTTGCTCATGGTCAATGTCATTGAAGATCTCAAATATCCTGTGCCAGCTCGCACGCTTGCTCTTGAGATTCTGGGCACCATTGCATCCGGCATGATTGAACTGCGACTTGCAGCAAGCAAGATGGCGCGTTCGTTAGAGACTGGCGACTCTGACATTGGTAGCACACTTGTACGCTTCGTCGACCAGCTAGAAGCAGATGAGTCTGATACTACCTCTCTACTTGCATTTGAAGGTCCATACCGCATGGTGGTCGAGTCTCTACAGGCTAGGAACCTGGAAGACGCTCAGCTACGATCTGCGCATGGCTACTATCTCATGCAATGGGCAATGCACGTGTGCGGCGGCCGCCAGAGCTCAGTGGCTTCGGACGCAAGTGATTCGGTTGACACTCCCAAGCACCTCGACGCTCTCCTTCGCAACGTGATTGTTGATTATAAGTGGCTGGAGGAACGTTACGATCATGCCCGCCCCACGACAATGGAAGGTCGGCTTGCTGCCGTGGTCGTCACCCTGAATTCCAAGCTTTGCAAAGCTTTCAACAGGATCTCGAATGTCTTGCTCACTGCCATGAGTAGCGAACAAGCTCGGGTACAAAGCCGTGCGCTGAAGAGCGTGACTATGCTTCTGGAGAAGGACCCTTCGCTGCTTGACCGCAATGCCACTGTCTTCTCGCACGTCACACGATGCCTGGGAGAGCCATCTCCACTTGTCAGAGAGTCTGCGATCATGCTGGTCGCGGATTGTGTCAAGATGCGCCCAGCTCTAGTCAAGAGTGTGTATGATCGCATCATAGACAGGACCCGAGATACTTCCGCCACCGTCCGCAAGCGCGCCATCAAGCTGCTAAAGGACTTCTATCCCGGCACAGAGTCCACGAAGATCAGATCCGCCATAGCTGATGCTGTCGTCGCACGCATCAGTGACACGGAGGAGTCGGTGACAAAACTAGCACGGCAGATCGTTGATGATATCTGGTTTATACCCTTCCTTGGTCAGAAGCTTGACGGCGACGGAGCCATCGCTACCAGGCTCCGGTACGGTGCGCAAGCATGTTTGCTGATCCAGACTGTCGAAGCTAGCGACGATACAGCATTGACTTTGGAAACCTTGATACGCCAGCTCATCACAACTGGTGAGACGCCACAAGCACATGCCGCCGTCTGCCGCAATTTAATCCGCGTTCTGTCGGACGGCATTGTCGACAATGCAGACCTGCCTAGCAAGCCCGAGCAGCCAGACATTCTGTTATGCCTGGCCGTATTCGCCAGAGCAGGACCAAAACTCTTTACAGCTGCGCAATTGGAGCGCCTTGAGCCGTTCACCCAGAATCTCTCCAGCACGGAAGATCTAGAAGTATTCCGCGCTGCAGTCAGCATCTTGAGGCATGTACTCCCGCACCAAGCCACGTTGAAGGACCTGTTCTTGCAGAACCTCCAAAACTCTCTCCTCGGTAGTATTGGCAAGCTACCAAAGGCAGAGTTGAAGGAGGCCGTTCCCTGCGTGTGGACGATCACCCAGCTGTTGGGCAACAGAGAACGCATTTTCCGGTTCGCCGCATCCGCCCTCAAGAATCTGAACGATATGCGAAGCGCCCAATTCGATGCGGATGAACGACTAGTGGTTAAGGCAACGAAACTTATGCTCATAGTTGGAAACTTTGGCAGAGTGTGCGATTTCGAGGAATTTCTCTCCTTAATCAAGTCCATCCTCCCATGGTACAAAGGCAGTACTGTCTCTGGGGCATTCGTGCAAGTTCTCTGTCCTTTCACAAGCCCGAAACAGCTCCTCAGACTTCGTCAGCTCGCATTAAACGCTCTCTGCATGGTCTGCCAAGCGTCCCCAAAGATGCTTTTGCGACAAGATGTCGTCACTGCTTTCGACATTGTCTTCAGAGACCGCGACACTACTCTGGAAGAGGTTCTACTCACGGGTCTTGATGTCTTCTTCAGTGCTGGAGAAGTAAGTGAAGGGAGTGCCGACATACCTGAGCTGGGCAGTGGTGCAGCTTCCGGCACCGATCGGCTCGGCAAGACATATGTCGCTACCGACCAGGATGGCGCATCGACGTCAATAGCACGCCGCTTCATACCACAGATTCTGCACATCGCCCTCTCATCTCAAGGCGAGGCGGCTTTCGTTGCATCAAAGATCATAGTCAGTGTCAACCGCCAAGGATTGGTTCATCCAAAAGAAAGCGGACCAGCGCTCGTGGCTCTCGAGACGTGTCCGGACTCCGCTATAGCTAACATGGCCTTCGTCGAGCACAAAGCACAACACTCGAAGCACGAAAGTCTGTTTGACAAGGAGTACATGCGCGCCGTACAGCAGGCGTATGATTACCAGCGTGATGTCGTCCACAGCGTAACGGGCTACATTGGTCAGCCTCCGGTTTCAAAGCTGAACCTACTGTGGGAAGTGCTGAAGAGTGGCAAAGCACAAGTCCGCAAGAAGTTTCTCAGCAATCTTGCAGCCAAACTCGACTTCGACATGGCCGGCCAAGGTACCACTGTCCGTCTGTCAACCCATCTCGGCCTCGCCCGTTTCGCCGCTGAGAATCTTGCGCTCTTTGACTACGAGCGAGTCGAAGGACTGCTACAGCTCCTTGCCGTTCTGGACAAGACGTTCGCAGCCACTGGTTCCACTATCGCCCAGGCCATTGAGAGCGAGATTCTGCATCTTCGTGTAGACACTGTTGCCGGCTCCAGCCTTGGCGTAGCTGTCTCGTCTGACACAACCCAACCCGCGAACAGCATCAGCGCAATTAATCCAGAAAGACTGCTGCAGCTCTCGCTTGCTGCTCAGATCTGCTCCATCATCTGGGAGACGAGGTCTTTCATCCGTCGACTCTGGAACCTGCAAAAGTATCTCAACAAGCACAAGAACGCTTCGAAGGAAAGCAACAGGACGGCCTCGCGCGCCACAAATGCACCATCCTTGACAGAGATTTACCTCAAGCGTATTGCAAGTCTCGTGACTACGGACGGCTCGCAGGAGATCCAGCGTTCTATCTGTGCGTCCTTCGTTGAGCTGATGTCGGTCGATAACGAGGCGAAGGTGAACACAGAAGAGGAGGACGATGCTGTGAAGGAGAACGGGTATGATACGCCAAGCGAAGGCACGAGTGGCAAGAGCCCTTCATTACCACCAAGTGGTGGCGGTGGCCAGGGGAAGAAGCGCAAGTCCGTGAGTGTGAATGGTACGCCACGCAAGAGAGGCCGCGTGAGTATGGCAAAGCGCAAATCCACCGCTTCAAAGCTGGATGAGGAGGATGCAGATGGAGGGTGGGAGTGACGGCAATGTGCCTCGCTGACTTGCGTCTTGTTGGTTGAGCAGGCTGATCAGTACAACCATTTGTTCTATTACCCATGCATCAGTCGAAATCAAGAAAGTATGTAACCTTACTGTGCCATACAACAACAGATCACGTGCACCATTTCCGTTGCGCCACCTCCACACTTCCACTTCCTTGACCCCGCATTTGGATAGGTGCAGCTACTAATGCCAAACCCTCGGAGCTCGACGACCAGTAAGTACCTTCGTACCTCAGATGAACGCGTGACATGCCTTGCCTCGCGTACGGTAGATCGGCCCTTGTGCGTGAGGAGGTTTATGCAAGTGCTCGGGTACCTACTTTCCCACAATAGCCGGCTCAAGTCCTTTAGACACGTGTGAGTCGTGATAGCAAGTATCGCGTATCGAGTACTGACAACCAGGACATCCTTTGGCCTCTATCGCTGCTAGACAAGGACAACGCGCTGTCCAACGATTTGACAGAGCAGGAGACAAGGACTCTGCGGCTTCTGCCTTCATGATAGCAACAGATGTGGCCCAGTCCGCAGCCTCTAAGGCTGCACCCTCGCTGTAGTACTGGACAACTACATCTAAGGAGTCTACCGCACACGTCTGGCCTTCGAAAGCGCATCTTTTGTTCTTCCGCGCGACGCTGGCAAGAACAGGCTGAGTCGACACCAGCAGCAGATCCTGTAAAGGCAACCCCATACAGCGAACTATCCATTGGTGTACCTACTGAAGTACGGACCGGCGAGAGACGAGTCGCCATAACACCTCCGAATGCCGCCTTACTGCTGAAGAAAGGCTTCAAGCAAGTCCTAGTTGAGAACGGAGCGGGTTTCCAGGCTCAATTTCCAGCTCACATGTACGAGGCGGCCGGTGCCACGCTAGTCAATGCAACTCGTGTCTGGACTGACAGCGATATCGTACTCAAGGTCAGGCCGCCAAGGCTTCGCAGTACGACCTTGAGCCCGAACAACTTCATCTCTGGTTTCAAGAAAGGAGGCGTTATTATTAGCATGTTTCAGCAGAACTCACCGCGTTACGCTGGTGTCGCCGACACCTACCAGGCCAAAGGGCTCACATCTTTTGCTATGGAACTGATCCCTCGTATCACCAGGGCGCAGAGCTTCGATGTCCTGTCTTCCATGGCGAATATTGCAGGTTACAAGGCCGTGCTTGAGGCCAGCAACCATTTCGGTCGGTACATGACAGGTCAGACGACTGCGGCTGGCAAGGTGCCGCCATGTAAAGTCTTGATTATTGGCGCCGGTGTTGCGGGTCTAAGTGCCATTGCCACGGCCAGGCGCATGGGCGCGATTGTGAGATGCTTTGATACGAGGGCAGCAACTAGGGAACAGGTCCAGTCTCTTGGTGCTGAATTTATTGAGGTCGATATGAAAGAAGACGGTTCGGGAGGAGGTGGATACGCCAAAGTAATGTCGAAGGAGTTCATCGAGGCCGAGATGAAGTTGTTCGCTCAACAATGCAAGGAAGTTGATATCCTCATCACGACTGCATTGATTCCAGGAAAGCCAGCTCCGAGACTGATCACCGAGGAGATGGTCGAGAGCATGAAGCCCGGCAGTGTCGTTGTCGATCTGGCGGCCGAGACAGGTGGCAATGTCGAGACGACCGTACCTAACGAGATCATTAACCACAAAGGCGTCACGGTGATCGGCCACACTAATCTGCCTTCTCGACTTCCGACTCAGAGTTCGACCTTGTACGGCAACAATATCACGAAGTACTTGCTTTCGATGTCACCGAAAGAAGGCCACTTCGGCATTGATCTCAACGACGAAGTGGTCAGACGCTCTATCGTGACCTACAATGGCGTGCTCATGCCAGCACTACCACCAGTCGCTCCACCCGCGCCCGCAGCGCAGCCTGCTGAGGTCTCGAAGGAAGCCGAAGTCGTTGCTCTTACGCCATTCCAGAAAGTGAGCCGGGAGGTCGCCACTGTGACAGCAGGCATGGGCACGGCTCTCGCTCTGGGAAAATTCACAGGACCACTATTCATGAGCAACGTCTTCACTTTCTCGCTGGCTGGTCTGATCGGATACCGAGTTGTGTGGGGCGTCAGTCCGGCACTGCACTCCCCTCTGATGAGCGTGACAAACGCCATATCCGGTATGGTCGGAATCGGTGGCTTCTTCATCATGGGCGGCGGCTACCTTCCTCAGACTATCCCACAAATGCTAGGTGCCGCATCTGTATTGCTGGCTTTCGTGAACGTCTCTGGAGGGTTCGTAATCACGAAGCGCATGCTGGACATGTTCCGTCGACCAACCGATCCTCCTGAGTATCCGTGGCTCTATGCTGTTCCTGGTCTCCTGTTTGGTGGTGGCTATATCGCGGCTGCATCAACTGGTATGGCTGGTCTAGTACAAGCAGGATATCTAGTCAGCAGTGTCCTATGTATCGGCTCCTTGACTGGTCTAGCTTCGCAGGCTACAGCCCGAAGCGGCAACCTGATGGGTATCCTGGGTGTGGGTTCTGGTGTTCTCGCCTCCCTAGCAGCGGTCGGCTTTGCACCCGAGACCTTGATCCAGTGTCTCGGCGTAGCAGGAATTGGCAGTCTGATTGGTGCCGTTCTTGGCCGGCGTATCACTCCAACAGAATTGCCACAAATGGTTGCGGCTTTGCACTCCGTGGTCGGTCTCGCCGCGGTGTTGACCAGTATCGGGTCCGTCATGGCCGCCATCAATCACATCGACATGCTTCACATGGTAACCGGCTATCTTGGGGTTCTGATCGGTGGTGTAACCTTCACAGGTTCTATCGTAGCTTTCATGAAACTCTCCGGCCGCATGTCTAGTCGTCCGACTGTCCTCCCTGGTCGCCATCTCATCAACATTGGTCTTCTGACGGCCAACGTGGGGACCTTCGGGGCATTCATAGCAGGTGCTCCCGGCGCTCCTGTCATAGCGGCGGCGTGCCTATGCACAAGCACCGCTCTCAGCTTCGCCAAGGGGTTCACGACCACGTCCGCCATTGGAGGAGCAGATATGCCTGTCGTGATCACAGTACTGAACGCGTACTCCGGTTTCGCTTTAGTGGCGGAAGGTTTCATGCTTAACTCCCCTATCCTCACGACTGTGGGGTCACTGATCGGCGTAAGCGGTAGTATCCTGTCGTACATCATGTGCGTAGCCATGAACCGTAGCCTCACCAACGTCCTTTTCGGCGGCATCTCGACACCAACGCAAGGAGGCGAGAACAAGAAGATCGAAGGCGAGATCACCAAGACCACGATCGAGGAGACCGCTTCTGCGCTCCAAGAAGCTCAAAAAGTCGTGATAGTGGTTGGGTACGGCATGGCTGTCGCCAAAGCCCAGTATCCAATCTCGGAGATCGTATCGTTCCTACGAGCGCAAGGAGTCGAGGTCAAGTTTGCGATCCATCCTGTTGCTGGACGTATGCCGGGACAGTGCAACGTTCTGCTTGCGGAGGCCAATGTGCCGTATGATATCGTCCTCGAGATGGACGAGATCAATGAGGAAGGTTTCGATGAGGTGGATTTGACGCTTGTGATTGGTGCTAATGATACTGTCAATCCGATTGCGTTGGAGAAGGATAGGTGAGTATTGTGTCTTCAGTCCAGATTTGGAGGGTCGTTGTGGAGTGCTGACGTACGCTTCCTGCAGTCCTATTGCTGGCATGCCCATCATCGACGCCTACAAGAGCAAGCAGGTCATTGTCATGAAACGCGGCATGGGTAGCGGTTATGCTGACATCCCCAACCCAATGTTCTATGCGCCGGTAAGCCATGATCCTCTGCATTAATTAATTAAGCTTGGATATAATACGAGCGTGCTGACAAGAAGATCACAGAACACGAAAATGCTGTTTGGTGACGCCAAGTCGAGTTGCGATGCTATCAAAGCTGCACTGGATGCTGCGAAGTCATCATCAGGAACATGAGCTCGAGAGTTAAGACAGATGGAAATGGAACGTAGGTCTGTGATGTATGTATGCAAGTCGGCGAGGCGAGCGGAGTGTGCGTTGCATGGGTTGGTTGGTGCAGGCCGGCATTGGGGAAGCGGTGAGGTTGTGCTGCATGTGTGTGTGAACTCTATTTTTTCCCATTTGGGCGTTACGTGATCCATATATGCAGCTCGTACATCACTGTACAGCCATTAACGCCTGCGACATCTCATGCGCCGTCTGATGTGGATATGCTTGTCCATAAACGCCGGCAAATGCGATATCGCATCTCATACCATCTCCATACGCCTCTGAACGCCATCCCATCAAGCCAAAGAACCTCAAATACGGAGCACCCGTGTTCGACTAGCGACGCCATCGAACAGACAGGTATTGTCAATGGGTACATACTGCCTCGTGATGACCTTGATCACCTCTTGCGCCAGTAACCCACCAGTCAACGAGGCGATATTATGCAACTCACCGCCCCCAGCCCTCAAAATCTCGGTGCAGAACTTCGCTATCTTCTCCTTGATTTGCGAGTACTCCGGATCCTCGACGAACGTCTCAGCTTCTTTGATGAGATTGTCAACGATCTTGTGCGCGATTCCAGTCATTTTCTCAGCATCGGCCTCGAAGTCGTCGGTGCCGCTACCTGGGACTTTGAGACCTTGACCCCCTGCGACCTGCGAGGAGGTATGGTGTGTTGCAACAAATTCGTCCCACGCGAGGAATGCGATGTGTAGACCAATCAGGCTCTCGTCGTTGGTAAGTTCTTTCGCTATAGCTTTAGCTCTATCACCAAATTGAATAGCTTTCCCTGCCTCGACGATCTGGATGGATCGGCCACGGACGAGATGAATGTGAGCGGCGCCTTTGCAGAAATTCTCGACTTCTGCGTCCTGGACAAAGTTTTGAGGGCGCCCAAGCTGCTTCTCAAGTTCGCGGACGGTAGCGAGGACTTCGGCACTGTCTTGTCGTGCTTTGGTTTTGTAGATGTTCTGGAGTATGATGTAATCCGCTGATACCGCCTTCATGTCCGGGACGGCGCCGGGGAGTGGAAGTTGACCATGCTCCTGATAGAACTTGCTGATGGCGTTTGCGATCAGCCAGAAGGGTGCGGAGCTTTTGTCGAGATTCTGTGTCTCCGGTGCGGAGAGAATGTCTCGCACGTCGCTCGGTGGTGTTGGTGGATTCAGCGATTTTAGAACAGCCGCGCATGCCTCATCGAAGTTCTCCTCGTTGTAGTCGCCTGCTCGTACTGTATCTCGGAATGCCGTCTTCTCCTTGAAAGCCTCTGGCACATTTCCATCATGCGCTTGCTTCCACTTCTCGAGGTAATGCAGCAGCAAGCAGAGCCATGGGATGTGTGCCTTGTCGTGCGCCGCCATCGTCCCTTCCTCGAGCCCTTTCAGCTTCTCTTTCGCGAAAGCTGATAGTGCTGGCCATGGCTTTAGTAAGCGCAAATCTGTCGTGGACGTCGGATCTGGATGTGTCTCGACGATCGGAAATGTTGGCGGTAGATAGACGGAGAAAGACGAGAAGAAGCCGACGGAGTGAAGGTAGAAGGTTGGTATGCGGTACTGTTGCGAATGTGCTTGGATCTTGGCGAGGATGGCCGGGTCTATCGGTGCTGCTACGATGATGAGGTTGTAGTCCGCCAGCGCTTTCTCCTGTGTGATGAGAGTCTCAAGCAGCTCCGTGACGGCATGACCTTTCACGCCTGGGTTCAGCTCTTCTAGCAACCTCGCCGCCTCCACCGCACGAAACTTCCCAAGCGAAGCATCCTCCAGGAAGAAGTTGACGCCAAGATCTGCCTCGGAAACGATGGCGGAGTCGATGATGGTGAACTCGCCGACATTTGGGAGGACGAGGTTTTTCAGAGTCTCCACGCCAGTCACGCCAGGTCCATTATTGATGAGGACGATGTGTGTACTTTCCAGTGCGACTTGGCCGTTGATGCCCCATAAGCGTAGTTGCCGATCATACTTCTTCTCCTTCGCCGTCGGTATACCCTGCAGAGGTGGCGGAACCTCTGCGGGAGCTGCCATGCTGATATGTCTGTGAAGGGAAGATATCTGCTGACATTTACAAGCAAGCTCTAGAGATATCTGGTCGCGTTTGGATCGTGTCAGTGCCTGGATCGATTCCGTCATCGCAGCCACACGCTGTGCCACTGACGAGGGGCAACAACAGCCACGATGGCGGGGTCGCCCAATATGGCTCTAGAACCTCAGCCTGAAAGGAGAAAGTGGAAGCGGCTGAGATGTTACTAACCATTGACTGAGCAGAAGCAGTCTCCAACTAATCTCACTGCTTCCTGTACACAAACTTCCGCCATCTTGTATGATCAGATGTAAGTGACATTACGAGCTGACACAGTGTCACATACACTAACAATCCATCCAGCTCTGGCTTCACTCATCCGATCATCCCTCCCTCACACAAGGCTTCCGGCAACCGTCTACCACCGACTAGCACATCCCCGAACACTCAACACAACCATGTCATCCAAAGCCCCCGACCTCGACAAGATCGAGTCCGCCAAGAGAAAAGCCGCCTTCAAAGCAGTAGAAGAGCACTTCAACAGCAGCATGCGCTTCGTCGGCATCGGCTCCGGCAGCACAATAGTCTACGGCGTCGAAGCCATAAAAGCCCACCTAGAAAAGAACCCACCCCCACCAAACCACATGAACTGGTTCGTGCCCACAGGCTGGAACTCCCGAAAAGTGATCGAGCAAGCCGGCCTGCTCCCCATCGCCTTCGACTCCCTACCCGGCGATGCCCTGCTAGAAGTCTGTTTCGACGGTGCGGACGAGGTAGACGAGGATCTGAATTGCATCAAAGGTGGCGGGGCATGTCTGTTCCAGGAGAAGCTGGTGGCGTGCCGGAGTAAGAAGTTTGTCTGTATTGCGGATTATCGGAAGGATCAGAAGCGGCTGTTAACGAATTGGCCGAGTATACCGATCGAGGTGGCGCCGATCGCGCATGCGAGTGTGTTGAGGGAGTTAAGGTTGATTGGATCACCGGATGCGAAGTTGCGGGAGCATAGTCTGGCGAAGACGGGACCGATTCAGACGGATCAGTCTTTTTATATTATCGATGCTCCGTTCAAGACACTTTTGTCGCCGCTAGATGAGAAGAATGGGAGTCGGGCCGATGGGAAGGATGGAGTGTGGAGCGTTGATACTCTGGCGGCGAGGATCAAGCAGATTAACGGTGTGCTGGAAGTTGGTCTTTTCCATGGTCTCAATGGTGCGCAAGCTCAAGCGGCGGGCATGCAGGGAGGACAGAGACCTGTGGCGGTGTACTTCGGGCTGGAGGACGGTGAGGTGATGGTCAGGAGGGCGCCGGAACTCGAAAAGTAATGATATGAGTGTGAAGGGGAGGATGAATGTGTGCGACTCATGTGGGCATGAGATTGCGTGAGATCGATGCTATATTTTGGTCCTCCGGGCTTGAGATTGGTCGTGCAGCTCAATTCGAACACGAACATGAGAGTTTCCGGAAAACGACCTCGTCTCCGTAAGTTCATATTCAAGACCTGACAGACGAACTGATCAGGCCATTGATATATGCCCCTTTATCTATCTATATGTATGAGCCATGAGCACACTCCGAACTTCCTTTACTTCGCCTTGCCATTCAGTCCCGCTTGACCGTTCTTATACATCTCCCAGCCCTCGTGCGCGGCATCCTTGACAGTCGTCTGGCCTTCCACGATCTCCTGCACCTTCTGATGGATCGAAGACCAGTCTTCGAAGAGCGTGAAAGGCACATCCTTCTTGACGCAGTATTCGACGAGATCTGTTTCGTGTCAGTCAGGGACCGAATAACACGAGTTGGCTGTGGAGTAATTATACGTACCTCGTCCTTTCTTAGCAAAAAGGAGGTCGGTTTCGCTGGCTGCCGAGAGATCTGAGACGCCGTCGCCAGCGTAGAAGAGTGTTGGTCGTTTTCCCGCTGGCAGATTTGCGTACGGTCGGATGGTCAAAGACTTGTCGTGGCCGAAGCCGCTAATACATAGTCAGCTCAAGCAATACAATTACGACTTAGTCCTATCACGCATACCTCTCATCATGATACTTAATCTGCCAACCCCCCTCCTCATCAATCTTCTTCCCTTCCCTCGCAATAGCTTCATTGCATACAATCTCGATTTTATCGGCGTCCTTGCCGACGAGATTGTCGAGGATGGCTCGGATGACGGGGTACATGCCACCGGACAGCACGACGGTTGGGATGTTGTTCTTGAGCGACCATTGGAAATACTCGTTGAAATGGGGATCGAGCTGGATGTTTTGGACTAGGTACTCGACGCATTCTGGGAAAGGGGTTTTGATCGAGTCCATCATTTTGCGGAAGGAATCGCTTTGATTGGAGTTAGTGATTCGATGCTATGCGGTCGAAGTCGGTGTTGATGCACGCACCGGAACGACTCCTTGTTGTCGAGGACATCTTTATTGCCCTGTCGTCGCTTCTCGCCACCAAAGCCTAAGTTGTCTGTCTGTCGTTGTCGGTCAACCTCGTCCATACTTCCTGGCTTCTGGAACTTGCGTACCATGTAATCATTGCTGTCCTGCAGCGTGATCGTGCCGTCGAAGTCGGTGAAGAAAATGTACTTTGGGTTTGGGAAAGGCCATGATAGTGCTTTGAGCTCGTCGGTAGACATCTTGAATGTGGATTGTCGAGAAGACTTCTGGGACTTCAGATGATGTTTAGGAGTTAGATTGATAGGTATGGTCCTCTTTGGTTGTTAATTCGTTCAATGTGTCCGTCGGCGTAAATCTTATGCGATCGACGCCGAATAATTGCTGAGCCGCCAACCTGTCAACGGTCCGGATAGCAAAAATGTGCCGGCTAAATGCCGAAAGTGACGACGAGCTGCAGAAGCAGACGATTGGACCGAGCTCATGTCCGTCAACGCCCGCAGCTTTAGAGATATGAGTGAGCTTGTGGTGGATGATCTAGAGGCTGTGAGGACGATGCAGCCATCTTTCAGACCTGCTGTACGGTTGGCTGGAACGGTGACACCGCGAGTGATCCGCAACGAGCAGACGAGAAGGGTGCTGAGAGAGGTGATCAAAGGTTCGGCCTGGACATGTCTTGATTGCAGGGCCAAAGCACAGTCTCGAGGCTTCAAAAAGCTATCTTCAGATGGTGATGTTGCGCGCCGGTCATTCTCGACGACTGTACGACGACGAGATGAAACGCACAATGCTGGGCTTAAGAAGCCCATAGACCCGCGTGCGGCCATCGCCAGCACTGCCAATGCCAGATCAAATGACACAGAAGCGGCTACTGACAGCTCAACACTGCCTTCCTATGTCGAGAAGCAAAGATGGCAGTTCTCAAAAGACACAACCCAAATCATCGACCGCCTCCTCGCTCGAGCAAGTATAGCCGGCCAACACATAAACGTCTATACAGGAACAGATTACTCCGGGATCGAAGCATTACGAAACAAAATCACGATGCAAGAAGAGACCGTACGAGCCGTGCACAGAGCTGTCGACAATGCGAAGGCAAACCACCATAAGACGATAGCAGATCAAGCCGGGGCACAGAAAGAAATTGTCGGGCTGCTAGAGAGGAAGAGCAGCTGGGCTCCAAATGATTTGGAAACATACATGTCCCTCGTCAGATCGGAGCACCTGAACGATCAATCCGTGCAGACGGCGAAAGATACCTTACGTATCGCCGAGCGAGAGCTAGAAGATGCTCGATCGCTGCTGGAAAGACTGGAGAGGAAGCAGTATCATGAGGAGCAGATCTGGTCTGATACCATCCGACGCAACTCCACGTGGTTGACTTTTGGATTGATGGGGGTGAATATTTTGCTGCTGTTGACGCAGATTGCGATTTTCGAGCCTATGAGACGTAGGAGGATCGTCAGAGATGTGAAGAGTGCTCTTGATGAGCGAACAATACATAAACATACGGATGAAGTTATGGCGGAGCGAAGAGGTGGAGTGGTCGAGCAGCAGGTTGACGAGGTGGTGCAGCCTGCTAGTACGCTAATTGAGGACATTGAGGGTGCTGCACAGGTGGCTGATGTTTCAGTCGCATCTCAAGCCGGTATTCGGCCCAGAAGTATGGAAGCTGGTGAGACAGCACTCGCAGCTGGCGAGGTCTTACCAGAAGAAGCTGTGGAGGTCGTTGACTCTGTCATACCATCAGTGGATGCGCCAGCCCTGACCAGCTGGGAGACGTACCAAACAGCATTCCACGAACTCTTCAGCGAGCGCTTGGTCCAGCTCAAGCAGGTCGAGCTGACGACTATTGCATTACAAGGTGCAGCTACTGGGGCGGCGGTAATTAGTCTTCTAGTCCTGGTACTCCGACCGAAGTGAGGGCCAATATCACTTGCTCTGGTCCGGTGACATGAAGTTCAGGAAGCCGTTCGTGGGGTTCTCACTGAAACTCGCCAAACTCTCCATCGTCGAACCCAAGCTCCTGCGCCGACCTACCACCAGCACTTTGAGGAGGCGGCGCAACTGCTGGCAAAGCTTCGTCCGATTTGCCTCCTGCCGGCGGAGGTGCGATAGAAAATAGCGCCGAGCTATCGCTCGATGCCGGCCCAGTATTAGTAGGAACCGCTCGCCGGCCTTTCGAGCCGACCTGTATATGAATCTTCTCGCCCTCCTTCAAGCTGAAGTCTTGTTTATTTTCCTGTTCCAGCATCGCCCCCCCCTTCGTGCCAGTACTGCTTGCGGCTTCAAAGCCCAATACTTTCCTCGCTTCAGTCAGGGCAATGCTGAAGTCGAAGGCAGGGCTTCTGTCTTCGAAACCAATGCCTAGCGTAGCTTTCATGCCTCCCTCGCCTTGCACTCTCACAGCGAAGAACCGAGAACTATCATTGGCTTGCTGTACCACTGCTTGACTTGTATACGGTGCTGCTGCGAAGAGGTCGCCGGTGTTTGGGTCCTCAATGACGATGTCTACCTTGATGCCGGTCTCTGCTGTTGTTTCGACAATTCGTAGCCGTCCTGTGAAGATCTCTTGCGCGGTGGGCTGGGTGGGAGATGTCCATGTGCCGGCGCTGAAGCCGCGATTGGAGCTCAGAGGTGGTATGCCATAGACATGCAGGGTGGGGGTCACGAAGAGGATGCGCTGGTAGGAGGTATCGGATTCCGGGAGAGTACGGCCGGTCGCGGGATCTATCATGGTGTCCTTCGACTTGACTGTAGCTACTTTGAAGTAGACTTTGGTTATCAATCTGTTGTACAGGTCTCTATCTCTGCTTGCGCTCGTTGTCTGTAGCTCGATGGTCGGCCAATCAGCTTCACCCAAATCCGAGCACCACCGAGATTCACCACCATCTTGACTTTGAAGCATGTCCACCACTGCGGAACCATTACAATATTGTACAGTACCACGGCTCATAATGGCCTCGCCACTCTTCCGATCGCTCCTCCGCATGCCTGCGCCTTCACGATCTCTCCTCGCCGCTGCTCTTGCTCCCCCAGTCATCCTACCAACCATTGCGGCTAAACGACCATTCACTTCCTCCTCGCCATTCCTTGCAACATACAACCAGGTATTGCGCGGCGCACGGGTTGGGCAGAAAGCACGAAGGGCTACTTCGCCAGCTTTGAAGAACAAGCCCGAATTAAAGGGAGTATGTCTACGTGTAGGTACGACGAAACCCAAGAAGCCCAACTCGGGAGAGAGGAAAGTTGCGAGGGTCAGATTAAGTACGGGCATGGTCATCACAGCATACATCCCTGGTGAAGGTGAGTGAGGAGATAGACTCGAACACGGCTCTCACAGGCATCGCTGATACTAGATATAGGTCACAACGTGCAGCAGCATTCTGTGGTGCTGGTGAGAGGAGGTCGATCACAGGATTGCCCTGGTGTGAAGTACCATCTTGTGCGAGGTGCGATGGATTTGGTAAGTCTGTCTGAGTGAACGTGGATCAGGCTACAGGCACTAATGTTGAATGCAGGGCGGTGTTGGTAATCGCCTCACAAGCCGGTCCAAGTATGGCACCAAGAAGCCCAAGGCGGCTTGAGTGGCTTGAGTGGACCCATAGAGTATGGGTACGTGATGGGCCAATGGTAGAGTTCGAACTGGATGCGGATGCTCCCAATCACACGGCCAATAGATGGCCCAGCTGGAACCATATCGACGACCGTCCCCCACGACCTCTCAGAGGCAGAGCTCCGGACTGATTTCCAGGCGGTCTAGCTATGAGGCTTCGATGGGGGAATCCATCTTCATTTGCGTGATGTTCTAAGTAAAACAGACGCGTGCCGTTCGATGCTTGCGGTACCCATACGAGATAGCCAAAGGCACCCGACATGGACATTGACCTCCGGGCTAGGGCGCCGCTGCTCATCACGAAGCTGGAGCTGCATGAAGCTGATGGCGAATGGCCGGTAGAGATGGTGGAGATGGCAAAGACGGTTGTAGGAAGGCGCGAATGTACCCAGATTATACACCCAATGCATCATCACGACCAGCTCATGCCAAGACTCGGTGACCTTCTGGTTCTTCTTGCCGGAATCGTACACGCCGGAAAACTCAACTTCCGCGACCACGTGGCGTGCATGGATAAGCGCTCGCAATGGCAACACAGGATGACTCAACTGGACCGCTGAAAGATGGATCGAAGAACGCACGTAGGCGAATCTCAACGTGTCTGTGCGCCGAGTCCTCCCGACGAAAGACAAAGCTTAAGCGACTCAAAGGCATGTGAAGATGGAAGGCACGCTGTCGTTATCCTTGCAGCTTTATACACACGATCTGCTACGGTTCAGGACTCTTTTCTGCTGTCCGGCAGCATTGGAAGTTTCTGCACAATGGCAATGTCACGTAATGCTGTACGATCTCGATTTGTAATGGTAGTCATCCGACCATCTTTGTCCCATCGCAAGCCGGATGTTCAATGGAGCTGAGAAGCCACGAGGACTCGGGTATTAGCGGTGCTTGTGAATCTCAACCGGATGTGAGTGTCTCCGAACGAGAAATGAGCACGAGAGCGTGCTGGTGACGACGCGTGAAATTTTTGAGACTCACTCACGTCTGGCGGAGACTGAGTATATAAACCTGCTTTTCCTGCTGCGTTCTCATGATTCATTTCGACTGTACAACAACTCCATTGAAAACATTCCCGTAAATCGCGACCGAAGTCACAAGCACACATAACGACCACTACATCATACAGCACAGCTCACCTTCAACACAACAGGCATACCCCAGAAGCCATCATGTACTTCATCGCCCTCACCGCCGCAGCTACCCTAGGCCTGGCCAGCCTCGCCTTGGCTGCTCCTCTCCCAACTATCACGGCCACTCTGACCGTCAGCACCACTCCGACTCCTACCCTCACTATCCACGAGAACAACTTGTGGGCCAAGGACATCAGCTCTGCTGCCAGCAAGGAGATTGACGTTTTGGTTAAGCGTATCAACGCCTTCTACGACGACGCCTCGCTGGCTAAGCGTGAGAATGAAACCGACGTCCCAGCTGTGACTGTTCACGAGAACAATCTCTGGGCTCGCAGCAACTCGCTCGAGGTGGACGACATCAGCAGCAGCGCCATCACCATCCCGGTCCCGACTGTCACCGTTCACGAGAACAATCTGTGGGCGCGTGATGGCGCTGAGGCTGCGGCTAAGGATGATGAGGCTAGGGCTGAAGAGGGTCTGGCTACGCGCACGCAACCCGTCATTGCCAAGAATGACAATCTTTGGGCGCGCAACGAGGCTAACATCAAAGCTCTACTGCTCGCTTTGCGCAACGTCAACACCACCGTGCACGAGAACAACTTGTGGGCTCGTGACGAGATTGATGGCGACGCCGAGTCGTCGGCTGAGCCTTCCGCAACTGTGACGGTTCATGAAAACAATCTCTGGGCTCGTTCGAAGGAGGCTGAGGCCGAGCTCCTCGCTCCGCGCGACGACAAGGTCACCGTCAAAGAAGACAATCTGTGGGCTCGTGAGAGTGCTGGAGGAGTCGGGGTCGATGTTTCGGCCCAGGGTGACGGAAAGGTCACTGTCAAGGAAGACAACCTTTGGGCTTAGAATCCTTGCTGCTATCGATGACTGGCTTGGCTATCGTCATGTCTGACTCCGCTTAGGCAAGTTTCTACGGTCATGGACTTTCTCGAAGACGAGATTGCTGCTTGCTAGTTACACAGCTGAGAACTGTGATCATTTGAACTGCGTGCATTGCACGATGGCTGCGTCCTTCGAACGAGTCAGGTCCTGGCACTTCCTGGCACAGTTGCGTAATTATCAGAATTGAAGTTGCATCCCAGAATCCATGATAGGATTCTCAAAACATACTCTCTCGCTCATGCACTATTAACGTCTTGATCTCTGCAGTCCGTGCAACAATTATCGACTCGGCGTCGCTGTCGCACGCTCGAACAGCGAGTCTCGGCTCGGCGATGCGGGAGTCTTGCCCATGCGTCTCTTGCCCTCCTGTCTCCATCACTCTATCACGATTCACCGCTGATCCAATGAGCAGCTATACCATCTTAGAAAGGTCCGTCGACCAGCGGCTGGGTACCATATCGACCCCGCAGGCACACGAACCTAGTGTGCTTTAGCCTCAATCTATCGCTGCTTATTGTTGCTTGTCTCGCAGCGATCACATCCTTAGCCATGCTTGTTTCCACCCTACCGAACAGGAGTGGCTTATGATACGTCTTGCGATTGGACAATCCCTCGGATCTCTCGCATCTTGATGCCGTTATGGTCTGGCTGGAGATCGCCGAGCCGCAGATGCGTAGTCTACGCTCCAGAGGTTATAATGAGCCATGGTCTCCCGTCGTCTTCGTCCGCCATGATCCTGCGTCTATCCTCATACCAAGATGCAGTTGCTCGCAGCAACCATAGTGGCAGCTTGCGCTGGAGCGTTGGCACTGCCAGCGCCCAACCTGGTCCTTCACGAGAAGCGTGGGCTCCCCATCCAGGCTGAGCGCCGCCAGGTCGATCGTAATGCCATCATACCGGTTCGCATTGACTTAAGCAAAATGGTCTCGAGAGCGGCTACGATCGCTTAATGGACGTCTCGCATCCTGACTCGACCAATTATGGCAACCACCTCAGTGCAGACGACGTTCATGACATCTTCGCACCTAGCGAGGAGACCACGCAAGCTGTGAAGGCGTGGTCTGTCAGTTCCGGTGTCGAAGAAGAGGATATCATGCACTATACCAATCGCGGATGGCTTGCAGTTGATCTGCCAGTGACTCAGGTCGAGTCGATGCTTGGTGTGGAGTACTACGAACACGAAGACAGTCAAGGCCGCACGAGAGTTGGCTGCGACGAATATCATCTACCAGCACATCTGTCCGAACACGTCGACTTCATCAAACCTGGTATTGTGCTGTCAGCGCCTCTGAGAAAGCGCGTGCTCAAGCGTGATGGTGAGCAATCCGGACCCCCAAGAGGTGGTCCTGGCTGGGGCTGGGGACCACCGCACTATCCATCTCACCCGTGGCCTCACTGGAACCTCCTCCTGGCTCTGGCGGACTACCATTTGATGTTCAGAATTGTGGTGTCAATATCACGTTAGTATTCGATCAAGTCACGAGCAGTAGAGCACAGTCTAATCATGTTCCAGACCTCCTTGTATCAAAGTTCTTTACGATATCCCAAATGCCAAATACAGCGATCCAGCCAACAAGCTCGGCATCTTCGAATATGGAGACGTTTTCGCTCAAGGAGACATTGACAAGTTCTTTGCCAAGTTTGCACCTCAGATCCCGCAGGGCACTGCGCCACAGGTTGATTCTATTGATGGTGGTGAGGCGCCTGTGGCTGTCAACAGCCTGTACAACACTGGCGAGTCGGATGTTGGTCTAAGTTTGGGTTATGCCCTGATCTACCCGTAAGTGCATACACAATCATGCCAAATTTACCGCAACAAACTCTGTGTTGCTGACCCCTTGTCTTTTTGTGACTACAGTCAGCAGATTATCGTCTATCAGACCGACGATATCCCAACAACCACAGGAGAACGCAACAACGGAGGCTATGCAGGCTTCCTGAACGATTTCATTGACGCGATTGACGGCTCCTACTGCAACTACACAGCCTACGGCATCACCGGCAACTCCCCTGGCACCGACCCAAGCTGGCCAGATCCCGAACAAGGCGGATACAAAGGCCAGCTCATGTGCGGCACGTACTCTCTCACCCGCGGCCTCAGCGCATCTTATGGTGAGCCGGAGATTGATCTTCCCAAACCTTACGTCGAGAGACACTGTAACGAGTTCATGGAGCTTGGTCTGCAAGGCCACAGTGTCCTCTTCTCCAGCAGCGACTTTTGCGTTGGAGGCTCCCCGGACCCGAACAGGAATAATTGCATCTCGTCGACGACGATGAACAATTCCATCTATAATCCGGACTACCCGAGCGGATGCCCGTACATCACGTCTGTCGGCGGCACGAGACTTTACCCGAATGACACTATCAACGACCCGGAGAGTGCCATGAGTGTGAATCTGACGGCGTTCAATATTGCCACGGGCGAGGGGACGCCGACCGAGACGGACGCATATTTCGGGTCCGGTATATTGCCGTCACCAATATAAACTCGAGTCTGTTATGCGTATCGCTAATATTCCCTCCCAGGCGGTGGCTTCTCCAACTACTTCTCCCCCCCAGCCTACCAACAAGCCGCCGTGGCAAAATACCTAGCCGAGCACAACGACCAGAAATCCTACATCGTAAACAGCGACGCCTCGAACATCGGCGAGAACAACGGCGTCTACAGTAAGCACGCACCATAATTTCCATCTGACTTATCCTCCTCCTCCTCTCCACACCTACTAACACTGTCTCCCGCAGAACGCGCCGGAAGAGGCTACCCCGACGTCTCCGCCAACGGCGCCTTCCTCCAAATCTTCAACAATGCCACCCAAATCACCATCTTCGGCACCTCCCTCTCCGCCCCAATCTTCGGTTCCGTCCTCACCCTCCTCAACGAAGAACTGACCCGGGCGGGGAAACCGCCCGTGGGGTTCGTAAATCCCGCGCTGTACGCACATCCGTATGTCTTGAATGATATCACAAATGGGTCGAATGCGAACTGTGGCGGGCCCGGGTTCGAGACGGCGGTAGGGTGGGATCCGGTGACGGGGTTGGGGACGCCGGATTATCCTAGGATGTTGGAGTTGTTCATGGGGTTGAAGTAATGAAGAAGCTTGGGGTTTTGCGTAGAAGTATCATGGAGGTAGGTGTCTTCCGCAGTGGTCCACGTTACGTAAAGACCCGACCACTATCGATAGGAGGCCGAGCACTGTAGATGACGATGGGATAGTGCAGAGTCCAGACGGGATACGCCGGCCGCTGGTTCGCGGGTGTAGGCCCCTGCTGGCGCTTTGGAAACATTGAGCCCGAGCAGCCCGATTCCTTCTCTGGGTGCATCTGCTAGCTGTCCACAAGTACCTACTACTACTGTAGATGATCTACATATGGCCGGCCCACCGATTGGGTTTTCCGTGGACCGCTGTGGGCCGTGATCCCTAGGCATATGTGCCATCACTGTCCTAATGGATGGTGGGCAGCGAGGCTCGGCGAGGTCCTTTGGCAGGAATGCGCCGTATCCTAGCTTCCTTGGACCTGTTGGTCCACGGAGAGTCGAAAACCCGGCATGCACTGGAGTGATTCAAATATGCATTCCCCGACAGAATGTTCATTCCGGGGAGGTTTGTGTAAACAACTATACTGGATTTCATCGTGGTAACATCCATGACTACCTCAATCGAGTACAAAGCAAAAGGGGTATCACAAAAACAATCTAACCTAACCCAACTCACGCCCCAACGACCGCCACCATCCGTGATCCACAGGGATTCAAATCTCGACCCACCCTTCACAATCAATCCTACCAATTCCAACTCCTCGCCCCCGCCCCAAAAACCGGCGCCCTCCACCCCCCCAACCTCTCCCCCTCAATCCTCCTCACGACTCCCCCCTTAGCCTCCACCTTCTCCCTCTGCGCCCGCCTCTGCTCCACCACCGCATCCGTAAGCACAATCACATGATTCTTCTTCTCATACCTCAACATGCCCAGATTCTGCAACGTATGCAGCACGTCATTCGTCGTCATCGCCAACGCCTGCCCGATGTCCTCGATACTGCACATAGGTGTGCCCTCCGCCTCTCGTTCGAGTAAGAGGTCCGTGATGTTTTCGGCCCAGTAGGCTCTGTAGCCTAGGAGTCCGAGGTCCGAGAGGGGTTTTTCCGGGGAGCCGAGTTTGTTTTCGATTTTGGAGAGTTCGTAGGAGAATTGGATGAGGAGTTTGCCGTAGCCCTTGCGTTGGTGTTGGGGTAAGGTGAGGATGCAGGCGACGTTGTAGTTTTCCGCGCTTTCTTTTTCCTTGCTGAAGTAGCCTACGAGGTGGTGACCGCGGGCGTCGCGGATCGTCATGCAGTAGAATAAAAAGGGGTCGACGTCGTAATATAACGTTTTGTGATCGAGGAATAATTTTGAGAGGAGGCAGAGGTTGCGGCACCAGGTTCGCTGGCGCCGGCCGTCGATTTCGAAAAAGGAGATTGTTTCGTCCCGGTAGATTTCATTTCCGGGAGGGTGGAGGAGGGTGCATTTTGACCGGTGGCGTTGGAATTGGGTGAGGGTGCCGTGATAGGAGAGGCAGGTTTCGCAGATGTAGACGATGTCGCTGTCGGTGAACTCGGCCGGGTAGGGGGAGAAGTACCAGGGTTCGATTTCCCAGGTGCCCATCTGAATTCGTTCGAGGTTGCGGACGCGGGAGATTTCGGTTTGGTTTTGCGTCATGCTACCGCCGATACGCAGGCGGTCGATTTCGGCCTGGGGGTCGTAGGGGCCGTGGTGGGAGGGGACGGCTTTGGCGGCTGCGGCGGCGGTGGCGAGGTCGATGGTGTTGTTTAGACCGTCTTCGTCGTCGTCGTCGCCTGGTTGCGGAGAGGCGCCGATTTCTTCTGCGGCGACGGTGAGGGCGGCGGGGTCGAGGTTCTCTTTTCCTTTGCCACCACTGGTGAAGGAGGGTCGGCGAGAGGTCTTGGCTGAAAGGCCATCTTGGGGTGTTTCTGATGCTTCGCGGGTGAGAGTGGAAGAGCGAGGGCGTTTGTGTGATCTGCTCGGTTGAGGGGCCTTGGAGTCTGTCGTGGAGTCTGTCTTGGATGTGGCGGTGGTCCTCTGCTTGGACTTGACTTCCGGCTTTTCGGGGACAGGCCACTCGACTTCTTGTGTAAGGTCGATTCGTTCAGCGCTCACCCACTCGTCGAGACGCTTGTTGAATTCGACGTAGTGGAGGTAATATGTTGGTTTGCCTTTGCGTGTTTGGATGGAGAGGATCTCGGCTCGTCGCTGACCGCCATCCTTCTCTACCATCGGTTTGGTGCCGATGGTGAGGGTGGCCAGCGTGGCATATCCCTTTTCCGCTTTGATCTCATCGCTGCCGCCCTCGCCGTGCGTGTCGTTGCGTGGGACCATCACAACTATTATCGAGTGATGTTTGACACGCTGTGTGGTGTATTTATGATATTTCTGATGAAGTTGTCCTTGTCGTGCGCGTCGTGATGGATTATTATTGCGCCCGTGAGAGACAAGACCCTGCTTCTTCCCCACAGAAACTTTGCGTCTCTTCACATGCTTCAGCTAAACATTTCTCACGGTACACAATATATATCCATAACAATGTCGAGATAACAGGACGAAATGCCTGGATTGGAATTGAGTGGCGTGTCGAGCAACTGGAAGAAGCTACAATCCCAGTTGCAAGCCGAGAAGAAGACCGCACCACCACCACCACCAACACCACCACCAAGCAATGGAGTGAAGCGCAAGAGACAGGAAACACGACCAGGCAGCGCCTTCAAAAGAGCCAAGTTCTCAGATGCAAACGGGACGCAAGTAGTCAACAGACGCAAGATGGGCTACTCGACTTCCAAACCCGTCACAGACCCACCTAAATCCAACTCCAACCTCACCCGCGACCACGACCACGACATCACCTCTTCCATCATCACCACCTCCTCAATTTCCACCACCCGCCCAACCGACACCCCCAACACCGGCCACCACCCCACTCACAAACTGGGGAAATACATCGCCCTCGACTGCGAAATGGTCGGTACGGGACCCCCACCCCACACCGACCATCTCCTCGCCCGCGTCTCCCTGGTAAACTACCACGGCGACCAACTCTACGACTCCTACGTTCTTCCCCCACCCGGAAGTAAAGTCCACGACTACCGCACCCACGTCTCGGGGATACAACCGCCGCATCTCCACCCGGACGTCGCGAGATCGTATAACCAGGTCCGTGCCGATGTCGCCGAACTCTTACGGGGCAGGATCTTAGTAGGCCATGCGTTAAAAAACGATCTGCAAGTCTTGGACATGGTCGCCTCCCACCCGAAATGTGATCTGAGGGATACGAGCCGCTACCCTCCCTTCCGCGCCATGTCCGGGGGAAGACCTCCAGCGTTGAGGAAGTTGGCGGAGAGGGTGTTGGGACTCAAGATTCAAGAAGGAGAGCATAGTTCTGTGGAGGATGCGCGGGCGAGCATGTTGCTTTTCCGCACGGAGAAGGAGGGGTTTGAGGCGGAGGTGAGGAGGAGGTTTGGGAGGGGTGGGGTGGAGGGGAGAGGAGGGGGGAGAAGGGGTGTTGTTGGTGGTGGTGGGAAGGGAGGAGGAAAGGGGTGGGAGGGTGGGAATAGTGAGGAGGAAGATAGTATTCTTGATGAAGAGGATGATGAAGATGAGGAGGAGGGGTTTGGAAGCGAGGGGGATGGTGTGGGGGATGGGGATGGGAGGACGAAGATATCTGCGACAACAGGAGCAGCGACGACGAAGAAGAAGCGCAAGAAGAAGAAACGGACGAAACGGAAGTGATGTGATAGCAATCTATTCCCATCCAATGTATCCACCATATCCTCGCTCCCCCTCATCTCATGCAAACCTCATGCTACTACAGATCGAGCCAAAGCACCGGCACCAGCACCAGCAGCACTTCGTTCGTACGTACTCTACATAAAAAATCCAACGGGAAATCCCCAGCCTATTCTTTTCCTCCTCCTTTTCCTCTTCCTCCTCCTCCTCCTTCTCTCATCCCGTCCGATACTCCGGATCAACCTTACTCTGCTTAAACAGACTCTTCCCCCTCAACCACTGCCGATAAGCCTTATACCTCTTCTTCCCGCCATCCCCCTCCGTGACCGTCAACACATCCTCCTCCCGGCCATCTGCCACGAAATCGAGGAATTGTTGCAGATCCGCTTCATCTACATCGTCGACATGCCCGCCATTGAGCTTCTTCTGGTGGGTGGGATGGGACGTCGACGTTGAAGTCAGGATGGACGGCTGGGTAAGGGAGAGATAGGCGATGTATTCGGCGGTTGTTGAGGCGGAAGGTGCGGCCGCGGTACTGCTGCTGCTACTGCGGTCGGAGGAGATGTGGTCGGTCGGATTCGTGACGAGGGGTAAATGCAGTGGATGGGAAATATACCTTTCGTACTCCCTCGACTCCGTGACCGAGACGGAGGGATGGAGGGAAGAACGGTGGATCTTCTCTAGCGACCAGAGGTGCATGGTAGCTTTATCCGGCGCCATCTGGGCCTGCTCCTGCTGCTGCTGCTCAGATGTTCTTCTCGCCTGCGTCGGTTCCCTCAAGATCCCATTCGTAGGCTGGATCTCCATCGCACTCGACGGTACATTCCTGGGTGGAGGAATCCCGCCTCCCGCCCCAACCTCCTCGCTAGGCGGATACAGGGAAGGCGCATCATCCATGGGATCCAAGATCGTGACACCTTTCCTCTGATGCTGCTGCTGCTGGCTGCTCGTCTGTCTCTTGTCCGGCGAATCAATAGATGGGCGTCGCTGATGCGCTTCCAGTCTCGGCACAAAAGGAGAAAAATTGTACTTCCCTCCGTCGCGATTGGCGTGTGGTCGGTCGGGGAGGAAACGGTGTTCGGCGTTGATGCGGTAGGAGTAGATTTTCTGCAGGGAGGAGAGGGCGGTGGGGCGGTAGCATTCCAGCCAGTATTCGTCGTAGGCGGGGATTATGCCGTCCTTCTTTCCCTCTACCTTCTTTCCCACATCATCCTTGCCTGGGACATCATTGAGCGCTGCCACGGCATCAGCACTCACGACCGGCATCACCCTCTCGTGCAGGAACTCGGGAGTGAACCAGAATATATAGCTCCTTCTCCCTTTCCTCCTCTCGCCCCAGCCTCGCGGGCCAGAATGATGGAGATAGTAATCGCTTCCTAGCTCCCACAGTCGTGGTTCACCCAGTACCCAGACGTAATTCCCCAAGAAGAGATTATACGCCTCCTGCCTCTGACTGTCGAGGAATGAATTGTGGTAGTAGCGCTTGAAACTCTCTACCATGTCTCTGCTAGAGCTTTGCCAGTGGTTCAGTTTCCGGTATGTGGCCATGGTGTTGACGAGGTGAGAGCCACCGTATTGTACTGCAATCGTGTCGCCGTGCGAGTGAAATTGGGAGGTGAACGTATTAATGCAGTCGGTATCATAAGGAATCGTGGGATGCGGATCCGGAGGATAGAGACCCAGCGCTCGTAGCTGCAGACTCAAGGCATGCTTGCCTATCACAAACTGTGCCGCGTTCGTACGGTCTAGGCAATCAATACAGTTTGTCCGTGCGATACCATTCTGGAGTCGAGGTGAGGTCGGGTCGTTGTGGAAGAAATTCGTCAAGTTCAGGATCTCGGATGCTATGGTCTCAAGACTTCCTATGACATCCCCGCCTCGGGTCTTGGATGCTCGGGACATGTCAAAGGTCTTGTAGATGACCTTGGCGTGAGGTGGTAAGGATTGATTTAGGTAGTCGACGCTTTCGGCGAATTGTGCGAGGAGTTTCGATTCGCGTGGTGTTCGTTCTCGTGCTTTGATGAGGTTGAGGATGTACAATGGACAGCCGTAGCGCTCGAAGAGGTTGTCGAAGTGTAGTGCCGCAGGCTGGTAGAAGGGATCATTGAGGTTGATGTCGATGTCAGGTTTCGGGGTCACGCCGCTGTTATCTTGCGTCCAGTAGAGTGGTATGCTGCCACGGTGGTGGAGGTAGGATGTGTATGTTGGATTGGAGTACAGCTTCGGTCCGGGAGCATGAAATGATGTGGTGAGCTTCTCTGCCACTATCTGCTCAGTTTCAACATCGTTTGCAACATAGCCTAAATCGTTGACGCCTCGCTTTAGGAATCGAGCTCCGGCGAAGTGGCGAGAGCGACGGCCAATGATGGTGATGTATACACTTCGGCCAAATATGTCGAGGCAAGTCTGGTCGATGAAACCGTGGATGATGGGTAGACACCAATCAAACGGGTGCTTGAGCGCTGCCGTGGCGGGTTTCAGCAGATGATGGTTCCACACGAACATGGCATTGAAGTCCGGCTTTGGATCATGTCGGCCGTCTGCTAGAGCTGCCCGTTGCGTGATGATGTTGTGCTGCAGACTATGCGTGATGTCGTACGCATAGCTGAAGTAAAAGTGTTTATTCAGATCAAGGTTGTTCAAAATACCCAGAAAGCGAAGCTCTTCTGGATTACGATCGCGCATGAAGCGGGAGCTGGCGCCTGTGGTCAAAGGCACCATCTCTGTATCTTCGATCTGATAGACATAGTGGCCTCCTATCATAGCAGCTTGTTGGCGCTTTGTGACGGGGAGCATGTAGTGTGCCTCTGTGAACCTGATGAAGCCGAGCAAACCGAAGAAGCCATATTTCAGTCTCAGACCTCCCGTGGCACGATTACCCTCATCGATACTAGTCAGCACCTCGTTCATCTGCCTCCGATCGTAGATCGTCGCATCCTCAAACAGGACGACTTGTCCAGGGGGAGAAGTTCGATCTATCCGCAGCAGTCGAAAGGACTTATCCGTGACATCTGCGCCAGTAATCCAGTATCTAGCATTAGTCTCGTACAGCGTAAATTTGTACATCCTATGCGAGCGATCTCTGGTTGAGCCCGCAGTATTCGGACCAGCACCATCTCCCTCATCGACAGCATCATGCTCAGGCATATCGTGGTGACCCTTCTCCGTAAGATGGATCTCCCCACCATCGCCTTCACCGTCAGCATCCCGGTCCTCCTCGCCATCAACAGCACCCACTCGCTTCAGGACCGGCCCATCGTCAAATGACCCTGCCGACTCACTGTTGTAGCTTGGTCGTCGGCTACGACTTCGAGTGCTGGCATGATCACCTCCACTACCATTCTGCTCGAATTCTCTACTTCGACTTCGGGATGCAACACGGAATCCGCCACCACGGCGCGGGATGTTCAATCGAGCATCGTCACGAGACTCTGGGCGTGCGCTTGGGTCCTGGTAATCGGCGTCTGCATTCGGCGCAGCGTCCACAGGCCCATGGTCCATTGGTTGGATTTTGAGCAAGCCAGAGAAGATGCTACTGGAGTGGTATTACGTGGCGTCCTTGACTGGACGCACAATCTCTGTTCGTGCACTCCATGCGCATCATCTGTGCTGATTCACAAGCATTGCAGTACTCCGAGTGAGCCAAGTCTGGTCCAGGTCTGTCATTCACATGAAGTCAATTGGTGTTCTGCTTATGCATGGCAACCCCAAACGAGAGACTGAAGTCGCAAGTTCAGTGAGCACGCGCCAATAAACCACCAACACCATGGACGTCTGAGACGAATTTCGCAACGAGCTACGTGGCGAGATACTATGATATTCACATGATGGTCTGAAGGTGTTCTCGCATCTATTGTCTACATGTGTAAAGGTACAATCGCGATCGTGACACAGACACCGGACGCCTTGCTTTACATCTTATCCCAGCTACTTTCGGTTCCCCTCACATCCAGAACCCATAGATTCAATCCAAATGTACCTCTCTGCGAGTTGTGGCTATTGTGACAAGCAGCTCAGACTACGCTTTTTATTGGACCTTAGACACGACTACCGCTAGCGACCACTCAGAAGCTATAGTACCCTCCTTGCAGACCCTGACCCAGGGCCTGCCCATTACCAAATGGCATGTTCGGCGCGACATAGTGATTCATATAAGGATGCTGTGGCAGACTGAAATCTGCTTTCGCGTAAAGCGGGTTTGGTATACCAGGCGGTGGTCTTTTAGAGCTTGCTGGCGTCGTCGGTTGCTGTGGTTGCGCCTGTTGAGGTGTTGGTAGCTGCTGCTGTTGGATTACTTGCTGCTGCTGTTGTTGTCGTTGTTGGGGCTGTGGTGTGTAGCTGTTCTGGTTGGAGTATGTCTGCTGTAATTGCAAATTCTGCGCATGTGCTTCCTGGAGTTGTCGCTGCTGCAGTTGCTGCTGCTGAAGCTGCTCCTCCTGTACCTTCTTCTGCTCCTTGGCGCCAGTATGAGATTGCGCAAACTGCTGCGGTGAAGGTCCTTCGTTCCATCCCCACTTCTTCTTCAGATCTTCGTACACGAAACCAATTCGCCAACCGGTCTCCTTGTTGATCTTGTCGAAGATTTGGAGGACTTCTTCTTGTTCTCGTCGATCTGTCAAGATCTCGGCTGCGTGAGCGAGGGAGCGAAGAGCGACTGAGGCGACGCCACTACAAGACGATTAGTATCACGATCATGAAGAGAAACTGTGCAGTAAGATGTACCGATCTTTGACATGGGCAACAATACCACAGATCATATTCGAGTGCCTGCGCGCAAGCTCGCCCATCTCCTCGCTATCCGCACTATAAAATGGGTGCGTCTGTGCAAGTAGCAGATTCGCCGTGTGGAAGAACAATCTGCCCACGATCGCTGATCTCTTTACCAGCCAGACCTCCGGAAATGCCGACTTAGAGCTCGTCTGATGCGAGTATAGGAATGCCATGGGTTGCATAGTCCTCGGGATCCCATCGTTCCATGCGTCAACCCAACCCTTGACTCTCGTCCAGTCCTCATATCGCTGCTGAGTCCGAATCTGCTCGTCCTGAAGGTCCTGCTCCGCATGCCTTGGGATCGTGGCGCGAAAGTTGCAGACTTTGGCTAGAATATACAGCATGCGATGCGTCCAGACTTCTTCTCGCCCGTTCATGATCTCTCGCGTGAAGTCCATGTCCACTTGCCAGTCGTCTGGGTCCCAGGCGACCTGCCAGTTGAAGTGTAGACAGCTAAGTACCTCCAGGCCGACATTGAGCCAGAAGCAGGCGCTGCCTATACCTTGAGCACGAGCGTTCCATCCGCACTCTTTGATCAGGGCGCGAGCACCAGCAATGTGATTCATGCGTTGGAGCGCTCTTTCAGACATGATCTCGTAGACGTTGAGAATGACAGCTGTGGTAGCGCAGATGACCGTGTCACGATTCGGGTTCTGCAGATTCTGTAGTAGGTGTGTCGTGGCCGTATCGTAGTAATGAAGTGCTTTTTCCTCGGTGTATGCTGGGTTGACCAATGTCAAATGCTTGGCTCCGCATGCTAGGAAGGCGTTTACGAGCATGGGCTCCGACAGAGAATGGAATGGTAGGAGTCGTGAGAAGTGCTTCTGCGAGTCCATACTGTCCATCCACAAACCCACTTCTTCGACGAATACTTGCATGAATAGCGTCTCATCCTGGCTGTCGAGATACTCCTTCTTTTCGTTGGTTTGCACGTCCTGAGTTGCAGTGTTATAGCTTGTGACGGAAGTATGTCCCGCCACACTCGAAGGCCCGGAGTTGCTGTACTGTGTCCCATTCATCGAACCAGAGTCTGGCTGTGGCGGGAGAGAGTACGACTGTGTCTGTGGTTGTTGCTGTAGTTGTATCTGTGGTTGTTGTGCTTGCACTGCCGGTTCATAAAGATTGTTCATGTTCGTTTGCTGTTGCATCTCCATGTATGGCTCCAGGAGTACACTTTGTACTGGAGGCAGAGGTTGTTGCAGGAGGACTGGCACTGCTGGCGCTGCTGTTACATAGTCGAAGGTCAACGCCGGCACTTCTGCCTCAATCTTGGGTTGCGCACTACGGGTAAGAGGTCTATACTTCTGCAACCCTCCCATGTACTCGCTCGCGATCTCACGGGACTCATCCAAGAATTCCACTTTCCAGGCTTTGGTGCCGTATGCGCTGACCAGATGCGGCGGGGTCTCTTTCCATAAGTCGATGAAGTTCAGTCGAAGTCCTCGCTTGCAGTCTCTATTACTCTTCTTGCAGTTGTGACATACTGGCATGCCCTCGTCGCATTTCAGATGGCGGGTCCTGCAAGTCAAACACCCAGTCCTGACTCGCTTCGGCTTGTCGTTGGAGCCATCCCCATCTTTGTCACCATCCTCGTCTTTCATTGCATCAACTTTACTATCCGATCTAGGGCCCACTCGCTTCACCTTCTTCTGAGGCTTTGTGCTGTTGGCGTGCGGCGGTGTCTTCCTCTTTGTCGTGTTTGCCGTCGAGTATACCTCTCCATTCAGCGCTGGATCGCCTGATGAAGCAGGCGAGATCGTAGAACTGTCGAGCGGAGCATAGGAAGGATCGAAGGCCGACTGCAAGTATGCAGTCTGACCAGCAATGGACGCCAGTGCTGAGGCCTATGGGCGTGGCAGCACACAGCTGCAGACGCTTGGTAACAGATTATGTCGCTTCACGGTGTCGCTGAACATTCGAGACCAGGGTAGAACTCGTTTATGCCCCTGCAGTATGATGTGCGATCCCAAGAGCCGACTGATAGTGTTGGTAGTCTAGACCGCAGGATACTTTAGGCTGTACAACGTGGCGGACGTATCGTACTCCAATAATCTACGTTTTCCTTGTCGCATTGGTCGCAGAACTGTCTGGAGTTTAGAAGTCGTATCGTCGTCGAAAGATCAAAGTTCCCGGGTATGAGTTGTCGCAAGAGAGCAGAGGCAAGACGAAGCGAAGAAAGACAAGTCTAGGCGACGAGGAGAGGACAAAGACCCGATCGAACTCTCCTTAACCATGCGGACAAAAGACTTTCTCACAAGCATATGAGCATGACATTCACTCCACACTTCTTTGAGAGTATACCGTACCCTCCACTCAACAACGCATCCTCTCGTCACTATATTTGATCGTTATATGGAAGCGATGCCAGGTTTACGGCACGTTGATCGCCTCGATATGCGCCGTGACATCTTCGGGCAGGGAAGTTGACACGAGTTGACAGATGCGATAACCAACCATTGCGGACAGATACATCTTGCAGCCAGCCACGGCTTGCTTGAGTACTGCTTTAGGAAAGTGTATGTCCTATATCATGTTCCAGCGTCTACAAGCTGCATGTCCTGTGCATCTTCGCCCACAGAAGACCTGCTCGATCGAGGGATTGCCTCGGTTCCGGGACGGTGGCAGCCGTCTGGTTGGTAAAGCTACGATCGATGCGCTCCTGCTAAGACGCATACATCATCAACGAGCCACACGATAGATGTTGAAGGGCACGAAGATAACACCTCCCATTGTGCTCCCGCATGGGTCTGTATTCATCGGGAGAGACTCAATATCGTCAACGATACAGTAAGACCATGGCAAGCCTAATAGATGAATCTCGGCCTGTGCTATTCTCGTCAAGACCTTCCCCCTCCGCTAACCCTTGCTGGCAAGCTAGCGGGTGTAAGCCGCAGCTCGGCGACTGCGAGAGCTTCGTGGAGTGACTTACCGATGCGAAGTTTTGATGACCAGTAGCATTTGGATGGGGACAAGTCCAACACGACATCAGCTGAACGCTGAGTACAGAACTCATTATTGTCGATCACAGTTGAGCATCCCCGTCATGTTCCTGCTATCGACGTCCCGATGGCATCTTCAACGTATCAACCGGTAGCACCGGAAGAGGACAAACCACCCACCAGTTCTGACTCCAGCCAAGACTCCTCAAGCGCAATTCGCTATACTCCGGAACCTGATGTAGATGATCAGGACGACCTGGCCGAGCTGGGACAAGGCGAGGGCTACGAGCTCAAAGAGCTGGGAGGAAGCTCGCGAACTCCGGCGCAACGAGATGATGATGAAGAAGACGCTGAAGAAGAAGAGGAATTAGCAAGCAATCGTCGTCGAAGAGCCAGCAGGGCAAGCGTTCAGTCATTCGAGCTTTACACACCAGATGAAGAACGGAAAGTCCTCCGCAAGCTAGACACTCGTCTCGTCCTTTTCGTGGCACTGCTATATCTTCTATCTTTTCTAGACCGGAGCAACATCGGCAATGCCAAGATCGCTGGCCTCACAGATGACTTAGAATTGGACGATAACCAGTACTCATGGCTACTGACGGCCTTCTACATCACCTACATTCTATTCGAATGGATGACAGTCTGCTATCAGCTCTTCCCACCGCACATCTACATCAGCTGTTGCGTTTGTGCCTGGGGTGTGCTGGCATCACTGCAGTCCATTGTGAGCTCGTTTGGCGGAATCCTGGTGCTGCGAGTCTTGCTGGGCATTGGTGAGGCCGCATTCGTAGGGATACCATTCTATCTATCATTCTTCTTTCGAAAGGACGAACTGGCTTTCCGCATTGGGTTATTCATCTCTGCTGCGCCACTGGCAACAAGCTTCGCTAGTAGTCTTGCTTATGCTATAGTGAGGTTTGGCGGTGGCACTGGTATTGCAAGCTGGCGATTGCTGTTTCTTGTAGAAGGTAGGCTCCTGTGTATTTGAGATCACGACTTGGACGACAAGCTGACTCGTCCTCAGGCTTCCCAGCATGTCTAGTAGCAGTGTGGGCCTACTGGTGGATCCCGGACTCGCCCCAGACAGCCCGGTGGCTGAAAGCTCGTGAGCGCAAGATCGCCACCCTGCGTATGCGAAAAGAAACCACAGCCAGCACGGCTACAGGCGAGAAGCCTACAGCGAAGTTGGACAGCACGCCGCGCTATAAACGCAAATTCCAGTGGTCTGAAGTTCTACGCACCTTGAAGGATCCAAAAGCCTATCTGACAGCCAGCATGTTCTTCTGCGTCAACGTCGCCTTTTCGTCGTTGCCAGTATTCCTGCCGACCATAGTCCATAGCATGGGCTACTCACGCCTGGCAGCGCAAGGACTCTCTGCGCCACCATTCCTGTTCTCGTTCGTGATCGTTCTGGTCACGGCCTATCTTTCCGACAGATATCACAGCCGAAGTGTCCCGATGATGCTGCACGCCGCTGTAGCAATGACAGGCTACATCGTCCTGGCACTGGCCGGCACGTTCAAGCTCGGACATGTTCTCCGATATCTTGCCGTCTTCCCGATCTGCGCAGGCTTCTTCTCAGCCGTCACGATAGTGATCACTTGGACTGTGAATAATCAGCCATCAGACGAAGGCAAAGGGACAGGCATGGCTATGCTGAATGTGATTGGACAGATGGGTCCTCTGCTGGGTACAAGACTTTACCCTGATGCTGAGGGACCATACTATATCAAGGGAATGAGTGTCTGTGCCGTTGCTATGGCTCTGGTGGGTCTGTTGGCATTGGCTTTGCGGATTGTGTTAAAGAAGGAGAATGCGAGGCGACGGAGCCTGTGGCGAGAGGATGAGATGGCTGAGGGCGAAGCTTTGGTTGGCAGAAGGGCCACGAGCGAGCCCTTTACGTTCTTGACGTGATACAAATGATAGACGAATATATGACACCACTTTTCAACGTCGTGCTTGAAGTATCCTATCTCTTGTGAGTACATACGAGTCGTCGGCCGTAGTGGGGCGTCACGTCCCCCCCGCCATTGGGATTTCGAAACATTGTTTTGCGATGAGTCGAGCTATCAGTCTTTGAACACTCGCGTGACTCGAAATATATCTGTACACATATCTGGACATTGAGCGAGTGCGGCACAGTACGACTATACAATCGAACAGACGAGAGCTTTCCTGCGAATATGGCCGCCGAAGGTATGGACAAGAAGATGGATACCCTCAAACTGACTGAAGAGCAACCAAATGCTAGCAGCGAACAAACAGTCGAAGGTGCGAGACCAAATGGCAAGCCAGGCAAGAAGGAGAAGGAGCCGAAAGATCAAAAGGCAGCGAACAAGTCAAAACCAGAAAAGCAAAAACAAGCACAACAGCCAAAAGCGAAGAAAGGCGGCGAACCAGAACTCATCGGCATCACGTGCAAGAAGAGCGAAGACCTGTCAGAATGGTACCAACAGACTATTGTCAAAGGCGACTTCCTCGAATTCTCCGACGTGCCAGGATGCTACATCTACCAGCCAGGCTCATACAGGATCTGGGAGTTCATCCAGGACTTCTTCAATGCGCGGATTCGGAAAATGGGCGTGAAAAACTGCTACTTCCCACTCTTTATCTCGGAGGCGAACCTGCAGCGTGAAAAAGACCACATCGAGGGCTTCGCGGCGGAGGTAGCGTGGGTGACGGAGGGAGGCAAGAGTAAGCTGGACAAGAGGCTGGCGGTGCGTCCGACGAGTGAGACGGCCATGTACAGCTTCTACAGCAAGAAGATCAGGAGTCATAGGGATTTGCCACTCAAGATGAACCAGTGGAACAATGTCGTGCGGTGGGAGTTCAAGCACCCAATGCCTTTTATTCGGTCAAGAGAGTTCTTGTGGCAGGAGGGTCACACAGCACATCTTACCGAGAAGGAGGCTGGTGTGGAGGTCAGGCAGATTCTTGACCACTACGCTGCCATCTACGAGGAACTACTGGCTGTTCCGGTAGTCAAGGGTGTCAAAACCGTCAACGAGCAATTTCCGGGAGCACACTACACCACGACAGTCGAAGGCTACATCCCAGCCGTTGGTCGAGGCATCCAAGCAGCGACATCGCACTGTCTCGGCCAGCACTTTGCAAAAATGTTTGATATTACAGTCGAGGACCCGAACCAGCAGGTTAAGGAAGGCGAGAAGAGGGATAGGATTAAAGTGTGGCAGAACAGCTGGGGTTTCACCACCCGATCTATCGGCATCATGATTTTGATTCACGGCGACGATAAGGGTCTGATTGTTCCGCCGCGCGTAGCAGAGATACAAGTCGTCATCATTCCTGTCGGCGTGAACGCAAAGACTACGGACGCCGATCGCGAGAAGCTCTACGATGAGGTCAAGAGCATCAGCGATAAGCTCGAAGGCGCGGATGTAAGGGTCGAGTGCGACTTTCGCGAAGGCTACTCTCCGGGCTACAAGTTCAACGATTGGGAGATGAAGGGCGTACCGCTGCAAATCGAATTCGGACCGAAAGACCGCGCAAATGGCGTTGTGACGACTTCTCGTCGCGACCAGGAAGGTAAGAGTACCATCCCGCTCACCGACCTCGCAGCAGAGGTCCCGAAACTTCTCGAGCAGATCCAAGCGGATATGTTCAAGAAGGCCAGCGACGAATATGCATCCCACCGCAAGATCATCCGGGAATGGAAGGACTTCGTGCCGGCTCTGAACGACAAGAACGTGGTACTTGTCCAGCATTGCGCTTCTGGAGACTGCGAGGACGAGATCAAGAAGGATTCTTCCGGTCAGGTTGAGGGGCAGGAAGTCGATGTCAGAGCTCCATCGATGGGTGCCAAGTCATTGTGTATTCCGGACGAGCAGCCGGAGGAGGTCAAGGCTGGCACGCACTGCATCAATCCGAAGTGTGAGAAGGAGGCGAAGATGTGGGTCATGTTCGGGAGGAGTTACTAGACGGGTCAAATAGTGTTGTGCTCAGAAACGTGGAAGACGATTGCTATGTTTGATGTCATTATGCTTCTACAGCGTAGCTGGCGTTACGTTGGGTGAGCGTAGGCGCAATGGCAATGCAGGCGTGGAAACTGAAGCTTACTTATTATGCCCTATGTGCGATGGAAATGCATTTCTGTCAAGCAGTCGTAGACTTGAGCGTTGATATTTTGATTCTACGATGCAGTCACTCGATAAGGTAGTGTGCTCTGTCACATTGCATGCTGTCGCTCGTGTCTCATCATCTTCCCACGCCAGTAGTCTGACTTAGATCCTCGCATTCATTCTCCCGCGCCATCGGCTAGGGCAGCCATCTCCAGCTCATTAGCCATCAGCATCTCCCTCATCCTTTGTGCCTCGCGCTGCAGCTCTGCTCTTCGTGCCTCCTTCGACGATGAAGATGGTGGTTCTGATGCCCGAGCTATTGACGAGCTTAGAGCAGGGTCGATGTTCTCCTCACGTGCAGCAGTAGTGATGTGGGGGGACGGAACGTTCTGTGCGTGCGAATATGTCTCGTCGTCACCTTCGGCACCGCCGCGCTCACTCGTGGAGAAGGAGCGCTTGCGTGGGTTTGCTGAGGATTCGCCTTGCTGGTAGTGATGGTCGTGACCGTGGCGGATCGTGTTCCGGCTTCTGAAGGCCTCTGTGAAGTCGACAGGTATTGGTCCTCCAGCTGGCCGTTGGGACTCCTGCATACCTCCATATACTGTCGTCACTGTGGATGGTGCCATCGATGCTCTTGAATCCTGCGCTGAGAGGTCGTCGTTCATGTACTCGTTCACGACCATACCACGACCGGCATAGGATGGCATGTCTGCTGGCACTACACGTTTCCTTCGCTTGATCTCGGCTTTCTTCATTTGCACTGGGCGATGATGGCCATGCAATTTGTGATAGAGCCCACAAGCATTGCAGATGGTATGCCCTGCATCGTCTCGACGCCAAAGAGGAGTGATAGTCGTGCCGCAGTTCTGACACGCCACGACCACACTCGTGCCCGATGATGGTTGGCCTGGAGAAGGATTCACTTCATCTGCAGATGAGGTCGTCTGCTGTAGAGCCACCTGCGCTGTTTTCGAGACCCGATTGTTGTATGCGGGGCACCCATTACAGCCTTCGTGTCCCCCCGTGCCGTTGCAGCGACCTCCACCAGGACATGTGCCATTCACACTTTGATCGGCTGTCACATAAGTAGCGTTACCTTGCAGAGTGGTGGGAGAAGTGCTTCTATCATGTCTCTGACCCTCAGCGGGTGGAAGCGGAGCAGGACCACCTCGCTTCAACCCTACGGGTCGCATTTGATTTCGTGCTTTGTAGTACAGACCACATGCGTTGCAGATGACCGCCCCGGAAGGTGATCTCCTCCACAGGGGAGTCTTCGTCGTGCCGCAATTACTGCACATCTGTCCACTTGGCGCCGTTGGTGTTCTTCGTTGCAGAGGTTGGTGAGTGTGTGGGTGCGAGTAGAATGATGGCATACCAGCCATTTCGTGCTGGTTCATCATATCGGTCGCTGCACCGTCATGAGGCTGACCATAAGGACTTGGCTCGCCTCCATTAAGGGCTTGCCATGTTGACTGCGGAGGTTGGACCTGCCCTCCTTGGGAATGCTCAATCAGAGACTGCGCAAGTTCGAGGTCCTGCTGTGATGGCTCGCGTTGCAGTTGTCTCTGGTTGCTGTCCATGGTCGCCGCCACCGCCACTTGAGCTTCTTCGAGAGTGTTCCCAGCCATCGCCTTGAAGAACTTTCCTACGACAGCATGAGAGGATCAAGTTGAAGCATTCGCAAGCACTGCGGCTCCAAATGCTCCTTTGCTCAAATGCGTGCAGAAACTCGGCCGGTTGTTCTCGGTTCTTGGTATAAGCAAAACCAGGCAGAAGTAATGTTCGTAAGTCGTGTCGCTGAAACTCGATATTTTGAGTAGCCAGAAGTTCTCCAGGGTGGACTGTTGTACAACCTCTAGTGGCCAGGTAATTCACGCGACACGACGTTGTGTGTACGAGTGTACACGAAACAAAGCACGAATGTTGTTACAGAAGGAGGTCACAATTAGTAATGCTAATTAGATCGCTGCTGATTGGTTCAACTCGGGATAAGCAGAATCGGCTGCTCGCCGATTAGTCACGAGCTAACGTATGTACGGAGCATTCACTGATGAGCAGTGGTTCGCATATGAGACCGGGAAAATAATGGAAGGGTGGACGGTGTTGGCAGTTCCGAACTCGCACGGAAGTATGGTACGCTCTGTACCTTGTAAAACTATGCCACTGTCAACCTGAGCAGAAGTTCAACCACTACATCGTACAATTGTTGTACATCCTGCCTGCTATCGTGTCTCTCTCAGCCAGTCTCCTCGGGCCTCTTCCCCAAGCTCTAGCGACTGTCATCGTAGTCATTCATACACCCTCCCTACAAAGAGCCTCTACGCCGCGGCTGCACCTATCGTGAGAGGCTGCGTATAATCTGGTGTCTTCTAGACCTGCTCCGCACCCCATCCTTGGTCTGCATCCCTCATATTCGCCGGCGGCTCAATGCTAGGGACAAATTCGAGAGCGACGTAGCCGATGCCAACGAGGACAATGAGTGCGCCAGCGGTATATCTCCACCATTTCCAGCCCATGGTGATGCTGCCCACAAAGATGTAGACTGTGGATGTGTTAGTTAACCCTCCTGCTTCTTGCCAGTGGCGTGTAGGCGAGACTCACAGATACCGCGGCCGATGAAGCTGAACATGAAGGAGGCATATCGGGCGAGTTGAGGTGGGATTTGGAACTCTATTGTCGCTTGTTAGTGCGCGCAGTTGTAGTCATTGGGGTGAGGTCCAGCCTACCAAGAAGAGCAGTCGCTGTACAATTCATTAGCACCATTCGTACTTCCACTGACATCACACGATATACAAACCAATGCCAAAGATAAACAGATAGACTGCGAGGATGATATTCTGCCTGTAGCCATTCCATGAGCCATTGTCCAACCCATGTCCAACAGATGTTCGACTCTTACACAGTAATGCTAGGCCAGAATTGTCCAATTCCACCCAATATCATGAAGACACCAACCAAAATGTTGACAATCCGGCTGTAATGCGCATTAGCAAGAGCTCCAGGCAGCTATCTCGTGCTTCGAGTCCCAAAGGCTGAAGTACTAACAAGATGTCGGAGAAGTCCATGGTCGCGTTGGAAGTCGTCTACGTGGTCGCGTTGATGTGAAGAATGGATTGGGGAGGTTGAGAAGTGCTGGAGAGGTCTTCTGGTGGTCTGGACTTGGATTGTTTGAGACAGTCGGCTCCTTTCTTGATCGACAAGCTGTAGCGACGAGACGGAAGCTTTGACCCAGCCACTTCTAAACACGTCACTTCCGCGACACAACGCCACAACACGAGGCAGGCACTTCACTTCACATGATAGGTCTAGCGCAGGCCTAGTCTCATGACAGGCTGGAGCCCAGTTCATGTGCCTGACGAGTGATCGGTCAAGCAATAATCCCTCGGCATCATACCAGATCTATAGCAATCCAACCGCAGCTATGTTACAGCTTCGCCAGTGTCGATGGCAGCGACTCATCGACAAGCTCCTTCGCAACCTGTGCAGCACCATAAGAGGTCTGATACCCATAGCCTCCATGCCCGTAGTTATGTACCACCTTGACGCCTTCGATGACCTCCTTCTCGACCCTCGGTCCGCCAGTACGCATAGGTCGCAGTCCCACGCCATGTCGAATAATACTCAATGCTTCGATGCCCTTGCCTTCCGGGACTAGTTTCGGGCACAAGGCGATTGCTCGCTTCATGATTCGAATGGCCAGATTGGGATCAACTTGGCTTTCCCAGTTGTCTTTTTGCAGACAGCCGCCTAGGATGCAACCACCTCCGGCTGCTCGATGCATGATATAAGTAGCCTCGTCCGGGCCATCATCCGTGCCAGAGACTGACGCCATGATGTGAGGGTCATTGCGGACGATAACGATCTGGCCTCGAGCTGGGTACACTGCTTTGTCTTCGACGCCGCCTAAGTGGAGCGAGAACAGCCCCGTGCAGTTGACTACCATATCAGCACGTCTGCCGGTGTGGTGTAGTTTGACTGCTTCAGCAACGTGGGAAACGATGCCACGTTGTATAACCACGCCATACTTCAGGCATTGGGATGCCAGCCAAGGAAGGTAGAGAGCTGTGTTGATACAGACGGAAGTGAAACCTGTAGCTCCGTCTATACCTTCTGGCAGATCGGACTTTGCCAGTACCCGGAACTGCTATACGTAAGTGAAACCGTCTCCTGTAGTTTTAATAGTATGCCTACGTTTGGTACGACATCTTTGAACCAGGCATCTTCTTTCAAAAGTTCGGCAACCCAGTCGCCGACTGCTGTACCGGTGTCTTTGGTTCGTCGATAGATGACGGAATCTTTGCGTGATCAGTACGAATGGCATGGCATGCGGTCGTCAGCAGTCCAATCTCACCTTGGAAGTGAATGCCAGACTCTGGCAGATCTTGTGCCAAGCGTGCAAGCTCTGGCCATGTATTCCTCTCATAGCTCTCAGATGGCGTTCCTGGTTTCGCAACACTAAACTTTGCATCAGCTCTGGTGATAGTCACTGCCTATCGTTGACCACTGTAGGCTCGTCTTCTGATCGACCGTGACTATGATGGTCGACCACTTGATTCCATGCCTTCGATTGACTTACGGCAAGTAGTTTGCACCGGCCCAAGGGGAGGCATACTCGATATCATAGTCTCCAGGCATGTGCTTTGCAACCACGGTGATGTTATTGGTGCCATCACGTGCGAGCAGCAGAGCCGTTGTCAGACCTGTCACCCCGGCTCTACATAAGAGACGTGGTGTAAGCTTCAGGTTGCCCTACATGTACCATCTGGTAGATCTCTAGACGACGAGCTTACCCGAGAATCACGATGTTCCGAGACATGACTGTAGATAGGAGGATTGGAGCATGGAAAAGACGGAACTCAGAGTATCATGGACATATACTGTAGTGAAATGTTCTCGCTGCAGTGTGCTGGCTTTGCTTGAGCGAGTGATTAGAGTTGTGGGTGGCTTGCTACGAACTCTCTTCGCCGTGCCTGCCTATCGCGTGTGATTTTGACTCATCACACGCAAAAAAAAACGTGCATAACAGCTCTCAGATGACAGCAAGCAGCCGAGTGAATGTGCGCGCACACGACTAATAACAAGAAGATAAATTGGCTGCCTGACACATAATCCAAAAGTCTTGGTATATGAAGGCAGCCTACCAGCAGTGTCAACGTCAACAGTGTCTTCGAGATCAAAGCTATATCGCTCAACGTCATCATTTGCATTATCAGATCCTCTCCTTGTACAGTATCTCGTGCCTGACCACCGGACCCAGATCTGCAGTCTGCACACGACCTCGAAAGTTTAATTGGCAGCTCCACGGATTACTTCTTGCTGTCTTACGCGATCTTTCTGCTCCGAATTAGCCTTGAAGCCGTGTGGGCGGCAGTCTTGGGGTATTACCGATAACATCGCTCCAGACTTGTTACTACGGTGAATACTGAGGGAGACGGTGAGGCACAGTGGGGAGAAACGACAGGTCGCCGAAAAAAGCGAGCTCTGCACTGCACCAGCACGGAGATCATCCACTGTTCTGCCGGCCCGAAGGGCGCTTTGCAGCTGCTTGCCCTGCTGCTACATACTGCTGCTGCTGCTGCTCTGGACTCAAATGGTGGTACATTATTTCACACTACCACTACCTTACTTTGCCTTACCACTTTTCCCATTTAGCCTCCTTCTTCACTTTAGCAGGCCTTGCACTTTTCTTCCTCCTGGCTTCGCTGTCATGACTGGCATATTTGCCTCACACACATCAACCAGTGCTTCTCCATGAATCTCCTCGCTAATTGGTTGTCAGTGGTGTCACTCCTGTTAGGGTGCCATGGGAGCTTCGGTGGATGAGTTCCCATTGCTGTCGGCGCTAGGTCTGTACGCTGCCGATATTCGAGGAGATGGTGAGTACATTCGCCTTGCTTTCACGTCTGAATGGTGCACAAGGTGGATTCGAGCCTGTCTGAGAGACGATCAATGCTCTGCCAAACGAAATGCTGACCTCGTCTGTCAAACAGGCAACTGTCTTTTTAATGCACTTTCCGATCAACTCCATGGCCACCAGAACGAACACGGCGTCATCCGCTCACGTGTAATCGACTACATGCGAGACAATGCAGCCTACTACAAACAGTTCATCGATGTGCACCCTGGTGGTGGCATTCGACGAAACCCCAAACGCAAAAATGCCGGCTCCTACTCGGCACCTGCCAACCTTGCACCACCCTCCGAAGCCGACATCGACCGTGTGTTCGAGAGCCATCTGTTAAGCATGGCAAGAGGTGGCACCTATGGTGACAACATGGAGATAACGGCGTTTGCATCAGCCTACGATGTGGATGTCAAGATCTACCAGAGAGACTTTGCGTACATGATCACTGGTGGTGGGGAGGACGTTGGTACTCGGCCAGTGGCACACATTGCATATCATCTGTGGGAGCACTACTCATCAATACGGAACCTCGACGGACCACATGCTGGGAAACCAGAAGTGTCACCTAAAGTACTCAGTCCGCAAGAAGAGATGAACCAGAGGGCGAAGCTGGCACAAACGCCACACGTTCTGCCTTGGCAGGTGGACGTAGTGTCGAAGTCATTACCATTCTTGGCGGACAAACCGACCATTAAGCGTGCGTTGGAAGCGGCCAAGGGAGACATCAACTTGGCAGTGTCAAACCTGATGGATGCGGAGGAGAACGGCAGTATGTCGTCACAGCCAGAGAGTTCGAGCGTTGAGCGGGATCAGGACACAGACGACGATGTGCATGTGGGTCCAAGCAAGAAGCAGGACAGACGGATGAGCAGAGCGACGAAAGGTAGCAAGCCGCGGAGCGCAGAAACGAAGCACGCTTTATCACATATCAGTGGCTACGATGGAAGTCAGGAGTCGATAGGCAGCTGGGAATCAGAAGGCTCGAGCGTGCCAGACGGCTCGCAGCAGAGCACACTCACACAACCGACAGAGCTAGACGACTCGGAGAACATCCGTGTAAAAGTCCCAGGCGAGGATGGTAATGCTTCTGGCTCAGCATCGCCGTCGAAGAAGCTGCCGCGTCTGAAGTTATTACCACCGCGGCCACCAGATCCTGCATTACGGATAGGCAAGACGTCGCAACGGCAGCATGGTCCACGCGTAACTGCGCGAGATCGTAAGAGCATGCAGAAGCAGGCACAAAAAGCTGCACGAAAAGAGCGTGCTCAAGCCGGGACCAAGAGCGAGAAGAGGACAGAGTCTCCGTCAGCCATCGGACTAGCACTACGAGCGAAAGGCATGACAGAGACGCCACCAGTCGAGACGCTGAGAACGCTCTACATATGACGGCATATAGACATAGCCGTCAGAGTGGTCATAAACCGCCACGCTACTCCTCCTCTGCCTTTCCTCGATCCAACTCTGACGCATGGACTTGACGACGAGATTTTTGGAAGTAACGCACGAGATACCCCTTTTCACGCGAAGTATACGGTAGCAAAGCATAGCGGGATTACGTGAAATGAACTCTACAGTCCGGATAGAGAAATCAGAGCATAGCGATGGCGCTGTGAAGGAATCCTAAGATTAGGACACGCATTGGTGGGGGGGGTTTTTTTTTTCATGGCAAGGCTGTAACTGCTTTTATTGCAGGCGGCTGCTACACACGTTGCCCTTAGGGTGTGCTGAAAGCTTCAGTCATTGTGGGATTGATGTGCAAGACGAGCTGAGATCTGCTCGGCACCGTATATCAACCACAGGAACTATGTTCCAATACTTCACAATCGAGCCCAGACTGTGTTGCTATACCTCGTTTCATCCCCGTACCCAATCTTCCTACCAGTGACAGCCAATTGGGCTTGACCTTTTTGCCATCTTGAATGGGACTCAAATCGTATCTGTTCACCTTGTTGTACGGGGAATGAAGCTGTGGGACGGCCATTGACGATCCATTGCGCTTCTAGCACAACGCCTGGGTCCCAACGCCCGGCGGTAGCCACAACACCACCCCATCGCGAGGTCAATGCAGGTGGGCTCTGTCTAGCCACAGCGGCTTGTCTGCCTCCTCGCTCAATGACCTCCGTCCAGTCATTGCCTCGACTCGACGCCTTCGTCACATCCGGCGAAAGCGGCGTCTTGCCATCAGGAGCATGATCTTCTACCCACTGCAGTGCCAACTCGAGGAAGTCCCAGGTCGTCCTTCGCTGATAATTGCCACCGTGCGGCTGGCCTTCAAGCACAGTCACGTTAGTCCAGCCATCGCCACCTTTGGCATTGACTCGCTTCTGGAACTCCAGGACGCCTTCGTTGAGGAAGTAGTCGTCGTGCGTGCCAACGTAGATGAAGATGCGGTTCTTGAGTACTTCGCCAAGGTTCTTGGGACCGCCCCAGTTCGAGGTGATGTAGTTTGACAAGTCGAATGACTTCCAGTATTCGACCGCAGCAGGGTAGATTTCGCCTGTGACTTTGTTCCATGGTTCGAGGGGGTAATTGTTGTAGCCTTGCACGCCGAAGACGGTGTTCCAGATATCCCACTGCAAGAATGAACGAGATGAGGTGCCTTGCGAGAGCTCCCAATGATTCTCCTGTGCGACTGTGGCGAGGTTGACTTGAGTGTCATTTTCGAATGTACGGATTGAGATGATCATGCTCCCGTTATCCCGTACATAGGCGTTGGCAGAGTCGTAGAGAGGGATGTCTTGATGTCTGTGAAAGTCGAGTGAGTCCGGATAGGATGTGAATGTCACACCGAACAGATCCGGACGGAAGACGAGACTAGCAGCAGATTCCCAGCCGCCAGTCGAGCCACCCTCTTGTACGCGGGCATATGGTTCTCCTATCGTGTTGAAGGTCTTGTCGAGATGTGGAATAAGCTCGTCGTTCAAAGCAACGCCATACGGCCCAATGTTGGCTGTGTTGACAGCGTACGAGTCATCGTAGAACGGTGTTTCATGGCGGAACGTGATTAATATCATCTTCGGTGTTTCGCGCGCCTCCATTGTGTCTGTAGCGTTGATCATGCCGGCGTCCCATTCAGAGGAGAAATTGGCTACTGGGTATCTGAAAGCGCCTTGGTTTGCCGTCCAGTGGTTTTGGTGGTATAAGACTGGGTATCGAGTAGACTGGTCTGTCTGGTTGTAGCCGAATGGTAGCAGTACGGTGGCGCCGACGTACATCTCGCGACCCCAGAATGTGGACAGAGCATCGCTACGAATCTTGATGTACTTCAGGAACTCAGTGTCCACATAATTGCCTTGCGAGCAGCCACCGATCTCGGAACCATTGAATTCCCCAGCAAGTACGGTGTCGTTGAAGGTGAGGCTGACGGTCTGCTCGTTGCCAGACACTTCGATGTCAGAGATTGTAGTTAGCAAGCTGCCGTAGCCACCGATTGGTGGTGCGCCATCGCCACAAGGGAAGCGAACGCTGACGACTGAGCCATCGCTGCGCGTCACGGTTTCGTAGATGTTCATGAATGCTTGGACACTGTAGTTGCCGCTTGGAAGATCCTGTAAGCCTACGAGAGGCCACCCATAAACACCTGTTCTGGTGGTGAGGTTGCTGCCGCCTGCAAGTGTTACCGCGCTGCCGGAGATCAAGCCTTGGACATTCTCGCCGTAGATATAGTCCAGAGAACTGGTGACGTCCGTATCGTCCAGAGGATCTGTTCCTTGAGGTGCGAAAAGTACTTCGATACGACCATTGGTGCTCTCGTTCAACAATCCATTGGCCACCGAGATATCCAATTGCAGTCCGCTGCTAGACGTTATCGACTGTGCGACAGCCAGAGAGGCGCTCCATGTCAGCCACGCTGAAAGCTTTCGTGCCAACATGCTTGGTGAGTAGAATCTGCTGACCGAAAACTCGGAAGGAATGAGCTGATGCTGCTCACCGCAGTAGCGCCTGCCATCTCGACATTTATTGTAGTTTCCATCCTGTCGTTGAGATGAATCCAAAGAAGGAAGGTGCGTTGCCTTATCGCACAGCCAAGGCACTACATGAGGTCCACCGTAAGCCGAGCATACCAAGGCCGTGGACTACCGTTGTTTAGAGCGTCAATCGTGTAAGGGCTCATTCTAGGCACGGACGCCATCACGAGATCGTCCCTTGACAGTCGTAAAGCAGCAGAAGCACCGTCGCCGAAGGGCGGAGGAACGCCCACGGTTGCTGGCTCAATCTCGGTGCTACGTAAGTCGCAATATTATTCACAGGTGTAAAAAATTTAGCATGACTCGTGTCAAAGCTGGGATGGTGTAGTTGGTTATCACGTCTGTCTAACATCATGCGGATGCTCCGCATTGCATGCATGGTGCACAGAAGGTCCCGTGAGTTCATACAACATCATGTTAATTTAAAACACCTCCTAATTCGGCCCTAGGAGTTCAAGTCTCGGTCCTAGTATCAAGATCCCGTATCCTTTTGCTCGTTTGTCCCTCCCGCATTCAAGAGTCGCAGAGAGAGCAAGCTGGTGGTGGTTTGCCACACATCCTGGCCAGCACGATACACATGGGTAGAGGCCTATTGAGGTCTTGTTGCACTAAGATCGCAATACGGCCCAAAAGGCACTCTTTTTGGGCCCATCGGTGGCCACAGCCTGCTCTACGGCACCACGTCTGGCTCACGTCACCGGTACCAAGACGACCACTGAGCAAGATGCCTCCAAAAGCATCCAAGAAGGCCAAGAAAAGCGATGAACCTGAAGCAATCGACCTCAAGCACCTCTCGACTCCCTCCTTGACCTCCCAGGAGCTCTGCATGTCCTACCGAATAGCCCGAGGTGAACAAGGCGTCCTGACCTTCGAACCATACAAATCTATGCTACTCCCCTACTGGCGTTTCAAAACAGTCCCCATAGCCGAGAACTCGTCCAAGAACCTCTGGTCCGCATTCGAGTATTTCCTCAAGACAGAAGACTTCGTGGGAGCAGACATGGCCCGAAAGTTCATCCAGATGGGTATGACGAGGGCTAAACGCTATGCCAACCATAAAGGTGGCAAAAAGTACGATCGTTCGGAGAGGGAGGTGACGAGGGATAGTGGCGAGAGGGTAGAGTTGGCTAAGTCGGAGGGTCATCAGGGCAGGGAGGAGAAGCTGGCTGCTAGTGAGGTGTTCAAGGCTGTTTGGAGGAGATGCACGAGTGACGAGAGGTATTTGGAGCTTAAGAAGGAGTTCTTGGAGGAGCAGAAGGTGTGGGACAGACAGGCAAAGAGGGGCGTGAAGAAAGAAGAGATCAAGGGAGAAGAGGTCAGTGTGAAGAAGGAAGGTGATGACTGAGGGATGCGACGTTTGTTGCTTCAATTGCGACTCTGCTATGCGGCTCTGAATAACAGCCATCGACGTGCTATACAGCTACATATGGGTATCACAATATTTTATGCTATACACTCCGACAGGCCTATTTCAGCAGGCATTACAAGAAGTATTCCGCCACTGGCTTTTTCGCCGGCATGCCACGACTGTCCTGCGGCGCCGCTTCGAATACTCGATATCTCCGCCCGGGGCCTTGCCTTTGCTCGATTCTCTCCGCCAAAGGCCCGCCTTGACTCCGCCCGACATCACCATTCGTTCTCGGCGCATAGCCAGCACCAGAACCATCTTCACCTAGCTCCAGAATAGCCGCTACATTACCGCATCGATAGCAGTAATTAGGCGCGGACCACACAGTGACGATACTGTTGTCGAACATCTCCTTGAAGCCTTCCATCACTAACTGGTGCGCTCGGCAGATGAGGGAGAGATCATTTTTGTGGTTGAAGCACTTCACAATGTCTGCGCCGAACAGAAAGCCCGCCCCTCGCGGTGACAGACCCCAGCCATCAATTTCATCCGGATCGGACCAGAGGAGATCGCACATGGCGCCTTCGTGCGGCACTTCTTGTTTGCGGTCGAGCAGTCGGATTTTATCAATGCTATCGATGAGAGGACTCAAGCCGCCGTGGACGCAAAGCACGGCACTACCAGTGTTGTTTGAGCTACCTCGACTGGCGGATGAAGCGCCTGTGCCTGGTGCACCGTTCCGCGAGGGTGTCTGCTCTAGACTTTGTGATGGCGAAGAGGGTGTGTTGGAGATTTGTGATAGATCCTGCGATCCTATGTAATTGTTCCGAGGAAAGCGATTGATGATTTGTCCCGCCGAGTTGAGTATCTCGATCTCGATCTCATCTGGCTCGGACAATGCAGTGGCTTGAGAGTTCGGGTCCTGGAAAGTAGCATCTGTCGGCTGCAGATCGGTGGCAGCTCCCATGACCAGTGCACCAAGTGCTAGGTAGTCGAACACCTCACAGCAATATCGCCACACGTTTGCGCTCCCGTACTTCCTTAAGCATTCGTCATAAAACCCATATACAGTCGTGATCTGCCGTGATTCGTGGTTACCTCGTATCAATGTTATCCGGTCCGGGTATCGTACTTTTAAGCATAGAAGAAGTAAAAAGGATTCCAATGAGTAGAAGCCACGATCGACAAAATCGCCCATGAAAAGGTAGTTGGTGTCCGGCACGTCTCCGCCTACTCTGAAGAGCTCCATGAGATCGTGGAACTGGCCGTGGATATCACCGCAAATCTGCGCGCAAGTGTCAGATCAAGGCCGGCCTCTAAGATTCTGAATACAGCACCTACCGTGACTGGCGCATCAACGGACACCACGTTACCCTCCTCTATCAGAAGCTCTCGTGCCTTGTAGCATAGCTCCCGCACTTGATTCTCAGGTATTGGCCGGCATGCCCGAAGCTGTGCGATGGCTCTGTTGCTTGTTAGAGTCCATGTCCTGATAACGCCTGATGGTCGCGTGCTCTTACTTGTCCAGGTCGCTCATCTTGCCTCGCGCGTCCGATGGCGCCTACACTTCTCCCGCTCTCCCCAGCCCCTCTTGTGGCCAATTCAATTTACTCCAGTGCTCTCACCTAGCCGTTCCAGGAGCAACGCTAAGTCTTCTTCCCGGCTTCCTCTCGATATGTCCCTGGCGGAAGATTCTTGGTTCGTGGCGGCACTGCTGGATGCGGAAGATGCAGTGGCAAGTCCTTGCACAAGATCAAAAGTGTCTTTGTTGTTAGTACATACAGATCGCGACGTCGTCTGTCTTGGAGATGGGGCTTTCAATGCATATCTGCTAAATTGATGAGACATAGAAACCACGATCTGACGTTGCGCCGGATCTACCCGCTGCCAAAATCGCGTGCCTTCTCTGTCTGGACTCGTCGTCTTCTCCTTGCCTCACTGCATCACACAAGTACGCTACGTAAAGTGGCCAGTGGATTGACGGCCCTGATAAAATCCTCGTCTGATACAGAGACAGCGGCATGATGCAAGCTATGGGCTGCTAATAGCGATCATGCATATACTGGAAGAGAGACATGCATGTCCGTCGCGAAGCAGTGTATCGCAACTACTGTCCCACATCTGGAGACCTCCCCAAGCTGACAGAATCCATCAGGCGAGACTGCACTTAGGTCCTCAGTCCACATGTCGATGTCTAAGCTCGCTTGGCTTGGGAATTAGCTGGTCGTTCGACTTCCCAATGCGTCAAATTGGGAGCTCGCATCTATGCCATGGCGCTTACTCTGAACACATTACTCAGGCTCGGACACTTCTGCTCCTGTGCGAGATGGATTCTGGCTGCACCCCGGTTTACCAGGACATTGCCTAAGCCCCTCACACTTCCATGTTCTAGCTTCGCCAGCTCGCTACCAATGTCAAGGAAATAAGCCGGTCTCACGTATCCCTGACCAGTCTCGTTGCAGGATCATCGCTATCTTCCATGCAGTATCGAAGCCAAGCACCACACCATGGCCCAGGAACGGTGGCAGGATCTGCATAAGCTTACAACCCCGCACAAGATATACGTACCTTCCTCAAGTACAGCGGACTACAGGAGCTCTGTCCGTGGTGAGCATATGTATCAAGGCAAGACCTCCTCCGTAGTACAGAACTGTATTCTTCTACCGGCGACAGATCAAGGTATTGTTGCATTCCACTTTCATATCCCCTCAACATGGCTTCGTTCAAAGGGTACGACCTCATTGTGGTTGGGTCCGGGTTTGCCGGTTCCATGGCCACCCTGAACTTCTTGGAGGAGTGCAAGAAGCAGAAGAAGAACGGAAGAGTCGCCTTAGTGGAGGTGGGTAAGGACGGTGAGCGCTGTGGTGCCAGCCGCTGGACTATGGCATATCTCAGACTGGACAAAAACTTAGACTTTGGTATGTGTCCTAGAGTGCTATCTGCAGTGCTGCTACTAACCGTGCATAGATGAGGACTGGGTCAAGGAAATGCGACTGGTCAGCAATGGACTAGCAGATGAGGACTATTGCAACAAGCTCTGCAAAGAAGCCCCAGTCACGGCCAAATACCTACAAGAGCACGGCGTCAAGTGGGTCCACCATGACGAGACCAATGTCTTACTCGAGTTCAAGACCGACCAGCATTTCGTATTTCCAGAAGGTGGCGGGAAAGCTATCATCGCTAAGCTCTTTGAGCATCTGGGCACGTACGACAACTGCGACGTTCATTGGGAGACCGAGGCAATCAAACTGATTACAGATGATACGGGCGCCATTCGCGGTCTGAAGGTCAGGAAGAACGATGGGTTGCTTCACGATCTCCTCGCACCCAACGTCGTACTCGCATGTGGAGGCTTCGAGGGCAACAACGAGATGCTGTCACGGTATGTTGGCCGGAACACTCACTCACTACCTCTGATCGCTCCTGGTTTGAAGTACAATCGCGGCGCGGGTCTTCGCATGTCTCTGGAGGTTGGTGCTGGGACCGCAGGCAGCTTCGATGGCATCCACTGTGAGCTTGTTGATACACGAGCTGGCAAGCCGGACGCGGTGATCTGGGGTCATAACTACGGAATTGTTGTAGGTATCCGATGGCTGTTTATTAATGCTCAAAGTGATGGCTGACACTGTTCATCTGTGCCTTATAGGTGAACCAAGCCTGCAAGCGCTTCTACGACGAAGGAAAGCGCCATCTATTCGCCACCTTCGAGATGATCGCTTTGGAGTGCTGGAAGGACCAGAACCAAAGCTGCTTCTTCGTCACAGACCAAGACATCATGACCCGCTTCAAGGGTAGCTGGGTTTACGACACCACTGACAAGCCACCAGAGCAAGCGGACACAATCGAAGAGCTCGCCGAGAAGATGGGACTAGACCCCAAGGAGCTGAAGAAGACTGTAGACGATTACAACGCTGCTGTGAATGACAATGAGTTTGATCTGATGAAGCTTGACGGCAAAGCCACAACTGGTTTGTCGCCAAACAAGACAAATTGGGCGAACAAGATCGTCAAGGCTCCCTTTTACGGCTACCCAATGACTTCCAACCTCACCTTCACGTAAGTCTTGCTTCTTTCGCACCATCAAGAAGAGAGTACTCACCGTCCTACAGATACGGAGGTGTGAAGACCGATCTTAACGCTCGTGTCCTATCTACCAACGACATTCCGATCCCCGGCCTGTGGGCAGCAGGAGAGATGACTGGTCAGTACAGCATGCTCTTAAGCTAATGTGAGACTCCGAAGTGCTGACTATTTTTTTAGGCTTGTTCTACAACGAGTACCCTCCAGCCACGTCTTGCTTGAGGAGTATGACGTTTGGCAGGCTGGCTGGCACAGAGATAGCGCAGTACTTGGGCAAGAAGCAGGGAACGGCAAGTGAGAAGGCTATACCTTCTGAGCAAGATGCTGTCAGGTCGGATAGTCCGTTGCAAGATATGAAGCAGCATACACTAAGGGGTGAAGGTGTGACCGCTCATTGATAGGGCCGGAGATTGTATTCAGTCCCCGCAGTGCGAAACGATGTTGTTTCGCCATTGGATTGTCTTGTGTCGTTGTGTACCTTCTTAGCATAGCCTACCACTATCTGTTCGCATTTCATGCATCGCGTGTGTATTGGAATTATCGAAGTCGCCGTACCTGACTTTGGGATCCTTCGATGTGGAGCCGACTCCGCAAAGTCAAGCGTGCACTTCCTCCAGCTTTCAACTCTCCCTCCAATGCACTCCATTACGACCCGTCTAACTCGATACGCTATTTCGCAACAAAAGACGACCACTGTATCGGGATCCTGAGCTCGGGACTCGGCCACCCGATGTCTCCTCAGACATATGTCCTCTTCGACATGCTGTAGAGCACAACAGGTGTCATCCGCACGCGTTCCTTCGCGCAAACAAGGTACCTTAGCCATGCACATGCACGACCTGCTGCAATGCTACCATCCGCTGTCTCGCGAGTTGCCTGTTCCTGCGTACTGGGTGTCGATCAGTGGCTAGTCATCATATCCCCCGCCCTGACATGTGCATGGTAGGGTGCCGAAGTGCTTCATCTCGTTGCTTATCTATGGTAGCACCTCTTCCGCTTGAATCTCTACACCCCAAGCATGTTCACCATGCAGTCTTACCCAATATTGTTATTGCTTGGGCAGCTTGCCAGCGCTCAAGTCACTGATCCTCTGCAATACGTGGATCAGCTTGTTGGCAGCTCCAATGGCGGAAATGTGTTCTCTGGAGCTACACTGCCTTACGGTATGGCTAAGGCCGTGGCAGACACTAACAGCTCATCGAATCAAGGAGGCTTTACCACAGATGGTAGCAACGTAACAGGATTCTCCTCGATGCACGACAGTGGGACCGGAGGTGAGTTCTAGGTCGGGTGAAATACAGGCAGCCACACTAAGTAAGGTCCCAGGCAATCCTTCACTTGGTGACTTCGCTCTCTTCCCATATACTGGATGCGTGAACGATACAGTCGACGGCTGCATCTTCCCAAAGCTCGATCGTGCCACGCCTTTCGTCAACAGCTCTCTTCAAGCCTCGCCTGGCTATTTCAGTCTGACCCTGCAGAGTGGCGTCAACGTAGCTATGACTACGGCACAACATACTTCGCTCTTCAGATTCACCTTTCCTTCGTCCACAGCTCCAACATATGGCAACACTTCTACCCCATCGAACAGCCCGCTGATCCTGCTAGATTTGACGGACCTTGCAGACTCGAGACAGGACAATGCTACCATCAGTGTCGATGCGGCTACGGGACGAATGACGGGTAGCTCCCGATTTCTCCCTTCCTTCGGTACTGGCAATTACGTAGCATACTTCTGTGCCGACTTCTCTGGACCAGCAGTCCGCGACAACGGTATCTTTGTCAACAGCAGAGCCAGTTCAGATGTTAAGATCCTCACAATCTCCCGAGGTATCAATAGCAGACCTCTGCCTGGAGGAGCTTGGGTCCGCTTCAAGGACAGCAGTCCCGTCACAGTACGCACGGGCCTCAGCTTCATCTCGTCTGACCAGGCCTGCAGTCTCGCTGAAAATGAAATTCCAGCTTTCGACTTCGACGCAACTCAATCTGCAGCAGTGAGTGCATGGAGGGCTAAGCTCAGTCCAATCAGTGTCGCTACCACCGGCCTGAACAAATCTGTGCTCAAGAACTTTTACAGTGGCATCTATCGGACCATGGTCAACCCGCAGAACTATACCGGTGTTATTCCACTCGTGTCAGCAGATGAGATATGGTTCGATTCCTTTTACTGGTAAGGTCAATACAATGACATCGTACCATCGGTTGCTGATCATTTCTCAGCATTTGGGATCTTTTCAGATCACAACTACCGTTCTTGACCATTCTCGACACATTTAGCGTAGTCGACATGATCAATGGGATGCTGAGTATCTACAAATACCAGGGGTGGCTTCCAGACTGCCACATGAGCTTATGCAAAGGCTACACGCAAGGTGGAAGCAATGCCGATAATGTCATCGCCGATGCCTTCCTCAAGATCAATAACTCTGGCATTGACTGGGACCTGGCATATGAAGCCGTGAAGAAGGATGCAGAGGAAGAACCTTATGATTGGTGCTGCGAGGGCAGAGGTGGTCTTGATAGCTGGAAGAGCCTCGACTACATACCAGTCCAGGATTTCGACTACAAAGGATTTGGCACCATGACTCGTAGTGTGTCCAGAACATTGGAGTACTCTTACAATGACTTCTGCATTTCACAGCTTGCCAATGGTCTTGGCAATCAAGGCGACCAAGAGCACTATCAGCAGACGAGTGAGAACTGGGCCAACCTCTTCCGCAGCGATCAGACCTCATACACTTCCAACAATACCGACACAGGCTTTACCGGCTTTTTCCAACCGAAGTATTTGAATCAGACATGGGCTTTCCAGGATCCTTTGCATTGCAGCAATATCGACACGGATCCGAACTCGATCTGTTCATTACAAAATAATGCTGCCGAGACATTCGAAAGCAGTATCTGGGAGTATAGCTTCTTCGTTCCACATGATCAGGCTCGCTTGATCAGCACATTTGGCGGGCCGAAAGCGTTCGTGCGCAGACTGGACTATCTGCACGATCAGAAGATCACATATATTGGCAACGAGCCAGCTTTCTTGACAGTGTTCCAATACCACTACGCTGGCCGACCAGCACTATCAGCGAAGCGGAGCCACTTCTACATCCCGCAGTACTTCCAACCAACACCAGATGGTCTGCCTGGTAATGACGACTCCGGTGCCATGGGCTCCTTCGTAGCGTTTTCCATGATAGGCCTCTTTCCGAATCCTGGACAGGACGTCTATCTCATCACGCCGCCTTACTTTGCTTCTGTCAATATCACTAGTCCTGTCACTGGCAAGACGGCATGTATCAGGAATGTCGGATTCGATGCTTCGTACCAGAACATCTATATCCAGAAGGCAACGTTGAACGGAGAGCCGTATACCAAGAACTGGATTGATCATTCTTTCTTTACGGAAGGGAAGGAGTTGGTGCTGTATCTTGGACGGAACGAAAGTAGCTGGGGTACTCATGTGGCGGACTTGCCCCCTAGCCTCAGCGCATACCAGGGATTTTAGCATATATAATGATCTGGACATGGACAGACACTTATGGAGTTTTGTAGAATTGTCAGTCTTCTGGCTCAACCGATTGCTGTCGTCAAGAACAAGCTCCAGCATTCGATGCTAGCCAAAATGCTGACTACATTCTGAACATTCAAAAGTGTCCGGAATGTCGAGACCGCATGTTGGTAATGGTCACGATACCATCAATACGCTTTCGGCCATATCGTTAACTACCAGGTAGAAAAGGTGGGGCAGGCGATGACAATTCTAGAGACGCATGGAGATAGCAAACCAGGATAGCTCTAATCGCCGAGGCTTCCCATTACTCCAGATAGTCGTGTCATCGTTTGTTGGAGCACAACATGTCGTCCTACGTCCCACCACAGCCGCCTTGTCGCACTGTCCGGCTGCCGCCAACATCGCACCGCATATATGGCATCCCCCGCAGCTACACCTACACCTACACCAACACCATGTCCTGTGCTCGAACTCAGCCATGAGCTTCTGCATAGTATCTTCCTCCAGGTTGATCATCCGTCCGAACTCGCAAAATTGAGCTTGACATGTCGAGACTTCAATCACTACATCAGGAGTAATCGGCTACTGCACAAGGAGATATACGTTCGACGATATGACGAGCCCAAGCTCGACAGACCAGGTGATGAGGAAGCAGACTGGGAGCAGGACTTGCATGACTTAGTAAAGCTGGAGCGGCTGCTGGAGTGCGAGGGGCGGGAGCAGAAGCTGAAGAAGCTGGACTATGCTCAGCGGCATATCATGCGCCTAATTGAGACCGCCAACCCAGACCAGTCGTCGAACATCGAGCTACTTCGCAACCACTTCGTCCGGTCTGAGAACGCCGATGCCTTCCTCTGCTCCAGCTCCCTCTTCGCCCGAGCCGGCAACGAGCTCCAACGTGCAGCACCTACAGAAGAGCTCCGACAGGCTTCGGCAAAGCTCCATTGCATGTTTGGCGTGCCCATAGATCAGGTTCCAAGTCGATCCTCTTCCTCTCAAGCCCAATCCGATGTCTCACTCTCGCCATCAAGATGCACACGCCTCCAGATGCGACCATACCCCACCCACACCTACGCGCGAAGTAAAGTCTACGATCTACGAGAATACACCGATGCTTCGTTATGGGGTCCCTTTCTGAACGATGGCTCGCAGCGCGTAGACTGGGAGAAAGTAGAAGCCGTAATGATAGTCCTAGGCTTCAACCTCAACCGCTTCACCGAACGATCAGACGGCCGCTGGCAAAGAGTCTGGGACACTCCCTTCGAAGGCGCAGCATCGAACTCGTACCGCAGTATATCCTCTCCCACGGCAGCAGTCTCCAAAGACCTCGAGGTAGCCGAACAAGACGCATCCATGCTTAAGATCCGTGAACTCGCCGCCTCCCTCGATGCCCAAGATCCCTATGGTGTGAGTGGCACCTGGATGCGCGTAGTCTGTTTCCTAGACTACAACGACCTCTACGCCTATAACTTCACCACTCGCACAGCATCAGGCGAGCCCCGGCCACCAGTGGACACGGAAGAAGGTTTGATTGACCTGGCTGAGACTGTACGTAATCTCCACATGCTGATGTTTTGAGTTAGCGATTCGTCTAATAAAGATCAAGTTGCAAGTTACGAAGATCCTGCCACCGGGCAGTGGAGACGAGGATGATGAGGGTTATAATGAGGAGACTGGTGGGGACGGTTTGAATTGGAGTGCGTTCAGGGGCGAGAGATTGCCGATTGTGCATTTCAGGGGGAGCTCGAGGAGTTTGCATGCTAGCTGGGATCCGAATGCTAACAGCAAGATACGAGGTTTGTGCTTTACATCCTAGCTTTGGTGTTCGAGGAGACTGATGAGGATGTGTAGGTACTGTACGGCAAACGCCCGAAGGAGAGATAAGATGGACAACCTTCTCGATATTCCATGGCGAGGAACGGTGGCGGTCGGAAGGTATACAGGTGGGAGGTATACGCAGTGCACGTGGGGTGTTGGGCAACTGGTTTGACAAGTGGGAAATCAATGACAAGCCTCTGCTGATGCGAGATCGTGCTAACGAGAGATGTGCAGAGACTACGATATCCATGGCCCAGCTGGCCCGACCGCTTTCTGGAAACTCACAGATGATCTTGACGAGGAGAGGAATAGCAGTATGCCCCTGGCGTATTACTGATAATTCGGGGAGTGTTTAGATCTGTTCATGACTGATAGGATTGGCACCAATACTTTGATGCCACGAATAGGATGGTAATTGATAGCAACCTGTGGCAGACCTTGAACGACTTAGGGACGAAGCAGACACGACTTCAACGTTCTCGTGTAGTGTATAGCTTGCAGACAACAGTAATCTTCATCCGATTCATCTCCCAACATGACGGCTAGGTGAGCATGGGCTCTTGCGGCTTCCAGTATCACACGAACATACGGCGGCACGAGTGCTCATCTGGCATCGATGCATGTAGGGTCGTATCAGAATCACCGGGCCCTTCAGGACGGAGACCCGAATGACTCCATTTTTACAGCTCGTTAGCTACACATCTAGGCCCGGATATGCTCTTTTCAGTCACCATCCTCATATTCCCTATTGCAGCCTCTGCTCGCCCTGTTGGGGGATCTTTGGGTCATTCCTGTAAGCCATGTCCCCATCTCGCATCGTGGTACTGCCACCCAGGGTGCTGTTGCCTGTGGTGCCACTAGACTGCATGTTCTCCCTGAGCCCGGCAGTGGTGCTAGTGCTCGTACCAGCAGTGCCGACACCGGCGGCTTGCTCGCGGTGAATCTCTTCCTCCGTCTTCTTGTTGCCGGACATGATGAGCTTGTTTAGGAAGGAGCCTTGTTTGCCGTAGGGTTCGTTGGACTCTTCGGCGTGGGCATACTCGCGGTTAGCGTGGCGGTGGGTCTCGTCGTCAAGGTCCTCGGGGTCGTGGTAGTCGTTGAAGTCGGCTGGAATGGTTATGTTAGTATGGTATGCAAGAGTGGGTATGAGTATATTGCGTACGGTTCTTGTCGTGCAGCGACAACTTCCGACGGAGCTTCTCCCTGATGTTCTGCATTTTGATCACGTGTGATGGGTGACTCGTGGATTGAAGTGGTGTTCTTGATATCTAGCACAGACGGTTGATGTGATCTCGTGCTCCAATGTCTACTGTGAGCAGCAGTCCAGGTACGAAGTGGAGGTGAGCAAGTGGAAGGCACAGCTCTCGGCAGAAACGTAATGGCACGTGGGGCACAAGACGGGAAGCAGCAGGAGCGAACGTCTGGTCCCTTCTTCCAAGAGCGGGGCAAATATCAGATCTGACGTCATCATAATGGGTAGTTCCTGGCCTGGACAGAAGCCACCGCCACTTTGAGGAGACGGCTCAAAATATTCCTATTGGCTGTCGCGGACCTTTCTCTTGGGTATTAACACTTGAGGCTAAACTTACGCGTCTTCCACAATGACCATGCGTCTGCCGTCAACAACAGACATGGCACATATCTGACTGACCCACAAGGACTGCCGTCGATAGCCATGCTGCACGAAGTCCTGCTAGCCTTGTCCGGACATCCCTCGCCTCTGTTCGACAAGGGTGGAAGGCACGACAATCCAGATCTGCACTCATTGCTCTCTCCGTCTGAAGCAGCATTGCTGAAAGGCATTGGAAGACTAGCGGAACACCACCGTCAGCTTCGACGACATGCCAAGTGGATTGCCTCAAAGCATCGGTCTACGATCTGCCGTGCCGTGGCAACATGTATACAAGAAACCCATCTTGCTCGCTTTCAGAAGAAGATTCTAGCAGTTGAGAGCAAGATACTAACCAAGGATCCTACTATCGTCGGTGCCTACGATATCGTACCTCTTGCAAGCGTCGCTGCTGAATTCGATGACTGGCATCGGCTGATGCAATGGCTATGGGACATCACATGTTCCATGCAGCCAGATGGCTCAGATGATGTCGCTGCTGGCTGTACTGGCGCCGCTCTGATCAACAGACTACGGAATGAAACAAATACTGGCTTCCCTGAGATTGGGCAGACAGCGATAGGTCTGAGCACCGTCGCTGAAGTCGCGTGGCTGAGGCAACTTTCTCCTTGGCTTGTGTATGGAAAGCTGCCGATACACAGCACGGTCGACTTCTTCGTCAAGCTCGAGGCGACGAGCAACGGCGGTCAGCCTGCTTTCACCAAGGACAAAGATCTCCTCCCATGCTTCGTATCTCCCGCCACAGCATCATCGATCTTATTCGTTGGCAAATCCGTCCGTCAGGCTGGAAGCGCCGTACCACAAGGTCCAAATCTATATCGCGGCAACATCGACCAGCAGCTTGCTGCGACGCATCTCGAAAAGCTCAGCTCCCTGCCTCTACCAATCAATCCGGCACAACTATCGCGGGCTGTCTCCGCTGTCAGACTATCACTCTCTCATAACGTTCTACAGCATTTGTTACCCATGGGTGACATCACGTGTCTGCTGACTTGTCTGCGGCGCTACTTCCTGCTTGGGCATGGAGAGTTTGCTACGGTCTTGATCGACGAGGCAGAGAGGCTTGTGACTGGCCGGCAGCAAGGAACGAGTCGTCTACTGCAGCAAGATCCCGTCAAAGGTCTCCAGAGCCTGTCGATCAAAGATCCAGAACTCAATCAGACGCTCACTTCGACGTGGAAAGTGCTTGCACGAGATGACGAGTTGGGTAGCGATGATACGCTGGACTTTGCACGGAAGCATACTACTCTCGAGACGCCGAAGACAGACTTTAAACGTCCCACATCAGCTGACGGCGTCAGAAATTACTCACAGACCATCTCCCCTGTCGAGTTTGGTGATTTGCTCTTCCCAACCACAACGATGCTGCATCTCGACGCTGGTCCGCCCTTAGATCTCTTAGTTTCGACTCAAGATGTTAGAAACTATGCCAAATTTCACTCGTACATCCTTGGTATACGCAGGGCGCAGTACAAACTGGCCAATCTTTGGCGACGGACTAGTTCGCGACGTGGTGACACTGGTAAGCGGAAGCCAAGTTCCGGATTGTCGACAAAGCATGACATGCGCAAGATCTGGGCTACCAGCAGTGCAGCATTGTTCCTCGTCTCGGAGACGGCGGCGTACTTCGAAGGCGATATTGTCCGTGAATCATGCGACCACTTCGAACAGTGGGTCAAGCATCCTGTGGCAGGTGAAGACACGGAGTTATCAGCCAGTAGTGTCCACAGCAAGGCAACGGAAGTGGCACAAAGGGATCCCGAGACGCTCGCTGCTGCTCATCGAGCCTTTTTGGCGGCTCTCACATATGCACTTTTACTTACAGATTCCCAATACACTCGCGAGCTGCGTTCCCTCCTCGGCAACATTGACGCACTGATAGCGTTCTTCAATCGCTTCCTAGATATCCAACAAAAAGCAGATGTCGGAAGTGAAAGCTCTTACACCACGGCAGAACAGCAGAAGATGGCATTAGAGCTCGATCGAGCGAGAAAGAAGGTCGACAGTGATTCGAGATCTGTAGTCAACCGTCTACGACAGCTCGATCGTGACAGGCTTGGCTCGCAGCGGTACTTGCATGTTCCAGTGCAAGAGAGCGGCGGATTTGAGCCGTGGAAAGGTGGTGGTGTTGATCGCCTGCTTATGAAACTGGAATTTGGGAGGATGAGAGATGAAGAAATGGGCTGGGACGTAGTATAGATGCAATGGCTCACATGAATGATGAGATCGGTAGTGGGCGCACATGGTGCAGCCTTGCAGCTTTTGAGGTCTACACTCACGATGAGAAACCTCAAATAAAGCTAATCGGTTTCCCGGGACTTTTGTAACATATGCCCTGCTTCCACACGTGACTGACATGATCAGGTCCAATTAGTATCTTGATATCTTCGAGTGGATTGGCATCCACGCCAATAAAATCCGCATCATATCCTTCCTTCAGCTGTCCCGCCTTTGGTGCTTGCGGCCCCAACGTCAATGGCCCATTAGCCGTCGCAGCTTCGATAGCTTGCAGTGGTGTCATCCCAGCCTTGACATGATAGTATAGCTCCATCGCATTTAGCCCCTGGCGGACAAGCTTGCTCAAAGGATTTCCTGGCGGGAGTGTACCAGTCGAGTCTGTGCCGATGGCACAAGTGACGCCTTTGCGGATGGCCGTTTGCATTGCGTTGAACTGATGTGCTGCTATCTCCCGCAGCTTCGCGTACCCTCTTGAGGAGAAGAAGTCTTTGTTGGACTTCAACCCGTTCTCCACGATCAAGCGAGTGGTGACTAGGATGGCATTCTTCTCAATCATGAGATCGGCAGCTTCATCGTCGAGATAGCTGCCGTGCTCGATCGTCTTGACCCCGGCGTGTAAGGCTGCCATGATGCCTGCTTTGCCATGACAGTGAGCGCCAATAATCCTCTGGGCACGAGCGGCCTCTTGGACCATCGCTTCCATCTCTTCCGAGGAGAATTGCTGATCTACTGGATTATCGAGCTCTGAGCCCACGCCTCCGGACCCGCAGATCTTGATCACTTTGGCGCCAGCGCGGAGTTGCATGCGCACAATCTTGAGACACTCTGGTACGCCGTCTGCCGTTTGGAACGGTGAGCCGTGAGCGCAGAGGTCGTCGAACCAGGGTTTGGGGAGCGGATGCAAATCTGCATGGCCACCTGTGGGACTATATCATGGGAGATCAGCGCGAGTCATCGTGCTTGGAGACGAGCAGCGATACCTGATTATGCTGTTCGAGCTATAGATCTTCGGACCAACTAGACTGCCTTCTTCTACTGCCTCGTCAAGCTGTATACCACAGCCCTACAAGATCGTCAGCCGGGCCGTTCGTCCAAATTATGCACCCGACGCAAGACTGACCGCCATCTCCCGCACGCTGGTAAACCCAGCATCCAGCAGGCGCATCAAATCAGGAGCACACCTTGCGCCAGTCAAGGCTTGTTTCTGTTGACTCTGTAGTATGGCATCCCAAGCCACCGCTTGCACGGCTATGAAGTGGACGTGGCAGTCCCACATCCCAGGCATGAGTACTTTGACATTGTACTTTGGGAGGTGGGAGTACTCTGTGGCGATTGAGCTGGAGTGGCCGACTTTGGTAATCTTGTTGCCTTCCACTACGATTGAGCCATTCGTGATGGGGTCGCCTTTGCCTGGGATTAGAAGTTCCGACTCGACGATGAATTTGTCTTTCTTTGGCTCTTCTTCTTTGGTCCACGATCCGTCTTCAATGCTCAGGTCTTCCATTGAGCTGGCTGCGGCTGGACCGCTGGTGAGGAATGGGTTGCCGCGCATGATGAGTGACTGTTAGGAAAGGAACAGCCGGCAAAGCTTGTGATGAGGAGAGGTACAGACATGTACGTCGACTGCTTCGTACAGTAGCCGATTACAGCTGATGCACGACCTGCTTCTTTCGGCAAGATAGATGCAGGTACCACTTGCAAGAGGGGCCGCCGACGATCATTTCGCTTGGAGATGACTTCAAGAGCGCCCTCTGGCGCTGACCTCAATGATCGTGATGTCAATACGGGATCTATGTAGATTGTGCTGTGCTGACAGAGAGCGAACATGTCCCACGGAGACTGAACAATGTGGTGCAGCTGTCGAGCAGTTGTGGTCCCGCCACTTCTGCAGCTGAATCTGTTGCACATATTGATAGAGCTGATACTCACCACGCTCAACTTTCACTGCGTCCTCTCGACACACATGAGGAGATGTCAGAGCTTCCATCTGATTTGATCGAAGGTTTCTGAAGAGACGAAAAATATGGCTTCTTCGCCTGATGCGGCTGTTATCGATCTTGCCACCAAGCCCAAGGACCATCTCACAGCACTCCCATCAGAGCTACTGCACCTCGTCTTTGATTATGTTTTCCCAACACATATAGAGGACATCGCCTTCCTCCAGGAAGATGTACTGGTACGGCTGAAGAAGACCCCACATGATCTCGAGAAGCTCGCCATGACCTGTCATTCCCTTCGCGACGAACTCGATGCATGGGCAAGACATTGGGTCATCTCTCATGCCGAGATAGCTCGCTACAAGCCACTGAAGAATCAAAAGAAAGAATCGAGCCGTCTTATGCTGCGTGGTAAGGGTGGACTACTGACCTGGAAAGCAAAACACTGCATCTTCTGTGGCAAATACTGCTCTCGCTCCGCGATCCTCTCAAATGGCTTCCGCTGCTGCACGAAATGCGATCTGAAGCACTGGCCTGACAAGATTACAAAGACGCAAGCCAAGGAAGAGTTTAATCTACGCGACCATCAGCTCCTGCCACAGCAGCACAGTCCAGTCCTGGTCAAGCACGGCGCGAATAAGTTTCCCCGGCTTCGCTATGGTACATGCATGACTTCAAACATCCGTACGACGATGTTTTTGCGTGAGGACGTAAGGAGGCTGGCTGAAGCGATCCATGGTGATGTAGAAGCACATATGGCCGCTCAGAGGCGTGCGGCTGATGCTCGGAAGAGAAAGATGGAGGCGAATGCTGAGAAGAAACGGCAGATGGACGTCGAGTGGATGAGGCTCATTGCTCAGTCGACCTACTAAGAGTGAAGTTGGTATCGGTTGAGGTGGCCTCGGTTCCCACGATATCTTGCGTGGGATTGATAGCGATGATGATTTGGTTGACTTTGGCTTGAGCGATAACGATACCCGCCATGACCGTAATATACATAGGAGCGATCTTGGACATATGGATCATGCATTGCTTCATTACCTCTCCTCTCCAGAAGTAAAACTGTTTGCTTTCTGTTCCGGGCGGAAGCCATATCATGGCGTCCGTGCACGGCCCATTCAGGCATCTACGTCAAGGCAGGGTCTCGTTGACTCAAACAGCATTAACGTTACACTTTGCCGCCGCGATTACAAAGGCCTATTTCTGACCCACCTTCTCTGCCCAGAATCGCATTCAGTGACCACTAGAACTCCACATCTGTCTCATTGACTAAACACTCCTTCTCCCTCTCTACAAGACACATTGCTGTCTACCTTATGAGCTCGTCAGAAAAGTCCAACCCCACGCCTGCGTTGTACGATAACAATACGAGTTCTGAGGCAACAGTCCTGGTCAAGCTGGGTAAACGCCGTCTCTCCGGAGAGGAGGCAGTGGCCAACGACCATCCGCAGCACAAGAAGGGAAAGACGATGACGGACAGTAACGGCACCAACGGTGCTGCCGCCAAGATGGACGTAGACAGTCCTACGCCGGCTGTTGAGCAGCTCAAGCAGGCTCAGCAGGGCGACGGAAACGGCGAGATCGACGAGAGCTTGTACAGTCGGCAGCTGTATGTGTTGGGCCATGAGGCGATGAAGAGGATGGGAAGCTCGCACGTGCTTGTGGTTGGTATGAGGGGGTTGGGTGTGGAGATTGCGAAGAACATTGCCTTGGCCGGCGTGAAGAGCTTGACAGTATGGGACCCCAAGAAGGCGAGGATTGAGGATCTGAGCTCGCAGTTCTTCCTGCATCCGAGTGATGTTGGCAAGCCGAGGGCCGAAGTCACGGCGCCGAGAGTGTCAGAGCTCAATCCATACACACCTGTCAGCGTTCATCCAGGCAACAGCCTTACCGACGACCTCAGCCAGCTCAAGAAGTACCAGGCTGTCGTTCTCACGGATACGACGTTGAAGGATCAGATCAAGATTGCGGACTACTGCCATCAGCATGGCGTTTACGTGGTCGTCACAGACATCTATGGCTTGTTCGGCACAATCTTCACAGACTTCGGCAAGAACTTCACTTGCGGCGACCCTACTGGCGAGAACCCGGTGAATGGTATTGTTGCTGGTATTGATGACGAGGGTGTGGTGTCTACATTGGAAGAGACAAGGCATGGACTGGAGGATGGCGACTTCGTGAGCTTCACCGAGGTGGAAGGAATGGAGAAGCTGAACGATGGTACACCACACAAGATCAAGACGTTGGGTCCCTACACATTCTCGATTGGCGACGTGTCAGGGTTTGGGAACTACAAGCGTGGTGGGTTGTACACTCAGGTCAAGATGCCGAAGATCATGGACTTTGAGACCTTCAGTGAGCAGCTTAAGAAGCCAGAGCTGTTGATCTCGGACTTTGCCAAATTTGATCGTCCTGCACAGCTGCACGTCGGCGTCCAGGCACTCCACGCTTTTGCCGAGAAGAATGGCGGAGAGTTCCCTCGTCCCATGAACGAGTCAGATGCAGCGGAAGTGCTGGAGACTGCACACGCGATCGCAAGTGCATTGGACGACAAGCCGGAGCTGGAAGAAAAGATTATCAAGGAGTTGTCTTACCAGGCGCGAGGTGACCTCTCGCCTATGGCTGCATTCTATGGCGGTCTGGCAGCGCAGGAGGTGCTCAAGTCTGTGTCTGGCAAGTTCCACCCTATCAAGCAGTGGCTGTACTTCGACTCACTTGAGTCCCTACCATCGGGGTCTGTCCGCAACGAGCAGGAGTGCAAGCCTGCTGGTTCACGATACGACGGTAACATTGCTGTGTACGGCAAGTCATTCCACGACAAGATTGCCAATGTCAAGCAATTTCTGGTCGGTGCTGGTGCCATCGGGTGCGAGATGCTCAAGAATTGGGCGATGATCGGACTTGGAAGTGGCCCGAAGGGTAGTATAACTGTGACCGATATGGATCAGATCGAGCGCAGTAACCTCAACCGGCAGTTCTTGTTCAGGCCGAAAGATGTCGGTCAGCTCAAGAGTGAGTGTGCAGCTCGTGCTGTGCAAGAGATGAATCCAGATCTCAAGGGCAAGATCACCGCGTTGAAGGACCGTGTGGCACAAGACACTGAGCATGTCTTCAACGAGGACTTCTGGAACAGCATGGATGGCATCACGAACGCTCTGGACAACGTCGACGCGCGCACATACGTTGATCGGCGTTGTGTTTTCTTCCATAAGCCTCTGCTTGACAGCGGTACCCTCGGCACGAAGGGCAACACTCAAGTCGTGCTGCCACGCATGACTGAGTCGTACTCCAGCTCACAAGATCCCCCTGAGCAGTCCTTCCCAATGTGTACACTGCGATCATTCCCGAACAACATCAATCACACCATCGCATGGGCGAAGGACCTCTTCCACACCTACTTCGCTGGCCCCGCTGAGATCGTCAATGCCTACCTCACACAGAAGGACTACCTCAGCACTGCGCTCAAGTCATCAGGAAATGAGAAGCAGACACTAGAGACACTAAAGGAGTATCTGCAGACGGACAAGCCAGAGAGCTTCGATGACTGCATCGAGTGGGCTCGCACGCAATTCGAGAAGCAGTACAATAACGCGATTGCACAGTTGCTTTACAACTTTCCCAAGGACTCCAAGACCTCGTCTGGTCAGCCATTCTGGTCGGGCCCGAAGCGCGCACCAGATCCTCTCAAGTTTGACCCCAACAACGAGACTCACTACACCTTTATTCTTGCTGGTGCCAATCTTCACGCTTTCAACTACCACATGAAATCATCATCAGACAAACAGCATATACTGTCGGTACTTGACCACATGATCGTTCCTGAGTTCAAGCCTGATCCGGGCGTCAAGATCCAAGCTGACGAGAAGGAGCCTGATCCCAACGCTGGCGCGGATGCTATGGACGACAACGATGCGGTCGAGACCATTGCCAGGGGTCTGCCGCAGCCGAAGACCTTTGGCGACTTCAAACTTGAGGCGGTCGACTTCGAGAAGGACGACGACACAAATTTCCACATCGACTTCATCACTGCAGCCTCCAATCTGCGTGCGGAGAATTACAAGATTCCGACAGCCGACCGCCACAAGACCAAGTTCATCGCCGGTAAGATTATCCCAGCCATCGCCACTACGACGGCCCTTGTCACTGGTTTGGTCATCCTTGAGTTGTACAAGATCATCGACGGCAAGACGGACATCGAACAGTACAAGAACGGTTTCGTCAACCTGGCCCTACCCTTCTTCGGCTTCAGCGAGCCCATCGCTAGTCCGAAGGGTACATACCAGGCGCCCAATGGCGAAGTCACAATCGACAAACTGTGGGACCGCTTCGAGAGCGAGGATGTCACACTCCAGCAGTTCTTGGAAGATTTCAAAGAGAAGGGGCTGAGCGTGACCATGATCTCTTCGGGAGTGAGCTTGCTTTATGCCAGCTTCTATCCTGCGAGCAAGAACAAGGATCGCCTTCCCATGAAGTAAGTCTAGCAATCGCAGCGCGCTGTCTGACACTATATACTGACCAAGTTGCAGGATGTCAAAACTTGTCGAGCACATTAGCAAGAAGCCGATACCCGATCACCAGAAGAACGTGATCTTTGAGATCACTGCCGAAGATGTCGCTGAGGAGGATGTCGAGATTCCTTATGTCATGGTCAAGTTGCAAAAGTAGGAGATGCAGTGAGCGTGTATCAGAAGGATAGGATGGATCAGAATGCCCTGTGGTTTTAATGCATTGCGTCGGCGTCCAAGGCGCTCAGGAAGACATCCCGGAGGACACCCAAGGCTTCCTTCTGCTCAAATTTTGGGGCGGCTGGAGGGTGGAGATTATGGTTCAACATTGGGGGCAGCAAACGCAGCATCATGGCGGATGTCTCTGCTCTGATCTCAGACATAGCATATAGAATTTGTGTTTACTTGTGTATGTAGAAAGCTAGAATGTCCTGCTCACTACTCATCCACTGTCAATGGTTAGTATATTATGTGGTCCAAGCTCTCTGAGTGAATGCCGAGGTCTACATGTGGAAGCTACGACAATCTATATCACTGTAAAGACAGTATCCTGTGTACTGCAACAGTAGAGCCGGAGCGTTCCAAGACCACCTACCCGTCGCCGGCATAATCGTACGACAAGAGGCGGTATATATTGATTCTGATCGGCGTACGGCCTTGATTCGCTTCCGTGGCCGTGTCACGTTAACATTGCTACTCAAGCTCGACACATCCGCGAACCGGTAATAATGCTATGAAGATATACGCTCTTGCAGGATTGTAGGGCTGTAGAATACGTCCCACAATGGGTGACCAACATTCTCATCCTCCAGCCCCGGATATAGCAATTCTCAGCGACTCCATTCAGGTTCACGCTTCGAGCATATCCGCAGAGCAAACCTCGGCCGAGCAGTCACTTCTGGAGCCTTATGCACGCTTCCGGCAAGATCCTCTCAATGCTCTGCAGGAGCTCGGTCTCCACTTGGCTGGAAGGGAATGGCGAAGCTACGACAGGGTCATCGGCCAGCGCATATTCTATCCTGGCTTCAGCGAGGAGATGACGGCTATGGTGATGCAGCAGAAGAAGCTGCGAGATAGGATCGCTGACCTTGCACAGAAGAGGGTCGAGGTTGAGATACATGAGGGTTCGCTGGGCGCAAAAGGTCTGGATGGAGAAGAGCAGGAACACAGGACTCGGCGGCTGGCGAGAAGACGAGAGATCGAGGAGCAGTTGCGAGGCGTGGCGGAGAAGTGGACAGATCAGATGATTTGCAAGATGGACAGCAACTGGTTCATTCGTTCCGCTTACTACATCGCCACTCAACTTCTGACTAGAGCATATCACCAAGGCATTCACGTTAATAGCGATGAGGTGCTGCATCTGAGAAGTGTGGCGGAGGAGGCGGCGAAGAAGAAACAGTCTATTATCTTCTTGCCTTGCCATAGATCACATGTCGACTACGTATCGTTACAGCTCATCTGCTACCGACTTGGCCTGGCTCTACCTACCGTCGTTGCAGGCGAAAACTTAAACTTTCCTGTCATCGGACCATTCCTACAGCATGCTGGCGCGATGTGGATCCGGCGGTCATTTGGAGATGATCAGCTGTATGCAACGCTTGTGCAGGCGTACATGGACACCTTACTGCAAAACGGCTTCAATATCGAATGCTTCGTGGAGGGTGGTCGTTCAAGAACTGGCAAGTTACTACAGCCGAAGTTCGGCATATTGAGCTACTTCCTGGAAAGCATACTTTCCGGCTCCATCGAAGATGCAATTATCTGCCCTGTCAGTACGCAGTACGACAAGGTCATTGAGGTGGACTCGTACGTTCGTGAGCTGCTAGGACAACCGAAACCCAAGGAAGACCTCGTGTCCTTTCTGTCTGCTTCAAACGTCCTTTCACTCAAGCTTGGACGTGTCGACGTACGCTTCAAAGAGCCATGGAGCTTGCGAGGCTTCATGGACCAGCAGCGATCACGGCTACATAAGCAGTCTGCCAGTTTGCAGACTATGTATGACGATGCGCTGAGGAGGAAGCTGCTTACTACACTCGGCTACAAGGTCCTCAAGGACATTAATGATGTGTCAGTCGTTATGCCTACAGCGTTGGTAGGCACTGTCTTACTGACACTGCGAGGCCGTGGTATTGGAAAGTCAGAACTGGTCCGTCGAGTCAACTGGTTGCGTGAACGAGTACGCGCTCAGGACGGCCGTGTCGCGCATTTTGTCGGCTTGGAGACCGAAGCTGTGGTGGAAAAGGCCTTAGAAGTCCTTGGCCCGAAATTAGTTGGCAGTGTACCCGATCTGCCAGAGCCGACCTACTATGCCGAGGATCGATTCCAGCTGAGCTTCTACCGCAACATGACGATACATCTGTTTATATCCCAGGCTCTGGTTTGTGCTGCGGTGTATACGAAGGTCAAGCGCGGCGGCCATGAGCAGGGACAGCGTGTGCCGTACGCTGAGCTAGAGGACTATGTGCATTTCCTCAGCCAGCTGTTCAGGGCAGAATTCATATATCCTACCGAGGCACTAAGTGAGACCTTGTCAAGCACCATCGCAGGCCTAGAGAAGGATGAGGTCCTGCAGAGATCCCAAGAAAGTAGCGGGCGCATAGAGGTATCTTATGTTGAACTACATCCCAAGGAGCGCTCGGACGGTCGAGAAAACTTCGACTTCTACTGCTTCATGATCTGGCCCTTCATCGAAGCTAGCTGGCTCGGAACGATCAGCATCTTCATGCTCACGCCACCACGAGACTACCATGACTTTGAGGCCTGGCTCGACTTCAAAGCTTTCCAGGACCGAGCTCAGCTGCTGGGCAAGACGCTGTATCACCAGGGAGATCTTTCTTACTTCGAAGCCGTCAACAAAGAAGCTCTCAAGAATGCAATTAGTCGCGCTGAGGAGGAAGGCATCATCGTCGTGAAGCGCAGCAGAGACCCCAAAGTGCCACCAAGAGTACGTCTGGATCTGGAATGGCTGCCACCAAGAGATGAAGCCGGCAAACTAGTGCCAGATGGACGATTGTGGGAGTTATGCGAGCGTATAAGTCAAAGCCGCAAAAAAGGCAAGAATCGGCGAGATGGTGCCACGGTCAAGACGCGGGTCCTGGCTCTGGCACATTCGGTTGGTGCGAGCTTGTTTGATTGTGCTGTCTGGGACGCTGAAGGCACGGGAAGCAAAAGCAAAAGACGAAGAGGCATTCAAACCAGAGCGCAGTTGTAAGTACTCGAGAGCATGAGCAGAGAGCGATGTAAAGCTCTAGTTCAGAGCCATTATAGCCTCGCAAGGCAATGCTTCAGAGTCTATACTACATAATTTCCTGGCTGCTTTCTGCTGCCTAACACGGCTCATACGAAATCGAAACACCAACGCTGTCGAAACAACCTGCCACTAACTCCAGACTTCGGTCTTCCTCTTCGACGACGCCCTGGACTATACGTGGGCGAGAGACATTATCATTTATGAGAAATTATCGTCACCTCCTCTTTCATTATACCGTCCGGATTGGCGGTAGTGTTGGTGGTTCCGGCGGGAATTTCGGGCTCGTGAGAGCTTTCGGCGGCACAGTCAATGGTGAGTTCGAAGCAGTCAAAGGTGAATTCTCCGACCTTTGTGAGAGGTTACTGTTTGGTCGCTGGATGCTCAATCCCACAGCGTTGTTGTGAGCCACAGGTCGTAATGCCCATCGACCTGTTCGTGCATCCCAGCCCATCTCCGCCTCCACACCGTCGATACCAATATCTGCTGCGTTCTCCAAGTGATGATGCTGCTGATGTCCTGCTTCTTCATCACCAATGTATGTGTGCTCGCCATATGTTGGGTATGGCATGACGTAAATGCCGTCTTCGCCGAGTCCTGCTGAGACGTCTTCTCGTGATATGCCACCCCATGACACCCTGCTCTCACGTGCCATAGAGTTGCGTGTACCGCCCCAAGATACTCTTGAGCTCGGTGCTCGTGACCAGCCAGTCGCTGTTGAGCCCACAAGATGGCGCATACTGTCTCGGTTCCCAAGAGCAATCTTCTCGTTACCAGGCTCGCCAGCGAATGTGAAGCCCCCTCCATATGAATACGGACCTTTCGCGCCGTTTGGGATGTGGAAGCGCTTGTCTATCCGCATTAGACCCCAGAAAGCCACCACGCACCATTCGATAGTGAAGTTGAACAGGTAGAAGCACGTCTTGCTGTAGTACCAAGGCGGTTGCTCTGTGATGTAGCGGACTGGAAGGTACAGTGTCGCACATCGCCAGCTCGCTCCCAAGCACAATAGTGTTGATGTGCCGAGTATCATGGCGATCTTGGTGCGCATGGTACCAGCGCCGAATTTGTCGACCGGCTTAGCAGTGCCCTTCCTCGCTTGAATCCTTCGAGCAACTACAGAGGTCAGGACGATCGGGATCGGTAGGAAGGAGACGACAGCGTAAAGACTTTCGCCATAGAGCTGAATGTCGTGTACGGCGCGTAATGTGAATTCACTAAGTGTGTAGAATGAATAGATGACGCCGACGATGAGAGCCAGAATAGTTGCCACTATAATGACGAATAACATAGGAAAGGCGATCGAGAATGGCTTGGACCAGCCAATGTGAGGGTGCTGTGCTCGCACGATTCGTTGTGTGAAAAAGAGGTTGGCCAGGAACAGCAAGATGATACCAGCATAGACGGCGACTTGGGCGGCGATACCAATCTTGACGTTGGTAGGATGGACAGCCCATGCTATTCGAGCACAGTTTGCGAATATCCGTGTGAAGCAGAAGCCTGTAACATAAATGTCAGCTGGAGTAGCTATCGCAGAGACCTCGACACGCACCGAAGAGCATGCCGCATATGATGAACTTTTTGCCGTGTCTGGCATTGTACTTCAACAAGAACATGTGTCCAGCACCAGCCAGGATGAATAAGAAAAGGAAGACCGCGCAGACTGGCACGTCAGGTAATATCGACGGCGTCTCTCCCAGGCCCTGCTCCTGAGGAATGTACGGCGCGCCATGGGCCTCTGCTATCGCAGCAGCTTGCTGAGCTGCGTTCGACATGGTGTGAAGTCCTGGGCTCGGTATGCGTACTGAGTAAAGTGAGGGTACAAGAGAAAGGCACGATAGCAAAGTACAAGGTCCAGGCCAAGATCTAAGAACGGATCATTGGCAATGCCAATATCTGGGCCGTTGAGCGGAGGAGGTAGCAGTCCCTTGCTACCGCAGCTCTCTAGCGGGCGAAGAAATCAGGCTCGATGGAGAAGAAATGATGGGTCGTTGCGATGTGAGAAACAATGACGGTGGCAATAAGACAGTATGTCAGGTCGACCTACGCCATCTCTGCGTGATATTAGTGCAGTCATGGTTGGGGGGCTTGGGAACTGGGGAGCCGTTCGCATCCTTGTCTTGGAATAGCAGAGATCTGTGTCCTGAATCCCGGCACGCAGGTCGAGCTGCGCGTGTAGTGAGTGGTCGAACGGCTATCGTGCATATGAGCCGCGATCGGTAGCGCCGGCAAGTGCGGGAGGCTGCTTCATGACGACGAGACAAGCAACGGCGAGGACTCGAGATCAGTGCCACATCATCGAGTCCAACTTGACACTACGAGTCAACGACAACGACACTGGTTTGCCGTTATAGCCTGAGAGATAGCACATTTATTGAAGACTCTGGGTCACGATGGCCACAGATCGACAGCATTGGCTTCCAAGTCGACTAAGATCTCAGTTGCCCTGATCTGGCTTTATGTACTCCTTTGAATCAATCAATTTTCAGCCCCTGGACATCTTGGTCCGCAGCAGCACCGACTCCCCGCCTCGTCACGAATCCAACCCAGTCTTTTCGTCTGGTTTGGTGGGTGCTTGAGTAACTTGACAGTGACCAGTCCATGGCCTTGGCATGTCCTGATATATGCGGTGATTGCACTGAAAAGAGGTGCATGCTGTCTATTGGATGGTTGTATCACCTTAACTCAGACATGTTGGTGTCTATTAGGCTTCGAGCTTATCTATTCCTGCCAGCGCCACCAGATCTAGGATTCCGTCAACTCAAGCAGCTGCGTGAGGTGACCTTGTATCTTCGAGGAATTACTTCATGAATGCCGTCTTGTAGTGCTTTGTTATTACACAGACTGCTGAAGTGAAGCACACCGAATAAACACGACAAACACAAGCATCTGCATCATAATGCATCACAGATCACATGGATCATTGAGTGCAAGGTACGGACCAGGGTGGCGTGCCGTTTGACCTGCAAGCCTCAAATGTTCTCCTGAAGATCCTTAAGGTAGTATGTATATCCTGAGAGGCATTCCTTCAGGGACGGCAAACTATGCTTGTATTCGCACGTCCTGCCCCTGCCACATTTACCTGCCCTGCCGAACTAGAAGGTCTATACACACCTTACGTGCATTGCAGAAACAAAGCTGGGAACTGATACCTCTGCCGTAGGCCAAGACACATCCACAGTCTCTCCGCCATTTAACACATCCACCTAATCATCGCTCCGATGGCCCGATTTCGTCTGTCAGAAGGCAATCTCTTACCAGCCTCGCTCAAGATGAAAGACCTTCGTGCATGGTACGACTACCATTTCGGGGTGCGCACCCCTTGGAGGAAGGTCTGACCAGCCATGGATTGAGGTCGTAAGGAGGAACATTTCTGTGTGAAGGTGTAAGGAGTTGGACCGCACTCTGTGCGTGGCGCTGGAGGCTGGCGATCCCAGCGTGTTCTTTTGAGATACCCAACAGGATTTGAGCATATTGAGGTGCGTTAGCTTTAGAGACATGAGTTGATGCAGGTGTTTTGGTGAAGGTGTTCTCTGCAGTCCCTGTAAACACCTCATGGATCCAGAGTACTGCTCTTTAGCCAGTCTAGATCCGCAATAGCGCGAATGTCCGTGTTGGGCTATGAGACCAAGCATTCTTTGATATTCGCCCAGGCTGAATAGAACAGAATAAAGGAACTGAACTTGAGTAAGGCTTCTCAGCGAAGCAGACGAGCAGATCCTCATCCTGGCTTCTGACGCCCAATCCTGGCGCTCAGGTTGTGCATTTGTGGCATGAGCTCGGGTATCGTGAAAGGCTTCGTTACGACCTCGTCCATACCAGCCGATATAGCTTCCGCAATCTGCTCGCTCCGAGCGTTGGCGGTCACGGCGATGACCGGCACGTGCTCATTGATCTTGCCGTTTGCTTGCCAGTCTCTGATATGTCCTATGCAAGCCAACCCGTCCATTGTAGGCATTTCGAGATCGAGCAGTATCAAAGACAAAGTTTGTGTTCCAGAACAGTAAGTCGTGCCTTCCAGGATATCAAGACACTCTCCACCGTGGTTGGCTAGACGAACGAAACAGCCGGCTCGCCTGAGTTGTTGCGACATCACTCTCTGGTTCACCATGTTATCCTCGACAATCAGTATGTGAAGCTGATCCTTGGCGTTGGCAGCACTCGTCTCTGCTGGTGTGGACTGGCCATTCTGGTGCGGAGCTTTGTTCCCTGCTCGAGGGTCCAATGCGGTCGCCCTGCTCGTTTCCGCCCACTTCGGTTGGCGTTGCAAGACATATGTATTTGGTGGCCGCGCAGGACTGATTGACCGTGCAGATGCGGTTGAGTTGTCGAGCTCGCTCGGAAGTCTAGACGTGATCGAGGGCAGGACAGTCACTTGGTCACTTGGTCCTGGCATCCAACGCCTAGCCTTGACGAAAAATGTGAATGTTGTTTCTCCTGGTGCACTCGAGACTCCTATCTGCCCGCCCTGCAACTCGACCAGTTCCCGTGAGATGAACAGTCCAAGACCAGAGCCTCCGTACTGCTTATACGTCTTAGGTGAAGCCTGCGAGAACCGTTGGAAGAGCAGCTTCATTTCGTCTGCTGACAGGCCACTACCGGTGTCCGCGACCGCCATCTGTAAGTACAAAGCTTCGTCTCCGCCCCATCCCGCCGAATCTTGCGATGACTGTCCAGCCCTCATTGGAATGAAGTCAACCCCGTGATGCTCGCCGGATGGTCGCTGAAGTGATGCGCCCAGTGAGATCTGAAGCTTACGAACTTCACTGTATTGGGTGAACTTGATTGCATTTGTCACCAGATTAATGATCACCTGGAGCAAGCGGCTCGAATCAAGGATGATCCAATCCACTCTAAGCTGCCCATAGCTTGGCTCAATGCAAAGCTTGGCCTGGATATCGGCACGCTGCAGCTCACTCTCATACATCTTCAGCACCCTCTTGATCAACTGTGGTGGTTGGATTTTGTCAGGAGAGAGGACAAGTAAGCTTGCGTCGAGCTTGGACAGAGTGAGTATATCGTCGACGATACGTTTCTGGTGCTGAGCACACAATATGATGGTCTGTGCAGCGTCGATGATTTCCTCAGCAACGTCCTGCTTCAGTACTAACTCCTCGCCCATGACCGGCGTGCCACTGGCTTGCAACATAGTGATAACAGCGTCGGCGCTCTGCAGAATGGCAGACAGCGGGTTGCGCATTTCGTGAGAAGTCATGTCTATAAAGTTCTCCGTTTGGCGCTTCTGCTCCAGTGCCTCCTCGAGCCTCTGCGCAACCAAACGGTTGCTAAGCTTCTGATGCGATATGTCCATCAACCAGGCAAAGAGTGCGACAACCACCCCATTCGAATCGAGTTCAGGGAACGCACTAGCTAGGAACCATCTCTCTCCGGTGGTAGTCTGCCCGCTTGACTGGTCGAAGATTTTGGCAGGAGTCGAGCACCTATACTCCATGGTCACCGGTTCCTTCAGCTCAAATACTCGTCTAAACACATTCTGACAGGCGTCCAAATCATCTGGATGCACGTGATCCAGAAACGGGTGCGCCCCGTCGACTAGGGTCATGTAGTGCTCTCGTGTGTCGCCGATCATCTCAAGGTACTTGTCGTTGACGTGCAAAGGGGCTCCGTCACCGCCAAGGAGGATCATGCCCGTGGGTGCGCTTTCGGCGATGCGACGGAATTTCGCGACATCCTTTTCAGCCTCCAAAGTAGTCAATCGTAATTGTCGCTGGAGCGATTCGGTCAGCTCGTCGGAGATCCGTTGAGCACGACGCTGCTCTTCCGGGAGTACAATGAGCGTAGCAGTCTTCGTAAGCATGTCTGTGAGGAGGTTCGTCCAAAGGATATACTCCTGATCCAGTGGACAATACGGGTTGAGGGCCATCAGGAAGAAGCCAAAGATCCGATCGTCGACTGGTGATCTGACAGGGGCGACAATGACACGCTGCATCGTTTTCCGACCATCAGAATCCAGCTCGGGATCTGCGAAAGCACTTGGAATAGAGGATTCCTGGCTGCTGAGCATAACGCGCTGCTTTGTCCTCCAGGTTGTCAGACAGGGGTCAATGAGATCTGTGTTAGCAGACTGACCCTCTTCTAGACCGAAAGCTTGTAAGATGTGTGGATTCTTGCCGTCCAAGCCAATGGTATCATGCAAGACACACTTAACTGGGTAGCTGTTTGACTCCTGCTCCTCCACGGCGTCTGTCGCTGAATAGAACATCGCAGATGGCACATCATCGGTAGCGTACTTCAAGCCAGTGAACAGAGCAGGCCAGAGCTCATCCAGCGTCTGAGCAGCAGCCAAACAATCGTTCAAATGTAGTATACTTCGATGTCGACGCTCTCCGCGCACCTTGGGTGTCGTCTCTAGCAGCTCACAGAACAGACCCAATGGATGTCCATCCTGTCCAAGTATGGGAAGGAAGGAGATGTCCCAGTACGATTCCTCCTTGTGCTCGTTGCGTTGTAGTAAGACCATGGTCTCAGTAAGCAAAGTGGGCTGACCTGTCATGGCTGTGTTGATCTTGGGCCCAATTTCATGCCATATGTCCGCGAGTGGGTCAGAGGCACGCTGTCCGAAACTCTGTGGATGCTTCCCATCCAGGATGGGCAAGGACGCCTCATTGTACAACAGCACTTGTGTTGGGCCCCAGATCATAAGTCGAGGATTTGGGTTGTGCATCAGGTAGGTCAAACTAGTCCTCAAGACCACATTCCACGACTCCACCGGGCCCAGGTCTGTGGACGTCCAGTCGAATTCATTGACGAATTGCATACGTGACGGGACGCCAGGTATGTACAAGCGGCTCTGAACTGGCGAAGTGGTCCCTCCTTCGCACCCAACACCACCGCCCTGATCGATGCACACGAGCGTACTATAGCCATCCAAGACTCGCGTCTCCTTCCACTTCCTTCCCGTGTGCCCTTCCAGCCAGTCTGCAGAGCCATCGCGCGGCTGCTGCTGCCGCTGCTGCTCCTCCCTCTTCTGCCGCTCTGTCCACTGCTTCACGATATCCGCAACCGATGGCTGCGAGGCCTCGAGAGCGCGGAACGGCGCATTCCCAGAGACGACACCACAATCCGCCCCAGCAATCGCACTGGGCCTGTCGTCGTGCTCAAGGTGCGCCGCGAGCGCTCGGAGTCCGGACGGTAGTCTCAGCAGATCAGCCATGCTTGCCACACCTCACCCGCTACGCCATGAGCGATCTCTTCCGTGCAAGACCTATCCAGCACACAAAGTCCACATCATGCAATCGTGTGCGACCAGGGAGCCATCGAAATTCTCAACATTCACGTTCAAGCAATTCGCCAAACCTTGCGAGAACATGGAGACCAGAGCGCCCTCCGCAGTGACGCAGCGAACGCCGTCCGGCTTGTACGCCACAGAACAGAACAAATACCATGCAAAGCGCGTGAAAGAATTCACTGACAAACGTGATATGAACGGCACTGTTCCTTCTAGTCAAAGCTGACCGTCTGTCTCCACCATTTGGAGCCAAGCCAGCAATCTATCATTCAGTCAACTATGCACAGAAGCCGCTCGACCGCAGGCTTTAACCGCGCAGGAGAAGAAGGGTATCGCCAAAGTAGACCGGCACCTTCCAACGCCGTGCGCTAAACAGCAGCAAAAGCACAATGAAGAACAGGCAAATTCACAACGGCACATCCTCCATCATCTCCACCGCCCCTTCCCTACCAACCGTCAAGATCACATCGCCCAACGTCTTTGTTGCAAATCCAGCCTCGCAGTACGAGAAGTAGTATTCCCATTTGCGCTTGAAAAGCTCCACGTCCTCCTCGCTCAGCCTCTTGCCTTTCTCAGCGTGCTCTTCGATCAGCGCAGGTTTGATCTTGGCGTTGAAATTCTGCATAAAAGCTTGTCGCCAGAGCCGCAGGGTCTTTGCGTAATGAGGACCGATGTTTTCAACGCTCTCGGGGATCAGGCGAGGCGCAACACCTTTACTTGACGAGCCCGCGCGGATAGCGTCCAAGAGTTGCGTGATCGTAGGCAAGTGGCCGCCGGGGAAGATATATCGTCTGATAAAGTCGTCTGAGCTGGCGTAGACATCGTAGCGGGACTCTGGCATCGTGATGCATTGAAACACTGCCACACCACCATCGTTCTTCATGAGCTTGTCAACACAGCGGAAGTATGTCTCCAGAAATTCGGCACCGACAGCCTCCAGCATCTCGATCGAGACCACTTTGTCATACTTGGCCTGCTCGCTGGGCACGTGCAGACTCCGGTAGTCGCACAGCATGACTTTGATCCTGTCCTGGAAACCTGCAGCTTTGATGCGCTCCTCCGCTAGTCTCTTTTGCTCCGCACTCAATGTCAAGCTCGTCACCCGGCAACCCGTCTTCTCCACTGCTAGGATCGCAAAGCTACCCCAACCCGTCCCAATCTCCAACACATGGTCGGTTGATTTGATCCTCGCATTGTTGATGAACCGACACAGCTTCCGATACTGTGCCCGCTCCAAAGTTTCTTGCGAAGACGCAGCATTGGATTTTGGTAGCCAGATGGGACACGAGTATGTCATGTCAGGTGACAGGAAAGCCGCAAACATGTCATTCGAGATGTCGTAGTGGGCCGAAATGTTTAGTCGAGCATTGGCAAGCGTGTTTGTACTTCGGACCAGCCCTGCGATCTTGCCGCTGATTTGCGATGTGAAAGTCACTCCATTCGACAAATGCGGCCTATTCACAATAAACACCTTAAAGAAGGCTGTAATGTCCGGGCATGCGACCTCGCCTAGCATGTAGCTTTCCGCGAAGCCCATGTCTGCAAAGACCAACAACCTCACCCAGAAGAGGTCACTGAGCACTCGAAGTTCTGCATGCGGGATGGCATGGACGCTCTTCTCGTCGTTCCCGTCTGCTCTTTTTGGGCTACCGCATACTGTCAAGCTACCGTCTGTATCAATGATCTGGAGAGAGCCGATCTGGACCTGCCTGAGAAGTGCTAGTATAGCTCCTCGGGAGATCGAGAGGAGCGGTGGCCATGCGTATGATCCAGCATAGTTGGCCAGCGCAGCCAAGCGTGTCGTGATCGGGTCGGTGAGGCTCATGTTCGTGTACGTATGACAGCTAGATGCTGCTTCTAGAACTCCAGGTGATCACGCTGCCATTGACAAGAAGCGAGGGTGATGCACAGCAGGAGTAAACAACGAAGCAAAATGGACTTCCGCTCTAAGGAAAGGCAATAATCCTGCCGTTGAAGAAGGCCGCTGGAATGGAAAAGTCACGCCAGGACCGCTCTTCGGCGCGCGGGACGATAGTCACCCGGAGGATATCGTGGTCTTTTCAAAATCCGTTTCCATCTGAGGGAAACAATGCGAGGCTGTTTTTATTAAGGACGTTCTAGGACCAGCCATGACGCATGAACCGATGTTAAGGGTTTAGAGGCAGGTGTGGGAGATCCTAGCTTCTGCAGCGGTGTCTCTGGCTCGTATTGCTTCGCGTTCGCTTGCTATACCAGCCGAAGCATTGCATGTCTTCTGTATGCATTTCACAAGGCCGATGATCCGACTACAGCCAGGTCAGACTCGGACGACCCAGTCCCTTTTGTCTTGTCTGAGAGCGGCTGACAACGAATATCGTTGCTCGGTTGCGATGTCCGTCACCGGAGACCCCACTTACGACATCCAGATTAAGTCGTGGCGCTTGTCCCAGTCGAGTGGGCGGGACCTGCAGATGGTTCAGGTACAGGTACGGCATGCGAGAGTCGTCTAATGATGGCATGACCATCGGATTGGACATCGAGAATGGCGGGCAGGGACGGGCATCTTCTTCAGGATGAGATATAGCATTGTACGGTATGTAGCAACAAGAGGACATGGTCAGTCTCGTGACTAAAGAAGCACAAGCCAAGCAAGAGCGCGACGCGAACGTGTCACGCGTTGTTCACCTCGAGGTATAACATTGCCGTAGCATCAAAATATACAAGCACGATGTCTCCAAGCAACACCACCACGGCAATGTACACCATAGCCCAGACAAACCCTCGCAGCCTCACCCCCAACATCCTCCCCTGCCAAATCCACCACAATGGACCCGTAGGAATCACAAAACGCTACTGGAACCCCCAACCGGCCTCCGACAAGACGAATAAAAGCAGAACAGCCTACTTCCGAGGACGGAAACTACAGTCTCGAACACTCCAGCTACCGGAAGGCTACCAGGGAGTGCTATTGCGCAAGACAGACCAGCTTGCGCCCAGAGAAGCTGGTAATAAGCTACCGCAAGTGCCTATAGAGCAGGAAGAAGAAGATGATGATGATGACGATGAGCTCGATGACGACTCGGAGGATGTGAAGGTCATGGAGCAGATGGGGAAGTTCCATGAGGTCGTAGTATGGGGACACGAGGCTGTGCCGGAGGACGGAGACGAGTATGTGAAAGGGATCGAGGAGTGGATGGCTTTTGCTCATGCCGTGAGTCCGATGTCATCTGCTGAAACACCAAAGAGTGAACCTACTAACGGACTTGATCAGATGCATGACAACGAGACTTGACCGGTCGTAGGGACACCGCGATGCAATGAAACCACTGAAGATCTTTCATGAAGTCGAACTTGCTATATTCTAGGCAAGCCTAACTCATACCTCAACCCCACCTTTTGTCTGCCTGCTGTCCTGCAATATGGGTGTATGCTACAGCATCTATCATCTGTTTGTGTGAGAACTTCTGGGAGCGCCAAGGAAGCTACGCAACCGCGCAGAGATGTTTCAGTTCCACCACATGCAATCGCCGGCCTACAAGAAGTAGTCTGGTGTCCTTCTCGAGACCATCGGCTCGCCGGCACGAGGACAGGGGTCGAATTGAAGGCTGTGTGATATGTCAACGGGTGCAGCGTGGATAGAAGTGGAAAGGTTATTACGTACAAGGTGTACTTTAGGTGCTCATCAATCTCCATGATAGCGGCTTGGTTACCGCATCTGTAGCAGTAGTTCGGTGCTGCAGACCCAATTAGCCAACCATACAGTGTCTCAGTGCAATATTTTCAGACTTACCCGAAAAGATAGTAACAACATTCCGGTCCTGACTCCAATTATACCCCTCCATAACCAATTGATGCGCACGAGCAACTAGCGTCAAACCATTGTTATGGTTGAACGCCTCGCTAATGTCCTGACCGAAGGTATACCCGGCACCTCTGGGAGAAATCCCCCACCCACACCTATCATCTGGGTCACTCCACAACAGATCACACATCGGGCCCTCATGAGGCACCTCTTGTATCCTATCCAACGCCCGGATATTGTCCAGCGTGTCGATGGAAGGCGAGAGGCCGCCGTGCAAGCAGAAGATCTGGTTGTCGATCAGGGCCGTCAGGGGCAGGTAATCGAAGAGGTCGGTGAAGAATTTCCAGACGTTGGCGTTGCCGTATTTGCGCAGGCATTCGTCGTAGAAGCCGTAGACTTGGGTGATTTGGCGGGATTCGTGGTTGCCGCGCAGGATGGTGATGCGTTGTGGGTAGCGGATCTTGAGTGCCACGAGGAGTGTGACTGTCTCAACGGAGAAGTAGCCGCGGTCTACATAGTCGCCCATGAAGAGGTAGTTGGTATCTGGATTCGGACCGCCGATTTTGAAGAGCTCCATCAGGTCGTGAAACTGACCATGGATGTCGCCGCAAACTGTGACGGGGCATTTCACTGGCTGTACATTACTCTCGTCTTGCAGCACTTCACGAGCCTTTTCACACAGTCTTCGCACGTCTTCCTCGCTCAGCTGTTTGCAGGTCATCAAGCTTTCGATCCAGCCATCGAGTGTTGGTATCGAAGGTGGGTCTGTGGAGGCTCCCAGGGTGTGCTCGACATTTCCTGCATCGCCCATTTCTGTGTCCGCCGCGGGCGCTCGAAGCGCGGCTGCCTCCGCCATCTTGGGCAATCAATGTGTTGGTGCTGATTCGTTTCTGGTCGTGTGCTTCCGAGGGATTCTGCTCTGTTGTGTCTTGGTGACGTCTGTTGGGCTGGCGGTGTCCTGATAGCGGGTGGTCGGGATCAGGGAGTGATGGTCAATTCTGGAGGTCACAATCAGTGAGCTATATGTGCCAGTACTGTGCGCAGTGTCGTGGTGGCGGTATCAGTCGGAAGTGTGCATCGGGTATTGTTGCTTGTTGTTGCCCTCACTCACAGCTGTGGAAGTTGAGAGCTTGCGATTTCCACTGCCGGCAAGTCCCGCTTCCTGCTTGACGTGAGGCACGCGACAGCATAAAACAGTGTTTCTGACAGAGCTCGGCACGAGGAGGACCCATGCAGGTACATTGCAAATGGTAATTCGATTCTAATACATATCTCGAATGCTATCGCTACAGCACACTGCTCATCGTTGACCACTAGTCAAGCCATCCTCCCCTTTCCCTTTCCCTTGCCATTGCCCGATGCCCCGCCACCCGGTGCAGGAAAGCCCTCTGCGGCATCTTTCTTACTCTGCTCTTCCGCCAAGCTCAACTGCAAAGCAAAGTCCAGATCATTCATCTCACCGTTCCTGCTTGACCCACCCAGCATAGGTGAGACCTGCGGAGACGGATGAGCCGAAGAGCCCTTTCTGCCTTTGGCTTTCGCGTGCCGGATAGGAATGTCGTACGACGGTTTAGGCGAGCCGGCAAGACTCTGCCGTATAGCTTCCGCCATGTCGGCATCTAGCTCGTCGTCAGACTTTGGAGTGTAGGCATATGTGGGCGATGAAGCGGCCGAAGGTGTGACATTGCCAGTGGCGACCACATTCTGATCTGTGCTGCCAACAACACTCGAAGGCGCGCTCGTGTCAGATTCACGACGAAAATTCTCCTGCTCCAGCGTCTCTTGACTCAGCATAGCCGCATAGGCCAGCATCTCTTCTTCACCCATCAACTCCGTGCCAAAACGTCCAGCCAAGCGTTGTGTATCCTTGTTGCGTTGCTCTCTCTCGCGACGAAGCTCGTCCTGTTCGCCAGAGATATAGTCTTTTAGATTGCTCCTTGTGATGCCACCAGAAACGCCTCCGCCACCATTGTTGCTGCCACGTTCAGAGCGCCTCAGTCGTCGCTTCTGCGATTTGTACTGATCAGCTGCGGACGAGCTGAAAGACCAGTACCGCAGCTGAATACCCAGTGATACCATGCCACGAAGTACAGTGGCATCTGGGTCGAGGCAAATCGCGCCAGCAGCGAACAGATTGATGCCAACACCTTGCGGAGATGCTTGAGCCTGTACGAGCCTGCGACGGGCACGGGATGCAAAACGTGAATTCAAAGTGCGGATTGGATGCACGCTCGAGCCAAGAGGATCCCAGGCTTGGACGAGACCATCGTTGCCACCATGTACCAGGTACAGCGAGGAAAGGGCTAAGCAGGATATCTGAGGTGACTCTGTGTAGATAATGCGGACAGGCTCGATAGTATTGATGGCTTCTGAGCTCTTCGAGGCTGACGCGCGTATGTTCCAGACCAAGACGCTGCCAGTCTTTGTGCCAATAGCGAATAGCCGTGCACGCTGTCCAGGCATATCTGCAGCCTCAGTGATCGGCTCATTCATTGACAGTGGTGTCAGAGAAGGCGAAGAGGCGGTGGATCTGCCAGAAAAGCTGAGCAGAGGATCCTCGGAGGTGGTATGTGTAGCGAGGGTAGAGCTGTCTATGGCGGTAGCAAGAATGTTGATGCTCTGATGGCCACCGAAGGAGAACAAGGACACACGCCACTCCTCAGCCATTGGACGTGGAGTTATTGACCCAGAAACATCGTCTTGCGAAAGCGTGTCTTCGAGTCGGTCAAGTGACCAGCCCGGGACAGGTGCAGTCAACGGCGTAGGACTGCCAAAAAGAGATGGCGGACTGGAGGATTGAGTGCTGGCGCTTGTCATGGGTGGCGTTGAGACCACATCCGTGGCTGGACGATCCCGGAATCTGCAGCGCATGTAGCGTTTGACGGAAGCAGGACTGTCCTCCTCAAAACCACAGTCAAACACTACCACGCTCTCGCCAGCATTGCTGGAGTCATTGCCAGCAAAGTCGGCTTCGAGTTTTCGCTGCATATCCCAGCCAATACAAGCTTTGCAGAAGGCTTTCGGCTTCCTCGCAACGAACTCCTCGATTTCTCGAGTCTCGGCTTTGATCTGTTCCTTGGTTAAGCACATGCCGTTCCATGAGCTGCGCGGCGAGTAGCTGCCATCTGTGCCAGATTGAGCATAAGGGTCGGGTCGTGCTACACGTCTGCTGGGTTCGGCCATACTCCAGTGCACGGTGCGACCAGCAAGCCAGGCTGTGCGTTCAAGCGCCTCCTCATCCATCCTTGTGGTGCGGTCGGAATGTGGTCGGGTTGGAAACTTGGTGATGTAGAACACTTCACCCAGTGCGTTTAGCACAACAGCCCAGATCCGGTTTTGAGCATGGCGCTTCAGGCTGTAATCAGGATCAACAGCGATTGCGATAATTGGTACGCCGGGGCTGAGTGCCCAACGAGCTGTCATCTCACCACGAACGAAGCGCTGATCTCGGTGATTGCCATTGCTGGTGGCACCAAGACTGTATGCGGTGAGAACACCAAGCGAAGTGCCTGACAACATGCCAACCAGACCATCGCTGAGCGAAGGCACTGCGTTCGACTTCGCAAGCCAGACAGCAGTGATGGCCTCACGCGTGGATGCGATGCGTGGTATGCCAAGGTCAGGAGCAGACATAGCAGACGAGCACAGCAAATTACGGCCACGCATCTCGTCGGTGGCGCGGTAGTAGATAGTGCCTCCAGGCAGACCTTCGCCGTGTGTCATGCCGTATGGCTGGCTGATATCCATGACGTTAGGCGCCCCCACAACATCGCCTGGTCCTAGACCATACTGTGCATCTCCAGCATATAGCTCAGCAAATTGGCGGAACCAGTGAGGATCCGAAAGGCCCCAATTGTCCACCTTGCCAGCAGTAGGGTCACTGCTGGTCGCGGAACCAACATCGTCCGCGCCATGCACAAAACGAGGGAGCTTTTTGTTCAAGCCCGTTCCAAACGTAGCATGTAAATGATTGATAGTCGTAAACAGCTGCGAATTGTATGTGACCGTGGGCTGAGCAATATGACTCTGTCCCGAGCGTGCGGAGCTGGGCGATGCAATGGCCTGAACAGGCTTGCCACGAGCCAAAGATCGCAGGAGACGAGTACGCATGATGTACTCGCTCCGCCAAGACGCAAGTGGCGTGAGACGCGTGAAGACGCGCTTTTCTGAGCGGACGACATCCTGGTCTTGTTCTGCGTCGTCCAGGAGAGTGGTATCAGTGGCAGCAAGACCTGGGAAATAGTGTACGAAAGCACTTCGCCACGCATGCGGTCCCGTGACGAGATCGTAAAATCGCTTTGAGACTGCAGCAACAGAAGTCAAGTCCGTGGGCGAAAGATGGGCAAGAGCATGCGTCAAGACCTCTGCTATATGTCAGCGAGATCTCTCTTCCACACGCACTTTCTCCATGATCTCTACTTACCATTGGGCAAATCCTGTATAGGCGACCTCTTATCACCAGGAACTCTTGGTTTCTTGATAACCTCAAAAGCAGGTCCCTCTCTCCTCTTCACAGGCGGCGTAGCAGCTTGCTCGTATTCAGTGACACGATTCAGCGTCGTCGGCGGCGACGGTGTACTGCGAGTTGGGCTCACTCTACCCACTGGAGTGTGCGGCTTCTGAACACCTGACTCCTGCTGCAGTGATCTAGCGAACGCCTTGTCGAGAGCCAATTGCTCTTCGCTTGACTTTGTCGTCCCTGCGCCATCAGCAAACTGATCTGCTGCTGACAGGGGGACTGTGTGGTCGTGAGCTGAAAGGCCATGCTTGCGTGTATCGTCGGTTGTGGTGATGGGGTCGCTGGTGGTCACTGTTGGGGTTACTTGTGGTGACTCTGGTAGCATAAAATGATTGAAGGAGGTGTAGTGATCGTCGGGGACTGAGCCAGTGGTATCTGGGTCAGTCTGATGGTTGCGCGGCGGCGTGCGGGAGTATGTGGCGTGCTTGCTTGTGGCAGAAGCGAAAGGAGACAGACGTGATTTCGACTTGACGTGTTGGAAGTTTGTCCCGGGCCGACAGCGGCAAGCGCGTCACGTTTGCGAGATATTCAGAGGGAATGAAAGAATGAAATTGAAACATATGCGCAATCATCACCCAAAGGTATCCAGATCTATCTCTAAGGTGCTTACGGCACATACAGTCGCGAATATGCAACAATGTCTGTCCGGCAACAAATACATTTGGTGTAATTCCTCGCAGCAAGACCAAGTCTGCAGTCATCACAGGCAGAGAGGCACCCGCATGGCCAGACAAGTATTGTTCTCGGCGTAGATTGACAAACAACACACTGCGGTCCACCTTCACCCATACCCTCCGCACCAGACTCCCAGCTTGTACCTCTACTACCACCGATAGCCCTGGCGCGAGCTCTCGAGCGTTGTGCCAGGATGAACTGCTCGAGCTCGCGTTCTTCGAGATCTTCGTTCAAAGGCTGCGGGGCGCGAATGTTGCCTCGCAGACCATTTAGCAATCGTGCTCGACTGCGGTCAGTATCTCGTCGGTACTGGCTACGTGTCATAGGTCGCGTTGACTGCAGGCTGTAAGATAGGAGTCTTGCTTCCTCGCGATCAGTAGCTGACTGTGGATCGAGAAGACGCGATAATGCACTCATGTCGAGAGCGCCGTCGAGTGTCAGATCTCTACCGCCGCTGGGATCGTCTTGCGTAGGTGTCCTTCGTCCACTTTCTTCTTCCTCGTCGTTGCTTGCCGTGCTCACGTTGGTAGACATCGATATCATGCTCGTAGCGTCATCATCAATCTCTCTAGCTTCGTACTCTCCACTATTGTCCGTTGTACCATACCATCCACCATCACGCCACCAGTCGTACAGTTGCTCGCCCAAACTCTCCTCGGTGACGTAGTGGCCCGCGCGTTGTAGTCGCCGTCGTGTTTCGCTCTCAACATCAACCTCATCGTTCGGCGCCATCATCAAGTGGCCATTCGGTCCTACCATCCAGAAGTCTCGTCGCTCTTCCCTAACGACCTGAGCATGTACTGATGATTTCCGTCCCTCGACAACTCCGGCTGCTTTGAGCAACCAAGGCGGCCTCTGCTCCATGCCTAGCTTATCGAGCATGTGCAGGACGAATGTCGCTTGAAGACCAGTTACTAGCCAGAATATGCCAGCCAGATAGTCAAACGTGAGATGCATGCGACTTCTGCGTTGCGTAAGACCCAAACCACTGTCCAGATCGTTGGGTCTGCTTGCGTCAGACTGGCTTTTGCTCACTGGTTTCGACTTCCGCTCTCTGGCATAGGGCGAGAAGCCGCTGACAGTGTCTTGCGAATCCACAAACCGTACACCTTTAGCGGTGCCATCTCCTATCAGTTCCGAAGGTATTGTAGGAGCTCGTCTCCGATCAATGCTAGCTGCTAGATCGTCGATACGCTTCTGCTCCAGCCAAGTCATCTGTGCCACCTTAATACGATTAGATTCTTGCAAGTATACGGCCTCTGAAGCGGCAGTCAACACGCTGAAGCCTATCTTCAGTAGAGTCGTGTAGAAGTCTTCCGACATTTTGATCTTCATGGAGGAAGCAGATGAGAATTGTACGTTGGCTTGCAGATTCTGATACGCCCACGAAAGTCGCTGCGTGAACGACATGCCCTCGGCAATCTCTCCAGGCACTGACAAAGCCGTCGCAACAAGAGCCAGACCGTAGATCAGCGCACAAATGGTTGTACCAACCAGGATCAGTAAATGAGGTATAAAGCCCACGATGCAGACAGTCGGGAAGCGTAGAACCCCGAGGTCGGCTACACTATCTATTGGGCGCATGATGATCTTGCTGAAGCTCCAGACAAATGCGGCCATGTAGCAGCATGCCCAAATGGCAGTATTTGGCAGCCTCACCTTGTGCCTTACGCCCGTAATAGCCAGCGTTGCTGAACTGATATGGCTGAAACAGCTGATCAAGCAGACCAGCAGAACCTCGGGAGGTATATTAAGGCGACGCAAGATCTCCGAGCGGCCAAGAAGCTGCCCACTCGACTCACCTTTCGGCAGACCGAACAGACCGAAGCCAAGGACATTGCTAATCATTGCCTCACACTCAGCAAATGCCAGCGAATGCTCGAAGATGGTCATGCCTGTCTCTGATGCAGGCAATTTGCCTTGCAGTGCACAGCACAATGTCTCGAAGAGCTGGCTAGTGCAGAGGGTCAGGAAGAACCAGAACAGGAGGGACATGGACCCTCGCAGATCACTCTTATTGTCCTCGAGAGCCGTCAAAGACATCTGCCGTGCTTCACAGCACGTTTTGTCGTCCTGCCAGAAGAGGAGAGTAGAGCTGAGTTGGTACAAAAAGCCTCCATCTGCACCAAAGTCAATGGCTAGATTTTTAAGCGGATCACCGTATCGTAGCTGCGGGAAATCTGGTGACGTCTGGCACTTCATAGCCTGCAGGATGTACATCATCTGCATTAGGAAGCCGGCGATCGGTATGGCATAGAGAGCCAGCCGGACATGCCACCGTAGCCTGAGATGCTCCCTCGACGATGCGTAGAACTGCGTGCGGTTGAGAAGAATAGCAATGGTGAATGTAGCCAGCGCCCACTTCGACGTCAGATAGGAAAATATGCCGCCGAAGTTCTTCAATCGTGCCACACCCTGTACGAACAACCCAAGAATAGAGGACGTCTCATCCCCCGCCTCAGCCCATGCCTCCCTTTCCACAGCATCGAGTATCGCAGCACCGGTACTCTGCACAAACGCGCTCGTATTCGTGATCGTGGAGTTGGCCGTGTGTTGTGCAGTCGCATCCGCAATCACACTCCCTCCATTCCATATCTTGCCTGCGAGATTGTCCATTGCTCCGGGCATGTGGAATGCGAAGTTGCCAGCTCTCTGAGCGAGACGAGGGACGACGAGAAAAAGGTCACTGGCGGAAGGAATCCAGGAAGCATTATTGCTGGTGAGAAGGCTAGGCTCCATGATTACCTTTGTCCGAGACAACTGAGCTTGTGTTGTTGGTTGCTCAGTCAGGCAGAAGCTACCGTGGCGAGTATTGAGTCATGATTGAAGGCACCATTTCACTCTTGACCACACTGTAGTTGAAGCAAGGCCAGTAAAGATGGTAGCAAGTCAGCAGTGCATGATTATGCGAGTCAGGGTAGGCAAGCATGTGAGAGCTTCGGGGAATTGGCTGCTCCGTTCCCGATCCTCGGCTCAAGTTTCAACAAGTGTCGCACTTGACCACGACGAGATTTGTTACCATGTCATTCCTACCCATACCCGGAGCAGTAGTCTATGGTTAACCGCAGGCACTATTCAGTTCGGGTGAGGGCATTATGGACGCTATCAGTGGACATAAGCGCGTACTACGCCTCGATGCCCACCATATTCGCGGAACAGGTGCAAAGCCATTTGCTCATTCTACTCTATTGTTAATGCTCACATTCTAGCTACGAAATCCAAGAGGTACACTCAAGAAAGCCATCAGCGACGCAATTCCATTGCAACAATCCCCGTGGCAAGGAGCCAATACCATCGCCTTCTGATAGTCCTTCAGCAGCACCCTCCACGAACACTTCTTCTCTCTGCGCGTCTGGCATTTCTCTCCGCCCGCCTCTGCTCGCATTTGGAGCGGTACACTTCCTTCACCAGCATAGGCGCTGCTTGCGATGCCGTCGAGCCCAGATCGAGTTGCCTCATGCCGTTTGACACGTCGTAGAAGACATCTTCCGGGGCTGCTAGTTCGTCGACGTCTTTCTCACCATCAACGGTCACCCAACCAACCTTCACATTGAGAGGGGGACGCTGCTCATCAGATATAATGGCACGATGGTTGATGACGACCTCGTTGTAGCTTGGCGGATTGATGCCAGCCTTCTCAAGGATTTCTCTGTTCGCTACGAAAGACAGACTATCTTGCTCAATCGTGAACGGGCCGTGACAGATGTGCCGTCTTTCGATCTGTTTGACTGCCTGGCGTTCCTGGTACTTTTCGTAGACCTTCTTGCCAAGGACGACCAAAAGTGGTGCACGGTTGTGTCGACGACGACAGCACATCTTGTTGATAAGTGATCGAGTGTTTGACTTGCTTGTGTTGGGGATTGCAATCGTTGATATCGACGGTAGCTGTCGACCGAGTTGTTGGTTTCGAGCGTGACAAGCGAGGTGAGATTGCTTGCTTGTTAATTCTCTTGCTGTGCAACGACTTGAGTGCTGTACAATCAAGCTCTCTTTCTGTGGACACATCGATGCCTTATACCAACATCGATCCCACATATCGGACACAAGATGTCATTCTGCTGCCTGGTGCTGTTCATCCGCTCGCAGGGCTTTCGGCCGTGAGATTCGGACGGGCCAATCAAGGCTTGCCACCCTCGCAGTACATCCTTTCTCTCGCCCGCATGCCATCTGCACCCCACGAATAATTTGACTAAGCTCGCAATGCCTTCTCTAATCGCGACAAGGCTTGTCCTGTGGCTGTAGAGATCGCGAGTTCTGTCATTGCAGATTGATCAACGTCTCTGCCGATCACTCCTCTAGCACGGCCGTAACAAACTTGATCGAATACAACGCATGTTCTGGCAATTCCGATGCTGAATTGCGACCCGTTGGTGAAGTGCTTTTGGCAGAGGCTTACGTGAAATGAACATAGCGACTCAGATATGTTCTATAGAGACGATATTCACAGCAACTTATCGTCCTTGGCCTCCTCCAAGGTCTCAACATGCTCGCGAGAACCCTGTTCCATACCAACCATCTTCTCGTCATCGTCGTGAGCTTTTCTGCTTTCCACCACTGGCTGCGTTGGCTGCAGCTGCGCGACCTCCTTCAGCCCATGCTTGCCATCTTTGGTGAAGAGGTGATCCACTTCCTCCAAGGTGAGGTTTGACGTTTCTGGGTAGCAAAAGTACACCAAAGGAATGAAGGCCAAATTCGTGGCCATGAAGATCAAGTAACCTTTCCATTTGAGATTACCCAAGAGGGTAGGGGTTATCATCACGACGACGAAATTCCATAGCCAATTTGAGCTAATTCCCACGGCGGTGCCCTTCGCACGGGCGTGCTGCGGAAGGATCTCTGGGACGTACACCTGCAATATAAATCAGTTGGTGAAGTATGTTCACAAGTGATGTGAGCTTACCCATGGGATGCAATTGGCAGTTGCACCAAAGAATAGCATATAAGTGAAGAAGAACGTCACCGCGGCAGACGAAGTGGTCTTCTGCATGTGAGCAGAGTATCCACGTTCCGCCGTGAAGCTGAGCAGGACTGCAATCAACATCATCGATACAGCCAGTCCGAATGAGCCGTACATCATTGGTCGTCGTCGACCCATGCGGTCCAGGAAGAAAGTCGGGATAAGGGATCCGAAGAAGAACATAGTCTGTACGCATCCGCCGATCACGAGAGAAAGGTTCTTGGAGAGCCCGACATTCGTCTCCAGCGCTGTGGGAACGTAGTAGACGACCAGGTTGATACCGCCTGTGCCCATTAGCGAATGTCATCAAGCCAAGGATATGCCAACGTACCCATTTGGTTCATGAATTGCATGCCGTAAGCGAGCAAGACACGGCGGCCAGTCTGGACGTTGTCTCGCTTGAGCAGCTGGCTCCACTTATATTCGCCGTGAACTCGTTCAAGCTCTATCGCTTCCAGAATGTCGCGCTGCATCTTTTGGACCTATAGTAACACTTAGAGCCATTGTTTTTCTTCCAAGAATGCCTCTCCTCCTGATCACGCTTACCTTTTCACCTTCTGGTGGTGAGTCCCAAACATCGCACATGACCTGAAGCGCCTCCTCCTTCCGACCATGATAGTATAGCCACCGAGGGGATTCAGGAATACCAAAGACCAGAAAGATCACCACAAACGCGAATACGACCTGGCAAGCGATCGGGACCCTCCAGGCGACCGGGCCACCAACATAGCTCATTCCGTAATCACTGAAATATCGTTGTCAGCCGTGTCTCTGCCATTTCGAGAGTCTGGTCCGAAGCACTCACAAGAAGTAGCTGATGACGATACCCACACCCACGAAGAGTGGTTCAGATGAGACGAGACGTCCACGTTTATCAGCGTCGCATAGCTCGCTCTGATACATTGGGACAGTCGATGTTTCAATGCCTGATGTGCAAATCGTTAGCGCAAGTCCCCGTTGCGATGACAAGAGATCTCTGTACCAGTGCCGATGCCTGTGATGTAGCGGGCGATCATGATTTGGGGAACGGAGTACGATGTACATTGCAGAATGGCGCCAACAATCTGTTGCCGATCAGCAGATCCCTTTTCGAGGAGGTTTGAGTGTCTCAACAACTCACGATCCAAGCCATTGCAAACCACATCATCCGACGCCTTCCCAGCTTCTCGCCAACAAAGAAAGCGACGATACATCCTGAGAAGGCTCCCAAGTTGTAGATCGAGACAATGATACCTTCAAGTCCGCTACCAGGGTTGCCGAAGGTGTGCTTCCAGTCGGTATTCGTGACGATACCCGAGAAGACGCCTTGGTCGTAACCAAATCTGTCACTTGTCAGTGATGTGGACATGGGTGACCTGGTGTTCAACCTACAGGATGAATGCCATTTGGCAGGCGACCATAATGGCCACCTGCAGGCGTATGCCACGCCCAAACCAATTCGTCTTGATTGCCTTCATGTTACCAATGATGTCTTGAATGACCTGGACAGAAAGGATACAGGAAAAATTATCGGCGCACAGTATTCACACACGATCAACGACGTTACATGTACATTCTAAATGCACGACATTCAAGCACTGACGAGGTGGCTTGTGCAGAGCGCAATCCCGGTGCCGAAACTCAAATCTCCATCTTGCATCGTTGATTCGGCTATCGGCCAAGAAGCGCACGCGATTTCCGAGGGCGTGCGCGGTGTGGGTGAGGCGTGCGGGGAAGGATTTCTCCTGGGAAACTCACAGCGACCTTTTGCCTTGGTCTGGGCAAGCCCAAGCGCACGAGCTCGGCGCTTGAAGATGCCACAACGCGTGTTCGACACGTGCTTGACGCAGATCGACAGTCCACATGAAAGGACGAAGATGGTATACGATCAGCGTTATCCCAAAAGATATACCGGTTTACAGCTCTCAGCACGGCAAGACACTATCCTGGTCCCTTTTTGGTGTAATAGAACTCCTTCGCGTCTTCCGTCTTGACTTCCACATCCGACTCCGTTCTCTTCACCACACCGAGTTCGGGATCGACCATGGAGTTACCACGGCTGGCTGCAGAGACCAGATCCGGATTCTCAGCCTTGAGTCTAGCGAACTCCTTCTCAGCAGCCCATACCCATGGAGAGTCGGCGGCGAACACCAAGTCCATTTCTTCCAGAGTCCTCTGATTTGTCTCTGGGTACAACGCCCAGACCATTGGAATCGTGATGACATTGCAAGCAGCGAAGATGTATAAAGTCTTCTCCGAGAGGGCATTGAACATGACTGGGCAGAGCAATGTGAGCCATCCATTGCCTATGGACCGTCCAACGACTCCCCAAGCATTACCCTTAGCTCGGACCTCGAGTGGGAAAATCTCTGCCGGCTATAGAGTGTCAGTAAGCAGATCAGGAGAAGTTTGCACGTGCTGCATGGTACTCACATATAGCCACGGGACAGTCAGCCATGTAGCACCGAACACGCTCGTAAAGATGAACACGAATGCTGCCGCAGCAGCACCATATGCGCCAGCCGCGCTCACATCGCCTCCCGCGGACGCATTGAGACCTAGTCGAGACATGCCTCCGGCCAAGAACATAGCTATGCCTTGGCCCACGGAACCCCAGTATAACGTATTTCGGCGGCCGATACGGTCAAGCGTAAATACGCAGATGAGGGTCGAGAACATGTAAAAGATGTTGTTGAGTCCAGATATCCACTGGCTCTTTTCCGAGCTAAAGCCAGCGATGCGGAATATGGTCGGCGCATAGATCGTGACACCAGCAATGCCGATCCACTCCTGCATGATCTGCAACCAGATGACAAGCTGAACTCGGCGCGCAGTGTGCAACTTGCCAGACCCAATACCGAAAAGCATCGACCAGTAGCTGTTTCGGTTCGCTGTCTTGCGCTCGTGGATGACAATATTCCTGATGTCGTTGTATTCCGCATCAGCTTTAGCGGCACAGACCGCATCCTCACCACGAAGTCGACCAAGGATGTATCGCGCTTCCTTGTCCCGACCGACCTTGGCCAGCCAGCGCGGTGACTCTGGGAAGAACCACACGATACCAAATAGGACTAGAAGTGGTATGACCTGAAATGCGACAGGGAAACGCCATCTGATCGCTGATTGACCACCATCGACGTACGACAAGCCGACTTTTCATCAGTCAGCACCGTCTCAACATGGTTTAATTGTGGGTGGGCACCTTACACTCCAGCCAGTACGCTACAACGACACCAAATATGTTGAGAGTGAACTCGATTGCAATGAATTGACCTCGAGAGGTATGCTCCGCTGTCTCTGTTGCCCACACAGGCACGATGGCTACGCAACAGACGTCAGTATTGGATCATAACCGGAGCGATAGTACACTAACCATTCAAGATACCCGTCCCAATGCCGTTGACTGCACGAGCACAAATCATCCAATTGTGATTCATAGCCGAACATTGCAAGCTAGCTCCAAGGACAGCCTAGCCAGCACCGACAGCAATACTGCGGACTCGTCCGATCTTGTCGCCGATCCAACCACCCAGAAGACAGCCGAATAGCGTACCAAGATAGTAGACACTGACAATGCCACCTTGGAGCAGCGAATTCGTAATGATAGGGTCGCCGGCATCATTGACGTACCCAAATCCCATCCTGTCGATGTAGTCCGGAGCGTTGTTCACTCCACCCATCATGCCTTGATCGTATCCAAAGAAAAAGATCGAGAGAGCAGCGACGGCATTGATAGCTAGTAAGAGTTTCTTCTTCTCCAGATGCGCAGCCACGCGGAAGCCTGACATTTGATCCATGATAAGTTCGTTGTGTCGCGTACGGACGGTCGAATGGTGTGAAAAGGGAGAAAGCAGGTCGATTGCGCCGTTGTGTGGGCGTTGGTTTTGATCAATCGCGGAAACCAAGAGTCCAAGACCATGTGAAGGACCGGCGATGTATGGGTAGGTGTACGTCAAACCCACTGCTTTACTAAACAGCTTTGATCGACATTCTCTATTCCGCAGCTGGGTTGTTGGGGGAGGTGGAGAAAAGGGTTAGCGCAATGACGATTGTGGTATACCGAAGGCGGCGGGATGTCGGGCGGCTTAGGAAAGCGGAGTCGAAGAGCAGAATGCCGTTAGATGCCGATTCAGCTGGACAGTGCCGTGGGAAGGTGATGCGATGTGTTGATCCGTTGTCGATCGAGATGAGACGAGGCTGATCTAGTACGATGCAGTATCGCGCTCTCCGTTGATGAGGCGGAATGTTCTCGCGAAGATCTTACGTTTGGCGTGGCATGAAGTCTGCTGTCGTAGCTGAAGCATGATGTTGTGGTACTCTCGGGCTGCGCTTCAGCGTCGCGCTGCAGACCATGAAGCCTTTACCATACAGCGTTCATCCCTGTTCAATCATCACTCCTCTCAAGTATGATGTTGTCGATGAGCCTCACAGGCACCTTGTCGCCTCCCACACCATGGACCTCACCATCACGCACGGCATCTAACGGCAGCATCTTGATAGCTCCACTGAGGACTGCTCCGTGCTCAGAATCAATCACTGCTACCTCTTCCAGCGTATCCGGGTCCGCAAGTGAGATGTAATCCACCTCGAATCTAGCTCCCGCCTCCGCCGACATCTCATCCTGCTCCATACTCATGCGATTAGCTACATCCCAAGCAAGTGCCAGTATATCATCTCGACTTCTCTTGCCCATCTTGTATGCAGCTTCTGCTGCTCGAAGAGCTTGGCGCAAGACAATGCCCACCCTCCGTCTTCGCTCGCCCAGGTACACATTGCGACTGCTCATCGCCAAGCCATCCTTTTCACGTTCTGTTGGAACGATTCGCACATCTGTGTTGAGGTGGAAGTCCCTGATCATCCGCTTGATAATGACAGTCTGTTGGACGTCCTTCTGTCCGAAGTAGACACGCTCTGGTTGCACGATATTGAACAGCTTCATGCACACTGTGGCGACACCACGGAAGAAGACTGGTCGACTTTTGCCTTCGAGCAGACCGGCGAGTGGTGTGATCGTGACAAACGAACCTGTGCCGGGCAAGCTAGAGTCAGGCGGAAGTGTCGGATACATTGTCTTGGTGGTCGGAGCAAAGACCGCTTCGATGGGGCCACCACTTGTTCCAGCATCCTTGAGCTCTCCGTCTAGCTTCTGCAACATTCCCATGTCCTTCTCCAATGTCTTTGGGTAGCTGTCCAGGTCTTCGTGCACCCCGAATTGTGTAGGATTGACATAGATGGTGACGAAGACCTTGTCATTCTCCTTGGCTGCGTGACGGATCAAGGAGAGATGTCCTTCGTGTAGTGCTCCCATGGTTGGCACCAGACCAATCGTTATGCCATCAAGCAGGAGCTTCCTTCGATGTTGTCGAAGTTGCTGCACATCGCGGAGTATATGAATGCTTCTACGACTTGATATGGCTGTTGACCCTGGGCGGGAGATCCAGCAGCGTGCGTAGCTTGCTGTGCGAGTGTTGCGGAGTATGCCGGACATGGTGTGTGCGACGACGTGGAATTGGAGGAAGAAGAGATACACTCGAAGGAGGATCGGTCGCTGCGAATAAGATATGATGGCCCGAATACAAATCCATCCTGATAGCTGACTCACCCTAAGCTGCAGGTGAAGCCATGTTGTATGATGGAGATGACCTTTATGTACGCTGTAGAATGCAGAACTGATACTCGGCGTTCGAGACGAGATCAGGGCCCAAGCTCGCAGGAAATAAACTCAAAACTAAGCATACATTAGCGCTATCGATTAGACCGGCAGCCGGAATTTCTGAGCATGTCTGAGCAATTTCTGTCAAGCGGATGCACATCGTCTGGATTGCACGATATTAGAGTAAGATGGCAGACGATGGCATGCTGCTCAACTTTGAGCTACCCTCAGACGCCTTTGCGCCGGTGAAGAGGCTGAAAGGCGGGAGTTGGAAAGACAGATTGACGGCAAGAAAGTCGGCAGAGTATGGACGGCAGAAAGCACAGGAGCGAGCGGGAGGAAGTCGGAAGAGTATGCCCAACTATGGGGATGTGCAGAGTGAGGAGGAAGAATACGTGGCGCATGCTCAGCGGCCTGCAAAGCGGTCCAGGACTGATACAGGCTCCAGAGGGAAGGCGCCTCAACAGAGTACGTCTACTATCAGACCAGATGGATACGTCTCGTCGCTGTTCACATACAATCCTCGAGATGCACTGGAGAAGCCGGCAGAGGATGAGGATGTGCCCGTGGAGGACGATGCTCCGGTCGAACCCTCCAATGCACCGCTATCCGACGAGCTCGCCACCTTCACCAACCTTGGACTTTCCAGCACCATTGCCAGCCATTTGCTCAACAAGCTGAACATAAAGGCGCCAACCGCTATCCAGCGACAGGCTTTGCAGCATTTATGTGCCACGAGCACTGATGCTTTCATTCAGGCCGAGACTGGATCTGGTAAAACATTGGCATATTTGCTGCCTATCGTGCACCATATCTCTCAGATCTCAAAACAGATGAAAGCAGCTGGACAAGACTTCACACGATCGTCTGGATTGTTTGGGCTGATCCTAGCACCCACTCGCGAGCTCAGCAAGCAGATAAGTACAGTGCTGGAGGGTCTGCTATCATGCTGTCACTGGATTGTGGGTGGCATTGTGACTGGTGGCGAAAACAAGAAATCGGAAAAGGCTCGATTGCGTAAAGGAATGAATATTCTGGTCGCTACGCCTGGTCGTCTAGCCGATCATATCAATTCCACCGAAGTCCTTGACGTCTCAAAGGTGCGGTGGCTTGTGCTTGACGAAGGTGATCAGCTCATGAAACTTGGATTCGAGCAAGACCTGCAGCGGATTGTTGGTCTACTCAATTTGCGCGGCAGGGCACCAGCATCCGTACCTGGACTGCCAGAACGAAGGACCACAGTACTGTGCTCGGCGACGATAAAGACCAGCGTTGAACAGCTGCGCTCGATTGCACTCAAAGATGCGGTGTCTATAGTTGTTGATTCCCCGGAAGCGACGGTCGAGGGCGAGCAGACTGAAACCCAGGCATTTAGTGCTCCAGCGCAGCTCAAGCAGTCTTATGCGATAGTACCGCCCAAGCAGAGATTGGTAACACTGACCGCTGTCCTAAGGCAAGCGTTCAAGAGGAAAGGCAGTGTCATGAAATGCATTGTGTTCATCGATGCTGCGGATAGTGTGGACTTCCATTTCGAGCTACTGATACGAGAAAGAGGTGAGAAGGTTGATACTGATGAGCTTAAGGTGCCACGCTTGAGCAAGACAGGGAAGATCACGCAGGGCACGACAATCTCTGAGACTCGTACAAACGGCGTTGCAAGCTTTCTGCAAGGCACAGCGAGTGGCGACGTGCATATTTTCCGGCTTCACGGCTCCTTGCAGCAGCATACTCGTACTAGCACGTTGAAAGCTTTCGCGACTTGCGAAGATCCGGCAATACTTGTCTGCACGGATGTCATGTCTCGAGGTCTGGATCTCCCCAACGTTGACCTTGTGGTCGAGTACGATCCGCCCGCTAGCAAGGACGACCATCTCCATCGCATAGGACGTACGGCTCGTGCTGGAAAAGATGGTCGAGCAATGATCTTCCTCCTGCCAGGGTGTGAGGAGGAATACGTCAGTATACTGAAAGAAGGCAAGCCGCGCAACCTCACAAAGCACGATGCAGATGAGTTGCTGAAGAAGGGCTTTGCTCCCGCGAATGGCGTGGTGAAGGAGAAGAGTTGGGAGGAAGCGGCGACGGACTGGCAGATGGATATTGAGCGCTGGGCACTCGAACATCCGAAGCATCTCGAGCAAGCACGACGAGCCTATCAGAGTCATATCCGAGCTTACGCTACTCATGTCGTGGCTGAGAGGCACATGTTTGATCTCAAGCAGATGCATTTGGGTCACTTGGCTAAAGCTTTCGCGTTGAGAGATAAGCCGAGTAGTATTCGAGTACCAGGACAACGACCTGGGAAAGCGGCCGTGGCGAAGACGAAGGAGGTGAGGCGGACGCAGGCGGGCAAGTCTGCGGCGGGCTCGAAGAGGAAGAGTGAGAGTGCTTTGGATGATGTGGATGGTGGTGAGAACGACGAGAGGGAGGCAAGGAGGAGGATGATGGCTAAGATGAAGATGAACATGAGTGGTGCTTCGGAATTTAATCTAGGGTAAATGTCTGTCGCAGTATGAAGATGTTCTCACCTCGCTGAGCTTGAACTACATATGGACATCATGCTCGTAACTCTGTTATCCAGAGTCAGTCTCGTCCTGATGTTTCCCTGTCCTTGGTGTGATACACACCTTTCTACGACTTGCGCCGACTTTTGTTAAAGTACCACAATACCTACTGACGATGTGAAGAAGACTCTCTACGCTGCCGCATCCGCAGCGAGACCGCAACATGTTTATCGTCACATTCTGCGTCTTTAACATCCTTGTTGCTTTCATGTGGTGCAGGGTGTCATTGCGCCGTCTCTGGACTTTGCATAATGACTTTGGTGGGTTGGACCGTAAGGACTACCATCCGTGTGCCGCAATAGGACTTTCCTGCGCCGCACCGACTGACGTAGGTCGGTATGGGGCGGAACATGATGATACTTGAGTATGACCAGCCTGATGGGTGCAAAAGTGTGGCTCGAAACCCTGTGACGAGAGGCTTGAAGATCATGGCATCCTCAGTAGACATCCCACAACGAGATCTTGCCATCCTTGCTTCCAGCTGCCAGCCCATGTGTGCTTTGCACCTTCTGGACTCGCTGTTCTGCGACTGTGAGATTGCGCTTGACGGCTAAAGCATCGCCATCAAGTTTGTTCGAGGACTTGCTCTCGCCGATTGTGGCAAATGCGAGAGCGTAGCATCCTTCCTTATGCCACTTGAGCACAGCTAGCTCCTTCATTGTCTTTGCAGAGTAGACTCGAGCTCGACCATCCCAGCCCGCCGTCGCGAAGATCTTCTCATCTGATCGCACAATAAGCGACTGTTGGCCTGCGTGCTTAGTCTGTAAGGTCTTCGTGGCGCTACTGCCCTCGTTCAAAGGGTGCCGGGTAATAATTTCATCTGCAGAAGAGCTGTAGAAATAGTTTAGACCAGGAGCGATGTCTAAAGACAACACTGGCTGAGTATGAGATTTGTGGGTGTAAATCGCCTGCCAGTTGCTGCTGCCATCCTGCTGCGAAAACACGCAGGCATAGCCACTCTCGTAGCCAGCGATCACTTTAAGCTTGCCGCTTTCGGTTTGTAGTCCGATAGCCATTACCATACCAGTCTTGATGTCCTTCGGATCCGTGATGGTAGCGAAGCGTTGCTCGGCCGGCAGAGAAGTGATGTTGATATAACCATCTTGCACGCCTGGAACAGCGACCAGAACATCTGGTGGAGCATCGTTACTGGTTTTCGAAGACGTCAAAGAGCCTGGAGAGATACTGATGGCGAAAGAGCAAAAGTTGAGTGCATTCACAGTTAGACTATGAAGTAGCCATGGTTGCCTCGAGTCCGCTGGCTCAGCATCAGCTGGAAGCTTTATCGCAAGACGTGAGATATCGTCCTGAGCTAGCTGCCAGACCCGAAGCTTGTTGTCCCGACCATGTGTTATGATCCTGTCGCCTTGGTCAGACTCGGATCCTGGCCAGCTGTTGATCCCGAGAATAGCGCCTCTATGTGCTTGCCAGACTCCCACTGGCCGCTTGATAGGCATGTCCCAGATGATGACCCAGCCATCGGCATCACCGGAGATCAGATATTTGTTGTCTGCGATGAAGTGAAGAGCATGGATTTGAGCCGAGTGACCTCGCAGGATGTACGCCGGCTGAGCTGGTGGCAGTATCGCTGACTCTTCCAACCGTGACGAAATCGATGCCATCAACGATCAGATGTACGGTTCAATGCTGATCGCCTGAAGTCCCGATGCACATCGTGAAGGGAAAGTCGATTGGTTCGCGGCTTCGTTCATTCTTTACGTACGGTCCGAATGAGCTGGAGCTTTGGGCGATTTATTGAATATCGCAAGTGCGTGGTAGTCTTCCCATGAGACTACCCGCCAGGTCTACACGAGCATCTGGACTGTCGCAAGGCAAGCATTCTCATGTCCTCTCAAAAAGAAGGGAGATATTAGTCGGCGGAAGCTCGGACAGATTCAACAAACCATATAGAATTTTGGGTCCACAATCATCTACGTCCATGGACGTTCGACTCAGTCGGATGGTTTATTAGTGTAGCGGTTATCACTCGTACGTGTCCAGCCATTCTCCACACATCACGATCTGGTCCTGACTTCCACGAAGCAGATTTTGAGTAAGAATTCTGGTAACCCCAGTTCGAATCTGTAAGTTTCGCACCACAAAAAATTCGCATCTCCACGCCACAGACCCGTAAGACTTCTTCATTCCTGGACAAATTCTAATACCATGTTCAGGGGATAGACCTCTTCAAAAGTGTCTATAAATGATTATTTTTGCCTTTTTGTCGAATCATGATGTATATACCACTTGATAACGAGATAAGTATCAGATATATGTTGCCTATTAGATTTTTGAGATTCCGCAGCACTATATGCGATGATCGGCCAACAGCAAGGCAATGTGATTTTCAAGACCAGCGTACTGCAGATGTGCTGACGATGTTGTGATGTTGTGGGCAGGAGAGGGCCAAGAGTGGACAGTATTAGCCATCAACCAGGAATTAACCGTCGTTCGCGTCAGGCGGTCATTCGTTATGGCATAACCGGCTAAGCATTTGCAAGACGAATTCAACGAGAGCAGACGTTGTCGCTGTACAAGTTGTATGAATGGGAGGTGAGTTGTCGTCTGCTCTTCCGCTGTCGGCCAGCCCCTCGTAGGATCATCCCATTGATGTCACAACCCAGCTTGACCACGGCTAAAATAATCCGTCTCATTTGCTGCAGTATTGCTGGTGTGGCATCGTTGTGACCAGCTATTGCCCATTCATGTTCCTCTCGCGCTCAAAGTCTTACCTTCGCACCTGTGGCATTGCTCTCACCAGCTCAACCAACCTACTTCGCTCTGTGATAACAACATCGACTTTCCTCCCCACACTCAATCGCTCTGCAAGAATGGCCTCAGCAATGGGCAAACGCCTCGAAGGCAAAACCATTGTAGTCACGGGTGCCTCGTCCGGCATTGGCAAAAGCACAGCCGTCGAGTTCGCGCGGACATCACCCAAGAACCTCAAGCTTGTCCTCACAGCCAGGCGGATCGACACCCTCAAGCAGATAGCAGAGGAGATCAAGAAAGAAGTGGGCGAGGGCGTCAAAGTCCTCCCAGTACAACTTGATGTCAGCAAACCCGAGCAAGTACGTAGCTTTGTTCGCAACCTCCCGCAGGAGTTCCAGGACATCGATGTCCTGGTCAACAATGCTGGACTGGTAAAGGGCGTGGATAAGGCGGGCGATATCAAGGAGGACGACATGGAGACCATGTTTGCTACGAACGTCACTGGACTCATCAACATGTCACAGGCTGTGCTGGCGGTGTTCAAGAAGAGGGGAGAGTCTGGTCAGGGCGATATCATCAATATTGGCTCGATTGCTGGACGAGAAGGGTACCCTGGTGGCAGTATCTACTGTGCTACCAAGGCTGCCGTACGAACGTTTACAGACGCGATGAGGAGAGAATTGATTGCAACACGGATACGAGTCATCGAGATCGATCCTGGTCAGGTCGAGACCGAATTCAGTGTGGTTCGCTTCGGCGGTGATAAGAGTAAGGCCGATAAGGTGTATGAGGGTGTCACGCCCCTGACACCAGAGGATATCGCTGAGACTGTGGTCTTTGCTGCTGGACGACCAGAGAATGTGGTTGTGGCTGATATGCTCGTGTTCCCGAACCACCAGGTAAGATCAAATCTCTTTTCCACAGCAGTAGCGCATGCTGATCCGAGAGCAGGCTGCTGCGACTGTCATGCACAGAAGATCATGAATGGATCTGACAGCTTTGCAGGCTGCCGCTACTGTGATGCACCGCAAGCCAGTGGTCATGAGTTCGAAGATGTAGACATTGTAGATACAGCTCAAGCTATGTATACTTCGGGTATTCGACCTACTTCGATGGGTCGAGCAACAGCTTGCCAGTCGTCTTCCTTCCCTCCAGATCATTGTGCGCCCTGCCTGCATCGCTAAGCGGGTATGTCTTATGGATCTTGACATCAATCTTCCCGTCTTTCAAAAAACCAAACAGTTCATTGGTATAGTGCTCAAACTCCTCTCTCGTCGCGATGTATCCAAACAGCGTCGGCCTCATCAGTCTGGCATTCTTCGCGCTCAATCTCGCAATCGGAACAGGCGGTACCGCACCCGAAGCATTGCCAAAACTGACCATGCTACCTTTCCTCGCCAAGCAGTCCATAGAAAGGTCAAATGTGGACTTCCCAACACCATCGAAGATAGCGATACAGCCAGCGTCCTTCGTGAGCTCCATCACCTTGGCCTTGACATCCTCGTGACTATAATTAATCATATGTCCCGCCCCAGCCTTGCTAGCCAAATCAACCTTCTCCTGCGTCGACGCAGTCCCGATAACATTCGCTCCTACCGCCTTCAACAATCCCACAAGCCACAATCCAGTTCCACCAGCAGCTGCATGCACAAGTACCCAGTCCCCCTTCTTAACATGATGTGCTTCCCGTATCAGCGTCAAAGCCGTAAGTCCCTGCAGGAAAGCAGCCACTCCAACTTTCTTCTCAATCCCGTCCGGGATCTTGACTGCTTTCACGGCGTTTGCGGCGGTGTACTCGGCGTATGTACTCTCGTTCATTATGAGCACACGATCACCTTCCTTCAAGCCATATTGCTCGCCTGAGCCGTTCTGGACTACTGTGCCTTCGGCTTCGCGGCCGAGCGTGTATGGCATTTGCGGTGCAGGATAGAGACCCGTGCGGAAGTAGGTATCGATGAAGTTGACGCCGACATAGTCGTTGTGGACGAGGAGTTGACCGTTGCCGGGTTTGGGGACTGGGAGGTCGGTTTTGTATTCCAGGACTTCGGTGCCGCCGTTCTTGTTGATCACCACGCCTTTCATGGTGCTTGGGACTGAGGCCATGGTTCTATAGGGTTGTGGTCTGGTAAGCTGGGAGGTGAGTTGTGCTGTTCGCCGAGTTGTGGTTGATCTGAGGAGCTGGGTGAGAGACATGCGATGCTTTTATGGTATGGCAGAAGTAGGACGAATGGCAGCAGAGGTACTTTGTTGAACGTGAGAGCTCATACACCAAGTAAGGCATTCTGATTACGTCAGCATGTTTCCTCTGCGACAGCGGAGTTAATGCTCATGCCATAGCTCAGAATTGCCGAACTGTGCTAAGGAGATGACGCCAGTAGTGGGGCAAGGAATCGTGCCTGCCACGCCGTGTACTGCGGCCCGTGCGGCGCTCGCGGGTTGTACGGTATTTGCTTCATAGCCGTAGACTGTTAAACAGCGCTGAAGATGGTCTAATCTAGTCTGGTCTGATCCCTCATACCTGGAATGGTCCTTGATGAGCTCGTCGGGCTATCCAGCACGTAGACCATTACCTCAGCCGGGCCTACACATAGGCACTAAAGTCCAGTGAACGCGGAGCAGCAGTGCAGACATAGAGGGAATTTCAGCTACGAAGCATGCTCTTCGTCCGACAGCGTCTCACCATCGCCACCACCACCGCCGTTCGCCTCGCCCTGCTCGATTCTAGCGTCCGCGCCCTCGCCTCCATCCTTGTTGACGGTCTGCCTAGCCATCCATGCCTTCGGCGGGCCAGGTTCCTTCCACTCGAAGATGCGCTCGTTTGGCAGGAACTCATAGAAAGTCGGGAACATCATCTCGATGCTGTCGATGAACTTGAAACCGTTGTTCATCTCGATGACAGTCACCGCCATCTTCATGCCTAGCTCGCAGAATATGAGAGTTTCGTCTTCGACAAGGAAAGTGAACGTCTCATCCTTGTCGATCTTGACCTTCGCACTTGTAGGCACGTCAACCGGAGCAGCGAATGGTACAGTCCAACGCTTGCAGATGAGCTTGCCCATGCAGCGAATAAAGGCTTCGTACCCCTCACGACCACCAAGATCGGCATAAAACTGCTTGGTCTTCTCATCGGCCAGCTGAACGCCCACAATCTCTAATCCGCCTCTCTCCGTCGAAGTATGGCTCAAGCCGTCGTTGAAAGCCTTCGACTGCTCGTCAGAACCATAAGCTGCAATACCAGCCTTGACAATGATATCGGCTTGATCACGCTCGAGTCCGAGGTTGTCACCATCATTCGCCCAGCTGTCCTTTGCGCGACGAGCATTGGCCCATGAACCACCGAGTAGAGTAGAGCAAGCGCTGTTGAAAGCACCCGGCAGACTACGATCGGTGATCGCGAGCTTTGGCAACTCGATCTCTGCGGCATCACAAACGGCACGAGCGGCGAGCAACTGGTCGTGGTATTCAGGACACGCGGAGTGCGCCATGAGGTAGTTGTAGAAGTTGCGGAGGACCATGCAAGTGGTTGCGACCTGCTTTGCCTCCGTCCACTCAAAGTGCTGAAGGAACTGCGAAGACAGGAAGGCTTTCGCGATACCTTCGAAGTCAACCACCCAATTGGACTTCTTCGACCCATCCTCTTCAGCGTAGAAGGCGTCGCTGACCTGCTCCACAATGCCGTAGTATTCGGTCGTCTGCACTTCTTCTCCGGCGAGTCCTGCTGCCTTGGCCTGCTTCTTGTTCATGCCACCCTGAAACATGCGGTTGTTGGTGCCAAACCCACCGAACAATACGAACTTTTCAAATACTCGACGTATGTGCTGGTGCATCTTGCGACTGTCGCTGAAGCTGTTGACAGCCGTCTCCATGCGGGCGATGATACCCTCGTCCGGGCCGTACTTCTCCAGGTTTTTCTCGTACTGCACTGGTGAGATCGGGCCTTCAGTGGCGTATGGCTCGAATCCGGTCGGTTTGAGCATGCCTGCGGTCATGTGTGGTTGCTGAGCAGCTTGAAGTTGCTTTTTGTACCTGTTGATATCGATCCTCGGGGTGACAGTGGGCCGGATGGTGAGAGGCTCGCGGCGCTTAATGTGCTTGTTGTCTACGACCTCAACAACAGTGCTACCCCTGAGTGCTTCGCGAACGGCCGAGTTCGGGCGATACTGCTTCATCTTCTTGAAACCCGTGATCAAGCTGATACTGACTGGGTTCGTGCCCTGCATACCAGCGAAGCCCAGCAAGTACGCATCATGTGGTAAGTTCTCGTCGCTGAAGTAATATTCAACTTGGCGGATGATTTCGTCGGCGCGAGAGCGCGAACCAGTCGGTGCCACGGCCCAATCCATGACTTTCGGCATGGGTGGCACCTCTGTTGTGCGAGTCACTAGTGGTTGGTCGGCTGGCTCGAAGTCTGGGAACGGCTCTATTATGCTAGATGTTGGTGGTTGATTTGTGGTACTGACCCTTGGCTGATGCTCTGCCGTGTTGGCCATGGCTGCGTGAGAGTCTCAAGATGTGTTGCAGAGATGTGTTTGTCAGTGTTCATAGCGGTGGAGCACCGACTTCACAATAGACTAGTCAAGTGATGTGCACAGTGAGTATATGTTCGAACAGACCTTGGGACCGTTGCCTAGACGTTGTGCGCTTCAGCGCTGTGACTTTAGCTAGCGAAAGAGGCAGGCACGATGGGGAAAGCGCACGTGATGCCAGATGTCAGGCCTTGCAAGCAGACAGTTGAGCTCTGCTCGTTGTTACTTAAGGTGTAGTCTTGCGGTCGCTGTGATAGCGCTTGGAGTGAATGGCGAGCTAACAAGAGTATTACCAAAAATACCTGCTGCACGAACATGAAGAAGGAGAGAAGAGGTGTACTAAAGCTCGGACCCTTCGATCGTGGCGTACCTGCATTCGAAAGTGTCACTTTAACCCTGTCATCCCTGCTCGTGTGACGGCAGCCAAGCGAAAACAACATCGGGTTGCCGGTCGGGCATGATTGCGCTCACTCGGCCATTTGACAGACAATCGACTCAGACCGCGTGCCCGTCTTCATTCTCTCCAGCAGCACACACTGAACGAAAAGCGGAATCATGGCGACCACGAACAGCCTCGACACCTCCAAATTCACGAACTTCGATGGCGCGGCCGGACATGAAGGCGTACTCTCCGACCAGTCTGGTGAAATGATCATTAAGCCTTGCACGGATGCTGAGGTTGCATTCTACCAAGATACATTGGCCAAGCATCCCGAGTTCTCCGAACTCATGCCAAACTTCATGGGAGTTCTTCAGCTGGGTGCTGCTGCACAAGTCCAAGACGCCACGGCTGCAAGCGACCTATTAGATGCCGCTCATTCGCAGAAAGAAGAGCGTCTGCATGGCAAAGCTCTAGCCACCGAGACAGCCATCGTTCTGGAGAACCTTGAGCATGGTTTCAGCAAACCCAACGTCCTCGACATCAAGCTTGGCGCAAGGCTCTATGCGGATGCCACTGCTCCGGAGAAAGCGGCGCGTCTTGACAAAGTCGCATCTGAGACGACTAGTGGGTCTCTGAACTTCCGCATCGCTGGCATGAAAGTCTGGAACGGCAAGGCATATGACGAGTACGACAAATTCTATGGTCGCAACTTCAGCGCAGAGAATGTCAAAGAGGGCTTTGCCACATTCTTCAGCGGGTTGTCAACAGGACTGAAGACAGACGAGGCCATCCAATTACTCGAGACAATTGAAGCAGAAATCTCCAAGGTCCGACATGTGCTCGAGAAGCGGGAGTCGAGGATGTACAGCGCCAGCGTTCTCATTGTTTACGAAGGTGACAGCACGGCGCTTGACACTTTGATGGGAAACGTACCGAAGACGCCCCGCCTTCAGGAGAAGATGCCGACGTTGGGTGAAGTTAAGCGGAGCGAGGAAGAAGAGGAAGACGAAGAAGTACCGCCAGTAGTGTTCATGGTGAAGATGATCGACTTCGCGCACGCTACATGGACCCCCGGCCGGGGCAAGGACGAAAACCTTATCACTGGCTTGATGAACGTCGAGAAGCAGATGGATGGACTGATTCAGCAGATGGAACAATTGTAATCTGTGCACTGCTATGATTCAATTGGTCACTTGACAATGATTGGCACTGCATTTGGATAATGTGGCTACGTACTGAAATAGATTTATGATACCCACTAGTTTATTGTTCGATGCCGAACTCCGCAAAGATGGACTCATTGTGCTGGCCTACTGAGGGTATCGCGTCCATACGTACAGCCGTACCATCTGCTGCACCGGCTGGTTTCAAAGCTGGTATTCTACCATTCGGTGTTACAACTTCAGTCCATCGGTCCCGTGACTTTAGCTGAGGATGTGCCCAAAGACCAGCCATGTCATTGACCTTCGCATTTGCCACTCCAGCTGTCTGAAGTTTGTCAAGCATTTCATCTGCTGAGAAAGCAGCAAAAACACCCTCGATGATCTCGCGTAGAACCTTTCTGTTCTTTGATCGTAGTGAAGTCGTCAAGAAGCGCTCGTCATCCAGCAGCTCCGCCTTCTGCAAGACATCCCTGCAGAAGATGCTCCATTCACGCTCATTTTGCATTCCAAGCATCACTGTACCACCTCCTCCAGTATCAAACGGACCGTAGGGGTAGATACTCGCATGTTCTGCGCCTGCCATAGCAGGTGCTGGAGCACCATCTGAAGCATAGTACATGGGAAACGACATCCATTCAGCCAGAGACTCAAGCATGCTTACATCAAGTCTACAGCCCCTGCCTGTCCTACCACGTTGGATGATGGCTGCGAGTATGTTGTTGAAGGCTGTCGTGCCGGCTGCGATGTCTGCAATACTGATGCCTGACTTGGCTGGCTGGCCAGGTGAGCCTGTGACAGAGAGGAAACCGGACTCAGACTGAATCAATAGGTCGTAAGCCTTCTTATTCTTGTACGGTCCAGTACTGCCGTAACCACTGATGTCACACACGATGAGTCTGGGATGTTGTCCTTTCAGGCTCTCGTAGCCAAGACCCATGCGCTCCGTTGCGCCAGGCGCTAGGTTCTGTACAAGTACATCAGCCTTCGCTACGATTTTCTTGAGTGCTGCAAGATCGCGATGCTGCTTCAGATCCAAGGCCAGACTTTCTTTACTTCGATTCGTCCAGACGAAATGTGAACACAGTCCCTTGACACGTTGGTCATGATCTCGATTGAAGTCGCCGCGGCCAGGACGTTCGATCTTGATCACTCGAGCCCCTAGGTCCGCAAGTTGCCGAGTGCAAAATGGTCCAGCGATAGCTTGCTCTAGTGAGACCACTGTGAAACCGCTCAGTGGGAGGTTGTCTGACGGCGGTAATGCTTGGCGTAACGTTTGGCTGGCAGATATGTTCCTTCGCTGAGCATATGGAGCTCTACTGAGAGACACTTTGTGCTTGAGCAGGCGAGCTGGCAGAAATCCGTGTCCTGGCCTACAGTGGAGTGGCATAACCTGGCGCGATGCAGCTGCGCGCAGTGGCCGGGTTGCACTCATGCTGGGCAACACTACAGAGTCTCCCGGGACGAATTAATACCTTGGCCGAGTAACTTCCAAAGATCGCAATCATCCTGATTACCATCAATTCTGATTCAGATGTAAGTTACCTATACGTCAATTGGCAGATCGCCATGTCTCCGCAGTCGGAAACAATGCCAATAGCCGAGCTCGAAACAGAGTATCCATCAACATCGATTCAACTGACGGGAATTGCAGAGGATACCGCAATTACCAGCCTATCAACCTGCACCTTTAGCAGTGTGCTAATAGCAGGAACCAGTGCTCGTTCAGCCGTGCGCCCTAGAGGTAGTCTTTTTCCACTAGACCTTGAGTAAAGAAACAATGTTGGAGCATCCGTTGCTATCTCGATAGACCAATCCCTTTTCGCCATAGCTATATACTGGTAAACGACGGTGCCTAAGCGATTGCAACGAGGGTCGTACTCATGGTGATGGAAATATGGGTGCGCATTTGAGCCATCGATTTTGTGTTCTGTTGGTGGCACGGACCACATATGTCAAGAATCTCCGACTGGTAGAGCCGGCGGCCACAACAATCTCCAAGAACCATCGAACATGTCTTTGCCAGGACTCTCCTTACCAGGATTAGGACTACAGCTCAGTGCTACACCCGTGCTTGGAGGAAGCGCTGCTCCGCCGGCTGAACAATCACCGCGCAGAGAAGATCTACCTCCTCGTTCAGAATGGCGATTCGAGACGTCTTCGTCCTCGAGTTCTTCTTACCATGCTCGTGTACTCAGTGGCCACGCTGAATTGTTCGGCGTCGAACTTGCAGTGAACCAGCTATACGATCTTTCTGGCACCAAAGGCGCAATCTTCACCTGGCAAGGATGCCAGCTCGAATTTATGGGGGATGCAGAAAGCGAATATGCTGCTGAGGAGACCGAATATGCGGTTGAATGGCTGAGCTTGCATGGCATGCTCGAAACATTTCGAGACGAGCCAGCGAATGACGGACCGCGAGTACTAGTGGTCGGTTCTGATAGCACAGGGAAAAGCAGTCTCATTCGCAGCGTGATAGCGCGGGCAGTGAGCTCCGGCCGCACACCAACAGTAGTGAATCTCGACCCTCGACAGGGTCTCTTGGCGCCACCATCAAGTCTTACGGCTGTCACGCTGGGTTCACAAATGGAGGTAGAGAACGGCTTCGGTATCAGTCCAATATCTGGCCCAACCGTGACTCCCATGAAGACGCCACTTGTGTATCACTACCCTTACCACTCTCCTACGGACAAGCCGGATGTGTACAAGGCCATTGTGACAAGGCTGGCACTCAGCACCACCAGCAGATTGGAAGAAGACCTGAAAGCCAAGCAGAGTGGTATCATCCTGGACACGCCGGGCGTGCTTGGTGTGACGGATGGCAAAGGCAACATCAACGAGATCTTACATCACCTTGTCTCCGAGTTCTCTATCAACGTCATCGTGTCAATGGGCCCAGAGCGTTTGACCAACGCTCTAAGTAAGCGTTACAGTGTTGCGAAGGGCGCGGACGAGGCCATACCAGTACTTCGTGTGGCCAAACCGGGCGGACTTGCTGAGCGCAACGAGCCATATCTGAAGCAATCACGAGCCAGATACACCAGGAGCTACTTCTTTGGTTCAGCGAAAGAATCATTGAGCCCACATTCGCACTCGATAGCTTTTGACAACCTCGTCATCTATCGAGCAAATACTACGTCCACCGGTTCCGGCACCACAAGCTATGGCGCCGACGCAGACGACGACTACGATCCATCGTCTGACAACACTACGATGTCTGGGACTTCGACTGCTACGTTCGACAAGGTTGCGCCAAGCGTAGCGATGATGGGATCTCTTATTGCAATCAAGTTCTGTCCCACGAACAGTGACGAGGATGCAATACGTGACAGCGCAGTGATGGGGTTCGTATATGTTGCAGATGTGGACGAAGCAAGGAAGAAGGTCAGATTTCTGGCACCGCATCCACAGAGCTGGGGCAATCGAGCGCTCGTATGGGGCCAGTGGCCTGAGGCGATGGCAGACCTGGTAACCTGAAGTCACACCGGTAGCACATAGCACCCGTTTGGTCGTTGATCTGATGTACGATGGCAACGAAGATAGATGCAGGCCAGCTCCGTCGAGGAAGTGTACTTCGCTTCGAGTTTAGGCCGTCCAGCATGGCAGTACCGACGGCAATATGACACCGGCGGTGACTGCGACGTAGAATCGTTGCTAGCAGGATGGATTGTGCCTGTGGATGAGTAGATTCGCCCGATAGATAGCAAAGCCGTCATGATACAGGATCGCATCGAGTGGACACAGACAAAGTCCAGCACATATACCCGGCCAATCCGTGCCGTCTCGTACAGTTCTAATAAGTAATCTACAATCTAAGCCTACATGGCCCGAAATTCAGCTGTCGCAACGACATAAGCCTATCTAACATTTACTCCAGTGCATTCCGTTTCGCAGCTTCCTCAGCTGCCTTGCTCCAGGAGATCTTGTACAGGTAAATCGCTTCCGAAATGGCGACAATGGCGAGTGCGATTGCTGGGCCAGTCCAGAGCCCGTAGAGTTCCCATCCAAGACCAAATGCTGTTGCGAATGAGACTGGCACGGCGACCTGATTTGCAGTTAGTACAGGTGTCATCGGAGTGAGACTGTAGAGAACGTACCACGTAGTAAGCAAATAAACCGATGTAACCGCCGACCTCCTGTCGTCCAACACCTCTTAGCAGACCATTCATCTGCGCGGCCAGTGCATCGAAGAGCTGGAAGGCGGCATTGATCGGCATGACCTTCGCGGCGAGCTCGATGACATCCTGCTCGCTGGTGAAGAGCTGTGGCACTTTATAGCGTAGGGAGCTGAGCAAGATCACATTGAAGATGCCAACAACAGTTCCGAAGACGATCGTGACACGTCCTGTGACCTTCGCAGCGTCTGGGAGGGTGGCGCCGATCAGGTTGGCGACACGGGTGCTAGCTGCGATACTGATTGGAAAGGGTAGCGAGAACGTGATGACCGACAGACTCTGCAGCACTGTTTGAGCACCGAGATATGTCGCACCAAACCTGGCGGAGGCCAAGGTCAAAATCTCGAAGGCCAGGAATTCCGCCATCACCATCACCAGACCAGGAATAGCGAGTCGGATCATCGGACCCCAGTTGGCAAAAGCCTTCTTGGTGAAGCCGGGCCAGCATTCCATCCCGCCAACAAAGCGTACGTACAAAAAGAGGAGTAGCGGCATGAGGTTCTCTGTGATGACCACGGCGATTGGACAGCCAATGAATCCCCATTTAAGCTGCCATACGAAGAGCCAATGCAAGAATATATTGATCGGCGCCGCGATCAACAAAACGTACATCGTTGCAGCAAAGTGTCCCTGAGCCTGAACATAGCGCTTGGCACTTTCGAAGGCTGCATAAGCAGGTGCGCCCAAAACCAAGACCTTGAGGTACTGACCCGCCAAAACCGCAATTTCCTTCTCAGGCACGATGAGTTGTAAGATCTGTGTGCCAGACAGCCAGACAAGAGTGATAGGTATGCACATTGTCCAGAGGAAGAATACCATGCGCTGTAGTTGCAAACCGACCAATTGTTTCCTGCCCGAGCCAGAAGCCTGAGCGCAAAGAGTGTCCAGAGAAGTAGCCAGACCATGGAAAGCTGCGTAGCCGGTGATGTTGGCAGTCATACTGCCGAGCGAGACGGCTCCGAGCTCAATCTTGCCGATGTGACCGACGGTAAAGATACTGGTCATGGTGAGGGAATTTTGCAGCAAGAAGGTAAGGATTAAAGGCGCACTGGTGCGTGCCAGTGTCTTCGTCTCTCTCTGCCATGTCGTTTGGATCTTGCCCTCCAAGACGGCTTCCTCCCATTTCTTGTCGATATTCTCTGGGTCGTCCTCTCCTCCGTATGGTGCAGACGGATCCCGACCGAGCAGTGCAGTCGTCTCATCGTCCGCCACAGCTTCCTCATCTGCTACGGTGCTGGGTTTCCGCCTGAGATTGGCGATCGACAGGCGTTCTATCAAGCCTCGGTTTGAGGATACTGAAGCACGGCTGTCTCTGTGTCGTGGATGCTTGGGCGGGATGAGATTGTTGTCTCTAAGCAAGCTTCGCTCGTCTCTTATGGCATCCTCCCATTCTTGGTCTACCGGTATGAAAGGAGCCTGCCCAGTACCGAACAGTGAATGTGGCGCCCCAGCTAGCACACTTGGTCTTCGGTGGCTACCAGTCATAGCATGAATACCCAGATGCACTCTCTCTTGGGTATCCAACTGCTCGAGGTTGCCGTCGATGTCGCCATTGGTCTCATCCTCTCCTTCTACAGCAGCGATATCCTTTGCTATCGCCTCTTCCGCAATCGTAGCAATGGAGTCATGGTTGAATGGCGTCCGGTACGATGTCCCAAGACTCCTTGATGTCTGATCACTGCCTCGCCTCGGGGATCGTTGTACGCTCCTAGCTGGGGAGCTCATCTTGCCTGTGCTGTTTAGAACCTGCTATCCAACTATTTGACAGATCGAAACAACCGCTAAATGAACACTGAACGAAAGAAAGGTCAGGCGAAAAGAGAATAGCTGATCATTGTGAAGCACATCTACAACAAAGCAACAATACTGTACCTGTCTCTCATCATAGCGCCAGTTACTAAACGGTGAGCCTAAGAGGCAAAACTCACGGAGCATCGAGCCGATACCTGCACGATAGGGCAGGGTTAGAATTGTTGCAGGTTTTTGGGTTCCCCCTTCCATGGTACGGCACTGTCGGTACAGCAGTCAGCACGAGCCACCATATTGCTTGGTGAGCTATCAATATGAGAGTTCAATGCGGCATGCAATGCTATCAATGTGCTGTGGGTTTGATGTACGGTTCCGGGTCGCACAACGATCGCTCGCAGACAATATCATAACAAAATCATCGGCTCATAACCATAATCATCAAATATTCATGCTGAACCGGGATATTTCGATCATGATGAAGCTCCACAATTCACCAAACCAGTAGTCTCCCAGAAATTCGGTAAATGAACCAGTCGAAAGCCACACTTCGAACACCGCTTCAACATCCGAGGCGATCAACCCGCAACCAATAATCTCACCATTACATTGTACTGAAGCTCGACAGATGACGACGAGCGGTGTTGTCACAACGCACATGAGCTGTCACCTGCGCGCCCCGTGCAACCCTCGCTACACCGCCCATCCGAAGATCAGATCTCACTGTAACATCGAAAGACGAATTGTGAGCGTCATGGCCGTCTGCACGCCGCCCGAATTTGCTCCATCAGTCTCACGTGGCGGTAACGCGGCAGATCGGACGATGAGGCGCAGGTCTGTCCTCTGGTAACGAGCCGCAGGACTGCGAGATCTTGTCAACGTGCCTCTTCAGCCGCTGGCTTCGGCAAGTCATGGTTTCGGATGTCGTCGTCGTACATCGGGCCGAGTGAAGCTGGACGCCACAGCAATATCGAGTGTGGCGCGGTATACGATTTCCAAATTACATTACTATCAGTGAGAGGTTATGCTACGTCTTCTCTGGGTTGTTTAATCTAACACCCCGCAGAGCATTCGTCGTGGGCCCACCGGCCACCAGATTTCGGGGTTCCTGTGGGCTCACGAAGAATGCTCTGCGGGGTGCTAAGGTGAGCAGTAGTGTGAGGTGGACTACTCGGTTGCGGTAGCAAATCTAAGTCAAGCGAACTCACGCTTGGCAGCCTGATTATTATTCTAATCGCTACATGGGACCGAGTGCTTGACATGGGTCGTGCTTGTTCGAGCACGCACAGCTGGCTTACGAAAGCAATAGGACTTTGGCGACATAGGCTGATCGACTAACCTGACAAGCCTGATTTCACACACCAACACAAATCCACTGCCTCTCAACCCACATCAATTCCTTCTGCTTCATCTCACCAGGATGGTACAGTCCATCCACCGTCTTTCCCGGCGCCATCACCAAGATTCTCCACCCCCAGCCCAGCAGCGCATCAGAGTGATCATGCCAATGTCCGTCCTCCGCCGCAGATTTTGTCAGACCAAGGGTATAGCATCGTTCTTGAGCGTAGCGACGTGCGTGCTGAGTCGCCCGCTCAACGGTGTCGTAGATGTAGACCATTCTGCTGACATTGTGCGTATCTGCCTGTCGAAGAGGGGGTGTGGACGCGCTCTCGATGTGATGCATGATTGTGAAGACTTCATGGCGGTTCGGCTGGTCGGCAGTGCTAGCTTCTGCCATGTTGACTTCCTGCGAGGAGTTTGATTGGTATTTGTGGATATCGTGGTTGCCTGCTTGCTCAGTGTGACAAACAAATGCCAGCTCTTAGAGAGAGACGCGCAGCTGAATCACAGCATGTGATTCTTGTTCACATTCACATACGTTCACGCGTTCTTGGACCGCAATGTCAATTCGTCTAGCCATGGGCACCAGTAGTCGAGGCAATCATCCTCTATTCAGCGTGTTGCCGCTGCCCTTCGGGTTCGCCTCGACATATTCATCCCACTCCCTCGCCTTCATCGTCTCACGATCAGCGGCTTCCATATCATCCTCGTCCACCACAGGCTTGACCTCACTCTGCGGCCCGCCACCATCAATCATACCACCTCGCTTTCGCTCCTCCTCAAGGTACTCGTCGATGCTCATGGTCGGCAAGCTATGATCAGGCCTGAAGACTCCATTGGCAAACTCCTGACGCTTGCTCGTCAACGTGAATGGACGAAGTGGCTTTCCTTTGCTGTCTAAGATTGGCCCACGCATGCCTGCAGACAGTGGAGGTGCATCTAACCGCTCGTTGTAGCCGTTAGCGTGCCTCCCATTGCGTTCTCGTCCGTCAACCGTGCTAGAAGACTCTGGCGGTGGTGATGGCGGCGCAAGTGAGAGTATGTGCAGTTCCTGCCCGATACCTTCGAGCTGTGCGAAGGTCTGATGTGTGCAAAAAGCAAGCTCCGTCAGGCAGAGCTCTCTCGCTGCTGCCTCATCATTGTGCAATACTGTCGGGTTGCTGCGTAGGTGTTCGAGCTTTTGCTTCAGTGCCTTCTCGTCCTTGAACCGTCTGATCTTCGCATCTCGTCTTGCTGCTGCATCTGTGGTGGATGCGGTGGAGAAAGTGTTCGGTGCTTCGTGATACTGCTCAAACAACGCTGCATCGTCTTTAATCAAGAGATCGTAGTTGTCCAACTGCTTCAGAAAGCGCTCATATCTCTTCTGGGCCTGCAGTATGTTCGCTTTCCTGTTCTCGTAACCATTCACCCGGAGGACCAGTTCAGCAATGCGGTAGTTTAACAGGAGATACGGCAGGTCCGCGGTCGCAATATCCTCAAGAGTCTCGTTTGGGCTGAACAGAGATATCCGGTCGGCGATGCTGACACACTCTTCGAACAGTTGCAGAGCGACTATCAGGTTCTCTTGGAAGGCGGAGGAGTTGCTGCTTGAATAACCGTCCAGGCTGCTTCGCTTCTGCTCGGCGTCCTCGTAGACTGATCTCAGGCTGCGCTGTTCCTCTGCCATTTCGTCCGGGTGTATAAGCAGGAGGTGAGGGTTTCCAACTCACCACTGAAGATGCACGACTTTATACTAGCGTCGCGTGGCCGGCCATGGTGGCGCGTGCGCTTGAAGTGAGGGGCGTTCCTTCCAAATGCATCCATCCTCATTCTTCTTCCACCTTCTTGCACCCTCTTGAACCTTCATCCTCAACTCCAAGACATATCAGTCTCACCGCACTCGTATATGCAGCTGTACTGAAGCTCGACGGTAAGTCGCCGTTCTCACACACCCAACACACGGCGCATCGGTAGGCAAGCAGGGCAGCGACGTGAGGCTCAACACTCTTGCATCACGCTACTGCGCGCCACTGCTTTGTTTGTAGGTCTAGCAAATCTCCTAATACTTCACAATTGCACTTACCTACAGCATCATGCTCTTCGCTGCACAATGACTGAAGACGCCGTAGACTCAGTCATGCCATCCCCTGAGAGGGTGGCGGAACAGACGCCTGGACCTGACATTGAAGAGAATGATCGTCGTGATCTGGATGACTTCAGTGATGACGAGATCCCTCATGCACCTAGTACGCTGAACGAGCGTAGACGTGCTCAGAAAGCTCGATTCGAAGGATGGCTGATCAGCGAAGACGCGCAAGAAGCGCTGCGACCAAAGACCAAAAAACAGAAACTTGACGATGCAGCCGACGAGGAGCTGTCTGTGCAAAGTCTCATGGACAAGCAAGGCGTCAAGATCATCAAGAATCCGCGCCAATATCAATGGGAGCTCTTCCAACGTGCGCAGAAGGAGAATACTATCGCCGTTCTCGACACTGGATCTGGCAAGACTCTGATAGCTGTTCTGCTCCTGCAATGGGTGATCGACCAGGAGCTTGAAGGTCGAGCCAGGGGCGATGCGCCCAAGATCAGCTTCTTCCTTGTGGCGAGTGTCACTCTGGTGTACCAGCAATTTGCCGTCTTGGAAAAGAACATCGACCACAAAATTGCCAAAGTGTGCGGCGCAGATGGCGCTGACAACTGGAACAAGTCGAAATGGCAAGCACTTTTCGCCGACCACAAGGTCATCGTCGCCACTGCAGATGTGCTACATCAGTGCCTAGCCCATAGTTACCTCACCATCGAGCAGATCAATTTACTTGTCTTCGACGAAGCACATCACGCCAAGAAGCATCATGCATACGCTCGCATCATCAAGGACTTCTACTTGTCGCATCCGAAGAAGTCGAGTAGACCTCGTATCTTTGGCATGACCGCGAGCCCAATCGATGCAAAGACTGATGTGGAGCAAGCGGCCAACGAACTCGAAACTCTGCTTGATTGCCGCATTGCGACGACCACGGATATGAGTTTGACAGACGCGATCAAGAAGCCGATTGAGAAGGTCCTAACATACCTATGTCTCCCACGCGAAGGAGTCGAGACGCCACTGCTGAGGAGCATCAAGGCACGGTTTGGCACACCTGTCCTTTTCGAGAGAGTTTACGAGCAAGCCGTCGAGATCTCTAGGCATCTTGGACGGTACTGCTCGGATCTATACCTCATCAATGCTTTGTCTGAGCGCAAGCTCAAACGATACGAGATAGAGACAGAGCGCAAATACTACTGGCGAACGGGCACTGCTGCAGAGCCCGGGTTACCTAGCCCACTGAGTACGCCTGAAACAAGGACTGATGTGACTTCTGCTTTGGCTCCGAGCGTCCTGGATCGAAGTGAGACGTCCAGCCGCCCAGTCAACGGCATTGAGCAGCTCGATCAGCGACAGGCAGTCATCAAATCCATCGTAGATTTCGCCGAGAAGGAACAGTCTAAGTACACCGCCATCAAAGGAGGCGACCTCAGCTCGAAGGTCATGGAGCTCAAGCGCTTCCTCGACTTTGAGTTCGAGACGCCTTCTTCTCGACGATGCATCGTGTTTGTTGAGACCCGGCATACTGCACGACTCCTCACCGCCGTAATGAAGCAGATCGGGAAGACGCACATGCGCTCGAGCTTTCTCGTGGGTGCGAAAGGCTCCAATGTCGACGAGGACAATTTCACGTTGCGCACACAGGTTGTCACGCTCGCCAAGTTCCGCAAAGGTGAGATCAATTGCCTCTTTGCCACTTCAGTGGCCGAGGAAGGTCTCGATGTGCCGGACTGCAATCTTGTCATTCGCTTTGACATGTACAGGACCATGATTCAGTACGTCCAGTCGCGCGGCCGCGCACGGCAGCAGAACTCGAAGTTCATTCACATGGTCGAATCGGGTAATGCAATACACAGCGAAACCCTGAACCAGGTACGGTACCAGGAACGAGTCATGAGGACTTTCTGTCAGGCGTTGCCTGAGGATCGACGCCTCGAGGGCAACGAAGAGCGACTTGATGAAATGATGGCGAAGGAGAAGAGCAACAGGATTTACGTTGATCCAGACAGTGGTGCAAAGCTCACTTATGGCAATGCACTCTTCTACTTGGCCAACTTCGTCTCCGCCATACCAACAGAGACCAACGAGACTGTGCATCCAACTTACATTGTCGGCAATCAAGGTCAGAAGTTCATTGCGGAGGTCATGTTGCCAGGCAATGCTCCCATCAAATCAGCAATTGGCAAGATCTGCCCCAAGAAAGGCCAGGCCAAGAGGTCGGCCGCTTTCGAGGCTTGCTTGCAACTTCGTATGAAGAAGTATATGAATGAGCACCTTATGCCAGTGTATCAGAAGAAACTCCCAGCCATGCGCAATGCTCTTTTGGCTGTGAACATGAAGAAGACTGATCAGTATATCATGCGTACCAAGCCTGACGTGTGGGCCGAAGGTAGTGGGACAGTGCCGAAGGAATTATACCTGACAATCATCGACTTTCCTGACGGCCTGGAGCACCCGCATCAACCACTGGCTTTCTTGACACGCACGGCAATGCCGCGCTTCCCAACGTTCTCGGTATACTTGAACGACGGTCGATCGTCCAGGGTACAGTCCAAGACCTTCAAGCAGCCGATGTGTATAGATGATGATCAAATGCACAAGCTGAGTATATATACATTTCGCATCTTCAAGGACGTCTTCTCCAAGGTATACGAGTATCAACCGGAGCAGCTTTCATACTGGCTTGCTCCCGCAAACGCATGCTCAGAAGACGCCACATCATTTGATGACAGCGCCAGTGCCCTTACCACGCTTGACTGGAGCTTATCCACGAGGCTCATCGTCACGAAGAATACAAATGGTGCCCTGCAATGGACCCTCGGCTCTTGATTGACAAGTTCATAGTCGACACTTGGGCTGGTGGCCGCAAATCTTACTCGAAGATGCTACACCCTGAGTCGAAGCCGCTGGACCAGCTGCCAGAAGGTACTGCAAAAGCTCCGAAGCCGTGGATGACTGCCAACATTCTTGAATACAGCAACAGCTTGTTCAAGGTCGCACGTGCGAAGAGAGAGGGTACATGGAACCTTGAGCAGCCTGTCTTCGAAGCCGAGAAGATACTTTTCAGGCGCAATATGCTAGCCACGCCTGACAAGAAGGATGAGAAGGAGCTTGGTCTGCGCACGAAGGTTTTCCTGTGTCCTGAGCCTCTTCGCATATCCGCGATCACTCCCGCTGTTGCTACCTCGTCCTTCGTCTGGCCAGCAATCATTCATCGACTCGAAGCCCACCTCATTGCTATAGATGCATGCAATATAGTAGGAATCGACTGTTCACCTGAGATGGCATTGGCTTCTATGACCAAAGATTGCGAGAACAGCGGTGAGCACGAGAACCAAGAACGTGTCAATTTCCAGCGAGGTATGGGAGAAAATTACGAACGTCTGGAATTCATTGGCGACACTTTCCTCAAGACTGCTACCACGATATCAGTTTTTACTCAGAATCCCAACGATAAGGAGCTGGAATTCCACGTTAAGCGTATGCTGATGTTGTGCAATCAAAATCTGTACAACGTCGCACTTGATCTCACATTGTACGAGTACGTCCGGAGCATAGCATTCTCCAGACGTCTCTGGTATCCTGAGGGCTTGAATTTGCTCGAAGGTAAAGGTGTCAAGAAGCAAGAAGAGACTTCTGTCACCAAACACGCACTGGGTGAGAAGACTATAGCTGATGTGTGTGAGGCGTTGATCGGTGCTGCTTTTCTCACACACAACAAGCCTGATCATCCATGGCAGCCCGAGCACTTCCACGATGCTGTCCGTGCAGTCACCAAGCTAGTCAAAAGCAGCGACCATACTATGACATCGTGGTATGACTACACTGCCGCGTACAAGAAACCTGCATACCAGACAGGCGAGGTGTCTGCTTCACAGCGCGATCTTGCAGGGAAGGTGGAGAAGGAACATCCTTACCATTTTAACTACCCTCGTCTGCTTCGGTCCGCCTTCATACATCCTTCGCAGCCCCTCATGTACGAGAGAGTGCCGAACTACGAGCGTCTCGAATTCTTGGGCGATGCTCTCCTCGACATGGCAAGCATCTCATATCTCTTCTACCGCTTCCCAGACAAGGACCCGCAATGGCTGACCGAGCACAAAATTGCCATGGTCTCGAACAAGTTCCTTGGCGCAGTGTCCGTCAACATCGGTTTCCACAAGCATCTTCGATTCAGCTCATCCATCATGCAACACCAGATCGGTGCGTATGTCGACGAACTACTGGAGGCCAAGCGTGTTGCTGGCACAGCTCGGGACTACTGGACCACGGTCTCAGACCCTCCCAAGTGTCTACCAGACATCGTGGAGTCGTTCGTTGGCGCAATGTTTCTCGATAGCGACTTCAACTACCAGGTCGTGATTGACTTCTTCGAGCGGAACGTCAAGTGGTACTTTGAAGATATGAGCATCTACGACACCTTTGCCAATAATCATCCTTGCACACATCTACACACTTTGATGCAGACGACATATGGCTGCACGCAGTACAGACTCATGGCCAAGGAGATAGAGTATCTCGAGACTAGTGATAGGAAGGAAGTTGTCGCTGCGGTCATGATTCACAATGACATTGTATCACACAGTCGAGGTAAGTCTGGTAGGTATGCGAGGATGAGGGCGGCACATAGAGCGATAGAGGCAGTCGATGGCTTGGCTCCGTTCGAGTTCCGTGGTAGGTTCGGGTGTAATTGTCATCTGGACAAGCTGCAGGAGGAAGAAGGCAAGGCAGAGGCGGTGGCTGTGGACTGTGGTGTTTAAAGTTGAGGTACAGGCTGCATGAGGTTGAGCATTGCTCGCCTTGGACGCAGCTTAGCCATCATGTCGCAGACAGCCTGGGTGGCTTGAAAAGCTGCGTCTCGATCTTAGCGTTCAGAGCGTGGAGTTCCTGGTTGCTAGAAGTGCCAGTAACTAGACCGCAATCTTAGATCATCTGCGCGACGAATTGACACTGCCGTTCGATCCTGATTCGCAAGTTGTTGGAATGCGACTGGTCTGAATGGGTTGATATATCAAACAACATGAGTTATACAGAATACGAATTGGCACAGGCGTCAGGATGTGGACGATTGAGCGATAACAACGGCTTCCAGCCGCCTATATTGGTGCGTCCTTGATATGTAGACCCACCTTCAAGGCATATCGGAGGCGCACATAAGCAGCACGATCCCGTTCGCCTAGTGTCTGATTTCTGAGACCTCCGGAAGTGTCACAGCCGGTCATCAATTCCATGCGTAGAGCTGCACATGCAATCTGATAGTTCCTGAGGTCGTCCCGGAAGCAGCGCGACGTGCATACATCAAGCTGCAGGCGTGCTCGGACTTGGTATTGAGATGGATGCAATCGAATGTGTAGACGTCAGAGAGGATAGTCTTCAAGTACTCATTTTCTGGCTAGCCTTGATCAGGTTGTGACAGGTAGCACAACAGTACGCAATGCGAATCCTGCTCCTTCGAGGCAATCTCGCCTTCTTGTGCGTAACTGTCGTGCCAGCCAATCCTGCTGCTTTGAGCAGATGCCGCCAGGTGCTTTTGGCTGCGATCAAGCACTTCCCGCGGCGTTCGAACGTTTGTGGCTTCATGCAGGTCGGACTTCGAGGCAGCCCTAAAGCTGCAGGACTTTCGAGATGGCCGAGGCCGCGTAAATGATTGTCTGGAGCACATGAAGGTCCGAATGTCGTGCTCAAGCCTCACCCATCCCAGGTCGTTGTTATCGTTCCCACCAACCGAGTACCTGGAGGAAGCGAGATCATCTCCAACCACGTTAGGATCCTGCTCATCTCGCGTGCAAGCAGGGGGATTTGGCCGTGGAAAGTGGGTTTTCCGGCGATGACACGAGAGAATTAGCTAGGATATCAGCACAGTGGGTGATTGTGATCGGGTCGGGGCCAGGATACGGTAGGTCCAAAGTCCAGCTCGCGTGGAGAGCGAATGCAGGCGGGCCGGCATCTTGCTGCCGCGCTAAACCTTGTCAGCGCAGGCGTTGGAGAGGAAAGGAGTGGCTCGAGCGCCTCGTGCATAAGCCCTGCCGCCATCCGCACACGTTAGAGCGGCCTCTTTTGTTTGTCTGCGCAGCCCCATCTGTCGCACACTGATAAGAAACATTGCTATTTGTGTGCAAATGCGCGGTCTCTGTTGACTCTCGACTGTCTCGCTCTGGCACGTCAGCACTGTGCGAGGCGGGAGTGGGGCTGGACCAGGTGATTCGGCACTAAGATGAATGCTTGCATCTACCTACTACCTATCCGCACGCACGCACACAAGCTCTATTGACCTCACTTCACGCTGCAGACGTACTTCCATCGTAGGTCCTCGTAGCACCTTTGTCATACTTCCTTTCCACACCCCCCACACTACCACCACTGTTGGACCTGGCATCCACCACAAATCTGCCATAGACATGGCTCCCATGAGTTGCAGATAGCCAGAGGTCATATCAGTCAGCGCTAGTGTGCTTCACGGCACATTAATCTTACGCCTCTCTTACTTGAACTACCACTAGACTTGGCGGTCGGCAGAGCTGCGTGAGCTTGCAGCTCCAACAAGTCACAATGGCTTCACGGTACGTTACTCCCACCGACTACAGCACATCGAGCATCACGACCTTTACGCTGCCTAAACAACATGCCAAGACCGCACGCATATGCTGACTCGCGTAGGACCATGAAGGACGTCATCAAAGCGCTCCAGGCACAATTCTCAGCCGCCAAAATTCCAATATCGCTGCCCACCGAATCGCGCCGGATGCTGCAGAATTTCGTGGACGAGCACGATGGCACGATCAGTGAGGAGGAGTCTGCTCGAGTCAGTACGGACCTCTGGAACTTTTGGGAGCGCTATGTAGGCGAGACTCCAGCCAAGACTGGAGCATTCATTGGAGTGCTGAAGGAGCTTCAGCCATTGATCACGCGCGATGAGGATACTCTGTTCTGGTGGAATCAGGTTGTCCGTGGTGTCGTCACATCGACTGGGTATCGAAAGGCTGTTCTGGACGATGGCACAGAGTTTGTCGTGCAGTCGCTCTTGCCTCAGGAAGGCGCTGCCGAGGGCGTACACAGCAGAGTGGCCAATCGACTGCTGGGAGAATTGTTCAGCGTATATGCGACGCGCACTCGATCGTTGGTGGGTGAGAGCACTTTCGTGGCTGGCGAGAACGCTCAAGTTGCACAGCAGATCGAAGGTATCCTAGTCGCGTTCGGCAAGAAGCAACCCAAGGACCTCTTCTACTGCTTGGACAGACTGATCGTCGGAATTGACACCCGCATGCAAGGCTTGACATTACTTGGCGTCTTTCTGCGCCAGCAGACGCCACATCTGTATCTGGCATCCACCACGCCATTGGTCGAGACACTCCTGAAATGTCTGATGAGCGACACGTCTACCACGGTTCTGTCGGTGGCTTTGACCTCGCTGACAATGCTCTTGCCACACATAGCCGCATCGCTCAGCTCACAATTACCACGACTCTTTCTTGTCTACAGTCGACTGTTATGCTGGGAGAAGTTCAGTCCATTGAGCACGGAGGCTCAGAAGTTGTCCGTCACAGATGACAGAATCTCGACCAGCGGTGGCGACCCTGGCGATGTTGGTATAGATGCGGATTGGGAGAAGCTACGACCCGCCGACGCCACGACCGAGAGTGAAGCACCAGAACTGCTCACCTTCTTCACATATCTCTACGGCCTGTACCCACTGCATCTGACCTCGTACATTCGCAAGCCGCGCCGATTCCTTAAGGACAGGCAATTCCCAGGCGCCGATGACTTTGATCTGGATCAAACCGTCATTCGGAGTAGGACAGAGCAGTTCCGACAACTTCACCTTCTCCATCCGAACTTCTACAACATGACCGTCGAGGAGGAAGCCAACGATCCAAAGTGGGCAAAGATGGAATCTGCAGACGTCGTTGCAGAGGTGCATGCGCTCTGCGTGGCCAACGTAGCTCCCGTAAGCCCAGGCCCACCTCCATCATCGAAGCTACCGGATGTTCCGCGACTGCCTGCGATCTCGACTCTCAAGAGTCCACAACTGTCCCCCAGCACAAGCCATGCCAGCTTCAAGACTGGTAACAGCTGGCGAGATACGCAGTCTACGAGCGGGCAGACGCTCGACGGTGATTCGCCAGTACTCGGGCCTCATAGTGTACAGTCAGATGACGATCTGTCCATCCCAGCATTTCGTCCTCGCAGTAAGGGCACTAGTCGTGCAACGCCCAGCTTGGACGACTTCCCACGACCGGCGCGCAGTCCAAAAACAGACATGCGTCCACCGCAATCCAATATTGCTTACGTTGAGCGCGAGAACACTCTCCTCCGTAATGAGCTCAACTTCGAACGATGGCACAAGGCTCAATACTCAGCACATATCGGACAGCTGATGCGCAAGAATGTAAAAGATGCCGCTACCGATGCACAACAGCTCAATCTACTGAACGCCAACCGTGCTTTGCATAAGCAGAATGACCATATCCGCAGTGAGCGTGAAGCAACGATCAAAGACTCAGCCCTGACTCGCAAGCATAGCAACTCGCTCGAAGCAAGCTATGCTGACCGCTTTACACAAATGAAAAAAGATCAAGAGACCTGGAAGGCTGACGCACAAGAGCTAAGGCGGCTGCGCCACGAGAACGACCAGTACCGTGAGCTCCTCGTGGCGACTGAAGCTCGCGAAGCAAACTCGAAAGACAGGCTCGCGATAGCGAAACGTGACCTGCAGGATATGGAGGACGTGCAGCAGAAGCTCGACAGTGCCGAAGACAAGGTGCGCGAGTACGAGTACCGCGAATTCGAGATGGATCGAGCAAAGCATGAGCTCGACATTGTGCTGAGTGAGAAGGACACCCTCCAAATGCGTGTGAAGAGGCACCAGCACGAACTTGAGCGCGCAAAACAAGCTCATGCAGAGAAGGTGGCTGAGCTGCAAGCATGCATTGACTCCCAGAACGGAATACCACGACGAATGCCATACCCTACGCCTGGTCCAGATACGCAGGTCCTCATCCAGCAAGCCGTTGCCGAGACACAATCGAAACTTAACCAGCTTCGCAGGAAGCACACCGCACTAATGGAACGTTACTCGGACCTAGAGCTGGAACACGAGACGATCAAATCCCAGCTCGATGTCATGCAGGGACGCACTGGTCGCAATGGCACATACTTTCTCCAAGACACCGACAACGAGAGCCACAGTCATTCCTCTCGCGACATATCGATGAGCGGCGCCGGCATGACCCTTGCAGACCATGGCTTCGATATCAATAGTGACTTGCAGCCGATTTCGGAGAACGCTTACATGACGAGTACGAGTGAGCCAACGAACCGACGATTCAATTCACAGCTCACAGTCATGCCTATCTCGCCACCACGGAGCGAGGCCACCCTACACAATTCTGCTGGGTTGACATGGAAGCCACCCGTGAGTCGTCAAGACAGTCTGGCGTCAAGGAGCTCGGGTGTTCCGGCCACGACATTTAATCAAACCGCACCGTTGAAGCATGACGAAGGCAGCAGTGCCCAGAGCGCCTTCAGCGATGCAAGTGGAGGGGGTGGGCAGAAGAAGAGGGAGAAGATCAAGCCGAACAGCGACGTCCGTGTCTATGGCAGAGGTGAGTGCGATGATATCAATATAAGATTTGCCACGAACTTTACTGATTTTGCGACAGGTGGTGCACAAAACATCAAGCTGAAATCGAAAGACAAGGATGCTGCCGAGAAGAGCGAGAAGAGCCGTGGGTTCGGACGTCTGAAGAATCTTGTCTAGGAGGCTAGATCATCTGAAGAGTCTGGAGGCTCGCCTACGCCAACCTCGATCTTTGTCACGCCTGCTCAGACGCCAACGCCGCGTGGCGCATCCGGTGGCAGTAATTCGACGATGACGAGGAGTGCAAGTGTCAAGAGGAAGAAGGAGAAGAAGCCAGCGGCTGCTGGGAGTGATGCGGTGTTCTTTGGTGCGATGGGAATGTGATTATGAACGATACGAAGTATAGTGATACCCCAGACCAGGCCAAGAAGCCTGAGGTGCGCAATTAGCGGGTTGGGCATAACGAAGGATTGCTTCTGCAAGTTTGCAGTGGCGAGCGAGAGGCCCGGTAACATCATGCGTCTTTCAGACGGAACGAAGAGGTGGGATACAGCTCATGCCAATGATCTCTTTCAAATGTCCAATTCATTTACATCTTAATCATCTCATCTATCCCGTCCCAACCTTTCTGCCTCGTCCTCGACAAGCTCATAAGCCGGCTTGAACTTTCCTTCCTCGCCGCCACCTGGGTCATCCCTCAGTGATAACGCTGGATTCGGATGCGTATCTGTCGTGCCGCCTAGACTCGTATAGCCTTGATCATATAACCTGCAATACTCCACGCCCATCTCTCTTATGAACGTCCACACTTCTGCATAGTGCCAATCTATCACTGGATGTATCCTCATGAATGCCGGCCACCCTCTGTCCGTAGGATCAAAGTGTTTCAGATCGTGGCCATGGGGGTCGGTACGACGGGTCCCAACGAAGATGGCTTTAATGCTGGGGTGGTCGGAGAGGTAGTCTGTGAACGCCTCTTTCATCGGCTTGGCGTAGCGCGCTAGATCGAGGTGGTAGGTTTGGAGGGAGGAGTTCACGAAGTCGTCGACTTCCTGGAACGGGTGAGGCGAGATTATGTACACTGAAGGGAGTGTTTTGGGCAGCTTTGTTGTTGGGTGTTTGGTGGTGTGGATGTGCAGGGCACTGAGATAGAGGATCAAGAGGACGAGGCAGTCTTTGCCGCCGTTGTAGGAGAGGGAGAGTTCATCGAGGCTGTCATGTTGAGTGGTTAGCTGGGGTACGGATGAAGTGTGCCTTCCTCTTTCGGCTTACCTGTACCGCTGGAGTGCTTCTTCTAGTACCTTCAGTGATTCCCGTGATTGTTTCTGCACATGTCGCACTCGATCTGAAGATGATTCCTGCGCGAGGAAGGTCTCCAATCGCTGATGGATCGAGGCGCATAATTCGGGTAGGGCATCTTGTGTTATCGCACTTCCATCCTTTTTGTTGGGTGCTCTAGATGGGAGAGATGTCATGAACGAAAGATCTGCCGATACTGACCAGTGGCGATGCGTAGTAGATCAGGAATATATATATATAAATATAAATACATCATGCACAGAAGACCGATACAGTAGTATGAGCATGTACCTCGGGAGTGGGGACACGAGCGGGTGGGCCATTGCTCGTGGGGGCGTAACATGACCATGACCATGACCATAACCATATTCTTGGGCAAATCAACAACACGATAACCCTGCTGTATTACACCGTTCGACTATGCATTCTGGACGTATATCGCAACCCGCAGAAGTGTGGTGCTTCATATCTCGTCGGCAATGACGAGCCAGGCACTAGCACAGTGTTGCCTGATTGAATGCAGCATGACTCAATCGTGTACAACGCACTTATAGCCTCTGATCTGGGAAAAATGGTAGCACATCTGGTTTACCACTTTCAGCTACTCGTTGTACAGCTTCTGTTCGGTATAGCTTCCCTGATCACCAAGTTTACCATCTTCAATCGCACAAGATCTCGCAAACCACAACTCGCAACAATGTCTCCACAAAGCAAGAACACTCGAATCGAGAATCTCACCAATCGTCGAGTCGATCTGGTCGTGGACGAATACGAAGCAGCCGGCAGATTCAACGAGCAGTCAAGCTCGCCACTCTTCTCGGTCCTGCCTCGTGAGCTTCGTGATATCATCTGGGAATATGCTACTGCACCATTCGAAGACCAGAGCCAGAAGTTCGACGAAAACACGTACTACTATCGACCAGGTCATACCGCTCGATTGAAGTCGCATACCGCCCTTTTGCTGACTTGTCGTCGGGCATGGCTCGAGGCCAATGCAATGCCTATGCTTCAGGCAGAGCACTCATATTACTATCATCGTGAAGCTCCGGATCGTCGTGATACTGCATGGACTGCTGGTTTGACGGCTCTCAATAGACGGAATTTCGGCCACCTTCATCTATTCGTGCAAATGTTTGCTATCAGGAGCCTTAATTGCGATCCAGGCCGACTGCGAAAATACTTCCTTGAGACCGCACCAGTGGAAGGCGACTTCCAACCTCGAATGCTGCACGTGACTCTCCGCCACACGGACTGGTATTGGTGGGAGAGTGATCAGCCTCTAGATCTACATGGAAGCTGGGTTCAGCATATCCTCAATTCTCCAGATCTACGCAGTACCCACACCTTCAAGCTGGAACTAGAGACACTTGATTACAAGATTGATCAACTGAACGCCATCATACAGCGTATCAAGACGTTCGAAAGCGACGAGAAAGAAACCCACATCGTTAATGGCAAGCCGACGACAACGAAGTTCGTACTGGTCGATCGTCAAGACTCCTACACCTGGGAAGGACCTACCAACATCAACAATGGCAATTTTGCACCATACGACGGCAAAGACAAGCTCAAGTACCACGTCATAACATTGACATGGAAACTCACGTTCCCAAAGATTCCGACGGCCTTCGTACCAGAACTACGTCGAGCGCGCCGGATCCAAGAGGCGGATATTACCCATCCAAGCCTCAGGATCCCCACTCTGTACATTGCCGATACCCACCGCCATTGGATCCCGTACATGCATGGTCAACGCGGACGGCTGTACCACCAAATGCGAAGCGGAACCGTGCGGCAGTTGCCCGGCTGGGCGATCTGGGGTCGAATGCAAAATCTGGCTGTAGAAGTGTTGCGTATATCGCAGAAGCAAGACGAGCTTGCTGAGGAGGTTAGGCGGTTGCAGTTCGTGGAGAGAAAGGGTGCGAGTGCGAGGGAGCAGTACCGGCAGAGGTGGGCTAGTGAAGGATCTTTGCTTCGGTTGACGGATGACCCGGTCGAGTAGAAACGGTATGTCTGGAAACTTACCGCTCGATACATGGACATTGAGCTTCCTGCACAAGCCGCATCGCTCTTTGGTGGGATAGTGTCGACTCGCACGGCTGGAGCAGCAGAAAGGACGCGGAGACTTGACTTACTTCACTGCCCGCTAGATTCTTCACCCGTGAAAAGGTTGGTGCAAGTGCCAGGTCTCTCCCACAACATACCTTAGTCTTAGCGCGAGGGCTCACGACTAGGATGCATAAACGGATGGAGAGTTTGCAGAAGCATTCCCGACGACTTTCGTCATACCGCGATGCTTCACTTGTCTATTGCTTGCGTCTCACGGTTGAGCGCACACGGATGACCTAGGCAGTCTATAGTCTACTATCGGCCGATCTATTCATTCATATCAGTCCATCTAATCGTCCAATGAACTAGGCAAGACTGCTGCTCACACCTTGATACCATAGTCCTGATATGGGAAGTTTTCAAGTGAGTGGTACAAACGAGCCCACCCATCACCGATCGCCCCTGGCGCACCCTTTCTTTGTCCCGAACCGTCATGCTTCACTACGCCCAGCTCAGCGTTTTTCTCCTCAGCTTCCTTATGTTCGCTCATAAGTCCAGCCAAGATCTTGTCCTCCTTGCCACTCATCTCATTCAGGAGCTCAGGATGCGGACACCAGACGACTTGCATACCTGCTCTCCTTCCAGCCTCAACCCCCGGCACACTGTCCTCAAAGACCAAAGCTTCTGCGGGAGTAACCTCCTGCTTTCCCTCACGGCGTAGACGAGCATTGATGGTCTCCAGAGCAAGAAGATAGATGTCCGGGGCGGGCTTGCCGCGTCCAGGCGGTATCCTCTTGTCATCGCCAAGGACTCTATGTTCCTCTTCAAATACAGTAAAGACTTCCTTCTGGTGTTCGGTCTTGATCTTGAAGTTCCCGGCATGGCTGCTCGTCGCTAGTGCTATTGCCACTGGGGGCTCTGTCCGTTTGGCGAGTGTTTGTAGGAGGGTTTCGACGCCAGGAAGTGGTTTACAGTTTGGGAAGTGTTGCGCTTGGAGAGCAGAGACCTTGCTTTGGAACACTTCACGTGAGATGGGAAGTTGAGCCCATTCCTGGAAGATTTTGCCTGCTTCGGGTCCCGGACGGCCTTGAAGTTGCGCTTTGATGGACCATGGGAGGAGCGGGCGGCCGTATCTACGGGACAGATATCGTTAGTCTGCGGGCTCAAGGCTGATGAAGCACCCCACTCAAACCAATAGCCTGTCATGCACTACAGTCGTTTGTCATCACCATTTCTGGATTGATCTGGTCATCCAATCGTCTTGAGATGCTCTCCATGAATCGTACAGGCTGGTGAGTTGTCATGCGAAGGCAAGATGGGAATAGAACTGCCCGAATCGTAGCATTCTTTGAAAAAGGTCAAGAAGAAATTTGGCAGGCACGCACTCTGTCAAAATCGAGTTGCGGATGATGAGCAACCTGCGCGATGAAACAATCAACATACGTACTCTTGCAATACGGCATTCGTACATATCGTATACATGTCCTCGGAATCTATAAGCAGTCCATCCATATCAAACAGGCACGCCCGAATGGGTGGTGGCTTTGGCCTTGCAGTATGTCAGCTTTCGATCCCGACACAGAGCAGCTATCTGGTGACTCACCCGTTTGCAGACATATCTGGGTGCCGGATTAGTCGACAATGGTGGAATGGTTCAGTGCAAGGATGCAGATGTACAAAACCACGAATGTCCAAGAGTGTTCGACATGTGGGGCTCATAGAATTTGACTTCATGCCCATTCCCTCACGGAAATAGCATCGAACGTTGATATGGATTGTGAAGAGATGCTTGTGGAATCGTTTTTGGTCTGTTATGATCGTAGGCTGGTCCATGGACTATATACTGGTCTATCCCATATCGCTCCCCGTTGGCACACGCCTTGTACGCCGCCTCGCCATTCATATGACAGCATACCCGCTCACATGATCAAAATAATCCTACATGTTTTGGCCCAGCCTCTATATTCCCGCAGTCGCTCACAGCGTCTACAATCGCCTGGCAGCAATCCGCATGGCATCACAAACCAGCATCGTCTTCTTCTTTCCCGGGTCCAGGGGCCTTCATATCCCTCTCGAACTCGTCCAGTTTGAGCTCATCACGCTCAGCGCTCATGGCTGCGGCCTTGGAAGCCACTCCAGCATGGCCTCGAGCCGCATCATCGTTCTCCACCTGCTGACCCGAAGATTCGCTGAACCCGGGGGTGCGAGGGGGCTCTTTCGTGATCATGGCATCGTCAGGGTCTGCTTCGTTGTTGCTTGTCCTTGGCGTAGTGTCAGTGTGGCTTCGGACACGGTAGAGCTCGTCAGCGAAGGTTCTTGCGCCTGTGAGATACGGTTGTCAATCTTGCTGATCGGAAACTGGTGTGACATGAACAGCATACAGTGTCTGAAGCAACATGGCAGAAGCAGCAAAATCAAAGACTGGAATGGTGGGCCTACCTACGCCTTATTCGCATCCCGGCCACCATCAGGACTGCCTTCATCCGCACCTGCTTTCTCGCCACTGACAGCATTTCTGCCCACGGAAGACTTCTCATCGTTGCCAGAGGACTTCTTCTCCGCATCATCCGAAGTTTTCTTCTCATCATCGGAGGACTTCTCCTCCTTCTTCGTCTCCTTCTTAGCATCCTCGGCAGACTTCTTTGCATCTTTGACAGCCGCCATATCCTTCTCCCATTGATCCTTACCCTCCATGTCAAACTGCACATTGATCTTCTCTTCTCGCTCTCTTTTAGCATTCTCTTCTTTTTCGCGTGCCTTCCGTTCTTGCTCCATCTCCTCCATGTGTCTGATGTCGTCCACACTTGGCTCGTATAAATGCCAGATGGTGTAGTGTGGGAGACCTACGACCGAGAAGCCCATGCGCTTGGCCATCTTGCCGAAACCTTCTGTCTCTGCGTGCTTCTCGAAGCTGAAGGCTGGGAAGTGCACACCTGAGCGGAAGACCTTGGCTTTGGCGAGGATGGACACACCGCCTACGCCGTCGATCTCCATCTCCATGTCCGGGTCGCCGTAAGGGTCACGGAGGTAGGCCAAGTGAGGTCGCCAGGTGGCATACTCTGCATAGCCTTCGACAATGACGGCATCCTCGTCCAGAGTATCGGCAAGAGCAAGAGCAGTCTCGGACTCCTGCCAGCTGTTCAGATCGTATGGCTGCTCGCCACCAAGCCAGTCTGGAAGTGGCCGCCAGACGTTAGGCACAATGATGTCCTTGTTGTGTCGCATCAGATCCTCAAGGATTGTGAATGGCGCAGTCTCGACATCCACATCTCGCCAATATACCCAGCTATGTGTGGGTCGTAGTGCTGCCGACAGAAGCCAGTTGCGAGCCTGAGCCATACTCTTTCTTCTGCTAGCCTGTGCAGCAAAACCGTGTCGAGACTCTACATCCTGGTTGACCGTCTGACCAAAGTCCTTCTCAATCACGCTTATCTCTCCAAACGCTTGCCTAGTATCCTCCTGTGCCTGCAGCTTTGCCAACAGATCGCTCAAAAGCTCTATCGTGTTATCCTTGCTGTCTCCAACCAAGAAAGCCAGATCTATAAGGTGGTGTGGGTATGTCAGGTTTCGCAGATGGCTGAAGAACATTGGTAGATGCGGAGCTGCATCGCGGAGTGGTGCGCAGAGCAGTATTCGCTCCTCTCTCTCCCAGCCTCGTGCTGTGCCGCCCACGTTCGATAGGTCGTAGTACCGCACTGTCTCTATCTGCATGGCTTCATTGACTCCTGAGAACAAGCCTAGCGATAATGCTGGGGCGATTGCCGTCGGTCGTATTGAAGGGAAGAAGAACATGAGCACTAGTAGTACTGCGGTGATAGCACCTCCTAGTCGCAGAAATAGCCCTCGTCTTCGCTGCAGTGTGCCTCGCGCTGATCGGGGCTGATATCTATGCGAGAAGAATCAGTACGCCGGCGCTGATTGCGAAGCAGACCCTCGCTGCCGCGGACAACGATTTCGCTGTCTCTGACATAGTGACTTACTTTTCATATTTGTCCGGCCGTATACTAAATGTTCTTCCCCCTCTCGCCTCAACAAAAGTTGGGCTCATGGGTCCTGCATGTCCATTGGCCCCGCCGTAGCCATGTCGATTCATCTTTGCAGCCTCTGCAGTGTGTATCGGAAGCATATATGTTGCCTACGGGCAAATGGTGTGTGCGTGTCCACAGGAACAGGAGCAGGAGCAGTGGTGCTGACACGGCAGTGGCCGCAGGAGGTATCACTGATTCAGCTGAAGCTCCGGGAACACATTGCCGTCTAGTCTCGAGGGGGATAGATTGCTGCTGCTGCTTCTTCGTTGTCAGTATTAGTGGTGCATGAAGTAGACACATGGGATAATCAATGGATGGACAGAATAATGGGGTCCTGAGCGGCCTCCGTACAACTAGTTCTAACGCGTTTGAGGGATCGACAGGCTTCGAGAAAGCTTGGCTGAAACATTATTTTTGGGTACAAGACCTCATCGTCAGCATCGACATCGGCATGCCGTCGACCTTAACATTGATATGAAGTCATGCGTGCGGCTTACACTTGTCGAAAAGGGTTGCAATATGTCAAGAAGATAACTAGATTCAGACAGGCGAACGTGGTGTGATCGGCCATTCAGCTATAAGTGACGGAGCTCAACCTTAGGGCAGCTATACTCCGCTCCGTCGAATATGATATCAACCAGGCATCAGCACTATACTGTGCTACGCGGTACTCAGTGAGCGTATCACAAGATGATTCATATGGCAAGCCCACCGTTGGCTCAGGTCTATCGGGCGAGTCCATTAGCCAACCCAACCAAGGAGATCCGCTTATTACGTCTCAACAACAATGACGATGGCGACCTCGCAGTGTCTGTAGAAACACACAGCTTGAGTATTTTCCCCGACTTCCGCGCCATATCGTATACATGGGGCGACGCAGGCAACGAGGAGCGCATCCTAGTCGATGGACAACAGCTCAAGGTAGGGCACAATTGCCACTACGCATTATGGCAAGCTCGACTACACTACTCAAACTCCCTCGTCTGGATCGACGCTATATGCATCAACCAGAAGGATAACGATGAGAAAAGCCCGCAAGTGGCGATCATGTTCGATATCTTCTCCCGGGCCAAGGAGGTCTTGGCTTGTATAGGCGAGCATGATGGGACGAGCGAGGTTCTGGTCCGGCGGATGCCAGAGATCGAAGAGTTTGTCGTGACGGATGGCGTCTCTCTCGACCCTTCGAGGACTTCGTCTGACAGCCGAGGCGCAGAGACTGCTCAAGTTTTAGAAGACTTCATCAGTTCTATTGGCTCTGCGGTTTGCGATCTTGCATCCCGACCCTTTTGGAGTCGACTGTGGATCGTTCAGGAACTGTTTGCCGGCAATATATGCCAGCGCACTGCTGTGCTCTGTGGCCACGACAAGCTTCCCTGGAGCCTGTTCGACGATCTGTACGAGCTTGAAGCTGTTGTCAGCTATGCTGATTTGCGTCAATTTCGGGTAGTCCGAGAGGCCGTCGACCGGTATCAGCTGTCGCCCATGATCTACATTATCCGATCTCTACGCTCGTATTCTCATGGAACAAGCACGGGCGTGGCGGGTATATGGCAACTGGGAGTATGGGATCTGAAATGCGCAGACCCATTAGACAAGATTTTCGCGCTGATGCGGCTCGTGAAGTGGCTCCCTGATGCACCTCGACCGACTATCGACTATCGCCAAAGTCGACTCGCTCTGGCAAAGCAGGTGACTTACTTGCAAACCACTCCCCGGATGACTGGTGTGCATTGAGAGTCCTTACCGACCTGGCGAAAGCGCTCGACATCAGCTTTGATGAGCTGGTAGAAAGTGAAGCTCCTGCGGCCGAGTACGGGTTCGATCGGGTAAGTGAGGTAGCTCGGGCAGACATGCGTGTGTGGGAACTCATGGTCGTCGGTATCGGCCGGGAGGAAGCTGATGCCGACGACGACTCGGTTGCACCACTCGGCTCGGTGTTCCTGAATGACGCTCGTCTCCAGCGCCTGGATAAATCATCGGCCTCAACTTTAAGGTTCCTGACCGATCTTCCTTTCGACAGAGACACAGTGTCCACCCCGGTTCACACGATCAAAGGGTTAACAGCGCAACTTGGTGACATTATAGTCCTCACATCAGAGCTGGGATTGCTCCTCCGAGAGACCGACAGCGGCAGCAATCTCTCGATCACTGGGTACTTTCTCCACAGGTATCTGCCAGAACCTCGTCCTATCCGAGACCTCGACTGTCAATGCTTCAAGTCGGATGTCTATCCCTCCATATTCTGTTGCATGCCGCCCGGTGATGCTCTGAAGGTGGCAGTACTATACTCAGAAGCGAAGGCTCTGCTTGACAGGGATGAGCGGTACGAGGAGCGCATTGCTCCGCGAATGGAGAGTATTTCGGATGCGATGGGTAGGATTCGGATCGTCGATACTAGACATGGAGAGTTGAAGTCGTCCGCGGACCGTGTTGGCCGAGCGTTGGCAAGTGACAAGGGACTCTTGATGTTCTATCACCTACTCGACGAACACGTGTAGTGGCTTTTACTCTTGTCCTTTCGTCAACCTCGAGTGTTCTTAGCTTAACCCTGGCTCTGAGCACAGATATATCGCGACAGCACGGTGGTGCTTCAACTTCTTATTCGTTAGTGCAGTCAAAGTCGAGGTGGCGATGAACGCAGACTGCTGTGCATCTGATACTCTTGTGTCTGATATGTTCGTAGCACTATGTAGACAGCTAAGCCAGGAACAGGCGATGAATATCATCGAATGTCAGCCAGTCGTGCAAGCTACAACGTGCAGAGCTCCTCGCAGTCCACGAAGCGTATTTCTAGACTTCTTCGGACATGCTCTGCTGGAAGCTGTGGATTGGCCTTCCATGGATGGCGCCTCACTTACTCAACTTCCTCGATCTTAGCCTTGCCACTCGAGCCAGCTGAGGTGGCAGCGCCCTCGGCCGCATCGCCCTCGCCTTCGAGCGGCGGCATCTCATCATCGTCCTCGTCCTCCTCAGCATCGTCGTCATCCTCGTCCATATCGCCCATACCGCCCATACCAGGCATGCCACCCATACCCGCACCACCGCCGAGCTTGCTGAAGTCGATGCCACCAAAGCCACCGTCGCCACCCATTCCGCCTGCGCCGCCCATGCCGCCCATCTTGGACATGTAGTCGTCGTCCTCGCCTACTGCGTCCTGCTCGTCCTCATCAACCCACTAAAGATTGAATGTTAGCATCACACCACGAATGAAACAGATAAGCCAAAATCTTCTCACCTTATCAAAGTCCGTCTTCAAGAAATGCACCTTCGCCTTATCCTTCAACAACCGTGGCCAGTACTCCTCACCCAACTCCTTCTTCTGCAGCACCAGCTCCACATCCCTGGGTGTATGGTTGATCTTCGACTTGGACGGGTCGATCTCCTTGAAGAAGGTCAATTCTAATGCGTACTCGGCCTTTTTGCTGTTGGAGTAGCCCTTGAATGTCAGGCTATCGGGTTTGAGGTCGAGGGTGATTTTCTTGGGGTCGACATCAGGCACGCTGAGGAGGGTCAGTCAAGAACTCTTTGATAACTTGCAAACTGTCCCGTCGATCACACTCACGAGATGGTCAGGAAACAGTGGTTCTTCTCTGCATCGGAGGCGGAGGAGCGCTGTGCCCATGTGACTGAAAGAATGTTAGCCGGCGGTGAAATGTGTGTTGAATGTTGGTGACAATGGACTAGCCTTCCGGGGTGATGGATTTTCCCTGCTTCGCCGTGTCGCTGGTCTTGGGCACTTCCATGATTGCGATGTGTGGAGGTAATGTTTGTGGGGGGTGTGTGTAGAAGTGTGTTGGTGTTGTTATATAACACTAGCTTTCAGCTTAATCCGAGCGAAATGTTCAGGTTAGGTCGTTTGCTCAGGCTCGAGCTAGAAGCTTCTTACGAAACTGTGGCTGTGGCCGTGTGGGGTGCGGCTGTGGGAGGGTTTGAATTTGTCACTGCAGTGTGGGATGGTTGAGCCTCACGCGAACTTGGTGCCTGCCCCACGACGCCACACTTACGTAGCAGTGTCCAAGCTTTAGGCGATGTCACATGCATTGGCAGCATTGCTTTCGTGACTGCCTTGATACTCTATGCCTTCATATTCCACACCCGTTCGACCCTACTATCAGGATCTACATCGCACTCGTGAGACTTATCAATCATGGACACGGCACGAAGATACTTCTTTGGCCCGACACCAGAAGAGCAGGTAAGCAACATTACCGGCCATACAACTCAGCATACTGCTCGCATGCTCACCACCATATTCAATAGAAACGAAAATGTAACTCCCTCCTACGATCCAACCAAAGAAAACTAGATCGCGACCTCGCCGGCCTCAAAGTCCTCGAATCCAAAACCCGAACGTTCATCCTCCAGGCTAGCAAGCGTGCTCAGAAAAACCCCTCCCAGGCCGTCCAAGCAAGAAACGAGACTCGCATCTTCGCCCGCGAACTGATCCGGGTACGAAAGCAAGAGCAACGACTTGCGACTTCCAAAGCCACTCTTGCGAGCGTGGGCATGCAGGTGAATGAGGCATTTGCCATGAAGAAGATCGAGGGAAGCATCAAGAATAGTACGGGAATCATGAAGGACGTCAATATGCTTGTCAAGCTGCCCGAGCTGACGGGGACGATGAGAGAGCTGAGTCAGGAGTTGGTGAAGTCGGGGATTATTGAGGAGATGGTTACTGATACTCTGGATAACGATGCCGTCATGGAGGGAGAGGACGAGGAGGCGGAGGAGGAAGTCGATAAGGTGTTGGGTGAGATCTTGAAAGATCGTGTCCAGACTCCTGGTGCGCAAGTGCCTGACGATGTGCCTGCTATGCCTGCGCAGGCGGAGGAAGAGGAGTTGGACAGTGAGGAGATGCTGGCGCAAATGAGAGGAAGGCTGGAAGCACTGAAGAGCTGAAGAGGGACCTGGCTTCAGTCTCCCAAATCAATGCGACGGCACGTAATATCCTGGCCACGCTGCTGCGGCGGGCCGGTTACAACTGGCATTGGAACACGGCAACGAAGAACACACCGTCCGAGGCTACCTACTATGGGATACAAACCCTGCTTGAAATTTTGTGCGACCTGATCCAGATACGGTCCAGCATTTGCTTTCACGGAAAATCAACATGAAGAAGCATAACTCGCTGAACTCCATGCCATGCCATGCTACGTACGGCATCACATTTCTGCTCCGTCAACTTACAAGTGCCGGCCCTGCGACCTCTGGCCTAGTGATCGACATGGCTTAGCTCTCTACTGCTTCTTTCGCTGCTGGATCCGGCAACCGCAGGCAGTGGTAACATCTTCTACTAGCCTGCAAAGATCCCAGGCTAGGAGCAAACAAGCGATCAGAAAGCCCTATCGGTGCTGCTATCTTCCAACTTCGCATAACAGTGGACAGACTTGTCACGCTACGTGAATCACTGCGAGAGAAGACCCGCCAGACCCAAAAGCCGTGGGAAGGCATGAGCCGAGAGCATCTATGTGCACGACAAATATGCGTCCAACAATGGTCCCACGATAATGAAGGCCGCTAGATCCCTAGCACATGATCTCATATTGGCTCATAACCTTGGTGGCCGGATCACCATAGTATGAATACCTTCGTATACTAGTATACCATATTTGAGAAGTGAGTGCATACCTCGATTGTCTGCCACGGGTATATCGGGCCTCTATGCTTTGCTTCCTGCTTTCGGCTGCCGAGCTTATGCCGCACAACATCTCCTCACAACCGTGGTACATCCACACCCACATCAAAACCTCACCAAAGCATCCCAAACATTTCTCCTCCGCTGCAGTGCCGTAATCGACTGACGTCCACACCCCACCGCCCTGTGCGCAAATACCTGCCCCTCATTCGCTCATCCTCCTGTCAGCGGGCCGTGCCTCGAACGCCTTTGCACGAATCAGAAGCGAGTTTGAACCACATGTGCGAATGCAGGGCTCAATTGCGAACAGGACGGCACCGAGTCCGATGTCATGCATGCGAACTCACCTCATGATTATGTGACAGACAGACGCCGTTGGCGCGGAGTGCCTTTCGGTGGGATGGGATGAGGGGGGACATTGTTTCGGGTTGTTGGGGAGTGAGTGGTCATTATTGTACGAGTACTCTCTGGTGTAGATAGATTCAACCATTCCTGTGAAGTGGTGTAGCAACTATCGTATCATTGATATATACGGTCCAGTCCTCAGTACTGAGCCGCCTATCTGCCATCTGCTGCGAGCGCTCGCGCCGGTCATCTGAGCAACCAAGACGAAGCAGTTAAGTCAGCCCAGCGACTCGGTTGCAAGCCAATCCACGTCCAACCTCGCTCACATCAGCCTTACCAAATAGGCTGCCTAGACGACATCATTGTCTGTAGCCTACGACCTTTGACGGCTCATCAACCATGAACACCACCTCCCTCCTCCTCAACGGCCATACAGCCGCCTCCATCTCCCTCCTACCAGAGAAGAAGCGCGCGACCATCACCACGCTTCACACCCCACGCCCTTCTCCCAACCGATCATACACTTCACCACCATCTTTCAGCCTAGGTCCAGCAGCCCTCCCACCATCGCCTCATTATCCCTCAACGACGCGAAGACCAATAGCCAAGCGCTCACCTGCTTCGATAGATAGTCCGGGATGGTATAATACAGAGGGTGGCATGACATTGGACGACTTTGCAAAGCGGTTGAATGGCGTGCTTGGAAGGTTCGAGCAGTGGCAGGGCAGGTGTGCGCAGAATGTCGTCATGGCTCTTATGCGTCCGACGCCGGTGGTGCTTTTTGTGTTTAATCCTATATCGCTAGTGCTATGGATTGGGGTATTGGTGTGGTGGTTGAGAGGCTGAGAGATCTGGTCATTCGTTTATCAAGGAAGCATACTTCCCGAGAGAATCCTGGCTAACTTCTGGAGTGATTCGATTTTCCTGGACCGGACACTGGACGATTAATGCACGCTTTCCGCTTCACCGGCGCGAATAGAACAGCGCGTTTCCTTCAGCATCCTTTCTCACACCGGAGGCATAATCTCGGGTCGCATCAAAGTCCTCCCACAGACTGGCAGGATAGATGTGCTTATTGCGTTCATACCATCTTCGATCGACGACTTTGGTGGCGGACGGATCATGTTGATATCCTTCGAGTTCGGCATCCGGCGTGATCAGTGCAGCAGCAGCCTTACGAGTGGCGGCAGTGGAAAGATGGGTAGGAAGATCAGCAGGTGGAGTTTCTGCTTGTGGTGTGGTTGGCGTCGAGGCTGCTTTCGAAGTCGGTAGAAGCTCTTTTGGTGTAGTGGCGGTGGGCTCGGAGGAGTAGGCGAATAGAGGATTTTTGTCGTAGCCGACCGTCTTGTTGAGGATGAAGTAATGAAAATCTTGGTGCTGGAAGGGATAGATGGTCAGCATATGTAGATCATATAGGTAGAATAGACCCAACATTCGGCTTCGTAGTACTCACAGGAGGCACGATAATATCACCTCTTACAACCATCAAGTCATCCACACTTATCCTCGCCCAATCCTTCTTACTCCGATCTCCTTTCTCGGTGTACATATCTGCGCCCACTTTCCTCGCCCTCTCCAAGAACAGCCAGATCTGGTCGCCTTTCTTCATCCGACACACTCCACCTGGTGAGGATTTCCCATCGAAGAAGGTGAAGGGAAGCAGGAACTCGGTCTGCTTGACGGCTTCTTGGTTAATGACGTACTCCTTTCGCAGTGCCTCCTTCAGGACATTCTCGCGCTGCAAGGCAGACTTTGTCACGGCTTTGGGCGCAAAGGCGAGGCTGCCATTTGGCTTGAGGCGTTTCTTCAACACGGTCGTGCTGTCTGCGGGTTCGTCGCCATCTTGCGTCGGGTCTGTTGTAGTCGCGGCTGATGTCGCTGTAGCTGTGGTCTTGGGAATCTCTTGGTCTTCTTCCTCTTCGTCGCCGAATGATAAACCTCCTTTCTTTACCCCTTTCTTCCTCTTCTTGAATGCGGGCTTGTCGACTGGCTCACTGTACTTGGGCAGTCAGCACCCATGTCTGTCTAATTGAATCGATAGTCGCTCACCGTCCATCTGGGGTCGCTGCACCGCTCGTCGCAGGTGTAATGCCTCCGGAGAGCTCACGTGCTTCTGCGCGTCTCTTGCGAAAGTCGGACAAATGCACGAGACCATATGTCTGTTCCTTCAGCGCATCCTCGGTGGTGTGGCCTTGGGATGTGAAGCGCGCATTGGTCGGAGTCGAGGAGCCGGATGGTGGACCCGACGGTGTGTCTGCCATGTTGTGATCAAGCTGGGTGGCTATGACAGGATGCAGAAGAAGAAGATGGTCTTGACCGCAAAGTAATGGACAAGCACATGCAAATGCGGAACATGTCCGCGCTCTCTCGAGAAGGAAGTTACGCAGACCACCTCGAGTTTGGAACACATACCTCCGATCCCGACGCACGTGTCCTTCAAAGGCATATTGGGAAGAGTCATAATCGTCTACCCAGCTCCGTTGACTAGTTCCGAGGTGTAATTGTTTCTTCGGTTGTGGCCACACCGCGCCACTCATCACGACAGAGGTCGAAGGCAACACAGCATGCCGGACATCGACCACTTCTCGGATTCGGAAAACGAATCATTCCACTCCTTTGATGATGGCGAACCTGTTCCGCCTTCTCAGCTAAAGCATGAATCGCCATCAACGATTCAGCCTCAACATAACGAACGAAAGAAGCGACCAGCACAACCCTCGGAGCCAGATCCACTGAAACCAAGACCGATTGTCGAACGGTTCCCAGCCGAAGAAGAAGCCACTCTCTTAGCAGAATCGAGCTCACTCAAAGGCTCTGCAAACCAATTGTTCGGCAAAGGCTCCTTCGAGAATGCCATCCAGACTTACGACAAAGCACTTTCATCATGTCCGAACTATCTAGACTACGAAGTAGCTGTACTCCGAAGCAACATCGCCGCCTGCCACCTCAAGCTCGAGGAATGGAAGGAAGCAATCGAAAGCGCCGAAAAGGGAGTCGACTGTCTCGAACGGCTAGAACCACTACCCAAACCTCCCAAGCCCAAGCAGAAAGGCCAAGATGAGCCTGCCCAGACCACAGAGGACGACCAAATCGTCGAGGTTGACGACAACCTCGCCGATCGGATCGAGAACTTACAGAAGTCGGGCCAAACAATCGACACTGTCCGCAAACTGCAAACGAAACTTCTTCTTCGTCGCGCCAAAGCCAAATCGCAAATCGATACCTGGTCGTCATTATCAGGGGCCGACGAGGACTACCGGACTCTACTCTCGCCACAGATGCAACCTTTCTTGTCTGCTTCGGATAAGAGGCAAGTGTTAGAGAGTGCTCGAGCGCTGGCACCGAGGCTGAATACGACAAAGGATAAGGAGATGGCTGAGATGATGGGGAAGCTGAAAGGACTGGGCAATTCGTTACTCAAGCCTTTTGGGCTGAGTACGGAGAACTTTCAGTTTGTGAAGGATGAGAAGAGCGGTGGGTATAGTATGAACTTTAATCAGGGCGGGCAGGCGAAGGAATAGTGATCGATCAATTATGGTGGCCATTATGGTATACTGTAGGATAATTTACCAGATAACCCAAGCACGAGAGAATAGTGTCTAGCAATTCTGACTCGATACGTCCCATACTTGTCATGCCATACTACTACTCAGGTAGTGTAGATGAATAACAGCTGTAATTCAGTCGTCAACTCCCGTCAGGCGCCAGTAGATGAGACTTGGTGGGCGACATAGAGGCTGTCTCCTCCTTGGCAATGGGGTGTCCTGCTCATCAGTACTTGCAATCTTGGGCTCTGGCAGCCGCCGATCCTAGTATACCGTTCAGCAACAGCAATGTGATTTGAAGTGTTGAGCCGACGTGTTGAACTATTGGGCCGTCTGCCACCTGCAACACTTGGGGCGCCTCAAATCCACGAGGTGTACCCATAGGCTGATATTGCTCAGCTGACAGATGCACAAAAGGTGAAGAATGCGGAAGGCTATGCAAAGCTTGCAGTGGGTTAGTGTCCCTTCACAACACCAGACACAGCTGGGCGGACGGACTGATTTCGATTTTAGCCCTTTGGATGAAGATGAATAGTGTAGCGAGCGATGGTACCATGGGTCCACGAATCCGACACGCTGCGCTAACTCAGCTCCTGCAAATGAATCCATTCGATCCACATCCGTAAAACGGAGCAAGCCGTCGATGCTCGTGGTTCCAACGCTGGCTGTCCTCCGACTGTGAGACAGGACTAGAAGACGGACTTTGATCGTCAACTTCGACAGGTAGATATGAAGTACCATTACACGACTGATTGCCCTTACTCCGGCTAGTCTTGCACGCGGTGGTGCAACCATGTCTCGTCAGTAGTCAATGTCGCGCACTCATGAGATGATCAGTCCAATGTTTTGGAACAAAGCCACTCGCTTTGGCATCGACCTTCTTGATAGCGTCTTCAACTTCCGTAGACCTTAGCCTTACGACTTCGATCCCGTGCTGGGAGCGCAATTGGGCAGAGAAGTGTCTGACTGCACACAATATGTCCGGCCCCAACCTCCAGGAACAGGCGATCCTGATCCCAATCTGGTACAGGATCGATGTTGACTTGAAGGTTCTCTAGACGTGGCATGTCTCTTTTCAGCAGGTCGAAGTCTCCGCGACTGCTCTCCAAATTAGTTGCTGTGTGTGGTAGTGCTACCGCCTCCCTGCCACGTTGCTCAATCTCTCGGTAGACTCCCAGGGACGTCAGGCAGGGGAGATGATGTGATATGGTCCGCAAGTACTGTGAATACTCACTATCGCTGTGCGGGACGTCCACAATGAGATGCCGTAACCGCGTACACGTCTTTGCAACAAACCGTAAGGACTCTGTACTCATCACAGGGCGTTCGTAGCTAGCCGAATCAGTCTGAGATCGGAAGGGCGCCGTCTGCTCGTGTAAGACTAGTGTTTGCAGCTTATTAATCTTGACTGTGCCTAGTATTTGCTCGAACAAATTGGTACCATTGACCATCTCGAGATTTTGCAAATCATCCAGCTTTGGGATGCATTCGAGGATGGTGTCGGTGTCGCGACCACTGCGGCAGGTAGAGTATGAGAAAGTGCGGCCGGACGGAACATGGAGCCGTAGAGATAACAGCGCAGTATTGGCGCCACTGCTCACCTCCAGGAGTGAGATGCAGTTCGTCTCCAGAAATCGAAGCTGCCGAAGTGCTGTTGCGCTTTCGATAGCTGCATGATTGTCTGTGCAGATGCATACGTTGTGCAGCGACAGTGTAGTCAGCGACAAGGGGTGCATATATTGCTTCTTTGTGCCCAACAACCAGTCCAGACTCTCAATACTTGTGAACTTGGAGACCGATGAGGCCACAAGTGCTGTGGAGGTGCTGTCCGTAGGCCATAGTTGAGCAACGGCTTTGATTCTCAGCGTCCGTAATTCTGGACACTGTTGCAACAGCACACCAAGGCTAGAGAATAACTGCAAGTCAGCAGCTGGCGATAGAAGTTCCAGAGTGTGAAGCTGCGATGATACAGATAGGAGGAGCAGCATTGCATGAACGTTGTAGTATGACGCGTAAGAGTACTCCGCCATGTTCAGAGCAGATGGATTGCGTTTGATGCGGACCAGACACGTCTTTTGGATTTTAATAGCTTCGACTAGGAGTGCAGGCATGGACGGTACAGCATGCCATCTACCGAAAGCGTCAGTGAATGCTTCGTCCTGAGTGCAGACTCTACGCACTCGAAACTCTGCAGGCTTAGACGTTTCAACTGTCAGATAAATTCATGCATCTCAGCAGCTAGACTGGCCGCTTCTCGGGACGTGAGTGCCGACTCATCAGAGAAATAACCGCCCGCGGCGAAAGGATTCCGGTCAGTGCGTGGCCTTGGTGTGGTATGAGGGACGTGAAGGTCAAGCTCTGTTGTGTGCCATTCGGCGACCACACAATGGTGCACACGTCGTAGAAATTCGATATCTGTGTCGAGTTCTCGAGATCAGCCTCATATTGAGTTGAGAAGTCGTGCTACTGAAGACCAACGGCCCGATGGTGGCATCGAACACTTGTTGCGCCAAAGTATGCCATCGACGGCAAATTCGAGTGGCAGCGCAGATTGCGTTCTCTGGATCTATATTGAGCTTCAGGAGTCGCCAGCGAATGCCAGATCCTGAAATGCCTCCTTAGTAATTGCCTCGTCGAAGATGAGCAAAAAGATGTCGTCGTTCAGGACATCAATCTGAGGCGTGGAAATTAGTAGCTGCGCTCGCGTGCGCTGCCGTGCGATAGATATTATTGCGACTCTGTGTTGTTGGTTTTCATGGTATGAGGAGTAGACAGTTCTAACGTGTTTATCATTAAGCGCCGGCTAAGCCACAGCCACGATCATGTGAGAGTTGGGAGTACATTAATCGTTGGTGAGTGCACACAGTACGTCTCAGAGCTGTCCATTCTCGGAGCGCAGTGTCTTGGCAGTTGCTCTGCTGGACGATATGTTGTTACCTGGCTTGGCGAGGCAACACGGTCTTCTCGAGATACAGGATATTGTGATTTGGCCGTGGCATTTTCCCTTGGAGCACGTAAATTTGGTCATGCGAGTCTGGTCGCCTCATACAGCGTGGCGATCCCCAGGAGACCTGATATGTATTTCAGGAGTGAATGGATTGTAGAGATGACTATAAGGATTAGATGCTCCGTAGTGCAGTAAGGTGGTGGTGAAGGCGGAAGATGGCTGAGTCATCGGCACGGACCGCAAGGCGCGCGCGATCCAGCGCGTTCGTGCACGCTGTCTCCTTTCCTGGCTTCTTGCTCTCCAACTTTTACATCACTCCACACAGACACATTATCATCATCATCACATTGTGCGCGTGTGTTACCACGAGCCGAACGAACACACATCCTCGACTACCAAGTCAAACCCGCCGCCAATAGCGCGAGTTGCTCTTCCCTGCTGCCACTTCACGTCGAACAAGGCTGCGCAAACATAGTATTCGCGCCCATCAACCTCAACTTGAGCCAACTTACTCCGGTTCGCCTCTAGCCGCTTCACATCTTCCTCAACAGCTCCCGACTCCGTTGACATCACTCAACCGCCCATCAATTACCGACAACCACACTCAACATGTCTGGCAAGCTCGATCAATCACTCGACACCATCATGGCCGAGACCGGCGCCAACAAGGGTGGCCGCGGCCGACGTAGAGCCCCGCAACGCGCTGCCACCCGTGCGACAAGCACGACAACCGCTGCACCTTCCGGCGGCATTCAGAAGGCCACCAAGGCCATCAAGGCACCCACAGCGCCCGCTGTTCAACCCCGAGGCGACGGCAAGGTCATGGTCAGCAACTTGCCTCAGGATATCACTGAGACTCAGCTCAAGGTATGTTGACCGGAAAGGATCTACGGCAGACGCTTTTCGCCATTTTTGTTCGAGTTCTTGTTGCCTATCGTGTGGTCCGAGTGTTCTCTGGGAGCCGGCTTTGATTCGTTGGAGGGCTCCTCTGCTCAGCACTACCTCGCCCTTAATGAGCTTGAGACGTTGCGATGAAGAGCGTGAGCATTGCGTTTGTCTCGCAAAAACCACATCGTAGATGCACTGCCTGGCAAGCATTTGTATCGTATGAGGTGCGAGCACGCAAATAGGGTTTGGGCCTAGTCCGCACAGCAGCAGCAGCATTCGCACAGGCGTGGTGATTTGAGGCGGAAGGCAGGAAGTGTGGAGCAGAGCCGTGGGAGGCTCTACGAAGCAGCAGAAAGACTATATGTAATGGTGGTTGTGGCAGACCTGCTCCGGTTTCGATGCAGTCAACTCGGGCAGCATTTCATGCTGATACGGTGCTGCTGGTCTGATGGTATATGAGGAAGAACACCCGTGAGGCGCGGTGTCCCTTGCTGCTACTGCTTCTGCTGCTGTTGCTGCGCAGACTCACCTTGCTGGCTCCATCTCAAGCACTACTACGGCCATCTAGACTCTTCAATTGGGCGCGAGAGACACAAACTTTGATATTCGGGACCAACTGACATTCTTCCGTGATCAGGACTTCTTTGGCAAGGCTATTGGAGGTGTAAGGAAGGTGCTGCTCGCTTACGGACCGAACGGACGCAGCCGTGGCGACGCTACAGTCATCTTCACCACATACAACAGGGCAGCCGAGGCAGTCAAGGCCTACAACGGCATCAAAGTCGACAACAGGCCAATGAGGGTATGTTCATCGATTGTCATTCAAAGTGCTACGACTGATTCGTAACAGATCGAGCTGGTTGGTGGTACCGTGCCTGTTTCTGCACCAAAGGCTCTCGCGGATCGCATGGCGTAAGTAAACATGGCTCCTGGTTACGCCGGCCCTCGCTAACAGATTTATAGTAAGCCGAAGAACGCTGCCAAGGAGAATGCGAAGAAGCCTGTTGCTGGCAAAGCCGTTGGCGCGAAGCCTGTCAACAACGGCGAGGCGGCTAAGGGTGGACGAGGCAAGAAGAGCGGCCGTAGCGGTAGGCCAAAGGCTAAGACTGCCGAAGAGCTGGACGCGGAGATGCAGGACTACTTCAACCCCAACGGCGAGGCCACTGGCGCAGCTCCGGCTGCTATCAACGGCGGCGACGCTGTCATGCAGACGGACGAGGTGTTGTGAACTCCTGTCAGGCTGGGCATGACTTCTCTGCGACTTCCTGGCTCATGGCTCGATATTTGAGGCCGCCAACTTCCCGCATGGTCCTCTGCGAACTAGGCTCGGCAGATGGTAACATCAACACTTCTGGGGCGTTTTCTTCGACGATGCGATTACTGCGAAGCTGCTCAAGCGTCTAGCTGGAAGATGTGTTCCTTGCATTTAAGCGAACACACTGAGCTGAGATAAAAATGCAACTGTGTTTCCCCCTGAAAACAAATGCGCCATTCTCACCTCTCTTTCTCACACACCATCACACCGCCGTCTCAACCTTTGTTACCGTCGACATGGGCCTGCAAAGTCTGGGCGAGTCTGTGAATCGCGTGCTGTACTGACGAGTCGCCGACGATTTTCGCTGCTTCAAACCAAGGACCTTTCACAGATCGTCCACGTCTTCGACTCGACCTTGCACTACCACCCTCGACGAGCTCCCTCGCTGCGACAATTGCACAGGAAATCGGGCACTCGATGAATCACCAGGGCTCTCAGGTCTATCAATATCATGTCAGCCTCCGGCCGCACTATCATGCAGGTCCACTTTTAAACACTGTTACCCTGCTAGAGCGAATAGTCTGGCCATCTTGGCACTTTTCCATGCGAATTTGCCCCACTAACACGTCGTCATTGTTTACAGTTTCAGAATGGCGGGGTATCATTCACCGAAGATCATTCGAGTTATTGCCGGCTTCTCTTCAAATGAGCAGCGATCCACACCTCGTCGGCTGGTCGCAGAGCCCATCGTCTGCTGTCAGCAGTCAGCTCGTAGTCTGACACGGTAAGTGCAAGCGCTAAGTGTGGGTGGGCCATCGCATCGGCCACACCAGCATACCAATATCATGACTGACCTACATCATGTTACACCTTTGTTTACTGATCGCCTTTCGCGGCGTGCGGAACGACGTCCATCACACCACGTCGCAGCGGTCCCCAGCTGAATTACACGCACGGGAGAAGATCTAGATGGTCGCGCGGCGCAGCCTACCAGCGCCAGGGATCGGGAGTCGAGTTCGAAACTGTCATACTTTCTGCCTCCACGTACCTGCGAAATAGCTGTCGAGCTGCTCCCCGCATCCACAGCGCCAATAGAACTCTGCCATATCGCCGAGGGACAGCTATGCAGCTATGCTTCAGCGGCCCAGTGGAGATCACACCTGCATCAACACTAAGGTGGGGATCTCAAGCCTCACGAGAGCTGGTCCGCCCATTATGGTGTGGGAACTAGGTCTAGTCAAGGATCTCATCTCCGAGCCTGGTGCACTCGCGTCAGGCCTGTGCCGGCAGCCCCTCTCACGGTCACTACGCTAGACTCACTGTTCGTACTTAACCCCACCTCGCCGTTGCTATCCCTTCTCAGCTCGAAAACCATCGCTGTGCGATTCGAAACCACTGTATACTTCACCGCACTCACACAGAAATACCGCAATCATGTCTTTGTCCGTTCAGCTTGATACGCCGCATGCCGGCAAGTACGAGCAGCCAATTGGACTGTAAGTGAAGTATCAAAACGAGCTGGGTCGAGCATAGCATGCTGATGTTGACACTAGCTTCATTAACAACGAGTTCGTGAAGCCAGTCGACGGCAAGACCTTCGAGGTCATCAACCCAACCACCGAGGAGGTCATCACCTCCGTCTACGAGGCCACAGAGAAGGATGTCGACATCGCGGTAGCAGCAGCCCGCAAGGCCTTCGAGGGCCCATGGAGGAAGGAGACCCCAGAGAACCGTGGCAAACTCCTTGTCAACCTCGCCAACCTCTTCGAGAAGAATCTCGACCTCCTCGCTGCTGTTGAGTCGCTCGACAACGGCAAGGCCATCGCCATGGCCAAGGTCGACATCAGCATGTGCGCTGGCTGCCTCCGATACTACGGTGGCTGGGCCGACAAAATCGAGGGCAAGGTCATTGACACCACCCCTGATACCTTCAACTACATCCGCAAGGAGCCAATTGGTGTTTGCGGTCAGATCATTCCGTGAGTACTGCCTTCATCAGAATTAAATATTGAGAGGCTAATATTGGTCAGATGGAACTTCCCATTGCTCATGTGGTCATGGAAGATTGGCCCAGCCATTGCTTGCGGTAACACCGTTGTCTTGAAGACTGCAGAACAGACCCCTCTTGGTGGTCTCGTCGCTGCCAAGCTTATCAAGGAGGCTGGTTTCCCACCAGGCGTCATCAACATCATCTCCGGTTTCGGTAAAGTCGCTGGTGCGGCTATCGCCTCCCACATGGACGTTGACAAGGTTGCTTTCACTGGCTCCACCGTCGTCGGCCGACAGATTCTCAAGGCTGCCGCTGGCTCCAACTTGAAGAAGGTCACCCTTGAGCTCGGTGGCAAGTCGCCAAACATCGTCTTTGAGGATGCTGACATCGATAACGCGATCTCCTGGGTAAACTTCGGCATCTTTTTCAACCACGGGCAGTGCTGCTGTGCTGGTTCCCGCATCTACGTGCAAGAGTCTATTTACGACAAGTTCGTGGAGCGATTCAAGGAGCGAGCGCAGAAGAACGTTGTTGGCGACCCATTCGCCAAGGATACTTTCCAGGGTCCCCAGGTCTCGCAAGTCCAGTTCGACCGCATTATGAAGTAAGTTTTTTCTTTACTTCTTTTTAAAGCCACATACTGACTCCTGTCACAGCTACATCAAGGCCGGCAAGGACGCTGGTGCCAAGGTCGAGATCGGCGGCAACCGCAAGGGTGACAAGGGCTACTTCATTGAGCCAACAATTTTCTCCAACGTCACAGAGGACATGCAGATCGTCAAGGAGGAGATCTTCGGCCCTGTGTGCTCCATCTCCAAGTTCAAGACCAAGGAGGAGGCCATCCGTGTTGGTAATAGCACCACCTACGGGCTCGCCGCCGCCGTTCACACCAAGAGCCTCAATACCGCAATTGAGGTCTCAAATGCGCTGTAAGTACTCTAAAATGATCCCTGGACGTCCAGAACTGACCCTGGAACAGCAAAGCCGGGACTGTGTGGGTGAACACATATAACACACTTCATCACCAGATGCCATTCGGTGGATACAAAGAATCAGGCATCGGGCGCGAGCTTGGGGAGGACGCTCTCGGTAAATCGACCTATACTCTTAATGATCGATCCCCAGATGCTAACAGATCCCAGCCAACTACACGCAAACCAAGACCGTCTCCATCCGCCTGGGTGATGCTCTCTTCGGTTAAGGAAATAAGATGTAGGCTGTCGATCAGACTGCGTGTATCTATGAGCTATGAAAAGAACATGTACAGTGACAGCGTCAATCGCTTCTCAATGATTCTCACGTGAATTGTATGAATCGTCTTGAAAGTAATAATGTGGTGGCCGTGGATACGATGTTGATCTGGGTGATGGCAAGACATATGCTTCCTTAGCGTCGAAAATATATACTGTCACGAATCTCGTCTCCTCTAGCCAGCACTGTTTGAGTTGTACACATCGACACTCCTTACGTCAACCTGCATTCAACCGTTTGGGGATACTCGAACACAGGATATGGTTTGTTGCCATGAATGACAGCTCGCATTCGCAAATGTATGAACTTTCGTGGCGTTTTTAAGGTTGGTCTTGCAAGTCGAAAGCATGGAGTCGCTCTACCACAGCCACATATGAACCACTTCGTCCATGAGCATGATCACTCGAACACTAATCAGGCCCTTGTGCCTACTGCCACTGGCTAGCACCTTCGTTCGTCACCACAGTATGGCAGCCATGGCCACGCCAGCCCCGGCTTTCGAACTCGACCCTGGTCTCTGGAACCAGACGCTTTACGGAAAGATGCGTGAGTTCTGGTTCGGCAATATACCTGCTGGCTCAGAAACACCGCCTATGGAGCAGATGAAAAAATGGTTTGGCATAGCGCAATCACCAGAAGTCAAGAAGGAGATGGATAGCCAGTGCAAGGCCATGGCTGAGCCGGCCCTGAACAGCATAACACCAGAGCACCTCACATTACCGGCATTCAAAAAATATGAAGACGAACAGGCACAGGCAGAGACACTTGCTGCGCCGTTCTTGCATGAGGTCGAGACAGCACGACAGCAAGGCGAAGAGATGGCTTCACAGACACTGCTATCGGTGATTCTATTGCTGGATCAGATGCCTCGTAACATTCTCCGTGAACAGCACGAGCTGCCTCTCGTCTACAATCATTACGACCGCCTTGCCTACGCGTTAGTCATGGGATCTCTCGAGAAAACGCCTGAGCTCTTCACGCACCCCTCGGTGCAAAACCGGATGTATTGGATGTGGCTACTCATGCCACTCACCCACAGCGAGCACTTGCCATCGCATCGTCGATTGTATGAATTAGGCGAGCAGTTCGCCAAGAACGCGAATGAACCGAAGGAAGGTGCGGTCGCGGACTACGCAAGATCATGGTTCAAGGCATATGGCCAGCACTACGAACCTATTGAGAAGTTTGGCCGCTTTCCGCATCGAAATCAATGTTTAGGGAGGATGACTACGCTGGAAGAAACTAAGTATCTCCAGACTGCAGATACGTTCGGCGTAGAGCAAAAGGAAGCGAAGCAGACAAAGGATGAATTGTAAGACGTCAAGGACAAGAAAGTGTAATGCTACGGAACGCTGCGAGTGATGTAATCATAAAAGAGAATAGTGGTACACACCTCTCCAGACCCACACTCCATCCCATACCTGACTTTAGCGGAGTCACACTACGATGAGCCTTTGCAGGGCTTCCATCCTGTCCGCGCGAGTCATATATGGGATCTCCGTCGATCCAGTAAGGTTCTCGTACGCCTGTCGCCTAAGCTCGCGTTCCTCGGTTCTCAATCTGGCTTCCTGCTCATGTCTCTTTCGGAGGGTCTCACGAGTTCGCTGGTAGGCGTCAGTCTGCATAATTCTCAGCTCGAAAGCATTCCACGGCGCTTGCTGCTGGAAGCGTCGGCTCGAAGGGAGGGTCTCTGGTATGATGGCAGATGAGGGCAGAGGTGTGGGCTGCTCAGGAAGATCTTCTGTCGTGTTCTCTTGGAGACAACTTGCGACAATGATGTGTGGCGGACGGTTGATGCCTTCAGTGACCTGCATTTGCAAGGCATCAATCACCGTCTTCGCGGCCGCGAGCATAGCGAGATGGACGGCCTCTTTTCTCCTCAGCTCAGCAATCTCGTCAGATGCATCGTGTGACGCACTATGCTCATCTTGTCGTTCGGCAGCGTCCTTCATGCTATCGCTAAGCTGGATCTGCTCCATGGCTTCGGCCAGCTTGCCGCAGCTGAGCTCGAGCGAATGTCGCATGGCTTGAAGGTTATTGACGTGGTCCTTCAAGCCCAGATTATTGTCATTCGCTTTAGTAAGCAGGCCCTGCAGCTTCTCGACCTTACTTTCCAGGCCATCACGCTCCTCCGTAAGCTGCAAGCCATGGTTGCGACACCGAAGCAGTCGTTCCTTCAATTTGTTAAGCTGATCCTGATCGGCCACGGAACTCCTTTCATCGTCAGAGTCCAAGCGGGCTGTGAGCTCTTCCACGGCTTGTTGTGTCTCACGGAGCTCCTGCTGCAGCTGCGCATTATGCTTCTCGCAATGTATCAGCTGCTCCAGGGCGAGGTCCCCCTCATCACTGGTGCCTCTCCCTTTCGTGCAAGACTCTACTTGCTTGCCGACATCGCTCACCGCTTGCCTTGTATCTTCAAGCTCCTTCTTGAGCTGACGGCCATGTTCCTGGCATTCAGCTAGCTGCTTCGTCACTTCCGCAAGCTTCTTTTGACCGTTGTCGTCTGCGGCTTCGCTGTAGCTATCTAGTTGACTTGCGATCGCGGTAATGTCCTGATTCGCAACCGCCAGCTCCTTCTCTAGCTCTTTACCACGTGTACGGTACTGTTTAAGAAGTGCGTCTTTCTCTCCGCTTTCTAATTCTGCCAGCCTGCTCTTAGCACGGCACTCCCTGAGATCTTCCTCTCTCTTGTCCATCTGGCAACGCAGTTTGTCGTACTCTGCCCCAATCCGCCACTTTGATTGCACCAGATCCCTTATCTGCTGGTAGTGGTTCGGGTCTCGTATCTGGTCATCGATCTCATGAAGTAGCTTTCTCTGAGGATGATCATTAGGTTCGATATCTCGTGCCACGATCATGGCCTCCAGACTTGTGTATGCTCCGATGTCTCGTGTGAGTTCTTCGATGTGGGCCGCGAAACGATCATGTCTGAACACGAGACCCAGCTGTCTCAACTGGTCATGAAGTGACCAGAAGTTCGTCGTACCATTGCCAAGGATTTGTCGAACTTGCACAGCTGTGACTACTAAAGGGTTATAGCGATCCTCAGCGCGATGTTGGTCGTTAACCCACTTCGCGATGCGCCTTGCTATCTCGTCAATGCGGTCCATACGCCATCGCTCAGCATCGACAGGCACAAGTGGATCAGACTCGGAGTCTGTGTCTAAGTCGGAGCCCGAGTCAGAAGAGGAGGACGACGACGATGATGACGACGATGACGACGAGTCGCGGACGTCGGTTTGAGTCCCACGAGTGACACCCGTTTGTTCGGTCTGAGACTGCGCATCCGTAGTCTGTGACTCACTTCTCGTGGTCTCGTTCGGTGCTTGGCCGGTCGGAATTTCGTGGTTAGTCTGCGTCTGTTCTGTCTGAGTGATTGCACCTGTGGTATCGGCATGCGCTTGCTGAAGCTCATAGTTCATGTCCAGAAGCTCTTGAATTTCCTCCTTCGCAGCATCAAGCTCGTCTTGCCGCGTCTGAACGAGTGCTCGTTGATCCTCGATCTCCTTTTGCTGCTCGTCAAGCGCAGCTTCAAGCATGCTTCTCTCTGTCCTGAGCTCTGCATGCGCACTCTGTCCCTCTGCAAGCCTATTCTCAACACTACGTCTGGCCAATACAGCAGCCTCGCAGTTCTCATTGGACTCCGTTGCCAGCTTTTGGAAGTCTTCGACCTCATGTCGCCAATCATTGGCTTTTGCTTGAGAATCTGCCAATCTTGCTTGAGATTCCGAGATTTGAGCCTCCAAATAATCAGCGTAGTCTCGGCATTGATCTCGCTGATGACGAAGACGATGGACCTTGGCGCTCAGCAGGTCAATACGGTCTTGTCTAGGAGCCTCAGGTAAGCGATCGACCGCTTCGTTTCCTGCTTCCTGATCCTTCAGCTGCGCACGGCTCTTCTCGAGGCTCGGATGCTCATCGCTGTAGTAAGCTTGACCGAAATGGACGCCCTCAGTTTGTGTCATGCCAGTGACTGAGTCGATAGAGGAAGCATCTGAAGGCGTTGGTGATATAGGTCCATCGCTTTTCTGTTGAGCGTTCGTGCTATTCGAGCTGTCGACCACTGCAGCTGAATCGGGTGTTGCTTCAGCACTATTGCATCGGATGAACTCACCAAGTTCAGCGATATCAGATTCATTGTCACCATCCCACAACGACGAAGATGCCGTCTTTGAGCCTGATGTTGCCAAGGGTTCTGATATCGCTGGTGGCTCTGGTGCCGTGGCAGGCTTGTTAGTCTCGGTTTCGGACTTGGGTATTCTACGAAGTAGACTAGGAAGTATTGAGTACTTCTTGGGCACCTCATTGAACTTCGGTAAAGGTGTGGCCTTCCGTTTGATTTTGCTGTACAACGGCTGGCCATCGCTTTTCACATACCGCTCATTGTTCGGGCCCCAGAAATTCTTGCCAAAGTGAACAAAGTCATATTCGCCGCTGTCAATCCCGAACTGGAAGGCTGGTACAGCAGGGTCAGATTGGGCTTGATCGTTGACTTCGTGATCGTAGCTATTGTCCGAATTTTGCTGCGGCACCCACGCAGCTCGTGTACTCTCGGTGGAGGACTCGTGCGGTTGCTGATTCTCTACCGTATCGTATGGGATACTTGACGGTGCTAAGTCGGTCTCATTAGTAGACTGAGCAGGGACATTGCTTACCGCTTCATCTCCTGCTTCTCGCACTGGCTCATCTTCGTCCACAGCTTCGTCCGCGGAGGGTGACCAGTGCGAGGCATTATCTTCACCCGCTTGTTGTGGCTGGCTGTCCACTCTCCCACCCACATCCACTTCGTGCTCATCCAGCGTCTCACCGTCTGATTGTTGTGCGTTGATATCCCCTCTGTGGGAAGTTTCCTGTTGCATATGATCTGCTTGTTCTATGTCAAAGTCTTGGTTGCTACTTTCGTGCTCAGGAGAACCGGCATCATGACCTAGCATAGCGAAAGTTTGCTCTTGACTCATGTTTGCAGTCACAAAATTGTTGTCGATCAAGTGAACTCTGACCGACTCGTAATCAAGGACCTGCCTCTGTCAAATATGGTATGCTATGGTGCAGTGTATGGTAGCAGCTGTCGGGATGCAGTAGACCACTCTCGAATTTGGTCGACACCATACCTTCGTAATCATCTCCTCAGCATGGCGTCTCGCCTTTGTCCAACCTATTTTGGTGAGTCAAAACAATGGTACAAACCTCTTATCTCGAGATGAGATGAAAGAAAAGACCACCTGTAATGGCTTGGACAAAGAGCACAATTTTCACAACAAAGATCAACGTGTCCTGGCCCCGGTAATCCAGGTCATTACATGATGCTGGTGCAGCTGCTCACCTGTATTCTAGGAAGGACGTCGCACTGTTTGGGTAGTGGAAATGAAGGGGCCGGGCATTACATTCATCTAGCGGCCATGTCCACGCTCTCCACGGCAATTGGGAAGCCTCCAGAGCTTATGCATGGCCAGAAAAGCCGTCGACGACAAAATCGGGTGGTGGTTCGCGATATGTCGATGATCAAGATTGTAGAGGTCTCTGTCGAATCCAATTTTTTGTTGCAGCGCTGTGACGAAATACCGTTCAACGAGGACTGCGACGGCCGGAAAGCCATTGCCATGTTTTTGGAGGCGCATTATGCCTTCGCTCTAGGCTCCTGAATGGCTCCATAGTGATATCTCAGCAGAGGTCTTTGACATCGGTAGACGTGCCGTTTTCCTAGGCGCACAATGACGCGTGCAGCTGGCCGAGGGTCGTAAGTCCTCTTTGGAAGCGCATCAGCGCTCCCACTCGCTCTTGACATTGCAGCTCAAGTGTGATGTCTGCTCGACGCACGTGAAAGGATGAATCAGGCCAAGACATTGTTGTCGTTGCCAAGCAAACATTGACGTCGTGCCACTGGCTGATTCGTGCTGCGCCACCATATGTGCTCCACCGCTCAGCTCATGACTTCCTGCTGTGCTTGCTGCCTTTGATATATCGATTGACAAGACCAACATTTATCAATGCTTCCAAGGGACTGATTGTCTCACAAGCATTCCTCCGATCTTGAGTATTTCCCGATCACATTCTCTCCCAAGATGGATCGCCATATTACCCTTCTACTGATCTGCGTGATTGGATTGGCGTTACTGGCAAAACCAGCAGCGGCGTTCGGTGCAGGTAATATTGCCTCGATCTCGAGGATTGAAGGTCATAACTGGCGTCATGGCGACATTGAGGATTTGCTCAAGACCGTCGCGTTCACTCGAGGCCACAAATGGACCAGCATGATGATTAAGAGGAGTACGCTATGCCGGATCCATGTATTCATGCTCGTTACTGATCTTTCTCGATAGCTTACTTCGGCAACTGGCTACGTGATTACTCACAAGCCGTAGACGTCGGTACTCTCAAAGGTGTGCAAGCAGACACTATTCGAGTCCTGGTCTGGGTCCTGGCGTTCATGAGTTTTGGCTACGCCACTCAAGAGTTTGAGGTCACAGCAGAGCGTTTGGGCACATATCGACCAGAAGAACATATTGACAATCCGAAGGACTATGCAGATAATGTTGATGCTCGCCAGTTCGACCCACGACTTCGTGGACCAATTGCTCCCATCGAGCTTGCAATCGATCCGAATACTGGTATGAAGAATTATATTGCCAATGAGTCAGGCAGTTGGGCAACATCTTCTGGCTACATTAAGTACAGCTTCGCCAGAAGCATCCACTTCGGCAGATTATATACGTGTGGACCACAACGTGGACGAGAAGAAGATCTATGCGAGGCTCTACGTTGTCTTGGCCAAGGTCTGCACTGCATGGAGGACTTCGGCGCCCACACCAATTACACAGAGCTTTGTTTGCGTGAGCTTGGCTTCAACAACGTCTTCCCTCATGTTGGCAGCCGGACCATGATCAATCTGCGTGGCAAGCAGGTCTTCCCTCTTGTGACCGGCACATTCGGTGGTGTTGATTTCTTGCACTCCGTGCTTGGCGAGGCCACGGACCACGTGACGCAGACTGAGGTGAACGAAACCGAAGTATCACAGCTTGATGCAGCACTCTCGCAAGCGTCAGCCACACAGTCGCGTGGTGGTGGTGATGACGGTATTTCCGGGTTGGCCAGTGCACTTTCTATGATCCCAGGGACTGGCGACCTCGTGCAAGAAGCACAAAGACTCCAGGCGGATTCTCAAGCACAAGCGGCGGCAAACGAGAGGATGGGAGGGAGTCGCGATATGGGTAGTGATTCATACCAGCCGTATGGCAACGAATACGGTAGTGCTCGAGCCGACGCATCTGCATATAATCAGCAAGGTGCGACGACAGCGTTCCAAGGACCTCCAGGTTCGCAAGGTGGGCCACCAGGTCCCACCTCCGCAAACATACCTGGCTTGAATGTCAACGTCGATCCGCAGCAGGCAATTGCCAAGATCTACCCGCTACTAGCATTCCGAGACAAGGTCGTCCGAACAATCTCTGGTTTCGTCGAGAAAATTCCTGGGTTAGAGAAGGCAATCGAGACGATCAGTGAGAAAGTCACTTTATTCGTTATGGGTCTGATGGCTCCGTTCGTCAAGCCCATCATCGCTGCTGCATCAAACGCGCTTAAGACAGGTAGCGGCACCGTCGTCAGCGCCAGTCAGAAGCAACAGTACCTCGTCTGGGACGATCCAAATAGCAGCGACCCAACTCACTCTCTGCTTTCCAAAGATCACTTTAGCAACGTCCTGAACATGCCAGCTGGCCAAGTAGCCGCGGTCATTCTGCAGTACGTCGCCCCACGTGTGATCCACGGCTGGGACCACCCAGATGTGCCTGTGGATGAAATTATGCAAGACGTCTCCCGCGCCTTCCATCACCCAGCTATGCGCGACAACAACTGCGAGATCCATCGCCAGATGTTCAGTGTTGTCGAGAGGTGGGTTCAGCAGCGTCCAGATAGAGGCCGCGATCTGGACCACATTCTCAGCTCGGACAGTGTCAAGCATGGAAAGAATCACACCGTCGCAGACTTCCAGAGCAGTATGCAGCCCCTCGAGCAGCAGCTGCAAGGTATGGGTAGCTCAAGTCATAGTCCAACAGCTGGCGGACCATTCGCGATGTTCGCACAGAAGCGCAGCATCGACTCCGAGATCGCTGGTAGCGGAGGATATCAGGGCGGCTATCAAGGCGGCAACGCACCACAGGACTACGGTCAGGCATCCTACGGCAACGCGCCACCAGAGCCGGCAGGCTTTTCAGCAGAAGGTGGAAGTGCATACCCTACTGCTTACCAGCAAGGGTACGATCGTCCATTCGAGGAGACCACTCAGCAGTACGGTCAAGGCTACGGAAATCAAGGCCAAGGTCATCAAGGTCAGGGTCAGAACTATGGTGGCAGTGGATATGGGCAAAGCTATGAGCAAGGCGGAGGTGGCTATGGACGCTACTAGTGTCTAGCTCGCATTGAGAAGTCATGAATGATGTGATAGATGCTGTAGTCTATGAAGATCTGTAGCTTGATCTTTATGATCTGCAATGTCATGCCAGCCAACCACTCATCGCTAAGTTCGCATCAAAATGTGTAGAAATGTGCAAGCAACGTCCATCATCTGCTCAAAGCAGCCACAGGCCTCCTAACATCCTTCAAACTGCTTCCTCGACTCAACGACTGCGCGATTTCCGGTGTAAGCTTTGCATCCCAGCTACCAGAGACTGACGGCACTGACTCTTTGGCTTTGGTCGGCGGCGTCCACGGTTCCGCGTCACCAAGGCGCTCGACTACGAGGCCCGCACTGCCAGCCGGCTCTAGACCGCGCTCAAGCTGTCGCTCATACGAGACTCGTCGTAGTCTCTCACCTTCGACTGGTGTGAGGCGGAGATAGAGCTCGATACCGATGACGTGTAGCGTGAGAGCAAGCCAGCAGGAGACGCCGAACGGCAGTGCCAGCGCCGCAGCGACTTCAGCGACGTTCACTGGGGCTGTGAAGTTGGCGCGGACGATGGTCAGGCCATATGGGTTGGTAATGCATGTTGGGTAACTTTGTAGCAGCTCTGGACCGGCCATTGAAGCAATCTTCTGGCATTCCATGACCATGAAGTAAGTGAAATACTTTGAGCCTTGGCTGAGTACTGCGGCAATGACTATGGTAATCAGTCTGATTGTGACGATTGTGCCGAGATAGACGAAGAGTCGGAGCATCCAGGCGCGGTGTTGGTCGATCTGGAGGACTTTGATGTTCCACCATGCCAAAAAGATGCTTGTCGTTGTAAGCAGGGCCAGGACGCCAACGAATACCTGTGTGGCGAGGCTGCCACCGAAAGCGCGCCTTGCAACTCCTACGGCGCCAACGTTGGAGACCAGCAATAGAAGGATGACGATGTAGCCATTGATCCGGTGGAAGATGAGAGCTTTGTATCGGATGACGGGCACGAATTGCCAGACGCCTAGCAGGCCTGCAGGAATGCAAGTGCAGAGATGAATGTGAATCATGATATTGTAGAATCGGTTGTCGGGTCCAAACCAGAAACTCTCGCCAGGAGCATTATGATTCATCCAGTAGCCATTAACGTTGAGTGATTGTATCTTTGCCAGACAGAAGCCGAAGAGTGCCCCGGCGAAGATGAAGAACAGGATGAAGTTGTAGCCTTTCTTGAAGCCGATTGGGTTGTATGCTTTGCGCATGAAGCGGACGAAGGCATTGGCGTTGGGGCTTGATGTGTGGACTGCCATTGTATTATTGGTGGTCGTTTGGGGTGTAGCTTTCTATATTGTATGGACGGTGTTGGGCTGTACGTTGGAGAAGCTGATGAATCGAATACATTACTGGCATGGCCTACACTTTTACTTATACAATTGTCTGTGTTTCAAGGCAGCCATTGGAGACACTCGCATACGGCCTTAAGTCTGTCCGCTGCTCGTCGAAGGATGGACGATCGAGAGCATGATACTGGAGTGGAAGATCTTCGTCGGGCTTGGTTGTCTTGCGTCTCCACAACTCGCAGTGCACATCCATTTCCGGTCTAGCTTCGCAGAGGACGGTGGAATGCTGTCCGTTTCGTGGTCGTCGTCATCACGCGGCTGCTTTGCATAGCCTTGAAGACGCAGGAATCAAGCCCTAGCCATGATATAGGTGAAGGAGGACATTTGTGAGCACGTCCGTAAGCTTGGGTGACACGTATTGGGATGGCTAGGGATGGTTGTTGTTTCTCTTCAATCTCGTGACGAGATGCCTTCTCCACGCCAAGGCTTTTCAGCCTCATTCTCGACCCTGTTGAGCAGCCACGTTTTAGCCGAAAGGTCAATCGCGGGCCCCACGTTGTCTCGTGGAGCTTGTGCCGTTCGTGACATTGAAGAGTGAGCACTCATCCACCCTGACAGTCGTTACCGGACCACAAGGAGCATGGCCAACACCAGTACGCCAACGAGTGCCGCGAAAAACATCGTCTTTGTCCACCCAGACCTTGGCATAGGAGGCGCAGAAAGACTGGTGATAGATGCGGCCGTGGGACTGCAATCGCTTGGACATAAGGTCACGGTACTCACATCCTATCGTGATACGAATCACTGCTTTGAGGAAGCGAGAGATGGTGAGTAAGGACACCCTGCCATACCAATATTCCTGGCAGGTGGACGCTGGCTAAGAGAGTCAAAGGCTGAGTGTCATGTCAAGGAACACTCGATGTCCGAGTCCGTGGCGATGCCTTGTTCCCACCCTCGATCGGCGGACGGCTTAGTATTCTGTTCTCCATATTGAGGCAACTGGCGCTGGTAGTGAGCACTGGTGTTGCTTCCAACGAGCTCAAAACGCTTCAACCAGATGTGATATTTGTGGACCAGCTCAGCGCATGCGTGCCGCTCTTACGTCTGCTGTACCCGCAAGCCAAGGTTCTCTTCTATGGACACTACCCGGACCGTCTGCTAGCGCAAGAAGCCGACGGAGTCGTGAAGTACATCAAGCGAGCTTATCGGCTGCCGTTCGATGCTATCGAAGGGTGGAGCACAGGATGCTCCGACGATATAGTTGTCAACAGCAGATTCACACGGGGCGTATTCAAGGCCACTTTCAGACATATGCAAAGACGGGACATGAAAGTCATATACCCTTGTGTCGATACCAGCAATAGCAGTCCGAAGAATACAACCGCCATCTGGCCAGGCAAGAGGATCCTTCTGAGCATAAACCGATTTGAGGGCAAGAAGAATCTTGATCTAGCAATACGAGCATACGCTGGTCTGTCGGCGGACGAGCGCAAGAGATCCAAGCTTATCATGGCTGGTGGATTTGATCCACGGGCACCAGAGAACGCGGTGGTGCACAAGCGCTTGCAGCAATTGTCAGAGTCACTTCATCTCACACACGCGACTTTCCGCAGCAACGACACACTCACCACGGATCTCACGACAGATGACGTAGATACGCTCTTCCTACTATCAATACCACATGAGATGAAACAGCGACTACTGAACTCCGCAAGTCTGCTGATCTATACACCAAAGAACGAGCACTTCGGCATTGTACCACTGGAAGCTATGCTTGCCGGTGCACCAGTCTTGGCGACGAACACAGGAGGCCCACTCGAAACAATCTACGATGGTCGTACGGGCTGGTTACGAAGTCCGGATAGGGTCGAACAGTGGACAGAAGTCATGCGCAAAGCCCTTATACCATCCAGCGAGGACGCGCTGCGTGCCATGGGCCAGAAGGGCCGTGAGCGGGTCCTGGCAGAGTTCAGTCACACTAAAATGACGGCTTCGCTGGACAAGGAGATTCAGGACTTGTGTGCGAGCACAGCACTACGGCCGGCGATTACACCCGAGTGGGTACAAGCACTGCTAGTCGTCACCCTCATCGCGATCATTGCTGGGTTCCTCGTCTCGAGGTTCTTCTTATGGGCGGTGAATCTAGATGAGCAGAAGCATCTCCGGGATCTGGCGAGTGCGGGATCTGGCATACAGAGTACAATTGCTTCTGTGGCCGCTTCTGCTACTCACGTAACCGATGAATTGTGATCGTGCATGAGGACTGGCACAAGAAGCATTGAATTGGAGTACTGGCTGCATTGACATTCGAAATTCATGAATACATGTACCCGCCTCCTCTTGGCCGAACTTTTTCTGGGGAGATTGTCAGCATTGGGTGCGATGCCAAGATACCCCTTCTGCGATCCATGCCATACTCTAATACATACATGGCTAATGCCTTTAGTTTAGATCAAAACATCTTACCATCCAGTCTGCCTCTTACATGAAGTCTGGACTCTGAGATGAAGATCATACAGCCTCGTATTACGTGTGCAACGGCAGCAATGCTGCAAGCCGCCGGGAAGACGCTATCCGCACTGCTGTGCACAGTTGTGCCGTCGAACACTCACCATTACAATGACATAGCAAACCTGCTGAGAGTGAATTTCGACCGCGTACACATCTCACGTATGATGGACGTAGAAGTCTCGGTCAGAACAATCTGCGCTTGTGACGGTCCCGGTGCGCTGGGAACCGTCGGCTATCCTGAGGCGGTGGAATGCTGTTACGACACTTGAGGTCTTGTGTATACAACTTGCCTAGTATGGTCCTTTGGTGGTCTGCCATACGATGTGGATTTGGCCGGGACGCCTTTCACATGAGCTCTTCTTCATTTACACGTGCTGACCGGACTACCAGTACACTTGCACACCACACACTATCTTCATTCCAGCCACCAAATGGCAAAAATGGCATATCCAAGCTTCTGGGCAGCAATATTGCTAGTGTACAGTGCGCTGGCCGTGCCAACATTACGCGTCGGGTCTGTAAACATGAAGCGCGGTGCAGTACACACTGGAAGACACGCCGCACACAGAACAAGTGCGAAGTTGCTTCAATTGGCCAAACATATCCTTCCTTTGAGGAAGACGAGCGTTACAGCCAAGAGTTCAGCAGGTCTGTGTGAAGGCACTCGCACGAAGCTCAAGCGCACGCTAACATTCCACATAGCCCTTCATAATGCAATGCGGGCCACGATGACTAATGTCAGCCTTACCCAGGCCAACCAGGGTGGGGCTTACGCCATAGACATCGATTTCGGCGGACAAACCTTTACCACTATTTTCGACACTGGCTCGAGCGATCTGTGGTTAGCCCAGCAGGATGTCCAATGCGTAGAGTACCTCGACAAGGTACTTCAACCAGCCGCCTGCACATTTGGTCTGTTGGCGCCGGATACCTTCGAAGACGGGACCATTGACAACGAGAACTTCTACATCATATATGGCGACGGGGAAGAGTTAAGCGGTGTCTGGGGTTACGAAGACGTAAGCATAGGTGGTTTGAGTGTTCCATACCAGCAGGTGGCGTTGGTCGACTCTGCTCTCTGGAATGGAGACAATGTTACAAGTGGGCTGATAGGGTTCGCGTACCCGGCTTTGACGAGCGCATACCCTGGCAATGAGTCTGCGATTGATGATCCGAACTCGACCATCCCATACAACCCATGGATCTTCAACGCCATCACTCGAGATCTCATCGACCCTATCTTCAGTCTCGCCATCCAGCGCGGCAGCAACAATAGTGGAGGCCAACTCGCACTTGGCGGTCTTCCTCCAAGCTGCCACAATCTGACCTACACATCTACCGACCTACACATCTCCGACCTTGCCAACCGTGCTGGGGCCTCCACGAACTTCAGCTTCTACTCCATCATCCCAGACGGCTTCAAAGCCTTTGGCGACCGAGGACTTATGAATCGAAGGACGAATTATTCTGTGATTGTGGATTCGGGCACTACCCTTGTCTATCTTCCTCCACTGATAGCAAGCAAAGTGAATGCACTTTATGATCCGCCATCCAAATGGATCCCGGAGACGGCATCGTATGAGAACCTTTGCAATGCTGTGCCGCCGTCATTCGCAATCACCATTGATGGGACCGACTTATGGATCTCTTCTGATGAGCTTCTGATGACTGGTGAGGCTGGAGAAGGTATGTGCTGTTCCACTTTACTCTGGTTATGCATGGCATGTCTGACGCTACCATAGATCCCGAGACTGGTGGCTGCTTCTCTGGCATCCAGCCGAGCTTTGATGGCGCTTATATTTTGGGCGAGGTTTTCCTCAAGAATGTGGTGGCGGCTTTCGATATTGGCAACAGCCAGATGCACTTCGCTCAACACGAGTATTGATTTGGATATTACCAGAAGTAGCGTTGCGTTGCTATCACCTTCCTGATAACCTCGTACACCTTCAAAATCTCGTCACTCGAGTACTAGTGAAGCCGACGCGCATCTGATGTTGACCTTGCTTTCTAAGTCTATCGATAATCAGGTCTAAACAGTCTACTTGTAATATTCATGGACGTGATGCTTGCTCTTCCACCTCATGAAATAACAGCAGAACGGAAACAAGACACTATTGACAGCACCCCAAGCAATCAAAACGCCAAAGTCAAGTCCCAGCCTGTTGTGAAGACCGAACAGGATCTGCCTGCTTCCCTCGACCACATAATGCAAAGGCCATGCATAACCCCAGTAGTAGAAGTGAGGCTCTATGTCGATGTCGTAGAATGCCGTGCTGACATTCGTGATGACCCAGAAGATGAGCCACAGCCCCGTCCACGGTTGCCCTACGATCATCGCTACGTTCTCGCAAGCGAGGCCGAGCGCTATCATGCCGAAGAAGTTGAGCATCCAGTAGACCTGTGGCATCTCTATTAGCAAGAAAATCTTCCTGATCGAGAGTACAAGTCGCTTACCGGAAAAGTGGCATTACCCCAGCCATCAGGGTTCGTATACCCATCCACTGTCCAGGTCACCTGCGTCTCAGAAGTAACTGGATTCCCTCCAGAGAAGTTGATCTGAAAGGCGAGCGAAACGAAGGAATATGCTAGCGAAAGCATGAAGTAGGCTGAGATCGTCGCACACCAACGCCAGATTACAAGCTGGTAGAACTTGAGTGGCGGATGACCTTCTGGCTTAAGATACTGCATTCGATTAGCACAATGTTGTGATGCGACAAAAGCGTGAACGCTCATACCTTGAAGTGAATAGGCAGGTAGAACGCAAACGAGAAGAAGGAAACGATGATCAGGTAGATCAGACCGATACTGACAGACGGGATAATCTGGTACGGATAGAAGGGTCGCAGGTTGTACTGGCTGAATCCAATGGCCGGGCTGAGCGCTTGCGGTACCCTAGCAGCGTTGCGGACTAGAGCGGCATCTGTCGTCGCATTTTGCATAACCATGGACGTCCACTCTTGTCCAACTTTCGTCGTTGCTTCGGTCATGAATGCGCTGATGATGGGGGACATGAAGTCGTACCAGTTCGTGTCGTCTCGAGAGTCAATGTAGGTCAATTGGCAAGCGCCCATAGGGTCGTACGAAGTGTTGCCATTTTCCAGCGCTGAATACAGCATCGCTGTTGCGTTCGGGTTGATCACGATCGACGCCCAAGCGTCCCAGTTGTACACCGCCTGTCGCACCTGCATAGGATCATAGCCGAAGTCTGCCCCTGATACAACGCCCCATCCCAATGTAGGTGTTTCGCTGGCGACCATTGTTCGCGCAAGATTTGTGATGAGCGGTCCTACGATTGGCTCATGTCCGTTGGTGTTGTAAGGCGCTGTCTGTCCGTCCATGTCCACCACATATATCACAAGAGACGAGATGTTCTTCTCGACATGGTAGAGGGCGCCCCAGTAGATCGACAGCACGGCCAATATGAATGCCATGAGGAATGCAGTTGTAATGGTCCATTTTGTCATCGCTTCCTTGCGTACATGGTTTAGCTTGGGATGCCAGAAGCCCACGGGAGCTGGCGGTCCTCCTTGTTGCTCTTCGTCCTGGTTCTCATCGCCGCCAGACCCTCGCGCATCTTCAGACTCTTCCTTATGCTTCTCCGGCTCCTCGTCTCCAGAGCGGTTCTCTGCGTCGCTACCTGCCATCACGTTGGGGGATGGTGGCACGGGTAGGAGGTGTGGGAAAAGATGCAGGTGACGGAGTCAGAATGTACTTAGCTTTGGCCACTATGCCTCTGACGATCTTACCAGCCTACTTTATACCATGATGATTGCACCGTTAGCCGTATCTCCCGCCGACGGATCGGAAGTACAACATTAAAGGCGATCCTAGAGCAGAATGACGTGAAGACATATTCATTACGGTCCGTGCATGTGCAACTTTTGCGGTCAAATCCCAAAGAGGCAGACAGGCGCCCTTTAAGCTAGAGGCTTACGGTCTCTTTAGGACGGAGCCATTGCATCAACGATTTCTTGGCTCGCCTTCTCGCAAAGAAGCATTCGTTGCATGAGTCGTGCGTCACCAAGCAGCAGCCTATGGCTATGTAACAGGGCAGCCATATCGGATCTAAGCAGCGTGAGAAGCTGCTCTTGCTAGCCTTCGCCCACAAGGGTTTGACTGGGAGGTGTTTCCTCACTAGATAGCGTTCACGGCCACGACCCGACACTGTGCCTACGAACCACCCGATATGCGTGAGAGCTCTTCTGTGCTACCTGCTAACTTCCGATATGGAGCGCCCTGAGCCCATGGAACCGCCATTCCTTATGCGACAACAACATAATGCCTTGCAGACATCGTGAGCTAACAAAGGACCTCTGGGTAATATCACCTATGGCTGCAGTCTGACTTTTCGGACCAAGACCTGCAGCATTGGTATAGTGTGCCATGTGCTTAATTGTTAGTGCACAACACTGGAGCGAAGTGGTGTGGACGAGGATCCATCGATCAATTGTGCGAGGCAGCAAGCAGCATGACAGCGTCTCCATGGCAAAATCATCTTGTTCGCTAGAGTAGGCCGCTGCAAGAAGCCGAGAGCATGCGGATCTCTTCGAGAGACTGACCTCGAGTCTGATCCTCGGATTGCCTTTCTGGAAGTATCTCAGGGACAGCAGCCACATCCGCACTACCATAGGCCGACATAGTATCTCAAAAGCTCTGAGGTATATCTGGGAGAGTAACAATACACGCAGTAGCATCTCGTCAAGCCGGAGCATCCCAATGGCGCATGGCAGCTTTTTACAGCCATGGACCGCCATGGTCTATCAGAGTCATTTTCAATTGAACGGGAAGTTACATCTCCATCGGAAAATATTCCCAATGGCGTACAACAGCTTTGTACAGCCATTGACCGCCCTGATACATCAGATTCAATTCCATCCGTATGGGAAGTGAAGTCTTTACGATACAGCTATTCCCAAGGCAGAGGCCAATTTTGTATAGCCACAGTCTTGCGCAAGAGCCCCAAAACAACCCCTTCGGTCTGGGATCCCATCATCAGACAACACATCCAGATGTTGTCCAGCTTAGCATCTCAGGAAAATCAGGCAGGATTATACTACGGTAGGCCGGCCTAATAGCTCAAAAGCGATCACATCTGTACGGGAAACCATAATCAGTCGATACAATCAGGCATCTTCTGACTTCCGCATCCCAGAAACATAAGCCAGATTCATACCACCATCGGCCGACCGGATAGCTCAAAAGCAATCATAGCTATATAGGAACCTATAACCAGATGAGGGGATAAGAGAACTCTCTCCTCTCTACATCCCCGACACGTGAAATGCTGTTGTACCACTATCGGTCGCCTTGATACCTCAAGAACCACTTCATTTGCGTGGGAAAGCATTATGGGTTGGAAAGGTAAGATGTCATCTGGTCTTTGCATTCCCGAGATATGAAATGTTTATGTACAGCGATTGGCCGACCTGATACCTCAAGAGAAATTTTGTCTGCGTGGGAAAGCATCATTAGATAGGAAGGTAAGACACAATCTGATCTTGGTATCCCCAGAATACGAGGTGTTTACATACAGCTATTGGGCAACTTGACACCTCAAAATCAGGTTTGTCGGCTTGGGAAAGCATGACGGGATAGCATAAAGAGCGGTCGTTCTGACTCTGTATCCCCGAGCTATGGCATGTTTTCATACACTTATAGGCCGCCTCAATACCTCAAGAACGATCTGCTCTAGCCGGGAAACTGTTGTTAAAGGCTATATCGAGATCTCGTCTGGTCGACAGCGTCCCCGAAACACGTGACATCTATCCACTCACACACAGACCAACACTACAAATTGAAAACGATCCGAAAGATATGTGAGAACAGCACATTCACACTACCAAAAGCTCACCATCCCCAATGAAAGCCCCGTCCTCCTCCTAATACCAATACAGACCAGACACCGTGAGAGTTCGCCCCTCCATTGTCTCAAACCCATCCCCAAAAAGGGGAGGGCGAGTTCGCCGGAGGTTTGTCTCAACCACTGACGTGCCGGCCTGCAAGGTACTTCGGACTCGTCCGGGGACCTCCACCAGGGATGGCTCGCCGCTAACTAGTACAAACAGACCGCCCCATTCTGACTTCGCCAACTCGTCCCGCCAAAAACAACCAAACAAAACCAACGCAACGGTCAAAAAAGTTCACCAGGCGAAATCCGCGCCTGGTAGCCAGCAAACTCACCAGAAGCTGCCACAGCCCAAGAACCAGACCCGAATCCCAAATCCCAGAAAAACAAAACGCCAAGCCAGCCAATGTGGGTATCATAGTCGTAACGTCGTCCCAATCATGTCATCCCGTCTCTCATCAAACGTCAAAAGCGCCCTTAAACCCAATCAAAGCCGCCCCCATAACCCGACGACCATTCTGCATATCCTTGGCCAAAACCTCACTATACTCCTTCCCCGAAGCGGACGCCAGCGCATTGAAGCAAGCAAAAGCACCACAATCGTTCCCATTCGTTTGCTGAGACGAGACGGCTCCTGTCTCCTTCCATTCCTCGGCCTTGTAGGCCTTGCCTAGCTCCATGGCTAACCATGCTCGAGCTTTGTGCATGAAAGTGGTGCGATTGGATGATAGTCCCGTGTCCAAGCTGTCCAAGAAATCAAGCTTCTTGTCCTGGGGCGAGATGACGAGCATCATCCAATGCGCTCCGGTGTTGATCGGGAAGAAGATCTTCTCTGCCTTCAGCAGCTTCTCTCCCTTGATGCCCTTGCGGCGCGACCAGCCGGCGATACCCTCCATGCCTTTGGCCTTGACAGTTGTAAGCCAGGCGCTGTTGTAGGCGACGAAGTTGGGCACGGCCTTGGCGCTCTTGACGTAGCCGGTCTTCTCGTGCTTCCGTGTTACTATCAGGGAAAGCCACGCGTTGACGATCTCGTCATTTAGCCAAGCGTCGGTGCTGTCCGACTTGACCTCCGCCAGCAAGGTGCCGAAGTCCTTACGCGTGAGGTCGGCGCCGTCTGGGCTCTGGGTGATCACGTGCTCCATGCTCTTGAACTTCATCTCGGTCTCCAGGCAAGCAGCCCATTCCTCAGTCAGCGGCTTGATGATGGCGGCCTTGGCTTTCTCCTCAGCTTGGTGCTGGTCCCATTTCTCGTTCATTGCAGCTACAGTGTGGGCGGCGTTTTGCTCGAGTTCGACCATCTTAAGTGCCCACTCGGCTTCCAGCTCTGCCTCTTCACGAGCAGCCTTCTCCTTCTGCTCTGCCTTCTCACGAGCAGCCTTCTGCTTCCGCTCTGCCTCCTCACGAGCAGCCTTCTCCTTCAGCTCGGCATCCCTCTTCGCGCGTGCAATCCTCCTCATCTCCAGAAAGCTACCCGCATCTGGCGATGTGATGGCAACATCCTTGGCCTTCCCAATAAGACGGTCAATGTCTCCATCCTTCCTCTCCGCCGCCTTCTGCTTCTTCATCAGGTTGCGCTGCCTTGAAGTCACGTATGGCGCTGGGCTCTCTTTGGCCTCTTGAGCAGCACGCTCGGCCTCAGCCTGCTTGCGCTCTTTGATGAGCTTGGTGAGCCTTCGGGCTCGCTGCTGACCATCGTCCGCATAGTACGGATCATCTGGGAACATGCGCGCGAGCAGTGGCTTTTTCTCGCGGAATGGAGCCGGCTCGGCATCATTCTTCGTGGCCTGAGCTGGGCCGGTGGACACTTGTGTCGGTGACGTGCTAGCCTGAGGCTGCTGTTGCTCTTGGGGTGGTGGTGTACTCGTCTGCTTCTGTTGCGACGGCTTCTGCTCGCAAGCAGGCTCCTTTCCATCAGAGCTGGTAGGGCGCGATGATGGTGGGGTGATGATCATGCTTGGTTTGGCGGATGAGAGTGCTGGGTAATTACCAGGAACCTCGTGCGTGTTGATGAACTCGGTGATGTTAACACCGGCTCCGGCCTGTACGGCGCGTCGCTTACTACTGCCCGGTGATGTCTCGACGGCATCGACCGTGATGCTGTACGACTGAGGGTCGCCGCGGAAGATGGTGAACCATTTATACATGGCTGTGAAGATGTTGTGGGCGCGCGTGTAGATGTCAAAGGCCATGCCAGGAATGCTGCGAGCGTTGTCAATGCTAATCTCTTCTGGCATTGAGGCGGGGGTGTTGTCCTCATCGTCATATTCGGCATATGAGCGCTTGCGAAGGGAGCTGGGCATCTTGGGGGATTCTTCTTTCTCGACCACATGTGATGGGCGGAATAGTGGTGAGTAGACCTTCCGTACAGTGAGGCGCAATGACATTGGGCGGGAAGGTGAAATGACATTTGGCTTGAGAAGCGCCAACACGCGGGGATCCAAGATCCGGCCGCCGGGCAAGACAACCGGCTTGATCACGGGTGTGGCCATGCGCGAGCGTGGCCCCGGCTGTGGCTTCGGCAGAGGTGCATTAGCGCCTGCGACATATGCCTTATACGCGTCGCCGTCGATGTCCATGTCAGAATAGTCCATGGTTGATGTGTTGCTGTTGTTTTGTGTTCTTGATATGATTTGGTATGCTTTAGCTGCTATACAGTGCTCGATTGTGGTGTGCTTTAGCTACTATACAGTGGTCTGATTTGAAACAGAAGCTGATGTATGTGAGAGAAAGGAAGAGGAAGGGCGCGAGAGAGTGAGTCTTCACGCGTCTGAGCTATACCCAAAACGCGCCTGTAAACAGACCCCTCACCTTGCTATGGCAACCGAACTCTGATATCTCATTGCTTTTCATACGCATCATGAAGAGCACTTTTAAACAGTACAGATGCAAGCAGAGAAAGCAGAGGAAGCAGATATATAGAAATTCATCATGCCACTGCCGGAAGCGATATGCACACTTCTGTCGCACATTCCCTCGTAGATCTGCCGTGAACTAATGCAGCCACTTTCGTACTACGCACCAATCAAATCTCCTAGGCGACGCGCCAAAGCGTTGAGCCGGGTCCGTGTCGCAGGCTTAATTCGAAACATCGAGACATGCGCCCGAGCGTTATCACGTGTCTTCTGTGTTAAGCAAGACACTGCGATCATCCATTACCTGCACCATGCTACTTGCGTCACTGTTCTTTGTTGTAACTTGTGTGTGTTCAAGTCATGAATTTGTAGATGTGCACCCTTTGTCGCATTCATCCATGCCCCTGCGTCGATGAGCGCGTGATGCCTTTGTCCTACTACTTACTGCGGTCCGACCTCACTTCACAATGCATGTTGCTGCCTCATTTCCTCGCTTGTATTCTGCCTGACTACACAGCATCGTCGTAAGCCATCATGGCGCTCTTCAAAACGCTCAGCGACAGTCTCTGGGCGTATGTCTCGCCCAGCAAGCCCAAAGCGACAATCAACACGCCACAAATCGCGCGGCAGTTGAGAAAGCCATCTCAGGTGCGGCGAGGGTCTTACCATGATATCGTGCGAACTAGTCGATCAATGAGTCCTGTCTCGCGTGTCGATAGCTGGAGAATGGACCCAGCTGAAGCAGGTGCGAGCAGGAAGAGGAAGGTCTTGTTTAGCTCAAGTGATGGTAGGTTCTCCATCGACACTCTTCATACCACGAAGAATCACTAACGCAGCATGATAGGACATAGGAACAAGATTGTAAAGATGGATGACTCGATGGACTACACGCCTGAGTATGAGAACGCTGGAGACAGTGACATGATCGACCAAGAATTTGAGGCCGAAGACATTGATATCGAAGACGAGCGTTACGATGGACCTGGAGCCGGATTTGAGGTCGACGAGGAGTCAGACGTTGGAGAAGAGCAAATTAGCGACGATGTTGCTGAAGACGAAGACATGGACGACATTTCAGCAGACATATCCAGCATCCAAGTCAGCTGCGTTAAGAGTTCGCCACCTCCAGCCCGAAGAAAAAGTCTCTACAACGACGAGGACGACCCCGAGGCCGACATGCCAGTAGTAGCCACCCCGGAAGAGTACAACCGCACCTCTCTATTCCACCGCAGAATGACCACACTTCCAAACGAGCTCTTTAGCAGAGATGCTACCACCGAGAAGTTGCAAGCCGCAGGCTGGGATGACGACCACATCGTTCTAGTCCAAAAACTCGCCGGTCGAGGCTTCGAACCCTTATTACCACAACACTGGAAGATGGACTTTCGATATCTACCCGACGCTTTATTCTCGAAGAACAACAAGGCATTCATCAGCAGTGTCCATAACCAACACAACCGCGGCGCCAAAGCACTAGCCAAACTCTTCGAGATCGGCGGTCGATTACGGGATGGTCTGCTAGAAGGCAGCGTCCGCTCCCCAGCCCAAGAAGCCGTGAAAAGCATTCAAGCCTACCGCAAATGGACGAATCAAGACGCCAACCTCGACCCCCAATCGGCTATCCCTCTCCTATCCTTCGAAGCCAGCCCAGCAGATACGTCGACCGAGATTTTAATCTCGAACATCCACCGCAAAATGTCGCGGCTGCATACACGATACCACAACGCCCTCCGCGCCGAACGCTCCATCGAGACCTCTCCCAGCACAGACACGACAAAACTCTCCTACCCCATCCCGCAAATCTACGGCTTCATCGCTTCACATCTGCTTCTCGTGCTCGTGGCATACAGACCCGATACGACTGAAGACGGCGCCGCCGCGGGGCATGAAGAAGTCAAGGTCGTGGCGAATTTCGATATGTCGGATAAGGACTATGACGTTTGGAATGCTTTGGCTGTGGGTATTATTTTGTGTCATTTGCGGAATGTGCAGACGGAGATTTTGGAGGATACGGGGTTAGGTGTTAGGGTTGTGAAGGAGGAGGAGGGAGTGGACGATCCGGATGTTTGATGTGGTTATTACGGTGATGGTGGGAGTTGTGCAACTTGTGTCGCATTAAGATGGGCATGAATGCTGATTATTTACTGGGCGTGCCGTTTGATCGTTGCGAGATACCCCCAATTCGTATAGCTTTTATAGAAAGACTTATCTAAACTGTTACAAACATATCTGAGATTTACACCATGCTATCATTCCGTACAAGCTCATCATGCTCAGACGTCATCGCTTTCTCTGATGGCAAATCACGTGCACAGGCGTCTACCTGCCATTCTGGGTAACGCGGTAATAAAGCAAGCGGGTCCAAGAGCATGGAGGTGAATTTGTCAGGCAAGGTGGCGTTGACCTTAATGGCGTGTGAGGTATACTCAAATACTACTACACTACCTACACACACCCGATATGTGACGTCGGGCGTACATGGTGTGATAAATAAGACTACGATGCTGTGTCCTTGACGATTCCATGCTCTTATCCTATTGCTTGGCATGATTCTCTGGCATACCAATTTGGATTTCCGGGTGGTGAGGTGGCCATGTTCTGGATGACATATTTTACAGGATGTCTTACGTGCGTAGGTGCTGGATCATAGCATATCCTCTTCTCGGAGTCTGTGGCTTGCTCTTCTGGCAGGACGGAATCAGCAGTCCTTGACTTGCCCGGAAACCACTGGACGCCAATGGCTACGCATGACAGGGACAGGTGCCTGTTGAGCTCCACTGCTTGTCTTGTCGATAGCATCCGACAAACGTCGAATGGTAGTCGTGTCTACCAGCCGAAGCCATGAGGTCCTGAAGCCAAAACCGGGACTCGCAAGCCCGGTCTTTCAGCCAGTCGAGTTCCGTTCTTGCTCTTCACGAGAAGCCGTACTCGCCAGCATGATGTGTGCACACTGGTACTCATGATCGCCCCAAGCCATCCGATACCGCATCTTGACCTAATTGACTGCAAGACATTCAACAATGGTCCAGCAAAATCGTGCTTGCGCAGAGCACACTACTACTACTTCCTCAGCACTTGCGACCCTTTGTGTACCTGCCAAGCCTCGTCACGAGCAAACATCGCTACGAGTCAATCCTGCCATCTTCACAACGTTAAACCATCTGGACGTCCGCCCGCGCTCTCCGAAGCAGCTGATAGGAATCCGACGTAGCGCCAACGCCTCCAGATATGATCCAGATACGAGCCAGATCTCCAGCTGGACACGCCTCGTGGAAGCTTGCTAGAATGCATCAAATGTGGCGCCTCCTGGCCGAGACAGACTTCGAGCTCATCATGCAGGACCGAGACGGACATCGACATAGGGTCGCATCCGCAGGGCCGTACGAACGACTTGCTGAGATCTAGTCCTTACAAGCTGTACCTCGAGAAATCCTCCAGGCTGGACGTCTTCGGCCGCCTGTTGCCGTGCGGTGGAGAAGCCACAGCTTGGCTCACAGCTCGCGGCTTGTTTGATGTGGATTAAGTCGAGAAGGGACCCGGAAAAGCGCTGGAAGGCCGTACGTTTAGCCATCGGCCAGGAGGAGGATGCATGAGAGGGTCACACAATGTTTCCGCAACTCTAACGGTAGGCAGGATCGCTAGACTGGGGGATTCCTGATGTGAGGCCAGAATATCATCTTCTGGCTATCGGGTCCGGCCAGGCTAACAAGATGCGGCTTGCAACCACCATGCACTCAACGAAACAGCTGACACAGCTCTTTCGAACATCGAGCTGTCGCGAGCGCGGACCGGAAAATAGCTTAGCTCGCCCCGCACAACGACTTCCCCAAACCTTCGTCATTTAGACTTTCCGGGGTATAGCTTCGACCACGCTAGCATTGGCCTGCATAGAAGGAACCCTTCCAATCGACCGAGACTCCAGTAGTCATCCTCGACGCAGCTCCAACACACGCACTTCCATGCGAGACGGGGCGCTACGGAAGCCGGGTCTGCTGCTGGTTGACGTGTGGGAAGCTTGGCTATGTTTTTGTGACAATGCTGGTGTCTATGTTGGGCTTTGACTGGCATGCAAGAGCTGTCATAGGCCACTTGAGATCTCCATCGAGCCGTCTGAGGCTTACGCCAATGCTGCGGCACTGCCAGGCACCATGATCGTGGACCTTTGGACCGGTCCATGTTGCCCCTCCTTTCGTACGGATTGTAGCAGGAGGTGTGGGGTCGCGTGTGTCGACGCCTCTCCGAGCAGCATGGCCATAAGAAACTGGCTATCCTGTGCTAAGGAGTAGGTGGAATCTTCATCCAATTTGTTCGCCTACAGCATATACACCAGCTTGTACAATATCCGAAAACTCGCATTCTTTCAATTCATCCGAACAAGACATCAATATGGCACCAAACATCCCGGAGAAGCAATGGGCGCAGGTCATCGAGAAGACTGGCGGACCAGTCGAGTACAAGGAGATCCCAGTGGCGAAGCCAGGTCCAGATGAGGTTCTGGTCAACATCAAGTACTCCGGTGTCTGCCACACTGATTTGCATGCGGTCAACGGCGACTGGCCATTGCCAACCAAGCTTCCCCTCGTTGGTGGTCACGAGGGTGCCGGTGTCGTTGTTGCCAAGGGCGACCTCGTCCAGGATATTGAGATGTCGGTGAGCCTTGCCAAAGTTGGCAGATCCACAGCTAACGTTTTCCAGTGGCGACCATGCCGGTGTGAAGTGGATTAACGGCTCCTGCTTGGCTTGTGACTTTTGCCAGCAGGCCGACGAGCCTCTTTGCCCCAAGGCACTCCTCTCCGGATACACCGTTGATGGGTCATTCCAGCAGTACTGCATTGCAAAGGGTGCACACGTTGCCAGGATCGATAAGAGCATCCCACTCGACGCCATTGCACCTGTCTTGTGTGGTATGCACTGCAAAAATTCATATGAGCTAACACCCAGCTGACACTGCTTTAGCCGGTATTACCGTCTACAAGGGTCTCAAGGAGTCGGGGGCACGTCCAGGCCAGACAGTCGCCATTGTCGGTGCCGGTGGTGGGCTAGGTTCTCTTGCCCAGCAGTACGCCAAGGCTATGGGTCTTCGTGTCATCGCCGTCGACAGTGGAGAAGAGAAGAAGAAGATGTCCTTGGAGCAGCTCGGTGCTTCAGCTTTTGTGGACTTTGCCACTAGCAGCAACGTCGTCAAGGATGTGCAAGCCGCGACTGAGGATGGTCTTGGACCACACGCAGTCATCCTTGTGGCTGTGAACGAGAAGCCATTCCAGCAAGCTGCTGAGGTGAGAACTTCTTGAGCTGCACTAACGATTGCCGTCCGCTAACCGGTCATCAGTACGTTCGCCCTCGTGGCACTGTCATCTGCATCGGTCTCCCAGCCGGCGCCTACCTGCGAGCACCAGTCTTCGAGTCTGTCATCAAGATGATCGTCATCCGCGGATCCTACGTCGGCAACCGCAAGGATACTTCAGAGGCCCTCGAGTTCTACCGTCGCGGCCTGATCAAGGCTCCGTTCAAGGTTGTCGGTCTGTCTGAGTTGCAAATGGGTAAGTGCATCGTCCACTGGCTCTCTCTTTATCGAACAACAGCTAATTCAATGGCCAGTTTACGACAAAATGGCGAAAGTCAGTGGCGAGAGCATGACCCCACATCCTGGACAACGATTGATCTTTGCTGACACTTTCTTTAGGGAGAAATCGCGGGCCGATACGTGTTGGACACATCGAAGTAGAGAGCTGTTCCGTAGCTGTCGTACAGATTTGCAAGCCTTCAGATCGTCGACACTCGTTTGCCAATCGTGATCAGTCCTTGACCTGATGGTAGTGTTGGAGTCCATGATATTCGCAGGCCATATGTGTGGTGGTACGTGCGGCTGGCTTGCCCACTTGTCCTTGCTTGTCTTACCTAGAAATCACGAGCACTTGTAGCTATCGATCGTCTCGCTGACATTTAGTCTTGCTGTTACATCTGCGAATGATAGAGTACAGTCTTCCAGGCGACATCTGCTAGGGAAGCCGGTTCCACGTGACCCAGGCTCGGGAACCAAGCATCCGCAGTCAAGGCAAGGCGCCAAATCCGTCCATCGCCCACATTCTACGGTCTTGTAGTCTCTCAAATTTTCACGCCGATCGTGCTCGGGTGCTTGGGCCTGTCACTGGCACTTGACCATCGAGGAGAACTGCTGCGTTGCGAGAACGTGAGGCAAACGATGCGGCTCATACTTCGGGAAGCTGAAACGAAGCTAATCTGATAGAAGCACCAATCACAGGTCGAGCCACCTAAGCGACCAGTATAAGGCTGGTTCAGTTTTGACCCTGCGTTTCAGACTCCATCTACTTCATGCAAACATCGGCTCTGCCTCCTCCTCTTCAAGAATAAGACTGAATCACGGCGGCGGCACTGTCACTTCCATCTTCGCCTCCTCTGCAGGTAGCCGCTGCACAGATCTTCATCACGTTTTTCTGCAGCTAGAGAGTTCTCCGCGAGACTCGCCGGAGACCTTGAATTACAGCATTGCGTGGCCCTTTACGTACTGCGAGACCTACCTCGTCAACGCGGTCGCTGCGAGGCCGCTGTGGCGCTCTCCGTCACACATCCGTGCGATGCCCAGACACTGCCCAGACGAGCATTTCTGTAGACCTCGTTTCAGCCTGTCACGCACCTGCCTAAGCGGTTTCTCTTTCGACAAGACCCAAGCCACTAGCAGACAAGGCCCCTGCGCCTTTTGGTCTTTTGTACATTTGACCTTAGTCTTGCACCTCAATTGTCTCTCGCTCAGCAAACACGACAACGATTCCCTTTCTTTCACTGCGAGTCTGCGACTTGCGTATTGTTTGATACGAGGCTCGTCCACTCACTCACTGTCACTACTAGTCATTCGTTATTGTATTTGAGCGCGTCTTTGAAAGACACGTTGACACATATCGACCGCACGGGCATTATACAATCTCCTCCATCCACTCTTTACAGAGCCCGACAGTCAAGAAACCAGAAAGCTATTTCACACATTTCGACATCATGCATCACTCAATCACTATCGCGATCCTCGCCGTTCTGGCAGCATGCACATTTGCCGCACCAACCCGTAGCTGGTCATCACCGCACCGCACATTTCGCGTTCCAGTGAAGCCACGCGTTGGCGTTTACCGCACTCCGCGTCAGGAGATGATGCGTACCTACGCCAAATTCGGATGGGAGATCATCACATTCGACCCTTCCGCTCTCGGTCTTTCTGGTGGCGACGGTACTTCATCCTCCACCGCCCCGGCAGCAACCTCGTCGCCAGCGACTGCTCCAGCTGCAAACATTTCCTCGGCTGTCGACTCGACTCTCGCTACTTCCACCACGACCGGTGTCACTGGCGAGGTGACTGCTACCCCGGAGACCAACGAATCTGAATATCTGGAGCTGGTCACAATCGGTGGTCAAACCCTCAGCCTGGACTTTGATACTGGATCATCTGATCTGTGGGTCTTCAGCAACAAGCTTGCGTCTTCCCAGAGCAGCGGACACACCAGCTACGATCCTTCTCGTAGCTCGACATGGTCCAGCTATCAAGGCGCGTCATGGTCGATCCAGTACGGCGATGGCTCCAGCGCATCTGGCAGTGTCGGCTACGATAAGGTCAGCATTGGTGGCGCCACTGTCAACAAGCAATGCGTTGAGCTTGCCGAAGAAGTATCCGGATCCTTCATCACCGACACCAACAGCGACGGCCTGCTCGGTCTCGGCTTCGGCACCATCAACACTGTGAAGCCACAAAAGCAGAAGACCTTCTTTGAGAACGTGATGCCTTCGCTTGCACAGCCTCTCTTCACTGCCGATCTCAAAGACAACGCCAGCGGCACTTACACGTTCGGCGAGATTGACCCAAGCCAATACTCCGGCGACATCGAATGGACAAGCATCGACAACAGCAATGGATTTTGGGAGTTCGGCTCGAAGTCCTACTCTGTCAACGGCAAGACCTACCAGTGCACAACATGCAACTCGGTCATTGCCGACACCGGCACCTCCCTCATCATGGTCGATGACGATATCGTCAAGAATTACTACGGCCAAATCCCCAGCGCAAAGCTCAGTCAGCAACAGGGTGGATACATCTACGACTGCAGTGCCCAGCTGCCGCCGATTGGCTTCCAGATCGGCCAGGGTATGGCGACTTTGACAGGAGAGCAGATCACATATGCGCCGCTCGGCGACGGCACTTGCTTTGGTGGCGTGCAGAGCAACAACGGTGGCGATCTCCAGATCTTCGGCGACATGCTGCTGAAGAACTTCTTCGCTATCTTTGATGGTGGCAACAAGACTTTTGGTATCGCAGCGAAGGCTTAGCGAGCAGGCAGTGTCGTTGTAATCGTGGTGCAGGAGGGATAAAAGGCTTTATCGTTGAAGCTTGTGGTATAGATGAGGATTGTAACTTTGAGCATCGAATGCACATAGTCTTAATGGCCGAACGGCACAGCATGAAACGGAATACAGTTCAGACCATGCTTCATGATATTGTTGTGGCTGTTTGAGCACCTCCTTCTTACACTGTTTGTTCTGCAACATGCCGTCCCGTACCAGCTCGACCACTCGACACTCTCGCAGTGACTGAAACCTCCAGTGAGTGAAAGCCGCGGCATCGCAATCGGCGTTCGCTTTTCTTTTAAAGACTTCTTCGAAAGTTTCATCACATGTGGCTGTCGTGCGGTATGGTGTGATCCAGACTCGAAACATGCGATCGCCAAGTCGATAATCGGTAGTCCTCGACCTGCTGTTACTTCTGTGTAAAATATGTCTTCGGGAAGTCATGGCCGTATAAGACGCAAGTTGTAAGACAGGAAAAGCCCACTCTCAAAGCTTCCCCCTACTCAGGAACTTTACCGGCAGGTCGACATGCTTCGAGCGCAGATACTCAGCCACGTTCTTACCGAGGAAGTCATAGGAGGATGAACAGCTCACTCCTCGGTCAAGATGATCGTGCAGCAGGAAATGAACAGCATACATGTTCGGCAGCTCGAAGCGATCCTGCTTGATACATTAGTCCTCTGTGGCCAATAGCGACATTGCAGCGGCTTACAATCTTGTTGCCCTTCTTGTACTCGTCCGCCAGAAGGTGCTTGACGGTGTCGACTGATAGCAAAGACCGTAGCCAGTCGTACTCGTCCTTATGTCGTACCCAGAATCCTACATTACAATTCGAGCCTTTGTCGCCACTCCGAGCATGCACCACCCAGCCAAGCGGTCCAAGAGTGGTTTCGCCGAGGCTTTGACTGGTCGTACTTCTCGTGCTGGCTTTGCTCGGCTGCTGCGCCGGAAACGTCTTTGTCTTGGGTGGAGGGCTGATATCAATGCCACTGCCATCCCATAAGTGTACTGCATGCTGTACATCGGCTTGTGGGAGTAGGGTGACGTAGTATTCTTGTATCGGCTTCGGAAAGCCTAGACGAAGGTCAAGATGAGGCGTAGCGCCAGGATATGACTCCATGATGGGATCGATGCAAGGGCGTAGGAACTTCGAGGGTGCCAGATCAGCTGCCGTGGGCGCCTGAGCGAAGATACGGAAGTCGACTGTGGCTGCGTCCTGGTTGCACGCGTTCTCTGCTGCTGTTCCGATCGTGGTGAATGTGAGTTTCGTGAACTTGTCTGAGTAGGGTGCTAGCAGCTTTCGTACTTGGGTTTCGAGCATTCGTGTCTTTGCTTCGATGTCAAGTCCGCAAGGAAACCAGTGAACTTCTGCTTGGTAGCCACCAGCTGCTGTCAAGCCTATTTTCGTTGTTGGTGGTGGTAGATCTGCTTTTACACCTCGTAATGCTACACGATCAGTACCTAGTTGCTCGAACCATAGCTCGTCCAGTATGGCTGTGACATCTGAGTTGTAGTACCACGGCCCTTGAATCTCATACAGGAGTTGTGATGAGCATGTCTGAGTGCTGACTTCACCACCAGAGCCTCGACTTTTCGTGATCACAGCCTGGCCGTTACTACTTATTTCAGCTATGGGATATCCTATGTCGTCCCAACCACGCATCTCGAGACTTTTGAAACCTGTGAAGTTACCACCAGCAACATAATTACTGCACTCTATCAGGTGGCCGGCGACAAAGGCATTGGCGAGTTCGAGTAGTTGGTCTCGTTTCCAGCCATGCCACCAGTACGCTGCGCCTATGACTGGACTAGCGTCGCTCACTCGACCACACACAACGATGTCTGCACCCCTCTCGAATGCTGCTGCGATCCCAAGACCACCAAGATATGCTTGCGCAGCTATTGGCTTGAATTTCCAATCTTCCAAGACCTCTCCAGTGCATATGTTCTCAAAACTGCTCTCGCGACCGCGCTGTGCCTTTTTCACTGCCGGTAGCACTTCATCACCACTGATCCATGCGACCTTCAAGCTCAAGCCTTGTTGCTTTACCATACCTGTGACCACTTCATGCAATCGCTTGGTATCCGAAGCCCCGGCATTGACAGCAATTCTGATACCATACTTCGCAATATATTTGAGTGCTGGCTCCAAGGACTCAATGAAAGTAGGCTCGTACGCATCGCCTCCCTCGGCGAGCTTGAGTGTCGCTCGCGAGGTCATATTTGCTTCAGACATCCAGTCACCCGTGATAACATCGATATGATCATTCGCACAGTTGGCAGCGAGCATAGCCATGGCATGTCTGCGGTCAGTCGCAGCGCCGGAGCAGCCTGCTATGCGGACGGGACGCTTCTTGGTTGTCATGGTTGATGTGAGATTGTCTAAATCAGCATCCCGGCAGTGTCACGAGTGGAGCTGGAACATGTGCGAATGACCTCCTACCTGACCTGCTCTTTACCATAATATGTCCTTCTGCCAGTACCTCGGAAAGACTTCCGAAGTTTCGAGCTGTAGAGGAGAGGAGACATGCCCACCCGAGGCACGAACATATCTGTGCATGCGAGCGGGAACAGCCGACAGAACTCGTCGACCACAAACAAGATGTCTTGAGCAACACTGGACGGAGCTAAATATTCCGTTGAGGCACGACATGATATGGTCATCTACTCTCCGCCGCTCGACGACCATGGGGCCAAGATTTGATCCTTGGGGCGGCTATGGTGCATGAATAGTGCGGCCTCGTGTGGATTTAGCCCCGATCGTGTTGAGGCGCAGTCAGGAGTGTCGTTGGTGATATTCGAATACATCAATACTGAAGTGCTATGCCGCTTGCCACATACTTTCGACCATTGCTCGAACGTTGACGATGAAATATCACGCGACTTTCAATTCAAAGTACCTTTGGACCATATGGTCGCTCCAGTTGGTTAGCAGCCTCTGCGTATGCCTGACAGCAGCGCCTTGGCTGTATCGCAGGTGAGTGCTTGACGCTGTAGTCGTGGGCACCATGCTGACAGATCTACAGATGGCGATACCTTGGAAGGATCCCTTCGCTTATCCTCTTCCTTGAGACCACCCTGTATCTCTTGATAACAGCGATCGAGTGCGCGCTGAATAGCTCGTCCAAGCTGCCACTACCATTGTACCTTGTTACCCATGCCTGTAAACTACTCCTGGTTGCCAAAGACTTGTTCCAGACTTGGAATGTCTACCGACATGAGCGCTGGGGGTCTTACGTTCACGATCTTCCATTGCAGTCTTTCAGCACAATCCTGCTCTTGCTGTCGGTGTCTTGGTAGTGTGAACTCGAGATCGCAGCTGACTGTGGTAACAGACACGCGACCGTGCTGGGCATAGTCTATGGATCATACATCTTGACGTCGCAGCGAGCAGTCCTGAAGTGCACACGTAACAGCGAAGCCGATGGAACGAGCGATGGCGCATCACAATTTGATCAATCGGAGTCGCAATGGCTACTGCCACTGAGGCTATCCGAGTGGGCCTGGACTTCTGAACGGGTCCCAGACACATGGCTCAGATGGGTACCCTCACCTGTGGAGCGACTTGTCCGGTGCTTGCTTATCTTTCCGATGAACGCACACTTCGTGAGTATCGCAGCAGGATGAACCATGCGATCTGCTGACCTTGCGAAGCTCGGCGCATGGATCCGTCTGCCAGGTGAGCACCAGCAGATCTCGCTACAGAGCTTCCGACGTAAGGCCTCGGAGCCCGCTGTGATCAAGCTGTCGGACTACTCTCCTGCAGTGACACCAAAGAAAACTCACCGCTTCTGCAACGCGGAAAACATGTCGAGTGAAGCAGGGCCTGGCCCATTTTCTCGCACTCCACCGGACCTCGATGCAAGCAGCATGTATAGTCTTCGTTCGGTATTCCCTCGCCCGACTACACGACTCCACGATGACGAAGTAGGAGGCACCACTGAGCGCTTACTGCGGCCACGCTACCTCTGCATGCTGGATGACTCGACCGAAACAGGTTTCAGAGTGGTCTCGGCTAACGACGACATTGAGCTGCTCTCCGTGCAATACATCTTTGTCTCGTATACCAGAAGGCACTTCTACACGCAGATGGCTGGCGACACAAGCCTGAGTGACATTGAACGTGAGCGGAGAAGAGCCAGTGCAGAGAGGGATGCCGCAGCTTTGATAAAAATCTCAATCGATGCTGCGAAAAGTGCGAACACGACGGCGTTCTGGATCGACTTCGAGTGTGTGCAGCCCGACAGCCCTGAACACGCAGATGCATCAAGATCCATGCAGGATGTGTATCGTATTTGCGATGTCGTTCGTGCAGCGAGAAGCATGGTCATCGTTGTTGGTCCACCAATCAATGAGCAGTTCGAGCACGTCGAGAGCGACTTCTCCAGCAGCGCCCAGCTATCTTGGCTTCGGCAGTGGGGAGACCGACTGTGGACACTACCGGAAGCACTCCTATGTCCCAGAGACCACGGTGTCATGCTATGGTATGCAGGCGCAAACCAGCACAAAACTCAAGTTGTGGAAAAGCGAAACCTACCGCCCTATGTATGGGACGATGCGGCCACGGTTGGCCAGTTGATTGATCACTATGAGGGCTCGATACAGCTCACTCAGCTTGAGCTTCTGGTGATAGCCTTGAACAGTCTGCAACGCCGACAAACAGTCGCAAGAATGCATGCGGACGCCATATACGCTCTGATGGGTCTCATGCGGGAGAGAGTCCTGGTCAGAAAAGATGACTCTGCTTTTCAAGCCTTTGCACGCCTCTCGCTCGCCAACGACAGCGACCGACCTCTAGAACGACTATACTGCTTGAAGCCGCCCACGCACACGGCTTCCTGGCATACACTGCAAGACGCTTGGGGCGCCAAACTGTGGGATATTACTCCAGAGTGCCAGATATCAGAAGTCTGTGACGATGACGCCGTCATCCTCGGGAATCTGTACGGCGCACACATCGACTGGGCGCCGCTTTCCAGCATCGATTTTATTTTCGACACATCACGATCAAATGTAAGACTCTGGAGATTCTGTCATGGCGTCGCATGTGCTGTTCCGGCTTTCTTCATGCTCACGCAGGCGATCGCTACCCTCGATCTAATTATATGGCAAATCATCACCAGCGCCGGTCCTCCGATGGATTCGACTGACACCCTTGGTCTATTGCTGACCTTTCAATGGGGCTTCATCGCCGGCATACTACTCCTATGTTATGTGACGTCGATACTCATCCCACCACTTATTATAACATTCTATAATGGAGATGTGGAGCAGACGCAAGCAAGGCTTTGCGGTTTCCAAGGGATGCCGGACCTTCCGAGCGTCGAGCGGACATTATTCGGTAGATGTCGAGGCCGTCTAGAATGGTCTTCGCATTCGCTGAGCGAAGCGGCGGAGGATGGCATTGAGCTTTACACCATAGTCGACACAGTGACAATGAAAGCTCACGTCTTTCGAGCACGTACACGTCCAGATGTACTGATGGTTTGTGGGAGGCAGGGAGGCCTGTTGAGAACACTGCTCTGCTCCTACGATATCGAGGAGTGCAGATTCCACAGAGAAGCAGTTCTGCGCATGGAGACCAAGATCTTGCAGCGTATGTCAAGGATGGATTTGTGTCGGGTCTCGTTGACACCACGAGAACGATATGCGGACGAGATTGTAGTCTGATAGTATCACATGAATGAGCTGAAGCAAAAAACATAGAGCCTCATTGTTCGACCTTCAGTACGGATCCACAACACCCATCTTCTCATGCTCGCCAGCCTGGCTCCTGCTCATCCGTCCAGCACTAGTCTTCAACAACCCCTTACTAGCATCCACCACAGGACTAGCCCACTTCTCCTTGCCCTCCATATCAGTGATCTTGAACTTCGTCGAGTTGATCCCACTCAAATGACTATTGATATAGATACTCTCCCAATTCCCTTTGGGCACAGAATAGATCTCATGATAGATGCTGATATGCGGCATCTTCTGGTAATCCTTGTTCCACCAGTCCCAACCCTCGCGATGCGCAGAGTCATGGGCAAATTTGTGGAGACTGGGACAAGAGTCAGAACGGAATGATCGAGGACTATCACGTAGGTGCAATTCGATCCGTCGTACTCACCCTTCGATGGTTCGAAAGTAGCAGACCGAAAGACTCTCACTCCCTGTCTCGCGATCAGCGGAATTCAGCCACCGGGTCATGCCCAGGAAGCCATAATCGTCGGGTTTGGCATCGAGAACGGCGAGCATCGCGTCGAAATAATCGCCCAGTTGTTTGAAGCCGTGTCCGAGCAGGCCTAGGGATGAATTGCAACGGGTGCCGATGAGGAAGACGACGATTTCGCTATCGGCGGGTTTGGTGCCGTAGTTGCCGTTGGAGTCGGGGATTTGGGCGCTGAATTTCTTCATTAGGCTGGAGTGAGTGAAGGATGATTAGCTGTTGGACTTGAGAATTCGTAATTCATTCGAGGTGGGCTGCGGCCACTTACACCCCATCCATCAATGGATTGTGCATCCAGCCGATCGACTGGGCGTATGCGACGAAGATCCTGTACATGACCAGCAGCACAGCTGGTACGAGCGCGAGTCGGCCAGCTGCTAGAAAGAGTCCGCCTTGGGCAATGGCTCCCAGACAGAGCCATGTGGTGATACTAAATTGATCGCGAAGGAACTGAAGAGTGCGCAATTAGTACTATCGTCCTAGAAAGCATATGTACGATTCAAAGCACGAAACGTACCGATTTGAGGCCAACTGGATTGGCGGTAAGATCTCCTGGCTTCTTCTGATCACGGGGAGGGACAAGTCCGATGAACTCTTTGCCTAAAGCCATGCGGGCCGCTAAGGTCTGTGAAGAGGATATAGAAACGTACTGTCTAGTCCTGATACTCGAATCGGCGCAGGTCGAGGTAAAGCGGTTGAACAAGAAGATTTCCCTTCCAGAAACGCTGATAGTGGTGACATCTAAATAAAGCAGTCCCTCCTCCGGTATCCCACGCGCCAGGATCTTGTCAAGCATCAATCAGCACTTCTCCCCACTACCTGGTCCCCAGATCTCCTGCTCTGCCGTGTCCCAAGACGACGCTCGTCAGTTTCAAGCCATCGGCTTCGGCTCCGGGGTGGGGCTGACATGAGAGCTTACAAGTTCACAACCCATAAGATGGAAGCTTCCGATTAGACTCTCCTTACGCAAGCTATGTAACCAGTCAGCTCGAAGCTTCGTGCGTTTAGTACCGCTTTTTCAGCCAGTCAGAAAAACACAGGAGCGGGAAGGAGAATTCTTCGAGCGGGAAGAGGTGTTCTACGCCTTCGCCTGGTCTAGATCAAGGAGTCTAGATCGAGGGACGAGAGCAAAGACATCTCGCACAAGACGCCAGTACGTTACGGCCGGAGAGAGCTCGTAAGTAAGATGTAGCTGACAGTAGCCAAATACGGACGCGAACGCGATAGATAGCCTGGAGGGGAATGCAAGAGACTGATGACCAAATCAGGCACCAGGCATGTCTGATGTGAGCAAGGCGGCCGTAGCGCTGACAAAGACCATGGCGATGATTCCATTGCATTGTATTGCACGCTCCCCAAGCACATGATAACACGATCATGCTTCACAGCCGTCCTCAGCATCGGCTACAGGCTCTCAACATATGCCCCACCAGAAAACGTGAGACCGGTCGGGAAAGGCATACATAGGTAATCTCGGTTCTAGACCACCAACCTCATTCACCAACCTCCCCATCTCCCCATCCTCGCCTCCTCCCCAATTTACTCTCCCATCTCCTCCACCTTCCCCGAAACGACCGCCTCCCTAGGTCTCCCCTTCCTATCCACCCTCACATCCCTCGGATCAAACCCTCCCCGTCCCCAAAGCGCCCACTCCGGCGTCGGCTCACCCACATAATCCTCCGGGCCAAAAGGCCGCCCACTCTCCAGACAGCGGAAGAAAGCCGGGTAGTCGATGAGGGTATGCCATTTCTTCTCCCCCTCCACCACCTTCACCTCCCCTTTACCATCCAACGCCTGCGTCGAGACCGACGGCTTAGCAGGCACCTTGAAGAATCGCCCCCGATCCGCAAGTAAAATACAACAACTATGCGCATGCTCCGCCGCGATCCCATAATCCAGTCCCCTCCTCTCCAACGCCCTCGCAAGCGCCAAAACAAACCCACAAACCTCCTGATAAAACGGCACATTCTGCATCGTCAGTCCCGCCCCCGCAGCGGTAGAAGTCCCACAATACGTAACCCCCTTCACCTCCACGAACCCCGGTAAAGCCTTCTCCACCAAATCCGCATACCCCTCCGCTTCTTCCTCGAGATTAAACCCCTTGACGAGCGTGAGTCGGAACACCGTCCGATGGGTGAAGCGTTTAGCGCGCAGGATATCCATGCACCGCTGGAACCGTTCCCAGAAATCGCGATACAATGGCCTGTCGATGCGGCGCAGGGACTCCTTATTCGAGGCGTCGATGGAGACGTACAATTGTGTTACTGGTCCCAGAGCGGCGAGTTGATCGGGATGTTGCGCGTTACACACCAAGAAACTCGAAATGTGTTCCTTATGCAACATACCCAACAACGCATTAATATGCGGATAAAAAATCGGTTCGCCAACCAAACTAAGCGCACAATGTCGGATCCGCATCGCCTCCCCGAACCGCTCCGCCCTCACCCCGGGAACCCCCCTCATCATGCCAATCTTCCTATAATGCCCCTCCTTCATGCCCCTGAAAACCAACCCAGGCTCATCCACCTCCCACCGCCACGTCGTCCCCACGGGATTCGTGCCATGCCGCCAACAAAACACGCATTTGTTGCTGCAGGATAGGGACGGGGTGGCTTCCATGCAGAGGTGCGAGGCGATGCCGTAGAAACTGAATTTGTAGCAGGAGCCTCGACCGCGCAGGGCGGATTTGGTCCATCGGCAGATTTTCACTCCGCTGTGCGTGCCGATTATTGTGTAGCCTTGTTTTGTTAGGGTTGTGTGGGTGGGGGAGTTGAGGGGGACCATGGGTTTTGGTTGGGTTGAGATGGTGGGTTTATTGGGGCTGGCGGTGGTGAAGTCGACGGGAATGGGCACTTTCATGTCTTCGAGGTCGGAGGTTTGGTTTTGTCGGGTGGTTAGTTTTCGCGGGCGGGTATCCGATTCCTCTTCGTCGTCTTCGTCCTCGGCTTCATCGGCACTTTCTACCGCATCGCCACTCCCTCGCACGCCTTCGCCCAGGCCTCGCCCAATAGCTACATCCTCCATGACAGCTCTCACACCCTTCCCCCACGACCACATATCCTCTTCAACATTCCCCCTAGTATTACTCAGACCTAGTGGGAACCCCCTCTTTCGTCCCGTCAACCTCGCCATCCACTTGTCTACCTCAATAGCTTGCGTACAAAACCCTTCTTGCTCTGTCGGCCATTCTTGCTGGTCGCCTAGTCCAAAGACACTATACCCCGCCAAGCCCGACAGTGGCGAAGTATCTATCCGGAAATCATGGTGAGTTTCCTGCAGATGAGAAAGAAAAGTATCGAGCTCGGTGTCGATGTTGTAGGTGGGGAGGACGAGGAGGTAGAAGGGGACTGAGTATATCGGTGTCGGCCTGATGGGAGTCGTGAAGAAGTCCTCGTAGTCGATGTCGGTCAGGTCGTGGATGTGCGGACTCAATACGGAACGATTGGCGGATGATCGGAGACTCTCGGCTAGCTTCTCGGCATATACCTTTGTCGACCCGCCGACGGTGAAGTAGAAGATGATGGGGCGGATCGTCTGCGCCTTGGCCGGGTCGGCTTTGGGAGAGATCCTGCTCTTCGTCTTCTTGCTCCCCGTCACACGCTTGGGGCCTGGCTTGGATCCCTTTGGGGGTGGAGAAGGTTTGGTGTCGGGGACGGGAGTCGAGGCATCCTTTGGAGATAGTAATGGAGAGACCTTCACATGAACGGGTGACAGGGGAGGGGTAAGGATCTCCTTGGTTCGACGACTTCGCCAATGCAAAGCCAGTCGCACGATGGCGAAGAGTATCCCGGCCGAGAGGAGCACTTCCGCTCGGTGGGTATGCCATAGATAGAGCAGTTCTTCTGGTAGTCTCAGTAATTGGTCCATATTGTCTGAGCATTCCGGAAGGTGAAGGACGAGAGCATTGCCGTGCGACTCAAATTCACTTCGCATTTCACCCCACTTCCCTGTTGGGCAGGTGGGACACCTCGGATCTGGCCGGGGCGGGGCGGCGCGCGCCGAGATGCAGATGCAGATGCGTCATGTCGGTCGTCAGTGCACGCGAGCTGGCTGTGCATGTGCTCTGCTCCAGCCACTATCGTCCATATCATGCTTCATCTGCCCCCTGCTGCCTCGGAGTCATCCCTTCTGTTCGTGGTGAGCTTTCACATGCTTAGCGATATGTACTAAAAATCAACCCACATCTACTGTCCCCAGCATGCCCTCCCGCCCCACCTCCTCCCGCCGCGCCAACGACTCCGCCTCTCCTCACATCGACAAACTCGACTACCACCCGGGCGGCAAACCCCTCCTCGCCCCCTCCCCCCACCACCAACATGACACCTCCACCTCCACCTCCACCTCCCCCCACGGCCGTCAAAGCCTGGACGAACAACACAGCTACGCCGGCTCCTTCTTCGAGGACGTCGCCGAAGGCATCGCCGTCCAGCAACGCCAACGCATCAGCAAGAACTTGCTGCGCTATTTGAGCTTCGCATGGGCCTTGATCAACGCCCTCGGAGCCGGGAGTATCACAGCCTATAGCCTCTATGCCCCCTTATTCCAGAAGAACCTCCGGTATACCCAACTCCAAGTCAACGGCGTCTCCATCACAGCAGAGCTAGCCATGTACCTCCCCGTCCCCCTCTTTGGCCTCCTCTGCGACCGCACCGGCCCGGGCCCCCCCTCCTTACTCGCCGGCTGCCTCTTCGGAATCGGCTACATCCTCGCCGCTTTCACCTACGCCAGCGGTCCACCGTCCTCGAGCGCGGGAGGAGGAGGAGGAGGAGGAGATGGCTGGCCGTATTGGGTCATGATTATGGCGTTCATCCCCATCGGTTGCGGGACAAGTTGTATGTACCTCTCGGCCGTCACGACGTGCGCGAAGAATTTCGGACGGGGGAAGTATAAGGGGTTGGCGTTGGCGTTGCCGATTGCGTGTTTTGGGTTGAGTGGCATGTGGGAGAGTCAGGTGGGGAGTCGGTTGTTATATGAGAGGGGTCCGGAGGGGGAAAAGGGAGATGTGGACGTTTACCGCTTCTTCCTTTTTCTTGGTTGTCTGCTTCTGGCGTCTGGGATCGTGGGCTTCTTCGCTTTGCGGATTGTGGGCGAGGAGGAATTGATCGATGAGGCGGTGGAGGAGTTGGAGCAGAGTGGGTTGCTGGAAGATAATGACTTCTTCCGCCCCAACGTGGGCTACGGCACAGTGTCGAACGACGGCCTACGCCGTCTCAGCGCCCAAGAAATCGACGATCTGCATAAGAAAGCCGAGGAGCACAAGACCTGGCTCGCGGAGCAAGAACGGAAGAAGACCTGGCTTCTGAATGAAGAAACAAAACTCTTTCTCGGCGACCATACGATGTGGTGGCTCGCCGCTGGCTTCTTCCTCGTCACGGGCCCAGGGGAAGCATTTATAAACAACCTGGGCACGATCATCGGGACGCTGTATCCACCTCCGACGACAGCCCCTGTATCGGGCGAGATCGTAGCTCCAAGGACAACAGCAGCGACCCACGTCTCCATCGTCGCCATCACCTCCACCTTAGCCCGCATCCTCACAGGAACCTTGACCGACCTCCTCGCCCCCACCACAGCCCCACATCAACACCGTCGCGGCCCAAACAGCCTCTCCAATTCCTTCGCGTCGTTACCCCCCCTCGAAGGATCCCTTTATGCCCCTCCGCTCCCAAACACAGGCGGACGACCCGAAATCTCCCGCCTAACCTTCCTCCTCACCTTCTCCCTCCTCATGTCCTTGGGTCAAATCCTCCTCGCCTCGGGCTTTCTGCAAGGTCGAGGGGATTTATTTTGGATCGTGAGTGCGAGTATAGGAGCGGGGTACGGAGCGGTTTTCTCGCTCGTTCCGATTATTATTAGTGTAGTCTGGGGCGTGGAGAACTTCGGCACGAATTGGGGGATTGTGGCCACTGTGCCGGCGGCGGGGGCGACGGTTTGGGGGTTGGTTTATTCGGGGGTTTATCAGTGGGGGGCTGGGAGTATGGGGGTTGGAGGTTTGAAGGGAGTAGGGGGCGATGGAGGTGAGGGAGGTGGAGGGGATGTGCTGTGTTATGGGGTTTGGTGTTATGCGCCTACGTTTTGGGGCATGGCGGGGTGTGTGTGGGTTGCTTGTGGGTTTTGGTTGTATGCTTGGAGGGGGCCGGGGGGTTGGAGGAGGAGAGGGGTGGTGGTCTGACATGAATAGATATGGTATGTCATTGCAGGCCACGTAACCATTTCCGCCTCACCTCACGCGGCGCGATGCAAGCACTAGTCCTGAAGCTCCAGCTTGTGTGTAGGCTCGCGCAATGCCTACGAATATGGTTTAGTGATGATTGTGCTGCCTCAAGGACCTTTCCGAGTCGTGGTGGTCTCACTCCGTACTGTGCCCTGGTCACGTCGAAGGTCAAGGTCATGGGCTGGTGGTGCGATACGGTCGGAATTTGGGCATTGTCCCTGGTGGACAAAGGGGGCCCGGGATAAGGGGTCTCTCGCGGCTACGGCGTAGAGAATGGCATTGTGGCCGAGCGGCCTCTTGTCAGCTCGCTATCGAGGTATGTTGGGCAACGAGACAATGGTATTGTATACTGATGACAGAAGGAAAGGTATAACAAGGTCTCGAAACCTGCGGGAATGAAGACGTCTTTGCTCTAGTCAGATAAGCATACGAAACGACCTGAACGACCTACAAGGTGAAGAAAGTACTGACCCCGATAAGTCGTCCATCACTCAACCAGGGTTCCAAACCAACCGCAACCACCACCGCGAACTCAGCCGACAAGAATCATGTCCGCACCCCTCAACACCACAGCAAGCTTCAGCACCGCTTCCAGCTCCGTCTACTCCCCAACCCTACCCCCTACACCAGGACCCCATCACGCCAGCAACATAAGCGGCCAGCCGTTCGTTCTCCATCCGACAACAGCCTACGCAACCATCAACTGCCGTCGAGGGTGTGAACAGAACCTCAGGACCTCTGGCGCCACAGGAGCGATAACAATAACCATGATCCCCATCCATCTGATCCGCACAATTGCATCTTGCCGCTCGCCCGTCATCCCCAAAGGATATGGGTCGGGCAAGCAAGCCAGGACAACGGTGAGTAACCTGACTGGTAAGCCATTCCATCTGTACACCACGAGAGCAGCCACGATCAAGCTCCGGAGGAAATGTACACAGCGTGCCGGGTACTCAGCTGCTGTGGCCAATGCGGCACAGAGTCTGAATATGATTCCGTTGGACCTGATGAGCGTAGTTGAGCTTTTTCGCTCGCCGACACCCTTTCCTAAGCCGAATGCCTGTCGTCCGCCGATGAGTAATCTCAGCAAGCAGCCCTTCCATCTCCAGACCACGGCTGTGGCGACGATCAAGCTCCGCCGTGCTAGTCGCATGCTTGGTCCCTACGCCGGGGAATCGCAATACCTGACCATGATCCCCCACGACCTCATCAGATCCGTGAAGAAGGCGTCAAGCTTGTCATTCTTAAACTCCGCTACGAAGCAGAGGATACAGAAGCGCGAACGAGCCGAAAAACAGCATGCGCAGGGGTTTGTGGAGCAAAGTGCAGAGTTCGAGGATGTGACGGAGTGGTTGGAGGAAGTGGCTAGTCTTGGCCCGAGTCCAGTTTGCAAGGCCAAGGAGGGCAAGAAGGTGGTGGGGAAGGTTGCTTGTGACCAGGAGGAGGAATTCGAGGATTTCGTCGAGTGGTTGGGTGCGGCGCAGCGCCGGGTTGAGGAGAGAAGTCTCTTCGACGACCACGACGACGGGAGTGGTGAGGAGGTGGTTTGGTGTGTGAGGGATACACTTTTGTAGATCGTTCTGGTGTGAAGACATTGTGGATGCGACGCTGGTCGCTGTGTCCAGAGTCCTAAAGGTAATGTAAGATGCGCTGTCTGGAACAGTTGCGGAAGATAGTATGAGAAGTTGTATCCGAACAGAGCAGAAATGAAATATGCCTATTCCCTAATTGTAAGTACGTGATGCTATTCCTAATTCCAGGATTCACTCAGTAGGGTTTGGACTGAAGGTATTCTTTGTCCCTCATAAGTGCCGTGTAGATTGGCAGAGTCAAGGTGACATACAAAGCGGGTCATGAAATTATCATAATGTCATGGCCTCTTGTCTTGTAATCAGCTCTCTTTGTCTTCGGTCGAACACCGACTTAGCAGATTGATTGTAGCCGGAGATGAGTTGCGAAGATGTACCATGATTAGCACACGTAGCTTGTATTCCTCTTCGTACATCCCAACACCACATCATTGTGACAGTACATTATACCATCCTTCAACCTACCTACCGAGCTGGTCTCACCCACACAAACCCCCTTCTTCCACAATAATGGCACCAAGAAGATCAACGAAGCGCAAAGCAGACCAGATCTCCACGCCCACCCCTCCACCACCAGCGAAAACCATCAAGACAGACCCAGCCCAAAAATTAAGCGAACGATACTACATTTCCCCCGTAGACCACTGGAATGACCCCATCAGCTGGGAAGGTCCGGTAGAGGAAGCACTGATGTCAAGACATAGTCCGATGATAGTACAGGCCATTGTCGTGGACAAGAAACGAGGTAAAGGCTGGGAGATGCTGAAGGTATTGATGAGTTTTAAGAAGGTGGATTGGAACCCGCTTCCGCGCCAGGTGTGTGGGAGCAGTGTCGAGGACGACGAAGGTATGCCCGTGAGTCCTGGGGCGATTGCGACGTTCGGGCAGATGAACGATGCGGAGCGTGAGCAGTATCGGGCTTGGCAGGAGGGGGAGTTAGAGAGCCATCCGTTAAGGTATGATCCTGATATCATGTTCCCTTTCTATGAAGGGATACTGAGGCTTTTTGGGTTGCGGCAGGTACCTTGATCGGTGATGAAATATGGTAACGAGGCGTCCTCGCAGCGACAGCGTAGCGAGCGTTCGGCTGCAACGAGCATCTTGGTATCTGCCAGCTAGTCGACAATAAGGAATGTCACGGTTCGGAATGCGACGGATGGCCCATGCAACACCAAGAACTGCTCACGGCGGACATGTGTATGCATCGTGCAAACACTTCCGTTGCCCCGCACAAGCCAGCTCCGATGTATCTACAGGAATCTGTAGGCGGCATATCGCAACCAACGAGATCGATTCCAGAAATCTCTCCGAAGGGTGTTTTGTGACGTGGTGACCGCCAGGTGGAGATGTGGTGTGCTCGCAGCAGGAGATATGCTTATCAGCGGGTAGCCACGGCATGTCAGCCAGCTCAAAAACCAACCAACCTCACGCTTGGAAAGCACCTCGGATGTCGACATTGCAAGTTGGGCTGTTTTGGTCCTCACGCATATCATGTCTTTGGCATGGCGGTCAGGCTTGCCGAAATCTCGACTTGCTCGTTTTGGTCGTCGGTAGATGGGTGTGAAGTTGTTTCGCTTGGTCGCAGGCTAAATGTAGTGTTTCGGTAATAGCGATGCCGAAGTATCAGTGTATCAGAAGTCATATGTGACGTGGACTAGAGTTTTAACATCGCAGGCATGTAGACGCACATCAGCGAAATGCATCCTCTCTCCTGTGAACACGTTTGAGCGCATGCAGGATAAGCAGTTCAGCAAAATGGATATGGTTGTCCTCGATCATTGGCGCGAATGATCATAGTGTCACACGCCGCCATTGAGCGTGGGATAGAGAGGCCAGGGGTGGCACAACCCGCACAGCAAGTCTTACAGTATAAATGACTAGAAGAGCCAGAAAACGTTCCAGAAGGCTTCGAAACGTCGATCTCTGGAGGTGAGTCGGGTGAATTGCTCTTCTGCAGAAGGGGGAGTGGTGCAGTGCTTCCTCTGACCCGGTTCTCCATCTTACAGCGCAGGATGAAGCACGGCACTGTCGAGCACGTTTTCGCTGGATTGGTATCGATGGCTGGTAGTTTTTTGATACAAAGACATGGTCCGACCTCGTTCATATGAACACAGATAAGTGGCTCATACTGCTGATGCCCGACGGAGCGAGTCATCACACCGCCGCACGCTGTGAGTTCTGTTCGTGGTGAGTGGTGCGGTAAGTGACATAAGGAGTGAAGGATGGCAGACGACTCGTAGGCGGCGCGCTCCCACGTGTAACGTGTTTTGATGTTCCTGTGTCTCGGGGAGCACGGGAAGGGGTGGCCAAATGTGCCGGCTATGTTAGTGCCGTGGGAAAGGAGTCGATTACATACACTTAAAGTATAGTGAATTAGTGATTAATGGATGATAGACAGGGGGATAGGATTCGGTGGTGGACGGTTTAGGATGTGTTGGAGGATGGACGCTGCGGGACCCATGCCCCAAACGTCATTGCTCATTGGAGAGAGAGAGCTTTCCAACGCTTCTCCGCCATTCGATCGCTGCACGCCTCTACCCTGGCACTACCCTGACACAACCACCACCACACAGCGCTGCAACAACGTGCGTCGGCTGCTGGCAAGACTGCGCTGCCTGGCCGCCTCTGCACCGTTTGCACATCCCTCCCACCCCAGCCAAGTGCCACTGCCGAGCATCTGCGTAGGGCTTAGCGGCAGACGCATTGGATGCACTTCCCGCCCGCCGCGCAGAGGACGGGTGTCAGTGGACGTCGTGGTCGACCTATTGCTGCCTCCTGCGCGCTGTGCGTGCCGGCCAGAAATGTGTCAGCCTCATGCCGACCCCTTCTCGCGCCCACGGGTATCGATCCCCCGGCACAAAGTTGCGATCATCCAAAGGGATCCCTCCCTCCACCCACGATGTGGTCGCCGTCCTGGATCTCGCTGTCCCTGCGCCCCGTCGTGACCACACAGACTCCAGTGACGACTTGGCTGCGGTGACACCGCCGAGCAGTCCACCTCCTGCTCTTCACCATCAGCCATCGGATCGTGCTGCCAAAAATAAACGGCTCTCTGCACAATCTTCAACTTCCTCCCACTCTAGCAACTCTGTCAGTCATGCTGTACACGAGCAACTGTCCGAACGGGACAGCATCTTCGCTGAGCACTACATGTCCAGCACCAGTCCCGTGACCTCGCCCAAGCTCCAGCCGAAAGAAGAAGGCACGGTGAAGGACGAAGCGATGGAGGTCTACACCAGGCCGTTAAGCTCGAGTGCTTCGTCGATGGCCTCGAGGAAGGACACGCCATCATATGTGCTGGGACTGCAGGCTCAGACCATGGTAGACGACTCGGTCCGCCGCCGGCCAAGCCGAGCAAGTCTTCCTCTGCAGTGGCATCGACGGTCACTGTACGACCTTCACGAACTAGGAGCGCTGCCACTAGCAGCATACATACCGGAAGCGAACGAGCAAAATTCACCACCAAGCGCGGGCATTAAAACAACGAGTGAGTCACCAGCGACTCCGGTCGCCAACACTAAAACCAGAGTTAGCCCAGAGGAGTTTGAGCGTAGTGCAGAACGAGAACAGTACCGATCGTGGAGACAAGGGAAGGCGAAGATGAGCGGTATGACGATTGCACAGTCTCAACGGCGACAGAGCCGTGCAGAGATTGGTGTCGATCGGGTAGTGGATGCACGTATGCCGCCTGTTGAAACTCCACCAGCAAACCTTCGAAGCCGGAAGGGCAGTCACTACCTCGGACTCTTTAGAGAGAATGAAGCGGAAGAAAAGAGACAGTCAGACAAGCAGAGAGCAAAGCACATTGGTCGCTCTGCTAGCGAGGCTGCTTCGAAGCTGTCTGAAAGTCGTCAGGTCAGCAGTAGCAACATACCAACACTACAAGAAGAGAATGAAGGACAGGAGCTTGACCAACGGGCAGCTGTGACGAGTGACAATGAGCACAAAGACTTGCCGCTTAGTCTACTCGAGGAGATCCGAAATCACCATCAACTTGCGCCTGGCAGCGCTAAGAAGGTAGCATATTCAGACGAGACGCCGGGGTATTTGAATCAGGAAAAGTCACGACTGGCGTTGCAGACCGAAGGCAGCCCAGAAGACGGTGAGCATGGCCTCGAGCACATCTCATCTGCGGTCTATATTCCACATCAAGGACTCAAGCTGGAAGATTCTCCCACCGAAGCACAAATCGCACAGCATCGACAGGAGCAAGCACATCAAGCGACCAGTAAGCAAGGAGATCTCAACGATCACGTAGAGTTCTCCTTAACCTCCGGTAACGGTGACACCAGCGATCAACTCCAAGGCGACTTCCCAATGCGCAAGGAGCCCATGACTGAAGATCTCACGTTGCCACCGTCTGCTATTCCTCCAGGTGTTCCGTCCGACACCGAATACGACTCTGATGCTTACGCCTCCGGATTCGAGACAGCGGCATCAGAAGACGATGACGAGGAGACTACACCGACCGCGACTCCGACAACGAAGCTGTTCAGGCAGGCTATGGAGTCGCCGCCGAAACGCAAACGCACACCACCAGCACCAGTCGGTGCAGTCGAGCTAAAGCCTTACAAGCATCAAGTGGGCGGGCACACCAGGATCTACCGCTTTTCGCGTCGTGCCGTTTGCAAACAGCTAAATAGCAAAGAAAACAAATTCTACGAGACTGTCGAGAAGTGGCATCCTGAGCTTCTTGGCTTCATGCCTAGGTATATTGGTGTGCTCAATGTAACATACCGCAAAGACGGCAAGAAACCAAAGGCTTCCTCTGACACGGAAGCGAAGACTTCTGCGGACAACGTGGATGGTGCAGCTAGTAAGACAGCTTCGAGTGGTCAAAGCAGAGATGATGCGCCGCAACAGAGGATGATCAGCCACTCGCAGCAAGCACAGGCTCCTACCGCCATACCACAGGTCATACTGGAGAACAATCGCCACCTCATACCCGAGAATCTGTTCCAGCTACCGCCTAGATCGACCACTCCAGACTTCCACCGCATCAAATCGTCGCCACCTGCTCGAGCTGGTGGGCAGAGCGACGACGAGACTTCAACCACAAATGCCAGGCGACCTTCGCTCAAACCACACTCGAGCTGGGGCTTCACCTCTGTAAATAGCAAACTCAGAGACCATGTCCTACGAGAAGTCTTCGCCCCGCCCGTCATCCACCGACATGATCGGAGAGATCGTGCGCAGCATACACGATCCCTTCGCAGGCTGCCGAAGTCCGTCCAAGAAGATCTGGCGCCTGCGGAAGGTCAATTGAGCGCTGATACTGCGGAGCTGCCGGATCTTGGTGCGAACGGTGAGAATGCTCGCAGGCAGGCGATCAAGAATCTTATGGAGCGAAAGCGGCTTGATAGCAGTGATCGGGCTGCTACGGATCTGAGTCGTCTGCTCAGTGCGGGTGAGACAGATGCAGCTGCGGGTGTCGGGTTGAGCAGAAGCGCAGAGGCGAATGATGTGGATGGTGGGGGACCTACACGACGACACAGGCGAAGACATTCGGGTGGCGGACTCACGCGCAAACCTACTGGCATTGTGGGCAATCGTGGCGACCTTGAGTATCACGAGGATGAGGCGTATGGTGCTGATGGCGAAGAGGATGTCTTTGCGATGGAGGATGTTAAAGCACAGCTGCCCGGTGACAGGCTAGCTGCTGCCAAGGAAGCGGTGCGTGATGCGACGTCGTCTGAACTTAGCAGGTCAGATACTATCACGATCGAGAGGGATAGAGCACCGAAGCTTGATCCGGCAATCCAGCTGTCTGGCGATTTGGAGCCTCGCAATCCCGAGACATCTCTACTCAAGCAGGACGAGCGCGTAGAGCACTTCTTGCTACTTGAGGATCTGACCGCAGGCATGCAGAAGCCGTGCGTACTCGATCTGAAGATGGGCACGAGGCAGTATGGGGTGGAAGCGAATGAAAAGAAACAAGCGTCGCAGCGCCGGAAATGCAAGACCACGACTTCGCGTGAGCTTGGCGTGCGTGTTTGTGGCATGCAGGTCTACAACGTCAAGGAGCAATCCTACACATTTGAAGACAAGTACTTCGGCCGTGATATCAAGGCCGGTGCCGAATTCCGCGAAGCTTTGAAGCGCTTCTTCTTCGATGGCATCGGACATGCGTCAGCACTCAAGCACATCCCGATGCTGCTCGAGAAGATCGCCGCGCTCGATAGGATCATGCGTGGATTACCCAAGTACCGCTTATACGCCAGCAGCCTCCTCCTCATCTACGACCGTGGCGACGCCGACGAATTCGGCAAGTCCCGCCCCGCAAGCCGTACAAACGACGACCGCAATCGTGATGGCAAGGACGAACCCCCCAAACAGCGCTACCCAGACATCAAACTCAAGATCGTCGATTTCGCCAACTGCGTCACCGCGGAGGATATGCCGCGCATCCAGCAATGCAAACCCTGTCCCCCTGCACATGGAGAGGATGTGGATCGGGGGTATTTGAGGGGTCTGAGGACGCTGAGGATGTATTTTCAGCGGATCTGGGAGGAGGTGCATAGTCAGAAGTTTGTGGAGAGGGGGGAGGGGGAGGGGATGGCGGTTTTGGAGAGGGGGTTTAGTGGGGCGACGACTTTGAAGGGGTGGGTGGATAGTTCGGTTGATGATCCGGGGTATGTGAGTACGTGAAGCGGGCTGGGAGGGGTGGGGTAAGGGATGATAAGAGTGTATGATGGCGAAGGCTTTGACTTCGATATTGGCGCAATGGGGATGGTGGGGATATGGCGCTGCTGATGGGTTGGTGATGACTGGTTTATGGTGGTGGCATGCTTTATCACTTTTCTGCTGCACTTGAGCATGGCGCTGGTTGGTGTTGATTGTTTCACTTTGTTGAGACACTGCTTTGATAGTGGCTTCGACTGCATAGCGTTCGTTCTTGTAGATGCCTAATGGAGATCTGTTTCCATTCACTTATGTGATCTGATTCCGTCCTTTACTTTCTATAGTTCTGTCGATAGTTCATGCGGAGTTTGGCTCGAGCAGTAGAATGAACGACAGCGGACGACAAGCCGTTAGCGTGCCAGAATACTCGATCCAGTTGTGGGTAGTCGTGAATTCTGTTACTTTCACATGCCGTTGCGTGCCAAACCCGATCATTAGCTAGTTGGCGAATTAATGTTTGCCTTGCGCCAATGCATACCCATCACTCGCCTTAGTCGGACGCCTTCTCTCTTCCTATCAGCAGCAATCATGGCACAAAAGCGGCCCTTTAACGAAGGCAAGAGGCATTTCAAGAAGAACAAGAAGCAAAAGTCCAGCACAGGCGTGAGCGAGGGTTCGAATGAGGAAGTGCTGTTGGCGGATGTGCGTCGACTACTACAGGATGTCAAGATCGCCAATGGCAGCACCAAGGAGGAACAGGCAGAAAAGGAGCTTCCGGAGCAATGGACGGAAATCGACCTCGATATCACCGAAATCTCCTCTACTGGCGATGGTCTGGCACAGAAGAATGGCCAAGTATACGTCGTTCCCTTCACCGCTCCTGGCGACACCGTTACAGCCAAAGTCGTCAGGCATGTCCTCGAGGATTCTTACACTCTTACGGATTTTCTTGCGGTCAAAACTCCCTCTAAACATCGCACGGAAATACCACCTTGTCCTTACTTCTCGCAATGCTCGGGTTGTCAATTCCAGCATTTACCTTATTCATACCAACTAGCGCATAAGCGGGAAATAGTCGAGAAGGCTTATACGAATTTCTCGGGTTTGCCAGCTGCAGCTGTGCCTGTTGTGGGGGATACGATCGGGTCGCCGTTGCAGTATGGATACCGGACGAAGCTGACGCCGCATTTTGATGGGCCGCCGATGGCGAGGAAGGATCGAAGGGCTGGGGTCAAGGCGATTTGGCCGGGGGTGCCGCCTATTGGGTTTATGAAGAAGGGGACGAGGAAGACGATGGATATTGAGGATTGTCCTATTGGGACTGAGGCGGTGAGGTTGGGCATGAAGAGGGAGAGGAGGAGGGTTGGGGAGGAGATTGAGAAGTTTCAGAGGGGTGCGACACTTTTGCTTAGGGAGAGTACGGAGAGGGTGGCTAAAGAAGGAGGGGTAGAAGGAGTGAAGAGTGGGAAGGTGGAGGGGGAGGATGTGGTGGGGGAGGATGGGGGGGAGTTTGTGCATAAGAAGACGTGTATTACGGACTCCAAGGCTACGTCGACAGAGTATGTGGATGAGTTCCGCTTTGATAACCCGGCTGGATCTTTCTTTCAGAATAATAATAGTATACTACCGCTGGTCACACAGTACATTCGGGACAACATCCTCGCGCCTCCAACACCAGACGACTCCACCGGCACGCAGAGCCAGCCGAAGATCACTAAGATGATAGATGCTTACTGCGGCTCGGGCTTCTTCACAGTAGCACTCTCGCAAACCTTCACCAACAGCATAGGCATCGACATTTCACCCCAATCCATCACTTCCGCCACCCACAACGCCGAGCTCAACAACCTCCCCTCAGACAGCACGACCTTCATCTCCTCCGACGCCAACGCCCTCTTCGCCGCAATCGACACGGCCAACTTCCCGCCAGCAGAAACAGTAGTCGTGATCGATCCGCCACGAAAAGGCTGCGATCAAGGGTTCATCAGACAGTTACTAAAATACGGACCGGCCAGGATATGCTATGTGAGCTGCAACGTACACACGCAGGCGAGGGATGTCGGATGGCTGGTTGCGGGTCTGGAAGCAGAGGGTGAAGGCGAGGATGAGAGGGCGATGAAGGGGTTGTATGAGATTGAGAGTTTGAGGGGGTTTGATTTTTTCCCGCAGACGGGGCATGTGGAGGGTGTGGCTGTTTTGAGGCGAAAGGGAGCCGAAGGTGGTGTTGTGGAGGAGAAGTCCACCGCTGGCGAAGTCCAGGCTGTTGCTCCTCCTACTCATTGCATCGAAGCAACCGATGCAGGGAAAGCCTCGTGAGCAGATCAGTACATAGCAAAAGTACGCGTACAATCCAATTCAGTCACATCGCCCTAGCTTCATCATGTCGATTCACCTGCCCTTGTGCATCTACCTCATCGGACATATCTCGGTGCTTTTTGGAATGAGGCATATATTATGCGCGGGTACTCCCGTCATTTGGGCACACGTATGTTGAAACCTCTTGGAAAAAAGACGTCGCATACGAGTCGATATACTGACTCTCCTCTCCTAGCCATGACGCAGTGGCTAGCGTGTCGTTCTTATATTTGTGCTTCGTGCACTTATATGGCTTTATAATAAGCAATGCGAAAGTCGCGAGTTCGACCCTCGCTGGGTACGTGGACGCAGTCCTCGATAACAACGCGACTTGTGCAACGGTTTACTGACCTGTTGTATAGGTGTAGATGAATCATCGCATTCTTTTTGTTTTGTTTTTGCGGGCCTCACTCATGACGGTAAAGGAGAGATGTCAAGACAGGGAAGTACGTTGATATATGAATGATGGTGTCTTTTTGATAGACTTGTGATGAAGTAATTGAAACGATAAGACAACAACTACACGTAGCTAATCGTACAGGGCGTTCTGAAGTCTTAGACTACTACCCTCTTGAAGGCGGCGAGGAAGCCACCAAGAAACGAGACTTGGTTAGCAGACGACTTGATCGACGCTTTCAATTCAACTGGTATCATCGTCAGCGTCTCGACAGCTGCAACGGCAGCTACAGGAATTCTAGCGTCTTTCCTACCAGCACGACGGGTCTTGATAGTTGCAAAGTCGGTCGAGTACAGCGAGAACGGCTGACCGCTTAGATTGCTGACAGGCCCCACTGGGTTGCGATAGTGTGGGAACGAGAGAGCTCGATTCCGTGATGCACGCACACTCTTCATCAGTTCGATTGGAATCATCGCCAAGTTCTTGACGTTCGAATTCGGTGCACGATGGAGACAGGCACGACGGATCTTGATCGTTGCCGCGTTTGTGTTCTGGATCATCAGAGGCTCGTTTGTGATGTTGCTAATCGGAGGAGGTGTAAGTGATGGAGTCTCGGAGTAGACTGAGCTGGAGCTACTAGAGTAGACCGAACTTGGTCTTATAGCCGCCATGTTGGAGAACAGCCGACAATCGTATTCTCACCGCACCCAACTTGTAGCTACCACTTGTATTTGTATAATGACATTGTGTCTTGAGTCGAATTTGAAAGCAGCGGACAATGTTTCTTTGTTCAAGCAGTATGCGTTGCCACTTCTGTCTGTCTTGATCGTAGACATTGTACGACAGACAACACTGTCAATGCGTAGTGATCATGATCTCGGTGCCATCTTCCACCCGCCTTCACCTTCAAACACATCCGCAACGGCCTTTGAGACGTGAAGCAGATGCCGATCGGTATATCGTGCCCCCACCGCTGTCAGACCAATAGGTAGTCCATTCTCTCCAGCAAAGCCGATCAAATTCAGCGCAGGAACGTGTAGTATCGTCCACATCGAGCACATGGACATATCTCCCGTGTTTTCCAGGCCTAGTGGAGCTTCATCAACCACGCTAGGGGTGAGGATGAGATCGTACTTGCTTGCGATATCATCGAAGGCAGGTCGAAGTCTTGCCACGTTATCGTAAGCGTCGAGAAATTCTTTGTGTGTGAGCTTCTTCGTGTTGTCCACGTAGGAGGCAATGGACTCATGCAGGCGCTCTCGGTCGAGCAGATATTGTCCCAGGAAGGATGTCTGACCCTCACCAACGAGCACGGCGGCATGCCAATCTAGCACATTTGCGAAGTCGTCGGGCAGTACGACGTCTTCCACATTTGCGCCATGCTGTTGGAGCAGCTCTTGTGCCCTGCTCATGGCTTTCACGGTACCAGGACCAGCTTTTGACCAATTATATGTTTTACACATACCAATTTTGGCTGACCGGAGCTCAAAGCGTTGTGAAGGGACGGGCGAGTCGTCAGTCAACCTGAAAGCGTTTGCCAATAGTTCGAGATCGTCCATCGACCGCACAAAGAAGCCACATGTATCCAGAGTAGGGCACCACTGCGCCAAGCCTTCCCTGGATATGGCGCCATGCGTAGGCTTGAACCCATAGCACCCATTAAAGCTTGCAGGCCGAACGATACTGCCTCCTGTTTGCGTACCAAGTGATACAGGAATCTGAAAGTCCGCGACAGCAGCACCAGAGCCTGAAGAAGAGCCACCAGGTGTCCTTTTCGGATCTTGTGGATTGCAAGTGAGGTTTTGGTGCCACCCGCCTTGCTTGCTGGATGCGAACTCCGTCGTTGCTGTCTTGCCGAAGATCAATGCTCCCATGGCTCGCAAGGACATGATGACGTTGGCATCTATGCCTGAAGGCTCCTCGCTCTCAAGTGTGCGAGAGTTGTACTGCGTTGGCATGTCTTTCGTCAAGATCACGTCTTTGACGCCGACAGGCAGGCCGTGTAGTGGTCCACGTCGATCAAAAGGAAGACTATCGAGTTCCTTGGCTCGCTGCAAGATCGTACTTGGCGGTAGCCATACCCAGGCTTTTACCACTTGGTCGCGAGTATGAATACGCTCGAGCAGGCTTTTGGAGTAATCTACTACGGTGAGCTTTCCAGACTTGAGACGAGGTAGGACTTCTGTGGCGGTCATCTGCCATGGTTGCTTCGTCGATATGTTCCCGGAAGCCATGATGATGGCAAGAGTTCTTGATCTATGACTCTGCTGATGTTATTGGAATGAAGTGGCTGTGCGTCAGTCTCGGCAGGAGGACGTAGGAAGGAGCAGGCAATGAGGTCTCTGATATCTTGGTTGTCTGCTGCAAGCTTCTAAGAAGAACAGCCCAACAGGAGCAGAGAAGAGCTCGTAGGCCCAAACTATACCCACCTACCCGAACGGCGGCATCACCTTCCTCTTACCGTTACTGACAGATGTTGTGGTGGAGTTGATGGCTCGGTGAAGGCTGCCGAGAAGCCACAAATGGTGGCGGGGTCGCTGAGCCAGTCACGAAACCCAATGCGATCTCGGCGGCACTTTTCTGACTGTTCCGACAACTAGTGACTATTTTTCGCAGCCCGAGTCTTGACATTGTGCACTGATCGTCGTGCCCAAGTTTGCCCACTCCGAAAGCATTAGGGAACAAACATGGCATCCATACCTTTCAGCGCTTCGCAACGCTACCTCAGCACTCGTGGTGGCTCCTACGATGTACGTTGAGCAATCGTCCCAGCGACTGCTCGGAACCATTGGGCTTACGCTGAGTAGCCTCGCAGCTGTCATTCGAAGACGTAGTCCTCAAAGGTCTCGCCAACGATGGAGGTCTATTCATCCCCGAAGAAGTCCCCTCTCTACCGTCCGACTGGCAGACCAAGTGGAAGAACTACTCGTTCCAGGACCTGGCATATGAGATCTTCAGCTTGTATATCAGCCAAAAGGAGATACCTGAGAAGGACTTGAAGGGAATTGTCGAGCGAAGCTATGATACATTTCGAGCCAAGGACATCACACCAATAGTCACGCTGGATGAAAGCAAGAACCTCCATCTCCTCGAGCTCTTTCACGGTCCGACCTTCGCATTCAAGGATGTTGCATTACAATTTGTGGGCAATCTCTTCGAGTACTTTCTCGTACGGAGGAACCATGGCAAGGAAGGTTTGGGCAGGGAGCACCTTACAGTAGTCGGTGCGACTAGCGGAGATACGGGATCTGCTGCGATCTATGGACTGAGGGGAAAGAAGGATGTCAGCGTCTTCATCATGCACCCCAAGGGCAAAGTCAGCCCGATTCAGGAGGCTCAGATGACAACAGTGCTCGATGCGAATGTGCACAACCTGGCTGTGGAAGGCACGTTCGATGATTGCCAGGTACGTCAAGACTTCTACCAATGGCTCTGTTTTGTATCGCACTGACATCTTCAGGACATCGTCAAAGCTCTCTTTGCCGACCCCGAGATCAACCGTACGCATCGTCTCGCAGCCGTCAACAGCATCAACTGGGCTCGCATTCTTGCACAGATCACCTACTACTTCCACTCCTACTTCACGCTTTGCCGACAACTGGACGCTTCGGATCCTGCCGTGCGGTTCGTTGTGCCCACTGGCAACTTTGGCGACATTCTTGCTGGGTACTTTGCGACACGCATGGGACTACCTGTAGACAAACTAATCATTGCAACCAACGAGAACGATATTCTGCATCGGTTCTGGAAGACTGGGTATTACGAGAAGAAGCCAGTGCATGGTGTTGAGGCCGAAGGTGGGATCGCGGAGGATGGTGCTAAGGCGCATGAGAGCGGTGTTCGCGAGACACTGGCACCGGCCATGGATATCCTGGTGTCTTCAAACTTCGAGAGATTGCTGTGGTATCTCGCCTTCAGGACCAGCTCAGTAGAAGAGACAAACCACAGGAGGATGGAAGCGGGTGAGAAGGTGAATGGATGGCTCAATCAGCTGAAGAGTGAAGGCGGTTTCGGGGTAGGCAAGGAGATTCTTGCTGCTGCCAAGGAGCAGTTGGAAAGCGAGCGTGTGTCCGACAAGCAGACAATCCAAACTATTAAGGAGACCTACGGCCAGACGTTGCCAGTAAGCAAGCATGCCAATGGCTTGGCGAATGGCACATCGAAACCAGCGACGACTGGCACCGAGAACAATGGCCACTACATCCTCGACCCTCACTCCGCCATCGGCATCGCCGCTTCGTTACGCTCGATCGCAGCCACGCAAGACGCGACTAAACAAAAGTCCCAGGCGCCAATACATCACATCTCGCTTGCGACTGCACATCCCGCGAAGTTCTCGCATGCCGTGGAGCTGGCGTTGAAAGATGAGGCGGACTTCAGCTTCGAGACGGTCTTGCCGGAGCAATTTGTGGGTCTGGAGAAGATGGAGAAGAGGGTTACAGGGTGTAAAGCTGAATGGAAGGATGTCCGGGAGATTGTTGTGAGGGAAGTGGAGGAAGAGCTGAAGGGTCAGCGGTAGTGCGAGTGCGAAGGTCTGATTACGAGTGGCCTGGTGATGGATCTTTGCAAGGCGTAGGGCGGGGTCCAAAAGCAATATAAATTACACTGACTCGAAAATTCAGGCTGACCGCATAGACGAGCAACCTGTCGTCGTTAAGGCGCCCAAGCTTCCGTCTTTCAGGCGCCCAACTATTCTCCACCTACAAACTCTTGTCAGCTGAGCAGCGCGTGTGCTGACTCATATCAGCCTTGCACGTTAGAGTTTACACTTCGCCGGACCCCTCACTTCACCCCTCAATACAACAACAGGTCGAAGTCTTGGCTTCGGCTTCTTTTGACAGCCACTGGCAAGGCCTAACCAGTAGCGCACTACTGTCGTTGTTCTAGCGCGCGGCGTCACCTTGATGTGGGACAATCGCACCGAGGTTGCGTCTCTGGAGTCTAGATGGCCAGGCCAGTGGCCCACTATTAAGCCCTACCCACGCCACGTAGGGCAGTCGTGATGGCCTTACCACTTTCTCATGAGCTGATGTCGCTAAAACGTGGCCTGACGGTACTGGTATTATATAAGACACTAGCTGGGTGAGTCCCTGCCTTGTACATCAACTCACCACCAGGCTCCCAACTCAAAGATCCAACACAACCAGACAACGCAGAGCTTTGCATCGTGCTCCAAGATAAATCAGCCGAAATCGGTATCCTTTCACCACACTCTTGCACCTTCATAACTCGCCACCATGCCTCTCGATCAATCCTGGCTCGACCTCGAAGCTGCTTCCGGCGGCCGAGCAATTCTCAAAGGCTCACCGGAAGAGATCAAGGCAATGTACGCCGGCCTCGTAGCAGCCCTTGCTCCTCAATTTCCTAAGCCTTCCGAGAATGTCGAAAGCAAAGACGGTGAAGTCGACGGCATTAAGTATCGGCTCTACTGGCCAAAGAATGCGTCTGGGAGTCTGCCGACCGCTATCTGGACGCACGGTGGTGGCTATATGACTGGTGATCTCGACTCGGATGATCTGTTGTGCAGAGTTGTAGCAGAGCATACCAATTCCGCGGTGGTGAACGTTGACTATCGTCTCACGCCGGAGTACAAGTGGCCAGTGCAGTTGGATGATTGCATGAAGGTTTACAAATGGGTAAAACATGCGGTGTATATGTCAACCTTTGGACATACCGACTTACATGATCGCAGGCTCACAAGAACGCCTCGACCTTCCACGGCGACCCAAACAAATTCTACACTATCGGCGCCAGTGCAGGCGGTGGTCTGGCCCTCCAGATCGCTAACGTCGTTCTCCGTGATCCCGAGCTGAAGTCAAGTCTCAAGGGCATCTGCGCAATGGTCCCGTTGTCCGTTCATCCCCAGAACGTGCCAGAGAAATACAAGTCCATGTACAAAGCCTACTCTGAGAACACCGACACCCCCATCCTCACGGCAGAGAGCATGGACATCTTTTATCACCACGCTGGTGCGGATCCTAAAGACCCTGGGACATTTGTCGGGCTTGCAGAAGATATACACAAGCAGTTTCCGCCGACTTACCTGACTAGTTGTGAGTTTGACCCTCTGAGGGATGATGCGAAAATCATGGAGAAGGCGTTGAAGGATGCTGGGGTACCTGTCAAACACGACTTCTATCCTGGGTTCCCGCATTACTTCTGGATCTTCCCAAGCTTGCCTGAGTCGCAGAAGTATGTTGGGAACTTGCTTGGAGGGATTGAGTGGGTCAAGGGACAGATGTAGAGGATCGTTTACTACTTGCAAAGCTCAATTTCGCTGACCACTAGAATGCAAGTGTCATCCAACCCTGCGACTTTTTGCTTGTTCAGCTCGGCATATATGTCTGTACTCAGCATGTACACGTAATGCCAGATTGTGTCGTATTGGACAAGATTGGCGTCTTCCCAGTTCGTACCTCGTAGCTGCTTTCTCTTGGTGCCTCGCTCGTCGGTCTGTTCGAGATACGTTCTCACGGGACCCATGAATTGCACCGACGCTCCGGCAGCGTCGCCGAATTTCTGCTTGAAACCTTCCATGTACGCATCATGGACAGCGCGCGAATCCTTGTACTTGAAGAGGTTGAATAGGCTGACAGGTTTGTTGGCGATTGGTGTGGGTAGTGCAGCTGTGAGTAACTCAGTCATGGCTCTCGTTAAGCGGAGTGTACCTGGACCGCTGTCGTTCCGATCGTCCACAACTGCAGAGTTGGGTATTCTGCCTTCACGAAATTCTTGTGCCAAAGGTGGCGTGCGATCTGATGGTTTGGGAATCAAGTCCTTCTTCGCTTGTAAAGCATCGTATTGTTCGCTTGCTAGGTCTATCTGAAAGGATACCTTAGTCTCCACGTATGCTTGTATTGGTGCCGGCAGCTGCTCGTTGTCCGTTAAGAGGAAGAGATCCCAGTCGTGCTTGGTGAGCATGTCGCGGTCCAGATCCACAGGCGGATGTACCCAGCCATGGGGAACACCCTTCGCAAGCACTTCATCGAGATCAAGTTGTTGAACCGATGTGCCGGACTTGAGTGTTGAAAGGTGAATGGTGACGGTGGAGGATTCGGCCATGGTGAGGATACACTGGCCAGACTCAAGAATGCTCAAACGCCGGGATTTAAACCCCTGAAGATTTGGCGGAAATTGCTGTTCGCAAGAGAGGGAGGGAACATGAGATTGACCTACGCCACACGGGAGCTCCAGGGCAACGATTACAGTAGAGTTCCTTGTCTCCGCACATGCTATGCAGGAACATGGATGGCGTCGACAGATATGACCTTGCACGAGTCCTTGTGCATATTCTCGAGGCACTCACCAGTCATGCCGTGCCACATACGCAAGATGTGTGAGATGGATTTATGTGGTCGAGCAACGCGGAGATTAAGATGCAATGAGATGACATAGCACCCGAGTCATGCAGACATGGCGTCGTCATGTGACTCTGACGTAGCACCAGCCCCACCTGCTCGCGTGACATGTCTCTCTCAAGCGAACCAACAATTCTGCTGCCTGCACTCCTACTGCTTACATCCTCTCCTGCAACTATCCATCCTCCCACAGTATCAACAAACCTCACTATGTTCCAGCTATCACTCCTCTTCCAGTTCTGCCTGGCTGCGCTCGCCGCCGCAGCACCACTAGCCACCGAGAATGCACACGTCCTTGGCATGAATTCATCTCAGCAGTACGGCACTGGCGGAGGCGTCCTTGGCTTCATCGTGCTTATTCTCGACATTATTGTGTGGAGTAAGTTACCCTCCACGACAACCCTTCGCACCGCCAGCGCTAACATTGCACAGTCGAGGTTCTCAAGTCTAACCGTCCCCCTCTTCACAAGGTCCTTTGGGCTGTCCTTGTGTTTGTTTTTCCAGTCGGCGGTGTCATCATCTACTATATCTTCTCGGACCGTGCGAAGTGGAACGCTGGCTCTGGAGGATACGAGCCAATCGCTTAGGTGCTTTGAGGAGAGAAGACGTTCATGAGATGCATGATAGCACACGATGGACGCCACTTCATACAACCACGATCGATATGACGAGGAGAGAGTCGGGCAACGTAAAGTTCTTGAGGTGGTGTTTGAGGCATATTGAGTCGAAGTTACAGCATCGGCAGGCTGTCGCGCATTCGATGCTGCCCTTGTAATGACGTGTTCGTATTTAGCGCATCTCCCTTCAATGAGGTACTCTTACGGCAGACTCTGCCACAGTGAGAAGGACACGGCCCCAAAGCACAGGCACTTGGATTAGAACACAAGTTTGCTATGCTACAGAAGCCTACTGAAGACTATACTACAAGTCGACACGGCTGGGTCAGAGCGGCTCGGCCATAGTTGAAAGGACACTATTGTTCGTACTCGATTCCTCGCCGGGCCATCTACTCAAGACGTTCGTGATTGCTGCATGTCTGGGCACGTACTGCGACGACACTCTCCATGACACTCCACTTGGCGACCAGCTACGACGACTTCGATCAAGACCTTTCAACTATGATCACCCAAAGAGTACAGTACTGCGCCGAAAACCATAATTCTCAATATCAATTGCTTTAGACGACACGTCCGGTTGACGGTAATCATGTTCAACACGACCGCCACACCGTACGGCATGTCCTTGATCATCAGCCCCTTGCTCGCCATTTCTGTTCACCACTTCAGTAGATGTCTTGATGGTTCCCTTTATGTTGCCGAAATTTGAAACCTCGACGCTAGTGCTCGATGAGCTGGCATGAAACAATCAATCTTCGCTTGTAAGGAATTCAAACGTCATGGCGACAACAGGCGCAACCAACAAGATCCGATCTCGGTCTGTCAAGAGGGGAGCTCAATACCCAGCTAGGCTCAAAACAGTCAGTGTTATCTAGAAGGTCGGAGGGCGTACTCGGTATGCCATTATCGCCACAAGCATATATGATGCAGCGGTCGCATACACGCGCAGCTACTTCCCTGGATATCCTGGACATCCTGATCAAATCGAACCGTGTGCATACCGAGAGGCTGTGAAGAGCTACAGCGACATAGCGGACCACAGCATCAAGCACGCAATGCAAGCCTCCTGCCAATGTGGACTGGTGCAATTCACATGCCCTTTACCGAAGCCAACCGTAGTCTACATTTGCCACTGCACAATATGTAGACGACAGTCCGGCTCCGCGTTTGGCATCTCGGCCATGTTTCCAGCATTCGATATCTTCCCAACTCGTTCCGATGATGTTCGAAAGTGGTCACGTCCAACGGCTTCTGCCAAGACGATGCATTGTTACTTCTGCAGCAGGTGTGGCTCGAGGTTGATGCATGCTCGCGATGGGGTGAGCAGCGTCAGTGTCAAGGGCGGAGCTTTGGAGGATTTGTCGGAGGAGATGATGGCGAAGGCTGTGCATATCTGGACTGCTGATGCCATTTTTGAGATACCAGAGGGAGTGGTGAGGTTTGCTGGAGAGCCGCCGGAAGATTGATGAGAGGCGATACTATTCAGCGATTCTCGGCCACCACGGGCCTTCTTTCTGCTGTATCCGTACCAGAAGCAAACCTGTCTGGCCATTGTCGACTATTCCACTTTGCGCATATATGCAAACAACAATGGTCGCCACTGCGAGCCTGAAGAATGGCAACAGCAACTACAATGCGCTGAAGGCAGGGCAGCAGTCTTGTCTTGTCTACAAAAGTGTGAGCCATGCTCTTCTTGCTAGTCCTGTTCCAATCCATCATCTCAGTACGGACATAGCAAAGATGAGCGGAACTTACAGCAACCCGATCAACCTCGACAACCCTACCTTTGACTTCGAGCAATCTGAAGCGATCGATGCAGCCTATCACACCATGTCATACGGATCACAGCAGACACGTCCTCTGAAAACCGAGAGCGATGATCGCGGACCGGGAACGACACCACAGACCCCACCAATGACCATGCCGCTGCCAACGCCACCAACTGCCTCCCAACTTGGTCCGGCAGCGGGCATGAAGGTCGAGAGTGTTAAAAAAATTGGAGGATCTTGTTGTTTCAGAACAGGCATAGGCTGGCTGCAAAAGTAGTGAATCGTGGCGGTTCTGTACAATGCCTTTGAAGTGTCGTCTATATAACAGTATCGAATGGCACGATGCAGCTACCAGCTCTGTGCAGAGACGTGGCAACAGCGCGATTGGTAAGCTAGCGATGAGGAAGGATATTCTGCCTCGAATAGCTGTCGGTACGGCTCTGGCTTGTACTAGTATGATCGATGCTTCTGCAGCAAATCTGCTCTCTTCCACGGCTCGACCAGGCTACAATATGGCATGCTGAATTGCAAGTCGTGAATGCGACTGACTCAGCAGCGTATGAAACGTGGCCGTCAGTTCGAGCTGCCTTGTGCTGCTGACTTCGTTGATGGCCGCTGATGGCTTGCGTGGCGAACCGCCTCAACCAGATGTCCCAATGCCGTGAATCGTTTTTTCCGACCGTCGATACGCTGAACTAGTAGACTTGCCCACCATAATATACTTTCCTCACATCGACCATCTTCCTCCCTCTCGCCCTTGCAATATCCTCCGGTAGCTTCTGTGTAGTTAAAGCCTGGAAAGCAGCTTTCACGACATTCATCTTATTGCGTGACCGCGGCGTTCTAGCAGCGAGGTCCGATATGCCAGCAGCGCGAGCGAGCTCAAAGATGAGATGTTGACAGCGGTTGCCAAATCCTACAAAGTATTAGCACGTTTTCAACACCCACAGATACATGTCAAAGTCATCTCACCAGGCGGTCTAGCCATCAACTGCACCACTGCCGCTCCAACCTTTGCCTCCACATCACCAAAAATTGTTCTCTCTTCATACCGTGCAATCGGCCGCATATTCCTGATCGCATTCATCATAGCCTGCCTCCTCCCATCCTCATCTTCCGCCGCTTTGCCCTCTCCAATTCCTAACATTCCATCCTGATTTCCTGCTATGGTTAGGTAGTACAACGACTGAATCTTCCCCATACGTGTCTGATTGACCACACGATGAGAAACGAGATTCTTGACACGTATCCGCGAGATCTGCTGGGCGTCTAGGCCAGTCTGTTGACGGAGACGAAGCATATGTGGGTCTGCTTCTTCGGAGGCGTAGGATGTACCCGGGATCTTCTGTTTCTTGGCCCGGCGACTGCGATCTTGGTCTTGTTGAGCGGCTGCGTCGTCTATAGCTATGCGGATGGGTTTGTCTACTGTTGGCCGTATCGTGGCAAAGTCGTCGATGTAGGTTGGGCGGAAGGCATCTCCTCGTAGTCGGCCTTGTTCGGCCATATCGCGCGGATTGATGGCTGCTTCGCCGGCTTCGATGGCGGCCATTTGTTCGGGTGTGTACCGCTTTGCTAGGAGTTCCTTCTCGCGGTCTGTGTATGGCAGTAGTTGCGCGGCGCGAGCATCAATATCGGCATTCCGGGCCTTTTGCTCTTCCAGCTTCTTTTGGGAAACAGATGGGTAGGCGGGTCTCCGGCGAGCTGGTCGGGGGGTCGAGGCGTGGAACTGACGGCGAGGTGCAGACTGAACGGTTTGACGGAGTGTGTCTGTAATGCGGCATGACAGGCACTGATACCCTTTCGAAGACATCTTGGCAGTTGTGGAAAGTGTCGTGTGCTTGGAATAGGTTGTAGCATTGAAGCTGGAGATCATCAATTGCGAGCTTCGGGGGTCTTCGCCGCAGACATGGCTTGGCAAATGCGTACATTATAGAACATTATCAGCATCATCTAACATCCCTTCACCTGCATTGTGATTGAGGTATTGTATAGTGGCGTAAGGAAAGACAGGATTGTCAGCACACCGTGGAGAGACTCTCTCCATACCAACCATGGCATTGCCAGCATCCGCCACAGCACTTCGAGGTCTAGGATGTCACAATTGTCGGCAATGGGCTCTACGAACATTCATCGCAAGCATTGGCGGAAAGGACACATCCTCGACAGTACCGCAACAACGGAGGACTATCGCACAATCGACCTGGCGCAGCAATAGCGCGAGAGAAAGAGTCCAGGAGCATGACCATATCCTGAACGATATCAATGATATCGCACCATCAAGATGGACGCCAGCGAATTCGTCATCTCTTGCTTCGTATGACGGCGCTGAGGAAAGAGCTTTCGCAGAAGTCATGGACAGCGATACAGGTGTGGACGATGGCAACGCTGTGAGGTCTTTCACTACACTCGATCAACGTACATCTCGAAGGGTCGAGAATGGTACCGAGATTGCACGAGATGATGTTACGGAAGAGCAGAAGGAGGGTTCATCCATACCATGGTATCTTCAACAAAGCCAGCAACCAACCGAACCACCGACTTTCGAGAACCCCATGGCAGCTCGCCAACAGATACCCGACCTACCAGACCATGCGCCGTCAATACTCGAGCCCTTGCTGAACAACATCTCCATCGAGCAAGGCATGGACGATCTCAATCTCCTCGACCTTCGCACTATCGATCCTCCTCCAGCACTAGGCTCGAACCTGATCATGATCGTCGGCACCGCGCGATCAGACAAACATCTCCACGTCTCAGCCGACCGGCTCTGTCGCTGGATAAGGACAAAATACAAGGACCTAACACCCTACGCCGACGGCCTCCTGGGTCGAAACGAACTGAAGCTCAAACTCAAGCGTCGCGCAAAACGTACCAGATTGATTAACGCAGTCGGCGCCTCCCACACCTCAGCCGGTTCCGGCTCAGCAGAAGACTCGGACATGGATGTCGAAGAAGGTATCAGGACGGGCTGGGTTTGTGTGAATATTGGACGGGTTGAGGGTGGTGAGTTGCCTGAGCAGAAGGCTAGACGGGAGGAGAGGGAGAAGGGCCTTGTAGGGTTTGGGGAGGGGGAAAGTGGGTGTGCGATTGTGGTGCAGTTGATGACGGAGGAGAAGAGGGAGGAAGTTGGGCTGGAGAGGTTGTGGGGTGGGATTTTGAGGGCGAGTAGGAAGGAGGCTGCTGCTGTTGCGGCTGAGAAGGAGGAGCGGGATGCTGGGGTGCTAGAGCAGTCGTTGGGGTCTGGCGAGGCTGTCAATGATGATGGTGAGCAGCCTAGGGTTGTTGGCATTGCTGCATGAAGTAGATACACAACCAATATGCAGCGGACTCATCACAGCTTTTAGACACATATCGCGTCTTGGCCATACCATACTATATACGTCCACAATCGTGATAATAGTGTGCCTGATATTATGTCTCGACTGTTTATGCACTGACCCCCCGATTTCAGCCTCTGCTCGTCATGTCCATACGTCATTTGAAAGTGGGACATTGAATTTCGCGTTTGTCTCATGCTCTCATCTCATACTCTATTGGACTACCAGTACCACACCTAAACCACTCCCAAACGCAACAGACAACTCAGCAAATATGTCCGGATCAAACGTCGGTAGCGCTTCCACCTACGAGGCTGGCGATCAGGTACGATATGCATACGAGAGCCATTGGTGCCACCCGACGACTACGCAGAACGTAGCTAACACATCGGGTAACAGCGCACCCAGCCCGATAGCGAGATTAACAAGCAGAAGGAGGAGGCGAGATTCCATGAGGGCAAGGAGAACGCGCACAAGGCTAACGATGCCAGTACGTCCATGGCAAACCCCGCCTCCGAGACGCATTAGACAACGTACTGATATGATTTGTACAGAGGACGAGCGCTCCATCGCCAACAAGCTCGCACGTGAGTCAAAGCGAGAGGAGGAGGACGGACCTCTTGACGTTGAGTCGATTCAGTACAAGAAGGATGCTACGCTGCCCGTGAGTACAAACCATATGCAGGAGTTCATGAATGTGATGCTAATGTCTGGAATATAGGCCCGATCCCACGGCAATGAGCCATCGAAGGGTGCTAAGATCGACCAGGAGTTGAGGGAGGAGGAGGAGGAGATCCTGAAGAAGAAGGGCAACTTTGGTCCTGCTGCTAGCAACTAGAGGTCTAATTATGATCGATGAGGTCCTGCTCGAGATCATGGCTACTCTGGTGACATTATGTCCAAGCTGTAGGATTCAGCATATATGAGATAAAAGCTATATTCTCACAACTAGCATATTCATTGTTCACTGTGTATTCGAGCCTCGTGTGCCTGCCCTGTGCGCTTCGGTTCCGCCACGAATTGACTGCGCCACATCTGTACTTCGTGACCTCGAACATGACTTCTTGTCTTAGGCAAACATGTGGACTAAAAACTCCAGCCTTCGACCCGTTGTCAAAGGATCTTCCGCGCCCGGACACACAACCACGTTCCGAATGTTTGCGATGAATCGATGAGCGAACCTCCATCTGGAATTTGTGGCGGTACCTCATGCAAAACACCTACCCATGACCAGAATACCATGAACCAGATATGGGCCAAGGACAATCCACCGCGCTACCTGCGGGCCCTACCGCACTCGAAGCAGCCGAGCTAGCAGATCTCACCTTCGAAAAGCCCTTGGGCGGTACTCGATTCCTGCGCACCGTCCGGGCAAGGCATCAGAACGGCATCGTCGTCGCCAAGATCTGCCTCAAATCCAACCCGAGCATCTCCTTCAAATCCTACGCCAAGGCCCTGCGACAGGAACGACAAGCGCTGGCCGACGTCCCTAATGTGCTGAATTATGTGCGTATTCGCGAGACGGGTGCCGTGGGGTTGTTGGTGAGGCAGTATGTGCATTCGAGTCTTTATGATCGAATTTCTATACGACCGTTCTTAGAGGGTGTGGAGAAGAAGTGGATTGCTTTTCAGCTGCTTTGTGGATTGAGGGATTGTCATGCTAGAGGTGTCTTTCATGGAGATATCAAGTCGGAGAATGTGCTTGTGACTTCTTGGGGGTGGGTGTACTTGACTGACTTTTCGTCAACTTTTAAGCCGGTCTATCTTCCCGAGGACAATCCGGCAGATTTCTCATACTACTATGATACCTCTGCTCGACGAGTATGCTACCTTGCGCCAGAGCGATTCTTGGCAGCGGGAGAGCGGGCGAGCGAGGGGAATGTTGTGCAGTGGAACATGGACATATTCAGCTTAGGCTGTGTACTGGCAGAGCTCTTCACGGAGGCGCCGACTTTCACGCTCAGCCAGCTCTTCAGGTATCGAAGAGGCGAGTACGACCCTACGGCCTCCCTCTTGAGCAAAGTGGATGATGAGCACATGCGAGCACTTATCTCCAGTATGATCAGACTAGATCCTGGAGAGCGATGGCATGCGCAGGACTATTTGGACGAATTTAAGGCCAAGGCATTTCCGCTTTACTTCTATCAGCACTTCCATGTCTTGATGCAGGAAATCACAGACCCTAGCTCAGGTCGCAGAGCGGCACACTCAGAGACCGTCAACAACGGCGTCTCAGACGATAGGATCAATCGCATCTACAATGATTTCGAGATGTTGGCCTTCTCGCTCGGCTATGGAGATGTTCAGTCACCTCTGCCTACGCGGACGCCAAAGTTCGCGAGAGGCCTCTTCCCTATGCAGATCGACTTGCCGAACAATCGACACATCGCTAATGCTTCGCTTGCTATCTCTGGTGACAACGGCACATTCATCCTGCTCAACGTGGTCACGGCGTCGATTCGTAGCGCGGGAAGAGCAACATCCAAGATACAAGGATGCGAACTACTGCTTGCCTTTGGCGAGCGACTCCCGGACGAAGCCAAGCTCGACCGCATACTGCCATACGTTATGCCATTACTCGACGACAGTGAGCCAATGGTGCTGGTGGCTGCTCTACGTACCATGACACAACTCTTGGCATTGGTGACTGTGGTCTCCCCTGTGAACTCCTTCCTCTTCACGCAGTACATGTTTCCGAGACTGCAGATTTTTGTCAAGACGAATGGCTTCAAAACCAACTCTATCGTTCGAGCAACATATGCGGCATGTCTTGCTAGCTTAGCTGAGACGGCATCACGATTCCTGGATATGATGCAAGCACTTCGAGCTGAGGGCTCACTGCCATCTGCTGAGAAGATCGGCGATGATGATGTTGATGGGTATGCTGCCTCTCACGATGCCTACGACGTCACTCGCATCGATGTGCTGGATGCATTCGAAGGTCAGACAAAAGTGTTTCTCACGGACACGGACAACGCTGTACGTCGAGACTTTTTGACCTCGGTCCCGAGCCTATGTGTCTTTTTCGGCGAAGCAAGAGCCAGCGACATCATCCTAAGCCACTTGAACACTTACCTCAACGACCCAGACTGGCTGCTCAAATGTGCCTTTTTCCGGACCATCGTGGGCGTTGCAGTATACATTGGCGGAGCCAGCCTGGAGGAATTCATCTTGCCGCTGATGGTGCAGGCTTTAGCAGATCCACAAGAGTTTGTCGTCGAGCAAGCTTTGCGGTCATTAGCTAGCATGGCTGAGCTGGGCCTACTCCAGAGACCGAAGACATGGGAGCTGATCGACACAATTGCAAGATTCGAGCTGCATCCAAATATCTGGATCAAGGAAGCGGCTGCCCATTTCGTGTCTGCTGCAACCACATACCTCTCGGTGGCTGATGTGAGGATACTAGTCTCACCGCTCATCAAACCATATCTGAAAGTCCCGATCAGCATAGTGTCGGAGTCAGATCTCCTCGATGCGCTCAAGACACCTATTCCACGTGTTGTGCTTGATTTGGCAGTGGACTGGGCGAAACGAGCAGATCGTGGCTTGTTCTGGCAAGCTGCCAAGGAAGGCAGACAACTGTCATATCGTGCTGTGAATCGCATGCCTCCGACATCGTCTGTAGCCGAGCTTGGGCCCAAAGCGTTGAGCAGAGTACCGAAGAATGATGAGGATGAACAGTGGCTCGGTCGACTGCGCAATGCCGGATTACATGGTGAGGATGAGATGAAGCTGCTTGCGTTTCGAGAGTATCTCTGGCGTGCAGCACAGCGAATGAAGAAGGACGACCATACGACGCATCACTCACTGTACGAGCAAGTCATCAACCTCAGTGGCCTCAAGATTATGCCACAGACTGTGATCTTCGACCGAGACGTGCAAGTGTATGAGCAACGCATGCGTGATCAAGGTCATTCCGAGAGAACGATTGCCGAGGCACTTGAGGAGGCCGTGGAGTCGTCCAAAGACACAACTACAGGACTCAAGAGACTATCTCTACACGGCATAACGGGAGACCTTGATAGCCCAGCCGATGCTTCGCCTGGTGTAAGGGCAATCGACATCCAACCTAGGATGCTCTCCGAGCTCCGAAAAACGACTTCAGGCAGCCTGTCTTCCTCACCTGGCTCAGGTATTGATCTACTGAAGGCTGGCGATCGTAGTACCAGGCAGAGAAGTGGTGCTACTGGCTTGCTGAACGGCAATGATCTGCGCAACAAAGCATTACCGGCAGTGAGCACCGATGTTGCTACTGCAGCGGGCAGACTCAACACTCCGCCAGTAGGCAGCAGGAGGACTTCACCTAGCCTTCAGAGCGGCTCAAGACCAGGAGTGCTAGACCGGACAGCCAGCCATGGGTCAGTACACAACTACAGTGGCAACGACCCGGCAGTGCTGAAATTGCTTGACGCTGTATATGTGGACAGTTTCTCAATCGATCATACTGAGTTTGGACCTCTCATCCAACCAAGCGCACGAGGGCCAACACCCTCTGCCACCACTGGTACGCAAGCTGTGACATGGCAGCCTGAAGGCCGGCTCATTGGAATTTTGTCCGAGCATACTGCGCAAGTCACGCGCATAGTGGTAGCGCCAGATCACACCTTCTTTGTCACTGGCTCGGATGATGGCACGGTCAAAGTATGGGACGCAGCAAGACTGGAGAGCAATGTCTCGCATCGATCACGGCAGACGTACTCACTTCCGACTGGCGCCAAAGTCACAAGTCTCTGCTTCGTAAGCTCGACCCATGCTTTCGTCTACACAGGCTCAGATGGTAGCGTGCTTGTACTGAAGGAGGAGGTCTCTGAGCTTCATGGCATCACAAAGTATGCCAAGCTACGTGTATTGCGTGAATGGCAGATCCCAACCAGGAGTCCTGGCAAGGAGTACGCGGTATGGACCGAGCACTTCCGTGGCGAGTCTGCCAGCACCCTAGTCCTTGCCACGAATCTAGGGCGCATCCTGGCTCTCGATCTCCGCCACATGACTCTCCTCTTCGATCTAGAAAACCCAGCTCAGCACGGCACACCGACCTGCTTCTGCATCAGTCGACGCCAAGACTGGCTTCTCGTTGGGACGACGCATGGCGTGCTTGACCTATGGGACTTGCGGTTCCAGGCTCGACTACGATCTTGGACGTTCCCGTCTGCGGCGCCCATAACAAGGTTGGAACTGCATCCGAGCAAAAAGTCGGTGAAGAGGAACAAGGTTTTCGTTGTTGGTGGATCCGCAAGGGGCGAGATGACCGTTTGGGATATGGAGAAGGTGATCTGTAATGAGGTCTACCGACCTTCTTGTGCCGTAACGACGAACAGCGAGCGCCTGCATCATCGAGATTATGAGCTCAAGAACCTTGATGATGAAAGACCAGATGCCTTACTTGGTAAAGTAGCCGGCACGGTAGCCACAGAAAGTGAAGTGGGTGAGAAAGCGAACATATTGCCCACAGTGCCAACCTCACTATCTATTGGACTACATCGACCAGCTTCGGAAGATGCAGAAGGTGTCCACGCCTTCGCATTGACAGGTGGTCCAGATGGAAAGGTTCGTTTCTGGGATTGCGATCATCTCGAAAGCTGTTCCATCGTAAGTGGGTGCCCAAGCGACGAGAAAGCGACGTACAGCTATGCCTCTCTGGGACTCGATACACGGGTACTTACAGAGAAGCTCTCGTCCATCGAGCCAGCGACAGGCGCGGCAGCCGCCATGGAGGCGAGTAGAGCGACTGCATCCAGTGTGGCAAAGCGCAGTGCTACTGCCAGTACCAAGCCCAGCAGCAAGCCATCGAGGTACGACGCCATTCGGCTCTCTGCTCAAAGACTGTTAGATGGGCATCTAGATATAATCACGGACGTTGCATTGCTCGAGCGACCCTTTGGCATGGTATTGAGCGCTGATCGGACTGGACAGGTCTTCGTGCATCAGTAGATTGAGATAGGTAATGTTGTACAAGTAATTCGGAGCCCTGCATATTGTATACTGCTGTGCTGTGCCTGAGCTGAGGGTCATTGTGCGACGTGTGAGTCACTTAGTGTCTCGTCCAGTCGATTGTCAACGGTGCAGAGTGTGCTCGAGCGTGCAACGCGCGAAAGCTTCTGTCCCCGAAGGGCAAGGTAGCTTGGGGTCGTGGAAGGATCAACATAAGAAGGCACGAAGATCCTCGTTCTTCACTGTCTTCTCGTTCCTCAGAGCAAGAATAGTACAACAATCCGCCACTTCGCAAGTCCAACAGCAATCGAATACTCAAAATCCAACCAGTAATCAGCAAAAACGATCACCATGTCTGGTAATAAAATGACACAAAACGACGCTGCTCGCATCCAGAGCGCTAAGGTATGTCAATCAGACAGTCACCTTCCACAGCTCCTCCATTGTCACTAACCCTCTGACAGGCCAAGTCCGGCAACGACGCCGGCTTTGTCTCCCGCGCCCAGAGTGCCGGCGATCGTAATGCGAACGCTGGTGCCGGCAGCAATCAGCAGGGCGGCAAGAGTGGAGGCAGCTCGAACAGCAACTCCAGCAACAGCAACTCCAGCAAGAAATAAGGGGGGGGATCGGGACTGTTAGAAAGTGGCCGCGCGCACTGGGATATGTTGGCGATCGTGGGCGATGGTGTTGCCAACGAGGTGGGTGAGACTGTATTCCTGGCAGGTTGGAGGGCGGTACGGGCGAGCAGATGTCACTCCTTATCCCCCCCTGCTAGTGGTGATTAATGCTGTGGCGAGAAAAAGGCTCAATGTTCAGTTCCGCAGATAGTTGGTCAGACAGGATGCGGAATGGACCTTCATGCCAAAATCATCGCCAATCTAGTCTATGGCTTGCCAGACAGGCAAGTCGAGTCGAAGAATCTTGTTTCCAAGCCGTTGATAACACCAGCGAGTCTATTCCAGTGACATGTCTACGCTGTCGTGGTGTGAGAGCATGGTGAAGATGATACGCAAGGAGGCTTATCTTATGGTACAGCAAACATCTCTAGTTTGCTACCGTGCGATCTAGTGCCTCAGATCACGCATCGACTTACAAGATGGTTGGAAGCACAGCGCTGGCGCCTGCATTTCGCAATGGAATGGTATGGCAAAGGCGTACTGAGAAAGTATGAGATGTGTACATGTAGTGCATGCAAGAGCGTCGGGAGAAGATATCCCGTACACTACACTAGTATGAACAAGGAAGGTGAGCATTGGCAGACGTAGCGACTCTGGGCAAAAAGGACGATCCTCCTTCCATCACCTTAGTACGTTAGACCATCTCGCGTGCATCAGACGTGCGATAGGGTGATGATTGCGTGCTCCAGATAGCTGCTCAACATTATGGCCTTTCGACCTTTCTCGATGCCGCTGCTACAGGTCTCTGCACTGAGCACCTCTGCACTACTTGTGCATAACATCAAGCTAGCAGCTCTTCAGAATGGCTGAAAAGACCACGGAGACGATCGATCAGCGAAGTGCAGAGCAAGCAGATCCAATAAATTCGTCCTCATCTTCCGAGCTCGATGAAACCTATCACCTGTATAAGCAAGAAGATGCAGGCAATCTTGATCCGGACGAAGCCAAAAGGGTCCTGCATAAGATCGATTGGCATCTTATCCCACTCATGATGGGCACCTATATGCTTCAGTATCTAGACAAAAGCTCGATCAATTTCTGCAGCGTCTTCGGTCTGCAGAAAGGCACTCATTTGCACGGCCAGCAATATGCTTGGTATCGTCCTCTCTCCTGAGTCCCCAAAAGATGGGTCTTGGCTAACAGACGCCATTCCATCCCTCCAGGCTATCATCCATCTTCTATATAGGCTACCTGGTAGCCCAATACCCATTCGGACGATTACTCCAGGTATTTCCCACAGCACGGGTCATCGGCGTGGCGACCTTCGCATGGGGCATCCTACTCCTGACCACGCCGGCATGCAAGAACTTCGCCGGCATAGCCGCCAACCGCTTCCTCCTCGGAGTCACGGAGGCGGTCGTTAATCCAGGCTTCGTCCTAACCCTGTCAATGTGGTGGAGACAATCTGAGCAACCGCTCCGCATAATGCTCTACTACAGTATGAATGGCGTAGCCGGGATCTTCGGAGGCCTCCTCGGATTCGCCATCGGACATATCAATACCGGCTTGGCGCAATGGCAGTATGTCTTCCTCATTTTCGGAGCCATTTCGATGGTCTGGGCTGTGGTTTTCACGCTGTACATGCCGAACCTACCGTCTTCGGCTCGATTTCTGGATCAGAGGGAGAGGATAGTAGCGGTGGAAAGAGTGGCGGCCAACAGACAGGGAGTCAAGAATCATCATTTCAAGTGGTATCAGTTCTGGCAGTTTGCGAGGGATCCGAAGACCTATATCTTGTTCTTCATGAGTATTGCTGCGCAGATACCGAATGCTGCTTTGGGTAGCGTGAGTGGTACTCTACACACATTTCAGAGGCACTTGCTGATGAGAGTGCTTCGCCATAGTTCACTTCCTTGATCCTTACGGGTTTCGGCTTCACGGCCCTACAGACACAGTACATGCAAATACCTGGTAATGAGCACTTACCAATCCTCTGGGTTGACCGGACAAGGCGGACTGACCGCTTCCAGGCAATGTCGTACAGATTGTGACGCTCCTCGCCAGTGGCTACGTTGGCTCCCGCTGGCCGAATATGCGATGCATCATGATGCTTACAGGCAACTTGATTTGCGTGATGGCTGCCGGTCTTCTCGTTGGCTTGTCTACTGACAACAAGTGGGGCCGCCTGGTGGCTATCTGGCTTTGCTCGTCCCAGAGCGTGGGGTTCGCGATGAGTTTGATCATGGTCAGCAGTAACGGTGAGGATCAAATTACTTTGTATCCCTAGTCAATGACAAGGAGGCTGATGTCGTGAACAGTTGCTGGCTACACCAAGAAGCAACTTACCAACGCAGCTGTATTCGTCGGTACGTCTTACGGCTCATTTCACTTTGAAGAGGACTGACAAGTTCGTATAGGGTACTGCGTGGGCAACATCATCGGGCCTCAGACCTTTCGTCAGAAGGAGGCGCCGCTCTACCACTCTGCTTACGTGGCAATGCTGGTCGGGTATTCTTTCAAGACCATCTTGGTCGCTGTACTCTATGTCTACATGGTAAGAAGAGCCCAGCCGAGGCGAGAAGGTCTAGTGTCGTGCTGTGCTAACTCTAACCAGTGGAAGACCAATGTTAAGCGTGACCGGGAAGCCGCTGCGATGACTGCCGACGAGATTGCTCAGCAGGAGAAGGAGGCCATCGAGAAAGGTATGCAGGACCAGACTGAATTTGACAATCGAGGCTTCAGATACGTGCTATGAGATGCCGGCCTCTGCAGTCGTGGTGGTTCGATCATTCCTGAAAAAAATACTACCGCCTTCTGCAAAAGACGAACCGGTATATGCTGAATTTAGAAGATCTGTCTACCAACCAGCCACCATATCCGAGATGGAGAATCTCGGGATCCGACGTTGATGTCGCCAGATTCCACTAAGCACTCGATGCCCGCATGTTACTCATAGCCCGATCGATGATCGCACAGTGTCATCTGTGGCCTTGTTTGCAAGAGTACTGACCGTGGTCACTGTAACGGACCATAATGGATCGTGAGTCGCATTATAAGGGCTAATATAAGTCGTAGTAATAGCCGTCAAACTATAACTGCATCAGTTGATCATGAGATATTTGACACATCTATTGCTTGACGATCTGTCGAAGAAGTCGCATCGATGTGTACGAACATTGCGGGACAATTTCGGACTTGACTCGGCGACATGTTGGTGCTGCATCTTGACTTCATCTTCAGGTGCCAGTCCCGCAGCACATGTTATTTTCCGTGCGGTGAAAGCAGCATCGCAAGCAGCATCGTCTGAGCTACACGACTGGTCATCAGAGCATTCATTGAACATTGCACTCATTCCACTGCCACCAGCGTTCCTTCTGCCGGAACTGAAGGCCGAGGAAAGCGCGAGTGAATGGTCGCGTGAGCTGCTCCTGCCTTCACAATGGACGACTCAATACCAAACACGCAGCCCTCCTCCGACCCTGCGAATACGTCCTCCGACGCTACAGTCGCCGACACACAGCCTCAGACACAGACACAGTCACAACCCCAGATCACCTCCAGCGACGACCCTTCATCCTTCGACGCGAACGCCGATCGCGACCTCGATGCTGAGATAGGTGGTCCCACATCCTCAGCTATGAATGGGCAGGGCATGAGCTTAGATGACGGCGGGGAACTACCTTTACCATCATCAGCAGATCAAGCACCAGTCACGAACAACAGCACAATGGCAGCACAACAACCCACCGCGGCAGCAACAGCAGGAGGCGATGGACAAGCAGTAATCGAACCCCGGATACCACAAAAGAAAGACGCCAGCCTACGAGAGTTCCTCGGTAAAATGGACGACTACGCTCCCATAATCCCCGACGCAGTAACAGACTACTACCTCACTCTCGCCGGCCTTCCCCCACCACCTCAAACCGACCGCCGTCTGGCCCGACTCCTCGCCCTGGCGACCCAGAAATTCATCGCCGATATCGCAGCAGATGCCTACCAATACAGCCGCATAAGATCCACGAATACTACGTCGAATAACCCGCTTACCGGGCTCGGTGGCGCGGCGGGTTTCGGGACGGGTATGGGTGGTGGTGAGGGTGGGGAGGGGGGTGGGAAGGGCGGGAAGAAAGATGGTGGGAAGGGTCCGGCTTTGGGTGGGCCGAGGGCGGGGTATGGCGGTGGTGGGGCGGGAGCGGGACAGGGGAGGACGGTGTTGACGATGGAAGATTTGGGGATGGCGGTTGGGGAGTACGGGGTTAATGTTCGGAGGGGTGAGTTTTATCGGTAGTTTATGATGGGTCGGGCACGGGTGTCAAGTTCTTATCATTTGATTTGGGGCGTTCTGGATGAGGCTGGGACTGGCCGCTTGGGGTATGGCATAGACATGGCGTAGCAGGGATACCCACACATGAGCACGAGGACATGCAAGAAAGTGCCTGCAAGCTCAAGGCTTTGGCGCTACTGTTGTCTGTATAGTAGCATATACTGTACCAATATCTGATAGTCTGCGCTTACAGTTCGGGACACTCTCCAAGCTGGCTCAACTCAACGTAACGATTTTCTTGCTGCAAAGATACTCCGTGCGAAGCTATGCAATACGTTCCCTTCTGCTGTGCTAAATGTGGTGATGTTGTTCTCACACCAAATCGTTTGTTCGTGTATTCGCCGAGTCGGGCTTGACTCAAAAGCCGAGACCGCTCGGCTGGAATCGGCAAAGCTCAAACCTTCGTCATGGTCGCGGCTCGGCAAAATGCTCGAGCACATGCCACTCTGAGGGAGAACGACTATGCGCGACCTGCTTACAATGTCCGATATGTCCTAGATCCGATTATTTCCTATTGACTTGCATACGTCCTTCCGCCCAGTAGACAGTGACAGGGCAGAGAGTCTACTGATAGACAAATGTTGCATGAACTCCCCTAGAAAGTACGATCGCCGACATAACCACTCACGAACCCATGCGTCCATGATCCACGAAGATGCTGACTGGCCCGGTGGCAGAAATGTCGCCAACGACCTATCGACCCACGAACCACCTGAGATGACATCTCAACACACCACATCCGCCGCCGGCACAAGCCCATCAATATGTCCTGCCGACCACGAAGCCATCGTGCCCTTACGACACCAACCCAACGATGAGCAGCAGCGTAAAATACCGAAGCAAAGCTGGGAGTACATCGTCAAAAGCGGTGTCGCAGGGGGTATCGCAGCCTGCGCAGCAAAAACAGTAGTGGCACCACTGGACAGAGTCAAAATCCTCTTCCAAGCCAGTAACCCTGAATTCGCGAAATACACCGGCACCTGGACCGGCGCGATCAGAGCGATCCAGGATATCTACCGTACAGATGGCGGACGGGGCCTGTTTCGCGGCCACAGTGCGACGTTACTTAGGATCTTCCCGTACGGTGGCATCAAATTCTTGGCTTATGAGCAGATTCGCGCGGTTCTGATCAAGGGTAAGGATCAAGAGACGCCGTTGCGGAGGTTCATGGCGGGGAGTCTGTCCGGGTGCGCGAGTGTGTTTGCCACGTATCCGCTTGAGGTTATTCGGGTACGATTGGCGTGGGAGACCAAGGGGCAGAAGAGGGTGACGGTTCGGGATATTTGTCGCACGATATACCATGAACATCCGCCTGCTCCTAAGCCGCCGAGTGCAGAGGTGTTGCAGCAGAGTTTGAATATCCCGAGGTCTGCGGCGACGGCTGTTAGTGCGACGAGTGAGGCTGTTAGTGCTATTACCGTCCGATCTGGATTGGCGAATTTCTTTCGAGGGTTTACGCCAACGCTCTGGGGTATGATACCCTACGCCGGGACATCGTTTCTCGTTCATGATATGGCGGGAGATTTCATGCGATTACCACATCTTACACCATATACCGTTCTACCCATGTCCGAGCGATCGCAGAAGCATCTCGCGCCAGGCAAATCTACACCATTACGCGCTTGGGCCGAACTAGCTACTGGAGCGATTGCTGGGTTTGTGAGCCAGACTACATCGTATCCTCTCGAGGTTGTGCGGCGAAGGATGCAAGTTGGTGGTGTAGTTGGTGATGGACACAGACTTACGATGGTGGAGGTTGGCAGGAACATTCTCAAGGATAGAGGGTGGAGAGGCTTCTTTGTTGGGTTAGGGATTGGGTATGTCAAGGTGATTCCTATGGTGGCGACGAGCTTTTATGTTTATGAGAGGGGGAAAGTGTATTTTGGGATATGATCACAGTCATGGCGTTGGTGGGAAGCAGAACTGTTAGGACATGTATATACCTCAGTCAGCAAGTCGCACACTCAACCTCAGCCTTTGTCTTGTTCGATTATTCACGTAATGAAAGTGCATCTTTCTCCACTTTCCACAAGTAGCCGGGATGCCCTCGGCTCGTAGAGAAGAAGTATAATATACCGAAGGGGTGCTTACGTAACCAGCTGTGACGGCTAAACCAACGAAGTCCTCCTCACTCGAGCTTCAACCCATACAAACATCCAACCATGCGTGCCCAGTTCGAACTTGGAGGTGGTCGCCCACGCGGGTCGGGAACGCCTGCTGCTGGTGTGGTCCTTGAGTTCCTGAGGTATTCTTCAGCCGAGCGATCGGGCAGAGAGCTTCAGACCTTGAAGTGGCGGCGCTGGATTACATGCGCGGTTTGGGGGTTGGTGTGAGAGATCTATGAGGGGGTCGACGTTTTTGCTCCTTTTGGCTGTCAACCGATATTCCCTCTTGTTCAGATCGGGGATTGTGGTGAGTTGATGATGTGGAGCGAGTGTGTGTGGTGGACAAGACTCTGGTGGTCGTCGGGTTCGATTGAAGAGTGAGAGAACGGAACTTTTGCTCCATTCCTTAAAGATGACTTCGTCCATACTCTGGCAAAATATTGCGAAGACGATCACGCTTATTGATATACCGCAATCCATCGCTGCTGCTCAAGGCGCTGTCCAAAATCCGTGTCACGATGAGCTGCTTTCTACCAACGCGGTCGAGACACCCTTTACAACGAACGAGCCGAAGACCGCGGCGAAAATTGCGAAGCTGACTGCTGCATCAGGCGATCACGAGCTACATGAGCGATACGCTGCTATTCTTCGAGACGGCCTTGCTGTGGTGAAGACTGCTCATGAGAGAGACTGGTGCTTGCCGCGGACATTCGTGGTGACATCCACAGGCAAACGGAAACGCGAGGAAACTGATACTCCTACTGTCCTGGATGAGCTTGTCGCGACGGAGTCATCGAGTGAAGATATTACTGTCACAGCTACCATCGCTGACGGTCCCGAATACACGGACAACTACTGCAGGCTGGCTCATAGAGCAAACCAGGATGACGTTTCCTCCCTGTCGGCCTCACTGGATGACAAGCTGGTGTACAATAGAGAGATGAACCAAGCTACGATTCGGATGCGAACGACGTCTGAGACTGGAAATATCTATCGTGTCCCACCACGTTCATCCTTCTATCTTGGAGACTGTCACAGTGGCAGAGATTTCCGCATAGCAATTCGTGCTCAAGCTGAGCACGAAGATTCTTGCAAGGACTTCGACTTCATACTTCTGGATCCACCCTGGCCGAATAGGTCGGTCAGACGCACACACAAGACACCTGGCTCAACGTATAGCATCGCACCCAATCTCAACGAAGTTGAGGATCTGCTTTTCGGCATGGACCTCGATATGCTCATGGCTGACGACTGTCTGGTTGGTCTTTGGATCACGAACAAGCCCGCAGCACGCGAGATGGTACTTGGCGAGGGCGGTCTCTTCGCAAGCTGGGGCGTACAGCTGTGCGAGGAGTGGGTCTGGTTGAAGACCACGATACATGGCGAGCCTATCACGCCGATCGAGGCTACTTGGAGGAAACCTTACGAGGTTCTGCTGCTTGGGCGCAAGCGATGTATCGACGCTGCAGGCATCTTGCCTGTTCAGACCAAGATCATTGTGGGTGTTCCAGATCTACATTCTCGCAAGCCTTGTCTTCGCGAGCTGATGGAGCCACTCGTGCCAAACAAGGAAAACTATCGTGCTTTAGAGGTCTTTGCCAGATACCTTGTCGCTGGCTGGTGCAGCTGGGGTAACGAATGCATCAAGTTCAACAGCACTGAGCACTGGAAGAGCCGCGGCTCCAAAAGGCCTCGACCGAGCAACGCCTAACACACAAGGACACTACTGAGCCCGAGCAAGTTTTGAAGTCGTCAAAGACCTAGCAGGACAATTCTAAATTACGGTCTATATTCTACAACAAACTTGCACTACCCTCATGATACAGCCTTAATAGACAGCCGGCCCGCTGACCTTCAGTGCTGCTATCGCCTGCTCGATCGTGATAACATCAATTGGCACCTTTGGCAGAATACCCTCGAGGATGTTGGTGTTGATGTCCGGCGTATTCGGAGGTGTCTCAATGGTATTGTTCGCGATCACGTAACTACAACGACGTCAGTAGATGAAGACATTCTCTCCCGTCTGCAGGGTGAGCCCTTACACCTTGTAGTCCAGATCAAACAAGCGGTATGCTGTACTCAAGATAACGCCCGACGTTCGAATACCGGAAAGAATGACGGTGTCGATCTGCTGTGCTCGCAGAATCTCCTCCAGCCCATTACCAGCACCGGCATAATATCGAGTCTTCTGCAAGACCACATCTCCAGCTGTATCGTTCACATAGAAAGCTGGATAGATCGCTGTCATGTTCGAGGAAGCTGTCCCGAGCGCACCACCAACTTGTGCGAAAGGTGTAGCAGGGCCAATCTCAGGTTTGTGGCTATTCGAGAAGAAAATCCTGGTGAAGATGGAGAGGGGTGCAGGGGTTTGAGCATGCACGGCATTGATCCAGTCCGCGGTGTTGGAAATGAAGCTTTCGCCTTCAGAAGTGGTGGCGACGGAGCTGACGAGGGCGTTGATCAAGTCTAGGTTTAGGACTGCATAGTGTTGACCAAACGAAAGAGTCTTGTTCGCCGGAACAGTGCTGGAGATGGTATTGTTGCAATCATCGTAGCCTGGAGTTGTCGTGCTCTGCGCAGCGGTAGATGATAGAAGGCCGGTCAAGGCTGCAGTGAAGAGCGTGGTCCGCATCCTCGTTGCAGTATACTACTGTCGTTTCTGTGATTGATAGTATTGATTGCCGCTGCTGGTGATGCTTGGATAAATTATGATATTAATGCGCTCTTGCGGGATGATCAGGTTAGAAATATACGATTCCAGCGCCGTTGTTGTCATGACGCACGCTTCACTCACCGCAGCCGTCTTCATGTCTCGGTCGTAGCCATGGCGTCCTTGCTCCATGCTAGCGTGATCTACCAGAGTGCAAGCGTCATGTCAACGGACGAATTTGGGTTTCAAATCTTTCTCGGCAAATGTGCCGGAGGATTCGGTACCGAGATATAATATTTCCACTTTGGATCACGATCCGGGCTGCAAACTCTCTCGTACATCTAGAGGAGGCTATCATCAGTCTCCTGAGTATCAGCGGCACATAAAGGACTGGACATACGGTCCGGACAAGAGCTATTCTCACGAACACCCTTGGCAAGCCATCGTACTGTCTGTTGCAGTCGTAGCGAGCTTTGTTCACGCACCTGTGTGATAGTGGTTCACGCCAAAACGATGCCTTTTTCACCAATCTCTTCTGCGTGATTGTACCACGCCTCCGGCAGGTTCGAAATGGCGCCCACTCGCTCGTACGTCTTCCAATCTCCAATCACGATCTCCTTCCGGTGATGCGCCACCAGCCCGATGTGGTCAAAGTCGAGCTTCGCCGTCTTCGCGACACACAGAAAGGAAGCTTCTGTGTCAAAGTTCCGCCATGTCCGAGTCTCGCCTATGTTTGCTCGCCTTATACCCTGGTTACTAACGGTACCGCTAGCTACGTCGCGAGACCCAGTGGCTATGAGCATTCCATCGGACGGAAACCACTGTTCCGCTGACTTTGTGCCGTCTGGTCTGTGGTAGTATGCAAGATACTCGTTGGCGCCGGGATCGAAGCGGACTCTACAGCGCAAGAGTCGGCCCGTGATTAGAATGAATCCTGTACTGACATCGCCAAAGACATTCTCTGACTTTCTGTTCACGTGTGCGCCGAGCAGCTTAGCCAGATGTGTGATGCCGCGATATCCTGTCCATACGACACCTCGATCTATGGAGCCCCATGAGAAGGAAGGTAAGCTATTATCATCAGTCGCATATGCGAGTCCTTGATTCTCTGCGCCAGGCATGGCATGCCATAGCAGATCATTCAATAAATTCTCGCTCCATAGGCCTGCGATATACTGATAACCATTCAGCTTCTGAAACCTTGTTGCAATACCACCGATGGCTGTCAGCTTGTCTTTGGGGAAGGTGAGCCGCCGGTAAGTATATGCTTTCACGCACATCTGCCACTTTCGTGCCAGCGTCAGCTCGCCAAGCGTGTCTTCAGCAGTGGAAGGATATGGAGGCAGGGAGCCCTCGAGCATGCGATGAGTTTTGCACTCGTAGATTAGACTTCCTGGGGTGAAGTGCAAGATACGAGGAGCGAGATACGCTTCTTGGAACGCCCAAGCGCGCTGGTATAGGGGACCTGGACGACGCAAAGTTGCCCAATCGCTGGTGTATGGTGGCTCTTTCAACCCTTGATCCAGTCGTGCAGCTAGTACAGCACGCCTACGAACCATGTAAGTCACAGGCTCACCCTCCTTCGGATGGAACTCTACGTCCTTCGCCGCCCACTCCTCAGCCCTTGGGCGTAAGAATGGTGTGTGCGGATCGGGCGAGGATCCGGCACCTAGCACAAGCTTTGCGTGGCCGTACACATCTCCCATCATAGCGGCCTCGCGCTCCCAGTCGGCAGGATCATCTTGTACAATACAAAGGGAGTCGATCCATATATAATGAAAATCCAATTGTCGTGCAACGGTGACGGCATTCTGGAAGGTGGCTGGCAAGTCCTCCCACGCAATTGCCTTCTCGAATGCTGCCCTCGTTGCGTTCGTGAGATTGATGATAGTACTACCACCCCAACAGTGACTCATTGCGACCCAAGCAGGCATGCCGATAGACTCCGTGCAAAGACGTATCTCGTCTTGTCCAATGTAGATGAGGCGAGTAGGCACGAAGATCTCATCCTCAGCCTGCGAGATGGTCTGACATGCGGTGTGATTCTTGTTACAATCCTCCAAAGCTTGTCGCATAAAGGCCAGGCTTTCCTCTGAATCTGATGACTCTGGGATTGGTCGCGCAGGTCCAGCTGTTGGCAGATCACCATGAGCTTGCTCTGATGCCTTAGTAGTTTTCGGGTAGACTTCGATATCGACTCGCGCATGCGCCCAGCTCGGATCGAACTCCAACCCACGACACCAAATGATAAGTGGCCTGCCCTCGCAAATCGTTAAGCCTACTTTCTTCAGTCGTAAGGAAGCATAGCTGAGCATACCCATACCAGCAAATCTCGGAAAGACAGCATCCAGGACATCGCATACGAAGGCGCAGTAACGGCATGTGCTCAACGGCTCACCTTTCTCATTCCTAAGGCGAGGCCCCATTATATCCTTGAGCGAGATCTCGTCAAGCTGTAGCGACGGTACCTTCCCAGCGACGTCCCGTGCGGCTAGCGCAGCATTATCTAGTGATGCGTCCCAGAACCCACGGCGATTGCCCAGGGACTCTTCATGGCCAGTAGGGCGCAGATTGTTGCATGTCATGCATACACCACTGAGCGAGCCTTGGAGGTAACGTGAGAACATGCGGCCAAGGTGGTCGATGGATCCGGCACGTTTGTCTGGGTCCTTCGTGCCCTCGGCAAAAAGGGCGAGTTCAGATGCGGTCAGATTCGACATCGTGCTTTGGCTTGATCTACTAACAATGCTGCTCCTGGTGGGGAGCTGGAGGTAGGCTATATCCGTGTCGTGAGTTTCTCAAAATTGATTTCAAGCTGCTGTCACACATCAGTTGAGCAGCGTGTCATACATGTGTTCTGTGACTTAGATCCACAGGCTTCATACTCAGCTTTCCCATCTCAACGATCGTCGGTGAGCTGTGAGGATTCTGTGGCGTTCGGTCTGGCCTCGAGCTTGCTACTAGTCGACGCCACATGCTGTTGGCTGCAGCAGTCATACCTTGACGTGGTGCTGACTCAAAATGTTTCTGCGCGACAATATTCTGGTGACAAGCAGCCCAAAATTCATGCTAAAGTCGACGAAGGAGAACTTATCCTTGTTCTTACCTTATGACTGGAGGCCGGTTTCGCATGTCCACTCGGGGGACTGCATTCAATAGGTCTCCACAATCGACATGGGAGGCGGCTGATTTGAAAATCGTTCATACCATGTCTACGTTATGTACACTGGCCAATACCAATATGCTCAGTCCCGCGAGCTTGGATCATGTAGGGATGCTTTGCTCACGCCTCCGTCAGAGCCGCAGGCCTCGACCGCTTAACAACACCAAGCTCGACCAGACGTTCCCAGACAGTATCTCGAGCATGCAAAGCACTCCTATCAAACACCAATCCATCGACTCCGCCCAGACCAGCACAAGTATGCGCTAGCAGAAGCTCATATACCCGTCTGCGCAATTTCGTCTCCTCGTCCAGTCGGAGCTGATGCTGTCGATCCTGTTCGTTGTGGCCTTGTGGCAAAATATGTTTCGCCTGCTCCCTCACTGCATCATCCTCATCATGATTTGCTGAGTTGACTCGACACGCCTTGCGCACAAGGCTAGTATGCGATGTCAAGACCGGAGCATAGAAGCCTTGCGTCACAGGATTGTCCCGCACATCAAGCGACCTCAACGTCGGCAGCTTGCTGAGTGTGGCAACACTCTTCCGCAACCGGTCGAGTCTGTTGCCACATACACTAAGCTGCTCCAGCTTCTGTATGTTCAGGAGTGGTCGGGTGTCTCGTAGAGCATTGAAGTTGAGATTCAAGGTGCGCAGATTCGGCAGGCGAAGTCCAAAGTCATCCGGCAGATCCTGGAGACCGACTGATACAAGCTCAAGGTGCTGAAGATTGAGGCAGCTGGTCATGATGGTCATGGAAGGCATCACATTGCCAGATAAGCGCACATCCCGAGCTTCGCAGCCTTGATCAAAAATGGAAACGGCTTGTCCAGTGCAGAGTTTTTGCCTGCGCAACGATAGCACATTGAGATGTCGCAAGCTGCTGAGTCCGATGATAGTCTTCAGGCTGTTGTCGTCCGCATACAAGTCGCGGAGCTGTGGGAGATGTATCACATCCAGTTGTGCCAACTCGCAACGTTGCACCGACAATGTCTGAAGAGTTGCAAGTGAGCTATTGAAGCTTAAGCCAGCCGAGAGCATGTTGCCGTCGAGCACACACTTTTGTAAGGCATAGAGCTGCTCCAGATGCTCAACGGCGCAGATATTGTTCTCGGCAACATCAAGGTCGACGAGGCGCTGTAGATGAGTGCCTTCAAAGTCCAGATGCTTAACCTTGTTCCCGCGAACACTCAGTTTCAGGAGGCCATCCAGCTCGTGCAGGCCGTCCAGATTTGCGATCTGGTTGTCGTTGGCAGTGAGTTCTCGCAGATGTACAAGACAATCCAAACCAATGAGACTTGTGAGCTCGTTGTTAGACAGATCGAGGTATTGCAGATTCATCAGGTGATGCCATGAAGACAAGCTCGACAGCCGGTTCGAACGAGCATTGAGCATGCGCAAGGTCGGAGGCGCTCCTTCTAGGTGCGTGAGAGCATTATCACTGACGTTCATGCGCTGAACACCAGTGCAAAAGTCGTCGAGGCCGTACAGAGACGGCAAAGAGCGATCATGCAGGTCGAGCTCGCGAACATCTTCCCAATACGGTTCAGCTTCTTGCACATCTGTCAATGTCTTGACCAAGTCTTTCACGGCAAAAGCGTATCGATCGTTGACCTGGACCACGGCGTGGCGCGCCAAGCGCTGAGCAAGTGCTTTCTCCGAAGGCCTCTCCTCGTCCTCCTCGTGAACAGTGAAGTCGGGCAGGTCGCTGAGCAAGAACGTCGAGTTGAGGTCGCCTTTGGTTGGAGATGATTGAAGGTCAGTGATTTGTCCATAGGTCTGGTGGCGAGTGGTGGCCGGTCTGGATACGCTTAGTGACAGGCTCATCACGCGCTCGCCTGGCAATGCTGCGATGAGGGAGATCTCGCTCTGCTCTCTTGGCTGAGCATAAGCTTTACTTGTCAAGGTCTGGCGACGCAGAGACATCTGACGGGCCGGCATCTCCTGCCATGCCTTAGCTGGTGCGGTGAAAGGCCGTTGTATGCTCTTCCGGAGCTTCGGCGACTCGATGGGTCCCAGACTCTGTTTCATGCCATCAAGCGCCGTATCGTCGCGAAGTTCAGCTTCAACCGTAGCTTGTGTCTCGCCCTCTTCTGTATGCGTTGGCAAGGACGACTCCTCCATCAACGGCTCCTCCACGACCTTCGCACACTCCCCTCGAAGCGCAAGAGTCGCTTGAGCAGCTGCATATGCTAATGGCTGGTTTCTAGCTTTACCCATATTGCTCATCCTGGCTAGCTCCTCGTCACTATATGATGTTGCACGAGTCTCGACTTTGTCCTGCGTGCGACTAGACGCAAAAGCTGAGTAGCGTGATGGTACCGAGCTGGAGTGAGCATGATGGATGCGGCCTTGCGTGTGGCTACTATCTCTTGTCACAGGCCGTGAGATGACAGTCTCAGCCGAATTCTGTCGCTCTTGAGGTTCCGGGACGTCACACGCTTGCTCGGGCACAGCAAAGTCGATTTTCTCAGAAGGCAGACTAGCTCGGCGAGTGGTCTTAGCACTCGAGCTGATCCGACGCAGTTCAGTCTGCTCGTCCACATGCAGGTCTGAGATCTCTCGAAATGGATCATCATCACTTGTCAAAGTGCTGGGAGGCGCGAGATACTCGCGCTTCTGCTTCTCCGGACTCTTGACACGGACCCATCGCTGTTGATGCTTGTCGAAGGTCATGCCTCCAACCTCTTCGCCGATCAGATGAGCGACAGCATCTGGTGCTAAAGTGCCAACATTTTCGGACTTCCGAGTGGAGCTTGTACCGTGGGTACGCCCGGTGGATGGCTGAGTGGCGTAAGCAGTACTTTCGGATCGCTGTGAGCTAGGACGAGAGTCATCTTGGCTCTCTTCGCCACGGCTCTGCTCAGCTATCGGGCCCGAGATGCGAATGTTCGAGGCCTCGTCAAGGACGATAACATTGTCAGCTCTGCTATCCTCGTCGTTGATAGCCAAAGAAGCAATAGACTCTGCAATGAATTCTGTATTTTCCGTCTCCTGAAATCTCCGCAAGTGGCTGACGACCCTCGGATCGGTCTGTGGTTGCAAAGCAGATCTCCAGCCACTGTGCCTGCCCTCCCTGGATGGTGGTCGCGAAATGCGGAGTGACTGTCCAGGGTCCTGCAGAGAGTGATCCGGCGTAAGAATATTCTCCACGCCCTCTCCTTCAGACTCCTCCACACTGCCCAATCCACTCGCTGGACGGGCTTTGGCCCGAATGAGCTGCATGACCATTACAGCCTCGTTCATGAAGTCCTGCGTCGTGATAGATCTCTTGCGTTGACCAAACTCGCCAGAAGGCTTGTGAACACGCAGCGTGAAGTTCGCCACTTCCGCAGCCAACGCCTCAGCCTGCTGCTTGAAGCTAGGCGGACCGTCCATCGAGCCTGCGATAGACGACTCGATATGCTCCAACACTGCTTCTAACCTTTCCGGCTCCTGCTCAGCAAATTCCTCAGCTGCCTCCCTAAGTTCAGCTCGGATCTGCTGTCGACGCTGACTAGGCGTTGGATTGCGTGGTCGAAGGATCTTGCGGCTGGCGAGGGTGTCCGGGTCTGCGATGTCCTGGCTATCACCTTGTCGGGCATCCTTGCGTTTGCGACTGCTGCTAGCTTCCTGCATATGATTGTGGTAAGATAGGTTTGCTTCCGAGATGCCATCCGCAAGCTCTGAGGCGTGCAGTGTCCGCCTACGCTTCGGTGTCGGGTTCTTGAATGGCGATGTAGGTGGCCTTTTGCCCGTGTCGAAGGTTCTGACCTGATCAGCACGCTCGTAGTAGGCGTCCATCTCAGACGCATCTTCCACTGTTGCCTGCAGTCTAGCAGGTGATGTCGGCCGAGCTTCGATAGTTGATGCCTTGGAACTAGCTGGACTGCGCTTGGAGAGCTTCCGCTTCATCTTGAAAGTGCTGCTAACAATCGGCGAGGTCTCTTGTCTGAAGTTGAGAGGGTCCCTGCCACCAGGCACTGATATCTCTGATCCAGGTGATCGATCTGAGTCGGACGCGCTCGTGACTGTTATCTCAGCATTGAAAGCGTGCTGGTCCAAAAACCCACTTCCGAAGGACTGATGAGATGAGGCTATAGAGACCTCGCGCTTGCTCGATGGCGGCAAAGATTCCTCTGCGGTATTCGGCAACTCGTCCTTGACAGGGTTACCGTCTGGATCGAGCTGGCTCATGCGCCTTAGTAGTCGATTACTTGTGAAAGTATCGTGAGGCCCAAAAAGCTTCAAAGGACTTCCAGAAGATCTCGACTTGGGCAGATTGGGTGTCCTCGGGCGCAGCGGAGTGGACATCGCAGCTGGAGGGGTCGGAGCAGCTGGCAAGTACCGACTGTACGCAGCTGAAGGAGAAAGCAGCTCACTCTCTTCGCGAATCGCGCTGTCCTCGACTTTGCTGGGTGATGGGCTGAGAGGCCTCTGATTAAAGGAGCCGTAGCCAGAGTATCCGCCTCGGTTGAACTCGATGTTACCATTCAAGCTGGCGACAGGCGGTGTTCCGGTCGGAAGGTTCTCTGACAAGGAGAAGTCGGGTCCTGTTGGTAGTGTGTCGGAGCCTGGACCATCTGTGAAAGTCGACGCTTCGATGCGGTCGGCATTAATGTCACGCTCCGGAGTGTTGTCTTCGTTCTGACTGGGATGCCGAAGGTTGATGTTCATGCTCTGGAATTGCTTGATGGTGTGCGAGTCAAGAGCGGCATAATTGATCTGCCCATTGATAGTGGTGTGCTTTGAGATGTATACCGGGCTGAAGTCCTCCTGTTCGAGCTCCGTCTGTCCACTGATGGTGCGATTGCTGACGGCTGGAGTATCGGCTTGTTGCTGTATCATAGAATTGTCGTCCTCCTGTTGCAAATCACTCGAGCCTTGGAGGTCAAATGAGTTGCTGCGATAGCTCTCTTGCCCAGAGGTCTCCTCGTTGCCGTCGTACAGCTGCTGTTCATCCTCTTGCAAAGCTTCAAGCTGTTCTGACCCTCCGTTGAGGGAGTAATGCTTAGGCCATGGAGGTGGGCTGGACGGCATGTGAGCATCGCCTTTCTGCAGCCAGCTCATGCGCTTTCTTGGCTTGAGATCCTCGTTCTCTGGTCCTTTCGACCTTGCAAATATGTTCTCCAAGGCTGATGGCCCGAAGAGATCCGTCTGATCGCCATAGCCAACCTGACCAGCCACCAGTCTTTTCTTCCACTCCAATGTTTCCTGCTGCTTCGCTGGCGATGCACTCTTCGACCGCAGCTGGACTGTCCCACAGTCAATCATTGACCCATCGGAGACTTCTGATACAGAACGGGTTCCGGCAAGACGCGTGGATACGTCGCGCCTCCGAGTACTGTTGATGTTGCTGCCGGTAAGTGGTGCAAGCGGACTCCTCTTGAGCTGCGTAGTTGCCTGTGACGAGGTCTTCTGGCTGGCGATGGACGAAGGCAGCCCGCTGAGGCCTCGTCGCGGTGCTCGACTGCTGTTACTGCGTAGGGAGCTGGCATCATGGCTCGCAGAAGAAACATTGCTAGGCATCTGGACTCCTGCTGGGACTTCCCACGCTTCGTCGAGGCCTTGCAGCCATGGCGCGACTTTCGTAGTCATGTTGATCGATGATATCTGTCGCTGTTCAGATTTCGTAGTGTTGTGGTCTGATGGAAGCCGTGGTAGCCAGCACCGCTCGCCAGACGACACGTCAGACAGATGTCTTGCAGCAGTCACACGTAGTGATGAGGATTATCAATGTCCAATCGCGCCAAATGTCACGGTTGAGGTCGCTTCCTGGCCGTCTGATGCCTAGTTGTCGATTAGCGAAATCACTAGTCGTTGCCAACAGCAACGGAAGTGGCGTTGTGTTGCGCCACATCTGCTCTAGCGCCACTTCTGCCTACAGAGAGCACCAGCAGACCTCATCCATGTTTGCCACCACGTCGCTATTCACTGCTGCAACGGAATGTAGAGTAGAAGAGAAGCTGACATCCGTCCTCTCATCACCTGTTTAGTTCGGCAACAAACGCCGCAATGAACTGTCGCATCACCTTTCCGCACCACTCACTGGCATCTGAAGGTTGTTCACCATGATAAAGACTCATAAACCACGAGGTTACATCTGGACCTGTCCCTCACATTTCCAGCAATCCAAGGAGATAAGAAACATCCAATATGACGATTGTACTCCGGCATTCGCTTCGGCCATATGTCCGGAGTCTGATGACGAGCTCTCAGCTCAGGAACGAGTAGCAAAGCGACGGAGGATTGAGAAGCTTGCGGATGACTATCTCAATGGCCAGCCGCTGTTCATCTCATCCGCAAGGCCTCATCCTGTGACACTAAGACATCTCGTGGAAGGCAACGAACGGAGTCGGTTTGAGCAGAAGTACACTCTGCCCACGGCCGAGGAACTGAAAGATGCAGTCCTTGAAGGAGAGTCCACAAAGTCTCGCGCGACGATCAAAGAGACTTCCCGAATATCTAGGCCCCAGCAAAGATCTCGAAGGCCGTTCAGACAGGTTGTTGAGCAGACCGTTACAGAAGAGCGCGCCACATCCGCTTGCAAGCAGTTCCGACAGTTCAAGCCTATCAAAGTATCACTCGAGCCCAGCACAGAAGCTGTCAAGCAAGCTGCAGCACTACGTGATCGAAGACTACGCCGCGCAGTATCCGAAGTACCACTTCCTGTCACTCGTACCTCATCGGACATTATTTCCGACTCGGACAATGTAGAGCCATGCAGCGAGCCTGGCTCTGTAGCACAACAACGGGCTATGTACAGCCGGGAGCAGCCGGGTACGGAGTGGCTACTGCGCAGGCAGACGAAGCTATTCGAGCTCAGCGCAGATGCCAGCTTTGATGAGCTCAATCGATCGAGCTTAGACATTTCTACTAGCCCGAGCCAAGCACCTAACCCAGTTCTCAAAGCGCACGGTATGATGTTGGACAGCAATGCTCCTCATAGTTCTGCAGATCCAATCACTGGCCCTGGTCCCAGGGCCTTGGCCGTGCCGAAGCCTGTAAACAGTGGAAGGACATCGCTCCTCGGCAGCTATGTCGAACACTGGGAGTGCTACGGCGCGAGTGGGATCTCAGACAGGATCCCAGACTGCAGTATTCAGCCTCATCAAATCGCGGAGCGCTATCATACTGCACCTGAACCAGCCAGTGACCGAGATGTAGCAGCAGATGACAGCCAGAGCAAGTTGCTCCGGCAACACGGCTTGTCGCCTACCAGTCGTACTTCACGGGTTTCAACAAACCAGGCCCAGGTCGAATGGCTCACGACGGAAGTTGACAGTACGACTGCGTCACCTGGAGCTGAGATTAGACGACTGGTACAGGCGTCTGCTAAGAAAGCTGGAAAAGTCCCCAAAACGACCCGAGCCAAGTCATCTGGCAACAATAAACCTCCGGGGCAATCACGAGCCACTCGAAGACGCTCAGCACCCAGTACATCGCAAGCTGGTCCCAGTACGGAAGTCGAAGAAGACAGTATCCAATATGAGACCAGCCGGACCGGATCGAGAGCATATAAGATTGCAGAGGACGACGGCACGCCTTTCATGTTCCGCAAACGAGTGGCCAGAGATGAGGCCAGTGGGCTAGAAGAGTCGAAGGACGTCCCACACAAGACAAGCATGCGGCGTGCGGTGAAGTTTCCATCATCAGAAGATACGCCCGAGGCTGCACACGAGAGCAAGAACCCTGTCACACCAAGAGTAGAAATCTCCTCTGGAGGCGACTCGTCCGCTTCTAAGCTCAGCCTTGCTCTCGCTGATGTACATCTCAACACTCTTCTACCTGACGCGCCACTGTCAGCGGGCCGCTCTTCAGCTATCAAGCAAGCCATTAGGCAAGAATTCAAGGACGCGGATGCTGACGTAAAGATCACACGTGTGACCGATGAGCCGGCCTCGTCTCAGGTTGAAGGTCTTAGCGAAGCTCGGAAACTCTCGCTCAGTTCTGTCGGTGCACTTCTCCATCACGAGGACGATGAGCAAGCCAGCGCACAGGCAATCGTCGAGAACCTGAACAATGAAGACGCGAGGGCTGTAGTTAGCGATGTTGTCGGACAGTCGTCGCCGCAAACTCAGTGGCTTGGTACGCAAGCTATGCTTGCCCAGGCCCACCGGGATTTCTTCGACTCGCCATTGAAACGACTAGGTGACAAGGACAGCCTCGATTACAAAACGCCGGATGCGAGCTTCGCCTTCCCTGGCTCCGCCCCGCCTACTGTGCATCGCGAGATCCTCCCTCAGATGTCGCCAGAGCTAGCTCCTCTGCCAAGCACGCAAGCGATTATGGGCGCCTGGTCACCCTGGTCAACAATCAAGAAGCCACGCACGAGACTGAGCGAGAAAGCAGCGGTCTTGCCTACAGTCACGACGCTCCCCGGATTCGCAGAGACCGATGGCAGCTTCCACAATCACGCAGGTAACGATGCACGCCGGCGCAGTAGTCCCCGCTTCTCTGCTTCAGCTACAAACTCGTCGGCGTCCTCCACGCGGATATCATTCAGTGTGACTAAGCCGGTGTCACAGGAGCACGCTCAGGAGAAGTCGAGGGCTAGCGTAGAGACACCCAAGTCAATAGTGGAACGCAGCCAAAGCCGACAGGGGAGCTCTTTTGCAGACTCGGTTGTGATAGCAAAGGAGAGTGTGTTTGACACGAGTGCGGGACACACACTGTCTAGCTCGCAGCACGCACAGCTTCTATTCCGGGAGGACTCGAACGTGGACGATACTATAACTGAGATGACTACTGAGGTACTGTGTACGTAGAAATCATCAAATACCCGATTGTCCATGGTGTGAGAACGGTACAAGGCATGCATGACATATCGCTCGGCTTAAGAATGGCACCTGGGTTGGGCTAAAGACAATCACGAATTCGGGAGAACAATACTACCGTCGGTACAAGACTGGTGGGCAAACGCTCGGATTTAGGGTATCATATACTTTGTACAGACATAATGTAGCGAAGCACGTACAGTACAACCAATCTCGCACCCAATCGCTCTTCCCACCATGCCAGTGCGCCTTCCCAAATGCGAACTTATGCATTTCTTGACTACGTATCGTACACTTCGTTCATCACCGACTTCATTACAAAAAGTACTCTCCTCTGCCCTGCCTGCCTGCCGGCACAGCACGTCTATGGTCTGGCACGGCGGAGAAGATTTTGAAGTCTGGCTTCAGATCCTCGCCTACCGTCATGATACTGGCTACGTTGCCACATCTGTAGCAGTAGTTTGGTGCTGACCACACTGTGACGACGTCTTGTGAGGCGAAGTGGTATTTGTAGCCTTCGTTGACGAGTTGATGGGCGCGGGCTATTAGGGAGAGGGAGTTGACGTGGTTGAACTGTTAAATGATATCAGCGTTCTGGTCGCACAGGTATTTCATAAGAGCTGTGCATCTTACCTCCGAGCTAACTTTGTCCCCGAACAACCATCCTGCCCCTCGTGGCGAAACAGCCCATGTCTCCACTTCCTCAGGATCACTCCAGACCAAATCGCAAAAAGCACCCTCATGTGGAATCTCCTGGGCTCGAGCCACAACTCGAATCTGATCTAACGTCCTGATCTCAGGACTCAGACCACCGTGTACACATAGCACTTTCCCGTCAATGATAGCGGCTAGAGCGAGGAAGTCGAAGACTTGACAGCAGGACTTCCATACGCTGGCGTTACCGTATTTCTGTTGGCATTCTTCGTAGAAACCGTAGACTTGGGTGATTTGCCGGGATTCGTGGTTGCCGCGGATGAGGGTTATACGATTTGGATATCTATCGGAACCATGTTAGCTTACGATATCGATTCCAGGAGATATTATCAACATACTTCGCCTTCAAGCACATCAGTAATGTGAACGTCTCCAAACTAAAGTACCCTCGATCCACAAAGTCACCTAGAAAGATGAAATTCTGATTCCCGTTCGCATTATCTGTCTTCGCCGTACTCTTGCTCCGACTCGGACCCGGACTCCTGACGCCGACTCCACTATCCTCGCTCTCATCATCCTCCTCTCCGTACTCCTCGTCCTCATCCTGACCCATACTCCGACTTCTCACCCTCCCTCGTTGCAGTTCGCCTTCCTCTACCGCCTCCGAACCATCGTTAGACGCACCAGAAGTATAAGCACTGTCCCTCTGAAACCTCCTCTTCATCTTCTTCCTTACCTTCGGATCCGTAATTTGTGTCGGCGGTTCCAGATCCGCTGCGTTTATCGCCGCACTACTGACCCTGTCACTCTTTCCAGTCTCCCTTTCCTTCTCAGCTGCCGCCGCATTCGCTGCCCTTTCTTCAGCCTCGCCCGGCATACCTCCCGCCACGCGGAATAGCTCCAAAAGATCGTAGAATTGGCCGTGGATGTCTCCACAGACTGTTACTGGGGCACTTACGGGTTGGATGTTGGACTCTTCCATCAAGTATTCTTTCACTGTTTCGCATAATCGTTTCATATCTGATTCTGGTAGGTAGCGGCATAACTTGGCTTGAGTAAGCCACTCATCGGGTCCAGCATGGGAGGAGAGTTGTGCGGGTCCTGGCTGGGGAACATCGGGGTCCCGGTCTCGCGCCATGATCGATGGCCAAGGTGGAAGGTGGTCACGAGGGCTGTATCGAGGTCGATATGAGGCCGATTGTGTTGGTCGAAGCTTGACAAAGGATTGTGATATTTGTACGATCGGTCTTTTGCCTGTCTCTTTGGACTCGTCAGTGGTATTGTTTGTTTGCAATGATGGCAACGTGATTGTTCAGCAGTAGCAGCAAGTGTGAGATGTGGGTGTGAAGGCAGGGGTCCACGGCAATGGCGCCGAACGCCACAACTCGTGGCTACTCTACTCCACCGTCCGTGCCCAAACATACATGCTGACTGAGACATTCAGAAGCGAGTCCGAGGCCATGGCCGTGTTATAAATCGTGCCACTCGTACGGGCAATGGAGGGGCAACCATCCTTAGTGCAATAGTGCACGACTGCAATTTTTCAGATTCTACCTACCGATTTAAATCACTGAGACGAACAACATTGACCACTATCTTGAAACAATCATAAGGTTAACTGACCCCGACCTACTCGATATACATCCGAGCATGGACGGATACGCAAAGACCTGGCCCCGCATCCTCCTCCGCACAGAAGGTGCGGCCATCTTCGCCTCCACCATCTGGGCCTTCTCCCGTACCGGACTATCATGGTGGTACTTCGTAGCAGGTCTCCTCCTACCTGATCTAGGCATGGCCGGCTATCTATCAGACTCGAAACTCGGCGCAGCCATCTACAACTCTGTGCATACCGAGACGCCACCGATCGTGCTACTCTGCGCTGGCATGGCTCGAAAGAACCCTTTGCTGAGTGGCGTGGCGTTCATCTGGTTGGCGCATATTGGTATGGACCGGATGCTTGGGTATGGCTTGAAGTACGGGACCGGGTTCGGGCATACGCATCTTGGTCTTATTGGGAAGAATGGTCGCTTGGAGAAGTAGTCGGTGGATTGGTGTCGAGTCAGTACGATATCAATATTGACCTTGGCCGATGATGATCTTGCGCGACTGCTTCCAAGAGTGCCTTGATTTCGACTTGTAAAGAAGAATCGATCTGATCTGTGGTATTACGAGTGCCCCCAGCGTAGGTCTGAGGTAATAGTTCAGCCTGCCGAGTCCTTTTGGTGACCGAGGTAACTGTATGCTGACAGGGTTTTCTGGATCCGTTGACTACATGCACGTACTAGTGCACAGTCTCGTAGACTTACAACGCATCCTGACCTCGGCGTATTCAACTCTGTTTGGTTGGAAGACTCACGATGTGCTCAGCTCTTTGTAGCTTTTTGCAGCCTTCCAAGCACTCACATCAGCTGATCCGTTTTCATGCCGTCTACACAGAACCCATGTGTCTCAGAGAACAAGCCGAAACACAGATCCATCTGCCTGCCCGCTTCATGAATCCGATGACTGCCATCGTACTGATCAGCACTCCGGTATGTCGACCGTTGACGTCCATGGAGACGTACACATGAGCCATCTTCGTGTTGTCGTCGAAGTTGACGTCTATGTTCGTCACTTGCAGATGATAGTCGGGGTTCTCTCCTGCAAGTGCACGGAAGCTCTCGATCATCTCTACTCTCGTCGACAGAGACGCATTGATGTCCATCACGGGTATTGTTACATCCGGGGCGACAGCGTTGAAGCCCGCATCAGTGAAGTCTCTTCTGTTGATGGCATCCATTGTCTGTCGAGTCAAGGCCTCGACTTGAGCTGCATCTTTCGTGCGATCCTTTGTTCGATGGCTGTCTGTGACCTTGCTGAAGTCGGGTTGTTGTGGCTGCCGCTTCGACTCGACATGGGCCTTTAGTATGGCAGTAGAACTTAAGTTGTCTTGACTTGAGCGGGTCTTGCTTTTTGGTCGAAGGTTGGCTAAGCAATCTCCGCAAAAGCTTACACTTGCTTGAGCTACATCCTTCGACGTCGCCCGTGCAATGCAGTTGTCGCAGGGGACACTTCTGGGCATGTTGAAGCTTGGCTGGAAAGATTGAGTGAGTTTCTACTTGGCAGACACAAATCATCACAGTCGTCGGTCTGGCACTCTTTGTATGCCTACATCCGTGGCTGACAGAGGTTCGCGAACGCGAAGGCACATAAGGCTGTAGACGTGAACTTAGTATCTTGATATTGGATGCGGAAATTTCGACCGTACTGTTGGTTGTATGCACAGACCGATCGCAACAATAATTAGCAGCAATATAAGCGACGATCTTTGTACATATGCAGCTTGGCTCGGAGTATGGGACAACAAGGTCCGAGGCTGATGACTAAACAGGACGTGGTCTCATTATGGACCCGTGGAGCAAGACGATGCAGGCTTTAGGAACCTTACTTCGACGCAGCGACGCTCACCAGCGTGACCTGCTCGAGTAATATCGTTCTTAGACAGATCTGCCTCAATATCACTATTGTTGTGTTCGCGGCCGGGATTCGATAGTGCAACTTGCAGATATGTAGGAAGTGGATATAAGCAAATATGTCAATCTCAACTATATGACCTCGAGATTTCCCTCAACAATCAGAGACTCCAGACAAGAGTGTCATTGACCATTATGTATCGACCATTGAAACTGTCTCGTGTTGTGTTTAGAGCCGTGCTCGGACAGTGCTCAGACACACGTGAATCGTGACTTCCTGCTTCGGAAGAGTTACGGGCCGTAGCGTTCATCCGAACGTTGGTTGCCTAGACTCGGGTGACGTATCCGGAGCGACACATTCGTTCGATGAAGTTGACGAGTTCTCCTGTCTTGCGCTTCCTGCAAACTTGACATCTTCGTTCTCGTTCGAAAGAGAATCGCCGACGTGCTGGTGAGCTCGACAGCCTCGCATCGACAACCGACTGGAATCGAAGCACCTCCTCGCAGAACCGAGACTCGACATGGAGCGATACCATCAGCAGTCACTGCCGCGTGAAGATCCGGACAGTGGTCGAGCGCCTTTGATGGCGTATTATTCACCGTATGCAGAATTCGAGTTCCCGGAGCCATTCACACCACTGCCTGGACACTTAGGCTCCTTTGCTCAACACCCCGTCTCTGTTGACCGCATCCCATTTCGCAACGAGACCAGCAACAATCTCGACCCTACGCAGCACACACAGCAGCTGGCCGACCACTTCTCGTACAACAGCCCCTACTTCGACCTCTCACCAGACACATACCCAACCGATTTCGACGTCAATACCAACGGAGCACCCTATTTCGGGTTTCCACCCACCGACCAGCCGCTTACATCAACGTATCGCGCAGTGCCGGACGATTGGCGCACTCCCTACCACACTTCATCAAACCCTCTCCCACCCATCGTAGGTGCAGAGACGCCGCAAGTGCTTATGAGACAAGCTTCTGCCAACATGGCAAACACCACCACAAACGGCTTGCAGCACAAAGCCACTCCAAACAATGCACCTATGCCGGATGACCACAGCGACAACGAGGAAGGCCCTTCTCTCCACAGCAGTACTGTCGGTGGTCAGCATGCCGCCGCTTCTACCAACTCTTTCCCAGCCACTGCGGCGTCGACTACTACCAAGCGCGTCAAGCTTGGGCCAGTGAGTTCTCGCGCCCAGCCGTCGAAGCCGTCCAAGTCGGGTCGCTTAAACAACTCGAGGATGACGGGGATGTCCAGCAAATTGTCCAAGCCCACCATGCCCGCGCACGTCGTTGACGAGGATAGCAGTGAAGCTGGTGAGAAGACCGAGGCCGAGAGTGAAGAGGATCCTGAGGACGACGATGGCGAGGATGATGAGGATGGTGAGAACGAAGATGACGACGGCTTTGTCTGGATCTTCAACTCGATCACAGAGGCCAAGGTCAAGCAGTTCGATCGCGCGCCGCTCAAGCGCAACCTCGCAGGCACAGATGATGTACACCAGTACGTCAACGACAACCGCATGCAGAAGAATCTTGTGAAGAACTTCGTCGCTGCTTTGGGGGGCGGTTACCTGAAGACTCCAGTCGGCGGCGAGCAGTTCCCCAAAGGCGAGCGCATTGCAGAGTGGAAACGCTACCAGACGATTCACTACGACGTTGTCCAAGCGGCTCTCGCGAAGTCGACTGGTGCGGAGCAAGCACAGAAATGTGCATGGCTATTTGTGGATGCGCTGCTCGAGGCTCATCAACATGGCATCCGCAAGACCAAGAACTCGGGCACCGAAAGTTCACTCATCTTCTCCGTTCGCGCCAATCTCTGCATCCAGGTGCTTACCGAGATTCCAATGTTGAGAGAGAATTGCCTCAAGGGCGTCGATATTCACGCTATTGTGTCAAGTCCAGAAGGTGCGAAGAAGCTCAAAATTCAGAACTTGTGGGTTAACTATGGGAAGAAGATGGGCAAAGCCACGGGTGGTGGAAAGAGTGGTGGCAAGCGTAGTCGCAGCAAGCGTGCCAAGAAGGCGACTGGCAGTGCCGAAGTTGGCGGCGATGAAGAGCAGGACGGTAGCGAGGAGCAAGACGGCGGCGAGCAGCAGGGTAAAGATGAGGGGCCCGTGGAGGAGGGCAATGAAGCTGGTGGCGCGGATGGAGTTGTCGGCGATGGCTCTGGCAACGACGACAACGGGGTTGATGACGAGGTCGGCGAGAATGGTCAGGGTGGAGTTGCAGTCCAGCCTGACAAGAGCGCAATCACAGGCCAGAAGCGCAAGAGACCTTCCCGCTAAAAGACCGCGCTGCTTGATGTTCATACACATTGAGCCGGCAGGAATCGAGAGCGACCTTGCGGACACATGCGGAACCAGGATGCTGTGCTGAATCTTCAGTTGAATTGCTTCGAGAGCCACAGCGGAGTTTTGCAGGCTGCATAGCTGTAGTTTATAGATGCACGTCAATATTGACGCTAACGCTTAAAGACATCCTCTGACTGTTCTGTGGTGTGGTCTGAATATGCCACCTCCCGACCTGGATGATGATTCTTGGTATGGCGGTTAAGATTGTCCACACGAGTAAAAGCCTTGTCACAGTGCTTGCACGTCATCTGCCCGTCCCTCGCATGATGAGTACGTTCGTGACGAGCGAGATCTTTCGATAACGCAAAGCGACCCTCACAAAACGCGCATACATAGGAACGTGGGCGGTGGCATCGTTGATGGTGGTTTAGAACAACACGACGATTGAATGTCTTGCCACAATCATCGCACACGAACGCAGCGTCCTGTGCCTTCTTACGTCTTGGCTGCTCAATTGGTCCATGACTATGAAGAGCAGAGATCGCCTCGTAGTCGCCCAACCGAACGTACTCTGCGTTGATACCGCGAGCCCTGAGTATAGACATGATGGCCGAAAGGGCTGTCCGAGGTACAACAGCATACTGCAGAGCTTCTACGACGGTACGAATGTCCGGCAGCACAGCATGTTTACCATCACCACTTTCCACGGCATCAATCAAGTCCGTGGTAGAGAAAGTGCTGGTGAGTATGCCAAGCGTCTGGTTTTCGATCGCCCACTGTCGAGCAGACTCGGCCTCATGTGTCTGTATGTGTGTCACGATGTGGTCGATCCACCCCTCTGCAGACAGGAAAGTCTTCCAGCAGAATCCGCAGGACCAGATGAGTTTGCGACTATGAGCCTTGCAAGAAATCGTGAGCAGGCACGCTACTGCTTCGGGGGAAGGAGCGCCATCGTTGTTTGCATGCATTGCCAAATGTCGCTTGAAATCTGCCTTGCGTTCAACAGCGTTTCCGCACAGTGGACAATGATAGATATCCTTCGCTTGATGTTCGGAAGTAGATATTGCTTGTTGCCTGCTCCTGATACCTAGAGAGTGCGGAGGGTCCGATGGATCTGGGATCCATGAATCCAAGCTCGCTGTTCCTTCATGCTGCAGCGCGGGATCATTGCTATAGGTGGAGAGCGGGGATTGGTATGTAGAGTGCAACCATGGCAGATCATCTGTGTCATACGACTGCTGCTGAGCACTGATGGGCGCTATATCAGACTGACTGGGATTTGACCATGCTGGATGTTGCGACGTTTGATACGAGGTTGAGGGTGCGACATATGCGTACGATGGTTGGCTCAGGGTCAACGCATGTGGTTGGATGACGGTTGCCGGTGTAGTGACCCAGCCCCGATCATAAGGTGTAGGATCGTTGTTGCGTTCCCAAGATGCATGATGAAGCCGGTTATCTGATGCCACCGTAGCCGGGCCAGTAGTTCCAGTGTCATCAGATAATGACAGCCATTCGGGATAGGCGTATTCAAGTTCCAATGGATACCGCTGCTCCTGATCCGCTGTACCCGTACGTGTTGGTACAGGGCATCCTTCTGGCTCAGTAATCCCAAAGTGTGGAATCGTAAGGTGCGACGCTGTAGCGAATAGTAAGTCCAACTCTTGATCTATGTCGGTTTCCGATCGTCCATCGGTTGCGTTTGTACTCCATGTCATTCCGCAAGAGCATTTAGGCGCACCAGCACGAAACTGATTGTGGACTGGGCAAAGGTGATTTCACGACTTCGAAAGCCACGCCCTTTGCCTAGCACCCTTCCCGTCCTGTTCGGTATCGAATCGGTTGCCCTTCGAGGCCCTTTGCTCTTCTACGGCCGCGTAAGATGGTTGGATGGCCATGGGTATATCGATAGAAGCTGAATATACGCTGGCGATTGGACGATAGGCATCCGTTCCTGTCTAGAACGCTCTCCCTCAAAGCAGTGGGGCTGTGATACTATCGGCACAGCTACGCGAATGGAGATATGGTTCAAGCCACATGTCATTTTCCATACCCTGATGCCATGGGATAGGGTGTGACCAAGATGTCTTCGGCGCAGCGTTCTTCAGATTGTCAAGCACGTGACCAGACACGGACTACCTAGCAGAACTGATGGGACGATAAGTCATGTACCAACACTACATGACATCCATTGCTCGAATCGCCACCAATGTGAAGCTCATGTTTCTTGCATCACAAAGGCCAAGAACATGCTCATTCTTATGGCCATCGATTGTAGGACAACGATGACGACCGGAACGACAGCAGGACTACTGGGTGCCAAACATTCGGGCACAACGCAAGACGGTTCCCTCCAGTACAACGAATCGGAACGTCCGGCGGAAGGCATTTGCCATAAGATCTCGTCAACTATCCCATCCCAGATCTATCTTGCCGCATAGTCTCTTTTCCCATAGGTTTCGCCCTCGTGAATAGTGAGTGCACCCGCTAACATAGGAGAACCCTGTTTTGCTGTAGACCGTCAGAGCCAATGACAAAAGCCAAACCTCACCAACCGTCGGACATTGGCGTAAGAGTTATTCGATTACAGACGTGAAATGAAATACTCCTACCTACAATGGGTTCGAGCAGTTTTCACGCCCATATCCTGCATTGCTCAAGCCCATTTCGAGCACGGGATCGTCGGGTGTGAAGCGTACCGTTGTTAAAACGATCTCACCATGCCACTCCTATATGTTGGGATATTGGCTACCGAATGGTGATGACGGTAAAGAAAATGACAATTGTCCCTTACCGTCTGTACGAGACAGGTCGAGGTACAGCACCGTCGCCGTCGTCGCGGGAAGAGAGACCCACGGACCATGGCTTGCGTGTAATCGCCCGGCGGGCAGCTTACCGTCACATCGAGTTCGCCCAACACTGTCTGCGTTTGGGTAAGTGACACGCCGAGTGCAATCTCATACCAGCAGCAACACAACAGCGACATAGGATCAGCGCAGCAAGAAGCACATCAGGTACGTCCCCTTGTCCTCGCCTCGTAGGTGATCTCAGCACGTCGTGTACGTCGGCGTCGATGGCGGTCAGCAGCGGCATCGCAGCACGCGGGCGAGTCATCCAGGGAACATCGCGGGTCCTTGTTGGAAGGACCCGCGAGTGCGACAGGCAGACGACATGTACTGACACTGTCGCGCAGGCCACCGCTGACCCAACAAGACCACCACACCAGCCTCATCACACCATAACCAGCATGCCACCTGCCGTCATGCCACCCTTCACCAACAGCACCAATCTGACCGAGGTCATCCTCGCCGTGCTCAAGAACAAGATGTACAACCTCACCATCATCCTCAACGCTGGTGATGATGCAGGTGCACCGTTGGGTAGCAGCGGCACCGGACTAGCCGGCGACTTTGCCGAGCTCTTAACCAAAGTCATCCTTGGCGGTCTCGAGGACACCGTCCTGCTTGACAAGATCCTAATATATGGCGTCCGCGCGTTCGGTGTCGGGTTTGTCGGCCACAAGGCATGGCGTCGTCTTCGTGTCGGACAGCGAGATGCGATCGTAACCAACCTTATCATGGTGAAGAATGTTGTCGCAACTGAGGTTGGCAAGGCGATGAGGTTAATGCAGAAGCATGTCGGGCTCGACGGTAAGTGATCCCGCACCACACCACATGATCGGCAAGGCAGGTACCTGTAGGCAACTATGGGATGTAGCAACCCTGTTGGCTGCTCAGGCTGTACCAGACCCGTCAACAGTGCCTACCTCTGTGTCGCACGGATCGAAGTGTACGAAGCTGACGATGGCTAGTTGACCTCGGCAATGCTACCAACGATGCCCAGAGTGCCCCGTTCGTCGACATCGAGATGGGAGTTGGCTTTGACTCTACCAGTACGAGTACCCAGCGACAAGGTTTCTACCTGCAAGGAGGAAACCCGCGCATCCAGGGCGAAGTCGGCGTCGATGGTCTCGTTGACATTACGGCGCAAGTCCTTGGTGCGGACGATACTGGGCCCGCAGGTAGCCCCGTGGACTTGGTGCAGGAGGCTGGCGACCTGGGGCTGCTGGCATCTTGCTTCCAAGGAGAGGTGTAACCAGGCGGATCACGTTCCAGTACCGTCAGGCGAAGGCGCCATCATAAGAATCGCATTTCCTTTGGAAAGCTCGTGCAAGGTTTGCACTGCTGGAGAGTAATGACGAATTACGAAGAACGGCGCTGGACAGTTACAATAGTTTCCAAGGGCGTCATGCAAATATGTATGTATTTCTATACAGCCTCACTGCCTGAAAGGCTGCACTTTCGGCGCCCGGTGATCTGATGCCAGTTTTTGGGAGGCCTCCCGTTGTGCTGAACACCTGCGCAGCACGAAGCACCGTTTTGGCCAATCATATGTGTGAAGATGTGCATCGAATTTCAGCACTGTGGGCGGCCTCTTCAGCTCGACGCGAAGTCTTCAGCCCGCAAGCACTTTTGAGCCTCAAGCCTGAGGCACTCTATTATTGTAGGTAGCGTGTAGCATTTGACTTCACTTCGGTTTTGGTGGTCTCATTGTGCAAAGCGATACAACACTTTCTGATCATGGGCATCATGCCACTTACACTTCAGCATCTCGTTTTGGCCGAAGAACGTGATTATGAACCTGCGGCATTCACAGTGCTCGACGTTCGATCCCTCCCTATCCAGCCAATGATCAAGGCTTCAAATGTAAAAATCGCTCTACATAGGAAGGCATGTTGAGCGGAGTATATTCATGTTTGGTGTCCCAATGACGGCCGTTCATAAACACCGAACCAACGTCCGGCCGTTTCCTCTACAGCTTCACAATAGTCTTCGGAGCCGCGAGACTTCCCACCCTCCGTTCGACGTCGATCATCGAAACAGACTCGGGACTGTGGATGAGTCGGAGCACTCGAACGAAAGTGAAGAAGGAGCAAGTATATCTCCATCTCGCCTCTTGTCTCCTTAGCTGAAGTGGCAGGCCTTGTGAATCAAGTTGCTGGTGGGCCATGCACTCCTCACAGTATGTCATATCTAGGAATGAGCTTTACTGTCTATCAACTCCTCGAAGTAGCGGTAATGCTATCTGCATAATGCCCATGTCAAAGATCTGGTCAGCTTAGCAACAAAGAGATTCTAAGTGGGCCACCAGCATTCGCGGCAGGACATGGCTTTACTCCCCGCCCGAGGAAACCCCTATCGAGGTACGCATCCTTGGACGTCGATATGCTCCCAACAGATCGACCGGCCGGAGAATGGCAGACAGAGGTCGAGCCGTGCTGCTTGATGCTCCTGCATCTTGTTACATACTAACACTGTCGCGACCACGATGCGCACACCTTGGATCGTCACCTCCACGGCTCTCCTTGGAAGAGCAATATCACAAAGCACAGGAGAAGCTTCCGCAGATCCAATATGCATGGTATACGGCATCGACTTCCAGCAAGATGAGACCTACTTCATCAACAGCGCAGCGACCAGCAATTTCACCCTGGTCTCGCAATTCGAGAACTGTTAGTCTTGCTTTCCCGCTAAACCTGCCGCATGGCTGATTGTCCCAGGCTCGAACAGCACAGCATATGTGCTCCTTGTCAACGATGACACTTCAGAGGAGTATTACTGTGCGATGATTCCGACCTCGCCAGACGATGTTTCCCAGCTCAGCAGTTGTCCTGTCCGACATGGCGCATTGACGAGTGGTAATTACTCGATACTGACCCTTGGTAATGACGGGGAAGGTGATCCATTTGCTTACCAGCGTGGTTTCTCTTTGTTTGCCGGACAGCAGACGACTGTTACGGTGACTTCGATCGCCGACTGGACTGTTGTGGAGCAAGCTACATCCACAGTCAATGGTACGAAACCTTGCCAAAGAGCCTCTACGTATGCTGATCAGCGCAGTAACCTCTACTATATTGCGAGCATCGACTCAGAGCAACGATGTTACGATCACGTCGAACACAATAGGCACCCTCACGCTCACGCCGGCGCCTTACATAGTTCCCAAGACAGACATGCTCACCCGGACCTTCTTCAGCTGGACAACGACTCGCTTCGTCGAGACCGAAGTTGCTACGCCGTCATGCACAGTACCACCAAGACCGAGTATGGCAGATGACTGGCTGCGGTTTGCACCAACAATGATACCCCTTCCTACTGGGCTTCAATTCCAGTGGCCAATGACGCGAGTCGGTGGAAGAGCAATTGATGTTCGTACAGTGGAACAGGAAGAGGCTCGAGCTGTGCAGAAACGTGCTCCGGATGCCCAAACAATCACCACAACCACAACATTAGGCGGCAGCAAAACAACAACTATACAAGCCCGACCAACAACGACCACAGCTGTGGAGGCCACGACCGTGATGGCTATCATTACTCTACCGCCGCACACGGTATACGAGACTCAATTAGACACTGTACGTCTTGATTGGCGAGGCTGCATGAATCTTGCTGACTTTGATGCAGGTAACGGCTCCCAGACCAACAGAGACGCTCGAAGAACTCGTCTACAAGCGGGAATATATCACGAAGACAATGTCAATCACGTGGACCAGTACGTCGACTACAACCCCTGTGGCTGTTGCCACGGCTTGCAGAGCAGCTGGTGGCAGTTTTGGATATGCATGGGGAGGACGATCACGATGAAGTGAAGTGCAGTGCCAAGATTTTACACATGTGGCTGCTGGCGCTTGGAGCAGTATGTACTAATTCAGTTTGCGTGTCACCTGGTTTCATGCTACAAGCACTGGTGGCAGTAGTAGTCCTTAATTCTGCATTGGCGTGTTTTCCGTTGGCAATGTCGTGCATCTGTCCAGTATATAATACAACCATTACAGTTCACTAATTAGCTGTCCCATCAACAACGCATCCGCCTTCTCGCCCTTCCTCAACGAACCTGCTTGAGCGGGTAAGCACAGTAATGCATTGGCACCCTTGAAGCTCCCTATCCTCGAACTCCGCTGGAAACCAGTACTAGTAGCATATAGCATTCCATCCGCCTTCGCACTGATCACAACCCGATGATACTCACTCCTCTTCGCATCACACCTGACGTCTTGCTCCAGCACAACTTTCACCTTCGGCAGACCCCATGGCTCTTTGAACCCAGCCATCTTCTGTAGCGCTGGAAGTACGAAAAGATGGTACGTCACGACCGCCGAAGCAGGATTACCAGGTAATGAGAAGATAAGCTTTCTCTCGCGGTCGGAGGAGTCGTTGGTTTTGATAGGTACGGTGGCGAAAGTGGTAGGCTTGCCGGGCTTCATGGACACGCGGCCGAAGTGAATTGTGCCGCCTAGGCTACGCTCGATTGTGGGTTTGAGCAGATCGAGCTCGCCCATGCTTACGCCGCCGGTTGTGACTACGACGTCTACGTGGCGGAGAGCTTCCCGAAGGATGGTTTCGAGCGAGCCTGGTCTATGAAACGTCAGTACTCTTCTGCATCATCCTTTACTCGGCCACACTTACTTGTCTGAAACGATGCCAAAGTCGATCGGCTCGAAGCCAGAGCCACGGATAGCAGTCAGTAGAGTCGGCCTATTCGTGTCTCTGACCTCTCCTACTCGCAGGGCCTCAGGTCTATCATGTGGCACAATCTCGTCGCCAGTACTCAGCACCCCAATAACAGGCTTCTTGAACACTAGCACTTCTTGTGTGCCTACTGAGGCCAAAAGCCCAAACTCGCCGCCTACCGACGTGACGCCTTCGCCCTTTCGCATGATGACGTCGCCTCGCTTGACATCACTTCCTACCTCGCGAACATTCTCACCATCTTTGATAGCGTCTGTCAGGATCTCGATCTCCTTCTCCTCCTTGCCGTCGTCGGTCATGGTCTTCAACACAGTATCTTCAACCATCACAACAGCAGTAGCACCAGGTGGTAAGGGTGCTCCAGTGGTAATACGTGCGACCTCTCCCGTTCCAAGCTCCGGCACTTCTCCTGCTTGTGCATGTGATATTCCCGTCACTGGGAAAACGCCTTTTGTGCTCGGCATTGATGGATCCTCTGAAGCAATGATGGCATAGCCATCCACTATACTTGCTCGAAAGGCCGGCACGGCTTCTCGAGCTCTCACATCCTCGGCCAATATTGAGCCGACTAGGTCGTCTTCAACAAGGACCTTTGTTGTCCTTGGCTCTGGAGTATGTTCAGCTATCAATCTGAGTACCTCATCGACAGCAAGCATGGGGTAAGGTGAGTCTCGATATCGCTGTGTTGGTCCAGCATTCGGATCATTCGATATCGGACGGTCTTCAGGTCTCGTATGCGCTCTCGGGCCTGCATGACCTCCGTGGCCGTGAGAGTGACCATGGCTGTGACTGTGAGAGTGATCATGATGGCCATGGACAGAAGTCTCCTGCGGCCTTGAGCGAGACGTCAGACCAGCGTCCTTCTCAAGCTTCTGCGTGCCACCGACGTGCAGTGTCCTCGAGTCAGAGCCTGCGGCCTGCTCACAAGCATGTGCAAGTTGCGGTAGAATAGCTTCTAAATTCTCCTTGGCTCCTTTCGGTGACCCTGGGAGAGTGATGATGAGAGATTTATTCCGCACACCAGCTACTGGTCGGGCCATTATCGCGACTTATACTTATCAGTGTTGAATGAACATTGCGTAGTGCGACGTACGTACATGGAGTTACTTGTAATGATGCGGCGAGCATGCCATGTCTAGCGATGTTAGCGAGGTATTGGGCCGGCATCATGAACAGAGCGACGTACACGAGTCCAGGGGCTTGTTTGTGAATGAGTGGCGAGATAGCCTAATGCAATGCTCAGCTCGCCATCACAATATTCTTGGACTGACATATAGATCTCAAGGGCATGAATCAGCACCCACCTCAGGCGTAACATCCTTCTGCGTAAACCCAGTCCCACCACTCGTCAGCACCAAGCTCAAACAGTCCTCCTCCACATCTGTCCAGCTCGTCACAGCGTCGGCAATGGCCTGTCGGTCATCCGTCACTATCTTCGTCTCGCTGACATCCCATCTGTCGGGGGCGATCCGAGAGAAGACTTCTTGCAATGCAGGAATGCCTTTATCAGTTGAAGGATCACGGCTGGCAGTTTCCGAGATGATCAAGATGGCCGCACGGAGCTTCCGAGGAGTAGGCATGTTTTAGGTACAGTATCTACTGCAGAGAAGGCTCGATGGTTGGAAGTGAAGATGTGAGCTTCATATGTGCACGGACCCCAGCTCATCTTAGGCAGACGTAAATGACCCTTGGGCCTAATGGAGTGGGTAGGGATGTGTAGATGCTCAGGTAGCCTACAGTGACTACGAGTACGGTGCGCTACTGACGATATGTATGACCACCCGAAGCCGCTCACAGCAGCGACACTCCTCCGTCCTCACTCTCCTCACTGCCATCAGACGTGACATCGGCCTGAGTGGGACCATCCTCGACCAGATCGCTCGCGCCAGAGAAGACCTCCTCCTCGTCGCCACAATGATCGCCTACCTCAGATCCTGCAACCGACTCCACTGTGAAAGCAGTGAGACCAGTCGTTGAATCCGCATGCCACTTCGCATACCTCCGGATATTGGAGACCTTCTCAACAACAGCCTGTCGAACTTGCTGCACCAACGAATTCATGACCCTGCTCTGCTCATCCTTGAGCTTGCTACTGGTCGTCGAGGGCAGCGCCGGTGGCTGCCAACTGTGATAGACCTTGTTATGGCAGTCAGGTCGAGCGAAGCCACCCGGATGTGCACAGATGTAGTGATAGCAGCAGAAGCAGGCAGGTTTACTGCAAGCGATGTATTTGTCGTTGTCGAAGAAGTTTCCTTGATGAGCGTGCAGAGCTTCGAGCAGAGTGAGCTCGGCGTGGACCTTTGGTCGCCAGTCCTTGCTCGCGTAGTAGTCGCGGACTCCGTCGATGAGTCGCATGCCTTGGTCTTCTAGTCGCTGCAACACCGCTTGGAAATCCTGAAGCTCAGTAGAACTGCTCGAAGGAAAGACTCGATTGGAGATGCCTGATGACGTGAGCCCAGGATATGCACTGGGCGCCGGGGTTGCGGCGGGACACTTCAGTGCGAGGACATTGGCACCCTCGAATAGCTGAGGGTGACTGGCACAAGCATATGTCAAGATTCTCGCGGCACGTTTTACAGCACAGAGTCGCCCAACAAGGTGGCGTAGTGACGACCGGGCTTCGTTCTCTGTGAATACAGAGCCTCCAGAGACCGGATCGTAGTCGACACGTAGGTAAGATGATCGCCGTACCTGGTAAGCGAGTTCGCATAGGCCGTGAGGATCGATTCTGTGACGAGACGATTGTAGGGGTTCAAGCCACGCGGCATAGCCTAGCCAGATCAGCCGACGGTTATTATGTAACTTCGAGAGGTTGACACACCTAGGTTCTTGGCACGTCGTGTAGGGTATGCTTCAGCCCTCTTCAGCTCAGTCTTGACGTGCTTTTGCATGAAGTCCCAGTATGTCTTGGTCCTAGCACGCTGGATCTCCGCGAATTTGGTAAAAAGAGTCTGCTCAAAGGATGTAGTCGTTTGTGAGGGCGACGACAAAGTTTCTCCGGCACGAGCTTGCAACGATGCTAGTGTCTCAACCAGGAATTTGCGAATCTTTGACAGGGAGCCATTGACAGCGATCCAGTACTGTGGTCCACTGGGATGGTTCTGGGCAGCCATGGCCGTGACAGTAGCACCGCCTTTCTCATAATCACACATGACGCAGAGATGGTACATGACCAATCTGCGCATCTGCTTCAGGTCAAGCCTGTCCAGAGACCCATCCTCGAGGTCGGGGGCGCGGATCCGCTCTCCTTGGACCTGTCCCAAGACTCGCAGGAGTATAAGCACCTCATAGAAGCGGCGCAGTAGCTTAGGCTTCAGGTGTGAACTCATGTCCACGCCGTGAATGCGGTGCAATGTACAGTGTTGCTCTGGCCTAGCGATATGAAATAGGTGGTTCCACTAGAGCTTGATGCGTGGACGGCATGAGCTGTTCGAGGGGCATCGAGTATGCTCGCATCGGCAGGCATATCGTCCAATCACTGGTCGTCCGAATGCCGACATGTGCAGCCTTCCTGCACCTTCCATGCAGCTTGCATGCGTCCATCGCGCAGATATCGTGCATGCTGCCAGACACGCGCGTGGTAGCACAATGTACAGGAAAAATCCAGCAATATCATAGCGAGCATCTTCACTCGCCATCGTCCTCATCCACATCACCTGGCTCATTACCGTCCTCGATTCCATCAATCATGCTAGCGTCAATATCATCGTCAGCCTCAGCTTGGGCTCCAGCTTCAGCTCCGTTCGTTGGCTTCCTCGTGGTCAGTACGCCACCAGTAAGGCCTTTGGAAGCCCGCTGAGCACGCAAGATACCGATCCTCGCTCGCCGGATAGCTTCCTCCTCAGCCTTCTTGATCGTACCAGAGACCCTCACGACTTGAACCACACAAGGCTGCAGAAGTGGCTTCGGTAGTCGAGTTGTGAATGTCAATGCAGACCACACGAGCCTGTAGTGGTCCCGCGAGACTCGAATGATGGCTGTGCTTGTTGCTTGGGAGAAGTATTTGACTTTGCGGCAAATTAGCTCAATAACTCAATAGCAGATGAGTCTTCTATTACGAGGCAAGGTCTGTACGAACCTTGTAGACTGCCAGCAATCTTGCCAGAACCATAGTCGCCGAATAATTCCGCCACGTTATCTTTGATCAGGCGGAACAAGACTTTGCCGTCCATCTTATCGGAGCTGGGTTGACGGAACTGCATTGCATATGGCGCGTCTTCGCCTGGCTTGGCCTTCATTTGAACATTGCTTGTCTTTGGGTCTGGGTAAAGGATGTTGACAAGCAAGTAGCGATGCTTGATACGGACCATGATGTGGACTTGGTACTGCTGTGAGGATAATTCTGTCTGTTCGCTTCAGTGCATGATGAACTTCTCATGCTCAGGATTCAGCAATGTCTTGGAAGAATGCGAAGACCTCATGACGACTCTGAAGGTGTGCAAGAATGGGGAGATTGAATCGAGAAGGCACGAATGTTCGCCCGGAGCGGCTAGAATTCCGCGATGCCTCGGTGCAACCCAAAAATATTTCTGAGCATCGCCGTCCATGCAATGCAACTGGCATAAGATCGTTCCGATACAATGGCAGACCCACGCTTCGCAGCCCTTTCCAAGGACGCCAAGTACCGACTGCCCGGTAAGAAGGAGGCTCGCACAACAGTAGATCCTCGCTTCAGCTCTCTCTTCTCAGATAAGAGCTTTCGCAGAAAGGCTACAGTCGACCGGTATGGACGAAAAGTCAAGGCCGACGAGGGTCGCAAAGATCTGGAGAGGCTGTACAGGCTAGACAAGGAAGAGAAGCCTGGTAGGAAGGGCAAAGAGGTAAAGCGAGAAGTGGTTGGGAGCGACGAGGAAAGCAGTGAGGAGGCTGAAGTGGAGGAGGGCGCTGCAGCAAAGAGAGACCCTGCGAGAGAAGGTGGCTTCTCACAGTCTGAGGAGGAAAGTGAGGAGGATGACGAGGGGAGTGAAGAAGAGGCAGAGCTGGCAGGGGAAACTGCTGGGCAGGAACAGACTGAAGATATTCCAGACGGAGAGGTATCAAGGCGTATAGCCGCCGTCAACCTGGACTGGGACAATCTGCGAGCTTCAGACATCTGGGCTGTGGCTTCAAGTTTCGTACCGGCCAGTGGACGAATACAGAGAGTGAGTGTGTATCCGAGCGAGTTTGGGCGGGAGAGACTCGAGCGGGAGGAGCTGGAGGGACCGCCGAAAGAGATCTTTGCCACCTCGAAAGACGCCGAAGATGACGACGACGCAGAGGAGGAAGAGGAGGAAGATCCGGAGGACGAGTCCGAAGATGATGGAGACGAAGACGAGCGCATCAAGCGTGATCTGCTTAAGGAACAAGCAGACGACGGCTCCGAATTCAATACTGCTGCCCTGCGTCAATATCAGCTTGAGCGCCTCCGCTATTACTACGCCGTGATAGAATGCGACAACAAATCTACAGCAAAACACCTTTACGACAGCATGGACGGAAGAGAGTACTTGACCACAGCCAACTTCTTCGATCTCCGCTTCATACCCGACAGCACATCTTTTGACTCGGACAAGCCGCGTGATGAGTGCACAACCTTACCTACAGGATATAAGCCAAATGAGTTCCGGACTGAAGCTCTCACGCACTCGAAGGTGAGGTTGACATGGGACGATGACGACACGACCAGGAAGGAAGTACAGAAGCGCGCCTTTTCTCGTGCCGAGCTAGACGAGAATGATCTCCAAGCATACATCGGCAGCGAAGAAAGCGACGCCGACAGCACCACCTCCCGCAAATCCGCAGCAGAAGACAGGAAAGCGAGAAAAGCGGCAGAAAAACGGAAAGTTATGCGTGAGAAGCTCGGCCTGGGTGCCGATTCTGCGGCTACGAGCACGAAGGGCAGCAAAGCGGAGCCAGTGGGTGAGATGACAGTCACTTTCTCCTCCGGCCTTGGCAAGAAGAAGAGCGAAGGCAAAGAAGGCGTCTTCCTGAACGGGCCACAAGACGAGGAGAGTACACGCATACGCTATATTCGCAAAGAAAAAGAGCGAAAGGCCAAGCGCAAGGAACGCGCCAAGGGTCGCGGTGGCGAGGCAGACTCAGACGCCAAAGAAGCAGCGCCTGGCGCTTCAAACAACGATGCTGTGGACGACGAAGCAGAAGACGCCGGCTTCAACGACCCTTTCTTCAACGATCCCGCCACAGCCGCCGCAGCGGAGAAGAAAGCTCGGAAAGCGGAAAGACTGGCTAAACGGGAGGCTAAAGCCGCCAAGGAAGCGGAAGAAGCGGGTAAGAGGAAGGAACTCGAACTTCTTATGGCGGGAGATACGGCGGGGGATGCGGTCCGGCACTTTGATATGCGGGAGATTGAGAAGGTGGAGAAGAAGAAAGGGAAGAAGAAGGTTGTTAAGAAGGGCAAGAAGGGTAAGGAGGAAGAGAATGTGGAGGGGGATGTTGGTGGGGAGACAGAGGCCTTCAAACTCGATGCGCAGGATCCGCGCTTCGGGGCGTTGTTCGAGAGCCATGAGTTTGCTATTGATCCTTCTAATCCGCGGTTCAAGGGGACGGAGGGGATGAAGGGGCTGCTTGAGGAGGGGAGGAGGAGGAAGAGGGATCGAGGAAATGAGGAGGTGGATGTGGAGGACGATGAGAGGATGGTGGAGAAGAGTCTGAAGGTGGCCAAGAAGGGTAAGGAAGGCGGTGAACTTGGGGGGTTGGTGGCGAGGCTGAGGGAGGGGAAGAAGGATAAGGGCAAGAGGTCGTAGTTGCCCAGGTCTATGTACATTGACCATCGCTGTTTGGGCACGTACTTGATAGTCGTACATGTTTCTTCGCCAGGTTCGCAGCAGCATGAACTAGAGGTATTTAGCTCATGTCTCATGCTGGCAAATTATCCGCTTCCCCTCCGCTCGCCTTCCGAACATGTACTGTCGCATCTCGGACTGTGTGCATTCACAGGACATTTGCTCGCCGACGTCAGAGGTGGGTCGCACAAGCATAGCCAGGAACGCCGTTTTGCGTGTGGGGCTGGAGAGCCTTTCCTCCCGTCGGCAGCAGCGGAGGGAGGAGCTTGTCCAACGATCCCGCGAGCGTCGAATTCGAGAATAGGGACATTTTGTGCATGCCCTCGCCCAACAGACGATCGGGCAAGTTTTCCAGCCGCTTTTAGAATGTTTGAAGATGTGATGCTTTCGGTGCTTGACGCCGAACTCGAATGCTCCAGCAGGAACCTCGAGTACTGGCGAAGCATTTCCTTCGCTCCGGGGTCCAGAGGATGGCTGAGTAGGAAGACTGGTGGTGGTAGTATGTCGCGAGTCCTTTGTCTCGAGACTTTATGCCTCTTCGGACGTCGTTCAATCATCAGACATATCCTCGTCCTCACCCCGTCCCACCTTGTCACCTTCCACACCAAGGACATCCTTCGAGCTCTCCACTACTCCAGCCCCCTGACCTGCCTGCCTATGACCATTCGCGGCGTCGACATCCATAGCCTCATGACCAGCACTAGCCCCATTCACCGCCTGCTCCTCTCCTGCGCTAACAACTCCCTTCCCAGCGTTCATATGCCCGTCCAGTGTCCCTTGCCCATTAGCTAATTCGCCGTTCGCCTCCCCTTCAGTAGCGGTAGTAGTGTTAGTGACATCCTTGGCCTGCCGTTGCTTGAAAGCCTTGAACGTCGTAGTCTTGGGCACGACATCGGCGAGGAACTCGAGGTTTTCTACGCGGGCGACTGCGTTGGCTGTACCACACCACATTCATGATCAGGAAACCCCAGTCTTTCTTCCGGAGCAAGGTGGGTGGGTGTAGACTCACCAACATCCCGATATTGAATATTCCTCCTCGGCTTCCGTTCCGACTTGACGATGTTATAGCTCTGCTCAACAAGGTATTGTAGGAACATTTCCGTGGCGGCGGTGATGACGAAGGCGGCGTTGTTGCTGCAGTTGCCTACGTCGTCGTCTACATTGATGATTTTCTTCACGCGGGCCACTGTGTACTGTGTTAGTTGTGGAGAGGTAACAAGGGATGGAGACTGAGGCGGAGGCGTACGTGGGAGTGAGACGGTGCCTGTGACTTCCTTGGTGGGTTGGATGGGGGTGTTGTTGTATGGCATCTTGGCGGTTGATTGTCGTTCTGGTGACTTCGAGGGCTTTGGACGGGTTGCCTCGTGCCTAACGGCTGGTATGAGGAGATGTCGGGATCAATGACACGTCAGACGCGTCGCTACTGATATATGAATGAAGCTCCGTAGAGTGTGTGGTGTGGAAAGAAAGGTCGGCTGTGGGAAGGAGGACGCGATTGTGGATGCTGGTGCCGGAATTGGCTTCTTTCACGTGCCGATATACATGTATACGCATTAACAAGGACGCCTTGCTACGACATCCAAGTCTACATGTATTAGAGGATTGGTGCAAACGAGATGGACGATGCGACTAGGTCAGATGATACTCGGACGATGAGATGAGCTGCAATGATCCGCCGCACCAGCACCCACTCCTCCACCCACTCCTCCGCTCCCCCAACCAGGCGCACCAGTTATGCCACTTCCACAACCTCCCGACACCCACCGGTGGGACTAAATCGCCGACTCTCCGCCCTCAGCACTGCCGAGGCTGGCAATCATGAAGACCCAGAAACAACAGCCGCAGACGAGACGGTAGCAGAGGAACTAGCCGAGATCAAACGCTACGAGGACTTCACCACCATCGACTGGGTGCAGGATGCTGCGCGGGAGAACCAACGCCGGAAAGCTCGACGAGTAGAGCGAGCAGGCTTCTTTGAGCGCGAAGGTCGTCTAGGCTGGAGGAGGAAAGTATGGGAAGCTTACGAAGCAGGACAGGGCTGGATCGTGGTAACACTGATCGGTATAGCCATAGGCCTGAATGCTGCCTTCCTGAACATCGTCACAGAATGGTTATCCGACATCAAACTAGGCTACTGCACCACAGCATTCTACCTCAACGAATCCTTCTGCTGCTGGGGAGCCGAAAATGGATGTCCAGAATGGCACCACTGGAGTACCTTCACACCACTCAATTACCTCCTGTACATCGCCTTCGCCAGTCTGCTAGCCTATTGCTCTGCCCGCCTAGTCAAGTCATACGCTCCCTACGCAGCTGGCTCAGGCATAAGTGAGATCAAATGCATTATAGCTGGCTTCGTGATGAAAGGCTTTCTGGGCTTCACAACCCTCCTGATCAAAACCCTCGCCATGCCTCTCGCCATCGCATCGGGTCTGAGTGTTGGAAAGGAGGGACCGAGCGTTCACTACGCTGTCTGCACGGGCAACGTAATAAGTCGCTTCTTCGACAGATACCGCCGCAACGCAGCTAAAACACGAGAAATCCTCTCCGCTTGCGCCGCTGCGGGCGTAGCTGTCGCTTTCGGAAGTCCAATAGGCGGCGTCCTGTTCAGCCTGGAAGAAATGAGCAATTACTTCCCACTCAAAACCATGTGGCGAAGCTACTACTGCTGCCTCGTCGCCACCGCCGTGCTGGCAGCCATGAATCCCTTCCGAACAGGACAACTAGTAATGTTCACCGTGAGATACGACCGTAGCTGGCACTTCTTCGAACTTCCCTTTTACATCCTCCTCGGAATATTCGGAGGCCTCTACGGCGCCTTCGTGATGAAGTGGAATCTTCGCGTGCAGGCTTTCCGCAAACGCTACTTGACACAATACCCGATTCTGGAATCCGTCCTCCTAGCTTCGGCGACAGCAGTCCTCTGCTACCCCAACATGTTCCTCCGTATCGACATGACCGAAAGCATGGAAATTCTCTTCCTCGAATGCGAAGGCGGCCACGATTACGACGCCCTCTGCGACGCTCAGAACCGTTGGAGTATAGTCCTCTCCCTCCTCTTCGCCACCTGCTTACGGACGTTCCTCGTCATCACCTCCTACGGCTGTAAAGTCCCCGCCGGCATCTTCGTCCCTTCCATGGCCATCGGCGCCTTATTCGGCAGGATGATAGGAATTCTAGTTCAAGCACTCCACGAAGCATTCCCCACCGCGGCGTTCTTCGCGGCCTGCGAGCCAGATGTCCCGTGTATTACACCCGGCACCTATGCTTTCCTAGGCGCAGGAGCGGCGTTGAGCGGGATCATGCATATTACCGTCAGCGTAGTTGTCATCATGTTCGAGCTGACAGGAGCACTAACCTACATCCTCCCTACTATGATCGTCGTAGGCGTCACGAAAGCGGTGGCAGACCGCTGCGGAAAAGGAGGGATCGCAGATCGCATGATCTGGTTCAATGGTTTTCCCTTTCTCGACAGCAAGGAGGAGCACGTCTTTGGCGTCGCTGTAGCGAAGACCATGACCGCCAACCCTGTCGCGCTTCCGGCAACAGGGTTCACAATCCGTGACGTCGAGCGCGTACTTCGAGAAACGAAATTCCAGGGGTTTCCCATTGTAGATTCCGCAGAAACACAGATCTTACTGGGTTATATCGGCCGCACAGAACTGCGCTACGCACTCGACCGCGCGAAGAAAGAACAGCTCGTCCGCCCGAACGCGATATGCTTCTTCTCGCCACCCGAAGGTCCACGGACTGCCACCACGCCTTCCGCTGCTTTACCCGCGGTCAGTTTCGATGACATGATCGATACAGCCCGTGTAGATTTCAGCCGGTTCGTGGATCCCACACCCCTTGCAGTCCACCCTCGACTCCCGCTCGAGACGGTAATGGAGTTGTTTAAGAAACTCGGACCACGGGTTATTCTGGTTGAGCATCGGGGACGGTTAACGGGGTTGGTGACGGTGAAGGATTGTCTTAAATTTCAACTTAGGGCTGAGGCGTTGGAGAATCCGAGGGATGATTCTGGGTTGAGGGCTGGACAGGATAGGGTTTGGGGCGTGATTAGGGTGGTTGCGGGGTGGGTGGCGGAAAAAGTTAGGGGGGTAAGTCGGGGGAGGTTGAGGCTCGGAAGTATGACTTCGAGTCCGTCGGGTAGTGCTGGGTTGCGTGGGCCTGGTGGGGGAGCTGAAAGGGCGGAAGTAGGGGATGGTGGTGGGGAGGTGGAGTTGGAGGATCGGAGGACGATGTTATGACAGTAGACACTTTCAGCCTAAATCATCTACTCCACCCCTTCATGCTACTCGTCAAGGCCTCGGGCCTTGTATCCCGCGCGACAACCAGGAGTCCCATGTGTTGGGCGTTTGCGCAAGATGAGGCGTGATCGTGGCGTATGTCATTCAAACCAGTGATCAAGCGGCGCGGGAGGGGCCACTACCGCCCGTGGTGTGGCGGCCAATCAACGCGACGCTTCCGCCTGAGTCGCGTCTTGAGCACTTCAGTTCATGATAACGACAATTATAGGATTTTGCAGAGCCTCGACGAAACTAATCATCAGCTGTGGGTGGTATGCAAGCCGGGCGATGCATAGCGATCTTGTTTAGACCTTTCACACCATACGACGGCTTGATCTTGTGGGACTGCCTACACAACCACGGTACTCCGAGATCACTTATCAATCGCGACGATTATCCTAAGCACAGAGCCAGAGATACCGCCGGACTCGTTTTCCCATACAAGGGTCAGGTGAACAAATTCACCTTGGCAGCATGGCCGACCCGTCATACTCAATCATGACTTCCTCGCCACCTCGCGGCACGAAACGCAAAGCCGAGGAAATGGTGGAACCACGCCGCATCAGAGCGCTACACGAGGACGTGGTGAACAAGATCGCTGCCGGCGAAATCATCGTCGCTCCCGTCCACGCTCTGAAAGAACTCATCGAAAACGCTGTAGACGCCGGCTCGACGAGCCTCGAAATTTTGGTCAAAGACGGCGGGCTGAAACTCCTCCAGATCACTGACAATGGCTGCGGGATCAAGAAGGATGATATGCCGATTTTGTGCGAACGCTTCACGACCAGCAAGCTCAAGGCTTTCGAGGATCTGACCAGTATCGGCACATATGGTTTCCGTGGCGAGGCGCTGGCGAGTATCAGTCATATCGCTCACTTGACTGTTACGACAAAGACGGCAGAGTCGAGTTGTGCGTGGAAAGCGCAGTATTCTGGTGGCAAGCTTGCGCCGCTCAAGCCTGGACAGAGCGCTGAGCCGAAGGCCTGTGCTGGTCGACAGGGGACGCAAATTTCTGTCGAAGACTTGTTCTACAACGTTCCCACTCGTCGACGAGCTTTCAGATCTGCAAGCGAAGAATATGCCAAGATTGCGGATCAGGTGGGGAGGTATGCGGTGCATTGCAAGGGCGTCGCATTCTCGTGCAAGAAGTTTGGAGAGGCTGGGGCAGGTGTTGCGGTGCCTGCTAATGCGACGGTGCGGGATCGGATTAGGATGGTGCACAATAGTGCTATCGCGAATGAGCTGATCGAGCTTGAAGTATCGAGTCAGATGTTTGGATTCAAGGCAGACGGGCTGGTCAGTAATGCCAACTACAACGGCAAGAAGACGAGTCTACTGCTCTTCATCAATCATCGCTCGGTGGAGTCTTCGGCCATCAAGAAAGCTGTCGAGCAGACGTATGCGATGTTCTTACCGAAAGGTGGGAAGCCCTTCGTCTACCTCAGTCTTGAGATTGATCCAGCCCGGGTGGACGTCAATGTGCATCCCACGAAGCGCGAGGTCAATTTCTTGAACGAGGATGAGATTATTGAGTTGGTTTGTGATGAGGTGAGGGAACGACTCGGTAAGGTCGATACCAGTCGGACGTTCATGACCCAGAGTCTGCTGGGAGGCGGCAAGACACCAACGATATCGAAAGCGAACACCATACCAGAGGATAGCGATGCTCAGCCAGTGTCGACAACAAATCGACCAGGCTCGACGAAGGCAGGCACGCAGAAGCCATACGAAAACAATCTCGTCCGCACGGACGCAAGAAGTCGCAAGATCACAGCAATGCTACCCCAGGCCCAGAACCCATCAGCACCATCACGCGAATCGACTTCTGACGGCATAGAATACATCTACACAGACAAAGAGCCAACGACGTGTCGTCTCACCACCATCAAAGAACTGCGAGCCTCGGTTCGTGAAGACATGCACAATGACCTGAACGACGTCTACGCCAACCATACCTTCGTAGGCATAGTCGATGATCGCAAGCGTATTGCAGCAATCCAAGGCGGCGTCCGCCTTTTCCTGGTCGATTACGGTCTAGTATGCGCCGAGTACTTCTACCAACTAGGCCTGACGGATTTCGGCAACTTTGGCACTTTGCGTTTTGCGGACCCGCTTCCGTTGCGCGAACTGCTCGAGATCGGAGTTGCGCAAACCAGGGCTCTCGAGGATGATGGCAGTGGCGAATTTGACTGGGATGAAGTTGTGCCTGCTGTTGAGCAGCAGCTCATGTCGAGACGTGCAATGCTGGCGGAATACTTTGCGCTAGAGATCTCCGAGGAGGGCGAGCTGCTCAGTCTTCCGTTGCTTACGAAGGGCTATACGCCGTCACTGGGTAAACTGCCGAATTTCTTGCTGCGGCTAGGGCCTCATGTGGAGTGGAATGACGAGAAGGCTTGCTTTCAAAGCTTTCTACGAGAGTTGGCGAGTTTCTATGCGCCTGAAGTACTACCTGGCGCAGTGGAGGGAGATGATGACGACGTGGCAAGCCGACGCATTACATTGAACAGAGCGGTGGAGAACGTGTTGTTTCCGGCCTTCAAGTCGAGGCTGGTGGCTACGAGGGCGCTCCTGAAGGGCACGATTGAAGTGGCGAATCTGAAGGGGTTGTACAGGGTGTTTGAAAGGTGTTGAGGCATTTGTGACATTGCTAAGGTGGCTGAGCATCTGACTGCGCGTATTCACCATGCGTGAAGCGTCGATGCGTGGGAACGGAAGGTGGTTGCGTAGAGCTTGATCTTGGCAGCTGTAACTGCGCACTTCGTCTGAGACGTTGAGACCGAGGATGATGACCCACCACGTTATGGTCGATCGATTTTGCAAAGGACCCGTACGGAGACACATGGTCTGGCAAGTCGTCGCCGGATGTGTCGACATGGCTATCTCATCCTGCCAACTTGTGCTCCCCAACCAGCAGTCGTAACAACACCATGCTGCCTCGGCAGGCGAAAATGACTAGCGACATCAGTGCATCACCTTTGCACGGTACTTCCCAAATAGTGTCGCCAGCAAGGGCTCATTCCATGATACTTCGTGCTCCAATCCCGGGCAATGACACTTTCTCCGGGGTTGTTGTCGATCACCTGGAGAGGCTGAAGTGCGGACAACCAATCAAGCACTAGACGATGGTAACGAGGCCTCGGTATTTCTCGACACTGGCGCACTCGGCACTTCACCGAAGCAGATCATATCCAGCTAAGACTACTGTTAAGCGCCACAAGGTTCAAAGGGAATCGTCTTGAGCTTCTCTGTCTGCTCTCAAGGCCAAAGAAACATTATCTTGGTTCAGATACATCAAGGCTTTGTTACAGTCAAGAAACCCGCCTTTTCCCCATCCTCCCATGAACGACAAAAGAAGCTTGTCTCCTTCGCGCAATGTGATGGCGGGCCGCACCTTTGTGGAAAGCCTAAATGCAGCCCTCCGTCGATCACTGACCGTTCAGGACAAAGCTCAGCTTCATTTCGAGACACAAACTCTGTTCTTGGCCGAAATACCGAGGCAGCTCGGACACAACCAGAACGCCACTAATGCTGAATGGACAAGTACGTCGGTACTTGCGGCCACCACCAGGGGCTTATATGGAATGGCTTTGCACCTGCAGTAGCCTTTGTCTTCACGATGGCGAATCAGCCGTTCCGATTTTACATGATGGCGTCGATCGTTTCTACGACGTTACAAGTGTGGCGTCTCGCATGACTTGATGTGGTATGCCATTTCCTGGGGTGCCATGACAAACATGTGATATGATCGACAAGATCGTAACGGTAATGCTTTGGCTTTCGACTTCGTTACCTCAAATGCTACTACCCCGTGTGGAGAAGACGAGATGAAGTCCAAGTTCCTCGGCGTTTTCTGGTCGCTATGCGTATGCGCAGACATACAAAGGTAAGCTACTTTCACATACTCAACCCATTGACACTTCTTCATCCAACCTCAATCTTCCTATCGCAGAGTTGTCTCTTCATCACCTCACGCCAACATGAAGTACGCAGCCGTTTCTCTTCTCGTCAGTGGTGCTGCCGCCTTCCCATGGGTGGTCGACTCCCCCGGTGTCGACTCATCGCTCTTCAAGCAACGCCGCGCACTATGGAGACGTCAACAGACTGGTGAGGGTGCCGGTGGTCCCGCCACTTGCCCCTTCAACGCAAACCACGTCCCTGCTTCTCCAGTCACAGCTCAGTATCCTTACAACAACGCCAAGAATGGCGTCATGGGAAACCAGAAAGGAGGCTTCCAGGTACCCACCACTGGCGACACAGCCCATTACTACGTTGCACCAGGCCCTAACGACATTCGTGGACCTTGCCCCGGTCTCAACGCCGCTGCCAACCACAACTTCCTGTCTCACGACGGAGTCGTCACTTACAACGAGCTTGTCGATGCTCAGCAGAACGTTTACAACGTCGGCTACGACCTTGCCAACCTTCTTGCCGTGCTCGGGCTCACCTTGACCGATGGCGACCTTGTGACCGAGAAGCTCTCGATCGGCTGCGACGCCACCACCCGCACTTCAGTCAACCCAGCTTTGACTGGCAGCGAGCCTGGCCTTGACGGCCACAACAAGTTCGAGGCGGACAGCTCGCTCACCCGCAACGACTTCTTCACCCACAACGGCGACGACTTCAGCTTCAACGGCACCCTCTTCGGCATGATGGACACGACTTGCAAGTCTAACTTCAACCGCGAGGCTCTTTCGCTCTACCGCTCCCAGCGCTGGCACCAGAGTCAGGCAGAGAATTCCAACTTCTACTTCGGTCCCCTTTCGCTGCTGTTGTACGGAGCCGCCTCCTTCTTGTACGAGCTTATGCCGAGCGGCACGCACGGCTATGCTCCCGATCTTGCTACCATTTCCTCCTTTTTTGGTGCTCAGAAGAACAGCGATGGTACCTGGGGCTTCGTCCACGAAAAGATCCCCGCCAACTGGACCAACCGTGTTGCGCCGTACACCAACAATGATGTGACGCTCGAGATTGTCCACATGTACCTTGAGAACCCCGTCCTCTTCGGTGGCAACACCGCTGCTGGCTCTTTCGGTGAGTCGAATTTTGATCTGCTCATACCACAGTTCACTAACCATATCGCAGATGCCCTCAACTTCGGCGCTATTCAGAATGGCAAGATCTCGCCGTCCATCACCCCAGCTCAGACATCTTGCTTGCTGTACCAGCTCACTACTGGACAAGTTCCCAGCTACCTCAACGGCGTTATCACCCCTACCGTTAACGCCTTGGCTTTCGCGCTCAAGAAGCTTGGCCCATCGTTCGCCAACTTGGGTTGCCCGATTCCGTTGACCTAGAGTGGTTATCAATGGCGGTGCAGAAGTGGATGAGGAGAGGGTAGTGACAGGGACCAGTAGTAGGTGTGAAGATGAGTGTTGATTTTAGCAACGAAGGCATGTCGGGTCTTGTGTATGTACGGCACATATAAAGCAATTCAGACATTATGACCATGAACCTGCTCTCACTCCATCACTTCTTGTTCGTTATCCAAGATACAAGCTCACATCTCAATGGTAAGCGATGGCTGGAACATTCAACATTACATCCTACTGCAATGAGAACTTGTGCAGCCACAGCAAGCAGTGAAAGCGGAATCGTGGTGGCCGGTAGTGTTGTCCAGAAGTGTGCTGTACCGCCATACTGGCATACTATCTGGAATCTATAAACTGCCGCACAATTTGCCACCACAGGACAGGCACACGAGGCTTATCGGAGCAGGCCGCCAACATACAGCAGCAGATAGAGAGGCGAAAGTGCATTCATCTGGGCAAGTACGGCGCTGGATCAAGCCTGACGCCAGGCAACCTCTCTGCTCACGGCATCGCCACTGTGGGATAGACATCTCAATGGGAAGATGTGGAAGCTAAGCATATTGGTTTATTCTATAAAATCAAATCAACGTGAAGAAGATCCAGAGCGCTTCAAAGGTCGACTCACCGTGTCTCCACGCATGATTCCAAAGGCCGGAGACATACTTTTCGGTCCACATCGGGTCTATGACTAGTGCTGTAGAATGAGCTGGCGGGCTGCTGACGGGAAAGTCGAGAGCCTGAGTATCCACAGGCTTATCGAAGAAGCCATAGATGTGGCGGCTGGCTTTCTTGTAACCATAGAATCCGGGTAAAGATCCAATGGTATGCTAGGGCTCACGTTCTGGAGCATTATCTTCACCGTCGCGGAATGTTGTTTCCAATCAATCTGCCCAGATGCAATGTTACCGTAAGTCTTTTCCCGGTACCAAAAGCCCAGAACTGACCGTCCAAAGGGACACTGGCACTGGCTCGATGGTAGACGCCTGATCGTGAGGAATTACGCTGTGGGGGATGGAGATCACCCGAAGACATATCAAGTCCTCATTGTAGACGGGAAAGGGCCGGTGGGACGAGGTCCAATAGGTAGCGGTAATGGGCACCGCGACATGTTGAATTTGAAGCACGCCGGTGTTTACCTATCTCAATGCAGGACCAGAGTCCGGTATAAGAGCATATCCTACCAGATCTTGTAAGTGTGCACGTGTGGTGCTTGAGTGAATGCAGATTAAAAGTGGAAGTAATGACAAACGCGTGCCGAACGCGTGTGGTTGCTAAGTGGATACGAGGAACGTCATATCTTGAGGCCCGAGCGGTACTTCTAGACATTCGAACGATCAATACCACCAACAACATTTACCAGAACAGCTAGACATCGCACATACTACACCAACACACCATCCCCAATACCATGCCACCCAAAAGAAGATCCGCAGGCCCCCGCGCCGTCCCAACCCGAACATCATCCCAATCGCAAGCCACCCTCTCCTTCAATGGCAAACAAAACCGAGTCACAAAACCCGGCGTAGCACCCCAGGGCAAGACCAACAAGAAGGACCCAGCAATCGTAGAGGATGTCCCACAGGCCGAAATCAAGCCCGACGTAGAACCAGAACCGGATCTCGATGAACCAACAACAGCCGAGACAGCAACCGCACAACACCCCAATGAGGAAGCTGAAGCACCCACAGATCCCTTACAAAACGGCGCATCGAAGACAGAAGATATCCTAGGCGGTCGTGCACCACAGAGTGAAGCAGGCGCAACAGGAGGTAAAGGGTCAGGCTGGCTAGCAGACGAAGAAACCCTCGCGCGGAAAACCACCGACACGCAAATAAAACGATACTGGCGGGCGAAGGAGGCCGAGCGGTTAGCGCCGAGGGTACATCAGGAGGATCTGACGGTATATGCGAAGGTGTTGCGGGAGTGGGATATGAGTGGGCAGTTTGGGGTAAGTCACACACACACACACACACACATATATAGTCCCGAGATTGTGTCTTGCGCATGGGAGTGCTGACGTTGCTTCACTAGCCATGTATAGGTATCGCCCGCCTAAAACGCTGGAAGCGCGCGAATCTCCTAGGCTTGAACCCACCGATTGAGGTTCTAGCTGTGATACTCAAGGAAATGGAAGCTGGGAATGTCAAGGCGCAGCGGGCATATGTTGATGAATTGATGAATTCGCGGTTCGTGGAGACATGAAGTGGTGCACGCATGACTGTGAAGAGTCTAGAGAAAAGCCGCCTCGGGAGGAAATGGTAGTATCGCGGCCATCGCCCGGAGCACGTATACCAGCCCCCTGGATTGGGTATTTGAATTGCTTGCAGACACGATACTGGGAGTCCGGCGTCGACGAGCACGGATGGACCTTCCTCAAGAGGCGGCAATGTACGGCTGCTTGATCATTTCTCTCTTCTTCTGTTAAGCGATTTTTCAGAGCAAAGGCCTGATAGCTCGCTATGCCCTTCTACCACGGCAACCCGTGAGCGGCAGAATATCACTGAGTCATGGCGCATCATTCATCCAGGCACGCGGGCTTTTCCAGGATGACCACATCTCCGGTTGGAGCATGATGCTATCTATCTCCACCACTGTTTAAAGGCTTGTGAGGATCAGTCGAAAAATTACGTCTCAATCGTGAACGCTTATAGAATATTTCGCACACCCTCCAGAACGCTTTTCGCTCTATCATAACGAACCACCCCTCCCACACCCAGCCATCACTTCTTCCTCAAAGCCTCCACAAACTCCTTGGGCGGCTCCTGCCGATACCCCTGCGGATTATTCTCCGTCCACCGCCAAAGAGTCGCACACTGCTCCTCCAACGTATGCTCCGCCTTCCACCCCAACTCCTTATTCGCCCGCGACGGATTCGCGGTCAAATTCAGCACGTCCCCGGCCCTTCGCGGCGCGACCTCGTACGGTAAAGCGCGGCCGACGGCGGCGGAGAAGGCGTGGATCATGTCGTAGACGGTGCTGCCTTTGCCTGTTCCGAGGTTCCAGGCGCGCACGCCGGGGTTCTTGGTGCGGAGGTAGGTGAGGGCTTGTTCGTGGCCGCGGGAGAGGTCGAGGATGTGGATGTAGTCGCGGATGGCGGTGCCGTCTTTGGAGTCGTAGTCTGGGGGAGGGGAAGTATGTTAGCTGGTTGTGCTCTGTTGAGGAGGAGAATGTTTGGCTTGGCTCAACTTACCATCGCCAAAGACCTTTAGCTTGTCGCGCTTGCCTACAGCGACTTGTGCTAGTAAGGGTAGGAGGTTGTATGGCACACCCTGCGGATCCTCACCCATGACACCGCTTGGATGGCTACCAGCAGGGTTAAAGTAGCGTAGTAATGCAGCATTGAACTCCTTGCCATCCTTGCTTGCCTTGTTCGCGTTCGCCCTTTCCGCATTGATATGGTCTGTGATCATGGTCTCGACAACAAACTTGGTGTTACCGTAAGGGTTGGTGGGGCCGAGAGGACATTCCTCTGGGATTGGGATCATGTTGGGGAAGCGGGTCGCATCGCCGTAGACGGTCGCGGAGGAGGAGAAGACGATGTTGGTGACGTTGTGCTTCTTCATGGATTTGAGGAGGCATAGTGTGCCGTACACGTTGACATGGTAGTAGTCGAGTGGGATTTCTCCTGACTCTCCGACAGCCTATGCGATTGTGGTCAGCGAAAGCTTTCGTACTCGCGACCCAATTTTGAGCAGCATAGACTGCCGCATCGCTTTCAGCCTTCGGTGTTGGTGTGTGGACCTACCTTCAGAGCAGCGAAATGGATGACGCTGTCAATATCCGAGTGCTTGTCAAACACCTCATCCAGCTTCTTTCCATCTGTGATATCGCATTGTACATAATCTGGCTTCTTCCCGCAGATGAGCTCGATGCGATTGATGACTTCCGGGGAGGAATTGTAGAGATTATCGACGATCACCACCTTGTAATCGGCTTCGAGAAGGGCGAGGGCGGTGAAGGAGCCGATGTAGCCCGTGCCGCTGTGGTGGTGCTGTTAGCTAACACGTGTCGTGCACGATATATCGAGCAGGTGATCAAGATACATACCCGGTCACGAGCACAGATCCCACGACCATGTTGATGCACGAATTTGAGATTCAGTCCTGCTTGGAAGTATGGGATTCAACGAGGATGCTGGGGATTGCTGGCTGATATAGCGTAGTCGAAGTGGCAATGTGGTACAGGGAGGGATGTGTTACATACAGTACAATAATGAGTGTGGAGAGACGAGACAAAATGTTGGTGGGGTAATCGTGGTCAACTTTTTATTAATTGGGCTTCATGCAGGAACCAGCTCTCTCATCCCACCCAAGCACACGTGGGATCAAGCCTTCTTCTTCTTCTTCTTCTTCTTCTTCTTCTTCTCAACACCTTCACCTTCGCGGTAGGTGGAGGGAAGGTACTGTATCGAGACCACTTCCCGAGCAGCATCGTCCTCCACTCCTCCCGAGGAGCATCGACATCAATTGATGCTGCAGACTCTTCAGCACAACACAATGCTCGACGTTCAAGCTGCAATTCGGGTGCCATTATTGGGGCTTGTCAAAGCATGCACCAACATCAGCCCCACATCATTGATGACCATAGGCACAGGGGTTCGCTAGGCTACGGCTGTACCCGTACCATCATTCATCTCACTTCACCTCGCAGGCATGGGGCGAGTCACTCGCGGAGAACAGCTCAAGTACAATGAAGGTGGGCGGCATGTATGCATAGGAGTTGGCCTTCTCTTGTACAGGACTCTCCAATATAACAGCAATGAGATGTACAGTAAGTAGTTAATTACTTCTATCGATGTCCTCGGCATTCTCGAGGCAGATAAGCGGGAGGCTCTGCGGAGAGGTGCATTAGCGCAAGAACATCTGGCGCGCGACCTCACTACTGCATCAACAAACCACGCATACCGAAGAATGTGACGATCGATCACTTCGCGACATGCCCCACTTCCAAAGCTAACATCACATTCGACAGGGGGCTGGATGACTGTTTGGTATTGTGGCTATTGTTGGAGCAATACCAACCATGGAGTGACAATTGATGTGTATACTGGACCATGCACCAACAATAACATCGCCTCCGTGTCTATTGTCTCGGCTGAGCGCAGGAAAAGTACACATACTTCTGCTTTCTCGACATCTGGCCTCGAACAACTCTCTCACTTACAACCACTTTCAAACCTCCTTCCAGAACATTTCCAACACACAAGTCAATCATGTCTCAGACACCAGGCCCATCCACAAGACTCCGGTCCTCAAGACAAAACACCCCACTGCCGGTCACAGCACCACCAGGCACCAAGCAGAAGCCGACGGCACTCCCAGCAGCATCGGTAGGCATCAGCTCCGGCTACGGTGCACCTGGCAAACCAGTCATCAGGACACAAATCGCCACTGAGACCACAAATCTGACAACGCTACTGCAGAATGCTCGCGAACCACCTCCAGCCATTGAAGAAGAACAAGCAGATGCGGACGCCATCGGAGTGGCTGCTCAAGCTAGCAAGACCACATCTCGCCGTGCCCCTGGCCGCCCCAGCACAGCTACTCGTCGTCAGCGAGCTACAGGCAGTCTGCTCAATGGAGATGCCGACCTGCTCCCCCAACCACGTCGTGTACCCTCGCGCCTTGCTGAAGTCCCTCCAGCTGATATGTCAATGAATGGCGACGGGGATGGCACAGCCCTGCGCAACGCGACCTTCATCGACCACAATGCTGGCTACGGTGGCCGTGGTGGCGTCCCCGACTACGAGCCCGGTAATATCGCACTTGCGGCGCATACACTGCCTCGATACATCCCTCAGGTTCTCCGAGACTTTAACAAAGATCTCTGGTCTTTCCTGAAGGCCGTCGGCGCTATCTGTCTCATCGTCATCTCTACTCTTCTGGCCTTGGCTTCCATCTTCAGTGTCTGCTACGGTCTCGCCTTCACTGTCGGCGCCGTCTACAAAGGCTCTTCGATCGGCAGTCATCTTGCTGCCTGGACTGGACGTTCAGCAACTCCACCACTCACTGAGATGGAGAGGATGTGGATCGAATTCCGCTCGGCTCACGACCAGAGAGAACTTCTTCGAGACCAGGATCTCAACAAGACCAGAGTCGACTTCCTGCAGTCCGTCGCCATCCGCATGCTCGAAGGCCGCATGAGCGAGTGGGACAGGATCCATACCCTCAACGAGAAGACGATGAAGCGCCTCGAGAGAATGCTACCGTCAGACATGGCAGCTGAGATGGTCGATGGCCACCTTGTCATTCCAGACCGCTTCTGGCAGGCTCTGCAAGACAAACTCACCAACAACGGTTCGGCTCTGTGGCGTGCATTCTTGGATTCGAATTGGGATGGCGTGCAGGAGGTGACTGATAAGCGTGTGGCCAACTCGCTAGCAAATCTCAAGAACCAGAAGCAAATCGTCTCCCCAGCAGACTTTGCAGAAGCTGTCGGCAAGAACTACGCCTACATGGAGAGCCATTTCAAAGAAGAGATGCGCACAGCCGAACGCACCATGGTCGCCGACTTTCGCCGCGTCGCCTCCGAATCAGCCAGTGACGCCGTAGCCACCAAGATGACCGACCTCTTCTCCAGCAGCCAGCTCGAACTCCTCGCCAAAGCAAATCAAGTCCGCAACACCTACGAAGCCCTCCGCCAAGTCAACTTCTTCTCACCCGGTCATGGCGCCCGAGCAGTCCCCGTCAACACCTCCCCAACATACACCAAAGGCAAGAACAGCTGGCAGAAGTGGTTCTACCCGGCTCACCCACCGATCGCCGCCTTACAACGCTGGGAGGAAGCTACAGACTGCTGGTGCGCCACCCCCTCGACCGACATGGGCAACGCTCAACTCACAGTCAAAATGGGCCACACCATCTTCCCCGACAAACTCATCATCGAACACATCCCCAGCCAAGGCACCCTCAACATCAGCACCGCGCCCCGCGAACTCGAAATCTGGATCGAGAAACCCGTCAACAGCCCCAACACCGCCGAGCAAATGCGCGAGACGATGCGCGAGCAGGGTATCTCGAGCGATTATTGCGGTACTCCACCTAGCAACAATCATGTTTGTATTGGGGCGGGAAAGTACGATATCCATACGCAGAATACCGTGCAGAGTATCCCCATGTTCGTGGACACGAGTCTGTTGGGTTTGGCGGCGAAGACGATGACGATCAGGGTGTCGAAGAATTGGGGTGGAGAGGCGACTTGTCTTTATCGGTTGCGAATGACGGGTGCGAGGGTTGAGCCTACGAGTTGAGAGGGTATGTGATTGTATGATGGGTTGCGAGAGTGGGCGATGGGGTTTTATGGAATGATATGGTATGGTATGCATGAATGCATGGCAGGATGGCGAAAGGGATATATGAATGTGTCTATCTTGCTGCAGGGTGCTTGGGGTCAGGTTGACAGGACGCACGCATCGTTCAGCGTTAGAAGCGATTTGATACCCCGTGGATGGTAGTACCACGAAATGAAGCAAGTAATCTCATGTAACGCCAATATCTTGTCAATCGGCTCACTACTGGCCTCTCTCAGAGTCATGAGTCCTATCTCCTCCATCAGCTTCAGGCAGGCACGATTTCTTGCCTTGCATCTTGCATGTGAAATTGCGGGGCTGGCATTCGTTCTGTTTGCCGTGATACAGTAGACTTTTGATCCTCTACACCGGCCTTGTCATACACATCTGCTCACGCTCCTACGAAACCATGGCCTCCTCACAATCACTCGCCATGGATCCTCACGATCCATATGGCACCAAATCCGCTGATGTGCCCAAGGGCAGGAAACGCTTCATCCCACTCGGTAGACATGACCCCACGTATCGCAGCCACCAGATCAGTATAGGCTGATTAAATGCCCAGAGAACAACCCGGAAGTCATGTCCTCCCTCCTCCACAAACTCGGCCTCTCGCCCTCACTACAATTCCACGATGTCTTCAGCATAGACGATCCGGATCTCCTTGCGTTCGTCCCACGGCCAGCGCACGCTTTACTCCTCGTCTTCCCCGTCAGCCAGACTTATGAGAGGTTCCGTCATGAAGAGGATAAGGAGAAGATGGAGTATCAGGGTAGCGGGGAGGGGGAGCAGGTAGTGTGGTATAAACAGACTATCGGCAATGCGTGTGGGCTTATCGGACTGCTACATGGTGTTTCCAATGGAGCAGCGAGGAGGCAGATTAAGGAGGGAAGCGATCTCGACATTCTGGTGAAGAAAGCAGTGCAACTTGACCCACGTCAAAGGGCGACGCTACTTGAGGAGACCCCAGCCCTAGAGACGGCGCATCAGGAAGCCGCGAGTAAAGGCGATACAGCGGCTCCTGAGGCGGAGAGCGATGTCGATTTGCATTACGTGTGTTTTGTGAAGGACGAGAGGAATAGTCATTTGTGGGAGATGGATGGTAGGAGGAAGGGACCGCTGGATAGAGGGTTGTTGGGGAGGGAGGAGGATGTGATGAGTGAGAGGGCTTTGGAACTGGGTGTCAGGGCTTTTTTGAAGAGGGAGGAGGCTGCGGGTGGTGGGGAGTTGAGATTTAGTTTGATTGTGCTTGCTGAGGGTTTTGAGTGATGTGGATGGGGTGTGTGATTCTGACGATGATCATGGTCAAGCATGTTCATGCGGGTAAATGGTGGTATCGCTCATTTATGTCCGCGCGACTAAGCAGCATCTCGGCGCAACCTGCATTCCAGTCACTCGACGTCTGTAAGCCTACAGTCGTCACCCGAGCTCTCATCGACATTGATCTCACCTAGCGACGCATTGCATTCCACCGGCGGCTGCCTCCGCAAAGGAGCACTTTATGACATCCCCTTGGTCGAGACCACGCGCGGTCTCCTCTACCGTCGGCTACTTTGACCTCATGTTGTCGCTACCGTAACGGACAGCATGTGTATGAAGAAATACAACTTCAATGCCGACATAGCCGTCCCACGGTATCAGAAGCCATACTTTCTAGCCGACAGAACCATTGTTCCGCGTTCCTACCAAGTTGCTGGGAAAGACAATGGACGACCTTTTCAACATGGGTGCATCATCCCGAAACTTCACTGACCTTGCTCTTCCGTCTTGGGACCTGCGAATGGCCGACCACTCTCGCATGGGCCTCAGTATGGCGACCTCAGTCAATGCCTCAGCCATCCTTGCCATGCACGAGCGACATGAAGTACAAGTCATGGCGACCGTTATGGCGACTCTCAGTATCACTGCTTGCCTGTGCGCAATGTACTGGTTCTTGCTCATGCGGCGGAACTTCCGCCGAGACTTGGTTCTGCTGTTGATCTTGAGTGACTTCTGGAAGAGCTTGTGGTTCCTGATACAGGCTTCGGTGATATTCACGCATGGTCAGCTAAAGACAGATTCGACATCCTGTCAGGTCGGTGGGTATATGATCACGATGAGTATTGAGGCCTGTGGTGAGTTAGAAATATGTCAAGTATGGGCGGATCTGCAGGCTGATTGGTCGTGGCAGACTTGTCGATACTCTTCATGAGTCTGCACATGTCCCTCCAGATCTTCCCGCCCGCCAACTCCTTACTCGGCCACGACGGTCTATATCGCCTTCGACACTGGGTTCTGGCGGCGTTCATCGCCATACCCAACACAATGGCGAGTCTGGCCTTCGCCAACCCGGGATCAGCATTCCAAGCTGTAGGACCTTTCTGCACACTACCTATAAGGCCGTACTGGTATCGACTGGCCTTGTCATGGATACCACGGTATCTGATCTGGATATACATCATGGCAGTCGCGATCCGCATATACAAGCATGTGGGTAGCGAATTTCAAGTCTTCGGTCAAGAGAAAGACCGTAGTAGTAGCTTCTCCATGCCTGCTGAGAGCTCGGTCGATCGGGCCATGGCGACGCAGGTACTGGCGAGTACGAGGCGTAAGTCCTTGGCACCATCGAGCTTGGAAGTGAAAGAGAAGGGCTCAGACGAAAGCTTGGCACCAGACGAGAGGAGCGCGGAGTCTACCACTGCACTCAAGAGCCTGCGGAGCGCTCCGTCGGAGTCGGGTGTCGCGAGCCCAGCTGCATCCTCACGACGTGGCTCGGTACCAACGTGGACAACACCTTTCAACCTGCCCTGCGAATCTCCATCCAGGTCTCGATCACTGAAGAGTGCTCCTACTTCTCGCCGTGGAAGTCAAATGATTGCTACTGGGGTCATGGCCGAGGACTTCGCTCCACCAGTCCAGATGTCTGATGCAGCTCTTGCTCGCCACCGCGGCTCGATTGCTACACTACTCTCGGTCGCTGCATCTTCAGTCACTAGTGCTCCGGCATTGGACCCCATCGTCGAAGACAAACGAGGATCCACCTCCACTGGCAATTCCAGCCGGCCAGACAGAATCGCAGACACAGTTCTGAAGACCCGTCGCCGTGCCATCCAGCGACAGCTCCGCCTCTTATTCATCTACCCGGTCGTCTACATGATCATCTGGATCATCCCTTTCGTCAGCCACTGCATGAACTACAGCAATTACTATGCTCAGAACCCAATCTTTGCCATCAGCTTTCTGAACATTTTCTGTCAATGCTTTCTTGGCTTCGCAGATGTGTGTGTCTTCTGTTGGCGAGAAAAGCCTTGGAAACATGTTCCGGGTAGTGATGGGACTTTTGTGGGTAGCTTTCGCTTCTGGCAATTTTGCGGTACGGGAGCGAGGAGGAGGAGGCTTAGTAGAACTCTGAGTGATATACCTGATGATGTGGAGGCTGAAGGCGACGGCCAGCAGGTGGCTCAGAAGGGCGGCGGGGCGAAGTGGAAGCGATGGCTGTCACCAAGTGCGGATGGTGCGGCAGCGCGCCATCTCTCGGAAACGTCTACGAGCGGTAATGGTAGCGCCGTTACAGCTTCAGCTTCCGCGCGTCGACCAGCTGGAACTCACAGGAGAACGCTGAGCGGTGGGTCTGATCGGAAGCAACTGGAGATCGAGCAAGCGTATACGAGGCTTGCGCTCGAACGAGCAGACTTTGAGGCGAATCGCAAAGGCTTTGGAGAGAAGAGCCGAGATGCCACAACGGAGCTGCAGCATGATACTGAGCCGCGACCTGCGCATAAGGGGGCGTCGAGCAAAGATTGGTGGGACGGGGAAGTCGAAAGTGCATTGACAACCATAGATAAGGAAGAACATGAACGAGATGCTACAGCAGCGCATTAGTAGTCTGGTCGCTGTAATGTCGGTCTATCTATATAGAACAATTACGTCTCTATTTCGCCCAAAGCGCTATGCAAGCCACGTCAAGAAGTGAAAATTCAAACATCTTCACAACTCAATCTCGATGTCGTCCACAATCTGTACCTTGACACTCGCCTGCTTCGGGTCGGCTGCAGTATGCATAGCCTCGATCGCCTTTTCAAGCGGGAAAGTATGCGTGACCATAGCGTCGAGATCACAGACCTGGTGGTTTTGAAGGGCATTGATACCTGCAGGCCACGTATCTGAATAGCGGTTGATGAATCTCAGGTCGATCTCGCCCAGACTGAGTTGCATGAAGGGGAGGTTATTCATGATGCTTCGGCCAACTCCAACGACCATTACCAGACCCGAGCGCTGGCAAGTATAAGCTGCCGTGACGACGCTGGACTCGATGCCGGTGCATTCGAGGACGGTGCTGGGTGCCTTCCATTCTGATGGTGATGGGATCATGCGGTCTAGATCTCGTGGCTCGACACCATAGAGTGCGCGAATCTCCTCGGAGGCTTGTTGGGGTGACTTGCTGGGTTCGACCTTGTAGGTGAGCACTCCAGGGGCGAACTTCTTGGCAAAGTCGAGTTTCGATTGATCGATATCGGTGATGACGATGGGCCAGGCACCAGAAGCTTTGGCAGCAGAAAGCGCACAGAGTCCGATGGGTCCAGCACCACAGATAAGAAGAGGTCGACCAACGCCTATTGAGCCTTTACATGATCTCACGGCATGTAGGATAACCGAGAAAGGCTCCAGTAAGGCGCCTTGGGCAAATGTCATCGTATCGGGCAGGGGGTAGCAGTACTCAGCATCGTGGGTGACGAAGCGGCGAATCGTTCCAGCAACAGGACACACTCCAGCGAACTCGACGTACTCGCAGAGATTGTACTTGCCAGCTTTGCAGAGCCAGCATTTTCGGCACGGTACCCCTGGTTCGAGGGCCACGCGGTCGCCGGCCTTGATGTTTGTGACCTCCGAGCCTACGGCCAGTACGACACCGGCAGGTTCATGACCAAGGACGCATGGTCTGTCGACTTTAATAGGACCAATCCCGCCCTGATGCCAGAGGTGCATATCGCTGCCGCCTTGGATTGACAGTCAGGCCAGATCTCGAACTGTGTAGGCAGTTACTGGTACTTACAGATACCGGTACATCGTACATGTATCAATGCCTCATGCGGCTGTGGCGTGGGAACTTCGGTCTCCTCAAGAGCAATCTCATGCTCGGGGTTCACATGCAGGGCTGGATTGCCATACTTCTGTAGTTTTTGAACCAATGCCGATATGTTAGACTGCGGTACCGTACTATGCAGCCTCTTGTGGCTGACATTGCTGTTTGTGACAACCTTATGCGTATGGGTCGCACATCCACGAACACGGGTTGAGTGTGATGCAGGAGAGACCTGGTGTGAGCGGAGCAAAAGGGATGTTCTGGTAGATCGCCAGCCCTGCAGGGACGAACGCAAAGGGAGGACTTTGAACGACATTGGAGATGTATGCTCTGCGAGTATAGGAGCAAGAAAAGAATTGTGATACGAACGACGTACCTACGTACCTGCAGACGGACCTTCTCAAAGTGGCCTTCCGTCTTGATGCCGGTTACGCATGCCATGAACTCTGGGTGAAAGGCAGAGCTCCATTAGGCCTAGACTCATGTGTGACAGCTTCCATCAGTTCTTCCTTGCATGCTAGTCGTTATGTCATGTCATGTCATGTCGCGGACAGCGTACTCGACGTGCTTTGTTACGAACAATGTTCTCTCTTCGCCATACCACCAATTGATGCTGTGTAAAGAGAGAGTCAAGGTGATGCTGGCGCGGGTTTAAGCTGGCGCTTGCAGATTCCGCTTGGAGAAGTCTCAGAACAGAAAGTCCAAGCACATTTTCAGACATTTGTGAAATCACAGGGTGTTCGAGCAGACAGAGGGAGAGAAATTCGTGGCTCGAAGAATGTGTATGAGCACGATGGTTCGTGAATGGAGATAGCTTAGACGTTGTGCCACATCATTAATATACACATCACAACTACACCGTTCCATCAATGTATCCTCCTCAACCCTTCAACCCATCCTCTCACAACTTCCACCTCCACACCCAATTCAGCAGAGACCTCGACCTGCACCTCAACAGGCGCATCAAGGAAGCCTTCGACTAGCTCTCCGTCGACGAATCTCACTGGGCCTTCCTCGCCCATATCCCGAACCTGATTTCGGAAGCCTCTCCACTTCCCGAAGGGAACATGACCAGGACTCTTCACCCTCTCCGCGAGCAGCGACTGTAAACGCATGAGCACATCTTGCTTTCCAGGCGCGATGAGGCAGAACAGGTATATACTGCCCTCTACCGTCGCGAGGAAAGCTCGTGGGATGACTAGAGCAGCGGATGTGGGTTGCACTGATATAGGTCGAATGCGGTTCACCATTTCGCCCAGAAGCATCTCGCTCACGGGTCGTAATCGTCGGCGGTCTTCGTCGCTGAAGCCATTGATGTCGTGTTGGAGCACTACGAGATTGCCTTCCGCATCGGATTCGAGATATGTGTTTTCCGCCACATTAGCTACTGCTGTGCCCCAAACAGTCTCGTAGTGGCGCGCTGCTTCGCTCAAGGTATCGGCTACTCCGTTGCGACCAGATTTGTAATCGACTAGGGAGACGGACTTCATCAGATCTGTGACTGCTATCACGGAGCCGGTGACGCAGACATCGATCGGAGCTGTTGCTGTGCGGTAGGCGGCTTTCTTGACCAGGAAAGGTGAGCTTGGTGTCTGATACTCGAAAGAGTAGATGACGACCTAAGATAACATCAGCGAAAGCTCGAGGAAGTAGCCAATAGGATCGCATGCTTACCGTCTTGACAAGAGCCGCCACAATGCGTCCTTCGCACATAGCAACGCATCGACATGCTCCTCGCAAACTTAGCTCCGTAATCATCTTGAGGCGTCGCTCCTCCGTGACCTCGAAGACCAGTAATCGACCCCTCGTCTTCTCCTTGCCTTCGCCGTCATCTAGGTAAGCTGTGCCCACCACGAATCTTTCTGCCGTTTCACCCGTGCCCGAGCCATCGTCTAGTTGGCATCGCATAACGCACTCCACCAGCTCATCCTCGTTCAGAGCATGACTGTGCAACTCTTGAAATGCTACTTCATCAACAAGCTTGAAATGGCTGCTCACTTCTTCCGCGCCAGCCGCCAGAGTCCGCTTGATAGTGCCCAGACCAAAAGATTTCAGGTTGGGACTGTATGCTATCCGTCGTACAGTCTGGCCAATATGTAGCGTCTGGACATGCGTTGTTCGCTCCTCGTCGACCATGGCCAGCTTTAGCTCATCCTCGGTCGCGATCGCAATGGCTCCAGGATAAGTCTCGCTATCGAAAGAGCAGATTGCTTGTGCCGACTCCGCCGTGACCGCACTGTACACCATCCTGCCTTCTTGGCCGTAGATCAGTGAAGGGTGCTCGCATGTAGTGAAGACGTTCAGCAAGCCATCGCCTCGCGGTAAGAGCGCGAAGTTGGCTTGCTGTGTACCAAGAACGATGCTTTTCCGGGCTGTGAAAGGTTGTTGTGCTGATTCTACGGTGTATGTGACGACATTGCCATCTGCTAAGCCGATGAACAAAGTTGGTGGTTGATCGCGAAGTATGTTGGCTATCGCCAGTGATCGAGGTACTGCTGGACCTTCTGCTTCGTCCACTACCTGCGTCTGAGCGATCGGTTTCAGGTCGGTCAATGATAGGAAGGCGACTTTGCTATCCAGCCAAAAGCCCGCCACACAGGTGTTCGGCACCGTACGCGAGACAGCTATGCAAGAAATCTGCTGCGCGGCCTCGAAGGACCTTTGTGCCTGCACTCTGATGCTGCTGGCACTAAGATCAAGCGCCACGAGTGCAGCACCAGCAAGCGAAAGTACAAGCGTGTTCCGCTCAGCCGCCACTGCAGTTATTGCGCTGCCGCCAGGAGGTGTCCACCTGTCGTTCACCATGCCATTGCTTTCCTCCGAGACCTGTACTGCCGCGCTAGTGACCTGCACACATCGACCGTCTGCGAGGTTGCCAGCGTACAACGTAGCCTCACCGAGATCGAAGCCACCGAAACTGTCTACCTCCTCTACTTCGCCATCACTCGAGAAGCGAAACACTCGAGTATGCGCGACAAAGCTCACGATCAAGGTATCTACAGTCTGAACGCCAGCTTGACTTCGCAGACTGAAGACTTGCGACACCGGCGCACCCATTTCGCCAATCGAGCCTACATCCTCCAGACCAACGCCAGACCGTACAGATCTCAGTGACCCATCGGTATATGCGCCTGAGCCAGTCACAATCCTAGCCTGGCCAGACGAGAATTCATTCACTGCTGCTTCCGCACTTCTGTTGCCCATGTCCATGATAGTGAAGTCCAGGATCGGCGCAATGTTCGAGAACGTCTGTACAATCTCAAGGCTCTTCTCCGAGATCTGAATGATCTGGCTGTCGCCTTGATGGCTGCCAACGAATATTCGGCCAGCATCAAGGTAGACGAGAGTGTTCGCTCTTGAGGTCTGCCCGAGTACATCGATCTGATGGCCAGCATATTCTCCATCGTCGTTTTGCTGGATGAAAAGCAGATACAGCTTCCCGTAGTCATCAGCTAGGACATATCTTTGATCGTCAACTGCGCACCACGCGACAAAGACCGTAGCTTCTTCCAGCTGTTGTGTGTTGGTGATCCGAAATTCCCACTCATCCGCGTATGCTATGCTCGTCTCGCCAACAATCATCACACCATATAACGGCGCTGGCAGAGGTATAAGATGGCTTGCTCCCAGCTCAATGTCACCTTGTGCATTTCGGCCTTTCTCTAGCTCGGCTGTTGGCGGTTCCTCTTGTGGGCGTAACGATGGTGTGAACTCCAGCTCGCGGACCTTCAACCGCACCTTGTTCGTGCTGTCTTCCCATAATATCGCGAATTCTGGATTTGCTAATCGTGCGCCACCCTGCCGTTTGTGTACAAATGCTGTACTTCTCACGAAAAGCTCCGGTATCCGTACCGGCACTGGATCTTGCAGTTCTCCGATCTCATTGTCAGCTGCTCTCCTCTTGCCCTTGCCAGCATGTGCAATCGGCAGTATATTGACAACCCCTTCGTAGCACTCCAGCGTCATGAATCGATTCGACGGATCGATATGCACTCTGTCACCCGTCTGGCTGTCTCGTGCAGCCTTCTCAGCAACATCAACATAGCTCTTCTCCGTCTTGAGCTCCTTCCGCCCAGCGTCCCACGAGAGCGTGAAGTAGTGATATCGATCTGTCCCAACGAAGAGATGGTCTGTCTGACTCGTCGCAGGTCGAAGCTTCTGCAGTAATGTGACTTTGCCATATATGGTCTTTGAGTGCTGTAATGAGAGCTGGTCAGGCTGCTGAGGGTTTGGTGACCATACTTCAAGACGATTGGCTTTTGCTACCACCAGATCTTCTGATTCCGGACTGAGAAATGAGGTCCGTATTGCATGCCGTACACTAGACGGTCTGTGGATGGGTGCCAGATATGCCATGGTTGATCGGAGTTAAGGATGCTGATTAGCCTTGGAGCTCAGCGTTGTTCAGTTTGTCAAGGATGAGGCTCTATTCTTGGTAAGATCATGCCCGGCTTCAACTGTTCTATTAGTGTCCAGCACCTTCCTCTCGGTGTGAATGTCAGGACGATGTTGGTAAGATATGTGAGATCAATCAATCGATGGTTAATTGGTGAAGTCATCATACGCGAGAGCTCGCTCGCTGGAAACACGCCTCGGTCCAAGCTTCGAGCAATGAAAATCTACATAGTTTGTTCAAGACTCATTACCTTTCGCGCGACTACAGCAGCAGCAGTAAAGAATACCTCGCTGTCAGCAGGGATGAGCGATGGCGCGTAAGTCGCCCCGGTAGTATATGCTCGCTGCCGATACAGGCAGGCCCGTTATACCAACTGACTTACTTTCCAGCTGCCAAAGTGCCCGAGGACGACGACGATCCCGTTACAGCAGAGTACGATGTCTACTTAACACCCTCACAAGCCGAAGAGATCTTCCTCCTGCAGTATCCGAACCGAGTCCGCACACGACCCTACAACGACCGCACTGGCTCCAGACCTCAAGACGTACGGATCAAGCCTACTACTGGCTTCATTGAGCTCGATGTCAACCTCAACACTGGCTACAACTTCAACAAGTACAAGTCACTACAGTGGGGAGATGCTTTAAACACCGCTCGGGATATCCAGAACAGCTCGGGTACATATGGACCCGCGGCAGGGTTCAGTGGTGCGAAGCCAAGGACTGCTGGGCGTATGGCTGTAAAGGATCAGGCAGATCGACAGTTACAAATCCAACATGATCTCGCAGGATTCAAAAACGCAGAGTCAGACGGTAAAGTGATGCGCGTACAGACGCTAGGAGGTCAAGTCATTCGGCACGATGGGCCAGACGAGATTGGCAAACCAATCTATTTTGTTGGAGCTTTCCGCAACGATCAACTACACTTGACGAAAGTCACTGGCACTGCGCAGATGCGTCCGCAATTTCACCACCTCGATGCGGAAGAGCAACGTGCTCGCATCGCTGCTTCACGCGCATCTGCTGCAGAATTGGGAGAGCCGCGACCAGCCGGCGAGGCACGATCGATCCTGGCCCGAGAGAAGAAGCTGGATGATTCAGACAAAGTCAGGCTCGAGGACGTGCTGAGGAAGCAGTTGAGTGCGGCGGAAGCAGAGGAGTGGACGAAGATGGACTACATCGACGAAGACATGCAGGCTGCCTACGATCTGTTCAACGACAGGATGTTCGTGAAAGACGTGGAGGCTGCGCCGCGGCTGAAGAGTGATATGGACAGTTGGGACTACCTCGATGCTATCAGTAAGCCGCGGAGAGGCAGCGTCGGGAGGCGGAGAAGGAAGAAAGGTAAGGAAGTGGAGGGGGTTGATCTCGAGGATGGTGAGGACGAAGCTCTGCAGGAGGGTGGTTGACGCCTACAGCTACCAGCGCATAGTTCTTGCCACGGCAATGCATGGGCAAACCTCTGAACTGGGCGAATGACACCACGGTGTATGCTTATCCAAGGCGTAGCAGTCGCAGCAGCCAAGCACGCCCAGGGCGAACGACCATATCGCTTGGCAGAAGAGCAGGCATCGCTCATCCCTAGTAGTGACACTGCCAGATTGAAGACTAGGCGGGTGCGACCGGCAGCAGCGAGCATGATACACCTTATCTTTTCGGCTGCTGCACTCAAGCCTCTGGAAAATAAGCTTCCATCCCACGATGCAACCGAAGCTTTTCCTTCCGAATCGGAAAGCGCGATCTCGTACCTCCAGTACATCTACCTTTACACGACATGAAGCTACCTTACTCACGATCGTCTGCATAATACTGGTCACACGACTGAAAGCTCTTCGGTACAGGTACAATATTTCCCAAAAGTCAATGTCTAGGCCATGGTCTCACCGCAAGAGAGACAATCTCGCGGCACCCTGAACTCTACATCTTTAGCCACGGACACGAGAATAATAATGCCGTATCGCATACGAACAAATCAAACTCGCCCAAGTCTTCATCCGAATACATGTATAGTACACTTTCCATGCATGCGCTGCGGTAGGACGATCGGATGAGTGCGATTCCGCAGCTGCCGAGAGAAGTAGTACGATCTTTTCGCGCGTGTCACGGAACTTTATTAGTCGCGTGGTACGATGCATCATGCAGGACGAAAGCTCTTGTGTCTCTGAGAGGGCTCGGCATGCTCGGATGAGTGCATCATGCGTGATTTAGGAGGAATGAGGCATGAGGTCAGATGGGTTGTCTGGTGGACATGCATGAGATGAGTACTGGTTTACTTGCTCCTTCCCTTGACATTTCTGCCGAATCGTACTTTGATGACTGGCGTTCTTGACGACATACACGATTTGACATTACAACAAAGCTATCAACCTGCTTCCCTGCTATATATAGCCTGCGCCTAAGTTAGACATCGACGACACGGCCATCATGCTTCCAATCGTGCTGGTTCTACCACTGGCATACGCCGCTCTTTACCTACTCACCTGAGAGCTCGGCCAGTGTGGTCGCACTGCAAGGACGAAAACGTATATCTCAACTCTGATGATCGCGTGTGGCCTTCTCGATATCTGTGGACCCTCAGCCATTCAATAATGTCTCTCAACGCTGGAACCATCAGGGCCCTCCATAGGCCACCGTTGATGATGGGCTCATGGCCTATCAGTAAGCCGCAGACATGTGGCTAGACACTTTCGCCGCGCTCTCGCGCCAAGCTGCTGCTGCCGTGTCCATGCTGCAATGGACGAAAGCCTCGGTGCATTGCGAATCTTCTTCGATTGGAGACCAGTCAAGGAGGGAATAAAAGGAGTCTTATCATCTACGTGTTGACGCGAACACGCAAGAGGAACCACAAGTCGACTACAGCACGTTGAGCCTGAGGACTGGAAGCGAACTGGCTAGTCGAGCAGAATATGCGACGTTCGATACAGTGAACAGCTGAGCTACTAGTCTCTTGAAGGGGATGAAACCTTGGTTTACGGAGTAGACCAATTGCTTTTGGCTTGCAGGAATAGCAGAATCACAAGGGGTGGACTTAACAGTCGATTTTGTTCACTACCTCACCCTCATATTGATTCCACGGGCCTGTGCCTAGGAAACACAGCTCGGTCGCTTCAAGAATCAAAATTCCATGCTCATGGCTGCCACCAACGCACGGCTTAAACCCCTTCCGGACAAATATCAGTACCAATGGTTCTGGTGCCAAGCGTTCCCGACCACCTAGCCATCTATAGGAGCATTTCGCGGCCTCCTCCAGGCCCACGACTGATGGTCCATCGTGTTAGGACCATTTCTCGGCCACTGCTGTTGAGTCGCGTGGTAACCCCAACTTGGACTACCTACAGACTGGAAGGGCACATATCCAGGTGGCCGACGCATGATTTGGCCTAATGGGGTATTGACACCGTTGACAGTCCATCCTTTGGCATTGCAGGCGCCGTAGCCTGCTTGATACGGGTATTGTAACGGCATTGTGGTGGCTTCAGACAGCCTTGCTAAAGTGCTGGCAGAGTCTTGCTCGGTATCGGTCGTTGGAGACTCTGGGTGCTAGGTGACTTCCGTCAATGGGCCAAGGTTTTGTTATTTTGATGACCAGAATCGGGGTTGTTGATGCTCAGGAAAGCATGCGAGATCCGATCACACTTATGCACAATAATCCAAAGAGGCCACTGGTGACCGCCTATGGCACTTGGTTACTATCATAGAGGGGACAACATACAGCCACTTCGTAACTAAGATGTTATCTGTTCCTGAAGCAGCAAACAAGCCGCACGAACAAAAGTCGTGCTCGACTACCGAACAGTCAATGCCCTCATCAGTCCGGCAGTCTACTGGAGCTGCTGATAGAAGGGGACGGGAGGAAAGCGCAAGTGATCAGGCTCTCGTGTGAAGAGTCGCCACGATGCCCTCGTCTCGCGGCTAGCCGGAACGCATCCAGTGTGTTCTGCATAGTACGAAGCGTACGGCAAGATCTATGTGAATCCCAAGTCATCAACCGCTATTTCATCTCCTATCCTGGCCCCCGACATGCTATAATCGGCACTGGCAACCACAGCATCTTCATGGTCGTTCTTATAGTCCTTGGCCTAGCTACGCTCCGCCGTATGTTCAATATCCTCCTTCTCTCCTGTCCTTTCGTCCGTGAGTCCGGGCCTATATTGGGTCGCGTGGAGGAGCTTAAGACCTGGCATATTATGGTATATCGGAGTCATCCCATATATGGATACCAGCGCCCTCCATACAGCGTCCCGTTCACCGGAGCATTTGATGGTCTCCTCCAGTCCCAATGCATTGCTTCGTGTCCTTCAAAACCGACTTCCGGCCACTGTTGATAGCCGCCACGGTAGCCCCCGCCGAAAACAGATTGAAAAGGAAGGTACCCACGTGGTCGACGCTGCACTGCGTGCAATGAGTGATCGACTCCGCTAATGGTCCACCCATTGGCATTCTGGATACCGTAGCCTGCTTGTTCCGGGTGAGGCATACTGGTAGCTGCCAACAGGATTTCCACCAGAAAGGGGTTGGCTGGGTCTATCGTCAGTTTGTCAGCTGCTTCGTCCAATCGATGTACGTGACCTGGTTGTGGTCCGCGAAGACGGCGGATAATAAATCTTTGATTGGCAACACAGCTCAGATAGAGTCGAAGAACGACGGACAGCTAAGAAAGTTTATATGGACCAATACCGGCCATTAATCAGTGAACGACGGATGCAGATAGTTCACTGCCGTGAGATCGGTCTCGTCACGCGATACTACCAGTGAAGCTTGAAGAGAACTGGCATCAAGGTACTTCATGATTCGCGACAGGACAATCAGACCTTCCCACACTTACATTTGATCGCTAGCAGCTATGACGGTCATCACGACCTCGTCCTTGACCTACTCCGTGAATTCAAGCAGGTTGCAATGCACATCACGACCTCCGTACGCCCATGCTCATCGTGCCTTCAATTGGCCAAGTCGGACGTTTCCAAAGCCACAGTGTGTCGGTTGACACCAGCGAGCTGTTCGGGTATCGTTGCATCTGACCGGATCAATAGCCATATCGGCCGCTCGTGTCGAACATGGTCTGAAACGGCACGTAGTCGAGTGACCGACGCCTTATATGCTCTGCTGGGATGTTGAGATCATTGATGAACCAGCCGTTGCGGTTGTCGTATTCTTCTCCGGGTCGGTATACCTACGGCGGCATCGTAAGTTGATGGCTCCGGGGTTGCCTTTCTAACGATGTCCTTGGCCCGATCAAGTAAGCTGGATGGCGTCTGGTAATGCCTGTCAGGTTTCGAAGATGGTTTGGCTCTGTTCCCGAGAAAAGGTGCTGGTGTGTCAATTGATGTCAAGCGAGGATCAAGTGGGAACGATCATTATTCATGCCATGATATGATACGAACACTTGTGGTTACTGCGATACGATGGGGTCTTCTTGTATTGAAATCCGCTTCACAAGTCGTCCACCATTCACTGCTCCGCGTTGTCTTGATGATGGTTGGCCCAGTCTTTTGAAGTTCATCACAGTCCGACACAGACCACCACCGCCTGACCCCTGTATTCACGGAACGAGTCTCCAGCTGCCCAGTCTCCGGTCTGACCCAGCCTAGATCCTGCTCTCCACTGCCTATAGCTCTCGTTGACCACTGCCTGGCGCGGGGCCGATGAGCCCATCGAACACTTGGGTCGGACACAGACTGGAGAGCTGACATCTTGCTCGCAGTCACTGAGTCGCGCCGTGGAAGATGTCCGCATCATGAGCGAACAAGGTCTATCGATCAGAGCATTGCGATTGCTCTCTAAGCGTTCGCCTCGCATCCGAGCATTGACTGCAATCTCTGCTCAAATAGAATCTTCACCTTCGCCACATCCTCAACCTCCGCCAAGCCAGAAGCTAATTCGATGAGCTCGTCGCCTTTGAGTTGTGCAGCCAACGCCTCCACCTTCTCGACATCCATACCAGCCTCAGCACCCTTCAACCTAATAAACCTCCTCGCTTTCTTCGCCGCGGTCCTCTCAACCTCCTTGACCCTCTTCTCCTCCATCCTAGCCTCTTCACCAGCAACCCTGTTGGACTCCGCCACCCTAGCCGCCATCTCCCCCTGCCGCGCACGACGTTGCTCTGCTCCCTTCTCCAGCTCCTCAGCTTCCCGGTTCTGCCTCGCCACTGCCTCCTCATCCACGATCTTCTTAGATCTCTTCAGTGCCTCGTGCTCGATCTTTTCCGCCGCCTTCCTCCGCTTCTCGATCTCATGTCTAGCTCTACGCGGCTTCTCCACCACGAGAGCCTCAAGCTGATGAAGCCATGTCTGGACGGTGTCCTTTGTCTTGATTCGAGGGCCGACACAGATCACCTCCACCTCGTAGGCTTGCCGAGCATACTCGATGGCCTTCAGTGGCTGGCCGACCACGAGTGCGCATTCGGAGCATAGTCTGTAGGCACGGCTGAGATCTGTACCGACCAAGCCTTCCTCGATGCAAAGTTGCGCCACGCTCTCCGCCTGGTTGAGCTTATCATGAGATTGCTTCGAATGGGAGGTGGCGATGTTGGTCGGCTCCCGCATACCTTGATCCAGCTCGACGAAGCCCTGTGCGATCATACTCCGACGTCTAGCATGCTCGACAGCCTGCGGGCCAGCACAAGCCGCACATTTGCAAACGAAGTGCCATCGAGCTAGTGTCTTAGCACGCCATGCTTTTGGGAAGGTGAGACCGTCGATGTACGACGTTGTGATCTCCTCGCCAGCTTTGATGTCTCGAATGGCGTAGAGGAGTTCATGGTCGTCGATGTGAGAGTTGTCAATGTTGGGTGTGCACGAATGGTTGATGCGGCTGTACGTTGCGAAGACTCCTGTGCCTGTTTTCGAGCCGACACTATTCGTCTTGAAGATGGCGAGGAGCTTGAGGTGGTCGAGCAGGGCAGCTGGGAGGGTGACTGGAGTATACTGCTTACGGATGAGGTATCGTCTGACATAATCTCGCGATTCGGCGTCGAGTGTCTGGATTTCGTAGTGTAGACTGCTGTAGAGATCAAGCTTTTTTGAAGACAGGTCGTTGATCATGGTGAAGATCCTTGTGCAACGTTCCAGGCGTGACTCGCCGGAAAGACTCCTGACGATGACGAGAGCATCTTCTTCGAGAAGACAGGTACCCTTGCGGATGTCATGAAGTGCGAAGAGGCCATAGCCTTTGCCGGAGATCAGACGAGCTTCGAGCTAGGATGTGGCAAAATCTGTTAGCTAGGCCAGGCTGCGTGGGCTAATCGTCCCGCGTCTGAAAGAACTCAGCATGATCGTAGGGAGAGCGGCTGAGAAGCCCAACAGTCCTTCCGCGCGCAGATATCGAGAGCCTTTACTTACTACCGTGTTGTCAGCGTGGCAGGGCTCCGGACATGGCCTTATGGATACTCACCCAAAGCGGACCCTTCTATGATCCCGACGCTCTCCTCGATGCTGCTCTCATCATTGTCTTCGCCGGATGTATTCCTGCCAGAGTCGAATCTTGTGCCGTCCATATTTGCATTGAGCTTGTCCATGCCGTCCCGCTGGATCTCGTATGCTTGTCAAGCAGTATCTCTCCAAGGAAGATCTAACACTGTAAGCCGAAGGAGGTAAGAGTCGGCACGGTTGAGATACGAGGACACGGAGAGGACAAACGCAAAGCTCAAATTACGGATCATGCATGTGCAAACGGTGGAGATAGCAAGATCATGTAGGCACCCGATGAAGCACGAGCTTAATCATGTTGGAAAGATGCATCATGCCTTGGAAAGACTTGCAGAGGATAAGTGATTTCGAGCAAATCTTCATGTAATCTGCCATGATACATATGGTCAAAGAAAGAGTCTTTGAACATGGTGGCGAGTGCAGATGGCAGCCAATGCAACAAGGTGCAAATCGTCGTTTGCTTGCACAGCTTAGGGTGCAGGAAGCGAGATGTGTAGGAGGACTCCAGAGTATGAGACCTCTTTGTCAGCACTCTTGCAGTAACGATGACTTTGGCCGTTGAGTACAGCATTTCGATTCCTTCGTCTCGCCGTGCAGTGAGGTTGATGATGGCAAGGACAGAACTCGGAGGTGAAGCTCAATTCCAATGCATTGCAAACGGAATGCTTTCCGCACTGTTCCAACATTTTCATGTGACAGCTCGTACTTCCGATCGCAAAGACGAACATCCCAGCAATGTCGAAGCGAGCTCGAGAAGAGCAGGACACGACGCGACCACCGAAGCGATCAAAGCCCGACTACCAACCACCGGCCGTTGAAGAAATCCACTATGCGCGACAGCTACAACAATTCCTCGTCTTTCGTCAAGATGGAATTCACCAACTGCGAAATGGCATAGCTTCTTTCAAAGCTTTCCTGGAGACGATCTTGTACCGGAAAGAAGAAGACAATCGCGGACGCTTACTGTCCATACTAAGAGAATATCTGGACTCGCAGAAGCCGGCAGATGTACAAGACATCAGTACTCCGTTTCTGGCACAATTGTGGCAGGCTTGGTCTTATGCCAGTCAGAACAACAACGACTATCTTTCTTCCTCCGTCAGTGCCATCATAGCTCTTCTGATACGGACACTATCTAGCTTAATCGACTTCCGGGAACATGGCATACTGCTCTGTCGAACTGTGCTGCAGCATCAGCATCTGCGGCTTGTGAAGCGAGGACTCGATGCACCCAAGCACAAGGACTTTGTCGTATCCCCATGTCTGAGGCTTTTGACCGAGGTCGTGAGCTTTGATGGAGGTGCACTAGCGAGGGAGGCTTACAAGAGACGAGAACAGACGTTCGACATCAATTCTGTGCGAAGGAATTTGGGCTTGTACAGGGCGGGTGTGTCGGAGGAAGAGGCGAAGCGAAAGCCTTCTGTGCGGACTTTGACGGTGCGATATGTTCTCGCGCATCTCAAGTATCTGCATGAAGGTGGTAAAGTCGACTTACTCAAGAGCAGACCCTTGTGCATTGCTTTACTCCATCATCTAGCAGACGATCCTGCGGATGTAGTCAACGAGATCTTGTCTGTCACCGAGCAGAATGTGCTCAAGGACACCGATCTACCACGATCTGTGAAGGGAACGTTTCTCACCCAGCACAATCTCGAACGTGTCACGGAGGTTGCGACTCGCTCACCTGAAGACCATGCCGCGGCAGATCGCGCGTTCGCCTGGTTGAAATCAGTCTGCACTTCGCCTTCATATGGCGTCCTACGAGAAAGCGGCTGGTATCCTGCTGGCACCACGAAGCTCGAAAGTAATGTCGGTGATGGCAACGGCGCTATCGATCTGGGTCTGGACAGCATAGATTTCTACGATCGAGCAGAACGACCAGATGTCCGCAACTCCACTCTACTGGACTGGTGTGTGACACTTCGCCCACACAGCGATGTGAAGGAACGAGAATTACTTCTCGCGTGCTTCACTTCCGCTCCGGAGCTCGTGGCGCCATATTTTGCAGAAAAGAACATGCAGCTCGAGCCAAAATTGTCGAATACCTGGATTGGATATGCCTCTTTCCTGTTCGAGGTCATCCGCCTCGATGTCCCATCATACCTTGGCAATGCTGAGGAGGAAGGGTATGCTGAGCTACCACCGCAGACCAGCATTGTTCTCGAGAACGTGCTACCACGCCCACTGACTCAGAAGACCCTGACGAGGTGTCTTAATCAAAGCAGCGAGCTCATCACATTCTTCGCCATCCGAATCTTGGTCCTTGCCACGCAGAAACTGTGGACCATCCTGGAACAAATGCGCCGAGCAGCGAAAGCAGCCTCAGGCGAGAACGCCAGGTTGTGGACTGAAGCGATAGAACGCACCTTAGCGGGCTTTACTCAGCGAGCACCTAGCATGAAGGACATCATCGCCGCCTTCCGCAAGATCTCAGACGACGATGAACATGCATTACAACGCGAAGCTGTGACGAGACTACTGCGGCTGTACTTCGAGGTCACACCACTTCAAGCACTAGACGAGCCCTTCGATGTCTCTGCTGCTTTGACTACAGCGCTAAGCCGGGGTCGGGATGCATCAGAGGTAGATGATACCGACGCGAGCGTCAAGGCGCTTCGTAGCATTGAGCTTGAGCATCTACTTGTCATTGTCCAGCATAGCTCTGGCATGAAATGGTTTGGCAAGCAGGGTGGACTGGACTATTCGCCTATCGTGAGCTTGCTACGGCTTCATTTGCGAGATCTTCAGAACCGACAGATTAGGTCGCTGGTCCGGGATGTTTTGACGGAATACTCCCTGATCACACAGCATGGCGAGGTCGATGCACTGCTTGCTTCTTTGCTACGAGTGGATAGCGACGATGAAGAAGTCTGGACGTTCGTCGATGATTGTCTGGCGAGAGCCACGAGGCAACCCGTCAAGTATGTCGACCAGCTTGAGAGTGCAGTATCGGAAGGCAACGCAAACGTGAAAGCTGCAGACGAAGATACTGTTCTGCCTGGTCTGCTCGTTATGACTGTGGTTGAGCAGACAGCTTTCGTTCATGAGAAGCCAGAAGTGATGACCTGGATTGATATGTACCTTGCTGCTATGGGTCGGATACAGAATGTCGGGCCGGTATTCGCTAAATTGACGGCAGACATCTCCCGTGGCGTGTCCCGACCGTCGCCACCTGATAAGGAGGCATGTGAGGAGCAATTGACGCTTGTGACCTTCCCAGTGGCCACGGAAGACGTTGCGAACGGTGTGGCCAAGGACGCGGCGACCTTGCCTTTCGTGCCACCAGCGACAGGGTCGGACGATCATCCGGAGCTGTTCCGCTGGGCGCAGAAGGATCTCGGTCGAGCGATCGAAGACGGCGATATCGACGGCCTGATCCTTTGCCTATGCTCCCAGCACCACGAGATTCGAGTCCAAGCTCTCGCACAAATCCGACTCCTTTTCGGCAAACTCAAGGGTCGAAATGCAGAGGAGAGCGGCCAGATGACTGTGCTCATTGGCGAGCTGATCGAGACATACGAGCAGCAATACCTACCATCTCAAAAAGCACTACCATACCTGACCGGCTGTTTTGCCAAACGCGCCCTAGCCGTGCTCAATGAGCCAACCCATTTCATCTACCCCAAGCTCTGCCGCTTCATGATGAAGAGTCCCGAGTGGCGAAGCGCGAGATTGCCATCGTACTGGCTAGCGAATACGGTGCACGCACAGCCTGTGGAGGATGATGCATACTGGCGAGAAGTGCACTGGGTAGTGGAGTGGTTAGTCGACGGGCTTACGACATCTGCTGATCTGGAGATGTTGAGAAGGGGGGATGTGTTTGAGAAGATTATGGCTGTGTATTCGTCTCCTGGGGCGGGCAGAATGAAGGCGCTGAAGAGTGCGGTGTTGGAGCTGCTTTATCGTGCGAGTTGGATAGAGGGGGGTTGTGATGTTTTGGTGTCGAGGGCGGGTGTGCTTAGCTGGTTGGAGATGGTGAAGGGAAAGGGGAAGGAGGATGATGTGCCGAGTTTGCTCAGGACGCGGATCCTTGAGGGTTGTGATCGGGAGAGGATGGTGAAGTGGAGTGGGGGTGTTGGTGTAGATCAGCTATAGATGGCCTTGAATGAGATACATGGATGTATCATAATATATTGATCGATGGATCGGGAAGGCTGCCACGTGCACGATCCCAAACGCTATGACGCTTTTCCACCCCCGCTACTGCAGGGCACACGTTCCGAGCGAACTTCATTGCTTCGCTTCGACGGTTTGAGAAGGAGCTACCTTGACACCGAAATATAACACCGACTCGACTTCGTACACGATCTCTCGACTTCAACTACGCACGCCAGCAATACAGGTGCTATCCCATTGTATACAGTATCGCTATCTTGTCGCTACTGCCACCGCTACCGCCATCCCAAACACCAGGCAGGCTGAGAAACGATTGCGATATTGCTACGCCGTCACTGGTTTCGCTCACCGACCTTCGATTGTACACATTGCCGTCTCAATTACGCCAGCCTGAGAGGCATCCCCTCTCCTCGCCTCGATGATGGCGCCCACACGCCACTACACCGCCGAGCAACTGCTCCACCTTCGCTCCTCACCACTGGTAAAGAAGCCAGATAACCTCCCCGCGATCGAGCAGTGGATAGAGTACGTGTACCTGGATGTCGATGGCACGCGGGAGAAGCTAAGGATCCCGCACAGTGAAACGCAGCAATCGCAGCAGCAGACAAATCGTCGAGAACCTTCCAATCGGCTACCAAAGTCGACATTGGCGGCAACGGCGGCTGAGGCTTCGCCTATGGGCAACTTCAGCACGGGTCAGGGGAGGCCGGGTTTGACTAGTAGGAATTCTACGGCGAGAGGTGGAGGTGAGTCTTCGTGGTGCGGTAGGATGTATGTGTGGTGAGCTGATCGATTTGTAGATGGTGTAACGCTAGGTCCATCAAAAGCGCTGTTCGCTTCTAGCAGGACGACTGCGAAATTGGCTGATTTCGACAAACCTTCTACACCGCTTACTGAAAATGCGCTAGAGGAGACGGAGGGTCACCGCAACAGTCGGACGTTTGGCGAGAAGCAGCTAAACAGAAAGAGTATGGGGGCGGACGCCACAGATGGCCGGACTGGAGAGAGCTGGAGGCGCGCGGACAACGACAAGCCGGACGGGGATGAACGAAATGGCAAATATGGACGACGTGATCGGGAGCAGGATGGAGATCGTCGCAACGGCTATGGCGACAGGCCGGATAGTAGATGGCATCGTGATCGAGATGAGAAGAGACCAAACGGCGGAGGGCAAGGAGGCTGGCGAGAACGTGAACGGGAGCGCGAGAAGGATCGGCCTGAGCGTGGTTGGGGCAGAGGACAGGCGGACACGAAGGAGCCGGAGTGGTTTGGAGAGTCTGCTACGAAGCCCGAAGACGATTTTACTTCTGCGAAGACAGCGGAGGACTTTGAGAAGTGGAAGCAGAGCATGAATGCGCAGAACCGGCAATCTACTGAGATCACGAATGATGCGCCAATTGAATCGGTAGCACCGACACCGATCGCCAAGGAAGCTCCAACGACCAAGACTGTTGCCCCTTTGAAGCTTGAGGGTATCATGGGCAAGCCTTTCGGATCGTGGGACAGTAAGACCGGTAGCGCCATGCCGGACAGTGCGCCGGTATCGAGTAAACCAAGCTCGGCAAAGCCAAAGACGAGCAGGTTTCAGGCTATGTTCAAGGCGCCCGAGCCAGCACAGGAGATCTTCGAGGCGCCGGCTAACGAAGTTCTCCCGCCTGGCGCGCCTCCACGAGATGCAGCAGAGGATAAAGCTGGGTTCGACAGGGTATTGCAAATGCTCGGTGGTACTACCATTGGCCAGGTTGCGACTCCCAATGAGCCAGCATCGCCTCAACCACGCCAGGTGTCAAATGGTAACAAGCCAAAGAGTAGGTTCACCGGCTTTTTCGATCAGACGCCGAAGAGCCCAGAGAGGATGCAGGTACCAGAAGATCAGCCTCCGGTGCCTTTCATGGCAGCGCCGAGCAGGAACATGGTCGAGACTCGTGGTATGGTAGACGAGCCTTCGGGTTTATATGGTGTTCGTCTACCCGAGAGGCAACAATCCAACGAGCAGCCATCACGGAACCAGATGCCAATCACTACGATGTCGCCCGAACCACCGATGCCATCGAACGGCCTACGAGAGCAACAGGGACCACCATCAGGACGTGTCAATGACATCTTCATCGAGCAGCCGCCATCAAGGGGCGCTTCCACGCCAGACATTAATATTCAAAACTTGTTGGCTGCGCGACCGACCCCACGCCAGCAGCAGGCAGATCAGAGCAACTTTTTGCTTGGCTTGCTGCAGACTAAGGGCGCAAGACCACCACCTCAACAGCAGCAACAGCCGAGACCAGACGACAACTTCCAACTGTGGGTCGAGCAGCAGCCGAAGCAAATGCCAGAGCCCCATGCACCGAAACCTCGTGCTGCTCCGCCACCAGGCTCGTTTGAGGACCAGCTGCTACGGAACCACAATGCGATGGAGGCTCAGAGACAAGTACAGCAACAGCCTCCTCCAAACACGCAAGACGAGCCGGACATTCGCCGCATGTCGCAGCGTGTACCGCCGCCAGGATTCATGGGCGAGCAGAATCACAATCTCTATCAACAGCCGCCACCGCCACACCACGCTCGAAATTTCACAGAGCCACCTCGTCAGTTCCAGCATCCACCACCACCTCAGCAACAACAGCAACAACATCATGCTCATAACATTCGCCGCATGAGTGGCCATCCTGGGCTGCCTCAAATGGCGATCCCACAACAACAGCCTCCATACCCAGCTGAGTTCCTGCAATCACCACACGCCGCTGCGCCACCACCAGGCTTCAATCCAGGCATGCCTCGTCACCCACCAGGTATCCACAACATCCCGAACATCTTCTCCACGCCGCAACCTCCACCCAACCAACATCAACCACCAAACCAACAACAGCAGCGGGAACCACCATCCCAGCCTCCGCAGCTTCAACCAGGTTTCGCGTCAATGCTCCCTCCGACCAATGGTGGACCGCCGAATCTAGATGCTCGCTTACAGCAGCACGCTACCTCACCAATTGGAGCTGGCGGACCACCTCCACCGGGTTTCTTCGGCGGGTTACAAGGTTATGGAGGACCGCCGCCTTCTTCCCTCCCCATGCCTCAGGGTTTCGGCGGACTCATGCGAGGACCACCCGTTGGTGATAGGATGGCAGGGTATACCGAGCCCATGCGCGCTGGAGGTGTGGGACCCGGTAGAGTATACGATGGATACGGAGCTCAAGGAGGACGATAGACCCGTCCCACGATTCATGTCACGAGCCCAGAGGGTTGGACATCACAGCACGGAGTCGGTCACGCGCCACAATACGCTTACATTGCGGATGTCGGCTTTGGTGATGCCGAGCCGATGACTGAGGCGGATCGCGCGGAGCTTAGTCGATCGTTGTTGGCTACTGTGCGGGATCAGGATCCTAGGGTTCATGTGAGTGATGAGGATGAGGGGATCTCGATGAAGTATGACTCGAGCTGAGGGTGCTACTCGGATTGTCAAGTCTCAAGACGGTCGCGGTCGTTGTATATGACACTTAAGTGTAGAGTAGCTACGGATACAGCGACCTTCGTGTATGATGGCAAGTGTCAGGCTTTGCCGTGCCGTGAATGATATAGTCATGTTGTTATCGATTCCTTTCGTGCTGTTATGAGGTCATGTATCGGTCTACGCAATGAAAAGCTCTATTTGACATGCTTTCGAACATAGATTTAAGGTACATACTTTATACGGGAACACCAACCCAGCACATACGACCATAGGCCGCGGAAAACAGAGGATCCCGTCCGCTCTCCTGTACTTAAGCCGCGGACCGGTAGAGTAGTAGTCAGGTCGGTGACGACTGGCGAATGCCTGCTGTTGTATGTTTTCCTTTTTGTCATGCCGTTCGCCTTTATAAATCCGGACAAAAACCCAAAGTATGCCTAGCAAAGTTTGATGTGGCTCGTGCTTTTGGGCGGCTTCGCCCAAGCGGCAGTTGCGACCCTTTCTAATATTCCTAGCGCCTTGATTAAATGCATGCAAGTCCGCGATGCACGCATGATTCGGGTGACAAGACTCAATGTTTTAGACCATGGATGTAGCGATTGACGAGTGGACGACAAAGCAAGATATTGTTCCTCCATCCGCCTTGGCTTTCTTGAAAAAAGTTCGAAAGTCGTTCGTCAAGTATGGGGACATGATCGTTCTGCCATCAACTGCTTTTCCAGCCGAAGTAAGGAGTGATGGTCCTAAAGAGACTAGCCAGGAATTTTACTCTGTGATCGGGATTGCGGATCCTGTCGTACTACAGGATCTATACCGAACCATCCTCCGCCATCTAAAAGCGACACATATCGCCACCACCAGACCAATACCCCTGACCTCACCAGAAGCCCAAGATCAGCAGGACTGGAACCGCATACGAGCACCCTTGAACTTCACATCCCTCTACGGAGACTTTGGCCCAGAGACATGCTCTTCTCCACCTACTGAGCAGGATTTTGATCAAGCGTTCTGGACAACTGCAAAGCAAAATGGCATCGTGCAGACATGGGCACCGAGGTGGACAATGTTCTCCCGAGGCAACATAAGCGAGAAAGCGAGACTGCTTACTTTACCTTCTGTTGTGCAAGCTGTGGACGAAGGGAGAAGAAGTGGTAGGGGAAGCTGTGCAGTTGATTTATTCGTGGGGATAGGCTATTTTGGCTTTTCTTACTTGAAGGCTGGTGTTGATAGGGTGGTAGGGTGGGACGTCAATCCTTGGAGTATCGAAGGTGCTGTGAGGGGTGTAGAGGGAAACGGGTGGAGTGTACAGCGGTTTCGAGAAGGCGACAGTATCCAGGGTTTGGAGGACGAGACGAGGTTCGTTGTCTTCGAAGAAGATAATGCATGTGCTGTTGGGAGGTGTGAGGAGATTAAGCGGTTATGTGGAAAGGAGGCTTTGCCGCCAGTCAGACATGTTAACTGTGGCTTACTGCCTTCGTCTAGAGGCTGTTGGAGGACGGCTGTGGAAGTCTTGAGCGAGGATCTAGGAGGATGGTTGCATGTTCATGAGAACTTCGCAGTAGAGGAGATTGAGGACAAAGCCGAGGAGGTCAGAGCAGAGATCGCAAGACTATGTCAGGAGGTCGTGGACCAGAGACATGGATTAGTACGGAAGAAGAGGAATGTTGTTGTCGAGGACATTAACCGACTGAAGAGTTATGCGCCTGGTGTCATGCATGTCGTGATAGATGTACATATTTCTAGTTATGTACCTGACTGACCGCCATGAGTGCCACCTTTCCTGCGTGTACTATGTCGTCTGCAATAAGGACTAACGCACTCTCATGATTTCAGTAATTGTACACAATATACAGCGCAACCAACACACACGTCCAACTCAACGTCTGCGCATGAGGGATATGCTGATGTTGCTCTGCCACAGCCCAAAAAGCACCCCAGAGCATGAGCGCAGTAACAATATACCAGAAGGGCCTCGTAAACTTGATCATCTCCGCCGGTATAGCAGCCTTCGCACGTTCGACCGGGTCATCCTCATCACTCATCATCATCTCCTCCAAGCCTTCACCCTTAACCCCTCCGAAACTTGCTCGGGATGTTGGCCTCCACAATTCTCATCCGATCCAACTGCTCCTGCCTCTCCTGCGCCGCCTCCAGTTCCTCGTGTTTGCGGAAATGCTCAATATCCTCGGGATGGTTCAGCTCCTCCTCCGTCGCGCCGTCCCCGTGAAACTTCTCGAAATGATGAATCTCGTACTCGTACTCGTCGTCGCCGTGGTGGCCCAGTCCGAAGCCCAGATCTGGTAACTTGAGACCCGCGCCGCTACCGATGGTGTATTCGGCGAAAGAGATGGTGCCGCTGAGGTCTTTGTCGAAAAGGGAGATAACGCCGTTGATGGCTTTCTCTTTCTCGGTGTACGCGATGTGGTTCGTGGACTCGTGTTTTAAGCCATATGTTTTCATCAGGTCATCAAAGGTCCAGGTGTTGCTGCTATCGTAGTCGTGGAGATTGAAGAAGGAGCCGGCGTCGAAGGAGGTTATGTGGTGCTCCTCTGCCATGTGCCTCGTCGCCCAGTCTGCATCGGCAGCGACGACTATTTGGTCATGACTACCGTGAGCAGTGGCGATAGCAGACAGTGCAAGAGCGCTTAATGTGGTTCTCAAGATCATGTTGTTAAGATTGTCTTATTCAGGTTGTATTGATACGCGTTCGTCGACATGCCGTCTCCTTGCTGACTAAGATTTGGTATCTTCATCTGTGTCGATATTCTTCCTGCGTTCTCATGTGTGCATTGCGATACTACAAGCCGAGAAGAACCTCACAGACTCGTGATAGCATATATATTGACGGAGATAGCATCACTGTGATCCGTCGAGTCTCGTGATATTGAAATTCTTTAGCGTTTAGGACGCTGGCCGCGTAACAGGATGTGGTCTTCACGGCCTCACAGGTCCAGACGAAGACCTCGTTCGCCAAGTTCGAGGACGACCAATACATGAATATCCTACTCTTGGCCTCGGAACGTACGCCGGGCACCTTGGCCATGGCCATCGATCAGCTCAAGCGAGCTTGTACAGTTGTGCTTCACGATGACAGCATCTCCACGGACGATGTACTCTCTGGCTCAAAAGTCCTACCGACTGGCATGTTGGCTCGTCTCCAAGCCTCTGGTGCAAGACCATTGTTCTTCATCGCGGTCGCAGCAGCTCGCAACCCAGACGAAATTTCAGTCCACACAACTCTGGCTCAACATTTCGGGATTGAGAACCGCTCTGCTGGAACAGTGGAAGTCCTCGAAGACGAAAGTGTGGCGACTGCGACCCACGTCGAACTCTTCTTCCGCGACCAGAACCTCTCACGGGCTGATATGTGGCAAATTTCACACCGTCTGAATCACACGGTCGTCTACCAAGGCCAGAAGATACAATATCTAGGTTCAACTGTGGCTGAGATTCGCCAAGTCTATGTTTCTGGCAAGGAAGTGCTGTCTGCTTATGCTGTGCGAGGCAAGACTAAGCCTATCTACAGAAGTGGAAGTGCGAGGTACACAATCCTCATCCAAATCTCGAAAGAGATGTTAGAATACTGGCTCGATGGCGATCTGATGTATGAACGAGTCATTGACGGCTTCTTACCTGAGCTCTTTCGCAGGTGGGAAGAGCTGAAAGTGCGTCACCAGGTCTCCGTCGTGCTGTTTGGACGCTCGCTTGACCAACACGAAAAGGACTTCTATCATGTTATTGCTTCAGACGTATCTAGCAGCAATTGGCGTGATCTTTGCAGAAGTCTGAAGCGTGCATTCAACGGCAATGCGATACCCAGAGATGTGACGCTGGCAGCACGTGGCAGCATGGTGGAAGCCATACACATGTCGGCAATGGACTTCGCGAACGACAATATCGATCCTCACCTCAGCGGTAGAGGCACATCAATCATTGCTATCACTGCGGGCACTGGCCTCTTCGGAACGACCCACGGTTTGCTTAAAAGCACTACACATCTCTTGATGGGCAACAGTATAGGTGTTGATATTGTGGCGTTGTCGCCAAAGCCGTTGCATCCTGTACCACTTTTCAGCTATCAGAGAGATGGGCAGTGGGAATATGCTCTCCCACACTGGGTGGATATATCTTTCTGGCAGGGCCAGTGTTCAGTCCATGCAGCGAGTTTCCTTATGCCGGAGACTGTAGGAGAGGTTGACGAGATCGCCCTGCCGCTGCTTACAGATTCTGCCGGAGGCGACAGCTCGCAGATGACACAGTTCATGGACAATTATAATGCCAATGTATTCGGAGACCAGTCGACAAGTATGCAGCTTGTGGTGACGCAAACAGCGCAACTTCATGCCGACAAGAAGCTGTCTCAGCCACCGAGCGTAGTAGATCAGACCTCAGCGCTACCCAACCCACTCTTGACCACGCCAACCCTTAGTAAGCCACCTATCTCGAGCATAGGCACGTTGAAAGCACGGGCGAGAGATCTTCCATCTCGCGCATCATCGAGCAGTATGACAGACCCATTCTCACTGCTGGCATCGAATCGCAAAATCAGCCTTGGACCGAAAGGTCTAGCACCCAGCCGTGGGCTTGCCACAACAACACTGTCAGTAGAGCCTGCACAACAAGCTAGAGAAGAGGCAGGCAGTACACCTTTCTCGCCTGACGAAGGACCGAGTGGCATAGCACGACAAATTCGACAATCTCTGGCACGCAAGTCCTCTCAGCAGAGCCTCGTATCGGTGCCTGCCCTTGCACCTGCCGAGCTAAGCCGACCCATCGACATTATGCACGGGCATCCTACGATCAGCGAAGCTCCATCAGATCCTGCCAGTCTAATCGAGCGCAAAGTTCTGGGCACACTCTCGGGATCGGAGTTTGGTAATAGTGCAGTTGACTCTTTCGGCACGCCTACAGCTAAAAAGGACGTATTCTACGCCGCGATAAAAGCAGCGGAGCAAGAAGGCAATTGGAATACTTCACCGTGGCTGAATTTACTAAATCCTTGCAATCCGACTCGCGAGAACATGCGAGTAGCTGCACAGTACCGCAAATGGCAGCACGTCTTCCCACGTGCGATTAGCTCCGCAGACTTTAAATGGACTTCTATGTGCACACCAGCTGCGCTGCCACTGTCGACTGAGTACAAGCCTTCGCATCGTGAGCTGGAGAGACACTTCTCGAAGAAAGTGCGGCGGCTTCTTGCGCCAACCCGAAATGGCTGGCCAGATACTGGTTCAGGACATACGGAGGTGCAGCTCATCAAACTTCGACTTGCGCATGGCTTTCAGCTGGCGTCTGTAACTTCGAGCACATATTCGCCAGCAAATGACTTCGATCGCATTCTCATGTCAAGAGGGAATGTACATCACGAGTTCCAGCGCCTGTCAGATGCTGAGCTGCAAATTGTCGAATACGAACTGAGCTTAGACGATGAGGACGCCGCACCAGACGTAGCTGAGTACTCGACTCGGGTGCGCTCTGCAGCGTCGGACAAGGTCAATAATGTGGCAATCTCACTATCTCCGGAGCGTCAGGAGCCCAACTGGTCACAGCTTGATGATCAGGTCATTGCGCACGATCCGTTGCACACCGAGCTTCATAGCTCTCGTATGCGCCTGGTTCTGATACCCGTTGAGCCACCACGACAAGGACATATCACCCCAGGTCCCGCTCGCGGACTGTCAGACGAAGAACGCCGCATTGATGGTATCCAGAAGCTCACACAATTATGGCAGCGAAATCGCTACTTCAAGCCTGAGGAGCTGCGACAACAGGCGTCGTTCGTGCGACCGCGAGCCACGCCAGTAGTGTCCGCTCGTGACCCGAATCCGCTTGCCATTGAGTATCAGACTAGAGATCCTAGTGCTGTAGTCAACGCCTACGGGCCAACCTTGACGAAACAACTCGATGGTGCGGAATCCGCAGGACCGCTCTTCGCGGAGTCTGAGATGTACCACAGCAGTAACTTCGACACAGCAAAGCTTGTCAAACAGCTGCAAGAACCACCACCGCATGGTGTAGAGGTCCGAGATCGAAGATGGCTTACTCGTTTGCACTTCAAGTGCTTTCGTGGTGACGAAATGGTGAACTGGCTTCTCCGCGTATTCAAGGATTTGACGACAAGAGACGATGCGATCGAGATTGGTAACCAGCTCATGGGCCGTGGCATCTTCTCCCACGTGAGAGCCAAGCATGAGTTCCGAGACGGCAACTACTTCTACCAAATCTCCAGCAGTCACCGCACTACCGAGTATCCCGATAATGCAAGTATGTTTGGCAGGGTCTCCCTGAGATCCTTGCCAGCCACGCCCATGGTCGAGCACAATCACTCGCCTCTGCTGAAGCCAATCTACGAAGACGCCGCTTCGTCATCAGGTAAGCCGACACCTACATTAGCAGCTGTAGACAAGAAAGAGATCTTGCTCAGTCAGCAGATGCTTTACAATGTCGATGCTGGAAAGAAGTCAGATCAGCTTGAGATTGTGAGCCTACACTATGATCGCATCCACAATCCAGAGAACTGCTATCACATACAGCTTGAGTGGGTTAATACCACTACTGTCCTCATTCGCGACTCTATCAACCGTTGGACTGCGCTGGCAGAAGGCCACGGGCTAAAGCTGGTGCAAGTACCACTTATCGAGGCGAGCAAGATGCACCTGCAGCATCCTTTCGATCAATGCATCAAGGTGATCCTCGCCACTCGACCACCAGATAAGGCAATCGCAACGCCACTCCTTGACGCTCACATGATGAGCCCTCGTCTACGCATGCCAGTGGTGGATTCGATTGTGTATCGTAAAGCTTTGTTACGCACACTTGACTTTGTGCTTGATCTCGAAGCTGCATCTAGCTTCAGCGCCGAACTGGATGTGCGATATTCGTGGGGCGCACCAGAGTACATGTATACTCAGTTTGTGCACAAATCTGGACTTCTGCTCGCTCAACTACCAGGATCACGCCGTGATTCTGCTATCAGTGACAGCAAGGGCTGGGATATCTTATTGCTGCCAAACCGCTTAGCTTCAGCTTCATCGAGACACGTGATAGCATCATCTAGGCACGCAGAAAGTAGCGAGTCGACCGAACAATTGGTGAAGCGTATCGTCGCTTTCTGCGAAGACCAGGGTAGACTGAAGACGTTCTATGAGGAAGTGATGACGGTGAAGGCAGGACCTCCATCAAGTCCTTGGACGGCAATGGAGAGTCTGGCAGGGAACCTGGATGGAGATATCCCGCCCATGTTGTTGCCACCTAGGCTAGGTCATCGTAGCATGCTGAAGAATATTGGGTAGCTGTAGAAGTGTCTGAACAACACGGCTGCGTCATTAATTTGATATTGTGACCATTTGTAACGATGAGGTCAGCAACTTCCTAAGCATCACGCACGGACATGTCATCGTGGTTGTAGCTGCTCCATATCCCGCTATTGATCAGAGGTACGTATTCGAAGTATCAAATTGTTGATGTTGCGCTCCATTCATCGTATCCGGCAGCTGAGCAAACATCTCATCAGACCCGAGCTGTCACGTTCCTTCACGACAACTAACGCAATGGCAGTAAGTCCATGCCCGCCACCAACCTTGCTGAGCTTGACTCAGCTCGCCTGCGTAAGCAAGAATAGTGCTCACGGTGGTGCAGTCCGACAGCCAGAAGAATATCCTGAATTGGGTCGCGCCTAACGACAAGTCTGGAGAATTCAAACGCCAGCAGTCTACTTTCCGTGACTATGTCTCTAGCGAGGAGGGTGCCGAGTTCCCTGCTGAGAAGGATCGTTATCACCTCTGTACGCGGATCTGTGCACTGGATCTGTGGCTTCACTAGCTGACGAGCATGTTCAGATGTCTCTTACGCTTGTCCATGGGGTAGGCGAGTTCGTTGCTGGACTCCAATACCTCACTAATGCACGACTTCAGCACACCGAGCACTCATTGTACGCAAGCTGAAAGGCTTGGAGGACATCATCCCATACACTTCGGTGCACTGGCACATGGGCGAGAAGGGTCCGCTCGTTCGGCCATCCATCAAGCCAGACAGCTAACATCACCAGGCTGGCGATTCGCCACAAAGGACGAGAATGAGCCTGGTGCACACACTGAGCCCGATCCCATACATCCAGAGTATACTCACATCCGTGACATCTACTTTGAGAACAACAAGGACTATGGTGGTCGCTTCACGGTACCGACCCTCTATGACACAAAGCAGAAGCGTATCGTGAACAATGAGTCTTCCGAGATCATCCGAATGTTCTACCATGCTTTTGACAAGATCCTACCGGAGAAGTATGCCAAGGTGGATCTCTTCCCAGAGAAGCTGCAGAAGGAGATCGAGGAGACGAATGAATGGACTTACAACGATATCAATAATGGTATGGGGGTTCAAGCCAATGAGTTTACGCTGTAACTGATATCGGCATTGCAGGTGTCTACAAGAGTGGCTTCGCCACGTAAGCATGGATCTACAGATAGCATGTGCTTGAGCTGACCATGTTCGCAGCACTCATGAAGCCTATGAGAAAGCTGTCAAGACCCTTTTCACATCCCTCGATCGTGCTGAGAAGGATATTGCGAAGTCTGGCGGTCCATATTACCACGGCGAGCATCCAACAGAGGCGGACGTGAGATTGTACACGACCATAATCCGCTTCGATGCTGTATACGTGCAGCACTTCAAATGCAACATTCGTGACATTCGCAGTGGATACCCGAACCTGCACAAATGGGTGCGACACTGCTATTGGAAGGACCCGGCTTTTGGTGAAACCACGGAATTCACGCATAGTAAGTCATCCTCCGATTTCAATCACCAGCCAGAGGTGTTCGCAGAGAGGAGCAGTCAGATACCTATGGCAAGAAGAGCGAGTCACCAAATCCACTTTCTCACTCGCACGCTGCCTGCTTGCGGCTACCGAGTGGCCTTCCCTCTACTTTTGAATTGGCCCGAATTCCGGGGATTACTATTGCACTGTAAGATGAAGTGCATGGCAATACATCTACTAACGCGTCGACAGTCAAGAACCATTACACCAGGAGTCATAAGCAGATCAACCCGTTCTCCATTACACCGGTTGGCCCAGAGCCACCCATCTTGCCACTCGATGAGGAGGTCCCAGCTGTCAAAGCGGCGATGAATAAGCGTCAGTGAGGTCTGGTTTAGTGGTCGCAGTCGTCTATGCGGCGTGGTGAAAGTAACTATTCGATCCGAATGTACAATGCTTCCAAGCAGATGCGCCGTACTCCCACGTGTGACCACAATTGTGGTCTGTCCCAGAAGCTCACCGCTGGTGTATCGTGCCACTTTCGCATGAGCCAGGCCTGAACCACGGGTTACAGATGATGTGGCGACTCACGATGGAGTTCGTCTGGCTGACAAGCGGGTGGAGAAACGTTGTCCAGTCCAGTGGTTGGCTTCGCATTCGGTCTGGTAAGCAAAACAAGATTTCGCCACTGCCTGGTGAGGAGTGGTACGTGTGGTGTGATTGTGCTGTAATTGTGCTGTGATTGTGAGTGAATGGTCTGGTCTGCTGCGCAGGTGTGTAGTGCCGCTCCATCACCTGCCTTGCAGATTCTCCTTTCTTCTCTCAATCATCTCTTCCAGTAAACCGCGAAAATGGCATTTCTGCGTAGCCAGCGATACCACAACAAGGCCGAGCGCATCTGCCTCCGTGCCCTCAAACGACTTTCGACAGCGACTCTCCGGCGCCTCCACAACTGGGCGGATCGTTGTGGTTTGCTTGCGAAGGATGACTGCAGCTACTATGCCATGGACGGCTTCACCACGCTTGATCGACTGGGTTAGAAACTCTTAGAGAAGTCGGCGGCATTGGTATACTTGTATGCTGATATTGAAGTCTCGGGGTTAGCGTTTGATTTCTTTGTGTAGATTGCTTTTGTCATTGCTTGAGATACAGCGTGTTGCCATCGCTTGAGATACAGCGCCCCTGTCATCGCTTGAGACACAGCGTCCTTATCATCGCTTGAGACACAGCGTCCTTGTCATCGCTTGAGATAAGGCGCCGCTCCTCATCACGTTCCTGGCTACATGCTGGGTCGCGGAGAAGAGCGCTCACTGACGTCCACGTCCTCGTCCTCACTGACATGATTGCGCGGCAGACGTGCGATGTTCTCGATCTTTGCGTAGTCTCCGCAGCAAGCGCGCTTGGTGCGCCGTAGTGTAGAGGCACGGTGCTGGTTGTGTCACCGTTGTCCTGACTGCTGATGAAGGACTCGGAGAAAGCTCGTCGCCACCAATACTTTGCTCAGCTGAGACTGGTACACTCCTCACTATCGTATGGTCACTCTCAAGGACAGGAGGAGAGAATACGCGGTCGCGACATCGTCGGCAATGGTGATTTATCGTCGGCCGCAATATGTTGCCAGCGCCGTTGCGTGATGCAGCGGACTGAATAATGAAGTGATGCCCAACATCGCCAACACGTGTGAAAGCACGAGATGGCATCACTACGCCCATGGAGCAAGACGTGACAGAGGCTATGCGTTGCTGCATTCATATTAATGATTTTGTTTGGAAACGTGGACGCTCCCGGTGCAATGATGTGTCTTGTAGGCCTCCAACAGGTTCAAAGTGACCATTTTTACGAGAGCACATGAAGGCGAACCTCCGTGTAGACCACAGAGGGCGGCCAGGAGAGTATGAGACTAGGAGCGTGCTATAGCGTTCACCGCCTGTGACTGCTACACGATCAGACCGAGCACCCCATGGAGGTCATTATGTTACGCGTTCCAGCAGACTGGTGCCACCGTCTCATAACCCTCACTTGCGCGCAAGAATCATAACCTCGAGCATGGTTCTCGTTCGCCTCCATGACTCTGATCCGCAGCACATCAAGCTGTGGGATGCTATCCATTCGCCACCGGCACGAAGCTACCTTTCCTTTGGCATCGCTGCGCAGAGCACCACACAAGGCTTGATGTTTCGACACCCACCGACCACAATGAGCAGTCTCGTGACCGCAGTCTGAGGATCTGTGTGTACCATCGCCTTGTCTTGCTCGTTCGGGGGACACGCGGCGCCACCTCAAGACCCACAGTGCCAATTCTTCGCAGCCAGCACGCGCACTTCAGATCTATCAGCCCAACATCCTTCGCCGAAGCCTCCATCTTGTTGGAGGTGTTGCACTAGTGTCTCGCGTCTGGCAGCCCAGTCGTGTCATGTCCTGTAGCATCACACCATTTGCGTTGCTCAGGCTTTCGCTATGTGCGACACAGAAAAGTCGTGATCGCATTGACAGCATCTAGCTCACGTACCACTCACTTGCGATGAGCTTCCATCGCGAACGGCGTGTGGGAACCTTGGGCTAGAGTGGCGCGCGTTGTCTGGGTGGCGAGGAGATGACGCATTGGTGTGCGTGATTAGATGTTGGTAGACACAGCGCTACATGATCATACTCAGCACCCTTCTCTGATCCGCGCTCTGGTCACCCTCTCCTCTCGAATCCTTCCCTCTCGCCTTGCGCTGCTCGAAATCCCTGCCCGGCCGCAAAGGCTTGACCGCAGGCGCAGCAGTCGCAGCAAGACCCTTCTCACGCTTCGCTCTCCGCTTGCTCTCCATACCCTCCAACATCTTGCCACGCTCAATATCGTCCACGAACGCTTTGTTCTCCTCCTTCGTTCTCCTCACTTCCTCTCTCATTCGTGCTTCCCGCTCTGCGTTCTCGCCCGCAATCTGGTCTGTTAGGTGACTCCACTTGAAGCCCTTCAGGTACTTGATGTTCCACAGATCGTCATGATAAAAGTTGCCTTTCTTGCCACCGATGATGTTACCGTTCAGCATTTCTGCAGCGATCTTGGCCTCGGCCTTGGATGTGAACTCCACCCATCCATCGGTGAACGACTTCTTCTTGTTGCCACCCCGCTTCACTCGCTGCAGATGCGCGGTATGATCTTCGGGTGTTAGGAATATTCGTCCTAGACCTTTCGAGGCATGTGGTATCAGGAAGTGCCGTAGCGTTTGCGGCTTCATGAAGGGCGGTACTCGTGATATGTATATCACACCTGACCTTCGTGCAGCTTTCTCAGCAGCCGCGACCGATTTGGGCATGCGCTTCTTGGCAGGTGCATCTTCAGCAGAAGCATCCACAGCAGGCGCATCATGCTCGTCCTCGTCCTCGAAGTCGCTGCCAAGCAGAAAGCGCTCGGCACCTGGCTTGGATGCACTTCGATCCTGAGCCGCGACATGTGCAGCACTGACAGACTCCCCATCCGCGAGACTCCCCAAAGACTCGCCGTCCGAGTCTATCTCCCTCTTCTGCCGCTTACTCACACGACCACCAATACCTCCTCTCCCGGCCTCAGACTCATCAGAGCCATACCCTCCGCCAAGATCGTCCTCGCTCTCGTCGCCTTCGAGAAACTCGTTCCGCTTCCGCACAACCATCTTGAGTGTTCGGAAGTAGTACAACGGCACCCCAATCGCTAAACAGTGCTGCGTATGTCAGGCCTCGGCGCCAAGTTTCACGAGTGCACCAAGTGCGACAGAAGCTTACGAATGAACGGATCCAACGGCTAGAAAGCAGCCCGCTTTAACTCTCGGCAGGGGCGCGGCGAATTATTGACCGGATCTGAGGCCGCCGCTGGATTCCGTATCAAAAACAGATGACACGCGCTCATCTTCTCTCTTTGCTCCCCAGCAGCGTGAAGGAGTTTCCATGCCGTCGCTCCTCATATTCTGGGAGTATGAGCATGCCGCGGCGCCTGGCACCTATCTGGCAGGTTTTGGTTCTCGTTGGAGCGATAATACTAATTGGTTACTTTGTCTTCCCCACGACTTCTGAGTTCCCCGAGAGTGGCTCGCAGTGGCGCGCCCTGGATCATAGTACGGTCAGCCTCCCGGCGCCTGTGGACGATGTGTTGGCCGATGAGGATATTTTGAAGGCATTGAAGCTTTCTTCTGGATTCGATTTTCGGAGACGATGCTTCAATGTACGACCTACCAAGGGTATCACGCGGACCTCGCTGGCGAGTGTACCACAATCACTTTTCGAGGTGCCTCCTAGTCGAGGGTTGAGTACGGACGACTCGTTGCCGCCATGTCAGGATATGGTGCATCTGGATGTACCGGACTGGAGTCCCAAGACTATCGTGGACACCAGCGCTCTTTTCTTCGGCATGGCCACAACATTGGCTCGAATAGATGCCAGTCTGCCAGCAATCTCTCGGTGGCTTTCGCATAGTGGCTCGCCGCTGGTAGTGTTGCTGGTCGACCAAGCGGATCTGGATTACGAGCGCGATACGATCATCAGGGTACGCGGCGAGGCTGCAGATTCTGGGATTGAGATGATCTTCGAGCCTTACAAAGGCGAGTCGAAGAACACGGAAGGGCTGAAGAACTTTGCTTTGGCCGAAGTCCTCGAAGCACACCGTCGGCCCGAGACACAGTGGTTTGGCATCATTGACGATGACACATTCTTCATCGCCCTACCGCAGATGGTGAAAGCATTGAAACCATATGACCCGGCCAAGGAGTGGTACATTGGCGCGCTCACGGAAGGACTCTTCCGCATCGCCCAAGAAGGCTTCAAGGCATGGGGTGGCGCAGGCTTCTTCGTCAGTGCACCACTCATGGAGAAACTCGCACGCAACTCGAACAGATGTTACAAGCTGGATCAAGGTTTTGGTGATCTCTTGTGGCGTGACTGCATACTGGAGGTCACATCTCCGACCGTCAAGCTTACACAACTCGATGGTCTCAACCAGATCGACGTCTGGGGTGATATATCTGGCTGGTATGAGTCTGGCTGGGCTCCACTTCTTAGTGTTCACCACTGGAAAAGCTGGCACTTCCATCCTATCCCACTCGCCCACTCAGTCGCGGACGTAGCCGGGCCCGACACCTTCCTCCAACGCTACCAATTCGACGACAGCATCGTCATGACTAACGGCTTCAGCATCTCTGCCTACCCACACGGTCTGCCAGATCTGAACCGCACGGAGCTCACATTCTGGGAGGAAGTGAACAGGAAAGGCGACAAGCCTAACAGGCTGATGTTCCATCATAGCCTTGGTGCTACGCGAGGAGCGCTGCAGCTTGGTAAAGATAAGATTCAGTGGTTGTTCGAGTATGCGACTTATGGTGCCGATGGGAGCGTGAGGCAGTTCTACATCAATAAGGCTGTGAGGACGGGGACTGGGACGAGGGATAGTGTCATTGAGATTGACTGGAGGCAGGGGTGAAGGACAGCAAGCTGCTGATATACGACCATATGGATAGGCTGGGCACAGGAAGGCTTCGTCTTGCTGGCGGGTAGATTGCTCGGAGCATTTGGTCTGGATCGTATTACGATACCATGAGCTGGAGACAGACTGCGCTAAAACCCCAGAGCGCGCGGGCGGACCTAATCTATACGCTCAAGAGCACGAATTGGCATCTACCGAAATATGCATCGCTGTTGGAAACGGCCTCGGATGCATTGATGCATTGTGCTGAGAGTGGATTGGAAAGCAGAGAAGCAGGGTCATGGAATGCTTATGGCATAGAGGATAGTGATGGCATCCCATGTACGATATTGGAGTCGCCGTGTAGTTGTACAGATAATCGAGTGGAATGAGCGCGAGTAGTAAATCTGTAGTTGGGAGTTTCGAGTTGTGCAAGGCTGGGATGTGCATGCCGACTTCACTTTGGGTCGGTGTTTCAGCATGACCATCACGAATCGTCGGTCTCGCCAGTTCTTCAACGTGACGAATGGCAGCACGAAGAGACTGAAATCGATGCTCGCAGCGCCAATTATTATCTGGTGTACATGATCTCGAGGTAATAGTACTGAGGATGTATCGGCCATCGAGCAACGCCAATGGCGACTCATCATCGATTTTGGCTTGAACACCGACCGAAAGGCCGTTACACTCCCGGAGCAAGCAGATATACCACTTAATATATGGTCATATCACAGGAAGTCGTCTGTACTATCAGATGGATGACAAGTGCTCTGCATAGACGTTGTCGCTGCAGCACATCGTCGCGGAGTCCTTACCCAAACCCTGATCCTTAGTACTAGTAAGTAGTTCGGGGACAAAGTGACAGCTCGGTGGCCGGGACGGCTGTATCCACAACCCTATTATTCAGTCTGTCACTTTAGCTCACAGGGGTCAGCATTAAACCCTGAAACGATGTGGCTTGCTGCTGATGTGGGACAGACCGACGAGAATACGAGCTGGTGGCCTGCAGGACTGTGCTACCTTGCCTCGCTTTAAATATAAGTCGAGCTGATGATGATATGATAGACCTACAAACCATGCCTCTTTGCGCGTGAGTGAAGGCTGCCTCGACCAAGCGGTCCAGTAAGGGGAAAATGTCGTCTTCGGCGCACGGAGACAGCTGGCGACCGTCAAGGAGTAGGCGGAATTTGGTGATTTTGGTGGTGGTGATTGTGCTGGGATATGTCACCGTCACGCAAGTACGGTCGAGATCATATGGAGGGAGTGCATACTCGGTGCCTCCGAGGCTGGCGGGCAAGCCGCAGACGATAATACAGCCCTCAGGCCAATCATGGACTTTCGACGCGACTCGAGATCGTAATAATCACTCGCTTACTCAGGCACAATGCGATGCTGCGTTCCCGGAGCTGTATCATGAGATCGAGCGGTCACAGAAATATTGGAAGGAGAAACAAGGGAACAGGCCGTTCAAGCCGAAGCAGATTGATATCAAATGGAGCGGAGATGGTGGGATGATGGGCTTGATACACGAGCAGCAGGTATATGCTGTATATGCCCCACAGACTTGTGGCATGGCTGACACATGTGTAGCTGTATGTCACATTCTCTCGAGGACTCAATCACTTCGGGCACTGGAAGGAGCGATCGCATGCAACTCTGCACCAAATACACCGAGCCATATTGGCTTCCCCTGAGCCGGTACCGAATATCGAGTTCGCGATCAAGATCAACGATGTGATCAACCTCACTCCCGATGACCCGAGTATCACGATCTGGGCCTTCTCCCGGAACATTAACGACCCAGTCATGGACCGAGTATGGGTGATACCCGACTTCAACTTCTGGAGCTACCCACGAGTTTCGGGGGCATACGGCGACTTTCAACTCCAAGCCATGGGACAAGGAAAGGACAAATTTAGCTCCAAGAAGGATCTACTGGTGTGGCGCGGCACACTCGATTTTAACCGCGAGATTCGTGAACCACTTCTCGCGCAGAGCACTGCTCAGACCTGGTCAGACGTGCAACGCGTGGACGAGGATGCGGCCACAGATGTCCGGATCACGATGCCGGACCACTGCCGCTACAAATACTCCGTACACACCGAAGGCACCACCTGGTCAGGGAGGCTAAAATACCTCCTCTCCTGTCACCAAGTCGTCTTCATTCACCACCTAAACTGGTACACCCATCTCTACCATCTCCTCGTGCCCTCAGGTCCAAATCAGAACTATGTGCAAACCGAAGACGACTGGTCTGACCTCCCGGCCAAGATCAACGAGCTCATCGCGAACCCAACAAAAGGCAAGATGATTGCGGACAATGCTGCTATGCACTTCCGAGATCGGTATTTCACTCCTGCAGCGCAGACGTGCTATTGGCGGAAGCTGTTCCATGTGTGGCGAGCCATGACTTATGAGCCTGATCCGTGGAATTCCACGACTTTGCCGGATGGCACTACGCAGAAGAAGATCAAGGGGATGTCGTATGAGGAATATGTGTAAGTCGATCCTCCACTGGCAAGACCACCTACTTCTACGATACTGACTCTGTGCACAGCTTCCACGATAAGAGTGTGCCGCTTGAGCCGGGAGAGTGATACGGGAACCACCTGTGTGTGTTCTTGGGTGCGATTTGTGATCTCAGCGAGGGTGTTCGGCGTGTAAGGTAAGGGCGGCCTATCTGATGGTATCGCTGCGCAATCGACGCTGGGGAAAGGTGGTAGACTAGCTTTGTCTTAGAGCAGTATGCTGTATCTATTCACCTTAGGGGAATTGGGTATGGACATCCCCAATGCTTATCGGACTTCCCACGCGGATAGTGAAAGCAGGAGCTTCGCCGCCAGGACCAGGAACGTTCCCGGGATTAGAAGGAGCTGGCGAAGGAGAGAAGGACGGCCGGATGTTTGCTGTCCCACACGCATAAAGGCGTTCGTGTGAGGACGAAGTGGACTTCGGCACGATATTCCCGTCGCAACTTCTCCGAGACGTCTTCATCTCTTGCAACCCTCCTCAAGGGCGATCAGTCCTTGTGCTTTAGTGATCGTGCTCGCGTGCTAGACTGAACGGAGGACGTAGAATTATGGCTCTATCTCTGGCACGCTTCTGTTCTTATATTAGCCCGTGGATGGCGGCGACTGCTTGGAAACGGTACATATGGCCGAGACGATTCAAAGGTCCGGCACGCTCTCTACCGCCAGAAGGCCATTAAGCTCACGCTGACCGTCCACCACTTCTGCCACCGTCTACGTCCACAGCTGCACCACAACCACGAACCGGTCGTGCATGTTCTCTATTCTTTGATAGTCATCATATGCCAAGTCATCACCCTCTGATGTGCCAATATGGAATGACTCGGCGACCTACGGTACTGCTTGCGAAGGCTGCGCTACTATGGCGTGGTAGACATAGCTGTGATGATGGAGGTTGCCTGGGCAGGAGGTGGCCTCCTGACGTGCCAACTCGCAATGGGACGAAAAGTATGGGTGACATCGAGCTATGGGCGATGTCGCTGCAGTACGTCTTCAAACCACAGTCGTGAAGTCAGGAGTAGCGCCACGCCTACGCAATTCTCCTTGCTTCTCACAGATATCTGCTCACACGATACTGCTTCACGTCCAGCATGGGTACATAGCAGGACCGGCAAGAGCAACGAGGATATCACGACTGCACTAGCATGATCACCAACGATGCCACGGAATGCGCACCAGAGCAGTCTAATCGCTGAATGAAGAGTCCTACGACATACGTGGGATTCACTACGCACAGCAGAGACGGCCTTCTCTCTTCTCTCCTCATACAGCCACGGCTGAATTCCCGCAGCGGCGAGGAGAACACGGGGCTGGGTGAAGGAGTAGCAAGGCGAAGTACGAAGATAAGTCTGCCTGTGCGGAGCAGCGCCCGCTACATGGGACACTTTTGCACGGCCGTGATCTCGGGCAGTGGTGTGGCTGAGATGATACGGAAATAGCAGTATAACGACAGGTTTACCATACCACACACGTCATACTGCCTATGTGCCTATCAGCTTGGGAGCTGCCGCAGTACGTTCATGGTGCTGTAGTAAGGGCAGCTGGTAAGTCGGTAAGCTCATGTGTGAGCCATTGAAGCGGCAGTAGTGAGTCAGCGCTATGAAGCGAAGGCACTGGGTGAAGAAGTGAAGATCTTCTCCATAACCCGGCGAACAGCCAAGGTAGATGATGAAAATCTCAGCGTGATTAGCCGCGAGTACTCAGCGTGGTTGGGCGCGAGAGGGCTCAAACGTGGTAAGGCGCGAGCAGGCTCAGCGTAGTGAGGCGCGAGCAGACTCGGCGTGGTTAGGCGCGATGAGTCATCAGCCACGACGGATCCAAACACAAAAGAAATAAGGAAACAAACGGCTCACCAAACCTCTTCATCTTCTTCTTCCATCGGCGGCGGGAGGGCAGCAGCAGGCCACAAAGGTGAGCCATGGTTGGTGATGTTATTGTATGAAAACTGGTTGCTGGTGGAAATGAATTTGCAAGGACACTGGAGAGGAGGAGCACAAGTTCACGAGGGAGATCAACGAGACTATGTGTTTGCGCAGCAGAACAGACCAGGTGGCCCCCTTCTTTCGCACCTTGGGAGAGTGTGGGAGTGCTTCTGAGGAACGCATGCCGATTACGCTGACCAAATGAGCTCAGACGAAACTTTGCCCATATGGTGTGCACGAGATATGCTGACACGTGGCACTGACCATGCAGCGGATCATGGTACAGAGCCGCATTGACTCAAGATATCAAACTCTAAGATGATCTCAAGCCAAAGAGGAGCTACGAAAGCTGGTGACCGCCCGTGCGTCCGCTTACTCACGAAGGCTCTCGGAGGAGATCGCGAAGTATCCACGGTATCCGCCTGAAAGACGTCCACTATCGCAGAGTATCATGTGGCGCTCTTGTATTCACGTTTCTCTCGTAGGAAGTGGGTTTACAGACATTCCGGGGTGTCAGTCGAATCGTTGCGGACAAGCTCATCAACGAGACCGTAGCAGCAAGTGGTATGGTGAGATAAGAAGCCACGTCCTACCAGGTCACCACCCACAAGCCACGATTGAGACATGGCCTCCTCCTCGCTTGCAACACAGCGCCTCCTTCCTCATCGCTTGCAACACAGCGACCTCCTTCCTCACGTGAGACATAGCGCGCCATCGCTTGAGACATAGCGCCACTCCTCATCACGTTCCTGGCTTCATGCTGGGCAGTGGAGGGGTCGACCTCCTCATGCCACTTGCTCACTCCGCTGACCATATCACGGCTATGTCACTGTGTCGCTATCATGCTGTATCGTGCCTTGCTGGAGGATAGTGGTCATGTCGCCGCCTTACATCAGGAAATCTACCCGTAATATCACCGTCGCCACAGCCAACCTGTATCGGTCCCCCACCAAGTCTGTTGCCATGCTCCCCGCCACATCTCGCCGTCCTCAAGCAAGCCTTTCGCCGCACATAATCCAAGAAATCAAACAAAACAGCATCGAGCGTCCTCCACAACAACCTCACCGTCAGGAGCGGACGTGGAGCAGTTCCTGCTCGCATACTACAAGTTCGGATGGTAGGTACTCTTCTCCACGACCCTGCACAAAGCCAGGAGCGTGACGGAGATATGGTGAGGTAATCTTCCCCTTCCAGATCAGGACAGTGATATAGATTTAGAGCGGCCTTTGATATGAGAACTCGCCACTTCCCCTGTGGGATGTCCAGAGAGTCGTTGCCTCCACCTTCTGCTTTCCGTGTGAAGTCAGCCGGAACGGAATATCTATCCTGCCGACATTGTCTCACTGCTCAGCTGCTTCATTCGTGTGCTTTGCATATGCAAGCAACAAGCAAAGATCACAAGTCCAAGAGTGGTATGGTGTGAGAAGCGATCTCGAACAAGTTGGGCCTTAAGATATGGACTCCTTCAACATCTCCTCACTCCGGCAATACATCCCCCAAAACCTCCCCCGCCTACCCACCTGGCCCACGAACCACAACAGCATGAACCCTGAAGACGAGGGCGACGTCGCAGCCTCCCAGACCGACGGGACAAAGACAGATCCACCCTCAGAAACAATGTTCACAATCGAGGATCCCACACCCATATCCTCCGGACCGAAAAGCTACATCGACCTGATCAACGAATGCGACAACTTCCCGTACTATCAAACCAACCCTAAGCTCTTCTTCGCACATATCCACACATACTACGGCCTCTACATCGCTGATTACCCGGAAACGGAGCTCGGATACATTCTTCCCTCAGTAGCAGAAGTGTTCCGCGGTCTACCCGACTGGAAGATTGACGACAAAGACCGGAGTCTTACACTCATCAGTGGCAGCACGGAGGAGGAGAGGAGTATAGTCGTGGCTATGACATGTAAAGCTCTACGGGCGACGAATCATTTCAAGGTACTGAAGGGTTGGAGAAATGAGCTATATCCTGTGTACGGGCCGAACAGAGAGTTGCTCTTCAGCATCGAGCGATCAGCTTGCCCGTTGTTCGGAGTGGTGACTTATGGCTGCCATATGACAGCTTATACACGGAGCCTACGCCAAGCTTTAGCAGACGAGAAGGCCGAAGCAGATGAGCTGAAGATATGGGTACCACGTCGAGCTATCACAAAGCAGACATACGGCGGCATGCTCGACAACAGTGTAGCCGGCGGTATCGCGACTGGCGAGGTCATCTTCGACAGCATGGTTCGGGAATGTGCTGAGGAGGCCTCGCTGGCGGAAGATCTTGTACGGAGTCGAGCCAAGGCCGTCGGGGCAATCACATACTTTCACATTCGGGATGAGCGAGCAGGCGGTGAGACGAGGCTGCTGCAGCCAGAGTGCGAGTACGTGTATGATCTTGAATTGCCAGAGGATGTGGTGCCGAAGCCCAGCGATGACGAGGTGGAGGGCTTCGAACTAATGACCGTGGAGGAGGTCAAAGAGCACCTGAGGCGAGGCGAGTATAAGCCGAATTGTGCTCTTGTGCTCATCGACTTCTTCATCAGACATGGCATCATTCCAGCGGAGGAAGAGGGATATGTGGAGATGGTAGCACGACTGCATCGGAGGTTCGAGTTTCCGACGATCTGAGCATGTGGTAAAAGATCACCCACCCAATGTGGCGTTTGAGATAATTGTTGTTGTTGTATAGATGATACCCAGCTGTGTAGCCGATGTAAATATGCCATGCTCGTCTGCCTTACATCCTCAGCAGTCCTCACGGTCAAAGAACCACTTTTCCAGAACGCCTCGCTAAAGTCATCGACAGTCGTTGAAAGCAGTGTGGCCGCTACTTCTTCAGCAAAAGATACAGGTTGTCGATCCGCAGTGGCGACAGCTTCTTGTACGGCCCATCGAGACAGCACAGCAGTCCGCCGAAAGAGATGTAGACCTTGCTGCAAAAACTGTCAGTAACTCCCACCACTCTTCCAGCATGCATATCATGGACATGAACTCACATATTCCCCCCATCACTCTTATCCTCATGCCTATACACCTTCCCATAACACACATAATCCCACAGATCCGCCAACGTCTGACTATCGTTCTTCCCGCTTGGTCTCCAGCCTTTCTTCTGCACGTCCTCGATCGTGCCGTCAAGATTCAATGTCTGTGCTAGCAGGAGTGTGACGTTCTCGTTTGGTTGGCAGGGATAGAGCTCGCTGTTGACGTCGAGGGTGAGGGAGGTGGTGGCATCGGTGCTCGTTCCTATGAGGCGGGAGACGCGGTCGTAGGGTTGGGTCGCGAGGGAGGTGATTGTGAAGGTTTCTTCGTAGAGTTGCGCGTCGCTTGACATTTTGTGTGGTCACTGGTGGTGGAGGATTGAGAGTGATTTCCTGGCAAGCCTTGATCTCCTTAAGCTTAAATCTTGTTCCAAGTCCGTCTTTGTATGTTGTTATAGCAGATCGCATGGAACAGCCAAATCTTTGACTGAAGTTCGCGAAACGCGACTTTGCGCCGCAAAAACATTGTTCCGATGACGCCAAACTGATCAGCATCCACTTCACTTCCATGTCTACTTTAAACGAGGGATGATCCGCATATAATTGCCCACGGACGATGCGACGGCTTGGCACAACGACATACTGTCCGTGGTAGCAGCTAATAGAGAAGTTCGCCGAGAACATGTTCGGCCTCATCATCTCCGGCCGGCCTGTCGATGCCACACCTCAAGTCTTCTCGGAAGCCCAATACGCTTTTAGGATCGCCCCAACGCCGTCGTTCAGTCATGTAGTTGTCTTCTTACTTCCTGGTGCACAGCTTCCACCTGGTACTGCCGCCTCTGTATACATCCAGATCCCGCCCTCTCAGGAGTTCAAGCTGCTCGGGGGCATAGGACCGGGAAAGGAGTCTGCCATCTTCAAAGTCAGTGGAGTCAAGGCTGGTCCGGCTAATGCTGCCGACGGTGATGACATGGATGCTATGGTCGATGACGCATCTGGTCCGGCCAACAATATGGCAGCTGCATCTGGCGAGATTGTGATCGGCTTGTCCATCGAGCCAGCAGCACAGGTCGAGGCTCAGCTTCTTCAGCTCAAGGGAGCTGCAGCACTATCTGGGCAACAAGTGACAGCTCATCCGTCAAGCGCACTAGTCAGGCTCAATTCTGGTACTGGTGGCAGGATTACGACCAAAGTGCTCGCGCAGAGGATCATCGGCAATGCTTTCGACTTTTTGGCAAGCTTTGGTAGCGACACTGTGCCTCTGAAGGCCTTTCGAGACTGGTGGCTCAAGTTCGAAAAGAAGGTAGACCTGGACCCGAGCTTTCTAGAGCGTCAAGATCAAGGTTGAACAGCCTCAAAAATCTTGCATGGAGCACCCGCGTCATGATGTAGCCGGCGGGTTACGCTTTACAACCAGCAGAAGACATATTACATTCGTCGAAGCGGATCCAGATCGACCGTTGCTGTATGCTAAGAGGTTCTCACAATGCGACATCATGATCACTGCATCAAGGGATCTTCGAAGACAGGAGCAGGAAACGATTGAAGATTTAAATGACGAAATCAATGACAAGCAAGGCAATTGACCTCGTGCCTGATATGGAGCATCCATCCGTGGCCATGAAGGAGGTCAGGTGTTTCCCAGGCGAACAGAGGCGTGATCTTCCGAGAGACCACCTCAAATCACCAAGTTTCTGACGAAGCCATGCATCCTCTGATCGTATTCTCCAGCTCTGCAGCAATTCCAGTATTCCTGCTTACCCGGCGACTTCCTCGCTGGAAAGTCTCAGTTGCGGCCGAAAGCGGCCAGCAAGTGCAACAACTGTCGACCTCGAAAACGTGTGCAGCTGTATGCGCAGGGCGGCTTCCTCTTCGACTCATTCGAGTGACCCATCGCATCGAAGGGTCCCTTTTGGTGTGCAATTGCGATTTCATGACTTTTCTACCTCACACATGGCCAGTGCGCGCTCGCTAGCCAGTCATATCTTCGGCTCCCGACCTTCCTTGAGCGGTAGATAGATATCACTCCACAACTCGCCAGCTTCGCCCACAGTATAGCTCAACTCGACTTCGTGCATACCTGCCTCGTCATCGCCCCCCATCGTTTCCAGCTGACTGAAGATGTGGTCGAGTCCAAGCGCCTTACCTACAGCCTGCGTGGCGGTCGGATCCAGGTCGACATGAACGACATGGATGTGGAAATGATAGTATGTCGGCTGATAATGTATGTAGAATTTCAGCATGTCAGTTTCCACGCCTTCGTACATGCCCGAGACTTGCTGAGCGATCACAGATCGGAGCTTGCGAAGCCATGTCGCATCCTTCTTCTTGAGGTCTCTCACGCTCCAGATGTCTCGTCGTGTAACCAAAGCGAGGAGATGCAGTCCACCCATCGTCTTGCGATCCCAGTTGAGATCAGGTAGAAGGAGATAGTCATCCTTACTGTCTGCCTCTGCAGATCTGTAAAGCACATTCTCCTGCTCAGACTTGCCGTCGATGATGTTGAAGACCCAGTTGAGCCTGCCTTCTTCTCGTCCTCGCTGCATATATGGTCGCACATATTTGGAATAGATCTCCGGTGTCTCGGTCACAAATCTAGCTTTTTGGAAGCTGTATTTCTTGATATGCTTGTCCGTGCAAGGATAAATCAGATTGATCTTGAGATCTGGTGGCGTAGGAAGATCTGCGCTGTTGTCTGGAAGACTGTTCGCAAGGTACCAGCGGTATATATCGTTGTCTCCAAGATTCTGCACATGTACCATCAAACGTCCAAGGGCTGAGAGGTACACTGGATTCGTATCGAATGCGCCTCGTTCAGCTAGGAGGAGTGCTGGCTTGCCTGAGATTGTGCCTTCGAGGATTATGCGGCGGCCTCCTTGGTCTTGATTTAGCAGCTTTGCATACTTGAAGCGTGTGAGCAGCGAATTAGCTGACATCGTATTGGTCATGATAATATAACATGTTTCAATATGTGTTTGTATATCGAGTGGTTCAGGTTGCCAATGGAACGACGAATGCAAGCGTGCCTGAGGTTCGAGCGTTGTACTCTAAATTCAACTTCGCTTGCTTCACCTACCAGCTTTCCACAATCGACCATGGACATAGCACGATGTCTTGAAGATGGTCGCAGTGCAAGATCTTGTCATGGGGACTGGTATGCATTGGCTTGGGTATTCGTGATCACTTGATAGAAGAGCGGGGAGAGATGCAGATGAGAAATGAGGAAAGGGTGAAGACCATTTGTGCTGGGAGGACATACGTCTTGGGTAGATGCATGTAGGGCGATCGCGAAGGGAGAGTGGTATACCTCAGTTGCTGGCTTCACACACTTCAATGATACGCGTCTGCAACTAAATCTACCGATATCTTGGAAGCAATCTGCGCATGCACTAGAGCACTCCCACCGCTCTCACATGAATGCTTCTCAAGACAGTCAATATGCTATATCAGCGTTGCGTAATTGGGCCAGCGAGTCGTTACCGGGCGATGGAAATGGTACGATCGCCATCATACAAGCTGAACAGTTCCAAAAGGATCATCACCATTAGCACCATTGGACACAAGCAAGTCGCAGACTTTCGAACTACCCATCCACAGACACGTCTTCACTCTTTTCAGGTCTCACACCCAAGAATTAAGAAAAGGAATCCCCGCTACCACATTGAATGTGGTAACGAGGTAAGGAAACCGATATCAGCCGAAATCAGCTCACGAGGATGACCTCCCTTAAAGACCGCACATGTACGGCACACGTCTCCCGAAGGAGGAGCCCTTGCTCGTGAGGAGACGTTTGCCTAATTTGCCTTTGTTGATTCAACCCATAAGGGCGCGCAGATCTGCAGGGACTCGAACCCCGAATTTTCCTTGATAGATTCATTCCCTTTCGGGAAGTAAGCAAGGTGCCTTTTCCTGCTGGCCACAGATCCTGTATGGAGGTGATTTGTGAAAGCGGAAGGCTGATCATTTACTATATAGCTTCAATTGCCGCCGAAGATGCGCCGGCAGTTTGGGTATCGGGAGAGTGCAGTGAAGGAGGAGCGGAATGGCTAGGATCTATGCATGCTCCTCATCTTCACTGAACAGTTATCTTCGGCCAAAGGATCACTTCGATCAAGTTGCTATCGGTTCGCAGAGGCGTTCATACAAGATTACACAGCTTTCAGGAGTAGGCCTGCTGTCCTGAGATCACCCGCTATTTGCCACTCATCACGACTACAATACATGCACACTTGGCAGCTCAGAAAAATCCGTTGCGGCCCACGGGAGGAGAAAACAAGCAAGAAAACCATCATGGCTATACAGGCCGAAGGACAGGCTGCGCCTGAGTTCACGGCACTCTCACTGCTCTTTCCCGCTTGAGCATGTCTACGGTGGTAGCAGTCTTACATACTTATTGAGTTGATGTTTGATGCGCAAGTCACGATGCTTCGCACACGTGAAGGGGCGGAATGTCGCTCACAGATCAGCTCAGAAATCACACAAGTATCATGTCTCAAGATAGTACAGATTGTCTCAGGCGTGTCCATCAGATGCACAGCTATGCCCAAATCGATGCATGCTTCCCAATACCGCAGGCACAATTTGAGTTTCAACCAATCAGCATCGTGCAGAAAACGATAGAGTTAGGGTTTGTCTAAGCAATATCATATGCCATAATCATGTCTGGAGGGTCACGAGCTGCATCCTTCTTCGGATGTATCTTGCTTGTAGTATGGGCTGATGCTTCTCGTCTATTAGCGTGGAAAATCTAGCAAGATACGTCCAGCGGTCAGGACATGAGCACATGCGAGAAGCGGTCCATGGCCGGCAGACTTTTATAAATGCTGGAGCTCACCGAACTGCTATCTTTACGCACAGAGCGGACCAATGGTCATGTCTTGTCCAGAGCAGTGATGACGGCTACAGCATCGTTGGAAACGATCGTGACAATTCGCTGTCTTATGCCGAAGGAGTCTGGTAATTGATCTGGATCTACTCCCAACACCTCAACCATGCCCATCATGCTGTCTACCAGCTTGCACAGGCTACACCGCTTACACCCTCTCCTCCATTGGTGGAGCGCTCAAGAGAAGCCGCTCGCGACTTGCCACATTCCTCGTTCCATCTCAGAACTTCAGTCATTTACGTGTACACAGACGGCGCTTTTTCGAGCGCATGGTGGTTAATGGCACATCGACATTATTGCTGTCACTTCCTGTGCTGTGCCACGTTTGTCAAGTGCTCTAGCAGAATTCAGATCCTTCTACCAGAGTTCGTTTCACCCAACAGCATCGCCACTGCCCGCCAACTTCGTCCGCTGCGGCTTCGCTATCGCTGCAGGAATGCTCTTCGCCACATCCATCGCAACTTCAGCTTCGGTAGTATCGTCATCATCGTCCTCGTCGGTGGGCGTAGTCTGAGCAATACCCTCATGCGCCAGCTCCTCTGCCGAGACCTCCTCCAATTCAATTCCCTCCTCCGACTCAGCCTCCTTACCAGGCAAGCAGAACAGATCGTCCGTTCTGGTCTCATCGGGCACAAGATGGTTGCCAAAAGAGGCCTTGTCTTGGCATCCACCAATCTGCCTTCTGAATGATAGTATGACGTCTTCTTTCGCTTTCATCATGGTCGCGATGTCAACTAGCTTCCCTTCATGTGAAAGGTATGGTAGATGTGAGAGCTCAGGCAGATCGCCTTCGAAGGCCAGGGTATGGTGCAGCGGCTGATAGTCTGGGGTCTGACGTTCAGTATGCTCGGCAATAGCAGGCGTCTCGGTGGCGGTCAGGAAAGGCTCATTCGTGGTATCCCTCGTTTCACCAGTGGCCTTCGTGGCCTTCGCCTCATCCTCTGCACGCATAAACTCCTCTGGGAGCTGCGCAAGCTCGTTGTGCACAGTCACAAATGGCACAGAGGGATGCAGCATACTCCAACCTCGTGCTCGCATGAGCTCAAGAAGGTACTCCAGCCACGCTGGCTCTGACTCTGGGATCAGCTTAGCTTTCTTCTCAGCCGTGCCCAAGCGACTAGCCGTCAGCCTTTTCGCTAGGAAGTCGTGGAATATCGACCACTTGTCGCCAAAGATGAGGCTCGCAGCGGCTGAAGGAGCTTGGTACAGGAAAGACGTCTCGTCTGCTTGATTGTACGCCTTCGCGTTCGTGTATTTTCCTGCGCTCATGTCGTGGACACGAGGTGGCACAAAATCCGTACTGGCGTTCAGGAAAGTGGATGGGACGTCGAGTGATACTCCGAGTAGATCAACTGCTTCCCATGCGCCGTATGTGGAGTACTTGTACTCCAGTATTGCATACATGAGATACTGCATGAACAGTGGTCCGACGTCTGCCTGAGTGGAGAGGACCAGAACATGGTTGTTCTCGCGATTCGAAGGGTAGAAAGACTCTACAAAGCGTACAGAGGCCTGCTCGGAGTCAAGATGTGCAGCCGGAATCCGATGGCGCAGAGATAGCAAGCTGCTCTGCCACGGCTCTTCCTCCCTGCCAGGTGGCCAAGCCAAGCGCTCCAAATACCTTTTGGCGAACGGCTCAATAGTCGAGGGAAGCTCCACAGTGAGCTTCGGTATTGCAAAGCCAGAGTACTCCGCGCCCTCCAGACTTCGGATAAGTCTAATCAATCCTCCAGCACTATCTGACGGCGCATGAACAAGGATCTCAATCGTCGGCTTGAACCAATTACTCAAACTACCAGCGTCCAGTCGTGTCATCCAAAGAAATTCCTCATAACGTCCAGTTGGCACCTCAATCAGTGGTCGGTCCATCTCCATAGCCTTGCCACGAATTGCCCTGGTGAAGAACTTGTCTTCCACCTTACTGTCGTCCATGATGATAGCTTGGGGATGCATGAAGTCATTGATATGTTTCATAGCGCCAGCCACTGCGACCTCAGCACGTTTGTCAGTACTGTACTCATTGTAGTCGCCTCTTGCATCATGAAAAAACACGGAACATTCGTTCCTGTCCACGCTGTTGACTTCCAGGATGTCATCTAGCGGCAGAGAGTCACGTCCGAGGAAAGCAATATGCACGTAATTCCTGTCCCACTTTGCCATCTCGCAAGCCATCGGAATCAGATTCGCTGCACTATGAAGGGATGAGACCGCGTATAGCACGTTCCGGTTTTGCGGTCTGCTTCCCATTGTCCTCGTGATTTCGTGCAGAGTAGCTGCGAGCCGGTAGAACTTGATCTGGCCATCGAAGTAATGCTTGCTGCTCTCCTCGTCGTCCGCAGATACCACTGGCCGAGGTGGTGCTCCAGTAGGCTCAAGCTTCACGCCACCACCAATCCCTCCCGACCTCAAAGCAGATGGAGCAGACCTCCTCCGACGAACGGATCCAATGTTGCCAGCCAGATGTATATATGCCAAATACAGCAACGCCGCAATGGCAACTATGGAGAACAACCTCCTCTTCCTCCATCGCCAAGGCTGTGAAAAGCTGTTCGAGGCCGACAGTCGCTTCGACTTAAAGTCATCGTCCCGCTTGCCCAGCTCTTCATCTTTGCTGAACACGCGGGCATGGGTGTGCATTTCGCGATCCAATGATGCTGCTCGAGTCTGTGGGCGCAAGGTGCCTGCTAGCCTGGATCATGAGTGTCGCATGGTGGGTCTCTGAGGAGCACGCGAACGAGCGACTAGGGTGAGTGCGTGCGAGAAGCAGTTTGTGGCAGTGGTGGACGTCACGAGAAAGAAAGTAATGGAGTGGTTGTCGCGGGTGCAGGGAGCATTCGCTCGCACCTGCGCTAGCGGCGATAAGCTTTCGAGCTAATCTGTGGTTTGTACATAAATAAAATCATTTACGTTTCCAGAATTGATATGACCGAATTGAGAGTATGGTATCGCTGAAGTTATGCGTGGAAGTGTTGGCATACTCATAAGGAGAACAATGTGGCAGATCGTTTCCTTAGAAGGGGAAACAATATGAGCACGTGAGTCTATTTCGATCATGACATTGAGCTTGACTGTGGTTCACGCATATCTACATACAATATGTACAAATCCTCTTTCTACACCATATTTGCAGCCAGAGGCCAAGTCAGACAACACTACTTCGTCCTCACCTGCTTAAGCTTCCCAGGACTATGCACAAACTGCGTCGCATACGCCTTGGGGATAATCCTCCTCTCATTGGGCTCCTGGACAAAATACTCATAACCCTGCTTATTCGCAAAGTTGACCGCATCCTCCTTGCTCGCAAAGTTCAAGTGCGTGCCTTGCATGAAGTCGCCGGAGGATTGCCAGCCCATGAGTGGGTTCTCCCAGCGGTGGCCTTTGCTTAGGACGTCCCAGTCCATGCGCCACTGGTGGCTGTGCCAGTTGCCGGATTGTGTGGCGGTTTTGGCTGGGCGGTAGATGCTGGGTAGGTTTGTTAGTACGTAGAGCAGGAGTTGTGTGAGGAGATTAGATACCGGACTGTGCGTGCTTGCAAGTCGATAGGTGCTCCAGAGAGCACTGCAGCTGGTGTGTTCAGACCTTCCTCACTGCCATCCATGACACGCATCGGTACTGGCGAGAATGAGCTAGCCATACGTTAGTTGGGCTGCACCATTGTCTCATGCATGAATGTTCGCCTCACGATGTCCTGTAGTCTGCCTGCACGCTGTAATCCGGATGTCTCGCCTGTCCTTCACCTGGACCCTCCTTCCTCACCATCTGCCATGTCGAAGGTCTTCCTGCTCTCTCGGCCGGTGGCTCTGATGAGGATGTTGGTGGTCTCCTCTCCTCGGTTGTCCCGACCTTGTTAGGCAGGGAAGACTCGTTGCGCTGCTGGAGCACAACTTGCGTGCGTCGGGAGAAAGCTGGTCGAGAGGCTATACGTAGGGAGTTTGCTGCTCTGTTGATTGATGCCATGTTGGGGTTGTAGTCCTAATGTAAACAGTGGCCGTAGAAACATTGGACTTGTGTTGGAGAGGTGGTGATGAGGCGCTCGGACGTCAAGCTCGGGTGAAGCCGTCGCATTGACTTGCAGGAAAGCAGTTCACCTCCGGACAGCAGTATCACCACTCTAGAACCACAATCAGCGATCATGGTCTCCTCACTCGTCCCCCCGAAGGTGTGTACACCGCTTCCAATATTCACATGATATGCTGACGCTGAGCTTTTAGGTCGCCTCGCCCAACGTAAGTCCTCCACGTCTCCGAACCTCCCTTACTACACACACGACCGCGATCACGAACTACACGAGCCCAACCCAAAGCGACAATGGATGGCATGGAATGGCACGGTGGAAGAAGTGGACAGTGACTGACGAAGATATAAACAGGCCATTGGCGGTGCAGCCGACGCAGCCCGCATGCAAAGAGTCGTCTCCTTCTACGAGAAGCTTCCCCGTGGCCCAGCTCCTCAGGCCAAGGCACGCGGACCTCTTGAGTGGTACAGCCTACGATACATGACCGGCAGGAACCCATCGGTGATGCGTATGTCGGATCCTAGATGTGATGGAAACGGAGAATAAGGCGATGCTAACGTGGAGACAGCTCTGTTCCACATCCTCGGCGGCTTCATCATCCTTGGTTATGCTCAGAATTACTACTTCCATCTGCGTAAGTTTGAGGTGTTGTTTGGGTGGTGGGCGATAGAGATAAGGCTAACGTGCAGTAGGCCACCACAAGAACAATGCTCACTAGGTAGATGAAGTGTGAAAAGGCAGCTATAGAGGCGGTAGAAACTGTGTAGATACTGTGGAATGCGAAGTTGAAGTCAACTCACTTACCACTCTCCTCGTGCTCTACGGTTTGCGACAACCGGCCCAAGGAAGTCTTCGCAAACGACAGATCTCACTACTGGACTCATTCAGCCAACCTGGGCCAAGTATGGACGCTGGTGCCGGCAGGTAATGGACGTGATTCTCTGTTGAGATTCACCACCCCAGGCCACGCCAATGTGACGATCAGGCATTGTCCATCAACGACCCATCTTGATCACGCCATGGGTACACTCCCTTCATGCGCACTAGACGACCACCTTGCTGCTCTTCGGATACGGAGACACGTAATGATGCGGTCCGTACCCTTTCATGGCTTGTCTAACGACTGTGACTACGACCCATAAATATTGCCCCGTTTTGCTTGAGCTTTCGGCCGAGGATCACTGAACGGAGCTCTACCTTTTGCTTATCCAATCCTCAATGATTATGCTCTTGATGTATTTCATGACTTGCACAGTTGTAAGATGAACACTGTAGCACAGTATGCCTTCTTCTCACTGCATATTCTCGTTTGGTTGTGGCGTGCGCCATCCGCCACAGTTCGCCTTCCAATTCCGATTCGTGACTGGTTGGCCGGATCTGCGCGTCCGGGGTCACGGGCCAGCTCTGATGAAGCGTGCCGGAGCGACGCTGCAGCTCGCTCCTTTCACGAGACCAAAGAGGCGCAACCTCTCCTCGACTTCCTCCTCATCGCATAACGCACCAGCTCGCCGCCCACACATATCTTCGAGTGCTTTCATCGCACTTCGAAGGGCGCGCCTTCCACTTTCGACACCCGCATCTTTAGGCAAGGCTGTCTCAGCCTTACACACCAGCTAGCACACCCTCCACCCTGGCGGATCACTACTAACGATAGGTACGCACCGCACTGCACTGCACTCTCCTATACACACACCTTCCATACCAGCTTGTCTCGGCAAGTGCTGCCGTCACTGTCAAGCACCGCCTCGTGACTCACAACAAAGGGAACGTGGCGGAGAATGCTTGCGACAACCATTCCCACCACCTTACCTTGAAGCCACATCGCAGATCGCCAGATCTTCAATCAATTACTAACAACAATACCGCAAACACAGCTTCGGAGACTGTTATGGCAGAGCAAGTCAGCCACAATGTGGTAGACAACACCCCGTCGGCGAGTGCTTCGGCGCCCGCTGACGTTGCTGCGGACCAAACCACCACTGAGCTCGCCGGCAACGGCAACAACGCAACAACCACCACCAGCGATATTCCGACCACCGAACCTTTCATCGATGCGAAGAATGCAAACGACGCAGCTATTACGACGAACGGCTCAATTCAGAATGAGCACATCGATTCTAGTGCAGAATTGAACGGCACTCACGACGCAGCGAGCCAAGTAGGCAGTCAGGAAGATGCTGGTTCAGTCGACCCGAGCGTGACATCGGATACGGAAGGCAGGAGGGGCGATGGATCAGATCTCAAGAAGGAAGGTGGACATCACGTGCGCGCGAACTCCGTCAAGAAGCCTATAAGCTTTAGCAAGGTGTCCGTGACAAAGAGCTTCCTCGCCAAGTCCGCTTCGCCAGCACCGCCAGCAGCGGCGAGCACAGGCGCCAAGCCGAGTCCTTTAGCTGCTCCAGTACAACCAGCGGCACTCAGACCTAGGTTGGTCGCGAAGACGGCAGGCTCACAGCAGGGCATGACAAGGCCACGGGTAGGCTCAGAGTCTGCAGGAGTGCCGGATGCGAGCAAGGTGTGGAATAAGAATAGGCGTAAGTAGGACTGCAGTGAAGGAAGTACTCATATTTACTGACTGAATTTAGCGGTTGCTCCACCTCCACCAAAGCACTTCACCGACGAGGAGCTCAAGCAGCAATATGGTATCCATCTTGCCACACGACTCCAATCGGACGAGAACGGCAAGGAATCGAAGTGGGCAGACATCGACGAGGACGAAGAAGACTGGGCTCCCGAGGCAGTGGTATGGATGGATGGCACAAAGTCCACTCTAGCATCATCGGAAGTCATGGCATTGGAGGAGAAGCAGCACCTTGCTTTGCAACAGCAGGAGCAAGCGAAGCCCGAAGAGCCCACCCGACCAGTAATCGTGGTCAAGAAGACGGAGCTAGGACCGCAAAAGACGATCTTGAAACCCGGAAATGCTGGGAAAGCAGCCGCACAACTGAATCGTTCGGCTACGGCTAGCCCATCCGGCGATAAGCCCTCATTGAAGTCCAAGAGCCAAGCCTCAGCACCAGCAAAGTCACCTTGGGCATCTCTGCCTCCTGTCGAAGCTGCGCCTCTGATCAACCCACCAGTACAACAACAAACACATACCATCTCGAACTTGCCATCCCAGGACGCGCGCGCATATGACCAGCAGACACCTTCTCAACCCGCTCGCCAGATCGCAGCAGACACATTCGAGCGCCAGTGGCGAGATGGAGAAGGCGCACCGCGTGAGCTATTCAATTCTGCCAATGGTCGCTACGAGCCTGCTCCGGAAGGACGACGTGGCTCTATGCGCCAGGACTCCTCATTCCGAAAACCATCACTTCTGCAGCGGCCATCCCAGCCTGGCCAGGGACCGGCCGAACCATCCGCTGCATTCCAGACCCGCAGTAACAGTGGTTCAGATGGTGCGCCCTGGCCGAAGAGACGAGGCTCGAATGTGAGTCAAGGTAGTGCCTTGTCTGGCAGACGAATGTCCATATCCCGGCCCTCGGACTTGCCACCAGCATTTGAGGAGGAAGGTCAGTCAGCTGCAGCGGTTGGGCACGATCTACGAGCATCTCCTGCGTCTTCACGTAACGATATGTCTCGACCACAGTTCTCACAGCAGACTACCTGGGACCAGCAGATGCCGAGTATGCCTCAGCAGGATCCCAACGCCGAGGATCCGGTCAAGGCGCAAGAACGTATTATGCGTGAGAAGCGGGAAGGAGCTCGTAAGCGTAGACAGGAGGAAGCGGAGCTGGAAGCGAAAGAGAAAGAAGAGCGGCTGAAGGCTAAATTGGCAGCTCTCGAGGGCTCTGGCAGGTCTCGCAAGGAGCGTGAAGCTGAAGCCGCTGCAAAGGCTGCAGCTCAGACAGCTGTTGTTGAGAAGCCAAAGGAGCCGGCCTCCAACTCTGCCACGCCCACAGAACCCGCCCAAGCATCTGCTGTCAGCCCAGCGCTCGAGGCTCGTCTACTGCCTGCACCACCTACCGAGGCTGCTAAACCAGTCATTGCTGAAGAGGCAATCCCTTCGCCAATACCAGCGAAAGTGACAGAGGTGCCTGCGCGTCCTGCCGCATCCATCGAGGAACCACAGCTTGATGCCTCTCGATCACATCTGTCACCTCGTGCTAATGCTAGAGCACCAATCAGCCAGCAGCCTTCGTCATACCGATCGCCAGCCACAGCATACTCGGCCTCAGCGGACCGCAAACAGCAGCCGTTTGGAAGAGGCTTGGGTGGCGACACGTTCTCATCTATTCCTGGTTGGAATACTTCGGCGTCGGCTGGTAATGTGTGGGGCTCGTCTGGAATCGGCAATGGCACTTTCGACAAGTCTAGCGCATATGCTCCAATTTCGATGTCACAACAGACCTCAACCTTACTGCCACCACCTGGCATGGGAAGGCCTTCGACCAGCAGTCGCATCTCGCCACCATCCAGAGGTCAAGAGGGACAACTACCCGGTCTCTCCTCAGCACAGCCGTCCGAGCAGCAACGTGGCTTCCCACCGCCAGGCATCGACTTACGACCGGATTCAACATGGGGCTCTTCTCGCCATAATGGCACTTCTCCAGCACCAGGACTTGGGAGACAGACACATTTGCCGGCCCCCATTGCGCCGCCTTCGCGTGCGCAGCTGCAGCAACAGCAACCTCATCAGCGTGATACAATAGCGACATGGCAAAATGCAGCACAAGGACTGCCACATCAGTACTCTGCTGACGCTGACGCCGCTGCCAGGAAGCCACAAGAACAAGCCGCGCCAACCGAAGCGAGCGGCACGATCAGAGAGACATTCAAGAAGACCTTGAGCGAGCAGGGTAGACTCGGTGGCCCGAGACGATTCGAGAGTGTCGAATACACGGTGCATGATGCACAAGGCTCACGGTCCGTATCAGCGCTCAGTCCTGCGCCACCGAGCACGCAGACACAGCCAAGCGGACCTATACCGACTTCATCACCATTGCAAACACCATACAAGCAGACTGGAGAGAACACAGTGCGCATCCCAGACGGTTCGCGGAACCCTGCTCATGGTGGCATGAACATGCAGCAGCAGCCACCAACCGCAACGACGAAGATGCACCAGCAGCCCCTGACGGCCTATCACGGGACTGTCAACTTCTTTGTTGGACCTCTGCCCGGTGTACTCGCCGGCCCATTGAAGGACACCACGCCGCCACCACCCGAGACGAACACTCATCCTGTTCATGGTGGCGACATGAGATACCCTCACGTCAAGCTCCCACCGCCTCCACCACGGGTCAAGCTGCCTCCAGTATCGATGCCTGGTTATCCGTCACCTCAGCAACAGCAGCAGACTACTGTACAGATCCCTGGCCGGCCTGTTCAGTGGGGTCCACCAGGTGTGGCACGACCTCTTGTGCAGAACAACGAATGGCAAGCCCGCTTCAACGGTTTGTTCAATCGCGCCAACGTTCAGACTGAAGTGCCGCCTTCGCCGCCTAAGACGCCGCCGAAATCAGCTGGATCCATCCCATCGCTTGCTATCACATCCTTCAGCAAGGCGGAGATGGATGAAGACCTCATGAAAATGTCAGCGACTGTATCTTTACCGATCTCACCACCGAAACGTAAGGCTACTACTACTCAAGGGTTCACGATCGACGATAGCAGCGATATTGCGTCTAAGCCTTCGATCGACCATATGTTCTACGAGGAGCTCAGCTTTGGCTCGAAGCCTATTGTTCGCCCGCCTCCTCGTGGAATGAGATATAATTCTGACGTTCTCCGTGCATCTCGCAACAATCACATGTTCGGTTCTAGGGTCGAACCACATTCCAGTGGCATCTTACCGTCTGATGGGCCGAAGAATGGTATCTATGTCAAGATCCCGGGCACAAAGACTGGCAATAAGCTTGTCAGGCGTGCAGCACCAGCTGAAGACAAGCAGATGCGGCCTCAGAGAGGTGGTCATGCTGGTAGGGCGGGCAGAGGTAGACCTCGGGGTCGGGGTGGTGCTGTCGCCTCACCTTCTGCCAAAGCGTAGGTTCTTTGGCAGTCGGAGGGGGAATGCGTAGACACTCACATTGTGGGAGTCACTTACGGGATCGTCAAGGAGCCACACTCCGGACTTAGCATCGGGTGGAAAGACGGCTCAGCTACGAAGTCCTTGTAGAGTAGCGCTTAATAACATCGTGCAAACCATTCATCACAATTCACATCGATATGAAAAATCATGGCCCAAGCGTTTCGGCTCGTCGACCGAGCTTCTCCACGCTCTCCTTCACGGCTACTCGCAGAAATCCAGCTATCACAGCATCCGAGTTATGATTGCAAAAAGTCATGCTGAAACGAAGGTCATCTTGTACCTGGCTCGCTTAGTTGCTTGATGGTGCGGCTGTTGAGGTGCGCAACCCCCGGGGAGATGCGGCTATGCGCTGCAGGATGATGGATCCGACCCAAATACCGGGTTTGCGATGTGGTGAGCTGTTCTGTCTGACGTGCTTGGCTCGCTACCAGGCTAATATACGTCCCCTTGTTCAGGAGAGATGGTGGAACCGTTCTTGTTGCCTTGAATGATGGCTTTATAGTCCTCCCATTGAGTGAGATCGACTTTCACCAGTGGGGTGGGCACGCAATATGTTCATGAAACGGCTCAGATGTGGGACGCGATTGGAAGTGGTAGGCTTCTAGAATGTCTCTGTTTGCAGAGTGGAGTACTGGTTGCACAGCGTGTCGAACACGAGCCACGGTTCCTTGCAGAGTGTACTGCGTTGAGCTCCATTCAGGTTGGACAGCACATACTCGCAGATGATATCCTCTGATTCAGAGAGCTGTCGAATGCGAATACTGATGAGCACGAGAAGGCGGCCGCGCCCCCAAGATAGTTACATGGTTGATTCTGCCACATCTACTGAACATCATTGACGACGATAGATATGACTGCGTCGTGTCCTTGTCCGAGCCGATTGTGCTACGAATAGCATTATCATCGATTGTGTCTTCAGCAAGAGCAACACGATCTCAACAACCACAAACGGCTCTGCAGGTGTCCAATCCAGGGAAAGGTCCACCAACCGGGATATGCTTGAGTATCGTGCATCGACATGCAGGTACAGCAGAGCAACAAAGATAGGCCCGGCCCGTGTTGACGTGCGAAGACGTTTACGAACAACAGTCGCCGTCAACGCCTTTCATGTTGATTGTTGAAGACTTCCCCAGATTATGGGCTGTTTCTGAGACATGGCAAGTGGGTCTCCAGCGAGTTTGGGCAGGTGCGAATGTCGACTCCATGCGATATGTCACAAAGCAGCAGTGTTGAAGTGAGTTGCAGAGAGGAGCAAGACTATCGATATCACGGCTTTCCAATGCCATTGTAAAGGTGGGGAAGGAGCAAAATCTGGACAGACAGGAGCGAGCAATGAGCTGTGAAGCACGACTGCCGTAAGGGCGTATGGTGGCGTTATGGTACTCGACCCTCGTGCAATGAGCATCGGATCGAGTGACGTTGGGCATATCCTCTCGGTTAGACTTGCAGCGGTGGAGAGGTACACAAATGACAATGAATGTCTTGGTGTAACCACGTCCTAGCGCATGACATTTGCAAGGCTTCGCAGATTTGAGGAGATCTCCTTCTTCATTCTTCTGATTACAACTTCAGCTGCGTTCTTGCCTTTGTGTAGTGTTTTTGCTGTCCATCGCTACTGACGGTATCGCTATTGACAACAATCACAGCAATACAGACTGCGATATCGCTTCCACGTGGTCTTGGTGTTCCCCATCGATCATCAGACCGACAGTCACGGCTTGACGACCGCTACTTGCCACGAAGCCCGGGCGACGACTACCTCACTTCAACTATCACACAAGGACGACTGGCCACCGAAGTCGGACTCGTACTCTCTGGCAGCAGGAGGCGACACTAGACTTGCCATACGGTACGTCTTCGGCATGAGTACCTTCCTTCCTCACAGCACACAGTCCGAGCTACCCTAGCCTCCGAATTCTGACCTGTCAACAAATCCTCACTTCACTAACTTTCTTCTTCATCACCACCAACATCAACCACCATTCCCTTCTTCACCACTCCTTTCATCCACTGACCAGCTTGGTAGCATACCATCCACTTCAGACACTCCTTTACGTGCTATCTGCATCGTCTTCGACCTCGCCGTCACCAGTCACACGACCATCATCACGACTCTACCGTCCTCAGCAGGCTTCATAGGTTGGGCTTCACTCCTCTGGCTTGTGTACCATCTTGCTTGTTCAGTGACTGATCTCTATGGCAGGCAAGGATTTGACACTTGGATCTCACTCTCATCACCACAAGCACAGCAACATACGAAGCAACGGTAAGCTTCATATCCATGCTTGACTGCATTAACGTCTCCGGACTCCCTTTGCCACCCTCGAAACATTACCCATATATGGCTTATCCACGCCGAGGACGCGGCAACCACCTTCAACTCGGCCCACGCACCAACACCTATGCAAGCATGCAGCTGACTTGGACAGAAATGGCTTCCATGGCAGACAACAAGAACAACAGCTACAACCGCCAGATGGGCAACTATGGCACGGGCAACATGTACGGCAACCAGTACGCCGCTCGCGGACAACCCTATGGAGGCATGCATCACAATCCGAACGCAGACCTCTCGACGCTCGCTCATGGTTTCCAAGGCATGAACCTGCAGAACCAGACCTTCGCCGCCCAGGCCAAGACTGCCATGACCACTTCTGGTGCTGCCAATTACAGCGGGATGCCTATCGCCAGCCTGCCAACCGCCTACTACGGTGGCGCCGCTCAATATGCCTACCCTAATGGCTACAACAACGCTGCCACTACTGCCCACACGCAGAGCATGTACACACCTCACGCAAGCCAATTCATTCCCCAGATGAACTACCAAGGCTATCAGCAGCAGCATGACAACAGCCCATTGTCCCAGAACTGGACGCCGACCACTGTTGCCACCGCGGAGGTTCCGACGCTTATCACTCCTCGCCGTGACTCGATCTCCTCCAACGAGAATGATCAGCCTGCCACTCCTTCGTACGCCAGCTACCCGAATTTTGCCCACGGTGCCGTCGCCATTAACCGCTCTCCCAGTGGTGTCTTCACTCACAGCACACCCTCGCCGACTTCTATGATGGGTCCTTACGGCATGTCCGTGGCCAAGCAGCCAGAGATGGGCGACGTCTCTCCACGCATCAAGCTCTTGCTCTCTCGTGAGCCTGCCATTCCACGTGCTATCCCGGCCCCATCGTCACCGCTCAAGCCTCTGGATCGTGCTCTGGAGAACCAACGTGGTGAGACCAACGTCTACATCCGTGGACTGCTGCCGGAGACCACCGACAAGATGCTTGAGACTTGGGGCACGCGTTTTGGTGATATCAAGAGCTCCAAGTCCATCATCGACATGAACAATGGGTTGTGCAAAGGGTGAGTTCCTGGATCATGTTGAATGCTCACCTTGACCTCGCTGATCTCCATCAGCTTTGGTTTCGTCAAGTATCACAACTACGAGGATGCTGAGAACTGCATTCGTGGGTTCCACTATCTTGGGTATGAAGTCAGCTTCGCTCGGGTAAGTTCGATCCACGACACATGACACGTCCATCGCTGACAGACCGAACAGGAGTCGTTCTACTCCAAGCTCAAGACCTTCGCCAACGATGATAACACCAACTTGTACGTCTCAAATCTGCCGAAGACCATGAACGAGCACGAGCTTGCCAACCTGTTTGCTCCACACAATGTCTGCTCTACACGAATCCTTCGCGACAAGAACGGCCATGGCCGCGGTGTTGGCTTCGCCCGCTTCGATTCTCGTGAGGTCTGCGAGGAGGTCATCAGGACTTTCAACAACCACGCGATCAAGGCCAACGACGAGGATCTTCAGATTCAAATCCGTTTCGCCGACACCCAGGAGCAGAAGTCACTCAAGCAGCAGACTCAGGCTGCTCGCCAATTCCGTTCTGCTGAGTACGAGTACGCCACCCAGGCATGGCGTCAAGGCCGCATCCCCTTTGCCGGGACCACCATCAACGATACTGCAGGCGCGAACGAGTTCGAGCAGTATTTGGGCACCACGGCCAGTGCTCCTGGTCAAGGCCAACGCTGGGCTCAGTCTGTCATCAAGCAAGGTCCTGGCCGCAGCCCACTCGGTGGAACTGCTCCATACACAGGCGACAATGGTGCTGCTGGGGAGGGTCTGAAGCCCACGCATGATGAAGCCGCCGACAGCAAGCCTGCTACTACCTCGGGTGGTGTCCCTGTCGTCAGCCCTGTCGACTCTGCCACTGCCAACGAGCAGGAGTAGATGCCATCGTCGTCATACCAATCCATCGCTACAGTCTTCACGCCGAAGATTCATGTACATCACCACGACGCCATGAATCGCCAACACGACTAATGATCCCGCATGAGAGCATGCATTACTGGCGCTCTTCTACCTTGCAAGAACACACATCGCTTGCTTGCTTCGTCACCAGACCTCAACATACCTCAGCACACATACATCACTTCCACATCGATCATGTGTACGCCGCCATATCTTGGTCGCCTCGAAAACTCACATATCTTCGGACCTGTATCTGCAGATGGCTATCTGTGTCTACGTCAATTTCTTATGCTTACAACTGCTGCTTCTTGCTCCTTGCTCTTCTTCTGCTGGCGGCACACCTTACTTGCCATGGCGATCGGACTCGACAAAAAGATCGTTCTTGGACTGGCTCTCGCGAGCTACTTTGTGCGTTTTGCATGCGTGGGCGGTTTGCTAATGGTAATGGTGCTGTCTCTCCACGACTCGTTGATGAAGGTCATATAAGAGGTCTTTTTGTTTGTTCATGGTATACAGGAGAATGATGTAGGGAGTGAAGATAGCACTATGTATTACCATTGCTGGTGAACTGTTGGTCTTGCCACTTCTCCTCAGTATCGCTTCGTGTGATCGTCAGCACTGCTCGTATTACGTTCGTCAGTCAGCGAGGTCCTGCATCGTGTGCTCACCAGTCGCCCTCATCACTGCTTGTTGGCAAGAGCTTAACCACGGCACGCTAATGTTGCGTCTTGCAGCAACCAATATACGACCGGACACGACAGACAGACACATCACGCATCACCACATGACCTGGTCCGTTATCGAATGGTGTTCAAGAGCCATGTATTCGACTCGTCACTCCACATGCGTGGCGGTCCAGAAGGAAGAACGCCATGTTATGCGGCTACGGCCAGACTTTGATTCGTCGGAAGTTGCACGCTATGAAACCCCTGATTTAAGTTTTCGTACGTGAAACGGCTGTTCCTGAAAGCGGTATAGTGCAAATGCAAGGCACAACGTCTTTCGCGGCCGCGGGTATTCTGGAAGCTTGCGTAGGCGGGTTTGGCAGCGTGCTCTGTTCTATCTTCTTTTACTAGGAGGAGTGCCATATGGCTTCCTACTATCATAATCACTGTCGCCTATCTGGATCTCATTGCTTGGGTATGAAGGCGTGAAACGGGTGATATGAAGGGAGGAGGATCTTGGCGCAAATGCCACCACGCAGCTGGTTATTAGGATGAGTATGTTTCGCCCGCCCTCGTGTGCCACGGAGATTGCGCCCACGTATGTCTGAGGAGGGTCCACCAACCACTTCGTGCTTAGCATTTGGGTGTAGGGCAGGTGGTGGAAAGTGTCTGATTATATAAGGAATTTGCGCTGACGATATCGTGCGTCTTCACAGCAGTTCCATCGCCGTCGACGGGACGAGCTATACCCATATCGGCCACCCATGCGCCGCTCAATACATCCTCATCAGCCATTGACCTGAGCTCTAGTCCTCCACCTGAGCCATTGCTCATTGCGCCGCCGACTGCACCTTTTGCGGCGGCTCGCGACCATGCTGGCACACGAGGGCGGGCGTTGAGTGCGACGAGCCCGCAGAATGGGTCGCCACGAGGTCTCACGCCGAGTGGGCAGGTGAGGTCGAAGCAGAGCTTGGAAGTGGAGAGGAAGCCATCGTTGTACGGACACCATAGGCAGACGTCTATCGTGCATGGGGTGCAGCATTCGCGGAATGCTAGCTTGCTGGCCTCCACGAATACGAGCCCGTTGAGCCCACACCGGGCTATGGCCAACGGTGCTGTGGAGAACGCGGCTGGCAATGGGGCACCAATACTGAAGAAGAGTCCATCGATGTCGACCTTGCATAGCAATGGACATGGTCTGCCGGGAAATCGCAGTTTCGAGAATGCGGCCACGCACAGGCGGCCAGAGCGCATGCACAGCGGTAGAGTGAAGCGCAGTCATGAGCACAACCGATCACAGTCACGTGTCCATGGCCAGCAAGAGCTGAAGACGGTCGGGGAGTACGCTCTGCACCACTTGTTTACCTCGTTCATTGCGGAGGCAGACGATCGCATTGAACGATGTATACCGCGCGCTGGTGAGCCTGAGCCACGAGTGGAGAATATATGTGGTCCGGGCGCCGACATCTCGTTCGATCAACTGATATCGTCTCTCGGACACATCAACCGCCACAAGCCCAATTCGTTGATCGACTCTGTGATACACTGGCGAAAGAAGAAGGCCGATATTGCTAACAACCTATATATCGAGCTTCAGAAGATGCGAGAAAGTGCCATGGTCACCCAACGTGGAGTAACGCAGGGTATTGCGCCTCCACCGATCAACCATGATGTTGTCATGAAGGAACAAGAGATGTCACTAGCTGACTCGCGGTCGACTATCTCGATCTATATATTGTGTCGCGTGCTCATCGAGATTATTGGCCAGACTACTCTCAAAGCGTTGAATGGGCCCGACGGCAACCTCAACACAGCTGGACGGCTTGAGGATGTTATATACGGGCAATTGCAGAGTGCTGATCCAGACTTGCTGCTCACCTCTCCTGTGATACACGCCAATTGGGAGATACGAGGTCAGCTTCTTGGTGTGATGAGTGGTGTGAGATTTGCGGAAGTTGCAGATCGGTTCGTCAAAGATCTGGAGAGGGCACAGCAACGACTGTCGATCAAAGGTCTGGCGGACCCGAGACTGGCCACCAAGACGGCATTACTTGTAAAGAGTATGCGATGGCTGAAGGTACACACAAAGCCGGACGATGCTTGGTCACATGCTTGTGACACTATGCGCACCCTCGCCAAATTCTTTGCCGAAGTGCATGGCCGGGTCATGAAGCATGCATATGCTGAGTTATTCGAGCGTCTCATGCTCCCGATTGCAGCCAATGCCACCTCCGAGCTCAACTCGCCGCGATGGCGGGAAGTCGTCAATATCATCCAGCCCAAGCTTACGCAAATGCTCTCGAAAGCAGACCATTGGCCATATATTTACCCTCTACAAGCGGTGCTGCTCTGTGTATCGCCGGGAGAACAGTTCGCAAACCAATGGTTGCCACTCATCACATCTGTGCAGCCGAAGGCGAGAGACAGAGCTGGTCGGTCCCACACGCTGAAAGCAGTTTGTCGGCTGGTATGGCGGTATCTGTACCGATTGTCAGACTCTCGAGCGTCCGTCGCTCGAAAACTGGACGAAATTGTCCGACTCGTCTTCCAGGGTGGCAAGCGTGTGCTCATCTCGACTGATCCTGTGATTGCCGATCCGCTCATACAGTTGATTCGCATCATCGGCTTCAGCTATCAAGACCTGTGCTTTCGAACCATCATCTTCCCATTGATGAATGCCGAGCTCTTCTCTGGACCCGAAAGAGATCTGCGAATCGAGAATCTGGACCCCGAGAAGACAGTCATAGCAATTCGAGCATTTCTAGCAGTCATGTCTGATCTGGAGAAGGGCGAAGCGCCACCTTTCCCGACCGGGTTCGAATGCGATGCGCTCACCGACCCATCCACGCGCTCGCCAATGACACATCGGCGGACTCGCTCGCAAGGCTTTGCAGTATCTGCGGGCCGTACAGAACTACTTTCACGACCTGTAATGATCGCAAACCTGGACGACATCACGAAAGAGTACTATAACAAATTTTGCCAGATATTGGGCAAGCTTACTATCATCTGCGATAACACTTTCGGCGGCCAAGCGGTATTGGAAGAGAAGTTTGCATCCCATACGCCCAAGACGCCTATGGCGGAAGCCTTCAATTTTACCAAGCGTGAGGACTTCCTCAATCCTACCGATCTCCGCCAGCACTACTACGATCTGCTGCATGTGGCCGTCGAAGCTCTACCACGCTGCTTGTCGCCGCATCTGCCAATAACGCCACTTGTCAATTTGCTTTGCACCGGTACTGCGCATGTTCAGTCACATATCGCAAACTCGTCTGCCCAGTCGCTCAAATCCATCGCCCGTCAGTCGCACGCACAACAAGTGACTATTGGCTTTGCGCGGTTCATCTTCAACTTCGATGACAGATATGCTACTGTGTCTGATGGCAGCCTGCTTGGTCCTGGTCACATCGAAAACACCTTGAAATTGTATGTTGAGCTCCTTCAAATCTGGATCGACGACATTCAGCAACGGACGCGTAAGGTCAATGCTGAGCCTGCTGTTGACGATGCAGACTCCACAACCCGGCAACTACCTCTAGACCTATCCGGAATCCTAGCACATGTAGATGAGGTCGAATCGCATGGATTGTTCTTTCTTTGCTCGCCCTCTCGAGTAGTCCGCGCAATTGCAGTGACGGTGCTCCGATTGATCAACAAATTCGATACAGCGTTGGGCAAGCCAACCAGAAGAATCATCAGCATTCTGGAAGGTAGCTCACAGCAAGTAATTGACGTCAACGATGAGCGGCTGTCGTTGGCAGAACGAAGTAGACTCCAGAAGGGCTTGCGGAAGAGTAATTTGAACAGCACACTCGTCGAGCTCTGCAGCAGTGAAATTGCGCACGACACCAATCTCTGGTTCAAGCTGTTTCCGAACCTCATACAATTGAGCTCACAGCTGAGCAGCGCCGTGACGCTCACGAGGGAGCTTGTCTGCCTCCGGCTATCCCACAGTCACAAAAATATCGCCAATCTCGCTGATGGTTTCCGCTCTACACCGTACAACGCCATAGAACAGGCATTTGCGCCTGTTAAGCCAGCAGGTAGAGTGGCGACTTCGGCTCCGGACGTCATTATAGAACAATGGAAGATCCATCTGGTATTCGCCTGCACGACATTGACGAATACTGGCGGCAGTGCAAATCATGCACCCGCACCTAGCCAGAGCTCCCAGCACACACGCAAGAGCTCGAAGTCTTCAGCCACTAGCCAGGACAAAATCGCCTCTGCCAATGAGCTCTTCTCGCGGGTAGTGCCTTTTTTGGCGGTTGCGAATGCTGCCATCCGTGGTGCGGCCGCTGTGGGACTCGGCGCCACGAATGTCGATATGTTCCCAACTCTGCTAGAGTGCTTGCAGCCATATGTTGCACAGTGTAGCAGTGAGGCTAAGGAGCGCCTGAATGCTCACCAGAGAAGTGTGAGCATTCCGCGACGAAGTCGCAGGACTGATTTCCTACGCACTGAGATCACGCATCTGCTTAGTCTCACCTGTCAACAGTTGCAGCTTGAGAAGCTACTCGGCCAAGAGTATCCGTTGACCTACATTGTCGACTACACAAAGCACCTGCGGCTTTTCCTGAGCGATACAGAGATTCAAGGGGAGCTCGAATTTCAGAAGCTGCGGACGCATTACTGCACGCTGGTCGAGACCTTCTACGAGACTGCACGGAAGGTCAAAGATTCTTCCCGCTGGGTCTCGTTCCAATCACGACAAGCTACCTTTGCACTGATGGAGAACTGGTGTGGCTTCTCACCGCACGAGCCGCAGCTACGTAGGCAAGAGGACCACCTCCGCAGGTCACTGCTCGATCGTGAGCAGGATCTGCGAAGTCGTGGCATCGTCAACTCCGCACTCGAGAAGGAGAAGAGCGAGCTGCAGCTTGCAGCACTGAGCGCCATGGCAGCTCTATGTGCTGGACCGCTAAACTTTGTCGCCGACAAGAAGATACTCATGCAGTTCGATGTGCGGCGAATGCTCACATGGGTGTCTTCAATCTTCGACTCGCCGAGTGATCGGATGCACGCGATCGGTCGCAGAGCGCTACAGAACCTCATCGTGCACAATGTTGACCAGCCCTATATCATGGCACAGACACTGCGCATGTGCTACATCGCGAGGACGCCCAAAGCTTTGACGAGCTATTTCGAGGTCGTCACAAAGGTGTTGACAGACCACGAGAACGTCACGACACCTTTCTGGAAGATCTTGTGCGCTGGACTCTACACACTCGGCAACGAGGACAGCAATATCCGCATGCGCTCGGAACGACTACTACGAACGCTTGAAGAGCGACAAGGCAAGACTTCAAAATTACAAGATCTCGACATCAGCGTCTCCGACAAGACGACCGCGGTGTACAAGCTTGCACAATTCGAGATCTCGAGGCGACTATCGAAGCAGCACCCTGAGCTCGCCTTTCACGTCTTTTCTGAGTTCTCAGCATACTTCAATGAGCTGCAGCCTGATCATCAGCGCAACATGGTGACGGGTATGCTGCCTTGGATTCAGACAATCGAGCTTCAGCTTGATCCGAATGGTGGACCCACAGCAACATCATATATGCTGTTGGTCAATCTCTTCGAGATCACGGCCAAGAGCAGCATTACTTTGCACAACGAGATTCAAGCTTTGTGGCAAGCTCTTGCTACAGGACCGTATGCTGGTAATGTACAACTTGTCCTCGACTTCATCATCATGATCTGCTTGGAGCGAAAGGAGCATAACTTCGTGCTATACGCCAAGCAGGTGGTTGTCTTCTTGTCCAAGACACCGGCTGGAGCGCGAGTAGTAGAGTATTTGCTTTTGCAGATCCATCCGAAGACAATGGTCGCCGAGAGGCGTGAGCCAGCACAGGCGCCCATCGACACAGCACAGCTACCGTATATTGCAGACCTTGCGCTGGTCTTGCCAGGAGGTGCCAAGCAAACGAGCATGTCGCTGGGTCAGCTCAGCATGATCCTGCTGGTCGATCTTGTGGTGTCGCCCATTCAGCTGCCAGCGGATAAGGTGCCTACACTCCTGCAGGTCGTACTTGTGCAATGGGATCAGTATGTCAGCATTGTCCAGGACCAAGCGAAAGAGATGCTGGTGCACTTGATCCACGAGCTGGTTATCTCCAAGATTGAGCCCGGCAGCACCGAGCCCGACAAGAAGTCGATCGAGGACTTCATCGACTCGGTCCGCACGCACGATCCCAAGATTATGTGGTCGTACACGGACAGTGAGATCCGTGCTGGCGAGGAGACCAGTCGTGCTGTGTCCGAGTCCATGGCTTATGTTGTGGACGAAGTCGTCAAGATCTTCTCAGTCACATACCCTGGCTTACGGGAGGAATGGGGTAAAGTCACTATGCAGTGGGCGACGTCTTGTGCTGTCCGACATATCGCCTGCCGCTCCTTCCAGGTCTTCAGATGCATATCCACCACCCTGGATCAGCAGATGCTTGCGGACATGTTGGCACGTCTGTCGAACACCATTGCGGACGACGAGAACCATGACTATTTAATCTTTTCGCTCGAGATCCTGACGACGCTGAGAAGCATCATTGATGCACTGACGCCGCTTGATTTGCTGGCCTACCCGCAGCTGTTCTGGACAACGTGCGCCTGCCTTGACACTATCTTCGAGCGCGAATTCCAGGAAGGCATGAGCATGCTCAGCTTACTGCTCACCAAGATGGATCTCAGTGATCCTGCTGTGCTCAAGATTCTCCGTGAAAGTCAGCCAGCAAAATGGGAAGGTGGCTTCCAGGGTATGCACTCGCTGTTGTTCAAGGGTGTACGCTCTAGCACATCTATGAAGCGTACATTGGACGTCATGGAGCAGCTCATCAAGCTCCCATCCGGCGACATCGTCGGCTTTGATGATCGACTACTCTTCACACTCCTGGCAAACCTGCCCCGGTATCTCCATTACTTCGACAGCCGTGATCCCGAGACAGACTGTCGTATTTCAGCGGAGACTCTTGGCTATGCAGCTGAGAGTCACGGCCATGCAGAACTTGCAGAAATACTTCTGACCTTCGCCAAAGGAGAGACAAGGTCACGCCGCGACTTCCTGTCTCGCTCTGTCAAGGCCATCAGAGCAGCCTACCTACCAGCCCTCGAATTCCACAGCCTAGTCTTCTTGCTTGGAATGGTCAATAACCAAGTAGATTGGTTCAAGGTCACCACTATGCAAGTGCTGTGCGTAATAGTGCCAGACGTGGATATGCGCAAGCCGGAATTTGCCAGCCAAGGGCCTGATCTCATCTCGCCTCTGCTTCGACTACTACAGACAGACCACTGTCAGCAAGCACTGGAGGTCCTTGACAACGTTATAGAAATGACAGGCACGCCACTAGACAACAAGCACTTACGCATGAGTATGGCAGGCTCGCACTCGAGCCGTGCTACTCGTAAGGAGTACGAGAGCACGAAAAGCTTGTACGGCATTCCAGAAGAATCTGGCTGGTCGATCCCGATGCCTGCCATACATTCGGCGCAGACAAGGAGCAACGTGCACGCTGTGTTCTACACCTTGGCATACACCGGTCTGGGCGGCGTGCAAGAAGAGAACGCCAGTCCCGATATCGAGTTCCATAGCGATGACTATGGCTACGACTCATACTTCACGGACCGCACTGGTACCATGATGTCGGATGACACACGTGCAGATGGCAACATGGGCGAATTAGCCGAGAAGCTCGAGGATCTCGACGACTTTTTCGACGAGCCCAAGCCTTCACCCGTCACAGATGGCTACTCACGCAACTCCACTGGCCACCCTGATGAGCGAGCAAGGCTGTATAACGAGCAGACTTTGCCAATATTGCAGTCGCTGAAACGCAACCCGAGCGTCACCTCTTTCCAAGGTGGCTTTGCCACGTCCGAAATGCGGTATCCGCCGGCCCAGAAACACACAGTCATGAACCCCGGAGCCTTCGCGCAGAAGATGGCACCTCCTGCACGACCTGGACTGCACAATAGATCCATCACCTCGCCCGCGATGCCGCTCAAACGCAGTCCTCCAAGACTGGCAAATGACATCATGTCCGGAGACGAGGCTGGTGACGAGCCCGAGCCCTTCTCCGACGATGACTCCTCCTCCTCCTTCGGCCGCTCGAACACAGGAGACGATCCGCCGCTGTCAGCACAGCACACGGTCAAGGCTTCCGGCCTGCGGGGCTGGAAACAAGGCCTCCGCCGCCTCACGTCGAGTGGCAATACGAGGCAGGATGTTCCCAGAAGTCTCATCAGTGCGACACAGAAGAGTCCGAAGGTACCTCGGGTGCCTCAAAGCTGGCTGCTTGATCCTATGAGCGGCGAGCCATGAGGACAAAAGCCTTTGTTGAAGCTTGTAACATATGTGCTGTTACAGCGAACGATCTGTTGTACACTAGGCGAGATACCCACAGACAGTACTTTGTTGCCTATCTACCATCGGACGGAAATGTCCTGAGCTGTCGGGTTTCGACCGTGTCGCGCTTTACACTTGGTGGGCCACAACTGCCACTGTCAAAGCCTTCCTCGAGTGCTCCTGCCCACCCACTGCCAGCATTCCTCCCGCTTGGGTCGTCCTCGGTATAGTCTTCTTGACGTATACATTGCGGGAGTCTTTCTACTCTGACATAATAAGGTGCTGGGGTCCAATGGTTAAGATCCTGCATATCCTCGCGCCTAACCATGCTGAGTCTGTTACGCAGGGATGCAGTGGTAAGGACAACGATGGCCGAGTCTTGTCTGAGATGGTTACTGACTCTCATATGTGTTTGTTTGTAGTTCGATTCCTGCCAGCGCCACAATCCCTCCCGTGACCATGTTTTTGTCTTGACACCCTTTTTCAGTGGCGATCACTGAGGTGCTCTGCATGTCAAACTGCTGGGCTTGTCAGATAGACATGACTAACATCATCCTGGACTGTATCACCGCAAGCATCTGGAGCTCTTCTTAGCAGGTAGTCTCGCGCTCTTTCCACGCTGGACCACGTTGATGCCAGAGCACAGACAGTAGGAGTGAAGTGGAATTGAGGAGCTAGTGGAGATCAAGGCGACAGCTGCGGCGAACTAGAAAAGGGTCGGGGTTTTAAACTGTCGAGGTTTTCCCCTTTGCGCACACGCTTCTCGAGATCTCTTTTCTACGTTTGCCGTCTCTGTTGACTTAGTTATAGTAGTCGATATCTCGTTACATGGTTGCAAAGACAGCGCATGCTGAGGTAGCCACACAGATGCGTAGAATCTTGTTTTGATATGGACAGCGCTTCAACAGATAAGTCAAGCCTAGATATACCACCATACTCCATCTATCAACAGACCCAACTGCACCCACCCAAACGCTTCATAAATGCTTCCTCCTCTCATCATAAGTCAATATCTAGCCTCCCCTCAAACAAATCAGCTCCACCTTCATCCCCCCCCCACAACTGCATCTACGACCAAACATCCTCCTGATACTGGTTCGAGCTCCTCATACTCTTCACAATCTCCTCGGCCTTCTGCTTCGGCACACCTCTCTGCTCAGAGATAATCGTGGCTAGGACCTCATTGACCTCGCGAGCCATGTTCGCCGCATCACCGCAGACGTAGAAGTACGCCTTCTCGAGCAGAAGTTTGTTGACTTCGACCGCTCGCTCCTTGAGTCGGTGTTGGACGTAGACTTTGCTGGCTCCGGAACGAGAAAAGGCCGTCACGAGTTCGAAGTTCTCGCCTAGGTCGGAGCCATATTGCTGTAAAACACTATTAGTAGGAGTCCTCATCAAAGTCTGTGATGTGTTGTAGACTCACCTTCCACTCATCCTCATACATGAAGTCATCCTCCGGCTTCCTGCACCCAAAGAACAAAATCGTCTTGCCCACGTTCTCGCCATCTTTAGCCTGTTGTGCGCGCTCCTGGACGAACCCACGGAAAGGCGCAACGCCAGTCCCAGGACCTATCATGATGACAGGTCGCGAAGGATCCGAAGGCAGCTTGAAATTTGAGTGGCGGACGTGGACTGGAACATGGATACCATCGTACTTGTTGCGAGGGCCGGTGATGGAGTAGTCTAGGCCGTGAGGATCTGGGTGTGGGTCACCGTGCTGCTTTTGCTTGAGAGCGAGGAGGTAGTTGGTTGTGACACCCTTGACAACGTTTGGTGCGTTCGGAGTCTCGAGCGATTCGACGACGGCGGTGATGGAGATCTTGTTCTTCTGTACCAGCGATGAGGACGAGATAGAGTAATAGCGTGGCTGGAGCTTGTGCAGAGATTCGATGAAGAGCGAGAATGGGATGTTGGTCCACTGCGCGCCGCCGCCCATGGCTTCCAAGAATTGTGCGATGTTGTAGTTCTTTGAAGCGACATGTTCCTGGAAGTAGTCCTTGTCATTGCCGGCCTTGGTGACCTCTGCCTTCACGGAGTCGTTAGGTGCAAATTGAGCGAGCGAAGCCACGAATTGACGGGATAGAGGAGCGCAGATCTCGAGCTGGTAGCGGACAACGGCGTCGTACGTGGTTGGCGATGGGAATGGGACCTTTGCGGTTGCATCGAGACCCTTGACTCCAATAACCATGTGTCGCTTTTCGCGAAGTCCAAGAGCGTTGACGAAGCGCTCCACTTCCTTGCCGGCGTTCGTTGGCCAGACAGCGATGTGGTCGCCAGTGGTATACGAGAGGTTGGAGCCGGAGATGTCGACTTCCATATGCAAGCAGTTTCGTGTCTCATCGTTGAACAATTCCTTCGATTCGGCAATGGGTGCGATATATGGGTTGTGTGCGTTGTATGGACCCTTCTGCTGGCCTTCCAAGTGGTTCTTGTTCGGCTCACCCAAGTAGACAGTATCTTCCTCCGCACTCATGTCCGGCTTCTCTGTGATTTCAAACACGGGCTCGTACACCGCTTCACGCTCCTCTAGATTCATAGAGGAAGCCAAAGCACTCCACATCGGCTCCTTCCAGGATAAAAAGTCCTCTTCCATAGTACCAGCGCCATCGTCTCCTTCACCAGCATCACCAATGCGCTTCGCACCAAGACGGTCCAGGGACTTGGAGACGTTGCGGACCATCGAGTTGTAGTGCTCGTATGTGTTGTTGCCGAGACCGAAAGCGACGTACTGAAGACTGCCGAGGGCCTTGTCCTCAGCACCGCCCTTCTCGCTGAAAGACACATCATCGCCGCTGATGAACTCGTAGAACTCAACAGCATTGTCCGTTGGCTCACCCTCGCCATAAGTAGCAAGCACGAAAAAGGCCACCTTGTCATCAGGAAACTGGTCAAGGTTCTCGAAGTCGTACTCCTCCAAATCCGCAGTCATGGTCTTTAAGCCGAACCTCGAACTGCCCTCCTTTGCCAATCGTGATGCATAGTCCTCGGCAGTACCAGTCTGCGAGCCATAGAAGATGACACAGTTCTTCCCGCTCTCATCCATCTTTTCGATGATATTTCTGCTCTTGCCTGCCTTGGCATGGCCGTTGGCCAAAGATGTGGCATACGGATCCTTCTGCACCGCCCAGTAGGTACCTTTCGTAAAGTAGGCAACCGTGCCCAGTAGCAGCGCTACCAGGACGACAATGTCCAGAGTATCCAGTTGCGCCATGATCGTTTACTGCTTCTCGGATTTGTATATCAAACAGGAACACTGCGAACGGTGGCCTTGAGTAGTAGCAGCATGAACGAGGGTTGAAACAAAAGTGCCGATCTGTAGAAGATTATGGAACGATCTTGGCCCCGAGTTTGTTACGCAACGAGCGCGGTTCCGATGCGGTCTGCAGGGTTGTCTTCCGATCGAAATAAAGTGGATACGAGAGCGAGCGGCAATGATGACAGCTGGATAGTCGAATCTCGTAAAACACGTGCACTTTAGTCCAACAGAAGCCAGTCCGGAATCTATGACCGCTGCTGTCGGATCGTTGAAGGAACGCTTGCCGATTATATTTACCTTCACGTGGCTCGCGCGATGGTGGGGTCGTGGCGAGGATGTGAGCGATCGGGACTTGTGGCTGCCGAAGTGCGATCGTGGGCGGAGAGCGGAGGAGAGACGGGGAGATAACAAGCGTTGATGGTTGAGGAAGTGTCAATAATAAATGAAGGACTGAGTGTTTGGACGGCACATGCTATACCAATTATGTCTAAGAATAATTTCGGCTTGCCCGTACCTTGCTGCTGACTGTCGTGGGAGCGCGTACGCGAGCTGACTGTTGTAATGAGTTGTGAGGCCTCCCGTCTTACCATCTGCTCCACCATTGACTTTGTAGGATCTAGGCATCATGTATTCCAGCCCTGTGCGGAAGCAGATCCGTGGTCTTTTCGTGTCTTCACGGGGTACCGGCGGGACAGTGGTGGCGAGCAGATGGTCAGCGCTTTCGCTTCACCATCATGCTAAACGCTTGAGTAGACCTTGGTTACTCACAACGCCGATGCTCTTTCACAAGTGAGAAGCGAATGACGCCAACTGCATGGCAGGTATGGAATCCGTTCTATCCCGTGTCTATCCGACGAACATGGTGATGTCTAAGCATCCGTCTTCTTGCTCTCGGCTTGCACAGTCTCCCTCTCCATACTCGAACCGCCACTGTGCTCACCCTCACCACTCCTCGCCAAAGCAATGCCATGGGTGACAGGGTGCTCCTTAGACCACATCTCCCAGTCCGCCTCACCAATCTGCTCATCAAAGAACTGATCGAGATCCAGTCCATGCATCTCCGCCTCCTCGCTGACCCTCAAATGCATCCCAGGAATATACTTCAGGATCATCAGCAAGATACAGCTGACCACGAAGCTGTAAGCAGAGATCGCGCAGATCTCAGCAAACTGCTTGCCAACTTGGATACCATTGCCGTTCCAGCCACCAGGCGCCAGCGTCACACCATCAAGAGCAGAGATGGCCGAATCAGCGAAGATGCCAGTGAGGAACGAGCCGATCATGCCGCCTATGCCATGGAGCTTGAAGACATAGAGACCTTCATCGATGCGTAGCCAGTCGTTGAGGTTTTGCAGACACGCGCAGACTACAGCAGTCAAGAAGCCAATCAGAGCAGCGGGCCAGCAGCTCACGTAGCCAGCTGCCGGAGTAATGCCGACCAGGCCAGCAATCGCTCCTTCACACGCCCCAACCACGCTGAACTTTCCACCCGTGCGGATGTAGTCGACTAGTACCCATCCTATTGCACCGGTCGAGGCAGCGGTGTTAGTATTGAAGGCAGCATACATAGCTCGGACGGAAGCATTTAGCGCACTCCCTCCATTGAAACCGAACCATCTGTAACATCGTTAGCATGTCCACGTCACACAGTATACAAGATCCCGACGTACCCAAACCAGATGAGCACTGTTCCAAGGAACACCAGAGTAGTATTATGCGGCTTCCCATGACTCTTCTCACCCTTCGTCTTTCTCTTCCCAAGCACGAAAGCATACGCCAGTGCCGCCCACCCTGAAGCAATATGCACTGGCCCTCCACCCGCGAAGTCGAGGGAGGGAAGATTGTAGAGCCAGCCATTGCTGTTCCACGTCCAGCACGCGATAGGGCAGTACACAATCGTCGCCCACCAGAAACCGAAGACAAGGGATGGGATAATCCTGCCGCGCTCAAAGGACCCGCCAATTACAATTTGCACAGTGCAGGCGCAGAACAGCATCTGATAGAGGCAGAATACGATTTCAGGAATCACTGCCGACCCGGGCGATGGCGCGGCTTGCACTTTCATCATCCCGAAGTTGGCCAGGTCGCCAATGAAAGCGTTGGCTGTCCGGCTGTAGGCGAGCGAGTAGCCCCAGAACATCCATTGGAAAGTTGTGACGGCCGCTACCATCAGGGATTGGAAGAGTAGGGAGAGCGAGCTCTTGCGGCGCGCTAGGCCGCCGTATAAAAGACCGATACCTGGGATGATGAGCCAGACGATGAACTGTGAGCAAGAATCAGCTCAATCCATGTTACTGAGCGCAAGTTTGACCTGTTCGTGTGACTTACTCCGCAGAAGATGAGGTAGGTATAGTGGAACTCTAGTCCGGCGTATTGTGCGTTCACGTCCACTGTAGCATTACGACTATTGCCACCCCAAGGATGGGCAGGGTCGAAGGTAGGCTGGGTTTGTTGTCAGTATATCATGATACCCGAGTGCGACAGAGCACACATACCGCTTCAGCCATTATTGCGCTGAATGGGGTTGTAAAGAGTGAGGGGGACAGAGTGCGAAGCGGCTTGAACGCGATCGTCTTCCACGATGATATCTATATCATCTCGTTCACTACCATAGCAGCGTCCGGGCATGCCCGCCCAACGACACCTCCGAGACACCCCGTCGCATACCTGCTTGAACCCAGTGCGCCGAAGTCGTCCGTACTATCGCACAAAGCTTAGCAAGATAACGACACCGTGACTACAGCAAGAAAGTCTCCATTTCATTTCCGCCAAGTTGTCCGGTGAGTCTTGGCCATGCGATTGTGGATCCAGAACCACATGGCATGCGCAGACTACTGGCTCCGAGACGGATATGCAAGCGAAGTGAGGTTGGAATCCACGGGATGTTTTGGCGAAATGAGGTTAGATGGCCGTCGGGTTGAGGACGAGGCTAAAAGCGCGGGCGTTGGAGATGAGAGAGATAAGGATGTCTTGGCGTTTGTTACGTGAGGTGATTGACATGCAGGGGAATCACGTGGGAAATTCTTGAAGTAGACAATGTTGGTAATGTTTTCTGGATCAGACGGCGTTTGACTGGCCGTACAAATACATGTGAAATCGTAAGCATCCGTCCACTACTCGACCCGCTTGACAAGCGCCACTGGGCCTACATAGTCGTGTCTTCCCTTGATGACATAGAAAGCCGTAGCTATGATCAGCGTTCCTCCCAGCATGACGCTGGACCAGTTCATCGTCGCCGCAGTCACAGGCGTCACCAATGGCCAGGTCAAGAAGAAGATGAGTGGTGTTAGAAACGCTAGTGCGAAGATATTGATCGCCAGGCCGAATCTTCCCAACGACCATCTTCGTGCTGGTAGCTTTGGTCCCCGTAGTCGTCGACTGACCAGACAAGCGATCGTGAGGTAGTACGACAGGAGAGTCGCCACCGCACCAAAGGACGTGATGGCGTTGAGCGCTACCGTCGAGCCGATATTGATCAATGAGATCAGAGCAGAGATGAGCAACGAAAGTGCCACCGCAGGCAGTGGGATGTTCCATCTCGAATCGACCTTCGCAAGCCACTTGTGTCCGGGTAGACCTCCATCGCGTGCAAACGACCAGATTTGTCGAGACGAAGCAGCGACTTCGGAGAATGCGCAGCCAGAGAGCATGATAACAACGATGGCAGTCAACACATTCGTCCCCGCATAGGAGTTTGTTGCACTGTAGAAGACAGCAATGAACGGGTAGCCAGTCGGTGTCGCGAGTACCGTGGCAGCATCGCCAATAGTGAAGCAGAGAGTTGTCACCATGATGAAAACTAAGGTGACGTTGAGGAGCACAGAGCCCATGATTGCCTTGGGAAGAGTAGAGGAAGCGTCCCGAGTCTCTTCCGACATGTCTGGCAAGAGGTAAGTATGGTCGATATGTGCGAGTGTACTTGGAGGAGTGAAACTTACGAACTGAGCAGTCGTAGCCGACCTTCCCAAAGTGTAAGCAGACAGTATCTTTCCGGGACTGATGTTTGACTTACGAGCACGGCCATAGGAGCTAGCAGACCGATCATAGAGGAGAGCCCAGTACTAGGCCACCCACCATCGTTCGAAAATTGGAGCAGTACCACATCAGCTGATCCGCGGGGCGCCATAGCCCACAGCGTGCCAATGATGGCGAAGAAGCCGGCGATGTGCAGGACTAGCAGGCCAGCCTCTGCTCCGAGTCAGCTCGCCCTAGAAAGTGACGTTTAGGGACCCGTACCAATGTAAGGCAACTGTGGTGACAAGAACGTAACAAAGCTCACGCAGAAGAACACCACTGCGATAGACAGCAGTGTGCCATGCCATCGTTGATAGACGTAGTCTGGTACATTAAGCACAATCAGGCCTTGAATGATCGTGCCAACGAGGAAGCAAACGCTGGCAAGATACATCTGCCAGCCGATCGCCGTCAGCCATCCTTAAGTATGGTCAGTAAACTGGTTGTGTGCGGCTTAGGTGCTTCGGCGTACCAGAGAAGTAGCTTAGGACTTTCTGGAACTTCGCTGGAGCACTACATGTAGTCAGTAAGGGAGTTGCGATCGTACTGGTGTGGTACGTACAATTCCGAGACCTGTAGAGCGGCAAGATGATCAGCAGCTGCGCCGTCAGGTTCGATGCCTCGAATAGCATACCCAGTGATACCTATCACGAGATTGAGCTATCAGTATGGATTGTCACCATTGCCCAAGAAAGTCTTACTGGCCACCAGCAGTAGGTGATCTGCAATGTCCTCGTCAGCATGATGCCTGATTTCGAGTTCCACAGGGACGACTCACATGCTTGCCATCTCAGCCAAACTAGCATAGACAGCCGTCTGCCCAATTGCGCAAGCAATGAAGCCCCAAAATAGCAGCGCCGTGCCTCCATCCGTGAGCACGAAAGCGAGATAAGTAAGGATACCTTCCCAGCTTGCGATGCATGTTGAGGCAAAGCCGAGCATAGTCAAGAAGTTGAAGTTGCGCTAGATCATGCCATCAGATAGCGGTTCCAAAGAGTGAAGGTATGGTAAATATGGCGTACGCGGAGGACCTGTTGTTTGCCAAGTATATCCATATCATGCTGGTCGGCAGAAGTGCCACGGTACTGCTGTGGTACATGGCCAGAGCGGGCGTCAAGGACTTCAGTTTCCATTAATGCAACTCCGCCATGATTTTTGTCGTTGTCTAGACCGTAGCTAGTCATTGTCAGTCTGCCGTCTGGCAATGCGTATGTCTTCAAAGGTGAGATGAACAAGATTGCCAGTCAGCGAGAGTTAGAGGAATGGGCCGATATGTACTCATAGTTTAGACACGAGGTATTGCAACAGCATTATTGCGCCGACCCCTCGGCACTCGCGTATCACGAGTCTATCATGCGGTGGTATAGATTTAGTGCTGCTAGGCATGCAGGGCAACGTGGTGGTAAGTTTGAGGTTGGGCGGGGACGAAGCCACCTTTGTCCTGATTAGGTGGTGTCATGCAGCCACGAGTCGATACACGTAAAGTCTATCTCACTGTTATTACTCTTTCTTGAAGAGCCACAACGACATCCGCGTTCTGAGCTGGTGATTCAGACCAGTCCCTGTCCTTTAACGATGCATCACCCGTAATGAAGAATAGCGTCTCAGCGACGCTGACGCGCACCCGAGGATAGGGATTCGTCCTCAGCATGCTAATCAATTTTTTCGCCACTTCGTCTCTGATGGTGGGGATTTCCGCGAGTCCTCTGTACACATTTACAGCAGCCAAGATCCTTGGGATATCGTTCGACTTGTGATGAGATTTCTGCACGTTGGAGAGCAGATTCCGCCATTTATAGCCGGATTCTAGAAGTCGCTGAGGTATCTGCATATCGAGTAAGAAGGCAAGGAGACTTAGTGCTGGGTGCGTATTGCCGCCGTTGATGCCCAGGTCCTTCAGTAATTCGGCGAACGTGGACATATGGGTTTGCAATGTGCTGTCGTCTACCGCCGTCAGGCTATCGCAAAGCGCAGCTCGAGATGCAACAAGCAATGGTTCAGCGCCCGTGCCCGCAGAGGACATAGCACCTTCCAGTACCGCAGTCTGCAGCGCCGAGAACCTTCGATGTTCGCGCAAGGGAGTGAGCGCATTGTAGAAGTATCCGTACTTCGACACGCTGGTCAAATCGTCCGCTCTGACGCCAAAGTCGAGATACAGTGCTCGGCACTGCGCAGCCTGCAAGCGTACACGATCTAGCTTTTCCATTGACAAACGAGCCACGTCCGCGTGTAGCAAGTCCCGGTGATCGAGGTGCTCAGTTTGTGTGATAAAGGGGAGCACATCAGAGGCACATACGATGGCCTGTGTTCTGACCAGCGATCCAACGTCTCCCCGCTCGTCGACTGTGTAGTCGTTCATGCTGACGTGTATGGCCCGCGTAATAGTCTGCATAATACTCCAGTCGACGTGAGCTTCTGCAGCACCTTCGATGGCCAGCTGTAATGCTTTGCTACCGACGACTCGCCAGTCCACACTTGGTGCATTCGCGAGGGCCGCTAGTGTGTCTATAGCTAGTGATGCCTTGTCGCCTTGCAAACCACGATCGTACATTGGTGCCAATGCGCCAAGCGCAATGGCACGTCCTGCGCCTCCTAGTGTGCTCTTCACAGAATCAGCGGCGACTTTCTTGCAAAGCATCTGTGCACTCATACAGCCTGGTGCGTGCTCACTTTGCCGTTCCAGAGCGAGTAGTGCTCGCGCCAGGTCCGGTATCTGATGCAAGATTGCGTCTTCTTGTCGAGCCAGTAACCGCTCCGTCATGGTTTCCAGGGTCTCGAAGGGTACAGAGAGCTGCGCACTCGATGACTTCCTGGCTAATGAGCACAATGCTGCAGTGAGCTGAGCAGCGGCAGCAGGCAGCTCTGACTGGATGGTTCGAGCAGAGAAGCTGGCAAGTAAGGTGGGAAGACGTTCGACCGTGGCCCACATCTGCTGATTGTCGACACGAGAATCGGCTCGTACAATGCCGGCCAACGCAAGCACAAGACCATGGAGAGTTTCCACGTCGCCATTGATGGTGTCATCATAGCGGATTATGATCTGCTTTGCGACAGCGTCCGGCGTGCTTGCGCTGGTCAGACGACTTAAGGCCGTAAGTGAGGCCGCCGCTGCATGTCTCGAAAGAACATCTGGTGACCCAATGCCACGCCAGCCCAGCACCCCACCAACAAGAGCCGTCCAGTACATGCCGTGCATCTCAGCTGCTCTGGCAGCAACATGCACCATACCCCTCTTCCGCAAGCCAACAGCCTGATAGTCCACGATCTGCACAAGTGATATACCCTCGTAGACTTTGTTTGGGTGACGTCCTGTAAGCTCCTGTAATGCTGCGGAAGACCCGCGCCTAATATTGCCTGCTGGGTCTAGGCAGGCTGATAAGATGAGCTGTATTGCGACAGCCTGGATGACCGAGGTTTGATCGATGCCAAAGTGCAGCTCTTTGGTAGATACTGCCAGTAGCTCATCTGTCGTATATCGCCTTGACAGAGACCAGATCCCGAAGTTGGCTGCATCACGTACATTCGTGCCAAGACTGCTGCCGGTAGCTGTCCGTTGCTCAAACTGCAATGCTGCAACAAGAGCATTGACAATTTCCGGCAACTGCTCGGGCGATGCAGTCCGCTTGAACAATGTATGGGCGAGTGCGAGAGTGAGACCATGCCACTTCAGCGGATCAGCAGCACGAAAGTCCAACTTGTCGGTATGGCGTGGTAAGTCTTGCTTGAACATATCCAGGATAGCCTGTATCACCTCGTGTCCCATACCAGAGTCAAGCTCCTGGATGATCAAGCTCATTGCTTTCGCGGCAGCATATCTTACGGGTGTATCTCGATCACCGAGCGAGCGGAGCAGATAGTCAATGACATCTTCTAGTACGCTAAAAGAGTCCAGAAAGCTCAGCAAAGCACCACCTGTGGATGCTGATCGCAAAGACAGCAAAACGATGTTGCGGAATATCTTGACAGTCAGCTTCTTCGCAACTGCGTTCGAGGCGAGTGCGCTGTCCTCGACATCAACCAACTGTAAGCATGTTTTGTACATATGAGGTATGAAGTCCGACAAGTCTGCGGATGTAGCTATGCCAGCCAGAAAGTGGAGAGGGCCTAGCCGATGATAGATAGTGACTTGCGTAGCCTGATCATCTTGCCGTAAAGAGCGGAGAGCATGCTCGACTAGAGGCTCTCCAAGCTGAAGCTTCTGCATATCAGGTCGAATAGCTAGACGCACAAGCATTGCTGCTGCCGCATCCTGAGCCTTTGTAGAGCTTGACAAGAAATGCATGCCGACCTGCAGACATCGTGTTGCTAATGGTGGAAGCTTCGCAAGAAGTTGTAAGCTTGGAGTTGACGCATTTGGCGAGTTCTTGTCAGAAATGGTTGCGAGATCAAATGGCGTGAGGAGCAGATGAGAGAGCCAGAGCATGAGGATATAGTCTACTTGCCAAGGGCTCTGCCTCTCGCTGTCCTGCTTGCTGGCCACATTGCGTTCGAGCGCGGCTAGTATTGACTCGAGGTAGCGTGCTTCGTTGTTGAAGAAGCCCACGATGACCTTGTAGCCTCGGACCTTACATAGGGTGTACAAGAGAGTGCACACTGCTTGATCCAATGGTAGATGCTGCTTCGGCCGAGGGCCGTCGTGGGTCTGCAAGTATGCAAGATGGGCAGCTACAATTGGAGGCACAATGTGCTTCAGTCGTGTATCAAGCAGCTGGGGTTCACCCTGGAATGGCTCAATCTGACTGGAGGCATCAGAATCGTGACATGAAGGGCTTGGCATGCTCTTCGTACCAACCTGATGGCATAACCAAGATCTCGCTGCCTGACTTGTGCATGAACAGGTTCATATTCGCCGCCAGCTGCGTTCGATCGCCACAAGATCTTCGGGAGGGCACCTTGCAGGTCAGACAGCAGACCTACGGAGGCCTGGATCAATTTCAGATCCTCATCGTCCTCGGTGCCTTCCATTGGAATTGTTTATAGAAAGTGGTGACGATGTCTGTGCTGATATAATGTCGAGATCAAAGTCGCTAGCCGCGGCGCGTGTGGCAGCCCACTTTACGCGTCCTCCAAGAACTTCTTCCGGTCAGCCTGACATCTGACAGACACACACGAGATGGCACAGGACTACACAGAATGGCTGGCGATCAATGTGCTGAACGAGCAGCAGCTCATCAGCTATCGTTCGTTGAGCCGAGCTTTGAAAGTGCACAGTAATCTGGCTAAGCAGATGCTCTACGATTTCCACCACAAGCAGAACGCAAAGAAGCCTGGATCTGTACATGCTACATACCTCATCACTGGCACGAAGATCAAAGAGGCACCGCTAGCGAATGGAGGGCATAGTCAGCACGATGGCGAGGACACAGTCATGCAGAGCAGTCCACCGTTGCCTAGCAGTTCTGCACCGCAAACCGAAGAACAACATCATGAGCCCATAGAGGTGCGGACGGTCATGCTGGCAAAGGAGGAGCATCTGGAAAATGCCAAAGCGAGTTTCGAGAGCGTCACAGGTATACACATCTACAGCCTGCAGGCCAAGGGTCTCAGCGATGTCCGGGTCCTGACCGAGTGCAATCGGAAAATCGCCGCAGACTATGCTTCGGAAGACCCTTTGGAGGCCTGGAAGCAGTATGGTACGATTCAGAACTCGAATGTGAAGCGAAGGACGCAGCGTCGACAGCCACCGCCACCGCCTGCCGCTACAGCCGGAGCTACTAAAGCAAAAGTTGCGACTACCACAAAACCAGCTCCCCTGGACAAGCAAGCCTCTAAAGAATCGCAAGAGTTAAAGCCAGCGTCGAGACCTACGCTTGCGAAAGCAACACCAGAGCCGAGCAAGAAGCCAGCTACGACGAAACGGCAGAATTCTGACATCTTCAAGTCCTTTGCCAAAGGCAAGACTAAGGAGCAGGAACAAGAATCCCAAAGCTCTGCTGAGCCATCGCCCAAGCCGCCTGCTGAAGACGAACCAATGGCCGACTTCTCAAACGAGGAGAGTGGAGAGGACGTAGACGAAGCTGATGCAATGGAGACGGTTGTGAAAGGCCCAGAAGGCAAGTCGAAGGAAAAACGCGAAGCAGATCTGCAGGCTATGATGGACCAGGAGGATGAGATGATGGACGATGCTGCTGAGGCTGCTCCAGAAGTCGATCAAGATGAGGGAGCTATTGACAAGCCTGACTCACAGACTGCAGAAGAGCCTAAAGAGACAGTGGAGGTCGAGAATGGACGAAGACGTGGCAGAAGACGAGTGATGAAGAAGAAGAATTTCAAGGACGAGGATGGGTATCTTGGTATGTTTGCATCTTATCTGGTTTCGTGAGACTGCACTGACATGCATGCAGTCACGAAGGAAGAAGCAGCCTGGGAGTCCTTCTCAGAAGACGAGCCACCGGCCAAGAAGATCAAGGGTCCGTCTGTCACGACTATGCAACAGCCTAAGCAAGTTGCTGGTGGCAAGAAAGCTGGCAAACCTGGTCAAGGCAATATCATGTCGTTCTTTGGGAAGAAGTGATGGCGGTCACCATCCAGACATGGCCACGTAACAGAAAGACATAACACATAGGAAACGGTAGGGCATCTGCGCAGACAGATCATTCTTGTCTCGGCTACACATACCAATGCTAGCGAACCGCAACTTCGATCCCGGATTGCCATCCCACGTGGGCCCACCCCGGACCGGCCACGTTCCGTTCGGACTTCACCAGTCATATTGGCCGCCCTACCATTCGCTATCTCGTACTTCACCTCTGCCACCCTTGAGCTTTATCATTCGACGTGCTACAGCAGCATCACAAGTTTGCTTCTTTCTTATAGCCACGAGACCACTCGTAACATAAGCCGCTCTCAGCCCTCGAGCTTTCATCCGACAATCTCACTTATATACATCGTACAGTATCCAAACCCTTGACTGACAGAGAATTGATGTCGGTTTCGGTACAATTCAGCCATATCAGATCCGGTCGTTCCTGGATCCCACTGAATTTTGATAATCATAATCCGCAATTATGGACAAGTCGCTTACAGCCACTCTTATTGTCGAAGGAGGAGAGAAGCCAACCTTGACTCGCAAACATACGTCTCTCCTAGAATCTTCCTATCGGAGCGACTCCGTGATGGATAAGAGGGACGTCGTTAATACGGTCCCTCAGGATCCCGGTGTTCGTGTCCTGGAGCTGCACGAATGGAAAGCAGCAGCTGCAAGTCTGGCTGAGTCTTTTGCGGAAGACCACTGCTGCTCTTATTTCGTGAATACACCAGACACAGCCCACTGGACGAAGGAGCAGAAGTGGGACCTCCATGTCCGCATGATGGAGTACATAGTCTATGCTCACCTGCTCAGAGGCCTCGCTGTGACGGCTGGGCCGAATTATGATTGTGTTGGCTTATGGTAGGTTGATATCTCGACTTTCTCGTTGTCTCGTGCTGTGACCTTCACTTTGTGCTCACTGCTTCTAGGATGCCACCAGGAGCCAACATGGACGATCTCCTCACTCTTCTCCGTTCTGGACTCTGGCGCCTCGTCTACCAACTCAGCCGTGAAGGGCGGACACGCTTCTACTCAGAGTTTCTGCCTTTGCTCCATGACACCAAGGCCCGCGTTTTAGGTCCCGAGAAGGACAACGAAAGCTGGTACCTCGTCTACATCGGCACTCTTCCCCCTGGTCGCGGGAAGGGCTATGCGAAGAAAGTCATCGAGTATATTACTGCCAAGGCGGATGTGGCGGGTCAGGTGTGTTATTTGGAGAGTAGTCATGAGGTTAACAGGATCATCTATGGGAAATTGGGGTTTCAGGTTCAAAAGATGATTTATTTGCAGCGGGCGGAGGAGGTTGTGGGTTTGGATATTATGGTTAGAGAGCCTGTGATGAAGAGGAATGAGGGTGATTGAAGAGGGAAAGCGGGCCATGCGTACCCGGTCGGCCATTGACAGGTGCTTTGTCGTTCGCGACACGGACATTAGTTTAGACACTCACTCGTTCTAGAGGTCTAGTGGTCGTGAAGGACTTTGAGTAGTCTTCAATATGCGCAATGAACATTACGTGCCTCTCATGTACCTGTATATGGTCTCTTCGGTACCAGCAAGACGTGCTGAACGTCAACTGGCTCTCCATCCCGTAATGAGTCTAACTCCACTGCGTCGCTATCATCCTCTGAGCTCGAGTCTTTGCGTAATGTAGCAGCATCGACAGTAGTGCCCTCGTCTTCGTCGGACGAATCTGCATCGTCTTTCTTGACGTGATAAGGCTCCGAAAGCCGACACTCAAATCCCTCCTCGATTCCGCATATGAGTAGGTATACGTACTCGACAACGACTGGAACCCAAATCGTGACAGAGATGACTTGACCAAGCGACCAAGAGCCATCACCAATGACTTTAAGGTACCCAGCATACTGAACCAGGAGGACTATATTGATGGTCACAATACCGACTTCCGCCAGGAACGGAACGATCTTGTAGCAAGCGTCCAAGATCAAGAGCAGTGCTTTGTGGATCTCGATATTCCGCATGTATGTCCATAGCCGGATGCTCGCGCTTCGTGTCCATGTGTAGATGGGTGTAATCACATTGCTTCGCACCACAGTGCCTGATTTGTTCAACCAAGCGGGACATTTCTTCAGTATCGCATCTGCCCAGTCTTCTGCTTTGTATGTCGATTCTCGGGAGAATCTGCGCATGTTTGTCTGTGCGTCATCTAATCTGTGCTTGGCGTCATTTGGGATCCGAGACCAGAGTTGATGCCAACCCTGCTCTAACCAGACTGTCGGTTTGTCATGGCGTAAGAGGAGTAGCTGTTTCACGTGAACGAACAGATTCACATGCTTCTCCTCCTTGTTATTGTCCCTTGCTTGTATATCTCGAAACTTCTTCGGCTGTTCGGCGAACAAGAAAGCCAAGACTATCAACGGGAAAATCAGACCTCGTACGTCTGCGTTGAATCCATCGATACTATACTGATCGCTCGGTAAACAGGTCCAAGTAGGATTGATCGGCTCGGTCGTGCCACACTCTGGTAGCAGATAGCCGTTGGTAAAGGTGATTTGATCCGCACGAGGTTGATGGACGTTCGTATATATCCATAAAGTCATCGAGACCGCTGTGCATGCTCCAGATATCCCAAGAAGGAACCATGATAGATTTCTTGTTTTGCGGAGTACCAGCAGATTTAGCACGATAGGGTACATGCCGGATAGCGCTACCGTTGATATGAAGCTGATGTTATTCCACAAATCCTGCCATGATGAGACGTTGAGATATGCCGCATCACCGACTGCCAAAATGGCGGCCAAAGATACTGCCAGTACGAAGAATGTTTGCGTTTCTGGAACTCCACAAGAGCGGCATTCAGAGCGACAGCTTGTCGGGATTGACGGATCTTTCTTTGGTGACGTTTGGCCTGGCTCCACCTTGTGCCTTTGCTGGTGTCGCTGGAATGATACAGAAAGCGAGCTGTAAAGTGCACGACTGCAATAGCAGCACTGTTCAAAGTTCCGATTACCCAGCCAGTAAGGAAGATCGTGATCTGGATCAAGTATGCGATGATCATTCCAACGCCTCCTAAGTCCTGATTGATCGTGCCAGCAACACCATCGCATAGTGATCCGTTGACCAGAAAGTGCGGGACAAATGTGCCTATCCTCCAATTATCGTTCAAGGTCAATGAAGTGATGTTGTCACAGTCCACACCGCCGGAAGCCTGGCAATACGCTTTGGTACAATTGTTAATGCCTGCCCACTGGTCTGGATCAGTCAAGTTGAGATCAGGCTTGGCCACGATTCCGTATCTATGCATCAGTCCGGAGGCATCATCCTCGTAGTATGTACTTTCTGAGGTCCGATTGTACTTCGGAACCATATCTGACAAGATGTTCTGCCCATATGCTTTGGCGACGAGCGGTAACACCAGACAATTGTATAGAGTGTACGTTGCGTTCTCGTCTGTCCAAAGCAGACTCGGATTCTCGTAACAGGCATGCGTACAGTTTTTGTTGCCGTTGCCGTTGATGATGCATCCTTGCTCGAGCAGTATCATCGAAACAGAACCTGTGGTAGAATCCGAGTCCGTGGTGTTGAGATAAACGCCAGAAGGGGAGTTGTACATGACCAAATCCTGCCGTATGGTGGTAATCGCTTGAGCGAACCCGAACCACTCCGTCGGAAGTCCACTATTGGTGATACTACTGTTGTAGATACTTATCGACATTGTATGAGTGTCTTCGCGATGACGGAGGAGACCAGGTCAGAAAGAACTCCCTCTTCGGGTGGCAGTCAGGATCGCCATCAGTACGCTAAGAAGGCGGCCAATGTTATCACGACATTGTGATCATGATATATTTGTAACGGGCTAGGAGCTGGATCATGGATGAGGCGAGTTATCGACGTCACATGAGGTATATCTTGGCCCCCAAATAAGTCGAGCTTAATTTGTTGATGCAGTGGCGCGCGGTTCGGAAACAATAACATCAGACAATAGCACTCGATACATTTATCCCGACAAGATTATCACACCCTAGCTTTATGCAGCTTCACCTTCACCCCATCAGCAGGCCACATCGCTAGACCAATGCCCTTTCTCATCTTCGTCATTTGCTCTCGGTCTACAGCCCTCACTGCATCATACCGTTGAAGCAGTCTGACTAGGACATAGCTCGTCTCGACAAGCGCGAACTGCTGTCCTAAGCAGATGCGAGGTCCACCACTCTACGAAATATGTGTTAGTTATGAGCGACCTCACTCATGCGAGCCGAGGACTTACGAAAGGTACGAATTGCCAAGAAAAAGGGAGCCTTCGCTCCCATCGTCCAGGGTTGAACAGCAAAGCATCTTTGCCCCACAGGTCCTTCCGTCGATGCATCGTGTATATCGAGTAAAGCACATTAGTGTTCTTGCGAACAGCTATAGGAGATCTCCTGCTGGCCCCTCCACCTACCGGCAAGGTCGTGTCTCTGACTGCCACCCTAGCGTTGAAAGGCACGACTGGGTTGAGTCTGAGGACTTCGTTGATGAAATGCTGAAGTGGTCGACAAGCTTTCAGCTGGGCGAACGTCATCGACTCATCGCCATTTGCACCGAATTCGGACAGTACGACCTGACGCAGTCTCACAAATACTTCCTGGTGAAGTGTAAGTCGGATCATGCACCATGCCAGTAGGGCCGCTGTCGTGTCTCGGCCTACAGGGCGTAGTCAGCATGGGTATTACAGAACGAGTATGACTTCCCAACTGACCTGCGAACAGTATAGCTAGGGTCTGGTTGCGCAACTCGGTACGATCTCGGGTCTGGTTTGCCAATGCAGACAGAAGGTAGTCCTTTTTGCTCTTCTGCTCGACGTCAACGCTCTTCAGCGCAATCCCCACGAAATGCTCTGTGAATTTGTGCACGTTGGCAACTGCTTGACGGAACTTTCGCTCGTTGCCTAGCCAGGATAAAGCTTGCAATTGTATACGCTGCTGGAGGCCCCCACCGAGAACTTCGAAGTCTTCTGCAAACTGCTCTGAACTAGCTTCTGAAGCCAAAGCCTCGACCTTCGAAAAGTCCATCGAACTTCCAGACTTGGCTTTCTGAACAAAAGCCTGCTGGGAATTTACCGACTCTCCAAACAGGAAGTCAGTAGCAGTGTCTAGGGTGAGATTATAGAAGAGCGGTAGTAGGTCAGTATCTCCACAGATTCCGCCGTCCGTTGCTCCTTCTCCTTCGATTGCTTCGAAAAGGCTTTGCACCGCTTTCTCGGTCGCTTGCAGATCGTTGATATTATCTCGTGAGAACTGTGGTCTAAAAAGCTCCCGAGAGTGCTTCCAGAACGGCCCTGCGAACAGAATTAGAAACCAGAAAGACCGTATCCTTCGATAAGGTTGGCAACTACCATCGCTCGAGAAGATGCTTCTCCCAAGCACAGGCGCTAATGCTTTGTAACGGCGCTCGCCCGTTTCGAAGTCTCCAAACTGTGTGGCGAGCAAGGCCTGGATGTTGGCAGGATCCATTGTGCCCACGATCGACGTCCCTGTGAAGCCCATGCTGGCGAATGTGGGTCTGCGCTCGAAGTCGGGGCTCAAGATGTCGTCCATGATGTCCTCACCTGATCGACGACAATTGATGAGTCGCCAGAGACGCTGCAGTACTGCGAAGTACGACGTGTAGAGATTGGGAGCATCCTCGCAATTGTGCTCCAGAGCAAATCGACGAAAACGTCGTTCTCGAAGCTGATATGCTGTAGCTCGGTATACGATGAACAGAGCTATTACTGTGGCCACCAAGAGTAGTGCCATGCTGACTGCGTTATTCTCACACTCTTCATTGACATATTTCTGGGCATCGCTGCGACCTTATGCTTTCCCACGCGGATACTGATATGAAATGCAAGCACCACTCCGTTGTATGTTCATCGTACATGACATCATCTCAATTAATGTGGCTTGTCGACCAGACCAATCTCAGCTGCTCTTGAGTCCACACACGGCACACTTCAGCGCTTCGCAATTGAATTCGATTTTGAGCACTTTCAGCGAGTCCAAGAAGCTGACGGCTCTGTTCCGCTTGACTGCAGTCGAATGCGCAAGACGCCTCCTATATCCTTGTCCTATGCGACGTCACTCCGGGAACGGTCCCTTGAGTTCTCTCCGTGCCCGTCCAGACGACAACAGAGCGACATGCTCAGTTGAAAATGGAAGATTGATAGTAACGCCAACCTATGGACATCTACCGATACTCAGGAAGTCATGATTAAGCTCGTTATGAGGGTCACTCGTGACTCTCTAACTCAATCTATGACACCACTCAAGCTCGTCCAAGCTACCGAAGCCGGTCTCAGTAACAACGGACATGCGCTGTCCATCATTTTGCATAGCTGCAAGCAATTTGCAATCTGCGTCAGTGGACTATGCTTCAGAGTGGCTGGTGTGCCTAAGGTCATCCTCTCTGCTACAACATGGCCGACGGCCAGGGCGGCGAGCCAGCTTGACTACCATACAGCAAGAGAGCTCAGAGCATGATTTCATCCAGCTTCAATCAGACCTAGATCTGGTGTAAGCAATCGAATTGTCGCTACGACAGGAATTAACAGACCTGCTCGATATACTTGACTCCTACGAATACGCCATCAGCGTCCTCATGATCCTCGCATTCTCCAAATTCTTCGTTGTCGTCGTCTAGACACGTTAGGCAGGTGACAACAACATCAGTATAAATGTTACCGATCAAGCTCGGAAGCTCACGTTTGGCCAGGGCAACGAGATGGTCTTTGATGGACGCCGGTCTTCTCACAAGCTTGCGTCTCAGCTCATCCAAGCTGAGACCCAGAGCTTGGCCAGCACCCTGCACTTGGCCATCCTCACCATGCAGCACGAAAGAGGACCACAATCCGACTTCTAGCAGACAGATACCAAGGCTGTAGATATCGTGCTGCATGTTATGTGCTTCCTGTGGATAGGGACCTTGCCTCTCCGGGTGACGATAGATGTTCTTCTCCCAGGCATCGTCCCCTCGTAGGTATGTCTTGCCATCTGCACTTCGGATCTGCTCGAAGCCAATGAGATAGCAGCTTCCTAGGTCCGACTGCGGGGAGTCAAGGAAATTTAGGAAGTTCTCGGGCCGTACGTTTTTGTGCACGAAGTCCAGTGTATGGACGTAATTGATTGAGGTGGCGAGCCTTTTCGCTAAGCTGATCCGATCGCTCAACGAATGGGCCGCAGGTGCTTGCAAAAGCTGTCGCAGCGTGCATGGTATAGCTGGCGAAGGTGTGAGGAAAACTATAGCAAAGGACGTCAGTCTGCTGCTGTTGGCCAACATCTTGACAACTCCATGGCATTTGAGCACTCCCGAATGCTGACGGATCTACGCATCGCAGCTTCGAAGCGAGTCGCCGAATGTCTTGCGCAGTCAGGCCGACGTATTGATCTTGCGGACAAGGTATTGTGTCAACGACGAAAGTTGAGCTGGTACCAGAGCTGTGTCGCCTTAGCCATACTGCAGCAGAATATGGTATGTTTATCGGAGAGATGCCATTCATGCCGTCTGAAGGGAGGAAGATGCCGGATTCGTCGGCCGTAGCTGGTAATATTGCTGACCGGATCTGCTTGGCAGTCTTCAGAAGTCTCCGGACTTCTGGTCTCGTTGCATCAACTTCAATCTTGAGGCATTGATCAATCGACGGATCTGCTATCCGCATGATCAGATACCACGAAGGATCGAACATTCTCTGCCACTTCGCAAGGTCGTAGATGAGGCCGTCAAGGAATGGTTTGACGGAGACATATTTCCAGCGTTTGACTCGTAATCTCTGGTCAAGCTCGAGATCGGCTCGTCTTCGCTTCTTGACCAGTCGCTGGATCTTGTGCGACGCTGCTTTGAGTTTGCCATCGAGAATTGTGATGATCGCAACTTGATGTCGTTGATGTTCCTCACCAAGGCTTGCATGGACACGCCTAGTGAATCCGAGTTGCATAGCGCTTCTTCTCCAATAACTCTGTACCTCGACTATTCGTTCTTCGATCTGCGCTCTGGCATGCTTCAAGTCCTGGCATAGTTCGACTAGCCCATGGCCGTGCCTTCCTGATTAGTACAGACAGCATCGCAACGAGATGAACTATTTCGCGACGTACTTCAGTGCCGCAGACACGACGGCTACGACAGCCCCAATCTCCATTTTCCTGCAGCTTGTCTTTGGCTTTCAGTCTAAAACCGTCGTAGAGTGACGATGTTACCTAGGGTCTTCTGTCATTCCCCCGATTGAGCCCTTTATTGCATGAACACCTCATACGTCTGGTCATCAATGATGGAGATTGTACAACTTGCTAAGCTCGACGCCGAAGGCTCCTCAGACGGGCTTACCACACGGCACAAGTATCGGACCACCGCAAGATGGGGCTATGGTAGCGTAGAAAAGGAGGCCGTATGGAAGAGGGTGTCGGCCGTCGGCAGTGGTGGCTTTGGCACGGTGTACAAGGAAGAAGCTGTCTCGGGTGAGATGGTTGGAGCATTAAGAGCCGTCAAGAGTATATACAAGCCTTTGCTCCGACGTGCAGGTACGATCAACTATGAGAGAGAATTGGAGGCAGTGGCGAGGTTTTCTCAGCAGAAGGCTAATCATCTGTGTCTGCCCTTGTTGAGCCGGCCTGTCCGTTGATATCGACTTGTGAGCAGTATGAGCTTTTCTTCGTGCTGTCATATGGATGGTATGACACCCCGAACGCCGTCCTGGTTGTCATGGAGTTTGTGCAGCACGGGGATCTTCAGCAACACCTGAGCTCGCCTTTACCGGAGCCAGAGGTACAGCAGATCATTAGACAGACTCTACAAGGATTGGAATACATGCATGACCTGGGGTATGCTCACAGAGATCTCAAGCCGCAGGTGAGTGGAAGCATGTGCGAGGTGTCACGCCCGTAGATGTGCCAGAACTAATGGCCTGTTGCAGAACATGCTCGTCTTCAGCAAGGCACCGCATTGGCGGATTAAACTTGCTGATTTTGGCTTGAATAAACGAATTGTGGAAAATGCCACGTTCTTGCGAACCGATGCTGGCACACCAGCCTTCAAAGCGCCAGAGATCTTTGGCTTTGCCTGCGACGACGAAGGGCTCATCCGATGACGAGGCGAAGGACTCGTATACAAATGCCATTGATATTTGGGCGGTGGGAATCATTTCGTTCCTGCTGCTTACCGGTCAGACACCATTCCCAGCACTACAGCCCAGCATACTGAGACGATATACTCTTGGCAAACAGCATTACCAGTCTGGCTCTTGTCGGAACGCGGTGTCGACGATCAAGGCTGTGCGCTGATCAAGAGCTTCTTGGCAGCCAGAGCCGACCTTCGACCCAGTAGTCCCACAAGTTTGGAACATATCTGGCTTGGAGGTGCTACCGTTTCTCACAATGAGTCCAGCTTGACAGCGTCACAAGACCCGGGTCCTGTACAAATAAGCGAAAGCAGCCCTTACGGATCCCCGAGCTTGAACCCAGTCAAATCGACTGACTCCGCTCGGTGGATTATACAAGACAGCGCGTATGGTATCTCGAGGAGTATTCCAGCAATGACAGCCACTCCTGCCTTGCCGAGTCTTTGCGGTCGCGTTCAAAACACGGCGACGACATTGGAGACACGACCGATGAACCCAGTATCACCCGGCATAATGAGCTCGAAGGAGTGAAATCGGAGCAATGGCAAGCTAAATTGGATCAAGCCATCTCGGGAACGCCAACGGAGATCGATCAGCAAGAGCTGCGGCATCAAAAGGTGATGCGTGACCGCGCCCAAATAATGGCTAAACAGCTGTACAAGCAACAGAATCGAACGCCGCCACTGGAGCTCGGGCCCGCTGAAGCTGCCAGTATTCTTAAAGGCGCAAGACTGTCGACAAGCTCGCAGATCAAAATTGAGCAGGAGGCGCAGCGCTGTGTCGACATCGAAGAGGCGGCACGCAAGCTTGTCCAAGAGCACCAGGCTGCGGTGGCCAAGGACTTGGAGCGGGCTAAGTACCGCGAAGACTTCAAGGCCCAATACCAGCAGCAGAAGGCAGAGAGGGAAAGTGGTAGTGCTCGGCAATCGATACCTAGTCGCGGGCATAGATTGACGGATAAACGGGCCGGGCTCAACGACTTGCTCGACGACTCGGATGACGATGAGCAGACTGCCAGGATTTGACGTCAAATGGCCCAGCTTGACACTGGCCTCGCAAGCGTGGACAAGAGAAAGCGCAGCGAAGATCGTGCAAAGCTCATGGCTACCGCTGAAAAGAATGTCAGCCACCGTATGCGCCAGATGGACTTGAAGGGCCATTCAAAGGATATCGAACAGAAAGATCGCACGCGCGAAGTGAAGAGGAAAGCTGTCGCTGGCATAGAACCTGACTTGTGGCGGCGGGAGATGAGCTCATTAGGCTCGCCGGCGGACGCGCTTGCGACACAGAGAGACGAAGAGCCTAAGCTGTGGGCGCCGGAATCCATCAAAAGCGCCGTCCTCTCCACGGATATGGAAAGCAGAGAAGTCAATCTCGCGCAGCCATTTGCAGATAGCGACAGGCGCGTTCGCTCTCCGAACCTACATGGTCAATCTACCAGTACACTCGACACGTTCAAGAAAGCACCAGGGCGTATGACGGGAAGATAGTGGCAGGGCACCACAGTCAAAGAAAACGCGCAAGGCTTCAACCGTCAGTATCGGTTGCACAGATCCCCGCAGATAATGTCTCGGATCTAGCGCTCCAAGGTATGTCGTCGAGCCAAGGCGTAGTGATCCCCGTGCCATGCTTCTGGAGAGACGAGACACACCACATCATCTGGACGTAGGTCTAAAATACTATCAGCTTGGACACAAGACATGCAACTTTGATGTGCATCCTTGAGACGGCCAGCTTGGCCAACAGCGTGTCTCGTTCAAGCGCTGGACGGCAGTCGGTTCAAGTAGCTGAGTGGTCCATCCCTACGTAGAGGCCCAAAGCCTCGCATGAAGACTTGGTTCACAGGCTCATTCCAGATAGTAGAGCAGCGAGACATTGTCGAGCATCCGCAAATGGAAATCGTCGATTTAGGAGACGTACTTGTAGCAGAGAAGAGTAGAGATATATTCACACAATGGCTAAATATTTTAGCAGATACAAAGTACAAGCGCTCGAATGCCGGAGGTGCTCGGTTCTGCTCTTCGTGGCAGGGGCCGGCAATGCTATTGGTACAGCGTATAAATGGGTTTCATCTACTCGTTGATCTTCGCGAGGATTCTGCAGTTATTGTAAGCAAAGGTGTCCTAAACGTGATGGTCATGTAGGAAACGTACTCTGAATCCCTAAACAGCGAGAACTCGTCCTCGCCAACTTTGATCGGGCTGCCACCATACTGCATTTCTGATTAGCCCCCGATATCTGACACTCATCGTTTCCCATTGTTGCCGGAAGCCTACCTGGGGAATCAACACTTTATCACCAGCCGAGACACCCATCGGTATCCTGTTGCCCTTCTTGTCCATCAGACCGGGTCCTACTGCCAACACATTTGCCTGGTTGAGCTCCTTTTGTGCGCTTTCGGGGAGGAAGATGCCGCCGGCTGTCTTTGCCTCAGCCTTTACTCGTTGTACGAGGACGCGGTCGAGGAGAGGTGCGAGCGATTTGATGGATCGGAGGGCGGTCGTCTGTAAAGTGTTAGTACTTGGTAGGCAGTTATTCCAGATTGCGAGGTGGCGCGGACATACCATCTTGGCTATGGTGTGAGTAATTGGTGGAAGAAGATGTCGGTAATGCGCTAGGATGGTTGGACGATTGTTCGATGTGTTGTAATGGTTGCGAAGGGGAATGAACAATAATGTTTCGGAAGCTCACACGAGCTTGGCCGGTGCTCACCCCCGAAGTCGAGGCCGAGAAATATCTATTGTCTGGTCTGCCGAGAGGTACAGTCCGCCGTAGTCCAATCCAGACGACAACCTCCTCGCCTCTATCCCGATGACCATGTTTTTGACACCGGCATGCGTCGCAAATACCGGCGATACCTTCGATACAACCCATGAGGTGAATCGAGAGGACACTACGACCGGTGGAGTAGGTGAAACGACGCGTAACAACTACTTCCGCGAAGTTCAGTTCAGTCCCGATGGCACGAGTATAGTGACCTTGAACAATGACCAGACCCTTCGCACCTTCATCTTACCTCCAGATCTACTCGATGACGGCGAGAAGCCTCGTCAACTACAAGAGTATGCTGCATTTAGGTCACCAGCAAGCATACATAGCTACGCCATACATCCAGCCTACGCCCTTCAGGACCCCTCAACCACCTTAGTCCTTCACGCAGCCACAGATCAGCCATTATCCTTACGTAATTCTCTGGACTACTCGACGATAGCGGCAAAGTACAACAATACATGTCCAACGACGGAAGCTCATCTCAGCTCCTATAGTCTTGCTTTCACTAAGGATGGTGGCCACTTTATCTCAGGTGGCAACAACCAGCTCTCTCTCTTCGACTGCTACCAAGGTTACTCCGATGCTATCACTACCCATCGTCTGGCTCCCGGTCGCAAAGCACGGAAGCTCTTTGGCGATCAACCTCTGGGTTGCAAAGGCATCGTCTCCGCTCTTGCTATCAGCGATGAAGGCATGCTTGCTGCTGGCACGACCGAGCGGGAGATCGGACTGTTCCCAGACGAAGGGCGTAGTGGATGCCTAGTCTCGTTCTCGCTTGCAAACAAAGCAATACTTCCAGAGGACGAGCCAGTGCTGCAAGGCACGGGCATCACGCATTTGAAGTGGAGTCCTGATAGCAATTACCTGGTCATTGCTGAACGTCAGAGCGACTGCATACATGTCTATGACATTCGCAACACAATCAGACGAGTCTCGTGGTTGAGTGGAAGGAAAGCTAAGACGACTCAGAGGCTGGGCTTCGATGTTATGCCTACGAGTGATGGGTTCGAGGTCTGGGCTGGTGGTAATGACGGTGCAGTGAGGATGTGGAAGGACGCTGGGAAGGTAGAGGGTGAGCAAGTACCCGATGCTGAGATGAAGATGCATGGTGGTGAGTTGACCTTGTATTTCGTCGCAAGATTGAGCTAACTTTGTCCTAGACGCTGTGGCGAGTACTGTGTGGCATCCCAATGGCGCTGTCCTTGCGACTTGCTCTGGGCAGAGACGCCAGGGTTCGAATTTGAGATACGACAGTGATGTTGAAGCAGAAACGGCGAGCTCGACCACAAATCTGGACAGGATGCAGCGTGACAACTCACTCGCCATCTGGACCGTCGCATCTACTACCTGAGAAGCGAAAGACCTTGAGCCCGGACGAAATATGTTCTGGTGATACAGACATCATGCAAATCATGCACTATCTTACATACACCTCCGTGCTCACATCATCGTTCATTCCTCATGACTCGTCAATCATCAGCCATCTCCATTTGGGCTTAGGTGAAGTCGTTCCGGCCAAAACCACCGAAAGGGTTCGGTGGCCGTCCATCTATACCTGCACCTCTTGGATGACCACCCATGCCAGGACCTGTAGGATCGTACCGGCTACCTGGGGGAGCACGAGGATCATATCCGCCTCCTCCTTGTCCTTGCCCCGCGAACAAAGGATCGTCAAAGGTTGGATGCATACCGCCTCCTCCAATTCCACCAAGACCTGGACTCACGCCTCCTCGGAACGGATCGTTTGGACCTAGGCCTTGAGGGTAGAGATCGCGCTCGCCTATTCGTGGATAGCCGCCCGGCATCATGCCACCGCGTGGACCTCGTTGTGTCTCGAATTCGTCTTCGAAGCCTGGCATGGGTTCTGGCATTGGTCGTCTGGGTCCACGAGGGTGTGCGAGAGGGTCGTGTAATGGAAAGGGTCGAGCAGGTTGGGGATCGCGGTCTTCACGCAGTGGGTCATAGCCTGGTCCTCGTGGCTCGCGACCAGGCGCTGGGTCCCTTCCGCTCCTCCCACCTTCCTGCTGAGTCGCCGTAGAACTCGAACTAGCGCTTTCCTCATAACCCTCCTTATGCAGACTAGGCACCAATTTCTGAATCAACTTCAACCTCATCAAATTCGCGAGATCGCTCAGCCGTCCCCTCGAAATGAAGACATTATACACTCTCCTTGCCGCCTCCTCCTTATCCCCATTGCCATCCTCGCCCATCGGCGTTGCTGGCAAATTCCCATCAGAAATGTAGTCCTGCACCCGCACATCGAAAGAATTGGTCCGATCATCACCCATGCCCATCCCCATGACTACGGCTTTATTGCCCATACTATTCACCTTCACCAGGAATTCCATACTACTTTGCCTATGCGCATACCGAAATGCATAGCTTCCTTTACTCGCATTCCAGTCTGCTGGTAATGGTGCGGGCTCCGCTTGATCGGAGGGTGGTGTGGTTTCGAGCTTGTGGTCTTCGCCTAAGCCTACGAGCCGGAATCCTACGGCTGTCATTGCGGCGTGGGAGGCGAGGGCTATGGCTTCGTAGGGATTCTTTATGCTTGAGGTTGTGGTGGGTAGGCTGGAGACGATGAGCGTGCTGAGGTTGTGGGCGGAGAGGACGTTTTCGGGGCTGTTGTTGGCCATCTTGTTGGTGGGAAATTCGAGATCGTGTTGTTGTTGTCGCAGATGAGAGATCTCGTTGTTGAGCTTGGATGTGTGTTTGGCATAGGACAGGTTGTGTTTTAATGTCGACTAGTCAAGTAGCTTCAGGCACTCAACTCTTGACGTAGACGGACGTGGTGGGGTCAAACCACGTGCAGGCTCGGCCACGGGAGGATCTAGCCGGCCACTAGCGCCGATGGAAGTGACCGCCAATCCAGATCTCCTGTTTCCAGAGACCTGCATGAATCTGACATTTGCACAATCCTTCGTCAAACGCCACGAGGGCCATCCATGCGTCAATACAAGAGTGCGGCGGTGCCGCACATCGACGGTAACGATACCTTTGATGTTGTTGTTCGTAAGCTGAGTGTGTATGTCTACGAGCAGCCAAGACCATAGCAAGGACAACAGCTAAGTACAATGGTAGGTACTTCGTTGCGCAGATTGACGGTCCGGAATCCTGGGAGACCCTACGAAAGACGGTCTATTCAACCCAACTCAAGCCTCTCGTCACATATCTTGTGGACGACACGCATCACCCTGCTCTTGTCAATGCACTGCTGGCTTTGAAATGGCACTTCGCAGCAGTAGAGGCGAGCGATGACCGTGGTATCAGTCAGACGAGAAGCCTTGCTTGCGAGATGGTGGCGTGGCGGTTCGTAACCCACCTGGCCGAGAATGAGGCAATAGAGGCATTGTGCTTTGACTTGCCTCCCATATGTAAAAGCGCCACGAAGTCAGCCCAACCACATGGCTCGATAGAAGCTGATTCCGAAACTACACCTCTGCTTGACGGAGGATCCTTTGAACCAGACCAGTCTTTTGCAGATGAAGATCCAGAAGGTGCAAGTCCGGACGAGGCCACCTCCTTCGCGGCGGTATTCGCGGGACTAAACGCACTTGAAATAGCGGCAGTCTCAGAGGCGAAGAAATTCCTGAGTCAGAAGTCCATACAACGCATTATCGATGGCATCTGGAACGGCGAGATCATCTTCTGGGAGACGCTTGGCCAGCACTCGACCAAGCAAGTCAAAGTGTACAACGAGCGGCGATCAGATCCCTTCTGCCGGCTGCGAGTACCACTGTACTCGAAGGTGTTTGAGGTGATGTTCTTTGCAGCGTTCCTGGCTTTTTACTACACCGTACTTGTGGAGAAGAGTATCGGCCATGTCACTACTGCCGAGATCCTGCTGTACATCTGGTTGGCAAGTTTCGCCTACAACGAGCTGGCTGAGTTCTGCGATGCTGGTAGTGCTCTTTACTCGGCAGATTTCTGGGCGCTGTGGGATCTTGGCATCATCACTACTGGTCTGGCATTCCTGGTTGTACGCACGATCGGTCTAATACAGAATGATGGCAAGCTTATCGACATAGCTTTTGACATCTTGTCCGTGGAAGCGCTGTTCCTGGTCCCACGGATCTGCTCACTGCTTAGTCTTCATCCATACTTTGGGACACTCCTACCGTGCTTGAAGGAGATGACGAAGGATTTTGTCAAATTCCTTGGCCTGGTGGCTATTCTCTATGTTGGCTTCAACACTACCTTCGCTTTCTTGGCTCGTGGCGTGTACAGTGTCTCAAAGATGAATTGGATTCTGATCAAGGTTTTTTTTGGATCATCGTACCTCGGTTTTGTGAGTTGCGCAGGAAGTCTTCGGGGTAACTTTTGCTAATGTACCGAGCATAGGATGTTGCTGAAGAGATCTCACCAATTCTTGGGCCACCATTGATGTTCATCTTTGTCTGCATGACGAACATCTTGCTCATTACTTCTTTAATCTCACTGTTATCGAACAGCTTGACCAAGGTGCGGCATCTTCCGCAGTTTCAGTAGGCGCCGGCGTTTTGAGCTAAGCTCCTACACAGGTTATCGAGCATGCGCGTGAAGAGTATCTTTCGGTGTAAGTGTATTGATCTTTGTGGGGGCGAAGTACAGCAGAAGGTGGCTGATCACTGACGAGGCGCAGGTATGCTGTCTACGTTCTTGAAGCATCGTCGTCCAATCGTCTTACCTATTTTCTACCTCCATTGGTAAGTACAGTCAACTACCTACGTGCGTTCGTGCGATTACTGCTCAACGTAGCGTGGTCATGCGAGTGAAGCCTGGCCTATTTGCAGCCAGGTGCAGAGCTCGAGGCCGGGTTGTGTCGCATGGCCACGATGCGATATTGTAGCTAATTGACGCTTGCAGAACCTACTGCCTTTGCTAATTCGACCACTACGGCTATTTGTGTCTGCAGAAGATCTGCGGACAATTCGCATAATCTTGCTAAAAGCTACACACTGGCCATTTGTCGGCTTAATACTCGGTTGGGAGAAAGGACGGCAGTACTGGAAAACGCGGGACGGTAGACCCACGGCAAGTTCACGCGACCAGATGAGGAGACTAATCACCCGCCGTCCACTGTCCGGCATGTCGTTCCAACAGCCGATGCTGTCTGCAGGGACAGAACACCCTCCATTGGAAGAACAAGCGCGAAGCGAACGGTTGCCCGCTGAAATAGCCGTTGATCAGATTGCGGCGCCATCTGAAACGATCGAGGCGTTGACGACGGCGGTGCAAGATCTCAGACGACAAGTTGAGGCATTGACATCGTTGGTTGCAGAACGAAGCTCGTGAGCTCAGTCTGTCGAAGTTCGATATCTGCCAATACAGTCAACTTCGCGAAGACACCCATGACCACGCAAAACATCGCTTGGAGAGTGTCGCAGGGTGTATGGCATAGTGTAGTGTGTAGTGCCCTCGTGCATGCACCTACAGGGTTCACCAGTCCCCGCATAAACTCTACTAACCGCAGGCACATCTCCGCGCTTAAGCTACTGCACGGGCGAAGCAGCACGGACGACCTAGGGTCCCAGACTGCCGGTACATCACCCTTTGCGGCCAACTTTACCCTCCCGCTCAGTGGCTGCAAGGCGGCAGATGGTGCGCGGAGATGGCCATCAGGCTGCGATGTCTGCATAGTCCTCGCTGTCTTTCCGTCTCTGCCTGAGCTAACTCCAACGCTATCCAGGCCATGCTTCATCAAGACTGGCCAGCAGGTCTCTGTGGAGTTGGCGACGTGCATGCAACTTATGACCGTGCCTGTTCGATCGAGACATGGGTGTCTACTGCTATTGCGATATGTGGGCAGTGCGCAGCGCGCCGCAGCGTCCGTGGCCTCTCTTTCATCGCGCTGGCGATGCCAATACCACATCTTCGTATACCATCTTTGAAATGCTTTCCTCTCGACCACACTCTTCTTTGCCGCCGTTTCAGGGCAGCAGCAGTGCCTCATACAGTGTCGACAGAGCCTCAATGTAGACCTCACTTCGGCTTCGTGATCTTTCGCCCTATATAATTTGTGCGACCAGCTTCATATCGACAACATTACATCGCATTCACTCGTTCGAAGGAACCCACTAATCATGACTTACTTTCCAACACCTGATCCGGAGAAACTACGGCAGCTGATGAACAGCCAAGGCTACTATCACAACCTTCAGACTCCACCAAACTCGACAGGACCTCCAAGACAGGATGACATATCAACGGCAAGCACACCGCAGTCGACGTTACAGCAGACGAGCCCTCCAGCAACATGGCCGGAGCAGTACCAGTATGGTCTTGGGCTATTGCAGATGCCACCGAACGATGGTATGACGAATGGAATGCTGCGAAATGATGTTTCGTCGTTACCACCAGTCAGTGTACCTTACGACTGGTCAGAAGACCTCACCACGCCTCAGCCTAGCTACTTTGCCTTTGACGGCCTGCCTCGTCAGTACACGTCGTACCCCCAGAACAACACCGCTGTGCTCGCGCCCGCTACTACTTTGTGGAACCCTCCACAAGAGGTTGCTGGACCTTTATTACCACTTCAGGATGCTTCGCCCAGTATGTCCAACTACAGCTTAAGCTCCCAGCTTTCCGAGATTTCCTCGCCATACGCACATTCCGAAGGTTGCATAAGAACTTCAGGTTCGCCTGTCATGAAGGTCGAACACCCATGGGAGAGCACAACATCTTTGGAGCCCGCACAACCCGCAGCTGTGTCAGCTTACTGCCCGGTACAGCCTGCGCCCGAGAAGGTCACACCGCGTCCGCTAGCACCACAGCGCTTTCACAGCCTACTCCTACCACGACAGAACGTCAATGAGGACATCGAGAGCGAGGAGGAGGATGTCAAACCAGTACTTCGACGGCCTGCGTACCGTAAAGCTTATTCCACAGAAGATGTCCGATCAGAAAGCCAGCATCACAGAGCGAAGAGGGAATACACGACAGCCGATAATGCGAATTGTTCTTGCGACATGTGTGGTAAGCTGTTCCAGCGGAACTACAATCTCAAAGCACACTTGGAAACGCATGATCCTGGTCGGCCGCAGCCACATCACTGTCATTATCCTCATTGCGGAAAGCGATTCGTGAGGAGGACTGATCTGTTGAGACACGAGCAAAGTGTGAGTTAATGACACCATTATGCTAGAGGTCTGAGCTGACCAGATGCAGGTACATCTCAAGACACGCAACCACCAGTGTCCGCTGTGTCAAAGCTGCTTTGCGCGTAAGGATACGCTGAGAAGGTTCGTTCTATGGTGACTTTCCATCGTTCACTGTACTAACATCTTCACAGACATATCGACGATGGCTGCCCGAGACGACCCGAGGTCAAACGGCGGATGAGCAAAGCGAGACGTACTTCCACCACTTCGAGTCCAAGACGACCTTCATCATCCACGTCTCAAGATATCAAGCCAGTGCTTCTACCACTCCGACCAGACACTCGACGATACTCATGATACAGAGCGTGGATGCATTTAGCGATAAGTCGGCGTTCTTAACGAAGGATTCGGCTCGGCTGGCATACTTATTGTGCGGCGGAGTGCATGTTGGCGAGACGGATAATTCGAGGGCTGGGTGGTTGAGATTCTGGTGGTGAGCACGATAGAGAGGAGAATGTCACACGACAACCACTTTCACAATGACCGTCCTATCCGTGGAAGAGCGATTACTGCTCGCCCGAAACGGACTTGTGATCTGCCCGTAATTCCTCAACCCTCGCTATCGAAGCTTGGGTCCCTGTCGGCGATCATGAAGCCACATCAACGAAAGTAGCTCGGGCAAGTGGATCTGTATCTCACCAGGTTGCACCAACAAGGAAATATAGTGGTTAGTAGGCACCTGCCAACCATGTCGGCCCCAGAGCAGACCAGTTGGACGGCGGTACACTCGAATAGGCTATCGAAGAGTACCTCTGTATCTACTCGTGGTCATGGCCACGAGCTCGCCATACCCACCACGATTCCCGCCTCAGCAAATGACGATAAAGCCTGTTGCGACCGACCAATGACGATGCATATTAGAAATGTTGGTTTTTGATGGTCTCCAGCCATTCACGAGCTTCTGTCGAGCGCCCGAAGCGCCAGATGTGCAGCTTTGATGTACATCACCTGCGAGATGCAGGCCCTGACCTGCACCTTCGAGCCAGGATTTTAGATTATCTAAGCGCCTGGCGATGAAGTATATATTGCACTAGGCAACCTTAGTAGGGGCCTATAGTTGGGTAACAGGCACTAAGCCTAACCATCCGTCGGCCCCCATGGCGACTTCGTGAAGGCAGATGCGAAGGACGACGTAGGTGGTTGCGTATGTTTGCGCAACAGTCTAACGTGGGATTAATGCGGCTTGGAAGGCGCCGCATTAGTGTCTATCCTCGGGGCGCCACGGGTCGTTCGAGCCGGGAACGGTTTGACGCATTCACGCCACATCGTATGGCATGTGCCGTTGGCAGGCACGCTTTCCGTTGTATTTTTCGTTCGTGTGCATGACATGTGCGTCACGGTACTTGTGGGATGAGTGCCAAGGCCGATGAGGGAGATACACTGCATGTTCATGGGCATCGACAAGCTGCAAGATGCAGTGTAAGCGAGAGGAGGAAACAAGCAATACTTCCGATGCACTATCGTTCTAGCGTGAACCTTGGCTAAGAAACACATGGCAGGCATGGCCTATAGACATCGTGGTGATCGACGTTCGATTAATCGGACAGCCTACCAGACGAGATTGGTTTGCAAGATTCACTGAGCAGTTTTGGTGATCCGAGTAGTTTGAGTGATCTGAGGAAGTGGAGGAATCTGAGTGGCTCGAGTGCTCTGAACAGCCTGAGTGATGTGGAAAGAATTGAGAGATCTGAGGAATCTGAGCAACCAATACTTCCTGCTAGGGAATTGCGGTGAACCTCCCCAATCTCACGATCACGTACGTTGAGACGGAACGTAGACTGCTAGCATCTGCCTGGGCCAACGCTAGGAAAGGACGACTTCTCACGAGATCTTAGTGGAGATGATTTCAATGCTCTCGTTCTTACGGTGCTTGGAGAGCTCTCGTCGTTAGATCGAGAGACGAAGCGGAAGGTAGCATGATACTGTGATTGCGCCCACGACGCAGACCGCACCCAACGTGCAAATTCTGCTCCTACCACGACGCGAGCAGGCAGACCTACTAGTCATGGCGAGATCACCACTCCTGCAATGCGTCTCCCTGTCGCTGTCATCTCGCTCGATCGAGAGCCCTCATCATACCTAATGACCGCAATACCAAATGTCTCACTTCGTGTGTACGAACCGCATCTATTCAGCCGTACCAAAAAATCTCCTCCTACCCCTCTCATCTGGTCGAATTTCCACTTTGCACAAATCCCACACTGCGCACGAATCATGAACATGGCTGTCTCGAAGCTGTGACAGGAGCTTCGAATCCTTCGAACCAGATATCCGGGTCGAAAGGAATCAAACATACTGCTGAAGACGGATTGACGGCTCCTTCAGCCGCCTCTGACGGATGGAAGCAAGCAAGGTCGCGTGGAAGCTCCAGAAGTAAGGCCTCGCCTAAGACTGAAGTCTATGTGTGTGTAATACTTGGTGGCTGCTATGATGGTGAAATCGTGCTTGATATGGTAATGGACTAATTGTACAACTACGAATTCAGATGCTAGCATCCGCGTCTAAATAGATGCCGCACAAATTCATGCTAATGATCCCCATGTAATCGCACTACCGTCCCGCCCTCTCCCCCATCGTAAGCGAAAAAGGAGGGATCAACATGCCACTTGACAAGTGGCCCGCATGGGGTTTGCATCAGGTGATAAGAGGTTCGCTTCCGCATCGCACGGCATCGCTTCGCAGGATCGACGGGACAGGATCATCGTCACTCGTGCTCTGCAACAACGCGAACCTCTCCCGCGACCACCGCCTTCCACCATGGATGGCGCATCTACGGCGCCTGCCAATCGGGATTCTGTAAGAAAGAAAACAAGTGTCAGCGAAGAGTTCCTCTAGACCAAACATCACCGCATCCCAGCCCAATGGGGATTCAAAAGCAGGATGGGACATCATCAAGGCAAACTCACCTTCCTCAACACACAAACCCCCTCCATCACACTCCCCAAAAACACCCACTCCTCATCCTCCAACTCCGCCCGCTCCCCTGCCCCCAAAAGCACAGGCGTACTCTGCGTCTGCCACCCCGTAATCGTCTTCGGCCTCCCCGCCTGCCCAACAACATCGACCGCCTGGCCGACCCTCACATTAACTTGAACAGGCTTCATCTCCTCATCCACTGTGATCAGAAACCTGGGGTGGAGGGCCGTAACGAGGTAGTAGAGGAGATAGTGGTCCTTTTCTAGGATGAAGGTTTTGGGATTGGAGATTAAGCTGAGAGCGACGGTGAGGAGGCCCGAGCAGGCGACGCGGGAGAGGACTGTGCGGTCTGTGTGGAGCGGGGAGAGAGTTAAGGTGCCTTTTCCTGCGTGGAGCAGGCCTTGCGCTATGCGCACCATGAAGAGGGCGTTGGGGTCGCGGTGGTAGTACGATGCTAGTTGCCTTAACAACTGCGCCAGACGAGCATTGTTCGTTCCGGCTCCCACCAAGCCCATGGCGAAGATGGAGTTGATGGCCACGTCGATGTCGTTGTCGTGGGAGTAGCGGGATAGAGTGTCGTAGATTTTCATCTGGGGGTTTGAGGGCGATAAGAGGCCCATGGCCAGCGGGACGGCTTTGCGGATGTTGGGCTCGCTGTAGTGCATTAGGTGGGCGAATTGGCGGAGGACCATTTCTTGGCCGACGTCTTCGCCGAGGGCGACGAGGGAGAGGCCGATGACGGCATAGGATTGGACGAGTTGTTCGCCTTCGATGTCGCGGGGAGGGTCATTGTCTTCTTTCTTGGCGTCTTTGTCGGAGCTGGGCTTGTCGTCGTCATCTTGGTCTTCGATGTGCTCATTGCAGATGTGGAGCATTTGTTGCAATTTCAGGACAGCGCCCGTGCCGGTCCAGGCGCAGATGTCGGCTAGGACTGAGGCGGGCTTGGACATGGGGTGGTCGATCGCCTTCAGTGTCTCGAGGACGACATCGACTTCTTCTTGTTGGCCGAAGTAGAGGAGTGCGAGGCCGAGGGTCATGAAACGCGTCCATTTGTCCTTGAGCTGGTTCGTGCGGTCTTCGTCCAGAAGAGTTTGGATGATGGCTTCGGACACGTCGGATTGTGCTGAGCCGACGAAGACCAAGCCGAGTGAGAGGGCGGCCATGGCTGAGATTTGCATGTCGAGGGAGGAGTCTGCGACGAGAGGGAGAAGCACGTCAAGCAAGTCCTCCTTGTTCGAGCCAGCATACGCCAGACCCAGACCCATGATCGATGCAACTTTGACAGCCACGGACTTGTCCTCGAAGTCACCCAACAAAGCCATTGTAGGATCACTCTCCAGTCTTACACCACTGTTCATGATACCCATCGCCAGCGCCGCGCCAGCCTTGACCTGTTCCTCGGGCACGTATGTGTACGCATCAATCTTGTCCAAGTTCATCTCCACATCCCACAGCATCAAGAGACCTGCTGAGGCAGCGGTGGAAATCATGCCCTCCTCTTTCACCTTCCAAATCCAGCTGTTCTTCACACCGCCCTCGACCAGCATGAGCTTGTCATCGCCGAAACCCGCGTTGACGAATCCATTGACAAAGGCAGAGGCGAGGTTGTGACGTGCTGAATCGGTGTTTGTGAGGCCAGCCGTTCGTGAGGATTCGAGGTGGGATTTGTAGATGTCTTTTGGAACTTTCGGGTCAAGGACGTTCAGCTCTTTGGCGAGGGTCTTGAAGTATTCGGGGAGCTTGGTGTTGTTCATGCATTCCTGCAGCTCGACATCTTCTGCATCCTCACCCTCGAGATCGATAGCTAGGCGTTGACGACCGATGATCAGACCGAGCTGGCGCTTGAGAGCCTTGTCGTCGGTCGCAGCGAAGTCGGCTTTGATGAGATCCATGTCGTTTAGTCGTATAGCGAGTGAGATGGCTTGAGCGAGCTGCTTGTGTTTGACATAGATATCGTGTGCTGTCCGCACGAAGCGGTCGTTGTCCGGGTATGTGAGGAGTGGCACCATGGAGACCATGTAAAGGCAGACTCGTCGATAGGTGTCCTCGTCCACATACTTCTTGATCTCCTCGATCATCTCCATCTCTGACAGGATGTCCACGGCATCTGCCTCGGCGTTGTGCTTGAGGAAGAAAGGCACGAGTGTCCGCGTCATCTCCGCGATGTCTTCCGTGTCCTTTTCATCATCTAATCGGGCTTGGTACTCCTGTCCGATCTCGAGAGCCAAATGCCGCATGTACTCGTGACCCCACGAGCCGATGTCCGAGCTGGGCGCAAGGAGGCGATACTTGAGTGTGTCTCGCCTGTCCTCGCTGTCCGAGTATGTCATGCCCAGCACGGATAATGTGTCAGCCAGGCTGTTCTTGTCATCTCCCGCGGGCCAGGCATCGTACGTCTCCCGCAGCCTCTCGTAATGCGGTCGTAGGAATTTGAGTGGCTTAGGGATGGCGGTCATGGATGATGTGCTGGTCTTGATGTTCGTGTTGATGGCTTCCAACGCGGCCTTGTAGAGTGACTTGTCATCCTCCAATAGTCTCTCCACCAACATGTCCAGCTCATCCTTGAGCTTCTGATCCTCCTCACTCAACTCCTCTGCTGGCACGTCGAGCTCACCCTCCTTCTTGCCGTCCTTGCTTGCATCTTTCGCTCCATTGACCCCATTTGCCTGCTTGTCATCCGCTTTGCCCTTGCCCTTGCCTTTGTCCTGAGGCTTCACCTTCTCCTCCTCCTTCGCCATCACGACCAACGAGTATTGAGCCTGCGCTGGTTGTTTGTGGCGCTGTTCGTCGGCGATGATGTGCCCTCCTCACGTGATGGGACAAGATGATGAATCAAATACACTGTATCCTTGAGATGGCCGGGCGAGTGAGTGGCGAGTGGTGGAGATGGTAGATTGATTAGTCGTCAGATAAAGCTTGACTTCGTGAACAGTCGCGTGTAAGGCGGCTCTACATTGCGAAGCTCGATACTAATCGTCGGCGGATCTGTTTCGCCGAGAAGGCCGACCACTGCATCATCTTTTTCCATTCACGATCACATGCAAATAGCACCTCTACACCACCACCGCCCTCACTCTCGCTTCATCACATACGGCCGACGACATGAAGCTCGACACAGGCGCCCTACGCTACCTCACCACTGAAGACTGGCGAGTCCTGCAAGCCGTAAGTCACCTCAACCTATCCCACCAAGCGCACACGCTGACAATATATGCTAAAGCCCGGCGCAGGTTGAACAAGGAAGCAAGAACCATGACTTGGTTCCAACCCCCTTGATCCAGCAGATCGCCGGTCTGCGAGGCGGTAGTGGCGTGCACCGAAATATCTCCAACCTCGCCAAGGTCGGCTTGATCGCGAAAGTGAAGAATGCGAAATGTATGCCCAACTACCCTCAAACCATCAACTGAAAGCTGAGCTGATGACTGATGTGACTCAAGACGACGGCTACCGCCTAACCTACGGCGGCCTCGACTACCTCGCACTCAACACCCACCGCAAATCCTCCCACATCTACAGCCTAGGAAACCAAATCGGCGTCGGCAAGGAAAGCGACATCTACATCACCGCCTCCCCCTCCAACCGGCCCTTGGTCCTCAAACTCCACCGTCTCGGCCGCATCTCCTTCCGCACAGTGAAAGCCAACCGCGACTACCTCCGCAATCGCCAGACGGGGTCATGGATGTACCTATCCCGCCTCGCGGCGCAAAAAGAACATGCGTTTATGAAGGTGCTGTATAGAGAGGGTTTCCCTGTTCCGGAGCCTGTGGCGTGGAATAGACATACGGTCGTTATGGAGTTCATTGATTCCTTCCCGTTGCGGCAAATCGACAGTGTGCCGGATCCTGGCAAGCTGTACGCAGAACTTATGGAGATCATCGTCCGTCTTGCACAACGAGGATTGATCCATGGGGATTTCAACGAATTCAATATCCTTGTTAAAGAAATCCCGGACGCGAAAGCTGAGGGAGGGGTCAGGTTAGAACCGATTGTGATCGATTTCCCGCAGACGGTCAGTACCAACCATGTCAATGCTGAGATGTATTTTGATCGGGACGCGGCTTGCGTGAAGAGGTATTTTGAGAGGCGGTTCAAGTTTACTGTTGAAGAGCCTGGACCGTTTTTCAAGGATGCGATCAAGGGCGCGGACCCGGAACGGAGGTTGGATGTGGAGGTTGAGGCTAGTGGGTTTTCGAGGAAGATGGCGAAGGAGTTGGAGAGGTTTGTTGAGGTTGTGCCTGGGGGTGGAGAGGGCGAGGGTGAGGTTGAGGTGGTGGATGAGGATGGGCAGGGAGTGGATGATGCGCACGAAGGGGAGGTAGAGGATGATGATGAGGAAGTGGATGAGGACGAGCAAGACCCGCAGGCCAACGATCCTGAGATGATTGAGCGGCTTGAATCTTTGAACGTGGACGATGATGTTGCGGTCAAACCAGTACGACTACAGGATTTCGGGCTCGTGCCTTTCGATCTACCGCAAGAACCAGATGTGGTGGCTGCGCAGGTGAAGACGAAGAAGAAGGCTTCTGGGTGGGCAATATAGCGAGAGAATCTATGAACACAACGGTCACGCCGAAATTCCAGCCACGATTCCTCTACTCTGATCCTTCTCAGCATTCAACAAGTCACCCCTTTGGTTTGTACCGTCACGATCGCGCCTTCCTTCCGCACGAATGTCGCACAAGGGCTTGTTCCGGGAGGCCCGAGCTCTTATTTCGCGCTTAGGCAGCAAACGCGCAAAATCTTGGCAAGGGCAGGCCAATTTCTTAAGCCGCACAAAACATATGCCTCTGTTTCAACATCTGACATCACTGTTCAATAACTTTCTCGGACACAAGTTGATCTGAACACCACATCATCTAGTACACATGGGAACGATGGCGCTGCCGACCGCCACCGAGCATCACGGATCGAGTTTGAATCATGTCTTCTTCGCCTCGACTGTCAATGAGTCCGGTCAGGCGGCCAGCAACGAAGTGACTGCAGTGGGGAGTACCGTCGACACAGTACACGAGTCGACGAATACATCGCGCTCAGCATCGCCCAGCATAGGCAACAGCGACGACCTCTCCACATCCTCAGGTTCCTCCGGCTCCAGCTCCGCCCTCAACCCCCTAGCCTCCAGCTTCTCCCCAAAGACGAAGAAGGCGAGTCTCTACCTACCCCCGACCGCCTCAAGACAATACGAGCTCCGCCCCATCGAAGGCAAAGGTCTAGGCCTCTTCGCCACCAGTTTCATCCCCCGTGGCACCCGCATTATCTGTGAAGCTCCTCTACTGCATATCCCGGAGAACGCGCTACATCTCGCCTGGGGCCCGTATTGTCGGCTTTTGAATCCGCAGAAGCAGGCTTTTGACGCGCTGCATTGTTTCAAACCGGAGAACTTGAATCCGGAGCATGTTAGTCGTGCGTACCTCATCGATGCTAACGATAAAGCTCTCGATGAGGAGGATATCGAGGAGCTCATCCAGGACCAGGCGAGGGTGATGGGCATTTTCGCCTGTAATAATTTCCAGAGTGGGAAAGGTTTGGCTCTTTACGAAACGACGTCACGGCTTAATCATTCTTGTGTGCCTAATGTACATCATTCGTGGGATCCGATGGGGAAGAGGATTACGGTCTATGCTGTTCGTGATATTCAGCAGGATGAGGAGTTGTGTACTACCTACCTCGGTGGGCCAGGCGTCTATTACGTCCGCGCTCAACGGATCGAACTTCTTCGCAGCAGCTACGGCTTTACATGTACCTGTCCCGCCTGCACGGACGTCACTGGGACTTCCGAAAACCGTCGCCAGGTCATGGCTCAGATCGCCTACGGTCTCCAAGTCTACCAATACGGCGGCCAAGGCCACGAAAGCATTCCCTTCGTCCCCATTAACCCAGCCATGGCCCTCCGCCAATCCGAAGACCTCATCTCCATGCTTCTTGACGAAGGGATCGCCTCCCTGGAACTGTGCAAAGCGTACCGCATGGCGTCGACCGTTGCCCTCGCGGCTAAGAACTGGGAGAAGGCGCGCGGGTACGCGCTTGATGAGCAGGACGTCGAGGCGGTTTGTCTGGGGACGGAGGTCCCGGATCTGGTGGCTTGTGGGGCTGCGGCGGCGTGTTGGGGGGAGGAGGTTAGGGCGTGTCTTGTTAAGGCTGGGGTATTTGAGGTGGGGCAGAAGTTGAGGAGGCGGAAGGGGAAGGGTGGACGGGGCGGGAAGGGGCGTGGAGGCAATGGTGGTGGCGGGAATGCTCGGCTAGAGCCTGCTGCTGCTGCTGGGGGTTCTGGTGGCGTTACGGGGGTGAGTTCTTATCGCAATCAGAAGAAGCGGGACAGGAATTCTAGAGTCAAGGCTGAGAAGATTCGGGTTGAGCAGGAGAGGGAGGCGAAGGTCGCGGAGAAGCAGGCGAAGTTCGAGGCGGAGGAGGCTGGTAGGCGGGAGAAGGAGCAGAAGGCGGAGTATGAGAGTTCCTATCCTGCTCTTGGTTGAGCGGCATGATGAAGCAGCGAGAGTTCGAGCATGGCGTGTTATGAAGTATCTTTAGCGTGGAGTTGGGCGGGCATCACAAAACAGGGTGGGCTTGGGGTTCTTTGTGGCGTTGTGTCGTTTGCATGTTTTTTCCCCTGGGCTGTGAGGTTTCTTCATGACTTTACGCCGGCCTGGGGACACTGAAAATCAATAATTTATCGTGCATGCCTCGAAGGGTAGAAGATCGAAGGCTCTGTATCACAATCACCATGAGCGAGATTATACAACTTCTTCACATGGCATTGTTGTTCTAGTGGATATAGTCATACAATTGATTGAATCTTAACCAGCAATCAATGGATCTTGCTACTGATCGCGGCTATCGACTAATCGATCGATCGCTCGTGGCTAGCCTGAGATGGAAGTCAAAATGCCGTCATTCATACTTTGGCATTGGAATCTCATGAGGTCAGCGTTTATGGAAGATTGTACACAGTAATCCAGACTTCTTATTAGGTGTTCTTCAATCCATTCAGCCAACTGCAAAGACGTTCTATTACTTATACATCTGGACGGCAGCTTGCGATAAGTATAGAGTACAGTACCCAAATCGCAACCATAGCTTCCAAACCCTTCCTCCGCCTCTCAAACCTCGCTCGCACACTCCAAACCAGCATCCACTCCCGCACCATGGCTTCAACATCCAGTACATCAACCCCTCAGCCCGCACCATGGAAAGCCCAATTCCTCGACCACCTAAGCAAAATGGATAGTCCCGAATTCGTCTTCTCCAGCTTGACACCCGCACCCAACAAAGATAGCCCAGTGGATTATTTGCCGCGGGCGAGATATTGTATCTACCGCGGCCTCTGGGCCGAGCTACCGGAGAACAAACACAACGATGCTGAGCGGAACGAGCGATGTTTCGAGTCCGAAATGCCTACCTTCACCACCGACGTCCGGATGAACAAGACCTTTGAGGTCTTCGCTTCTTCGTCTGGACACGCGAAGGAGAGGGAGCAGGCACAGGGTTCGGGGGGTGGAGGGCCGTGTGAGGCCGTGTGGTGGATTAAGGGGGATACGATGGTGCAGTGGCGGATGCAGGGGGAGGCTTTTGTCGTGGGGCCGGATATTGAGGGGGAGGGGGAGCAGAGTAAGGAGAGTAGTGGGGTTAGGACTGTGAAGAGTGAGTTGGGGGGGAGGATGAGGGTTGTGAAGGAGGATGGGAAGGATGGGTGGAGTTGGAAGAGGGAGTTGAGGGGGCATTTTGGGAATATTTCGCCGGGGATGAGAGGTGAGTACTCTTTCTCATGAGTTCTACTTCTTGGCTGCGAAAGTACTGACAGTGTTGTTGTGGCGTAGGCAGCTTCAAGAATCCTCCACCTGGTCTACCTGTAGACAAGCCTTACGACGAGAGCAAGAATCAGATTGGCCAGAAGGTCGGAGATCTGGACGATGAGGTGGCGAGGGAGAACTTCCGGGTGGTTGTCATCAAGCCCGAGATGGTCGAGTCAGTTGACCTTAGCGATCCTACCAAAGCCCGACGACAACAGTATAGGTACGATGAGAGCAGTGGGAAGTGGTCGCACATCGAGACTTGGCCGTAGACTGGAGTCCGCTGGAATTGCAGATGATTAGATAGGTTTTTTGGACACGACACCTCACTGATTCGAATGCTCGACCATAGCAGGACAGATGTTCCAGCGACGGAAAAAGTAGAGCCATGGTTGTACTCGGTGTACACGGCGAGGCCGACGACTCGTGCGAGCTGGGTGGCTTGTAAGTCCTGGTTTGTGCTACGTAGAGAGATCGGCTTGGTGGAACAATCAAAGGATGAGCACAAAGGGTCTTGCACTTGAATCCAATGGCAGATTTGGTCTCGTGCCAGCCTGCTCGACCACTGTAGGGTCTCAGATCAGACTCGGTACACCAGCGAGCACATAATCATTGCCATCTTCTCATGCCAGGTTCTATGAAGACTTGCATCTTAACCCTTTCGGGCGAGATCTGTAGCATGCTGTCGTCCATCATTGTTGTACCACCCGTGATACTCGATCTCAGGAGTGACAACTTCCGTCGACCTTCAGAGCCTGGCCACGAGGACCCTGACGAATGCAATTCCAAATCGGACCCCCAGACGCCTGACCCCAGCTTCGGCGGCGGGAGTACGTTTCCGCGCTTAACTCTGAGATCTGCCATTCGCGTGCGCAAGGGCAAGACAGGATCACGATCCTTGCTTGAAGGATAAACTTGTACAAGGAGGTGCCTGGACAGGCAATTCCAACGATCGTGATGGCGGTCAGCTTGACAATTGATCGTCCTGTTGTGTTGTGGAAAGCTGCTTCTCCTGCAATTCCTATCTGTCTCGTATCGAGGAGGCGTGCCATGACTCAGATCTTCTACTGTAACCGTTATTGCGCAACAATGATCGGCAGTGTGCGATAGATTAACCGTCAAAAGTGAGGCAGACCACCTCGCCAAAAATGTCTCTTTCCGGCTTACTGTCCAGCATATCCTGCAGGTTTCCCCTCTCAGGATTTCGCACGCTGTGTCCGTTTCGTGATCCCAGACCAACGCCTTAACCGCATGACAGAACGTAAATGGAAAGTGCAGAGCCGTCGGCCGCCAAACCCAATCTCGTTGCTTCAGCTTATGCAGCCAACCATGTTTCTCCGCCGCGTGTCCTATGGGCGGAGAGATGTAGATCAGCTTTGCACTTTTGTGCTCGTCATGTTTCTTGCTCGTTATTTGACCTTTATGGATCACGATTCGTTCCATTGGTTGGAAGCAATTTGAACGATCTCATGTTGAACTAGCGGCAGTTTCGTCCCCTCGGCAGGGCTTGACCGTTCGAGGCGTTCGTGAGGCGTCCACTGATTTGAGTGCTGGGTCTGGTCTGCAGCTGTCTCGTGCATTTGACCTTGACGTCTGCTTCCTTGGGCATACATCCCACACCTCACGAAGTCTTCGGCATCAACTAGCTCTGTCTCGAAACTATCCCAACAACCCTCCACAATGTGTTAGTTTATTCGTGTGCTCGAGATGTTGCTGGCGTTCTGGACACAATTTTCGAAGACGATCGGCCCCGCATTACGACGATTGATGCTTGAAGTTCCGTATTATGGCTGAAGATGCCTTGCTCAGTATTACGACCTTGTTGCAGAATCTGCCAATCTGGATAGCAGGTATTGAGGGCATCCTCAAAGATGCAACAGAACGACAGCAAAAGTTGCTTGCGGAGCATCAGCCAGCCGACTCACTGCCCGTAGTGAAGCGGAGAAGGCGGTCAAGCGTGAGCTCGATTTGGTCCGAAGTCGTGAGAGTAGGGACGCAAGAAGACCTAGAAGTTAAAGGAGACAATGGAGAAGAAGGCGTTGGAGCAGAGCCGGAAGAGGAGAATGAGGACTGGCCTGTGGTGGCTTCCGTTGCACTTCTCAGACCTCAGCTTCCACACATGACACATTCAGATGCGCTCAGGTTATCACAACGCAAGCGCAAGACTGCCTCAGTATGCTCCGGCGACCATTCTGGTGGCCCAGTCAAATATCGATGTCGAGGCCTTGCAGTGATATACTACGACGGCGATGTACAGAAGCGCTTCGAAGCATTAGTGAAGGCTGTCCAGCTCTCTCGACATAGCATTAGAAAGGCGAGCGACAAGATGACCGCCGCAAGAAGCCGACCACCGGACCGCAATAGCGATGACAGCAGCAGTGATGCAGACCGGACAGCCGGGATGAGCGTGCGCGAATTCCAGGCGGCGAAGTCCCGTCAAAGGAAAGCTAGCCTTACACCTCCCGATGAGTGTGCTGTCATGCTCGATCGTGTGGACGTACTGTTGAACAAGGGCCAGGATCTTTGCGAGCGGGCTGCTCACCAGGTCTTGCGAGATGGCGACTGTGCATTAGAGCTTAAGAACGCCGTGAAGAGACTGAAGGAGGCAAATGAGACCGCGGAGGCACGGCTTTCAGATCTTGAGAAGCGTGCGGCGGAGACGTCGGAGCAAAATCGACAACGCGATGAGGAGCGAAAGAGTCGCGAGTCCGCTGATGGCAGGAAGAAGCGTTTGTCGAGCGAGCCCGCCACGTCGACCTCACCAGTGCCGAGTCTGGTCGCATCGTTGCCTTCTGATAACCGGCTCGAGGTGGATCTTGATGCTGACGCCACCGATGACGACGGTGAAGACTTTGATGCCAGTGCCTTTGCTGTTGGGAAGTACCAGATGCGCAGCACGAGGTTGCTGGCGCACTAGTAGCTTCGAAAAGTCTGGTATGATCTAGATGGTGGCATTGGGTCATTGCTCATTAGATGATATCTGGTTTTGGGTAGCGAGGAGTTCGGGTGCAAGACAGCAATATGTGCTCGTCACTTTGGGGACTGCTTGTGGTTGCTTATTCGGACAAAGGCCATCTATTGGAAAGCACGATTCAGACCTCCTCGCACCTTCCCTCCTTCATGGTCTCCACATTCTGTCTCACGTGCGCAACAGGCTGACGCGAAGGAAACCGATATGATGTCGTTGACCACATTCTCCTTCCTTCCTTCATTAATCTGATATCACGACGACTCCCCCCTCCGTATATCGCATACCACACTTCCAGAATGAGCTAACTCCAGCTATGGCTCGGTCGAAGAAGCAATCACGCGCCGCATCTGCTTCACGTAGCAAGCACACTGTGAGTCACGGCATGGCTTACTTTCCCCAAGATCTGATCCCATTGATAATGTGTGTCAGACTCCCGCATCTGCGTCAACCACTTCCGAGAGTACACAAGTCCCGAAGCCCTGGGTCGAATATGTGACTGTTGACCGTGATGATAAGTCGTCAGGTCCCACCAGGGGCGTCCTGGCTGGTCTTGACCCGAACGCCATACTGAAATCCACTCAACGGAGTACCGAAGTCTTGCAAGATGCCGCCGACCACCGGATTGAGCACAACGAAGGAGACGATGCCTCCGAAACGCTCGAGCCCCCTCACGCCACCAGAGGCTCCAGGAATGGCAGAGCCGCTGTCAATTACGACCAAAAGCTCCATCCTATGGACACCACCCTTCGACCAAGACACGCCGCGAAACGTCTGTCTGGTGCTCTTCACTTACCAGGACGAGAAGCTTATGAAAGCGATGATGTTGCATCCGAAGAAGGGCTCTCCCCAGCGACCGACTGCGACTCAGATGACAAGCCAGAATCCTCGTGCTCTGGGCGCCAGCGTCCATCGAAGCATCGCATTCCTGATCCGGGTGCAACCAGACACTCTTCACGTGCCGAGGCCCGGAAGACTGTCAATTACAGTACCGAAATCCATCCGCAGGACTATGCCCTTCCGTTCTATGGCCACAACGCAGAACTCAGAAATGTCCTGCCAATACAATCGAGGGAGCCTTCGAAGCGAACATCGGTGGGCGAAAGCTCGATTGCGTCCTATGGTTACGGCATGACGCATCCTCGACCACGAAAGAAGTTGCGGATCCATGCGAGCTCATCAAGCCATCATGCAATGCGAAGGAAGAGGTCTCGAGAGCCCGAGCAAGACGCGACCAGTACGGATATCGAGGAGCTGGCGAACCAAGCCATCCGCGGATCTCAAGCTCAGCCCCTTTCCTTAGCTGACGATGACGACGATGACGAGGAGGAGGAGGAGGAGGAGGAGGAGGAGGAGGAGGAGAACGAAATCATGCACGGCGAACAATATGATCACGATGCCGACCAGTCGAATCTCGAGGAGGAGATTGACCACGAACTCGATCCGGAGATGGAGGAAGTCCATCGTAATCTCGCAGCCGAAGCCGACGAAGAACAGCAAGGGTCGGACTTTATAGACCAGTTTGCCGTCACCACGACTCGATCATTCGAGGACGAGGTCTCACCAGCACCGGTTGTGGCTAGGACTGCTACTAAGCGCACTACCATGTTGCGCAGCAAAGAGACAGCAAACGCCATTGGATACTCTACACAATTCCTGTCGCACTACACAGCAGAGTCTGGTGTCCCGCCAGCAACAACGGAACAAGCAGATGCTCTCCCTTCCACAGCACCACCTTCGCCATTGGATCCGAGAGCCGAGTCCTCATTCGTTCTTGAGCGCCTTGTTAAGCAAGACTTTAGGCGTTGGCAGGCGGAGCATCCAGAAATTCAAAACACCAGCTCGCCTGCATCGGAGTGGGATGCCGAGCAAATGTTCGGGACGGAGCAATCTGATGGCATCTCCTGCGAGATTGAATCTATACTTACGGACTAATCGCGCTCTGGACTGAGACGGCTTCCAGCTGTTGGGCGATACACGAGCCCAGTGTGTCCATACTGCCGACAGCGATGGAGTTGATGAGCTGAACGTCGAGCACATTTAATTAGTAATAGTGACCATGAATGGATGAGGACGCTGAGCGGTCAGCGGCATTCACTGAGGGTACAAGGGCAGTATATCTGTGATCAAAGGGTGATACTAAGACAAGGCGTGTAAACGTGCTTCGTGGCAGTGTCTTTTGAGACCCAGCTTGCGAGATGACCACCTGAAGATGTCGCATTTACACATTGATATCACAATATGTACATATACACTACGTCCACTTCCGTCTTCCACCGCCACCGCCCGCAACGAAATCCCCGCCCGTCCGTTCTCGCTCTAATCTTGCATCGAATTCCCTCTGTGCCTCACCTTTCGCTAGCTGTCTGTCCGCATCATCGGAGGAGAAGCTGAAGCTATCGCCCGAAGAAGCGTCCTCTCGTCCACGTCCCGGTGCTCGTGCGCCAGCTGAGTTGGACGGCGTCATGCCTCTTGATGATGTTGATGGTGAGCGTTGTGATGAGCTGGAGGACATGGCTTCTTGCCTTAGTCGATCCCATGCACCACCACTACCACTACTAGGCTGCTTACTCTCGGTATTCTCCCGTGAGGCTCGCGAGGACTGCGATGTCCGCGGATTATTTGTCGGCCGTCCAGTCTCTTGAGGGGAACTTCGATCTGAGCTCGTGCTCATTCTTGCATCTGCTTGCCTTTGCACCTCCTGCTCGCTCATGAAACCAGATTGCTCGGCACCGTATGCGACTTCCTCATCAAACGACATACTACCCGTAGGCGAAGCATCGTCCCAGTTCTTTTCCTCTTTCTGCTCCCTTCCTTTTCGGTTGATCCCGGTACCCTGCGCACTCCGTCTCTGCCGCGCCATATCATACGTTTCCATCCCTCTCGGCCCGGCACTCTCGTCCTCCGCCCTCCTTCCTACTTGAGCACCCAGTCCACTCTTCTGCTTCTCGCGCAATGCCTCGTTGAAGGACTTGAGTCGCGGGTCCATTGCTCGACCTGCCAGGCTGACGCTGAGAGCATACGAACCGAAGAATATCTGCCCTAGTACTGCACCGACCATGCCGTAAGCCCAGAATCGTGTCCCCTGCCATGCTATTCGAGCTCGGTAGCCTGTGAACAGTGGGCCGAAGCGATCTTTGCTAAACCGGCTGCCCTCTTTGAATGGTGTCCAGCCTGGGAATCTGTACGTCTTTCTTCCTCTGTACGCCAGCGCGACTGCTATTGCTGTTCCGATCGGAGAGCCGTAGCTAGCCATTCGTAAGCTCTTCGCGAAGTGATAGGCTAGGGCATCTGCCTCTGGCTGTGTGATCGGTCGTTGTAACGTCTGGGCTACGAAGAAACATTGCTGTTGGATGCCTTTTATTACGAAGTCTGGGTGGTCTCCGGCGTTGATGAGGGCGAAGCGGCGGGGTAGATTATTGAGGTTTATGTATACTGGAGTCTCTTGATTCGCGTCCTGGATGCCTTTTTGTGGTATGCGCATCCATTCGCCTGATCCACGAGTCGAGTCCGTGCTGCCCATAGATTCGTACCGATCGGGATCAGATGGAAAGGAGTCATTGTTGTACTGGAAGGAGTCGGAGGACGCAGCAGCTTCTTCGAGGACCATGATTGCTATATCCGCACAGTATTCTCTTGGATCGGTAGTTCTAATGGCATATAGAGCTCTCGACGTGCATTCATCCATGACGTGTGCGTTGCTTCCGCTTTGAGATGTGGCACGTGCTGCCCACATTAGCGTCGATCTCGGCGCCTTCTAGGACATGTGCCCCTTCTTCACCTCACACATCGCCGGCAGATCTTACTAGGTAGTGGCCCTTGACCAACGATGATAAAACTATGGTCTTTGCCCAAAGATAACAAGGCGACGAGGGCGCAAGGCCGGCCAGGTCGACATCGCACAAGTCAAGAGAGTCTTCTCCGTCATTGTCCATAAGTCAAGCCGATTCATAATCACCAGTCCTGGTCTACCGTCTGGCTCCGACGACTGTGATGACAACAGAGCCTGTATCTACCACCATCATTAACCCGATGTGACGGAGACGGTGCTCGTACTATTCTGCGAAGACGGCCAAAGGCATTGTGCAGCCACGACACGTGACGGGACGGAGATGATCATACAAAGCATTCCGAGGACAATTGCCATGTAATATGGCTTTTATGAACACCGTGGACTGGCAGTCGAACTGCTAATCACGGATCCTTGTCCTCAAACTCTAGAATGATCTTCGAGAGCTTGCCCAAGGCATTAAGTACATATTCTGTGGCGAGCCCTGCTGCATATTGTATGTGAATCCGTAGATCGATCAGCATTTGGCTTCTCTTTCGGCCAAGACACGACGTACATCTGCCACTTCGTCGACTCTATGACCGACACAATCTGCGAACTCTCCGACGCCATGGCTGACACAGTTAATCTGTTCGACAATGGACCTCGTCTTGGCTGGAAACTCAACGTATGTCAACGTCGAAAGGAAAAGTATACCGTTCGACATCGGGCGCCACGTGGCGAACCTCGTTGGAAGAACTATAGAATAGACTTAACAAGTTCTGCCCTCCTCACTAGATTTCTCGCGCTCCCAACGGAGCTTCGGCTGCAAATATATGGCTACGTCTTTGGCCAAGGGCCGACAAACATCAACCCGGCACGAGTCCTCCCAGACAATTACCCAGATCTCTTCCTCGAGAACCAAGTTATCCGCTCCGAGGCCTCCACCGAATATTTGAAGGCAATGGAATTTCAACCTGCTCAGGCAGGAACGGAGGACATCTATCGCTGGCTGAGTCAACTATGGCCAAGCCACATGTCCAAGATCCGCGGCATCTGCTTCCTCGATGCCAACGAGACCGCAGCTATAGCGTCCGTGAACCCTGGGTGGCGGGTACGCATACGGAGGCGCTTCGAGAAACGTGTCCGCGTGGAAGATTTCAAGAAGAAAGGTTTGGCACGGAGCGCTATGAAGATCGCGTTGCCGATCGAAGCGGTTCTATCGGATAATGAGTGGCGTGGCGAGGTGCAGTGGGTTTCGATCGAACATCTGTAAGACTGGGATGTTGAGCAAGAGCTTGTCGATTGCAGAGTGTTGGTATGGTTTGTGAAAAGGACAAATGTGGATTGGGCTGAGATGGCTGGAGGAGGGTTATGGGACCTCACTGCGTAGATTCAGTCGCTACAGTATAGTACGAATGGCGTTCTCGTGACCTTATCATTAGCTTCCAATGCTTAGACTGAGCAGACTATATACGCTACGAATCGCCTTTCTCAATCACGACGAACTCTTGTCTTCTGCTCACTGACCAAACATTTGGGAGACATGTGCAATCGACCCTCTTAGCAGCACACTCCATCATGTATATACAATTCAGCAGTGTTACAGATGGTCAACACATACCGAACGTCTGAGCATACTGCAAGCAATATCCCTGTCAATCATGTCCACCCAACCATCGAAAAGCCAGACCTCTGGTACAAGTACTCGTACTCCGAGCCTGTCTGATGCCAGCACCACTCCTGCGCGTCCGCAGCACGAGGGCAAAGGATACAGCCCAATGATGTTGCATCAACAGATGTCAAACATGGTATCGACCTGGGATCTTCGCGCGCCTGATCTTTCCCAAAGCTACGTGTCTTCTGCAGCACCTCAGAAACCGGCGCGTGGACCGACCATTCTTGAACTACGACGTCTTGCTGGCTACGGGGATGACGTCCCGTATGAAGGCCGCGTTGCCGCCCTTGCGCGTATGCAAGCTTCGGCGTCGACTGGAGCTCCGCCAGACTTTCGGACAAGCACGGCGGGTCCGAGTCCACGGGTGGTCGACAATAACCTGCCTCCAGTCAGCGCGCGGTGTCGTGATACGCTAGTATCTTGGACACCTTGTGCGCCTGCTCAGCATAAGTCGTACGCACATCCCTTCCATGCGCGGCTGAGCGCGGCTGCCTTACTGACACGAGACCCAGTCACAGGCCTGGTCACGGGACCGATGGTAGATAATCGCAGTCGCACATACACGTTGCCTCCAGGAACTTCTAGTGGACCGGTGCCCTCTCCAAGCGCTCGTCGACCGACAGACACGGCCGCAATACACAACACGCCCCAGACACACCCACCACTTCCAGACTACCATTATTGGTATCCTCCGACAGCAATGTCCGGACCAGCCTCCACAAAGAACCTCCAAGCCAGTCCGAAAAGGCCCTAGCATGGAAGACATGGCCAGCAAGACACTCGTACCTCATCTACAGGCTCTGCCAGCAGAGCTTCGCTTCCACATCTACAGTCATGGCATAGCTGCTGACAGAATCGTGACCATCAACAACGAGCGAGGTGGGCCAACGTGCCTGTCAGCCCTACTAGCCAGCCATGCCGACATACGCAACGAAGCTTTGTGCGAGTATTATCGACTCACGAGGTTCTTGCACGTCAGCTTACGGAGCAACAACCTCAGGAAGTGGCTATTGTCTATCGAACCCACACACGTCGCTCATATCCGCAATTCCTGCGTCCTCGATGCTCGCATCACTCCAAGACTCTGATGCGGCAGATCAGACTGGCGAAGGCTCCTGAGCCGCGCGATGGGAAAGTTGATCGATAGCGAGGACATTCAAGTCAGAGGTTTGAGACGGAGTGCATGCAAACTTGAGCTGCCAATACTGCCGGAGCCCGTAGATGGTAATGCAGAGACGCGGTGGGTGCAGGTGGACGAGCTGAGGAATTGGGAGAAGCAGGAGATGAGGTCTGGGGAAGACGACCTCGTGTGGTTCGTCCACAGACCTGGCGCCGAAGTGGCGGAGATGGCTGCTTGGGTGTCCAGTCTCGTTATATGAACGTCCTTGATTGAAGATGCGGCTAGCCCATCGTTGGCTTTGGCTCTGTGCGTGCTGATGCAGCCGTGCCGCAGTACCCACGGCCATGCCAGCGTCGTTTGGCTGTTGAGTCTTGCCCGAGTATGCCGTGTACCGCCATCTATGGTATGGCTTCGACAAACAGAGTCGTTGCCGTCTCCTTGCGTCGAAGTTTCTTTCTTGCTTTCGTACTCGAAGTCTAATCGTCCGATAGCCAACCAGATCATGCGTGGTAGTAAGTCCCTGGTCATCAGCACACCTTGTGGCATATACGTGCGCTGCCATTCACACGCCTCCAAGAAAGCATGTGAACAAAGCCGACTCGTCTCCAAAACCACAGCGTCGTACAGCGACACAAGTCTTCAAGCCCCTATATCTTGCCACCGACAGCCGGGCAAAGCATACTTCGGACACTGTCAACAACAATCATGTCTTCACCAACGACCACTTCTCCATCATCGACCATGTCTTCACCGACAGATTTGTCTTCACCGAGTACCATATCTTCACCATCAACAGCCAGCATCAACCCACGTCTCCTCACCATGCCGATCGAGATCCGCCTCCAGATCTACGCCTTCATCTTCGCCTCTTCCAAACACATCACAATCTCCAAGGATCACGCGATCCCACCCAAACGATATCCGCCTCTCCTCCCCACCTGCAAGAAACTTCACAACGAGGCCTACCAGGAGTTTCTCGCCCACATCGCTTTTGGCGCAAACTCCACCAAGGAAGCAAGCTCCTGGCTCCGAAACCTCCCACAGCAATATGTGACCAAGATCCGCCAACTCCGCATCGCCAGTATCAAGGGAATCCAATCACCACTAGATCGCCATTGGAATCCATCTCATCGTTGCCAGGTGCGCCATGTAGGTCGAGGTGGCGCGCGAGGTACAGTCACTACACTTTGGGGACCGTTGTCCTCCTCTCCACCAACCTCGTCAAATCATGTCGCGGAGTGGCGTCAAAATCTGATCGATGAGATCCGAGGCTTCACAAAGACCTTGGCGCGTTATGGACTGCCGTCGAGTGCTGTGCTTGTTGCGCTCCCGATGCCGCCGCTAGATGGACGTGCGGCATGGGTCGGCATTGAGGACTTGATAGAAGGTTTGTGGGAGAAGAAGCAGGTTCTGGAGATGGTGTGGTTTGTGTCTTGTTCGGTTCATGCTTCGACTGGGAATATTCGGTAAGGGAAGGACGGCGTGTGTTGATGTTCTGACATGCTTTGGGCATGTTGACCTGGCGGAGGTGAAGGGTTAAAGCATGTTCTGTCTCTGGTGCGCGAGGACTGGTGGACAACAGCTCGAGTCGAGAGGGAGCCAAGTACGGGGAAGGACTCGGCGGATGAGAAAGGCTTCCGAGTACAAAGAAAAGGTTCGAGCGATATACAAGGCAAGACTTGGAGCGTGATGCGAGAGAGGACTCCGAGGATAATATTGTGTAGATTTGTTTCATGTCGATTTCAGCGCATGCTCGGTGGGATGCATACTCGCGATACTGACTTCGTTCCTTCGTTATGTCCAGCCCAAGAGGGTACTGTGGTAGAATTCGTTGCATTGGCAGCCTGACAGATCTATGTCACACAACGGCCTTTCACACTCGCTCTATATGGTATCATGAACGCAAACTCTCCCCACCATTCCATAACGCCGTTTCAATGCGATACTGTATGCTCACAGGAAATAGTCCCTGACTGGATCACTACCAACCTGCATCTGCTGTTGTTGTTGCTGCTCGAGTCTGTGGACCTCGTTCTCCGGCGCCGCATCGAATACATTCCAATGCCGTTCGCCACCTGGCCCGACCTCGAGCACGGACGCCAGATTCCCACACCTATAACAATAGTTCGGCGCAGACCAGACCGTGGATAAACGATCATCGAACATGACCATGAAGCCTTCGTTGCAGAGTTGATGCGCGCGTAAGATGTGGTTCATGCTGTTGACTTCTAGGAACTTCTTCACGACTTGGGCACCAAAAGTGTAGCCTGCTCCTCGAGGTGAGAGAGAGAACTCGTCGCGTTCGGCATCTGGGTCAGACCAAACGAGGTCGGCCATTGGTCCTTCGTGGGGTATCTCTCGGAAGCGATCGATGATCTTGATTTGGTCGATAGAGTGTATACTCGGGCTCAAGCCGCCATGTACACAAAAGATCTTGTCGTCGATTACGCAGCTGAGCGAGAGATAGTCGAACATGTCGGTGAAGTAGTGCCAGACAGCTGGGTTGCCGTATTTTCGTGAACATTCGGTGTAGAAGCCGTAAGACTGTGTCACGCCACGTGATTCGTGGTTGCCGCGAATGAGATGCACTCGGCTTGGATAGCGGAGTTTGAGGCAGACCAGGAGCGAGATCGTCTCGATGCTGAAGAGGCCGCGGTCGACATAGTCGCCTATGCAGATAGTGAATCAGCGCTTGAGCTTGGCATGGTCGCGTGACCTCCTTCCTTCCTTACCAAGAAACAAATAGTTTGTGTCAGGACAGTATCCACCAATCTTGAAAATCTCAATCATGTCAAAGAATTGGCCATGGATGTCTCCGACCACCGTCACGGGTGCCTGCACATGCACAACATTGCTCTCCTTCATCAACAGCTCCTTTGTCTTGGCGCATATTGCTTCGATGACCGAGTCCGCGAGAAGCTCTTTACGGTAAAGTCGGTCGATGCATTCGTCGAGATCGACACTTGCTATCAGACGTGTCAGGAGGGAGGCAATCAATACCAGGTCATGGCAGCTTACAAGGTAGACCAGGCATGTCGTGATATCCACTTGGATAGGTAATCCGCGCGGGGACGTTACGAAGGTTCCTGCTGGCGGAGCAAATATGCGTATATCGGGTCCGCAGGCCTCATACTCGCCACCAGCGTTCAGCGAGTCAGGACTTTGTACATAGCGTCGCTTGATTTACAAGTGTGCTCATTGTACCACTTGCACGGTGTGGCATATGCTGGTAGAGGTGGTCGTTCTCAAAGGGGATGCGGCTCCGCTTCGTGACTAGGCTGTGCGCTAATGCAAGACGGGCCACACCGCGACGCAGGGACCAGCATCTCTCCTTTCGCGCTTGCATCTTCCTGGAAAGATCCCAGTCTTGTAACAACAAACACATTTTCTCGCCATCCGACTGGGACACAGTTTCCTTCGACTGCCGTCTTGCTCGGCTATCGTCTACCATCGCCCCTTGACATCGTTCCTGTCACCACCGCTTGAGACATACCGAGACAAAGGACATTGCACCCGCCGCGGTTGCTGGAGGCACCAACAGCCTTGACCAACGATACAATAATGCAAGGGAAAGCAGACGCATAGCATTCATCTCCTTCACCAATTGTCAACTTTCTTACAGTCAATGTCAGAGAAGACTTTCCCACTTTCGTAATACCGTCCCCGTCCAGCTTATCGGCCTCCCTATCATCAAAGTTTGACCAACAGGACCAGGCCCATGTATCAACCGCCGGCTAAGAGGGCCAAGACAGGGCCTGTAATAACTCGCTATCTACCTCCACCTGGCTACAGAGGTCCCGCCACTCAATCGACCTGGACCCCGCCACCCTATCAAGCTTATCCTCCAGCTCCAACCTATCAGCCTACCTGGCCGGTATATCCACAACAATCGTATGTGGCAAACGGTTATCCGGCGTATGCTCCGGGTTGGCAACAACAACCGACTCCAGTTGGAAATCCTCCACAAAGTATAAACTCATACCCATGGCAAGCGAACAGTGCTCAACACAACCCAAACAAACGCCGACACAGCTCGATCCCCCCAGCGCATAGCAGACACACTTCGATCGCCGTACCACTGGATGGAAATGGCGATCCTCTTCCAGCACAGACAGTCACCGATAATGACGATCTCGAGCACGAATTCGATGCCGAATGCTACTACGCACGCCACCCTGACGAAGTAGATCCGAACCTGAGTCTTGGGCTGATAGAGTGGAATGCACCAAAGCCGACGAACCATCCCCTCGCTGGCAGTTTTGCAGAGGCGGAAGTCGAAGTTATCGCACCACGCAGACCAAGGGCCGCAGATGAGCCATCAATATCGGATTACTTCACTAATCCTAGGCTTGAGGAGTCGCTGCGCAGCGTGAGACAGACGACTGCATGGCAGGAAATCAAGGACGATCTCATCTATCGACAGTTTTCACGAGTCTGTAAGGAGGTCATTAGGATGTCCGAACTCATGAGCCGGTATCGAGATCGCCCAGATCCTGCATGGGAGGCTGCGGAGGACGGTGCGGAGCTTCACGACAGCATCATGGAGATGGATGAAGGTATTGGCTGTGTCAAGTCCACAGAGCAGGCCGAAGAAGCGGACATTCTTGGCAATCTCGAGCAGGCACTCACGGCTGACAATGTCAAACGACTCCCCAATAGCAAGCGACCTGCGGTGGGGAGCAGGACGCACTCGCGTGCCACATCGGTCGCTTCAACCGCTGGAGAACGTATCACGAGACCAAGACTATTGGAACCCATCCGAGATTCTGCGCAGGAGGATGTGTTGGCTAGTCTAGGCGTCACGGGCTCGCCAAAAGTCGTCTATCAGACACCTGGCCCAGCTCTAGGACCAGGCAGCCAGGCTGCTTCCAGCCGGCAGGGTTCCGTTGTTAGCGACGACGGACATGCTCGCCAGCAGCCTGCTTCCAGAGGATCGAGTTATCGCGAAAACGATATAGACGCTACGCCACGAGCTAGCAGGTACTATGAGCGTGGTGGTGAATCATCTCGCAAACGCAGCTATGGCGACTACTATGAGGATCGCAGGTATGATGACAGGACGCCGAGACCGCGCTATAAGCAGCAGCGTGTGGACAGAGCCTATGAGTGAGCACTGCCGTCTCGATCGAGTGTAATGTCTGGACTGACAGTATGGCAGGCGTCGATACTGAATTGATAGCTATGTGGCTGGAATAGAGTGGCGGGATCTTCTTTTCTTTCCAGCTTGTCTCCTATGAGCCTACGTAATTTCTTTGGTTTCCCATGCGATTCTTCTGAATAGCCCACGTCGCTCCTACCCTCTTCGATTGTCCCCGTACGAGTGCAATACTACTTGCGACTGCGGCAATTTGCAATGCCAATATGTCCGGCGAGACAAGTTCAGCGGTTCACGTTCTGAAGATCGATACTATCCGCGAAGCATGGTGATGCATCCATGGCCGAGACAGAGCCAGGGACTTGATCACACGGAGGACAGTCTTAATGTTCGTTCGCTGATCTTGTATGTTTCCTACATCTTTCTTCTTGGCTCTCCTCCAAAATCAGAGATACTATCTCGTACACGGCTCTTGTCGGCCAATCTAACCTAAGTTTCCTTTGGTCTGTGCGGCCGAGGCTAGACCATGGTGTCTGTAGGGTCTGCAATTCCAACAGACATGCCGCGCATCATGGCGACGACATGGCGCAATTGATCTGGCCACGGACGAGGTTTCCTAACGGAGCCAAACCTAAGATGAGGCTGAACTCGAAAGCCTGCCCTCATTGGACGACTCGTCCCCCGGATTATTAAGCTTGGCAATCTGCAGGGTCCGCATGGCTTATGTATATACTTTTTGGTAAGCAGAGAGAGGTGTCCGGGGGCATTGCTCACTTGGTCTGCATGTGCTTCTGCGTCACTGCATTTAAGTGCCATTGTTTGCCAATCACGAATCGCAGCATTATTGAGCAGCAGTCAAGAAGGAGGCACATTAGCAATGCTCGGCGTGGCGTATTCCTCCGTTCGGCGTAGCTGGGCGAGAAGGTGGGTGTATATGTAGGCTTGAGACCTCAGGTAAATGAACATGGTCCATCAACATTCAATTTCACGAATATCCACCAGCAGAAGCCTTCAATAAGATCTATCGCCGCTCTACCAATCAGCTCAGGTTACACAATGTCCGCCAAACCCATCGCCTTCATCATCGGCGCCGGCAAGAACATCGGCGCTGCTACTGCCTCCCACTTCTCACAGAAGGGCTACCGTGTCGCTCAAGCGGCTCGTTCGGTGAACACTGAGGACAGCAAGGATGACAGTCTCCTCCTCAAAATTGACTTGAGCAAGCCCGACACCGTCAGGACGGCTTTCGAAAACATCCGTAAGACCTGGGGTGAACCTAGCGTGGTCATCTATAATGGTACATCAGTCTCTTCCGACCAGGGCGACAGTATAGCTTTTATACATAGAAACAGAACATACTGACGTCCATCCTCCTCAGCTGCTTCCGCCATCTTCGTCGACGCCACCAACCCCTTCACCGTTCCCGTGGAGGATTTCGAACGTGAGAACACGATAAATGTCACCTCGGTTTATGTCGCAGTCCAAGAAGCCGTCGCTTCATTCGATGAGCTCCCCGCCTCGACGAAGAAGGCTTTCTTATACACCGGCAACGCTTTGAATACTATCTGCTGGCCCAAGATGTGGTCCGCTGGCCTGGGTAAAGCCGCGACAGCACATCTGATGGAAACGGGCAGTCTTTCGTACAAGGAGAAGGGATATGGGTAAGTGCCAACATTGCTCTAGCTTTGTGAACTGTAGCTGATGAGATGGATGCAGGTTCTACTATGTTGACGAGCGCAAGGCGGATGGGTCGCCAAAGGTTAATCCGTATGTCTCTGGGCCAGCACATGCAGAGTTCTTTGCTGGGTTGGTGGATGGTAGTCTCAAGGCGCCGTGGCATGCAACGTTCGTCGAGGGCAAGGGATATCAGGCTTTTGCTGGAGCGAGGGAGTGACGTCGGGAGAAGGTAGAGCTCCTGGGAAGGCTTTGATCATTGCTATGCTCAACGACTAGTCTAAGCCAATGAAGATCTAGTCCATCTGAAGAATGATCTTTATGCCTGCTTGACCGTGTAGGACTGTCCTGCCCGGGTGTCCAACCTGATAAACACACCACTGCCAGCTCCACTAGACGTGATTGCCGTGCCGTTGTTTTTGCCAATTGGTGTCTGACCCAGTGTCACATATGCCGGCCCGCCGAGCTTCGACGCAATGGTGGCTGACACAAGAGTCCCTGCTGCGTCCCAGCAGACATCTACCTCAAAGCCACCTCGTGCGAGTAGACCATTGAAGTACCCTCCTCCGCCAGTGGAAGCAAACACAGATGGTACCGTTGGCAGAAGCCTAATCAACGGTGCTTTTTCAACCGTGCCTGTGAAAGCTGCCACGAGGGTACCGTTGCTGCCACCGCTTCCATAGTATCCAGGTGCTTGTGTAGTAGCAATGGATTCGTGACTCTGCATGAACAGCTCCGGCAATGCACCTGGACCGCCAAGATTACCATCGATCTGGAATTCAGACGGTGCACCACTGTTGAGTAGTGAATCAGGCTGTGACTGGTTGGCAATCAAGTGGATCAGACAGTGGGAAGCCCAGTCAGGCATGAAGTAGCGGCCTGCGAGAGCTGTGCACCAAGAGGCTCCCCAGCCACCAGCTGCAGAGCCGTGCAGAAGTCGGTTGTTCAACGTCTCGCGTGCCCAGTTGAAAAGCGTTGAATTTGAGCTGGTGATTTCATTGCCTGGGTATGCGGCCCACAGTGGTGATAGATGGTCGATACCTGGTATCGCCTGCAGATATGTTAGCGTTGTACTGCACGAACTCGATCGGCCACTGTCTCACCTCTTGATAGTCGTGGATCCACTCTTGGAGACCACCATAGTAGTTCCTGCGATAAGGTGGAAACTGCGATTTCAAGTCGTTAAGCTGTGCCACAAATGACTCATCTCCTAGTCTGAGCAGATCATTCGCTTCTTGGATGCCGTTGAAGAGCTCCCACAGAAGCTCTGTATCCATCGTAGCACCGAGCGTGATGGCAACTGGTGTGGTGTTGTAGTTTGGTGGGAAGTAGGCATTCTCGGGCGAGATCGTGGGGTTCACGACTTTGTAGCCCTCATAATCGGACAGAAATCCGACGTAGAAGAGTGCTGCAGACTTGAGCACTGGGTAGTGCTCTCGTAGGAAGTCTTGGTCACCAGTATATCGGTAATACTCCATAAGATGGAAGACGAGCCACTAAAACATTAGGACGAACACGTTAGCTAGGTCTCTAGGACAAGGCAAGATACCTCAAGGTAACTGCTGATTGACGAGTTCTATGTCTCGTACAAGGCGAGTTCTAGCACTGTCCAATCCAATCGCGGAGATAGCATCGATCAGGACGAGAGGGGTGTCGGCTTACCGGGCCTGAAGAGCCCCACCATGTCGAATAAATATAGTTGTCTTGCGGTGCTGAGTCGCCCCAAAGATCGGTGTTGTGGTGTGACACGAAGCCACCGTTGTCTACACCGTACATAGTCTCGGACACGTTCGTGCCCTTTTCCCGAATCGAGTCGATCAAGTTGTGCAGAGGTGAGGTCAAATCAGCCAGGTTGGTGACCAACGCAGGCCCTGAGAATGTCAGCATCCAGATCCGCTACAGGCATCGACGAAACTTACAGTAGTTCATTTGCAGATTGATGTTTGTCGTATACTTTGCCCCCCAGAATGGGTCTAGTGAGGTATCGGAATCAGCATACATCACCAAGCATGTCTCTTTCCCATGACTCACCAAGCTGGCTGTTCCAGATACCTTGCAAGTTCGGGGGCAGTGTACCGTTTCGCGAGGTTGAGATGAACAGATAGCGACCAAAGTCGAAGTAGAGTGCAACAAGTTCGGGGTCGAACGTGCCATTATTCAATCCGCCAATTCTTTGAGCTGTCGTTTGGGACTTTTGTATCGCGGAGGAGTTACCAAGGCTGAGCTCCACACGATGGGCGTATGACTGGTAGTCTTTTACATGAGCAGCACGTATCTCGGGATATGTCTGCTTGATGGCCGCAAGATCAGCTAGGACTGCTGCCTTTGGGTCACTCTTGCGGAAGTCGGTCCAGGACTGGAAATAGATCCAAGCTTCGTCGGCATGATCAATGAGGATAGTATCGCCTAAGGTGTAGACACTACCACCCTTTGCCATGACCCGAGCACCAGCTGCAAACTCGATGCCAGTAGCTGAGGCACTGTGTCCACCTATCACGATGGTGTCGTTGCCAGACTTCCGGCTGTAGTCTTCCCAACGGTTCAAGGAGCCATTGGGACCTCGCCGAAGGTGCACACGAAGGGAAACAGTGCCTGTTTGGTTGCTGGCCACGCGAACTGCAAGAACCCCTGCAGGCTCGCTGGAGAGGTACTCCCTGAAGTAAGCAGTGCCATTGTTGACGTAGTAGACACCAGCTGTAGCATCGTCAACATCCAGATACCGCTCATACGAAGATCCCTGAGAGCTGTGATTCATCTGTCCGCTGTTAGCCTAGGCTCGGCTAGAGGAAGAAAACGTATCGCACCGTGATCTCGAGATCTCCAAGAAGCTCGTAGTGGCGAGCTGATAAAGGTTGACCAGCATACATGAGATCAGCAAAGCTCGTGGCCTCGACCACACTACCATCACGAATGAGCTGTTGCAACTTTGACATTTGCGAGCTAGCATCTTCGTTGACCCGGTATATGAACTGCGGCGGCAGGATCAGCACCATCTCGTCGTGTCGACATGTACAGCAATGCACAACTTACGCCCCCAGACCAGAAGCTATCCTCGTTCACGCTGACGATTTCACCAGCAACGTTTCCAAAGACGGCACCACCGACCCTGCCATTGCCGATAAGGTAGCTGTTGTTGTAATTGACTGCTGGGCTTTTCGACCAAAGCCTTGAACTGTATGCGGCAGAGTTTGGAGCCACCACTGCTTGAGAAGCGGCGTGGGTCGCTAACGTGAGGACGGCGATGTGGCACAACATCATGAAATCGAGAGAAGGGAGTAGTGGATGGGAAGAGGCAGTCTCAACAACAAACCTTCTGCTCTGCAGAGTATAAGTAGCTATTCATCACGACTGGTGATCTCCGTCGACCAGCTCACTCGCGGCTAAATGCTTGGTCTGCAACAAGACTGCGATCTATCGCTGAATTTGACGGCATGGAGTCTTCCATGTTCGTTAAGAGTTCCTACAGAGGCGGGGGACCTGCATTTGCCGTCGCTGACGTGACGTTCGTTTGCATAGGCGCGGGGTTCGATAGCCTGTGACCGGGTAGTGGAGTGGTCGAGTCAGTAACAGTACAAGACCAATCTCTCCACCTATCATTGCTCTTGCAGAGTAGGCTGTAGAGCTTCGGACCATGATGTGGAGCCGCGAATGAGACAAGGACTGATGAAATCGTTGTCGAGAAGGAGAAGCGAAAATGTATGCTCCAATTTGGACGACCTGTGCTGAGTCATTGTTGGGGGCCACGGCATGCTACTGAGAACCGTGTTAGATGATAAAGTGTGCTAGCCAGGTATTCCCAAAGCACGGGAGGGAGACAAGGGGCCACCGACCTGAAAGTATTTCAATACGTGCAGTACAGCAGCGAGGTAGACTGACCTTCCCACGTTGTCGAGATTCGTGATTTGGGCCGGAACCTGCTACGAAGGAGACTTGAGTTTTTTCAGAGTCGTTGCAGCTATGCCAGCGAAGAAAGGCAAAAACTACTCAAACAAGACCGCAGTCGCTAACAAGACCACATTTGACGTTCTGGTCACTGGCTTCGAAATGTGGTCCGGTCATCCAAACGAGCCAAATCCTTCACAGCTCATAACAGCAGATCTCCCAAGGAAGATTGAGATCAAGCAACCGGGCAACGCAACCATCAATGTCTCTGTAAACTTCAGCAACGAGCCGGTACCCGTGAACTTCGCAGGTATCGATGCTCTTGTGCCAAGGCTGTTCGAAGCCAAACGATACGATTTTGTCATTCATACTGGAGTCGCACCTAGTATCAAATGGTATGAGATTGAGACATCTGCCAGGAGATCTGGTTACAAAACCAAGACCGACTTTGGCGAAAAGCCTCCCGGCGAGGAGCATCCAGGGTATGGCGGCCGGGAAGAACCTGTTCGGTTTGAGACATGCGTGTTGGACCTTGGCGTCGAAACCGTCCTGAAGTCATGGAAGGAACAGTGCACGCTCAAGGATGCAGATTTGCGTATCTCACGGGACGCTGGCTTATTTGTGTGTGAGTATATCACGTATGCGAGCTTGGCTTATCTGCGCTACAACAAAAATCACTTACTACCACCTGATGAGCAGACAGGAGTGGCATTTCTACACGCTCCTGCGAATGGAAGCGAAGGAATGGTACGGAGAGGAAAGGAGGTATATATTGCTTTGATCAAAGCCTTGATACTATCAAAACTTGGCCACTGATTGCTCTCGCTCTCGACATAGTCCTTGGCTAGTTGCTCCATGGCTTAAGAACGCTATTCACCAAAAGACAATGTCGATTCGTACGCTAAGCTCGACTGAGACCGAGTGTAGCCAGGAAGCCGGAAATGTCTACGAACCTCCACGGTTCCAGGGATACACTCTCCGCCAGTTTTCTACAGGCCGCTGTATATGCACAGGGCGATGTACGCTCCTATCTCAGCGGCCTCCGCTTTTCCAGAAAACGTGGGCCGGAGCATTAGGAATATGAGCGAATCGGTACTTCTCATCATGGGTGGACTTTTGAGAATGACTCTGTCGCACATCTTCACAGTTCCTGCAACTTGCTTCGACATTTCCACTAATTCCCACCATGAACTGGTTTCTCGTCATCATAATCTTTCTGCTTTGCTTTCTCGTCGCAGTGCTCGCCTTCTTCGCGCTATCTTCATGTCTCGGTGATGAGATTCGTGCAGCATGGTCCGGCAGTAGCACAACTGCGGTGCCTACGACCTACGGCCTCCAGTACGCTCGCATGATGGGCCAGGGTAGTAGTCATGCTAGCTGGGAGCAGATCGAGATGGAAGACATGCTCGACAAGCGTTTCGGCGATGGTGAGGACGATTGAAAGGTATGCTTGGCTTGCGTTCAAAACTCAATATCTTTGCCCGTAATCTGGCCAGCCTCTTTCTGGGCGTCATGATCACCTTCGAGCGGCGGTAGCGAGCATGGCTTGATGATAAATTTGCGTCTGCTGACTGTGAACGCTAGGTCTGCTCCCAGACTATTGCCGACACCGGCACCACCTTCGCCGCGCTCAGTTGTGACTGGCAGCTTGTGTACTCTGAGCATACCTTGCGGCTGCTCTTGGGTATCCTTGGAGGTTCGAATCTCTGAAGCGGTATTTGTGGCGTCCATTAGATGCGGGAATGGTGTCAGCTCTAGGACCCCATCGCTTAGAAGCTCCGCCCAACGCATAAGGCCGCTGCTTCGTGGGTGCAATTCAAGCGGTAGTGTCATCATCGCACTCAAGCGTGTTGGGTATTGACTGAGAAGCGACCGAAGCGATTGCAGGAACGCTAAGAAGTTTGTTGGCAGGCTTGCGGACGGTGGCCAGATAGCAGGGCTCAGGATGGTCGGGATGACAATCCGGTGTGTGCTGTGGGGCGGCGAGGACTTCAGTGTCTCGTGTATAGACTTGACCATGCCGTCGAACGGCTTCGACAACGATCTGACGGGTAAATAGTTGATCTTGGTATCGGGAGGTATGGAAAGACGCTTCGTCAGGTCGAACACATGGCAGAAACTGGTCTGGTCCTGATTTTCTGACTTCGACGGCGCACTGCGATCAGGGAGTGCTGGGTGATATTGTTAGCTGAGACAAAAAGCAGAAGGCGATGATGCAGCTTTTGACACTACGTAGAATAACACGATACTGCATACAGGACGGCACGCACCTCTTTCTCCCGCCTGTCCCAGCTTCTCATAGCGCCAGGCGATCTTCATTCTCTCGTCGTCGATGGGTTTAGAAGCTGCAGCTGCACGACTGGGTGTCTCCTCAATTACACCAGGTAGCTCTCGTACCCACGCTTCACCGACTCCAACGACATGCACATATTGGCCTTGGCAGATGCCTTCAGCTGCATGAAAGCGCAATAGTGCACCAGCAAAATCGGTAGTACCGCTCTCCTCTATGAGCAGACTAGAGCCAAGAGGTATGCCTCCGTGACCACCCAGCAAGTCGTCCAACGAAGGCGTTCCAGAGGACGTGACTGGTTGCGATGTGAGGGACGACGGTCGGATACCTGGAGGAAGTATCGACGCTTCTGGGCCAAAGGACTGATCGGGCGTACCGCCACGACCTACGGCCACATTTCGTTTTCTGAACGCCATGGAAGGAAAACGCTGCTGTGACGAATTTGCTCGTCAACAAGTTCGTCAATGCCGGGCGCGGTGGCTTTCCGCATGCATACCACTTCTCTTTTCGTCACACTACCTCGTCGACTTCTTCAAATCATCTCGACCAGTCTGTTACCATTGCAGACACCGAATCAATGATATGGAAATCTTGTAGTCCGATTAAGGTCCACCTCCGAATTCGCGATGTCGCTTGGCAATTACCATAATGGTGCCGATGTTCCCCTGATCGACGAGATGAGCAGGGTCGACCCGATGTGCCACGAAGAAATAGAAACGCAAGAGCGCAGACAACTATGACCGCCAGCTCCTGACTGACTATCGCACCACTCGCTTCCAGGAGAGCATCTCGCAGAGTCCTTACTTCTTCAACGCCCCCTTCTCTGGCGTGATCGCTCAGCCTGCTGCATGGGCATTCATCTACCGATTCATGTCAAACAAAAGTTATGAATATCCGGAAGGCAAGCTTAAGGGCGACCTGCTCAAGAAATTCTACGCCATTTCTGGTCAGGACGGAGACTTCACGTACACTCCTGGCCACGAACGTATCCCTGACAATTGGTACATTCGCAATCAGCTCGATGCCTACTCCATTCCTTGCCTCACACTCGACACATTAAGTATGTCCTTGCAACATCTTGAATTCCTGTCCATCGGTGATAAAACTGGTACCACGAACAGCTTCGTCGGTCTTGACCCGGAAAAGTTGACAGCAGGTGTCTTCAATGCGGCTACGCTGGCCGAGGGCAACAATGCCCTGTGTTATGGCTTGCAGCTCACGGTCCAGGAACTGCCGGATCTCCTCTCAGGATTGTTCACAGATATTAGTGGTGCTCAGGACAAGCTCGGCAGCGTGCTGAACAATGCAACCGATTCGCTTGGTCGCCCGAAGTTGAGTAGTGTGAACAAGGACCAGTTCGCGCAGTTCCCTGGGTATACGAAAGCGTACAGTGGCTATGATGCGCCTAGCAGCGGTCTCCTAGGACTTTAGATTAGCCGAATATGGATCAAGAGAATAGCAAGACCAAGACCGTGACATTTTCTCCGACTGTCGATCGTATAAGGCTTTACGGCGATGTGATCTCACAAAATTTACTTCTGTCAAAACAAGTCCAGGTTCACCAATACTGTATACCGCATGCTGTCCAGCACGACAAACACTTCCCATTTGTGCAGAAGTGGAAACGCGTGCTTGTAAGGTAGTCATGCTATGAATCAGCTGTCAGTGCAGAATCCACTGCAGATGACTCTCGCCCACTACAGGACAACATTTAAATAACAACGATGAGAACATGAGGTGGCTTGCGACAGAGGTTCTGCGGAATTGACAGCTCTTGTATCACCTAGCTAGGTAGTCTATACATTCATAACGTCATGATAAGGAAGTGATTTTTCCTTTTCCGCTGGCGTATGTTTAGGCCTTCCAATTCTCATGGAACTTATCGCGAGGGCGGTGTAGTCCCTGTAAAGTTGCCGGTCTGCGTCGTGTAATCACCCTGTGTTGTCAAGCTAGGAATGCGGCCCAGCAAGAACTCAAGCTGCCTGTAAGAAGCGCCAGGAACATATTGCGGGATCTCATGCCCAGCATGGTTGACAGTGACGAACGTCAGACCACGCTCAGTATGCGTAGTACCCAGGAAACCGGCACCAGCGACATCGTACGCAGGTGTAGCTGGGATGGGCTGGTAATTGATCTCGTACTGGATCTCGCCCAGACTCTGGTGGTAGGGAACGAAGAAGTCGTCCGATGGTCGGGTCTGGAAGCCTTGGGCTCCGTTCCAGGTCATGTTCTGGATTGTGGCGAGGGTTCCGTTGGCGAGTAGGAGGTAGTCGAGCCAGCCGTGGCCGATGATGACGTTGTTCGTGCGCTCGATGACCTTGGGAATCGGACCAAGAGATGATGGTACACTGGTATCACCAGGCCTAATGAGGCCGAGCGAATCATCACCGCAGACTGCGTAATTGGTTGGCGGAGCGTTGATGGCCTTCTGCACATTCGACTGGTTGAAGTAATTGTTTGGACCCCAGCCTATAGTCAGACTGGTCAGCTGATGCAGATAGAGTTGAGGTGAAGGTGACTCCGCTTACCAAGACTTGGGAATCCCATCTCGTCCAGGAGATAAGGGCAGAAGTCAATCAGATGGTAGATGTTGAAGCAAGGGTTGATAAGAATGGCAGCATTGATGATATCGTCCCAGACAGCGCAACCAGGCTCGGAGCTGTTGGGAGCGGTAGGGAGCTTTCCGAGGGGAGGAAAGGTAAGGGCTGTCTCCATGAACTCGAAGTAGCCACATTTCTCGGCTCGGGCATTGATGTCAGTCATGAATGTCTCATTGAGGCCGAATATGTTAGAGTAGTCGTTTAGGTGCCAGACAGATGGTGCTACGAATCATTAGCACAAATAGCTCCCGAGATATCTTCTATGCTTACCATAGATCAGAGTATCATCGTAATTGATCGAAGGATCGTTGATCTGAATGCCGCTGACATTGTAGTAGTCGGTATCATTCTGCTCTAGCATATATTCCGCAATATACGGAATGTACTGTCCCGCATAAGACTCGCCCGTGATGTAGACTTTGTGACCAACCAGGTCGAACTGTTCCATGAAGTTCTTCCAGAAACCGGCAAAGTCGGCAGCAACATCTTGCTCGTTCTTGATCGCTTGAGGTGTGCCGTTGGCAGCAGGCGAAAAGCCAGTGCCGACAGGTTGGTCAACCCAAACCATGTTCGTCAAATTTACCCACGAGTATGGGTTCTTGATTGGGCTGTATGTGCCACTCTGCCATAAGAATGGTCCGTTCTCTTGAAGAAGTCCATCGAGGGAGCTGCATCCTGGCCCACCATTGAGCCAGATCACGATCTCTTCGCAAGCTGCTGGGTTGTCGGATGGAAAGTACCAAAACCACAGCTGGTTTTCGTTCGATGTGTTGTTATCGATCGAGAGGGTACCGGCATAAGATTCGCCAACGTCGAAGCCAACGTCTGGGATGGCAGAACCGTTGACAGCGAATTCTGTAGAGGTATCAGTGTCTGACTCTGTGCCTCTAGACTGATAGTTCACCTACTTGCTGACTTCGAGGTGAGATGGTTAGATTGGCGCTTGTGGTGAGAGGGAGAGGCATGAGACACGTCGGACGTCCGCTTGACCTTTACTGGTGCTTTCCTGTGAGGGCTCTGTAGTGCGGCAACGCTCGCAATGCCCGCGACAGCGGTAGTGAGGGTAGAGATACGCATGGTGAAGGATGTGAGAGCACAGGAGAGGAGGTTTTGCGACAAGGGAAGTCGCAGAGTATTATACCTGCCTCTCTTGACCCAGCAAACACCTGTGACCTTTTGCCTTCCACATCGAGGCCCTGGTCCGATCATACCATCTGCAAAGGCAGGCACGTCAAACCAATGGGCGTATCGTCCTCATTTCGCACCAGACCAGGAACAGGCCTTCTCAGCATGATCAACGCAGGTCGTCCTGAACCATGTGCATTCCGCCGAGCCCTGACGTCGATATGCCCACATTGTCATCTCGCCATCCATACGCGAGGCCGCATCACGTCAACCAGCTTTTTGCTAGCATGTGCACACCTTCCTCATATGGTAAGGTGGTGAAGGCTATCAAGTAGCTTGATTCCTTCGTGTTGGAGCCGGGGTTGCTTGTTCGTGATAAGAAATCGGGGAATCACTTGCAAACCCGCATCATTCAGTCAAGCACCGCTTCCAAGCTTCGATATTGCACTCAGTGCCATCTGGTAGCACAGGTGCGATGGTTGTAAGAGAGGGACAGTAAACGCGAGATAGCTCGAGGCGGCGTCGGAGTCTCCGCTTTCGAAGCAATAATAGCAAAGAAACATATAGTACGCGGCAAACGCTCTGGGATTGACGCCGAGTTCACCACTCCATGTGCTTTCTCACGACTCATACATCCCATGTTCATATAAGCATCACTGAAGCCCGGCATACATTGCTGACAGCGGTCGGTCAAGAATGAGTACTGCTTGGCAGCCCAGGGTATCCGATGCCGGGCTAAACTTGTAGGTCTTGGGAGATACAGTGCTACGTGACACTCGATTCCTCCAGGCCTTGTACGAAGATCCTTCAGGCCAACCTTTCCGTGGTTATTGGACTCCGACAACGACTACGATAGTGCTAAAATGCATCCATCATGCACACCCTGGATCCTGTGGCCGTGACATTCTCATTACCCTTGGCAATCTCCGTGACTCGACGGCCCCTCGAAGCAATCACGAAAGTCAAGCGGGAACCGAATCAATACCACGAGGCCCACTCGTTGGCCTCTTCTTGATCTCGTCTTCTGACTCGCCACTCTTCAGCCTGTTGATCAGATCCTTCATCTCAAAGTCGACACCGATGGGATTCGTTTGATACACATCCGAGGTCATGAAACCCGTGGCTCCTTCTACAGTCATGCAATCGACCTGGGATTCGAGCTGGTAGAGTCAACATAGATCTTTCTTAATCAACGCATGCCATCCACTTACGATATTCCCATCTGGATCATGAGTATACACACTTATCGACGGCCCATGATTGATACACCAGAAACGCTCGATCCCATGCTTTTGACGCTGCAAGTAGACCAATGCCAAAGTCTGGAGATCACTGTAGGTGAAGGCGATATGCTCGAGTCCGCATGTCCCCGGGTTCTTGGCTGCGAGATCAGGTATGTTGATGATGCCGAGACGATGATGCTCGTCGTCGTAGGTCAACAGAGCCATGAGCTCATTCTCGAAAGAGACTGTGGCTCCGAGGAACTTCAAGTAGAAATCTCGCATCTTGTTGAAGTTGCTGGTACGCAAGACGACATGAGCGAGCTTGCATGGTGCTGTGACTTTGTCGCCAGGGTTGTCGAGGGTGGCCGTCATGGTGTAGGTATGTACGTTTGCTTGGAATTAATGGCTTTGTAATATAGTTGGTACTATAAGCTGAGTGTCAAGAGATGCAGATGTTCCTTCTATATATACGTCAAGGACTCCAGACTGACCCATGGCAAGGCAATCCTAAGAGGATGGACACGCTTCCAATTTGTAAGTATCTAGTGGGCTGACGTACAATGGACCAATGACTAGTGACGGCGAGACGAAGGATCGGTGCAACCAGAGGGCTAGGTCAAAACCGACTTGCTACGATACTATTTAGACTGCAGAGAGTGTAATGTAGATAGTCGGGATCGACAAAACCGACCACCGTGCACTGGAAATTCGGGCCAGAAATGTAAGAAAGCAGATTCTTTTTGGGTTGATCCTGCCATCACACCGCACCCAAACTCAACCTAGCTTAGACTACAGGATCCGTTGTCTCTGAGCCTCGAAGCCACTACTGTGTACCACCCTCGGCGCCTTGTGAATCAGCAACCCGCATCCTTCAGCCTTGAACCATCACCCAAACTAGACTGCTTCTCCCGACGTCGACCGTCGCCTTAAAGAGAACTTATCCCTGGCCGAGTCCAGCAGACGTCCTTCTGCCTCTCGCTACGTCGCACATCCTGCACAACAGCCTTGCCCAAGTTGCCCAAGAACTTTCTAAATTCTGCCACTCCAAAACCCGCCGCTGCTCTAGCCTCTGTCATAGAGACCCCTTTTGGCAATCTGCCTCGATATCTGAACCTCAGCCGCTTGCTTGCAACTCCCCTTGAAATTCTCGAAGCCGAGTGCAAGCAACGCAGGGATCCCCTCAGGCTCGACTGCACCACTGTAATGGTGTGCCTCGTATAGAAAGGAGACCCGAAGACCTTTCTGGGATTACTCATCTTTCCCGCCTTCGTACTCAGACTCTCTGCCAACCCCCCCAGAAAGCCCTCTCCCAGATCATAATCGGATCCGACCAAGTCCAGAAGCGCCATTGTTGCCCCCGACGCCGCCCATCCTCCGTACATGCCTATCTCGCTCATCGCAAGCATCGCCGCACGCACTGTAGCCCTCGGCTTCCGCCGGAGATCAACAGCTACAATCATCTCGATCGGATCAGGTTCAGCGGATACGGTGTTGTCGACCAGAAGTACCATGTGGCCTTGCACAGTACATTTCGGGTGATGCTGGGCATAGCGCTGAAGGGAGCGGAAGGCGTCGCATAGAGTGGTCCTGGCAATCCAAGCATCCTCTCCCAACAAAGGGTCGATCGCGACGCCTCACGTTCGGCGCTGCGGTTGGGGTTACTCCAGCGGCCGATGTGGTGCAGGAAGAGCTCGACAATCTTGCCAATGTATGTATGCTGCGAGCTGTAGCCTCCTTGCTAGCGTCTAGCCCCTTTCAACTCGGAAGTATTGTGCCGCAAGAACAAGGGGTTGAGCCTCTCGACGGATCTGTCGAACAGGTCTCTAGGATGTCGACCAGTGAGTGACCTTACGCCCCTTGGCTCGAAAGACGCATGCTCCATAGGCGCCAAGCTCGGGAGAGAATTGCGATGGGATCTCGAGCTACCACCACCATTTCGTAGATCGGATTGCGGAGTTCTGGAGGAAGGGCCAGGAATGGCGAGTGAGAAGTCGTTGAAGCCATGCTGTTGTGCACATAAGACGTCAATACTGATATTGGCAGTAACGCGTGGCGGAAGGGTGGACTTGGGTCTGCGTACGGAGTGAATCCACCTCGGAAAATGTGGATGTCGTGGATGTGTGTCGAGGCACGCAGATGTGTATCTTCCGTTGCGCTTGTGTCTCAAAACATGTGGACTCGAAACTGCTGCCCTGGCTGTGTGTCAACCCTCGAGTGTCGTGATCCTTTGTCAGCGGCGGGCTAGTATCAACGGTCAATCGGTGATGTGAGTGAAGCGCTCTCAAAGAAAGACTCTCGGCTCCGAGCGTGCTGTACGCCAATGGTAGCGTCCTGCGGTCTCAAGACTTCCCTTCATCCATAATCACATGTCTTCCAACATCTTAGCTGGTAGGATCGATCTCGTTCTTGGGAACGACAATAAGACGACGAAAGGGTGCAGCAGTGAATAGAAGGCAGACAGGCAGGCAGTGGAAGCGGAGCGTCAAGTCCCAATGGTCCTGTGTGTTTGTGTGTGTGTGTGTGTGTGTGTGTATGCGAGTCACTCAAAGCTTGATGATTGTGGTTTGACAAACGGTATCTTATGTCCTCTCATCCCACTAGCGCCACCAGCACCCACATCTTCCATCTCGACCCACATACGGCAGCCGCGACCCCAACCCACCACCACCCTGTTCTATATCTCCATCTTCCCTCTCACCTACTTCAACACCCAATCCTTATAACTCCACTTCTCCGTCCGCTCCGTCTTCGCCTGCTTATACTGCCACTGCTTCCTCCTCACCTCGACCTTCCCATTCACCAACAGATTCCTATACCGATCCGTCAACAGATTCCCCTCGGGCTTGAGTCTCCGAAGCGAATCCTCCAGTTCATCCGGCAGCACGACTTCGAGCGGTGCTTCGGGGACGGGGACTTGGCCGAAACGGCGGCGCTGCAGAGTAATCGTCTGACCGTCGTCTGCGGAGGAGTCGGATGCGAGGTCGTCGATTGTGGTGGTAACTACACCCCTCCTCGCCTTGTCCTTTGCAGACATCTCCTTGGCAATCTGCTTGATCCTCTTCTCCTGCTCCTCCCTAACCTTCTGCTTCCTCTCCCACACCTCCCTCGCCTCCCTCTCCTTCCTCGCCTTGATCTTATTCCTCTCGCTAGGTGTCTTCCGCTTCGCCTGCTTAACCACGTGCACCACCCCCTCCTCCTCGGCTCCACTGCGAAAACCCTCCCATTCGCTCTCCCACGCACTCTCATAATCCGTCCCATAATCATCCCGATCCGCTTTCTCCACTTTCTCCGCTTCGGCAAGAGCGCGAGCTTCTCGGTCCGCGACTTCGGCTTCGTGGGATAGACGTGCTTTTTCTGCTTCCACGGCCGCGGCACCTTCTGTTTCCAGGAGGTGCGACCAGTCTGTCACGAGCGGGTTGTATGATTTGCCTGCTGCGGGGCGGCGGACGGAGGGGATGGGTTTTCCGTTTGTGGAGAGGGAAATCGGGGCTTGTTTGAGCGTTTCGGGGGGTTTGGTAGCGGGTACGTCGTCCAAGTAGTTTAGCCGAGAATCCCTTTCCACTACGATATTCGCCCAGGGATCATGGTCGGCTTTTTCATCCAGCTTCACGCCACCTTGGGCATTATCCGCCACACTCTTCAGTCTCTGCAGCTCCTTGTGACTGACATAATCCCCACGCTTGTACTTCTTGCCCGCAGTCGGTACAGCAATTTCTTCCGCCTTTCTCTTCCGGCCATCGAGTCCCGGTATTGCACTTCTCTGCGCAATAATCTCGTCGGCTTTGAGGAGCTTTCTCCCTTGCTGTTTCCTAGCGATCTCGCTGTCACCTAGCAGGTCGGTAGCGAAGAGTGCATCAGATGGCTGCTCTGCAATCACGCCACCACTCTTGATGATCTCGTCGCGGACGTTTTCCAACCCGCTTTGGACTTCGCTGATGTCGACGTTCTTTCGCCATGCCTTCTTGCCTTTGCGGGAAGGTTGCGTATGTGTCGCAGGTGCTTTAGCTATCGTGGTGGCCATGATGCTGTGGTTTTACAGCGTAGCACGTGAATATGAAATCCAATGCTGGAAGAATTTCCATCAGGAAGTGCTTAATCGATATCCAACGGCAGCGGCCGAAAGTCTCTCCTCGGAACATGTTCTCCCGGCCTTCTGGAAGGAGGGAACGATGATGGACACAGCCACAAGTCGGTTGGTCGCGTGGCGGAGAGACATACTGTATCAGGATTCAGGAGCATATATATCTTACCGCAATTGATTGAAAGCAATTGATTTATACTGTACGAGCAGCAAACATAGAACAACGTTCAGTAATCGCCAACACACAGCCACCGTTCACGGAGACATTGACCGCATTATTGAACAAACCATCAAAGAAGACTATCCAACAAAGGAGCCGAGAAGAGGAGGAGATCCAGGAGGGTGGGTTTCACATTGATCCGATCAGCAACCATGGCGCAGAATGTCGGCTCCTACACCAACCCGCTGAAGAAGTTCAAACTAGTCTTCTTGGGTGAACAATCAGGTAAGAATGATCAAAACCACAACCCCTCACGCCTCCCAAACCAGATCAACCCCATTGACACAGCACTAATGATAATAATGCTCATGATATAATGCAGTCGGCAAGACCTCCCTCATCACCCGCTTCATGTACGACTCCTTCGACTCCACCTACCAAGCCACCATCGGCATCGACTTCCTCTCCAAAACAATGTACCTCGAAGACCGCACCGTCCGCCTCCAACTCTGGGACACCGCCGGCCAAGAACGCTTCCGCTCCTTGATCCCCTCCTACATCCGTGATAGCAGCGTCGCAGTAGTAGTCTACGACATCACGAGCCAGAAATCTTTCGCGCAGACGCGGAAATGGGTGGAAGATGTCCGGGCCGAGAGGGGGAGTGATGTGATTATTGTTCTGGTGGGGAATAAGACGGATCTCGGGGCGGAGAAGAGGGAGGTGACGGTCGCGCAGGGGGAGCAGGAGGCGAAAGAAAGGGGACTGATGTTTGTGGAGACGAGTGCGAAGGTGGGGCATAATGTCAAGGGCTTGTTCAAGCGGATTGCGCAGGCGTTGCCGGGGATGGAGGGGGAAGGTGGGCAGGGGGGGCAGGGGGTGGCCAATAGTGAGTACTCACTTCCACAAAGAGTGTGGGGAGGTGGTTTGCGGGTTCGGTATCTCAATGCTGACTGTGTTTGTGTGACAACAGCCATCGATGTCAATGTCAACCCGCAGAAGCCGGAGAGTGAAGGCGGATGCAACTGCTAACCCCAAACGTATGAACGGAGGAAGCATTTGGATAAGGCTCAAAGACCGAGCTCGAGAAAGGAAGGCCCGCATTGGCACAGCAGCGTGGCGTTCGTGGGGAATCGGCATAACTTTTCATGTTTTTTGGAGCGAGGGAGAATTTAACAATTATTCGTTGTCACGAGCAAATATGAAAAGGGAAATTTTGTACATACTCTCCTGTACGATGTGCAAGACGTACCCTGAGGTACATTCACGACAATGCCATCCCAAATACGCCCGTTTCACACCGAAGACCCGGCAACACCACGCTATGCAGCACTACTCCCCGCCAGAACCGAACGCCTCCATGCAACCATGATATAATAGACAAATCTACTGCTCAACCTTCCCCTTTCCCACCCCCATCGGCCCCAACGGCACCGGCGGCCCCGTCCCACTCCGAGCCCTCCTCTCCCTCTCCCCAACTCCATTCCCATTCCCACCCGGAACTTTAATCCTCAAACCCCTCGCCCTCTCAACCCGGGACTCCACTGATCGCGCCCACTCATCCTCGCTCTCATCCTTACCGAGCCAATACCGTGTACTCGGAAACTTGAGCATTGTCCTCCCCAAAGCGCCGAACCAACCCTCACCTTCCGTACGACCGCGGCGGAAGGGGGAGTCGGCTATATTTGGATCCGTGGAGGAAGTGGAGGTGTATGTGCCCGTGGCGGCTGAGGAGGCGGCGATGTGAGCGCGGAGGGTACTGCGGGCGTAGGAGAGGATGACGATGCAGAAGTAGAGGCGTACGAGCCAGAGGAGGGCGATGATGAAGATGCTTGATAGACTGCCCTGCTCCAGCACCACGCCTGAGAGCGAGCCTCCGGAGGCAACGATAGTGGCTTCTTGTCCGGATACAGCGCCAGGTGCGGCGGGGATGGCTACGACGTCCACTTGACTGACTGTGTGTTCGGGAGAAGTGAAACCAGCCGTATCGTTCATGATCCCTCCTACTATCCCCTCGGCTCCAGGGACAGGGTTCTTCTCACCCAGATGCTGCGCAAGCAACACGAACCATCCCAGGCCGAAGAGGGTGGTGTAAACGCTATTCACCACCGTATCAAGAACATACAACCACGCCAGTCCCAGAATCTTGATCGTACTCCCCACTGGCGCATCCCGTGGCGCTCGTATGGCGGGGGAGAGGTAGATTATCAGAGCTAGCACGAGGAGGGAGTAGATGTAGTGGCTTAGTTGCAAGGGGTTGAGGTGGTATCCCGTAAAGAGGGCGAGGATGCCGTAGAGGCCGGTGATTTTGTTGAGGGCGAGGGTGAAGGTGATGAATTCGGTGGCGGTACGGAGGGAGATGAGGTGGAGGAAGGTCTATACCGCTGTTGTTAGAATGGCAGTGGTAGGGTGGGGTGGGGTGTGGTATTGCTTACTCTTGGTCGGGGGAAGCGGAGGAGGGCCATGGTGGTCGCGTGAGTGGTCGCGTGAGGTGCCGTTTCGTGGTCACTGTTGGGTGGAGGCGATTATTTGTGCCTACTGCATGCGGTGAATATTTATGTACAGACGGTCTGTACGAGTCGAGTGTAAGTGAGTGTAACTGTAACTCGAATGTAATCGAGGGTTTGCGCCGGAGATGGTCGGAAGCTGCGAAGATCCGAGAACGAACGATCCCGGTCAGTGCCAAGACTCGACTCACGTGGCATCTCGTCATTCGCTTCACGCGTTCCTTCCTCCTCTGAATATCACACACTCACCGACACTGAGTCAGTCAGAGTTTCCTGTTCACCCAGCTCGAGACACGTTGTTGGAGCTGCGACAGAACTCTACTCTCGCACCCTTCCCTTCACACATCCTCACGGAGCACTCAACTTGCTCATGTGTCGTGGCTTGTGATCAGCTTGTGTCCATCACAATTAAACAGAGCAAATGTGGTAGCAAATATGGATACTATCACTCTTTGCCTCCACCTCCAGCTCTGTCAACGAATTCCTAGCCTTGATCGGCGATGATGACGTGCGTGAGAGCGGCTTCTTTCTACATCCTCTGCTTTTCCGCCCGGTAGTTGCAGCGTACATAGATCGTCTGGATCAAGGTGAGTGGAAGCCCTTTGCCTAAAGCAGTGTACTCGATCAGAAAGAGAGGAAAAAGCCGGCTCCGTACGACATACAAATGACGGTCATAAGAGTTCGGAGGCATCCTCGTCGGGTATGGAAAATGCTTGGTGTATGTGATGCCGTGTCATGCTCATCTCCTCAACTCACTCATCAACCCTAAAAGCCTTTCCCCCCTTCCCAAACAACACCTCCGGCTTCCGCTCCGCCACATCCAGCACCGCCTGCGCAAACACGCTATTAGCCCACGCGAACCAACTCCGCGTATAATCCCTCACCCTCTCCACATTCACACTCTCATGCACCAATCCCAACGGACACGCCTTCTTCACCTGCTCAAACAGCCCCAGAATCACCTCCTCGTTATCTTCAGTCATGATCTGCATGAGCAAGGACATGGGCCACGCATTCTGAAGTCCAATATGCGGGCCGCCGATGCCGGAGAAGGCGGTGCCGGTGAGGTAGTATGGGTTCCCTTGGGCGGAGAGGATCATGCGGCGGGTGTTTTGGTACGTCATGTCGTTACTTTGGAGGAAGCCGAGGTAGGGGAGTGCCAGGAGAGAGGGGACATTGGCGTCGTCCATGAGGATACTGGAGCCGTAGCCGTCGACTTCGAAGGCGAAGACGGGGCCCCAGTGTTTGTGGTGCACGACGCCATGTTCCCAGACGCCCTTTTCGATTCGCTCGCCGCGGAGTTTGAGATCCAGGGCAATTTTTAGTTTGGAGGATGATTGGAGGAGGGTGGATGTGCGTTTTAGTTCCGTGGCTATCATGGCGTTGGCCGGGATGAAGAAGCCGAGGTTTGTGGCGTCGTCGCTTGGGCGGAAGGCGGAGCGGATCAGGCCTGTGCCGTTCGCTAGGGGGTTGCCGTTGCCGGCTAGGTTTAGTGTCTCAGTCCCGGTGTTGGTGCTGCGTTGGAAGCGGTAGTTCTGCTTCTCGAAGGCACCGGTTTTGGGGTTGAAGGTGGGCTTGCTTTGCTCGTCCAGTACTTCCAAGAGGGACTCCAGAGCTTTATACCATCGTGGCGTGAGGAAGGCGGTGCTGCCGGTGTGGTCGTAGTACTCATTGCCCAGACGCAGGAAGTGGGCAAGCGAGTCGAGCTCGTACTTGCATTCGAAGACTTGGCTGGGCTCGTAGGCTGGGTGGACGGCGTCAGATTGACCGTTGTCGCTCGGTTTCAGCTTCGACGGTGGCGGTGGTTGGAAGGCATTACAGTAAGGGCTCTCGATCACATATTCGGCTTGGGTGTTGATGGCTCCAAGGATGAGGGTACTGATTGCTGGATCCCTCCTGGCCAGCCTCTGATACTGTGCTAGCTGATTTGTGCTGTCTCGCAGCCATTCGGCGTTGATGTCGCCCGTCACGATGAACGATTGTGCGCCCTTCCATGCCCCATCCGCCGCCCACTTCGCATTCAGTACTTGCTGTGATTTGTCTTGCTTGTCTGTACCGTCTGTGTGCCACCGTACTGTCGTATCTAGTGTATTTGGAAAGGCGTTCTCGAATATTCTCGCCAAGTCTCGATCAATCATGGTAGCATTGAGATCTGATATGATTTTCTCCACCAGATCCGATTGGAAGGTGCGACAGTGTACTGAGGGCCGCTGGTATGGTAGCTGCATGGGGCCATTGCTGTATGGGTGGCTAGTGATAGACCGTCAGTCATCTCCATATGATAATCTTCAGTACGACATACTGTGGAAAGCGTGCATATTGCTCATATGCTGGACATGCCGCCTTGTACCTCTCTCGTGCCTTTAATGCTTCCTGATGCGAGTCGGCAAGACATACGGGTGTATCCAAGCACAATCCTGCCAGCACACACAATGCAGATATGGAGGGTGCCTTCATTGTGTCGCGACCAAGTGGATCAGGTGAGATGTAGGTGAATGGAACTGACTTCCAAGCTCGAGTCGCATAGAGAAGGCACGCAATGGCGGAGGGCATTCCACCCCACCATTCATTCCATGACAATCTTCACGTGCAAGGCACTTTCATCCTCTCGCTCTCGAGATGGAGTCGATATCGAGGATTAGCTCGCTGCTGGAGACGGGTAAGTCTAGATGAACAGTCATGAGATATATACTAATACGACTATACAGCCCGCGACCTCACCCTCGAAGCAGCACGAGATGTCGGCCCACGAAAGCCCACCAAAGCACTTCCCGTCCCACAGATCAAGAAACTTCTCGACTCGCGAACAGAACGGGATGTCCTCGATGGCCTCCGCCGGGTTATTAGCATGCAATATGCTAATCCTCCACAACCCACCTTGACCTTCTTTGCTGTCGTGCTGAAGACCCTCTCTACGCCATATCCGTCCACACGACCATTGGTATACAACTATCTCATCCACCACGCAGAGCTGGATCCAGATACGGCGTTGTTATCTATCAATACCATACAGAAAAGCTTGTCCGATGCGAATCCACGGGTACGAGCAATGGCGTTGAAGACGATGAGTGGGATAAGGATACCCATGATCTCGCAGATTGTGAGCTTGGCAGTCAAAAAGGGTGTCAGTGATCTCTCGCCGCTTGTGCGGAAGGCTGCTGCATTGGCATGTGTGAAGTGTGTTAGGCTCGACGAGAACACGAGACCACAGGTGGAGGAGTATCTTGCCACCCTGCTACTGGATAAGCAATACTACGTTGCCGGAGCCGCAGTGCAAGCGTTCATGGAAGTATGCCCGGAAAGGCTTGATCTTGTACATCCAGCGTACAGGCGATTGTGTAAGATGGTGGTGGACATGGACGAGTGGGGCCAGCTGGCCATGCTACGACTGATCCCTGTCTATGCCCGGAAATGCTTCCCACGACGAACGAAGCGTGTGAGGCGAGCGCAAACACGAGAAGAGAAAGCTAAAGATTTCTACGAAGACCTGGAGCCGAAGGAAGAGGAGGAAGAAGCTGCAGCTGATTATGATGAGGTCGAGATCATGGACCCGGACCTCGACCTCTTCCTCACATCCATCCATCCACTACTGCAAAGCCGCAACTCCGCGGTCATCATCGCCGTGACCAGAGCATACCTCTACTTATCCCCCCAAACACACCTCCCGCACACCATCGGCCCCTTGATAGCACTTCTCCGTTCGCCACAGGATATCCAACAAGTCGCCCTGCACAACATTCTCCAAGTCTGCATCCACGATCCAAAGCCTTTCGCACCATACATCCGCCACTTCCTCGTCCGCTCCACGGAGCCATCGCAAATCCGCACGCTGAAGCTCGAACTCCTGACTCTCCTATTCCCGCATTGTGGCAAGGAAGTCCAGGATCTGATCTTAGCGGAGCTCGAGCACTTTTCGCACGGCCACGATCCAGATCTCGTGCGTGAGAGTGTGAGGGCTATCGGGCGTTGTGCGCAGGTTCCTTCGGCGAGGACGTCGAGACGTTGTCTCTCTTTACTTCTCAAGCAGATCCATTCGGCTGATTCGAATCTGGTTGGGGAGGCGATTGAAGTTATTCGCCATCTGATCCAGCGTTCACCCGACGAGCACCGTAAGACCGTAGTGAGGCTGGCGAAGAATCTGGATAGTCTTGTTTCGCCCTCGGCTCGGGCGAGCATTATCTGGCTTGTGGGCGAATTCGCGGGTATGCGAGAGAATACGGAAGGCGAAAGTATTGCTGCTGATGTGCTGAGGATTCTGGTCAAGGGGTATGCGGACGAGGAGGACGAGGTGAAGGGTCAGATTGTGTTGTTGGCTGCGAAGGTATATCTGGGTTGGTGCAATCGACGGAATGAGAAGAGGAAGGCGCTGGAAGGGCTGGATGGTGAGGAGTGGCGGTCGGATGGTTATGATGCTCTTGAGAAGGAGGACGAGGGCGGGTTTGAGGAAGATAGCACGAAGGCGGCGGAGAAAGCTCATCCGATCGAGCTGCTATATCAGCATAGCATGCTCCTAGCTCGATACACGCCTTCCTACGACCTACGTGATCGAGCACGACTCTACCGCGCTTTGCTGGCTGTGCCTACGAGTACCGAGCTAGCCTCTCTACTTCTACTGGCGCCAAAGCCTGTCCCTGTCGCACCCTCTCCAGGAGAGGCACGGAAAGGTTTCTTACTGGGATCAGCGAGCTTGGTCATTGGCGCAGGTGGTCTGCAAGGGCGTGAAGCGTTACCCGACTGGGTCGTAGAGGGTGACGAGCCGGATCCGGATTTGAGGGCGGAGGGAAAAGATGAGAGGGCTGAGTATGTTCCTGCTGGGTCTGTGGTGGTTAGTGCGGGAACGAGGCTCGATGAGGCGTTAGTTGCTGAGGGGGGGAAGAGTGGTGGAAAAGGTAGGGGTAGGACGCTTAATGATTGGCTTAATGATGATGAAGAGGAGGGGACGGAGAGCGATGAGGAGGAAGAGGATGGGGAGAGTGAGGAGGAGGATGGGAGTGAGGAGACGGAGGAGGAGGAGAGTAGTGAGGAGGATGAAGAGGATGATGAGGAGGATGAGAGTGCTGGGCTGGTACGATGATGACTACCTTTTCCTTTTGCCTACAGTAGTTTCGGTCTCGAGTCAAGCATGGGCTCTCACAATCTCGCCCGCAACCAGCTGAGCAGCATGAGTCACTTCTTGGCTGAGTCTGCTCTGCACCATGTCAGCTCTCCAGCCCATTTCTCACGAGGCAGATAGATCGCTTCGTCGCCCTCTCCGTCCACCGTAGGGTAATGTAGCACGCCAGAAGCAAGACCTCTAGTCGATCGTCCGAGGTGTTGAGCAAGTCCTCTCATCGCCAAGACCCAGACGGCCGGGTCCCAAAATGCTTCTGCCCGACTTATGTAGTCCATGGTAAAGATCTCGAGTCGCTTGAGCAATTGCCTCTGCTCAAGGGGCAGCACATGAATCCACCCTTTGGCTGCGTTCTGGTCTTGAGTGCGGAAAGTGGAGTCGGTATAGAAGAGCTGTAGGGACTCTGCTCGGATCTGGCGATTTGTATGGGGAAGACCTGGCTCGAAGATCTGGCCAACCCTGAGCTCGACGAGGCTAGAGTGGAGGAAGAAGTCGTAAACGTAGTTGCGGAGCTCTGGTGGGAGGTCGACGAGGCTTTTAGCCTGTGTGTTTTGTCCTTGGATGAGTTGCTCTGTGGCTGGATCCATGTCTTCATATTTTTGAGCAGATCGGATCCGGCCAGCGTCTGGCAGAGTACAGATGAATGAGGGAAGACGTAAAAGGCTAGCATCAGCATACCGCTGATGGAGTATATACATCAGGTGAAGTGTCTGGAAGTTCGAGGTGAAGTTCCTTTCTCTCCCTTTCATTGTCTAGGAACTTGTATTCACATGGTGGATACACCAGTCGCCACTGAGAAGGGCTTAGGGTACAGCTGGGACGTTGACATTGACGTGAGCACTACCGGATCCGTCTCCATGCTATCATGGACACTGCGGTGGTGTAGCCTGCACCGAGGGACATCTGGTAAGTCATACTGCGATAGAATAGGGGAGACGTGCAACTGCACCTTGTTTCTGATCAATCGATGCTAGCTACGACCGCTCTCCGCTGGATATGAACCTAGTAAGCCACTCACCCCCTATAATACCAGGACCTGTGATATGTGAGATGAGCATAGGATGACCCAACGACCACAGGATATGATGCAGCCTCAATCAGCTATACACATAGTCCCAGTTCGTGTGCTACGAGCGCCTAACTCCTCGTCGGCCACGCCACCATCCTCGATTACTGGAATCAGTAGTAATACGGCACAAGATCAACATCAGCACAACTGGTCGGAGCGTAAGGCGGGTTTTCGTTGTAGTATCTGTTGCGGACGAAGAGCTGTGGGACTTCATGCCACCAGTCGCATACTATGATTTGGTCAGCATAGATCTAGCTTTCGAGTCACATCAAGAAGTGACTATACCAAGCCATCCACCGAAGTAGTCCGCAGCCCCACCCGCGCCATGAGGTGCAGACGTCCACTGTAGACCAGTCTCATTGATGAAGAAGCCATTCTGAACGCCATACTCTGAGGAGTTGCTGCCACTACCCACGAAGACGCGAACGGGCTCCCAGGCGGCGTAGAAGTTGACGTTGGTGGCCAAGAGCATAGTCCACGGATAGTTAGGAGTGCCGAGGTCGAGCTCCTGGTAGTTATTGTCGATGTCGTTCGTGGCGTTGGAAGCTGGTGTGAGCCAGCCTTTGACAGTGTAATTGTCGCTCAACTCAGTGAAGACGATGTCGCTTTCCCCGGCTCCGGTGTGGTAGGTTGAGAGCTGGAGGCCTTCGTAGGCTTCCGTGCCAGTTTGGTTTGGCTTGAGGCAGGTCCAGAGGCTGTATTCGCGGGATGTATTGAGTGATGCAGAGTGTGCTATCGTGGTGACTACCAGAAAGGCAGTCGATAGGAGGATTGATGGCTGCATTCTGGCTGGTATTGCTTTCTTGTGTATGTGTGCCGTTCCTGTAGGATGGAAATTGTCTCGTCCACCGATGAGACAGGATGCTGTTCGGTGGGAAATATGAGAGTGACCAGGAAATGCTTGCACTCGACTTGCGACTACGTTAATATGCAGGTACAGACGGTCGTGCTTTGTCCTTGCGGCAAGCGTGTGTCATTATGTCTAAAAAGGTGCATGGCAAAGCTCATACCTGCCTCCTTGCCTGCTTGCTCCTGCTGTTATTCCATCCTCCATTGAGGGTGTGTCTACCTTAGCATGCGATCTCGCCCTATCTTACGTTGTGAGCCGCAATAAGAGCAAGCGATTCCGAGGTTGGTCGGCAATAGTGCTTCTTCGAATGGTTTTCACGAGCCTGGTACCTAGACTTGGCATCGTCTTGATCTCGAGAGGATTAAAAGTGATCCCGACCAGCCATGATCGAGCACACATGTTCAGTTGCCGCTGTAGGACTGACTTCGAAGTCACCAGAAGATGTGCCGATGGCGTTTCTTGAGAAGGAAAAGTAGTACCAAGATGTTTATCTCTTGTGCTTACCTTATCTCGCGTTCTCATTGGTGAATGTCGCTTCTCACGCAGTGACTATGCATCTGCCTCTCAATCTGGATTAGGATCACTGCTCTCATCGCTTATCATCAGAGCTCTTCTGTAGTAGCTCTTGCATCGAGTCTCTTGATGATGTTGAATCCTACATCCCATCTTTCTCCCTAGCCAGAGGGGAAGTTGATCGAGCTAATTACAAGCCTTGGGTACCGCGACAGCTAGCCCACCTGACAGCCGAAGCTCTCAGCACTGCATCTCCGAGGAGGCAAGGGTCTGTCTAGCAGGCCTGGCCGAGTCAGCCATATGTGATCGTATAGATGGAGGCAGTAGCAGTCGGGAGTGCAGGATCGCTTCCGAACGCAGTGAAACAACAGCAGCATGTCGACAGCATCCCAGCCCTCCACCCACAGACTCACGCCGTCAACAAGCCGCGACCGCGGGCAAGAAGAAAGAATGCACCAGAGGAGGAAGTAGACGACCCGTCGAAGAGACGATGTATGCTGCCTTCAGTCAAGATGGTACCGGGGGACGTAGCTAACATACTGTCCCATAGGCGTCAGTACAGCATGTATAGCTTGCAGGTGAGCCTTCGACCAGACTTCCCTTTCGTCCTCCGCTACGTACCGAGATCGACATACGTCAACGTGCACTAGGCTGACGCATCTTTGCGATTGTATAGGAAGCGAAAGAGCAAGTGCGACGGTAATCTGCCAGCCTGCGCAGCATGTAGTCAAGTCTATGGTACGGATTGTATCTACGATCCCAACTCGGACCATCGACGTAAAGGCGTATACAAGAACGATATTGACAATTTGAAGACACGGAACTCGACCCTTCAGACACTGGTCCAGGCTATCTTGAACTACGCCGAGGAGGATGTACCCGCTCTTGTGCGTGAGATCCGCACATGTGACAGTCTGGATGCGGTAGCAGAAAAGATCGTTGCCAAAGAGCAGGGTATCGAGGTCGAGGACGATCAAGATGACGGCTGGAACGATGATGACACGATGCAGGTGTCGACGTTCGAGACATCCTTGTATGGCAAGATGGGTGACCTACGGCTGGACGAAGGCTCCGTGCGATACATTGGCGGGACTTCGAATTTGATACATCTTGCTCAAGATGATGCGGATGGCGATATTGATGAATACACCCAACAAGAAGATCCTATCACTTCTTGGACCAACGTCACCGATGATCCGGAGCTTGTTGTTCACCTGCTAAATATGTACTTTACCTGGCATTACACTTACTTCACGACACTTTCCAAGACACTGTTCTACCGGGACTTCCTGCTAGGGAGACCTCCAATAACAGCCAAGCGGAAGACTTACTACTGCTCTCCATTGCTTGTGAATGCGATACTGGCGCTTGGCTGTCACTTCACGTCGCATCATGGTGCTCGGGATAATCCGGACGACTCGGCTACCGCTGGCGACCATTTCTTTAAAGAGGCCAAACGTTTGATTATGGAGAACGACGAACATGAGAAGCCACGATTGACGACTGTACAAGCCTTGGCCCTGATGTCTGTGCGCGAAGCCGGCTGTGGACGTGAAGCCAAGGGCTGGGTGTATAGTGGCATGTCTTTCCGTATGGCCTCCGACATGGGCCTCAACCTTGACTCTGGCCGACTGACCACAAACAAGACTATCAATGGCGATGAGGCCGAGGAAGACGTTAGGAGAGTGACGTTCTGGGGCTGTTATCTCTTCGACAAATGCTGGTCCAACTATCTCGGACGGCTGCCACAACTGCAAAGCTCGATGATCACCGTGCCCAAAGTCGAGGTCTTCCCTGACGAAGACGCTGCCACATGGAGCCCATATACTGATTCTGGATTCACGACTGCAAATGCACAACCTGCTAGAACGAGAGCTGTGGCACTGCAGATAACCAAGCTGTGTGAGATTAGCAATGATCTGATGCGAAACTTCTACGATCCTGCTGAGATGGAGAGGACGAAAGGCAAAGGTGCCGAACTCAAGAAGCTATCCGATATCCACACCAGGCTTGAGAGCTGGCGAAGAGAGCTGCCAAACGAGTTTGAACCGAAGGAGGGATGTCTCGCGAGTGTGCTAGTCATGCAGTAAGTTTCCGAGCGAAGCAAGTTCCGGTGGCTATTGCTTACAAAACATAGCATGTTCTTCCAGCTGCTGTTCATTCACCTGTTCAGGCCGTTTCTGAAATACACACAGCAGACCTCACCATTGCCGCAGAACGTCAGCCCTCGAAAGCTCTGCACACAAGCAGCAGGCATGATATCCAAGCTTATGCGTCTTTACAAACGCTCGCACGGTCTCAGGCAGATCTGCAATATCGTGGTGTACATCACGCACTCGGCTTGTACGATACACCTCCTGAACATGCCAGATAAGAATGCGAAGCGGGACATTGTACACGGCATCAAGCATCTCGAGGAGATAGCAGAGGGCTGGCCTTGCGCGCGAAGAACTCTAGCCGTGCTCAGCGTGCTCGCACGCAAATGGAAAATTGAGCTTCCGGAAGAAGCTGTCGCGGTGCTTACACGGACCGATGCCAAGTTTGGGACGTACACTGGCGAGGTATCCTCCCCTCCCGCTCAACGGCGACCATCCGAGCAGGTGATGCCACCTCCTCAGCCTGTCATACAGACGACCTATCCGCAAACCCAGATGGCCCAAGCACCGAGCTTTCCGAGCATGCCCATGGCGGTCAGTGTGAACGGCGCCCCTGCTTCTACCGCTTACGGAGGAGTTCCAGGAATGGTACGGCCAGAAAGCAACCACTTTGCATCGCCTCCGAGTGACGCCAATGGCTTACGTGCTGCACAGATGCCGAGCGCCACCACGACTCCCGCCCAATCCACACAAGGTCGCCATCGTGGACGAGACTCGGTCACCACAAATGGGGCGAGTCCTAGTGACATGTTCGGCGGCGTCGAACAGCTCATCCGTGACAGCCAGGACTGGGTGTACAGAGATCAAGCTCAGTATGCATCTGGGTTTGGCAATTGGAACGGCCTCGAGATGGATGCGGCGGGATGGAGTGGCAATGGCGGTGTCAATGGTACGCCGATAACACCCGTCAATGCGCAGATGAATGGCAGCGTGCCCGTGATGAACACAAGTCCACTCTACTCGACCACGGCGGCGCCAAATGGGATGGCGCATGCAGTGAATGGGTATCCACTGAGCAGTTGGTTGAGCGGACTCAACTCCTACGACTATAATGAGGCCGAATGGTATCTATAACGGCTGTAATGTTAATGATTCGACGCCAAGGTATACCAAACCAGTGTCAAAGCCTAGCACGTCTAAACTTGCTGTATTTCCCCTCGCTATAGGCCGTTAGAGTTCTCTTTTGCAGACGTTCGGGATCCTTCGCGCCGGCAGATTGAGCGGCCATGTTTGCCAGAGTTTATGTGTCGCAGGTACGAGCCCGTAGGACTATGTCATTCTCGAGGTTTTTAGGCCTGTAGGCTTGTTAGTTAGAGGTAGTCGCTCAAGGCCAGCTACATCACATCCCCGCGATCGTCTTCTGCGGTACACAATGAATCTTGCAGCATTGGTAAGCAAAGATATCTTGTCGCCTGAACCGTGCCACAGTGGCCCCCGGTCCATGTGACCGATTTGTTTTGGCGGGGCCAATGGGTGGCAGGCTGGCAGCGAAAAGACGGTTTGGTGAGAGTCCAGATCTTCGCTCGCACCGCCACAGCGACTGCACCCTGTCCGGTTTCCACTCGAACCTTCACCGAGGATCTGATACACCTCTCCGGTCGGAAGTTCGTCCAACCGTGCAATCCCTAAACCACCTTCCCTTCCAGGCATTATCAATCAGCGCTATGGCCGACGGCCACGCAAGCTGGATCAAACCGCCTCGAACTCTGTAATAATACGACTGCCCGCTGGAATATGCGGAAAACGGTAGCTGGTCAATCAATAACTAAACCAAATGTATACTCCCACTCAAGAACCTTCCATGTCTCCTTCTGCGCAACAGCAGCAGTCTGCAGACATGAGCGACATGGCCGACGACGACCAGAAGCGGAATGCTAACCTCGCACGCATTCGAGATAATCAGCGACGGTCGCGGGCGAGGAGAAAGGAGTACTTGACTGAGTTGGAGGAGAAGTATAGGACTTGTGAGAAGGTGGGCGCTGAAGCATCGGCTGAGATCCAGGCGGCTGCCAGAAAGGTTTTGGAGGAGAATAGGGCGATACTGGAGGAGAATCATCGGCTACGACTACTCCTCAAGCAGAGCGGTCTGTCCGAGGCAGATATTGATGGTTGGACCTCTGACAGGATAGAAACCACTCAGCACCCGAGTGCTGAGAGCGTGGAACTACAGAGCATGATGGGCAAACGCAAGCCGTGCGGGCCAGGATGTAGTCCTACCAACAGGACGGTAGAAAAGAAGACCGCGACCGAGCTGAAAGCTGCGGGTGCACAATCTTTAGCACCAACATCGAAATCTCTATTACCAGTACAGCCCGCTATACCGCAATACCAGAGTCCGCTCTCTGTCTCAAGCGACACCTTCACGCCAACCAGCGCGCATTTCTCACAGACGCAATCATATCCACCGCTGCCATCAGCCGAGCATTCTCTACAACCCATGGACTACGAACACTTTGATGAAGCTTTACTATGGCACGATAATTTCACATCGCCTGCAGGCACTGGGATAGCAGAATCTTCGTCTTGCTTTGTTGCCGCAGACGCGATCCGCACCATCAAACCTGATCTTGGCTTTGAGCTCGAACACGAACTGGGTTGTGGAGTCGGCCAGGAGTGCGCTGTTTCGAATGCTCAGATCTATGGTATTATGGATCGGTATGCTGCTGATCCTATCACACGATCTGTTGGGTGAGGCGGAGGATAGTATACATGACAGTAGGACATGATCAGAATTTGTGATACGATTAGTGTTGTGATAACGCATTGAAGATGAAGCGAGATATCAATGGGAGGGGCGTCTCAAGATAGCGGTGTAACTGTGCGCGACACCCAAGTCCACTTCACAGGGCACGCTCGAGCAATTGGCCGCAGACACATGATCCGCACGTTGAAGAGGGCACCGCCCAAACTGAATTTCGGTAAGTCTGATCTCTCCAAATTGTCTGGCGAGGACTACCGAATCGCTGACCGCACACGCAGGCACGAGGTGGCAAACGCGTGCAAATGGCAACAGACCGACACGGACAAGATCTTCCACTTGTGGACCCCTTGGTAACATTTTTATCGGACCGTTGACCGACGGACTCTCGCTGCGCCTCCACACCTCGCGCGTTCGCCAGGAATCAAGCACGCCAAGCAAAGCGAAGCAATCGCTGCAAAATCAGGGACCCGCAGACACATTAGATTGCGGAGGCAGTTGGGAGGAGCGACGGAGGGTAACTCCTGCCGTGGGTGCAGCCAATTTGCTTGCAAAAGGTGAGGAGCGATATGTCACTGCTAGCAGTGTAGTGGCCTGGAGTCTGGAGGGTCTTGGCACACCAGCCACAGGTTCAGCGCACTGACCATCAGGCATAATGTGACATGTGTCAAGGAAGATGGGCGAGAGATGTCTCTGATTGGAGTAATTATTGCGAAGAGTGTAGGCTGGCTGGCTACGAAGAGAGTTGTACGTAATACTAGCCATACCGACGAGGATCGCTGTAGCCAGCTACGCACCAAATGCCTCCTTGGCCTCCTGCATTCCACTGCTATATAGGTAAAAGGCTTGGCCCACTCCCATCGTCTCTGTAGCGTAGATTTGCGCACCGTCTGCGGAGCAAGAAGTACTACATGCGACGTTTCCCCTCGACGGCCAGTATCAAGACGCGTTATTACACTTCCGCTCGTGGGCCCTCGCATTCGCGATTTCCGCTGGAATCCTGGTTACGTACCGACGAGCTCGATCGCTCCTGATGATTAGCGGAACGCGATGCAGAGGCGCTCTCCGCTACGAACTATCTGAACAGATCTGCCAATCGACTATCCGCTGCCACGAGCACAGTACCTTCTGCCCTAAAGTCAACCTCGTCCCCCAACGCAGCTCGAAGCATTTTAACAGTCTCTTGCAATTCAACACTAAGTGACTCTGCTCCTGGTCTGTCAAGCTTTGCAATATTGATCCAGCATAGCGCGACACCCTTCATCACTTCACCCCTGTACTCGGCAATTCGTGGCCAGCAATTGAGTATAACTCCTTGCAAAGCCTTGGTCGCGGCAAGCAGGGTGGGTATCTCCGCGACAACACCAGATTGTGACAGGACTGGCGTGATGATCTCAAACAGATACTTGAGGTGCTTGACCGACTCGATACCGAGTTCATTCAAAAGCGGAATAAGATGCTGGAAGAGCACGGCTAGGACGTGAGGATAGCGGTCGGCGAGGTTGCAGCCTTGGATGATGCCATTGCGGAGTAGGGAGTCGAGGTATTTTGTCCGTTGAGCAGCTAAATGGGCGGTAGTGGCGCGCATGCCTGGAACAGCCTCCATAGGATATTGTACGAATGACAATTGCATAAGAGCAGGATAGACAGCAGAGAGTAGCTCGATGGACTCTTCTTCGGGTGTCATTGGAGGCACGGAAGTCAAGCAAGGTCTCAGTGCTTCGTCGAAGACTTCGCCTAGACCTGTGCGCTCGAGTAGAAGTGGTGGCACTGTCTGCAAGAGTCGTCGAAGAAGTTCGGCGCCTAACTTCTTATACTTCGCTTCCCAGTCATCGAGTAGTGTAAGCACAGGCGGTACGATCATCGGCCAGACTTCCTCGACGAGCTTCGCATCCAGGGCTTCGACAACCCAGCGCAGCAGATTCAGCACATCGGCGTCCTTGCCAGTTTTCCATGGTCTTGCCGTGTCGTCGTCATCCTCCATACCGATTCTCTTTGGCAGGACCTCGCTTTTGATCTTTCGTCCCTGATCCGTCACGCCGCTAGGCTTGGTCTTAGCAAATAGAGGACGAATGGTAAACTTCAAGAAGTGCACGACGAGGGCATGGGCAAGCTCACCTCGCTTTGATCTGACTTCTTCGATCGCCTCAGTAGGGTCCGTGATGGTCGGGTTGCGGAGTTGCCAGGCCATTACTACGTCCAATGCATCCTTCATCCAGGGTCCAGGAGGAGTATCGAGTGCTTTAGCCAGCGCTTTGCCGTCCAGCAGAGGCTTGAGGGTACACACGTCGAGTAAGTTGAGAGTGTCAAGATGGTGGACGAAAGTTGTGTATTTGCGTTCAGTGGCTGATGTTGTGTTAGCTGCCGATTTCCGATCATGTGGATGAACCAAATACCTTCAACAGAGCCCTGGTTCTCCACCACCTCAACAAGGAATGAGTACATAACCTGGTTTCTCCAGCTCGTACCCCATCTACGGATCGCCATGCCCAGTACATCACGCGCCGATGCACTTTCACCTGTAAAGACCTTGTCAGGCCTCCGTTTCCGATCTTGCAGTCGATCGACCAGCGTAGAAATCTCCTCCTGATTGCGCACAGATGCGACGAGGACATCCGTGACTTTATTCGTCGCCTTGATGCCTTCTCTAGCCACTCTCTCGATGACCATAGGTGGTGCTTTGCGCCCAGGGACAGTGGACTCTGGCTGAGGTGCATCGCGATACGGTACGAGGGCGGAGAGCTGCCATGCCATATAGCGTTCTTCCACGTCGCGTACGAGTACTTCGGCCAGAGGCTGCTCGCTCTCTGTTACTTCCTCAAGCGTGTCGATCATGACTTTCCATCCGTCAGTGTCAGGTGCGTAGTGATCGGCTTCAACAACTTCTGGAGTAGAGAAGATCGTGTCATACAAGCCCAGATCGAAAACTAGTCGCAATGCTTCATGTGGATCGGGACCACGTAGTGCCTTCTCCATCTCGACACCCACGCGTTCTCTACTAATCTTACAGCGTAGTGCATCCTTGATACCTGCATCCTTCATAGCTTGCATGGCTTTCTTGTCGATCTCATATCCCAGACGACTGGCGAAGCGGATCAACCTTAGGATGCGTAAGGGATCATCCTTAAAAGTTTGATATGGTTCGAGTGGCGTCCGCAGAATCTTTGCTTCCATATCGTCATGGCCACGGCCAGTAAAGTCTTCAATCTGCTCGGTATTGATGTTGTAGAACATGGCGTTGACGGTCGCATCACGGCGCAGAGCGTCTTCCTCCGCAGACCCAAACTCCATCTGAGGGTTTCTGCTGTCATCGCTGTATGTTTCCTTTCTCAAGTTGACAAGATCAATATCGAGGCCAAGGATGCGCGTAGTTACCGTCTCAAGATGCTTCGACTTCTCGGGATTGGCCTCGATCTTGTGCAGACCGCCCACAGTCTTCGACTTGTCAGTCGTACCGGCCTTCTGACTTTGCTTATCGGAAGTGGCAACACCTTCGAGACCATACTTCTCTGGATTGCCGGGGAGTTCGAGATACTCCTTCAAGCGCAGCCCGAACTGATATCCAGTCATCTTGTTGATGGCGACGTCAATATCATGGCTCGGTACGCCTAGTAGCTTATCCCGTACCCAGCCTCCAGTGAAGCGTAGTACGATAGGTTGTCTTGCGAGTTCATCAGGCAGCCAGACCGTACTACCAGACTGTGGCGGAGTTGGATGTGTATCCACATAATTGGCTACATCGAGTAACAGCTGTCGAAGCGTACTTTCCACAGGCGAGAGATCTAGCTTCCCGCTCCTGTCAGGTCCATCGTCAACTTCCTGGACAAGAGCTGGAGCCATTTTGACGGTGTAATGAAGATGTCCAGTCGAGCTGTGGCTGATCTTGCGTCTTTTCGATCTCTCAGGTGATGTTGTGGCTAGTCGAGCCAGAGACATGCGACAGCTTTGTGGACATTGGAGTGTGGTCACTGGGCGACCTCGTCCTACTTGGGTGATTCCGAGCAGCTGCTTTGTGTTGTTCAATCCTCGTTGTTGACTCAGGCGGCTGTAGAGCGAGAACATCCACCGTCCTTTCTGGCAGGGATACGGGATTAGATCACGTGGTCGATATGTCTGGTCGTATACAAACCCTGCGGACCCTCTAGTTTGGAGGTCTTCTCTTACTGCTTGTGCCAACTTGACCTCTCGTGTGAAGGTGTTTCAGATGTTTCATTTACGCCAAGCGGACGCTTTCCGCGTTCATGATCGCGACCTTTGCTGCGGCCACGACGTCAGCTTCCATGTGATGTGTCTTGCGATTTTCCAAACACGATTGATAGATCTGGATCGGCTCAAGACTCTTGATCTATACCTTGCCCGCCGATGCCCTGCGATCCGCCTACGACCTTGTCTACGCGCCGAATAGCAGGCTTCTCTGATGACCTCGACGCTGGATGACCCTCTGCAGTCACCGCAGGACTCCGACTCGGAACAGTCCATTGCTGTGCCTAAGAGACGGCATGGCAAGTCCCCACTGGCTTCGGTAGCCAACCTACCATATCGCCGGTCGAATGCTTCTTTGTCGACGCTCTTCGCCTCGACCACCTCGTTACCATCCAGCCAAAACAATACTGCTTCGCCAAGCGAGTCCCAAGTTGGAACCCCCACTGCCGGCACAGTCAACGGCTCTGTCTTCTCCCCCGCAGGATCAACCTTGCGCTCGCCATCCCCAGCTGCGCACCCGGCACAACTGGGAGCAAATACCGAGACTCGCGACCTGATCCTGCGAGCATACTCACCACATGTATCGTTGCTGGCCTCGCAAGATACGGAAGAGCTCATCAGGCACAAGGGTATCAATGGTGGACTACTGGAGATACTCAGGCCCTTCGGTGAGCGAGTACAGGGCAAGGTCACAATCCGTGACAGTAGTGGGGTCAGTCGGTCTTGGGAAGACTATGGCATACGATTTACTGGCGTGAAGGACGGTCTGGAAAGTCCTAGGGCGGCGGATAGGCAGAGTATAGACTCGGTTGGTAGCGGAAAGCGAAATGGTCAGAGGTCATCCATGCTGGAATACAAGCCTGCCAGGCTACGGTCAGGTGGGGATGTACCACAAATCGAGGATTTGGTCGAACGTCACCTCACATTCGCGGAAGAACAATCTGGACCAATCGAGGCAGACTATCTCAACCACAAAGACACAGAATCGAGAGAGTCGAATGCACCATCTCCTTTTTACCTACTGTATCTTCGACGCCTGCTCTCTGGCCTTCCCATGGTACCATCAGAAACGCTTTCACATCCAGTGGCAACAGTAATAGCCATATCGTCTCGATCAGCAAATCCCATCGAAGAGCTCCGGAACCTCTTTCATTCTTCCAACCAAGGCGAGCATCGATTGCCACAGTGGGTGCATAATGAATTCTTACGATATTATGTTCTTGTACACGACGAAGACTACGACGATATCACGACCTCCATGAATTTATTCGACCAGATGAAACGGCATTTTGGCCTGCATTGCCATTTGTTGCGGTTACGAAGTACACAATGTGTACCCTCTGACGACGGCGCGATCAAGCTCCCACACTGCGAATGGACATCTGCAGCTGAAGAACTGGCAGAGATCGTTCGCCGTGAGACGAGTGAAGATGATGAGGACTCAACACCATGCATCTTCGATTCAGACGCAAACGCCATCCGAGCATTCGTACGAGAAATGGTCACGCAATCTATCGTGCCATCAATGGAACGGGCATCAGCAACATGGAACGATCAGGTAGCCTCTCGCCGACGAGGCTTGAGCGGCCGCTTCATGTCCCTCTCCAAACGCTTCACCACCTTCGGAGGACGCAATACTTCTGTGCCGGCCTTAGCTGGTGGCGGTAGCAACTACGACAGCCTACAAGGCTTCTACCGACCAGATGCTCCAGAAGCTATCATGCGAAAACTGGCCGATTACGGTATGATGCTGCGCGACTATAAGCTAGCGCACAGCACATACGAGATCTTATGCCAAGATTTCAAGAACGATAAGGCGTGGAGGTATTATGCTGGTGCCAATGAGATGGCTGCGGTGAGTAGTCTGCTTTCTGCTAGTCATCTAAGCACGAGAGCGAGGATGGAAGGTGTTGATCAGTATCTGGAGACGGCATACTACTCGTATCTCAGCCGTGTAGGAGCACCGTACAACGCTCTACGCACGCTTGTGTTGGGTGCGGAACTGCTGAAGATGCGGATTGGCAGTGCGTTGGACGATGCGGCACGCTGGTCTAGTCGTCTCCTCGAGGATCGAGTGGTGGGTCCGGTCGGCCATGTGCTTCTCATGGAACGCATCGCCGCCTGCTTCACCGAACGCAAAGGCATCGCGACAGGCCTCACAGAAGGCGAGCGGAAACGGAAAGCTGGTTTCTGGAATATGCTCGCTACCGAGGCATGGCTGCGTACCGAGAAGACGTCTCAAGCGGAGCGGTGCCTGCGTGAAGCGGAGCAACTGTACCGACTCGAAGAACAGGGCGTCGAGTTTGATGGCATGCACCGATCTCTGCGAGCTCTCCAGGAAGCGGTGAAAGCCAATCGCAACGGACCACAGCATTTCGATGGCGCGGATCTGCTAGGCGACGATCTCGAACTCCAAACCCAGACCGTAGAAACTCTTCAAGATCCACTACAGCAGGATTTCGGTGGTCCCAGGTCTCCGCTACGGGCCGCTTTTGGTCACGGGCATAGGAAGAGCTTGAGTGCTGCCATTGCTCCCATGCAGCCTCCACCGATACAAACGGAATTCGGCGATCCGCTTGGGGTGGTGCCGAGTGCTTATCAAGGCGGTCTGGATCTGAACTCTGCAGTCAGTCAGCATGGCGTCGATGTACCTGCTGCGAGCCCGATCGTGGAGAGGAAGACTCCCAGGGAGGATGGGTTCGAATAATACGTTGCCTTGAAGCTTCGCCTGGACAGGAAGAATTATTTTGTCTTTAGCGAAGGCGTCTGGTGTTTAGAATAGATAGATGTATATGGTACTTTCTCACTTTCCATGACTCTGTCCTATGCCATGTTCTATTCGGGAAGATACCTTGACAGCGCCATACACCAGCCATATCATGGTCGTCGTGCTCGTCTAATCAGGGCATATCACTGGATGCCATATCAGAATTTTTCTGGCAAAGACTAGGCAGGCTCAGCGGAAATATCCTTATTACTAGATAAATATACCTACTCAAAACACACAACTTCAAGCCATGCCTGATCTTTTATTCTCCGCCAGTACTCCCTCGCAGCCGGCTTGTCGCGTTTCACGACCCCATGCATGGTCTGCGTGCCTGCTTAACCGACCTGCCCAGTTTTTATATACCATACAGTTTCCCTCCGCCTCCCCCGCCTCCACGAGATGAGTATCAGGCACAGCCATGAGAAGATCCCCGTCTCAGGAAATAACAATACCAATGACCTAGAGATACATATATCCTCGAATCTCAAATCAGAACGAAGGGGTATAGTGCATTTCTTCCTCAGATTCCCAACCTCCCACACCATGTTTTGCACGCAACGCAAGTAGATCGATTACTGAAGGAGTGTCGTGAGTTGGTCATGCTCGCTCATCACATCCGCCAGCGGGATTATTGTACAGACTGCTCAAGCAAGCAAGCAAGCAAGCAGACGAAGAAGCTCCTCTCACAACTGCTGCGTCGACCGCGCCGCTGGCGTCAACGAAGCCCGAGGGGATCCAGGCGCACCAGACACAGCATCCATTGATTGCCGCTTAGGCGGGAGATCCAGGAGCTTCGCACTTCCCGCTGAGACCTGTCTCGCATGACTCCTGCCATAATTCACGCTCTTAGCACTTTGGATCTGCGCTCCCCGTGTCTCGGCTAGGTCGAACTCGTCGTTGTAGATGCTTGTTGGACTTTCGGGCTCATCGGGGGTGGTGACGGTCTCGTACTCGGTTAGGAGTCCTTCTCGTGATTTCACGCGTGGGTCGCGGTGCACGAGGGTGGGATTTCGGCGGACACTGCCGTGCATGGTGAGGGGATCTGCTGATGAGCCAGCACCGGCGACTTCGACGTCGCGCACGCTTTCTTCGTCGGGGCTGGCGCCTGCCAGTGCTGAGGGGCTCATTTGAGATCGCTCGGCTGGTCCGGTATGGGCGACGTACTCTGCATCGCGGTCACCGGGTAGCTCTTCGTAGCTCTCGGAAAAGTCTTGTCGGCGTTGTCGTAACGATCCCATGCTCCTGCTCAGCGCAGACTGTGTCGACTGCCTCTTGCCTGTGCTCGCGAGCCATGAGCCCTCCGAGTCCACCGATGCCATTGATGCAGACATCTGATTGTGTCCACGTCTGCTCGGACTCACAGGTGTATCGTTCCGGTTGACAGTCGGAAGATCGGGAGTTTCTGTGCGAGCACCGGGTATGTCGACAGGCTTGGGTACTCGCTTGCCTCTTCTCGCAGCAGCAGCCAAAGCGGCAGCCTGTGTGACATCCGGTGAAGGCATCCGGGAATCTGGTGGCGAAACTGGCATCTCGGGTAGGTCCTCTCGGAACTTACTTTGCGTCCTCGTGGGCGTACCAGACTTCCGACGTGCGGACGGGGTAGGGAGTTGTGTATCGATGAGGTGCGCCGGGATGGGCTGGTTGCGCATTGACTCTCGAGATATGTTCGAGAACGAAGTCGAGCCGCTTGATCGTCCATCCTCACCAGGTCGGCGGAAGTTGGTACCGCCTCGCCGGAAGAAAGATGCCCATGCGCCAGCGCGCTTGTCTTTCGGTTCTGACGTCCTCCTGTCTGTTGGCATGATCAGAGGCTCTGGCATGTCAGGCGTCTGGACTTGTGACAGGCTCGAAGGCGCACGCTCTGTCTGATTTGTCCTGATTGGTGACAGGGGGGGCGTGATTTGCTGCGTAACGCTCATGGCGGCTTGGGCTTTGGGCAGGGCCGGCTCTTCCAGTGGTGTCTCGAGTGGTGTTGCCATTGGCGAGAATGATCTTGCGCCTGTGCGCAGCGGATCCGTCTCGACTTCGACTGCTTGTGGCGTCGATACTGGATCCGCGAATGGGTTCGTTGGGACGTCATCTACATTGGCCGGTATTGCTTCTGCGGTGTCGTAGTGCAGATACGTCCCAGTGTTTTCGGTGCCGAGTTCCTCTGTCGTGGGAAGTGCATGTGCCTGCTCGTGCTCAGAGATCTCATGGCCTCTCAGTGCACCAGCTCCAATGCCCAGGCCAATGGTTTCTACTTCTGACACCGCAGGCTGGTCTCGCAGAGCAGGATGGATCGCGATCGGAGGCTGCAGAGCTTCTCGCGTACGCCGCTCCTCTTCTGCTCGCCTTTCGGCTTCCTCCAGCGCCCGCCTTCGTGCTCCTTCGTCCGCCACCATCTGTACTTCATCCTTCCCTTTCTGCTCCTCCGCTTCTCGTGTCTTCCGATCACTATCACCCCGATTCCGGCCATTCCTACTCCGTAACTTACGATCAAGCTTCTCCTGCCTCTCCTTGTCTCTCTTATCTTTCCGCTTCTTCTCCCGCTCCATTAACATCCTGATATCACTCGCGTCGAGATCATCCGCCGCTTCGCCAATGATATCTGGTTTGCGCGCTGAGCCACGAGACACAGGCATCTTGTCTTTATTCCTCTTCGATGACGACGGAGACATGTACGAGGTACCAGGCGCGCTCATTGATGTCACACCTTGCGGTACTCCTGACAACCTGACCGCTGGCCGTGGATTGAACACATCGAGTATACCAACCTCCCAACCACGCTGATCCCGCGCTCCAGACATTGATGAGTGCACCGACTCCTCAAAAGGTAGAGATACATTCGACCCCAGTCCTCCAAGCCCACGGCGTATCTTCTTGCTATCTCTCCGTAATGGTCCCTCGCCAGGTCGTTTCGGTATAGGTATCGGCGAGCTCATGGCCCGAATCTCTTCCTCCCGAACTTGTTTTGACTTCCGTTTACTCGATGGTCGTCGGGACGGTGTGCCGCTGGCGCGTGACCGCAGGGTCTGGGGCCGTGAGAAAGACATGTCTTGGCCCTGGACGCTACCCTGAGACATTGAGTATGGGCGAAAGTTATAAGGTATATGTGGTCGGTCGAGGTCGGCGGGTCGTAGATGTGGACTCGTCGCTAGTTTGTTGCTCACTGGCAATGCTGTGATGTTTTCGATGCTGCCTTTGCGCATTGGTGTCCTACTCTCCTTGTCTATCGGCGTGGACTTCCTTTGTGGCATGGGTGGCCGCGCTTCTGCCGACTTTTCGAGTTGCGCCGATGCTCTCCGCTTGCTCCTCTTACTCGATTTGCGGTCGATGGCGGTCGCTTGTGTTGGCATTGGTGGTATCTTCTCGTCCAAAGGTGCCCGACCAGAAACACGATTGGAACTTCGCCTCCGCGTGAGAAAGCCGAACAGCGGCATGACGGAAGAGTGTTTGGATCTCAAGGATGGCGGCGCATCCCAGCGAGGCCCGTCAATAAGATGATTGCGCACACTCGCACACCTCGGCAGTCGTGATTTTGGTAAAGCAGTCGCGAAAATGCTTCAGAGGCGTGGTGACTACGGCGCAGGGTTCTGGCCGAAGCTGTGTGCGAAGTGTGACGGTACGGCGTGTGCAAGCGTGTGTCTGTGTGTGCACTAAAGACGGCAGAGGCGCAAAGCAAAAGAGGGAGCTTGGGTCAAGGGAACAAATCACAATACAACCACTGATGAAATCGACAAATGACTTGTCGCTTGCCTAATCTCCTAACACTAAGCACCGTCGGGATGGTGATTCGTTGCGGAGGCGAAATGAGCTGCCTTCATGTACAAAGCAAGGGAAAGTAGTAGGCCAACACCGCACCCAATACACGTACTGTATCTCCTACCATGCACCAGAACCAATAGTGGTCTGCAGCCGCGAGCGCCACAACGTCAGATCCCGACCCTGCATACGGGCCCAGCAGAAGCCAGAACACGGGATGCTTTTCCATTCTCTTCCATCAGTCTCATAATACTGTACATACCTTCAACCCTTGATCCTTGCCCCCGACACCCGCCCGGCTCCTTCACTTTCAGGCACGAATGCGCAATGAGTCGACCGACCTTGCATCGAAAGTGCCGAGACCATGGCCGTTGCGTATGCAGAGTCGGGCTGACAGCAGTCCGCAGTCAGCACCGCATAGAACCCGTTGGCTGTCAAGTTCCTGCGCGGCGTCGTCAAGGTGCAGGGCGAGCAGGCCGGGCCGGGAAGGGATCGGTATAGATCGACCGACAGTAGTGACACCTTGTTGGCCACGCTTTCTTCCCTGTCAATTGCACACGCTTGGCCACCTACCCAGTCTGCGCCGTTTGACGTTACTACTCGCTTACATCCGGCTCTACCAGAGGCGAAGAGCGAGTACTCTGAAAACAAATTAAGATAAATCGCTGAGAACAAATTAAGATAAATCGCTGAGAACAAAATAAGATCAATGATTTGTGAGTTCATAACCGTGTACCAGAACCAGACTTTGGCCATACGGAGCTTCCCAGCTCTACTCCGCAGGACCGGGTCATATGGTACCATTCACCAACCTTGATGCCCGAAGAAGAATGAGCAACCATGTACTTCGTGACTTCCCGATATAGCACGCTTCATGTCCATGAGTAGGGGTGTTTCCGGGTTGGCGACTGTCAGGTGGCTCGACCTCGACTCGTACAGCTATTGTGCATCCCATGTATTCAGTCTCGAAACGAGTTCGGCGAGCTGTATGTAGTCTTATCCTGCTCCCCGATTACTCCTTGAACATGATAAGAGTGAGCACATAACAACTACATGACCTCCGTCGAACGGCATGCCGTGCCAGCACAAAATAGCTCATTATGCACCTCGTGGTGAAGCCGATTTGTTCAACCCAAGAAGAATGTCATGATAACTTCCACCATCTATCTATTCCTTGCCACCAATATATCTATACACGACCGAGAAATCTCGGTCTTTGCATGCCGGATCCACCACGACCGCAGAGTATATATCCTGCGCATGTGCACCAAGATGCGGCACGATATTCGACTCGGCACCAGCCTGGAGCGCCAGCTTGAGATCCTTCAACATCAATCGTGTGCCGAACCCGCCCTTGTAATCACGACCCGCTGGTGCGTTTTCGCTCACACCGGGCACGGGATTGTTGATCTCGCTGGGCCAGCACTTGCCAGTGGCTGTGTTGATCATATCTGCCAAGGTCTTTGGGTCGAGACCCCATTTCACGCCCATATTCATCGCTTCGGCTGTGGCGATATTGTTCAGTGCGAGCAGGTAGTTGTTCGCGAGCTTGCCTTTCAACCCGCTTGTCTGGGGCCCGAGATGGATTGTGCGCTTGCCCATCATCTTCAACACTTCCGTTGTTCGCTCCACAAGCTCTTCTGATGCTCCTAGCATGAATGTTAGGGTTCCTGCCCGAGCTCCGACGACTCCGCCGGACATTGGTGCGTCCACGAAGCGGCCTTGGCCACTGCTGTGTACTGCGTTTGCAACTCCTGCGGAACTCTTGGGGTCGATTGTGCTGCAGTCGATGAAGAGACGTTCGTGGTTGTTCGGTGCCTCAGCGAGAGTCGCGTCTGGCCGGAGCATCTGCTGAAAGACGTTTTGTACATGGTGAGGTTCGGGTAGGACTGTGAGGATTGTCTCCTGTTGATACTATCAGCACTCTTACTTGAAGAGTACTCTCAATATTGAAAAATAGATTGGCTGGGCATTTTCAGAGGATTGGCTGTTATGTTGTAAAATCAGGACAACAGCTTGCGCTGCAACTTAGATCATTCGTTTAAGGATATAATGGTTCATCATATAAGTTGTGCTGGTATGGGAAAGGAGGACCTACCGACTTCTCTGCCACGTCTCGGACACTTTGTGCAATCTCGACATTGCCGATTTCTTTCGCGAATTGCTCGGTCACTGCTGGATTGACATCGTGTATGTACATCTTGTCGGAAGAAGAGATCTTGGAGCGGAGGTTGGAAGCCATTGGATAGCCTACGGAATGCACGTGTCAGCTTCTCATGCTCGCTATCGATGTGCTGGCTGCCAACTCACCCATCTGCCCAAGTCCTATGAATCCATAACTGGCATCAAGTCTGGTCGTTGTCGCGAACCCTCTCCTCGCAGTCGCGCCAGTAGATCTGCTGAAGACCTGCTTCAGAGGAGCTATCGAGGCCATAGCTGTCGTCCTCATCGTGTCAATGAACGGCGGTGAGTATCTGTTATCGAGGCAAAGAGAGTGGAAATACTACCTGGCTATAATATTAAGAGAGACGAGATTATTATGCACAAACAGAGACGAAACCGAAGCACACGAGCTTCCTTCGCTCGTGGGACGATCGTCACTGTTTGCGGCGAAAGACTTCCCGAGGATGATGGAAAGCTGGGTGGAGCTCGAACCGCAATTTTGGCTGGAGTCTGGAGTGTCTTTTCCGCATGACTCGCGTTGCATGTGACCCTGTGAGGCACTTCATATTACAGCCTCGCTCAACTGAACACATTGAGATACGCTGAAGGTAAGAGAGGGTGCTCGGCTTTGAGGCAATTTCCTTTCACTAGGTACATTTGCGGAACGATCGACGTCCGTTAAGAGGTCGTTACACCAAACCATTATCGAGCACCCAAACGACAGTGTCTTTCATATCGTATGGCTATCAACTCCATATCTCTTCCCACGCTTCTGGATTCAGTTCAAGTGGACCTGACAAGCGCCCAATCTTAGGCACTCTGCCTTCTCCAGGCTCAGGCAGCCGAATCCACTCGCGTATACAACCAGGCACATCTTCCTTCGAGTGGCTGATGACGAGAAGTGCTTGCTGAGATGAAAGACCTTGCACTGTTACTCGACCGAACTTCGCATGCTCACTGCTTTCCATTTGATTGTGCTCGCTGCCTTTTGAGTTCTTGACCACGTTCTCACCTTGCGACAAGAATAGTAGTGCTTTGTCTCGCGTGGCTTCATCGATACCGCTGAGTGCCTCGTCGAGGATGACGAGGTCTGGTTCTGCAACGATTGCTCGGATGAATAGGATCAGTCGTTGATTGGAGAAACTCAGATCTCGAAAGGTCATGCCGGCGGCCCAGGTCGAGTCGGACTGCTCGATAGTAGTGCTATTCCTGACCTTATCTTCGCCAGTCACATCCACTACTGATTTGTTTCGCCATCTAGGATTGAGCTCTTGCTCGAACCATCTCAAACAGGCGTCAACCCTCTCCTTCGCACCTGCAGGTAACTTCGGCTTTGCAAGCGGCGCATCAGACCAGGCAGATTCCAGCGCTCGGCGTACGGTTAATTGCTTAGGGAAGAAAGCATGTACTTCTGGACTAGAGTGTCCCATGCGTTGCTGAAGCTCGAACAAGCTAATGCCAGGTTGACCAGGGCCTGGTAGGCGAGATCTGCCAAAAAGCTTGATCGGTAGGCTGTAGGTCTGTGGATGATCGGATGTTATGAGAGAGAGCATGGTAGTCTTGCCGCTGCCGTTTGGTCCCAGAATGGCGCATCTTTGCCCTCGGTGTAGCGACCACCAAAGCCCAGATCGACTCGTGTTATCGTGTTCTTGACTCCAATCGCCAAGCACGACCTTGTCTCCGTAGGCTACTTTGACGCCTTGCATCTCCACGAGCGCATCCCCGGGTGAAAGTGCTGGTGAGTCGCGATGGAACCCATCCCGGCTATATTTACGTTCGTTTCTACTCGAAGCAGCCGACTGTGCTGCATGTAAGATTGTGGCAGCCTCAGCGGGGATGTTCGGCTCAACTAAGTCATGTTTGGGGCCCTGCGCGAGGATTTTCAAAGCTTGATCGACGATGACTAGATGGCTGACCCACGATGGCACCCCATCTTCGGGTCGAAGGCTCATGATGAGTCTCGGCTGCTGTCTCTCCGCAAGCTGACGCAAGACTCCGGACATCATGCGTAGAGTATTCGGATCCAGCCCCATAAATGGTCCATCGAGTAGCAGTACCTCAGGCTTGGCCATAAGTGCCTTAGCAATCCGTGCTCGTCTCGTCTGGCCATTGCTAAGATTCGCCACTGGCATCCGTAGGAGCTGGCGCAAGTTCAGCTGCTCCGTGATCTCGTCGAGAGCGTTTCTGTCATTTTCAGACATCGATTCTTCCAGCGCATTGAGCTCCGTATGGCCGGTCAGGTAGTCCAGTACAGAAAAGTCCGTTTCTTCTCGTCGACTTTCATATCGAGCACTCAGATAGGCGCCACGGACACTTGTCCCTCCGACACTGCTACCTCGTTCGGCGTCGAAGCCAACATACTTGATAGCATGCTGGGGTGATTGAGAAATGTCCGACAAGTAAGGATAGGTACGAGCGGTTGGAGACACGCATATATGCTGTCCGGCTAGTGCTTGAAGGAACGTGGTTCGAGCCAAAGATGATGGCGAGATCACAGACCAGTTCTGGGCGTTCGTTGAAGACTTCTCGCTGGGCAAGCTAAAGTTGAGGTTCGATAACAGAGGTGGGTTGGATCCCGGGTCCTCATTTGCGGATGGATATTGTCGGTACAATGTAGCATTATCGATATGTATGATAGGTCTGGATGCTTGCTGAGCCCGCGCCGTGGTATGTGACGAGCGACTGACTTGCCACACCACACTCCTCCGCCACATCTCTTCAACACAAGATACGTACGGTAGTGTGCTTTATGTGCATGTGGACAGGAGTCATTGGCTGCTATATTTCCTAGTACGTGGGGACTGGGTGGGTCCGAGCTCATCACTGGCCGAGGTAAAACATAAGGTAATGATGAACATCCTACTCTACAACGACAGGCAAACAGACATGCTTCCATCATCACAGCCGCCACGGCCAAACGTTAGACCCCTTCACCAAGAAGACCCAGATTGTTACTGATCTACGTACAGATTCACACAAATCAGCAGCGGAATCCACTCTTCCAACAACAGACCCGCGCCACCTATACACAGAGCACTAATCCAACATCACCAACAATACAGAATCCAAGAACCCAGATCGAAGCCATGCCGCCACACAAAGTTCCTGAAACGCGAAGATCTCCTGTCCAGCCAATGTACAATCCCGCCATCGTCCATCCGGTCTTCTTCACAGATGCCTGGCGTAGGCCTCCCTTTCCTCTTCCGATCAATGGTTCTTTCAGTCCAGTCGCCGCAGGATATGTCTTTGGCAGTACTCGTCCGAGATCGGATAGCTTGACGAAGCTATGAGTGATTTGATCGACTTGATTGGAGTCCTCACCAGTGATGGGAACGGACATCGCTGGAAGAATTGTGTCGACCACCACCGCCTTCCGCGGACGTGCTTGAGCTCGCCGGATCTCCCGCAGTCGTCGTGTCCCTGGTCCTCTCCCGCGATGGACCAGCAACTGGTGTCCGAACATGCTGGCCACTATCATCCCTCGTCCCCATCCTCGCCTCATACCCAGAACCACTTTCCCGCAGTCTGTCAAGCACCACCCTCCCCATCCGCAACGCCTGCTGATCCCGACAATCCCTACACATCTTCCCCATGAAACCTAGGAAGATCTCAGCAAAGCACGTCTCACAACACGAATTCTGGGACAGATCAACAGGTTCCGGATCAGGACAGAGTGCATCCACGCCATTATCGTGTGGTGGACCACGTGGTGTTCGTGCGGCAACGCGGGAGCAGGCTATGTATGGGCCTTGAGTTTTGTGGCCGCAGCCTAGGTGGGTGGTTATGAGGCGGCACATTTTGTTATGTTTGAATGGTGCTTTTGGATTAGTGGGGAGAAGTCAGGGCGCAGAAGGCAGGGCAGGTCATGTATCAATGTTTCGAGTTTGCTATAAGCTCACCGCGTGGCCGAAAGGTGTTGGCGTGGCATGCTGGCAGACACTGTGTCACGCCAAGGATTTACACCTCATCTACAGCAGCAAGCGCATAAAAGCAGTGTCATGACACCGGGCGCCTCCATGGTGGGCGAGCTCGGAAATCTTGAGCATCTCATCTTCATAGGGCAGATAGGAGGTCAAGAAAATGTACATGACTTTCTTTAAACAGCTACCTATACATGCGTCCCGTCCCCCGCCCCATCAATGTCATTGACGGGCTCAGAGGGCAACTCAAACATCGGCACCTTCCTCGCACTATTATGCATATGTGCGGATAGTACACACGGCGACCCCGTCCGCTGATTGACCGCATGCTCGTCATTGCTCACCTCGCGCACCTGCCTGAAACCGTCGGACATCATGGCCTTGTTCTCTGTTCCCGGTACGGAGGGAGTCGCTGGGTTGAGTACGGAAGTGTGGGCGTGTGCTGGTTGTGACGAGGTGGAGTCTTTTGTGGCGTTCAAGGCTGTGTTCTCGAAGCCTTGGTTCATGAGGGGTTCGATGTGGCGGCCTGCGTTTGCTGCTTCTACTTTTTCTCGGATGGAGGCCATGGCGTCAGGGTTGTTTGCGTAGGGTGAGGAGGACTGTTTCTGTGACGTCGGTGGATTTGTGCCTGCGCTGTCGAAGTGTGGACTACTATTCTCATCCCCGTCGAGCGCAGGCTTGGCGAATTCGTCACCTGTGTCGACTTTCGATTGATCTGGCGTTGATTCGGGATTACTCTTCTTCCTTCTCGCGTCGGCTATGAGCCGACTAAACTCGTCCTTATTCTTGTTCGCCCATCCATCGCCATCGAAGTCTTTCCGCATGATGTTCGTGGACATGTTGCTAGCAGTCGGGGCTTTGCCGCCCTGCGTCCGTTCCCATGAATCCAGGTCATGTAAGAGTTCGCGCTTCGTCCTCGGTTGAGTACTATCGCAATTGGCGTTCCACAAATTCACCCATTCTGTATGTCGTCTAACCATGAGCTGCTTCGAACCCCATCCTGGTATGCCCAGTTCTTCTAACTTCTTCCGCATAGGCTGCTCCCTTAGAAGCGAATAATTCAGCTCTGCCAATCGATCTTGCGGCCGGGGACTCTGCCGATCTATAGTCCGGTTCGCAAGAGTAGCGGACTTGCGCGAGTTTGCCTTCTGCGCCAGCTCCTTCTCCTCGTCACATCGATCAAGATGCGGCTCTACCTGCTCCACCTTCATACGCTTCCCACAGCCCAGCGGACACTCCACCAGCCCGTCATCTGGCACAGCCTCTGGCTCGTAAGCACCGTCATCTCCCTCGCTGTCATCAACGTCGACGACGTCCGGGTTCGAGGTCTGTGACGCTGCCATCTTCCGACTCTTGCTGCGGGTGGTTCTGCTGCTCTCTTCCACCTCGTCTGAATCCAGCACTACCCTTTTCCGCTTCCCAGGCCTTGATGAGTACTGCGCTTGCTCCTGCTCTCTCCGTGCCACAGAGATCGCCTTTGGTCTTGCCGCCAAGAATGTGGCAACGACCTCTTCTAATGCCCAGTTGTTCCGTAATTTACTCGCCTGATCAACGGTCCGGCAAGCAGGACACCGGCCGTCGGCTGATAGACTCGAGCGAATACACTTGGAGCAGAAGGAGTGTGAGCAGCTAGTGAGCATGGGACAATTGTAGAACTCTTTGCAGATCTGGCAGTGCAGAACGTTCTCCAGCTGCGCGAAGTCCTTTAAAGGTGTATTCAGCCAGTCTGTCGAGTCTGGGATATCTCCAGAAATCTCCATGGTGGTGGCGGCCGCGGCATTATCGTTGTCGTCAAGAGAGTGCCACATGCTTATTACCGTCGGTCGCGAAACGCGGGTGTCACGCGTCTCGGGCCGAATTGCTCCGGATTATAGTTTAACGTCACTCCGCAGACAGTACTGAGTTTACACTTCGCACAGCACCGTAACGCGATGGCCGCTGTACTGTACGAGTGACTCTCGAGCAAACGAAGGCTGGTCAAAACGATGGACCTTACCCGAAGTTCACTATCGAAACGTGATCATGCCGTTGTAGATGTTGACCACGAAGTGTTGCGCCCCGCCGGTTGGACGGGAAGTGCTGATCCTACTCATACCTCTGATGGCAAGCCTCGAAGAAAATGCGGGCTTGTTCGAAGGGTAAAGGCAATCGTAAGGGGAGCCATCACTTCTCCTTTGTGGCTGGATGATATATCTCGAGGCATGTCTCTCCAACCTCGTGGGGGATGGCCCTTGCACCTGTCTTGTCCAGGCAAGAAGGTGAACAGATCATGAGCCCTGGCGTGGGCAGTAGTCGATGTGGACTAATGACTCCCACGACCGGATGGGATGTAGCAAGGTGGCGTAGGATGGTCTGGTGTTGCAAGGTACTGGTTCTGTACTTAGCGATCGACGGAGGAGACACGCTTCAAAGTTGATGGCTTTGCGGCCACAGTTGGCGATAGTGATATTCTCGTCATATTTGATCGACGTGGCATATCGAGTCCTCTCATAGATTCATGTTTCAAGCTTGCGGATCGTATGGGTATCAAATCGTGTCATAATCTTCGCTGGAACTAGTGATCCACACATACAAATGACCTCCACGACACAAGGAGCGGTCGCTGCTTCATGCGAGATGCTTGTCTTGTGGCTTGATCTTAGACTGGGAGTTTGAGGTGTTCCCAGTATCTGATGAGTGGTCTCTACTGCAGTGGATCTGGTGTCCTATCGACGCCACAGATTGTTCGGCTCATTGAGCTCTTGTTCCATGCTCTACATACTCGAGAGCTCTTACCCTGCGTAGCAAGCTGGCCACTATCTCCAGCATGGATGTTGTGTAGACTGTGACTACCAAACACCGCGATGGTATCTCAGGAGCTCAGCCTGCGTGAGATGTCAGCTTCTTTTGTGTTTGACGAGCATTCTACACTGACGTGGGTTCCTATCCTGCCGATGGCACACGTTGAACAACTGATCGAGCTCACGATCCGTGTCGCACAAATTGCGGAGTCCTTACCCTATGGAAATGGCTGGCAACTATCTCTGGCATATATATTGTGAAGCTTGTAGCTGTCGACCTTCATGAGGGTCTATCGCGGGTCCAGTCTTTGTGAAATGTCACTTCCTGTCGTGGTATGAAGTAGGGAAATGGTGGATCATGGCATGATAATACTGAATAATGGTTCTTCATATATCATCAAAGTTAGATCCCGAATATCAATGCTTGATATAATATACCGAATGCCACCATGAGCTGATTATTCAAATACTTATGCTAAATCGTCTCTTCCCGGCCCTTCTCGGCCCTTCCCAACCCGATTCTCATATGGTTGGTACTCGTCAAATCCCAAATAGCCATGCTCGATATATTATACTGGCTGCCACCGTGAGCTCATATTCGTGATTCGTGGAGCTTGAGATACCAAGGCTCAGACATCCCATCTCCGCCCTTCCCATACCCGAGATCATGTTATCGTTGGTCATTGAATCCCCAATAGCCATGCTCGATATGATATACTAAGTGCCACCATGAGCTCATATTCGTGATTCGTGAAATGAAGATAAGTATCTTAAACTGTTCCATCCCTACCCATCCTATACCCAGGGTCATAACTTCGTTAGTCGTTAATCTTCCAGCCTTTACTCCTCATTGCCCAGCTCCCTCGTCTCGTCTTCCTTGTCGACGTTAGGTACCCTCAGATGCGCATTATCTTCATCCTCACCATTGGGGAAGATGAAGGGATGGCCGTCTTCTTCACCGACTGGGCCAAACAACTTCATCAGTTGGGCGCTCGTTGGGCGCTCGTTTCGCTTCGGATCCTCCATGATCTCGTCAATCTCCACCTGCTTCCTCTCCTTCATTGCCACCATGGCGGCGTCAATTGTGTTCTTGACGACCAGACCTATATACATGTCAGAAACCGTCGATATCTCATCAGTCTGTGGCTTTGCTTACGAATAAATCGAGTCTCGTGCTGTTGGCCAATGCGAAAGACACGACAGAAGGCTTGTTGCTCGACGGCTGAATTCCACCATGGGTCTATAGCAGTGGTTAGCATTGATCAAGAGCGTAGACAGGATGATTAGATACCCAGACAGAGCACGAAGCGTGCCATGGTGAGATTCAAGCCCAAACCACCGCTCCTCAGAGAAGCGATCAGTATCTTCTTGGAGTCATCCTGCTCGAATGCGGAGATGGCTTTCTCCTTGGCATCATGAGACATCTCACCCGTATATTTCAGCCAGCCCCATCCTTCTGTGTTGCACATCTTGGAGACGATTCGAACCATAGGCAGAAATTGGGTGAAGACTATGATCTTAGCGTCCGGCGCCTCTTCCATCCAGTTCAGTATCTGTCAAAGTCAGCATCTGCTCCATATAAAGTCAGGATCTCGCGGCCTACCTGCGCCTTGGCGGCCATCGTCTTCGCGGATGGCAGCACCTCGCCACGCATGTTTATCCAGTCCTCCAACTCATCGTCTTTGCCTTTCTTTGGCGGGGACGCAGACGGCATCGATGAGCCGTTACCAGTGCTATCGCGCTGCTGAGCCGTCGTGAAGTCCTGACATGGCTTGGTAGACGTATACGCCTCTCCACATTCCGCGCAACGGGCTTGATCATGGCCACGGCGTGCGGCGTGGTGCTGCAAGTCTTGCAAGCACTTCTTGCAGTAGATGTGGTTACAGGAAGTCAGCTGCGCATCCTCAGGCGCCTGGCGACATCCCGCACATGTGCTCCTCTCCTTAATAGCCCCCCACTGCTCGGGAGCCTCGAGAGATCTCATGTACTTGCGAAACCGAAACGATTGGCCATGTTTGCCGCCGACCAGACCACTTGGATCCTCATTCTCGGCGTACAACACATCCATGGGAACGGTCTCAGTCTCTCCAATGACTGCTCCCTGTAAGCCGCCTTCGACGGTTCTGGCGCCCTTGTGCTTCTTGAGTATGGCACGAAGGTGGATCAGAACGAGGGCGCCGTCGTCCGAGAACTCGTCTTCGTTGGCGCAGGTAATGGAGTTCAATTTCTCGAAATCCTCTCGCGTGAGGAGGTCTTGGATTGTGCTCTGTATGAGGAGGATATGAGCACAGATCTGCCGTAACCTCAAGATCATGGTCCATATATGATTAAATTGTTTCTCAAGATGACCCTGCCTTGCGATCGTGTTGATTCTTTCCACAAAGCGGCGTTTCACGATCTCGTAGATCTGACGCTCCACGTCCGAGAACTCAAGCCACAGCGTATGCTCTGTTGGTTGAGGGAGATCCAGCAACCTCGCATTGAAGAGTGTATCCAGATGCGTACGACGGATCATGATCTTATTGAGGAAGACCGCGAGTTTCCTGGTCCCATCAGGGTCGTCAGGGGAGCAAAAGTTGGCGCAGAACAGCCGGTAAGATCCAATGTCTGCCTGCTTGAGGAAACGGAAGTATGCATAAAGTTCTTTTACCGAATTTTGCAAAGGCGTTCCTGTAACGAGCCAAGGGTGTTTGACTTCGAGCGCACGGCAAGCCATACTGGTATGCCCGAGGTGGTTCTTGATCGCCTGTGCTTCGTCCAGAACAACTCTCAGCCATTTGATCCGGTGTAGGTCGCCACGGTCCCGTTCGTACTTCTCCTTCCAGAAGACATCTTTCTGCGCAGCAGTCGTTAGATGGGGTGGTATGACTGCCTTAGGATAGCTCCTGCAGACCTCATGGTAGGTCGTTAGCACGATATCTGCACTACCTAGGAGTTCCAGGGCATCATTGGAGTTCACACGATAGCCAGCATGATGCCGCAAAACACGACCCATGCCATGCTGTCTGTTCTCGCGCTTGGGGATGGTGTGCCTCAGGATCTCTTGATACCACTGAGATACCAAGGCAGGACTGGCTACGATAAGAGTCGCACGGCACTTGGCCTTACCTCGGGGACGTCCATTGACCTGAAAGTCGTCAGCACATGCTTCAGAAGATGACTGTTCAGATGATGACTGAAGGTCTCCAATCGTACTCACAATGTTAGCTAGCATCATGACCGTCTTTCCCAAACCCATGGCATCCGCAATGATACCCCCAAGAGGCTTATCGCTGGCGTTCTCTCGTCGGCGCATGAATGCTGTACCTATAACCTGGTAGGGCTTGAGTGTCGCCCGCATGCCTTTGACACTGAAATTACCGTCCGGAGCTGGCTTGACGCTCGCCTGACCAGTGAAGTCCCTGATGGCTGCATCTAGAGCTCGCTTGTCGCTACTCGCTATCTTTCTGTCCTCCACTGGTACGGAGGCTATCAACGCCTGCAGAGCGTTGGCACGCCGAGTCGGTACCTGGTCGCCAAAAGTTGGCGGGGCTCTCAAGCCTCTTGTCTGGGCGGTATCCTCGAAAATGTTGGTGCCCATGATCGAGTCGAGATTGGTCGTGTTGGCTCCACGCTTGGACTGACCCTTGGTCTTGGCAGCGCCAGCCTTCTTACCACGAGCAGCACGGGCTTGAGCACGCTTGAGTACATCGTCTGGCTCATCGAAAGCGCTACCGGCGGCTTTTCGGCCTCTCTTCTTGGGTGCCGGATTACAGTCCTTGGCCGCAGACTTACGCTTCTTAGTAGGCGCATCTCCTCCATCGGAATCGTCAGCAAACATGCTGGAGTACGTCGTAGTATCATGATCTACAGCCAAAGGATCGGGGATGTCGTCGTCATAATCTGATGAGCCTCCGGGCGTCAGCTCGCGCTCGAAGGCTTCGTCCGCTTCTCGTTTCCTGAGACGGGCCTCTTCCTCGGCCTGAGCCCTCAGAAAGGCGACGTTCTCGTCGAATGAGAGCGTTCCAGCTCTTTGTTTCCTAGTATGCGTGGCCTTGAGCTTCGCAAACTGAGTTACTGCTGGATCGCGTTTGCCCTTGCCAGTAGTTGGTATCCCCGATTCGTCAGCTGGTCCTGATGTATTAAAGACTGACGCAGTAGCTTCTTGTTGAGCAGCTGGTGCTCGAGATTTCGGCGGGGGAAACCGCATGCGGAACTGCATGGCTAGCTTCCGTTGTTGTTCCACCATGGCCGCATGGGCATCCATAGATGGCTCTTCTGGCACGAAGAGAGCATCCTCGCTCGCTGGTGGGATTTGCTGCGACTCATGAAGAGCTGGGTCGAGATTGTCATCCTCCTGAGCGGTCGACAGCTGTGGATTGTCGGGAGGCGCCATACCAGTATCAGATAGGGTCCGATCGTCCAGGATGGGGTCCATGATTCTTGCTGGATGTTGTGAGGGTATTGGAAGACGTCGAGGCCGAGAAGCGGAAGAGAGATACAAGGGGTAAGGGTGGAAGTCGTGAAGATAGAGGAGAAGGTTGGTGTAGAAGAGGGAGAACCAGAGCGTGGGAGGCCATAGACTTATAGCCCCTTGAACCGACGCTAGCACTAGCGTAGTTACCCAGTGAGAGATTTGATAGTCCAAGTGAGGTCGCTGGAGTAGGCCACCTCCTAGAAAGGTGAGTGATTGTGACCCGGATTTTGGACTGAGAGTGAGCCTGATCTGCAGATTCGTGGCCCTTTAGGTGAGTGTTGGTAGTGAGCCTAGGCTTGATGTGGTTGGTGAATGCTGTTCGAAGATGCTTGAGAGTCGTAGACCAGACGGCTAGCTAGAGGAAGGCCAGACGCTCGTGGTCGGTCGTGGTGGTGTTGTGGATGGTTGTGATCAGTGGAGTGGAAGTAGGAACAGAGCTGAAGTAGAGCTTGAGTAGATTCAAGAGAGAAGTAAGGAAGGGGAGGATGTGTAGAGGTGTCGAGGGAAGAAGGGTTTGAGCACCATGGCCAGCAATATGTAGGCCGAGCGGGAGCTATGGCGCTAGCGGCGAGAATCACGTGATCATGTGACCTCGTTGCCGAGAAAGGAAAGAGTGGCACTATTGGAGCTCGGTCGTAGCTTCCGCAACGAGCGTACAGAGATGTTTCCCAGCTGCCTTGCTAGGAGTTCGAGCTGTCGTAAGTCCCGCTGTACAGGCGAACAGCGCTGACGCCGATGGGGATAGTCGCGAAGTCCCGCCTATTCGGCCGTCAGATATAGCGGCCAGCGAGAGTCTCCTCGTGGTCTGATGGCAGTTCCAAGCTGACGTATCTTCCAGTGTTATCTTGTTTGCGGCCGAGGTTGCCGAGATGGATCGCTGTTCCTAGATCTTTAGCTCGCAGAGCCAGCGACCAGGCTATAGTGTCCTAAAGCCACAGGATACCATTTGAAGGATCGGACCACGTGAGACCGCGATCACGAGTGTTATCAGACCTCAAGCCTTGGTCCATGCCAATGGAGCTGTAGTTGCGCGGACCAGTAGGTGCAGCGAGTGCAGCAATTGCATATAACTGTGCCATCTGCCCGCGAAGTCCGCATGCTTGACCTATGGAACTTCTCGAGTTACACGGGTTCAGCACGTTCCCGGGACGAGAGTGGATGAGTTCGCTCACCCCTGATCATTAGCGAATGGAACGCGCAACGATAAGGGCGAGGCACGTACCTTCATATGAGCTCTTGCTGTACTCGGTTTTCACAACATGAGTCTCGTTTGCATGCAGACGGTGACCCACAAAGCAAGGCTTGCCGCGAAGAGGGAGATCTATGGACCGGTCATAAAGCCTACGCCAATCAACAGTAGTGGCTCACGATACAGGTTTCGAGACTTCGAGGAAGATCGCTAGTACAAACAAGAAGTAGATTATGCTAACGGCTTACGCATCTTGTGCCGTGCCTTTCTTGGCCGTGATTGTAGCCAGTTGTGAGATTCCTTTTCAGAACGAAGCCGGTCAAATTCCTGACTGCTTTCATGAAAACACCGAACGCCTCCAAGCTTCCTCCAAAACAGCCTGCCGTGGTCGAACGCCGTGACATGCTCCCAGATTGTGTACACTGGGGTACTGGTACAAGAAGCGTGGGCTGATTTAGCCTACTATGGCATCTGTGAAGATTCAGGTCAGTATGGGAGAGGGTGCTGATTATAGGGAGGGTATAAGTACTTGAGGCGGGGTAGAACCATGCGGCTACGGCGATGACCAAGTAGGTGACTTGCAATAGCATGCCCTCGAGCCAGTGGCTCTTGCCGTCCTGAATTACGTAGTTCACGACGATGACTAGAAGAATGTCAGCATATATCGTAGCCCGAGAACTCTCTCACATGACTTACTAGCAATGAACAACACCGATACCTGAAAACCATCGAAGCTCAATGTCAGATCGGCCGGCGCACCCAGGCCGAACCAATTCAAGCACACCATCAACGGGAGCACGAGAAGGGCGACCTGGAGTGATGATCCGACGGCCACACCGATGGACAAATCCATCTTGTCCTTGATTGCAACGGTGACGGCGGTAGCGTGCTCGGCAGCGTTGCCGACGATGGGTAGCAAGATCAGGCCGATGAACTCTGGCGACACGGACTTCGCGACTGCACCGATGGCGCTGACCATGTACTCGGCGCACAGAGCGATCAACACGGTAGAGAAGGCGAGGGTGACAAGTGCGCCCAGACGTGTAAGCTGTGGACCGTCTTCTTCCTCGGGCTCATCATGAACAAGGTTCTCCTGGTTGATCTGGCCACCGGCTGCTGCAGCGCCCGTTCCAGCTCCCATGGAAGCAAGGCTACGCATAGCATCGCCAGCATCCTTCTTGCCACTTGGTCTCTTCGGCGACTTCTGGCTGGGTGCATTGTACATGTCGATATGTGTCCTGAGTTGGAAGAACAGGTAACAACAGTAGGTGAACAGGAGCATGACGGCAGTACCGCGCGAGGCTGCTGTGACACCATCGTCTGCATTACCTGGTGTGAAGATGGAAAACGCCGTGGGAATGATCAAGGATCCGATGGCGAGCGCAAGCAGAGAGGCGGCCGTTTGTGCGACTGTGAGGTTGAAGAATTGCTCGGTTCGTTTCAGACCGCCGAAGAAGAAGCACATGCCCATGACCAGGAGCAAGTTGGACAGCATACTTCCGATCAGTGATGTTTGCACAATCAAGATCTGTCCTTGCGCCAGGGCGATGATGCTGACGATTAATTCGACAGCATTGCCGAACGTCGCATTCAACAGACCACCAAGTGTTTCTCCAATGTACATGGCCAGCTCCTCGGTTGCGTAGGAAAGCATAGCAGCCAACGGGATGATGGCCAAGAAGTTGATGACGAAGACCACAATCTTGTTGACGCCGCTGTACTCCAAAGCAATGCCGACCGGCACCATGATCAGTAAAATGTTGATCCAGGAGAAGAAGACGGCCTTGAATTGCGACATGAACGTGATCTTGTGCTTGGACTGCTTGCCCTTGGACTCGTTCGTGTCTGTTCGCTGGACATCCTGCTCATCGCCCTTGCCAGAATGTTTCCATGGTAGGAATTTGCGCGACTTGCGCTTTCGTGTGCCGTCGCCATTCTGAGCGCCTACAGAGTCCTCTGTCACGCTGGGTATCTCACGCTGTGGCTGTGCCGGCTTCTCGCAGCTGCCTTTGCTGGTGCTTGCGCTTGGTGATATATCATCAACCTTCTGCTCACGCTTCTCCGGCAGATCATTTTCGGGTCCTTGTGGGTAGGTAGGAGCCTTGTGTGGGCCTGGCTGAGGCTGCCAGTCGGTCTTCCGTTGTGTCTCTACTGGTGACGGGCCGAGATTGTTCTCAGTTTGCACATGATTTAGTGGTCCGCCATTCGCACCATTGGCTAGCTCCTCATCGGCGACCTTTTTCTGCTGTCGATGCACATTATATCGCCCGAACGGGTTGTACGATGGACCCTCGTCATACCATGCCTCTCGTCGAGCAATCTTCTTGATCGAGTCTATGCGAAAGAGGCCCATTAGCCATCAGGTCCCATTACCAGGCACGACGCTATGACAGCAACGAGATGCAGAGCTGAGGTTACATACGCATGATGATGGTTGAGCAGCAGGAAAGGCGGCGGTGTTGCACACGAGGCCGCTCGAAAGGAATGCGGTCTGCGCCCCAGTTTCCTCGGGCTTCAGCAGCGCGTGATTGGTGGCCGTATAGCTGCGCGGTTAATCGGAGTGAGGCTGGCGACCAGCGCGACAGGTATTATGATTATTATGCCGGTAGGGCAGAAACGTAAAGAGGTCGAGGGAGTGTGTGATGGAGTCGGAGGGGGAATTTTGGAGTAGTTCTGAGGGCGACGAGTTTGTTTGTAGGCGTTGCTGTCTCCTCGTCCTTGCCTCCCTGACGCCTCTTTGCACAGCCCAAGCTACGGCCCGTGTCGTCACGAAGTGTGGCGTCGCTTTTGACGGAGATCCTGTCGCGAGGCTTCTGGCGTTATCGTGATTGATGTAGTAGGAGCGAAGGATGAAGGGAAGGGAAGGTATGAGTGTAGGGAATGGCTTGCGCGTGGCGCTCTAGCGACAACAATCGTTTGGCAATCCATCTCGCTATCCTGTTTACTACAACACGGGCTGCGCGCCAACACATTGATGCCAAGTGCCTTGGCCTCCGTCATCTTATCTCGGATTCCAAAAGCTTGACGACTATTGGGAAGCGCGATGATGACTTGGTTTAGCTTGGAGATGTTCAAACTCTCCTTCACCGTCTGCAGTCTGTCCAAGATGCTACCATACGAGCTCCACGCGGATTTGCGAACTTCTCACCAAAGCCGATGATGCATCTGGAAGTCCCGGCCTTGGGGATGCCTTTCTGCAGGCACCTGAAAGTACCTTAGCAATAAGCGTGTGAAACATGCCAAGGGAAAGTGGTACAACGACACTTCAACCTGTAAACGGCACGTGTTGCGCCCCTGCCTTCACCAGTGGGAAGTTGGACATATAGGAGACACTGTGGGCAACAACGTCAGACTCGTCTTCCACTCATGCGCCGCGAACTGCTGATCCTCCAGCTCGAACGCGATGCTGATCTGCTGGACCTTGGGTCTGGACCGCCTGAGCTTGGCATACACTTGGCGACAAACAAAGCCTTGAAGTCAAGAATCTACTCGTTTGCTTGACTACAGTGTCGTTGAGCTTGATGCGACTGCCGATGTTCACCGCGTGAATACGCAATATCCTGCTTTGGCGAAGAAATTTGACCCACGGGACCATCATACAAGTGCGCAACCGCATTCTCGCCTCCCAATAGCTGGTGACGTTGTGTGGGAGCATGACATGCGTATGTACAGATTTCACACTTTGCCTGGGAGCATCGGCCACGACTGGATTGCCTGCCATTGATGTGCCTTGGGATCACGATGCATGAGCACAGCCTACGTTCGATTTTCTACCAGGACGTTTCTTAACCACCGGCGGAGCGCAGACAGCCACAAGACAATTGCTGATGGACGCTCATGATCTTCGATGGGAAGTACACTACGCTCCTTGTTCTCAGTCAATCTAGCAACATTGTCCTTTGAAGAGTCATTAGCATACAGTCAACGCTCGACCGTCTCACATGTAGTCTTTCACGAGCATTTCGCATTGACAGCTGCATGTCTCATGTCTAGCAGCAGCGATAGCATTGCGTAAGTCCTTTTCATCACTACATCATCCTCCCAGCTTGCGCAGGTGCAATAAAACCTTCCACAGCCAACCACGACACCGAATACAGCAACTTCCACCATGCCGATCCCAAACTCGGTCCTCATACTACCGACTATCGTGGTGACTTCGCCAGACGGCATCACGGATCACAGCAGCACGATGACCTTCCCAAATACCCTACGAACAGATAGTCTGGGCACCCTCACCACTTCGACGCAGGTTGTAGATGATCGATCCTTCGATACCGAGACCATCACTCCGTCTTCCTGGCCCACGTTAGCAGGTGTCCCAGCAGGCGCCATGTGTGCACAGCCATACAATGGCCCATCGGGCGAATGTACGTTAGTTCCTTGCCCTATGATGATCAATCATCCTGACTTTACCTCCTAAAGTTGGATCGAAGCTCTCTTCGACTTGAATGTCGATGCGAGCGGATTGATGTCGGACGTGCTGCCGTCTATCCCATGAATAAGTCCGCCTAGTCGAAGTCCATGTAGGAGGCATCGCAGTCGAAGAAGAAAGATGTGGAGGTTGTGCGGATGATGCGCACTATTATGCCCCGCGGGAGCAATCTCCTGCGGATGATGATAACCTGATGGCGGACCGGATCTGTCATATCGACAGGGTTGAGATTGGGAAGGGGTGTAGAAGCGGTAAAGGTATTGGGAGGAATGGTGACGGAGTGTTACCACAAACTGCTCCCATGATTGAATGATGGTCGCCGCTCTCCTTGCACGGCTGTGCTTTGTCTTTGATTGAAGTAAGAATAGAGATGCGTTACGTGTATGGCTCGATCTCGATAACGGCCAGGAAGATGGCTATAACTCCTGTCGACGTAAAACCTTCTTGAATGCAGCATTGCTACTGATACTTGGGCTTGGCAAATGGTATCGTTTTTGGAACTGACTGCTAGCGGAAGGGAGAATCAAGATGGTCTTGTGAACCTATTACTCAGGGCAGAGGCTTTGTGTCTTCGCGAACTTTCCCACAGGATTTGAAAGAGCTTGTCTTGTCCTCTTGTCCATAGGCATTGAGGCCATAATGCCACTAGTCAGTGTCCAGAAACGAGAACGGACCACCCTTGATACAGTTCCCACCGGACAATGAACCAGGACTGCCTTCGATCTGCGCAGATCAGTAAAGTCGATCGTTTTTGCTATGGGATATGGAGTTTACATTGTGAGCAATCTGGCAACAGAACTGGTAGATGCCGCCATCCTTGATGCTATTCGCACATGATGCGATGTCGTAGCCCAAAATGTCGCCACTCTCAGCTTTCATATGAGGTTAGCCACAGACCCCGTGGCTGGATAATCGACCATGCCAAGTAGGCAAGCAGTAGCTGAGGTGTGCTCGCAGCACAGAGGTTCTCGTCGAGATCTTGGGCAGGTGAAGAATCGGTTATTCGGGCTGGATGGAGCCAAGGCCATTGCAGACGTGAGCGCTAGTTGCACCAAGCACGCAAGACGTAGGAGTGTATGCAACTTCATGGTTGGACCGGGCTTGTAGTAATTGTGAGAAAGAATACCGAACAATGAGCTAAAGCGTTCGCTTTTTTACACTGTACGAATCCGCGGCTTCCACATCACAGTCTTGGTCGCGATCGAGGCATGGCTGCCATAGTTCTCGTGTCCTATCAGAAGGCGCAACTGGTTCATTTCGTCAGTCAGGTGGATGTATGAACCTCTAAGGCCAGTAGGTTCGATCCATGGCCTCTTTTCGGTCTCGCATCTGGCTCTATGACACTGTCTAGATGCATAGCTGCCAGCTGACTTGATGGTGTGTCCGGCTTGTCAGAGGTGAATCGACCTATTGCTATTGGGTTGCGGGCGTCCGCTCGTGCAGATGCCGCTTTCGACACCACTGTCGACTGCAATCAGGTATGTAGAGCGGTCTCACTACTCGCCGTGTATTTCACGATCGGGCATCATGTTGCCGTCCGCATTGGAGGAGTTGGAGACGATGTGGCGCTCGATGTGGCTGAAATTAGCGTTGATTGTCGACATCCGGTTTATCCTCCTGCGTCTAATCGACCTCGTCAACAATACTCCGTAATGTTTATGATACCAATCACAATACATTCGCCTGGCCGCGAGGAATTAAATACATGACGCGGTGATCATCCAAGATGCGCAGGATGATAGGTTTAGCCAGATGTCAACCACTTGAGCTATGAGTGCGACTATATTGCCTTCCCCCAAGAAGGCTCGTAAAAACCCTCAACGCAGGCAGTCAGAGCAGGCAAAACGCAATGATCCCGGCGTTCAGGAGATACAGACGAAGCCAGAGACAAGGCCGAGCCGTCCACTGCCGCCAACTCGAGCCCAGACTATGCCGACAACGAACCCGCTGAAGGACAAGATCATCATACAGGTCAACGACACCCTGCCTACCAATGTTGCAAGCAAAGCACGATCAAACTCCAATGCCATTCTAGCTAGTCCTCGGAACACCCGAGATTTACCATCAGCACAAAGTAGCTCCCGTGCGGCCAGTACTGCGCTCGCACCTGCCGCCATCATTACTGGCGGTTTGCTGGGCTGTGTTGCGAGTGCAGCCCTCTTAGCAGGCGTAGGCATCTGGCAGGACTCCGCCAATAACGATTCTGCTATTCTGGCGGCACGCACAGCCAAGCTCTGTCTCAACAACTTCTCGGACGAGCTGATCGCGAGCTTGAAAGCAGGCACATACAGTACAGACGAAGCCCTCGATATGCTGAGACGTACTTCGCTAGCATATGCTAGTACTGTCCCTGGCGGCGTGGCATACATCGAGCGAATCTTCCGCGAGCTTGCTTTGATCCGGCAAACACGAGCATCAGAAGTGGCTACGGTTATGAGACAAGCACAAGCAGCACTGCATGAAGCTGCGAAGAAAGGCGCTTCACCAGATGACATGCGGCTGGGACTAGTGAGACAGCTCAGCACTCTGTCCTCTTTCGCTGGTACAGCCATTAGAGATGTCGTGGATCGCAACCCCGAGCTCAAGCCGTACAAAGACGGAGCTGTGAAGGCACTGGAAGGCTCGCCAGCTCCGAAAGTACCTACTGTGAAACTCAATATCAAAGTCAAGCAGAAGCCGGCCAGCTAAGCGTTGGGTAAGATTTGATATCACCAAGATGGTGCCTAGGCTGATCGAGCACCATTGTACATAGATCATGGACTTAGTCAGGACAAATGTAGAACTGGCCACGGCCAGAAAAACTGCGGTCGCTTTGAAGCGGATCGTCTGATCTACTCGGTGGACGGACTGCATTTCGCTCAGAAAGAAGCCGCGGAATATCGTCCAATATGTAGCTGTACCTATTGAAGAAGGACGAGTTGGACTTGGGTCGAATGCAGTGTGCTGGACTCGGTTGTGTGGTATAGATTAGAACGCTCGGCGCAGTATACAGTACGCATCTTCCAATCGTACCTCGGTTGGCATTTGACCAGCATAACAACCAGACACTTCATGCCTTCGTCTCCATGTTCAGACATTCTTCATCAACGACAACCATGGACAAGCCATTAGCACTTGACCTAGTAGCCAAGCGGCAACGAAACCGTAAAGATTACCCATATCACCTAGACTACAGGACAAGATGGTAAGCCCACGCTACCATCAACAACACATGCACAACACCTCATACTCACGCCATTGGGGAACTAAGGGCAGATAACGACATGTTCCACCACCTCAACAACCCCATCTACGGCGTCCTAATAGACAGCATAATAAACGACTACCTGATCAGAAAATGCAACTACAACACTTCTTCTTACCCCCGGATAGCTTTAGTGGCGAGTTCATATTGTGATTATTTCGGTTCCCCCGCTTACCCGAGTATGCTTGATGTTGGTTTACGGGTTGTCAAGTTGGGGAAGAATAGTGTCATGTATGAGGTTGGAATTTTCGAGGAAGGGGTTGAGGCTGTGAGGGCTGTTGGGGGGTTCGTGCAGATTTGGGTGAAGCGGAGTGATAATCGGCCGCCGGCTGAGGGGTTGGAGGGGCATGTTAGGGCGGCGTTGGAGAGGTTGATGGGTGGGGGGAAGGTTGGTGATGATGACAAGGCTAAGCTGTGAGAGTCTTGCTCCTATGTCGTGAAGGGAGACCTGCGCTTGACCCAGTTGACCAAGCTGCGTGTCCCGATGACCGTATGTAGGGAACTCCAAGATCACGGGAGAGGTGATCCATATTATATGATGTTGTGTCGACGAGGATGAGATCGAGCTCTCATGATGTATACTGCTTAGCTCGATCATACAGTCCTGCTGCTCGTCCGTTATGACGCTCCCCTTAGCAGGCCGACGATGAGGTCGCAACCCCCCGCGAGTAGAGTTCATCGAAGCTATCTGCGAACTCGCTCTAATCTGTCATTTCACATGAGTGGGAAGTAGCCCAAGCTCTGATACCATATATGCGTAGCTCGACCACACAGGACATCTCCTCGTCCATATAACGTACACTCATAAACTCAATGCAATCATCCGCTAAAACTTCATATCCTAACGCCTCGCTGACATCTTCCTTCAAGATCGTACTCCATAATCGCATGAATCATCCACCATGATGCCCTCGCCCGACCTGCACAGTGAGTGCACTACTGCACACCCAAAAACTCATCCGCAGCGAAATTCGGATGAACAACATACATCACCCTCCCCTCCCGCGGCGTCTCCCCATCCTCATCAGCCAGCCCCTCACCTCGAATCTGCAGCAGCACATTCTCCTAAACAGAAAACCACACGGTTAGCACCGATCTCCACCGGACCCCATTTAGCAGAGAAGACAAAGATGAAAGAAACTCACCCTAACCATCCTCCTCAACACCTTCCGCGCCAACCCCCTCTCCCGCTCCATATCCTCCCGACTCTGCAGGGACTCCTCTATCTCCTCTAGATACCACACCAGTAGATCGTCCTCCTCCGTCCCATCCTCCGCTATGTTCTGATCCTCATTCACGCGTCGGAGGAGGATCTTCTGCATGCGGACGAAATCGTCGTATTTGATCTGGGTGCGTGGTCGGGCTAGGGCGGGTGTCGTCGAGTGCCGGAATGAAGGTGCGTGTTCCTCATTATCTTGGTCGTTCATGGGCGAGTCGGCGTCTTGTTCGCCTTCTTCCACACCAGCACCAGCGGCAGTAACGACGTCATCTTCCTCCTCGAACTCCACATCGTCTTTCTCCACGCTAATAATCGACTGTTTGAGCAGCTTATACGCCTCCTCAACAAACTGCGGAGTAACCTGATCAACACAATTGGCCTTCGCCACCGCCTCACTCAATCGGATAAGTGATTCCAATTGCCTGACAGTAATCCGGTACGAGTTCCGCCCAACACCTCCCTGTGCGTCGTCGGCTCTCAGATCCTTGTATTTAGCCACAAGTTCGCTCTTCGCCTCGTCCGTGAAAACCGGTTGGAAGAGGCGCGCGAAGCGGATATAGCGTTGGAGCTGCTCGGTGCTAAATTCAGGCTGGACCGCTTCGTCTTTCAGCTGGTGGATCCCGACGATATGCTCAGCGAGGTGCTGATCGATTGTCTCGTTGCATTCGTCTAGGACGACGAAGAAGAGGTCGAAGCGGGACATGATGGGTGCGCTCATGTTGATGTTGGCTCGGAGGGTGGTTTTGCGGTTATAGCGGCCGCCTACGGGGTTGGCGGCGGCGAGGATGCTGGTGCGGGCATTGAGCGTGGCTTGGATGCCGGCTTTGGCGATGGATATGGTCTGTTGTTCCATTGCTTCGTGGATGGCGACTTGGTCGGCTATGTCCATTTTGTCGAACTCGTCGATGGCGCAGATGCCGTTGTCTGCTAGCATGAGGGCGCCGGCTTCGATGGTGAATTCGCCGGTTTCTTCGTCTTTCACTACGGCGGCGGTGAGACCGGCGGCGGATGATGCTTTGCCGGATGTGTAGACGGTACGTGGTAAGAACGAACAGACGTATTTTAGGAATTGCGATTTGCTCGTGCTGGGATCTCCCACAATACACACGTTCAGATCGCCACGCAATGCCATGCCTTCTGGCGTGAGCTTGCTGACTCCACCCATCATCTGCAGCAAAAGACCCTTCTTGACCACGGTATGGCCATAGATCATGGGAGCGAGTGAGTCCACAAGTCGCATATAGATGTTCGGCATTTGCACCATCTTCCGCAGATCGTCAATTTCAGCAGGTGTGAGAGTATCGAGGTAGTCTTGCTGAGCCTGATCACCAGAGACGTCATTCAGGTCGACCATCTGGCCGAGAGAGCTCAAGATATTGCCGGCTTGGCCTTTAAGGTGCTGCTTCGCACTTTGTCCTTGGGTGGAGACATCTGGGGTGACCATGGTCGATAAGAATGCCATGCGGTATGTCAGATCGCGTACACCAAGTGCTTTCAACCCACTCACACCAGTGCCGCCGGCATCACCACCTCGAGGTGCTTGTGAATCTCGTATGGCCTGCACACGAGTGCCTGGTACGCGGAACTGGCTGACATCGGGCACAACAATGAGCGTGCCAGTGAAGATACACTTCTCCCCAGCTTTCGCACGATCAACCATCTCGCCACGAAGGATGACATCCATAGTACGAGGCATACTACCTGTCGGTATTTCGGAGCTATTCTCTTGTATCCGCACCTTCTGCCAGTCGATGAATGTGCTCTGTCGGATATCCAAGCGCCACGCCATGCGGTTACCGCAGGTTTGGTTGGGACATTGTGTGGGCTCGGAGTATTTGAAGATCTGCTCGACATCTGGGATGACTGCATTGCAGATCTCGCACACAAAGGTAGCCAAATGTAATTCGGGTCGGACTTCGGATGTTCGTGTGACAGTGCCAGACATGGAGACGAGCTTGCCGATTTGCTCGGTCCGTAGTTGTCGCACTCTCGACACGAGCGGGAGGTTGTAGAAGGCAATGGCGAAAATCTTGTCCGTCTGCTGGTTGGGCGTCTTGTCGTTCATGCCATCATCCTCGCTCATGCTGTTGCCCGCCAAGGATGTGTCTGTTCGAGCCGTAGTCGAGCCTGGCTGTCTGTGCTCGCGGTAGTATTGTGGTTCGTACTTGGCGATGAGATTGTTGAGTGCGCGCAGCATGTACGGCTGGAAACGGTAGAAGTCGCCCTGGATGGCATTGGCCAGTACACCCCGCTCGTGGTCGGTCAGGTGGGTGAAGTCGACGTAGAGGGTGGAAAGCTTGAACTGGCAGAGGCCGTGGATCTGAGCGATGTAATACTTGTTGGTCGTCACCGCGCTCGAGGCTGGCAGGGCGGATGATGTCGGGTCTTCGGTGAAGTTCTCCAGGAATCTCTCGAATTGGATGCCGAGTGTTTCGGCGGTGGTATCGACCACGCGTGGTATATCTTGTCGACCCTGCCGTCGCAGTCGACCGACAACTTCATCATCTGGGAAACCCGCACCGTTCTCGCTCTGGACACCTGGAGTGCTGGCTGTGGGTGGGCCTCGTGCGCGGGAGGAAGAGCGCCCATTCTGCTGGGGTACATCAGAGTGCAATACTGGCCCGGCCGGTGATGACATGGTCGATGTAGGTGTGTGCGTTCTTTGTCCTGGCCTGACTCTGGATTGTCACAGAAACGCGGGCACGCCTCGACGCGTTGGAAAAGACACGCTAGGATATAGAGTTTAGTGCTTGCATGAGCCCTGCATATCGCCTCTGATTAAGCAATCCAATGGTTCGATTATTCTCCAGAATTCCTACTCACGCCTCCCATATATCCCCCAGCTACCTACTACAGACTACAGTCAAGATGAGTGCAACTACAACCGCCACCATGGCACCCGCACAATCTGCCAACGCCCAACACATCCTCCGCCTCTTCCCCGAAATCAACACCTCCCTCGCAACCCAAACCCGCTCCGCAACCCAAGACCACGACGACATGAAAGGTTACGACGAGGAACAGATCCGCCTGATGGATGAAGTCTGTATAGTCCTCGACGACCAAGACCAACCCATCGGCAGCGCCAGCAAAAAAGTCTGCCACCTCATGGAGAACATCAATCGTGGCCTCCTCCACCGCGCCTTCTCCTGCTTCCTCTTCGATAGCCAGAACCGATTACTTCTCCAACAAAGAGCGAGCGAAAAGATCACATTCCCTGATATGTGGACCAACACATGCTGTTCGCATCCTCTCGGTATACCAGGAGAAACAGGCGCCACCCTCTCTGCCGCGATCTCCGGCGTCAAAAGAGCCGCGATACGGAAACTCGATCACGAACTCGGCATCAAAGCCACCCAAGTCCCTTATGAGAAATTCGATTTCTTGACAAGAATACATTACAAAGCGCCCAGCGACGGGAAATGGGGCGAGCACGAAATCGACTACATCCTCTTCATCAAAACCGACGTGGATCTGGATGTCAACCCGAATGAGGTGTCAGATACGAGATATGTATCCCAAAGCGAACTGAGGCGGATGTTGAAGGATGAGTCGTTGAAGTTTACCCCGTGGTTTAAGTTGATATGTCAGAGTATGATTTTTGAGTGGTGGGATCATTTGGATGGTGGGTTGGGGAAGTATATGGAGGAGAGGGAGATAAGGCGGATGTAGTAGATTGGAATCATAGATGGGTGTATTTGATCTTTAGCGGTGGAGTGGTGGGTGACCGAATTCTGTGCCAACATTACTACGTGATGAGAACGAGCTCACGCTCCTAGAATTAAGTTTATATTGGCAATGATGGCATATAGTGCTCAATATGAGTTTGTATTGGCAATGATTGCATATAGTGCTCAATACTAAAGCTTGGAATTCAATAGGGTACCGCTCAAAGCTAAGAAGAACAGACGGTATAGCATACGAACGTGTTACACACCAACACAACATTTTCCCTTTTGATCACAAAGGCTGCGCGTCAACAACATCAACCTTCGCCCCCTCCTCTCCCTCCCCAATTCCTCCCTCCTCCTTCAACTCAGATTCAGACCCACCCTCAACATGATCCCCCTTCCACTTCCTCGCCCGATCCCAATGCGCCTTCAGTCCCGCCTGCTGCCTGATCAACGCCCCCATATCATCATCCACCTTCTGTCGAAACCTCCCCAGCTTCCCCTTCGTCTCCTCGTCCTGCGGCGTTTCGTTGGTATCCCATGACGAATGCGCTTCCATTTGTTCATTAGCCCAGTCTACTGCCTTTTTGCCTGAGGCGATTTCCAGGTCGATGGTGCGGCGTTGGAGGGTTGGGAGGCCGGTTGCTGCTTCGAAGGTCACGCCTGGTTTTGCTTTTTCGGCTGCGGCGCGGGATTCGGTGTAGGCTTTCTCGGTGATGCTGATTTCGTGGCGGGCGTGTCGCATCATTGCTATGTGGTCGTTTATCTGACCTGGAGTCGGCCGGTTCTCAGCGGGGAGGGATTCATTCCGCATCTGCACGAGCATGTTCTCGTAGGCTTTCATCTGCGCGGTTTTGGTTTCGATCTCGGCGCGGAGTTGTTCGGTTTACCAGAGGGGCAGGTCTTCTTCCTTGTAGCATTCGCGGTCGGGACAGAGGCGTGTCGCTTCTACCTCTGCTTCGGCGAGGTCGGAGAGGATTTTGCCATAGATGCCGCCGAGCTTGAAGAGTTCCCATTTGGCAATCCATTCGTCGTTGATTTCCTCTGCGGCAGCCACGTCGTTTTGTCGAGCTTGGAGATCCCGCTCGGCGGCCTTCTTCCACAACGCGAACTTGTCCTTTTCCCGCACCGGCTCGTTGCCGTTGTGTCTCGCACGTTCACCAGCATACCATCTCGCCCGAGCGACCTCGAACTTGTCTCCCTTGAAGAACATTGGCCAGCCGTGCTCGATGTACAGGTTCTTGAGCGCGTAGTAATCATACAATCCCTCGAACTTGCTGTTCTCGCCATTGCCAGGGATGTACCTGAGTTCGGCCAGCCATTTTCTGTAATCGCGGAGAACCTCATCAGCGGGGCGGTTGGGAATGTGTTCGAAGCTGTTCTTGTTGATGCCCTGTTCGCCAATGTTTGCAGTGCCAACGAGTTCTGGGTCGGCCGTCACGCCGCTGTTGGGCTCCAGCATCCAGATTCGGTGTGTCTTGACATCGTACATGAGAATGATACCCTGTCCATGGATCCTGACCAGTGGTGTCTGCCATGGCGATACATATCTGCCATTTGTGGAATTGGCTTTGCTCGAAGGGTTGCGCTGGAAAGGATCACGTGCCTCTTTCGCTTCCTCTGGTTTGCGAAAGTCCGCAAACTCGCTACCAAGTAAGAAGTCGAAGTTGCCGGCCTCTGGTCCGTCAACATATGGCAACTTCTGGTAGAGCTGGATGATCGCCGGACTCATATTCTTCGACGGTTTCGTTTCGTTCATCTTGTGTGGACCGTAGGTTATACCTTTGCTGTCGATGTACCGCATTGCGACCAGTGAGGCGTAGATGCCGCCCATTAGTTGGGCGACTTCGGTGGTGCGGGCATCGATCAGTATACTCTCTGGTATATACTGAGCCAGCTCCGGTCCGATGGTGGCCTCGATGGTGAGGACCAGCCCGGGATACCAAGTGTTCTTGGTGAAATACAACACAGTTCCGATTATCCCAACCAGTATGCTCACCATCGTCGTCAATGACGGGACGTATTCGCCATTGATATCTTCCTTTTTCGCATCTCTCAACGATGGCTTCTTGGTCTCTTCGGTGGTGGTAGGCTTCGTTGGCTCTTCAGCCGACTTCTTCTTGCCATTGGCTGTCGCCATATTGTCCTGCAGATGTCCTGGGTTTCGCAGTGGTAAAGATGCGAGGACGACTGTCGAGGTCACCTGTCATATAGGCTTCCACACATCTAGACAGCTTGCCTGAAGCCATCATGTCACGTTCGCGGTTTTTGGGAAATCGTACAGGCTAAAGCGTCAAACAGCCGACAGGTTTCATGTTGATGGCGAGTCATGGTTCGGAGAGTGGGAATGCCTTGTGTTGCATACTGTATATTACGTCCGGCGGTTTTCAATATGCGCAGCAGGATCTCGCACTTCAATGGAAGTGAGATCTGACGAAGATTAAAGTTAAAGGACAATAACGATGGATGTATTCTGTGGTCATTCTTTTGTTATTCTACAGTGTTTTAACTACATGGTGACTGGTCGTACATCGCTGCGCCGTCTTCGATCGAGCTGCGTTCATACTTATCCACGATACCTTCTCTCAGCGGGCATGATAGCTCTTCAATCTTCGGGAATCACCGATAGTATGATACACTACCGTAAGGCCCCTTTGGCGTCTCCTCGACCCCTACAGCTGTCTTGCACCTACTGATTGAACACTGAAGGGATCAGTGCCCAATCACCCACAGATTCCGCCAAGTCCCTCATTGCCGAGCTGAAGATTGGAACAGCCAGATTCAGCATAGGATATGTTGTCTGCAAACCTGGATCACGAGCCACAGCAGCCTCCCAGTCAGCCTCCCACATTTCCGCAGAGTGAATGAGATTCTGAAGCTGCTGCTCACGCTCTGTCTGGTCAAGTAGTTCTGACCCTTTCAAAAGAGTCTGGTTCCGAGCCGCATCGAGCGCTGGCTGAGTGTGCAACAATCGCACCACCTCGTGTATCTCGAATGCGATGCGATGTGAGACGTACTGGAGGGCGTCATCGAGAGAAGTGACCGAGCTGAAGGCATATGCTTCTTGATGCTCAGCACGAAGCGTGCCCATCAGCTCTCGCGCCTCCGTTGGCACGACAGCAATCTCCGCTGGCGTAAATTCCCACTGTCGGCGACGGTCCTGGATCCTAGCTGCAGTAACTTGCTCGACATGTGCTCGAACCAACTCACCCCATCCGGCCCAGACTCTGCCAGCAATCCGAATAGCGTTGCTCAGGGCCGGATGCTGAACCGACAGACCATTGTCGAATAGCTGCAAGAATCCCCAACGGGAAGCGAGTATGTCCAGATCATCCAGTCGGATATTGTCAAGCCGTGCAAAAGACACAGCGTCTATTGCAAGGTCGAAATCGCTTGGTTGAGGACTCGACATCCTGAATAGATAAGTGAAGACCGCCATAGCGAGCTGATGGACGTTCGCATGAAGACGATCGATGCCGTTCTCGCTGTGTGCATACGGAGTCTGGTGTTCCTGGCGTAGCAGCCCGAGTACATCTTGAAGAAATCGTGGACGTGCGTCGAACTCCTCGTCATTCAAGTCCCATTGGCGGAAGCGGGCTAGCCCCGTTGGCTGCGATGCTTCGAAGTCACGGAGATCATGTAGATCGAATGGCGCAAATATTGAACGATGAGCTGCAACAGCACGATCCACCTCCTCGGCAGTCGGTCCAGGATGGTCGTAAGTGGCGTTCGCGGCATCTGGCTGGTTGAAGCGTGGGCATCGTGAAGTCTCGGCATTCCAGTGGCCACCATCCGCCGTGGTGCGCTCGCCACAGATGTAGCAGAACTGGGTCTTGCAGAAAGTAGCAGGGCAGGTCATATGGTTGCAACCATCACCAAGGAACACTGGCATCTCACAAGATGCATTGGGGCAGAGTTGATAGTCCCTCCCACGCTTGAGACCCTCGAAGTGATCAGCACCGTCTGTCTTCTCGCTCCCTGTGTTGCACTTGGGGCAGGGCGTCTCGACCTTCGCGTCTTCGCGAGGAGCTCCACACTGGCGGCAAGCGTAACCAGCACAGTGTCCGCACTTTGCCGCGGTAGAGTTCGTCTTCTTCCGAAACGCTCCGCAGGTCCTCGTCTCGATGCCGTTGTCATTAGCGTCTGCGATCTGCTTCTTGGTCAGCGCCAATGTTTGAGATTGCTCATCCTGCGGGTTGTGGTCCTGCGGCAAAGGCTCATCTGCATACAGTACATTTTGGCAGTATAGGCGTTCGTTCAGAGGAGTGTAGTACTCGAATTGCTTCTTCTCCAGGAGCATGCCATAGTCATTGGGGAGGAGCTCCTGATAGTGCTCCCAGTGGAGATGTTGGTCCCCAGCCCAGGTCGGAGGATAGTGGATCTCATACTTCAACGCATTCAGGAAGAGAGGGACGATCTCTTCCTTGGCACAGTCGGAGCACACCGCGTCTGGACCTGCTGGGAACGATATCGTGATGGGGATGTCGTCAAGACAGACTGCGCACGTGGCGTATGTGTTTGTGGTCATCTTGATTCTGGTCTGATAGTACACCAGGTGATGATGCAAGGGCAGTAGTTGACGAGCATGATCTGAGCTTATATTCGAGGGGCGTGGTAACTTGGGTGTGTCTCCATGCACACAAGTGATCGATGCAATACACAATGCATTGTCGAGCCCAAGCTCGAATTTCGATCCATTGTTCATTATTCACCTGACGCCTCGCTAAGTCCATGATCTCGTCCATTCACGTATCGTCCTGCCAATACCAGCAATGATGGATCACTTCGCCGGCTTCCCTTTGGCTTCGGTGGGTGACAGCTTCCTGATGATGACCTTGATGCTTTCGGGATGGTTCACTACCTCATTCAGATCCTTCCCATCCTCCACTCCGGGACAGATACCCACGGCCATGAACTCGCCATCGGGGCTGAAGTCTACCGCAGCCACACTCGCGCCCATGTTAGGATAATGCCTGACTCTCCTTTTGGTGCTCGCATCCCAGATGTATACCACACCATCGCCACCACCAGTTGCAAAGGTACCGTGGACCGGATGAAATGCCAGTGCATTGACCGGGTAGACCATATCGACTTGCTGCTCCTCGCCATTCTCGTCCGCAGGTAATGTTGTAGTCTGACGATGGCACTTGAAAGCATAAGTCTTACTTTGCGCTTCGGGGTCAAACCACTCGACAGCCACTCTCCCCTCGATACTGCTCGTCGCAAAGCCGAGCCCGTTCGGCATACACGCGACATCTCTAGTCATGTACCTTAGACTGCTTTCTCTTTGCTGCCAAGGCGCGACTTCCAGCACGTTGTCATGCAGGCTGGGTACCTTACCGTTGGCCACGGTTCCAGCTTGCTCAGTCAGCGACTTCAGTGCCTGTAGGTCGTAGACAGATACTTTTCGCTCAGCCATGGCCACCACGGCTTTATCAGCAGACAAGCTAATGGCAAATGGTTTGGCAGCGAGTCTCACGCGGATGGAGACTCCGTCAGACACGGTATGCACATGCATGGTTCCATCCCAGCTGATACTGATCAGTACACCATGCTCCGAGCTATACGCAATCTTGTTGCTTGGTTTGGTGTGTGTCGACAGCACTTGCTGTATAGCTTGGTCCTCGCCGGCGCCCTCACTGAGCTTCACCCTTCGCACATCGAAGTCTGTGCCTACGGCATACAGTGTGTCATTGTCTTCCCCCCAACAGATATCGAGGACGGGCGCGCGGAACCGTATTCGTCGGCCTGAAAACGTGAAGGTATCATGGTTCGTGGTGTTGTCGTATATTGAGATGTCTCGATTCCAAGATGCTACCGCGATTCTTGTTCCATCTGAGGAGAATGACAGTGCTGTTATTAGCTCGGTAGGTGGGTTGTCAACCTCGTGTTGAGTTGACATGGTGTCAAGCATTCGACGAGCATTCACAGTTGAGATGTAATAATTCGAAGGTCGAGGTCGCAAGAAGTTCCCAGGCTAAACGATCACGTGATAGTCGCTTACATCGGCAGGCAGAATCGAGGATATCAAGAAAACACAAACCCTCGATCCCCGGGTCCATGATACAATCCACATCAACCCGTCCACGGCTGGTTGGAGTGAAGATACAAGTCCGAGTCCGATGAGACAGGATGCGCACCATACTGGTACCGATCGGCCCACCTGGCTCTGGCAAATCCACACTTACCAATGGACTTCAACAATTCATGACCGCCATCGACAGGCCATGCAGCGTGGTCAACCTCGACCCAGCGAACGACAACATCCCATATGAGCCAGCCTTTGATGTGCGAGATCTTGTCGATGTCGATGAAGTCATGGAACGAGAGGGATTGGGGCCAAATGGTGGCGTGCTGTGGGCTATGGAGGAGATCGAGGCAAACTTCGACTGGTAAGGTACCTTTGAGTTACTGGATATGAAGCTCCAACACACATCTGACAAGGGTCAATCTCTAGGCTCAACGATCAAATAACAGCCTGCCCTTCGGACACCATTGTTCTCGACCCTCCAGGTCAGCCTGAGCTGATGCAGCATCATGAAACGCTTCCTCGCATTCTCGAACGACTCGAGAAGCTAAGCTACCGAGTACGACTGGTGAATCTGTCTGGCACAATGACGCCGCTGACTGACCACTGTAGTAGATCGTGATCGTCCAGCTTCTTGACTCGGTTGTCCTGACTCGCCCAAGTTTGTACCTCAGTAGTCTGCTATTGCTTGTGCGCGGGATGCTGCATATGCCATATCCTATCGGTAATCCACGAAGAAGTCATGAGCTCCTTGCTGAGGCTGTTCAATGCTAACGGTGTTCTTAGTCAATGTTTTGACCAAGATCGACAACCTCAAGTCAGTAGGAGGTGGCGAGCTACCTTTCAACCTGGACTTCTACACAGAGATGCAAGATCTGTCTCGCCTACTACCCGCACTATCCATGGAACAAGGCTCAGGCTCAAGCGAAGCGGCAGAAAAGTGGGAGAGCCTGAACGAGGCACTCATCTCGCTGATCGAAGACTTTGGCTTGGTCGCATTCGAGACCCTAGCCGTCGAGGACAGACAGAGCATGGCAAGTCTTGTGCAAGCAATTGACCGGGCATCAGGCTACGTCTTCATGGGCGCTCGAGCTGCAGACGAGAATGGTCGTACTCTGGACGATGAAGCCTCGATTTGGGCACAAGCCATGTCCGATTCGTGGGCTGGTAGGCTTGACGTTCGTGATGTGCAGGAGAGATGGATCGATCGCAAAGATGAGTTCGATGAGCAGGAGCGCAAGCAGTGGGAGGAGGAGGCAAGGTTGGCTGGAGCTTTACCCGAAGTCAGTGCTGCACAGGCAGTTAGGAAGCATGCTGAGGAGGCAGGGGCTGAATATGTGGAGGATGAAGATGAAGACGAGCTAGAATCTGAGCAAAGAAAGTGGCAGGAGGAGCGGATGAAGGGTGGCGGACAGGGTGGCGTCGATGGTCTGAAGATTGTAAGGAAGACTTAAGCAGCAGCTGCGTGCCCTGGGCTTGATATGCGTCTGTGGACGGAATCTGGCGAGCCATCTCGAATGCTCCGAGCATACTCGGCCGAAGCGGGGGCGGAAGCTGCTGAACCTCCAATTGCCTCGCTCGCCTTATTGAAGCAATACAATCAAGACTTGATGATCTAACGCTGGGCTACATTATCATGTTTTGATGCATGGTGGTCTTAATCTACTCTCGAACGTACGAAGCTCGGCAACCACAATCCCATCTAGACACAACCTACGTTCTTTCGATCTCCACAACCATGGCATTCACTACTGCCGACATGCCAACTCGATTTCTCAAAGGTGCTTTCCTGGTGGGACATATCCCTCATCGAGTCCTTCGATGTGACATGCGCCTCTCCTACTCGCTATATGTGCCACCGAGTCATTATGATGGCACAGGCGGTAGCACGATCCCGCTCCAGGTTTATATCCACGGTACAAGACGTGACCTCTCACCAATGCACTCCGATCTAGAAGCTTTCGCCGATGACGTTGGCTGCGCCGTCCTAGCACCTCTGTTCCCGGCTGGAGTAGAAGGACCACAGGATCTTGACTCGTACAAGTTGACAGGGGAGTCGACATTGCGATCTGATCAGGCACTGTTAGCAATGATAGAAGAGACCGAGCAGGTCTGGGTAGGTATTTACACGAAGCGATTTTTCCTCGTGGCCTTCTCAGGGGGCGGGCAGTTTGCCCACAGATTCTTGTATCTGCATCCTGAGCGACTCTCGGCGGTCAGTATTGGTGCCCCGGGGTCAGTGACGCTGCTAGATCAGCAGAAAGACTGGCCGTATGGAGTGAAGGATGTAGAGATCTGCTTTGGAAGACACCTCAGCCTCGCGGCCGTGAAACTCGTAGCTATTCACCTCGTTGTAGGCATCGCAGACAACGATTTCCACGGAGGTACCGAGTTCACGCAATGGCTCAGAGATGTCCGCGCACCCGAGCAGCATGAGGCTCAGGCAAAGCCGCAGATCTCTTCCGTCCATTCTCAAGGACGAGTACAAAGTCTGCGAGGCCTGGATGAGAGTCTGAAGCAAGCTGCTATCGAAGTGACGTTCAAGCTTGTGGGGGGTGTTGCGCATCATGGCGACTTAGTCCGACCAGCGCAGCTGCGATTCCTGAAGGAGGCAATGTGGCTCAAGAAAAGATGACAACTGTGAAGCGATGCTCGCTCGAGTGTCTTGCGCTGGTGTTGACTTCGTGTATACAATAGAGGTGCATGCCTTCCCTTTTTGGCTGCAGCCTCGACCTCACCTCGTCTCACCTCACTCCACCTCTCAGTGACAACCCCGTACCCTTGGCATCCTGAATTTCTTCTCCTATCGCCAACTTGCACTCGTGCCCGCATGAGACGGCGAACGTATGCAACATGGCGCTACAGACAGGTACTTCAGCCCGACAGCGATGCGAGCTGCTGGCAGCACAAAATGTCCTTGGTGCTACTACTATACCGAGATTCAGCAGGCACAGCAGCAAGCAATCGACGAAAGAACCACTCATCACGTATTCACGAAAGGATAGACCTCTCTCCTTGACTGCAGACCAATTCGTGAGGAAAGACACCTACGATCTGCCATCTGATGATGATCATCAGGATGTCAGCCGCCAGAAAGAGGCGAGTCCGCCTCATGTTGGCTCGGGAAGCTCACGCATGTCAGCCCTGTCAAATGCAGATGAAGGTGTCTTGCTCCAGATCGTCCGGCACGCGAAGCCCGACACGCTGTCTACACTTCAACCCGGAAAACCGATATCAGCGGCGCCACCTGACGGAGATGCTGGTGATGTCGCAGACCACTTTCGCCTGATCCGGAGCAAGGGTCTGTCAAAGAAGACCAAACCGAAGGCAACCAAGCCAAACAACAGAGCTCTAGAATTTGACGGCCTGGAAAAGGTGGCTGGTGCAGCCAAAGGACTTCCACGACGATTGCCAGTGCGCGAGCTGGTATTTGTACCATCGTTACCGGACGGGAATGAGTTCGGCTCATTGAGAAATGTCGTCGGCATTGGTACGAATGGTGCAGTTCCTCTGGAGGGATTAGTATCGCCAGAGCACAATCAAAGCAGGCCAACGACGTCAGCCACTGCTATAAGAAAGAGACTATTGACTGCGAAGCTGAGGACCAAGAAACTCAGACGAAAGAGTCTCGGTCAGGGTACATTGATCGGCTTCAATACATCCGCTGTTGACGTTGGTGATGGTTTCGAGGCGTTGGAAAAGCAGATCACGGACCAGCTCAAGCCTACTCGATTGCCGCGCAGATCAAGAACAGCGATGATGTTCAGGGCATTGGCCTTGAGCGATGGGCCTTTACCGGAGGTAATATTCGACTCCGCTGCAGATGAGCTCCAGCTTGGGCTCACTGCTGGACCGCTTCACCCTATGGGGTCAAGGAATGAGGATGATGTCCCCGTCATGTCCGTGAACGCTCCTCGACGCAAAGTCAGCTTCAGTAATCAACTGGAGTTGATAAAAGCGCAGCTGTCTTCTGTCAGAGCTATGCGACGGCAGACTGACGGTGATTCCGACGACGAGGAGCCAGAGGTAGAGGATGAAGATGCAGTCGTGGAAGGCTTTGAAGCCGTGGATTACGGCGAGGCCGAAGAACGCTCAGGTGATGAAGCTATCGAGGATCGTCCTTACCATCCATCAGCACAAGAAGCAACCTCCCAGCAGCTTCGCCCACGCTCTACCGTGGGCACCTTTGTCGAAGAAATCGAGGAGGACGATCAAATGACGGACTATGGCGTGGATCTAAATTCCGGGCAGTCAGCTCGACACAATAGATGTGGCCGACTTTCTAGGTCTGTGCTCAACGAGGTCAACGAGAGCATAGAAGACGGGCCAAATCCCATCAGAAAGCCACTACGGCGCCGGTCGATCCTCAAGAACAGTGTGCATGTGGCTCCCAAGACGACCTACTCACGGGAGCATACCGAGGCCAACACCCGCCGCAACAGTATTGTAGTGCTAGAGGATAGTCACTACTTCGCCGGCGCTATGCAAGGCCTTGCCGCTCCCGACCCTGCTAGACATCGGATTGTGCCTCGTCGAGCAAGTCGTTATGATATGGTACGAGAGAACGAGGGCGAAGCAGCGGACCCCGGGACCTCCTTGCAGCCACTCAACTATGTGGACGTTGGCTCGGCTTTGTCAGCATTACGAAGCACGAAGGACAGCTTCTACACATCTCAACGGCTGCCTGAGCTACGGAGGGATTTGAAGGCACTGACGAGAAACGTAAGCAGGGAACATGGGACACTGAGCCAGTCGATAAGGAGACGATCAAGTCTTACATTCCAACCACCAATGACAGTTCGCTGAAGGGACATATATGCCGTGAGATAGAGACGGGAGGATACGTGAGAGGGCCGAAGCGACCATGCGTGGGTATCTAAGCAGTACGTTCTGCTGATCTGACTTTATAGCTAGAGCTGTACATGGTATGGCATATATTCTACAGCACCGGGTGACCGTCGAGATGCTTTCCCAGCCTTTCGCCAGATACGTCTCTGGTGGATAATCCAGACATTCCACTGTCTAGTACCTCTCACGCAGCGGGTTCCCGTCAAGTTCAACTTCCGGAAGACCCTTTTTGGAGTTTTCGCCTCCTGATCAGCCCCTGATTACCGGATCGTGGCTCCAGTGAGCGTGGGTACAGTACACAGCCCCTGCTTCGTCCTAAGTTTCGCAACACTCTTCTCTTTCTCGCTATCCTTCAATTGCTCAACAGCTGTAGGATCGAACGCCGCCTCCTTGCCACCCGTAGTGCAGAAGCCAGCCTGACAGTAATCCCAAACCTTCTTCTTGGGATTGAGCTGACCATCTGGCTCACCCTCCCAGCCCTCAAAGTACACCCGCTCACCCGCCTCAGCATCCTTTGGTGGGTCGACAAGTTCAACGGGTCCAGCATGCTTGTCCTCCTCTCCAGGCGCCAATCGTGGTGACGCAGCGAGAACCATAGCTGCCGAGTGAATCCCGCGCATCTTGACGGGTTTCAGGTTGCACACAGCCACAATCTTACGGTCTTGCATGTCTTCCAGTGGGATCAAGCCGTTTAGGCCAGAGCAGACTGTTCGGACGATCTTGCCTTCGTATTCTGAAGTATTGTCCGTGCCTGGTGGGTCGCCGCATGCGATCGTGCTGACGAAGAGGGAGTCGGCTTCGGGATGCTTGACGGCTTTGAGGATGTGGCCGACGCGGAGATCGATAAGTGAGGGTGATAGAGGCTTGTCTGCTGCCGGAGCATTCTTCTGTGGTTTCGGCTGCTTGTCCTTCTTTTGTTTCTTTTCTGTCGGTGCTTCTGCGCCTACGGCTTCTGCCACTTTGTCACCTGCACTCTTCTTCTCCTTCTTGCTTGACTGGGCATTCTCGCCGTCCTGCTGCACATCCTTGCTTGCTGCGGTTGTGACTGCACCTCCTGCTGCGGCCGCCGTGTTTGCACCTGCCGCCGCCGCCTTCTCCTTCTTCTTACGCTCCTTCTCGGCTTTCTGGTCGACTGGCTTGGGATATGAGACGACTTTGCTGGGATCGACATTGAGCTTCTCGCCTTCAGCCACTTTTAAGCTGAACAGTGGAGCATTCTGCACAAAGTCGAGGAAGCGGACGATGTGATGGTAGCCTTGCTCGCCTGTCCGCTGCTCGTCGCTCCAACCTCTCACGACTGGCGCAAGTTTGGCGTACATGGCGACATCTGCCACGCTAGGCTTGCTCCCGAGGAGGGTTGTGCGGGTGGAGAGGTGGGTGTTTAGTGATGAAAGTCGCTCTGCTGTCTTGGCGCTGTCTTCTGACGAGGAGGCGATGTGGTTGGATGTGATCAGCCATTGTTCGATCTCCGTCTTGTCTGTGCTGGAATACTGCAATTACATCGTCAGTGGGACAATTGAGTAGTGTATTGCTCGCGTGCCTACCTCTGCTGCCGGGAAGATGGCAGTGGAAAGCTTTGATGGATCGCTACCCGCCTCGATCGCCTGTGGGTAAGAGTCCTTGATCAGGCTCAAGTCCTTCAGACCGTTCTCTAGCCCTGTCGATGCCATCCTGTTTGTGCTCCAATAGGGTATACGTGGGTGATGTTGTCCAAGTACTGTATGTGAGAGGCAGTAGTGTGATCGGGAGCTGGTATCACGCAGAGTCGTTGTCTTCCTGGACGCGACTCTCAGGCTTAAGGATCGAAGGGAGACTGCTTTGTGTAGAGCTCGAGTCATTTGCTCAAGAATTACACATGTTACTCATTTTTTGATATCGTTCAACGCCACATTTATATCGCCACATTCATGCGCCACACTTATTTCACATTTGAATGGCGGGGACTTTCTTGCCTTTGCCATTTCATGAACATGAACCGCGCGTGGAGTACTGTAGAGATGGTGCACCGACTTCCCCATCGTTGTTGGACAGTCGAGACGTCGGTCATCTTCTGGAGCCCATGACCTCGCCACCCACAGCATGCGTGGAAACTCCAAGGAATGAACACTACTAGACTGGTCTTGACATACGATGCCTCCCGACCACGCACTATGCCATTACGGAGTATCAAGCTCGATAGTCACTAGAAGCAGAAAATCTGGTCATCAATCTTAGAGACAGCGCCGGGCGCAGCGAGCCCCATCATGACCAACTTCTATTTCGAGCCGTTCAGCATGCCGGGCGGTCCATAGAGCATGATCTTGATGTCTTATATGCTTCAGTCAGCAAGCAATAGATGTGCAAGGACCTGTTAGAGATTTAACTTACCACTTGACAATGCTGGCAGATACTCCTGTATGATCTGACCGTTGACGTAGCCCTTGCCCTGTTACCACTCCGGTGAAGGCTGATCGAGCATGTAGTATACCTTGAATCTGCCGCTCGAGCTACGAGCGAAGCCGTCAAGCTGCTGACGCAACAGTCTATCGCTCTCGGATCAGTTGGCATAGACCAGGCTAACCTTAGTATGGTCGCCCGAGTCTTCGCAGATTGCGCGGATCACCTGATACCTGGTGGGGGGACATTAGCATGATATGTACGTCGGATCGATCATTGGAGGTGAAGACTCGGATCGGTGTAATGCCAGTGCCGCCATCGATCATACCGATATGCTTGGCCCTTGTTGCGCTGGGCAACACCTTGAATCGTGAGCATCTCGTTGGCGATATTCTAAAGGAGGAGAAGAAGATGGGCAGTATCTTCGCTATCTTCGTTCAATCATTTATTCACCTAGCTTAGCTGATAGGAGTCACCAGCTGCTAGGTCTGGTGACACACAGTTATACAGGCCTCCACCCTCACATCATGGCAGAAATCTTGCACCTTCGGGAACCTGGACGAAGGGACTACTTCACCCTTGCTAATGCCTGACCTATTTCGTTGGTCAAGTGCATACTACCACAAGGCCTTTGATAATGAACAAAGAATCGTCTTCACACAATGCATGGCAGGACGGGTATATATGAGACAGTGTACCTACAATGACTTGCCCCTGATTCCCCGAGCGTGACTCGCATCTCTCGCATAAGTCACACATAAGACTGTTTCACGATCGTATCACTCCAAATCACTGGTCACAGACGATCTCAAGAGGAGCCAATTATGGCATTCCTTGGCCACAGAGAAGTTCCACACAATACGGCCGCAGGACCCGGTTCATTCTCCATGGTCCTCACAGGCCGAAAAAATTGGCTCGGCCATGGAATTCGAGAATTCCAAGCACACTTCTATCTTCACCTACCAGATGAGACAATCCCACACTTCGTCGGAGGGCTTACAGCTACCATAGTAGACAAGAAAGCGACATACGCGCTGAGAGGCAAGCAGCGACTCCTCTTGGTGCGATGGTATGTTTGGTGTTCCCGCTGGGCGGATAACGTTGACAGAGCGTTCAGCTTGTTGTACAACCATCATGGCCAGCTGAGATCACAATACGAGAAATTCGCTGATATGCTATCGAACGATCACATCTGTCTAGTGGAGAACTTCATCCTGGAACGAAGATACCCCGGTTGAGGCCTAGGTTTGCTCGCGCTGCAGTCGTTTCTGGATTTACTGCCGAGATTCAAGCGTCACGAGCTCTGGCACGGCCTCGTCCTGCTCCATCCTTCTCCGTCTGAGGAACAAGAGACAGATGAGTTTGGGTCGGCCGACAACGGTAGCGAGGCGTGGTGTAGTGACGAGTCGCTGTCAGGCACAGTCGATGACAGCGAGAGAGCTATGAGCTATATGGATCTTCGAAGTTGCACAAATTTTGCAGGTCTCGTGCGGTTCTATCGTCACAATGGTTTCAAGATGCTCATTCGTGAGCAGCCGGACCGATCAGATGGCTATATGGTCATGGCGCAGGTAGTCTGAAGGTTCGCGCTGTCGGTTGTGGTATGACTTTCTTCTACAGTATGTCGGTCTCGTGTTCCCTCATATCTGATGACCTTCTTAGTCAACGCGGTTGTCGCATTCACTTCTTCCATCTGGATCTCTGGCCCAAACGACACCAGTCGCTACCATTCCGATGCGCTAGGAGAGTGACCGGTCCGCTTACCATACGTCGTCAAGTCGTTTCGTCTGCGCGTAGAGGTGATCGAAATATCTTCAGAGCGCAAGCCGTACGGCTGCGAGTCAGGAGCGATGATTGAATCCGGCGGCAAGTTTACGATACTGTAAGGAATATACTAAAGCATAGCTCGTGGCTCCTCTTCCCCAGCAGCCACCTCGACCATAAGCTTCCCTGTGTTCCCGCCCTGGAACAACATCTGCAGAGCCTCCGGCAATCTCTCAACGCCGCCTTTCAGAATTGTCTCCTGCCTCTTTATCTTGCCCTCAGCCATCCATTGCGCCAGCTGGCGCTTAGCCTCCGGATACTGCTTTGCGTAATCGAATACAATGAAGCCCTCCATCCTGATCCGCATAGAGACTATCATGAGATAGTTCTTTGGTCCTTGGACGTCCTTCGTATTGTATTGGCTGATACCGCCGCACATCACGAAGCGTGCGTGTTCTTTCGCTCTGGATAGAGCCATGTCCAGGATTTCACCACCGACATTGTCAAAATACACATCGATCAATTGTTTCGTTGCAGAACGAAAGTTCTGTTTGAACGATGGATCTTTGTAATTCAGTGCTTGGTCGAAGCCTAGCTCGTTGACTAACCAGGTGCATTTTGAGTCCGACCCTGCGAGGCCCAAGACGGTGGCACCTTTGAGTTTGGCTATCTGTCCCACGACTGAGCCTGTGGCTCCTGCGGCTCCGGAGACGACTACGAAGTCACCCGCCTTGACTTTGCCGACGTCGAGGATGCCGAAATACGCCGTCAAGCCAGGCATTCCTAGAGCTCCGAGAGCATCTGTGATCCTGCCATTGGGAGGCAATTCCAGCTTCTCGACTTCGTTGTCTTTCAACACAGATAGCTCGGTCCAGCCGCAGGATGCGTAGACTTTCTCGCCCTTGCGGAATTTGGAACTTTTGCTGGCTACTATGCTACCCACGCCGGCTCCGCGCATGACGGCGCCGATTTTCACAGGCGGAATGTAGCTCCGACTATCGTTGAGCCAGCCTCTCATCGCTGGGTCAAGAGAAAGATGTGAGGGCGAGAACAGTACCTCGCCATCTTTGAGCGCGGTTATGGTGGAGGTCTGGTCCTGCTTGACAGTGAAGATGTCGGGTGTGATGTGGTCAGTAGGCCTTCGTGCCAAATGTACGGACTTGTATGTTCTTGGTAAGGCCATGATGAGACGTGTTGATGTCCATTATTAAGATTGCCCCGGAAGTGTCAGATTGTTGGAGGAGGTGTCGTGAGTCGTGCTTCTGCCTCGGCTGTTTCATCACGCGGCGTGGAGGAACTTTGAGCCGGTCATGCACAAATCCCACGTCGTTCACAAATTCTCTCTAAATAATCAGCCACCTGTTCTCATACCCATAATGGCCGACGAAGCAGCGCCACCGACTTGCGCCAAATGTGGAACATCCTCTGATGCCCTAAAAGCCTGCATCACATGCAAAAGCGTCTCATACTGCAGCCGCGATTGCAAAAAAGCTGACGCCAAAGCACACAAATCTGTTTGTGCCAAGGCGGCGCAGGAGTACATGAAGACTGCGGACATCAAGATGGCAGCCAAGGCGCCACCGAAGAGTAATGGCCGCGATACTGGCTTCAAAAAATGGCAGTTTGATACTTGAGATCCAGGGCTATCGTCCGTGATCATCACAGGAAGCAATTGTTTTCTAAGGACGGCAGGAACCAGCAAGTAATCACGGCTGGACCGCTTCAGGTGGTCCCCGAGCCTGTGTGAGGCGTTCAGCATGGGAACTTGGGGCAAGCAAGAGTATCATGTACTATCACTACTGTGGTACGGTGGTGACGGTCCGTCTCAATCGTTCAAGCATGACTGGATCCGCTTAGCGTTGCCTGTAATCGGCCTGGCAAGTATCGTAGCAACGACTGGCGTCGTCGACGTGGTCAACTATCTGTCAGAATAGGCGGGCTGGGCTTGACGCAAGAGGCTGGCGGCTTGGGAACCTTTCGCTCAGACGACAGCGAAGCAAGGCAGCACCGTGCGGAGTGACCACATCTGTCATTTCTCGCAGCGTGAGGCAGTTCTGGAGTTCATACGAGGCCAAGAGAATCTACATCCTCTCGTTGTAACAGCTATCATGTTCTCGACGCCTGTAGCAACCTTTTCAGGAGGCAGCCCTCCAGGGTGACTGGGCGTAAGGTGGTCCACAGTGGAGGAACCGGCTACCACCTGGACTCGCCAAATAGCAGCAGCTTCAGACAGTATACCGGAAGAAACTCGCGCAATCACCTCTCTCTCTCTCCGCCGTCCTCTCATGCTCCGTATACTGCTCTGGTGCCTTGTGCGCAGCATCCCTCCTCTCATTCTCTTTCCGCATATAAAGCGTCATGAATACGCTCAAGCACGTACTCATGGTGACCAGGCCAATCAGACTTCCATGACCAGAGAAGTATCTGGGAGCATCTTGCGTGCGATAGATGTAAGAAGCGATGATACCGCCCAGACTTCCAAAACCGACGTGCATTGCAATTCCAGCACCGCGTTTGGTCGAGCCACCTATGTTATTGCCATTCCCTGGACTGTATCAGCACCCAACAGCATAGTAGCGATCAGCGGGGTGAGGACTAGGACTTACAGGCCACGCCTTGTGGCACATTCGAATAGATGCCTGTCGCCACGAAAAAAATTCCCGGCATATTTCACCCCGCTACTGGTGCTCGCGATAAGGGTTAGGGTTAGGGTTAGGG